GAAGGCCAAGGTTGTCGCTATTTCATTGGCTTACTCATGACTGACTCGTGTTACAGGAGATTCTTTCACTTTTTACCTTTGTATCTTCAGCAAAGGACAAAGTTCGGAAAAGCACAAACGTCATCACAATAGGCGTGACGGGTAATTCATTAGTTTTCGTTTGTTTCAGTTTTGACAACAAAAATTGTATCAAAGGAACTCGTTTCTAGCAAAAGAACATCATCAGTGAGATAAACTTTGTATCCGCAATTAAGAACAGTTTGATCGCTGACCATTTTTTATGTGCTAAGTTAAGCCGTGAGCGAGCTTCTTACCGTATTTGCATTTATTTTAAATCACATAGCATAACATACGAAGTCACCTTAACTTTAGCAAGAGAGGATAAAAGGAAAAGATAGCCATAATCCTCAAGAGTTTCTTTGACATGATATATAAACAATTATCTACCTTGGAAACGTGAATAACATCAGCGTCAAGCGTGCAGGCTGCACATGTAAGCGAGGAGACACGTGAGAAACCATACTGGGTTTAACCCCAATAACTCTTATTAGAGTTTCCTTGAAATGATAACCTAATAAGGAAGTTACTTTGGCAAAATGAGTAACATCGAACTGAGCTTGAAGTGTGCAGACTGCACGTGTAAGTGAGGAGACACGTGAAGGGTTGCACGGAATCGTGATGAATACGTTAGGGTTTCCGTGCACACGAGTCTGTTGATTACTCACGAATAGATTAAAATTGAAAAGAAGAGGAGTGTAAGATCTTAGAGCAGTATTGAAAAGAAATAGACAAGGTTTATAGCCTGCAAAATAATAATCTAAGCATCCCTCGCTGACAACGTTTACGAAAATACTCGTATGCGGAAGTTCGAAATTGTTTGCACAACTCTGGGTTTGAAACGAAAACTGCAAGCGCATCAAAAATTTGCGTTACAATCTGGAACGGATGTGCGTGAAAGATAATTCCGAGAAATATTTTGTTCCTGAAGTCCTGAAGAGATGAAATAGCCAAACAATGCACTGCGCACCACTGACCCATCCAATTATAAGGAAGCTTCGTTCTAGAGTTCTCGTGTCATCCGTGTGGAGAGCGTCTTGCTGAAACACCTCTGCACATTTGTAAGTTAAACTCAAGAACTGATATCTGATTATGGAGGAGTTTGAGGTAGATGCTGATCTGGAAAGCGATTCGAGCCAGTCAGACCGGTACGTACACAATTATAGCTGTTTTTTCTCCTGTTTTGTTTTTGGTTTATTTTTTCCTTTCTTAACTGTTCCCATACCCAGTGAAAACTTTCTTCTCTCTGATACAAAAGCAATGCTTCGGTTCTTTTCCGTCAAAAAATTGTACTTATGGCAGAAATGACTCTGACTTCATTTGCAATGGGAACATTCCCGGAAAGGATAATACAGTGCCCGTTATTGAAGAAAATTCGAGATAAAGCCGTTCAGGTCGTTTGTAATAGAGATCCAAATCGCAACAGTTAAGCAGTCAATAACTTTGTCTTTTAAGAAGATTATGGCTTCTTTAACAATATTCGCAGTTCTGTAGCACGATATATGGCTTAAAATTACGATACAAACTTTGTTTCTGTTTCAATCTACCTTTTCATAACTTCACTGATTTTCGAAACCAGTCTTTACAAATAGAATTAACTTTCAATTAGAAGCTATGCGACTAAGCGAGCTCCAAGTCCTGAATTTATTTTGCGCGCACGGTTGCTTAACGTGACTCAGAAAGAATCAAACTCGTACCATATATTTCCTAGCTGACGCTTTGTGCGCGATTCTGTTCCAAACGCCATAGATCTTGCTTTTAATACGATTGAATTTTTCTGCGAACTGGTTAAATCTCCTGCGAATGAAATCCTGTCCAATATTATTGGAATTCTTCACCCATCAAATTTTCCGCGAAAACATCAACCGAGTGATGACTAACGCGACTGAAACTTTTTGATATTTGATTAACCGGTCAAATTTCTTACGAATTCTTTACCGATCGAAGCTTTGTGAATAAGTCAATCAGACGAGCAGCCTCTGCATCCATCTGATAATGCGCTTTCAAAGAAGTAAAGTAAGCACTTACACACGAGTTTCTTCGTTGTGCAAGAGTGCTGTCCCGGCTAAATTTTCGCGGCACCAAAGTATCTCAACGGGAAACACTGGTCCAAACAGCCGTCATATTTGAAGAAATGACGATTGGATCACGTCGGCAAAATGAAAGTGTCAATCAAACCTGTTAACAATCAGGGATCTAACCAATAGAACCTTTTAGTTCCACACGTCATACGTTGTTCACGTGGTCCGAAAGGCGGAAACAACAGTCGCGGCTATTTAAAATTAACTGCGAAGCGTACAGAATACTCCACTATTACTGCGCGTAAACCTCCTCCGCCGGCTGGTCCTCTTCAAGGTAGTTCCTACTTGGCACTCTCCAACCAGAAGCTTTACAAGCTAGCTTTGAACCGAATTTCCTAAAAAACTGATTTAAGAGGAGAAAGAATACACTTTATTCGGCCTTTCTTTAACGCAGTTAAAAACACGCTGGTTAGCGAAATAACGTAGGATACTATTTGCGCTGTTTTTGTAGATTTATAAGCGTTTATAATTATTCTGCGAAGTTGGATGATTATCATAATTATGGAACTCTTGATACGTGATTATCTGGAAGCTTGGTTTTTGAGATAAGAGCAATCTTGCTTTGCTGCAAGATCAATAATTACAAGTTCACAACCATATTTCGTCTCTAGGTTAAGTACTTTATGCACGAGTTGGCCATAAGTGTGTTCATTGATTGTTTTCCAAACAAATTTAAGTCAAGTACTTAAACCTAAGTTTTCCAAAACTGAAGTTAGTGTCTTACAACGTGACCTTTAGTACCCCCTTGCATCTACCGGACACGCAGGAGCTCTTAAGAAGCATAGATTTGAACGAAAGTTCATCACAACGCGGCGGTAGCAATTTGTTGATCGTAGCCTAAGAGCGAGTTAAATCAAACTCACAACTTCGCGACGTATCTGAGAGTCTCTGAGAGAAAAACCTAAGCTTTCGTCAAAGGAAAAAACGCTGTCGATGTTCACAAGGCCATTTTGACCACTATCCGGATTTTCGATCCATAAGAAGAATCTCGTAGCCCAAAATGGGTCTTGTGAACATCGACAGCGTTTTTTCCTTTGACGAAAGCTTGGGTTTTCTCTCAGAGACTCCCAGATACGTCGCGAAGTTGTGAGTTTGATTTAACTCGCTCTATGGCAACGATCAACAAATCGCTACCGCCGCGGTAGGTGCCAACGCTGTGGTTGATATTTATGCATTGCGCTTATTTGCTTTTTTTATGAATTCTTGTCTCCAGAAGACATTGCACACAATTAAGCATCTCATTTTAATCCATTTCGAAACGAAAGCTGAAGTTAGAGAGGGAATGTTTAACAGCGGCACGAAAAAAACACTGTAGCGTGTGAGAAATATTGTGTGATATATGACAATTTATGCAGGTGTTGCATCATGGGAGAGTTTCAGTAACACTGCCATCAAAACCATTTCATATGACCTCTTAACCAAAAGAGCAGAAAGCTTAATCGGTGAAGTATTCGCAAAAATTTGGTAGGTCTCATTTCGCAGAAAATTTGAACAATGATTTTTCGCCGAAAATTTGACCGGTGAATCAGCTAGAAGAAAAATTCGATCGCATTTAGGAGCGAGACCTAAGTCGTTCGACGAAGAATCGCTTTCAAAGCGTTATTGAAAAAACATTATACGATTTTGGATCCTTAGAAAGTAATCGAGTGCCAAAAGTGAATATTGCAATTCAAAATTCAGACTTAGCGTAAATATATCATTCACCACTACAAACGCACATTTAGAATGAAATTTTAGCAGGAAATGTCGAGAAAGATTTAGTCGAAAGTAAACATGCAGCAATGGCTGCTTTTAGAACGCAATTATGAAGAGAAAGTCTTGTTTCGAAAATCATTGAAGATAAAAAGATAGGTTGAAATAGAGCCTGCATTGTAATTTTTGACACAAATGACGCAAGGTAATCGTCATCTTCCACGGACCAATTCAGTCCGTTATAATCATGATATCGATCCTCTCGGACTTCCTCAATTCGGTTGGTTAATATTACTCCGTCAATTGTACGAACCTATTCGTCGACATAAAATTTATTCTGTTCGTTTAATTCAGTTGTTCTTTCAGTTGTAGTCATGATACTCTGTCGCGGTAAGTTTTACGATTCGCGTTTGTAAAAGGAAACAATGAGGTAATTTTAGCCCAAGCCGCTAGGCTGCGTTAAAGCCTATTTTTGTTTTTAACCTTGGCTTACTCTTCAAGGAGCTCCTTAAACATTTTTCTGCGGTAAGAGAGTCACATGGGCTTTTTGTCTAACTTGCGCATTTCTTACAAATCTTGGATCATCCTAGTTTTCTGAATAAGCGTCAAAATTTAATCAGAAGAGATCATTAACTTTATTATTGCTTTTTGTGCCTAGTTGGATTGATATCGTTTTCGTTTCAATCTCATGGTGTATATAGTTTAATCTTGATGGAGTTGTCCATGTGATGAAAAAAAATGTGTGTTGCAGACAAAACAACGGCTTTAATGCTGAGATTAAAATGTGCTACCGGAAAAATTCCTTATCAGTCGACCATCGAAGATCTTCTTATTGCATTCTTTAAAAGATGTAAATCTTACGATTTATGAAATGCATGGACAATGACAAGCGATCAAAGCAAAGGTGTGTTGAGAGTTTAGAGGTTACCTCACCGAAGCTAGACTCTGAAGAGCAGGTGCATTCGTTCGGAAATCATAAATTCTCGTACACCTCCTTACGATACAAATACAATATCAAGCAGGTCCTCCACAATAAACAAAGAATTATCCTGAGGAGAATATTTGTCTCTTTTTTTAATCCCCTTCATTCCTCACTGAATTCTTGAAATCTTGAATTCTTGACAGTGGCACCTCGTTAATTTAGCAGATTCTGTGTCGCAGTTCTTCTATATGTTTCCTAATTACGAAATAAATCGCATATTCACGTCTAGGTCCTATAAGGCTCTGCGAACCAGAAAAAAGACACGATGGGAATGTAAAGCTACCACTGAAGGACGCAGAACGCTATCATATCGTATTCTTTACACCTACCAGGCAACTTTCGACACGCTGGGATTCGTTCTAGTTCGGAAACCATGGTTTTTCCTATTCGGATTTCTTGCAGTTCTTATCGTAAGTTGCCTAGGACTCATTCGATTTCGTGCGGACCCACCTTTAGTGGAGAGTTTTACCGCATCCAGTGGCCAATCTAGGGAAGACTTGCGACATGCGTCACAATTCTTTCCTCGTCTCGATGCGCGGCAAGAAGAAATTATTATGACCCCTAAGCTTGGTAATAACATCTTGAGATGGAATTGTTTGAAGGACGCTTTACTTGTGCACTGGACCGTGGTGAACATCAGTGGATTCCATGAAACATGCTTGAAGAATTTGAATCCAAATCCTCTCCAAAAACTTGCCAAACAACCCTGCATTATCAGCAATCCACTCGAGCTAGCTGAATTTCAGTTTGATAAGTTAAAGAACCTTTCTTCTATTCTGGCTCGCGAGTTGAAAAATTCGTCCAAGGTTCTCTCAACCGGTCAAACGTTTAATTCTTCATACAAGGAAATGATGGGTAATTTTCAGGCCCAGCCGAAGACATCTTCACAGAGTTCAAGAGCCGACGCCCTTCGAGTTATTTACTTCATCAAAAGTGCAACCGATGGAAAAGATCAGCAAAAAATTCTTGCTTTTGAAAAATCGCTTGAGAATCTCCTCTATCAGATTAGCGATCGATTGAAATGTGTGTCACTCTCCTTCAACACTGCGAGGACAAAAACTGATGCTCTGCAAAATGTTTTGAAACCTGAATTATGGTCACTTTGCTTTTTTCCATTCGCAATGACTGTTCTTGTCTTCACTGTCATACACTTTTCCTCTAAGAGTCTCCGTTGGTCATCAACAATGTTATTGATGGCTACTTCTATTTTGGCCCCACTACTATGTTCTGCTGGTATTATCTCAATAGCTCACATTACCTTTTTCCCCACTACCTTGTTTATCCCCTTCTTTTTTATGGCGAAAGGAACCTTAGATGTTGTACATTTCTTACTCGAATGGGAACGGCAGAAAACAATAGCATCACTTGAACATCGTGTCGGTATTTGTGTCTTCAAAGTAGGATATCCCGCTGTGCTATCTACAGTATGTGGAACACTACTTTCTGCAGTTGCAGTTAAATCTTCATTCGATGTCATTGCACATTTTTTCTTAGCAACCCTTGTCGTTAATATGGTCACTTCTGTGGCCTTTGTGGTGACAGCCATTTTGCTGATATCTCTCCATAAGATGTCAAGGGTAAAAAGTGACGAACCGGAAATGGAGCAAAATCAGAAGAATAAACCACCACGTATTCTGAAAGCCCTCACGCGCATAATGACGTCGTCTGGTGGAAAAGCTGCTGCCATTATTTTCCTCGTCTGTGTCTTCATTTTGTGTACCTTATCTGCTTTACAACTTCTTGACAAAACTAGCACCATTGAGTCACTTTATGGAAATGACAACTTTAAGAAGTTTAAGACTGCACAGACTAAATTCTTTTCAAGGAAAGGTGACATCAGTATCCTTTTTTCCCAGAACACTGACTATTCCGAACCGGCCGTGCAGAATGAAATGGTGAAAATTTGTGATAAACTAAAAAAGTCCTCTTACAGCAATGGAGTAACATCTTGTTGGATGGAAGCGTTACGAAAGTGGGCGATATATCAAAATAAAACTTGCTCATACTCAGCATTTTATACGTGTCTAGGACAGTTCCTGAACCAATCCCGAAACGCTCCGATACGGCAAGACTTGCGTTTTGGACCTACAGAATCCCCATTCAAAATTTTGGCATCTCGAGTTCATCTGAATATGCCACTATTCAACAGATATCAGAAGGACGAGAAATCCGTGGAGATGTTGAGAAAAGACTTATTACAGTTTGACTTGGAACCCGTCGCAGTATCCAAGAGATTCTTCGATCTCGACGATGTGTTTTTGTTAAAACAGGAAGCATGCATATTCGTTTTTGCAGCTGCCACAGCCGTGGTGTTCGTAATCTCCCTGTTATCAACTTTCAACTTAGAGATTAGCACTCTCTTGGCTCTTACAATGGACATCCTATTATTGGAGGCGGCAGCTGTCATAGTGGTGTTAGAGATTCCTTTCAACAAAGTCTCTTTTCTCTCTGTCTTTGCAACCAGTATGATAACCCTAAATTTTTGCTTTCAAGTTGCCTACTCATTTGTATTTTCAGCAAGGACAGAAATTAGGTATCGAGTTATCGACGCTATACGCTTTGTTGGGTGGCCTGTGGTTATTAGTTGGTTAGTAATGAGTTGTGGTTCCTTGTCACTAGGCTTCATTTATCCCAGTCTGGGAGACATTTTCCACAGACTTCTTCCTCTAGTCTTTGCTCTTGGGCTGATTCAGGCTCTCGTTGTTTTGCCAGCAATGATTGCACTATTAACCGAATTAGTGCATCTTTTGAGTTCTCGGTACAGTGCAGATAGTTTGCCTTCGTCTAAGGAACAAATCGATCTACCGCCGTTATCTATAGATGTACGGGATGACAACAAAAGCCTAGTCAAGTCTAAACGCCCTGGAATTTCAATCGTGGGCATCAGTTGCAGATTCCCTGGAGCCAGCACTAAAGACTTGTTTTGGGATCTACTTGAGCACGGGAAGAGTTTCCATGGTGCATTCCCCAAGAACAGAACTGAGCAACATAAATTATTTCATGAATACTACAATCCTCGGCGCTTTGTGAGTGGACGCCTCTGCGTTGTGAATGGCTCTTACTTAGAGGATTTAACACAGTTTGACAACAAGTTCTTCGGTATTTCTGATCAAGAAGCTCGTGCAATGGATCCTCAGCAAAGAATCCTTCTACATGTGGTTTACGAAGCTATCGAGGATGCTGGTATGCGACTTGAAGACTTGCAGGGATGTAGGACGGGCGTCTTTGTTGGAGTGATGAATATGGATTACCCCGAAATTGTAGGATACCCATCAAACTACCATAATATAGACCAGTTCACCGCAGTTGGTAACGCAATGAGTATTCTTGCAAACAGAGTTTCCTTTTGCCTTAACTTGACAGGTCCGAGTATTGTTGTTGATACAGCATGTTCGTCATCTTTGACTGCTCTCAAACTAGCCGCTGACAGTCTGCACAATGAGGAATGCGAGGTGGCGATTGTTTGTGCACCTAACATTGTCCTGAGTCACGTTAAGCAAATGGGGTCAAGCCTTGGTGGACTTCTGGCTCCTGACGGGCGATGTAAGAGTTTTGATGCCTCTGGCGATGGTTATGGCCGCGGAGAAGGTTTTGCAGCAATTGTTTTGAAGTTGACGAATGCAGCCTTATGTGACAAAGATGATCCATACTGCGAAATTATTGCTTGTGGTGTGAACAACGATGGACAAAATGCAGTACCGATTACTGCCCCAAGTGCGAAAGTGCAAGCGGAATTGTCTAAGATGGTCCTAGAACAGTCTGGTTTGACTGCAAAAGATGTGGATTACGTGGAGGCGCATGGAACAGGTACTGCAATCGGAGATGTAGTTGAGGTCACCTCCATAGCTGATGTATATTCTAGAAATATAACATCACCAAAGCGAAAATTAAGGATCGGCTCCGTCAAGTCAAATCTCAATCACACAGAATCTACTTCCGGTCTTGCGGGCATAATCAAGGTGGCGCTGATGATCAAAAACAAGAAGTATGTACCAACTGTCAACGTTCAAGTCCTAAATCCAAAGCTGAAGCTGGAAGAAAACAAACTAGTTGTGCAACAAACAAGTGAGCCGTGGGAAAAAGAGGATGGAAAACTACGAGTAGCTGCCATAAACTCATTTGGTTTTGGTGGATCAAATGTGCATTTAATCCTTCGCGAAATTACTGCAAAGCAAATGTCGCATGAAGAAAGTGTTCTTCACCGAAGCCATGTTCTTACCCTGTCAGCGCGTTCTAAAGAAGCTTTACAAAAGATGGCTCATCAGTACTCTGAATGGATTAAAGATAACATGGAAGAAATGGATGAAACCTTCACAGAAAACTTGTGCTTCTCTTTGAATGAACGCCGAAGTCGGTTTCCGTACCGGTTGGCAGTTCCTTTCAACTCCACTGCTGAAGCATCTCACTCTTTGGCAGCTTTCGCTGATGACTGCGTGGGTTGGGATAAGCTGGTTTCTTACGCCGAAGCGAGCTCTAACAACGGAAAATTTGTTTTCATGTTTGGTGGTCAAGGATCACAATGGTATGCAATGGGAAGACAGTTAATTGAATGTGAAGCCACCTTCAGAGACGCTGTCTTAATGGTGAACGATTTACTTCAGAATTTAGGCGCGAAATGGTCTCTCATAGATGAGTTGATGGCACCCGAGGGAGACTCAAGAATTTCTGAGAATTACATCGCTCAGCCGGCAACGTTTGCCATCCAATATGCGACTGCAAAACTATTAATGTCATGGAAAATCCATCCGTCTGCCGTGATTGGGCACAGCTTAGGAGAGTTTGCAGCTGCCTGTACTGCTGGCATCATCACTGTCAAAGAAGCAGTTCAATTAGTCCTTGCTCGGTCCACCCTTCAAGATAAATGCGCTGAAGATGGTGGTATGGCAGCTCTGGGCATGTCCGAAGTAAAGGCGAGGGCGTTATTGGAGTCTTTACAGCTAAGCGACACGCTGGACATAGCCGCAGTGAATGATGCAGACAGTGTTACCGTGGCTGGAGAATCCCGGTCAATAGAGATCCTTGGTCAACATCTCGCAATGTACGCAAAAGATACCTTCTGGCGCATTCTTGGTACAAAACGCGCTTTTCACACCATTTACATGGAACCAATCAAAAAGCCGTTTTCTGCAGCTGTAAAACGCATCAACCTGAATCCTCAGCTGTCTAAAATCCCAATGTACTCTACAGTACATGGTGAAGTTCTGTCGGGTCAGCGGTTTAACGGCGACTATTGGTGGCAAAATATTCGCTCCTCGGTCCAGTTCTATCCAGCCATGAAACAACTTCTCGGCAGCGGCTTTAGACAGATTATCGAGATAAGTGCACAGCCAATTTTAGCCCATTATGTTAAACAAATTTCTCGACAAGAAAAGCTAGAAGACCAAGAAACTCCAGTTGTTCTGGCAACACTTCCTCGAAGAAAGGTACCTGTTAAAGATCAACACAAATCCTTTCTTCAAAACACAGTTTGTCAACTGTACACGATGGGACATCCAGTAGATTGGACTTGTGTGCAGAAGAATCCATCAGCAAGGTTTGTTCGTTCTCTGAATTCTCCCTGGCTAGAGAAAACTTTTTGGTACGACGAGCGTTCAACTTTTGCCACAATCCCTCCTTTCGGATCAAAGCAGATAGAAAAGAAACCATCACATCCATTTCTTCCTCAAGAGAAAATGGCCGACCCTTACTCTCACTTGCACTGCTGGGAAACTGAGATTGACCTCCATCGCTTTCCAACACTCAAGGATCACTCTTTCATTCAAGGAGGTGCTGTTATGCCTGGAGCTGTCTATATAGAAATGGCATTTGGAATGGTGAAGGATAAGTTCGCAAACGTGTCTGGCCTGGAGCTTAGTGATGTAAAGCTCTATAGCATTCTTACCCTGCCCGAAACACAGGTAACTAGAATAAACGCGTACAGATCAAATTATTTTTTAGCACGGTGGAAAAAAGCAAGGTAGAAAATTGCTTCAGGTGTCCTTATTCATTTTGTATTTTTTCTTCGCTTCTAAGGTTCGATGTTTACGTCTTCGGCTTCAAAAAAGCAGCAGAATTGACGAGGCTAAATTTCATATTACAAGTGTTCAGGATGACGAGTCTGAGATAACATTGAGCAGCGGGAACATCTCCATAGATCTTTTGGAAAGTCGCCACAGTTTTGATAATAAAGGTATGATGTCGTTAAATTTTTGTTTACTCTCTATCACCATCACCAGGCAATCGTAGTTGTTTTTTTGAATATCAGAGAGCACTGAATTTGTCAGAATAAGTTATGATAACTCATTTCATAAGACAGAGAAAGCCGAATATAATTTCATCGTTCCTGTCGAGACCTCCCGTTGTAATAATCACGGCGTGGGATCTATACTTTGGTATAATGTTTCAATATACTATATTTCCATTATTTTCCTGGAACGAAATTTCGTAAAATGCATGGATTGAAAATCATTTGTGTAGAGATGACAAACATTGACATCACCTCACGTTATTTAACTGATCCGCTGTTTTTGCTTTATAGTTTTCAATCAAGGTGGTTCAAGTATAAATGAGCTGAAAGTAAACATGGAACAAATGCCTGTGGAGAGCTTCAAACGACTAACCGAAAAGTTTGGCTTCAATTATGGCCCCAAATTCTCATTAATCAAAAAGATATGGCGACGGGACAATGAAGGATTTTGCTTGATTGACATAAGTGAATCGCCAACCATTCAAAACGAAAGAGGTGCTTACATCTTACATCCCTGTATTTTAGATGCCTGTCTGCAATCCTGCTTCGTTGCCCTTGGAAACTTAGAGGGCGAGGATACATCCATTGTGCCCGTGGGGTTCAAAAGCGTCACCCTTAACCACGTTCCAGCAACCAACCAGCTTTATTGCCACGCCATTGAGACCAAACTTGGAAGTTTTGATGTTCGTTTGATGAGCCCTTGTGGAACAGTTTTGCTAGCCATAGGTGACTTTCGTTTGGCTGGGGTGACAAGCACGCAACGTGAATATCCTTTCGAGGAGCTTAGGTACGAAATCCAGTGGATACAAGAGGACTTACGTGAGAAGAGAGGTGCGGAGCCACGTCTGAACTGCCTACTGCTAAAAGAGTCTTCAAGTTTCTCGCATGCCTTATTAAGAAGACTTCAGGAAGCTAACGCAAACCTGACTGCTCTTGACCCGCCAAGTGATGGAGGTCCTAGGAGTACGGTAGAAGAAGCAATAATGGCAGCCATTAATGACATACCACCGGAAAATTCATCACACCTCTGCGTCATAAACTTGTGGCCAGTAGAGGCGACAAATCGACCTCATGACTTCAGTGTAATAGATGAAGTCCAAAGCCTTGCCCTACATAGTTCCGTTTTCTTAATGAAGTACCTAATGGAGAAGAAGTGGCACAACTGCCAAATCTTCCTCGTCACCGAGCGTTCACAGATGTTGGATAGCTCAGAGAAGTTTCCCGGGACAAACTCCTTTCCGTGGTGTTCTACAGTCTGGGGTTTTCGCCGAACAGCAGGCATCGAAGACCCAAACTTCACAATCAAAGCTGTTGACATTAGCAACAAAAGGGATACAGGCGACGTAGATTCTCTAATGGATGAAATTTTGAGTGAAAGCAATGAAGAAGAGGTAGTCTTTCGTGACGGCAAGCGCTTCGTCAATCGCATCGTGAGATCAGAAACTTCCTCAGAACAACCCACAACTAACGCAGTTAAAAGCAAAGAAAGAGCCACCTGGTACCTATCAAGAAACCCGTCTTCATCGACGATCTGCCTACGTGAGAACAGTCTTTCGAAACCATCGTACTCAGAAGTTACAATAGACATTCTTCATTGCTGGACTCCCTCTGAATCTATTATTGATGTTTCCAGACCAAACGGAAGTGTCTTCATTCTTGGAAAGGTGACAGATTTATCAGGAGGGAGCCTAAACACTTTGAAGATTGGAGACGAAGTTTGTGGTATCATGTCCTCAGGCCGGGTTTCGCGCACCGTTACCGTTCCTATCAACAACGTCTTTGTTAAACCAACCAGCTTAACAAGTCAGCAAGCCACATTTGTTCCTGGAAGTTTAGCCATAGCTTTGTACGCCCTTCAAAGAGCAGCAGAAGCAGGAAACGGAAGTCGAAAACTGCTGATACATGAAGCAAACCGGGGTCCTGGGCCTGCCGCAGTTGTCCTTGCAAAAGCATTAGGGCACCGAGCATTCTGCACCATTTCTGACGCTTGTCGTTCAGACACAAAAACTGTTCTTACTGAGATGGGTGCGGAACGTGTAATAAATCAGAGTTCCTGTGGTCTCCATGACGATCTCAGTCACAATTTTGATGCCGCGGTATTTTTTTACCCACCTTCCCCCAACTTACTTCAGAAAAGTAGTCGTTCTCTCAAAAGGGGTGGACGTATTATCATTCTGAGTTCCAAATTCCAAGGTGACGTTGTGTTCAACGCAGATACCAATATCGCATATGAGAGAGCAGAAGTTGTGGATGTCCTCAGAGCTCCTCAGGTCTTCCAAAAGCTCAGTGCAGAGAGCGTTCAGTTGCTAAGACGGACAGGAAATCTGGAAACGCTTCTAAGAATGCAGTCAGTGTCTAGTAAGGTAGAAACAGCCATCGAAGTAGCAAATGTATCCCTCACCGATCCGTCAGCTTCAAGTAGTCATAAGAACGCATCCACTGATATATCATTTCTACTCTATTCGTTCCCATCATCTGAAAAGGAGAGCGGCTTTAATAAGATTCCTATCCTTCCACGTGGTTTAGATGACTGTGGTCTTAGAGAAAACAAAACATACTTGGTAGCAGGGGGTATCCGCGGATATGGGTTTGAAGTGGCTCGCTGGATGGCTGAGAATGGAGCGCAGTCCATAGGACTCATTGGTCGCTCTAAACCCTCGGATACCAAACTTCAAGAGGTCCGAGAATTGGAAAGAAGGACCAGCACAAAGATCCATATGTTTCAGGTGGTTATTTTTGGTTGCATAGGTTATAGAGTAATCAAATAGCAGATATCTGAGCTTAAAAAGCGAATACATTATCAAAAGAAAGCTGAATTAGAGGAATTTAACGAAATCAGAGAGGTCAAATGCGGCATGAAAGCCAAAATGAATAAAACTTATATTACCGCAGTTATAAACACAAGTATTAGCATTTTGAATTCACATTATGCTCATTCAGGGTTGGCCCAATAATGTCATTAGATAGACGCTCAGCCAGTTTCACGAGGGCACAAGTAGGAATTCTGTCAAGGCCTGGATTTGTTTCAGCTTTATTTTCAAAACTATTCTAGTTGCGTGCACAACCTCGATGATTCTTTTTCTGCTAAAAGAAATGTAGATAAGGATAAAGTAATCCTAAAAAAATAGATTTCAACAAAAATATATATGTTTTTTGTTTCCGTATAGATCGACATATCTGACGAGGATCAAATGTTGTCTCTCAAAGAGAAACTTAAATCCCTGCCGAGCGTGGCTGGCATCGTGAACTCTGCTATGGTTCTCAAAGATCAATTCATAAGAGATTTCACTTTTGAAAGTTTCAGTGTCGTCATGGGCTCCAAGATTAAAGGTTTGTAAATGGTTCAAATGTTTTTTCAATTTATCATTTCATGCAATAGATGTGACACCACATATCAGACATTGTGTTTTTGTAGTATTTTTCAATGGAACATATTTTATTTATCCTCCAAAGTTTTAATTTTGGCAGATTGCAGGGTAGAAATCCCTAATTGCTGCCTATTACTTATTTATACATTCTTCATAGATCAATAAGAATGAGATATGTTTCTGAGTGCATTACAATATTGCTTGTATCACCTGTATCACTTCACTACTACTATTATTGTAACTATGGTTTGTGCTAACAATTTAGTAACATTCAGCCACATTTGTGGTCAACTTGCCCTTCCCCCAATGTTACAGTTTGCTAAAATGCGTCCCGGGACTATTTCAAATGGTTTAGCTAACAGTTTTCAACTAACCTATAGGTTCATTCTTACTACATCAAATGAGCCTGGACATGGATTTGGATTTCTTCGTCATGTTTTCATCCATTGCTTCAGTCTTGGGAAACATGGGACAGACGTCATACGCAGCTAGCAACCATTTTCAAGATGCTCTGGCTGAGTATCGAAGAAAGGTTCTTGGTTTACCGGGACTGGCTATAAACTGGGGACCCATATCTGGAGCTGGAGTAATGACACGAGACAGCCATGTTGCTAAGCTGATGACCATGGGAGGATTGGGCTTTATCCATGCCAAGGATGGTAAGCCAAAATTAAGTAAAATCTCAAGATAAGTTATAATATATAAAACTGCGCAAGGAACTCCTCGGCTGGTGGAAAAAGGGAGCTAATCTGAAGCTGGCTGATAAGGAGAATTAATCCAAACCAAACACTGGTTGTTTAAAGCAGGGGTGATCGTTTACGCAGGTGGTTTTGTAAGATTTTTCACAAGCTTGATGGGTGGAATTCATAATAACTCTTAATTCATAAATTCATCACGAGCACCTAGTCGTAAACTTAGCATAGTTCATGTAGAAACTAACCCATAACGGAACATTTCTGTCTCAAAACTATTTTCCTAGGAGTTAAATACATGGCCAGAATCCTCACTGAGGAACCGAGCCGCTTTCAACTTATGCTATGTGGACTGGACTGGCCACGCTACCAGAAGACCTATGAAGGCTTGAGGAAGACACCCCGACTATCGGCTATAACTGCTGAACAAAGCATTTCTGATAACCAGACCAATTTAGCAGTTTCTCTTGTGGAAAGAATTGTGATGGAGAGGGACTCAGAGAAGAAGGAAGCGCTTGTTTTAGAGTACCTCGTTTTGGTTCTTCAAGAGCGTACAGGGCTCACAAATCTCTCCGAAACAGATTACAACAAGAATTTGTATAGCTATGGCATTGACTCAACAGGGGCTCTTATTCTAAAAATGCATTTTGAAGCGGAATTGGAGGTCTCTTTTGAGGTACGTTGCTTCATAAAAACTGACGTTGACTTGCCAAATAAACATTTAGTTTCCTTGACTCGCAGAGAATGGTAAACATAATAGCCAATTGATGACTTATGACACAGGCACATAACCCCCGTTCTCTTCATTTACGTTGAGTGACATTTCCGTTGCTTCTCGTTTATTATTTCAGACTTTGTCAGCATCATTCATTTTTCGAGGAAATATGCTATAGATTTCTTTATTGACACCAATAAAAAAAATAATCTGGTTGTTTTCAGGTTTTCTATTTCATGCAACCCGATACTACCCTGATCAAATTGTCAAGAGACGTCACAGTAAGACTTAGTGGCCAAACCTCAAGTGGGCGACCTCAAGAAACTCAAAGTCAAGAAAGTGCAACTCAACCGGCTAAAGTAATGGTGGAAATGCCTCATACAACGACACAGGAGCAGCAGCAGGTCCAAGTCGTTCCCCTGTACACTCCTGTCACCTCAGCTGTCAACTTTTTCTGTGTTCACCCCTTTCACCGTTATGCAATGAACTTGGTGCCAATTTCCACTGGATTTCAAGGACAGGTAAATGGTCGTAAATAGGTGATCTTAAGTAGCTCAGGTAATGGAAGCATTTTCTGTATGCTAAAGCTTTCTGTGATACCAATTGAACGTTATCAACACTTAAAGAAGTAACCTTTCTTTTCTAATACTCAATTTATGTTTATAAAAGGTTGGTAAATGTGGTATTTGTCCAAATTTTGAAACTGCACAAAGCGTTAGGACGCTCGACCACTAAAACATTACCACTGAACATTTAAACATTACCACTTTTAAATAGAGTACACCTCTATACTATCGTTTCAGTACGTCTTGAACCCCACAATGTGCAAGTCATCGAAGGGTGCAGTTTCCAATCATTTGAACAACAGTGTCACCTTATAATTGTCACTGAAATTATTCCATCCCCTCTCTAGGATCTGGTCTCCTTTTACGCTCTGGGCTTCACCGATCCAACAGCAGTCAGTGAGGACTGGGGCACAGTACGTGAACTTGCCGCACATTATGTTCAACTGATCATGAATAAACAACCTCATGGGCCTTACTTCCTTGGCGGATATTCGTACGGCGGAATCGTTGCTTACGAAATGGCTTCTTTGTTGACAGAGAGGAATCAAAGCGTAGAGTTTTTGGCCATGATTGACACATTTCCTTGGAATCTGCACACGCGGACAATTAGTGCTAGAATGGTTTCCATTCAGGAGGATGCAGCCGCCTCACATCGACACGTACAGGTGTGTTCGCGATCCTTATCACACAAAATAAGAATAAAATTGTGGAATGGCTCTTATGTCTGAACTATTTTCTCACATATTTGCATTGAAGCCATAAAGAAAATAAACAAACTAACTTCTGTTTTGAAGATTTACAAAAAAAACGTTTACGCCTCTTTCTGAGACTGAACCACTAGCCTTGAAAGAATTTGATAACTTCTTTTTAACTAGCACCAGCATAATTTTTTTCACAAAGAAACAGCAAGAGACTATAACTGAGTCTCAGTTTATAATCTCTTGTGGAGAGTAATAGGAAGACAAATGATTGACCTGTAAAATTCTTATGCATGTTAATCCTTTCTACTGATAAAATATACTCTATACTTAAGGCTATCACTGACTCAAAAATGCTCTTCGGATCCATGCTGGTAACTATGGACTCATGTTCATAAATTGCCCATCTTAAAAGTCTTAGTATCTTAATGACCATAATAGAATATCGAACGCTTTTCTTTGTTTACAGTTTCAATTTGAGAACCATCTGAGAAAGGTTGCAGTGGACACCCTGATGATGACAGCTGACGAATATCAGCATTTGCGGGAGAATAATACACAAGACGAGGTTATGGAAGAACTACAGAAATTGTGCCATGAGAAAGGTCTCTTAACCCACGACTTAAAGGCTCTTAGAGAGTCGTTACTGATGAATCATAGAATATCTCGTAGAACACATCTAGAATGGCAGCCTCAAGAGGTACGAAGTGTGATTTATGATATGCGCAATATCGGTTTGATGCCCAATCACAAATGGAGAATATTTTAAATGGTTTTTTACTTCTGCATCCACCTCTAGGTTCGTTATCGTGGTCCCCTTACCTATCTCAAAAGCCAAAACGAGCGCTTTTCTCCGTGGTCCCCCACCTCGGTCGAAGAAATATGGGGTCACCTAGTAGATGGAGGTTCTACCGTGCTAGTTTGTCCCGGAGATCATTTTTCCTTGAGTGAGCTACCCAACGCTGAAGTTACAGGAAGTATCTTAGCAACAGCCATCGCATTTACCTATCGCTCTATGTTCCCTGAAATTGCCAGACCTACAAGAACTTTTAATCAAAGGAGAGCCGTGGAAAAACTTTGCTGTGGAGTTCGTGTGTTCCTTCATTCCAAAAATGGTAATATTCTTTAAGAAGATGCTCGGCTAGTAGTGTTGTTTATGCATATCTATATGAACTAGTATCCGTTGGCGCACTATAACCAATGTAAATTTAGTGATCCACCATCTAATATTTCATATTTTTCATAAATTGAACACAAGATGAAAACATTAATTAAGGTTTCATGTGGTCGATTGTCTGTCATTTAACGATTTCCAAACCTCCTTCCATTCCAGGTAAAAAATTGCCACATTTTGGAGAACTTCACCTCCAAGAAGATGCCGGCAGACTGGAGCTGAGATCCAAGGTTAACGAAGGAGAAATGAAGGAGATCAAGAAAACGAAGAAGATAATTGACCTGAAAGGTAATCAAAATAATCAGTTAAGCTTCATCGCATTTGTTCGATTTTTTTTTTTGACATTGTATAGTTTCAATAAGGTTTCACGTCTAGACTGTTACGCCTGCACATTCATCATCATTATCTGCCTTAGTAAATTCGACTTTATACTGCAATCATATCTTAGACCACAACTTTGCCTTATTACACTCTTAACTACATTAAAAAAAATGATAAACGTTCTGTCACTAAACTTGAAAAAAATGTGTCATTAGGTAACTTTAAACCCGGTTTTTATCGTTTCTCTTAGACCTCCGAATGGTTCAGCCGGGAAGAATTGTTTCCAGTGCCCTTAAATTTGCCTGGCGAAAGCGTAGAGTTGGAGCACATCAGAGCGGGAACCTGGAGCAAGTTGCATCCGTAATTACGGGACGCCGTGATTTCAACCTAGAATTCACTGATTATTCTGATCTGAAAGCGTTTTACCACATGGTGGAAGCTGTGTTCGCAGTTAAATTGTTGACTAGTTAGGTCCATAAACTTTGCTTAGCATCAGATCAGTCGCAAATATGAAGGTTTTATTTTTTAAAAAACAACTACTTTGTCGCACCAGAAAGAGTTTCAAAGGCTGTTGAGTAGTAGGTTCAAGTTAGGCTTAATTAAGGGGTAAACTTAAGTAAACTATAGAGGACATTCACTCGCGACTCTTTGTAGAGAGAAAAAAAGAAGCTGTCATATGATATCTTTTTATGAATAACTATAATTCCTAAAAAAAGAAATTTCAGATCTTTTTATTAAGTGAAAATTGGTCGTGTATCGTTTATCATGTAGCAAGCTTTTTAATGTTCGAATCTAACTTATGCTTAAGAGGCAAATGGTACAATCTGAAAAATTATACTGTCTATCTGTTAGTCATCTGTAGAAATATCTACATGGGTAATGAGTAGCAAAGATTTTTCCATTTTCCATTTCCCATTGTATCTTGTATCCAGAAAGGATAAGATAAATTGGCGACGTCAGAAGAAATGTTATTACCGTTTCAGTTGTAGTAAACTTGGTTCCAAAGCTATCATATGATGGGACTGCCTGAATCATTCTATAACAATCAGGTTCTTAGACGATAACAATACACTTTATATTTTGAAAAAATATAAAGCTGGAAGTGGCATTCACAAAATAGAAATTAAAAAGAGAAACAGGCGAACCTTTTTCAGCATACGTGCATGAGGAAGGTTGAAAAGTGTGATTTTTTTCAAACGATTAGTTGTGGATTCGAAAACAGAGCTTTAACAGCTTACAGCAATCAAATCCCAACTAATTAACGATCGACCATACTAGGACAATCTTCATTTCAGTACATTAAAATGTAAACTTACTTATTGCAAGATTAAATTTCATTATAATCCTCTCCATCGTTGATTAACTAAAATTTCAAAACGTGTTGCATTTCAAGACTAGAATTACGATTGAATTCAATGGTAAAATAAGGAGCAACTGCAGAATACCCGGCCACTCATTTAGATGTCATTGAATAAGAATAGCGTCTATTGTGTTATGCCTCGATATTCAAAGCCTCCCGACACTTGTAAGTGAGGCGGACCAAAGCGGCCGGGTATTCTGCAGTTAAGCCAAAATTAAAATAGTAGGTTAATAACATTTATGAAATTGAAGTTTTAGCTCATGTGTGTCTTTTTTATGCATGTTTAGGTAGCATCATTCTTTAACTGAAAAAGCGCTGGAAAGAGCTTATGATTTGTTTTTTTTATTGTACGGTTACAATCGTTTTACTTTTATTCATTTTTCCATTATTCGTAGTTTAGCTGAAATAAAGATTTTTATTGTGATAGTGACCTAACTAGTATTGTGTTGTTTGTTTTTAGATAACATATCTGGCATAAGTCCCAATCTTTACATAGGGGTCCTCTAAGAGAACGCGCAGACCTACCAGTAGACAGAGCTTCATACCAGAGCAGAGGGAAAGCTGAACTCATGAAAGTAAATCTTGCCAATTCAAATACTGAAGCTTTCAATGGCAATTTTTTTGCGCAGGATTCGATTATCAAAAAAGTTTACTTACTTAGTTTACTTTGAAACAATGCAAACCTTTGAATGGCTCTGTTGAAACTTTCCTTAAAATATAAACGGAACAAAAAACAAAACGAGTTATTAGCGGATAGACTTACCCTGGGACTTTAAGTAGCCTTGACCTTCATTAAATTCAACAAATTGTGCACAGTTTAAGGTAATAACTATGAATACCGATTAATAAATATGATAGAAATAACATTTACAAAATCAGCCTCAAGACGCGTCTTTAGCACTACTAGCGGCCAACCCTATAGCCGACTGCGTCCACCAAAAAAGCATGAAATAGCACAAGGTTATGCTACCATAGTCAAATACGAACCGTCCTTAAAAATCTCAGTGATGCAGTGAGTACTAATGGCCCAGGAGTAGAGTTTCTTTAAACGAACGAAAATTGTCTTGATTAGCCTTTCACTACCACCTATCAATATTGTGGTATATGACCTTTGATCTTCAGGAAATGTTCTCTATCTCGTGTGAAAGGCTGAAATCTTGTATCCTCCAATTAAACCTCAATACATTTGTCTTGTGAACGGTTGATGTGACATGCCGAAATGCGCTTGACGGCTTTCAATTGAAACTATTGTGCCTTCCACCCACCATAAAGTTATCGTACCAAGAAAATTTATAGCATCATGGGAGGATACATCACAAAATGGGTGATTGTACAATCAGTGCTGTTTGTAGGTTAAATTTGTCGAGAAAAACTGATGTCATCAACATAAGGCTTTGTTTTTGGACGAATTATCCTTCTCAGAGTGGAGAGACTGATCAAGCTCCTGTCAGGTATTTTTGTTAAGTTATATTATTGAACTATTTTCAAGACGTCACTTTTTACAATTTCTCCTTGACGAAATTATCTTGCCGGAAAAACTTAAACTTTACCCAGCGCTCATTTATATGCAAACGTCCCCGTTTTATTGCGCAAATAGCCACATTGATGGCATTTTGGCCAGCCGATCTATTTTCATTTCCGGCGACCATTATTGTTTACAACTCGCCTTTCCAAGCTTCCACACTAGCGTTTTGTGTATATCCACGAGGGATGGCCAAAGCACCAAACGTCAGTTGAGCAGCAGACTAGGGAAAGTAGCATGGCGTCTGATGATGACTTGTCGTGGACTAAAAAAATTGTTTGTCGGAATCAAAGCAGTTGTCATCCAAAATAGAGTGACGGCAAAAATTATCTGTCAGGATTGTGTTCAGGGTACGTGTGCTTTGAAATGTCTTGAGGGGTCGCGCAGTGTGAAATAGAAACGAAACGAAAACGTTGGATACTATGAAAGTGTGTTCCGCAGCCATTTCTGAACGTGTACATCATAATGAGATCTATAAATATTGACAGACAAACGAAAGGGTACAGTTGAATCCCGGTAACTCGAATTGCCGAGGGAAATTGAAATTACTTCGAGTTACCGGGGTTTTGTGTTATAACTGGGTTTTGAAAAAAAAAGACCAGAAACGCTTGATCGATTCCAGTTGCGCGCCGTTATTTCTCGTCGTCGGGAAGAACTGTCAAAACTGTCTGTCTACGGACATACAAACGTGTGATGTCGACGAGGTCAATTGGTCATAATATATATATGTATATGAGATTACATGTAATCTTCCGGTGCAAAATGTTATAACTCATTAGTCCGCAATTTCGAGTTATCGAGGGTAAAATTACGAAGAAAAGTACCTGACAGGAAGTAAACATCGCTTCGAGTTTGCGGGGTTTCGAGTTATAGGGGTAAAAATTACAGTAAATGTATGAGGCAAATCCAAGAGAAATCAGTTTTGCTTCAAGTTGGCGGGGAATTCGAGTCACCGAGTGTTCGAGTTATCGGGGTTCAACTGTTCAAATGTAGTATCTATTATTCACTGGCTAACTTGAAATCAAGCCAAATGAAAATGATTTTAGGCTGTTCCTTTAAAATCTAAACTTTCCAAAAAATAGTCTAGCCAACGATTTCCGATTTTGTCCGTCTTCTCTCAGATTATGTACAGTTTTAAGCTCTTTTTGAGATAATATTGTCGATCAATGTGAGATCGTTACCTAGACGAATTTCAAATTTTAGTAATTACGTGATCATTCACTCCTCGCCCGCGTGTCACGCTATTTATACGAGCTTACAAACCGACGGAATTTCAGTTTTAAATGAAAATCATCCGCAAAACACACTCCAAAACGTAACCCTTCCCACAACAGCTAATTTAGGTATGTATCAACGTATGGAATTTTTGAAAATTTTAGTGATTTCTTGCGAAATCCTCACCACCGTTGTTTACCTTGAAATACGTCAAAGTGGCACCATTCAACCGTATCTCTAAGGCATTTAATCAAGGCATCGGATAGGATTTTTTCAGAGTTTCACTATTCCTAGGCTTTACATGGAAATTTGGCAGAGGCTAAAGGGACGAAATGTTTTATCTCACCACTCTTGTGCAGTCTCATCACCCTATCTGCAAGCTTTTGAATCCGATAAATTTGTGTTTCTGAACATCTAAATATTTAGATCACGTTTTCAAGTTAATCGCCTCGATAGTGTTTTTTTCCTTTCAGAAACGTGTCCCTTTAGAATTACTCTCGTTACTAAAACTGAAAGAAACGAAAACAAATGAACTTCCAGTCACGCTTTTTCATTCAGCGTAAATAAGCTTCGCACGTGTTCTCTTTGACTATGTGCCTCACTGAAGCTGTAACGGTAAAAGATAAATATATGCGACAGACTTACCCGACAGAAACGACGGAACTTCGTCAAGGAACGAAGATTACAATTGGTATGTAACACAATTTCATATTATTTACCCTTTTATTCATTTTTTATTCTTATTCAGGCTTTGATTTCATCAATTTCTGACCTGAAAACGTCCCCCATTGAGTAGAACGAGAAATGGCATTACTATCTTTAAATATTTTGCGTGAAATGTTATTCTGCCTCGTGTGTTTTCGTGGTACGTGATCACCACCATGTGAAACGTGACTAAGGCTCCTTTGTTGTGGAATCGTCTGAAGCGCGATCGGTGATCTCATTTACGCGAAAAACTCTCTGGTTATTCTAGTGTTTAAATAAATTTATATGTGTTCAGCGCAGTGTTACAGGAATTTCAGTAGGTAAGGCACGTGAAAATTTCGGTGAAATCCAAAATCAGAGCCATCAGCGGGATTGTCACTTACAAAGCGAATTCATTCGCGTAATAATAATTTTGTTACTCGCTTTTTCGCCACAAAGCAGAATTTAGCGAAGAGCCTGGCACTGAACCCAGAGATCACGGAATTTCTAAATTTACATCATCCAGACTTCGCATGTTGCTGAAGCGCATATGAAAACACCCTTCAATTGGCGCGTATAATGTCGCAAAGACTCGTGATGTGAATTTATTCTTAAACTAAATATTTTACCGAGTGAACACTTCATTTTTCTCTCTAGAGTCAATCGTGTTATGTCATGGCCAACTTGAAGACTACTCTTGAACTAAAGCAGGAACTAAAAAGCGAACCAAGGTTGGTATGGTTTTTTGTTTTCATTATTATTAACGAAATGCATGGAATATATTTTACCCAAACAAGCTAAACAAAAAAATGCAATACACAGAAATTTAAATATGACAGAATAGGAATATCGCTCAGTTAAAAAATAATTTGCCAAATCAAAATATCCCGCGACGATGATTCAAGAAAACCGAAAGCTAAACACATTCGGCAAATGTTTGAAACCGCCGTGAGCCTTGAAAGAGAAATCTTCATTGTCAAACATATCAGCACTTGGTCGGACACTTTAAACACTGCTGGCTATGCGAGAGCAAAATATTACAGCCCGAAAGCCTAGAGACAAACGCCTTAACAGTGAGTCCCGTATGGTCGTCTAACATCTTAAACTAGTTAACTAAAAACGACAGAACACCGTGTAGCTCCTTTGCTTTAGCAAGGAATGGAGCAAAACATGTCAATGTGTTGTAAATTTTGCATGGTACCAGTTCTTGGTCATCTTTCTCGAAACTACAACTTGAGAGCTTCGCTTAATTCTGCGTAGTTTGTGGTAGGTTGACCATGACGGTGACGTTTTGACATTTATTATCGAAAGTGAACCGTCTGTATTCTGTATCAGCCAAAGATGACTCTCGGTTCTACATAACAAGCTCGCTGTCGGTAGCAAGTTCTAGTCTAAGTAAATTTGCAATTGTGAGGAAGCCAGAGCCGAGTTTTCATTTCCACTACTTTCCTCAGTGTTTTTCAAGAGTACAATCGTATACCTTTGCGCAGCTAATCCACTCTGATCATGAAAAACAACTTTGCAAAACAGCGAAGCAAGCACTTGTTTCCACTCTTTCCACTACTAGTGAAACTAACAGCTACGTGACTAGCTACCAACCCTCTTTGTTCCAAATTATCTGAAGCTTAATAATTTACAAGTCAGCCATTTATCTCTGATTGCATAATTGGCCTATTATTATAACTAGGAAAAAGAGAGGGGAGACAGAAAGCTATTGTTCAACATTCAGAACTCAAAATGTCAAGTCAAAGTGTTGAGTTGAAAGAAAAATTTCATAATTTTGGCAGAAAATTATAAATCGTGATATGACAAGATTTCTTTATTTAATTTTTTTTTTTTTTCAATCCATGTTGTGCGTCGCCGTTGCCACCCAATGCAACCTTTAATTGTCTTAAAAACGGCGAAGATCAAGAAGCCGAATATGTATGGCAAATTTTCTAAGTTCGCGCTTTTTCCACAAATACCCCAAGCAGGCCGTCATACGACTCCATACCGGGCAGGAGAGCCACACTCGAAACAAAACACAACTTTTTAACGATCGATGCTCGAAGTGCAATGATACGCGAATAATGATGGACTGTCGGCGATATTTTTAGCGAACTAGGGCCTACAGCAACTTCGATAGAAATACACTCTGGCCACTGAATCTCCTAAGTCAAGTAAGAACCCCTATCACTATCGGTGAACAATATTTCCGCTCCGATGCAAACTACGATAAATTTTCCTTTTTCCGGAACGGCAAAAGGGACTTGTCGCTTTTAGACATGATAACAGCTTGAAAACAACACCTGAATTACAAAAACAATCTCTCTAGCTTTCGGAGAGAACTAAGAAGACTTCTTGATAACGAATGAGCGATTTCGGAACTGTACAAAACTATACAGTGTGCATCGTAAATCAAGATTGGAAATCGTAAATTACGTGACAAGATGAAGCTGACATGAGGTTTCATCTATCTCGCACCTTCCGGTCTACTCTTAATTCATTTTTTTGCTTTATATCTTCTGAAGTAGTTTCAAAATTTCAGTTGATATCTATTTTTTTCATTAGATATTACATTCTCAGGAAACTGAAAAAAAATTTTCCATGTGATGCTTTAAAAACGGTGAAAATCAAGAAGTCGAATATGTATAACAATTTTTTTAAGTTCATGCTTTTTTCGCAAATACCCCAAGCAGGCCGTCATACGACTCTAAATATATATACTGTCCCCTAGCTTGATTATTCTGTGGCCAGCGCAAGGTGGTAGTGAAAGAGAGCAAACGTTAATTGTTTTAGATTTAAGCCTATAATTTTGACCTTATTAAACAAAATTGCGGGGAGAAATGGTAAAAGCTTAAATTTCGAGACAGTGCCAAGCGAAAATTGAATATCACGCCCAATAACCTGTTCACAGACTTGTCATTGGCCATTAGGAAATAAGACAGTATGTTGAATGTGTACGTAATGTAATGATTATAGTAAATTTGATAGCAGCAATGATGGTGTTTATAATGATGATGATGACGACGACGACTGTCGACAGCCAAAAAATACGTGTTTCATAGCAATATCATAATCATTATTATGGTTATTATTATATCATAAGTATTATTATCCTTATCATTATTATAAGTATTATTAATGTAAAATTGCTGCTTTTATTTGAGTTCGTCTTTTTATCAGAATGTATTTTTGTAAATATCGTTTGTAAATGAGTAAATTATTATTAATTATTATCATTATTAATATTATTATTGTCATCATCATTATCAATATTACTATTATTATTGATACAGTTGCAGCTGTCCACGCTCATTCAATCCGTGTGTACTATGGTCTAAGCTCTGCAGCTGGTATTTGCGTCTTTTTGAAAGCTTTTTCGGTTGGTTTGGTGAAGGGATCGCCAAGAATCCATTGATAACAATCCAGATATGTATCATGTTCATTAGTGTCTGTTCTGTGGGGTTTGTTTGGTTCCAATCAGAAGGAAGAACTGTAAAACTGTATATACCTCAGGAAAGTAAAGCCCTAGATGACTTGGAAACTGCTGAGAGATACTTTCGAGTCAACTTTCGAGATGAGATCGTCCTATTGGTAGCAAAGCGCAATCATCCCAATGTTCTTTATCCTGAGTGTCTGAGACAGGCTTTCCGTGCCCACAAGGCAGTTATGAACCTGGAATCCTATGTCGACTTCTGTGTTACACTGTCGGGGAACAAATCCAGATCACCAGAAGACTGCGTGATGACCAACCCACTAGAATTTCTCCAATTTAATGAGATTAACCTGATCGGGAAAGACTTGACACAAGTTCAACTTGAACTAAACAAAGCTGCTAACGACACAAGCTTGGTCACTCGAAATGGACGCCCCTTTTGGTTCAATCTCGACGGAGTATTTGGAAGTATCACCCGAAAACAGGAGATCATAACTGGTGCGAAAGCATTACAGATGATTTATCCCATTCGTGCTCCGTCTGATGACGACGCATACGAAGACGTGCTCAAGTGGGAGATGAAATTTATCGAAAAGATGGCCTCGTTGGTGGACAAACTTTCTTGCTTTGAAGTCCATTATTCAAGCGAACGGAACATGGATGACGCTATTGATGAAAGCACTGGGTCTGACGTCACACTGGTGTCAATCACTTTCACTCTAATGATCTCCTTTGCTTGCTTCATGCTGGGCAAGTTCTTCAATCCGCTGACCGGCCATTCCTTGCTTGCTATCGCAGGAGTGTTTGCAGTGGCCCTAGGCATTTTAGCAGGACTTGGACTGGGCATGTGGTTCCGCGTGCCGTTTGTCAGTTTCGTAGGAATCCTGCCGTTCCTTGTTCTTGGGATCGGTATCGACGATATGTTCATTATGGTAGATGAGCTTGATCGACAACCAAGTGAAATGTCAACGATAAAAAAGATTAAAGCAGTCACGAGGCACACAGGTACAACCGTTACAATGACAACCGTGACGGATTTGGTAGCATTTGCTGTCAGCACATCCACTTCGTTCCCAGCTGTAAGGTAGGGCATTTAGATTAATTGCTGAATAAGTGTACTTTTACAATGGCAGTTTGGAAGAATATTGTCTGATTCTTATAGCACTGTCAAGACAGCTAATCAAAGAGTGGCTACAAAGTTTTCGGTACTAATATAAGAACCCTCTTTTAGGGGGGCTTTTACAAATCATAGCGCGCTCTTGACAAGATTTGCGTAACTTAAGCACAAAAGTTTTTCACTTTTTTCCAAGTTGCTTCATTTGCTTGAAAAACCCACCATTTGAATTCCAACAAGTAATTATATAGAAAATATAAAATGAGAAGAAAGGAGGAAAAGTTAGTGGCCCGTAAAGCAGCAAAATGGTATTGCTGAATTGATTATCTTTAGAAGGATATGGTTTGCTCAGAGATATTCCAACCAGTCTCCAGACAATTGTGAAGGGTAAATTATTCTCATTTAATTGTTTATCCAGTAATGATATAAATACTAGAATGGCCCCTACAATAAATTATATATTTGTTCATATACTGAAAATTTCCACCGATTTTACGAGCCATTGGCACGTGGAATACGACACTGATCAGTGGTGCTGCCTTATCTTTGTTTAAGGTATTTCTGCATCTACGCCGCTCTCACCGTGACGTCATCATTCCTGATGATTGTCACCTTCTTTGTGGCCGTCATGACCTACGACGTGAGGAGAATTAAATCTGGTCGCAGAGACAACTTTCCATGCTGTTTGGCACCTCGGCCCAAAGATGGAGAGCCAGCCTGGGACGAGCCCGTCGCACAGACGTCAAATCGGGTCATGAAGGCCTGGGGAAAATTCTTGATGTCTCGAGCAACAAAATGCGTGGTTATAATTATCTCGCTGGCCCTCCTTAATGCTGGGATTTACGGAGTCACCCAGGTGGACGAGGCATTTGATGAGAGAATGCTCGCGAAAGATGATTCTTATTACAAACAATTTTTAATGGCTCAGCAAAATCACTTCGACCTTTCCATTCCAGTGAGCATCGTGGAGACTGGTGGGGTCGATTACAAGATGAGGTCCACCCAGGAGCAAATCAAAGCAATGACAAATATCGTCACAGAGAATGAATACTACGAAAAACGCTCGTTATCCTGGATGGACGAATTCTCCCATTACGCTGAGCAAACTAATAAGAGTATCACTGGGCCAAATTTTTTGCCCGCTCTGAAGGAATTCCTTCGCATTCCAGCCTTTTCTCATTTTAGTCAAGATTTGAAGTTTACTGAGGATGGTGCCATACTGGAAGCCTCTAGGATCCTTGGTTTTATGAAGGGTATCATTAGCTCCACCTTTCATAAAAACGCTATGCTCACACTCCGTGAAGATATCACAGAAAAATCGGAACTTGATGCCTTTCCTATCAACCGATTTTTTATATACTTTGAGCAGTACGCCATTACCACCAGAGAAACTGTAAGGAATCTACTTATCGCAGCCTTAGCGGTGCTAGTTGTCACAAGCCCCTTTCTGATGGATTGTACCGTGACTTTCCTTGTGGTGTTGAACTTTGCAGCCCTGATATGCGAGTTATTTGGTTTAATGGTCATCTGGAATGTTTCGCTGAATTCTGTAACTATGATCATCCTCGTTATGGCCATTGGATTTGCAGTCGACTACAGTGCCCATATCGCACATGCGCACATAACGTCAAACGAAGCTACAGCTAATGGACGAGTAGTGCATGCATTGAGTACATTAGGAGCTAGTGTGTTCATGGGAGGTAAGTCATGTGTTTGATCTAGTTTATTTTATACGTTGTGTTAATTTCACCGATCATTTGCACTGTTACTGGAAGTGTGAAATACCAGTGAAAAAGTATAACTATTGATTTATTACTTTCATGTGAGTATATCGGCAGTGAGTCGACTGCCACGAAAGAAGACTACATATTCTTTACTTGAAGTCGTTGTAACTGTAGTTTTCTTTATGTATGCTTTAGCAAGACGATTTTTTATTTCATGTCCAAATTTTCTTTTGATCTGAGTAACCTCCACATTGTGAAAAGACGGCGACCATTTCGCCCGTTTCTGTGTATAATTGTCTTATTTGGTTGTTGCCGTCTTGTTGCATGTTCCTAGGATTCAGTACCTTCCTTGGCATGGTCGTTCTTGCATTTGCCGCATCGGAGATCTTCCGAATATTCTTCAAAATGTTCTTCGGCATTGTCGTACTCGGTCTTCTTCACGGCCTGTGCATCCTGCCAGTTTATCTGTCCTTGCTGTGGTGGAGACCGTCTGTTATTATCAGATCCCCCTCACTAGGGGGCGCCTCTGGGAAACTTGGCAGTGGAGACGTCAGAGTGGAAGAGATCGACGTGACAGAAAACAAAGTTCAGCACGAAAATAGAAGAGAGAAAACCACTTTGATAGGTAAAAATGAAGCCAGCCACGGAGAAGAACAAGAAACAGACACCGCGCAAGGCCTATTGACGGATTCCGTCGAAGCATTCGTTGATGAATGGGCACTAACAAGGGCTCCTGATCCTGAAAGGGAAACAAACGTCTAGTGGAGGCACCTAAGACTATTTGGGTAACGCTGCTCAGTATTCCACTAAACGTCCATTGAAACTGCTGACTTAGCTGACTAAGCTAACTTATTTCCAATTCAGAGATGAAATCGGGACAATCAGTAGCACACGGGCAACTGAAAACCATTTTGATCCCGGAGCTTTTAAACTAAGTGTTATAAAAGCAAAACTAAAATAAACAAATCGATAATTCAAAACTTAAGTATCCAAAAGAACCCAAAAAACTGCTTCTAGGGCGGGAGAAAAAGTGTGACTTAATCGCAATTGTTTTAAGGCTTGTGCCTGATTGGTTGAGGTGACAGCGTGAGTTTTGTGGGCCATTCCCGATGAGCAAAAAAACTAAAACAGTGAAAACTCTACTCCCAATAGTAAATAACTTCTGCCTTGGAGAAAAGTGAGCGATTTTATTTTACTCGCTTCACAAAGCTCGAAAAGTATTTATAAAAAAGGAATTTAAAAGACATTTATCACATTATTGTATGTAATGAATACCCAAGGAGTAATGTGTGGATCAATATCAGTATCTGGGTAACTGCCCACCTACCCCTCCCCTAACCCAACATTAACCTTAACTTGTTGTCAATTGACTGTTGTTGAGTTAGGGGAGGGTTAGGTAGGCAATTGGCAAGATACTGATATTGATCCTAACGTGTTAAAAAGAGTAACACACCTTTCAAAATTTTGAAAATATTCCGGTTAAAACCTCATTACTTCATTTCATTACGCGGTACCGTTCTGTTTATAGTTGGCACTAGTTCCAATTTATGAAGCGAATATTTTTCCTGCATTACTCTAAGATAAATCATTGGTATCAGTAAAAATTTCGAAATAAGTTTTTTTTTTAACTCGTGTAATTTGTATTCCAATAAAAGCGTGCTACTTAACTTATCTCGACTACGACTCTAACAACAGCTTATAACCATTAACAAAAATCTATGCGCTTATATTCTCATGTGGATATGTTTTCTTAACCTTAGAATCGGAGTTGACACTGCGTCTGTGCCTCATGCGAAGTAAAAGGTATACACAGACGACCGTACAATGAACAATCTGAAGCACTTGAGGCTTAATTAGTGATAGTTGATAATCTCCATAATTAGAAAACAATCACAGATGTGAACCTTACGCTGATAAAACGGCTTTTAAGTCTCATGCAAATGAAATGCTTAAAATAGTGATAATTATAGAACCATCACATTTGAGAAAGGAACGACAAGTACCACAAAAATATCATACTTAAACCCTTAACCTCTAAGAGTGGCTAGCATCTATTTTCTCCTCATGATATCAACCCTAAATCAAACATTACAACTCACAAAGGTAGGATGGGTCGAAATTCAGACCACTCGTGTGGGACACTCTGTTATCGTCTTCTTGTTGTTTCTCTCTTCATGTCTGGCAGAAAAACATTCCGCTAGCGTTATTTTCCAATTTCATCCACAGTATCGTTGCTTCTTAAACTTTGGAAACGATTGTGACGTTCAAGAAGCGCTTAAAGATTCTTTACCATATCGCATCGATGACGCAGGTTGCGCGATTCCGGTTCACTTCACACAGAAAAAAGGAATCTTAGTGTACTTTACACTTAACTAAATGATTTGATCGACGCTTTTTCGATTTCCTTTAATCTCGAGTGTTTTTATATATCATTAGGTCTCTCGTCACACGATACGTCAACTTTCAAAGCAAAGCAAAACAGTTTTATCTAAGAGTTAATTTTTTTCCATACGGTTGTGAAGGGAAAATTAATTGAAGAAAATGCCTCAGGGTAATTTTAACCTTGCATTAACGTTTTTGTTAATTGTTTTAACGTTGTTACGTCAAGCTAAGTGTGCTCTTTATTTATAAATACTGATTGAGCATCTCCTCCAATCATCAAACATCTGAAAAGCAACTGTTTTGTATTCTGATTTAAAATATTCACCATATCGAAAACATTAGTATTTTCACTTCAGTTCGCCGGCGCGATTCACGCATGCAGTAAATATAACTTGATTTACGTCAGGAATTAGTACTCAAAGATTGATTCTCTCTCACTCCAATTGGAAAACTTTTACCGATCGGCGAGACTAGTGAATAGCCACAACAACTTTGCGTACGTGGTATAACAACGGCCTTCGACATCGGCCACAAAAACCATGAAGCAAGTTTCGAATTCGTCCGCCGAAGTGAAGTCAACAAATAAGAGGTATATATATTTATCAAGTACGGCATTTTCCGAATTTAAATTACGTTTAAGCGCTTCTCAACAGCGAAAAACGAAAAACAATTCCGAACAGCCTCAAAAATACGGGTGTAATATAACATATGTGTTATGTCACAACAGTTCTTTCACATTGAGAACACGTATTCACACTTGTGAATATTCTCTCATAGGTGAAATAACTTGCAGGTGAAATACAAGCAGACTGAAATTTAATTGAGGTCTGTTAAAGATCCTCTGGGAAATGTTACGAATCAAACCTTAAACAGAAGCTAAAATGAGTATTTTTAGCTTTGTTATGCATGTCGTCAGTACTCAGGCTTTTCAAAGGAGACTCCCGAGTTGAAATTTCCGGGCCCTTTTTTTTCTTCCTCGTTCAGTCACGTATCGCCGTCTAGGCCTTAAACCGCACGCGTAGGGTAGGGCTCAGTGCTCTGCACATCGTTGAGAACAAGATTAGAGGAAGTTTTCGTTTGAAAGGTTATGGCACGGATTCCATGACTTCAAGGGAGCTGAAATCACATAGGAACGAACACGCCGTTCGCGGTAGATCCACACGAAAAGAAGTCGAACATTTTTGGAACGGCTCGGCTGCATGCCCTTCGAGAAATCAATTTACGAGCGAACATTTATGAGTGAAAAAAAAAAAGAGATCATGTTATACCAAATGAGCTATCAGATCTTAATCTTGATAAAACGCATCTTCAGAAGCGTCGTCGTAGTTTTAGACGTGATCGTGCACCAAGTACTCGGAATTCCAGTACGAACTCTACAACGTCTAATTCTAACATCAAACTATGCGATGTTAAAAGAAAATGATTAATGAAAGAAAAAGCATTTACTTCACGCCCTAGCTTTACGAACAAGAATAAAGTATTGTAGATTTTTTGTAAATCATTACATATGCAAATTCCCAGACGACCATTCCATCTTGTCACGAAGCTGGGTAGAAAACACTTTCAAAGCTGTAAACCAAGTGACACACAGTTGTCGCCTTTTTGTTTTTAAACTTTAAGCAACGCACATAATCTATATTTCAACATAACGATCAAATTTCATTGAGAAAGAGAAGCCCAAGTATACGCAGATATGCGTCGAGTTACTTTAGAGTTCTCGCACGATTAATATCTTTGTGCTTTCATTAAACCGTTTAATTTTCGGCGAACTTTGAGAAATTTAACTCAGTGATCTTTGAATTTATTTTTCCCTTCGCTCAGAGAGACCATGATTACATGGATCATGGATGCACGAATGCAAATTCTTCTGAGAAATTGGAAATTTTATAAAAAAAATTGCGAATTTTAAGAAAGAACTGAAACTCTATATTACGTAACGGCGTTACGTAACAGATGTCAGTATTTGCTTCGAAGTTAGCTTCTTAATATTTGAACAGGTTTCGTCTCTCCCTAAAATGTTACGAGAATCAATATCAAGTCACATAACTCGAAGATACTAGATAAGTATTTCAACTTCCGAGTTCTTGATGAGTTAAAACCAATAGTCAACATGCCACTGAATGTACGTCACAATATCTCGCCTTTGGATGCAGTTTGACACGTTTTAACTGGCATCAGATGGGAAAAACTCGTGGTTTTATTTACAAAGCCCCAGTTGGTTTAAGTCGACGATATAAGATCATATTCAAAGGCTAATTAAAGGTGGAATACACTTATCTTGTATATTTTAAAGCAACATAACTCTCCATTAGCGCTATTTTCTTTACACATCCCCACTCTAAAACGCCACCTTCTCCTCAGAAAAAAAAAATATTATAAAAACACAAATTAGAAGCGAGTACCAAAGGGAGGTAAAGAGGTCCAAAGCTCGATTTACCACCGGATTTTAGAGAAAAATTACGCGTCATGTGTAAATTAAATGGTATTTCAAGCCTCACGAATTTCAAAGTTAAAACTTCATATCTCAGTTTATTATACCTTTCTATAAAATTCACGCGTCACCCATTGATTTTGAGCTTAACCACACGTCACGTATAAACCACGAGGGGTTTTTACCATTGTATTGTGAATTTTTGGGTGATGTTGGGGATACTTTACAAATTATACTTGTTTTTGAAAGGCTGAGCAAGTTTCCATTTTTGATGCAGCTATAGTTAATTTCGTAAACGAAGTGCCTACTGTGTACCGTACTCATTAAAGGTTGTCAAAAGTTCAAGAGGAAAGTAATGCATCAGACATTGTCTCTCGATGAGTTCCCCCCTCCTCCTCTATGAAATAAGCCAAATCTTCCTCTTCTGGTAAGCTTTCCTGTCCAAAGAATCAAGTTTTATTAACCCCTGGAAAGAGGAAGGGGGCTCTCGTCGAAGTGTCACAGGTGATCTCAGATTGGAGAGCCAAGGACAGCAGCTAAGGTTTACAAACGCCCAACAATAACACTGAGGGGAGGGGGGGTTCAAAAACCCTTAATAGTAATGTATGCAAGAACTAACCTAACTTTCTATTTGGTTATTATAGCTGCTGCTGTCCGCGCCGACTCAATCTGTGTCTACTGTGGTCCTCGTTCTGCAGCTGGTTTTTACGTTCTTTGGAACGCTTCTTTGGTTGGTTTGGTGCAGGGATCGCCAAACGTCCATTGATAACAATCCCGTTATGTCTCGTGTTTGTCAGTGTCTGTTCCGTGGGGTTTGTTTGGTTCCAGTCAGAAACAAGAACTGAAAAACTGTTCATACCTCAAGACAGCAAGTCCATAAATGACTTGGAAATTGCTGAGAAATACTTTCGAGTCAAGATTCGAGAGGAAATCATCCTTTTGGTGGCATTGCCCGGTAATCAGAATATTCTTTCTCCTGAGTGTCTAAGACAGGCCTTTCAAGCTCACAATGCAGTTATAGAATTGGAGTCGTATACCAATTTTTGTGTCACACTATCAGCGAACAAATCAAAGTCACCAGAAGAATGCGTGATGATCAACCCGCTGGAATTCTTACAGTTCAATGAAAGTAAACTGAGTGGTAAAGACCCAACACAGATTCAACATGAACTAAGTAAAGCGTACAACGACACCAGCTCGCTCATGCGCAATGGACGCCCTTTCTGGTTCAACTTCAACCGTATGTTTGGTGATGCTATTCGCAAAGATGGAATCGTAACCGAAGCCAAAGCATTGCAAATGATTTATCTCATTCAAGACCCTAGCGACGACGAAACGAACGAAAAAGTTCTCGCTTGGGAGAAGAATTTCGTGGACAAGGTAGCTTCATTAGTTGACAAACTTCCCTGCTTTGAAGTCCATTACTCAAGTGAAAGGAGCTTGGACGATGCTATCGCCGAGAGCAGTGGGTCTGATGTTTCACTTGTGGCAATAACTTTCACCATCATGATCTCGTTTGCTTGCTTCATACTAGGAAAGTTCTTAAATCCGCTGACCGGACATTCCCTGCTCGCTAACGCAGGAGTGTTCGCAGTGGCTTTAGGTATTTTGGCGGGGCTTGGCCTTGGTATGTGGTTCCGAGTGCCATTTATCAGTCTCGTGGGAGTGCTGCCATTCCTGGTTCTTGGAGTCGGCATCGACGACATGTTTATCATGGTAGATGAGCTTGATCGACAGCCACGTGATCTTTCAACGGTTGAAAAGATCAAAGCGGTTATGAAGCATTCGGCGCCGACTGTTTGCATGACAACAATGACCGATTTGGTAGCGTTTGCTGTTAGCACTTCCACGTCATTTCCGGCCATAAGGTAAAATAGTGCAAACTAAGTGAGAATTTAACTTACACTAAATTACATCCCTCTTCTCGAATGTAGCACTGATCATCTTAGGCAAGACACTTCTTTCTCGCTCACGAAGCCTCTTTCCATCAGTAATAATAATAACCAATTGTTTGGCAAATTGAGGAGTTCCCGGGGGAGCTCCTGGACTAACTGGGCTATTCACTTCATCCTACAGAGTGAGAGATTGAAAGGGAAATAGTATAGTGGGTCACTAAGCTTTAGTGACTGAATGCGTGGCATGTTTTAAGGATACTTCAGTCTTTCTAAATTTTGAAAAGAAAACCATAAGGGATTGATTTGTAGTTTGACTGTTGTAAGTCACATTGGTAATCAATTTGTTAAATAAAGTAACAATAATGAAATGATCAACTTTCGTAGCAATCCTCCTAAAGCGTGACAACAAATTCATTTCCCCCTCCTTCTCGCACGAAAACCCACCGAGAGCTTACTACCCAGACCAGAGTTAGAATCGGCTCAGTTTATTTTCATGATTACCTGTTTGTAAACTAAAAGACTTCTTCCGTTTAGGTATTTCTGTATCTACGCCGGTTTGACCGTCACTTTCTCTTTTCTCATGATCGTCACATACTTCGTGGCTATCATGTCATTTGACGTAAGACGCATTAAGTCGGGGCGCAGAGACTGTTTACCATTCTGCCATGCCCCTCCGCCGAAGGAAGGTGCGCCTGCCTGGGATGAGCCTCTTCCACAGACGTCAAATCGTGCCATGGAGTACTGGGGCAAGTTCGTGACAAAACCGACGACTAAAATTGTAGTCATTTTCCTCTCACTGTCTCTCCTTGGTGCTGGGATTTATGGAGTCACTCAAGTGGACGAGGAGTTTGATAGGAGAATCTTAGCAAAGGATGATTCATACTTGAAACGATTTCTGACCGCTCAACAAAATCACTTTGAACTTTCCCTTCCAGTGAGCATCGTGGAGACTGGTGGGGTCGATTACGGAATGAGCTCCACTCAGGAACAAATCAGAGCACTTACGTCAATCGTTACGGAGAATAAACACTATAAAAACCTGTCTTTCTCGTGGATGGATGCATTTGCACAGTATGCTAAGAAGTCTAATAAGAACATAACTGGTGAATGGTTTTTGCCTGAATTGAAAGCGTTCCTCCGTATCCCTGACTTTGCATATTTCAATCAAGACTTACGTTTCTCCGCAGACAACTCAAAGTTGGAAGCTTCTCGCATACTCGGTTTTATGAAGGATTCTGCCAGCTCCACTTTTCGAAAAGATGCAATGATCACGCTACGAGAAAAAATAACCGAAAGATCGAAACTTAATGCATTTCCGATCAATCGGAATTTCATTTTCATTGAACAGTACGCTATCACGTCAAGGGAGACTATAAGGAACCTATTGATCGCGGGCCTTACGGTCGTAATCATCACGAGCCCCTTTTTGGTGGACTTCACCGTGACGCTCCTCGTGTTGCTTAACTTTGCGGCCCTGATATGCGAGTTATTTGGTTTGATGGTCATCTGGGGAGTATCCCTGAACACAGTCTCTATGGTCAATCTTGTCATGGCTATTGGTTTTGCAGTTGATTATAGTGCGCACGTCGCGCATGCTTACGTGACATCTGACAAAGCAACAGCCAATGAGCGAGTGATAGAGGCTCTAAGCACACTAGGTGCGAGTGTCCTCATGGGAGGTGAGTGGTACACTGTAGATGACACAGCGGTCAAACGTAAGGCATCCGCAGGGGTCGCGCAAAAGTTACGAGAAGAAATTAGTAGGTTGGTAGAAAACTGCAAAAGGAAGCAGAAACAGGGAAAAAAAACTTGAGACCTTGCGAACAAAAAAAAAATATTCAAGTACGAGTATCGGGTATCGTTCTATCGATCCAGAGAATATGAGCAAGAAAATATAGGCTCAAGTTCTCTAGGTTGTCGAGCTGACAGACCTGAAGAATCAAAATTTGATAACTATCAATAAATGATTTTTTCCGACATTGCCTTGATGCGGCAGTTTTGATAGATTTTTGTAAATTAAAAACTCAACTGTTTTTTCATTTTGTTTATGTCTATCAGGTTGTAGTACGTTTCTTGGTATGGTCATACTTGCATTTGCAGCTTCGGAAATCTTCCGGATTTTCTTCAAAATGTTCTTCGGAATTGTCGTGCTTGGTCTCCTACACGGACTGTGTATCATGCCCGTCTACTTGTCTTTCATGTGCTGGAAGCCCGTTGTTATTAAACCTTCCTCGACTGAGGACGAAACCGAAGAGATGAGTGGAGGAGTGGTGCGACAAAAGGATTCCCAAGTATTTGGCAACGGTTTACAACTAGCATCCCTTGCGAATGAGGAGGAGATTCCTGCTCACAGGAAGACTGCATCGCAACTCTCTGAGGATGGCACCCAAGCCCAGCAAATTGATAAAAACGGAAAGGGCAGCACCCAGCGTGATGATGACACTGTCATCGATGGAGGAATTGAAAATAAGGGGATTACTTCTGATGAAGAAGAATTAGGGTTCAAGTCAACAGATGAAAATCATATAGGCATATAAGCATATTAAAACAGTATAAGCCGTTCATGGCGATTCAATTAGGTATTGGAAATTCACCTTAAGTTAGTCCCCCTATAGGGCTAAAGTTGAAAAAGAATCTATCAAACCATAATAAATTGTTCTCAATTTTTATGGATTTTTCTTCTTCTTTCTTAATAAAATGGATGATGAATGAAACTGAATCTCACCTCTTTGTCCTTACTTGAATCAATCCAGGCCACAGCACACTGTGGTCAGGACTTCGGGTTGGGTTTTTAATACTAGCTGGGTCATCGTATTGTGCTTTTGAGCAGGAAAATTGAAACTCTCTCACACAGAAAAGTAGATGAGTACTAGCACACTGGCAAATTGCTCGTGGGGATGGCGGTGGGGGAGGGGGGCACTTGCGTTGCGGTTAGCTCGAACTCGGTTGATTCGTTAACTCGAACTAATTTTACTTCTCCTTGGTTTAAACCTGGAGATGTTTTGATACCAATGGGAACCTGTTATGATCGGATAAGAAGCTAACTAAGGTATTGTGAGTTCACAAAGATTGTATTCGTTTGTCAATTATTGGAGCAATTTTGCGAAATGATAAGTTTTTTTATTGGTGGAATAATAATTATATTTGGAAACTCCCACGTGCAACTGCCCAGCTTAAGAGTGGTTAAGGTAGTCGAAGGGACCCCTCAGTCAAACCTAGTCCACATTGGCTTATTCTAATGAGAAATGACGAGAAATTAACCCTGCTTTTAAGGAACTAACTGGAAATGATTTTATTTGAAAAGGGTGAGATTGTAGTTGTAAATGCAATTTTTCCTTCATGCCTGGTTAATTCCCTGGGGGACACGACAGGGGCGGGTTCGAGGGAACGGTGGCCATGTGATAGCTCCATTTGACGTCACTTCACGCAAGCGCAATGGTCGATTACTTAGGGAAATCAGTTTAGTTATTCGTTCTCCTCACTGTGTTAATTCTATATTTTTCATATTCACGCTTACTGTAAACCACACTCGATGAACCACACGTCGAAATGAAGAGACGAAGTATTGATCCTTCGAAACTTAGAAGACCTTTAAAACGTTCTCGCATCACAGAATCGATATATGGAAGGTAAAAGTCGAAATGTTGAGTCAGAAACATTGGCCTCTGGCCGCTCGCATTGAAAACCATGAATTTATGGTTGGTTTTCTGATCTGTTCTTAATTTCTGTTTCATCTAGTGTATTTCTGTACGTCAGATTTTTCTTAGTATGGATTATGGTGTTGACTGCCGACTTCCTATTGGAATTTCGCTTTGAATATCTTTGGCCTTTTTGGCTACTGTTACGGAGTGCTTACGACTCGTTCAAGTACCAAGGTTTGGTAAGTCGAGTTACTATTTTCACGTAATTTACCGTAAATCATGCGTTTCTCGTTATTCATTGGCCCTCAGAATAATCCCAACATTGCTAGGCTAATGCGGTTTTACTTTGAAATTGTCCTAGCGTCTGTAATCTCGTTTTAGTTTTGAATTTTCCTGTTACATTTTTTCAGGCTTTCTCTCTTCTGTTTCTCACACTGGCGTTCTGTTCAGACTTAATATGTTTGATGTTTCTCCCTGTGCATTGGTTATTCTTTGCGGCTAGCACATACGTCTGGGTTCAGTTCGTCTGGCATACAGGTAATCCTAGAGAGATAATTTTTAGCCGATAAAAGTTGCTAAAGGCGGGTATAACTTCATTCACTCGAGGAAATTTCCAATGTTTACATTTCGTCAGGTCGGCTGGTGGATCAAGATATAGTATTCCTGAAATCGCCGTGAACCAGATATAAACGATACGGAGTTTTCACAAGTCTATTGGAAGTTTATGGTTAAATATTTCATCATTCCATAGTCTAATTATTGACGGCTTGTTCTGTTTTCAGATCGTGGTTTATGTGTTCCAACCGTTAGTCTATGGTTACTGTTTGTATATGTAGAAGCGTCGGTTCGACTTCGCGAACTGAAAAATCTCCCATTTCATTTAGACTTATGTCGACCGTTCGCCGCTCATTGGTAAGTTTGAGCTTTTTGCATTGCTGTGATACTATTAATTTGGCTGTCTATGATGAGTTATACTTTCTTTTAACAAGGAGGTGGAAGCACTTTCTCGGGAAAAAAGTAAAGTGCTTCCCTAATTTATATTCTTCCCTGACATTTTCAGAGGCAGCTGGTTATTTCATGCAAAGCAGTTCGTATTAGCGTCGGAAGTAAGGTCCTATTGTAGTCAGAAAGCTTCGTCGAAAGGTTTTTCTCAAAATTTGGCTTTTTCAAGCATGAGATTCCATTTTCTGATATTATCTTGATGAATAAAATATCTCCAATTTGTAATGTACTGCCATTTTTATGTCAGTTTTTCTGTTGAGACTTCGGGAGTTCTCACTTTTGCGAGTAATTAATCATTTAACTACGATTTAGTTTAAGATGCTTAGATGGCAGCTCAAAGAGGATTTCGTCTCTTCAAAATTTAAACGAAAAACGTGATGGTTATTTTTTTTTTTAAAAATCTTTTCATTTCACAATTGTAGTTTCCTACTTGCTTCGCGTACATTGTACCACTTTCTTTGGTTATTTTGTTCGAACCCGTTCTATATCTTGCCGTTAATTTTAAACCACTGTGATACAAATTGTTCATTTTTAATGAAGATAATCTGGATAAAAGCACAGTCAACCGTTTTCCTCATGGCACTGCCTTAAATGAAATTCATAGATAAAGCAGGCACAGAGAATTTGCTCCAAGAGTTTTTTTGAAATATAAGAAAATTTCTCTAGTTAATAGGAAGTTGTGTCTTAAGCTGTGGTAACCACACAAGCCTCCCATTGTCAACTGAGCTTGTGATCTTGTTTTCACTTACACCATTTCCCTCCTACATTTGTTTGGCATTATTTGATGCAACTGAAAGGCTGGTTAGTCAAGTATTTGTTGACAATGAATGCCTTTTTTCTTGCTTAAATAATAAAAGTCTACTGCACCACCTACAATAGAATTTTTATTTCACTAGCCCTCTTGTTTCTGAAAACCCTAGTAGTTCAGGTTAAAAGATGCTTCATTAACCTACTTGAGCACTGATTTTCAACCCCTAATTTTCCAACCCTCCCAATCATTCAAACCAACTCTTTTACCACTAGAAATTTGAATAATCACAATTTTATTGTGAATGAAAATTTGTAAATGCATCATGTTTTGATGCCCAGACATAACAGCCTGAGGCTTTAGGAAAAGTGAGTACATCTGACCAATTGTCATGCTACAGTGAGTTTGTCACAGCAGGAAAACAGGGTGCTTAGTATACATTAGATATCAGAGAATTCCCTGGGTGGCATGCATAATTCTCTGTGTACATTTGATGGCTTGTGCATGTTCTTAAGAAATTTTTTTGAGAATTTTTTCCTGTTTCTTCACACGGTTCTCCTGCAACTAAATTTCTCAAAGAAAACCCTGGTTAACATTCTGTAGACTCCTATATAGGATATGTGACTTGCACAGAGCTGCTACTTTTAAATTAATGCTCTTTTTGTCTTATTTTGCATTATACTGATTTTCAGTGTTTTAATACAGCTTTGTTAATATTTAGAGTTATCAACTGATGTCTCCTCTGTACATTTAGCTTTCACTTGTCATTTTGAGATATTTAGCTGATAGCAGATTTTACTGTTTTTTAAGTGCTATGAATATTGGCGTGTAAATTTTGTTCTTATAATACTATCACAATATTGAAGACGTATAGACCTAAATTAGGGCTGATATACCTTGTGTTCTTGAGCAATAACCATTACTCTATTAATTCCTCCCTCAGATATTTTGCTTGTATGTAGAATATGTTTGAAGAAAATTCCCCTCCCTAAACTTGCCACTTCACTTCTGATATCTAAAAGCGAACCCTCTTTTTGTTGGCTACTGATGGGAATCTGTTGCCCTTTTTGAGGCAATATCTGATTTAATTAAAAAATTCTTTGACTGATTTTTTTTTTTTTTCAGCATTGGTTATCCTGTTGTTACACTTGGCTATGGTGTTAAGAGTTATGTAGGCTATAAAATGCGTCAGGTAAGGACAGCTCTCAGCATGATGTTAAATGGCCACGTGTGATCATTTCTCTCGTGGGCACAGTAGATGATCGAGAAGTCATCATGCAGAGAGTGTGAAATTTGTGCGTGTGGATGAGCATGTAGTTTGAATTATGGCTACAGTATTGGCTTCAGATTTAAACAAATAAATTCATTCATTTCACAAATTGCTGATGGCGATGATCACTTACATGGTAGCTGAAACATCAAAATTTATTGTCAAATTTGGACACAAAGCACAACCATTCCTCCATAGGGAAAGTTATTCTTTCTGATGAAGGGTGATTTTGTAGTTAAGCTTTGAACAAACCCTTCATATTGGCATTAACCTAAAGAGAAACAGACACATCCTGAAAATTTATGTATGCCAGTGTAATTAGAAATTAGAAGGCAGTTAGAACAACTAAATTTTTTTTTAGTTGTGGGTGACAACTGTTCCCTGTCTGTGACCAAATAGCAAGCTCTTTCATCCAGCAGCAATTTGAGAAAAACATCTCTTATGTTCTCCTGAAGTTTTTCAATTTTTATAATTTATGTATGGAATGCAGTAGTAATATAGAGCACTGTCAGCTGTGAATGGTAGACAGGGCTTATTTTCTCAGCTGTTATTCAGGCCCCCAAAATATATTCACATTTACTTTGTCATCTGTCAGAAAAATGCATTTATGGAGGAAACAGGTGGTAAATTTTTGTTCGCAAGGAATTTCACTTTCTGAGAAATCTCTTTATTTTATTGTAATTCTGAGTTTTCTGTGACCAATTAATCACTGAGGAATGTCTAATCTGAGAGAAATCAAGGCAAAAGAAAAAAAAAGAGTCACAGAAAATTCTTGTGGGTTAGTTTTTTGCTATTTGAAGGGTATTCAAAGAATATTTTTAGGAATCAGTTTATGATACAAAATTTGAGGTACGCTGTCATGCTTCCACTGCAGCTGGTGGATTTTTCAGAGCCAGCTTAATTTGACAAACCTGTAGGTGCTAAGGTTATGTTCCATTGGGGGTTCTCATTTGTTTATTTTTATTTTACTCCATTTCACAGAGAAGAGTACAGCATGTTGCTAAAGAAAATGAGTTTTATATGCAGCTAATTAATCTGGCACTGCCTCCTGAAACAAATAACCATGCAGAGGCAACAGAGAGATCATCAAGAGGTATGATGTTGCCTTGCAAAGGATTTTTATGGAATTTCCCTTTGTTTAAAACTGGAGTTAGTTGGTTATTACGTAAGGGAAGGTTTAGTGGATGGCAGATGGTCATCAAAAAATAAATTTATATAAGTTTTTACAAATCAAATTTAAATTACGTTTAAACCAAATTATTATGTTTGGATAGATAAATTCCACATTTCTCCAAGCTGTGACCATTGTGTTCATTTCAGGTAGTCGCAAAACATTTTGGCAACTAAACTTTTAGTGAAGGTTGCCAGATTGCCTTCCTGTATTTAGTATTCGTGCTCCAAAGCTTGAGCTTTCCACTTCTTATCATTCAGGGTCTTTAGTTGATGTGAAGTAAACTTTTACAAGAAATGTTATTTATACTACTTCATTGCCTTTTTCTCCGGAGTTGTTTTGTGCAGTTAAGAATATTGTGCTTTTCTTTGATTGTTTTTGTTGTTTTTGTTTTTTTAACTTCATTGGTGACAAAAGTTTCATTTCTGAAGAACATTTGAAGATTTGGGGGCGCCAAATGGTAACTTGGATAGAGATGACTACACCACAAAGTCGCTGAATTGAAACGGAAACTGGAGCATGGCAGAGCCGTACACGCAGTTTAACTATTTTTGTGTACATGTACAGCTGAAGGTCAAAAATTTTTTGAGAAAGATATATTATTGACTTGGTTTTCTTCATTCTTAACTTTCAGCTATATGTAATGGTAAAGTTGCTAATGGCGAAGTCGCATCACCGAGAGGTCGGCCTGTACCAGTAATGACAAATGGAATTAACACTAAAACAGATCTTGAACTCTTAATAGCTAAAGAGGCCAGTCGTCGTGGCTTAAAACTAAGTGATCTAGAGTCAAGGCCTACTTTGAAGGGAAATGCATTGTTGAAAGAACTTGACGTGCTTTCAAACTTTACATCGAAGAAGACCAGCGAGGATCATAACTTAAATGAACTTGATAAACTTTCGTTAGAGGGGAGTCATAAGAGCGGGAAAGCAGGGCAGCAACCTCGCGCAGCATTCAATGGAGTTATAGGAAAATCCTCAAAGAAAAATGGCGCAAAAGGAAATGAAAAGTTGAAGGAGTACGACGAGAATGACGAAGAGGACAATGATGAGTCTGATAGTGATTCTTTAAGTGCGTCGAGTAGCTCCATCAATAACAGTCGAAAGAACAGCAGGAGTAACTCACCTAAGGTGTGTCTGAGAAGCTCTCAGTCGCTCTATTTTTAGGCCGGTGTTGTTGTTGTTGTGTTTGTTTATTCCTTTCCTTGTTGGTCTCATGGCTGTGGTCCTCTCTTAATTTCTCAGGGACATGAGAAATCTCAGTCAGTTGACCTTGGACCCAGTCTCTTTTCTCAACTTAAAGAGGAGAGGCTGCTACGGTAAGCGAAGCATTTATTATGTCTCCATGAGGTACGAGTTCCTTCAGAACCCCAAAGAGCTAAATATCGGTGTGTGCATTGTGAAAAATTCAACGTTCAATCTTTTTTATCCTTAACTGTTCTTAACCCCTCTTGATTTATAACTGCTTCTTTTGCCGTTTTGCCCATGGAAAAAGAAACTTTTTTTCTCCCTTCTAATTTTTTTCAATCCCTATCTGACGAGTGTCTTTGCTGTCATCCCGGGTGAAAATGTAGCTTACCGATTGGAAAGATGTATTTCTCTTCTAACCAAGACTAAAAGTGTTTTTATTTTTTTTTTAATTTCTTGCTTTTATTATTACTTTCAGTCGTCGTGCTGAGAGCAATTTATCCCAACTAGAGAATGATAGTAAACGACTCAGAGTGGAACTGCAGACGAGTCGGCAGGGAGAGCAGGAACTGAGGTCCACTATGCACAGCCTGATGGCCAGTGAGCGCTCCACTAAGGTAGAATTACAACAGTTGAAGGCCGAGTGCGAGGTTATTCAACAGAAGTAAGTAGAGCTGAGGTGTTTATATGCAATAGAGCCAGTAGTTCGTTGCCCTCTCGCCCTAAAGAATAACTAAATTCGGAATACATTCAAGTTTCTTTTTCGACAATCTGGAACTACGTTGTTCTTGGGGTGCTGCACTACCCGATCTCATTTGTTGGGGAAACTTTTCTGTCGATGCAGAACAACAGGTTCTTTGGAAATTTTAAACGGAAAACTTGTGATGCTTATCGGACCTGTCAGATTACCCAACCAAAATCATTCAAAACTTGATCAAGTGGTAGTCCCGTGCCTAAAGAAGTTTGTTTGCTTTCCTTCGTTCAGATTTGTTTCCTTTGTTTCTTTGGAGGTTGGATAATTCCGGGCATTCACGTGAGACTCAGCAAAAGGGAGGGTTAGGAAATGAATTGGATGCATTGAGGAAATTTTTATCTTTTCTGCATAGCTTTCGTTTTGAAAGTATTCTTGTTCTCGAGTATATCACCGCTAGCATTCCGTCACAAATGCTGTAGTCTGATTGGCTGTGCTACTCGCCATCAATTCCTTGGTAGATATCATTCTAAGTGGATGGAGTGAGTTGCCTGACATTGCGTGGTTGTATACTTTGAGTGGCTTGTATATTTATACTAAAACAATTAGATTATTCGCTCTCAATTTCTATGCTTGAAATTGATTTGGGCTTTGCCCTCAATTGTTATCGTGCGCTAGAGATCTCTAGCACGTTATCTAATTGTTGATTAGAGCAACTTTCGATTGTCTGTCGAGAAGGAATTGAGATTTGGTTTTACTTCACACCGCTTTGTGGTTGGTTTAGAAAACTCGCGCGAAATTCTCAACCAATCAGATGCTAAACTAAAACCAGACATGACTTAGCCGCTCGCGTTTCCCCGCGTTTCAGGTAGTTAGCTGGTTTTAAGTTTGAGTCCTCATTGGCTTGTGATATTTCCCCTTGTTCTTATTAACTGTCGTTATTAGTTTGGTTTTGGTTTTACGGCACTAAATGAAAAGGCACTTCTTCCCTCACGCCCCAATATCAGCATGCATATTCTCCATACTCTTCCAATCACATTTTATATGGTACTGACATTAAGAATTTGTGTAACAATCGATTGCTTCTGTAGTTGGGGATTATTTCCTTTATTTACACGAGCTTAAAGTTTGCTACAGGGGTGATTCTGTAAGGAGAAATTAGATGCTAGTCACTCTTAGAGGTAAAGGGTTAAGTCGCAAAAAAAAATGGAATGTTTATGATTTTATTCACAGATTGCAAAATATGTCGTCTGCGCGTCAGCAAGATCGTAATACAGTCTCCTCTCTGGAACGAAAGCTAAAAACTGAGCGAGATTCCCGGCTTTTGGCGGAGAGTCAGTTGCGCGAGGAGCGCAAAAGACAAAAAGCTGAGGACGCCGCAGCAAAGCAGCGCGATGAAACGACAGGCCATGATGCTTGTAATGCGCTCAGGATCGAGCTCGAAGAAGACAGCCGCCAGTTGCGTGCTCTTCTTCAGGAGAAGGAAGAAGAAATAAAACGCGTCGACAAGGAGGCTGAAACGCTGCGACAGAAGACCAGGGAATATGACAGCATGCAGCTGAAGAAGGAAACAGAGGTGTTAATGTCTGCGCTGACAGCTATGCAAGGCAAGAACACTCACCTAGAAAACAGCTTGAGCTCGGAGACTCGCTTGAAGCTGGACTTGTTCTCGGCGTTAGGCGACACGCGCAGGCAGCTGGAGATTGCACAAACCAACCTTAAGACCAAGGATCGAGAGATCGAATCCTTGAAGCTGAAGATCGCTGAAGTGATGGCTGTCATGCCCACCGCTACTACCTACACTGCCGGCGATTCGCCCGGAGTTCCTCGCTTCGCCTCCAATCATCTCATCTCTCCAAATCACATTGAGTTGTCCAACAGTGGCCTCGATCCGAGCGCTCCCTGCTACATTCCTGTGTGTAAGAGTCCCAAAGGCTTGCTGTAAGACGCCTGAAGGATTTCCCGTATTTGTCGCTACCCTGATGTTGCTCTTAATTTATAATCTTAACTAAGTTATTGGGTTTGTCAGTTGGGTAGCAAGGTGGATCAAGTTTGCGTCCGTTACAGTTTTTGTCTGGGAATGCTTATCTTTAGCTTATATTTTGTTAAATGTAATACTGATGTTGCATTAGTTTGGAGAAAGAAAGTGTGGTTGCACTTTATCTGTTTCTGATGTCATAGCGCGTTACTTTCAAATTCAAGGCGTTTTCGTCGCTTACTAATTGCGTCTGTCATGGTTGAAGTGGAACGATTCTTAGCTTCTCATAAGGCTACGGTTCACACGGTGCCGGACGAATTTTCCACCGGTGGAAAATTCGTGCGTTTGGGCGTTTCGTTCACATGGAACCACGCCAAACGTGAGAAAATTTGGACGCCCAAGCGTTGGAAACTTGAACACCAAAATCGAGGACAAATTTTTTCTCGTAAATGTGTAGGCCATGCCGAACTTACCACGCACGTAGGTGACGTTGTGTTGGTGTCTTGATAATGTCAGAAAATCAAATTAAAAAAACGTCGTACATCTATCTGTAAATCGAAAACGTCGAAGCAGCGAAAACGCTGGACGCCATTTTGCACTGGGTTAAGAAGCGTCCTGCGCATGAGGAGACGGTAAAACGCTGAAAAATGTCAAAATTCATTTTGTTACCAGTTCCATCTGATCAGAACGAAACTTTCGCGCGGTTCCGTGTGAACAGAATGTCCGGTCGAAATCTTTGGCCTGTCGAAAATTCGTTCGGTACCGTTTGAACGTAGCCTCAGTTCATTCTTTGTTGATACTTGTGGACTCCTCTCTTTCCTAACCGCAAGCGAGATTCAGAGCACTTTTTACATCTAAGTAATCCTTCTGACTGTAGTTCCTTAGCTGACTGACTAAGCGAGTTACCGCGTAGCTCTTCTTGATATTAAAGCTGCTTAGCAGTAGACACACACAACTGTTGATATTTCTTGAGAAAGTAGAGAAAGTTACATTATGGTCACGTTGAACATTAGCTTGATAACAAAAAAAAAAAAAAAAAAGAAAACGGAACAATCGGATCACGTTTAGATAATGCGATTTTTCACCGAAAACTTCAGGAAATCAGCCAGTTTTGATTGTAAAGCATCAGATCCTCCAGTCGCTGCACGCATACTCTATTTAGAGAGACAATTATTCAATCTCTGGACTATCACGCGGAATCCAAGATCTTGTATATTTTAGTTAGATAGGGCCTGTTTGTGCGAGTTTAGAAAGGTAGACTTAATAGCGAACAACCCGGGGAGCAGACTAGCATGGATTGTAAACGACCATCGTAAACACGTTAACCTAACTTTTCCTACCTTGAAAACGCTTTCACTGCCGCGTTACACCTTCAATTTCACTCTGACTCGCACCTTCAGGCTCTGAGTGTTGAAGGTTTTACACGAAGTATGTTTTGTTAACTATTCCACCCCTCAGCAATTCGGCTTTGTTACGTTTTTCATTTTCGATCATTTCATGAGCTGAGCTCTTTTGTTCACGAGTGCGAGCGAGGAAAGGCGGGGTCTACTGTATTTGGAACTGAGACGTCAACCATGTACAGCCACGCACAGAAGAAAAAAGACAAAAAAGAAAAAAATACATATAAATTAAGATGAAAATTGCAGTCAAATATTCATTGCCTTAGTTTAATAAATTATGATGCAGTTGAAGACGTGACGGGTCGATATGGTTATTGAGTCAGTTACTTGGGGATCCCGCGGGACAGTCTCGATTTAGGGCCTCTTCATATGAGCCTGGTTGACCGGGCTGGCCCGCTTACCGGGAGAATTTCGCCTTGGGTTCATATGAGAAACTTCAGCCCGGTTTCCGAGATGAGAAAAGGCCGAAGATCTTAGGGACGAGTTTTGGCGCGAAATTAGAAAAACAAAACAAAGATGGCGAAACGCAACTGAGTTATTATTTTGCGCCTATCATGGCTTTGGCAACCTTTTTAACTGTATCACTACAGTTAAACGGGTTGCTGATGATGTGGAAAATTCATCAGGCAAAGTAAAACGATGCCATTCGGGCCGCCTTGATGTGTGATGAAACTGCGCTACTAAGTCATCGACCATTTAACGCATGCGCTATTGCGAAAAATTCATCCCGGTAACCGGGATGAAGTGTTCATACGGCAAAATTTTCCTGCCAGCTTACCGAGATCCTGGTTGGAAAAAGCGAGGTCTCGGTAACCGAGCCAGGCCCTCTCATATGAACACATCGAAAATTTTACAAAGGATTTAGAGGTAAGGCGAGATTTCGGAAACCGGGCCGGCCCGGTCAACCGGGCTCATATGAAGAGGCCCTTAGAGAGTGATACGGAATTCTTGAACTTATACCTCGGAAACCACGGAAAACATGAAGTCATCGTCGTCATCATCGTCATCATCATCATAGTTTTGTTTGCCTTATTTACACAATACAAAAAAATTTATTTACAGCGGTTATCGCTAGAAGGCGAGGAGACCCAGTCAATGCGCTCCTTGTTAATTAACGTACGACTCAATTCATAAATGAATCAATCGATCAACAAATAACTAGGGAAAGCAATTAATATCTGTTGGTGGCGAGAGATTGTGTCGGGGCGGGAAACTCGCAAGCTTCACTCGCTTCTTTCTTCTGCATCCCTTTTGAGATCATTCGAAGATCCCTACTAGTATTTTGATTCCTGAGGCATTTGATCCTCTTTAATCTTTCTAATACTCTTACGGGCTGAATTTTCTCTTTGGAATTATCCTCACCCTCAAATGAGGGGTCTGATCATTTATGATCAGTGTTTCGTGTTACTTAGCCCATGGTGTCCATGGGCGGCCTTTGATGAAAACAATTTCTCTTTGGAATAATCCTCACCCTCAAATGAGGGGTCTGATCATTTATGATCAGTCTTTCATGTTACGTAATTCATGGTGTCCATGGGCGGCCTTTGATGAAAACAATGAGGTTTGTGGCTGTTAAATTAAGAGAACAAAACTAATTAACGAGCGAAGGGCGAATCTTACATTAGTCTTCCGACATTTTTCCTTAAGTTAAGGGAAAAGAAAAGAAAGAAATCTGTAATGGTAGTTATGATGACAAATCATGACAAGGCATCTATGGCGGTATCGTCCATTTTTTCCCAAGTTCCTCTGAGGGCCAAGCTCTTAATGGTCACATGTTCGAATGCGACAGAACACTCGAAGGTTTGTTCTGCACATGTGCCCTTAACGTGGTGAATTATCGTTTATTTTACAATGTCAGGACCAAAGGCAGTTTGCGTTTTATTGCCCAATAACAGCCCTGTGAAAGGTGTAATCCATTTTGAGCAGGTGAGTTGACCACTAGCCTTGCACAGGCGCCGTTGCCTCGATCCACTCCAGTTTCGCCTAAAATTGGATTCGAATGTACACATCGTACCTTTGGGAGTACACTTTTGGAATTTCTAGATTTACATTTCAGATTTCGTTGGCCTAACCATAAGTTATAAGAGTTATTTCTCTATGCCAGCGTGACTGTTCGCCTCGTCAATTGCTTCAAACGAGAATTGCACAAATACCTTTTGACTCCTGCGAAGTGCAGTGAATCGATACCCCGAAGCGTTCTAAATTAAGCAGACAACTCCCTCAAACTCGAACATAAACTCTACCTAAACGTCAACTATTTAATTTATGCAATTCGCAAGAGTCAGTCTTCCTTACACCAAAGACACGAGCAAGATATCTTATTGATAGTGTGACTAAAAGGCTCTCTTTCGGGAGCGTGACGCCCGATTGGAGTAGGAACCGAATTACAGAGTGTTCAATGGAGCTTATTTAAATTTGCCAAAGTCTTTGTGAAACAAAGTTTTACTACGGTGATACACAACCACCGTGAGACGAAGTTTTGCAATGGCTTGCAAGGGTGGTTCAGTACATGCTTCGTAGTTGTTGGAGGAGCGGAACAAATTTGATTTTATCAACTGAGTTGATGTTGAAAGTTGGCCACTGAAATTAGTTTCAAAGCTGTAGTACCACTTAAATTGGATGGCAAGTACAGATTGGTACCCATGTACTGCAGTAGTTAACCCTTTTCGCTCGCAATATCTAACTATCAATTGTGTTTACTGTCTACTAAACATTTGTCATAAAGTTTTCCTAAGAATTTGTTTTTTAACTAAACGGTACCCCCTAAGGTTATGTTTTTCATTCTTCTCATCACTGTTTTGCTCAATTATCATTTATGCAACAGGACCAAATTACAAAGGAAAATACCTAATATTGATTAATAAATGCAGCATTCAGGACTTAAACCTTTCATTACAAACTATCAACAGGTGGGAGACACATGCAAGATAACTGGTGAAGTAGAAGGACTCACAGAAGGAGAGCATGGTTTTCATGTCCACCAATTTGGAGATGGCACAAATGGTAGGTAATTTTTTGAGGTAAATGAAATTTAAATGTGCTTAAAATTCAACTAAGAACCCCACTCATTCAATCTTGCTCAGGAACCTAGCTAATTACTGAAGATGTTCGAAGTGTAACTCTTCTTGTTCCAACTTCTTGTCAATCTGGTTCAGCAGCTGAAAATGACACATAGAAGAACCTTGGGCTCAAAAAATGATTTTGTAGTAAATAGCAGCTGCTGGTGTGAACACAAAACCATTGTGGGTTTGTAGGTGTATCAAGGTTTCTGAGTTGTTTTCAAAATGGTAGTTAGATCACTGTTTTGAGTCTCAAAATTCAGTAGGTTGTTAATTGCTGGAAATCCTTTCTATTGGCGAAGACTAAAAATTTTTACAAATTTAAAGATTTAATTCATATCATTATATCATAAGCTGTTATCAGATAGAACATTTAATTTTGTTTTAGGTTGTACAAGTGCTGGACCCCACTTTAATCCAAAAAGTAAAACTCATGGAGGGCCAACTGATGAAACACGGTACCATAACTAACCCTTTGATCCCTTACAGTGACTGGCATCTAATTTCTCCTTACATTTTCACCTCTGAATCGAATAGAAAGGTCAAGAGAATGAGGCAAACTGTCACCAACTAAGGAAGCTTGTGATTGTTAAACAAATCCTACTTGTCAATACCTTTGGAAATGTAAAGAGAACAGCATGGAGAATATTAGGGTGAAAATTGTTAACCCTTTAACTCCCAGATCAAATTTGGCATTCTCCTTACTGTCAGCTATACAATTCTTATAACCCTTTAACTCCCAAGATCTGATTGTTAATTCTGCCCTGTACCTGCCACACATTTCCCTGTAAATTAGTTATGAGAACTTGGTGCTACATCATGATAGCAGCTTCTACCTGATAAGTTTGAATATTCTCATTACCTGTTTGCTGAAGAATGTATGGATATTGTAGGGAGAAGTTTTATGTTGATCACTTCTGGGAGTGAAAGGGTTAATGTTAGTTCAAAGAATTTAGTATTGGATCAACTAATTATCCCCAAATTCATGTTTTTATTTATTGTCATCACTCATCTGAAGTGATGTTGTAAGGAGAAATTCTGTCTTGGTCACTTGTGGGAGTTAAAGGATTAATAATATTTATACTAGCTGTGTTTTCATTTGGGAAGCAGGAGCATTCTTTGGTTAATTGATCTAATATAAAGGTCCTAAAGAAAAAAAATGGGAAAATAGATGAATGAGGTGATGTTACTGTACAGCAAGCTTTATTCAACAGACTTACATTTCAGTCAATGTAGGATTTATCATATGGCCAGAAGGGTTACACCAAATTACTTAAACAATAATTTCGGCAAACTCTTAAAAGTGGATTCTAATTTGTTTGACTCTCTTAAAGACATGTGGTTAAGTGCATTATTCAAATTCTATTGCTTTGAAAGCTGCTCAAAGAATTTCCTCTGGTTAGGATTAAAGATTATCCAAAGTTGCCAAATTTGTGTTTTCTAGAAAAAGTGTCTAGCCTATTACTAGGTTGTATGTATTCTGTTAAGCATAATTCAGCTCAGTGATTGATAATGTTCCTTGCTGCTTACTTTCCCATTAGTCACTATGGTGATCTTGGCAACATCAGAGCAGGAAGCGATGGTAAAGCCAAAATTGACATGACGGACAAGCTTGTTTCAGTTGTTGGACCAGATTCTGTTGTTGGACGTACAATTGTGGTAGGTAAACCAACTTTTAACTTACTTGTGCCTAAGATTTTATTTCTCTAAGTTTTATATTTATGTTTTTTGATATTTGAAATGTATAAGGGAGATCATATGTGAAATTAAGCTGAGATAAAACATGAAATTCTCCCTTGTTGTAAGACATTTCCCTGTTGTAGGTAATTTGGTTTTATCAACTGAGTTGATAACATGAATTGCAGTGAGTTCCTAAAGCGGACAGTTTGAGCATTAGGCTTTTGTGAGAGGTGACTCCTTTCATTCATAAGAAATAAGTGTTTGTCCAGGTAGCTTCTTACTTCACATTACCTTACTGGTCAATAGATAAATATTGAATGGAGAGGTTCCACCTAACTTTGTTCTGGCAAATGATGCTTGCCAATATGTAATGTGGGTTGCATTTCATGCTAGAAACTTCTGTTTTATTCAACTTGATGTTAGGTTCATGCTAAAAAGGATGACTTGGGAAAAGGTGGAGATGATGAAAGTCTGAAAACTGGAAATGCTGGTGCACGTGTTGCTTGTGGTGTTATTGGCATTAGCAAGTAAACAGTACCCTCAAACAAGGAATTTGACAACTGGAAAGCTTGTTGTGTTAAAAGATGAAATGCTTTCGCACTAAAATCTATGTGGTAACTAAAATCAGACACACAATAGTCAATAAATTTTAACTTAAAGTTTTAACTTGTTGTATTGTACTCTCTTCATTCTAACTTACCACTTTCTTCAAGTCCTACTGCACCATAAAAATGTCAGTAGCACCACCTTGCTCTAAGATGTTGCCTTTCCACACGGGCTCAGAGTTACATGACCTCTGGAAGGAGATCAATATTCACCCAGTTTTGTTTGCTCATCCTGCATTGTTCTTCTTGTGCTCAGTCTACTCCTGTAAGCTTTTTTATTAGAGACATTGGCAAGGGGAACTGGAAAATTTCACAACAATTGTGATAAAACTTTCCTTGAATACTGCTTTTGCTATAAAGTACAAATACCTCATAATTCTCATTAAGTCCTAAAAGATAAAAACATCATAAAACAGAGAATGGGTCAGAGGAGATTCTTAATTTTCTACTCAGCTGAAATTTACACCTACGGATTTGTTTCTTAATTAAGGCTGATACTTGCTCCAACCATCATTCTGCATGTGGTTTGAACAACAACATCATTTAGCATGCTATCAGATCCATTTGCCATGTGAATAAAAGCTAAATACTGGTGTGATAAATTTCAAATATTGAATGTATAGTAAGTAATTGAAAGAGTAAATTTGATTGCGTGCTTGTTTCTGTTAAAGGGAATTTTTCAAATTCGTAAAAGTGCAAACTTCTTCCTTGGAGTCATCCCCCTGATCTCACCTTAACCATTTTAATTCACATTTGTAAGTGGATATTAACTTTAATAAGAGTTTTTCTTATCATTGATAGCACTCAATAGTCTAGATGACGGTGGGGTTTTTTCATAATCTTCTATTTGTTAACTCAAGTCCACCCCTCTACCCCTCCTCCTTTCCCTCCCACCCCCTCCCCCCTCCTGTTAGGCTAAAATTTTTTATTAGGTCAGCGGTTTGTTTTCACACGCGAGTATCGAGGCGACAAAGTTATTGTTATGCACTTTTCGCGGTCTTCGCGGAAAAGGGTTATTAAAAAATATATTTGCCCGTGAAAGATCGATTGACTTCCTCCTGGTTATGGCTCATGCAGTATGCCACTTAGCCGGTGACATTCAAGGAACAGTTACATTTTTCCAAGGGGTAAGATTTTCGTTTGAAGTGGCTTCACTATTCAAGATGACCTCTCCTGTGTCAAATAAACATTGTTTGTCAGCTTAAAAATGCATTATTTTAGTATTCTCAAGACGTGGGAACAATTTTTCGCGAGGGCTTTGATTAAAAGTATTGTAAAAGGTAACCATTAGAATGCTTTCATTCTCACGATTAACTAATTAGCTCGAGCTGCATATATCTACTAAATGGCGTACGGGACAGGATCCCATTCAAGTAAGATTAGGGAGGCTATATTTGAAGCTTAGTTAGAGGCAGTGTCTAACCCCTTACCTCATTCCTCGACTTGAGTGCAGTTTTGAATTTTTCCGACTTGCATAGCGTGCAGAAACAGTTTTAAATGCATAAGAATTGCGTCAAAACAAGCTTTTGAGAGTTTACTTCGTAAGCTCGCCTTCAGTCGATTAATTAAAAGTTCATTAACTTATCTTGAAACTCACAAAAGCGAAATTAGTGAAGAAGTGTTGACACCATTGGGAAATCAACAGAAATGAAAAGATGAAAAAGATCACATCAGCAAAGCGGTTAATTTCAATATTTAACATAGGATTGAGGAATTGTGAACTCATTGAGTAAATTGTTGAACTTTTGTCTTAATTTTAAGCAACCTGGCGGGCCATGTGTAATCAGAGGAATTTTACAGGGTTTGACGGAGGGACATCATGGCATCCATATTCTAGAATATGGGGATATTTCACAAGGTTTGAAAACAATGCTCACTCATTTTTTGCTTTATGGTTCAAATATTTTAATCAGATTTTATGGCTATCGGAAAATTTCAATTTCCTCTCAAAGGAGAAAAATCCTTAAGGGAAATGGGACTTTATTGTTGAAGCACAAGCTTTTCTAAAACATACCACTCTATACACTAACATGGAGTTTTTTTCTATATATATTTATAAAAGAAATTACTCAAAAATTGTATAGCATATCTGGATTTTCCTCAAGGTTTGGTGCTTGGAGGGGGAAGAACAAGGATCAAAGTATAAGCCATTTAGTAGTTTTATTTGTAACTTCTACAATATATTTTTTTAAAAAAGATTTTAAACTTCTTTTTGACAAGAGTGGAACAGAGAAAATGTGTCTCCATTAAGGATTAATACCCTAGCCAGTTGTCATATCAATAAAGCAATACCAGCTGAGATACAAGGAGATCCTTGGCAAACTAGCTTATTTACCAGGTTCATATTTTGATTATCCAAGAAGTCTTCTTGGTGCTATTATACTGTTTGAATTTTAACTAGGTTTTAAAATGTATGTTTTGGTAACTTTTTGCATCAATCATAATTTATATTTCAGGTTTTAAAAGTGCTGGTGCTCATTTTAATCCACATAACAAGACACATGGTGGACCAGAAGACAACAACAGGTCAGAATTATTTTTTTTACAATCCATAATCACAAAGGGGTGCACACAAGGTCATGCACTTCACATAATTATGCACTTTACACTTGTAAAAAAATATGTTGGTCTTGAACAAATAAATGTTATCTCACTGTAGTTGCCACTTTTTAGCTTATCTCAAGTCATCTGTGATCTTCTGGAATTAAAATGATATAAAAAAAAGAAATCTTCTGCTGTAAGGGAAGTTATTCACTGCTGGGAAAGTGGCAATTAGGCTGAGTCTTTGGGAAGCTAGATAGCTCCTGCTGGGAAACCTTAATATTTTTGGTTTAATTTCCACTTTTTACCAGACTTGAAACTAAAATTATGTTAATTGTTTTAATATTTTTATAACTTTTGGCTTGATTTGAAGCAACAGACATGCTGGGGACCTTGGAAACATTGAAGCTGATGATCAAGGACAGGCAGAAGTCAACATCACTGATAGTGTTGTGTCATTGACAGGGGAATATTCAGTGATAGGTCGCACCTTGGAGGTCAGTGTTTTGTTTTTTGCAAAGTGAAATTTCATGGGACTTCAAAACATTAGGAAATGTACAGATATTTACCTGTGAACACAAATGCATTTCTTCCCTTCTCTTCTACCAGCTCTTCTTGGAAAAAAAAATTAATAAAGGTAGCCCTATTGTTAAAGTATATTCCTTTTTCTTGATCCTGCGAGCTAGGATCAGCAGAATATCACAACAGAGTTGATGGCCAATCACACAATGTTGGCTGGCAGTTTTTCATGGCCTTCATAAATCATGTAATAATTGGGGTGTGTGTTGGCAATCATATAGAAAATTGCTCTTTTATCTCTCACTAGCAGGTTTGTGAAGGTGTAGATGATCTTGGAAGAGGCGGACATGAATTGAGTCTTACAACTGGGAACAGCGGTGCTTGTTTAGCTTGTGGTATCATTGGAATTTCAAAATATTCAGAGCATACTAAAGTTTCACCAGATGATTCTGTTTAATCAAGTTAGACATCACACTCATAATTATGATGCACAAAATTTTCAAATGGTGAGAAAAGTATTGTACAGTTATTTTGTTTATAGGTTAACTGGTTCAACCCATGTCGTCTCATCTGGAGCTAAATTTTTTCTCAGTTCCTTTTTTTTTAAATTCTCATGATGCAGACAACAAGTTTTAAGATAATTGCTGCTATGTTGGAGGAAGTTCCATTTCTAAATTTAACCAATGCAAACAAACCTCTAGGTTCTCTGTGCACCAAACTTTCTTGAGAAATTGTATGTGCAGAAATAGCTTAATTGGAAAAAAACTTGTAGATTTAAATACAAAACACTGCAGTCCCATGCACGGTGCATCAATTTTCCTTTTCCTTACTACCTGGAGTTTGCTAGTATCATATTCCTTGAATTTGAATCGAGTCTTCATTAGTTTTAGTCTTGCTCCTGATGACTTAAAGGGCAGTGTGAGTCACTAAGTGTGGCAATTTACACCCTAACATCAGTATGCATATTCTCCATACTGTTCTCTATACATTTCCTAAGATGTTGACAAGGAGAATTATTTTAAATCCTTTATTCTCATGACCTCAGTTTTTGATTCAGGAGTGCTACTGTGGGAGAAATTATAAGCTAGTCACCATACAAGCTACTCTATATTAACTTCAATTAAAGAAACTTTTTAACTTTTAAGGATAAATATGATATTTTCACCTAAGGTGATGCTCATCCATTTTGTAAGTATTAGTAATTATCAAGGAGTTGTTAGACATATAAGTGACAACAAGAAAATTGTAGTATATAAATTATTTATTAGTTATACAGTATATTAGTTTTATTTAATGTCAAATATTGATTTTCCTTGCAACTTATTATGCAAAACACTTATTAAAGAAATTATAATGTTTTTGCAGTCCCATAAGAAAAGAAAATATTGTAATAAAGCTTTCCACTTTCTTTCACTATTTGAAGACTGATCAGAAGACATAAATATTCAGTTGAACATTGCATACAATTTTGACTTTACTACAAGAATTTGATCAAAAAGAGTTCATTTTGAGCAGGATAAGTCATTGTAATGTTTTCTTGGGAAAGACACGCACATTACCCTCACTTTCTATACCTTAAAAGTAACTCCTTTCTCTTCTGGAGAGTACTCTTTGCCAATCTTAGAAAAGCAGTTTTAGATGATTTCATATTGTGATGCTGGGAAGTATGGTATTATCTTATTCTTTGAAGGTCATCTTTCTCTAGCCTCTTTGTTGTTCTTCAAATTTACTTAATTCCCTCTCCAATACCTCTTCATTCACCCTGTGCTTCATGAGAAATGATCCATTTAAATGGAACACAGGAATTTCATATCTGTATTTCTCAAACCATGCTTCATTTCCTTTTGCTTTGATGTCCACTTCTTCAAACTGAAACTGAGGATTTAGATATATATTATTTATAAGCAAACATCTTCAAAGTAAAGTAATAATAATTAGTATTAAATAAATTATTAAGTAAATGTGTGGGTTTTGTCAGGCAAAACTTATTATAGATGTCAGTACATCTAAATCAATGTAGCTTTATTATATGGCAAGGTAGTCCTAAGGTTAATTCAAGTTTTCTAATTAGTTCTTACTTGGTAAGTATTTTGCGATACAAACCATTTTCATTTCCACAAGCTTGGGCCAATATTACCCAGTCAGCCCTCAAACTGAGTTAGTAAGAACTTCATATTTAAGGAAGCGTAAAATTGAAGTGTAGTTCACCCATTTATTTTCTAAAATCACAGAAAACATGGAGAGCCACTATACAGGGGGAGAGGGATTGAAAATAACAGTATCAGGGATAGAATTGGTGTGCACTTCTAGAGTATTGCATTATCAATGTTAATGTGTCAACAAGTTTGTCAGCCTGGCTCCTGCCTCTTGCTTGGCAATCTAACTATACTTTTCTTTCTTTTACATAGCCTGATAAATTTTCTTATTTTTAAAGATCTTGTAATCTAGTCTTACTTATAGCCTATTGATGTTGATTTAAGTCGTTGTTAAATTTGAAAAGAAAAAAAATCTGAAGGAGTGAATACCAACCCTGTGTCTGTAGCTCTCTAAGGCAACCTTGGCTTCATCACAAAGTGGGCAGACATGCTGTACAGAGGCAATAGAGTTGAGAATTGTCGAGAAACAAATCCTCCCCTGGGTTCATCCTTAGCATTGGGAAGGGGTGGAGAAAAAGGGAAGGGTTAAGAAAATCAAATTTGCCAGAACCTTCCCTCACACTGTCCACGCCTTCCACACTCATCTCAATTTCTCCCTCTCTTTCAAAACACGGAAATTATTGATTAAAAAGGTGCTTACGATTTTGCAAGACTCTCACGCATCCAGCTTTTAACTCTACCACTTCTTGTATCTTATAAGTTCAGCCTAATACCTACTCTCCGGAGCTCCTAACCTGTTTGTGATAATATTAAGACCATTTTATTTTTATCCAAATGAATACTTATGAATTAGATGTAAATCTAAGTTAATGCCATAATCCTAGTGACACTAACATACATGGAGGAGAAGTTTTAAAAAACCTGCTCTGTAGGCGAAAAGAAAGAAGCACTCTCTAGCCGAGAAATCTTACCTTGGTGTACAAAGTAAGAACAGGGAGAGCTGACTTGGTGGAAAAACGAGTAAAGCTGCTGCCGTTAAGAGATGTATTACCCAAGTGTAATTTGGTTGCAATCGCAAAAGCAGCCCTCATCCATTTAGAGGTAGCCAGAAATGCCGGCCCAGCCGCCATCTTGGGAGAACGCAAGACATAGGAAGCCTGGGCATCACTAACTTTACCCATAATACACCTCAAAAGTGAAAGGATCTGTTGATTTGTAATTCTTGTTGCTACAGAGTTTTTTATTTCGATTTCACAAATTTTCGAAACTCCTGTAGACCTTTCGGCCTCAGAAAAATGACATCGCAATATAGGGTATGTAGTGCGAAGTGTTTTGCAGTTGACCCTCTTTTAGTGTGATTGAAGTGTTTTTTCGATGTCGATTTTTTTTCCTATTTGTGAAGGTGGCCGATTCGAAACGTGAAGAGTTTAGAAAGTATCTGGAAAAGGCGGGAGTTATGGATGCTTTGACCAAAGGTGAATTTCTAGTCGATTTCCAGTTCATTTTGTTCCTTTTGCTGAGTTTTTTTCCTGTGTTGGTTCGACAGTTCTTGTGAATTTGTACGAAGAACCCGAGAAACCAGCGAATGCATTAGAGTATCCTTTGTAACGTACGTATTTGTGTTCTGTCTTTTAAACAAAAACTGTATATTTCAACACAGATTGTAGTAGAAGTGCCACCTCTTATCGAGAAGTTGTTACCTATTAAGCTTTAGTGGTGATGTTCGATGCATCACAAGTCTGAAATGAATTATTGTTGATAAGGACACCTTTGCTCGGTTTTCATTGGCATTTGGTAATCAAAAGTAGGTCACATCGTCCCATTGCACTCACTCCAAGATAAGGCACCCTCCAAATGTAGTCATGAATTCCCATCCCATGCTAGATTCGAGGTAGATCATATCACCCCACTCCCAGGTGCACTCAAGTCACCCCATGTTGGATTGAGTGAGTTGGTTGTGTTTGCATTCAAAATTGACTCCAGTAAAAAATGCTCCTGAAAAAGGAGTAATAGTTAGATGTTATGATGAAGCAACAATGGTTTGTGTAAAAAAATAGGCTGACTTCAGTCAGCCTGACTTGGGATGATATGTCTAGACTGGGTGAGGTCCTCCAGCTTAGGGCACTGTTACCATGTCAATTTAACAACTTTCCATGTCCTAATTATTTTTTTTCACCAACCAACCAACAAGTCAATTAGGTTATAGAGAAAATTTTATCATTTTTTATTGCAATTCTAATGTTAGTTGGGTTGAGAACTAGCCACAGGTTGTTACCATTCTTGAACATTCAAGGTGTGGTACAAACCTTTGATCGTGATTTTCCCCATACCTAAGCACTTTAATTTATTATTTTTGTTGGGCTGAGAACCAGCCACAGGCTTTTTTCATTCTTGGTTCATAATTTCAAGGTGTGGCACAAACCACTGATTGTCATTTTCCCCATAGCAAAGAAATTTTCCCTAGCAGGCACAACAAGTAATCAACATATTGCCCCATGGTCTTTTTCTCTATGAGGATAAGTTGGTCTTAGTATTTTACTACTAATAATCTTGGACCTTAATGATGTTGAAGCTTCATGAAGGATCATCTCCATGGAGGTCCCCCTGAAACAGCAGATATTGAAGCTTTGAAAAATGAAGTCTCCGACCTAAGACAAAAGGTTGAGCAGCTGACGATGGAAAACAATGATCTTAAACAAAGAGTAAGTTCAAAGACTTTTTGCAATAAATGGGTTATGTGCACCACACACTAAGTTTACAGTATATTACTCTAAGAACCAATTATGCTTTCTTGGTTTCCAAGATTTGGTCTGGTCAGTGTTTCCATAATGAATATTGGCTCTTTTTTTAATCTTATTGGGCTAACAAAACCTCACTGGGATCACCAAGTTTGACATGAAATCATGAAAAAAGAAACTTAATACCACACTTCCCATACTTGTCATTCCTGCTGTCTTTTCCTAGAATTTAGAGGTTCTAATACCAAATACATGTTCCAAACCACAATGCAATCCTGCAAATGCTGACCTTATGCTTATTCCAGATGACCTGTTAGCATCATAACTCATCAAGAACCTTGCCATGGGTGATATAGGAGTATGGATGTTGTGAAATTAAACTTATAAGCTTTAATTTTTCAATCACACCTTCCCAATTCTTCTTTCTGAAACAAACATAAAGTTCTTTTAATTTCATGCTAACCTGCCTAATTCTCCTCAAATGTTCTGGTGAAGCTGAACAGTTTCACCTTTCATAATAACAATCATTTAATTATAACAGATAACATCCCTTTCTGAGCCTCCAATCTCCTCTTACACTCGCAAAAGTGTTGAAAAGCGATTATCTTGGGCTGCGGAAACTCCTGTAAGTCTTGTCAATGCATTTAACAACTGCTATCAACACTTTGGTGACCTTGTTTCATTTGAATTAAGCACAATTATTTAAAGTAACTTTTGTCTTAAATAGCATCAAACTAATATTCTGAAACAATTAACAGAAGCAGGTATTCTAAATGTAAACCACTGTGTCTATCTCTTCTTGTTATTTACTTTATTGATATCAGGTTCTTGCAGAAACATGTAGAAGTAACTACTTTTATCAATAACCTTTAAATCATTGACAGAAAAGAAAGCAACTTTAAGATGTTTTTAATAAATGATGTGTAAAGCGTAATACTCCTGATATTATATTTAGAGGTAGTAAATATTTTTTAATATGTTTTTAAACTCATCTCTTGAATACTTAAATGTTGGTATAATTAATGGAGGATTATTGTAAGTATCTGCTGGAAAATTGGAAAATTTTAAGCCTTGGATCAAGTGCTATCCTAAACCCACCCAGCCAACATAGAAAGAAAGACTCAGGAAGTTTTCATGGCTCATCATTTTAAAAATTTTCTGCGATTCCTCAGCAATTACAATGATCTTATTGTTATAGTATCTCTTGCTGTTATCAGTGAACGTTTGAAAACCACTGAGTTGGTAACAATTTAATAGTCTTCAACTATTTAACTAACCAGCAATCTTGCTAAATGGAAAAAATTTGTTAAAAGCTGGTATTTAAGTGAAAGCTTTTCCAGAGAAAGATATGAATGGTCATACTTTTTTTGATGAAAACAATGTAACACTAAATTAAAAGTAACTTTAAACTAGGTTCAAAGCCGTTCCAACAGCCGTAAATCTACAAGGACCCCAGGGTCTCTTATTCCTCAAGAGCCAATTGTTGAACTTTCTGAATAAAATCTGTGAGTAATTTATGATCTCTGCACCTTGTCTGAGTAATCTCACACCTTTAATAGGCTACACCCATTTGATTTGCAAGTCATATTACCTTACTGAGTTGTCAGTAGGAGAACAGGGGGAAGGATGTGATGTGTTTGATAACATTTGGCACAAGACTGTGTACATAGTAGACTAGGCTAGGCGAGGAAAACGTAAATTAGCCACCGTAAAGGGTAAAAAAGTTAACGTTTCGAGCATTAGCCCTTCATTAGCCCTTCCCCAATCGCTCTGACAAAGGGCTAACACTTGAAATGTCAGCTTTTTTACCCTTTACAGTGGCTAATTTATGTTTTCAACTCAGTTGTTAACACTAAATTACCTGTTCTATTCTCCCACTAACACAGCACCACAGTTTCTTTAGAAACTTACCCCTTTAGGCTAGGAGACAGATTTATCCCAGAGATACTTGAGTTTCAATTCAGTGAGGCACAACAGAAGTTTGGCAAGCACGTTTTGACATTAGAATTGTTTTGTTATCATGGGTAACTGACACCCTTTCCAGTGACATATATTTTTACTTCTTTTTGAGAGATTTCGCATGTGATGGTTGGTGACACATGGCACTTTAGGTTGAGTTGTCTATGGAAATGAGGAAGGTTGTGCATGACAATAATTTTTAAGGCCAAAACCATGTCACCAAACTGTTGCCACACCTCACTCAACTGAAAATCGTAGTCTTTCATCGTTTTCCAGGAAATCATCCATTGTATATTAATAATTTGATATTTATAACACCCTAACAAACATGTCAAAGAGAAGGAAATGTGAGGAAGTAACCAATATCAATAGTAACTACATGCCTTCTGTTAGAAATCAGATCAAGAAAAAGTCTGAAATTCAGCTCTACCTTTGAACTGTTTATGGTGCAGTAAGGTTCCACCCATCTTTCTATTCCAAAAGAAAAAGGATTTCAACCATTGCTGAGCTTTGGCAAGAGCACAGTAAAGGACTGACTGTCAGATTTGATGGGCAGTTCCTTTGTTTTCAACAACTTTATTTTAGTGGTAATGTTGATGTAAATCTTTCTTTCAGTTACAGTCCTATGAACCACAAGCCGAGGATAATAATCCAGTAAGAGACTGAGAATGTTAAAGTTATTTATTGAATTAATTTCTAATCCTTCTCAGACAGATGGTATATTTTAGGGTTATTTCCTAGGCTTGTCTTTTGTCTGTTAGAGAAGTACACACTCAGTTGTGCTTGCACCAGCAAGCTGCCCAGAAGGCTTCCTTTTTGAATAATTCTACTGGTGAAAAAGTTAGCCTTTTCTGGTTATTAAATGTCACCATTGCTTAATTCATTAAAGGAATATTTTGCTTGATCTCTAACTGCTTTTTTTTCCTTGCAGGGAGAATAAGTGAAGAAAATATTTACATAGTTCATCCTCAGTGTAGAGAGATCCATCTGTTTTTTTTGTGGATTTGTAGTTCATTTTGTCTTTTGTAAAATAGCAACTTTGTCATTAAAGTGGTGTGTTGTTAAGTGAAATTAAGACTGCTAAACTTTTAATTTACTTTGCTCCTGTGATGATGTTAAAGGTCCTGTTGTCATCGAGATTTCATGGTCACCTCTTGATGTCTTTCTCTACTAATATGTAGCTCAAAACTTTTGGGTTTGAGCTTTTGAAGATTGCCCCCAATTTGTCAATTAAAAGTAAGTTCATGCAGATCATCTCAAATGTTTCACTTTCATTTTTTTGCCCTGGCAAATAAGCGAAGGAAGCACTTGTTTTCAGGGAGGTCTCCTCCCCCTCAAAAAGAAAACATTTTTTTAAATAAGATTAAAAACAACAACAATAAAACAACAGGAAACATGGTCTGGCGGATCTTTACAACTGAAAAATATACATGGAATCTTGTGTCTATATTTCCGGTGAGTGAATTGCTGCAGCAAGAGGTTGTGCAAGTAATTTACATTGCATCAACTTTATAATTAGCATGCTCTGTTGATTCTTTCAATACATAACAAGACTTCCTCAAGTTGAAGTTAATTCAGTCTTATTTTCTTAAATGCATCACTTAATGTCAAGGACTGATCTATTACAGGAAAAAATAATTTATCACCTTCATGCAACACTTATTATTATCATCTTTATTTGAAGACTTCCATTGATTTCTGAATTTAATCCTTGCCAAACACAGAATACTACAGGTTGTTCATTTGGCTTTACAGATCAGAGAATACATTGGTTAAATATTTCAGGCTGACCTATTTGAGGCATTAACAAGTATTTTCTCTTGTTACTTCACACTTTTCTCAGTCTGCTACATTTCTAAGCCCTGTAACTCCCAGAGGTGACAAACTAATAACTTCTCATTGCAATTCCAATATGTTATCTTGCAAACAGGGTGTGAGAATACACAAGCTCATCAGATGAGTGTTATCTTGATGTAAATTGGAATTCTCATGTCTTATTTACAAGGGAATGTATGGCATTCAGTGGAAAGAATAACTAATCATAACCTGGGAGTTAAAAAGAGTTCAAGAAAATTTGGTCAATTCTCATGTCTTATTTACAAGGGAATGTATGGCATTCAGTGGAAAGAATAACTAATCATAACCTGAGAGTTAAAAAGAGTTCAAGAAAATTTGGTCAAGAAATTTATGAAGAGCATTAAGTGGCTTCATGAAATTATGATTACATCTTAAACTTTGTACAGTGTGTTTCTGATATTTATCTAAAACAGCTCTCTTACAAATGTCTTAGCAACCTTAACCTGCCCTAGGTTTAACTCAGTGAAGATGAGCTAAAGGGAAGGCTGTTGACAAACAGCAGTTTCTTTTCTTTGCCAGACAGCATTGTTGGCATACAGATTTTTGGGGGTTTATTTCCAGTGAGATTGTAAAGTACCTTAATCTTGATCAAGTTGTACATTGTGAGCAAGAAAATGGCTGTACAAATTTGATGGGTAGAATCTTACCAGATGGTGGGGAGAGGCCTGATAAACAGCTGCAGCAGAGTTCCAACAATTAGGAGACATGAAATTGCCATCAAAAATTTATAGTAATACAATATGGAATCTTCAAACCTTTCAGTTCTTTGCTTTTTTCATGGATTGCATGGCTACAGTGAGACCCAAAGGGTGATACATAGAGAGTTCACATGCACTGTATGGCCTTTGGAAACTATGGACACCCGTAACATTAATCTACCAAAGGAAGGAAGCTTCTTTGTGTAGAAGTTCACATCAGTCTCCATTGGATTCTATTTATCAAACCAACACAGGCATTAATTCACCAGGTACTGTGATGACACAACAACCAAATCCTTCAATTCCTGCCGATAAATTTGCTACCTCCTGCCATTTCTGTTGATCTGCATCATAACATTCAACACTCCTTAGCTCTCTGTTATTTCCACCCACACCACCTAGAACAAACACCTTGTCCTTAACTACTACTGCACCTGCATGTGAGCGTGGCTGTCTGAGTGCTACTATGTTGGTCCATCTGTTGGTCTTGGGGTTGTACATCTCACAAGATGCTAATTTAATGGGAGATCCTAAAATGTCCTCTCCACCAATCACATAAACCTTGCTCCCCATACATACTGCACAGGCATCAGAGCGGCGTTGGTTCATGGGAGCAATGTCAACCCAAGAATCTGACAAATGGTTGTAATATTCAGCTGACTTTAAAGGAATGTCTTCGTCACTAGAATACCCACCAAAAGCATATACATAATTCAAACCCACAACACAGTGCCTTGTGCGTGAAGCATTCATAGAAGCAACACATTCCCATTTATTCAACTTTGCACTGTAGCGCTGCGCAATACTTTGCGGCATGCCCTTTGAATCATGCCCCCCTACTGCATACAGGTAATCCCCTACCATGGCCACACCCACACCCGCCACCTCTTTTCGCAATGAAAACAAACTGGACCAAGTATTAGTTCTTGGGTCATACAATTCTGCACTCCTTGTTACATTGCCATTTTTAGTTGTTCCACCCACCACATACACTAGACCCTCGTGCACAGCAATACCATGGTTCTTTCTGGGAGTGGACATTGCAGAAACCTCGAAAATTTGCTTGATACTTGTCATGTACACTTTTGATGAGGCAGTGATGTCGCTGTTTTCCTCCCAGCCCCCCACCATCAGGATGGCAGTTTGACAGGCACGTGGCCGCATTGAGGCGTACTCAGAATTTTGCACAGTTCCCTTAGGAGTTGAAAAGAACTCTTTCGCTGCAGTAACGAGTCGTAAACAAGATTCATCATTCTTTACTAAATCATCCTCTTGCACTTCGTTAATCAAATAACATCTTGCCATATAGATCAGGCGGATGCAAGAAAACAGGGTGGGAAAGACCTTCTTTCTTGTCTCCAAGTCCTGCTTCGTCCATCTTATAACTGATTCGAAAATCTTTTCCTCTCTGGCGACGAGATCGTTGCTGGACACGATCGCAAGCAGCTGTTCTATGCTGAGAGCTGCAAATCCTTCACTTACCGAGACAGCAACGTAATTTTCGAGGATGTGTGTTTGGGCGCTGTCACGAAGCTCTCTCACATTGTACTTCTCGGCCATGTACAAGAGAAACAAACAATTCTCTGAGTTTAAATCGCTAATCAAATATTCACAAGCCTTCCCCTTCAATTCAGTCAAAAACAAAAAATCTGAACCAATCGCTAGATCAAGGGCATTCTCCCTCATGATTGTTATACCACCGCCATACATGTAATTTAGCAGCTGTTCCATAACTTGAGGTTCGAATTCTTCCATGTGAACTGTATTTTCAATATTTTCTTTCATCTCATTGGCGAATAAGGCCTTAAAGAATTCACTGTTCGCCGAGAGAACGTTGCGATGTGCCGGAAAACTTTCCCCTTGTGCGCTTAGGGTGACATCGCAAAGGATTCCTTCCTTTCTGAATTCATTCAGCGACTTCATTACGTTAGCACAGAAGATGCCTTCTTGAGAACACATGTTCGCTTTTTTCAGTAATGTCAATGGTATATTCAGTATGTTGTTATTCCTTCGCCGATTGTCATAATACTCAACCTTGCCGAACCATGGCCAGTAACTACACCTGCCTCTGTTATTGTTGTTTCGCGGGCGATGTGTAGATTCAGCGGCTATTAGCGTCGAAATTAAATGTGTGGTGTAAAACTGTGCCTGGTGTCGAGAACGGAATATGTCCCTACCACCTCCTGTCATCGTCCAATATTTACTATAAATGTTTTATTTTTTATTAGAAATTTCATTTCAGGCCGAACAAAAAGATTAGAGAAATTGATGATTCCAAAAGAATAAAAATGTAATGAATGTGGTTAATGTGACGCCAATATTTAAAAATTATTCCAAATTTACCCACTAAACAAAAAGTTATGACATTACTCGAGACTCTATAGAAAAATTTCGTAGTCTTCAAAGCAGAAAAGATTTCTGACTCCAAAGTTGTTCCCTCCTCGGTTTGCTATCGTAACGGTCTCCCACTGTGTTTCTTGATCGTTGGTATCCACGCTGTTCGATACCGTTATCCTTGTTAATGTTATCTGGTTGAAGTCTTACGTGGATAGCTTCATTGACTCTTCTGGTGTACCACTACGAGTCTCGATCAAAAAACTTTACTTCGTTCCAAAGCTGGAGGTGGCCGGTCTTGTTCGCGTGCTCAGAAACGGCGGAGGTCCGGGTACGGGTTAAACGTATCTTCATCCTCTCTCGCATACGTCTTCCCGTTTCACCAATGTAGATTTTGCCGCATTCACAAGGAATCCTGTAAACCACACTTTCCTGTCTAGCTGGATTGCCAGTGTTCTTTGGTCGTACTAAATGCGATTTAAGTGTCGTGTCGGACATGAAGACTGCGCAGATGCCTTGTTACAACGGCGAAGCGGCTGTGATACACCTTTTCTATAGGGCTAAATCGCTGTCGATTTGAACTGTGTCACAGGCTCTCTGCTTAGGGATGAGTTTCTTCTTTTCGTAACCTTCTGTACAAAGGAGTTACTGAAAAACGGATTGCAGTATTTAAATTCATAGAGAATTTGAAACACTTGCTGTTATTGTTTGTCCTATATGCGATGAACAACTTCAAGAACGCACAGCGAAAATATGAAACTAGAGTGCGATGACGGAACATGTATGTGCGTGTTCAATGCGGGAAAATTGATAGATGTGGAATAGTAAGTGAGTTCATCGATTACAACGAACATAAATTCAAAATTACGAGAAAATCAATTTACCATGATGGTAAAACATGGGGTAATATTAGCCACGCGAGCTTCTGTTATATTGTCAGTGGTGTTTACGACGAAATCGTCCACTACAGGAGAAATATATTCAATGTACCATCTGGCCATGCAGGGAAGAGTTTCATTGAAGAATTAACTTTCTGCAGAGTCTGATTTGAACTCCGTTACCTTGAAAGCATTCATGGTGCTCTCAACTTTGATCGATCCTGCAAAAACCGTCCGCTACTTCTAAAAGCAAGGAACACAGCGCAGTAATAGAGTGTCGATTAGCTCTCTAGAAACAAGGGGACCTTGATTTATTACTTAAAGAAGTGAGGTTTATGCAGGGGAAATTTGTGAACTCTAGGAAAGCTAGGACGGTTGAGGACGTATCCAAAGATTTTTCAAAACTGGTTCTGCAAGGAAAATTGTCAGCTGCAATGAAACTCCTAGATAACAAGAGCTCGTCTGGCCTGCTCGACCTATCACCAGACGTCCTGCGAGGGCCACATGACAAGCACCCAGAGGCGGCCGATATTGCAGAGGAGAGTTTGTTGCACGGTCCAGTTTGTTATATTCCACCAAATGCGTATGATCTCACAGACGAAGAAATGATTTACAACTCAGCAAGCAAAACCAAGGGCTCAGCAGGGCCATCGGGAATGGACCCGGAGCTTTACGGGAGAATCCTGTGCTCTAAGAACTTTAAGACTGAGGGTAAAATCCTAAGAGAAGAGATAGCTGTGTTCACGAGAAATCTGTTTAAGAAATCGTACCATCCATCTTTACTCGAGGCCTTTACATCTTGCAGGCTCATCCCGCTCGACAAGAACCCTGGAATCAGACCAATTGGTGTTGGAGAGGTCCTGAGGCGTATAGTGGGGAAAAACGGTCAGCGGTTTCTTAAAGGAGGAAATAAAAGAAGCGGCAGATCCCCTACAAGTTTGTGCTGGTCATAGTACAGGAGTGGACGCTGCGATACATGGAATGAGCCAAGTGTTTGAAGAAGAAGGAAGAGATGGGTTTCTGTTGATCGATGCAAGTAACGCCTTTAACCAAATGAACAGGTCAGCGGCTTTGCACAATATACAGATCACGTGCAAGGAAATGGCGCTCTATGTAATAAACACCTACAGAAGCCCATCCAGACTGTTTATCTGCCGTGGAGGTGAAATACTTTCACAAGAAGGCACTACCCAGGGGGAACCCCTAGCGATTCCATGGTACTCAGTCAATACATCTATGATGATTCAGAATCTGAGGGCGCACTGCCCGATGGTTAAACAGGTGTGGCTTGCAGACGACTCTGCTGGAGGCGGGAGAATCGCGCAGTTGTACGACTGGTACAAGCAATTGACTAAAGAGAGAGAAAAGAATGGATATCTCGTGAACGGGTCAAAGAGCTGACTGATTGTTAAGTCTGAGACACTTGCAATTACATATTTTAATTTAATAGTAGTCTGCAGGTTTGTATTGCTGTCAGAAATTACCTTATTGTCTATGAATTATAACCTCTCGGTTACCTTCATTAAATCTTTAACCCAAAGTAGCATCAAACCATGTCAAAATGCAGGTTGTTTACAAGGAAATGACACATGATAGAGCGAAGCCTAATATGGCAAAATGGAACTTGATTGGTGGAATACAATTCCAGCACGTGAAAAAATGCCTAATGTTTATGTAGTGCAATGATTGGGTGATGGAGATGTAAGTTGTTTGGCGTGTGCGTTGTAAGTAAAGGAGCGGAAAAACACGTTTTACCTTCAAAAATTTAAATGCGAACCTTTCATATCTCGATAAATCTCGACCTTAATCGACGAGGCTGTTGCGAAGGCCGCAAACCAATACTCTAAATAAACGAGCCCAAACTTTCTGGTTAATGTCATTCTTGGTGCACAGCCCTCCAATCCATTACATCATTTACAAGAAATCAATACCCAAACGCTGTGATTGCTGAAAGATATTCAAATGCTGTGATATGATTAGTAAGAGATACATACCCTAATGCGGCGATCTGATTGGTGCGAGAACAATACTACTCTAAACGCTAACAAAGAGTTATTTTTTTACAAAAAAAATCTTAAAAAGCCTAGAAGATCCATTTCAATATTAGTCTTTAAATGCTGTAATATTTGTATTCTTTAGCGTCTTTCAGGTTGTTACAAACATTTTCATCTCGTTGATCCAGTTAAGTAATAAAGGCATCTCTACACAACAAACTTCCCAAATCATGAAGAGTTTCACTGAAACACTGGGGGAGGATCAGTTTTAACGAGTATATCTTCGCTCTTGTGTGGTCAGATTGCATTCACAGGATTGAAATCTACAATCTCAAACTGATATTTGTGGCCAACCTGAAAAGTCCCCAACTCCCAGCTGTTTGTCTTTCGGTTTTTTAACGGGTCGGAGAAGCTTGTCTCCTTCCTCGATCCAGGTAATAACACAGTCATAACCAGCTGACATGAAAGTCGATGCAACTACAACCAGATGGACGTTCAGAGGAGACTCATTTCCGAGGTTCTGAGGAGGCTCATTTCGAGGTTAAGTCCGGAAAACGGTTCTACCAACGACGACGCCATAATCTGGTGACACCAGAGCTTGACAGTGTGATAACAATGTTTCTCGGAAAAAGTCAATCTCGAGCCCAAGGTCATTCTGAGCCCCTTGTCAGCGGTATGGTCGCCAAATAATGACCTCTGAATGGAATTTTTATCTCAGAAATCATGGGATTCTGCTTTTAACTGCGCACGACTATTACTAAGTAATGGCTTCCGAAACAGCGGCAAAATGACTGCGCATGCTTGTAACGCGCGCGAAAAGGAATGGGAAAGGGAATTACAATATTTCCATATTAACGCTATGGCGGCGATATGCTGGCATTTTCAAAATTCATAGCGCTTGTTTTTATTTCGCGGGGATAAGCCCTAGTCTTAACAGATAAGGTTTCCATTTTCAAGAAAGTTTCTGAACCTGCTCTGCAACATATCCTTCCCAACGAAGAAAGTATTTTGGCCACAGGTGTGAATTTTAGTATTGAAGTGGAGCGTTAGTAACATGTCGCCCCTTGCAAGGTAATCCGGATTTTGGAATCCAGGAAATTTTTGCTTGTGGAATCCGGAATACTCGGCATTGGAATCCAGCATCCAGCCTTTGGAATCCAGAATCACGCTAAAGAATGAATCCAGAAGCCATTCGTTGAAAATCCATTTCAAACCGCAAAAACGGCTTTCGTGCGCATCCATGCAACCACGGTCATGCTAAAATGCAGACTGCAGACCGCGTTTTGTTCACTGGAGAGTTTCGACCGTTACAGCTCGCGAGGCACTGACAAATTCATTCATGACCTATCACCCAATCGACTTAGATACTGACATGGCCAAAGTTCCCGACTTAGTATTATTATTATTATTATTGTGGAATATTATTATTATTATTATTATTATTATTATTATTAGTAACTACCAATCAGTCTTCTACTCCGATTGAAAAACCTTCCTAGTAAACTTCGATTTTAGCTTGCAGCAATTTCTTTACCGTAAAGTTCTTAGGGCTGTCTTCCAGCCAATCATTTGCTTCGTTCACACAGTGCATTCCTTACCTCTAAATCAGTGTCACGGTCCACATAAATTACATCTTGCCGTGTGGGGCTGATCTGCATGAGCTCGAGAAACTAGACCCCGCGATTTTGTTTTCCCACATAACGTGAGCTCGAAAGAAACTCGTAAGATTTCGTCATGTGGTGTCCAAAATTGGAAATAGCTCCAACGTTACCAAAAGAGTAAGAAAAGGTGTACACACCTTAATCATATGTAAATCATAGTTTAAAAAAAGCAAACAAAAAAAGTTGCACAGCCTGCGCGGTCTGTACAGTGTGCATGGTCTTCCGTCTACGTTTTATCATGACCGATGCAACCACTGTAGAGTGCAGTTCACTCACGTTGTGGATGGGTATGTAAATTTCAGGGACTAAAGAGATTTTTTGAATAACAACAGCGTTCAAATCCCACAGGATTTGCTCGGATTCCAACATGGCGACGGACCACAAGTTCCCACTTACGATAAACTTTGATTAAGAATATATATGAGTATTTATGAAGGCGGAAGAGGTCTATTTCTATGGCAAAATTTCGGCATTTAAATGTAAACCGCTTTCTTTGATATTTGGCATTCGGAATAACAAAATTCAAGTTTTAACAAGGCATCATATCTCAGTGCAAATTAAAATAAGATATTACCAGATTTAAGGGTCAAACAGGAAAATATCGGTAAGCCACCTTAAACCTTTAGAATCATTGCTCTGGAGATTTCATAGCCGACGTAATGTGACTTGACTTGGCTAACCTTATAAAGAGAAAAGAAAGTATGAAAAAGAGAATCTGTTATTCTTGGAAAATTACCGTGTAAATGCAAATCTTTCGCGATTTTGCAAAGGTTTAAGTGTAGTTGAGTTGGTTGAACACCGTTTTATGGCACTCTCATGATGCCGAACATCATCGTCAATTACATTTAGGAAAACAAGCTTTTCTTAGTCATAGTCCGCGATTTATTTGCGACATACACAGGGTGTTATTAAAATTATATTTAGTTTCAATTTTTGGACAGTACTATGGTTTTTGTTGAAAAGGAAAGTTTAACAAGTCATTTGAGATAGAAGGGAAATATTTTCGAGCTGTTTTGTTGACAGTTCACCATAAAGTCAATTTCGGGTTACAAACATTGGCCACCTTTTCCCAGTTGGAACAATGTTATGCTGTGCTAGAACAACTTTTTAGTCCAACATTTATCTACAAATTAAAAATGATAAGCAATGATTTGAACTACCAGTTCTTTTGATACCGTCAAATCACTTGAAGAACCTTGAGGAACCTGAATGAAAGAACATTTGGTTAACAAGTTACAGCAGTTAAATGTATGCTCCAAAACTTACTGCTCTACCACAATTCTACAGGTCAACAGGAAAAGTCAGGAAGTTGGTGCACAGATTGGTCAACCCAATTTATTAACACCAACAATGGTAAGTACCATACTTATGCCTGGACATTATATAAGAAAGGTAACCAATCCAGCATATTTACTAATAATCATAGTTGTGTTATGATTGCACCTGCAGGGTCAAACTTATCCAGGACAACACCAATAAGGTTACAACATACATGTATCGCTGATAAAAGTTTAGCAATGTGCACATTCTTTGCAAGTAAACACATGTTCATTGTTGAAAATATTTCTATATAACCCACAGGGTCTGGTCTAAAACATTACTACTGTATTTTCTAGATAATTTTTCAGAGCTGGTGGAAACATTTCAGTTAGCTTTGTACAGGCGCTGATAAGTCTAAAATTACCACCACTAACCGACGTTACCACCAGCGCCTTTGTTTAGAAGCCTGGCACATCAACTCCGTCCATGCTCCTTTAAATCGTGATGATGGCAGCTTACTTTTTGACGCCTATTTACACTTCGTCAGATGACACACGACACATCATAGAGCGAAGTCTAATGTGGCAAAATGGAACTTGATTGGTGGAATACAATTCAAGCACGTGAAACATTGCCAATGTTTATGTAACGCAATGATTGGGTGATGGAGATGCAAGTTGTTTGGCGTGTGCGTTGTCAGTAAAAGAGCGGAAAAACACGTTTTAACTTAAAAAATTTAAATGCGAACCTTTCATTTCCCGTTAAATCTCGACCTTAATCGACGAGGCTGTTGCGAGGGTCGCAAACCAATACTCTAAATAAATGAGCCCAAACTATCTAGTTAATGTCATTCTTCGTGCACAGCCCCCGATCCATTACATCATTAACAAGAAATCAATACCCAAACGCTGTGATTAGTGCAAGATATTCAAATGCTGGGATATGATTGGTAAGAGATACATGCCCTAATGCGGCGATCTGATTGGTGCGAGAACAATACCACTCTAAACGCTAACAAAGAGTTATTTTTACAAAAAAAAAAAGTTAAAAAGCCTTGAAGATCCATTTCGATATTAGTCTTCAAATGCTGTAATATTTGTATTCTTTAGCGTCTTTCAGGTTATTACAAACATTTTCATCGCGTTGATCCAGTTGTTTAAGTGATAAAGGCATCTCTACTCAACAAACTTCCCAAATGAATAAGAGTTTCACTGAAAAATAATTAAAATGCGAAGTCTTTAATTAGTTGAAAATATCATAGGACTTACAAACAATAGTAATGTTATGACGCATTTCCTTGGGAAAGTCTCTGTTGTAGTACGTCATCGACTTCCTGTTTTTCTGAGAATGTCGCGCAATACCAAGAAAGCATCAAAACATATGGTTAGGTAATGGAAAATTGATGCGAGATCATATCGCTAGTCTCCTATATATAGTATATAAAAAAATACATAGTGTTCAAAAAAAAAGTGCTCCAATACTCCTATGTCACGAGATCAGATTTCATCCAATGATTTTATCAAAAAATCCCAATATATGGAAAGCAGTAGAGAGTTGGCGTTAGTGCGAGATCGCTTTTCAAAGTGATCTGGTACCGCCAACTCCTTTCGTATTATCGAAGCCTAACTATTCCAATCGTCCTACAGAGTTATAGGTTGGGATTTTCGAAACAGCTAGACAGTTCTTTCGTCTCTTAATTGTTTTTCCCTTTACTCATGATTACCATTGGCCCACGTAATGCCGATTACCATGATATAGCAGCGAGGTGGGTCGAAGATATCCCACGGTCTTGCTAACCCAAGAAGAACCAAAATGGGAAAATCATTCTCATGCTCGATGGGAAACATCTGAATCAATGTTTCCTGGTTCTGTGCTTTCACAGAAAAGTCGTAGTTTCCACTGATTTTGCATCTTATTGTTTCTCTGCCGTTGTGCTGAGACTCCCGACGAATAGAGATATCGCTCGATTGACATTTAAGTATTCCAACTGAAGGGCACTGCGTTTCCTTGATGATATATTTTCCCTCTTGAATCTCTCCTGGATGAAATACAGCGGTGACTGACTCCTTAGATAAATCACACAGCCTGACGTACAACGCGGTCCCTTCGGTCCCTTCGATCCCTTCGTCTGGGAGAGGATCAGCTTTAACGAGTATATCTTCGCTCTTGTGTGGCCAGATTGCATTCGCAGGATTTAAATCGACAACCTCAAACTTATATTTGTTTCCAACCTGAAAAGTCCTCAACCTCCAACTGTTTGTCGTTAGGTTTGTAACAGGTCGGAGAAGCCTGTTTCTTTCCTCGTTCCAGGTAATAACACACTCATAACCAGCTGACATGAAAGTCGATGCAACTACTATCAGATGAAGGTTCTGAGGAGACTCATTTCCGAGGTTAAGCTTGGTAAAAGATTCTTCTAACGACGACGCCATGATCTGGTGGCACCGGAGCTTGACAGTGTGATTACAATGTTTCTCGGAAAAAGTCAATCTCGACCCCAAGGTTATTTTGGGTTCCTTGTCAGCGGCATGGTCGCCAAATAATGACCTCTGAATGGAATTTTTATCTCATTCATGGGATTCCGCTTTTAACTACGCATGACTACATTCATAAGTAATGGCTTCCGACACAGCAGCAAAATGACTGCGCATGCTTGTAACGCGCGCGAAAAGGAATGGGAAAGGGAATGACAATATTTCCATATTAACACTACAGCGGCGATATGCTGGCATTTTCAAAATTCATATCGTTTGTTTTTATTTCGCGGGGATAAGCCCTAGTCTTAACAGAAGAGGTTTTAATTTTCAAGAAAGTTTCTTTCTAACCTGCTCTGCAACACATCTTTCCCAACGAAGAAAGCGATTTCGTCATGTGGTGTCCAAAAATTGGAAATAGCTCCAACGTTAACAAAAGAGTAAGAAAAGATGTACACACCTTAATCATATGTAAATCACAGTCACCTTCACTGTGTCCTGTGACTTTGACTCAGAGCCTGATTTCGCTTGGAACCTGATTGAGTCATTCAGTTTGTCCAACAAAAATCTTGTTCAAGTAAATGTATTCCCTTTACAATCTGAGTTCAGAGTAGATAAAAGGAATTGAATAGAAGCTTCCATGAAAAAAAGCTACTCATCAATAGGCTAATCTGCCAAACCTTTTTGAATTTGAATAAATCATTCCCAACAACATTACCGTTTTTTAATTTACAGGGACACGAGTAGAAAGTGGAACTGACTGAAATTACATTCTTTCCGAAAAGAGAATATTGAAGATTCATTTAGGGACTGAGGGGGGTGGAGGATTTTGGAGGAAGGATTCCATGGTTTTCAGGGAAATGGAGGGGGTATCGGTCGTCGCTGACAGAGTATAAAGGGGGGGAGTTATGGAAAACTAACTGCCAATCAGCTGCTAAAGAGGGGAAGGGAGATCCTGAGTATATTACAGAGCCTTATGGATGGAATCAGGTATATTTCATCGTGTCACAACCAAATCCTCTGACCCTCCTCCACCCCTCTCGGGTCCCTTGTTTTATCACTTTATTGACTAAGGTGGTCTTTTTGCCTGTTCTTGCCCAGCGAGCTCCATTTTGACCGAACTAATTCCATGGTAATCAGTGGAAGTGAAGATTTCAATATATTCTATTTCCTTAGAGCATTGTATTTTCCGACTATGATGATTCTAAAGCGGTCAGCGGTGAGACACCAAACTGGCAGACATACTTGATCCGTCCATCGTACTTTGCATGGCTTGGCTCCCAGTCCACTCACTGGCGAGCCACTTGCCGTTATGACACAGACGGGGTGGTTTACCGTGACTATATGCGAACTTCGTTTGAAGATTTCGACCTAATGAATATCCAAGTTCCAATTGTCGCAAAGTGTGTCAAGTTTGAGATCATCAATGTTAGAGGCTATGAATGTAAATCATGCACAGCACCTTTGTGGAACAAGAAAGACCAAAGCGCTTTGCATACAGACAGCAGCAGAAGTTTCTGTCGGTTCAATGGAAATCGTGGTAACGTCGTCGATAATGAGGACAATTTTGGTAGTTATAATACTGTCAATCCTGCTTTTCGTTGTACTTATAGTGCTGACGCTACAACTCAGTTCTGGGTAGGAGGAAAGTAGACGGGCTTCTGTGTTCCTTTAATCTAAACCACTGCATGAAGCATTTAAGTGTATGTATACGGAGTCGGTCATTATTAGTCTGCTGGGGAAGAAGGGGCTAAGAGGATTTTGGTTGTTTCACGATGAAAGTTATCTGATCTGCCCAGAAGGCTTTGGAACATTTTTTTATTTCCCCTCATTGGAAGTTGATTGGCAGTCAAGTTTTTATAGCGCCCCCTTTATTCTCTGAACTGAAGCGACGATTGTCCAATCTCCCCTCCGTTCCACCTGAAAACCACGTGATCACCACCCAAATCCCCAAACCCCCCTCTCCGGTCGATAAATAATGCTATAATCAGTCAATTACATGTAGTCACCAAGTAGTCTGGAAACGACAATTGAAAACGAATCATCTCAGGCTTTCATAGCAATGCGATTCTCAAAAACGAGACATAATCGTAGTCATACTAAAAACAATTATAAGAGGCTTTGAAGTCGACTAAATCGTGCACAGCACCTCTGTGAAACAAGAATGACCGTAGAACTTTATATACAGCATACAGACAGCAGCAGTAACTTTCGCCAGTTCCCTGCGAATCGTGACGACGTCATTAATGATGAAGATAACTTTGGTAGTTAAATACACTTTCACTCCTGCTTTTCTGTTGTATTTCCATAACGGAGGCTGCAACTCAAATTTGGATAGGAGGGAAAAACTGCGTATGTTTCTTTAATCATTATTGCAGTGAACACCTGGTACATTATAATGGTACATTTCGTAATAAGTCAAAGCAAATCCGTATCTTATTTCGAAAGTTACCATATTGTTACTTTTTTCTCTGATGAAGGTCACCATGGGGTATTGCAGAAAAATTGCTTAAAATAGTACTCTTCTGCCGCTGATGGTGGCCTAACGGTTAGTGCGCTGGACTCCTGGTCGAGAGGTCTGGGTAACCAGGCCAGGTCATTGCGTTGTGTTCTTGAACAAAACGCTTTACCCTCTCAGAGTCTATCTCCAGGCCACCCAGGAGTATAAACAGGTACCGGTAAATTAAATTGTCAGTCCAGAGAGCCTGATGAAATGTCCTAATTTATTCACTTCATGGGCTTGACTGGGAAACTTGGCTCGACTATAGACTTTACCTTTTTTACCTTCTGCTGTTAGGAAAGTCCATTTTTTTTTTTTTTTGTTAGTTGAATTTGCCATAGAGAATGAGAAAAGTAAATAGCTAATTATGTAGGCGAAGTTATCATTTTAATGTTCCCCATGAAACCCTTAGTCTGTGGCTCATTTTTTCGAGTGTCAAGTTTTCTTGCAATTGAAAGTTTATGCCAGCGGAGCCTTTTCCTGAGGGACTTTAAACACATTAGTTACCTCTTAGAATTGGTGGACACAACACTACACTAAACCACATGTAAACATCAGTTTGATCTCCAAATTACTTGTCTCCGAACTATAATAATTATGTTTTGCTGGTCTCAGTTTGCAAAAGAGGTTAAATTAACGCTCAGTACATTGTAAATGATCAATTACTCAAACTATCGTTAAAAAAGGGCGTAAGCGTTTAATTTTGGCAATTACCCTCTTAGGACCGGTTGACAAATTGAATTAAGTTTAAGACTGTTTGTGGCTGTACTACTAAGATTACTAAATATTCATATGAGAAAGAAAAAGTTTTGTGGTCATGTTGCCAGCTGAAAAGTGTGAGAGACAAAATCGCGTCTGTCAAATTACAAATGTAATTGATTATATATCGTAATCTGTAAGCAATTATCAGAAATATCTGCAGCTGTTAGCGCATGCTAAACGTAACACAGCCAATAGCAGCTTTTCTCTCTTAAACAATGAACAGGTTTTTGTTTTAAAACAGGTTTTAAAATGAAATTGTACATGTATGATTGTCATATTATATACATTTTAATTTATAGTCTGTGACCAATAATCAGTATCGCCGTATTTTAGTAGTGTGCATTTACGGAGAAATGTATAGTTGACTAACTAACCTAATTTACAATTTAAAAAACCCTAAGAGGAAGAAACTGCGAAAGGTGTCACGTTCCCAACTTACACTTCTTTCTCTAGAAGATCATTGATTGTAACTGTTTCGAAAGAGTTCTAATCTATTATAATTGAATAAAGTTTTAATTTTCACCTGAATAAACCTACGGAGAAGTATTGAATTAGTAAACAGTGTAAAAGAACTGATAACCTCACTGCCTCGTTATCTATCTGTTCAACTGAAATGAAAGATGGAACATCAGAGCTATGCTTCCTCTGAGAAAATGGATGATCTATATGTCTTGTCATTGGGTTTTGGGAAGTACTTTAACAAAATATTTTTATTTTCCTGTCTCATCTTGCCAAACGATTTCAGGTGTAAAAGCGCGGCAAGTTCTCATACAATTTAATTGAAGTTCACCGTGTTAATGAAAGGTTAATCAAATTTTATTGTTTTGTTTTGGAAAACCGAAACCTTGCTGCTAATCGGTGAAAAACTTTTGTCAGAGATTCTATGTGAAAATTTCAACAGCACCAGCTCCAATCACTGTTCTCTTTATTGCCGTAGCAAGAGCGCACTAACTTGCCTCCAGCAAAACAAGCAAGGGTAAGTTTATGTGCTTCTTGTTGTTACTGACTTGTGAGTATAGAGGTGCTGTTCCATTTCAGCCCTTCCTTTTTTTAAAAGTAGATTTTTTTATCTATTCCTCCTTATCAGCCTTAAGATGAGGATATTTTGGTACCTAATCACGGTAACTGTTCTTCTCTTCTCCGCTTCGGTCCAAGGCTCGCCAAAGAGAGCTGGTAAGTAAAAGCACAGCTGTAAATCAAATGCTTTTAAGCAATGCTAGGATTAACAATTGATCATGTACTCTGATCTTCACCTTGAGAATATAAAACATGCAATTACTGATGGTTAGAAAACCAGAGTGGAATTTATCATAAAAATCTTGACTTCGAAGATGACTTCCGCTCAGGTGTTCAAAAAAGCATTCAGTGATGCCGACAGCAGTCCTTAACAATCCTCTGCCACTTAATCAGACAACAGACTGCTACAGTTTAGGCACTTTCTTAAAAGCTTCAAATTTCCGTGGAAGAAGCCTTGTTTTACATCAAAAATTTCTCAGTGTTTTTTTCCATTATTCGATGTACACCTTGTCTCCACCGCATTCCAAAAGTATTCAACCAGAATTAATAACACAAAATTCAAATGGCTATTGCTGAGATTTCATTATCTAAGCACGCTTGGATCTTGATTGAATTTGCTCTTCTATGTAACACGAACAAGTAAATGCGAACTTCTTTATTTTCTTTTCAGTGATCGGACCAGGTTGTTGGCAATCCAAGCAGCCTCAGTGCCCTAAGAAATACGAGCCAGTCGGTTGTTTTGCAGACATAGCAGACCCCCCAGAAGACAGGACGTTATTAACACTACTTCTTACAGCCAGGGATCCAAGATCGAAAGTTTACTTCAAAGAAAGTATAAATTGGAGGGACTGGGCTAACTTTATCGACAGGTAACTACAAATACATCTTTTTTCTTTCATTTTTTTCGCGTGAATGCTTGATTCAGTTGGAGTTCTTCGACTGAGTCCTGGAGTCCTTCAACTGAACCACTTGCAAGGGGCCAATGAGATCTCAAGTGAAAAAAAGAACTAAATTTGAAAGCGGGAATGTAATTTGGTTGTAACTGCTTTAGATATGCCTTCGATTAGTTGTGATGACTTTCGCTAAGGTCATCGAAGCGTCAGTAACCTTCCCTTCCAGCGGTGAGGGTCACTCTTACCCGGATGATCAGGCTACACGATCAATGAAATGATTCAGGTCAATCGTGATTTACTTTGGGTCCTCTATCAAGCTTTTCAATAAAATTGATCTTTTAATAAAGCTATATTAAACCACTACGATATTTTACTTATAGATTTGTCTGTGAATGTGCAAAAAAGGCCGAAAAAATGAACTTTGATTATTTTGGTATCGAGTTCCATGGAGAATGTTGGGGCGGATCGAGCCCCAGGGATGGTCGAAAAGTTTCGTCTGACAGCTGTATCATGGTCCAGAACAATAACTGTGCTTTCGAGTCATGCCATGAACAACGAGGGCAAGGGAAGATATGTGTTGGAGGAGTTCTCAATTTGTTCGTTTACAGACTACAAAAAGGTAGGTAAATTATTGTCGTGCCGCAAGTATTATAGGTACCGAGTTATCTTAACAAAAACGTTTCTGTATGTAGATAGTTTCACAAGGTGGAAACTCTGTAACAATCCGTTTGTTAAAACTACCTTACATCTCTGATCTGTACCGAGGAGATCTACTTCGTTTAACGCCAAATTCTCAAAATTGATGTAACAAGAAATGTATGGTAGAAAACAGGGAGAAATTACATTCAGACCTTGTGAAAGAACAAATACTTTCTCACGTATTTCTTTGTACACCCTGAATATTCATGGATATATACATTTGTTAAGTGATCTTCCAAAGAAATAAGTTTTCTAACCGTTGATTCGTTGTCTTTCTTTCGGCTTATAACCCAGGCTGTTATCAGTCGCAACAGCCTAAATGCTCTCTGGAACGCAGGCCGGTTGGTTGTTTTCAAGATACAAAAGACCCTTCTCTTCGAGCTTTACCAGACCTAATGCTTACAGCAAGAGATCCAAATTCAAAGTCTTACTTTGGAGAAGCCTTTAACTGGAACGACTGGGCAAACTTCCTTGACAGGTAAATGGGGAAATGAAAATGAGTCAACATTTCTTTGATAGATTCATTTTAATTTATCTGACAGAAATACAGTGACCCTATGAGATGGGTGTTGGATACTAGATAGAAAAGTAAAGGTTTGAACCCTGACTGCGTCTTTGTGTTGTGTTCTTTGACAAGACATCATTTTTACTCTAACAATTTCTCCTTCCATCCATGTGTGTTTGTACTTACGAACTCTTGACCAAACGCTTGGACGACTTACAATCGATAAACATCTAATCCCGGGAGAGTTACAATCTTCCCAGGTGAAACAGGATAACCTTAGACGCTCAAGAGTCACTTGGAATGTAAAGACCACCATTATCTTTACCTTTGAATAGCAAACTTCTCCTTTTGTTTGATCTCGCAGGTTCACCTGTGAATGTGCAAAACTTGCGGAAGGAAAGAACTACGAGTACTTCGGTATCGAGTATTATGGCGAGTGCTGGGGTGGAGGTGACAGCTATAATCAGCATGGTGCATCTAAAAAATGTACAATGGTTAAGGAAAATGAGTGTGGTTTGATGGAGTGCAGTACACAAAGGAATAATTCCAAAATGTGTGTTGGAGAAGATTATGCTCTGTACGTCTACACAATCAAACCAGAACGTAAGTGAAATGTAAATGCTTTTACTTTGCCGGCTGGATGCTGAATATTTCTCCTTTTTTTTTTCCTTTTTTTTTTTTTTTAATTTTTGGTTGAGGAAAGATACACGATGAAGATTCTGTTAATTAATTTTATGATTATTTCCTTTTTCAAACCTTAGAAAAGTAGCACATAACCATGAGGTGTTTTTGGTATTGCAAATTATTATCTCACAATTTTGTTAAATTTCAGTAACTGGCACCTTCACTTCACATCAGTTAGCGTGCAATAAACACCATATCACTTTTTTATGTCTTTGTCTTCTTTTTAAAAATTACTTCATTATTTTAAAAAGTCTTTGGTGAAATTTTCCTTAAGCTATGTGATTTCACCTCATTCGTATTCTTTCCACTTGAAGAAACCAAGCCCTTTGCCACAAAAGGTAAATATAAAATCCAAAATTTCTTGAAAATTTTTATCCGTTCTTTGATTTCTTAGTTTTATCTGCGCAAATCTAAACGTAACAAGTTTAAAATCAACATGATACAGATTTCCACTAACTTCTTGTTTTCTGTTTTTTTTTCAGCCCCGAAAATATCTACTGAAATCAGTGAGTGTAAAAATTTTTTTTTTTCAAATATTTTTCTTGATATTACAATGTCTGTAATTAACTTTTTTGAGGTTGTGTTGCTTCACCTTCATCACATTCTTTTTATTTCTAGCACACAAGACGTCTACCACAGGTGGTAAGTATCAAATCAGCACACATGAATTTTTTCCAGTCTGTTGGTTCACAGTTGCATCTTTACAACTAAGAATATGGTTTAAGTCAATATCACATGATACAGATCTCTATTAATCATTCGAATAATACTTTGCCTTTTTAAATTTCAGCTCCTAAAACGTCCACTGCAATGAGTAAGTGTATTATTTACATGATGTAGATTCTGTTCACTTTTTTTGTCATACTTTTTACTTTTAGAATTTGAGTAAAGTATCACATAAACATGAGCTGTATATGGTTCTGTTATTAATCCCATTTAAGAATTTTTCAATTTTAGTACATGACTCATTTACTTCAAAGCAATCAGCATGCAATGAATATCCTAATACTTTTCGTCTTTGTCTTCTTCTTAAATGTTTTATTTTCGTCATTTTTATCAAATCTGTGATAAATTTTCCAGAAGTTATGATATTTCACCTTATTCGTATCCTTTACACTTCCAGAAGCCAAGCCTCCTACCACGGGTGGTGAGTGTAAGAGTCCACAAATTGTTGACATATTGTTTTCAGTCTTTTATTTCATAGTTATACATTTACAATTTAAAATATAAACAGCTTAAGAATCAACGTGATGTAAATTTCTATTCACTAGTCACTACGTTTTTCCTTTTCTTTATGTCCTCCTTCTGCAAATCTGTATCAATCAGTGAGGGCACGAATCTGTTCATTTTCTTTTTAAATGTCCTTTCATCATTGCAAAAAGCCGGTGATAAACTTTCCTAAGGTTGTGTTTCTTTACCTTAATCATATTCGTTTCATTTCCAGAATCCAAGCCCTCTTCCACAAGAGGTAAGTTTAAAATTCACAATTTGTTGACAATTTTCCTCCAGTCTTTCGTTTCATAGTTTTACATGTACACCTTGAAATCTAATCAAGTTAAAAATCGATATTATACGCATATTTAGTTAATTAGTCTGTTAGTTTTTTCCTTTTCTATTTTCAGCACCTAAAAAAACTACTCCAAGCAGTGAGTATGAAATTTGTATGATATGGATCCCTTTCATTTTTAACTATTGTCTCAATTTTCTTACTCATGATAAAATTGCCATACAAATACGAATCTTATTTGGTTTTCTGGTTTATCTCATTTCTAATCTTTTGAATGTTATTAACTGACAAATCCACTTCAAGCAGTAAGCGTCAAATAAATATTATACAAGTTTCTCATCGACGTTTTCTTTTAAATGTTTCGTCATTATTTTTAAAATCTAAGCAAGTCTCAACTGAACGTGAGGAAGATATTTTCCCCAGTTATCTGTTATGCTTACGTTTACTAGTCCCCAATTCGTCAATGAATTTTAAGTGAGAAGTATTTACGTGTTATTAAGTACTATTTAAAAAGTTATTTCACACATTCCCAATTGCAGTGTCTCCATCATTGCATTGCGCAGTCAATATGGGAGTTATTTTAGATGCGTCCCTAAGTTTCACTAAGTGGCAATTTAAAAAGACGAAGGAGTTTGTCATGGATCTGGCTAGAAGCATTGATTTGGAGTCAGGCGCTTCACAGTTTGGTCTTATTACCTTCAACGAAAAGGCGAAGTTGGAATTGGCCTTTGATTTGAGTCGTGGAGGAAAGCAAAAGCTCTCTTACATTGGTCAGAAACTCGACGGCGTGGAACTGAAATGGAAATCAAGATTGGACTTGGCTCTCAAGATGGCTAACAATGGTTTATTCACCTGGAAAGTGAACAAGGATGGTAGAGACAAAGTGTTGATTATTTTGGGCGATGGAAGATATAAGTCGAAGGTCTACGATTACGAGCCTTACGTGAAAGAATTAGAGGTTTGAACGATTCATTAATCAAGGATGCTACATCAGCTTTGTATAAGGCCCTTATAAGCTTTTCGGCGACTCGTGATTAAGCGTGTTAACCGCAAACCGTGAAACGGGACATGAGAATCTGAGTTCTTCATCTTGATGCGGTGACATGATCCTTTCTCGCAGAAACTGCTTTTCTCGTTCCAAGTTTCTCACACTCAAATAAGTCATCCTTCAATAGCTGAACATAGTGTAAAAACGAGATAGGTGAGATAGACAGAGAATACAGGAATAAACTCTCCTTATACTTTTTAACGTTTTTTGGTCTTTAAGGAAAAAGGGGTGAAGATACTTGCTGTTGGAGTCGGATGGCCGAACAAGCCAGTAAAGAAAGCGGTTTTCCTTCAAATTTTGTCAAACAACGACAAAAGGCTTTTCGAGGTCAATGAATTAAAAAAGCTACCCAGTCTCTTACCAGCTATAGTGCGTGAGAGTTGCAAAGGTAAAGATGAGCCCTCCGTTCTACTGCTCAACATTATATTTCAATCGCGAATCCATAGCGATATACTATCGTTACTCGCTCTTACCAAGCGCTAACCCTCGAAACCTCAGCTTAAGAAACTCTTTTCAGTGGCCAATTTACGTCATCAACTCATTTGATCAAACCAATTTTCTCTTGTAAGATCCCCCACTGACGAAGCGCCACAGTGTCTTTAGGTACCTACCTCCTTAAGACAAAGTAAACTGCCTACAAGGCGATAAGCCACATATATTCCAAAGGAACAGCCTTTTGAATAATAGTATTTGATATTTTTTCTTGATACATGTCATGATGTCTCCATCTGTTGCTCTCACTTATAAAAAAAAAACTTAAAAACTATCTCAGTCTTGTAACTGCACCCTTATACGAATTTTCACCTATGACATCCTTAGGCACAGGTTGCAACAGAAACTAGAGGGGTGGTTACCTTTCCTTCGATCTCGAGAGGCATCTTTTAGTTAAACCTGACTTAAAACTGAAAACCATTTCAGTTTTTTTTTTTTAAACGCCGTGGCTGTAAAGTATCCCCGCACTCGAACTCTTCAAATTATCACATTTGTTCATTGGCCGTCAAGGGGCTAAGTTCGTATCTGAAATGTGCTTTCTCCGCAGATGCTAATCAAAGTTCATTTTTTTTCTCTGTAGGCTCGAGCAGTGCCGGCTGATAAGACTTATCAGTAGATTTGTGCAGGGGTTTAGAGGACAAAACTACCTCGCTGCTATTGGGTATACGAATTTTTGGGATGAAAAATAATCAGTTGAACATTTCAAACTTATATGTAGCCTAAAGATAATAAAATATGAAAGAGCATTGAATTATGGTGTTGTCATCAGTTTTTTGAGTCGTACATCAGAAGTTTTCCTCGACTTTACAAACTGCATGGACAGGCCTTGATTCCAACCTGTGTCGCTTAAGGTTTTTGCGTCCTCTACCGTATTTGTGTGCACTTTACCTTGTCCTTTTTTGTGTACTGAGAGATTAGCCGCGAAGCCGTGAAGGAAACTATCTTCCGTCTTCTCACCTCTTTCGCGCACACAAAACTGCCAGCTGTATGGGTTACCCTGAAACTTTCCAACTGCATTCCTAGAAAGGTTCGCTAACAGCATACTAATAGACGGTTCACCAGTAGCACATTCCTTACTGATGATTTTGATGATTAATTGGAAATCCAAATGGACATAAAAAAAACAACAACACTTGAGAGACGTAGAAGTGAGAGCCGAAATAGTTGCGGAGTATAATGAGATGTGTAGATCGTGATTAATATGAAGGTGGTGGTTGGGATCGATTAATAATCTACCTTAGAGAAGAAAACAGACGATATTTGAGCACAAAATGCGATTAGTCAGGCTCTCTATTTTGTCCCAATTGGTATTTCAAGACTTGTAGTGCTGATCAGGTGATTGTGGAAATACGCTACTAATGTTCAAACGCCGCCAAATGCCTATTGAAAGTATAATGAAAGAAAAAGAGATGCGTGTACACTTAAAGTTACCAAAGCAATTACATTTAGTATAAATCGTTTTGAGTGAAAACCGAGAGAATAAGAACTGTTTATAGTATCTTGATAAAGATTTAACTCCGCTCCGCCTCGCTCAGCCCCGCTCCTCCTCGGTCAAAACTTCGTCAAGCGCGTCGTCAAGCGCAAAAATATTTCTGACATGCGCAAACTACTACTCTAGATCGCAACTGATATGGCGGAAGGGAACACTTCTCTATCGCACTTGCTACAAACATCGCAGGAATTAATAGCTTTGGGGACGACACACGCCACTGCTATTCGGCAGAAGTATGAACAGTTTGTCTTACACAATCCAGAGACAATTTCGACGGTGGAATCCATTTTGCGAGCGCTGTCGTACATGCTTCCAGGACGATTCGGAGCGTCTGAGGCACTGTCTGAGCTCGTATTTTCAGCATCGCAAATTCTTACGCTGCTAAACGATTGCATATTTCGTGAAGGAGGAAGCAGTCTGGCATGTGATGTGACATCTTCCTGGAGCAAACAACGTTTATTGTTGTGGCTGACTGTCATTGAATATTTAGAGGTGTTTATCGAACTCGGCGCCAGTCGTTTGTGGGGTGAAGCAGGAAAGTGGATCATTGTCGTGGTTTTACAAATAGCCAAGGCTGCTTTGAGATTCGCCTTACTATTCAAGTATAATTCAGGAATTCAACGAACACCTCTAATTCCACCCTTTGATCGATCAAAACTGGTGAAACCTGAGGGAGTGGATCGTGAAGATCCTGACACTTTGAGAAAGGTTGAGATTTTAGACGAAGCGGTCCCAAATGACGAAAGGTCACAGACGAACGGCCATACAGGGCCAGTTTGGCGAGGGCCTAGATCAGGAAGGGTTGTAAGGTCCCTTGGCGCCACACCAAGTGGTCCAAATCGTTCCTGGAAACTCCCAGAGGGAACCTCTAAAACCAAGACGGCCTCTCAACCAACCGATCTTTCTTCTAGGAGAATGGTAGCTGAGAGCCTTTACATCTCAAGACCCTTGCTTCACGTCACAAGTATGTTTATGTTTGGACAAACCTCGTGGAAGCCGTGGTTGATTTCTTGTGGAGTAGATGTCACATCATTAGCTCTTATGGGTGATTCAAGTGAACTAAATGATGAGGAAAAATCAGAATTGTCCAGAAGAACATTTCGGCTTCTCTTTTATCTTTTGCGATCTCCATTTTATGATAACTACTCAAAGACTAGGATTCTAAGTTTCCTAAAATTTATGACAGGGAATGTTCCTGGGGTTTCTCTTGTGCTTAATCCTTTGCTGGACTACCTTCCAACTTGGCAGAAGATTTATTTCTATAACTGGAGTTCCTAAAACTTTGCGAGGGGATTCTCCATCCAAAAGCTGTTCTAACAGGTGTCCTTGTTTTGTTACAGTTTTTGACTAGATTTTAAATTATCAATCTACAATCAACTCCCAAGGACACAAATGATTAACCCTTTCACACCAAGGAGTGACTAAGCATGAATTTCTCCTCACAACATCCAGACATTTTCAAGCAGAAAAGCAATGAGAAGTGAAAAAATTATCATCAAGGAGGATATTACTTCATTCTTAGATCTAAAACTGTAGGCAATGAATGACAAACAGTGTGAAAAAGCTCTACATTATCTAGATCAAGGGAGTGAAAAGGTTTTAACCCTTTACACCCTAACATCAGTATCCATATTCTCCATACTCTTCTCAATACATTCCCTTTAGTCTGGACAAGGAGAATTTGTTTTACAATCAAAGGATCTTAGGTTGGTGATCATTTCCTTTATTCTTCTGATATAAGTGAATGACTTGGCAGAATTACTGCAAGGAGAGTTTGGATGCTGGTCACTCTTAGGGTTTAAAGGGTTAAGAGAAATTGAAGAGGAGTTGAGAGCAAATGTGGGGAAATAAGTTAACCCTTCAACTCCCATGAGTGACTAAGTCAGAATTTCTCCTTACAATATCAATACAAAATCAAGAAGGCAAGTGATGAGAACCGAGAAAAGTATCAGTTAGGGGATTAGTAGTTGATCCAATACTAAATTCTCAGAAGTAACATCAGAAGAATTTTATAGTGAACAGTAAGGAGAATTACTAAAAAGATCTTGGGAGTTAAAGGGTTAAAGATGGTGAGAACTGTATTCCTGTTCATGTAGTTTACATCTTCATGAAATTTAATCTCATTATTGAAATGGTATGAGTGAGAAATTACTATAAAAGACAGTTCAATACATGATACTTTGGCCTTTGTTGATAACCATTGGTGAGCCTCAAGGTTTTGATGTAAATCTTTTGGAATTTTCTCACTAATGTTCTCATATATCAGTAGTTACTACTAACAGCTTATTTAGATCATCTATAAACAGGGTTGGTTTAATTTAGAATGGTCCAGTGCTCTACAGAGAGTGTTTCACGCATTATTTGACCCTCAAACTCCTAAGAGTGTCTAGCATTTAATTTATCCGATGAGAATCAACCCTGAATCAACCATGAAGGTCATGAGAATAAAGGAAATGATCTCAAACAGAAAAAGCTCCTGATTACGAGACAACTTCTCTTTGAAAGTACCATAGGAAATTTTGGGAGATCTTGCATACTGATGTTAAGGTGTACAGGGTCAAAAACAGTTTATTCACTTTGGTGCTAGTTTAACTTAACAGTTGTATTTACTTGGAGTTGTTAGCAAAGCAAAGTAACATTGTTTCTTAAAATAATTACTGCTCATAACTTAAATACCTACATGTAGTTTAGGATGAAAATATTGTACTTTCAGGATGCCTTTATTGGATATTAAATCCATTTTTATGAATATGTAGAGAGAGTATATTCTACATCCTTGGATACCAGTTTAAGCTATTTTTGAATGATCACCTTCATGTGGGGTCACCCCTGGTGGGAGATATCCCTGGATGGATCATCTCCCTCCCCCCCTCCCCCTCCCTATCTCCACTCCATTTATCAAGGGAGATTGGAGTGCTGAAGGCCACTTTTCTGATAAGAAATATAAAAATTATGATTACTTTGTTGGGCAATGTGGCCCATTTTGTGGGCTGAAATGTAGATTTTGGCAAAACAAATTTTAGCTCACCAGAAGCCTCACATGGGTGTTCAGACTGTTTTGTTGTCATTTTGTTCAGTTGTTATCTTTTTGAGTGCCCTCCAAGTGATAACGATAGTAACAAAGTTTATGTTCCTAGGCATAAACATGTTTTGGGCTCTTGTCAGAGTCAATTAAATCCTGGCCTAACAGCTCTTAATAAAATGACTCTGATTTGGCCCAAAACATATATGTTCTTTTCTTGATTGATCTCATGATCATAAGTATGCCCTCTTTTTGTGAAAGTTAGGATGGCTCTTTAGATATTTTTGAGGAAATAGAGTAGCCCTTGTGAGATTGATATTAGTTTATGAGATTACTCATGTCAAGTATTGCAGGAAACCCAGTTGCCTTTCCAATAAGGTGGTTTTGAATTATGGAATATTAAAATCATTAGTCATTAATCTTAATGGTAGTGAAATTTGATTTGATTAGTTTTATTTCAATATTATGAAATATAGCAACAGGTGATCTCAGACTGGCACAAATTCAAACCTGAATTGAATCTGTATGACATGTTGCAAGGACAAAGATCATTGCGAAAGTCACATGAAATGTTTTGTTGCTGAAACTTGCCTTGAAGTTAGCTAAAAATTACTTTCTGTAATTAGAAATTTGTTAAGTGTAGTTTCTTAGAAATGAGTTCCTGATAATAACAGAGGCTCTCACTCAGAGCATTATACCACAACCATACCCTACTAAACAAGATGATTTAATTTAAATTCTTTTTCAGTTTGGAACTTAAATAAAAATGTTAGAAGCTTAGGCAGCTTGTAACGTAATCATGAGAACAGGCTAGTGGCCAAAGTTGTATTTGAGGGGTGAAACAAAACTCTGGTTTTAAGACTTAAGGTAACATTTTCATTGATTGGGTAGCTCCAAATTCCATTTACCCTTTCAACTCCCTTGGGTGACCAAGACAGAGTTTCTCCCTACAATTTCAGTACAAAAGTAAGCAGGCTAGTGATGAGAATGAAGAAAATATCAACTAAGAGATTATTCACTGATCTAGTGCCCAACTCTCAGAGCTAACCTTGTGAGAATTTCATGGCAAACAGGTAGGAGAGTTACTAATGAGATTTTGGGAGCGAAAGGGTTAACAGCCGTATTAGGGAATCTGGCTAACAGTGAAGAATACGCTTTGTAAGGTCATCCTTGAAGTTTAGGAGTTGAAAGTACGAAGGTGGATTGGACTTCATATCAGATTGTCTTCGATTAAAACTTTCAGTAGTACCCTTACCCCACCTCCTGTGGGGAAGAGCACTTTCTTTGACTGCCACCAATGTTTGAGACCCACCACATGGCAAACACGTGCTCTGAAGAGAGAAGCCAGGGAAACGGAAGAGTGAGAAGAGTGTTGACTGAAATCTTATTTGCTTGACTAAATTAATATTATTGAGCTGAACATTCAACCGTGTTTGGCGTTTTTAAAATCCTCCCTTTTTTGGTTCATTTATTTCATTGAATTCCAAGTCTTCAACCTATCCCACAACGCAGCACGTATTCTAGCGAAGGAAAATAGGTTTAACGACTCTAAAACGCCCTCAAAGTGCATTGCGTGACAAGATCAAACAATGGATGCTAGAGAGTCTAATCACGCACTGTAGGTTCCAATTTTGGAGAATTGATCGGCGTGACCCGTGACCACGTGTACTTCCTAAGCTGGACAAAGAAGATTTCTTATGTACATCTGTTCCGTGAAAACAAAAGATCTTTAATATTCGTTTTCGATGGTGCACGTGGTTAGAAGAAACCAAAGTCAATTTTTACCTGTCAGTGATCGAGGGGAATACATAATATTACGAAGTCAAACTGACCAGAATTGAGCTGTTTACGGGAAGAGTAGCCCAAGATTATTCACGGAATCTAATATGAAGAGAAATGGAAGTGATAAAGAAAATGAACACAATACGAGAAGTCCAAATTTTGGTCTAAACGCTACAGAAAAAACCCGCCGTGACGGTGGGTGTTCGTGGTTAGTATGTTTGGCAGGATTTCTGATTCAAAGCATCGTTGGCGCACAAGGGAATATTTCCGGAATAATTTTCTCTGGATTGCTGGATAAATATAATGACAATAGCCGAAGTCAAACTGGTAAGTTATCCTTTTATTGGCTTTGGTAAAATTCTTATTGTTGATAGAGTACTAGGACGAGTGAAAACTGAAAGCCATGGGGCTAGACATCGCAAACCTTCAAGAATACCAAAAATATATCACAGCTTGGTGAAATGTGGGTACCGCGCACGACATGTTATTGTGCCTATCACTCCAACTTACAACATGAATGGAACTAGCGGTAAAGAACATTAAATTTTACATAAAGCAAACCAAACAAAGACTAATCACGGGACTACACATTAAGTGTCCTCATATCATGACGCTAAATTTGCCGATTATGGCGTTTGTTTTGCATGTCACGCACGTCTTTAGGTCGACTTATTATTGGCACCAGTGGGGCGTTTTTGCAGTTTTAAAAAGTTTTATCTCAGACTGGTCAGATGAAGATCAGAATGCTACCAGATTGTCTACAAGTACTTGAATCTTCATTACTGAATTATTTCCCTATACAAGGATTGTATGAGAATCTGTCGTCGTCTCTTGAAAGACGTGTGACAACAGACACCTCCTACTCTAAATGCAAAATCGGAAGGACATACGGAAATATTTGACAGCACTTTCCAGTTTGCCATTAATTTTCATAAGTACAACATCAGATGTACAGTTAAAAATATATTTACAAATTAATTACAAATTATATTACAATTTAGGTAAACAATCAACTTCTTTCGTTGCCCTTGATATCAGGAAATATCTCCCATCTAAATGGTCCATGTAGCATGCCAGCTCGCTCTGTAGGTTTAGTTATACAGTCAGGGTAATTTTTTATTATCAACTGAGTTGATAACGTAAATTGGCCACCGTTAAGAGTTGAAAAGCTGACATTTCGAGGGTTAGCCCTTCGTCAGAGCGATTGGGTTTTACAGCGACTAGTTATACAGTCAACTCACTCGTTAGCAGACACCCTCGGGATCTGGAGAAAGTGTCTGTTAGCAAGAACTGTCCGCCTACGAGAATTGCTCTCCTAGGCAGACACAAATGAATATCAGTTGATATTCTCTTAGCAGACACCAAAGAAAATACGGTGGTTGTCCGCTTACAGAAGAGTGTGATGTTTGACTCTTGTTAATGTTAAACGAACCGACAGCTTGCTCTCTATGTATGAAGATTTGACAAATTCGATAAGCAATGTTTTGTTGCTCTATCAAAGGTTACATTTTTTTTATTTTCAAATTCTATTGGCCATAGTCAGTTATTATGCATTGGGGTGTCCAGCTTACGAGAGAGCGTAAAAAGAAAAATTATAATTTTCACTTTAAAAGGGTCCGCGTCCGCTTAGGAGCGAGAATGTTTAAATAAAGAGTTTGCTAGGGAGGCAAAAACGGGAATTGAAAAGAATGTCCGTAAGTAGAACTGTCTCCTTACGAGAGGGTCCGTTAGCGGAGAGTTGACTGTTATTTCATTGCAAATGTGATGACTGAAAAATTTTGTGTGATGATGAATTAATAATTTAATGAGCTAAGTAAGGAGGTTTTTCATGACAATAACACGACAGCTGCATTAGTTGATATAAGTCACGCGAAATCGAATGCGACAGGAAGGCCTCTGTGATTTGTTTATACCAACCTTACTTAGAGAGTTTGTCAGGTTTTTAGCCTGCAATGTTCTTTGGATTTCTTTTTGTAGTTGTTTGTTCATGACGTTGAGTACTTATCTCCTCAGCTTGGGTAACCGCTATCGCAGTGGGCGTATCAGAGATATTTGGAATGATTCCCGCCATCCTTGGTAACCGCTTTGGATTTGCCAATGTCATCATGCTTGGTGGAGTGATATGCGCAGTTGGAATGTTTACCTCGTCGTTTGCGCCGAATATCTACGTACTTTATTTAACTTACGGTTTAGTCTGGGGATTTGGCGCGTGTCTCTGTTACCTTGCTACTTTGTTTGTACTTCCCCAATATTTTCACGCGCGAATCGGCTTAGCTAATGGGATTGTATTTTTTGGCGCACCAGTTGGTACTTTAGCTCTAACTCCATTCGTTGCTCATCTGCTGCAAAGTGTTGGGTTGGCCAGAACGTTTCAAATATTAGCTGGGATTCAGCTTGTAATTGTGTGTAGTGGGTTTATGATCAGACTTGTTCCCCCACCTTCTAAATCAGACCAACTGCACAGCGAAAGTGAAAGAAAAAGTGGGTTTGACTGGACAATATTCAAGAACAAAGGTTACATGACTTTTGTAGTAGCGTTATGCCTCTTTATGCCCGCCTACTTAGTGCATGTACATTTGGTGAGTCATCTCCGTGATATCGATGCTTTCTTCAGGTTGTTGAAACTCTTTGCATAATAGATTCCTTGTTGCTATACTTTTGTTCAGTAAGAAATCCCGGATCTCGTATCAAGGTTTTCAAAGGTCTAAAAAAATTTTGGGGGGTAAATATCCTCTGCTTTATGTACTAACATAAATAAAGCGAAAATGGGTATGCATAGTATTAGGACGTAAAGACAGCAGAGTGGCCTTTTAGTTTGCAAGACATGTATGTCATCTTCGCGATTTTAACGGTTGTACATTTGAATTTATATGAGATTGACATTAATTTGTCGAGTAACAAATTTGGAATTTGAATCGGCCTAGTTAGCTGAGAGGCCGCTCGGGAAAAAGTCTTTCCTCAGCGGGAAAGGGTAGGGGACCTTCTCTTTCAGCGTGCGCTCGCTTTGTTGATTCTGGAACCCTTTTTAAAGTGAAAAATGGGTAAAATTTGGTAAATAGACAACATCTCGGCCACTGCAAGTTCATTTCATAAATACATAGTATTGGAGTGATTTTAAAATAAAACTTGCTGCTCTTCTTTTCCTATCTACAGGTTAGACTTGCCAAAGACTCTGGTGTCGACTCAATCAAAGCAGCCCTTCTTGTCAGCTTTGCAGCTTTTGGATCAGTGACTATGCGGCCATTTTTCGGGAAGCTAATGGACATGCGCTATGTAAACCGTCTGACTGCGATGCAAATAACGCTACTACTTTTAAGTGTTTCTTCAACACTCGTTCCCATAGCAACTAACTACGAATGGTTAGCAACTTACGCCTTCTTCTCTGGATTTCTGGAGGGATGTTTTGTAATTTCATTGCCTTTAACTGTGCAGGATTTGGTAGAAGAAAACCAGCAAGCCTTAGCTCTTGGATCGCTGTTTTGCTTTCGTTCTCTTCCCAAGACCGCTGGTCCCTCGATAGCGGGCTGGATTTATGACGTAACTCACAGCTACGACATAGCGTTCTTTAGTGCAGGCGCCATCACTCTACTTTCCACATGTTTGATGTTCTTGGTTCCATTGTTCCAAGATAGGTCACTTTCCAAACGAAAGGAAATTCCTCGGCTGTTAAGAAACCCTGAGCTTTATCAAAAGGAAATAATTGCAGCAAAGGAAACTTGTTTGTAGAGAAGGAACATCGAAATGAATTTAGAAAGTGGACAGAGACTGATTTCGTTGCCAATTCATTTGTGGTCCCCAGTCGACTCCTCATTCAATTTGTCCTCTGTCGTGAAAGTTCCAGCATATTGTGTAACGATTTAATTGTGTGACAGTATGTCCTATTGTTAAGTTGCATAATTCATGACATCAACGAATGATAGAAATCGGAAGTCCGTACTTGACAGTTTTAATTAGTTCAGATTATCACCTGTCAATCGCTGTACATGAATTGTTTCTTGGTTTTGTAGAACTACCCACCACTGACGCAGCTACAATAACTGAATCACTTCTCGAGAACCTCAGTCAATGGGGGATCCATCTCGATCGACTACGGGGGATGGCTTTTAGTGGCACCTCTAACATTAGTGGGGAACGCGCAAGTGTCCAAGCAAGGATAACAAGGCGCTATCCTGACGCTAGATACTTTTACCACCACTCGAGTCCCTGTTTGAACCTGGTCGTTGTTGCCAGCTGCAATAAAGTACAAAAAATCAGGAACTTTATGATAACATTTGAAGAGCTGACCTTCTTCTTTTCATATTCCGCTAAGAGAAGGGAATTCTTAAGGAGATATTAGTCACTGCTTCCGAAGTGGATGACTTTTTGTTCAACTACCCAAGAGAGGAGCACGAAGAAAGCTTATTCACAACCAGCCAACACCAAGAGAGTCTACCAACTCTGAGTGATACCCGATGGCTTTCCAGGGTAGATTCCACGCTGTTAGCCAACTACCCGAAGATCTATTACGCAGTTGCCGAAGTGGAGACAATCCACGGGCAAGTATTCACATGATGCCTGTAGCTTTCTTCATGCCATGGAACAGTTAAGCTTAATTATGTCAGCAGTCTTAAGTCAGCACATATTGGGGTATACAAGACCTCTTTCTGTCCTCCTTCTGTCGACGACATGTGATCTAATGAAAGCGCACACGGAAGTCAGAAATCTAGTTTCCGTTCTCGCCGGAATAAGAAATGAAGAGAAAATTAAAACGCCGAACGAGCGAGCAATAGGAGTCACTAATACTGTCGACGTTAAACCGTCAAAGTCGAGAACTGCAATAAGGCAAATGCATCGGGCTAATGCTAATACTCAATCTACCTCTGACTGCTAATGGTATGTGTCGCCTGCCAAAAGAGAGCATGCATATTTGCGTATGTGTGTGGGTGTGTGTTATATATATATTTTTTTTTTCTATGATTCCCTAATTCTAAGCGGACGTGATAAAAACATTTTTTTGTTTGAAAGGTTGAATCATTACTACCCCTTCTTGGATAATGTAATCAGTTGGGCTTGTTGCTCAGTTGGTAGAGCACTGCACTGGAATCTCAGAGGTCAGGGGTTCAACTCCCGTACAAGCCTGAATTTTTTTTTTCAGGCTTTATTTTCATTACCGCTCAAGTAGTGTTCGCTACTTCGAAGATCACTCTCGTCTTCCTTTATTAATCTGCAGTTCAGATATGTGACATTCATATCTTCACAGTTGCTTTAATAACGATTAAAATAACGATAAAAATGATTATGACAACAATAATATTAATAGTAATGTCTTCAGTATTCCGTTTAGATAAAATAGTCATTCATTTGGAACTTTGCTTTATCTCTGTTTGCTGAAGGATTTTCGGTCGTGCAGACCTCGGAGAAAAATATTCCCGCATAGAAGTTTCTCTCCGAACGGATGAAACACGCGTCGAGCCATCTGTATCCGATTTTATACTCTGAAGTTTACCTGGTAAAAGGCGAATCGTATAACCATAAATTCACTTGAGGTATCTCTTTTGATTTGGTCGAGAAAAAAAAGAAAACTTTGCTTTAAGCTTCACGAAAAAATGTACCATTTCAATGTCAAGGGAAAAACTTGTGGCGATAATGTAAGATCAAATATTGAGGTAATGACAAATCTACCACCCACCCACGCCTCTCTAAAATTGCAATTATCCTTTGAATTATCCGATCAGCTCGTGTCTGTCAGGTCACCCAGAGCCGAGCCATCAATTATCAATCAATTATCGTTCTTTTAACATTTCCACACGTGTATGGGGAAACCACAGTCAGTTTTAGCAAGTAAGTGATCGGAGGAAAAACGTCAACTTTTACGGATTCAATGTGAGGTTTTCTAGGAAAATTTCATGAGAATTGCCAAACCTTTTCTTCGCCATCTGCGGCCATTTAGCTGACCACAAGATATGGCTACCGGACATGGAGATGATGAAGGACACGAACACATCACGCGAAGCCCAAATTTTCCTTCGGGCGCCACAGAAAAAGATCGTTTTGATGGTGGCTGTTCGTGGGTAGTATGCATTGCAGGATTTTTGATCCAATGCATCGTTTGTGCTCAAGGGAACCTCTCTGGATTAATATTTACGGCAGTATTGAATGAATACAACAACACTAGCCAAAGTCAAACTGGTAAGAAATCTTGTTTCGTTTTTTAACATTATAATTGTCTATCCAGTTAGAATCACTATTGGTACGTACTCAAAAGAGGTGAAAAAGTGAGCGAGCTTGACTCGACCTCGACACTAGCCACCCGAGCTTGAATTTCAATTTACAGTCATCACACAACACCATAAAGAGTTTCAAAGCTGACGTTTCGATCGTTTTTCCTTCGTCATTCGTCGATAAGAACGTCGAAAAATTGCAATACGCCATGTCAAGTGAGTACACTAACACAAAATCAAATTAGGTAGTGGTCGTCACACGATATAGAGCGGGAGATGTGGATATCTGCGATCGCTCACAATGTTTACGTTACGCGGTGGGCCAAATATAAGGATTTGTGTGGAAATAAAAGGTCGCCGCGCTCACAAACGAAAAAACTGGGTTGATTCAGGGCTTCTTAGCTCGGATTTAGTTTATCTTATAATTGGCTGCCGTGTAGAGTTTCTTGAGCTGACGTTTCGGAGCGAAGGGCAAAGCAAATAAACTAAAACCGATCTAAACGGCCCTACATCAGCCCAGAAAACTCACACGATACTAAGGAACAACCTCTTGAGCAAGGTAAGTTTGTTTTTAGTCAAAATCAGTTCAGATATTTTCGGTTGTGAGATCGACCGTTTATTTCCGTGCAAATCCTTATATTTCCCGCATTGCACGTCGTAAACATCTTTACATGTATACGCAGACTCATCGTGTGAGTATGGGCTCTTTGTGTTACGATTACAAAAGAGATCTCATCCTCTTGTGTGATTGTCGTGTGCTTCATACTTTTTTTCCTTTTACCACATTTCTGTAAAAAGATATGACTTTTCATTCCCTTGTGTTTTCAATCTAATTGAACATGGTCGTTAAGTACTAAAAACTAGCTGACAGATGCTTAATAAATGCTATATCTCCTTTTTCTTTCGTGATTTTCTTGTACATTTTCTGACTGTCAGGCGAGTAACAGTGTAATGAAAAAGTGTCCGGACGTGTGATTTGATTAGAGAGCTCACTTGATTGACAAGAGGACGAACGATACCAACATTGTCAGTGTGCTGAAGGTGCTGTAGACGTAGAGCACCATTCAAGCATCGCAAGAAATTTTTACCAATCGTCTGACACTACCAGATACCTATCCGATATAATTATGATCTAAAATGTTACCTTACCTACGAGTAGTCCCTTCCCTTTCGGTGAAATCCGTCGGAACGTAAATGTCAGGCTTGTGCGTTTCGTCTAAGAGTTTTATTTCATCTATTTATTTATTTATTTATTTATTTTAACAATAAAAACGACCTCGCCCATTCATTCATGCATTGTCAGTGACAGTGTGTTCTTATCTCCTTAGCTTGGGTAACAGCTCTGGCAGCCGGTGTGTCAGATGGATTTGCAATGATTCCTGCCATCCTTGGTAACCGGTTTGGATTTGCTAATGTCATCATGCTTGGTGGAGTGATATGCGCAGTTGGGATGTTTACTTCCTCGTTTGCTCCGAACATCTACGTACTTTATTTAACTTACGGCTTAGTCTGGGGATTTGGTTCGTGTCTTTGTAACTGTGCTGCTTTGTTTGTGCTTCCACATTTTTTTAGCGCGCGAATCGGCTTAGCTAATGGAATTGTATTTTTTGGCGCACCAGTTGGTACTTTAGCTCTGACTCCATTTGTTGCTCATCTGCTGCAAAGAGTTAGGTTGGCCAGAACGTTTCAAATATTAGCTGGGATTCAGCTTGTAATTATGTTTAGTGGATTTATGATCAGACTTGCTCCTTCTCCTCCTCCTCCTCCTCCTTCTCCTCCTTCTAAATCAGACCAACTGCACATCATCAAAAATGAAAGAAAAAGTGGGTTTGACTGGAAAATATTCAAGAACAAAGGTTATATGACTTTTGTAGTAGCGTTATGCCTCTTTATGCCTACCTATTTGGTACCATACGTGCATTCGGTAAGTCGATCTATTAACTCAGCCTTACTTATGCTCTCCATTGTTGTTTTGTTTTCATTTCTTGTTAAAGATTCAAGACTAAGGAAACTGCACCTTCTTTTTGGGGCTCAAACAAAATTTGTCCAAGAAAGGGTGTGTTCCTTCTGAGATTGTCTATATAATACAGTACCAGCGTGCATGGTCAGTCAATATCGTTCTGGGACGCACTGCACTCTCTGCGGGGTCTTTACAGCACATATATAAATACAGAGGAGCGAGTTTACCTTTCTTTTTTCCACTCTGATTTCTCCATTTTTTTCCTTTATGGACAGGTTAGACTTGCTGAAGACTCTGGCATCGACCCTATCCAAGCAGCCCTCCTGATCAATTTTGTGGCGTTTGGATCAGTGATAGTGCGGCCATTTTTTGGAAAGCTAATGGACATGCGCTATGTAAACCGTCTGACTGCGTTGCAAATAACACTTCTACTTTTAAGTGTTTTTACAACACTCGTTCCCATAGCAACTAATTATGAATGGTTAGCAACTTATGCTTTCCTCTTTGGATTTCTGGAGGGATGTTTTGTAATTTCATTACCGTTAATTGTGCAAGACTTGGTAGAAAAGAAACAGCAAGCCTTCGCTCTTGGATCGCTGTTCTGCTTTCGTTCCATTCCCATGACCGCGGGTCCGTCCATTGCTGGCTGGATATATGACGTAACCCAAAGTTACGACGTAGCGTTCTTCAGCGCAGGTGTGGTCACGGTACTTTCCACGTGTATGATGTTCTTGGTTCCGCTGTTCAAAAATAGATCGTATTCCAAACAGAGAGAAACTGTTCAAGTAGTAAGAAACTCTGAGCTTTGTCATATGGAAAACATTGTGGCAAAGGAAACTTGTTTATGATGTAGGGAAGACATATCTGTAGCTTGTAAGGAGTAAAAGAAAAGGGTTATATGAACAGCCGCCAGCCATCTCTGACCCTTAAATACAGACTTATTTTCAAACTGGGTCGAACGCAAACTTTTCTTGTGAAAATAAGTTTTGCTTGGATCACATTAATTAATTATTTTTATATCGCAAGCGTTGTATAACCCTTATTTCAAAGCAGGGGTCATGTGTATTTTGGAAGTGGCTTACTCCAACTCGTGACTATTGTTTCCCTTCTTCTCTAGATCCCTCTCTGTGTGCGCCAGTATTCTGTTTCTGTTAGGTTTTTTTTTACCAATATTTTCTGGCTGTTTAGTTGTACTTCCAAGAAAAAAATTCTACTGAAAGTCGGGCGTGGAACTTCCATGGTTAGCTAACTGTCAAGCATCGAATTCTAGAATAAAGGCAGCTATTTATCTCGATGAACGTGCGAGTTGGAATGACGCGGTAAATCTGTAGTCGGTCGTTCATTAGTGACTGGTCATGATCGCGTGGGGGGAGAGGAGGAGGGGAAGTTAGAGGATTTTGGTTCTGTCACGATAACAATTTACCTGATCTCCCCATAAATTCCCACCCCCTCCCCCCACACACATACACCCCATCCCTCGTGACTGGTCTAGCGGATACGAGGTAGATCTCCTGTCACCTGCTGTTAAGCCCAAAGTCGAGACGTATGTTCGATAGGGATAAGAAGAGTGCGTTGAGATTATTTTGGTTTAATTATAACGAGTTGATATAATACAAATACAAAAGTTTTAGATATTGTTTATCGAGGATATTGTTTATCGAGGATTTCTGTCATGTTCAGGAGAAGGTTGTGAAATAAATATTTAAAAGCTATACTGGATGGTTTTTCTTTGCATTTTATGTCATTGTTTCGCATTCTACAAGCCATCTATGTTATTGATATTTGAAGACCTTAGCTGTGCCAATCAATTATTAACAATGTTAACAGGAACGATTCTAGTTGCAAAATTGCATCTGAAGACACCAGTATTTCGGGTAAGTTAATCAATTCTGTGACCGCTGGATTTAGCTGAGTGGACCTACTTTAACTGTCTGATTACGGGTTTATAGCAAACTGTCCGATCGCGCGGTCCGGTTTCAACTCTACAAAATAATTATTGAAAGATAAAAAAATGCACTAATCACCTTTGAGGAATTTAAAGTGTTCGTGGTTAGGATATATCCCGGCTAGAAAAGGAAACTTGCCATTTTATCGTACACTATAGCAGTGAGTTTGGAAAACCACAAAAGCTATTATGAACACTTTTGTCGACTTTAGACGATAAAGTCACGTATACCTTTGTAGTAAGTTGAATCATGCGCAACTTCTTTTGTGGTTACTGCCGTCAATATCTGTTTGTAATTTCGTGCAAAAGAAAAAAAGGAAATTAGTTGTAAATATTAACGGCAAAATTTAAAAAAATCTTTCGTTTCAGACGTTCTATTAGTTTTGGAAACAATCACACTTATTTTTAATTTATGAGCGCAATTTAATGTCCGTGGTGGAAATTCTCCCAGATGATTAAATTTGCGTGGTTTCTGATAATACATAAGCCAAACGGCGCTCGAATTCGTATCGGCTCACAAGACAAACAGTTACGGACTAACATTGATATTAGGAGACAATCGGATGGTGAAATAATAATACCAAGAGAATATTTATCAATCAATCAAAAGAGAAGTCTGTTGTCTATTGTTATCTAACACCTTGTTAGCGGTGAAACTTTCCTCTGTGGTGTTGACGGTTAGTTTACGCACAAGTTAGAAGCGGTAGATATTTATCCACCTCGTCAGAAAAGACTGAGATTATTGCAACATTTGTCTCTGGTCTCACCTGGTTGTTTCCCCGTAAACTTTTATCTACAAGGACTGCTTTAAAAGTCGAATTAATAGCTCAGTTTATTCTTGTGAACGTAATTTCGAATGCGAAAGCTCGAAAAGTATCGAGGCATTTCTCCCGCAACAGCTGTCGACAAGGAAGACGGGAAAACAGGATTATAAAGAGAAGAAAGAGAGCTTAGATCAAAGCGACGACATTTTGTACCTGCCAGCCATTTTGGACGCTCAGGAACACTGTAGACGAGTCCTGACGGCCACTTAGTTATGATATTCATTAGTTTCTTTTAAATTTTGTTTGAAGAAAAGTTTCAACTTTTACAATAACTGACACACAGTTGATTAACGACGATGGCCATTTTCAACACCACCCTACATTGTACAAAAGAAGCACCAGCCGATGAAACACAGGAAGATAAAGCAGTTATAATAGGAATCGTTGTGTTAGCAAGCGCGCTTATTGGTTGTAGTTTGGCGTTGGTCGCTCTCGGAAGAGACTTCTTCATCGGGAAGAATCCACCAGTGGTCCTTGTGAGTGCCTTGGTCTGGGTAGATTTCATTGGCGTGTTCTCCACTTCAGTGATCGTGTTCCATGGTCTTTTGAAAGGTTCAGAATGGATGAGAGACTCGCCGCAATGCGACTTACAGGTGTATCTTTTGTTTTTCGTTCTCAGAATTTTTTTCTTTGAGGTCTCACTTTCCCTACATCCTTACGAAGCGCTTACGAATTGATAAAAGACCTAACTTTTAGAACCTCAGGGCTTCTCAAAATAACAAAAGCGCATTTTTATTTGAAGTTTGTTCCTGAAAAGAACCCTTAAAACAATTTAATACATTTTCTCCCGATAATTTCAATAAGTGATGAAGAGAATAGCATGTGAAGTCATCGGCTGTGAGTTTCGTTTAGTTATCTGTTTTACCTCAGCCAACTTAGATTATCTTTTTCCGCGGTCCCCATTTACACATTTGCAGTTGTCATGGGCGATGTCTCCCAGCGTAAAACGTTTAGTAGAATCTTTCCCTTGTCATTTGTGTTATATGAAGCTGTATCCTGTTTCAAATCCGTGCGCCCTTGCATCGTATTTTCTGATATATCTTTTTTTCTGTCGGTGTTCCTTTCAACTCATTCTTTCCCTGCTTAAAGTTGTCACGACGATCTATAGTTTGCCATGTTTAACCTAGCAAGTTTAATTTGTTGCTCTAAGCCAGTTAAGCGCCTTGCTTGTCACGTTAAACCGCTAATTATGCTTAATTTGTCAGGAGTTGCTAGCAGGCCGGCTCGGCTTTCAAACATCCTAAAAGACGCAGCTTTACTCATTCAACGACCATCGTATTTGCACGAGCCCGTAGGGCGAGTGCAATTTTGTTAGTCTTTGAAAAAATTTACTCGTGCTAATTTATTCCAAATTGCACTCGAAATCATGTGATTACCTGTTAATCATATACATGGAAAAATACGAGATGGTCTATCATAATTAAACATAAGCAAAGCGCGCGCAGCAGAAATTTTTTTTGGGATCACTTTCTGAAGGAGCTTAGACACCAGGCTCAATTAGGTAACCAAGCCTTCTGATGATTTGTTAACAATTCTATACTCATCTCCCCCGACTGGTTGAAGTGCGATTGGATGGGGACAGGGAAGGGAACATTTTTGTTACTTGCGCGAGAAAAAACAAATGGGAAGTTATCTATTAACCCTATTTTTTTTTTATTTTCGCGTGAAAGAATATTACCTTATCTCGCTGCGCTCCGTTCAAATACGAATCTTCTGCCTTTGGCTAAAATACGCTTTCTTCGTGAATTCTAAACTCTTCTCACGGTCAAATGGAACCGAAGGGAATTTCAAACCTAGAAAATACTTGCTTCTGAATAGTGTCTTAGCTCTGCTCTCGGTGACGTTTTTCCGAAGGACCCGCAAGATTGCAGAACAATCGCAAGAAGTGCACCTCGTTGAGTACAGGTCTTGAAAATGTATTCAATGTTAAAAGAAATCCTAGCAGGCAAACAAAATTAACCTTTCGGTGAACTACGTAATTGAACCAAGTACTTTTTTTTAACGGACCACAAAATTCGTCGGAAGTGTAGTGATCCGCTTATTTACTCTTGACATTAAGCTTATTTCGACTTAATAAAGCAATTGGTATCAATCATATGAAAATACTATTTGACAACTTGATAATCTTGTTAGAACGTCATAGGAAGTTGTACCTTCAAAGAAGCTACGTGTAAAATCTGTAAGGCCTTTTCACTGTTTATAGCGGTAAATTTATATTCACCGTGGAAGCTTTGCACGTCTTAGTTATTTGCTTGATTATTTTTTGACGCTGTTGTGTTGAGCATCCATCTGAAGTGTGCGTGACTGAGTGCTCAGGGTGCAAAGAGTGAAAACGGTACGCAAACCTAATAATTTCGACCCCTCCACCCCTCCCTGCTCCACCCTCTACAAAAATGAGTGGTTTCTGGACCATATTGACTTGAAATTTTACACTTGGTTATTCCTAAATTGACTGATGCCTCACACAAGAGAAAATTATTTTCATATCATATCTGTGCATCACTGAGGCCTTCCATTAATAAAAAGGCTATTCTGGTATGTTCCAATAATGGCTCTGGGTCAGATGCGTTTGCAACAAAGGATGGAAAAAATGAATTATTATTATTATTATTAACATTATTATCATTATTATTATTATTGTGTTCCATACTCTTAACCAAATTTGAAACTTTACCACTCCCCTCCCCCAAAGCAGCTACATGTAAACAATATAAGGCCTTTTTTAAAGTCCTCACAGTTTAATGCCTCAAGGCTTGCTGGTTTGGCAGTCAGTGGAAATGTAATGAAAGAAATACATTCAGTTGGATTTAAATGATTATAATTAGGATTTAAATATCAATTCCAACTGAGCAATGACTCACGATACAGAAAACAAGACATTGATTGCATTATATTAGGTGGCTTGATCCAAATGAGCCAAGAAAGCTTTTTTTTTTTGTTTTGTTTTGTACCTAATCATAAAAAAGCCCCATATTCTGTAATTGTAAGTCATAAAGTGAAATTCAGTACTCTATCTTTATTCAGTAGACCTTACTACAGTTTTCAACACCACCTTAATGGGTTGGTGGGTAGGCATGACCTTGCAGTATTTGTATGAGAATCCAATGTGAAATAATCTTTGTGAATTATATTAGGTGGCTTGATGCAAATGAGCCAAGAAAGCATTTTTTTTTGTTTGGTACCTAATCATAAAAAGCCCCATATTCTGTAGTAGTAAGTCATGGAGTGAAATTCAGTACTTTAACTATATTCAATAGACCTTACTGCAGTTTTCAACACCACCTTGATGGGTTGGTGGGCAGGCTTGACCTTGCAGTATTTGTATAAGAATTCAATGTCAAATAATTTTTGTGAAAAATTCTGTTATGATAAAAATATCAGAAATATGGCAAACGTAAGCAACAGTTGTAAACGTTACAGGAAAAGGATTCTTCTGTAAAAGAATTTTCTTCTTGCAGACTAAAATTTCCTGAAAAAAATAACAGACAATGCAAGGAAAATCTATTACAAACAACAGGGCAAATTAAAGGACAGGTACAGCCATAGCCACTATGAAGTAAGCATCCCTACCACTCCCAAAATGCATTATCAGTTGCCTCAGATGTCCAGGCAGTCCAGGCAGTCCAGGGAACAATTTAAACATTGACTCAGTTTTGTGTAATCAGATTAATTGTTGCTAAGTGCATTATTTCATGACAACGTACTTCAACAAGTTAGGTATACATATAGTATATACCACAAAAGCAAATTATTTCTGGTGTTATCGCTAATTGAGATATCAGATCAAGAAAGTATAAGGTTATTAATAAAGAGTTAAATTTTAGCTGTAAGCTTTTCGAGTTATTGATTTGACAATTTACTGTACGTTGTAAAATTACAAAAGGAAACACTAAATTTAGGTTGTAAAACACTAAAAAACTTACTTACTTACTTTTCAGTCTCAAAAAGTTTTCCTCTTTACTACTTTAAAAATTTGAGCTTGTATTTACTACTCGCCGAAGTTCCTTGTATTCTCTAGTGTGACAAAAAAGGTCACGCAAGCAAGAAAAGGCTTGGGCACAAATTCAGTAGGCTTGGCTACTGAGTTAAGCCTGGTTTCTAAGCTCCTTCAGAAAGTGATCCCAAAAAAAATTTCTGCGCGCGCGCATCAAGTGCAAAAAATAATTTATTCAAACCGTGCGTTTGGTCAAAACAACTGCGTACGATCAAAACAATAATATGCAATGATATCTTCGCATCTTTAAGGTGCAAAAAAGTTCAAAGTCCGGCTAAACAGTTCAAGGAATTCTTCAGTCGGTGTCCGAATCACTTTTGATGAAATGGAATCGTCGTTTCCGAGGTTTAACCATGTTTGTTTTTAATTTCGGCGTTGGATCGCTCGAGCAAAGTGTTAAGCCGGGTCGGCTCGTAATTTTCGATTCCTCGGCAATTCCCTTCTCTAAACATCACTTTTTCCAAACCGACAACCAAAAAGCAGCGCCTTTTACAGTGTTTTCATTGTTTAAGCTGTTTTTCAGCTGCGGTGGCGAAAGAAAACCTACTTAAAATGCCGGCCATTGTTTCGCTCGCTAATTTTCAAATTTTGTTGCGACATCCAAGGCTCGCATTTGATTGGCTATCTGTGAGTTTCTTTGATTATTGACCAATCAGACTGTCTGATTTGTTTCTTTCTTTGCACTGAATTAACCCTCTTCTGCACTGAATTAACTCTCTTCTGTACTGAATTACCTGAAAACTGCATTTATCTTAACCAATCAGAACTGAGTAATTTTTCCATGTATATTATTAAAAAACTAACAGAATGGCGATTGTTTTTTTTCCTCACCAGGCATTCTTCACGACAGCATTTGGATTATCTTCAGGTGCTGTGGTCACTTCCATGTCTTTGGATCGAGTGGCTGCCCTGTACAAACCATTCTTTTATAAGCTACACGCCACCCCTTTGCTTTCGCGGACAATCTGTGCATTTCTCACGATGTTCTGTCTAGCGTTGGCGGCTCTTCCATTCTTTGGTATTGGAAAGTACAAATTCAACCAAAGTTCCAGATCGTTTTGTCAGTTTGATTGGTTCCCAGTTACACTTACTGAAACAGTTAATTCCTTGGCCATAGCAGTTTGTGGCGTAACATTGATTACCGTCATGACTGTATCAAATACCATCGTTTTGGTCATTGTGGTGCGTATCAGACGACGAATGTCAGCGGTCCTGCCTTCGGATATGAATTCTAAACGCCGTGCGCGGAGATTCGCTTTCCGACAGGAAGAAAGGATGGCAAAGTTTGTAGCTTTGGCCTCCATTATATTCCTTTTTACTTGGCTACCAGTAACGGTAAGCTCATGCTCCAGTCCTTTTTAGTTCTAGTCATGGGCCTACGATGCACGTGGACGCCTAACAACGATCGAATTGCCCCACTGACACCACCCATTCAATTTCTTGTCCATCGACAACACCAAAATATCCCGGGATTTGCGAGCGGACGCAACATTCACAAAATTTTTAATTTTCGCAGTTTTGTCGAGTTTTGCAACTTTCATTGGTGTCCATCTTAGCCTCACTTACATTGAACTTACGCTGAAAGGCCTGCAAAATGTGGTAATTTTAGGGCAGTACTCAAAATGTTTACAATTTTTTCAACCCCTCTTTTTTATTATTGTTTTTGACCTGTCACTGAGAATGTAATATATTAGTGTCATGTTGGACCGTCATTGAACCTTACTTGTATTTCTTTACCGATTTTTATCCATGGTTTACCAAGTTTTGTCATCTTTGTTCCTTCTTAATTTTGGTAATTTTCATAGTTTTTGTCCTTTTGATCGCGCCATCCTCGAAACTTAATTATCCATTTTCCCATCGATTTTATATACAGTGTTTCATGCAAAATCAAAACTTCGTAAATTTTGTAAATCTTGTAATTGAAACAAATTTTCGTCCTTGCTTTCGATCCAGTACATATCTGAATTGTTGACAAAGCTACACGTCAGCTTTACCCGATTATTAACACCAGTCATTTATTCGCTGATTTCTTTTTTCAGGTCCGGCTCTTTTGTAACATCTTTCGGGCGTATCCAAGCACCGTAATGGATAACCTCTCCCTCAGACTTGTGATCTTCAATTTCGTTCTGGATCCATTCACTTACGTACTTTTCAAGAAGAATTTCAAACGGAATTTACAGCGCTCCTTAACTGAGCTGTCGGAATTCCTTGCTGATGTTCGTTTGAATAAGAAAGTGAACAGGAATGTATCTTTCAAAGAAGATGATAACAAGTCTGCGTTAGTATTCGGGACAAACGGAGAAATGTCGGCTATTGAAAACACTCGAGATCGTGTTGAAAAAACTTGTTAAAGCAAAGCCGAGAACTTTCCACCGATCTGGCTAAGAAACTGATCATCGTGGTAATATTTTTATGAGTAAGCTGAGATGAAAATAAATTGGTCAAGCACATGCACTGTTCTCTAGTTACGACACATAAACAGAGATATTAAGAGTCACAAAGTCCGTGCAAAGTGGCACTTTTTATCGATTCATTGATGAAAATATCCATTGAAAATCTTTTGTGGGAAGAAGGTCAATATTAGCTAGTTTAGCTTCCAATGTTGGCTAGTTTAGCTTCCCTAACTAGTTAAGCTATAATAATAGGTATGTGTTCCACAGTTGTAGCTATTTGTACTAATCCAAGTCATGTCTCTTTGTAATAAATTCAAAATGGCTGCCGTGACAAATCATAACAACTTGTAAACCGGAAGTAAAGTCATAAGATTCAAGATGGCAGGTGTACACGTTAGTCCACTTGCAGCCGTTACGGTTTTCGGTGCCGTAATCTTGTGACATCTGCTCCCTACGGCCAATGTAAATGAAGACAAAATTGATATAATGGTAAAAATTTTAAAACATCAAGTGCTCGCGGCTATGATCAGTTTACTATTACTGGTCTCACTAGAGTCTTCCATAAGATATTTATAATGATTATTAAGAGAATCAAAGTATTTTTGTATTCGATTGCAGTCTTCACAGCGACTCTCCATATGGTTTGGTAAAGGCATGTTTACCAGTAGTAGTCTGTGTCAGACACGTCAGATGAAGTTTCCCAGGGTTCGTGGCCGTGAATAAACGCATAGTCAGACATTCCTTCAGGAATGTAAACACACTCTTCCTCTTCGCGGGCAGCACGCTCCCAATTATCTTCTCTGTTCCTTTGCACATCATCCAGGCGTTTTATTTCCTTGCATACCCTGCATTTCTGCTCTCCTTTTCTTAGCTGTGTTACACTGAATTCTTCCCTTGGAAATAGTCGATCGCAGCAAGTACATGCTGTGTTAACGACAGGAAAATCCAGAGTTCCTTTCTCGGGGATGATGTCGAGAGGAAGGTACCCGTTTGTTTCATACTCATCAAAGGACCTTTCTGATTTGCCTCGGTACAGACCGACATACTTTTCGGATGCAACTCGAAGACGAGACGATTCCCCTCCATTTACATCCTTCATCTTGTTGTACAACCTGAACATGGCCATGGTATCCACAATGCAGTATTGTATAAGAGCATCCGTCAGTGGTCTCTTTATCCACACTTTCTCATCTTCCTTTAGCAGTTCTTTGCCTTTGTCTTTTACTTTGGACAATTTTTCATCCTGGAGGTACAACTCAATGCAATGACCAAAACCATATAATTTTTCTATTTCGTGTATTCTCTGACTGCGGCGGTTGGACTGAAAACCGCGTTTATTCTTGGTGGAGACTTGGGGAGTACGAGCTGTAGATTCTGAAGGGTTTTCACGGCGATAGATGATTTCAAGGAGCTGAATATCCAAGACTCCTTTAAGTTTAACTTGAAACTGATGCCATAGCGCGTCAGAGTCTTGTCGGCAATCGAACATCAACTTCTCTCGTGAGCTGTCCTCGAGGATTTCGCCAAGTACACCGCTGAAAACGACTTGACCCAATTTTTGCACATCAAATATGTACACTTTCTCCTCAGTTGCTACTGTGATGACGGTGAGGGCTCCCTTCCTGCTCAAGGAATCTCCCTCACAATCAACGGCTAGAAGAGTGTTCCTCTCAGCGATTTTTTGTTTGATTTCAGAGATAGCTTCCAGGAGAACACTGTCCCTATCGACTAATTTGTAATCATTATCAGTTGCGTTTTCGCAAGCCATTTTTATAACAAAGTGGATGATTTAGATCGCTAGAAGTCTAACGTTTGCAAAGATAGGAGAATCTTGACCAGTATTCACAGTTTGTTAACATTAACACATAATTAAGCGATTCCAAGAAAAATACTGACTACTTCCGCTTTTCCACGTAGGGGTGCCACAATCTGTACTCCTCGCTTCCTCCAAAGAGGAAGAGAGAGGGATTCTGGGAACGGGATACATCAGAGTGACGTAACATCCGAAAGCTTCTGAGGGAATTAAGCGAACGTATTACAGATCGAGGCCTTTTTGCAAATGAAATTGCAGTTTTTCTGGAACCATTTCGTATGGACTACAGAGTTTTCACTGACGATAACTTCGACTGCCGGTTAGAAACAATATTTCAGGGGAATGAGAGCTTTCCAGCTGTGATAGTTCAAGATAGTTTCTCCTCCGCCGTACATTGAAGCCTCATTTCTCCTGTTTCTCAATGTTCGCGTCTTTGAAATATGTGTTACTAGACAAAGAGCGGCGGATTTTACGAACTTGGTGGCTGGCTTTGACATCTACAGCTGAGTAATTACAGGATGTACAAGAACATACACAACAACTACCAAGAAATGACTTAACGCAAAATTTCGGAAGAGGCTCGTTGCCTGGTCGTCGTATATTGCGGTCAGCGGAGGAACCATTTGTAAGTACCTCATGTATGGGTGATGTCATGATGCGTCATAATGTAAAGTTGTTTCATTTGATAGGGACGATGGGTAATCAACACAAACATGTTCAAACATGTTCAAACATGCCACGTTGTCAGAAGTGAAAAGTAAAAACTGAGTCTCTGGGAAAGCTTCCGAGTTTCGAAAAGGAATCGAAATTGCTTACAGAGCGAAAGCGAAGAAAATGGAAGGAAATTCATCAGCTGGCAGTACTCCAAAGATGGATTGGCCACCGAAAAGAGTTTAAAGGCTGACTTTTCGAGCGTTAGCCCTTCGTCAGAACGATGACGTAGGGCTAACGCTCGAAACGTCAGCCTTTAATCTCTTAACGGTGGCCAATTTACGTTTCCAAGTCAGTTGATAACACTTAATTACCCTGTTATACTCTTCCACCGACGCAACATCACAGTTTCTTTAGAAATTTACCCCGTTTATTCAAAGATAAGTTGGGCGAGCGGCGATTCACCGATTGCGTGGAAGGCCTTCAAGCAACACTGCCAATTCACTTTTGGCGGTTGTCTCAAGAGGAAAGTGAAGAGGAGAAGTGTAACTACCTTATGTTATGTGTTGGAGATAAAGGTCGTGAAATATACAGTGCGTGGGAACTTAGAGCCGAGAAAGCGAAGAAAATCGACACTGATTACACAAAGAATATGTGAAGCTCAAATTGAACAGCGTTTGCTCGGTACAAGTTTCACCAGGAAGTTCAGCAAGAGGGTGAGTCATTTGAGCAATTTCTCATTGATTTGAAGTTACTTCTAAAGGATTGTGATTATGTCGATCCAGATGAAATGGTTCGAAATAGAGTCATCATTGGATGCAATGCTACCAAAACAAGAAAAAGACTGATTCAGGTAGGTTCAGATCACCATCGACATGATGAAATGTAAAAAAAGCACATTTGGAAAGATTTTAAGTATGGCATGCGAAAACGCGACTGTTAATAGTGTAAACCAGCGAAAACAGAAACCTGGATGCCCTCCAAAGAAACACCCAGTCAAAGAGTGTCACTGAAGTCATACATGTCCAATACACCCAGACCGCTACGATTCGTCTATGGTCGTTGACGAGTCGACACACCGGAAGTCGAATCGTGCGTTAACACACCGGAAGTGGAGGGTGGTAAGCAATGTGTGAAAATTAGTAGCATGGTATACCGGAAGTCGAATCGTGCGTTAACTTCCCGTATGACGTGTCGTCACCTGTGACGAGTAGTTAGATTCGAGTCGAATTGCATCTCCAACCCCCTTTCGTAGTTACTCGCGGAATATTTTGTAAGTGTCTTGCATATCGGCTTCCGGTATAACGAGACGACATCTATTGTGACGAGTCGTTCGATTCGAGTCGATTCGACAATATCTACAACCTCCTTATGTGGCTACTTGTGGTATGAAGGGTCGGCTTTAACTGAGACGAGTCGCTCGATTCGACAACATTTTCAACAACCCTTGACAGTTACTAGCGAAATATATATCTGGGGTATTGTTTACAATAAGGATTAAGTTCCTCCCTTCTATAACCCTTTTTTTCTGGGATACCTGTGGTAGCCCAGTCATAAAACGCCTTTGTTTTTTTGTCGTCTTTTTTTTTTTCCTCCGCCATAAAATGGAAAAATTGCGCAATAGTACCCGGTGGTCATTGGGCCCTCAATACCATAACAACTAACTGTGATCCAATGAGGTGTTCACATGCTGATCACGCATCTTATCTTGATGATGATTGACGTTGTCATGCACGGACAGGGCCTTCACATGACGAACCACGAGATTTTTGCTTATAAAACTCTTTTGTCGGTCGTTTTGTATTTCAACGTGTTTGGATTACGATCACCTGGAGCATTATGGCGCAAACGCTCAAAATACTTACAGACGCATACACAAGTCGTATTGTTCGCGGCCAATCCACACTAAAAGATGTTATTGAGCGGTAATTTTGGAACGGATTGAGTCGCGAACGCTTGAAAGCCATGAAAGCCTTGAATGCCTTGAATGCCTTGAATGCCTTGTATGCCCTGTATGCCAAGTATGCCAATGTCCTAGTTGAAAAACGTACACTTGTTGTAAAAAGCAAAATCTGAAATCTGAAACCAAACTGCATATACTCTATGCAATCTATTGAACAACACTACTACCGTGAGACTGAAGAACAAAACTCAAATGGATGCAAACTGCTTGTGAAGAAAGACGCTATGTTGGATTCACTTGATGCCAGGGAACGTAGCTACGATAACAGTACGAATGGTAATAATTTCACGATCAGAAAGGTGAATCTTATGTTTGTTTTCATTGTAGTTGTATGGATATTCTTTTTTAATAAATACACGATCCAGAATCCTGTGTTTTTTGTGTCTAATGTTATTATGTTAAGTATTGTTTACGCAATTGTCTTGTCACAGGCAGCCCAAGCTCACGTCTTGAGAAAAAGCCAACGATTAATTCATGAACGCGTCACGCGTTGTGTGACTCGGTGTTAAGCTACGAGAGGAACCGTTGAAAATTTGAACACGTCATTAGAAATAGTATGGGGAACGAAATATGGTCGATTTACAACGATAAGTATATAGAAATATAAACATTTTTCTCATAAAGTCAATAAAAATTACTCATACCCTGTGTATCCGTTGTAGTTTCTGGCGATTTCTGCCGTTTTAAGCTTGCTTTACAATCACTGTTATTCACTTCATCTACTTTTATTACGTTGGTAAAATCTGTACAGACATCACACCAACCAACTCGCTCGCAAAGTAAGAAGACTATATTGAAGGCTTGAAATTATATTACGATCGATTTTTATCAAGAACTGGGCCGGGAATATTCCACAATAGTGCAAATAATCGTGAAAGCTGATCGCGGAAAAGCGATTGCGTGACGCTCGATAAGCTGTAAGATGACATGTTATTATATACCAGACGTAAAAACTCTTCAGATTCTCTGTCTGCATTTTGTACCCACTCTGCAGTCTGCAGTCTATATTTTGTATCCGGTCTGCAGTCTGCTGTCTGTATTTTGTACTAATAGGTATCCGTGACACCAATACAGTTTATTTTTGGTTACATTTATTCGCACAACATACATAATCTACCACAAAATACCTGTGTGTGAGGTAATTCGACATTTTCGTTCTTTTCCGCGTTAATACTCTTCTTTCCTTTTGTAAGAATGTAAACCACTTACAATGTTTCAAGTAATCCACCCACCCTACAAAAAATAACTCTTGCATGCATAGCATGCCTATGTTTTGAAATAGGTGTATGCCCTTGGCCAGACTTGAGCTCACTATTTCAGTATACTAGTCCGACACCCGTAGTATCACTACACTTGATTCCAAGGATCCAGTACCATCCAGGTATCCCAGTTACCCTCCTCACAGGGTCTAGTTTAATAATAATATGTTATATGTTATTATTTAAATAAAGTTGTTATAAAATAAAATAAAATAAAAATTTAAAAATGTCTTGCAAATTGACTTCCGGTATGCGTTTCTATCTTATGAGAGATGGCTTATCAGATTTCCGGTATAACGGGATGCATTAACAGCGAATCGACTTCCGGTAGAACGATTTGCAAACTGTCTTTGACGAATCGTGGCAGTTTGGGTGTATTGGACAACCCTAATAAAAAAAAAATGCCTTATCAGGCAGGAGGAGTTCCCTATGTTGGCCATGTCCTAAGCAAAGATGGGTTAAAACCAGATCTAGAAAAGATTCACGCAGTACAAGAAATGTAGGCTCCTCAGAACCCTACGGAACTTAAAACATCCCTTGGATTTATGCAGTATATTGCAAAGTTAATGCCCAACATGGCTTCATGATAAGTAAGTGCGCCACTATGGGAATTGCTGAACAAAGATGGTGAGTGGCATTGGCATTAAGAGCAAGATACAAGCTTACACAAACTTAAACTGATGGTCTCTTTTACTTGGGTCGTAGTAGCCAAACACTTGGGTAAGCCATTGACCCTATCGGAAGATGCTAGTTCAAAGGGATTAGCTACAGTCCTTCATCAAGATGGAAAGCCCTTAGTATATGTATCAAGAGCACTCACGCCAACTCAGCAGCGCTATGCCTATTAGCTATTCAGCGCAGAAATTAGGTTTGTTTGTCACGTCCCCGAGTATCCACGCGTCCCCGAGTTCCCGCGTCCCACGTCTTCGATTCCCACGTCTCCGAGTCCCACGTCCCTGAGTCTTCACGTCCCCAAGTCTTCACGTCCCCAAGTCTTCACGTCCCCGAGTCTTCACGTCCCCGAGTCTCCGCGTCCCGCGTCCCACGTCCCCGCGTCCCACGTCCCCGCGTCCTACGTCCCCGCGTCCCACGTCTCCGAGTCTCACGTCTCCGAGTCTCACGTCACCGAGTCTCACGTCACCGAGTCTCACGTCACCGAGTCCCAGTCCCCGAGTCCCAGTCCCCGTCCTCCCTTTTTGTCAGCCATTACAACCATGTGGCTCTGACTCTATTGACTCGTCTCCTTTTAATTACAAGCCTTAAAAACACGGCGCATGTATCCGAACAATGGAAAGCGTGAGCTTTTTCGAAGGGCCCGAGAAACTAATAGAAGTTTGGTGGACACCGATTTTGGAAGCTGACAATAGCTGCGGATTTTCTGGAAATTTAAGAACTATATCAAGGTAAAGGAAACAACAATAGAACAACGTGATTCAATATCTGGAACTAAAAGTCGACGACTTTGATTCACTAATCTACTATTCCAAAAGTTTTTGTTGAGAAAAATATGTAGATTTTATTCGTAACCCAACTTAAAGAGTTTCAACTAGGGTTTTTCGTGTTCACTCTTAGTAATATTTTTAGTGATTTTGAATGTCTGATTTGCTATTAAGTGATTTTTAGTAGAAAGGCTGTAAGCCATCCAATACCCTTGGGGCTAACCTGACAATACTGAGAATGTGCAATTAGTCTTCTTGGCTTTCAGACGTTTTGGCTATTGAGAGAAAATTAATCTTATTTTATCTTGACACTGAGGACATAAAAGTGTTTTAGCCCCTAGCTAGTGGGAATAGATAAGATAAGCTAGAGGGTGTAATCTTGATACAACATCAAATTCTCTTAAATTAGAAGTTTGGGAGAATTTCTAATAGATTTTGACAGCTAGAAGATTCACGTAGCTACAAGAGTTTACATTATTATGTACTGTTAAACAACTTTGAAATAATTTATATTGTTTTGCATTCTACTGTACTCCCATTTTAATGCCTTTCTAAATTCAATCATGTTCATGTTTTTGCATGATTTTACCAAAAAATTACTTAACCCTGCTAGTTGTTGGTTTCATCAGGCCTGGATAATTCTTGTAGTTAATTCGTTTCATCCAAGTCAGTTGTTGTGTTATGTTAGTTTTTACTGGCACCTAGTCACTTTTATTTGACTGTTTTACTGCTGGACCTGGTTACACCACAAGTTGCAAGTTCTTCTCTATTTTATATAGTTTTTATTGTAGTTCTTGCTTTTGTTATATTTTGTAGTTAGATATCTGTATTCATTTATTTTCAGTCGAATCACATCTTCACATGTAAATGTGAGTCCATTTGGTCAATAAGTTATACATGTATGTGCATTCACTTTGTGGCATCAAACATGTAGAGTTATAACTTTGTTAATGATTGAATAAGAGAAAAGATTTTTACTAACCTGTAGCTATGATTTTTATCTTTTGATAGGGAGAAATGGTCAGAGCTTCTGTCATTGGTAAAATGCACTATTCTTAGTGAAAAAAGGAATGATGACATGATTGCATTTCTCCTCAGGTCAGGCTCTCTCTAAAGGCTTAGTAATGTAATACTTTCTTGCCTAAGTACCACAACTAAATGAAATAAATCATATGTTATAGTGTGGATGAACAACAAGAAAAGAAATGATCCTAACAAGCAAGCTGCAGTTAAAGAATTTGCAGAAAGGTATTATTATTGCAGATTGCCTGTGAGGATGGTTTCTTTACTTTTGTTTCATCTGAAGGTCAACAAGTGATTTCTCTCTTTTATTTGTGATCAGATTCATGCTCAAAATATACCAAATGACACTTTCACAATGTTCTTTTCAGTGAAAGCAGCTTGTTTGTGTCCAAAGAACGTGTCATCCTAAAGACTTGTGGCCAAACAACGCTCTTGAAGTGTATCAAACCACTGTTAGAACTGGCCAAGAATGAGTGTGGGTTGACTGAAGTGCAGGTAGGAACAGGCTTCTTGAACCAGCTCTTACATATTCAACAAAGGAACTGCTCTGAGAAAATATGATTACTTTGTCAGTGGAATAGGGAGATTTGCTAGCCTTATTTTAAGCACATTGGACTCTGGGTCAAGAGATCTGTGTTTCAAATCCTGATGGGATCATTGTGTTTTTGTCTTGGGCAACACTCTTTACTTTTGTGGTGGCTTTCCCCACTGTGACGTACATTTGGATACTTGTGAACTATTCGGGAGACATGACAAAATGCACAGACTAGCTTCCCATATATTAGTTTGGCAACTATTACTTAACTCTAACTGTTATAATCATACTAATTAACATGTATTGAGCATATGAATAGGAATTACAATAAACTGTCGGTTTGTTAGATCTTACAGTCTGAATGCCTTTGTAGGATTTCTTTTACTCGCGCATGAACTATCAAGAACCCAAACTTCAACCTGCTCCTCATCAAACATTTCAACAGGAGGTCAGTATTATTTAATCAATTTTGTTTATAACATAGCTAGTAAATTTGTCTAATCAAATTCAATTGCGCGAGTGTGCTTCATATTCCTATTGTGCACGGACATGATGTCAGCAAACAAATCCCTCGAGAAAAAAATTTTTCATCGGGTTGAAAATGTTATAAAACAATTGGTTCATAGGTCAGCGTGCGTTCATCGAGATACGAAGCACTTGGGAAGTTTGGAGAGCACTCAAGAAGCTAGAGTTGCTCTCGGCTATGCCTCGAGCAACTCTTTTGCATTTTCGTGCTTCCCGCGTGCTTCATATCTTGATGAACGCTCGCTGACGTATGCACCAAGTGTTAAATAATCATCCACTGGGAATAATGCAAGAGTCAGCAGCAGACCATGTTGACTTTTCTGTGGACTTTGCATTTCACTATTGCAATCATCAGTTCACATTCTGCCTTAAACCCTTTATACATCAGTGTGTATATTCTCCATATAGTTATTTTTATATTGCTTTAGGGGCTGAGAAGGAGAATTTGTTCAACAATCAAAGGTTCTTAGGTTGGCAAGAGACTGTTTGAAATGGCTTTAAAGATCTTAAGATGGCACTGCAACCATCTATTAAAAAGAGAGTCTAAAATATATTAAAGTTCATACGGCAACCAGGTTGACAATCAGACATGGTTTGATGCGACTCTGGTTTAGAGATTTAATGAATGTAACCGAAGAAGTTACAATTCATAGACCCAACGTTTCGACACTCCTGTCTAGTGCTTTCATCAAGGGTGATCTAAACGCTGCAACAAGAGGTCCTTTTATACGCTCACTAATTAGCTGCCTTTTTTTCTGACAAGGTGTAAATAGGCGTCAGGAAACAAGCCGCCATCGTCACGATTTAAAGAGAGTCTATTAGTAACTTTGATTTCATCGTCGCGATAAAAAGAGAGTCTGTTAGTAACTTTGATTTCAAATGTTAAATTGGTAACTGGTCCGGTTGCTACCAAGTACTATCGCTACTGGTCCGAGCGCTACCAACCACAGTTCGATCACTGCGATTACGAACTCCAATCGTTACCACTGGGAATTACCAACAGAAAATTGGAAAAAAGCCACAAAAATTTGTAGAAAAAAATTTATGTGGTAGCATTTTAGAGTATATCTTGAGCGATCACTTCACGATAGGATCGATCAAGACGAAGATTCATTCGTGACGAAACACCGTGCTCACTAGCTTCCATACCAAGTTTCTACCAACTTGACTCTAATGAATTTACTTCTTACTTCTTCACATAAACTTCAAAAACTAAACGAATAAACTAAAGAATCGAACTCGACCCTGATTTACCTAATAGGCCGGAGTCCGTTCGCTACCAATGGTTTTTTAGTGCCTCAACATTATGAAGAAGACTATCCCATTTCATGTATCAAATTCGTAGGTCATTGGTTTTATTGATGTGTTAGCTCTTAACCGCCATGACTGTGAATATATGAAATACCATATATCGACATAAATGTGAACTGCGGTTAAAGATGTGAATATGAAAGCGATCTTCGCAATAATGCAAAACTTTATTGGTAGCCAAGGGTAAATCGCGGTCGAGTTTTTCGTTTAGATGTTGACGTTTATATGAGACAACTGTTTCTAATTTATTTCAGGTTACGGTACTTAATCATTTCGTTTTCGATTTTTGTGAAAGGAATGTACTTTAAATGAAGAAAACGTGAACAAACGACTTGTCATGGAGGTTTTTGATTTCACGAAATCGATATGGCGTCGCGCGTCGATCGATTTCTAAATGTAAGATATTCTGATCTTTGGCAAGTTAGAAATGATAAAGCTAAGCGACAACTCCTAAAAGAACATTTTTTTACACTAATTTGGCAATATATAGGTAATAAAATTGTATATTACAACCAACTTTTCCAAGACTAAAATTTTATTGGTATAGCAAACGGACTCTGGCCAAGGTAAGTACTGAAACATGGAAAGGCCTGAAACCACCTAAAACCACCGGATCATGTGTATTATAGGTGGCCTCGGTCGACATATAGGCCGACAATCGACCGATATATCGGTCGACTATCGGTCGACTATCGGTCGGCAATCGACCGACTATCGGTCGATAGTCAACCGATAGTCGACCGACAGTCGACCGACAGTCGACCGATAGTCGAACGATAGTCGACCGATAGTCGACCGATAGTTGACCGATAGTCGACCGATAGTTGACCGATAGTCGACCGATAGTCGACCGATATATCGACCGACTGTCGGCCGATGCATCAGCCGATATGTGCACATTTATCGGTCGACTGTCGGCCGATATATCGGTCCACTGTCGGCCGATCTATCGGTCGACTATCGGCTGACTATAGGTCGACTGTCGACCGATAGTCGACCTATAGTCAGTCGATAGTCGACCGATGTATCGGCCGATATGTCGACCGAGGCCACCTATAGTACACATGATCCAAACCACCTATAATCATCTACAACCATCTCAAAAACATCTACAGCCACTTGCAAAATATCTAAAACCACCTAAAACAAGGCATAAATGTCTAAAATAAGGCGAGACGACAACATGTCACGTACACGAAATACGAGAATCGTACAAAACCTCCACCTCCCCCTGAAATCTTACTCTCCCTGGTCCCATGTATAATCAACCATCTCACGAAATGAAACGGGAGAGTATGCCAATTATATTTTTTATTACCTCCGTAGTAAAAGACTTAAAGAACTTTACGAAATGAACTAACAAGTTACAGAAAAGCGATAAACAGGGAATAATACATGGGCGCGCGTCGATATGGAAGTTTTTGTAATGATGATTCAACGCATTTTTCCGTCTTAAGAGTCAGCGCTCACGCACTCGACAACTGTTATTCGAGGATTGTCGATTCATTTATTTTCATTCATTCGAGGTTGGCTTTTCTTCCCAGAAAAGGGCTATTGTGTCTATATGATAAACGAGTAATATATGGTTGCGTGTAGATATGGAATCTCTTCTCGTGTTCAACTCGACATCTCACTCGCTCGCTGCGCTCACTCGTGAGCTATCGAGTTAAACACTCGAAGAGAAATTCGAGTAATGAAGAAAACGTGAGCAAACTACTTGTTATGGAGGTTGTCGATTTCATCTTTGGATCTTTAAGAAACAAGAAAGAGTTTCCCAAGCTTACGAAATGTTCGTGAGTAAGAAACGAGTATATACCAAGCGAAAAACGCTTCATTTTTTTGTCAGAAACGGAGAACGCTTCCCTTTGTTGTTAGAAACGAACAACATTTAAGAATCTTCACTCAAACACATTTCAATTCCGAGCATACGATCGATTTCTGTGTAGTCAAAGTCTTCATGGTCTTAGAAACCCAGAATAAGTTTCCCAAGCTTACGACACGTCCGTGAGTAAGAAACGATTACATACCAAACGAACAACGCTGCATTTTGTTATCGGAAACGAACGTTTCCCTTTGTTGTTAGGAACGAACAACGCATTTAAGAATCTTCATGGTGTTGTTGGAAACAAAGAGCGCTTTAGTGATAAAAAATTTCTCAACGTTATTGCCTATTTACAGTCTGAAATTCTGATCTTTTTAGTATTTGTTTCTTTGGGCGAATTGACTTTTTTTTTGGGGTTACATTACCAAAATTTCGGGCAACATGACTTCGGGCGAGATGACTCTCGGGCGACTTGACCGGTTACCAGTGATTGCTCAAGTTATACTTTACAATGCTGCAGAAAATTTCATCCACAAATTTTTGTGGCTTTTTAATAAGTTTCATTTATGTTTTCTCTTCATAATTATTCCCAGTGGTTGCAATCAGAGTTCGTTATGGCCGCGATTGGACTGTGGTTGGTAGTGATCAGACTGGTAGCGAAAGTACTTAGTAGGGACTGGGCCATAATTCATTCAATGTACAGAAAGCGTTGAAAACAAAATTGTTTTCTTAATTTTTAGTGGTTATATTTGCAGTAATTAGTTAAGCTGATGTTTTTATCAAGTTTTTAGTTCTTTACAATTCTTATTACCTGCCTGGTTTTCCACCTTTGCTTTTTTTGGGAAAGAAAACTTAAAGAAAAAGAATAGTAAAACTAATTGAACTCACTTGCACCGTTAAATTCTTGCAGTTCTGGGCTAATATACATGCAATTTCATTTTCTAATTGAAAGAATAGAGAGCAGAAACATTCAGCTTTATACTTCATTTGATGACTAACTTTTTAAAAATCTTTTCCTCATTAATTTTGTTAGGTTGAGTGGCTGGATCAGATGTTTTCTGGTAATAGACCCTGAAAATCATTATTTCAAATAACCTCTATTAATCTTATTAAAAAAAGAAATTGATTTAAAGTAATTCAGTTAACCCTTTGACTCCCAAGATCTCATTAATAATAATTCTCCTTAGTGTCTACCATACACTTCTTGTGATTTTAGTTTGGAGAATTTGGTATTGGATCCACTAATAATCCCCAAGTTAATATTTTTTTATTCTCATCACTTGTCTGCTTGATACTGTAAGGAGAAATTCTTTCTTGGTCACTCATGGGAGTTAAAGGGTTAAAAACAACTCTAAATGAAACTGTCTATTTTAAAACCCCTATCTACCAATTTTTGAGATTGCTTTCATTTTAGTGTGATGTTTTTCATACAAGTAAGAATTATGAACTGTTTTATCTTTGAGAGTGTATATAGTCCTGGAATCGAAGGCAATTTTGCTTGCAGTTTTCATTTTGTTCAATTATTACTATTCTGACTCTCTATGTATAGTTTTGAGATCAGATGCCAAAGCAATGAAACCAGGGCCACAAGTACTACAGCTCACTTTGTTTTAATAGAAACTTTAATTTTGTGTTATTTTATTCATGTTGTGTTAATGATTTTCTAATTTTAGATGGTGCAGGATACGCTCTTGGACGATGGAATGGTCCTGACACATGGTAAGTAAGTGCTGTGGTAATAATTTACCAATTCAACAAGTTCTTTTGTGTAGAGCTATAAAAAATAATGTCTGTTTGTCCAAGTAAAGCAGGTTTTCATTCTGAAATAGGATAGGAGACATTGGAAATCCTAAATGTCATGCATCACAATTTCTCTCCCAGGCAAGGAAAATCATGGTGCTCTAGGGAGGCCATGAGAGGGGGGGGGGGGGAGGGAGGGGGTGGAGGGAGAATCTGAAAGCAAAGTTCTAATGTTTCTTATGAGTGGTTTCTCTTAAAATGATTCGAAACAAAGTAAGTCCTGAGGTCAGTGACAAATTACAGACAATGGTCAAGAGTTCTTTAAACTTGAAAATGTACTGACAGTTGTTTCCCATTCATTTGCCTTGCAATGCAAATACTAATTGACCTATGTCCCTTTCACTTATCACATCCACTGTATTTGACATAATACCTTGATCAATTTGTCTTCTTTCCCAGGTATTTATACACCCTGCACAACATCCTTCCTGGTGTGACCCAGCCAGACCAAACACTGGAGATATCTTTAAACAAAAACTACTTGCTTGATGTCTTCTGTCTAGTTTTCTTTTTCTCCTTTTTTTTTTATTTTTATTATCATTTTGTTTCATTATTTTGCGTCAACTTGTCATAATAGAAGTCTTAAATACCAATTGATATCAGAATAATAAAGAATCATGAATCCTTAACCTGCAAACATTTTGATGCTTGATCTTGATCGAGAGGCAATGAACAAGTTTTACAAGTCAAGTTCTTCTAATGCAGACAAAGTGACCAGAGTAAGGACTGATTTTTTGTAGAAATGCACCAGTTTTAAAGTAATCTCTTTTCACTTACAGTATGACACTGTTAGTATATGATGTGGGTGTTCAGAGACAAATGAGGGTTTTGACTTCCCTCCCATTATCCAAGAAGACAATTCTAGTTGGGGTGGATGATTCAACCCCCTTAATTTTAATATGCTTATACTTTTCCTACTGCAGCTGGTTGTTTGGATGTGTTGTATTTTCAAGCTCCACCCTCAAGAAATCTCCTCAAATTCCATATATTCTTTCCTAAAATGTTGGTGGATTACCCATTGTGATTGACAAGGAGTTTTACTGACCTAAAAAAAATCTGTTCCTTTTGGTTGGGAAGATTATCTCATACTCTTAAGTTTGTCTTTCAAAACCCCTTCAACCCCTTAACTCTAACACCAAGTTATGGTTACTAATTTACAAGGAAATGTGTAGCAGCTTAGGAGAGAATTGATGTTCAGATCTTGAGAGTTAACGGGTTAATTTTTCCTGCCTGTTTTTTTCTAGGTCACAGGCATAAGTGAATTTCTCCCTGGAGCCTTAATTGATGCTGCTTTGTTTGATCCTTGTGGTTATTCTGCTAATGGCCTCTTGGATGTGAGTAAATTAAAAAATGTATATTGTGGCCAATCTTGTTAAAATTTTAAGATACTTTGGTCTGTATTTTGAGAAACTGCCCATACAGTTCACATTTCCCCTCAGGTAGAATTTTCATGGAAAGGCCCTGATATGGAAAGGTGGATATAGCCTTTAAACTTTAAACATACTGAGTGTACATTTGAATTTACCTCACACTGAACTAGTCTTTTGTTTTTCTTCAACAGAACAGCTACTTTAGCATTCACATTACCCCGCAGGAGAAATGTTCCTATGCCAGTTTTGAAACCAATGTTAAAGTGGTTAGTCAGTAGGCACTAAGTCATGATTCACACTGTTATTTACTAGTTTATAAGGTCAATTCAACTAAACTTACATCAGACAAGTCAGTTTTTGTTGGTGAGAGATCGGTTGTAAATCTAGCTCATTCTCAATGTGGTGTTGTTTTTCATCCTCATCATCCTCATCTGCTTGACACTGGATTAAACAATACATGTAATGAAAATATACACATTAATAGCACCTTATAGATTTTGCTTATAGGAGGATTAAGGTATTAGTGAAATTTGTAGAAGCTCGAAAGAAGAATTGTGAAAGAACCTTGAAGGGGTAATGAAATGAAAATATCTGATATCTTTCTCACTGACTTCTTATGTAAAACACAAGGTAAAGTTTTGAAGACATATATTTTAACCTGAGGTCTGTAGGTTTTGTCACATAGCGGTTTGGTAAATTCTCGGTGATACAGATTTTAGCAATGTTTTCTGTCCAATTTAACTTATGGCAATGGTCATAGGCCTCTTAACAACAGTAACAGGAATTTAATCAAATTATAACTGAATTGGTAAAGCATTTCAACACAGAGTTCTTCACAATATGATCTCCTTCCATTCTCTTATAGTCATGCTACAAGGAGCTGATATCCAAAGTTCTTAAAACTTTTAAGCCTGGAAGATTCCTCATGACTTTGTTTGCTAATGAGGTCAGTACCACCAAAGGTTAAGCCTGTACAAAAGCCAATTGGCCCATACATTGGAAGCACATCCTGGTTTTCATAGCATGAAGTGACTAGGAGTGTTACTGCTCCCCCCTGGATGGGAGGCCAGTCTATCGCAAGTTTCACCCCCCAGTATTTCATCAGGCTTCCCTTACAATTTGCTGGTACTTATATATACTCCTGGGGGTATGAGGCACTGTGAAAGTTAATTGTTGCCCAAGAGCACAGGACATTGACCTGAGCAGGTCATAGACCCAGGCCATCTTAACCCAGAGTCAAACGCATTAACCATTAGTCCATGGCATCTCCCACAGGTGCTACCATTTTGCTGTCATATCTCCTGCACTCCCTAGAGCTTGAAGATTATTTTTGTGGTGTTAGAATTGTCCCCTTGACATTAACAACTGATTTTACTCAGGGTGCGCCATGTGGCTTTTCATACAAGACTTTTCAAGAAGGATCCATACCTGGATACAAACTGGATGATCTGCAGTTGTCACAAATGAAGATGTATAATCTGACCTATGGCCATTACAAAAGAATCCATGAGAAGCTTCCATAACCTTGATAAGCTGCATCAACCAAGAGGCATACATTATACTCAACTGAAATGTAAATTTACAACAGGTAGTACACCAAAGCTACTTCACAGTCTAAAGGACACAATCCTTATGTGATTTTAGTGGTAAAATTTGACAATGTCTGGTGGTTAATAATGGCCTAACTCTATTAAATCCTGATGACTAATCAATGCCTTGACTGACACTTTTTGACATGAAAAAGGAGCTAAGGAGAATATTGAGCTCTACTTAAGTATCTCATGCACCTCTTTGCTTTCATTATCTTTGAGGTTGATACTATAAAGATTTTACTCCTGAGTAAATGTTTTAAAGCTGGGAGTAAGAGCAGTTTGGGGCCTGATAAACTTCTCATCTAAAAGGCAGAAGAAATTAAAATACCTCAGTCTGCAGGCAAGAAATGCCTCTTACTAACTGAGTTTGAGGTCCATACCGCAAGTTATGGACCAAGTTTTTTTCTGCTCAGATTTATGGCCCAGGCATATATACAAAGTGCACAGAAAGTAAATCCGAGCAGATAATAACAGGGTTATGTAACTTGGAGTACACACTGAGAAAAGGAGTTTAAGAAGGCAGTTACTACATCTTTGAGCTCAAATAGAGGGGGAAGATTACAGTTTAAACAAACCTTTGAATTTAGTGGGCACTACAGTGAAATATTGCCCATTTAATTTACCAATTATAAAAAACATACAAATTTAGACTTCGACTCGACTTCCTCTCAGGAAACATTGGGACTCTTGGGAAAACAAAACTAACTGTTTCCCCTCAGGACCATACATTAAGTGCATAATGTACTACAGAGTTCAAACTATATTTATCATACTTTTCTTTTACCTGGTATATTATGAGTTTAACTATTCTGATATTTATTTGCCAAAGATTATCTTTCATTGCTTAGTGTTGGCCAAGACTCTGATAACTACTACTTAAATTAATATGTATTTTTGCTCTTGGTGTATTGGAAGCATACAGAACAACCTGTAATGCTTCCAACTTAGTGTAAAGAATTAATGGGTTCCTTCATAAGAGATTGTAATGGCCTGTTTATATTTGCAACTCAACAACAAAAACAACTGGTCATTTATATTTTTATTCATTTAAAAATTAGGTTTTCAAATTGAATATGATGTTATCAAATACCTGCCATTAAGTCTATTATGTAACTACAATCATAACATAAAATAAATGAGAAGTAACTACCAGTAACTTACATTCTTAACATTATGACTGTCAGTAAAACTTATCTATTAAACATGTTGCTTATGCAGTCATTAAACTTGACATTAGTTTCCATGTAATGTTGCTTTCTAATATTTAGAGACTTGCTATTTACATATGATTGGTGCATTTTGAAAATGTTGCTATTCATTTTGTAGTTGAGCTAACTATGGCTAATTCTCACTAATGCCTTGGAGAAAGCACAAATATTAATTCTGACTAGAAGAAAAAGCTGAAAGTAATGTATCTTCTTACTTCCAGACAGAACCAGACAGAACTAATTAATTTTCAATGTTCCTCTTTTTAAAGTCAGATTCAACTGGGGGGTTTGGTAAGCAGGCTTAAGTGGAGGGGAGAACTGAACCCTACCTTTACTTCTATTAACTATTTTCTTCCTCAAAAGAATGCTGTTATCCTAGTAGACTGTGACCTACATCATAAATTGTAGAGTGCAATAATAAATAAAAGCTCAACTGCACTCTTAGATAACACAATTAAAATCCAGTGAAACCCTGTGTGTAAGAGAGGTATCTCAAAGAATGTCTGTGGCTGATTTATAGGTAAGACTGTGGCCTAGATCCTCTCATACATTGGCCTTGCCTGCCCCATCTCAAACAGCCTCCATACAAGGCGTGTTTTACTTACAGTGTTTCAATATTAAAAATGTGTATGGAACCATAGAGTTTATATGCAATATGTGAATTTTATAAACAGGCACGTAATTCATGAATTTATCATCAGCTTATGGCCTGATTTGCCTCATGAAATTTCATGGAAACCTCAAGATTTCACTGAAACCTTGAACACAAGAACAGAGATTTTGTTTCTTTTTTTTAAATAAGTGACATGAATTTTCTAAAATTTATGCAAGAAACAGGATCAGAATCTCCCCTATGCTATTCTCAGTTGTGACATGACAAACAATCATTTAACACTGTAATCATTTAACTGTAGTTAACTTGTTGAAGTACAACCAGAACAATAGCCTTCTGTTTGTTCAGGCACACCATAGGCTCCATGAAGGGTAAAACTACCTGGTCCAATGCTGTTCTCTGATGAAAATGACAGATACTGCTCATGGCTCTCACACAGTTTGTAAGCCATTGTTTCAAAAGCTTCTTTCACATTAGTACAGTCTTTGGCGCTTGTTTCTAACCAACACATGGAATTCAACTCTGCAAATTCCTTTTGTGAGTTAAAAGAAACCAAAGAAATAATTACACAACTGAAAGGCAAAAGTGCTGGACTAGTAATGGTTTTGTGCACAAGCCCTCCACCCAGGTACTAGCCAAACACTTTCTATTTTGCCTTAAGCTTTAAACCTATTGGATGCATTTTCAAAATAGCCAACTGGTCTCTGCCTCTAACTGGTTTAGATTTTTAATTACTTGAAAAAAAATCATGTATAGCAAATTATTAAAATTGTATACCCTTATGTCATCTTCATCAACTTCTCTTTTATCCTCCAAGTCACATTTGTTACCCACTAAAACTGTAACTGTATCTGATCCACTGCTGAAAATGTAGAATTTTATACAGCCAGTTAGTTATTGAGATTTGGGCTAACTTTCTGGCCTCCAAAAGTGAAACTTACAAATATTTTTTTATCATCAAATGACCATTAACATGTGATGAGGGATGCAGGATGTTATTTTTAAAGGTGGTAAATCTGCACAGGCACAAATACTGAGAAATTTGATTACCTCTTCTGGTAAAATTCCTCCAACCAGTGAGTCTGGATATTTTCAAATGATTTGCGTGATGACAGAGAGAACACCATGAGTGCGCCCTGAGCACCCCTGTAATAGGAGCTGGTCAGTCCATTCTGTCTGAATCTCTCTTCACCTGCTGTGTCCCACAAATGAAGCTGACGAAAAGTACATGACATCAATATGCATATAATTCAGCTTAAAGCAACAGCAAAATTCAATTGAGTGCTGAGAAACCAAAACCAAAGTAATAAAATCAAAGCATAATTTCCGGGGGTTCAATTTAGTAGGTACAGACCACCTGGAATGATCGTCGAAGACATGATCGTAATAAATTTCCAAAACCCAAATAACACGCATGCACAAAAAAACTAACATTTAAAGCTTAAATATTGGACTGATACCCTTCTCCAATACTCAACTTTAATCCAATGCACATACTGACATTTGTAAAGGGAAGGAAAGGTTTGTGGTAACAATCACCATGTCAGCAATTTCGTTCCTAGATTGTTACCCAATTACTGCACGTTGCCGCCTTTACTTACCTTGACTTTCTTCCCGTCTACTTCCAGGTCGTGGATAAAAAAGTCGACTCCAATAGTCGTAGGAAGTCTTTGATCAAAAACATTTGAGTGAAATCTTCTAATCAGACTGGATTTTCCAACGGAACTATCTCCCAAAACAAGAACCTTGAAAGCGTAGTCATGGTCCGACATGTTTGTTGACATCTCCTAGCGCCCAGTCTTTTGCAATTAATTAAGAGAAAGATGGCGGACGAAGCTGCACGTTGCGATGTTGCAACGGTAAAGACCCGTAAATAGATTTCTTGGCATCGTTTGATTTAGATGGCTCTTCTTCAATTGCAAGGAACTTACGGATATTCCAGAAAGCTGTTACTACGTTGGAGTCGTTGTGGTTTTAGATTCAAAACCAATACCAAGGTACAACAGTAATTTCTCGATATATTATACAGAACACTTTCACATTTCACTTCAAGTTGATGATAATCTGTAATGTTTTGGTCGATAGTGTCTCTTTACTTTTGATTGTATTCTCCCCTAGGAATTTCAGATAACTTTATTCTCCTTACAGTGTCAAAAAATTTCAAGCACATGCGAGAATTTAGAGAAGGATATCCACCTGCAGGGGATAATTTTGACGTGTAACATCAACTTATCAGACCCAATGTTAAATTATGCGGCAGATAGCTTTTGGGGAGAATTGACTTTAAAGTGTTGCACTGTGTCACCATTGCTAAAAAAAGGCCAAGGAAAAACGTATTTTGAGGTTTAATATAACTTTTGGTTGGAAAAAAAAACACCTCATCCATTTCTCCGGAATTAGCAAGCCCTTCACTTAACTCAGAAGAGCGCTGAAAAGAATTCACAGCAAAAAAAATAAAAGATAATGAAAAAAAAAACACAACAGACAGGAAAGTCCTCAATAATGAACCAAAGCTCTAATTGAATCTAATAAACCATGTGTTGCCATCTGAGGTTTAGGCACAGTAAAATGTAAAGAACACAACTCCAGAATAACAATTAAGTAATATATTTATGAGCACATTTTCCCAATTCCCCTGTACCTATAGACTCCTTTTGCAGCTATCATTCAGGTTGTTTTGGATAACATGCTCCCCATTGAGGAGAAGGGAGCATGTTGTGTTACAAGCTCAAATGGTGACTGTGGTAAAGTTGGGTTTGCCATTTTATTGTTACTTTGAAGTTATTCATGGGTCTGTGAACTTTGTTTTAGAATATTTCACAACTGGATAATGATACAGATGGTGCTGAGAGTGAGATTCACAGTCTATTTGTAAATCCTAGCAGGGGAGCTAATCAGGAAGCTGTTTCTTCATTGTTGGAGTCACCACTCTCACTGCAGTACATGAACAGAAATCAAAATGGCGAAAGAATCTACCTTGGCAAGTATCCCAGTGTAACATCAATTCTTGGTCAAACTAAGCCTCCAAACGAACATTTTGCTTTGCTAAATTGGAGGAAAGCTCAGATTTCTGAGCTAGGAAAGAGAAAGTTTAACAAGCAAGCACAAATCACCTTTAGGAAGGGACAACTTTTTCATCAAGTAAGTGATGATTTATAATGCATGTAATAGCTTCACTTAGAAGAAATAAGTGGTTAATTATAAGGGAGTGTGTAAGTGAGTATTAGTAAGTAAGTTAGTTAACTCTTTATTCAAAGCATGCTTATTTTGCAAAATTTTACAAAATTTATGTGGAGAGAAGAAGATCAACTCTCTGACCCCTAAGAGTGACTAGTATCTAATTTCTCCTTAGAATATTACCCCAGAATCAAACATTTAGTTCACTAGAATAAAGGAAATGATCACCATCTAAAGAAACTCTTGCCTATTAAACAAATTCTCCTTGTCATTACCACAGAGATTATATAAGGAACAGTAGGGAGAATATGCCTACAGATGTTAGGGTGTAAAGGGTTCATATCTGTATTTTTTATTAATAGGCTGTTCAGCTGTACTTTAACAGCAGTAATGTACCAGTTCTAGATGAAGGTTCAAGTGATGCAGGATATTGGCAGAGTGTCAAACATGTGTTAAAGGATGTTACAAACATAGTGGCAGTTGAGAGTGCTGTGGCACATCCTTTGTTACAATATGCCGGGACTCTTGACCTTATAGCAGAGTATAAGGGTACACTGAGTGTGATAGACTGGAAGACTTCAGCAAAACACAAAACTAACCTCAAAGACTGCTATTCCTACCCTCAACAAATTGTGGCTTACGCTGGTGCTGTAAATTTTGATGAGAACTATCCATTTCAGGTTTGGTTTGTTTTGTTTTCATGAATTTTACAAGACTTTAGGACAACTCACAGAAATTGTAGGCTGTGCAACAGTTGTTAATCCTTCAACTCCATGAGACAGAATTTCTCCTTACAATGTCATCATGATATCAAGCAGGAACGTGATGAGAATTAAAAAAAAAAAAAACAAATTAGGTAATTATTAGTTGATCCAATACCAACTTCTCCAAATTAGCATTATAAGAATTGTGTGGCAGACATTGAACTGTATGGGAGAATTAATAGATAAATGAGATCTTTGGAGTAAGTGGGTTGAGATAAAGCTTTGATTAGTCTTCTTATGGCATTCTCATTAGAAAACTATAATTAAAATTTTTTCTCACCTACAGGTTTGTAATGGAGTGATAGTTATTGCATATGAAAATGGTGACCCAGCAGATGTTCACTGTCTGTCACAGGAAATGTGTGAATCTTATTGGTTAGAGTGGCTGGCACGACTGCAACAATATAGAAAAAAATTCCCAGAATGTGTTATTAGTGAAACTGATTCAGAAGCCAGAGAAACTAGAGATGACGTGCATGAGGGTTGCAAATTTGAGGCATCAACTGATTCTCCCAGGTCAAGATCTGTGAATAGCATTGGTGTGCCTTTGAAAAGCCTCGGTAGAATAGTCAAAGATGAGGATGTTATCGATGATGAGAAAGTTGTTGATGAAGAGGAATTCCTGTCTAAGAGACGATTTTATGGGTTTTCTGCCTTGCTAGCTATGATCAAATCACCAGAGGCATTGAAAAGACTGTGTCAGAGAATTCTTCAACGTGTTTCTTCCAAGGGGAAAAAATAAGTAAGTTTGGTATTGTTAGCATGAAATGCCTTCCTCACTCTGTGCAGTTTGATTGACAGGCTTGCACCTTAGAATGTTGTCTCTCTCACAAGCCTATGAGGTACAATCCCTTCAATTGAAGAAAAATTAGATAGGAAACTATTTTAGCTTTTACAGACGTTTTTTGCCATAAGAATTACACTCTTTACTATGTGCAATAGCCAAGAGAGTAAATCCATGTGCCACCAGCTGTGACTGTGTGGGTGATAGTGATGTCAGTATTCTGCTGAAAAATGTAGATAATTGCATGCAAAATGCAAATAAAAGAAAGCATGTTTTCAAATTCTTGGGATTGTATTGTATTACTTTGTTTTTCTTGTTGTTGTTGTTTTACTTTTTGTTCTGTTTTGTATTTGTCTTTTAATTTTTACTTAATCAAAAAAAATCATGTTGCATTCATTCCGAGTGCGGTTGTTTGAGACTGGTAAAGATTCTTCGGTTGAAGATCGAGAAAATGAAAGACACAGCACATACAAACAACAAAACTATAAATAGTACCTAGGGTCACTTGTGCTGTTAAAAAAATCTCCGCTATTTCAATGATTTCTTCTCGGCCAAATTTTAATATATTTGGACAGTCTCTCAGCCGCGAACATATTAGCTGACATACCAACCGCCTAAGAAACATCTGGTCAATGTAATATTAAGAGAATAGCTGATTACAACACAAAAGCATTTTCAAAGCGTGCCACACGTGTGACAAGGTCCATTGCTATTTCTGGCTTTCATTAGAACATACCGTAGCCTCTTTTGTAAAGATATTTCTTGAACACTAGCGGGAGCAGCGGATAGAGGTGTTAATCGTTTTCCTCTCGTTACCTTGGACGATTTCAACTTCATAAAATCTGGCGCATGTACTACAAATCTTGTGGGGTGTAAAAGAGATCTCGTGAAGGTCTTAATTTAAAAATGAGGTAAAGGCCACGTGCGCATTTTCAGTTGTTAAAAACTGAACGATTAGTGCTAACAGTTCATGAAATAAGTCCCACTCTCACGGCCATGAACAGATGGCTAACGCTCAAGATGCCAGCTGTCCAATATCGTTTCGTTATTTTTACTGATAAGAAAGACGTCTGGAAAAGCTTGAGTCCTAATATAGTGGACAAGTGTTTAAGCAGCTCTTCTCTAGCAGATAGGGTTACGAAACGTTCAGGGGTTCGTGTGCATTTTATTATCCAATACCTGTAAAGGATTCTGGGATATAATTATTTTACGTAACAAAAGTTGAAACATCTCCCCCTGGCACGATGAACTTGGCACCGTGGACTCGAGGCTAAATTAAGCTTTTGGCTTGCTTCAAGCTGATTGGTTTATTATCTACGATTCAAAACAACCAAATTAGTTACCATCGCCGCCATCTTGAGCTATACGTTCTTCCTTAGAGATTCTAGTGTTAAAATCCGTACCATCTTGAGTGCATCGTCCTTGTAAAACATTTCTCGGGTCCTGTGTCAAGTCTTAAATTATCAATCTACCCCAGGCTCGGCTTTTTTTGCAATTTTATCGAGAAGGAGCAAGTTAAAACGCAATGGCTTGTGCTACCCTTAAGAGGTCTTACGAGTTTGACCCTCTTCTTACGCCTCAACATCAACCCTCACCGAAAAGAAGAAGATGCATTCCGCTTAAACCATCAACCCCTCCTCCGTCAGTCTCAGCGGAATCCCATTTTCGTGGCGCTGCTCCAAGATTATCACAAGGTAATGCTTAATTTTGCTATATCATAGTTGGTTTTACAGCTGAGCTTTTCTTTGCGACGTATAGGGTTCGTTGAGTTTCAGTGTGACACAATCCTTAAGTGAGACCATTTTAAGTTGTAAAGGCGAAAACTTTTCTCAGTGCATCAGCTTCAATGGGGTAACATTTAAATGTTCATTTCTTTTGAAATTTAAGTCAAAATCGAGGTGATCGTTGTTGGGCGAACGTCGTCTCTGTAAGGTATTCTTTGTTTCTTGCGTGTTCTTATACATTTTCAACTTTCTTTTACCTTTTCACAAGAATTACTGTCGGTATTGTTTAAGTTACTGTTTTGTAGGACTAGAGAGACAACTGAATACGTTTATTGATCCCCAAGTTTATTTCTTAGGAACATTTTGCAAAATTTATGTGAGTTCAAAGGTAGATGGTACTGAAATCGATTGTGCTTGTGTGATGACGCCAATCGAGATAAGCTCATGAGGTTGCACATTTCTTTCAAGGCTTTGGTGTTAAAAATGTGATTCGTTTATATTTGCGGCGTTCTCTTATGGCTCTGGTTATATTGAACTCAGGATAATTGTTTTTGTGGGCGAGTTTACTTCGAGAATTCTTGCGAAATTGTTGCAAACTTGAATGGAATTTCACAAATGTCGTCTGCCCACTGCACTGAGACGAAGTTAGAAGAAAGATTGCCTTATTTGATAGCGGAGCGGGTGTCAATTCGTGTTTTGCCGGTGATTTTTTTCTTTCTATTTAACTGGATAAATTCATTGTTACACTCAAATGATAACATGTGGTATGATGGTGCGAAAAGGCCTCTACTTTCATCTGTTCGTTTCTTACTTGTATACATATTGAAATGCAAATGAACCAGAAATTTCTTTGAAGATATGAAAGAAAACGATCGTATGTTTCTATGATAGGAAGAGCTTATTGTTCTTGGTTTTAACACAGCTTGTTTAAATTCATCCTTTCATAACTAAATGTTTGATATGGTAAACTGCTCCCATAGAAATCTTTGTAGAATGAATGATTATGATGGTCCACGATATGTAGCTGTTTTTCATGAAAGATATATTGTGTCCATGCATATAGTTAAATATTTAGGCAAGACCTGTGGTTCTGATTTGATTTCATGAATAGATATTGATGGATTGTGGTCATTCTCAAAATATGTTCCCTTTTAAAATCTGAAAATTAATTATAAATTTGATTTGAATTGAGCTGAATGTTTGAAACACATGGTTTGAGTTTTTTAGCTGTAATAGGTTTCTATACTTTTAAGCAGAAACTTTTGGTGTCATGCTGTATATAGTACAGGCTTCACCTTGCTTATGATGTTTTGTCATTTTTATTAAACCCTCATCTGGTAGGATTATGACATCTCCTTTGAAGTGCAGGTTGGCATGTGACTTCATCATGTTTCCAAACTGAAAATATTACTAATCCCTTTGAGTTTTTAGTTTCATCGGCTGTAAGAAAAATTGAGAAAATGAACTTTTACTTATTTATAGCCTATTCTGTAATAGATTTGGATAATGTGATATTTTAACCAGTTTTTAGCCCAGGACAGAACATTTTAAGATGCAAGGGAAGTGTTTAAGAAGGCAGTATCAGCCCTGTTAGCTTTCTTCATTCCATTGCTAGTCATAGCCCCACTCAATTTTAAAATTTTAACTCTCTTAGATTGTTTGGCCCAATTAAGTTTTGCAAAGATGGTTTTTTTTTCCTTTTTTTTTAAACATCCTTGAATTTGAAGATGAGTATTTCTGTGGTGGCATTCAAGATATAGCTGAATTACAGTGTTACTTTAAATACTGACTTGGGTGGGATAATTCTGTGTAATTTGGTTTCTTATCTTGGTAAGATTTTAAGGGTCATTACTTTTCTTCAGGGAGAGTTATTCACAGTCACAGAACAAAAACCATTTTAAAAGCAGTGCTTTATAGAGCTTTGCTTGATGTTGCTTGCAGTAATCAACAAAAAGGATTTGATTGAGAGATGTTCTATATCTCTTATTAACACACCCTTCCATGATTTGTGGCTCTTTAGAAGTATTATTTTTTTTTAACTTCAAATAAGTATGCCAATTTTTTTCCACACAGGGATTGTTATTGATGTAACATTTATTGGTTTCCTTCAATGTTTAGATCAAGTTTCAGCGAGCATTAATCAGGAATGGAGAAGACTCCAGAGGCGAAAGCATCTCAGAGTGCCGTGTCCAAGTTCCCCTGAAATGAGTTCTTTCTCTTCATATTCACCTGGATCTTCTCCCCCACGGAAAGAACAACCTCTTTTCACTCTTAAACAAGTAACGCTCATCTGTGAAAGAATGCTAAAAGAAAGAGAAGCGCAAGTTACAGAGGAATATGATAAAGTTTTGAGAGAAAAACTGGCAGGTTAGTGACTGAATATCATTTTGAGTAGCATACTGGAAAGTTCTCTCCCTTATTGAGGTGTTTATTTTTAGTTTAGGGAATGCTATCCTGTAATGCTCTGTTGACCAAACATTATGATTTTTGGTCTGTTCATCTCTTTCTGTCATCTGACACCAGACATCAGATTTAACTGTAGTCAACAGGGTTGATTTACATGCTAATATCATGAAAGGAAGAGTAGCACCTGATGGCATTGGTGAATTGTCTAGCCAAACTACATGTATTCATGGAAGAATTATTCAACTGTGACTTATTTTCTTATTAATATTTGATTTATCTTTTCTTTTTTAGAACAATATGATGCATTTGTCAAGTTTAATTATGATCAGGTGCAGAGAAGATTTCAAGAGACCGCACCAACATGTAAGAATTGCAAAATTCAAATTTTTTTTGGCCAAAGTCTACAAAAGTGCATATCTTTTTCTGTCTCACCATTTGTTTCATTCTCAGTTCCTTACTTTCATGCCTTTATAAAATTCAATTTTTTTAATGGCATGCGATGGAGACGTTTTTAAAGAAAGGCAGCCAGTTGAGATTTTGGTCTGGTTAGCTGCTACCAAGATGTTGTCAAAGATGTCTTCTTTTTAATCTCTAATCTTCCTTACCCTAAAGCAGGTCCTCTTCATAATACTTTGCTCCAGCTAATGAAAAATGCAATTGATCGCTTTTTTCTAGACCAGTGAAGGTCACAGGAAAGATGATGAGCAACACCCCTTTATTTGTGATGTTTCTAATTAGCAATGGAATGCTTACAAGTAACACACTGAAGTGAAGTTACTTTGAAAGACCTTTTCTCTTAACCAAACAAGAAATCCTAGATACTGATTATCTCTGTGTTAAAAAAAAAAAACTTGTTGAACAAGAAGAGTTCAACTCTCATTATAACCACTATGTCCAGTATTTTGGCACATTTTGCAGGCTAAAATGGATGTTTTAAATTTTTGCTCAATTTTTTTGCATGATTGTTCAGACGGTTTTGTTTAGTTCATTTTTTTTCCAATGCCCTCCAAAGTAATAATAGAAAGTAGTAATACAGGTTGTTCTTGGGCTTAATTATTTTTTTCTTTTCTTTTTTGGTTCTTGGGCTTAATTATTTTTTTGCTTGGGTTTAAATGATTGTGAATTGGGCCCCAAAACAAATTCATGCCTGGGAACATAAACTCCATTGTTTTATTCCACCATGTGAATTAGATATATTCACATGTCTAAGGAATGACAAAAAAACAGTTTTCACTACGGCCCTCAATTTTGCTGGTCTTCTCAAGGGAAACATGAAACTTGTGCAGAACTTGAATGGAATTTCCATGAATTACATGCCAAGCCTGATGCCCTTTGTGAATATGTCAGTGCACACAAGCAGTATCATGGCTGTTAGTCAAAAACATTGTCACTATTGCATGTTCATTTGATGCTACTTCTTGCCATATCTCCTATTTATATTTTGATACATGTCTTGTTTCTCTTTGCAGATGTTTCGTAAAAAATTGTTCCTGAGCTGGCTCAGCAGAACACTCATTGTCCACTTCCATCTAGTTGCTATTTCAAAAGCAAGAGCAAGATTTTAAGGAAATGCTGTATAGACAATCATAAGCAATAGTTAATGACAATTACAAGGACTATTTTTAAGTGATCACCATAGAAGACTAATCGTTTCTTACCATGCCTCTTCTTGTCATTGTATTACAAGTCTTGAAAAAAAATTGGTTCATGTTATCCTTTGATCAGAGATCATATCCTCATCCTTTCTGATGTGAAGTGAAGTACTTGTCATTAAAGAAACTATAGAACCAGCTTCACTTCAACTTTTGTTATTTCATTTCTTGTGATTCTTAACTTTTTGGTGTTCACTGTTAACTAGTGTAAATATGTTTGTAAATAAGATTGGCTGATTAATTCAAGTTGTAAATCTGTTTTGTTTCTCAATCTAGAATTTTTGTGTCATTATCTCTGTCTGAATATCTGTTGACATTAAATAGGAAATAGTTGTTAGGAAGCAACAGGGAAATAAAATTTGTTCTGTAAGCAGTCCGGATGGTTTTTTTTATACAGTATTATATTTGATGCTAATCAGCTGTAACTATTTTATCTGGTACTGGTAAACTAAGTTTTCAAGTGGCCGAACACTTGAGGATGATATTCCTCCAATGATGTTTTCTAATTTTAACCTTGCATCCCTTCTGACCAGAGAGGATGGTCAAGAGGGCCCTTTTTTCTGAAAAAGAGACAAACTACATGAGAATAGTAACAGTCCTCATTCCATACAGTAAACGTGAGATGTAAGGAAAGAAAATCAATTTGAATGAAAAATATGGCAATTGAGGCTATTATTTCTAATTTCCCTGACTTTACGTGAATGATTTTGAGTAATGGTGATTAAATTAAGTAGAGTCCAATGAATCTGTTGAATCTTACTTACACCAACCCAACCACTTTCTTTGCTCGCCCAATTACTCATGAAGTTTTCATCTACACCTCTCTTTCCACCCTTACTTTCCCCTTTTCAGTCGCATAGTTTCTTCGTTAAAGTACGTTATATATTTATCTACAAGAGTTCCAAGATGTTGTCAATACGCGAGTGGTAACAGAAGAACCTTTAGATATTGTTTTAACCTTCAGGAAAGCTTATGCTTTCAAGTAACTTTTCGTCAACGTGACCCAGGATATTACGGAGCTTGGGTTCTCGTTGACACTTGACCAGTGTGGTTTGAAGTGATGTAAGATAAAGCAGGAAATGGAAGAGTCATTATTAATCGAGAATCGTTAAGTCCATGAGTAACCAAGGTCGCCATAACTATGATCTCCATCTCGTCCCATTCACGATTTTCAGAGAGACTAAATAGAATATATCTCATATCATATCAAGTGATAGTTGTTTTACAGTTGTATTTCTTGACATGATATCGATTTTGGGGGGGTTCTTGAATTGAGAAAAATTAAACGCAAATGGTGAATCGTCCAATATCATTATTGTTGAGTTGCGTGATGTGTTCCTCCTGTTAGCATTTATTCCTTTCCGGCCCTCTTCCGTTACGTCATCGGAAGGAGTTCGTGGACTCGGTCGCGTTCCGTGAAACATTCGAAAGCATGCGTTGACGCGAGAAGGGCCCGCGAATTATTCATAATCCCTTCTGTTCTCATGACACATTGGGGAAACAGAGTGTGCGTGTGTGTTTGTGATGGCAAAGTTTTCTGTCAGAAGACACTCTGATCCGTTCTTTGTTATAGCGTTGAAGGAGGCCATCGTTAAGATATCCGCTCAGAAACAGTGTCCGAATGAAGGCAGGATTGTTCGATCGGTCCTTCAAGAATTCGATTGGAGTAAAACGGAGATACAGAAGCAGTTAAAGTTCGCGGTTAAAGATGGTTTGATTCTTCAGGTGACTACATTTTCTAGCCATGGGAGTACTAAAGGAATCCCTCAAACTGCTTACAGGATTCTTCGGAAAGATGGCGAAGACGAGGTGAGTACCTATGGTTTCATGTCTTAGAACACGCGCACATTCATCGCGCAGGAAGTGGTATTCGGGATTCGTTTTACTACTTCCAATTGTTTATGTATTAAAGGCTTATAAGAGCGGGGGCGTTTCGATGACTGGTCCCATCTCTAACTGGTTTTACCGTTGAGAGAGTGAAGACGACGTTTGTGATCGTGTAGGTCATGTTTGTAACTATTCTTGTGCGTCTGAGGCATTTCTGTTTAGGCAGTTACACTTCGATGGTTTCCATCATGCTGACCCGAACATGCAAATTGAGATTTTAACAAAACAAGAATATTCATGACACGAAAAAATACAAAAAAATTTTATTAATGGAACTCTTTCGAATATAGAGTATCATTCTGTTGGGGGATTTAATCATTTCCTCCGGAGCTAAAACATAGCGAGTTGTGTGTCGTGCGACCAAGCCGGTGTATTTCTGCTTTTTCGGATGGTCCTTATCATGCAGATTAGCAGCGTTTGTGTCTCATTGTTGTATTCCACGTTAAAGAAGCTTGTCTATGAATATTTATTACTGTTTGCGGTCACTTAAATGCTGTTGCCCTGAATTAACAAGTGTTTGACTTGTTGCGTTGCTAACTCCACGTCATTTAGCTTAACTAAAGGAACGCTTGGGTCGTTTCTAAACATGGCAACTTTCTCACTCGTGCAACGCTCGAGTCATTACCCCTTCTCGGGTTTTTGCACTAACTCAGCCGGTTCGTGTTCTTCTCATTCCTTTTAGTCTCTCAGACTTAATCTGTTCATTGGTTCCGGCTTCTGACTTCATTTGCATCTTTTTTATCCGTGTTGGTATAATTTACTTTCCCTTCAGCTCTTAATTATTTAATACTTTTTTCAGCTTTTTCGCGTGAACCATTTTCGATCCAAAATGCATTCGCAATACAGAATTTGTAGAAATACTCCCTAGTTTGACGGTTGTAATTTCAATTTTATGATAAAATGGTGCTTTTAGCATAACGAGAGAATATTTGAGCCATTGATTCTGACTTTTGTAGGTGTCGATGCTTTGAAAAGCTTAATCTTACGAAGAAACAATCGATTGCTTTGTTAAAGCGATATTGTTCGTTCTTGATAGTAATCTCAATCCTTAGGTTAAGAAAAAGTTTGATTTGTATTTAAAACAAGCTTAAAGCAATGAAACAAGTCATTTTTGTTAATAGCCTTATAGTTTATCACTGTAGTGCAAGCCACTTTCATGCATCAAACCTCCATTCAAATTACGAAAACCTTTTGTTATAGGTCATTTGCATATCTTATGTATGACATCCAAAAAGTTAGATATCGTCACTATGGTTTGAAGTTATTGTAGCAGAATTCTTTTAAAAACCAGTTTGTGGTCAAAATAAAAAATTGTCAAGTCCACTATCATAACTACATGGTTAGGAGTTCAGTCTTAGCCAAGAGAGCAAAGTGTCAGTCCTATTGTCTCTGACATGGTAGATTCTCTCGAGGCACTTAATTCTACCTTTGGTAGACAGGATGAAGTAGTTTAGATTAGAGTTTCAGACAGATTCCCTAAGGGGTCACAAAACAAGACTTGTTGGTTCATTTGTGGAGAGTTCTAAATAATTAACAATGATAACTGGAGGATGTTTAGTGCAGTTGCAAGAATTATAAAGGATGAGAGGTGTTTTATCTGCTGAAACAAAAGGCAGAGGTGGATAAAGCTAACCTAGGTCTTGACATTTCTAGTCCCAATCTTGCAAAAAGCAAATTAAAAAAATTTTGTGACATCACTTTACATGCATATTCAAGTAAGCTATTGTTTGTAGTTATGACATAATGAGAACATAGCAAGCAGCTGATAGAATGGACTTCATGCTTATAGTCAACCTGCTTTGAGGTAGTATCATTTATATATTATTATAGTGCTGATTGTTTGGAGAGCCTGTGTTCTGTCACATGCTGCATTTTCAGTGCCAATTGGGCATGCTGGGAACGTTTTTAGTGGTGTGGTGTCATGTGCTAGCAATGTATGCAAATTCTTGTTTCACCTTGGAAGGTTTGCTGAATTAAATCATGGTTACACTGCTGGAGCCTTGTCTTTGATAATCTTAACCTCCACTAAAGGACAATACTAATGGACTAGAACTGCCTGCATGGTCAGTGAGACCATGTTACAGGGGATGAAAATCTTTCTTAACCTCTGGGTGCAAAATTAAAAAAAAAAAATTCCTTTTTGGCCTTTTTTGATAGTTGAAGCACAACTACATGAAATTCTGTGCTCACATTAAAAGAAGAAACAGCAATCAGATAGGCTGAATGTCTGTCATAAAGATGGAAGTGGTCAATGTCAACAGATATTATATGCAAATTTTTTTTCTCGCGATGGAAGTAAACCAGACAATATCGGGCACTTTTAATTCAAAACATACAAACATCTTGTCACCAAAGTGGTGTCTAGACTAGCACTACACCAACCCCTTTGTCACATTAGCTTCATCTCCATCAGTCTCTCTAGCCCTGAATCATGTTAAACAATCCAGTTCAGTTACCAGAAAAATACTTTAGAATTCTAAGTGCTCTTAATTTCAGTTTTAATTTTGTTTGTATGTTTGTTTGTTTGTTTTTTTTTTGCGTTTGTAAGTTTTCTACTGTATGATTGTTAGCTGAGTACTTTAGACTAATAAAAATCATTGCACATAGACTTGTTTACTGACAGGGTTGAAGGTTATTCAGCAGTTGTGCTCTGAATTTCATATCAGATCTGTGTATAAGATCTGACATTCAGCAACTGTAGCTGGCTTCTCTAAAAAGTTTCATTAATGTCTTTTGTTATAAACTCAAGGTTCAACAGCAATATATTAGTGGTTGACTTTATCACAGCTTGCCACCAAATATCACCTTCTTTACACAACCAACTGTTTTCTTCAAAACTTAAACCAAAGCCTGTAAAGAATTGCCTTTCTTATGTATTTCTTTGTCATCAGGATGAAATAGAGAAGCAAAAGAAAAAATTAAGTTCCAACACTCATGACTGGTATTGCTGGGAATGTCACAAAGCAGGAGAAGTGATTGCATGTGAATACTGTCCTCGTGTGTTTCACAGGAAGTGTGCTCATTCTGGTACAGTTGCAAATGGCAAATGGAAATGCCCATCCTGCCAGGTAATCAGTAATTTATTTGTTCTGTGTACAGGCTGGAGACAGAGTGACAGGGGCTACTCTACTGGCCTCTGGATGGAATGGTCTGGGCTCCAGCTCTGTGGGGTCATAGTGTTGTGTTCTTAGGCACAACAATTCTCTTCCACAGTGGGTGTCTCCACTCAGGGTGACTTGATGAAATGCAAGGGGCTTATCTGCAATTAACCAGCATCTTACTCTAGAGGATTAATAATACTCCTGGTCACTTTCTGCAACTGATATACTCCTGCAGCTGTGAGCTACAGTGTGGTACACAGTGTTTTTCTTTCCAGGCAGTAGCTGGTAAATTTATTCCTAGAGTACTGTTATCTCATCTTACTGGGTTGAAATGGCTGATAATTATTGAAAATTGAATGGAAAAAGGATTGCTCTACTGGTTTGAAAATTTCTTTCAGCTGTCGTCCTCAAAATAAGGGAGAAGTTTTCATGCATAATTCATATTGTTTGAGTTGAATGGGATGATATCAGGTTTATTTTTAAACTTCAAGTTAGTTGATGTCTGTCTGGACAATTTTTTCACAAGTGGAAGTGATAAAGGCTGATAAAGCACCCACTTTCATTTAAACATTTAAGCTTCTGCAAGAGCTACCCTATGAAGTTGTAAAGAAGGTAATAGAGATATTAACTTTAGTTGATCTTATTGCTTTTGTTATCTTTGCTGTTCCTGTGACCACAGCCCCAGAAGCTCTCTGCCTTGATGGCAAACAAGACCCCAGACCAGCTTGCTAAGTTGCTGAAATTTACTCTGGAGAGAATGAAAGAAAAGGTAACTCAGTATACTTCTTGTGGTTTTTTAATATTGTCTATATTTATGCTAGGGAGGGGTTTTGGAAACTCCTAATGGTAATTACATCTCAAAAGGCAAAATATTTAAAGGGAAGTGTGAAGGAAAGCAAAGTGGGAAGTTCAGATTAAAAAGATCACCTTTATTTCTTACTGAAACTTGACAATCAAGGCTAAATTGTGTTGTTTACCTAAATACATCTGCAAACTTAGAGAGGTTCTTTTGAAATCATCATATGTGACTTCATAAGCATTTTACAAATGCCAGCATACACACATGTTGCTCAATTGGATAAAACGATCATATATGTGCTATAATATTAAAACTCCACATGAAATTTGCTGTGATTTGTTCACATATGCATGGTAGCTGAAAGAAAATTTTAAGAAATACCAGATAAGTTTTCCAAGAAATTATTAACCTGGAAATTATGAAAATCTAGTTTTTAGGCTCAAAAATAGGGGGCGACTTATGCATGGGATCAACTAATACTGGATTAAATACAGTAATTGTGTTGGTGAGGGTGAATAACAATGCAGGAACTTGATTGAAATCAACGTCATTGTTACTTGTTTGTTCAGTGTTTTTACATATTTGTGGCAGAAACTAATTTGTCCTTTTCCTTCTGAGGACTGACTGTTAAGACATTCATACCCTGCAATCAACTTGTACTTTATGGTGCAAGCTGCATTACCACTTCACAATCAAAGTTGCTGTAGGAAGTTATTAGATTGTGAACAAATTATCAAGTTATTGAAAGACATCAAGTTATCAAGTCATTTTTATTAAGTTTATATCACTGATGATTCTGTTGAAACATTATAAGTTGCTCTTGAGGAAATTCTTGACTCAAGCAACAGTTGTTATTGGTCATACCATGTTTTTTGGCAATCCTCTTTCAAGTTAGATGTATATTAGATATGCAGTAGGATTATCTCTCTATGTTATTGAGAGGTAATAAAGTAAGTGACTGTCTTTGGCAGGCCAAGGAATTGATGGAGCCAATTTCTCAAGATGAGCATCCAGATTATGAGGACTTCATATTCAAACCAATGGATCTTAAGAATTTGGAAAAGGTTTGTAATACATAGTGTTCTCTGGAAGCACCAGTGTAGGCTGCTCTTTTCTTAAGTGGCATCTGCTTTAATCAGGTAATTGGTGGCTGGCTTCTGATAAATCTCTGATGAACTCTGGCTTTCAAACATGGATGAAAAATATACAGTCAAACAAATGCAAGACATGTCTCTACCTGGCTTTGTGTATTCCAAAGGATGAATTAACTTTAGTTATAAATCTCACTTCACAGGTTAAGAGATGTAAAATAGAACTCAGTATTCTTGCATATATGCCAGATGGTTTCAAAAGATGTATGAGTTTATGCTTAGATCGTATCTTTTTATTAATTTGGGGAACAGGTGTGATGCAATGTTGCATTTTATTCCTCAGCTGGTTGAAAAGAAATCATTTAAGTCTCCTAAAGAATTCAGGGAAGAATCTCAATGGATATTTCACAATGCGATCATTTATTTTGGAGGTAATAAAAAAAAATACTGTTAACATAAATCAGAGTTCTCAAAACAAATAGGTACCTATCTTAAAGCATACGGGTGTGCTTCTTGGCTGAAGTGTTGTTGGTATGTAGCGAACAGTTGTGATATTTGGCAGGAAAGTTCTGATAAAAGGTAAAAATTCTCTCTATGAGAGGATTTTTTTTTTTTTAGTTGCACAAGCTTTACAAGAACTATAACTCTTTCAGTACTTAATCAGTAGGCCACTTCTTATTGGAAACTTCATTTGGAATTTGAATGAAAAGTTATTTTTGTTTTGTAGACGATGATGATATCACAGATCTTGCAGAAGCCATCATGGAAGACTGCGATGGAGAGGTGGGTACCTAATGTAAGCGATTTAGTGTAGCCTTTGTCAAGGAAGCTTAGTTGTCACATGCTAAATTTATTTTGGGTTTTTTAATTTTTATTTTAATTTTTAGCTTGAAGAGATGGTTAGATGCCCAGACTGTTACTTGATGTCAAATTTACGAACTAAAAATTGGTTCTGCAAACCTTGTGTAAGTATTATTTGAAAATATGTAATATCCAAATTTTGATGATAATTTTTAGGGCTTCTCCATTTAATATTAAAGCTGATGATTAGATTCTCATTAATTTTGAGTTGAATTGTAAAATTAAAAAGGGATGCACCTTTCCTCTAGAGCAAGTATGTAAAAACAAAGATTAAGTAACCTAGCCTAAATTATGTCAAAACTCATACTAAAACTTCAGAAATGCATCAACAGACTTATGTTTCACATGAGTGACTGTTCAAAATATCTTTCTGTCACATTTTAGTTGTTAGAACAGACTCCCCCTACCTCCTCTTCAATCAGTTTAATGAACAACTAAAAACAACTCTTCATGTAACTCTGATGATGACTTCTGCTCTGGTTGTCAAAATGTCAGTCACTTCTACAGACAACAGTCCATCTCAGGACTCCTTCACCCAGATGTCAGTCACTTCTACAGACAACAGTTCATCTCAGGACTCCTTCACCCAGATAGTCACACTACATACTCATTTCTGATGTTGTAAATAATTTTGGATCAGTAACTCAGAGTGGGATTTCCTTCTTTTTTTTTTTTCTTTTCGATTACAGTATTTCCCCCATGAGCTTGTGTGGGCAAAGATGACAGGGGAACCACCATGGCCTGCTAAGGTAAGGTGATCTCATTGTTTTTGTGCATCAGAAAAATTTCAATCCTATTTAGCTCTGCAGCATAAATCAGGCCTATCAAATGTCGCTGAGACAATGTTGTGATACTTTGATTATCGTCAAAAAGTGATCGGTAACTGTATAGAGACATGCTATGTTGTTGTGATAACATGTTGGCAACAGTTATGTGATTTTTCTTTCAGTTGTTGAGTTGGAATAATGATGAGACGAAAGCTCTGGTGCGATTCTTTGGGGCTGCACATCAAAGGTATTAGAGTATAATAGTTGAAATTATGTTTTTCACTCTGTTGGTTTTTTAACCTTCAGTAGTTCAGTCAAGCTTTGTTCGATTGAGATAATTAGAAAAAGAATTTTGAAAAACAATGAATTATGTTTTTTTACACAACTGAAGTTCTTTTTTCCGTGTCAACCAATAGGGCCTGGGTTGGCCGGAAACACGTGATGCCAATCACAAGTAAGCCGGAAGTCAAAAAACGATCTCAAAGATGGGTCCAGGCCAATGAAGAGATGAAAGAATATCAGAGGCAGCTGGCTCTGCTGTACCCGGACGCTAATAAAAAGGTATACGATGCTTTACAATGGTGTGATTTCCTCAGCTGTCCACAAAGAGAGCGCTGAAAGAGTTGGAGTTCCTTAGGTCGGTCGACATGATCCATTTTTCAGTCAAGGACCAAAAGCAATATAGGATTTTGTTCGTTTGTGCCTCGTAGTCGAGACATTTCACTCCCTTCTGAGCCAATTAGAGGCAAACCAAAACTAGCTTGTTCAACCGTGTCTAAGGTAGTTTACGGGTTATTATTTAAGTTCTTACATGTCTCTCTGTTGTGATTTCTTTTGTTACGGCATTATTAGACAGTTTTAAAGCGCCCTGAACTGATGGGAATCACTCTGTTTTAGGAAACTCCCCCTCTGCCAAAAACCGAGACCAAGGAATGTCAGACGGATGTAGTCTTGAATGAGGAAGACAAAGAAAAGATAAAACAGTTGGAAGAAAAGGTTCGGCAGCAAGAAGAGGAACTGAAGTCACTCCAGGCGGACTTGAAGTGCGAGCGGGAGCGCGCTAAGCAGCTGGTCGAAGGAGCGAAAAAAAAGAAGGAAGAACAAGACCAACGAGTGTTACGTGACAAGTCTGTGAGTGAACAGAAGGAAACATCCGAGAACTGTGGCAGTAGCGGCCCAACTATTGACCTTTCCATGACTAGGGATCAGTCAAGTGTTATAAAAATGTTACAGGAGGCGCTCGAAAGAGAGAGACAAGATAAGAAAGAACTTATAGACAAAGTCACGCGTGATACTCAAAAGAACAGGGAGCGTGACATACAACAGGCTGTGAAGAGAGCCGTGAATAAGGAGAGACTGGAACGAGAGCGTATCACAGAGGAGGCAGTGAAGAAAGCTGTAGAGAAATGCAAACAGGAAAGAGACAGGCATACTCAAAAAACGCTGCAGATTGCTAAAGACGAGGCTGAAAAATCAGTGCAGGATGCAGTCAGCTTGGCTAAGAAGAAACAATGGTGTGCGAATTGCCATGCCGAGGCTTTTTACCCGTGTTGTTGGAACACAAGCTATTGTACTTTGGAATGTCAAAAGGCTCACTGGTGCACACATAGGTTCCATTGTTTGAGGGTTACGTGTAGCTGCAATCGAGATAGCCCGATGACGCAATCGTGACGTCATGATTAGCCCACGTTGACCGCTGGTCTCAATAATGTAAGGTGACATGTGCATGTAATCATGGTAACAGGTGGGGTTGTCTGATGTAGCAAGGTTTGTTTGTTAAGCGGCTTAGTCATAAATTGTATCCCGTTCGCATCCAGGCTCGAATTCTTCCAATCTTTTAAGTCTGCTTATCGTTTCTTCAAGAAAAGAAACTTCTGGGAAGTAGCGAGGGCTTAATCCCGAACTGCGGCCGTTGTCGAACCCAGTTCACTTTGAGTTCTTCCGTGCGAACGGGATATGTAACTAACAGTGCAACCCTACAATTACCCACAATGTTCTTTTCTGAAACACTCCCTAAATTAGCAGACTACATCACTTGAAAGTGCTGTCAATATTTCACCATCAGTCAGAGTTCATAGAAGCTGAAACTTTTACCTAAACCAACGATAAATGCGTTGTTCTGGAAATTTGTGCATTGGAAGCTTATTGCCTTGTTTGACAATTTCGTGAATTGAAGCAAGCTGAGGTAATAATTGCAAAGTACCAGCCAAAGTAATCAAGTCATGGTGAAACCTTTTCATGGAAAGATAACGATCGGTTTGACATATTGTTCGTTTGTAATTTGTACATTCCTTGTAAGTGGTGTCGCTTATTTCGCGTTTTGCTTTCGTTTTGTTTTGTGTGTGCGTTTTTATATGCCTTTTGTATGCCTTCCTCATGCTATATATTTTTTTTTTTTTTTTTTTTTTTTTGAGCTGTTTTTTTTTTTGTATTTATACCTTTTTTACAATTTCCTTTTTTAGATCTTTTTGTTTGTTTGTCTGTTTGTTTTTGTCTCTCAATGCTCTAACCTTATTCCTCGTTATAATATTTCGGTTGGTTTCTTCTTTTATAGATGTGGCTTTTGTAAAAAGTTTCAAGTTTCCTTTTTTACTGGTTTAGTTTTTCGTATTCTTGTACCTACCTTTTTCAAAAGGCTTTTCCAACGTGTTTCCTATCTCAGTGTTAGCAGGGCGCAGCGAAATGCTATCGACAAATTAGTGTGTCCGCAACAAAATAAAATTTGACGTGGCATATTTATCGACTAAAAATGAATTCACCTAGAACATACATTACGACTGAACACACATTATACAGAATCCTTTTAGTAATGTCTGCATGAAAAAGGAGACTGGACCGTATGTTTTCTTTAACCGTAGTTCTGCATTAGGAAAACGTTTTCAGTTTGAGAAAATTCCGAATTCTAAATTTCTATTTTTATGATTGCATCCAAAGAAGATGCTTGTAAATAAAGCAAAAATGAGCTAGTGTAATTGTGTACTGTAACACTATTCCTCGGTGGAGGTTAAATGCCTTCCAAGGCGGTAGATTCTGATAGTTTTGATATGAGGTTAAATTCAAATGCAATATTTTTAAGATCATCAGTCTAGAAGATTAACTTCTTAAACAGCATTTGTTTTTTTATTCAACTAATTGTGCAGTATACACATTGACGCTTTCAATCTAGACGTCATAATATAACTCTCCATACAGATTTTGCTGGTTTGGAGATTGTAACCTTGAGGTTGATATGTTATCAGATTCTCCTAAATTTTGTTTTTCTTACAAGGAGAAATTAGAAATGGATCGCTTCCGGGAAGGAACGAGTTCACTGAATTGTTATGAAATTAGAAACGAAAAATGTTGAGTAGAAATAGAATAAGATTCCCAAAAGAGTTTATTGTATGATTTGGAAGTGTGTCATGGTTCCAGTTTTAATCCTATCGACGCATAAAACAATAGCAATACCCAGATCCCTCTCGCGTCTGCGCCTTTAAAAGCGTGAGAGATCCAGCGACAAGGTCAAGTTGGGGAGTGTTAAAGGAAAAAAAGCCTGAAGGAAATTATATTTAGCGCTCAAACGAACCCTAAAGATTTTCTTTTCGCTTTTCTGTTGTATTGCTGTTGGTATTTTTGCTGCAGTTTAAGTTTCTTTTCATCTGGCGTCATTGGAATAACTCGAATTAAAGGAAATTTAGTTATCATCCAGAACGTCAATGTGAGTGACAAATTTATTCTCTAAAATGAAGACAAATTTACCACTGTACATTGTGTGCTTGGTGGTCCTTCGTTGCAGTTATATAAAATTTAAATGAGTTTGTACTGCACTCTTCAGAAGAAAGGAAGATAATTGTTCGTGCGTACAGATAACGTCGGAGCTGGCAGCCTGTCATGTACGAAGAGTATAACCTAGTACTCGGACTGTTGACGAGTGGGGTTCGTGAATTGCCGGAATCATAAGAATTTAGGCTCGGCTCCGTAAGTGGCAGTTTTTGTACGCACGAAAAATGTTTAAAACGTAAGGCACTGTCTAAGGAGGAATTATTGGTTTCTAGGGGTAAATTTTATGTTAACTTAAGTTTTGTGAGTTGTTTCAAACGCTTGACCCTGTGAAGAAGGTTAAATGGCTAGAAGTTTTTAAATCTTGGTATTTATGAGTAGTATTTATTAGAGATAGTGCACTGTCCATGACAACTCCCTGCTTTTAGGGTTTGGTTTGGTGTATCATTTATTTCCCTCTGTTATTCAATATGCCAATTATAATAGCAAACGTATTTGCTTTAACCAATCAGAAAGTGGTGTTCGCTTTGACAAAGAGCTAACGCTCGAGCCTCTTACTAAATTGCCCTGTTATACTCTTGCACCTACGCAGCACCTCAGTTTCTTTGGAAACTTACTCTCTTTATCTCGACTCTGGCCCATCATGCTTTAGAAACTTAACGTGAGGTGAAGATGACCTTCCACGCGCTTTTTGTTGGTATCATAACCACATTGCAGCGCTTTCTCATCGGTCACCCCGTTTTCTGATTGGTTTGTTGCATAATCTACTTTGTTGTAATTGGCTTACCTTGTGTAGATGACACCTCTTACGTCATTGGGAACACTAGGGTGAACTTTAGCGAATGGCTGTTAGGCAGTGATTAAAGATCGCAAACAGTTGATGTGATATGGGTATGTTGTTATTTATTCTAAAAAATTACTTCATTACCAATTTGAGATTTATTCCTCGCCAATATAAGTATTACGGATGAATTAAAGTATTTTTTGATTCCTAGAATAGATCAAAAGGAAAAAAAGGAGAGGAAATTGGTTTCCCCCAACTCCCTGCCAATCATCTGGGTGTCAGTCAATAAATCAATTAAGTAAACGGTATCTTTTCGTTGAAGTTGGTGAGCCCAGTGGAAAAACAAAATCATGAAAAAAAGGAAAGGAGAAAAACAAGGAAATAAAATCGTGACCCATCGTTACCCAACGATTTCTAGCTGTGCAGACAAGACCACGAGAATGTCTATGTTTTATCCCTGAGGGCACGTCTAAGTCTACCGACACTACCTCTGAAATAAGGCGAAGACAGATTCCTCATCAAATCATTGGCAAATATTCAAAGGTTATTTTACAAAAATAGTGTTGATATTTTCCCGAATTATTTCTCCGCCCTTTCGCAAAGATGTTGGACTCCTAGCCGCGGATTTCGAAGGGTGGATAACGCTATCCACTGGATAAATCAATGCCGTACGTTTATTTTTAGACGCATATCCGCTGGATAGCGATTTATCCATATTGGACTGGACAGAGTTATTTTAGAACACAAGCCGCACCCAGGCCGCGCCCGGATCGGTTAAAACAAGAAGGCGACATAGGCGATCGAGTTAGGAATTCGCTCGCTGTGAGAATGCCTTGTTTTTCCACAGTTGCAGAGTGGCAGACGTTTCCTCCCGACTCATCGTTAGAAAAAGTGAACCAATATCGTCAATAATTTGATTGATCCGAACAAAATGTTGTCTAACTGCGCTTGGCGGCCGCTTCGCCGATGTCTCCCTGATACAAATCATCCGACATGTTTTAATTATCTGCCTACTCGTTTACTTGCGTTTTCTCGTTCACTTTGCATCGCCCATTCAATGGAAGCATGGACTATTGACGGATATGGTTCCAACGATGTTTTAGAACTGAGCAATGTACCGTTGCCCAAGCTTCAAAAATCAACAGATGTTTTAATTCGTGTACGCGCAGCATCTGTGAATCCAATAGACTACAGAATGAGGAGTGGTTATGGTCAGACTTTATTGAATTTGTGGCGTAAGGCCGAAAAGGTGGACGAATTTCCACTGATTTTAGGAAGAGATTTTTCCGGAGAAGTGGTGAAAACAGGAAGGCTAGTCAGAAGATTTGAAAAAGGGGATGAGGTAGAATTTTTACACAATTAACTTCTCTTAATCTACGAAGCGGCTAGGTTGCTTAAATATGTTGACTGTGAAATAAGCAGTGCACGACGTTCTAATGGTGAGACTATAAAACGTCTCATGTTTATTAAAACGCCATTTATTTTGGCTGTGATGCCATCTTCAGAAGTTTGAAATCAGAATCGAGCTGAGTTGTTTATTGAAATATACTTACTACAAAGTTTAAATTAAGATATGAGATGATTGTTAGAGGCACCTCAAGTATTACCAACGAGAAGAAGAGGATGTTAAAGTTTCAAATTGATTGGTATATATCAAAACATTTTATCTTTTATCTTAGAAGGATGCAGATTTTGTTCAGAAGTTAAAACTATTTATTTGTTCTTCTCCACGTTCTCTAAGGTTTGGGGAACCCCAAGTGTAATTTCTGGAGGGACACACGCCGAGGTTGTAGTTGCCAGCCAAGATGAGGTAATTTGATTTAGTTTAGTATCGAAAACACTGATAAAGTATAGATCAATTTGTTGCTGTGGGTACTAAAGACATTCTTTTTTTCTGTCTTGGAATACTGAACAGTAGATCTCGATAAAACCCTCAATATGGACCCACCAAGAAGCAGCATCTCTTCCATATGTAGCATGCACAGTGTGGACAGCTCTGATTAGCAGAGCAGGCCTTAAACCAAATGAGTGCCACAAGAAACGGCAAGTAAATCATCATAAGCAGAGATATGATCTTTGCAGGTGGACTGCAATTTAAGCAATTGCTGAAAAGAAGCTTTAAAAAATTGTTTGGCAAATTTGGTTCACTCTAAGCCCTGTGCATCGTAGCTCAGGCGGTAGTAGTGTCAAGCTAGTATCTGGGCAGGGGTTTTGAATCCAGTCTTTTCTGCAATTGCTTGAGTTGCCTCCCACAGGCAAGAGTCATCTCTTTGCTTGATTTTCATGTGCTGTTCAAATGAAATTTGTTTCATAAAAAAAATTGTAAAACATCTTAGATGGGCTGGTCAAGTTAGATAGTAACCTCATGTTTTTACATTGCCCAGGACAGCAAACTATATGATATAGTTGTGTCAGAGGTATCGCCCTGAATAGTAATACTCTATGACTATGAGTGACCTTTAAAAGTTTTCAAAATGTTTTAGGGGTACATTGCTGTGTGCTTTTTGTTAATAAATAATCCCTTAAAATATAGATATGTACTGTCAATACACTTCTCCTAGGGAAAGTGGAATGGTGTGTTTAGACATGGAGGATTACACAGAAACTTGGTTTAAATTTCTTGTATTTTTTCTTAGATAGGGGAAAATAATGTCATTTTTCCCTTTTTTTCCACAGTGTTCTTGTACTTGGTGGTTCAGGTGGAATAGGAGGCTTTGCTATTCAGGTAGTACTGGGTTGTACTGAATCTTGTCAAATTTTATGTTAACAATGCTCAGAGGACAGTTGCAGAACATGTACACACTGAAGAGGGCTTTACTTTCTTCCTTTCTTGTAGCTGTTAAAGGCTTGGGGAGCATATGTTGTTAGTACTTGTTCCAGTGATGCTGTTGAACTCGTGGCTGGTCTTGGAGCAGATCATGTAGTTGATTATACTGCATCTAACTTGGAAGATGAACTGAAAACAGCTGGGAGGTAAGAGCTTGATGTGTGCATTGTGTTGCTCAAGATATTTTTCTTTTTTTTTTCCTCTAATTTATGAAAAGAGTGATATGGACATGAATTTTTATTGGGTTTGAAACAGTAGAATGTAAAAGAATGAAGTACAATGCAGAATTGATAGAATGAGATTCCATAAGATGGTGGACTAGTGAAATTTGGGACATTGATTTAGCTACCTCATCACTGGGGCAAACATAGATGACATCATTGCTAAGCTACATGCTCATGGGTACTTATTGTTTACAAAGACCAGGAGTTTGAGGATCAAAACATGTCTGTTGAACTCACTGAAACAAAAATTAATTGAAAGTGTTCATTTAGCCAGTGATACACATTAACTAAAGTTACAAAACATTCCATAACAGAGTGAAGTGATTTAAAATTTCTGCTTGTTTGTTTTAATAAGATGCATCGACATTCTCTTGATATTTATGTCAGTTTCCATTTTGGAATTGGAGTATAAGCCTAAAGATAAACAAATCTTTACTCCTATATGATTATCAGTTGTGTTCTTGTAGTCTATTCACTTACAATACTCCTTTCAGCAACATCTCTTATGTAGTGGTCTCTCTTAGGACTTAGTTACTCGTGACTTAAAGCTATTTACAGAATTTTGTTGAACATAAAGTGTTCCATTCTAAGTGCAGTTCATAATATTCCATGGTTATTCGTCTTTTTCATGTGAATTTCCTCATTTTGTTGTCAGCTTTGATGTAGTTCTTGATCCTTTTGGAGGAGATTTGAGCAGGCAGTATGCCAGACTGTTATCAAAATGGAAAGGGTCAATTTTTGTGACATTGGCCCCACCTGTCCTGAACAATACTGATAAGCTAGGTGCTGGTCTAGGACTCCTGTCAGCTGGACAAAATTTGGCATCAACGGCCATTCCAGAGGTAAAATTGTGAATGATTTGCTAGTAGAGAAAAACTTAACCCTCAACTCCTTAGAACTGATTGTCAATTCTCCCCTCTAGCTGCTACACATTTCCTTGTGAATTAGTCAGGAGAATTTGGTGTTAGATCAAGATCATGTAATATGTTTGAGTATTCTTGTTATCTGTTTGCTGGATGATGTATGGATATTATAGGACGAAGTTACCTGTCAATCACTTCTGACAAGTGTTCAACTGGTACAAATTTTACAGCAATTTTGGTCTAAAGTATGTGATTGGAATTAAAGTTTTAGTCATCAATTTATTTTTATTTTGACAATAGTGTTGTTAGCTTAAAGCTATTACAGGGTGATCTGATTATTTGGAACATGAAACTGAAGGGAAATGGTGTTCTGCTTAAGTGTTCATCAGATCTTTTTTAATAGAGTTTTTTTTTTCACTGCAGGCACTATGCAGTGGAAATTTAGTTTCTTGGGGTTTCTTTAGTCCAAATGGTCCTGCGCTTGATCACATCCGCTCTCTTTGTTTGTCTGGGATGGTATGTCATTCATATTTAATTCTACATCCATGGAAACTCGTTAGTTATTTTCATTTGATCACAGGATTTCAGATGAAGGCTTGATAAGGGTATCTGTTAATAGTATTACTTACACAAAAAACCCAAGGGTTGTAATCTTGCTTAACTCACTTCTAATTAGGTCAAAACTATTTTACTTGTGGATTTACACAGCACAGGGATGAGAAATGTAAGGATTTAATGTGCAAATAGGAGCCATAAGAGTCTGGGGAGAGCATGCATCCTCTTAAAGGCAGTGGATTGTTAAATAATGTTAACTCACTTTTTCAATTTCATAGTTCAGAATACTAACCCACTGGCTACCCAAACCCTTGTTAGTCCCTAGCGGTTCAATTCGGTTTCTTGGAATCACAGGATTATTGGCTTTTAGTATAATCACTGTATATTTAATGAGTTCACCACTGTGCCACTTTGACTATTCTCATTTCATCAGGGATTGTGGTGAGTTAGTTGTTTTATTTGCAACCAGCTCATATCAGTACCTGCTAAAATTTGAATAAATATTCACTGGTGCATGGATATTGATTTAATTTTACAACATTGCACTATTGGGTGGGAGGAACAGAACATAAAGTTGACTAATTCATTTTTTTTTTCCATTTCACATGCCCAAGATTAAGCCCATAGTTCAAGAAGTGTTCCCATTTTCAAAGACAAAAGATGCCTATGCAAAATTAGAGGGTGGTCATGCAAGAGGAAAGATAGTTGTCAGTATGGATCCTGTTGATGCAACAGTAGAAGAACCTTCAGTTTGATTTTCATGACTCTTCTGTTCTTAAGTTATCAAATAGGGTTTTACTGGCAAGGTGTTCAGAGACAAGTTAATCAGTAAATTAACTCAAAAAAGGACCACTTTTTTCCGCAAGTTTAAGAAGAGCCTACATGCCTTACGAAACAAATTCGATTACTTATGTTATCAGAGAGTCGTGTTATTCCCTTAATGGGTTATTTACTTTAGCATCATTGAAAAGATGTTGTTTCCATGACAATCGTATGTACAACAACAAAAAAAGAGAGAAAAGCTTGACACCCAACAGTTGGCCTGTGTGTGTTTGTGTGTGTTGGGAGGGGGAGGCGGATGCGGATATATGCATTTTTTTACGTCATCTGTATCAAAGCTTTCTATCGGACAGTCGTTTAACATATCTCGGGCAAAAACTTTATTTCTGCATGAATGCTTTACAAGTGCACGGATCCCTCTCATCTACTAACATTTCCATGCCACTTTCATGTCTTCACTTAATAAAGCCAAGCATACTTTAATACTTAATGCCCTTCACCCAATTATAGCACTCAGCTTATAATATTGCTGAAGTAGCCTAGAATAAGACACTTAGTTCAAACACTTGTGTGTGGTGGGACTACCACATCCACTGGACTTTGTTTTCGTCATTAAGTTTTATTCTACCACTGGCAAGCAGTTCCATGGCCCGCGGGTAAGCTCTGTGCTCGGCGGCTTTTACTCTTTCTTGCAGTGTTTCCACTGTGTCATTGTGTTTAACTTCGACTGCTTCTTGAGCCACTATTGCCCCTGCGTCAACCTCTTCCTGTTGAGAACGATAAGTCATCAGATTACTATTAGAGCTACAAATTCCAAGTAAGGAGAAGAAATCAGTTGTTTTAGGACAGCATTTAAATTTCCACTGTCAATTTAAAAACACTTTTGAAAACGTTTTGGCTAAAATGGTTAAGTTAAAATCGTTACAAAAAGTAATCTCGAGGTAACGTTAACGCGATAGCCTGCAAAACAGGCATCATTTATTTCAGTTCACCAGGCGAAGCGTGAGTCGCGCGCCAAGGTATGAGCGCTCCTCACTTAGTACGTGACTCGCACCTCGCGCTTGTCTCCATTCGCCTGAAAAACGCTAAAAAATTACGCCTGTTCTCGAAGCTGTCAACGCAATGAAGCCACGAGAGATTGAACGCAGTGTTTGAGTGAGCGCCGAATGTGACAGCTAAAACATTACTAAGCGTTTAATTTAATGTTAACAACTGAGTTGAAAACGTAAATTGGCCATCGGTAAAGAGTTAAAAGGCTGACGTTTCGAGCGTCTTATTTTCTCGTCACCATATTCCCACCAATAGCGTTGCTCCATTTCCTGCATAGAAACCCACACACAACCCAAAATTCTTCCAATCGCTCAGACGAAGGGCTAACGCTCGAAACGTTTGCCTTTAAACTCTTTATGGTGACCAATTTACGTTTTCAACTCAGTTGTTAACACTAAATTACCTGCTATACTCTCCCACCGACGCAGCACCACCGTTTCTTTGGAAACTTACCCTCTTTATTTATTAATATGTCACCCTCAGGCTCTTTAAATTAAGTTTGATTGATTGATTGATAGTGCAAAGCGCAAGCCTGCGCTATTCCGAAAAAAAAAAGGGTCTCTTCCACGGCCACGATTTTTTGCTTTTAAATTTTGAGGACTTTAAAATAAGCGCCACCTGAAAAATAACCACTCCCAAATATGCGTCGCACTTAGTCGCAAAATAAAGAAAAAAAGCTCAAAACGCCGTAGCGTTAAATCGAGCGAAAAGGATAATTCGAAAATAACGAAAGGTTTATTAGTAACAGTAGATTAAATCTGTAATTTTTTTGGTACAGTAGGGAAGTTAATAAAATTCAGCGTCGTGCGAACCGCGCTTACCTCCACAAAGTGAACCGTACACCCTGATATGCGCACACCTGCCTCCAAGACAAGTTTGTGTGCATGCATGCCTTTGAATGAAGGAAGTAGAGAGGGATGAATATTCAGCAGCCGACCACGCCACTTCCGAACAAACTCGCCGGTTACAATTCTCATAAATCCTGCTAAACAAACCAGTTCTACTCCAGCCTCTTCCAATACTGCATGCACTGCCATGTCAAAATCCAAACGGCTTTTGAAATCTTTGTGCTTGATTACCTGGAAAACAGACAACGGAAATTTAACAAAACATTTTCTCGCAACCTCTGCAAAGACAGAATATAGACTGGTAAGAAATAACACATGTAACACAAAGTGTGAAAATTTTGGTTAATAGAGAATTATTTTCCCGCGTTCCCGCCCGAAAAAACATCTCGGAAAATGAAATGTAACAGAACTCTTCATGCGAATTAAGTTCCAATTGCTTTCTTTGCACATATACTCATCTACAAATAATCTCCCGTATACCTTTCCTCCACGGAACTCAACAAATGAGAAAATTTTTCATATGTAGTTAATGTTCTGGTGCTAGAGCAAAAAATAGCAAAAATTAAATCCAACGAAATTTCTTCGAAGACGAAAAAGAAAATAACCAACCCGCGAAAGAAAATTCGCGAAAAATGTTCACGCTGCCCGTCAGTAGCGTTGTCATTATAATCATCATTATACTGTTGTTATCATCATTATCAGTAACATTGTCGTCATCTTCATTATTGCCATCAGCGTTATCGTCATCATTATCATAATCGTTATCGTTATCATCACAACCCCTACCATTTTCTAACAGCTCTCAGTTGGCTGGCTAGCTCAGTTGGTAGAGCACTACACCAGTATCGCAGAGGTCATGGGTTCACATCCTGTAGAGGCGTGAATTTTTCTCATACCTTATTTACACTACTGTTTAAGTAGTGTTCCTTACGGCGAAGATCGCTTTCAAATTCATTTCTTAAACCACAGTTTTCATATACAGTCCGTAAATGATTACCATTTTCATTACTATCATTATCACTGACAAAGCTGCTTTGCATTTCACAATTTTTTTAACGCTTGTGGTGCCTCAGACATGTTATGGAAAGCTTGTTTGTACAAGTTGTAACAAACTAATCGGATTCGCGTTAGGAGGGATTCATTATCAGTTTCTCTGCCTAGATATACATATTAGAAGATGAAGCGGGTATAAAAAGGACGAAAATGAGCCAAAAACACACAAAGCAGTTGAATCAGTTTTCAGAATCAAGCTTACTTTAGTTGGTATACCAGCTGTTTGAGCCCGCGTTAGACCCTGAACTCCAGGCACGTTTGATATGACCACAGCAATCTCTGCACTACTGCCCTCCCGTAAGCTGTGATCGATCAGAGCTTGCAAGTTTGTTCCTGAGCCTGAGATTAGTACCCCTACTTTCATTTTCTTTCCACGCTCCATTTCCACGCTGCTTAGTTTTGGTAGTTTGACAGTTTCATTGTCATCCTGGTGTTTAATGTCTGCGCTTTTAGCAGACTCGCACAGCACACTTTCAAGATTGTTAACAATAACTCTGTCAACGTTTTCCCTATTTTCAGTGACCTTTCCTATAATACAAGCTTTTTCGTTCAACGCTGAAAGATGTTCCATAACCGAAGTAGCAATGTCTTGACCAACAATAAGGGCTGCTCCGATACCGCAGTTGAAAGTCCGCACCATTTCGTCTGTTGCTACATTCCCTTGTCCAAATAACCACCCGAACACTGACGGCATGCTCCAAGAGCTAGCATCAAGTGACACCCCCAAACCATGGGGCAGGACACGAGGAATGTTTTCGATTAAACCTCCTCCTGAAGAGATTACAATAGTCAATAGGAACGACAAGATTTAAATTGCAATAAAAATAATAATAAATTGAACTGAAATGAACTGAAGTGAAGTGAACTGAACTGGACTGGACAGAACTGAACTGGACTGGACAGAACTGAACTGGACTGGACAGAACTGAACTGGACTGGACAGAACTGAATTGGACTGGACTGAACTGGACTGGAAAAGGACATGACTAGGGTGGAACAAACTAAAAGGGACTTGCTCCACCTGGAAACAGGTACACAAAGATTGACATATGAGAGGGGAGATGAGGCAGAAGTAAGTGAACTAGGATATATACTAACAAAATCCTTTCTCACTGTGTCCTTTTTCTTTCTGAATCCTAAAAGATTGGAAAACTTTTCATTAGCTCCTACCTTTATTTCACAAAGTATGTGAGTGGCAAAGGATTAGGTAGGACAAGACAGTGTAATGAATACCTCCCAAATGGTAGAAAGAGTTAGCAAAGTCATGGGTGCAAGTAAAAATCCAATAAATCTAACCTGTTATATGTGCAAAAGCCTTGATCTTCTCAGCATGCATCAGGGGAAGAAGAGCATGGCAGTAAATCTTGGTGGGTGAAAGAAGAGCTTCACCTAATTTAGTGATGGACTGCAGGCCTTCAGTGGTTGGAAAAGGACACGGAGAATCATAACTCAGTCCAGCTTTCTCAATTATTTTCCTGACTAAGCTGAAGCCATTACTGTGGATACCAGATGATGCTAAACCAATGACTACATCATCTACAATTATATTCTGTGTCCTAGGAAGAACCTTGTCACGTTCAACAGCTCCCACAGAAAAACCAGCCATGTCATATTCTCCAGACGAGTACATCCCTGGCATTTCTGCTGTTTCTCCTATCAAAGAACAATTTGAAAATGAATCATATAACTAATATTGCCATGATGCTTGAAGAATTTCAAAATAAATTCAATATTAAGACATAGAGAGCACTTGTCATCAGAGGCCAATTTATATTTCATCAGTTCTTTCTTGGTAGGAATTATTCTGTGCATAACTTTAAAAGAGAATTGTCCAAGTTTATTATTTTTTGAAGACTTATGTATTGCTCCGATCAGGAAGTTCTGGAAAATGTTTCTTCCAAGACGTTATTGCAGAGGGTTCAGTATCAAGTCTTTTAATAAACTGTTTATAATAATTTTTCAACGAAATTTAGTTGAAACTATTGTTTTTCCAACTGAAAGAATCCCAACGGTGCACCAAGTAGATCAGGGACAGGAGAATCAAGAGCCTTTCTTTTCCAATCTAAAGGAATGGCAACAATTAATTGAAAATAATGCAAACAATTGACATTAATCCAGACTCAATTGAACACACTTTTATACATTGTCAAGAATCAACTGATTTCTTTACGTAAACTTTAGGAAGGTTTCATGATTTTCACAAGACTAAGATAAAACTCTCAAATAGACAAATTGTATTCAATACATTTGAAGACTCCTCTCCTCTATGTCTTCTGATTTTATTGCAAAAGAAACATTTGTATATCTGCAAGAGCATTACAGGAAAACCAAATTTAGATGAATTTGTGAGCAAGTTATTAGAACAGTTCCTTATTGAAAATGGTGGCAATTCTTATTTTAAATATATGTGGCAACTGACAGATTTTTACTTCAACACAGGCATTTTCCTTTTTTTTTCTTTTTGTGTGAACTACGTCTAATGGTTATAAAATACAGTTAGTCACTTTGTTATTTTTTACTGATTGTTGTAAATTAACATTTACATTTTATTTCGTTTTGTCTCCAATAAAGTTTTGTTTATTAAAAAAAAATAAATAAATAAATCATATCACCATGAAAAGTGGCAACATTTTTATCCAGGCTTAACTTATTTCAAAATTCAATTCATTAACTCTTTATCGCCTAGGAGTGATTTCCTTCTAATGTCTCATTACAGTATCACCATCAAATGTGAAGATCATGAGAATAACAGATTTAACAAGCTACTAATTGTCAAATTTGTTCTCCTAATTGGTATCATTGGAAATGTATTGAGAACAATAAGGAGAATATTACACCAATGTTGGAGTATAAACTAGGGGTTAATTCAATATTGTGGGGATAGCTCGGTTGAGTGATGAGCATGTTGGACTCCCAATCAGAAGAACAGTTAAGAATGATAACTTCTGGTCAGCAACACTGGCAAACCACATGTTGTAGAAAAAAAAAAAAATGATGATTGACCTGGATATTATAAATGACAGTGTTCCCGTAGATCATTGGAAGCGGACATTTTTCCGAGCAATGCCTTTCTGAAGCAGCAGCTACTTTAGTTAGACAAAGCAGTAAAACACCAATCTTCATCTAAATTAAATTTCAACCTTGGCTGGCTACTAAAAAACCTCTGAATAAAGCTGAGGTGACAAGTATCGTAATTGTATTTCTACCTCCTAGAAGAGCACACCCAGCTTGGGAACAGCCCTGTGCTATACCATGAATCACTTCCTTGGCAACACCCACATCTAACTTTCCAGTTGCAAAGTAATCCAGGAAGTACAATGGCTCAGCACCATGTGCAAGAATGTCATTCACGCACATTGCAACCAGATCAATACCAACTGAGCCATGCATGCCAACAGTCTGTGCAATCTGCAATCCACAACACAAACACAGTTAATTTCAAACTTGAGACAAAATCGCTTTTCTGCAGATTAAACTATCTTGGCTGGATTCTTAAGGGTTACATTACAAATGAACCAAACTGCAAAGCAAGTTTTCATGAGGAGAATTGTTGGTACTCTTAAAAACCAGCCACCTCTCTATAATTCCTTTTTTTTCTTTTTATGAATGTTTCAATTATCCTAACCTTGAGTTTAGTTCCAACACCATCTGTCCCACTAACAAGCAATGGATCTGAGTAACCAGCAGCTTTGGGATCAAAGAAGCCTCCAAAGCCACCAAGATCAGCTGTACAACCTGTGCGTGCTGTAGAGGCAGCTAGGGGTTTGATTGCATTCACCAAAAGGTTGCCAGCATCTATGTCCACTCCAGCACCAGAATAGGTCAGGCCTCTGGCTCTGTTCAAGTTGGAGTGAAATGTGAAACTATATTAACAATAATACATCCAAGATTTAGTAGAATGTTTAGAAAAACATGTTTCACTTCTCTGGCATACATCACTCAACCATTTGGGCAGTCCCTCTTGATAATAATTTCTTTCACTACAGTTAGCCAGTTTGACAACAGATGAACTGTTTAAGTTAGTTGTCCAGCTCAAGATCAGCTCAGGATGAAATGCCTAACAGTTTGAACTACGAACATTAGCAAAGCATTAGTCCACAACAGTACTACAGAGAGATGACAGGGACAACTACTGGGATGACAGGGAGAAATATGAGTTACTTGTCACAGGCTAGAAGGTATCAAGAACCACAACTTGCAAAAGGTGCAAAAGACGAGTCTGTTGCTCTAAGTAAATGTCATCTTCACTCTTGCACAACACATAACTGTGCAATTAGCATAAGCAAGGGCACTGCACTTTGTATAAATTATAATGATTTTGTAATGAATAAAGGTTGTCAGTTTTAACATAGAACTGAGCAAGTAAGAAGTTCTTTGTTTATACACATAACACATAAATAAATCATGTCCAAAATCAATATCCATTAATGAATGCATAAACCACTGTACTTGCAAGCTCTAGATGCAATATCCTTCCTGTACTGAATCCCCTCAAACGTAATCCTCTTGATACTCTCATATGCTGTTTTCTGAGCATCTTCTATTCCTGTGGCCATGCCAACAACTGCCATCACCCTTCCGCCAGAAGTAACTAAAACTTCATCATCTTCTTTCCTTTGGATGGCTGTCCCAGCATGAAACACCACTACATTATTGAGACCCTTTGTGCATAAATTACAAAAACCAAATTGCCTTGGATTAAAAGGTGACTAATAAAAAGAAACTAATTTAATTACTTGACTTTAGTTTGATCACTGTAAGGCATGAAGAAAATTGCTTTAAAGATTAAAGATAACCTTGAAATATGCATTGTTAAGTATAGAGAGAAAACATGGATTGCAAACTAAAAAATCCACACATCCTTCATAGCTAGTATTTCATTGAATTTAATAACCTACCATGTTATTATTATCAGCCAAAAGTAGGGTGAATGTTAACATCTCATTTGACAGTTTCAAATATAACACAAACAAGTTTGTCCCTCAAAAAGTCCAGCTTCATGTATATGGATATAAGCAAGTTTTAGTCTGGATCATTTATTCAGACCATTTTGTTGATTTGCTTTCCATCTTCATTTCTGCCCTCTTCTGCAGTGTATTACTGTAACAATGTATTTGTGCAGTCCCTTGACTTTGTCAATGCGATATTTCCAAAGCAGGAGGTGGATAATAATTATTGTTTTTAATTGGCACTGTCACAAACTAGTGTAACAATCAGCTATGTACATGTACTTCTCACTATTTTCTTCCGAAATGCCAAAAAAATGCATGGTGGTCATTTTCAAAATTACGCTGAATGATAAAAACAATATACTAGACAATACTTAACCAATTAGAGTAAATGCATCTCCATATTATATTCACTGGCACAATGCTACATGTGAAAACAAAACTAACCTCTAAGTCTTTCAATCCTTTGATGACGCACCCTTTCTTCACTGAACCAGGATATCCACCGCTAGCTGCAACCACACCCACCGCAAACCTGTCTGTGTGCCACTGGGGTAAGGAAAGGCTAAGCTCACCATTTACGCATTCCATAAGGGTTGCATAGAGATCACTCTTCAGTAATGGCAATATAACCTGTGTCTCTGCAATAGGAAAAAAATCAAACTTAGTTAATGTCTAGTCCCAGAGGAAAGCAGTCAGCAATATCCCTGACAGTCCAAATGTTTTCCTTGAGAGAGACTGGAGTCTCAAAAGTTGAGAAATACTGACTTATCCAAGGACAGCACTCTGATTAATCAATAGTTCCCAAAAGCATTTTTTGTCACTGAGAACACCATCTACGCATTCTCCCCTTTTTGAAACATGGGAATATTTCCTCTCACCTGGATCACCAAACCGACAATTAAACTCCAGAACCTTAGGTCCATTGGCTGTCAACATCATTCCAGCAAACAGAACTCCAACAAATGGACACTCTTCTTCTCGTAAACCATCAACTGCCTTCTGAAGAACATCTCTGGCAATTTCTTCCTTCAGATGCATGGAAACCTAAAGAGAGTTTCAAAAACAACACAAGAAATTTACTTTTAGAGCTCATCTTTCAGTTTCATGAGCAGTGTGCACACAAAGATCTTTTCATGATGTCTTACAGGAACAATCAAGAGAGAGAAACAATTCTTCTGGTTTCTCATGATAACAATACCAAGTGAAACCCTGGCAACAATGGATGCATTCCTTATGACTTGAAAATACCTTTTAAAAAAAGTAAACTTGTGTCATTTGTGTTAAGATTCTCTTTGTCAGTTTCATTGCAAATGTCCAGAGAACAGTGTGGAAAATGTGCATAATAATCTTAGGGTGTAAAGGATTAAACAAGGTTTCTTGGTGAAGTTTTCTGACCTGCACCATTTGCATGTCTACTCCTGGGTGAACAGACACATTGCTAGACCATTTCCATGTCTATTCCTGGGTGGACAGACACATTGCTGGAGTTGAGTACCAAGCTAGACCTTTTCAATTGGAGTCTGAAGTGTGGGGAATCTCTCTAACATACCTGGGGACAGGGTGCATATGCACCCATTCCTCCTGTATTAGGACCCTGATCATTGTCCAACAAGCGTTTATGATCTTGAGCAGGCGGCATCACAGCAATTGTCTTACCATCAGTAAAACAGAGTACCTGCAACAGATACACTCACAATGGCAAATTCCCTTTACTCATCAATTTATCCTTAAATAACAGTGCTGCTTTGGAAAACTGAAGTATATCCCCCTGTGCAAAAGGCAACTTGATGAAAAGTGGAGCTTGGAGCCCTAAATACCACTCTTTGAAAGCCCTTAGAAATTCATAAGCACCCTGGGCTGGGTTTTTTAATACATGATTAACCTAACCTGGAGTTACTGCAAATTTTTAATTTAGTTTAACAGCTTTGCAAAAGGATTTTTCTTTTGCATTTTTCCTGTTAGGATCGAGTAATATCAAGATAAACCCCGAAAAAACCTTAGCTCTTGTACCCCTCTCCTCTACACCAGAAATTAAAGCCAGGGTTAACTTTTAATCCTAGATTAATGTTAAACCCCTTTCAAACTGGCCCCAAAGGCTTATTAGAGTGTTTGAGCTACAACTTAACCAGGCAGACAAATTCAATATGCCATGTGACAATAAGTGAATGCAACTGATTCAGCACTTCAAAGACAACGAGCATAGCACACCCTTTGAACAAATCCTACTGCTAATTAATTTTTTAATTATCAACGATCAATCAAATCAACACTTACAGAAACTTCCTCTCCTTCTAATTTTTCCTCTATGACTATTGTTGACCCTGCCTCACCAAATATCTTGTCCTGTACAGCAGACAAAAAGTACCTTTTTTTGTTATTCACCTTTTTCAAAACAAAATATTCAAAACACCATCAAAATTCCTACTGTTTCGAATTATCAACATGAATTGAGTACTTTGTACATGAAGAGTGGTTGGGCAATCCCCCCTGTGAATCGTGATTTAATTTTTTTTCTTGATTTGTGAATCATGATAAAAGATGATAGGATCTTTTCATATCCACGTGAACAAATTTATTTTTAATTAAACATGATTTGATTTAACAAAGTGGTTAAGGGGAGCCTTTCGATAGCTATGTATTCAATTCTTGAAAGACCATGCTCTTTTGATTACCTGTAGCATTTCTCTGACAGCTTTGACAGCCTCTTCTTTGCTACTAGCAACAACCACACCTTTCCCAGCTGCTAAACCACTGGCTTTTATCACTAGAGCTTCATAATGAGCTGATTCAATATGTTGAAATGCTTCCTGTAGATCTGTGAAGGCCTTCCAGCGTGCGGTAGGAATACCGTGGCGGAGCATGAACTCTTTGGCGAACTGTTTGCTTGCCTCAATCCGTGCAGCCCTGCGACTTGGGCCAAAACATGGAATTTTCATATCACGCAGCGCATCGGCTAAGCCATTAGCTAATGGTACTTCAGGTCCTATAATAACAAAGTCTATTTTGTTCTCTAAACAGTATTTAATGATGCTTTCGTTGTTGTTACAATCGAGAGAAGGGATATTCTGTGTTTTCGGTTGTAAAGAAATTCCCGCATTGCCCGGTGCAACAAAGATTTGTCCAACATGATTTGATTGGGAAAGCTTCCATCCAATAGCATGCTCCCTTCCTCCACCACCGATCAGTAAAACTTTGTCTCCCATGCTGTTCTTCAAGAAATCAAAGATCAGAGAAAACCCACGTGCAGGAGATGAGCATTGTGTTTGCGCATGCGCCAGGGAACTTCCTTGGTGCAAATTTTAATTTCCTTTGTTTCAAACTCATTATCCTTCATTACAATACCCAAAAACAAAGGAAAATAAAATTTGAACCAAGGATAAAATTGAACCACAACATACACAATACCGACTGGAAGAAATTACGCCGTTAATTACTAGCGTAAAATCTTACTGTATACACAATACGGACTGAAAGAATTTACGCCGTTAGTTACTAGCGTAAAATCTGACAGTATATACGTTACCGACTGAAAGAAATTACATCGTTAGTTACAGGCGTAAAATCGTACAGTATATATATTTCCGACTGAAATAAATTAAGCCGTTACTTACTGGAGTAAAATCTTGCGGTTTATATAGAGGGTATCCGATAGGTTTTTTGAGGTCCGGGATTGCGCTCGTTTAAAGTCCGGGATCCGGGCATTTAAAGTAAGAAGGGAACGAGATGCGGGGTTGCTATTATAAACAGGACACGAGAATCAGCAATTTTGAGAAGCAGGATTCGGGAAATAATCTCTTAAACGAACCGAGAACCGGGATGTCCGCTGACGAGAATTTATGAAGAAATTGATCTTCTCAGTCATGAAAAGCACTAGGCATACAGGCTCTCTAGCTGTCAAGAGGCGAAGGGCTGCTCAGCGACTCTCTTCAGTTAATGCGCGGGAATGAAAATTATATCAGAAGCGAAGTTGCCAATTTGTCAAAAATCCTCAATGGCCCACAGGGAAACGTGGTCTAAGACTGCTGCGTCAAGTGAAATGCTCAACGGCGTTGAAAAACCTCCTGCAAGTCTCAGAATTATACCGATAGCTGCTCTTAACCTGTCGAGTTACATGACTTTAGATGTGAAGAATATTCACTCGGTTGTAGAACACAAAGATAAACTTTTCACAGCGTTAGACTTCCCAAGGAACTTTGGAAATATAGCCTAAGAAGGCTTAATGAGGAAAACCCATTGGGCGGCGTTCTATTTAACAAATCCATATTCTTGGTATCCTGTACCCGAACGTGCCAGGATCCTGTCGGCCATACCAGCAATTCAACCGTTACCACCTGACAGGAAATAACGATGGCAAGAGCTCGAACTTCCCGTCGTACCTCTATCAGAGAGAAATTCAGCCGGTCGAACCCGGTAAGCTTCGAACAGTCTGACTTCGAGGAGCAGGAAGAAAACAGCGGTAAACAAAACGAATAGGAAGGTGGAATATTGGAGTACGATTCCCCGGGTGATGATGACATTCCATCTTTGGAACGAGAGACTGATTTTACCTCGGAAGAGGTTCTTGCTTCGGGAGAAGTATTCACTGTAACAGCAGAATTGTGTTCAGCAATTATTCCTTTATCTCCGTTGGTATGGAACCATGCACTTGTTGAAATTGTTATTCGTTTCTTTGATACTGACCTGCCTGTACGTTTGTCCGTGATCGAAGTTTAATGAAAGGAAGTCATTACCGTGACTAGCGTACGTTATTCGTGCAAAACTTTGAAAACTTCTAAAATGAACAATGTCATCATTTTGGTAAAAAGAGATAAACTCACACCTTACGGTGACTATAGACTTCAACGGATCAATGCTGGTTAAGGAAATCGTCACCCACCGGAAAGGCTCTTCTAAGTTAAGGTTCATACCGCTGACAATAGGCCAAGTGATCCTGGGCTCAAGATTGATGGCCTTCGTCATGTTTAGCTACCAAGCCTTTCAACCGAATACAGGTAAGCTGGGGAGTACTTCGTGTAGAGTCGTTGCCGTGGAAACAACCCAGCTGCAATCAAAAGTCACGTGATGAGCTATTAGCAAAAGGAATATAAAATCGAAATGAGTTTAAAGTGGTCAATGTCGGGTCATGTTTCAGGTGCAGTTCCATGAAAGTTTGGTGAATTTTCAACTCAGATACGTCATCAGTGATGATTAGTCTTATGGCAAACTGTTTTACTTGGGTGAAGAGGAGAAGGGAACCTTCAAAGTACGTTTTAACAGAGTTTGATTTACATTGTGACAAAAAATAGTGTTGATGTCGAAATATTGTGGTCGAAAATGTGATTTCAAATGACCAAACCTTAGATGCATCTTTCTGTTCTTTCTTCAGGAAAGTTACCCTTCTTATGGTGGGTTTAGATAACGCAGGGAAAACGTCTACTGTAGCTGATCTGACGGGAGGTAGGAAAGTAAAATTACATTTAATTTTATAATCTATTCTTGGCGGTAGTTCCTCGTACCATATGAGTTTGTAGTTACTAAAATCAGCTGCCACTTCCTGATGACATCCGAGTACATCCATAAACGTTATGAGAGGAAAATATTGGTTTGTGGCCAATTATAGTAGAGGCACGGTTAGTAAGGGTTATTGAAAGATACTTTTTCGTGGTGATGGAAGTTTCTAGTCCAATCCGTGAGCCATTTTGACGAGGTTTCCTCTCTAGTTATTATCTGAATTGGGCCGATTGGCACCCAGGATACACGAGAACCCTCTTGGGGAGCTTTTAATAAATTTATACTTATGTCATAATTTTGTTTTCTATAGTCACAGTCTAAATCAAAATAGGAAAATGGGACATTTTTATAATGTTTAAGTTGGGGTTTCTGTGAGGAAACTAAAAATTTTCTGCTTTTCTAAATGAATCTTTACAGACTGAACAAATTTCAGAGTTAAAGAGAGCTAACTGCAAGAATTTTGTCTAGCTGCCTAATATGTTAAAATGTTGGGGAGGCTCCAAATCTTGAATTCTCTGTCTCCTTGATAAGATAAGCAGAATCCTGCCTGCTTTCTATTAGGTTCTTACTTTAAATCAATTGGAGAACAGACTCATAGCTAAGGTCACCATGAACGAAGTTTTCCATTTTTATCTTAGAGACAAATAGATTCTATCCCACTGTGGGTTTGTACCATGATACATTACTGAAGATGTCAAAATGTGGTGAGGACATCAGTAACACACTTGGCTGTTTGGTTGTCACCACATTTTGACATCATCTGCAACCTATTACTGAACACATGCATGGCAACTTGAAATTTTTAGGTTAAAGGTTCAGTACTAAGAGATTCCATTTGAGACCTAGAAATTAGCACTTGTGTGAAATGAATATTATTTTCTGTATTAATTATCCTAGATGTACATGCTTTCATAGAGGAAAAATCATGACTGCACTGGTCTACAGTGACGTAGTTGTTGCTGGATTTAATATTTATTTGATTCAAAAATAATGTTTACTTGTGTTGTATTCTCTTTGCAGAGTCCACAGAGGGAATTACCCCAACAGTTGGCTTTTTGAACTCATCATTTTCATTGTATAGATTCAGTGTGACAGTATTTGATGTAGGAGGTGGTGCTAAGATTCGTTCAATTTGGAAAAATTATTATGCTGAGGTCAGAATCTACAAGTGTACATGACTGAAATTTTTTGTGTGATTGAATTTTAAAATCTATAGAGTTTATTACATTAAAATCTTTTTAAAGTCTTTTATGGATTGATTAATTTCTTTTTCATTTTGTTTTGTAGTCATATGGAATAGTATTTGTGATAGATGCCAGTGACACAACTAGGCTAGAGGAAAGCAAGAAAGCTCTTTATGAAACAGAGATGCAACCCCGTGTAGCAGGAAAACCTTTACTCGTGTAAGAAGACACTCCAAATTATGCTTATGAATATTTAACAACCTGTCACACATGTATGGTTTTTTCTGTTTTCAAGACTGCAACACATATTATTACTTCTCCCCTGAATGGTATGACCAGTCCTGTTAACATCCCCTCCTCCCTCCCCCCCCCCCCCCACCCCCTTCTTTAGCAGTTTGTCAAGTTTAAAAGTTTTCTATGACCCATATACAGTATGCCCCTGGGTCTAGAATCTGAAGCATGGACAGTTACTAGCTCTCTTACTCAAGAACACGACACAGAGTCCCTTACTAGAGCCAGATCATAAACCTTTCTTTTTTTGTCACAAGCACTTTTGGACAATTTTACATTGTAATACATTCTTAAGTTAACATTCTTTATATTTCTGTGACAATATAATGGCTAAGAAAATCAAATTTAGCGTTTTTTTTTTACACAAATTGTTAACTCATCTTAAATTTTCTCTGTATAAAGACTTGGAAATAAACAGGATAAGGAGGGAGCTCTAAATGAAAATGAACTACACAGACAGCTTGAGCTAGACACACTTACTGAAAAATACAGTTGTCCATGTAAAGTGGTAAGTTATTACATTCAGGTTATTTCTTATTGTGACTTTTTGCCAGCATTATTTGAAATCATTTTTTTTAAAGATGTTCTAATTAGATTATTTCTTATCTTTCACCAGTTTTGTTGTTCAGCAGTACTTGGTAGAGGAAATAAAATAGATAGACAAATTAAAAAAGGTGAGTTGAAAACCATTTGTAAACATGTTTATGTGGAATTTTTTTATAGAAACTGTCAAACTCATAAACATATTTTTATAACTTGGTGAGTAATTCAGTACTTCTTCCCTCAAATGTTTTGCATTCTTAAGGATGATATAAAGAAGAAAATTGGCAGCCCTGAATAGAAAGAAAGGATGCTTGGGAAATCTAAAAAGATCACTTATGTCTAATAAATTATTGTTCTTGTTTATATGATATCTATAGGCTTCCGATGGCTCCTTGCTGAAATATCCAATGATCATGTCAATCTGTCAAGAAGAGTGGAGAAAGACATGGCTGAACAGGTGATTATAACCATCTCAGTCATAGAATTTATTTTTTCAGCAGGCATCTGGCAGGGCGGTATGGCTATTTCTTGCCTGGTCATGCCATTCTGGAGGGCTCTCATTGAGAGAGGGGTGGGGGGCATTTTTGTCTGTTGTATACAATAAAAGCACATATAGGGAGGTTTGGATCATTTGAGAATTACTGTTGAGAATTATCTGTAGTGTGGATGACTTGATGGCTCTGCCAGAGAAAAACATTCTGAGGGCTAAGCTGAAAAGGAAGAAAGGTTTGAGTGGGGTACAGCCCTTTCAAACCTCAGCACCTTAACCTTTTTGTTCTGTCACTACACTCTTTTGTTATATTTAGAAACTGATTGCCTGAAACTTGCTAATTTGTGGCTAACTTATTAGTTAACATCTAGTTTCTAGCAATTATTATTTAAAATAATGACTGAATCATTTCCTTGTTAATTGCAGAAAAAGGCACAGGATGAAGAAAGAGAGCGCAAAAGAGAAAGAGTCAGATTAGCAAGGGAGGCAAGGTTGGTGGTAGAGGGCTTATGTGTGCGAGACATTAACTTTGCCACCTTTTTCATTAGATTTTGTTATTCTTGTGATATTAAATTTGTTTTTAACTATTACCTTAGGGAGAAAGCCGAAAGAGAAGCTGCAGAAAGAGAGAAACAGCAGGTGGAGGAGTCAGACGATGGTGTTGTTGTTAGCAAGGTGAGATACTTAGAAAGCAGTCCTTTGCCATCAGCCTCTTAAGCCCCTATTTTTAGTCATCAACAAAAGAGGCCTCATGTAACAAGCAGTAAATAAGTTATGATATTGTTCTGATAAAGGTAGATTTAGAATTTAATGCTGGTCAAGATTGTTAGTGAGTACATGATCTGTGCTATTACAGATTGATGCATTATTATATGTAATTTCATTAAGCAAAATAAGTCCAGATTTGGTGTGGTATTTCATCCAATCGTCTGAACTTAATTCTTTTGGTCTGAAATCAGGACAAAAAGAAGAAAGACAGAGATACACCAGAACCTCAAACCTCATCCAAGAAAAAGAAAAAGGGGAAAGAAAATAATCATGAGCCTGATGCACCAGAGAAAGGGAAGAAAAGTAAGAAGAAAAAGAAAACAAAACAGGATGAGGACATGGTGGATGGACAAGATACTAGAAATGTATGTTCATGATGGAAGCATGTGCTTTTGTTGTAACTGTGAGAGTATCTGTAGGGTTCAAGTACCGAGGGGAACTTGGAAGGAATGTGCACATGTAACTTTTCAGTTATGTCTTTTTTTTCCAAACAGATGGAAGACCAAACCCTCAGTAATCCTAGTCCACTAGAAGAGCACTTAATTGAAGATAGGTCCAAAACTCGCGATGAAACAATAGAGCATTTACAACAAGGAGGTTGGGGTGAAATGAGAGAAAGTTTGCCTGTACATGAGAATACTACACCAGAGGATAGTGAAGTGAAAACAAAAAAGAAGAAAAAGAAAAAGAAAAAATTAAATAAAACAGCTCCAATGGAAGGAGAGGAAACAGAACTTCCACCACTCAATGCTTGGGGAACTCCACCGAGTACATTAAATGGATTTCCAGGAAGTAGTGGGGTATCTCCAAGAAGACTAGAGCCATTGGGGCTACCTCATACATCAGGTACTGTGAAAGAGACCCTTGTGATGTAAATGACTCACAGATTGCCATGTGAATATCTTAATTAGTAAAGAAACCTGGGCAGTAGGCTGACACAGACAGTGCTTCCTTGGCATAACACTGTAATTGTTTTCTTCTTATTCAGTCTGGGGGCTTCTTCTTGTGTCAGTCTATATTTAAAAAATAGATTCCACGTTGCCATGCGTCTGTTTGGTAATAGATCACAGATGATGTCAAAATGTGGTAAGAACAAAAAAGTGGCACTCGAGGCGCAGCTGAGTGTGTCACTGATGTTCTTACCACATTTTGACGTCCTCTGTGATCTATTACTGAACAGACACGCCAACTTGGAATCTATTTTTTTTTATATAATAAAGAATTAAAAAAAGTTTTAACAATGAGGTCATCTACGCGTCTGTCCTCCAATAGATCATAAGTGAGAACCAATCAGAATGCGTGCATAACTGAGCTTATTATATAATTAATGATAATTCAGATAGTAGTCTTGAGTTAAGATAAACATGTTGAGTTTTTATTGAAGCAAAAAGGCTAAAATTTACTCAAACTATACCTCATCATGAAATAACTCTACCTTAATTTTTTATTTCTTTCATGTGTTGCATTTTCTCAGGAAACAAAGCCATACCTTCGTTATCAATCCCAGAAGGCGATGAGGTAAATTTTGCAAAGATTCACATTGTAACTTCAATTATTGAAATTCTTAAATAGCAAAGAACTTTTCTTCCCATGAGAGGCATTTATATTGAGTACTGCTTCTGAACAAACTCTTTAAATCAAACATATTATTCCAATGTGTCTATAATTATACAATGACAACGACTTATTTCTTCACACAGGAACCAAACAGTCTTCCTCCTATTCGAGGATCATCGTGGACAAGAAGCAGACCAAACAGTGAAGATTGTGATGTGGTCACATAGAATATTACAATTCTATTTTTCTCGGTCACATTTAAATCAACACTTATCTTGATCATTTACAATGCCACTCAGTCAAATTAAACTTGAAAGCCTTCAGGTTGTTGCTTGAACTTTTCCCCACTGTCTTAGAAAGATTTTCCTCTCAGGGAGGATAATCTTTATATTTGTGGGAAAACCTTGTAATTTGACTCCTGATGGCAATTGGGTCAAAAATGGGTCACAAAGGTCCAAAGTTCTCTGATTTAGCTGAGTCGCATCTAAAAACATGTCACATATTTGGTGAAAATTTATTTTTCCTGTAAATACACATTTCTTGTCTGTTTTATAGAGAAAAACACCGCATCATATTTAAGGAAATATTGCTAAGCAATATCTAAGCATTTCCACCTCAATTATATTAAGACTATATACAATTCATGTATCCTCATTGTATCTCCATAGCATTGAGATAATTTTGTAAATACCAAAGAAATCCTCTATTAAAGTGAATTATCTTTACATTTTGTGTTATGTGGTCAACTCCCCTTTCCTTGTTGTTCTGTTTTTCATGAGAGTAAGGCTCTTTTAGGTTAGAAAAATAAATGTGGATTCACCTCAACCTTTTAACCCCAGCCTATGTGTAGTGGCTAATTTCTCTTTGCATTGTCACTGTTGAATTTAGCATTAAGATCACAAATATATACAAAAAATATATGAATTGAGCTAGGAAAAAACAAAGAGACAACACTTTATCATGACAAGCCTGTTTCGTGATTAGATCATTCTTCAGAAGCTACTTCTATATATTGAGCACTGTAATACGGAAAAACGGAAACATAGACTTTATAAAAAATAAAAAAAAAAAATGTATATATATAATATATATATATATATATATATATATATATATATATATATATATTTACATAAGTATTTATATCATCAACTCAAGGAGCTTCTGACTGATAAGGAAATTTTCCTTGTCAGTACCATACGAAATTTATGGTGAACAGTATGGAGAATATGCACATTGTTATTGTGTAAAGGATTTAAAGACCAAGAATTATCAGGGATTTTATTGTCATCCGCAAATTTGTAAGTCCCTTTCTTACGTAGCCCGTTATCTTTTTTCACTGTCGTCTCCGAGCGTAGGTTTCGCGGGTGGTAAAAGTTTTCTGGCTACCATTCATTTGGAGATACAGGGCTCAATTTAGTGGAATGTGCCGACTGGTAACTACGGACACGTTCACGGTATCATACATAACGTAATCTTAACAAGTCTCGCTCTTGCTCCCACGCCCACTCCCGCTGAGATTTGAAGTTTGTTTGGTTTGCTGGGAAAAAGGATTTTTTCGAAGCTGTTATTCTAACGTGTAAGCCATAATGAGCCGTGAGAAGCCATCTGTGTTGATAGACATTATTTCTGACACCGTCTGACCATGGTAAGTACTGGTAAAATCGATCAGGATTGAAATGATGAGTCATTCTAAGCGTTAACAATTCCGTGAAGCGCAACACTCGTCAGCTGCATGCCCTGCCATCAAATCTTGCAACGAACGAGAAGAAATTGCTGTGCGAAGCCGTGATCTTATATCGTGATTAGGAAGAGGAGAAGTAAATTTGATACAGAAAACGGGATTTCACGGCAAAATATGCCTTAGATTGTGTTGGAAATCGTTTCCAATTAAATCTTCGCCCTTGGCGCTCACACAATTGCAATTTTGGGGAAGACCTCAAAAACGCTCTACAGATTGCTAGAAGATATAGGAAACATCCCAAAATTATTCAACGAAAAAAATCTGATATTGGTCAATTTGTACACGGAGAGGTGTACAAAATTGAAAATCAGTGGGTGAAGAACTGTAGAAGAAAGGGCCTCTTAATTTATTCATGGATCCTGTTGTGCCTTTCTTAATTCTTGAAAGCATTTTAAGTGGCCCTTATTCCTTAAGCTGTACTACATTTGGTGATAAACTTTGAATTTGCTCTCCCAAGGCCTTAATATTCCCACACTACAGAGCAATGTCAGGCTACATTGCGTTTTAAAAAGATTAGCATCTAATTGTTTTTTTATTTGTGGAAGATCGTGTTTGTCACACTTTTGTCAAATAGAATGATCATATCCCTTTGTTTTCCTTCAGGTGTTTTGTTGGAAAACGCCATCTGGAGGAAGCCATGAAGGTGTTTTCCAACGACTTGTCATTTGTGGTGACATGGAAGCCTTTCTTCCTGAACCCTACAACTCCTGAGGCTGGTATACCTCTCATTCAATACCTGACACAAAAATATGGACCAAGGGCAGGTGCCATGGCCAAGGATGGAACTAGTCCTCTGACAAAAGCTGGGTTGAATGTGGTAATGATTATAACATCATTTTTGGTATCTAATGCCACATCAAATTAGGAGCTCCCACATTTTAAGAAATAGAGTACCAAAACAAGCTCAAATTAGTTTCCTACTTACTTTTTAGAACTCCATCTACCCATGGACATACTGAGACTTTTAGGCTAATAATGCCCCCCCTCCCCCTCCCTAAGATAAGCAAAAAAAAAATGAGCCAAAGCAGATCAGGTAATGAACAACTACAATCATATGAATATTTGAGGTGCAGAGGGCAGTTATAAGGGTGCCACAGAAGATCAAAAGCTCTAGATTCTAGCCATGGTTGTATCTCTTGGTGGTATCCTGGAGCAAGACACTTGACTGTCACAGATAACCCTCATGTAACCCTGTGACCCCAGAGAGTGACTAGCATCTAATTTCTCCTTACAATATCATTCCTGAATCGTACTTTAGGATGACAAGAATAAAGGAAACAACCATTAACTAAAGAAGCTTTTGATTGTTAAACAAATTCTCCTTGTCAGCACCATAGGAAATGTATAGAGAACAGTATGGAGAATATGCATACTGATGTTGGGGTGTAAAGGGTTAACCACACAGGAGTACATAGTGTTATGTATCAACAAACAGTCAGGGTAGTGTACAAATTAGTGGGATGTCGCTGCCTTTGTTGGATGATTACATTGAGAGAGTACTAATTTATCTTTTGTTCTTCTTTCTCACAATAGGGCATCAATTTCACAACAGATCGTCTCATAGTCAACACTTTAAAATCTCACTGTATGCTGGACTATGCCAAGTCAGAGGGGAAGCAAAATCTTCTGGCAGAGAACCTTTTCAAAATATATTTTGAACAAGGAAAGAATATCAATTCCACTGATGTTTTGGCACAAGTTGCAGTGGACACTGGGCTCAACATAGATGCTATGGAAAAGTGAGTATCTTTGTCGATAACCTTACCCCTTTCTTACATACAAAAGATTATTGAAATATGATTTTAATACTAAACTTAAGTATGCTCGTTTCCTCAGGTATGGGCTGTTTTCTTATTATTTACTCGACTGATTGTTGAATTTACTTTTTAAGATGTTACCACACTTCATATGTCCATATTACCACATTGTACATAGTTTTTTCAATGTTTGCCTTTGTGCATAGGTCATTTGTTCAGTCAGTGTAATAATAATTTCTCATTAGTAAATGGTTTGAACCAAGGGGTAATATGTGATAGTGGAGTCTGATAGTTGGGTTTAACAAGTCAGTAAAGTCTCTTCATATGAGCCCCGTTGATCAGGCAGGCCTGGTTTTCAATATCTCAGCACATCCCTAATTCTCTTAAAAAATCCTGATGTGTTAATATGAACAGGTGATCTGGCCTCGCATCCTGAGATCTCGGTTTTTCCCTGTAAGATCTCAGGAACCAGGCCAGAAATAATTTTAGCCCCTTCTCTCATTTAAGTACACAGATTGAAATTTCTCACATGAACCCAAGACAAAATTTGTCTTGGTTAACAAGACAGCCTAGTCAACTGGGCTCATGTGAAGAGGCCCTGAGTCATTTAATAAATCCTATTCAGTCTCTCATTTTATAAATTTCCTATGGAAAACATATTTGGTTTTTAAGTCCAGTTCATGTTCTGAAAAACACTCATTATTTGATTAGCCAGTTGTTAACAATGTTTGCATCTTATTTAGGCACCTGAAGGACAAATCAGTTGTTTCACGAGTGCAAGAGGAAGCCATGGAGGCTCATGATGAAGGAGTCCATGGAGTGCCTTTCTTCAACATCCACCTTAAAGGAGAAAGCCAGAAGATTGCTGGATTCTCAGGTGCACAACCACCTGAGACATTCAAGAGTATCTTCCAGCGGCTGCTGAATAGATTCAAAGCTAGTGTTTAAGGTCACACTTCTGACATAGTTCTACTCTTTTGCACATTGTTAGCTAATAATACTTTTGAAAAAAGAAGCTTTTAGAGCAAGGGTTTTTTCAGCATTATGGTATATATATAATCAAGAAAAAAAAAGTCTTCTAGGTTACTCAAATCCAGTTTCTGTAGCAATATTTTGACCACTTTCCTTCTAGTTAGCTTGGCTTGTGCTCATCCAAAGCCTGGATATCTTAAGAGACCAGGTTTTGTCTTCTGAAAACTTACCTTTGTTTTAATGCAAGGCTGCTAACTCTTCTAGTCTTCTTGTGCTTGATGAGTTCATGTGTCTAACATGATTACCTTTGAGAAAACCTATTCTCAAGGGTTTGATGATAAAAATCACAAGGAATTCAGTAGACAGTACAAGACAATTGAAACTTAAAACACATTTCAATACACGTTGTATGACACAGTTTAGGCCTACAGTGATATGTTATTTCTTAAGATGGATGTAGTTAGTTAAAATTTCAAACCCATTGGACCAAGCAGACTGTTTTAACTAGTGTAGTGGTTAGAAAGCTGTAATGTTTTATGAGGCTTGGAACAGTAATGTCAGTGAAGGTCTGTGACTAAATGATTATCTTGGGATAAATTTGTGGTCATTCTAAGATTTGATGTTGACTGTCACAAAGATGTGCAGGGTGTTTGTGAATGGCCTCACGTTAAAATTGATTTGTAAAGGGACTTTTGCACCAGTCATTGGGCATATGAAAGTAACTGTATACTTAATGTAGATGACAGCTTTGGAGTAAAAGTGCTTGCTAAAACTTCAGTGTTGCCTTAATTAACTAAATTTCACTCTGAAGAAGGGCTAATGCTCAAAGTGTCAGTTTTGAAACTCTTAGCAGTGGCCAATTTATATTACCAACTCTACTTTTACAACCAAAATCATCTTGCAAACAGTAGGTCAGCCATGCCATGGCACTGGGTCATATAGAAAATGGCTTGTTCAAATAGTTTGTAGAAAACGTGATGCTTCTATCTGGACACAGGGTCACCAAGGGCATGTGATTTAAATGACCATTTTCAAGCATGCAACCAGTTCTGACAAAGAGGGGTAATTTCCCCCCAGCCCCATCTTAATCAACTTATTTAGTGTAAAGTACCACTAGTTTGTGGAACATACCACTGGAATCGAAATCCTGTCGGAAATAGAGTAAAAATAATGTACAAGGGCCTGTTAGAGTGCAATCTTGTTCGCAGCCAGTTCTACCTTAAGTAAGTAATAAGGAACCCAACTCTTCCTCCCATTCCATTCCAAAACCTGCCGTTTGGGGAAATGAGAGAGCCTGGGTTCTATGAAGCTGGAACTCATGGTCCCGACGAACTAAAACCCTCATTCCCCAACCTCCCTTCCCCTTCCCTTTATTCTCCCCTGCCTGCTACAGTCAAATATAAAACAAACACAACGTAACAACATCGACTCACCTTAGATATGAAATTTTATTAAAAACTATATAATTATGTATTCACTTTTGAAGAGCGCGCGCTCATCTCTTCCAATAAATAATTTCTTGGCTATGAAATGACCGTTAAGAATTACAATTCGTTTATAATCCGTCCACTAAATAATAATTTCTCAGATTGTACATCAACTATCGCCATTGGTTGGACTCACGTTAGCGACGCAAACAATCAGTCTGCTCTTGATTAAGTGTGTTTCCACAGTGAGTTCATTGCTTGGTAATTCACTGTCAAGACTCAGGGGGTACACAGATCTGTTACCCTATAAACAAAAGGCAGACACTCGATAAGTAATTAATCAGCCAATGTTTTGCGTCTAGTGTGGCGTCACGTCTTAGCTTTTCGTCATTCATCGGATACAATCGACTCGCGCTAGGAATGAATCGTTAAGGGTCGGGTCTGGGACCCGTTTCTCGAAGATCCCGGTAACTTATCGGGGCCGTAAAGCACTTCTGTTTTCATTCAGTACGGGAGTTTATAAGACTTCGGCTAAACAAACAAAATGAATTGGTTAGGGTGCCAGAATCTGCTCCGCCATTCTTCATAGATTCTAAATATAGCTGTGAGCCCGTTAATTCGCCGGGACTTTCAAGAAACGGGCCCCAGTGAAATGAGATTGTCCATACGAGGATATCTTACTTAAAAATTTGGAATTGGGCATTGGGCATGGTCAGGCCCAAATCATCAGACAATCCAAAACATCAAACAATAACCCCCCAAAAAACGAATTTAGACGGCTTTCCTACCAGTTACCGCTACTGATTATGGATTATTAGGAGTATATCGTGTATTTCCTCAAAGCTACAAGGCTACTTGACTGTCCGGAGAAGAAAAGCTGTTAATAGTTGCGGCAAAAAACATTGAAATCTAGGAAGATTTTGTGATATGAAACGTGATTTAAAAAAGAGGCTCGTGACCAAAGGCGGAAAAAGCTATTTTCCCACAATACTGACCTGAACCAGTGGATACTGTATACTGGAATTTAGCAGTATTGAGCGTACTCCATTGTCACCGCAAAAACTAAGACATACTTCATCACCGTAAAAATCAGCTTTCACACAAAATAAAACCACTTTGGTGCCTATAAGAGATAGAGGCAAATATGTAACAGTTGTTGATCGGCATAGACATACTGGGAATTGCTGGAAACTTAAAGAACATGAGAGACAGTTTACTTAGTAAGTTTAGTTTGGTTAAGTTTGAAGAATAAACTGATCAACTGGACAAGGTGCTGGAAAAAAAAAGCAACAACAAGGTAAGTTACACGTTATCGACACAAATGCTGATATAATTTACCTGGAGGTGCTTTATTCGAGTTATATTTGATAAGGAAAGTCTCCCTGTCTTTCTCCCCCGGAGCAATACAGCGGTACGGCATAACCAAGGGGAGCCGTAAAGTTCCGGCTGATTCCAGACATTTCCCCAATGCAGCTTGTAAAGTGTTTTCCATGCTATTAAAAAGGTTGAGAAAAAGTAACGCTACAAGAATTAGTCTCCCGATAAATAGATACCTTTGCCTTTGATAAACCCTCATAAGTCAATGTAATCTTAACAGTTTTCGGAGATTTCTATAAGATCTAGAGGTAACCTATCCTTTGTCTACACCATACGATATCCATTCCCCATCTGCACAATCAAGCAACACTCGAGGAGGGAGACTGGGTACCTAAGTCTAAAATAACTGAAGAGGAGAAAGGGGGGCTTCAGTCTCTCCACTTCATTCTCTCTTGGGTAAAGCTAAAGATAAACTCACATTGCTAAAGAAAAGACGACTAATAAGATCTAACCTTTTTTCGTGTTCTGAGAGCAAATTTTGTATTTCAAAATACTGGTTTCTCACAGCGATTTGTATAGCGGTCTGCTCGTAGTTTGACTGAACTTTTGTGTCCACACCATGCTTCAATAACACTCCAACAACTTCCTCATGGCCTTTCTTACACGCCTGCCAAAAATATACCATAAGTGAAAGTTCATTGTCTAATTATCTATTCCTATAAATAAAGCACGTGTGTTATTCACGATGACCACTGACCCTCATGAGTGCCGTCTCGCCTGCCGGCTGTTGCCAATTGATGTGGGCCCCACACTCCAGCAGGATTTGCACGGTTTCTGGAAAACCCTGAAAAAAAAAACGATTAACTTAGTAGTGCCCATTTGTACTTCACGAAGAGGATGTCTTCCTCAGCGGAGAACACACGAGGAGTGACGAGCCGGAAGATAGCTTCAAAGGAAACGACTACCAACCACTTAACAGTTATTCCCTGTCTAGCCCTCTCTACAGTTATTCTTTATCACACCGCGGTTAGATTATTGAAAATGAAAAACCAAAATCACACTGGATTTAAGCCAAGACACAATCACTTAAAGGTTCCTCGTCCGAGTCGAATGAAAGTTGGAGGTTGGAAGTTCGAATGGAAGGGGATCGTTGAGATGAAAACAAGAGAACCACGAGAAAAATCCTCGGAACATGGACAAGTGCCGACAACAAATTCTACCCAAAGAGGGAAGAGGAGGAGTAGACCACCAGACACAATATGGTGGTGGGAGGCGCGCCCTTTCTTCATTGCACTATCCCTACCCGCCAAACATTTCTCCACAGACCTGTTCTGCAGCATGCATGAGTGCTGTCATTCCGGTTCTTTTCTGATCAGTGTTTACACCAGCTCCTTTTTTCAATAGGAGCTTCACGATGTCATCCTTGCCACAAGTCGCGGCCCACATGAGTAGTGTCATCCCTGATGCAGTGTCGATGGTATCCGGATTGAACCCAGGCACAGCAAGAGCACGCCTCACCAGCATGGTGTCGCCGTCTCGAATCGCTTGTTTCAAGGCGGCTGAAAGAGACAAGCATCAAGATTTTGTTGGATGAGCTAAATCGTGGTTTCTGGGTCTTAACTTGTTCAGCCTATAATGTTCAAGTCCGTCATCTATAATCCATTTTAATCTTAGCCATCCTTAGCTATCCTTGTATTTTATCCTCTCTTTCTCCCGCACGTCCCACAAAAATCCTACCCAGTTTCCCACCATAATGATCAAAATATAAACCTGTTACCAGACCCATACGGCCAAAGCAAAACTATACAAGCGACACCCAACTACACAGTTTACATGGGGCAGTTCCCAGCCCCTCCCCACCAGGTAAAATGCAAACTTGTGATAGAGGCGGAAGGGACAAATATGCCATAAAAACAAGGCTTTCACTATTTGTAACCAAGTATTCTTGCTTGTGCGGTTTAAATAAGTTTCCCGAAAAAAAATTTGTACAGTTTATTCGGCAGTGACTTACTCCACGAGAGAATCAGAGGTTCTGCGGCTGGGGAAGGAGCTCTATCACTAACAATCGCTTCCTGCAAAGAAAAATTACATACATTTTAGAAACCATATGAATTAAACTTACTTCATCCACCTGTTTCCTTATTAACCTATATTCAAGCATACTCTTACGTACAACATTTTCACCACTGTTTGAGCCGACTTTTCTCGTAAACCAATTCTGATTCAGTTTCGGGAGTTTTGGGAAGGCTATAATATAGTATTCAGCTCAAATGTTTTTGTGAGCTGGTAAGATTGGTTCGAATCCATAAACTATGACATCTCTCCTCTTGCCGTGCGCGTTGACCGAGAAGAACCTGGAGTCTAAACAGTGAATGAGACTCGTCATAGTATGCATATATAATATACACCTTCCTCAATTACCTTTTCAAATATACAAGAACAGAAATACGTACCATTGATATGAGTAAGTATTATACTTAAGGAATATAATCAACATGCGCGGCTCTAAATGGAAAAACCACTTTGGCTTTCTTTTTGGTCCATATCTACAGTTTCATGTTGCTTTTTTGGTGTAAGTTTGGCTTACCTCGACTTCGTTAAAGAAAGAATGAGGCGAAAAGTCATCCAAGTCGAACTCAAAATCACTTAGATCATCCTCTCCTTCTGAAATGTCTTCCATTCCGCTGTCCTGTTACCAACAAAAGAGCAAACAAGTAAACAACGGAATATTTGAAATGAGCAATATCTGACTTGTGGATAATCCTATCAGATGGACCACTCAATAGTTGCGAAAGTGAAACACGCCGAAAAGGAATTATGGTATTAACCGGGGTATGCTTAAACCTCTCCCCTCCTCAGGGGATAATTTACTTCGAACATGTCGCTTCGTAGCTCAGTTGGTAGCAGACGGTGCCCAACCTATCTGACAGGCATGGGTTCAAATCTCGTCGATGCCCAATTTCATTTGTTAGACTTTACTTTCTGCGGTTGGGTTGATTGCAGTCGAAATGTTGAGGTCGGACAATTCGTCCCAAAAATAAATAAATGGATAAAAAATACACGATGCCTTTCCAAAGGTCCTGTCCTTTCAAATGAGAAACACGACCTTGCGAAGATACAACTTACATCTCGCTCGAAAAAGTTGAGGTGAAAAAAAGAGACGACAAATTGTCATAAACCAAAATCGTCCACGTCTCGGGTCTAAGTCCTTGACACAATTAAAAAAAGATTTAGTCTACATGTTTTATCATTCTAGCAACGTCCTTTAATGACGACTCGCTACTATGTAATTACAGAGTTATGTTTTATCTCTTTGTGCTTAATTTTATTTACGATCTTTCTTTTCATTCATTGATCAAACCTATTTTTCCTTCCTTTTGTTCACTTTGATGGAAACGGAATATGTTATTTTTCAACAAAAATTGAAAAAAAATATTAAAAGAGAGAGCCACATGATATCATACGACGTACGTGAAATATCAACACAAATGATTAAAAGTACATTCTATCGCAAAAAACTAGAAGTCGTGGAAACCATTTATGGAAATTCAAACTCACACAAAAACAAAAACAAAATCCTGCCTGAAACAATACATGTTCAATTGGAAATTCGTTAATTGTCCCTATTTTTCGCTATTTACCCACCAGATTCTAGATCTTTTATCCAAATTATACTAACTGAATAAAATGTGCTGATAGGTCTTTCAACGGAATGTAAATGAAGAAAGCACGAAGACAGTATATAGAGCACCTGGCGTCAAAATGGATTTTTTTTCTCGGAAACCCTTCAAAAAAAAAATTCATTTGATTCAGACCCTCGATTTTCCGAATACGACAGAGAAGATTTAAATATTCTTTTCAATCAGTTCATTTTTCTCTAGTTCAAAACATCCGTGTAGGAAAATATGCAGCGAACTTCGATGTTGAGAGATGGAGATTCAAAATCAGAGCCACGCAACAGATGCAATTCAAATACATATGATACTATTAGTGTTTTAATAGCGAATCGCTGCTTTAATCGGAAAGACACGAAAGCTGGAGTATCGAACTTGACAACATGACGAAATTTGCATGTGATCCCATTGGGGAAAAAAACAATAATATAAAATGCTTGAATAATAGTATTTCGTTCCAAGAGAAACTTACCAAAATTCTACCATTTTCCCCGTCACCTTGTGTACCATTATGCGTTTTCCCGTCAATATTGTCCTGTTTCGATGTAACTGGCTTATTTTTACTTTCATCATCTTTGCCACTATCCTGAATAATAGCACCGATCAAATCTCCATCCATGAGAGCAACCGACTTCGTATTATTCTGCCTTGGTAATAAATCAGCAGCGGTTGTAGAGGCGACAATGTGCTGCTTGTCCGTTTTTTTTCCCAGGGAATCGGTCATAACCCCCGCAGAACCGCCTGCCCCATTGGAGTTTGGGTGTATTGCAGATGGTTTATCTGTCAACAGCGGCCTTTTAAACTCTCTTCTTGATTTAGGACGTCCTTCTGTCCTCTTCGCTTTTCCCTTCATCCGGTTTTCCATGTCAACGTGTCGTTTCATTGTGACACGATTATTCAACTGCGACACGTCCCCGTCGAGCGACGATCTCGTCGCAGAAATTTCCAAGATGTCAGTGTCCCGTTGTGTTCCCCTCGCCTCCTCGATTTTATTTTCGTCGATAGAACTTCGAACAAGTGGCTGTGACGTTTCCGAACTCAACACACCATCTGTTTTGTTTGAATTTCCGTTTGCATCGAGACTTGGCGACAAATCCACGCTTCCTTTAGTATCGTTGGGGTTACGCAACCTCTCATCAACTTGATTTTTTACTTTCATGGACTTCCCTAAGGTTCGCATTTTCGACAATGAAAGTTTGGACGACACATCAGGTCGAAGAAGCGATGACTTCACTTCGTTCGAGTTTACGTCTGTTTCTTGCGCTAGTTCGTCGGAGTCTTTTCCTGTTACCATTTCATTATCATCCAGGTTAGGTAAAACGTTATCGATTTCACCTTGCAGAGCTTTCGTCCGACTTTCGATACTAAAACTTATTGGGGAAAAGTTATCACCACTAGAATCACTGTCGCTTTTCTTCGCCTCACTCTGATTTTCAACAGAAAATGATTCTCTCACTTTAGTTTTCCTTTCCTTCTTCCCAAGGCTAGTTTCTGTTTCAGTATTCCGGATATTCGATTCCTCTTTTTTTTTCTTCGTCGTATTCCTCGACAATTCCAGTTGTAAATTTCCCTGTTCACTCTCAGAATCACTTTGCGAAGAGATCACAATCCACTCTTTCTCTATCGCGGGCTCAGATTCCTGTGGTAGATTTTCCCGCTCATCGTCTGTGCTTTGGGATGAAATTTCTATAACTTGGAAGTCGTCCTGCTCTGAATAAACTGTACTTGGATCGACATTGGAAGTTTCATTTGCTTTGGAATCCTCATCCCTTTCCTCTTTCGTATTTGACGATGTTTCATCCGAAGCACCTTGGATCTCCAAGATTGCGTCCCCAACAGGACTAAATTCTTGTTTCTTCCGAAGGGAAACAAGAGCTAATTCTTTACTAGCTTGTCGAGTTAAACCCAAGGGAGCTATTTCATCCAGGTCCAGAAGTAAATAATCTGAGGGACCATATTGTGGGAAAGGTTCTTCATCCTTCGCTGGCCGTCCTCGTTTTCTCTTAGCAGCGATTCCTTCGCTCTCTTCAGTTCCTGCTCCGCTATCAGTCTCCAACCTTCTGTTCTTCGGCGGACGGCCGCGCCTCCGTTTTTCTGGAGGTGTACTCATTTCAACATCGTCGTCGTTTTGGTCCTAATAATAAAATTGAACAATGTATCAGTGCTACTATCAGTGTAAACTCATTTTCCTCTTTCCTCAACGCTTCAACTAATTACATCATCAAAGGCCTCACTGTACATCCCTTGCAAGTGCACGTGATCTTGTCGATAAAAAAGGGGGAAAGCGTTTGAAAAGTCTCGAGAAATTACAAGCGCATGCACATCAGAAAAAGCAAGATCTGAATATCACAAAAATATACAAGCTAAGGCCATTCAATCGAGTATTTTGAGCGCGGCGTATGAGAAGTAAAAGCAGATATGGTATCACTAGTTATTTTTCCGGATTACAAAAGGAAGCAAATACTCACGCTTAAATTATATGATATTCAAATGAGACAACACAAACATTGATTTCAAATTCAAAGGAGAATCTGTTGAGTTGTTTAAACTGTTTAACACAATCCTTAAAAAATTTATTTCGCTAGGAAATAACCTTTCCACCTAAGAGGGCTTTTATCTGATGCTTTTAAATTTAGAAAAATATTTCATTCTACAAATGGCTAGATTCCATTTGATTCCATTTGCTAGATTCCCTCACTCTTATTGATAACAATCGAGCGTCTTCCAAAAAAAATTTATAGATCTTTTTGTACGTGCTATTACGTTCAGATAATCCATGAAAAACCATTACAAGTGCTCACGGAAGATTCAAATTCGACTAGCACTCTTTCCTGATGACCGCTTCAACTGCTACAATCTAATTCCACAACTTGTATAAAACTATGCAATCAATTGCCACAACAAAACGAACTTGCACCGCTAGCCTGGCATAAGACAACAACGTCGCAGATTTGTAGGAGTCGGTAATTTCTGCTTTGGTTAATTACAAGAACGTACCTGGAATGCAAAAAAGAGTCACTGCTTCTAAACGTGAATTAAGACAGTGGCAGATAAATCGTTGTTTGAGCAAAAAGCGTCTTGCGTGATACGGACGAGATCCGTTTTTTAAATATGCGCGCGAAACAGGAGGAAATGATGCAATGAAAAGAGAACGAGAGAAAAGAGAGAACGAGAAAATCACCTAAAAGAGCGACTAACAAGAAATTTTCTTACGATAAAGGTTTTTAAGAGAAAACACCTGAGATATAACATATAACTATGTACACTGAAGGATATTTTAATACTTGACAGTCCGCATATGCAACGATCGTGATTGAAACAGGTCTGTCATGGCCATGTTACATCACATGTTTGTCACGGATATTGATACCCTATGACGGCCTACACGTAACAGTTTCTCGAAAGTTTGTGCTTCTTTGCTTGCCATAAAACGATATCAATTTATTTGCGGGTTTGAACCTAATGTGCTATGTGCTACATTATCATTATTTTGTTACTGAAATAGTTTCGACCACGAGAAGATCTCGTTTCGAATATTGCCTGATACAAGCTAAATAAATACTTGAAAACCTTCGGCCTTCGTGGCTGGCAGTTTTATGCGCATACTACGGTTTTGAATGCAGTAAGCGTTAAAACTATCGTTCGTCCCAAGCCTCTCGCGGCTTCGTCGTACACCGCTTAAGAGCTCACAGAACCGAATCACCTGAACATTTTCTGGACTTTGAGGAGGAGTATTTAAACTTATGACTCCATAATCCCATTACGAGGCTAGAAACAACAGAGCCATGAGTCCACTGACAGTAGGAGTTGGTTGATTGTGGGCTCATGTGCTCATCATATGATTATCACGCCAAGTCATAGGTTTAAATCTTTTCAAATCCCGTGAGTCCTGGTTTTTCGTTTTATTTATTATTTTCAGACTTCCTCAACGCGATCCAATTTTGCCTTTGCGAAACTCATTCTAAGAATCAATCCCGACTTAACCGTGGTTCACAAATATAAGAATACTCACCTTCCGGTTTCCTTCATCAGTGTCGCTGTCTTCTCCCGCAACTTCTTTCAGCCGCTTCTGTGAACGGAAGATTTAAGTTACAGTGAGAGTGAGAGTTGTTTTCTAATGCTAGCGAGGGCCCCTTTATTAACCGCCCGCCCCACCCCCCGTGGGCCAAGAATGCGCGGTATGCATTCGTTGCATCTCGTGATTACCTTTTCATTTTTTCATTTTTTAAATAAATAAATAACAAGAACACAGAAAAACTTCTACACTGGACATGAGATGTGCGCAAGCTTAGGGGATTGCTTGGTACAAGGATTAGAATGATGGTTTTAGCATCTACTCACAGGTTTTGCATATTTCTCGCCGGATGTGAAAAACATACGAGCTCTTATTGATAAGTTAAAAAAAAAAACAGTTATATTTAACCGTCCTAGCCTAAGAAAATTCAGGTTTCCACTGAATTAGAACATGTACCTCTTAAATACTGATGAAGCAATATTACTAACTAAACTTCAAAGCCACATGTTCAGAGTGAGGACAATTTTAGCTAGAGCAACTAATATTCCCTAACTAGCATCAACAGCAACAGCTTGAATCCTGTTGAGGCCTTAAATCGATGTTTTTCAGGCTTATTTCATACAATTTCTTTGAAACTTTTTATATCCATGACTGATTAGGAAGAATTTCAATATCAAGCATGCAATTAACAAGAATAAAGAAAAATATAATTATTTAACTGCAGCTCACATGCAAGCCTCACATCTTTCCTTATAAATGTCCATCAGCTTTGCCATTTTACACCATGGCAAGAAAGTTAAGTGAATCAGTGAGCCCTGTTAAAATTGTTTGTTGTACTTACTAATAATGAAACTGATTACCATACTGTACTTACTGGCTTCCTCCCACGCTTTTTATATGATTCTTTCCTTTGCACCCAGTACCTCTCAACTAGTTCCTGACAAGTGAGCAAGTTTTCACTTGGTTCCCAAGAGTCCTCTTCTGATCCATAGCCTTCCCAGCGCACCTTGTATATCACTCTACCGTCCTTATAAACATAAAAAAGAACAGTGGGCAATCAATTAAAAGAAACAATCATGGTATCTATGAAGCAGCACCTTTATTTTAAAAAAAATACATATTTTGGCAGATTGTGCAGAGTTCTAGAATCGATTTCCACCTTTCCAGATATAGTTAACCCTTTAAGTGCTGTGATTGACCAAGACAGAATTTCTCCTTCTTATATCTATTAAATATCATGCAGAAGAGTGATGAGAATAAAGAAAAATATCAATAATGTCTGATTATTACTAATGAGATTTTGGGAGTGAAAGAGTTAATTTGGGTTCTACAATAATCTGGATCAAGTCTGCATTTTGATTGGTTCTCTCTTATGATCTATTCAAGTTTGTAACATTATCATTAACAATTTTTTTCCTCTTTATCATATCAAATAAATAGAGTCTGTGGTGCTGCTAGTCTGTTTAGGTAATAGATCAAAGAAGATGTCAAAATGTGTACGAACAGCAGTGACACAGGCAGAATCAGCTTAGAAAGACACTACCTTCACACAGTGCCTCTTCCCACCCAGGTACATAATGGGCACCAGAACACTGTCAAGGAGATTGAGGTGGACTGGGACTGGGATAAACTAAAAATACATGCAAGCACATGCAAGCTACAATTGGCAACAAAATTGTTGACACATTGACCTTTTCAACTGCCTATCACTTCAATTTTATCTCTTAAGCCAATGTTCATTTAACTATTTGCCTCCTTCACCCCCAAAGCAATGTTGTATTACAATTCCATGAACCTCAAGCTACATACCAGCAACAATGAAAGGGGGAGGAGGGTCTTGTCAAAGATTTTAATTGTGGCAAAGACAGGAGCATTATTCTATAAATAAGACCCTTCAAATATGATGTGTTGACTAATTTTGATGCTTATTGGAGGCTTACAACTCACATTTTTCCTTTCTTTTGGTTTTGTTCTTCTCTTCTTCCTAAGCAGGGGTAAGTTTAAAAGGAGAAGGAGAACAAGAAATACTGGGTGGCCAGGTTATCAGAAGTGCCATGTTGTTTCATCAGATTACAGGCTAACCTGGGAACAATTCAGTCAAAACGTTCCATGAAGTTGGCAAAAAAGGCTCAGGCAAATTCTGAAAGTGTAGCTGATGTACATTATATCTTGCTCTCATCATGTGTCTTCGTAGCTTAGTTAGTATTTAAGGCCTGGCTAGTAATAGAGAGGAACAGGTTTGAATCCCATTGAAGCCTGATTTTTTTAATGGCTTTTTTTTTGCAGTCCACCTTCAAAGATCATTTCTTTGCTTGATTCACTCATCTTAACCTGTTGCAGGTAAATTCTTCAATTAATTCCACTCAAAAATAGGGAAATGGCTGTTGTACAAATTTTTTGCTGGAGCAAACTTCCATCAATGCATAACCTTAAATATGGTAAAAGTAACTAGCTAAAGAAGGCAGAGTAGTTGGTAGATTTGGTTAAAAACCGGCTCATGTTGACTGATCTGCTTGGTCAGCAACATCTAGACTTTCTTGCCTCTCAAGATGGAATATTTTACACCTCAAACACAACTTTCATAACATGGGGGATTATTTTTGTAGAGAAACTAATTTATCAACATTATTTTTTAACTAGATGAACCCCAAACAATTATAATCTCTCAGCTATTATGGGCTGCACTGCTTTCCACCATTGAAAATTATTCTGGTCTAAATGCATAAAACCATATTGCTACATAATTCAAATTCTAAAACCAGACTATTCTACACTCATTGTCTAAATGGTTTTTAAAATGTTTTGATTACGGCATCTTTATTGTTTAAGCAGAAGGTTAAGAAATGATTTTCCTTTGCCTTAAATAAGACAAATAACTTATAAGATATACTGGTATACTACCACTCTCAGATAATCCTAAAGTTTCCCGATTACACAATAAGTCTCTTGATCTCCTCACAGTCTATTAACTCTTTGGCCCCTCAGAGTGATTGGAATCTAATTTCAATATCACCCCTGAATCACACATTAAGGTCCAGAGAATAAAGGAAATGATCACCAACTAAAGAAGCTCTTGATTGTTAAACAAATTCTCCTTGTTAGCACCTCAGGAAATACATGGAGAACTGTATGGAGAATATACATACTGATGTTAGGGTGTCTAGGGTTAATTCTCTTAAATCAGAGCAAATCTGGAGCTTAATTTTACACTAGTGGAGAAATTAGTTCCTGTTTCAAAGATGGTCATATTTAACCCTAAGAGTGACCAGCACCTAATTTCTCCTAACAGTAATGTGGCTGTATCATTCATTAAGATCATGAGAGTAAAGGAAATGATCACCACCCAAAGAAGCTTTGATTGTTAAACATATTCTCCTTGTCAGTACTAAAGGAAATGTATAGAGAAGAGAATGGAGAGAATGGAGAGAATGGAGGGTTATGGGAAATCTGTTTCATTTTGGAAATATATTAGTCCACTTTATTGTCTCAGTTAGAGAAGAGAAACCAAGACAGAGTAGTTAAAAACAAATTTGGGGATAGGGGTGGCAGGAAATCTAAGATTTCCAGAGGTGTACATCTCTGCCAGAGCAAGCCACCAAATTCATCTGGAGGATTGTAAACTGAAAACCCCACACTACCTTTGACAGGCCTTTGCAGAGGGAAAAGGAAAGAATTTTGACAGTTTTATCCCTCCCTAAAGAGACGATATCAATTGATATTAAAAGAGACTTGTTTAAACATAAAGCGGTAAAAACGAACTAAAAAATATCAATTGAGGGTCTTCATGTCTTGAATACCAGTGCAACCTGAACAATATCTGAAATTTCCCCACTACATACTGATAGATCTGCGATGCTGACTTATATTTTCGGAAGACAAGAAATACAGAAACACACAGGCATGACACTACCTAGGTCGATATTACAAACATCAGAGACTTCCCGATCAGTAAATATCCCGATATTCACCTGCCATCTCTCAAGGACAAAATTTTGTGGGGGATTTGTCTAGCGTGTTTGCTTAAAGTTAACAAACTTCCTTCGTCGCGTGAGGTAAAGAGTCCCTTTAATTCCTGTCAAACCTGCATTGCGACACTACCTTACTACAATAGCCTCGATTACTGAGAATTAACAGTTCCCAATTGGATTTCTCCCGGAAAAATGGCAGGTAATCTTGCTGTAGGGTATGTTCATGAGCTAAGTTTGGCATTCGGCTTAATACAAAGATCGACTGAAACATCATTCAAGTTTAATGAACATTCGGCCGGCCAGGCTGAAATTATGTATGCATGACCGATAAATACTTTATCGCGTTGTAAAGAATGCCGAATAGTTCACGGCACAGACAACTTCAACTTACCTTCTTTTTCGCTTCAAGTATTCTTTCCACTTCATAAATGTCATCTGTGTTGTCAGACTCGCAGTCAAAATCCATGATTTCAATTGAAAATTAAAGATCCCTTTCAAAGTTCAGAACATTGTTGAGGGAATTATGAGATGTCCACTTGAGCCTGCAATAGAAAAGGGCAGCGAAATGTTTACGGCATCCAGTCTTCCCTCGCCGAGAGTATTTTAAGGCAAATAAGAAGTAACTTGTCTTGTCCGTGTACTCTTATCTTGCTAACAGTTTCAGTAAAATCATTTTATTTGTTGCGTCACAAACACTGGAGTGCTCTATTGCGCGCGAGCACCTCGTTTGAAGCCACGGGCGCACCTCCTGGGAGGGCACGCGCGCTACGTGCTCTCAATAAACTTCACTCACCTTAGTGTGTCCAACGACATGCTTTTTAAATTGTACATAGAAAGGGAACAGCTCTACCTGAGTCAATTTTTTCTGATTTTTTACTGCCGCTGAGTTTCCAAAGCTATTATAGACCTCTTGAAGTAAAACCATCCCCGAACAGTTTATTAATAACTCCAAAAGTAATGAAAATTCACTTTCCCCCGAACGAATGGCTAACTGATTAAAGAGAGAATTACCTCTATACTCTGGTTCTTGCATAGAAAACCAAAGACAGAGTCCATCTTGTCTCACGCTAATGATTGACGCCAACTTTTATTTTATTTTATCTTTTTCAAAACTTTTAAGGGCAGTAAATGGCAAAACAAAATATTTCAACCGAAAATTAAACGGCGTAAGTTGACAGTAACTTTTCAGTAGACCACTCGACTCTATTAAAGCATAGAGCGATTGCAAAAAATTTTTGGGAAGGGAACGAAGAGCACCTTTAAGAGTTGACCGAACTGACTTAATTCTATGCGTTTACTTTTGCCACACCTTTGTCACGCTTGTCTTTAATGACCATTCTGTGTCAGTAAGATGTAAAATCGACATTGTCAGATTCTGCACTACAATCTGAGCTCTGATATTTGATACATCAGGAGCCATTCAAGAAAATGAAACAGTATCTTTACAGTTTTTGTTTATTTGTCCGAAATCTGTATTTCGGTTTCCTCCCTTTTTTTTTCGCTTCTTCTCAGTCAGAACTTCTGGGTAACAGGTGAAACTACTCCTACAGACTAAGCGAGAGTTACAGTTGGAGACTGTATCAAACAAGATTTTTGAAGTGTTTCCACGTAAAAACCCGTTCATAATGAATACTTGAAAATAAACCAAAAGAAAAGAAAGCACTATAAAATAACTTCATTAATAGAAAAAAAGATTCTATGTTAAGAATAAGTATATTTACGTCAACTTTTTTTTACCCTTTACAGTGGCCAATTTACATTTTCAACACAGTTGTTAACACTAAATTACCTGCTATATTTAGGCTCGACTCAGAGTCATTTTAGCCCGAGCCGTTTTTAAACGTATTTATATTTAAGAAAATAAACTGTATTGCTACGGTATCTTTATTCGTTTTTTTGGAGAGCATCGTGAAAATAAAAACTGAAAAAAATGATAACAAAAAGAATCGTAACGATCACGTGAGCGTGCAAGCGGGCTAAAATGTACCAAAATCTCAATTTAGCCCGCAAAAAGCGCCACAATACCCAGCAAAATTGGAAAAAATGTGTTACGGAAAGTCTAGAAAGGGTAGTCACAAGGAAGTATCTTCAACCACACTTTTATAATCCTCGTTTCTTAGAATCACAGGGTCTTCCAACTTGTCCATAGTCATCGCAGTGTTATGAAATGCGCATTCTCCATCGTTTCCTGTGTTGCAATCTCCCGATTCTACTAGAATTCCCTTTCCACAACTTTCTGAAGATGCACTATTTACATGGGTTGGCGAGATACCATTACGCATGTGCAACTCCACAACATCTCTATGCGTCATTTGATCACGTATTGTCGTAGGACTGTTCCACGTAAATCTCCTCGGAGCTCTTTTGCCGTTAGACTCGTTTAAATTTACATCTTTGACCAATGTAGGCTTACCATTGCTCTCTAACGGCAAGGGAGGTGGCTCGGATACCGTTCTCCTGGATCGATGAAATGTGTTTGACATCATTTTTGCCATCGTATCTCGCGTAAGGGCAGCTTTCACAAACTCAGGTGTATTTTTCTCCGGGTGTAGCAGAATAATGAACAGCTTTGGTGCAAAATTGCAAAGCAGAAAACTAAAAGCGCTACAAAGTTGAGCACAACAGTTCAAAAACGTTCGAGTCCTCTCTGTCTTTAAGCTTGTAAAGATGGCTATTACAAGGCCCCATGTGATTAACTGAATATACATGGTAAAAGCTATGTACTTTGTCTCTTTGAAATTGCTTGGCAGTTTTCTAGCTCTAAAAGCGTAACATGTCACCATCAGCGACAAAAAAAGTTCGTATGCATATATAGTAACATGAATTATCTCTCCAACGATAGACTCATTGTATTCACACGTAATAGTCTTATGATGGAGTGGTACTATAATTACATGAACGCTGGGAGGTTCAAAAAATAGGAGGACGATAATGAAAACCACAGGTAAAATATTAAGAGATCCAAGAGCTATAAACTGATACTTTCTGTTGTAAATCCAGCAAGACTTCGACGATGCAGCCCCCTGGAAATCAAATACATGAAGCAAGCGAGCAGTTTTCAGAAACAAAATTGAGAGGCTAATGTTGACGCAAATTGGGACAACGAACATGTATGCCGCGCATAAAAACGGAGTCGGCTTAAAAATGAGAAAGCAAGCTGCCAAGAAAGCTACAAAAATGTTCAGCAAAAACACATAGCTGAGTTCTTGATTTGAAGATTTTACTACCGGAGTTGTACGGTATTTCACAAATACTCCAAACGTTAGTAAAGTAAGGATGACACCAATTGCCGCAGCCACTAATAAGCCGATGCCTCGAGGATCATCAGGAGATAAATTATTCAGCGGAAGAGGCTCACACGCTGTATTGCCTTGATTGGGCTTTTCATCTGCTAAACAAGCCGTGCAGTTTGTTGAGCTGTAACTTGTACTTACTGAGCCAGACCGACAAGGGATACATTCCCAGCAACAATTCATGATTGCAGATTGTCTCGTACCTGGAGGACACGACTCACTGCAACGAGAAGATGGAACAACCTTGCTGCCATTGTTCCACACTAACAGCTCCCTCTTAAGCTGTAATCTCTGCTCATTAAATCTACCCCAGGTTCCCACCTGTTTAAGAATAGGAGTTTCCCCTGGAACGAGCTGGTAGTTGACGATATCGTATGCTACTGAACGCAGAGAATCCCCGTTTTCGTTAAAGCTAATATCACCCGTCAGTCCCTGAAATTGAACATTCCTCAGAAAGCGTAACACATTGTCGGCGAGAGCATTTGAAAGTGGGCATGTGGTTTTAGACAAGTTGTATGGGCCTTGTTGGCAGCGGTAAACTGCATCAATTGCATGCGCAGCAGCCTGAACCGCATCAATGACGTAAGCTGAGGTTGTAGAGTGCATGATTGAAAATAAATCCTCGTTTATCCTGGTCAGCTGATCTCCGCAACCCTTCCAAGGCAACTGAGAGCAGTTGTTCACTTGTTGCCAAAATTCTTTCGACCATTCATTTTGAAAGCGCGGTGAAGACGCGTTGATAGACACGAAATCCTCTTCGAAGCCGGATGCGTTGAAACGGCGAAAAGTAGTTCCGATGACTGCACTGTACTCAAGAGAATATAAGGATGTTAACACAGAAGTTGCTTCTGACCAGCCATCCGGAGCGATCCAAGTACGATCAAACAATTTCTGTTTGTAACATTCCTGGAAGAAATAATGAAGAGTTGAAATGCCTCCCGTCCAAAGCAAGATGACTTTGACAGTGGTTGCCTTTTTCAACCTTGTGACGATTCTCTGAATTTTGTTTTCGTAATTTGCGGAAGGGATGTAATCTATGCTGTGAATACAGAAAGTGTTTCGCTCATGTGCTACATGCTCCAAAGCTCTTACGCCATATCTTCCGTAAGAGCTGTCGCTACCGATTACCCAAATGTAAGTCCAATTGAAATAGTTGATGACATCACTGATTGCTACGGCTTGTTGACTGTCCGGGGGTACAGTGCGGAAAAATGTCTCGTAATAAGGTAGGCTTAGCTCGTCACTTGTTGCCGAAGGACTGATAAGTGCCGTGTTCCCAGCTTGTAACATACTTGCCACGACAACTGAACTAGCAGAATCACTCGGACCAATGACCGCTGCAATTGGACGAGTTGAAACATTTACGCGGCATGAGCTGAAAACCTGTTTGTCTGGAGTGGTTGCGTTAGACACATCACCGCGTTCGGTTGGAGTGTTATCAGTCACCAATGAGAATGCCATGGCGTTTGCTCTTGAAGGAATTCCACAGGTGTCAAAAATCCGATAACCCAGTGTTATATTCGGAAGTAGATACGGGCTCTTATTTACCTGGTCAATTGCGTAAACCATAGCTTGTGCATTAGCAAACTCCTGAATGTTCAATGAAGTGGCGCATTCATCGTCTGCAGTTTTCCTGTGAAGACTGAAGAGACCGACTACTAAAACATCACCATACTTGCAGTCTTCGTAAAAGGGTTCTTCTTTCCAACCTTTGGAAAAAGCACCCGATATGATAGCGACGAAGAGAGAGATTTTTAGCGTTAGTTTGTACGAAGTTCGCATTTTGGCCCCAAATGAAACAGTTCAAGAACCTCAATTACATATTCATAATCTTCTCTTGGGAACTCTTAAAAATTTGCCTGACAATAGACTATTGTAAGCCTAACTGTAAACAACAATTCATTTCATTTTTTTTATTCAAAGACTTTGAAACAATAACGTAAATGTTTTCCTTAAGTTCAATTCTCTAGCAACAGTTCTGAGAAACAATGACAGTTTTACGGTGGGGTACTTCTAGCAAGCAAAATTCTTCACGCTAATGAAATTTTATTTTTCTGCCAGCTTCATGTCAACCTAGCACATGCCTTGGGGCCTGTTAACCTAGTCTCTGTTGCCCACTAAGCAGAACGTCTGACTGTGTAATCGAAATTTAAGTGAGTGTGGTTTTCTTTGGCGTCTAATAATGATTTTTTATATTCTACCAGTACCACAGCGAGGTGATTTTGAAATGACCAATCGTAAGCCGGTCAAATTTGACTAAAATTTAGTAACTATAAACGTCTCTGTTTCTAGTTTCTATTTCGTTATTCCTTCCTGTCCTTTATTTATTCCTTAACGTGTTGCTTGGGTAACTTTAAGGAAAAGTTTAATAGAACTTTAGTTTGGTTCGGTCGACAACAGACCAATTTTGATTGCATTGAACTTAATCAAGAGTTTGGAAACGTTCTTCGCTGCGTCACCATGAATAACTTGAAATATTGCCTATAATAATTTGAGTACTCACATCGCATTATCCACAAACTTACTGGGTTCCGAATCCGTGACCTGTACTAGAAGCTCTGGGGTGAAATAGCTCAGAGTTCGTTGGCTCACAACCACAAATTTCTTTTAGAACGTTCGCATCCTTGTTGCACAAATAAGCAGTTTGCGCTATCTTCCAGCTCTATCCATCGTTTGTCTTGTTTTGATTGTCTCTAAATCAGTTGAGGAATAGCAGAGCACGAGCTTGCCAACACGCGAGAACAAAGCGAGGAGCGCTCGACACCACGCGAGAACAAGCGTAGTATTATGCGAAACCGACGGCCGAGGTGGGTAAACATTCGTGATCAGCATAAATTATATGTAAAACCGAACACAATACTGATTTAGCTCGCAGACCATCATTTTATTTGTATCAAGATTTCAAATTCACCATCATGTCATTCTGTCTGATACGCTGAATACTTTCGGTGGTTCCAAACGTATGCACTCCTGTTTTATAAGAACGTTCAAGCTGAGATCAACCAACAGGAGAGTCAGTTATTTTGCACATTTTTTGTGAAAAGTATAAATATAAGTAAAAGAATGCAAAACTGTGGTCTTACAGGATCATTAGTTCAAATACATAGGGGACATTCTTAAACCCTAACCGTGATGTGGTTTTCGTATTGCATGATACACTGAAAAACAACTCAGTTTGCGGTCGAACTTAGTCTAGTCAATGAAATATAATACCACAGAAATTTAAGAAAAAGTTAAGGACGTTGTCAGGCTCAAATCATACAAAAAAAAAAAAGAACGTTCAGCCTCAGCTCCAAAATGAAACGTTTCTTAAGAAAAAGAAAAGAAAAAAGAGAGTATGATTTCTCACGTGAACTTCTGGCCAACACCGAGTCGCAAGCTCACGGTAGTTTCCGTTTTAATTTTTCAGTTCGAAAATAAGAAACAAGAACAACAACTTTATTTTTCCACGATGTTCAATTATCAGGAAGAAAACCATTCATCATTAATGAACCAATGCTTAAATGAATCTTAAGAAATTCCGGCAAGTTACAACCAGTACTAATTAAAAATTCTGAAGATCGTTAATGACTTTATACGGAAACGTGCCCGCTCTCAATGAATGTTTTAGATGATACTGGACTACATGGATTCAAAAGGTAAGAGAAAATGTTCATGCATTGCCGCAGCTCAACGAGTAGACTATTCCAACGGGCTTATCATCTAGGCAAAGTTGATTGAGGGTGATAGAGTTACGGATCTGCCTCGGTACCTGTTGTTGCAATCATTCTTTATTAAAAAGACTCTCATACTCGTGTTACTCTCACTTCTTTGGACCTAGCCTTTCAATCTTCTAACGAGTGACTTTTAATTGCGTATTAAATAAATCATCGTGCTATAATTACTTTTGTACATCAAAATAAAAATTCTCCCGAGATCAGTTTAGGGCTTGAATTAATCATACAATAAACCTTTATACCTGAAGCGAAGAGTAAAGCGCGCCAATTTGGATTCATTGAAATGGGTGGAGAGGGTTAGGGTTAAAATGCGCCACTTATTTTGAACCCGGCGGGATGTACCTCCCATGCTGCAGCCTCATTCCAAGAAGAAAATGGTTAATTGATATCTGTTTTTCAATTTTTACTTAGGTTACAAAAAATAAGATTCATGTCCGTCTCACGCAACATGCTGTAACACAGGGGGTAATGACCTGGATAAAATTGTAAAATGTTCACTCATTGTCGGACTTATTCCTACTTTTAGTTTGGAAGGATACAGAACCCGGCTCCAGCTTTCCGAACGGCCCCCTTAGGTCATTAAATATTCTGTCTATAAATAAATGGTAAATGAAAAACTTAAAGAGGGCACACAGTATATTGACCTTAGTACGTGAGCGTACTGATTCGCACGAGACTGACTGTGCCTTATATATAAAATGTGTTCTCTCCTGTGCCAAGAAGTTATTCATGGTGATTCGACCTAAAGAATTCTTTACAAATTTCTTCAATCGACCACGATCTTCGTGAGACCTCGATTGAAACAGAATCCATGTTCCATGGCGGGCAGATGCTACCATAGAGGGATGTCACACGCCTAATTAAATGAAAAGGGTTTTACACGAAAACACGCGTTGCTTTGGTTTTGCATTTTCTCGCAAAATATGTGATCCATGATCGTAAACAATGTTCTTTAAAAGAAAACGGAGCGATTAGGATGTGACTGGAGGTACATTTTGTAACGTCCGATCAAAGAAAAATTCTCATCATTATACGCTTTGTTTTTTAGATTTACCCATTGCTGTTTAATGATTAAAACTTGCGATGGAATATAACCTATTTACTGACGTGCTTAATCTGCTATCATTTAGCATTCTAATTACGTTTTTGCATGCATAGTATTTCTTCTTCATTCAAGTGTCAATTTCTCGCATGTCAGGTTTGTTTGCGTTTGTTTTCAAAGAGAACTAGTTGTCTAGGACCCAGAAAACAACAAAACTATCTTGATAGCTCAACAGAGCTATTGAGAATTTTAAAAATAATTATCTAAACTTGTTTCTTTTTTCGTAATACATGCACATTTTAACGTATCCGATCACATTGCATGCCACAAGCAGGCAACAAGCCAGGAATTCGAAGAAGCCACCGAAGTCTCGCAATACTCCGCAAAAAACATGTATATTACTATCGTCTGTTTGATCAATCTTAAAGATAGGGTGTTTTCCTGCTTCCAGAAAAGTGTTCGGCCACGATCGAGTATTTGTGGTTTTGTAAGATGAACGTAAAAGGAAACATGACACACTGCTTTCAACACGTTTCAACTATGTCCACGCTTGAATGATCCCTTTAAAGCCCTAAGGGCTTTGATTTCACTGCAGAAACAACAAATAGATTAAAATATTTTTATCGGTGGTGTCATTGAATGTTCGATTAATTTTTGTACAAAATATTTCCTCTTTGAAATAGAGTCTTAAATTTATATAATCGTTTATCCACATTCGATCCCTGTGTCTAGACAGGTTCTGTGATCCAAGGCTAACTCCCCTTACGCCAGCGGTAGTACCTTATCGCTCCGGGTCCTCATCGTCTGAAGAATTAGTCATTAAATTAAGCGATCCTTTTAACTCTGGTAAATCATGCTGCAACTCTAGTCCAAACGCAGAGATGAGTGTTTTTAGCGTCTCTTCGTCAACACTGTCCAATATACTCCACTGGTCACATGGATCCGCTGAGGCCTTGACGGGGTGTGTGTGGCATTTATTGTGATCACACATAACGTCTGTCACTGTTTACAACCGTTGTTTCTTTGAACAGAGCAGAACGTTTTTGCAATCAGACCAGTTGGTGATATCTCCTATACAAAACGCAGACGTTCTGTCGTGATGTGAAACTCACGTAGCTAGATTCGTCCTTCAGTAACAATTAGACCGAGGTGCTTGGATCTCTTACGATTATGTGACACGAGATGGCACTTCAAACACCTAGCTATAAACAAGTTGACTCACTGTTTGTGTTGGCCTCGCTGATAAAATGCGTCTTGAAAGCACGGCCGTTAGAGTTAGTCCTTACGTGAATAACAAGTCTTGAGAACTTTGTAGAGTGTGAGATTGTAGATTCTGTTTTACCGTACCACTCCTATTGCTCACGAGAGTAACACGTCTACACTGCGACTTGGCTATTTTGGGAATGAGTTTTTGTGTACATATGTAATTTTTAATAACAGACGAAATCGTCACCTCTGGGAGCGCGCATAGTTTGAATGAATTTGTTGACTCAGTGAGTAGTACCCTGGAGAAACGTCGAGGTAGCGGGGGGGGGGGTGGGAAGGAAGGAGAAAGTGGCACAAGTAATGCAAGACTCGTAGAAGAAAAAGCCCCCACCAACTTGAGGACAGTGTTTATGAATAACAAAATATAATTCAACTTTGGTATCATATGTAATGTTTTGGCCCTTTCCATTTGCAATCCCGCTTTTCTTGAGTTGTAACGACATTTCTCTCTCTCCTCCCTAATCTATTCTTTACGCACTGAAGCGTGACACTGTATATCCACCCCTAGTGAAACCTTAAAACCATGGTATTTTGTTCCCAACCGCCATAGAATTATTTTCCTTGTGTGCACGTATTTTTTTTTCTGTGACTGTTGTAGGGTATGAAAAGAGAAATGATATGAGGTCTAATATTGCAGGATGTTATACCTGTGCCAGGTAACTTACGTCAGGCAAAACCGTGAATGGCTTATGTCATGTGAAGTGAAACACGTACTTGTGCTCGCATGTTAAGCAAAAAAAATTATCGTGTTTTGATGAATATATATGTTCGACACGAACTGTGCAAAATCCAGAACGTGAATGGTGTTCAAATAAGTTGCCACGGTGGAGGGTCAATGCCAAACCGCAATGGGATATTATCAATTTAGTTCAAAAGCTTCATCATTTCTCTATTGGTTGTTTTGATGACATTGAATATTGGTCTCTGCCGAACTCGTGCCCAGAATGAGAGGAAGATTTGTACCTATGACAACTGAGAGAGCCACTATGGACAGAGACATGCTTGGGTTTGTGTTGTTTTGATAAAAGATTATCACAATAATAACAGAGAGGTGAGAAAACAAAACAGATTATTGGTTGAATCATTAATGCAAGCCATTGAAGTTTGGAATTATCTTAATTCCCTAGAGCATTGAGCACTTAAAAAGTTGACCAATTGTAAAACTTTGGAATGTGGAACGATTGGCGCCGTGATTTCTGCCGTAACAAGCTGTGTCACGCAGTCTTCAAAGGAAGCGTGCGTGGGCTGGTTGAGCCGGTCAATATTGTTCGCAAGCTTCCCCAGGAGGTCGTCAACAAGGCCTCACGTTTTCATCGTTACGCATTCCCTAACATGTCACGTATGCCCAAACTTCAAATGTCACATATTTCGAGTTGGGGTGACCAAGGACCAAAAAACAGGCGAGGTTGAGTAAGAGACCTGACCAGTTTCTTTCATGTTCCTATCCAGAATACTAAAACTACTCCTTAAATTAATTCGATGATGAATTTTAAAAACGAAAATCGAATCAAGATTCACAGTTTGCAGCGTAGAAACATACACACTTACTAAACAGATGAGCCGTTAAAAAGGAACATCATGAGCTAGTCACATGCAGTCATAGGAACGACAATAATCTGCTTTTTGATGAAAGAGGAACAAATTCCTCGATAAAAATAAATATGATCTCCCTCCAGAATTCACTTTTGATCTCAGGAGGGGAAGCACACGATGATGCAATCTATCTGCCAAAACCCAAACCTAGATTAAGATAAAGGAGAAACTTGAAAAAGAAAGGAAAAGAACAGAAAAACAGAAATTCAGGGAAGGCCATCCCTGAAACTTAAGATGCGTCCTCTTAGTTACTAATTACTGAATACGACGCCTCCGCTTGCCGAGTGGCCCCTTTCTCTACTACGGCTGAATTTGACTAATTTGGCGATTTCGATACTTGGCAAATCTTACAAAATCATCCACAAAGACAGAATAATAAAAAAGACAGGAAAAAATGGAGCGGTGATTTGGGTACGATAAAGCCACAAGTTGTTGTTTTGACTGATGTCGTAGGACGCCCACGCTAAATCTAAGACAAACAACACGGATTTGCATTTTCCTTGGCTTACGTGTAGCTGTACCCTCCCCCAAAGGAGAAACTTTATCTCTCTGGGGCGGTAGGAGGGTGAACGCGTAAGCTACATTTTCCCAAAGTATTTTCTCTCACGTCTGAGGGTAGCTTGATGCGTTTATTTTTATTTCACTTTATTTGTTATTTGTTATTTTATTTGCAATTACATATGGGAAATAAAAAACATTAATGGCCAGGAAACCGAATAAGAATTATAAAGGCCTGTTAGCTCAGGTCAGGCCCAACAAGTATAAGTAGGATAAAATAAATAAACAGGCAATAGATATAGTAAATAACGTTGAAAGATACGAAGGAGAATCGTGAGAGGGGAAGAATGTTAAGTGAGTAAGGCCATCGAGGCACAATTCTAAAAACTTCCAATTGATTCAGTTTTGTAAAGTTAATTCCATCACATCATTAAGGCCCTTTGTATCATCCTGTTATTAGTGACCTTAAGCAAACCACAGCGGCGACGGCGACGGCAACGAGGACATAGAAAAACAAAATATCTAATTGGCGGAACAATAACTCAGTACGTGCGTTTTAAGAGCAAATGTTACCATCGGCCAAATATTTCGTGGCCACAGTTCAAAATTTAATTTGGACCATATTCTCAGTTTAGGTAAACCTTAATGCAAAACAAAACGCTGCATAGTTCGTTTGGCTAAATATCAATTAGTTTTCAAGAAAATCGATAATAACCGAATCTTGAGAATTTGCCACATTTTGAGCTCACGATTTAGGGCGAAAAAGAAGGCTTCGCGTAACGAAATAACACACTCTTGAGAAATAAAATATACTGAATCTCATAGAATGATGCCAAAATATGTGTGAAAAGGAATTTGAGCTACTCTATTCTATTTACTTTGAAAATATAATTACAATCCGCGAACCCTCTTTTATTAAGATGAAAACTTACTAAAAAATTAAAAAATAACCTTTAATCTAAGTATGTGGTACTAAATGAAATACGTCGAAAACTCTGGATTTCGTTAGCTGAGTAATTGTTCTTTACATATACAAAGGAATTTTTGGGGAAATAATTTAACGCGAAGAAATTTTAATTTTAAAGCTGGATAAAATGCCCAGTTCTAACCGACCTTCCAATTTATGAAGTAACACACAGAAATAAAATTGTTTCAAAGATAGCATTCAATCGAAAGAGGAATTGACGTAAAAACTTAAGCAACATGTTTTAAAATCAAAGGCATAGATTGTGTTTCTGCTGTCCCTTCGTTTAATATAAATTTCAACCAAACTACTAGATGATTTGTCAAGATAACGCAGTTGTCATGTTTGTTCACACGCCAGCCTGCAGACCGGACGTGAAATGTGTTGGTGGGAAGATTTCCCAACCTTATCTCTGAATTCAAGATCAGAGATCAGGTTTAAAAGTGATTTTCGTTTGTCTTTCCTCCAAAACCAGTTTCAAACTAATAAGCAAACCAAAGGCAAACAACTTAACGAGCCGTCTATTAAAAACTGACACATTGAAGACATGTCTTAAATTCCCTCTCTCGTCCTTCTCTTTCTAAACTACAAAAACAAATGAAAGAGAAGAGAATAAGAGAGAAAATTTAAGAGGAAGAAAAAATTACAGCAAGGGAAAAGGGGGGGGGGGAGCGAGAGAAATTACAATTAGACTTAAATCTATGACAATTTATTGAACAGGGGTCAACTACAGAAACCAATCATTCGTTCCAGTCTCCTCACGGTTATGTTTCCTTTTGAGTTATATTTTAGAGAGAGTATAGATTAAAACATGTCAAAATCCCATATTAATACAAAACTGTGTTTTGCATTACGGAAGCCGATAGCAGTACTAGTTTCCTGTAACTAGACTCAGAGAAAATTCGAGGGAACCAGCCAAATATTCTACGCATTTTGAGACAAAAAAAAAACACATGGTGTGATTGGTCATCAGTCTCCTCTAACTTTAAAGAGACAAACAAATTAAAGAGTTCGTAGAGTGAAACCAAGTTTACAAAATGCAAACTTACCTGAGCCTATATGAAGAAACACTCCAGTTTTCTTTGGAATTATTTGTGAATCAATTTTCCCGATTCCTCGGTCGCACTTCGGCCACTTTTTGCCTCTTCTGTCATGATTGGATAATTCCTATGGCACCCCGCACCTCGCAGTAGATCCTCGCCTCCAGTCCAAACCAAGTTTTTCGCGATGTAATGGACAAATGGTCATAGCATTTGTTTGTTGAGTATATACTGCTGTTCGGCTGAGGATAAGGTCAACTTCGAATTCGTCCTCTGGACCGGAAAATCCCAGGCTTGCAGTATGGTTGGAAATTGGTTTTGAACAGGCCAGTAAAGGGATAATTTGTGCTTCTTTTTTCCTGTCTCTAATGTGAAATCCACACATTCCTCCTACGATAGACTTGAGAGAACAGCACACCTCCCTATTCAATCAATGACACACGTCGCAACTCTCTGTTTACAAAGTTTCACTAAACTTGTTACAAAGTGACGACTCCCCTTTTAGACTTCAAACAAATTATCTCATTTCGCTCAAAACAAACAAAATCTGACACCTGTTTTCAAATTAGTACCGACTTTCCTAATTAAATTTATACGAATAAAACTGATAGCGACGACATCACAACTTTCCCCGAGATAAAGCCGCGAAACTTTTTTTGTTTCCTCAAGTAATGATTTTTCTATAGCGATCGCATTTGTCACTCTTTTACCTTCCTTTTTTTAAACAGGGTTCCGTTTGTCTTTCCTTTTTTATACGTTGATATCTAATAAAAAATCACTTAGGTCCAATAGTCATTTGTTCCATGTTACAATTTTCACTTGAAGCGATATTTCACATCACCCACGTGACAACATATGTTTTTGACTTGAGGTCTCTTGGTTCCGCTTTGGTTCAATGTTCAGTTCAAAACTAATGTTTCGGCAAACAACAGTTAACGAAAGGCACTCTAAGACCATTTTTGGGGAAAATGGAGGCAGTGAATGCGCACAACAAAGGCTATAAACGTCCGAAGCATACAAAATAAACAATACCACCGCAACGTCGTGGGAAATGTTTTGCACGATTAGTTCACCAACCAAACGAGACCTTCAGGAATACAGTTTTCTTCATCATTGATTTGAAGGCAAAAAGGTAAGATTCTATACGTTAATATATAGACTTATGCATCCTCCTTAACTTTTTAGGTGCTTAGTCTAGTGTAATGTGCGTTGCAGTGTCATGTCACGCGACAAGTTAAAACGGCAACGCAATTTATCCAACTTTAGTAAACGATTCCTTCGCTCTGAATCATTTCCCCAAAAAATCCTTTGAGGCTCTAAAAGAAAAACTCTATAACTTTTAAACGCTAGTTTTTCAACGAATTACATGCATTACCGCAAGCTTAAATAATAGGCTAATTTTGGATACGTTTTCTTCTCGATAAAAATAGGTTGATTAAATTAGATTGTAAAAGTAAACAATCGAGAAATGATAGAAATAGTTTTTAGGGTATTTTTTTGACATCGTTCTACAATATATGGTTGATTTTATTGCCTTAGAGTGTTTATTTTGTAACGCGAGGCGTCGTGAATCGCCCTAAATTTTGCAATGAAAAAGCGCCGTTTTCACAAAATTCAGTGATTATCGATTTTCTCGAAAACAAATCGATATTTAGCAAAATGAACTATGCCGTGTTTTGTTTTACATTAAGGTCTACCTAACATGAGATTATGGGCCAAATTGATTTTTGAACTGTTGCCACGAAATTTTAAAAATGTTTGATTTTTGGTAACATTTGCTCTAAAGATTTTGTACATTTCTTAGCCATCCTATGCAAAACAAGAACATGAAATCGTCACCACAATTTGCGTCGTCGGCGAACCGAAACCGCGACGGCAAATTATTTTAATTTCCATTTGGAACTCAACGCTTCTTTTATGCGTTATGCTGAAGTTGAGGTGTGGCGCCGTATGAGACGGTAAACACATGCAACCATTTTTGAAATTCTAATTAAAGGCAGAAATTCATTTTTTTATCGAGGTCCTCCTTAGCGTTGCCGTCCTGACTGCTTAAGGTCCCTTTTATTGGACGGGCGCTGAGGAAGGCCGGTCAGTTTACATAATCAGCGATTGGAAAGTGAAAAACATGTGCTATCGTCATCGAACAAAACAGGAAATGACGGATCTCTCTTCAGGAGTCTATTTTTAGGGTGGGCGACCCTAAAAAAAAAATGATTGGAATTTAAGTATAAACACAATGGTTGTAATGTTTTCATGCACGCGACGTTCAGCTGCCGTTCGTATTGACAACTTTCATACGGTAGCCTTAAATTAACCTCACGGAACACGATTATTATGCCAAAAGGCCTATGAGTTTTGGTAAGATGTTTTTTAAGATCTTTTCACAGTTATGCAAAAAATCCATCAGCTACATGCCTACCACTTTTTTTTTTAGCACACAAGGAAAAAAAAAAATTTTCACCACATTCCTCGAAAAATGATGCTTGTCTTGAGGACAAGTTGATGATCATCTGGGTTACAATATGAACCAGCTAATCCACACACCACTAGGAAAGCTTTGTCTTTTGTTTTCACTGAAGTCCTTTTGCGTCAGATGTGTGCAAATTTTTAAACAATGAAAGGACGCGGAAATATTCAACGTCATAGACTGAGTATTCACCGCCTTTTACGACATACTAACATTGTTTAGGGTGAGACAAACCACTGAGAGATCACACAACTCTTCATTTATTTAAAATGGTTTTTTATTTTAAATATCTATTTATTTGGTTAAAACCTTTGCATCACTTGCAAATATTGATCGCTTTGTAATTCTCTTTAATTTCATTTTGAATCTTGAATAATTAAATTAAATCGAGTTTTCATTAAATTTCAAATAAACAGAGAAAAATGCATTTTCATTATCTCATAATGTGAAACCAGTTCTGTTTTCATTTGGCAGTGACCAATGTAATATGTAAAACTTTTCCGATTTAGCTTAAATCTCAAATATTCAATATCCAATCCATGAAAAAAATAAATATCTCACAATAACAAGCAGAGTCTGTCTAGAAACTCAAACCTCCGCTATAATCACACAAATTATAACGCGGTAACAGCCTTCTGATTGTCCGCTTCTGTCACTTTCGGACCTACGATATCCAGCCGCGATGACGTCGGAGTCCCCGCCTGAACCGAGGTTCCCGTAGGGGTCCCTGCGGCCAGGTTACTCTCCGGGCTGTTATATGACCTGTGCCGGGACTCTGCATCCATTGCACTCCTATGGAAAGTGTGGTTTGTAATTTGGCTTTTCATGTAAGCGACCGTATTTTTCTCAGGATGTAAGAGGATTATATAAATTTTTGGCGCAAAGATACATACCAGTAGTCCACTGGCGGCGATGATAGAAGCTGCGCCTGCGATAACAACAGAGTATTTACCCCGTATGTTCAGATAAACTGGGTAAAAAGTCACCCAAGAGATCACGATGGTGTACAATGCGAACGCGATAAATTTTCCTTCATTAAAATTGTGGGGCAATTTCCTGGATTTAAATGCAAAATAACAGCAGACTGCGGAAACAATGACAAGAATGGCAATGAGGAGATACTGGCAAACTTTTCCAAGCACACTGGAACTTGCCAAACACTCCAAATAGTGAGGGGTCCTGATGGATTTGTCCACATGGGGCCGTGGAATGTCGTCGATAAACCACGTAATGAGAATGAATACCACAAGGGTTATAACGCCGACTAGTATTAGAATGTGCTTGTGTCTCTGGACGAATGATTGGGTGAGTTCAGACCGTGGAACTCGATTTTCAAACAAATGTACAATTCGTTTCGTTTTGACGCCGAGGACTAATATAGCAACAGTGTAGAAAATATAAAACCAAACTTGTTGTAATGGGCAAATAAAATCAGTTGGCTCGGCGAGGTTGATCAAGGCCCCTAGATAGTTCATACATATACTGAATAGAAATGTGTAGCTGAGTTCCCGATTAGATGCTTTAACGATTGGAGTTTCATTACGCCAGACAAATACTCCTCCAACAAGGATCGAAGCAATAGTTCCTAAAACAGCGAAAAAAGCGATTAAAACTCCGAATGAATCTCCCCATTGAATGCGCTCGACAGGAACACGCATACACTGCGTACGCGCTTCATTTGAAATGTGATCTTCACTACACGGCGTGCAATTCATCGCCCCAAACACGCTGGAAATAGTGTCCTGTGAACACCTGATGCATTGCCAACAACAGTTTAGCTCCTGTGTTTGTCTGTATCCCGGCTTGCATCTCTCGCTACAAACCGAACGCGGGACCTCAGTTCCTTTCAGGCCGTTGTTCCACATTATGAGACTGCTGTTGAGTTGGAGCTTTCCCTCTTCCCAAGTGCCCACAGTTTCCACTTGGCCGCCTGTTATGTTGTCAACTCGATAGTTGATGATGCTGTAAGATGCTTGGGAATCACCATTTTCATCGAAAAACACATTGGACACTTCAGTAGTGAAATTAACCTTTTTCAAGTATTGCAAAACGTCTTGTGGTTCAACAAAAGGTTGTGTCTTAGGACATTGGCTCATTAAAGAAGATTCACACCTGAATATGGCGTCTAACGCATGCGCTATTGCATACACAGCGTTTATAACATAGGTAGACATGCTGCTGGCTAGAGTTTCTTCGTAGATATTCTCTGTAATTTTAAGGTGGTCTGAACACCGTTCCAGCCCATTTGATGGCGTGACGTTAAAAGTGCAACCGAATTGTCTCTCCCAGAAGTGCCTCCACCATGGCTCTGGCCTGTAAGCAGAAGTGCGTGACAGAAGATAACGTTTATAGGAAGGCACAGTAATGCTCGTGAATACAACCCCTAGCATTCCTTTTAGGATGGGTTGCAAGTCTGTGCGCTTGATTACACGATCATGGTTTCCCCAAGCTTCACTAGCAATCCAAGTGCGACCAGTGAGACCTTGGCGAAGAGCTTCTGTAAGAACATCTACAGCCGGGGAACTCGTACAGTACAGAATTATAACACCAATTTCTTCCCGCTCTTTCAGGTCCTCGATAATAGTTCGGATTTTCTCTTTCCCTCTCTGACCGTTGGACGGGAAATATGTTTCGTATGCAATGCAAATTCCCAGGGGTTTTGAATGCTTGCGGAAATATTCAATCCCCGATCGCCCGTATGCGTCATCTACAGCTATGGCAGCCACATACGTCCAGTTGAAATTACGGGCAATATCCGACATGACTTTGGATTGAAAACGATCCGGAGGGACAGTGCGAAAAAACGATGGATAGGCGCTGCTACTGAGTTCATCGCTTGTAGCAGCGTAGCTTATAAGCGGGATATCTTCCACTTCCAATAAATTTGACACCAGAATCGAGGAGCGCGAAGTTCCGGTCCCAACTACAGCGACCACCGGAGAAAATTTACCCTTGGGTAAGATTGTGCAAGTTTCATTGAGTTCAGGGTTCGCGAAAGCAAATTTATGAACATTCACAAAGTCCAAAGTGGATTTCATGGCCCGGCGGTTTTCAAGGTTTGTGTCGGAGATGTCGTATCCAAGAGTGATATTTGGTAAGAGATTTGAGTTATTGTTGATATTTTCTACTGCAAAAACCATGGCTTCCGCTAAGCCCATAAATTTCGGTCTAAATTCATCTCTTACGTGAACTGGGAAGAGACCGCCGATTGTAACGTTTCCTTCCTTGTAAATTCTCTCCCCTGGATTGATGATCTCGCTTGTGGCACATGTGGCTTGAGGTTTCACGAGAAGAAAAATTATGATCATTGCTACTCTAACATCACGGAGGTGGTTGAGGCAAAACATCATCAAGGCCATATTCATATTTTACAGACGTAATTAGTACGTCTTTCAAAGTGGAGACTCTTGTAACTGTGTTAAGGCCAGTTTCTCAGTTAAACGGTGTTTCTTTCAAACAACACATCCACGCCACGTGTATTGTAGCGTTCAATTTCCTGAAACTGACTTCGGAAAGCGAAATTCGTTCATTGCCGTTACGCGCTATATTTGGCACGTACTCAGTGGCCAGTGTCAATCATGAATTTTTGATGGGTTCAATTGAGCATGGTTTATGTAAAAATAATAAATCTTGTACCGGTCATGTCACTTTGGCTTGGCGACAAAAATATTAATTATCGCGACGTATTTTCAATTAAGGCGCTGTCACCCTGTTCGGTAATCATAATATTTCTATTATCACAATCTCTTGACTAAAAGTAAGTTTGTAACGAACATAGTTTGCTTTGTAGACCAATTATTCTTGATATTGGCCATTATACCGAGACAATGTTATTTTGAATTTGACCGGTCTGAACCCAAGGAGGTCCGTTAAGGAGTATACCGCTAGATGCCACAAAGAAAACAAATAAACGACATAAAAATTATGCCTTTCTGCTTTTGATTTAAAAATTACGAACGTGTTCATTTAACGAAAACAGTTATCGCGCTTTCGCTATTCACTGTTTCTTAATCGTTTGAGTAGAAAAAAATTTCTGCGGTATCAGATATACGATATGTTATGCGTTTCTAATTGAAGGAGACTTTTCAATCGAGACAAAAAAAAATAAACATTAATTACGTCGGATCACGAGGTATTTCAATGTGAAAGGAAGTTTCCTTTTGTTCACCTTGATAAACAGATCTCAAATTTGCTCTGAGGTGACAGATGACTGAATACCAAATTTACATCACCAATCTAATTTTTGTAAATTTACTCTGTTTGCCAAAAAAAAGGAAAGAAAGCCCATTTAACGTATCATTTAACTGGTGTATGTTTTAAGTCGGAACTGATTTCTTGCACTCGTTTGTAATGGCGTAACAGAGCCGTCAAGAAATTTAGTCTGGTCATCCCACGATTTTGCATTCGTGAAAGCATGGTAGTCATGTTATGCTGCCGGGCCGATATAGTTAAAGAGTCGATTGAAATCTTAAAAGACGCCTTCCATAGTCAAGTGTTTTGCGGTTAATAGACATAGTGAAACCCTCTTTCAAGATATCTCAAAAACAATTCTTTAGGAAACAAGAGTGACAGCTACATCAATAATAGACTCTTCTGAAAACAAGAAAACCACTTGTCGGGAAAAATTGAAGAAAGCAGGCACATTCCAGCAATATTTAAGGGCTGTATCTGTTACCAAGAGAACACAATGTTCTATTGACGTTAAGTTTTGGTACCGCAACAGCAATGCTTGATCAAACAGGAACAAGAAGATTCTTAAGAAGTTTTAACTGCGGTAGAAGAGACAAAAGTATTTTCGAAAGGCGGCTTCAATTAAAACAACGTCAGCTCTCCAATTATTACATGCATCCTACAACACGATCCCTGTGCCCACGTAAGATCGAAGAAGAAAAGCGTCACAGGTTGCAGGATGTTTCAAATGCTTTTATCACAAACCAATGCCATAGCCCTGGTTTTCAATCACACCTAATCCGTTGAAACTTTTTTTATTTCGGTATTCGTTTGTTCTTGTTTCTTCGATTGAGGGGTTACGTATGTTTAATTTAGCGTGAGTTTCTTTGTCCCCCGTGCGTGATGGCTCCCTTCCAACAATTTGGTGAAGAGTCATGCACGCAAAGATTTGTTTTCCTTTTGTTAGTCCTCTGTAATCCGCGTTAACGATTTGCTTCCTTGACCAGTGTTGACAATCGATGTTCCTTCTCTTTCCATTTATATTTAAGTTTTGTTCGTTCTCTGTTCATACTTTCCTTTTCCTCTTTTTCCCACTTCTAATGGGCATATCACAATTTTCAATGAAATATATTTCGTTTGATCTGTGAATAAAAATCAAGCAAAGAAATGATCCTCGTAACTGGACTGCAATTAAAGCAACTGCAGAGAAGAAGCCTGAAAAATTCACCAACAGTTTTTGGCCCTTTCTGTTTGCTAACTCTTGTTTCTTACCTTGCTTTATTTCTTGAGTTGTGACGACATTTCTCTCTCTCCTTCCTAATCATTCTTTAACCACTGAAGCGTGAAACTGTATATCCACCCGTGGTAAGACCTGTGAACCATGGTATTTTGTTCCCAACCGCCATATAATTATTTTCCCCGTGTGTACGGTTTTTTTTTCTGTGACTGTTGCAGGGTATGAAAAGAGAAATGATATGAGGTCTGATATTGCAGGATGTCATACCTGCGCCAGATAACTTACGTCAGGCAAAACCGTAAATGGCTTATGTCATGGAAGGGAAACACATATTTGTGCTGGCATGTTAAGCAAAGAAATGATCGTTTTTTAATAAACATATATGTTCGACACAAATTGCGCAAAATCCAGAGCGTGAATGGTGGTCAAATAATTTGCCACGGTGGAGGGTCAATGCCTAACCGCAATGGGATATTATCGATTTATTTCCGGTTTAGCTCAAAAGCTTCATCATTTCTTTATTGGTTATTTTTATGATGTTGAATAATTGGTCTCTTCCAAACTCGTGCTTAGGGACGAACCATTATTTTTCTGGAGGGGGGTATGAGAAATTTTCTTCTGCAAACATTTTTTTAAAACATATACGTCTCCGGCTGTGAATATATGAAAGTCATGTATTTGAACTGCGGATAAAAACGTGAATATGAAAGGGATCTTCGCAATTATGAACACTACTTAAGCAGTAGTGAATAGAAGGCGTGAGTTGGTAGAGGTAAAGAAGGCCTCAGTGGGTAGAGCAGTGCACTGGTATCGCATAGGTCATGGGTTCAAATCCCGTACAGGCCTGAATTTTTTTTAGGCCTTCTATTCACTACTGCTTAAGTAGTGTTCATAACTGCGAAGATCCCTTTCATATTCACGTCTTTATCCGCAGTTCAAATATATGACTTTCATATATTCACAGCCGTTTATTCACCATTTCACGGGTTTATTTGGAACCAACATGATGACCAGCACCCAGTTGGCTTTTTAGCTCATTTGGTAGAGCAGTGCACCGGTATCGCAGAGGTCATAGGTTCATATCCCGTACAGGCCTGAATTTTTTTTCAGGCTTTCTTTCACTACTGCTTGAGTAGTGTTCATAACTGCGAAGATTGCTTTCATATTCACATATATGTTTCCGCAAACATTTTTTTCCAACATCATCTTCGTGCAAACAATTTTTTCCTTTTTTTTTCCCAGAGTTCTTTTTATTTGTGCTAAATATTACTATTGCCTTATTGAACTATTTTACATACGACATACGCTCCACTCACCTTTAACATCAGATTTAACATGTTTTATCACATTTCTCTTCTATTGCAAAAACGTTTTTCAGTTGTCGACGAATTTGTAGTGTATGTAAATAACTACAGCTGCTTGAACCAGTTTGTTTATCATTTTTTAGATTTTATTCGTTTATGTCGTTCATGTAATTCATTGACTTCTGAAATATGTATGAAGTAGCAATGATAAATATAGCCAAGACTGAAGAATATTATATGTTTAATACAGTTTTGAGAAAAATACCTGATATATGAAGTTTTGTAGTAGGACAAAATGTTGACAAGTAGCGTTGAGATTTAATTGCCACGATAAATTCCCATATTTTCAAAAAAAATATTCAGCTATTTTCAGATTTGTTATTTGCTTAATACAGAGTGACCACCTTTTAGTACCCAAATTGTGTTAATTTTTATGCTAATGCTTCAATTTGTCATGTTACTTTATTTTTTAAATTTCAGTATGGGTAATATTTTTAAATATCTTACCTGACTTCTCTGCAAACATTTTTTTACCCTTTCACATTTGCAAACAATAAATTTTGTCTTTTCACATCCTGCAAACAATTTTTTTTTCAATATTTCTCAGATACCCCCCCCCCCCTTAGAATGAGGGAAAGATTTGTTCTATGACAACTGAGAGAGCCACTGTTGACAGAGACGTGCTTGGGTTTGTGATGTTTTGTTAAGAGATTATCACAATAATGTCAGAGAGGTGACAAAACAAAACAGATTCACTGAGTACTTAAAAGTTGTTCAGTTACAAAACTTTGGAATGTAGAACTATTGGCGCCGTGACTTCTGCCGTGACATGTTGTGTCGCGCAGTCTTCAAAGGAAGCGTGCGTAGGCTGGATGAGTTGATCAACGTTGTTCGCAAGCTTCCCAAGGAGGTCGTGAACTCATCGTCACGCATTCCCTAACATGTCACGTAAGCCTATACCCAAACTTCAAATGTCACACATTTCGAGTTGGGGTGACCAAGGAACGAAAGCAGACAAGGTTGAGTAAGAGACCTAACCAGTTTCTTTTATGTTCATTTCTAGAGTGCTAAAACTAATCCTTAAATTAACTTGAAGATGAATTTTAAAAACGAAAATCAAACTAAGATTTACAGTTTGCAGTGCAGAAACATACACACTTACTAAACATATGGACGTGAGTATGTTTCTGCTCATCAGGTACATCATAAGCTAGTCACATGCAGTCTCTATTACGGCTAAATTTGATTAATTTGGCGATTTCGATACTTGGCAAATCTTAAAATATCATCAGCAAAAACAGAATAGATAGAAGGCGGGAAAAACTGATAGATGGTTTGGGAAAGATGAAGCCGCAAGTTGTTGTTTTGACTGATGTCGTAGGGCGCCCACGCTAAATCTAAGACAAATAACACGGAATTGCATTTTCCTTGGCTTACGTTGTTGCTGTACCCCCCAAAAGAGAAACGTTCTCTCACTGGGGCGGTGGGAGAGCAAACGCGTAAGCTACCTTTTCCCAAAGTATTTTCTCTCACGTCTGAGGGTAGCTTGATGCATTCATTTTTATTTCAGTTCATTTTTTATTTTTCATTGTATTTGCAATTACATTTAGGAAATAAAAAACATTAACGACCAGGAAACCTAATAAGAATCATTAAGGCCTGTTAGCTCAGGTCAGGCCCCACAAGTAGGATAAGATAAATCAGTAAACAGGCAATAGATAGTAAATAACATTGAAAGATATGAATGAGAATCATGAGAGGGAAGGAAAGAATGTTGAGTGAGTAAGGCGTATCCATCGAGGCACAATTCTAAAAACTTCCACTTGGTTCAGTAATTGTAAAGTTAATTCCATCAAGTCATTGAGGCACCTTGTATCATCCTGTTACTATTGGTATTAGGGACCTTAAGCAGTCAGGACGGCAACGCCAAGGAAGACCTCGATTAAAAAAATGAATTTCTGCCTTTAATTAAAATTTCAAAAATGGCTACATGTGTTTACCATACCGTCTCATACGGCGCCACACCTCAGCTTCAGCATAACGTATAAAAGAAGCGTTGAGTTCCAAATGGAAATTAAAATAATTTTACGTCGCGGTTTCGGTTCGCAGACGATGCAAATTGTGGTGATTTCACGTTGTTGTTTTGCATAGGATGGCTAAGAAATGTACAAAATCTTAAAAAGCGCGTGTTGAACTATTGTTCTGCCAATTAGATTTTTTGTTTTTCCATGTCCTCGCTGCCGTCGCAGTCGGACGTGCGAGGAGGAAGCTTGGTCCAGTTTACATGATCATCAATCGGAAAGTGAAAAACATGTGCTATCGTCATCGAACAAAACAGGAAGGGATGGTTCTCTGATCAGAAGTCTACTTTGACGGTAGGCGACCTTAAAAAAACTGATTGGAATTTAATAAACCCAATAGTTATGATGATTTCATACACGCGACGTTCAGCTGCCGTTCGTATTAACAACTTTCATACGGTTGCCTTAAGTTAACCTCGCGGAACACGATTATTGATCATTACGCCAAAAGGCTTGTGAGTTTTGGTAAGATGTTTTTTAAGATCTTTTCACTGTTATTCAAAAATTCATTGGCTACATGCCCACAACTTTTTTTTTTCTAGCACACAGGAGAAAAAAAATCCATTTTCACCACATTTTACGTAAAATGAAATGGTTTTTAATTAAGATATCAATTTATTTGGTTAAAACCTTTGCATCACTTGCAAATATTAATCAATATGTAGTTCTGAGTCTTGAATAATTCAATCGAATCGAGTTTTCATTAAATTTCAAATAAACTGAGAAAAATGCATTTTCATTATCTTATAACATGCAACTAGTTCTGTTTTCATTTGGCAGTGACCACTATAATCTGTAAAACTTTTCCGATTTAACTTAAATCCCAAATATCCAATTAAAATTTCTGCACAAATACATTTTCTTTTTATGCATTGTCGTCTGATCCACAACTTTCCATCATTTTTCTGATAACATTCAAGAAAGTTGACCGGTAACTTCGATTTCGTCCAGCTCTGAGGCATTAAAAAAAGAAATTCTCTCACAATAACAAGCAGAGTCTGTCTAGAAACTCAAACCTCCGCTATAATTACACAAATTATAAGGCAGTAACAGCCTTCTGAATTTCCGCTTCTGTCACTTTCGGACCTACGATATCCAGCCTCGATGACGTCGAAGTCGCCGCCTGAACCGAGGTCCCCGTAGGGGTCCCTGCGGCCGGGTTACTCTCCGGGCTGTTATATGACCTGTGCCGGGACTCTGCAATCGTTGCACTCCTACGGAGGGTGTGGTTTGTAATTTGGCTTTTCATGTAAGCGACCGTATTTTTCTCAGGATGTAAGAGGATTATATAAATTTTTGGCGCAAAGATACATACCAGTAGTCCACTGGCGGCGATGATGGAAGCTGCACCCGCGATAACAACAGAGTATTTACCCCGTATGTTCAGATAAACTGGGTAAAAAGTCACCCAAGAGATCACGATGGTGTACAATGCGAACGCGATAAATTTTCCTTCATTAAAATTGTGGGGCAATTTCCTGGATTTAAATGCAAAATAACAGCAGACTGCGGAAACAATGACAAGAATGGCAATGAGGAGATACTGGCAAACTTTTCCAAGCACACTGGAACTTGCCAAACACTCCAAATAGTGAGGGGTTCTGATGGATTTGTCCACATGGGGCCGTGGAATGTCGTCGATAAACCACGTAATGAGAATGAATACCACAAGGGTTATAACGCCGACTAGTATTAGAATGTGCTTGTGTCTCTGGACGAATGATTGGGTGAGTTCAGACCGTGGAACTCGATTTTCAAACAAATGTACAATTCGTTTCGTTTTGACGCCGAGGACTAATATAGCAACAGTGTAGAAAATATAAAACCAAGCTTGTTGTAATGGGCAAATAAAATCAGTTGGCTCGGCGAGGTTGATCAAGGCCCCTAGATAGTTCATACATATACTGAATAGAAATGTGTAGCTGAGTTCCCGATTAGATGCTTTAACGATTGGAGTGTCATTACGCCAGACAAACACTCCTCCAACAAGGATCGAAGCCACAATTCCCAAAACAGCGAAAAAAGCGGTTAAAACTCCTAACGAATCTCCCCATTGAATGCGCTCGACAGGAACACGCATACACTGCGTGCGCGCTTCATTTGAAATGTGATCTTCACCACACGGCGTGCAATTCATCGCTCCAAACACGCTGGAAATAGTGTCCTGTAAACATCTGATGCACTGCCAACAACAGTTTAGCTCCTGTGTTTGTCGGTATCCCGGCTTGCATCTCTCGCTGCAAACCGATCGCGGGACCTCAGTTCCTTTCAGGCCGTTGTTCCACATTATGAGACTGCTGTTGAGTTGGAGCTTTCCCTCTTCCCAAGTCCCCACAGTTTCCACTTGGCCGCCTGTTATGTTGTCAACTCGATAGTTGATGATGCTGTAAGATGCTTGGGAATCACCATTTTCATCGAAAAACACATTGGACACTTCAGTAGTGAAATTAACCTTTTTCAAGTATTGCAAAACGTCTTGTGGTTCAACAAAAGGTTGTGTCTTAGGACATTGGCTCACTAAAGAAGATTCACACCTGAATATGGCGTCTAACGCATGCGCTATTGCATACACAGCGTTTATAACATAGGTAGACATGCTGCTGGCTAGAGTTTCTTCGTAGATATTCTCTGTGATTTTAAGGTGGTCTGAGCATCGTTCCAGCCCATTTGATGGCGTGACGTTAAAAGTGCAACCGAATTGTCTCTCCCAGAAGTGCCTCCACCATGGCTCTGACCTGTAAGCAGAAGTGCGTGACAGAAGGTAACGTTTATATGAAGGTACAGTAATGCTCGTGAATACAACCCCTAGCATTCCTTTTAGGATGGGTTGCAAGTCTGTGTGCTTGATTACACGATCATGGTTTCCCCAAGCTTCACTAGCAATCCAAGTGCGACCAGTGAGACCTTGGCGAAGAGCTTCTGTAAGAACATCTACAGCCGGGGAACTGGTACAATACAGAATTATAACACCAATTTCTTCCCTCTCTTTCAGGTCCTCGATAATAGTTCGGATTTTCTCTTTCCCTCTCTGACCGTTGGACGGGAAATATGTTTCGTATGCAATGCAAATTCCCAGAGGTTTTGAATGCTTGCGGAAATATTCAATCCCCGATCGCCCGTATGCGTCATCTACAGCTACGGCAGCCACATACGTCCAGTTGAAATTACGGGCAATATCCGACATGACTTTGGATTGAAAACGATCCGGAGGGACAGTGCGAAAAAACGATGGATAGGCGCTGCTACTGAGTTCATCGCTTGTAGCAGCGTAGCTTATAAGCGGGATATCTTCCACTTCCAATAAATTCGACACCAGAATCGAGGAGCGCGAAGTTCCGGTCCCAACTACAGCGACCACCGGAGAAAATTTACCCTTGGGTAAGATTGTGCAAGTTTCATTGAGTTCAGGGTTCGCGAAAGCAAATTTATGAACATTCACAAAGTCCAAAGTGGATTTCATGGCCCGGCGGTTTTTAAGGTTTGTGTCGGAGATGTCGTATCCAAGAGTGATATTTGGTAAGAGATTTGAGTTATTGTTGATATTTTCGACGGCAAAAACCATGGCTTCGGCTAAGCCCATATATTTCGATATAAATTTATCTCTCACGTGAACTGGGAAGAGGCCGCCGATTGTAACGTTTCCTTCCTTGTAAATTCTCTCCCCTGGATTGATGACTTCGCTTGTGGCACATGTGGCTTGAGGTTTCACGAGAAGAAAAATCATGATCATTGCTACTCTAACATCACGGAAGTGATTGAGGCAAAACATCGACAGGGCCATTTTCATATTTTACAGACGCAATTGGTACGCCTTTCAATGTGGAGACTCTTGCAATTGTGATAAGGCCAGTTTCTTCTTTAAAGGGCGTTCCTTTCAAACAATACATCCACGGCACATGAATTGTAGCGTTCAATTTCCTGAAACTGACTTCGAAAATCGAAATTTACTGCTACTGTTTACTGCTGTAACGCGCTATATTTGGCACGTACTTAGCAGCCAGTGTCAATCAAGAATTTTTGTGGGTTCAATTGAGCATGGTTTATGTGAAAATAAATCTCGTACAGGTCATGTCACTTTGGCTTGGCGACAAAAATGTTAATTATCGTGATATATTTTCAATCAAGGCGCTGTCACGCTGTTCGGTAATCATATTATTTATATTATCACAATCTCTTGACTAAAAGCAAGTTTGTAATGAACCTAGTTTGCTTTGTAGACCAATAATTCTTGATACTGGTCATTATTTTGAGACAATTTTATTTCGCATTTGACCCGTCTGAACCCAAGGAGGTCCGTTAAGGAGTATACCGCTAGATGCCACAAAGAAAACAAATAAAGGACATATGCCTTTTTGCTTTTGATTTAAAAATTACGAACGTGATTATTTAACGAGAACAGTTATTGCGCTTTCGTTAATCACAGTTCCCTACTTACTTGAGTAGAAAAAATAAACATTAATTAAGTCGGGTCACGAGGTATTCAATATGAAAGGAAGTTTCCTTATGTTCTTTTAGATAAACAGATCTCACGTTGCTCTGAGGTGACCGTTGAACGATCTGAATACCAAATTTACATCATCATTCTTATTTTTGTAAATCTAGGAAAAAAGGAAAGAAAGCCCATTTAACGTATCATTTAACTGGTGCGGGTTTTTAAAGTGGGAACTGGTTTCTTTCTCTCGTTTGTAGTGACGTAACAGAGCTGTCAAGACATTTAGTCTGGTCATCCACGATTTGCAATCGTGAAAGTATGGTAGTCATGTTATGCTGCCGGGTCGATATAGTTAAAGAGTCGATTGAAATCTCAAAAGACGCCTTTCATAGTCAAGTGTTTTGCGGTTAATAGACATAATGAAACCCTCTTTCAAGATATCTCAAAAACAATTCTTTAGGAAACAAGAGTGGCAGCCACAGGGGGCGTAGGGGCCCATTAGAAACCGCAAAACCGTAGAAAAAAATCATTCAAAACCGAAAAACCAAAAAAACATTCGATCAAAACCGAAAACCGCATGCAAAACTGTCAAAACTGATACATTTTCACATCCCAGTTATTAAAACCCTGTGTAAATGCGTGACTTTTAAACTTGCGTGACATTTGTGTTACAGTTGGCCTTTGTGCCATTTGATTCCTTCAGATAGTCTTTCTCTCCCGCTTTCATTAATCGCCTGTTCATGTTCGGTGTTCATCCAAAGTTAATTAATAAAGTTTGATTTCAAGCCACCGGCGTATAGGGACTGATATGTAAGTTGTTTTCGCTTGTTTTGTTGTTTATCTCGTTTCAAGCAAGCTCTTTCGTCTTTATTTGTATATATATCTTGTGTTTGCCGTAGCTCTTGGTTCATTTATTAGTTCCTTTATTATGTTAGATTCATTTACGCTGTTAAGTCGCCACGTGTTTAATTGAATACAGTCTATTATATAAGTCCCTTTTTTTAATTCGCTTACAGTTTACGAGATTGATTAAAGCTATGTCTCTGTAACATATCCTCTGGTTTGGTTGGCATTTTCTCCGGTCGCGATTTTCTTGGCACTTTATCGAGCCTTGATGTTCGTTTGCCGCAACACCCTGATCGATCCGATGCAGTGGTGGATAAGTGGAGCATACAAAGTAAACTATACTAATTTCATAACAGGATTTATGAATACCGTGGACTTGGCATTCGTATCTTCTAGTAGCGGAACTCGCAGAGCTTAGCCCCATAATTATACAAAATAATAGTAACCCATCAAGCCGAAAAAATTTGGATGTACGACCGTTCGACCGTACAAGGTGCTACTTTTAACATGCATGGTCAACCGTACCGCGGGCACGCCAACGCCACGGCTTTGTCCAGTAGTCCAGTGGTCAGTGCACTGGGCTCCGAGTCGAACGACCCGGGTTCTAGTCTTGGCCGGGGCAAGGCGTTGTGCCCTTGAGACGTGCGGGAAAAAAAATGCGAGGACCTCGAGCGCGGTCTCTGCGGACTCAGCAACTGGTAATGGAGCCTAATCAAATTAAGTAAATTGGCACAAAAGTCCTCGATAGGATTGCAATTTTGCAGTCGCAAAAAGTTATAGCTCTGGAAAGTTTCATCTAAAATTCGTAATCTAACATTTCCATTTGCGAACTAAGACCTGAAAGTTTGGAGATTCTATTGGAATGTTGAATCAATCAGTCACGTGTGGCCTGTAACTTAGTCACCAACTTCGAGGTGGCGTTGATAAAGAAACTCTGGCAATGATCCGTACTTAGCTGTACCCTACGTGTAGCCGAAAACCAAATGCTAAACAACGGAAAATCCGCAAACCGCAATGAACAACAAAACCGAAAAACCGAAGTTTTTTTGGCACAAAAACCGAAAAACCGATCTAAAAAATAGCCAAAACCGCAAAACCGAAAACCCCAATGCCCCTCATAATAGACTCTTCTGAAAACATGAAAACCATTCGTCGGGAAAAAATCGAAGAAAGTAAACACAATCCGGCAATATTTAAGGTCAGTGTCGGTAACAAGAGAACAAAATGTTCAATTGACGTTAAGTTTTGATACCACAACAGCAATGCTTGATCAAACGGGAAAAAGAAGATTCTTATGAACTTTTAACTGCAGTAAAAGAGGCAAAAGTATTTTCTGGTCGAAGGCGGCTTCAATTAAGAACAACGTCAGCTCTCCAATGATTGTATGCACCCTACAACACGATCCCTGTACCCGCGCAAGACCGAAGAAGAAACGCATCGCACGTTGCAAGATGTTTCAAATGCTTTTATCACAAACCAATGCCATAGCCCTGGTTTTCAATCACACCTAATCCGTTAAAGCTTTTTTTTTTCGGGGAAGTATTTTTTTGTTCTTGTTTCTTCAGTGGAGGGGTCATGTACGTTTAATTTAGCTTGACTTCCTTTGTCCCACGTGCGTGATGGCTCCCTTCCAACAATTTGGTGAAGAGTCATGCACGCAAAGATTTGTTTCCCTTTTGTTAATCCTCTGTAATCCGCGTTAACGATTTGCTTCCTTGACCAGTGTTGACAATCGATGTTCCTTCTCTTTCCATTTATATTTAAGTTTTGTTCGTTCTCTGTTCATACTTTCCTTTTCCTCTTTTTCCAACTTCTAATGGGCATATCACAATTTTCAATGAAATATATTTCATTTGATCTGTGGATGAAAATCAAGCAATGAGAAAAGATCCTCGTAGCTAGACTGCAATGAAAGCAAATGCAGAAAAGAAGCCTATGTTCCGACAGTTTTTCTGACCCATGCCTCTGAGACACTAGATTGGCGCCACTACAAACTGAGCTACGGGGCAAATTTTAGAGGTTTTATGATCGCCTCAGCGATCAGCCATAACGACGTTTTTTTTCAAGGCAGAAAAAGCCAATTGAAATATCGCAACGAGACGCATGTAAAGGGGAAGTAAGCGCCATAAATTAGACTATTTTTCCTCTCAACCATTGAAAGTATGTCTGAATGTTTTGGGATTCGAAAGAGTAACCAGGTAACCTAGCCTTTCGAAATTGCCCTCAAATGAGCTTACAATTTTACTACCAAGACCACTATTTTGGATCTTAACGAGAAACCAGGACGGTTTTAACCTTCCCTTGGCGATCTGTTTGAACAAATGGTGATGTTCTTTTTCTTTCACCAACACAACAGATGTCTGTGAACCCTGCCAGTTGAGTCGTGACGTATGCAGCCAGGTTACTTGGCTGTTTGCAAAATGGCGGCGACCATAGTTAAATTTTGGGCACATTTGAACACAATTTACGAAAGTTAATTGAGCTCTTTAGAATCTAAAATCTTGGCAAGACAGGACAAAAATGGTGGACCAAACAAATGACTCCCAATGAAAGGATCCAAACAGGCTACAGTGTTTTATTGTGTTAGTACATGAAAATACAAAGATGTGCTACAGGAACCAAATTCTAGCGCTTTAGATACGACGCTTGTGTGGAACTTGTAACAAAATTGAAGTAAAAGAATAATAAAAGGCTCGAAATCCTCTAGAGGTTTTTTTGTTTTTTTTAAATCTTAATTTTTAACATAGAAGTTTCAAACTTCAAAGTTAAAAAAGCAAAATATTCTAGGTAAAATTTTAGCTTTAAGTTCCACCTGAAGACAGCTGAAGGCTGAAACGTTGTAACTAAGTTACTGAAAGTCGTGAATATGAAAGCGATCTTCGCAGTAATAAACACTACTTGAGCAGAAGTTCAGGAAATTCAGGCCTGTACGGGAGTTATATATTTGAGCAATACTGAAAATCGGTATCGCAGTCATATATTTGAACCGAAGTTCAAATATATGACTTTCATAAATGAATGAATATTTTTCAGGCCTTATTTTCATCACTGCTAAAGTAGTGTTTATTGCTGATAAGATCGCTTTCATATTCACGTTTTCATCCGCAATACTAAGGTATGGCTTTTATATGCTCTACTGACGCGATACAAGTATTGAGCACTTGCGGGATGTGGCCATTATGACGCACGTGATCATATGGTATTTTAAAGCTATGGCATGCGCACTGAGGCGACATTTGTAGTGACGATGAAGTATAAAATAACCGCAGCAGCCATGAACCTGGTAAAGTGTTTCATAATCTTATGTGTTTTTCATTCTAAGGCCCTATTGCTATGGTCTTGGGTACCTGCGACAACTCTTTCCCCTCCAGACAATTTTACGAACGTTTACATGGAGTAGTGAATTGCAACAGCTGTCCCCTTTTATATGAGAAAAAGTTGTCCCACCTGACCCTCCTGCCGAGTTGTCTTCCGCCCCCCCCTCGAGACGTATTCACCATTTTTGTGTGAACGGTTGGTTGAATTTTTCAAACAAATAAGTAAAGAGTTAGTTTAACTCGGGGGGGAAGAGTTGTCTCGGATACTCGAGACCACTACCATGCAGTATGGTAGCTATGAATGATAGTTAACCTTATGACTTGTTGTAACACCCCTGTGGTGCATATTTGTGCCTTTTAACTGATCCTTACCATAGATATGTAAGTGATACGCCCTGACAGGAGCACGTGATCATAAATATGTTTTTACATGAGATTATAGACAGTTTATATTCTCTTGGTTTTTAACATTAGCCCGATGATTTTATTTCTTTTCGTAAACTAGTATTGGCAAAAGTTAATTATCCCAAAAGCTGATATGCCACATACTTCACTGAGTTTAAATTCCCGTGCAGTTTTGCCATTTGTCATAATTCTGTCCGAACAACCACGCCAATGCTTACGACGAGACGTAAGCGCATTTCTCATGTCGACGATTACGCAACGACCACTCTTTATATTTTAGTACGACCTGCTGTTGACCCGACCATGGCGTGGTTTTAGTACAGGATTCCTTGTTAGTGCAGTGAAGTTTAGATCAGCGAGACTGTCAGACCTATGAATAACTAAGAAGCACATCAGACAAGCTAAGACACAGACTTCCACTGTTTCAGAGCACGCCCAAAACGGACCTCCTGCTTTGGAACAAAGTACAGTTTTCTGATCGTAAAAGAGGTGATCCATTTTAGAGTACACTCAACAACATTAAGAGTAAAGGGTGGGATATTGATTTTAGAAGTTAAAAAAGAGAAAACAAACACACATGTATTACGTAATCATGCGGCACAGATAGGGGACATTTCTTCGAGTGCGCCAATAACAAGTATAAAAAAACAAGCCAATCACAGCTGTGCATGGTAGTTGATAAGTCGACACGTCGCGATCGACATCTACACTGACTTCATCGTGAGACAAATGGTTACTCTTTATTACAAGTACATTTACCTCAATGGATATTAAGCGTACACCTTTGTAAGATTTTCAACAACATGAACTGCTGTGGCAGAACTGTTTTCCAGTCTCGCGGCGGCCGGCAATTGCCATCGCCTGCCACTAAGACACAGTTCGTGAAATATTGAACAATAAGGTTAAATTGACCATCAAATAATTGTACTGAGAAATCATCTGCATAGAATCAGAGAAGGGTCAAGACATGTACTGATTACATATTTCAAAGGAAACATAATTTCCTAACCCCCTTTTTAGTTCTGAAATATTTTTGCCCGCCCCTCCCTCAAAACAAACAGCCGGCCACAAAGACGAAGAAAACGCCTTGAAAAACAGATGAAAAACAGCTGAAAAACTGATACTATTCTCTGGTCTGTTCATTCGAAGCATGCTTCTTGATAAGTACTTACCTTTTCTTTTTAAAGAGCTATGGAACTACACTCAATTGAATGAATTGAGATTTTACGACAACGTTCTGAACATTTGGCTGACGAAATCAGTTGAATGAATTTTGCTTTATCCAATTACGCGAATTTCCCACTTACACGCTCGAGCAAATTGATGGGAATTTGCGCGCAAATACGGCTTCTTAATTGAGCTGATAAGCTTTTTAAATTACAGACAATGAGAGGATAGTTTTATTAAGTTTGTTAAACCTATTGTACCCAGGAAGGCGAGTCAAGGATTAGCGGTGTTGAACTCCCATTATTTCAGCGACTGATCTTCTACAAGCTTTGTATATCGTTCTTTATCATATTACAAACTTGTAAAGAAGGTTAAGAATAAAAGAGAAAACCTAGACTAATTTCTTTATCCGATTAATCCGATCAGCTAAAGAATGTTTCACCCACGATGCACTCAAATTTGTGCAAAATGTTATGAAAATTTACAGCTGTTCAATTACCTTCACAGCCAAGAGAATGTATACAATTCGCGCCAAGGGCATAATAAATTTTATCTATCAATATTTAAAACGGTAAAGATTCTGGAAAAAACACAAACAAAGTTAGCAAATTTAGGTTTTTGTGAGTCCTGTGGGGTCAATTCTAATGGGGAATGCTGGGATATGGCGTTGATGCCAGTACTCCGAGGAAATTAAAATTATAATAAGCTGGATCTGGGTTGAAACACCAGAAGACCCGGGACTTCACCTTTATGAGTGAAGATGCTGTATCTTCGATTATTGAATGGTAATTACGAATTCTTCCATGAAATAGAAAATTTATTTGAAGGAGAGTAAAGGAATATTTCCATATATAGTATCAGTGACCACAGAAATTTATAATTTATCAAGAAAAGCGCAAAAAGATGCGAAGCATTTGCATGCATAGGCTATGGCATTTTCCTTGCAGAACACGTGCGTAACAAGCTCATGGCCCATAGATGCGCTATGTGTTATAATTTGACCTGAATGAATCAGGGGTCAGATTTGCAAATAATACAGTTTTGACAGCAGTATGAAGCAATAGAATCTGCCACTACTGTTTTCCAGTTATCCAATATTAAAATTTACTGTTCAACTCACTTTTTTCACTTATATAAATTCCTTTTTTAGACAGTAAACAATAGTTCACCGACGAAAAACACGACAATGTTACTTCAATGTTTGAATAAGTTCAGTGTTTTTACTCAAATAAATTCCATGTACCCGTATCCCCCCCAATAGCGTCTCGGAATTCTTAAATCTTGTCGTAATAATTTGATTCCCTGAAAAGACGACATGTGCCAGAGGAACTGGCTGTTCGTCACTCAACAAAATAACTTCGGATAGTGTAATTATTTTGTCTGGATATTTCGTTGAAAAACAAAGACAATTGTCCTAATACTAATAATGTGATAGTGGCTTATGAACGGTCAAATCGCAACTTAGCCAGGCCTGATAATCTTTCTTTTGTCTTTCACAGTCTCCAAGGCTCCCTGCTTTCAAGTTCTGTTTTAAACTGGCCACCGAGGCAACTGAAACGGTAACGCCGAATGCTCACAATCTCACTGCAGGGAAGGCGAACGAAATGCAGGTACGCTTATAAACAGATGTTAGTGTTCCTCTCTGCAAAGAGAGCAGAAATGCGGTTACGTTCCTGAGAGTTAATTATTCAGTCGAAATATTATAATTTTACCTTGCTGACAACAAGAGATGCAGAGCAGTTTATTAAGAATGAAAAATGAGAGTGACTTTGTAGAAATTAACCTACAGTATGTCACTGTATTTGAGGGAGCCTGATTTCCACATCAAAATGGGTGCGGTCAGGAGCTCATCTCCTGGTGCGACTAAACAAACCCCTCCTAGAAATTGGAAACTGTGGTCATTTTGTTGTCTTCCAGAAAGATCTGATTTCTTTTTTTTCCTTTCTTTTCTTTATCACCTAACTGTTGAGGTTACTACAAGCATTTTAAGCGGGTCTGACTAAAAAAGTGAAACAACGCCTCTGTCAGCAGAAGGATTATTTATCAGTAGGCAGCAAACTAATTTCATTCAGACCGATTAGTAAATTAACTCTGTGTTTATTCGGTTTTACAAAGTCTAACAAATAACCACGCAACAAAGATAAAATATAATTCCCTCCCTTTTTTTGCCAGGCTTTTTTTTTCCTGCATGTTTCGGATCGGATCAGATTCACAGACCATGATATGTGTACGGCATTCGCCTTGTTTGGAAATAAAAAACTCACGATCTATGTAGTTGTCGAAAGATCAAGAGAATGAGTGATCTATGGCCCTAATTTCTCGATTATTTATGGACACAGCCTTGTATCCGCCCATTTTGAAATGAGGGGTGCGCCCGTTTACATGACAGAAATAATCCGATCTATTCTATGTGAGCACGTTCAATACATTACCTCCGTTACTTGCGACTATGTGAGGTACCCCAAGCTTTTTTGATTTATAGCATTCAACAAATATTTGCAAAACGTGCCTGAGACATTTCCATAAATTGTGAAATTCCTCCATAAATGTGATAATGCTTTTGTAAATTGCGTGACTTGTGGAATTTGACAGGAAAATTCCCAAATATTCACCGATCATCTGACATTTGAAGGAAGAGAGAAATATAATTTGTTTCGCTGAAAAAAAGGAGGCATTCTTAGGAAAGCCTTTTGAGGTACTGTTAACATCAAACGGCACAGGAATTGTCACACGTACAGAGGAAACAATATTGGTTACGTGACAGGTGGTAAAAGATGACGCGCGAGTGACGAAGAATGTAAACAAGCGATCGTGCTGCTGTTATCTTCAACCGTTGCTATGTCAGACTTTTACACTCTTTTCATTTTAATTCTTTCAAGAGTTCACACGTGTAAGATAAGGTAGAATTCGCTCAAAACATCAAGAAGAACTTAGAAAGTGTAATCTAACCTAAAATTTTTTTCTTCGAGAGGGGATATGTTCGGGCAGGAACTGAATTCCAATTCATTGAGATCGTTCAGCTAAAAATAAAGTTAAAGAAGAATTTAAAGACTTCGTGAAAGTAGATTAATTCCCTTCAGTTCATAGAATAGAACAAAATCTTATGCCAGGGAATCCATATGAGGCTTCAGTACAAGTTCAAGGAGGTACCGGAAAGGGTGATGTTTTCGTAGCAGAAGCCTCGAATGCACCGGAAATAGTTACCGGAAACAAGATGTGCACATTTTGCGCAAAAGTGAAAATCAAATTGGAAGTGTTTAATTTTTGAAGAGATATATTCTCTGGAAAGAGGAAAAAATCACCGGCTTTTGATCTTGTAGCGTAAGTTTGATACATTTGAAAACGTTACACTTCAAGAAACGAAAATTAAAGAGTGTTTTGAGCTGAATCGTGACCCTCTGTGCGTGACCATCTGCGAAACCGGAAATGGGATTTCAATAAAGGGAGAATAGGTGTTGCCCAATTTGAAAATCGACGCTCAAGCTTAATCGCTAGATTTGGTTTGTCGACATCAGGTCACAACCACCTTCATTGAATTCATAGCACTGCAAAGATTTTTACTGAAGCTTCAACGGTTCAAACGAAATGGAACCAAGAAATGCGCAAATATGGAAGGTTAGTACTCTACTATTAACTACACCGTCCATTTTCCTGAAGCTGAAAATCTTACAGGGATAAAAAAAAAAAAATTGGATTGTTCGATCAACGCACTCAGGGCAAAAAGTTACAAGCGTGCTTAGCTGTTTGCTAAATAAATACATCAATCAACAGGTCCGTCCCTTTAAAATTTCTTCTCACCAAAGAATTTCCCAAAAGTTTTAAAAAGCCGCGTATAATCAGTTGTAATGAAATGAAACCTCAAGTTGCCCTCGGCTTTGAAACATCCTTGTAAGGCCACATGTTTTGACGGGAACGACTTGAAACGTGATGCTTCTGAAATCTGACAGCGGAGGTCATCGAAACAATGCGATGGATGAGTACACGCCTTACCAACGGTCACGAGTTTATAATGAGGATGTTTGAAACTGCAGTATATTCATAAACTCGTGACAAAAGCAAGAGAAAGTTTACGAAGACACATTGAGGCGAAGTTAAGATACCAGAAAGCAAACTGGTTACATCAAAGCAATAGCTTAAGGTTTGTTACAATAATTTTTCTTCAGTTGAGGAGCTAAAGAATTTTTGCCGTGCGTTCTTCCGCAACCATCACATATTAAGTACTTGGTTGCGCAATTCCGTCTTTCGAAATCTCTTGGCGATATAAGCTGCCAGCGAATAGTGCTGAGCAAAAATTTACAGAAGATAGCATGAAAATTATATAAGCGGATTTGCACAAACTGTTCTGTCGATAAATTATGTCAATTTATATTTTTCTTGAGACAGGCATTATTGAAATCAAACGCAGACGGGCGTGAATTTTTTCTACGCACCTCAAGGGCCTTCAGGTGGTCCGATTGCAATTAAATTGTTTAATTAATTTCTTTCATATATCATTGTATCATTCCGAAGAAAGATTTGTCGATTTGATTTATCAATTTGATTGCTTGATATATAAGAAGTTTGTTTGTGCCGTTTGCTGAAGAACGTGTTTATTCGAAATTTTCACTGACATGAACTAGTTGACCGAGGGTAATAATTAGATTACAGGATCGATATTAGGTCCGCAATAACTGGGGAACTGTGTGTCTTAAACAAGGTTAAGCTATGCATCAGATAAATATATTAATGACTTAAGTTTAAATCGTTATTTCATGAGCCCCGAATCAACACGGGAGCACTGAAGCCTTCAATCAAAGGAAATGGAGTAGCGTGACATCAAAGGGCTTTGGAGATTCCGTGAAATGATTATTCTTAAGTGCCGATCTTCCTGTTGAAAGAAATGCGGTTTCGAGCTGCGATACCAAAGCGATGAAGAAATTTAGCTGACTAATTCAGCCGACTATAGTAGTGATCTTACTCCACGCATTAGTTCTCCTTTTACGTCAGTCATGGAAGGATACGGGAATAACCACACAATGGGATCCGGTCTAAAGAACACATTAGTACCTAAAACATCAGATGTGGTCAAAATCTTACAATGCATCTAGATATTTATCAAAGTACGAACTGATTACAACAGCTGGCGTTTAGAGGGAAGAAAAAAAAGGAAAGAAAGTGCAAAAAAGGGAGAAAAAGGAAAACTGGTGCCCGACGAACTCTGCACTATTCTGGATTTGTAGAAGGGGGGAGAGAAGGGATAGCAGGCAGTGACCTTAGTTCCACATCATCAGCCTCTCGTTAGCTCTTCCGGAATGTTCCAGAGTTTGAGCAGGCTATCATCTTGATCGTTCAATGCTTTATGTTTCACAATATCACCCGAGCCGAATTTCTTATCTTAGCAGACAAATGGTCGTTCTCTTTAAACCATCAAGATGGCAACATCGATTTTGAAATTCTTTTTCCTTTTTCCTCTGTAAGTGACCGTAGTATTTTGATGTAATCTCTCAGTTGACGCTTGCAGCGTACTTCATGCCCATAACTGGGTATTAAATTTAAACCTTGCAAGTTGTGCCATGTCACGCAGATGTCGAACTGAATGAGTTACTCTTGCTGACAAATTTCTATTATCATATTTCATTGCGGAATTAAGCGGTAAAACAATTTGAAAACCCATCGTTCATTTGCAAAGGTAACACGAAAATTCGAAATAAATCGCAATTTTGTAATTTTGCATAATAATGAAACCTTTCGTGCGGGAAATAAATTGAGACGGTATCTTTATTACGTAATATATTTTCTTCTGTCACTAGAAAGGTATGCGTTTCAGGAAATTGCAGCTCAATTGTAAACGCCTCAATTTTTCTCTTAAAATACCTGAGGAATCCGAAACGCGAAAGGGCCAAAAATGGTCTTCTCTAACACAGTGGGTACGTGAAGAATGCCCATCTCACCCGAACAAATACAGTTATCGTTGATCGCGTGAGCGAGAGTCGCAACCTTTCGCAACTCAGCAATACAGTTCTTGTCACAAAAATTCTCGCAAGTACCCGTGGGTTCCATTAGTGGTATTCAACAAACATGTCTCATAAGCCTAATCCAGTGTTTTGATGAGGTACGTTTACAAGTTTTGATTTGTAGCTAAGGAAAATGTGCTTTTTAAAGTCGATGACGAAATCGCTCTTTAAAACGCATTCCGTGGTGTCTGACTTCCCGCGATCTTTCTTTAGTGCGTAATACAACATGGCGGCTCATAGGCATGACGTCACTGGCCTAGAGCAACACAATAGATGGGGCAATATTGTAATCGCGGCTATCAATCCGAGCATTGTTCTCAGTGCTAGTTACCGTAAATAGTTACTCAAGAGTGTCATCTAAACATTATTTTGGTTTGCTGCCTGCTACGGAAATTTCATTCAGTCTACGTCTATGAACCACGCGGGTCGCGCATCGAGCAAGCAGTTTCTTTAACCTAGAGTGCTAGAGCAGTTTAAAACTCCTTACACAGGTAAATAGATCATTTTTATAACGGATTTTTAAATGTTCCGACAGTTTAAGCTTGCATGATTTCGATGACGACAAATAAGCTTCAAGACGGTCGGAATTTGAAGGGCATGTGTCGAAATACCGCGCTTAGGGTGATTACGGTTATTCTTTAGTGTGAATAGTTCGGTTTGTGTGCGGAAAAGAGTGTCTGATCTTAGGACTGAATCTTTTTTCTCAGATGCCTGAATACACACGGGATAACTGTGCACCTTTGGGGAAAGAATTCTTCGACTCAATGGACCGTGTTGACGAGGGAGCCTTGGCGAGGCTAATAGTTGAAATGCAGTTGAATACGTTACAAGACCTGCCCGACCTGCGCACTTTGTTCTTCAGGAGAAGACAACAACAGATGAACTACGTCGCAGCACAGTACGGTAGGATTCCGGCAGCGTATCGCGTTCAACAGCAATATTCTCCTGTCTCTCGAGCGAAATCATGGGCCATGCATGCCTAATATGTCAGAGTTGTTGTCAAGGAGAAGGCTGAATACCACAATTTGACCATGGACATATTTGGTCTAGAATGAAATTGTTGTAAATAGACCGATTTAAGAGGAGTATTTATGTTTCAAAACACTGTGGCAACCAGTGAACGACTGCGGAACTGTTCTATGCGAACTCCGCCAATTTAAATATCTTACAGGGAAAACTGGATATTTTTCTCTTCGCAAAACAACTTGGATATGAGACTTCAGGTGCAAAGAACATTTTCAAGCAAATTGTTCAAATCTTTAGCATAATATTCATGGACGAAACCGCAGAGGTGAACAATGGTAAGAGTGTTCAAATATTCAAATATCGCCTACCCAAAATGTGTGAAAAATCCTGCTATTGTGTCGAGTAAAAATTGGCAGGCAAAGATATGCCACGTTGTGTAAATATAATATAAAAAGTACTTTTAATTTAAGAAAACTACGATATTTTTGTATAGTTCTAAGACGCCATGAGAGATAAACGGAGAAAGCACACTACAGCAAAATTAATTTTTTTTAGTTTGCGTGTGCGTGACAAAAGAAAAAAATTTATTGACTAATGTGAATTTGCCTAAGTAGACTTGTAATATTCGAACTGAAATAAAATATTTGCATAAAACTGACTTTGCAGCTGCCATTTATTGTAACGAGGGAGTTTCGCCATAAATGGAATTTATTGTGAGACGTTACAAAGCTTATCTGACAGCTCTGTGATGGTAATTTGTTGGTCGCTCGACAACTTCAGAGATATAAGGAAAAATGAACTTTTCCGGGAACATTTTAAGAAAGGAAAAGTGAGATAAAGAGGATAAAATTAACGTAATGGGCCTCCTACTTGCATTTGTTCATCTGATTGCGTATCACAGCACGATCGCTTAAATTCGATTTTTCGATGACTGAACTCGAGATTGGTGTGTCGAGTCTCTCGGTGACGCATAATTTTAGTCGTCGCACTCGAGATAAAAGACTAAATCGCGCTTTCCTTCGCAACTTGCGTGTGCGTTCTAAGCCGCTACATGAAAGTGAAGAACACAAAGGAATTACAATCCTTTAAAGTACTCGAAGAGAAAACAAAAGATGTTTAGAGAGTCATTTGTGACGCTCTATCACACTCTACCGGTTTTATCGCAGAAGGCAAGATATTGAGAAGGCGCTGATAAGTTGAAAATGCACGCTCATGCAATTGAAAGCCGGGCCGATATTTTGGTGTAGTGAAGGGTTATCAATCCAATTTAAAACACGCATCTTTTCGTGTCTACTTTGCTAAGTAAATCACTGCGGCGGCGATAATTACTTTCCGTGAGAGACAGATGTAATTGAAAGTGGGGTTACGCCTTTCACATTTCATCCATAGCTAAGAAACAAAACGGTAAAACGGTAAAATAATACAAGAATATGCATATATTAGAGTCGAGAAGGGACTAAGGGGCGACAGTGCCGAAATGATACAATTAATGATGGGGGGTGGGGTAGGGCTGGGCTAGGGTAGGGGTAGGGTAGGGGTAAAAATCTCCCGCTTCCTGTACTATGTTCTCCCGCCTTTCCTGGCAGTAGGCAGATAACAAATACAAAATTCAGCTTCCTGTGCCGTTTAATCTGTCTGGGTCTTTTCTAGCCAGATAAAATTGCTTTTGACGTATTGCTTTATTTGCTTACGTTTGAGCCAGACCCAGTTCTTGACAATAGACATGGGAAACGGTTAACAGAGGAAATGCCAAAGTTTTGAGACAAAGTAGACAAAAAAAAAAAATGAAAAAAAAATTGTTCCTGGTTTTAGCCTTTCATCTACACATGCGTCACGTTATCAGTCCATAAAAAGTGCTCGACCCGGTGACCTCCGGGTACACTTCCGTCTCGTCTCCTCTAGGGCAGAGGGCAAACAAGGTAAATGCGAATAGTTTAAAGTTGTAAGCAATATGCTTAGAGTGAGTGTAGCTCATAAAAAATAACATCTAAGGATCGTGGATGGACATCAGCAAGTGACAGACATGTTCATGATCTTCTGCCTCTTCATTTGTATCTTTCCCTGAGGGTATGTACAGGCGGGGAGAAGAGGGCTGAAACGACAAGTTCCTCTCCTAGTGCATGCCTTCTCAAGTGTTCTCTACTTCCTGTCCTTTAAGCTTCCTTAGTGATTAGATAAAAATCATCCGACTTAAATGGTTAAGATAACGATTTTGATCCTTGTTCGGAAAATTTCGATAAATTTAGTAACTATAGTGAGAGAAAACTGATTAGTAAAGATTCTTAACTTGATTATTGTAAAGTGGTAATACGTGTAAAGGTTCAGGCGAGGTCTGTATATTCCACATAGCAAGAATCTTTTTATTTAACAGTTTTAAAACTGGAATTTTTCATAAGAAGACCGTGATGTTAATGAAGTGCAGCTGACGTGTAAGAGGATAGGCCGGCGGGCTCACACCAACAAGCTATTACGTCATTTTGTTGTTGAATGGCTCGCTTTGACGTAATCAGATTCAAGTTGACCCAAACACCTATGACTTCCTGTTGTTCACTTTTAGTTATCCGTTCTCTCTAATATTTTTTTCCTTTCTTGATACAACAACAAATATAAAGAACTATTTAAAGCAATGACAGGAATTTATAGCTGAAATGCATTTTTTGTAGTTGCAATGCGTCATCTGATTGACAACAGGAATTGCGATAGATCATTGTATTTCCGTGCCAACTTGCACTTACAGCCAGAGCTATTTTTGGCTCAGATGTCTTGGTGATGCTTTTTTTTTTTAAATCTCTAGCGTGTATTTTTACAATATTACAGCATCCCTCTATTATGTTGTGTCAGGATTAATCCGTCCTTGAATATCGATCAAGGACCATTGACCTTCATAAGTACTTGTGGAAAATAACATCGATAGTGCTCTGTGTTTGTTTTGAAGTAAATTTGTCGCACAAATAGAGATGAAGTCAACAACAGCAACATATTAAAGTGATTATTCTAACTTAAGGAAAAAAAGAAATTTTTACATTAAACTAAATTTTTATTGTTCCGGATGATTAGTTTTTCCTCCTAAATATTTGTGACGACGTTTATTTACGATACCAAGATCGACTATATATGGAGTAACTAGAAGGGTAATTAACCACAGAACCACCCATGCGCACAGATCGGGGACAACCATGAATAGCGTAGATGTTACTTCTCAACGATTTGTACCCAAGCTTTCTAAATGTTCCATAGATCAATCAGCTGGTTTGTAACAGTCCTTTTATTCAAACCAGTATCCAGTTTCGCGCAAAGATGCGAAAACTCCGGAGTGGCATAATAATCGTTGCGTGCCGACGTACGACTAAGGAATCTTCGGTGAAGAGACTGATATCAGCACTGAAGCTCCTGACTGCGCTATAGTAAACAACTCTGAATTGACCTATTTTAGCATGGTCGAGCATTAAGCCAAACGCAAACAATACGTGGATATTTCTAACCTCTGTGAAAAAACGACAGCCAAGAATCAATACGTTGTAAGTGTTTTGAGCAGTGAAAACTACTTTTTAGATTCAAAGCACTTGACGCCTACTATTCAAAGAACAATATCAGGCTTTACAGTTTTTTAAGTGGTTTGAAAATAGATCGTGCTGTTACTGCATAACTCGTGGGAAAAAAAGAAACTTCGATCTCAGTCGGGTGAATTTACTAAACAACCGTCGGTACAGTGGTAAAAGGAAGCCGACATTGTCTTCTTCCGCATGCGAAGTTCATGAGCACGTTTCAGTTTTATTTCCAACACACACAGAGGAGGAAGTTACAATAGATATGATGGATTAGGCCATCCAAATAAAATGAAAAACAGATCACTACAGTTTAACAATTCCGTGAGCCGGTTGATGGAAACTCAACACAAATAAATTTTTTTTCGCCCACAAACACTCAGCAGTAGACATGATTAAGGGCGTGTGTCCGCCTGCTCGCCTTAAGTCTCTACATCTTGTACTTAACAAGGGCGTCGAAAACATTTGTAAGAAACGGATATATAGGAACGCTCTAGAAAGGGGAAAAATCTTGAACTTAGAGACCAGCGCATACTATACACAAAGTAATCGTGGCTCAATTATTTGTATCCTTGAAGACCAGATATTGAAAAGAAGTTAAGGCAGTTTGGTGATTTGGTTTATTTCCGTTGATCGTGAACTTTGACATGTGCAGAAAATTAAAACAGCAACAGTAACAAAAAAATTTGAGGTTTGTTTCTTTAATCAGGTAAAAAGATGGCAAAATGCAAATTTATTTTTTATCCATTTTTCACCGATAAATATCTGCACTCACGTAAAATTTTACAGTAATTTGAAAATTCACAAATAACTTATGCACATTTAGTGCCTCAAAAACGAAAGAAAGTAATAGTACTACTTTACTATTTATAATCGCTACCCTTCAAAACCTCTCGTAAACCAGTTTTCTATTTAAAATCTTAAGGGGGCATTACGGTTGGATTTTGAACAAAAATTGAAAAATTCACCCTTTTTCTTATCTCCTTTCAAGTGATACCAGAATCCATCTAGTTTCCGATTATATGTTTTTACACTTCATTCATGCGCCGCTAAAAAACAGCCGCTTTTGAAGGCTAGTAGTGTCAATTTTGGTTGCCATGGTAATCACAGGTAATCCAATCGTTTTAGCACGTTTCATTTCTCCAAAATTGTGCAAAAACTCATTCCATTTGATCCTGAGACCCTTCAGTCCAGCCCCAGATCCTTGAAGTTAAAATTTCCACTAATATGAAGCCCAGTCACAAATCGTTCAAATCATGCTAAAAGTTGGGAGAGAGAGTCTGTTTTGAGGAATGGTGCATCAAGAAGAAAGGTTATGGGGGAACCAGGAAACTAGAGGTAGTGCCGAAGAGAAGGAAAGAAACGCGAGCTGTAGAAGTCACCTTTGTTGGCGAAGATGATGTTGGCAGCGAGCAAATCTGCCAAATCACTGCCTAAAATTTTCAAACCAAGAAAGGCACAAATACTGTCATGGTACAAGTTCAAAAGGGGATTGCCTTGTCCAGACAAGCCACATCACCTGGATAGTGTTTTCAAGGAACCCCTTGAGAAAATCTATGATCGTTTGAGTGAGCCAGCACTCCTCATCATATGCTTGCCTGGATACACCCAGAATGCAAATGTCCCAAGCATGAGTTGCATGGAAGAAAGGGAATTGTCATGGCTGCATCCTGTGCTGCTTTGCACTTCAGTTGTGGTGCAACATAAAAAAAATTAATGTCATTAGGAAAGCTGAAATCTCACCTGGCAAGCACAATTGGAAGGAAGCAAGACAAAGCTTTGGACAGTGGAAGAATTCAGTTAGCAGAGCACAGAGCTCAAGAAAAACACAAACAATTTAGACTTGTACGAAGACATGCTAAGTAGAGAGAAGAAGACCTGTGTATAATGTACAAAGGCATAACCTACACAGCTGCACAGACTGAGTAAAAAGAGAAAGAACCTAGGCATACCTTCAAGTAGGTGTGCTGTGATTCATAAAAGGCCATTTTAGGGAGTCATTAGTCTTGCAAGTGACATTTAGATAAAACTGAAGTTTTAATTGCATTTTTCCAAAAATAGGTTTTTCGGGGTAATTTTGTTGGCCCCTCATAATTCTAAATGAGTATTTCAGCTATCGACACCAAATTTGGTACAAAGGTTATTTATATAATTATCTGCGACCTAATTGAGCAAAATTTCTTCTTCTGAAATACTGCTGGTTTTATAAGTAACTTGTCATTTGCCAAATCTAATTGGTTACCATGACAACCAAAATGATAAAAAGGCGACAACTCTCGATACAATTGGATAATGCTACTGTAACAAAATTTTGGTGAGTATTTTAAAAGGAAATGACAAAAAAGTGAGGGGCTCCGAGCAAACCCTCAAAATAGCCCTTCACAGTAACTTGTTAGTTATTTACCTAAAATAAACAACATGTTTACTATAAACATGTCATGATGTAGGCAATTACTTGGGTGTACTTCTTACCAAGTTTGGGCTGGTTTGATTGAATTGTTGATTAAATATGATCTTTTTTTTTAAATAAGTTACCAAAATCTTACCATGAACCAACCGTTATGCCCCCTTAACCGATAAAGCAATAACATGCACCAAAGGTCGATGCAAAACAATCCGCATTGAACTCGCCCTGTTTCAATGTTGGATCAGCAGTGAAGTTTTTATTTTAACCTTCAACCAAATCGTTCATGGTCACGGATGTCGGTTATTTCTATACATAAACCTTGCGGAGCATATACGGAGCTTACGACCCACATAAGTTTTCTGTCATCAGTATTCCTTTGATAGCTTTTATGTTACATTGTCGACCTCTGCACTAGTTTTCAGAGTGTATATAAGTTTCCGTATCTCCTCTCTTTTATCTTGGATTGAAGAGAACCAGTCTGGTTTCTTTATCGGCAGTGAGAAGTCTGTGATTGGATCCTGAGAAGGTCAAAAAATAAAGTTGTTATAAAAGAAGTTCACAACGACACAGGGCACGCACTATTTCCGACTTTCCAACGCCACTTCTAAATTTTTCAATTCTCCTAAAATTGAAACCCCAAATGTTAGCACACTTTCTCTGTTTAAGTCTAAATTTAGGTTAGTTTACTTAATAAAACGATCACAAAGACATTATCGATCCTTCAGAGATTCAACTTTATTCGATCTACCACACGTTAAGACTAAATGTGGACAGACCTTGTTTAAATTCTCAGCTGCGAGTGCTTGGAACAAACTGCCAAGAGACATACGTGAGCTCACAACACTTGCACAGTTTAAGGGCAAAACATTTACTTACCTGGCGAACATGGACAGCCCCAATCACATTTGTACAAGTTAAACGTAGATTTTATTCAATAATTCTTAAAAAGATCTTGTTATTCAATTGTAAACTTAATGCCTTTTATTTTTTATTGACTTTTATGTATTTTTTATTGGTATCCGATCGATACCAGTCAATCACTATTGATTTACTAACCGGTCTTTAAATCAGGATAAATAAAGTAATTATTATTATTATTATTATCGTCATTATTATTAAATTGCGAATATTACTCCAAAGCTGGCTCCCTTCTTGCTTTCTTTTTTCTTACTCTTCTCAAGTTCCTTAATTATATGTTTGTTTACGTGTCTGCTGTTGTTTTGTGTGTGGGTTTTTTCCTTTTTTAGCCTAAAATATTTGTACCTAAATCACGCCATATGACTGATCCTTCAATTTTAGAAAATATGAAGAGCCTGTAGCTCGCTTAAGCCTCTTGGTTTCTCTGCGGGTTTCCTCACCAAATGTTAAATTTTCAATTCTATTCTATTATATTTTATGTATATGTAATTCCTTTTGTTTCTACTGATGTATTACAATTAAAACAAACAAACGAATAAACATCCAGAACTTGCTGAACTTATGACCTTCTATGAAGTCTATTCAAAGTCCGTGACTTTTCAGGCCTGGAAAATGAAGTACTGGAGACTTGGGTAAACAGAAAGGAAGCTTGCTTTAATTCCAGTGAATAATTATTAATCAACAAAGCAACTATTACCGTGAAAAAGCTCTCCACGTATTGACACACGTAAACACCGCAGTCAAAATGGTTATCCTGACCGGGAACCTGACAAATACGTACAGAAAAGATCAGAGTACACAAAATATAATCGTACCAGTTAGACACCAGTTGTTTTACCATTTTCAATGGATGATCGTTCGATTGACAGTTTGGGCAGAACTAGAATCTTCCTACAAAAACATTACGACAGAAATTTTCGTAATTGACCATAATCAGCAACAAAACAAATAAATAGATGAATGAATAAATTGCTACCTTTGGGTGGTTCCCTTTCACTGCATCCTTGTCGAAAGACTTAGTTTTAGGTTCTTTCTTTCGTTCTCTCCACTCACACTGAAGGTAACTGTGAAGAAAAAAAATGTTGGTTAAAACGTCAGGTTCACTGCGAAAATCTTCACAGAGGTTGATCTACTGAGATAAACATAACTACGGGTGATCGGTGCCGTTTTCCCGCCATGTGCCACGTGCGCTAGTCTGTTTCCCGCTCAATGTAGGTAGTCCAAAGAAAGTTCGCCGGTTAAAAATAAACAGAAATAACAATTTTTTTATACGTTTATAGTAAACACTTACTTTCTGAGATTAAAGAGACACCTTGATCTCGTCAATCCCAAGGAGTCAAAAACTAGTATACAAGGTCTGAAAAAAAGAGAGATACAACGAAAAAAAAAACTTTTCAATGATATGCAATAAGAGAACTTTCCATCTACAAAATTTAGTGAACTTCGGTTGCTTTTCTTTACCTATTTGTGGAAAAAGATAAGATAAATTGTCTTTGGCGTTAGGATTTCCCAGTTTCACGCCGAGAAAGCAAAACACGGAGCATTGGAACCCGTTTGCGTCAAAGTCCAAAATGAGCTTAAATGTTCCGGCTAGATCGATTTCTGTATTTTCTAAAATTTGACCACATGGAAGAGGTAATCTGAATCAAATGCCCCAATAAAACAGAACTTACCGCGATGTGATGATCTGTTTCGACAAGCTTTTACTCTGGTTTTGTTTGGGTGATTTCTTCCGGTCCTTTGCAAATGGAGAGCGGAGCAGAAAAACATCGTCATCGTTATCGCGACCATTTTTTGCTTCTTCCCCAGTTTTAATATCGTGGTCTTCATTCTGAAGTGGAACATTTTCATTCAATTTTGTTTTTTACTATTGTGAAGGGAAAAGTCTACTTCCTCGCACAACTGTCATAGGTCTATAACATAACACGACTAAGAGCATCACCACTCAACATTTTGTCCATTCTATTTTCTCTAACAGTCCACCAATACCTATTTCTACCAAATGAGGTGCTGTGAGAGTCTTACCCGTAAACAGAGCACAATGGCCTGGCCAAGGTTCGAACCCAGACCTCCCGACCCAGGGTCCAGCGCGCTAACAGTTAGGTCCTTTGTAGGATATGCAGTGCGGCATTATTGGTTTAATACAAAACTGAACTCGAACAGTTTAAGATCTCCTAAAATTGTTTGTTTTTTTGTTTGTTTTTCAACATGAATTTCGTAATTAACTGAAAAGACACATTTTAATTTCGGACTACTTGGCGTCCATCAGAAAGGTTGTTAAAAGAAACAAGTACCTTTGAGTCACTCCCATCGTCTTCATCATTGATTTCATTGACAAGAGTTTGGCCATCCTTCCCAGGAAAACAGATCACCGCTAAGTACCAATGTGAGCTGTTGAGGTAAAATGAAACTCAAGTTCACTCTTCACAACATCCATCCATATAGCCAAAATACTCCCTTTAATCAAAGATCAAATTTATTTTGCGGACGACTTGCCACTTACTACCGCTTGCATTATCTTAGCGTAGTTCTTTATTCAATAAGCGTTTAAAATTTAATAGGTCCATGGCTTCTCTGCAATCTATTACTAAGCTACCCTCTAACTGGTGTGTTGATAATGTTTTTATGTTTGTTGTACATGCGGCTAAAATCATTTCCAGTTCTGTTTTTCTTTTTCTCCTTCTAACGCACCTTTCATTAATAGGTACAACTACAAAATCCTTTTCAAATATGTCCACATTTTTGGTCCATGTTCGCACTTGAGAATGCATTCTGTCTGAGGTGCTGAGGTGAAAATACAAAAAAGAAAAAAACATTAATTACAAGATTGCGATAAGGTTCTAATACTAAAATACGCACATATAAATAAAAAAAAAACAAATTAATTTCCTTTCAGCAGCAATTCCTTTGAAATTCATCGACTTTCATGATGCGATAATAAACGTGCGCTTTGAAAAGAATATGGAAATTCAAATGATTTTAAAAAAGTAGGGAGTTGGCCAATTAAAATATAACTTGGTCGATTTCTTGACGAACAAACCTGGTGGAGGTGTTGGAACTGCCACTGGTACTTCTCTGAGTCAATCGCTTGTAAAAGAATGAGCTTAAAATGTGTGTGCGTTCTCTGTCAGCGGGTGAGAGCTTCTCAAAAAATATATATCTGTAAATGAGAGAAGGTACAAGACAACAAGGCAGAGATACATTTAAACAATAAAAGCAATTTTCAACTGAGTGTCGAAAGTAAATCGAGATTGCGTTATTTGTGCTTCACCTCGCGCTATGATTGGCCTTGAAAACAAATGGACTTTCCTCTCAACCAATCAGATGCAAAACTAAAACTAATTGCGACCAGGTCACAAATGTTTTCCCGAACTTCACGAAAGTTATTCGGATAAGCCGTTATATTTACTTTTGGTTTAGTTTTGCAGCGATAACTCAAAATGTACTCTGTTACGGATTTCTAAACCTGAAAATAGTTGCTCTTAAGACAATAAAATATATCTGGGCGGGTAACTGCCATCAATCAAACTCACTTTAGGTAGAAGTCGATGATGACATCATTTAGTAATTCACCAGGTGCAAGGCAAGCGACGTCCTCTGTAGTGACTGTGATTCCACCAGGTTGAGGAGGACGAGGATAAACAATAAGCCTGTTAAAAAAACCGACAACAGATTTCAACAAAGTACACATCACACATTAGAGAAGTTTTCAAATGAGTGTTGAAAATCCAAAACCCAAGGTTTACATCATTATTAGCCAATGAGAACTCAAAATATGTTAAAAAAAAGTCAACCTATCAAAAACGCGGGAAAATGTGAGCGACCAAGTCATGATCGGTTTTAGCTTTGTGTCTGATTGGTTAAGAGGATACCTCAAGTTTTGTAGACCAACCACAGACCGAATGATGTAAAACCAAAACAATCTTGCATTACTTTCGACACTCAGTTCAACGAAAAACAGATAAATATCATAATTTTCCAAACTAGAGGCTTTCTATTTAGCATTTCAGTTGATAGTTAGGTTATGTAATTTAACATGGCATAAGTCCTTTTGTTACCGCATCCAATGTAAGATATGATAATGAATTGTATAAACATCATAAAATTACTGTACGTTTGTGCTGCTACCGCTGGCTTCTTATCACTGTTTGTTCTCGTGTTGTACGTCTTGGATCGAGTAGCAATAGCAGATCGACTGCCTCCATCATGGGTTGCAACAGGTGCTATAAACAATCGTTGTGATAACTGTGTTAGCAACAACAGAATTATGGTTGAAAACCTTAAAGAGGAGTGAGAAAGAGGCAAAAGAAAGCGATGATATTATCTTACACTTCTGATGCTTTTGACTTTGGGTTTTGTATGTTCGAATTCTCTCTGCTTCTTCTAAGCTGCAAAATAGGAAGTGGACAAGGGCTTAAAATATATACGCGCAAACATTTTAGCACGCTCATTGACTGTGGGCATGTTGATAATACGAAATGGTGCAGAGACGTGAAATTTGAGTACTGAAAAATTAAAATTGAGCACAGAAAGTAATCATTAACTTAAAACAATTACCAAAAGGCTTCTAAAGGCTTGAGGCCTGATTGCTTCTTTGTCTAAATTTATACTTACCTCAACTGAGAAAACTCTTTTGATAACTTTTCTGTCACCTTTAAAATAAAACAAAATACAATAGTTAATAGCAAGAATAAACTATAGCGCAGCTCTCGAACAAAGTTGATGCTCAGTAACACATCTGAAAGTAAGAATCACAAAATTCTTCCACTACTCCGCCTAGGATTAGGGTGCTACTGAAACCTTGCACATACCCAATCATCCAAATCAGCAGTCACCTCTGGCTTCACATGTTCACTAAGTTCAAGAACAATGTCCCTTTCAGCTGTCACTGTTTAAGATAAAAACTTCCTTGTTAGGATGTCCCTTTTAAAGGTTCCTATATAATCTTTTGTGCAAAGTGAAGTGCTATTTCACGAACATTTATGGCACAATAGCACAGCTCATTGCAAACGGCAATATTGAATTGGACCCTTCTCTTCTTTTTTAATAGTCCTGTCCAGCGAAATATTATTAATAGTTAAAAAAAAAACTTACCGGCACTTCCTGGATTAAGGAAAGCTCCTCTGCTGTGATCAATCCTCTCCCTTAATTTCAGTGCATAGCCTGCAGTTACTCCCAACACAATCAGACCTGGGTTTGAAGAAGGATAAACCTGCAGAAAAAATTTCATAAACATCATGCTAAACTGAGAAATTCGATGGCCATGCATTTTTAGATACTGTATATAAAATGAGAAACCCCTCTCTAATATCCCCCCCTCTCTTAAACACTGCCCTGTCAGCTATGCCTTCTCTTAAGAGCCACATCACTGATATGTTCCCCTCTCTTGTAAGTCCCCCCTTTCTAATATCCCCTTCTCTCTAATACACCCTGCTCTCTAATATGTCCCCCTCTCTAAAGAGCCACCTCTCTAATACTTTCCTCTCTCTTATAAGTCCTCCCTCTACACTTTCCCCTCTCTGCTAAGTCCCCCTGCTCTAATAACCCTTTCTCTCTAATAAACCCTGCTCTCCAATATGCCCCTTCTCTAACAAGCCACCTCTCTAAGACTTTCCTCTCCCTTAGATGTCCCCATTCTCTTATACTTTCCTCTCTCTAATAACCCTTTCTCTCTAATAAACCCAGCTCTCCAATATGCCCCCTCTCTAAGACTTTCCTCTCCCTTACATGTCCCCCTCTCTAATACTTTCCCCTCTCTAATAACCCTTTCTCTCTAATAAACCCTGCTCTCCAATATGCCCCCTCTCTAAGACTTTCCTCTCCCTTAGATGTCCCCCTCTCTAATACTTTCCCCTCTCTAATAACCCTTTCTCTCTAATAAACCCTGCTCTCCAATATGCCCCCTCTCTAACAAGCAACCTCTCTGAGACTTTCCACTCCCTTATACTTTCCCCTCTCTAATAACCCCTTCTCTCTAATAAACCCTGCTCTAATATGCCCCCTCTCTAACAAGCCCCCTCTCTGAGACTGTCCCCTCCCTTATAAGTACCCCCTCTCTAATACTTTCCCCTCTCTAATATCCCCCTTTCTCTGACAATCCCTGCTCTCTTATATCCCCTCTCTAGTACAGTTTAATAAACAATACAGTTCATCATAGTTCTTACTTTCAAAGAAGAAAAGTCATTCTCAACAATGGTAACCTCGTGATTTTTATCACCTGTAACAAAAGTAGAATACAAAAAGAGTCTCATTTTTACTTTCAAACTTTGAACAGGTACATGTGAATGTATAATACAACCAGAATTGGACTGGTTGACTATTATATCACTAAGGTTTCGGGTGGATTCAGGAAAGTAAGTAAATATGCAAAAACTTACAGAAGAAATTGGTTGACCCCTTCATACAGGTTCCACACAATAAGGGTATTGTAAAAAACAGTGAAATACACCATTTTATACCATAATTGACCACTTACCGTAGAAAGCTCACCCCAAACTATCCCTTAAAATTAGTTTCACAAGAGAAAAGTAAGATACCTCTAACAGAAAAGCTGCAAAAACAACACAAAACCTGTAGCGAATTTTGTTTTGCCAAACAAAGAGGTAGCTGACACTTGCTTATTGTGGTGCTGGTTTGCAGGACCTACCTTCAAATGAAAGCCCAAAGTATAAAAAAAGCTACAAAACCAAACAGCTTTGGATCCTTTTCAATTTTTTTAAATTCAACTGACTGTATCATCAGATGATTATTACACAAGTCTACAGAAAAACTGAACCACTCACCAATCACAATACCAAATGAAATTTCATCATCACAGCGAGTAATCTGAAAGTACATAAATACAATTCTAAGATCATTATATCAAGAAATATTGTTACAGTTATCATTGCAATAAATTAATAATTACACTAATGTAATCTACATGAAGCTGGTAATTTAAAAAGAGCTATTTGTAACATTTTCTTTAATTCACCTTTAATGGTTTAGTAGAATTACAGGCCAAAGTTCCAATCCACACATTCTGTCCCAGCATTATCTCTATTTCACCATCATCTCTGACATAGGGCTGAAAATTTTCAGATTTCTTCTGGGCATTTCCCTCCCTCTAAAAGACAATAAACATATCTGATATGTGGAACATGTAATCTTCTGTATCCAGCCTTATTGGTTTCACCAAACATCTGTTAAGTCATAAAAAAGTGCTTAGCACATTTCCCCTTTTTCTTCTTACAATGTTCTCACCAAAGGAGCTATAATTTATACACTGATCACAACTTTCCAGGTAGAGTGAGTAATTCTCTTCAAAAGAAAAAAAATTACCTCTGGTGATGTTTTTCCTTTGCTAGATGTGTCTGAACAAACACTAGTGCTCATGTAACCTGACTCTAAAGCAATTTCTTTATCCTGATTGATGGGTGACTCTGAGACAACAGTATCACTAGAGCTGCTAAGTTCCTTTAGAGAAATATCAGATTGCTCTACAACAAGCTTTGCTTCTGTTTCTGCAGGGTGAAGAGAAAGTAAGAAGGATAATTGAGTACAGTGTAGTTCAGTTTTTTTCTTCTACAACTAGTACAAAATTTTAAAGGTTCTCTGAGCTACCATGACAAAAATTGGTAAACTGTCTTTAAGTGCATCAATTGCATGAAAATTAACCCTTTAACTCCCATGAGTGACCAAGACAGAATTTTCCTTACAAAATCAATACAATATCAACCAGATAAGTGATGAGAATAAAAAATATATATATATTTGGGGATAATAAGTTAATCCAATACTAAATTCTCTGAACTAACATTATAAGAACTGTATGGTTGACAGTAAGGAGAATTACAAATCTAATCTGGGAGTTAAAAGGTTAATAGGATTATGCACACAACCCACCTATAACCTCTTCTTCATCTGATAATGTTATGACATCCACTACAATAAACAGGTTCATAAAAAATGTTAGTGATTAGGAAAACTAACCACTACAGGTACATCATTCCATATCCTTTATGAGATATACATGTAGTGTTACAGATCAAGTATTTTTCAGACAATTTGACCAACTGAGACTTGTTCTCTCGAAATCATTTAAAAGTAATGGAGTAAATAAAAAGTTGAATAGTACAAGTTTATTGCCAGTGACTTTTTAGCCAGATTTTTTTGTTTGTTTTTGTTTTTGTTTTTTTTGCTCAAATGGAAATGAATCCACAAATGAATTGCTGATCATTTAAAGTCTAAAAACAAAATGTAACCAACAATAATTATGATATCATTAAATCATCTAATTGATTGTGGTGCATCATATATACAATTTTCAACATAGAGAATGTCACCAACCTTTTTTTGGAGCAATGACCTTCGATTGCCTTGTATTTCGCTTCCTCTTGGCTTGTACTTTTGATTCTTTGAAATCGAGTAAACCACAATGAAAATATTGAAAAAATCAAAGCATCAGGATCATGGCATTTTACCCATAACCATTTGCTAATCAAGTTTTTTTAAATTTCTGGGAATTAAAAGTTGGTTCACAATTGAATTGATTTTTGCATTATAGAGATAAGATACAAAAAGACACCAAAGCTCAAATTTACAAAAAAACTGAGCTAAAATCAAATGAAATATGACAATACATGTACACTCTACTGTACCTGAATCGGAGTCTTCGCTGCTTAACTTCATTGTCGTGAAAAAGAAAAAGAACATTTGATTTGTTAACTTTCAGTGTATTCATGCACAAAAGATGGCAATATCCCAGCCTCACTATGCATTCCTTAAACCTTAACACTCTAAGATCAGTATGCATGTTCTTCATACTGTTCTTCTTACATATGTAGTACATTTATAAATCAAACCTACTTTCGGCTGATTCTTTCTCTTCTTTGCAGTCACATTTGTTTGGCATTCTTCATTACTTGATTCCTTTGCAGATGTCACTGTTCTCACTGATCCCTTCTGCAGTAATTTAGGAGTTCCATCTCTCCGTTGCCGACCATATGTCCGCTGAACGTTTGGATGTTTGCTGTCATATACATTATAAAATCTGTCCGGTGAAAGAGGTTTCCTTGGGGTGGCTGCTTGTGAAGGGAAATTGTCTTTGCTGCAATGTGAGCAATTTCTGTTCTGTGACAACTTAGTGGAGCATTTTGCACAAAAGTAATCTTTAAAGCAATCTTCATAATTTTCATCAGAGAGCAGATCATTTGTTAAATTTGCACTTTTGTCCAGTTTTGTTTTTTTCCTTAAATTGTTGTCTGAGTCAGTGTCATTACTAATTGAAACTTCACCATTAGAGTTAGTACTGGATTGGTTGCCCTTGCACTGACTGCCCATGAGGGAATCCAAAATTGAATGACTATGTTTTTGCTCTTCCACAAGAGAGCTACATTCCTTTTGCATATTAGCTCTTGTAAGGACTTCTGGATCAGAACCATTGCATTTTCCATCGTTGTGAGCATTTGAAACTGCAATTTAAGAATTTTTTGTTATTATACAGATACAAGTACAATAGACATACAAATTTTTCATTTCAAAATGGAAATCCAAGTATTATCAGCAATCACCAACTTAGACATAGCGACAGGCTTCTCTTTGAAGTTCAACCTTATCTACTAAATGTGACTCATAACCTTAACAGTGTCACAAATGTCACAATGTTACAAACCTTGAGAAGAGAGATCATTCCTAGTACATGTTGGTTTATCTCGCCAACCAGGAGGGCTTGTATGTTTCCATCGTGACCTAGGAGTGGCAACTTCTTCACTTCCTCGAGTTTTTGGAGTCATATGCCCTTGACGATGAATGCGATATCCAATTTCTTTCTCAAAATTCCTTTTCTTAGGAGTGCTTGGATTATTTGCTTGCTTTTTCAGTCTTGTTTGAGGGCTTTCAATTAACATGTTGTCTTTTGAAGAGAATGATGATTCAATCCATGTCTGGGGTTTGGCTTTCTTGGGAATTTTAAATGATGATTTTTTAGCATCAAAGTCCTAACAGTAGAAAAAAATTGTCAGTTAAATGTAATGTAGACTTCAAATGACCCTAATAAGGGCCTTTATGCACTAACAACAAGGTTGTTTATTAAGACAAATTTTCTGTCATCACCAACTCTTTACAAGTGCGGATTGTTTGTTGCTTGACAAATTTTGGCTAAAGCAGACAAATCTTCAAAATAATGCACCCCTGACATTTGTCCCATTATAATTACAGAACAAAATTGATTAAATAAACAAAACTGTGTTAAACTTGTTGATCATTAGTCCTAAAAGCTATGACAAACATGTACTTGAACTGAAATCAGTTTACTATAGAGGCAAAAATTGTCTTTTGTTGCAGAACTCAGGGATTCTAAAATTTTAAAATTACTGTAAATTAGTGGTGGTATCCTTTCGCAAACTGTGCCGACCAGTCTTACAAACAGATCAAGCACTGACAGAATTTAACAGCTTTGAAATTTTTAATGCAGATGCAACAAACCAAACAAAAATTTGTCCTTTTATTTTATTGCGACAATTCTAGTTTGGCCTAGTGTGGAAAGGCCCTTATCCTGATAATTTTGCAGTTTCTTAACACTGCAGACAGTGTTATCACCAACTGAAGTAATCAAGACTGACAAAAAAACTGAATGATGCCCAAGCCAAAACACAAGTTGGGGAATTGTAAACAAAAAAGCATAATAAACAACCTTTGTTTGAAACAATCTGAAATGTTAGAAAGTGCTCTGAATCCATGTGTATAATTGTAGACCAGCCAATAATAGAAAGAAAGAGATTGATCATTTCACTAAGACAAGTGCAAAGACCCTTTGAATGCCAAGGACATATACATGTATATATGTCCTAATATGTGAGCCTAGCCAACCAAGAACATTGTATACATCTTATGAAAGCCTTTGTTCTCTTTAATTTAATAGTTCAAGAGTTCCTTGCAGAGTAAATTCATGAAGAAAACCTGGGAAGTACTAGTAAAGCCACTGAACAGAGACGTTTGAGTTTTTTTTTATCACAAATCAATGTTACACTCCAAGTTCAATGTGTAAATAAATACTGACAATTAAAACAAGTCTTTATGATCTATTTTGAAAAATCTAATATGGTTGCTGGATGCCAAGCCTGTACCTGGGCTGGCAGTCAAAAGTTTTATTACAAGCAAAATTACATCTTTTGATGTTCTTGCATTATCATACAATGGTCAGATTTCAACACAGCCTATACTACTGTAAAACAGAGATGCAAACCCAAAGGCAATACATTGTTTTTCTTTATCCAAGAATAGTATGCATAATGAAGTATTGAGCTACATGTACATGTATGCAAACATCTTACCCATACAATTCATATACATTGGTGAAATAACATTGACACATTACTTCTTTTGATTATTGATGGCAATAGAACTGAGTGGAGTCCAATTCAATCTGTAATCATACAAGTGATGACTGCAGAGCAGGAGTCTGATTGGTTGATCAGGAGTATGATTACAGACAGAATTGGACAACACAAATTCCTGTTACCAGTTGATCAAAACTATGACACAATTTGAGAGAGAAACTAGACAACAGTTTCACAATTTCATTAAAAAAAAAAAACAGTTAGTGCAAAATGCATGACAACAGCCTGCCCATATGCCACATGCTCTCCACTTACACTGGCATGACCTGTCAACTGTCCTAATACACTGTCCAATAAAAAACATGACATGTACACTATCCTATTAGTGCTAAAATTGGGCTGGTGATAAGCCAGTGAGAATTTTCCAATAGTTTTGATTATGGCATCTATTATCTATTGGGAGAGGTACATGTGCATGTAAATTTACCAACTGAGAGCTACATGTATGTTTAACAAAGTTCAACTCTAGTTAACCCAAACTGAGCTCTAAACAATCTTAAATCAAGCAGAAAATATCACCTAAACATTAAGTTTTCGCAAAACTGTCGAAAGGGCTTCTTTTTAGCACTAAAAGAAAGATCTAACTACTTAAAAAAATCCCACCTATGAGGAACTTTCAATGTCTACTGATCGTCAAAAACCACATTCCAATAACAGACCTTGTTTCAATAACTGACCCAAGAAGTGTAAAATAGAGAAAAACCACACCTTAGGATTTCTGTGTCCATCTGTCAGACATTTCTCAGGTTCCTTGGAAGGTGGTGAAGCTTGCCTACAACTTTGACTCACACCCTCATCTAGCAAACAAACATCACTTGGAAAGCAAAGGAACAAAAAAAAATTAACATGTATCTAAAGGAAAACACAAATGAAACAACTAAAATAAATTCCACTCATATTCTAAAAGTCAAATGACTATGGATATTGTGATCAAGCATCTCATAAATTACTTTAGTTTAAGAAGTTGAATTGTTATAGCTTGTGAAAATTAATTCTGTTAAATAATAACAAACGAAGTTAACGGTTCGAATTCGAGACAAAATTTTTACCCTCGGGTTCAAAGCTTGGATAACCAAATAAAGCCTCAGGCATCACTTAGAAAGAAACGCAAGTTGTCTATCGTCACTTCACTTCATCGTTTTAAGCGTTCATTGACAACAACTGACAGTATGACAGAAGATCGCGACTTGGTCGGAATAATACGGAAATCACGATCATATCCAAAAAAAATCTTATTGGGACCAGATAAATACCAATTTTTGAACGGCAAAAACTTACTCATTCTCCGGAGAACCACCTGAGGCAAAGCCATTTGTTTTCCAACCCGAGTATGGTCTTTGTTCAGCTTTATCAAGGCCTATATAGAAGGAAAAAAACTGACATTAGTGAACTGCAGCAGCAAGGCATTCGATTTATGTTTTGTTTAATGTGTGGAAGTTAGCTTCCTTTCCCACTTCACAAATACTCAGGTAGAAATTGCAATACCTTCTAACAGGCTTTCACTCATTTTTTTCTATCAGGCATAACAAACAAACGGAGCAATTCCTGAAACTGGGGAGCAATCAACTGTACCATACGTGGCTCGAGTAAAACTATTTCTCCGTTAACTGCCCGCCATTTTGCAAGCAAATTTTTCAGCCTCGCTTTGCTGCTAAGTGCTGTTCGTAAAATTCACAGCGGAACTGAAACCATCATATGCGCAACGATCCGAATTAGAGCTGCGCAGATTTCCAGATGTAAACAGTACGGTGGCTAACGTTCTTTCCTGAGGCAGCGCTGTAATCAATTGCGATGGACTGAGCGGAAACTGTACATTTATCCACTTGATCTGCTCTTAGATATGTAAGATGATATTTCAGGTACGGTCAAGCGAGGGTGTGGTATTGCCTGTGGAGGTTTTTGCGCCGAAAACGTACACGGACCAGACTGGTATGTCCTTCAGTTGCTTTTTCTTATTTAAAATTTTTAACTTGGAAGGACTAGAGTGCGTGTTTGTTTTCGAAACTATCGTCAGTTTTACATCCGGTTTTAAAAGTTTCAAAAGTTCTTACGGTACAAGTTGATATCTGGATCCGGTTTAAGCCGAGTTATTTATGTACACGTCAACAACCGTCGTTACACTTTGTTTTGGTTTCGCCTTTTGTTTCCAATGGGTCACAAGCAAAGCCTTTTATTTTCTAGGGTTAGAAACTGCTCATGTGAGAACCGGAAGTTAGTGAAAAAGCGAAAAAAAAATTGAATGACCATTTGTTTTATTTCAAAGAGAATATATCGATACAATAAATCAAACTATTATTTTTGGCAGAAGAGATTGGAAATACTATCAATCTCGCCGAAACAATCAGGGTGTAATTGCTGTTAATGTCTCCCAATAGGTCTCACTTTATTAAATCTGTTTGTCTTTATCATTAATAATATGTTTCTTCTTTCTTTAAAATAGGTCACCTTGGCTGATTTTCCAATGAGAATTCCAATGTGATTGGTTCAGCTATGGAACCATTTGCGCGGGACAAAGGTGAAGGAACAAAGAAAGTAATTGTAGCCAGTGACAGTGCTCGTAATCACAGTCTTAGAGCAAGATCATCAAAGAGCTTAAGCTCTCAGAGGCACAATAAAAACCGTGCAAAAACCTACAATGGATACCACATTACTAACAGCAATACATGGCAGAGAGGCCCAGTAAATCTAACAGCAGGAAATGCCAGCATGGAGAAAATTCTTTTGGGACACTACAGAAGTGGAAACAACTCAAACAATTTGTACCCTGGCATACACCTTGATCATTCCAGTAACTTTTCATCAAACTCTAGAATTGCAAAGTTCAATGCAACACTTTTTTCTTCAGCCTCTCATCTTACAAATCAAGGATCTGATATCGAGGAAGCCATGGATATTGATCACCAGGAGATGAATGATGAAGGTGTTGGCTTTGAAGGAAATAGTACATCTGTTTTACAAGAGGGAATTGATGCTTCTAGGCAGTTGGGAGCTCCAGTAGAAGATCAACCTTTGGAACACAAGATCAAAATAGTTGTTGGTGAATCTTCCTCTTCAGGTGAAAAATCAAAGGTAAGTATCAGAGACAATAAGATTGTGGGATATTTTGAAAAAGTAATTACACAGTAAGTTTTAATTGAGATAGTCAAAACTATTCTTGCATTCCAGGACCACCCAATTTTCTTTGGCAAATCATGACACCAGTTTCAAACAATCATAGATCATTTCATTATTCCATGCCAATTACAGCAAGGTTAATCTGTTGACATGGCTCCTTTGTTTATGTTTAAATTTAGTTATTTCCATCACCACACCAATAAATGATAACTGAGAATTTCATTGAAGGCACAAATTAACTTGGTTATACTTATTTGCTAAGAATGAATTGACTAATAAGCAATTTACACCTTAATTTGAATTAAAACAAAGAATGCACCAGTGTTATAAGGTGTTTTATGACCAGAAAATAAATATTGGTTACACTAACTCCCATAAATGACTAAGAAATAATTTTTCCTTACAGTATGAATACAATATCAGGCAGAGTGAGTATAACAAAAAATATTAATTAGGGGATTATCATCTGATCGTACATTAAATTCTCAGAACAAACTGTATAAGAAATGTATGACAGATTGTAAGGAGAATTTTCATTTTAGATATTGGTTGTGAATGGGTTAAAATTGTCTTATTTTCCTTACCTATTAGGAACCAAAGCAAGAAATTCAGATAGCAAAGCAGAAAAAAGAGGTAAATGAACAGAAGCTGCAAACACTGAAAGCTGCTCCTACTGTGTCAGTGAACCGGAAGAGGCCAATTTACATCGTCCTTCATGTTGGTAACATTCAGATTGGAGAGTTTACAGGAAAGGCATCAGCTCCAGTAAAGGTATATATAAGGCAATGAGTTTGTTAGGGGTACTTCATATTTGATTTACAAGTAATTACTGGTAATGCAAAGAAACAAAATGATCTTGGTCCTTACTGCTTTTACTCCTGAGATCTTTTAAGAAATTCTCCTTACTATACGCCATACAATTCTTATGATGATAATGCCAAGAATTAAATATCAGATTAACTTATAATTACCTAATTAATTGATATTTTTCTTCTGCTCATCATTCATCTGCTTGGTACTCTACATGTATTGTGAGAAGAGATTCTGTCTTGGTCAGTCATGGAAGTTTAAGTGTCAACCCTTTCACAGCCATGATCTCATCAGTAATTCTACTAACTGCCTGCTATACAATTTTCTTGATGTGAGTGAAGATGTAAGAATTTATTATTGGATCATCTCACAATCCCCTAATTTAAATTTTTCTTTATTCTTGCCCTTTGTCTGCTTGATATTGAAAGGAGAAATTCTGTCTTGATAACTCATGAGAGTTGAAGGGATAGCACCCTATCATATATAATGCTAATGATAATGATAAGGAATTTATTTAGCGCTAAAACAATAAACAATATTCAGAAGCACTTTACACAAGTTAAAGTTCTATTCTATAAATAATTCTACCATGCACTATGATTTTTTTTCTATTAAGAATTTTTAAAATACCAGGGAAAAATTGCATGAATGCCATGATTTGAACAATTGATCCTAATAAATATTTATTAATAGTTGTGATTGAGTGATGAAGTACTTGCAATTTTTTTAATAGATATATGCAGAGAAAATTTTCATAGAAATGGAGACAAATGAAGGTAAACTCACCCTCTTTACTATTTTGTCATAAGAGCTGTAATTTGGAAAGTGCATGCTTCTCGCACAAATAAAGCCTTCAAGGTAATTTATCCAATGTGTTTATGCTTGATTAGGAATTGGTTCCAAAACTGTTTCGCACCACTTCAGAATTCCCTGTAAAGATTTAACAGAATGCAAGGTAAATTACTAATGTTACTTACTGGTATGCTCTGGTTTTTCTAGTTTATTCCTTTCCAGTACAGTTTTTAAAATTATGACAGCTAGTAGCTTGATTATTTTTATCGTCAGTATTTTAATCAATAGATTTATACTAAATGCTTCTTGTGCTGCACAGTAGCATAAAGTGATAATCTCAGCCACTGTTTGTTCTTTGTCTTTGGATAGGCAAGTTTTGTGGGTTCCCCTTTACTTCTTGTTGCCAGACCAACTCCTGCTGGGGCAGCTGCCATTTGTGAAAAATGTAAGGATCAAGGAAAATTTCTAGACCCTGAAAGTCAAGGTATGCCAGCTGTCATATATAGAGAATGATGCAGAATTTATTCATTTATCCTTGATTTTTGATCCTCAAGCCTCAATTCTCAACTGTCCCTTCAGGGGTTTTAAAACAGTTCAACGACTGCCAGAGTGCTGCCAGCTACTCGATAACATGTCGCTGGTTACTTTGGTCAAAATAATTACCTTTAAGTCCTTAATGAACTTTTCACAGTCACTTACTTTTGCAAAGTCTGATGCCTACTTCAAACCTTTTTGAAACCCCTGCCCCTGATTCTCTATAAGTTTGTAGGATTGAGTTTTGAGTCAAAACTGTCAACTTAGATTTGAATGACACTATACATCAATTATATTTTGTACCAGATACAAGAAAGAGGGATATTGTTCTGGTGATGAATTACAAAGTGATGCCGAGAGACACTAAAGCTGACTTAATTGAGTTGGTGGGTTTTCTATCTTTGTTGTGTTCCACAATAATTAATAAATAATTATTTCTAATTGTATACTCTAATTCTATATCTCAGTGTGTTTAACTGATGATCCAAATTTTGTGACTCAAGGTTTAATGCCTCTATCTGCTTGCGTTTTCCTTTGCATTCAATTACCAATTAAAAAAGCACTTACAGTCACTTGCTTTGACTGGGGAATGAACGTATAGCTTCTCCATAGCTGGTAAGATATTAATCAGAAAAGCATTTAGCTGGGAAATTTACTCTTTCAACTTCCAAACTAAAGAGCAAAATTGATTGTAAATTTTTCTCCATATTTCAGTTTCAGAACCGTTTTGCTGAACAGCTATTGTGGAGTGAGCTGAGGTATACAGAGAATACACATTAGCTAAATATTTCATTTTGCTTTAAATGTGGGAGGGAGAGTATTGATATTGCTCCTCTTTAACTTAACTGCACACAACCATCTTTGGAGTTGTTCTAAAATAATTCTACCAGAATGGTCACTCTTAGGGGCTTTTTCAACAAATAAGAGAAAGAGGAAGCTGTAGCTTGGAAGTTAGCTATCAGATAGTGCAGCTAGGAGCTGCTAGAGATGGGCAGGCTAGAAAGCCTCAGCCCTGCCCTTTTCTCCCCTTCAAATGCACCTATGAACATCAACTTGCTTGCCCTTCCCAAGAAAAATAATTGAACATTTTTGTACAATGGGAGTGTTCAAAAATTGCTTTTTTTGTTGTTATCCCAAGTTTAAAGGAAGCACAGGAATTTTTCGACAAGAAGCAAGATGTTGTTGTTCCTTGTGAACAGCCACAAAGTCCACATCCACCAATCACAGGAGGCCCAAACACAGAAGGCCCAAACACAGAAGGCCCAAGCACAGGAAGCCCAAGCACAGGAAGCCCGAGCACAGGAAGCCCGAGCACAGGAAGCCTGAGCACAGGATGCCTGAGCACAAGAAGCCCGATCAATTTAGAGCAAAGGAAAATACTAACACCCAAAGGTACTGTTGTATTCTGTTATTAAAATAATCCGTGTAATTTAAATACTCTTCGTGAAGAACTCTTTTAGTTACATGCCGCGAACTTGGGGATCTGTGTAATTTAGTTGAAATAGTTCCGTTTGTTTTGTGTTCATTCATGTATATAGCTTATTCATTTTCTATATCACTCTCGTACTTTTTGTGTATTTCGGAATCAAGTTATGAAAACCTTTTTAAGTCTTTCATGGTAAAACGTCATCTCTACTCTGCTACTCTGCATGTTGCAGCACATGCACTGAGTTGCAGCCATGACATGTACATCGTAATAAAGGCTAAGAATGCATCCAAGATTGAATTGCACAGGTGCTACACATTGACCTGCTTCTCTTACATTTAGTATGATGCAACTATAGGTCTTGTTATTCATCCTGGATAATTGTAGGTTACCTCCCCTTCTCCCTCCCTCCCCCCTCCCCCTCACCCCCAACCTCATTTTTTGCTCACGTACCAATATATATATGTGCTTGGACCTAAACGACCCTATTTCCTTCTTTTTTTTTGTCAGCACTAGATAATTTTTTATGTTCATTTCTTTATACAGGTAAAAAGCATGCTCGGAAAAAGCTTCTCAAAAATGAAACAAAGTCTCCTTCGGTGAGGAATTCTTATACCGTGTTTCGTAAACTTCCTTTGTGTGTATAAATCGTCGAGGAAGAATTTCAATAATAGGATCAGGGCCGTAAAAGGAGCCAATAGGTTAATAAATGAATATTTTGAGGGAAACCGTTACAGTTATCAGAATGTCGATTCTTTTTCGGGGGAATGGGGTAGGTGCGGTCACCGACGTGGAAAAGTGATGAAAATAACTGGGTTTTTTTTTTTGTTTTTTTTTTTATCATACAGGCCAAGGAACCAGTATCTCCCTCTAGGGGTGCAAAGCAGGCTGAATCGGGATGTCAAACGGAAAAAAATGACTCAGCAGAAAACGCCATACAAACTCGGAGTAGACGAAGGAAGGCGTCAGAGGTCCCTAACATGGACAAACCTGAAACGACTGGTTTTGAACCTGTCAAGCTGGATATTCTTCTCCATCATACAAAAATGCAGTCGCAAATCACCTTACTGGATCAGCACAGCAAGGAGCAAAGGGAGAACTTACAACAACACCAGAAGCTGCTTGAAATAGAAAGGGGAAAGCTGCAGGAAATGGAGGAAGAGAAAGAACGACAACTCGGGCGAATGAGAGACTTGGAGATAAGTTATTCCGCCGATAGAGAACGTCTTCGAGTCTTAGAAAACACTGTGGTGGAAAAGGATCGCGTCTTAGCACAACAAGCTGCTAATTTAGCTATGATTAATAATGAACTAGAACGAGAGCGTGTTTCATTGCGACAGCTTCAAATAGAGCTCGAACAAGAGCGTGAAGCGGGTTCCCATTTGCGCAAAGTTCAAAATGATCTTGTTCGTGTTCGTCGAGCGCTGGATGAAGAGAAAACTGTGCGCGACATGAGGGAGCAGCAACTGAGGGAGAAGGAGACAAGCTTGCTCGAAATACAAAGAACACTGAGTGACGAACAGCAGGAAAGATTAAGGCTGGAAGAGGAGCTGCGGCAAGCGAGAAATGCCTGCACCCAGCTGGAGAGAAGTCTGGAAAGTGAACGGTTGTCGAGTCAGTCTAGTCAAGAAGATATTCAAACAAAGCAGGACACTATTGCTGAACAGCTCGATCTTTTACAGCAGGAACGCGAGGGGAAGAGAGATCTGGAGGAAAGGTTAAGGAACCTGCAGATTCAAGTGGACGAGGAGCGAAGCAGGCGTATCTCAACGGAGAGAGAACTAGATGAAGAAAGAATGATTGTGCAACAGAATAGAGAGACCATGGGGCGAGAGCGCGAACAGTACGAACAACGAATCCGAGAGAGTGAACGAACCGCTTCCGAAAGCGAACGTCGACTGCGAGAATTGCAATCAGCGGTTTCTGTGGCGCAAGACGCCTTAGCCGAATATCGTCGCCTTGAGCCACGTGACTGGATTATTCGAAGAGAGGAAGTAACTCTCACTGAAAACAGTTTGGGTGTAGGGGCCTGGGGAAAGGTTTACGGAGGAACGTTTCGCGGTTGTCAAGTCGCGGTGAAACAAATTCACGATCTTATTCTGTCACCGCATAATCGCAGACTTTTTGAGCGTGAAATGAGTATCGCATCACGATGCCGACATCCTCACCTGCTACAGTTTATTGGTGCGACGAATGATGATGGCAGCCCATTGTTTATAACCGAACTACTCGATACGGATTTGAGGAGAGTTTTAGAACAGCGGGCTCTGCACCAAGAGGAGATCATCTGTCTCGCTTTGGATGTCGCCAAAGGACTAAACTATCTACATCTTAACAAACCTTTCCCCATCATGCATAGAGACATTAGCAGCTCAAACGTGTTGCTATGGAGACGGGATGACTGTTGGAGGGCAAAGCTTTCAGACTACGGAGCAGCAAATTTCATGCGCCAATACATGACAGTCAATCCAGGAGCCAGAATTTACGCTGCTCCTGAGGCCCTTACTTCCCAGCAATCTCCAAAGGTAAAGATGTGTACGTATTATTAATAAAAGTTCCTCGCGGAACCTTAGATCCCCTATTCGAATTTTGATCAGTGTTTTTAGCTTGTTATCAGCTGCATGTATTTTCATTGAGTCTCCCTTGTTTTATATCAATGTCCTCTACTTTTGCGCAGTAATGCCTGTTACTTCCCGCTTTTGTGGAAAATCTATTTTAGGACACCTCTAATCATGAAGTTAGACTCAGACACCTACTGAGTGCTCCTGTTACCTTTAGTATCTGATATATTCATTGAGAGGGACACTCCTATTCTGAGACATTTTCTCTAGTGACGATTTAGTCCCTTGACTGAAAGTCCCACTTAACATCGTTACGACTACTTCACCTTCCAGGCGGATGTGTACAGTTACGGTTTACTGCTATGCGAGATGTGCATCAGAGAGCTTCCGGTTCCGCAACAGATCCATCAACAAATAGGCCTGGTAACGAACGGTGTTCTCCGAGAGCTCATCATGCGGTGTGTCCTAACAGACCCTGAAACGCGTCCCTCTGTCAGTGACGTCATCGCGGTGCTAACTCAGCAATCGGAGTCCATACGAGCGCTGGGACTGGTGTCGTTGAATGGAAGAACAGCTACTTTATGAAACCTTATTTTGTCTTCGTTCTCACGAACTTGTTAGAGTAACTTTGAACTTTGGTGTAACACCGGTACAATTTCCTTGGAGGAAAATCTGCGTTTTTTATTGTTTTAAATATCTTACCATCTTATTTAAACGTTGAGTTTATTTATGATTTCAAGGATTTTAATACCAAAAAAAAAGTGAAAAAAGAAATAAAAAACAAAACTTATTATTTATCATCATGAACTCATGCGTCATAGAAAAGCCAAAGAAATGTCGGTGTGATTTTACTTGATCACGCTTCGTTTCGGATCCAACAGGTGCGTATGCAGACTATGTAGCCTTAAGCAATGGCTACCATTATGTGGGGTGGTTTGCGAAAATGGTGACGCGAATACTTGAAAAACCTGGCCGCATTTCACTCCAAGACCCATTGAACTACTATGTGGTTGAAAATGCCGATTTGAGTGGCTATACCCAGTTCTTTTTGTATTCAAGAGGTTTATTTCACAAGAATAGAGAAAAGTGGAAAGTGGGTGGAAAATGAAGGCCATGACATCAAAGGAAGTGGTCTTGAAGGTAAAAATATTGTTACCTCTGGCCAGATTTTAAGTGTTGTTATCGTCATGTGATTGCCTTGTTTTCTTACCAATTACGTAGCGTGTATTTTGAGCATGATATGCATAATTTAAACTTGAGCAGGTCTATTGTCCATGACAAGTTAACCATGCAGTTTCACAACGTAATGCCAATAATAATTAGCATTTGAAACACTTATCAAAGGTTTAACAACAAGCGACTGAAGTGAACTTTCCCTAAACGTTCGCACCTCGGTTCTCAGTCAGTTGCTGTGCATCTCGACAAGTTGTAAAGATAACTTTTGATAAATCTCTCACACGAGCGAGCGATAAAGTTGAAGGATGTGTTAGCAACGTCAAGTGAGGGTTCTGTTAGTTGCTTTCCACGTTACAAACCTGTGTCTTCAAAGAATTTGAATTTCGACTTCCGTAGGAGATTGAAAGGAATCAGACATGGGGAATACAGTAAGTTTCCTCGTTTTAGATCCTCAGTGTTATGTGATTCTTTAAGTTTGCAGCCACTAACGGTTGTATTTGATAAACATGTTTGAAAGAGGTCTTTACCGTTTCCGCTTTACCGTTTCTACGCTCACGAAAAGAAGTTTGATGCTCGTACGATGGACTCGTTGTAGATGGTGACAGAGTTGTGAAGGGTTTACAAGGGAACTGAATCTCAGCGACTAACCGAACATGAAATTTTATGTTTATTACTTCAATTCTGCATCGAAATTACTTTAGCCATGACGAGTAGCTGTTTTAAAAACTCATCCGCTGACCAGTGGCTAGCTAATACTGTTTACATCTAAGTTAGAACTGTTCTTGAGAATTTTACTTGCACGAGTACTTCTCTTATAACTACACCGTCCGAAGATACATCATACCAATGTTTACAAAGAAGGGATCATAGATAGCATGAACTTGTTAAGATAATTGGTGCTTCTTTGAAACGAAAGAATGCAAAATTGACTGTGGTAAAAACTGTTATTATTAGTGAAGTGTCGAGGGTGGGGCATGGTTGTTCGTGCGTCATTACCGAAAGCCAATTGCTTGTCCCCAGCCCCGCCAAATTCAGTCATTAAGCATTTATCCTATGACGTCTAAGTCTTTAAAATTTCGAAATGATGCTTGAACCTGAATAGGGTGCGATTACATCGTAAGCAGACCGCTTACTGGAAAACTTGAACACGATGAAACCTTATCCCTTATGTCTTCACGTCAGCAATGGAAATTCGTAATTCATGGACTAACGCGACTTATTTTCCCATTTCTCTCTTATTCCACACCTAGAATTCTCGTCCTCGAAAAATGTTTAAATGATAAATATGAATTGCGGGTGTGGAGTCGCACAGCTGTTTCTGAGTGGGCTTACATCAACCCCCCCACATTCCCCCCCTTCCCCCCTTCCCCCTTCCTCCCCCCCGGCCTCAAAAACGTCCTTGCTTTCAAGAGGGTTTTTCATAGGATTGCGTGAACGGAGCCTTAATTTTGATAACGGTTGGTGGATGTTTAAGATTTCACAAATTCAGTGAGTTCAAATAAGTGTTACATGCTCTTACAAAAACTTTATCTTTCAGAGCATAAAAGAACTTGAACAAATGGGAGAAGTCATCCCAGAATTCAGCTCACAGAACTCTTCAGATGTCGAGAGAACTTTCCAAGTTGTTGGAAACGAGGATGACGAAAACACGGTATCTAATGAAGAAATCCCAGCATGTGACAATTCTAAGGCCAAAGCCAGACCAAAGAAAGAGAAAAAGCGAGATAATTTGAAAACGGAGAGCAAAGCTGATCAAGAACTTTCCGAAACATACCTTGAAGAGCACATTCCCCGTAAAAAGAAGGCCATGAAAGCAAAGATTAAACATTTATTGATAGAACTGCATGGAAAAGATGAAATTCTTTCAAAAGGAAAGGAAATTCTTGACCGTTTGACTGTTGAACGAGAACGTCACTTGGAGCGCATTGAGGAAAAGGAGCAGGTCATTGAAGGCAAGGAATTTGTTATTCAGTCTTTTCAAGAGAAAATGCTAACATTTATTCAACGAATAGACGAAAAAGAGTCAGAACTAAGAGAAAATGAACGATTACTAAATGAAGCGAATGATCGAGTTGAGCTGTTACAGAAACAGCAAGCCGAACAAGAGGAGATTGTGAAAGAAATGCAGAGCACAATGGAAAATTTGGATAAGCAAACGAAAAACGGCCAGCATTCCAGAGAAGCGTTCAATGCTGACTTAGATGTTAAAGTTGAGTTTGAGTCCCTCAAGAGAGAAAATGAACGCTATAAGTTACAACTGCAGGAAAATCTTAGTACTCTAAGAGAGAGAGAACGCGAGATAAACTCTTTAAAGCGTGAAAAGGAAACTATTCAAGAAGAGAAAAGACATTGTGATAAGGTCAGTCTTGAACGAAAGTTTTCAGTCGATCGATTAAACAGAGAGAAGGAAAGAGGCTTGGCATATCTCGACCAGTTAGAGATAAGACTAAAAGAGAAGGACCAGGCAATGCAGCAAGCTCGAGATGAGAGTATTGAACTCCGAGATCAACTTAAACGCAAAGATAATCTGCTTTTGGAGAAGGACAGGACTTTGGAAACGTTAGAAAACTCGAGAAAAGGGACGTCTGACCGATTGGATAGACTCGAGAAGCAATGGCAGGACGAGCGCAGAACACAACGAAATGCGTATGATGCGTTACATGACGAGAAACGTGCGTGTGAAGAACGTTTGCAGCGCGCTCAAGCGGATGTTGAAACATATCAAAGACGTAACCGTGTCTTAGAACGTGAAATTGATAGAGCGCGTCAAACTACTGCCATATTCCGTGGAGATCAACCATGGATCATCACAAGAGAAGAAATCAAACTCTCCGATAAGGTTCTTGGTACTGGCGCGTGGGGAAGAGTCCTTGAAGGGAATTTTCGAGGAACAAAAGTGGCAGTGAAAGAAATCCACGAAATAATTCAATCAGCTCATAACAGACTCCTCTTTGATCGCGAAATCACGTTTGCCACTCTAGTGAGACATCCATGTATTTTACAGTTCTTAGCTGTGGCTGATTACCGTACCAGCAAACCCCTCTTAGTGGCGGAACTCATGGACATGTCTTTGTCTCAACTTGTTAAAGATGAGAAAACCTTAGGCAACAGATACATCAGGATACTGGCGCTTGATGTCGCTTATGGTCTGAACTACCTTCACTGCTTTCGACCCAATCCCATACTGCATCGTGACGTAAACAGCGGGAATGTCATGGTTTGGCGCCAAGGTGACAAGTGGCGCGGGAAACTCTGCGATTTTGGGTCAGCGGAGTTCATGGGAAGCAAGATGTCAGAGAATCCGGGAAATCCGTTTTACTGTGCTCCTGAAGCAAACAGTTCTAGACACTGCCCCAAGGTAAAAAAAAAAAAAAAAAAATTGATAATAATTATGGAAAATTTACCCGTCTAGTCTCTCCATTATCCAGGTTTTATCATATAAAAATATAGAGAAGTGCGTTCATAAACATCAGTGTCTAGGATTTCTTATTCCGAGTTTTTCGGTTTGAGGTTATTAGACAGACAATAACAGTCACTTTTTATCCGGACTGAGTCAAAGAGTAGCTTAGTGAAACCCACGTAGCAAAGATCGTCAAACCTGTCGACTAATTATTTAGCTTGACAATTTTTTCCCAACCCTGAAATCTTTTTCTTGCAATTAATAATTTGTTTTGGATAAAACTGCAAAGAAAAAAAAAACAGACAAATTCGGATCAGTTTCAGTATCTGAGCACCTGCGCGCCTACTCCTCCCCAAACTCAACATTAACCCCAGCTTGTTATCTTATCAAATGTTTTATTGGGTTAGGGGAGGGGTAGGCGGGAAGTTGCTCAGATACCGACATTGATCTACAACTCTTCATGTTTGCTTCCCAACAGATGGATGTATACAGCTTTGGTGTTCTCCTCTGTGAACTCTGCATCAACCAAACACCTAATCCTGCTGAAAGAGAGCGACAAATTGCACTGATGTGGAACAAGGACCTGAGAGAGTTGGCTGAGCAGTGCATCACACCAGATCCGCTTACACGATGTACCATGACTGACGTCATCAATGTGTTAGAGCCCATGACCACGTGAGACATTAGAACTAGGTTTTTAAGTCTGAGATCATCTTACATGTTTCGCACGTGATTGAAGCTTCCGTGAATTTTATTAAATGCTTGTTCGAGCAACTATACCTTGTAAAGTAAATTGTCAGGGATGGTATGGAGTTGTTCCTTTGCTGTTTCTAGAAATATCGATACTTCATAATGATAAAGTTGACGATGAATATTTCTTATCGTTGTTACTTCCACTCAAAAATCAAATATTAAGCAAAAGAAACAAGTTTAAGTGCCACCTAAATATAACATTCCGTGCAACTGATTATCTGAACAGGAACCCATACCCTAAAATGTAGTGTTTAACTTTTTCTAGCTAAAGGAGGTACGCATATGATAAAAAAAGAGAACGGTCTCTCTTGGTTCATCCTCTCCTATATGGATAATGTAATGGTTGTGTGGCGAGCTTTGGCCCATCCACCTACAGACCTTACTGAAAAAATTACTGTCAGTTCTGGATCATGTTTAATACTTTGGGCAATCAGGCTTTATCGGCAAAACGTCGACACTTATCTAAGACATCTTGCAAACTTAATATTTCTAAGTACATCGTAGGACTGATCTAAACACCACGCGGTTATTTTCTACAGAGGATCTAATTAGTGGGAAGTGGGTCGGGTTGCTCTAGATTAAAAATATTTCAAAATATGCACTGTTAATATGGTGAATTCCTCTGAATTGTTTTGATTTTCACTTGGTATTTAGTTGGTTCTTTTGATGGATTATCGTTGCTGGCTCGTGTGTTGCAGGGGAGTATCTTTTTGATTTGCACGTGCAGTGTAACATTGCCTTGATCTTCTGCCTGAAACGTTCGTTGAGCAGCGCGTACACGAAAGGATTGACAGAAGAATTAACCATAAACATAATGTCAGAAACGACGTCGGAAGCTGAACCAAACACAAGAATGTTATAGTGAATCAAGACGTAAATAAGAAGGCCTGTGATCCAACAGACTCCAAAGATAACACTAACAGTGATTACACTCAATGTGACTCGTTTGCGCACTCTCAGTATTCCCTGAAAAAGAAGAGTGTAGTCAGAATAGAATGAACCACTCGGTTAACAGCTCCCCACTAAGTTGTTTTATGAATTATAAGCCTTACAAATATTCTAAGTTATTCTTAAGTGTTTAACCCACCACTGCATAATAACAAAATCCCTACGAATGCGTAAAGCACCATGTTATTTTCTGCGAGTCGAAGCTCAAACGGTAACGTCAGAATTCTCGGTAGGACCGTGCAGATATCATGTAGGCGAAGGAATAATATCTCAACCCCTTTTTGTTAGAGCGTCATTGATGCGGACCTGTGAATGAAGTTGTTTTATACCCAGTCCAAGACCCTCTCCTCTTTCTTAGCATCGCACGACGCAAGGATGAAAAGAAATACGCAAAGAAAATGAGTCGACCCAAGAAAACGCAGCCAACGATGATCTTTCACCGTTTCTTCGCTGATTACTTTCCACCCGCGTGACCGAGTTAGCTGAGCTATTTATCTTTTTCTGTGATACGAGATGAACTGTCTTAAATTATTATTACCTTGTGCCTACAAACGACTTCAAGGTCATCACGTGGCTTAAACCACAATTCATAAACGACCCTCGAGTATAAGCCGATCATCAGTGCAAAAGGAATACAGGCCAACAGCACAAGCCATGAGATGTTATTCGCCACATTCATCCAGTCTTTAGGCAAATTCAACCGACAGTTTCTCGTTTTCTCATCAAATTTTGCAACCAAGAAAGTTGGTAGGTTGGCTGCCACTGCAAAGATCCAACAAGCTGGAATGATAACCTGAGATATCAAAAGATGTTGAATCAACAAAACGTTTTCTATTCCTAACCAGTGCTATAAGGAGAAACTTTTAAAATTGCGGTGCAATTCTTTTTTAGACAAAAGACCCATTACAATGGCTCTATACATTGAACCCTTCAACCCTTAGAAGTGTCTAGCATTTAATTTCTCTTTACAATGTCAGCCCTGAATCCAACATCAAGGTCATGAGAATAAAGGAAATGATCAGAAGAAGCTCTTGACTGCTTAGGGTCAGGGTCTCAAATTCTTCTTGTCAGCACCTTGGAATCTGAATACAGAATAGTGTAGAAAATGTGCATACTGATGTTAGTTGGTTATTAATGGCCGATTCTGAGTACGCTACACTTTTGCTTCTTGCCGGTTCATTGGCATTTCTTTCTCTGAAGGGGGCGGTCATACTCATAAACTGTAAACTTCTGATCTCGACTTTAGTACCCTAATATTGTGATCACATTTCTATTCTGTCACCTTCAATGTATTCTTGGTAAGTTTTCCTTTGCCACTAACAGGACACCTGACGGTATAGTAACGTTCAAATGCTATTGCGACCAGAGTAATGGTTCCAGCCGCCGCCCCGACCCAGGCCACATTACCAGCGGTGAGCACTTTGCATAAAGCTGAGCCAATGGTCCCATCAGGGTGGGTGAAAAAATGGTGGGTTAAAATGCGATTCGGAACTTGGAAAACCGCGAACGTGATGTCTGCTATAGCTAGGTTGACAAGCAGCCAATTAAACGGAGTCCTATAGAATGAATATGATATTCAAACAATATTATTCAAACAACAACAGCAAAGCTTCAAAGAAGTAAGATGCAAAAAGAAAAGGAAAATGAGGATTATCTTTCACACGAATAGGCGGTAAATTCAGGAGAATAAAAGAGCATATTAACTGCGAAAAGTAGAGTTCTTTATTCGTCAAAAGCATAAGGATCCTCATTTCTGGGCTCATTTCTGCCTCGTGATTTCCCATGTGAAAGGCATTTATGATAACTTCTCACTGCGCATGCCTTTACGCTTATATCGAGCTGGAAACGCAATTGAGCATTACGTGACCTCGTTCCCAAGCCCTCTATCTTCCTGCATTCCATTACTATGAGGACCTTGGAGACGAAATTAAGCCTATAACTGAGGTACACACGGCTGAGTATTCTTTAACAGATACAACATGCCTCATATCTCGGTTTCTCTTGACGACCCAACAGACCAAACAGTTACCACTGATGTCCACAATAATGAGTATGGCCAATGCGGTTGTCAAAGCAACATCAGATGACATGACGGAAGGTTGGCAATACTATTGAGCTACAGAAGTTACTGTGTCTGAAAACTAAAAAAAAAAAAGTTACCAATATTTTTTTGTGCGCCACCATGAATAGGGTTTACTCAGAAACCTAAAATCTTATTAACCCCCTTTCATATAATTTCCTGACGAAAACTGTTTTTTTCAATCAGAAATTCATGGGTTTACACATCTTAATAAATTCCTTGTTACTGTATATGTCTGTTCCTACAATTTATTTTCCCTGTCTCCTTCGGGAACAGAAAAGTTCGGACGACCACCAATAATAGATTTGAGTCCTCTGTATAGTATATGACTCAGATCTTGATTTTAATCGCAATTTTATAACTTGAATATCCGATTTAGATAAATTCAAAAGAATAAGGATTCGATCACGAACTTGATCTTACGTTTCCCAGCAACACATGCGTTTGCTTTAAAAATCGTCACCGCAGATAGAGGCCTCCTACAGCGCATTCAGTAACTGCAATTATTTCAGCACGTTGTGTGCACTCTAAGCTCGATACTTAGAGCAAGTTTCAGTGAGTTAAGACGTCCAACACTCAAACCTTCATGATTTCCGCCTAAGCTTTACTTGGCCGTATTGAAGAAACATTTTCCATTTGCCGATGATTCCAGTCAAGAAGAAAATTCAAAAGAATAAGATATGTAGTATATGCCCGATAAGGAAACGTAAATTAAAAACTACGAGAACGTTTTTCTTTCATAATTGTCAAAACTGAAGTAAGTATCGTTCAGGAATCACAACGTCAACTCGCAGGTAAAGAGCAATGACTTTCATGGGGTGCTGTGGATTTTACAACCGATCACGTACAAAATTCTGAGGCAGTAATTGCTAGGAAATGAAGTTTAAATGAAGTTTGAAGTGCTCACAAAAAAAATTAATGTACAACTAAGACATCGCTTTGATCTTTAATTCAAAGTAATATTTGTAAGTGTGTGTGTGTGTGTGTGAAAAAGCTTAAAAGAAAAAAAAGTTAAATGATAAAATGAACAAAAGAGAAAGAAAAGTGCCAAGCTTCGATCATAAGTTAATTATTTGTGCCGCCTGAATGTAAATATTAAATAGAGAACATTAATAAGTTGGCGGAGATTGTTAAATGTTTCAATCCAGGTACAACCCAAACGTTGATGAAAATTCGATTCCCAGATATCAATTCCGTTCCACTTGCTCTCATAAAAACCAATTTCTACGAACATTAAGATGAAGATCATTAAGAAATTTAATATTTTGAAGACAGAGTCATATCCTGGAAACGCACAACGCAACTGAAAAAAAATATTGATTTGAAAATAAACTGCCAAGTCATTGAATCTTTCTTTCGTTTAGAAAAAATACAGAATATAACATCATGTCCCATATATCTGATGAACCCGTGCGAAAAAGTCTAAATTGTATAAAAGTAAAATCCTGATAAACTATTCCAAAGCGCTTGTTAGGTGGCAATGAATAATCTAAAATAATGAACCAATTTTGTGCGCAAGATACCTTGCCAGACTTTGGCACAAATTTAAGGATTTCCTTTTGAAAACCTATAAATCAAGCTACCCGAAAAATAAATTTATAGCATCTAATGACTTACAAACCTGAATTGTCTCTACGTTGAAACTGCAATCCACGGTTGTTCGAATCTTACTTCATCCCTGTCTTCAAGGAAAACAATTTTCATTCCAAATTAGGTATGTTCACACTGGACAGTTGAAGTGTACTTGAAATTTTAAATGCTCTCAACAGTGTCTGAACAGGTCCTGTTACATCTGATTGGCTATACTTAGTTACCATGGAAACCTCAAACCTGTAAGTGACACAGTGAACCCTCGAGCAAAGTAAAGAAGTTGTTGGAGCCAGGGCACTCATCCAATAAAAACGCGAGAGACTAAGGCACCAGTCTTAATTTACCGCCTAGCTGTGGGGGGAGGGAGGTTGGGGGATTTTGGTCCTGTCACTTTACTTGATGCCTTCCCCCCTCATAAGGCTCTCGATGATCTCATACCCAGACCTTTCACGGTCTACAGGATGGGCAGTTTTTTTCTGTCTCGAAGGAGTTTCACTGTTCCACTGTTCACGAGGATTAAGGTCACTGTTTGTGTATTGGGACTGAGCGCTGAGAGGGCGTATTCGTCGGCGCATTCGGCTTTGGGGAAGTTTCGTAAATCACCTCAGAAAAAATTGCTGGAAAGAGTCACGAGGATGATATGAACGGAAAAGAAACAAGTTTACAATCAAACCCAAACCAGTGGTTACATATTTGGTTTGCACGGGGAAGAAAAATAATACAAATTGTAGATAGATTCACCCTCCAGCATTTTGTTAATCAAAAACATCTCTTTTAGTGGGTGGAAAATGAAGGCCATGACATTAAAGGAAGTGGTCTTGAAGGTAAAAATATTGTGACCTCTAGCCAGATTTTAAGTGTTGTTATCGCCATGTGATTGCCTTGTTTTTTTCTGGTGAAGCTCTCACACGAGCGAGCGATCAAGTTGAAGGATGTGTTAGCAACGTTAGGTGAGGGTTTTATCAGTTGATGTCCACGTTGCAAGCCTGTTTCTTCAAAGAATCTGAATTGCGACTTTCGCAGTAGATTGAAAGGAATCAAACATGAAGAATACGGTAAGTTTCCTCGTTGTAGATCATCAGTGTTATGTGATTCTTTAAGTTTGCAGCCACAAACGGTTGTATTTAAAATAAACGTGTTTTAAAAAGGTATTTACCGTTTCCGTTTTAGCTAACCAAAATTTAACTCGCGCTACGCTCGCAAAAAGCAGTTTGATACTCGCACTATAGACTCGGTATAGATGGTGACATAGTTGTGAAGGTTTTTTATGAGAATTTAATCTCAGCGACTAACCGAACATGACGTTTTTTATTTTTGTTATTTCAATTCTACAACCAAATTGATTTAGTCATGACGAGGAGCTGTTCTAAAAACTCATCCGCTGACCAGTAGCTAATACTGTTTACATCTAAGTTATAACTGTTCGTTTGAATTTTATTTGCACGAGTACTTCTCTTATGGCTACACCTTCCGAACATACATAGTACCATTATTAAAAAAAAGATACGAACTTGTCAGGGTAATTCGTGCTTCTCTGAGACGAAATAATTCAAAATTGATTGTGGTGCTTCTTTGAAACGAAAGAACATAAAAATGACTGTGGTAAATCCCATGTTATTCTTAGTGAAGTGTCTAGAAGAGGAGGGGCCCAACAAGGAATATTTAGCTCGAGGAAGCGGCATGGTTGTTCGTGCGTCAGAAGTGAAAGCCAAATATTTTCCCTCCGGCCCCACCAAATTCAGTCACCAAGCATTTATCCTATGACATCTAAGTCTTTAAAATTTCGAAATGATGCTTGAACCTGAATAGGATGCGATTACATCATAAGCAGACCGCTTACTAGAAAACTTGAACACAATGAAACCTTTTCCCTTATGTCTTCAAGTCAGCAATGGAAATTCTTAATTCATAGACTAACGCGATTTATTTTCCCGTTTCTTTCTTATTCCACACCTATAGAATTCTCGTTCTTGGAAAATGTTTAATGATAAATATGAATTGCGGGAGCGGAGTCGCACGTCTGATCGACTGGATAGACTCGAGAAGCAATGGCAGGACGAGCGCAGAACACAACGAAATGCGTATGATGCGTTACGTGACGAGGAACGTGCGTGTGAAGAACGTTTGCAGCGCGCTCAAGCTGATGTTGAAACATACCAAAGACGCAACCATGTCTTAGAACATGAAATTGATAGAGCGCGTCAAACTACTGACATATTCCGTGGAGATCAACCATGGATCATCACAGGAGAAGAAATCAAACTCTCCGATAAGGTTCTTGGCACTGGCGCGTGGGGAAGAGTCCTTGAAGGGAATTTTCGAGGAACAAAAGTGGCAGTGAAAGAAATCCACGAAATAATTCAATCAGCTCATAACAGACTCCTCTTTGATCGCGAAATCACGTTTGCCACTGTTTGTCAGGGATGGTATGGAGTTGTTCCTATGCTGTTTCTAGAAATATCGATACTTCGTAATGATAAAGTTAACGATGAATATTTCTTATCGTTGTTATTTTTTCTCAAGAATCAAATATTAAGCAAAAGAAACAAGTTTAAGTGCCACTTAAATGAAACTATAAACACATGAGTAAGGGAGAATGAGGCGCCTAACTTTGCGCTTCAGTATGTACATCATTCCGTGCAACTGATTATCCGAACAGGAACCCATACCCTAAAATGTAATGTTAAGTTTTTCTTGCTAAGGGAGTTGCGCATATTTTAAAAGAAGAGGACTGTCTCTCTTGGTTCATCCTCTCCTATATGGACAATGATTTCATGTAATGGTTGTGTGGCGAGCTTCGACCTACCCACCTATAAACCTGGATCATGTTTAGGACTTTGGGCAATCAGCCTTTATCGGCAAAACGTCGACACTTATCTAAGACATGTTACAAACTTAATATTTCTAAGTACATCGTAGGACTGATCTAAACACCACGCGGTTATTTCCTAGAGAGGATCTAATTAGTGGGAAGTGGGTCGGGTTGCTATCGATTAAAAATATTTCAAAATATGCACTGTTAATATGGTGAATTCCTCTGAATTGTTTTGATTTTTACTTGGTATTTAGTTGGTGCTTATGATGGATTATCGTTGCTGGCTCGTGTGTTGCAGGGGAATATCTTTTTGATTTGCACGTGCAGTGTAACATTGCCTTGATCTTCTGCCTGAAACGTTCGTTGAGCAGCGCGTACACGAAAGGATTGACAGAAGAATTAACCATAAACATAGTGTCAGAAACGGCGTGAGAAGCTGAACCAAACACAAGAATGTCATAGTAACTCAAGACGTAAATAAGAAGGCCTGTGATCCAACAGACTCCAAAGATAACACTGACAGTGATTACACTCAATGTGACTCGTTTGCGCACTCTCAGTATTCCCTGAAAAAGAAGAGTGTAGGTAGAATAGAATGAACCACTCGGTTAACAGCTCCTCACTTGGTTTAATAATTCTGAGCCTTATCGATAGGTCACATTATTCCTAAGTGTGAAACCCACCACTGCATAATTGCAAAATCCACAGGAACGCGTAAAATATCGTGTTATGTTGTCTGCGTGAGATATTGGGAAAGCTAGGTGAGCGAGTTGAAGCTCAATCGGTGACGTCAGAATTCTCGGTAGGACCGTTCAGATATCATGTAGGCGAAGGAATGATATCTCAATCGCATTTTATTAGAGCGTCATTGGTACGGATCTATGAACGAAGTTGTTTTATACCTAGTCCAAGACCCTCCCCTCTTTCTTAGCTTTGTACGACGCAAGAATGAAAAGAAATACGCAAAGAAAATAAGTCGACCCAAGAAAACACAGAGAAAGATCTTCTTTCACTTTTTTTTCGCTGATTACCTTCCACCCGCTTGACCGAGTTAGCTGAGCTATTCATCTTTTTCTGTGATACGAGATGAACTGTCTTAAGTCATCATTACCTTGTACCTACAAACGACTTCAGGACCATCACGAGGCTTAAACCACAATTCATAGACGACCCTCGAGTATAAGCCGATCATCAGTGTCAAAGGAGTACAGGCCAACAGCACAAGCCATGAGGTCTCATTCGCCGCACCCATCCAGTCTTCAGGCCAGTTCCACTGACAGTCTCCTGTTTTCTTATCATATTTTGTAACTAAGAAAAGAGGTATGTTGGCTGCCGCTGCAAAGATCCAACAAGCAGGAATGATAACCTGAGATATCAAAAGATATTGTATCAACAACACGTTTTTTATTCCTGACTGGTACTATAGGATTTGCAGTGCAATCTTTTTTAGACAGAAGACCCATTACAATGACCCTATACATTGAGCTCTTTAACCCCTACGGTGTCTAGCATGTAATTTCTCTTTACAATATCAACTCTGAATCCAGCATTAAGGTCATGAGAATAAAGGAAATGATCAGAAGAAGTTTTTGATTGCTTAGGGCTAAGATATCAAATTCTTCTTATCAGCACAGTAATACCGATGTAAAGCTGTAAACTTTTGAGCACGAGTCTAGTACCATTATATTGTGATCACATTTCTATTCTGTCACCTTCACTGTATTCTTGGTAAGTTTTCCTTTGCCACTAACAGGACACCTCACGGTATAGTAACGTTCAAATGCTATTACGACCAGAGTAATGGATCCAGCCGCCGCCCCAACCCAAGCCACATTACCAGCGGTGAGCACTTTGCATAAAGCTGAGCCAATGGTCCCGTCAGGGGGGGTGAACGTTAAAATGTGATTCGGTACTTGGAACAACGCGAACGTAATGTCTGCTAAAGCTAGGTTGACAAGCAGCCAATTAAACGGTGTCCTACGGAGTGAAGATGACATTCAAACAATACCAGCAAAGCTTCAAAGAAATATGATTAAAAAGAAAAGGAAAATGAGGATTTGCTTTCTCACGAATAGGCGGTAAATTCAGGATAATAAATATATGTTATTTGCCGGCTGGGAGGTCCGTATGGTGAAAAACTGTGACCGAGGTCTTGAAAATACTGCCCGAGGCCGTAGGCCGAGGGCAGCGTTTTCAAGACCGAGGTCACAGTTTTCACCATACGGACCGACCCTTAGCCGGTAAATAACATATTTATTGTTTTTAAACTTGACGAAATTCTTTCCGAAAGAACCCGAATGATTTAGGGCTGTAAATACGGCAAGATCTTCCATAAACTGAACAATTTTTGAGCGAGTAAATGGTAGTTAAAATAGAGGTGATGCAAATTAAAGAGAGATGCCTCAGCGAAACCGTCATTTTCATTTCCGTGGCGATAAAGGTGATTTAAAAGGCTTCCAAACAAACTTTGAAACATTATTTTTACAAGTATCTGTCACAATCTGACACCTGTCAATTAGAGAGCGCGTAAGAAAAAAAAATGCGTAAGAACATTTGAAAAACAACGGAACTAGTTTGGCAAGGACTGTCACGACAATGTTTTCTTCAAAATCAGTCAATGATCTAACGGAAAGTATTATTCACTCTCATCGACGATTCATTTATGTACGAAGATTTACCTCTGTTCATTAAGTAAACGGCGAGGAAAGTAATTGTGAGTAAATTCAATTTTTTATTTTGAAGTTGTGAGAGTTTGCTCGTTTGTTTGCTGCAATGGCGTGTGTAAATCTGGTCTTTCCTTCACAAAAACTAAATTCGAACGGCACACTCCAACGAGACACAAGGGAATTTAATGCGACCTTTTCTCAAAACATCAGTCCTTCAGTTTCTCGTCTGCAATTTACGGTACAAATGTCCAAATCGAACGGAACTGGAAAGACTCACCGGGAGCGTATATTTGTCGTAAAACTTAAATTAAAACTTCGCTCGCTCTTTCACTACGAACAAATTGCTCGAGAAAATTCAGATATTAAATGAATGAAAGTTCCATCGTTCAGTTTAACTGTAACCAAATACCTCACGTTTTAACTTTCTGGGTACTTTTTGTGAAAGATTAAAATTAATTGCAGACGGTTTTTAGGCCGCTTGTCAACCAACGTAATGACACTATTGTTTATACAAATTCATTCTGAAACCAATATTTTTCTGTCAACCAAAGTGATTTGAGAGAGAGAAAAGAGAGGATTCATAAGTTATTTATCGGCTTGAGGTAGTGACCGACGTGTTTGTTTAAAAATACTGCCTAGCCGGAAAACGAGATGTATTTATGAAAAATGACAACGAAAGTTAGGATGTACTCGGCGACTTACGAAAGTGTTACCGTGGCCCGTGGGCAGAGATAGGAAAATACTGACCGGGTAAAGAACCAATCAGATGGCAGGATTCGTTACCGTGCCCTCTAAAAAAACAATAAAAGAGCATATTAACTGCGAAAAGGGGATTTCACTATTCGTCAAAGACATAGGGATCCATGCGTGCGCATTTCTGCCTAGTGATTTCCCATGTGAAAGGCACTAATGATAACATCTCACTGCGCATGCCTTTCCGCTTGTGTTGAGCTGGAAACGCAATTGAGCATTACGTGACCTCGTTCCCGAGGCCCTCTGTCTTACTGCTTGCATTAACTATGAGGACCCTGAAGACGAAATTAAGCCTATAACTAAGGGACACACGGTTTCGTATTCTTTAACAGATTCAACATGCCTCATATCCCGATTTCTCTTGACGACCCAACAGACCAAACAGTTACCACTGATGTCCACAATAATGAGAATGGTCAGTGCGGTTGTCAAGGCAACATCAGATGACATGACGGAAGGTTGGCAATACTATTGAGCTACAGAGGTTACTGTGTCTGAAAACTGAAAAAAAAAAGTTACCAATATTTTTTGTGCGCCTCTATGAATAAGGTTTACTCAGAAACCTAAAATCTTACGAGCCCCCTTTCATATAATTTCCCGGTGAAGACTGGTTTGCTCAATTATAAATTCATGGTATACACATCTTAATAAATTCCTCGCCTACAATTTATTTTCCCTGTCTCCGTCGGGAACAGGAAAGTTCGGATGACCACAATTAATTGCGACTAAACTGATTTTAATGGCAATTTTATAACTTAACGTTTCCCGGCAACACGTGCTTTTGCTTTAAAAATCGACAACGTAGATAGAGGCCTCCTACAGCGTGTTCAGTAACTGCAATTATTTCAGCACGTTGTGTGCACTCTAAGCTCGCTACCTAGAGCAAGTTTCAGTGAGTTAAGGCGTCCAACACTCAAACCTTCATAAGCTACACTTGGCCGTATTGAAGAAACATTTTCCATTTGCCGAGGATTCTAATCAATAGGAAAATCCAAACAAATGAGACATGTGGTATATGCCCAATAAGGAAACGTAAATTAAAAACTACGAGAACGTTTCTTTCATAATTGTCAAAACTAAAGTAAGCATTATTCAGGAATGACAACGTCAACTCGCAGCTAAGAGCAATAAATTCAATGGGTTCCGTTGATTTTACAACCGATCACGTACAAAATTCTGAGGCAGTAATTGCTAGGAAACGAAGTTTAATTGAAGTTTGAAGTGCTCACCAAAAAAAAAATGTACAACTAAGACATCGCTTTGATCTTTAATTCAAAGTGATTTTTGTAAGTGTGAGCGTGTGTTCGTGTGTGTGAAAAAGCTTAAAACAAAAAAAGTTAAATGATAAAATGAACAAAAGAGAAAGAAAAGTGCCAAGCTTCGATCATAAATTGATTATTTGTGCCGCCTGAATGTAAATATTGAATAGAGAACATTAATAAGTTGGTGGAGAATGTTAAATGTTTCAATCCAGGTACAACCCAAACGTTGATGAAAATTCTATTCCCAGATATCAATTCCGTTCCATTTGCTCTTATTAAAACCAATTTCTACGAACATTAGGATAAAGATCATTAAGAAATGTAATATTTTGAAGAAAGCGTCATATCTCGGAAACGCTCGAAGCAACTCGAAAAATATTGATTTGAAAATAAAAATGCCGAGTCACGGAATCTTTCTTTCATTTAAGAAAAATACAGAATATAACATCATGTCCCATATAACTAATGAACCCGGGCGAAAAAATCTAAATTGTTTAAAAGTAAAATCATGATAAACTATTCTAAAGCGCTTGTTAGGTGGCAACGGATAATCTAAAAAGAAGGAATCGATTTTGTTCGCAAGATACCTTGCCAGACTTTGGCACAAATTTAAGAATTTTTTGTTTTGAAAACCTACAAATCAAGCTACCCGAAAAATGAATTTATGGCATCTAATGACTTACCAACCTGAATTGTCTTTACGTTGAAACTGCAACTGACGGTTGTTCGAATCTTACTTCATCGTAGTCTTCAATGAAAACAATTTTCATTCTAAAATACAATTAGGTATGTTCACACTGCACAGTTGAAGTGTACTTGAAATAAATTTTAAGTGCTCTGAACAGGTCTCGTTACATCTGATTGGCTATACTTAGTTACCATGGAAACCTCAAACCTGTAAGTGACGCAGTGAACCCTCGAGCAAAGTGAAGAAGTTGTTGGAGCCAGGGCACTCATCCAATTAACACGCGGGAAACTAAGGGACTCGTCTTAATTTACTGACTGGCTGTGGGGGGAGAGAGGTTGGGGGATTTTGGTCTTGTCACTTTACTTGATGCCTTCCCCCCCTCATAAGGTTCTCTATGGTCTCATACCCAGACCTTTCACGGTCTACAGGATGGGCAGTTTTTTTTCTGTCTTGAAGGAGTTTCACTGTTGCACTGTTCACGAGGATTAAGGTAATTGTTCGTGTATTGGGACTGAGCGCTGAGAGGGCGTATTCGTCGGTGCATTCGTCTTTGGGGAAGTTTCGTAAATCACCTCAGAAAAAATTACTGGAAAGAGTCACGAGGATGATATGAACAGAAAAGAAACAAGTTTACAATCAAACCCAAACCAGTGGTTACATATTTGGTTTGCACGGGGAAAAAAATAATACAAATTGTAGATAGATTCATCCTCCAGCATTTTGTTAATCAAAATCATCTCTTTTAGTTAGCGATACCATCATGGTAACGAAAAGATAGGTTTTATTCAAATTGAATTTGATAAAGCATATTCTCTCTTAGACATTTATGCACGTTGGTTTTTTCTTTTGGTTATTTTCCAAGTAACCTTGAACTAGAGTAGTAATAAAATCATAAGTTATTATTTGGCGATGACCTTTCTTTAATCGGGCGGTATGTGAAGGTGTCATTTTGTAAACAAAATGCTCATTGTAACCAGCGCATAGAAACAATGGCTCCTGCTCTTTACAGTCTCCATCACCCATATAACTAGGTTTGAGTTACTGATCATGATGAATTGAAAGAACCGCACCATGACCTTAAAACCGTATTGCTTTGTTCTAGATCAATGAGCGAAGTGAGGTGTGGGCGGATTTGGCATTTAAATCAGCTAAGCTCTGAAAATTGATTGCCATGGAAGATTCAACAGCGAGTCGACTTTTATCTGTGTGAAATGAATGAAATCCTTTCGGGGATTATATTGAAGCGTAAAATGTATTTTTCTATCGCTTGCTAGAATGGTGAATTCACTGTCGGATTAACATCTGGTGGTAGTCAAGTAATTCAAAGTATCTGTTTATTTTAATAGTATTTATTCAAATACAAAAGAAATCGATTGTTTAATGAGGCTTTAATGAAGTACTTTTTTAAATTCAGTCTGTTGTCATTTTGTATTTTATTGAAAACGAAGTGAAATAAGACTGGAAAGAAAATCGCGTGATTTTTTGCGTCGATTTAATAATGTACATAAGAAAGCGGTAGGTCGCTATCGTACAAATACTTTGTATTCGCGCGAAAACTGTCCTGAGGTCAAAAAAACAAAATTCTGAAATCGTTCGTCCAATTGTTCAAATACATTTCGAAATGAAAACATTTGTCTTTCTCTGAGCGATAACAAACTTTTTGAGACGTGACCGCTTAAATTGGTCACGCCAGTCCTTCCTCTCGTTACTGTCCGACAATGACAACTTTGCTTACGTAAATGAAGTTCCATTCATGTTGAACGACTGCCCAAGCTCCAACATCTGCGAGCAGGAAAACTCTCATGACAAAATAATCCACTCAAACCACTTTGGCTGTGCAACTACCCAGTTGATTTTTTGATGAACTCATAAGAAATCAGAAGTGGAATGGAAGTGTTTTCAGGAGTAGGATTAACAGGTAAAATTCAAAAGTAAGTCGAGCTTCAATAGATAAGAGAAGCCGAGAAACCACCAATCTCTGCTCGTCAAAAGGCCCACACCTATGAGATCTTGATAATTTGCATTTACAAACACAACACAAGGAGCGTTCCGCACGTCGTGTTTTGTTTAGCTCTCTGCGGTGCGGCTGTTTTTCTGTGCGTTGCAATCTCTGCTTTCTAGCTCCAGAACTCTTTAGAATGGCTGATATCAAATTGAGCAAAGTTAAAGGAAAGCTACAGGGTTTGAAGGATAAGATCGAGAAGGCCGAAGATCGATGCAATGACTGTAAGAACGAGCTTCGAGAGGTAGAGGAAGCCTGTGACAAAAATGAAGGCGAAGCAGATTCATTCAAACGAAGAATTCGCCTCGTTCAAGATGAACTGTCAAAAACTACGGAAGTTCTGGAAGAGAAACAGGCTAGATTGGCCGAAATACAGGCAATTTCATGCGAGCATGAGGTCGCCTGCAAAGAGCTGGAAGGGATAGACCGCGAGAGCGACGAAAAACTGACTGACATGGAAGAGAGGGTTCTTGCAGCCATGCAATTAGCAAAGGAATCCGATGCACGTCTACAAGAAGCGAAGCAAAAATATAGAGTCACTGTGGGCGAGGTGGAGAAGACAAAAGAACGCGCTGAATACTTAGAAGGAAAATGCCAAGAGTTGGAGGACGGTATTTCTAGCACAAGCACCACTTTGAGAGACATGGAAGGTCGGGATGCTGAGTCTGCTGAAAAAGAACAGGAGCTGCTAGAGAAGTTGGAGTTCTTAGAGGGACAGCTGAAAGAAGCTATTGCCCGCGCAGAAGAAGCTGAGCGCAAAGTGCAGCCACAAGAAACCATCATCGATGACCTGACGCAAGAACACGATTCTTATGCGGACAAAATCAAAGATATCGAGCAAGAAATGAAGAAAATGGAAGACATGGTGGAAGCATCAATAGATGATGTTGATGTACAAGAACCTAGAAAGGTAACAGATCGCTATCAAGTACAGGAAGAGCACGAGCCCGGGGAAGAACCGACAAATCCCGAACCCGAACCGGAGCCAGAACCCGTCAGGTCCGAAGAGGAAGAAGATGAAGAATGAAATAATCCCGCATTCGGGTTTTATGCGCTGTAACTGATCCGAAAGTTTGACAACGCGAACTCCTGAACACGACTATTTTTACAAATGAAATATTTTACTGCGTTAGGAGTGAAATTAGAATTTGACCTTTATCATAAGTGCCTTGTTTGAAATCTTAACTTTTTCTAGGGGCTTTTAAATCAATATTTTTCAACCAGTTGATTCTAATCTTAATTACATGGTTTTAATATCGAGGCGGGTACAAGCTTCTCAGTAGGTGTGTTATTAACTTGGACGTTTTTTGATTGTCTGTCAATTTAATTAATTTAATTCATTGCAACTAACTAACTCCTTCTTGAGTGAAGTGCTGGCTTTAAAATAAACCTCTTTATTCGCATTGGATTGAATGTTTTCGTTTTTTAACTTTAAATTTATGCCCAGATTTTATACGCTGAGGGAAATGGGAACAAAATTCTTGCGTGACAAGAAAAGATCATTGAAGCGATAAATAACACAGCCAGATACTAATGATTTTCTGTTAGTAAACATCACGGAAAGCCAAATGTCTCCATACCTATTTATGCAATCATAATAAATGCCGTTTGCCTTGTTTACACAGACATCTTTTAAATCTCGCCATACCTTCCAATTTCTAATTCCTCTCTTTGATGTAGAGGTTGTGGTTCTTTAAGCGGAAGAGCTCTGAGGGCGTTGGAGCAAAGAAATGCGTGGAATTTCTCTGTGACGAAGACCTTTTTTTATCCAACTAAAAAGGTATTATGATGTAACCATAGGTAAAGGCTGCGAGTTGTGCACTTAGTTGTGGATTGTAACCGACGAGAAAGTCTCTCTTGAGGCCCCCAAAAATGCACAACTAACAGAGGGAATGTAGTAGGTGAGTGCAGTTGAGGCGTTTTTGCCCAGATGCACTCAAGCTTGAGGACAAGACATTTACTATCAAACATAAACAGTTGAATCCCACGTCCTACCCTCCGACACCCCCCCTCCCTCTCCCATCCAAAAAGAAACAAAAATTAAAAAATTAAAATATCCATCACATCACCAATCCCTACCCCCCCAAACCCCTTCTCTATTAGCTCATTATTAGCGCTTCCCGCCCGCGGCAAAAGCAAGCGGGAAAGAGGTCTGTAAGGGGTCTGGCACTAGTCATTAGTGCCGGAGTCTCGATAAATCTTTTCGCAACTCATCTCAAACCTTCCCGCAGGCGAAGCTATGGAAAGCGCGTCCGGCAGCACTGATAATATTTAGTTGTCAACTCGATACGCCTTTTAAACTTATGTTTTTCCCTGGTCAGCTTACTTTAGAAGTCGGAAATTTTAAGAATTTTAAAGCAGTGTGAGTAACTATACGTACAATCACTGGATATATACATGAACAATTTTAGTCTCAGTTCTGCTCAGATGACAGATTGAGAGACGCGGCTGTAAATAGATGTGTGACCAACACTTAGGTTCCTCTTTTGATATGTAACCAAACGACCTCTGGAACTTTTGTTTTTAATTATGCATGAAATGTAGTAAATAAGAAAATTGTGGCGTCATTTATTTCATCATTCAGGTTTTGAAATAACTACTGCGCATGCGCGTGAGATGATACGCTTCTCTCAAAGATACTGATTCAGGTTTTTGTTTTGATTGTTTGCTTTTTAAGAAGAAAGCTGTCAACTTTGTTTGCTTTCTTTCTTTTCGTTTTGTATTAACGAATTTCCATCTTGGCCTGATGTTATATAGGCCGAGGACAAACACACACCATAATGATAACAGACATTGATGACACACCTATTTAAAACGAACAAAGCAACTATCCATCGGGATCTCTGATCCCGCATACTAATGCCGTAGCGAATGGGAGATACCTAGCGGGCCTCCTGATGTGGAACGGCTTGGTGAAATCCGAAGGGCTAGCCACCCCCAGTTTTTTTCTTGGTCTAATACAAGATTATTTAAATCTTTGTAAAGACATCAATATTAATAGACACCAAAAATATGATTTAGTGGCTTAGGGTTATCCATCTTCTGTTGAGATTTTGTGGTTTGTGAAAATCATGCAAGAACTTTGAAGTATACCTTGGAGATTAGATATTTAACTTCAAATTATGAATTAATTAGAAACGTCTCTATAGTTGAATAGGCCTATCAAGGTGTTCTTTAACGATGGAAAGAAGCAAAATCGTGCAGAAAAGACGTATTCGGACCGTAAATGTAGTGACGAAAGTTTTTTCCAAAGTGACTTCTGATTTCAACACTTTTTTCCGATAAAGTGCAAGCCACAAACATAATAAAGCGACAGTCTTTGGTAGCGGTTTTACTTCCATTTTAAACATGATGTAAAAGCTGGTTAAATTACCTATAAATATAAATTTGCTACTACACTACAGGACCACATTTGAATTTTGACGACATATCAGTCTAGCATGGGCAGCGTGACAACAATTTTACGATTTCATTAAGTTCCCAAGTTTCGATCGTTAACTGATCTGTGCGTTCTTGAGACTTGAAGTAACTTGGCCAGCGGCTGTCATCAATGGACTTCCCTTGTACTCAGCGACACCATCGTCAGAGGTACAAAGGTCAGGCTGAAAGAAAACGAAAACAAAAATATTTTTCATTTTTTAACATTGTCATTATTTTGAGTTCGTACTAATATGACCCTTAAAGTTCGTTAGCAAATTATACGAGTAGGGTTCTTTGTTCATACGTTTGGTACACTACCAAAGACTCCAGTGTCCATTTATGAGTATAGCGTCTTGCCCAAGAGCACAACATAATGACCTGGTCAGGACTTAAATCGAGACCTCTGTATCCAGACTCCCCGGCTAAGAATAGCCTTCGAGCATACTGGCAACTAGGCACGAGCATTTCGGATCAATATTAGTATCGCCCACCCACCCCTCCCCTAACCCAACAACAGTCAATTGATAACAAGTTAGGGTTAATGTTGGGTTAGGGGAGGGGTAGGTGGGCAGTTGCCCAGATACTGATAATGATCCAGCATTTCTTTACCCGCGGCTTACCCGCGGTAAAGTACGAGGCCTTGAGCAACGCGAGTCGGCGAGAGGTCTGCCAGGGGTCTGGCATTGATACCTCATTATTAGTGCCACCCCTTGCGAACCTCCCTCCGACTCGTCTTAAATCTTCCCATGGGCGAAGAAACACGCGTCTAGCATTACTAATGATAAGGACCTGCTTGTGAGCAAGGCCAACTAGGACCTCACCGAGTCTAAAAGCGCCCCGCTGTTGATTTTACAGTGTACTTATAAATGTTGCGAGAAGGTCATAGAATAACAGCTTAAAGAATAGTTAACCTTTAAGGCTTCAAAAATCTTCTTCTTGGGATTCAGTTGTTCATCTGGCTCTAAATGAAAGAGAAAACGACAAATATAAGATGGAAAGTTGTTTTATATTTCACTTCATTTGGCGTTGGTCAATATGAACAATATGGATAAACAAAGGATTCATTCGTTGATCAACTATCGACGCACTCTTTTTCTTAAATGTAAATTACTTAAGCAATGATCATATAAACCGCTTGTTATATGGTGGTGTGAAGTTTTCGTTAATTCTTCATACTTCGTTAGTTTTAAAGAGGGTTGAAAAAGAAACCCTGCGGTTGATTAAAACTCTGTAAGTATTAATGTCACCACCGAGTCTACGTGTTTCTTATAAATCCTGGAAACGCAATTTTTGAAAACCAGCTTGGTTGTAAGCCACTCTCTTATTCTCTACCACCTTACCTCCGGCAGTTTCATGTTCGTAGCCTTTCACCACGACTCTGTCACCAGGCTTGCATTCAGCTGGCGGGTTTAGAGGAATCACTTGTCTTTTACCATCAGTACTACAAACAGAAACCATAGGCTATTAGTCTGATTTTTTTCGCCTATGTCCATAAATTTGATTGTAAGTAAGAGCGTCCTTGCCCCCCCCCCCTCGCCAAACCCATTCTTAGCTACTATTTTCACCCCTTTACTGAGATTACTAAGAGTAAAGATTTGCCGAAATCAATCTTCTCACTTCCAATAGACTTACGTCCAGATATTACTATCATTTCAAGTTAGCTGTACCTTGCAATAATACGACAAAAACCTTCCTACAATTAAAATAGTTTCATCGAAACAGGCTTCTCTGCTACGCTATTTTCTAAAATAGTTTTTTAAATCACAATCGGTTTCAACTTACAAAATGACAAGCATAAACTTACCCTGTTACAGATGCCGCCATGAGCATCGCTTCTGACGTGACGCCTGACATAAGAAATCCACAACGTAAAATGAAAATGTATTCTTGCTCACTCAGAGACAAAAGGTGCAGGTGAAAACTGTTTGTCCAGGCATCAAATTTTCCACAATTAAGAAAAAAACGCACCTCTCATGTTAACAGGTTTTAAGTTGCACATCATTACAACAAGTCTGTCTTGAAGTTCCTCCAATGGAACGTACTCTGCCAAACCACTAACAACAGTTCTAGGCTCTGGAAAAAAAAAACCAAAATATAGCATTCATACCTAAATAAAATCCTGAGAGTACTCGTGACGGTACAGAGCATTGAGCACAACATGACTGCCTTCGCCTCCACACCCTAGGATCAGTTTGCAGGTTCTCCGTACTATTCTTTATGCATTTCCTATGGTACTTACAAGGATAATTTGCTTAATAAAAGTAGAAATAGATATAATAATAATAATAATAATAATAATGATACTATTAATGATAATAACGATGATGATAATTATTTAGCAGCGGACAATCCATGAGGTGTCTCTTCTTATCCACTGTCTCCAGGTCGAATTGGAATTTTGAACGTTGGTTTTTTGCAGAGAGAGGAAAACTGGAAACCCTGAGAAAAAACCCTCGGAGCAAGGACGAGAACCAACAACAAACTCAACTCAAATGTGACGTTGGGTCCTGGAATCAAACCTGGGCCACAGCGGAGGGGGGTGAGTGCTCTCGCCACTGTGCCATCCCTGCTCCCCTCAAGAGCTTCTTAGCCTTGCAATTATTTTCTTTATTTCATGACCTTAACGTTTGATTGAGGGGTGAAACTGTTGGGAGAAACTAGATGCTTACTACTCTCAAGAATTAAAGAGTTAACAAAAACAAGGAGCAATGGGCTGAGGAAGGAAAAAAAAACTCTGTAAAGCTGATCTCATCACATACTTTCTTCTCCAATGTCAATTTCTTCTAAGTACAGGGAATCTGCATCAGGATGCTGTAATAAAAGGAAGTAAAAAAATGGCAGAATTTCCATCTCAGAGAGCAATATAGTAAACTTCTCCTGGGAGAAAAAGGTTTTAACCTCACAAGGAAAGCTGAAAACATTGCTCTGAACAAGGGTCCCTTGATTTCAAACAATATCACAAAGGGAACAATAAAATGAAATAAAAACTCAATGTGCTCACCTTCTTTGCTGACAAAATTTTTCCAATTCTTAAATCCAACCTTGAAGGATCAACAGCTCTCTCGGGAGTAGCATTTGCCCCACCTTTTCCACCCTCTGAAATTCAAGAAATAACAAAGAAATGTTATAAATACTCTAGTTACTACCATTTTAGTTGGCACTGGGCTTCAACAGCTACAAAGTAGACTAGTAAGTAAACTGAAGACAGTACTATTCTTGCACAGAGTAACAGTTGACTGTGTTGTGATTATCCAGGCAAAGGTACAGTGGTACCTGTAGTTATGAAAAACACCCAGAGAAACAATAGCAGCAGAGTATGTGAGGCATAAATATACTCTTAATGAACCCTGTTCACTTACTTGCTTTCTTTGGAGTAGGGTATGCTTGTTTCATCAGCTTCTGTAGTTCAGGAGTTTGGAACTTCTTTCTTATGGGATCAAGAAGCTTTAGAAGGAAACAGACATTAATGATTGGTGAACAAATAGTAGGGAAACATAATATTGGTACAGCTCTTTCCCAAGTTAAAGCAGTGATTGGGTTCCTGATATGTAAACTTATATAATAACACATTAGTTGAGTTAATTTTCAAGGGCATACTTACTTACTTGAGCAGACTCAGTCATTTCAGCCTAAGCCTGAGCAACACAAGAGTTACAATGACTCTGAGAAGGGCCCAAAACATATTTAAGCCCAAGAACATAAACTGTATTAAAATACATTTTAGCCCATGGAAATCTCAATTTTTGGCCTCAGAAATCTCCATTTTAGCCCACGAAATGAGCCACAATACCCGACAAAGATAACAACATGTAGTAGAATTTGTTTAAATAATTCACCAACCTTGTACAACTAATATCCATGCAAAGGGAAGGAGTATATACATACCTCATTCAAAAAAGCTGTAACTCCCATTTTCAGATCAAGTGGATGTAGTTCCTGGTGAGGTGAATGAACGAAAAAAGCAGCAATACATGTGATGTCTACTAACATAAAATTTTCTTCTAAACAAAATTCATAGGATATATTAAATAACAGATGTTTTTGATGATAGACCAACCTTTCTGGCAAATGTTTCCTCAAGTGATGCATAATTTCTAAATGCAATTCTTCCTCCATTTTCTTCAGCTCTTTCTATCACAAATTCTGAGCCCAAGGGAAACAAAATCACTTAAAATCACACTTGTTTCAATTAATTGTACTTTCGGGACAAAATATTTTGTTCTTCAGAAAGATGGTGCTCTTGGCCTAATGATCAACGTGCTGGACTCAGGAATGAGAGAAGGGAATAAGTTTCTAAAGAACCTTTGGTACTGAGTGAATGGGGGGGGGGAAGGAGGGGAAGATCTTGTTCGTAATTGTATATATTAACTGCCTCGAAGGCTAGATTATTTATTCTTGACCTACCTGTTTTATTCTTTATTTCCAACACCGAGAAGATCACGAACTTGGCAAATGCAAGAATACCATTCTCCTCAATGTTTCCTTCTTCACAGAATGCCTAACATGAAACCATTGGAACAAATTATTCATTACACATAAATTGAAACTGAGACATCTGAAGAAAAAGTGAGGTAATGCACATAAACTTCCCTAAGTAATAGTAAATAAACCAATTTAAAATGATCCATTTTTAAACAGCATTATCACTAACCTTATTTAGCTTTTTCTTAACAACTGAAGCACCATCCAGAAGATCAATTTTTGAATCCTAGAGAAAAAAATTTTTAATTAATTGAATGATCTAATTACAACACTAATAAAGCTGATGGTTCACAAATCATCAATATTTGCTGCTGCCATTGCCATTTTTTGGAAAGTAATCACCATGCTTTCCATAAAAAACCCGCATGAACATGGTGGCTTGAGCAGGGCTGGAAAAAGCCCTTGCTAAATATGCAAAGAAAGAGAGGGTAAGAGCAGTGGTCATGTAATAAAATACTTATTGACTGAATTATGTCAAGCTGAATGGGAAAATGTGTGGCTCTCTGTTGTGACTGCATACTTCATAACCTTGAGAAAAAAACTTTCCAGCTATTCATCTCTGTCAATAGGTAGATATCAATATTGTTTCATAAAAACTGACCTCATCTGATGCGCTCATCTTGGTACCAGTGAGACCAGGCACTACATAGAAAATCAAGGGAACAGAAAATTAGCCCAAACAACCATCAGTAGAAATGAGGGTACAAAGAACAAAGAAAGATAATAAATGGAGAGTGCTGGTGTTAGGATGCAGGAGTACATACACATACATACACACATACTTAATTGAGACTCCCCTCAACAGGGCATTTCACTCACAATGCTAACTGTTACATAATACATCTGGTAATTAAGGAAACTTATTTACAAACAGTAATTTAATTGAATTCAAAATATATTCAGAGTTATTCAAAACTATTTTGTATGAAACATATTAAAAAGTATCCACTTAAAACTATTAACTTCTTCAGTGTTCTTCATATTGTTGGCTAGCCCATTCCATTCCATTCCACCTCAAAAGTAAAATGACTTTAGCCCCATTTACAATCTACAAAAACCAAATTAGGTATACTGTACAATACCTCAGCAGCAAGATTGAAGAAAAAAGCCAAATCATCTGCATAGGTGGGGGGTTTTACAAGATACTTTTGTTTTGTCAACTGAGTAGATTGATAAAATAATGAAATTTGGCCACTGTAAAGACTTTCTAAAGCTGATCAACAAATCCTAGGCCCACAACCACAGGCTAGATGTCTGTCAACATTCTGGATGATTTCTTACCCATTGGGTTCATAAGATGAATTCTCTTGGCATAACCTAAAGAGGGAAGATACTGAAAAACAGATGAAAAAATAATGTTAAGTAAAACAATAACACTGAAGATAACAGGTAGATGAAAATTTTGAGAACATATTAAATGACTACTATGATAGAGTTGTTCAGATGTCTGTACTCAAACAGAATCTACTACCTTTTCTGCAAACGTGAATATTTTGCGCTGATCGACACCTCCAAACTGTGCATCTACTTTGAGGTATTCTTCATCAAGAGCCTGTTGTATGAAAAAAAGAGATATGTAAAAATGGGTAGTTTTGACAAATGTGATCTGTAAACATGCAATGACTGTTGAAATATTTACTAAAAAGCAATGGGTGATTTGTTTGAATACATGAAAAACATTTCATTGTGTAGTGTGACCATGAGCAGTTAGTTCTGTAAAGGACTGAGGTTTGTCATAAACACTGATTGAGGTATTTACAACTAGAGAGCAAGATCATCATCAGGAAAAAGTGAATAGTTCCTTATCAGTGGAATGTTACAATTTGGGCTTGAGGAGACTGATTGCTCAGGTTTGCTGTTATTGGCAACATGACACAAATACCATTCAATACTGGGATCACCATTTAATACAAGTTACAATATCAAGAAAGTGTATTGAGTATCACTTTATGGCACAAGAGCCAGACTGAGTTCTTTAACTTTGAAGATGTGATTGCTAATCCTCCCCTCAAGCTGCTACACATTTCCTTGTAAATTGGTTAAGAGAATTTGGTATTACACCAAGATAACAAATTCCACCCAATAAAGTTAATTAAAAGTATTTCTCATCACCTATTTGCTGAAAGTTCATGGATATTTTAGGGAGAAGTTTCCTGTAAATCACTTCTGGGAATTAAAGGATTATGTGATAATAAAATAAATACAAAGATTGTAACTACAATACCTGAAGTCCAGGGTACAATAGACCACTCAAAAGGGGATGTTGGACTTGCTTAACAACCTCTGAACCAGCTTTCTTTGCATCATGCTAACAGAAATAAATCCAAATAAATCACTTAAAATAGATCCATAACATCTGATTTAGAAAGAATGTATTATTTTCCAATTTAAATTGATTACATGTATATGATAATGGCTAAATTTTCTGATTAGAAGGTTTTTCAAATAAAAATAACTTTTTAATGACACTTTGAGTCATCATGCATCAAATATTTTTGCTCATGCATGACTAATCTAAATGCATTATGTTACCAAATATTCCTCAGCTAAAACTGGGGGATATCTTAAGATATCACCCAAGTGATATTCTCCTATTATCGAACCACACATCCACTACCATAAGTCTTTATTCAAAATTTAATTCAAGATGAGAGGACATTTTATGATTGTTACAAAAGAACAGAAATATTTGTTTGTTCATAAAGTTGTACCAGAAAACACTAAAAAGAAAACATCCCAACCAGCAAAGAGTAAGCTATTTGTTAACACTGCAAAATACTTGAAGGATAATCAACACAATAGCCATTATTTTTTTCAAAAATATGCTTGTATATTTGTCCTTGGACATTATTTGTTCCTGGAAACTCACAGTTTCCACAAGCTTAGCTCTCACAAAACTATTTGCACCTTGGAACAGGCAATATCTGCAGTAAAAATATCTGTGCATATTTTTGCACCAAATAAAGGCTATTGTTTATTTAGAAATGTCAAGCAGTAGTAACATTACCTCAGTGGCAACAGTGGAAAGTTTAAATATGTCCAGGACGTAGGCTCTGAGAAAACACAAAGAGGAAACATAAAAATAAATCAATGTGCTGAATGAAGGCAACAAAGAGAGCAACACATGAAGTCTCAAACCACCAGCTCTAGAGCAGCTGATATTGGGTAATATTAATGATATTGGAACATCACAAAATGTTTACAATTACCTGTCCAGCTGATACTCTGTTCCTCGCACAAACTTTAATTTATCCAGGGGGACATTGATTGACTCTAGCATTGCCTGCGTGATAAAACCCAATGCATAATGTCACCCCAAAATCATATTCATATCAGAGTTTGATAGACAAAGCCATTTATGATTTGTCATCTTTAAAGAATAGTTACATGTGGAGAAACGTTTGAACTAAGACATTGGTTGTCATCTGGTGTACATTCAACATCCATAATTATTTTCAACTTAAGTCCTTCCCAGGACTACTCTCACCCAGTCAATCAAAATAAATAATCAAATGTTTCACCTTAGTTCAAACAATTCACTGTAACAGGAAAAAGACTGACAAGTGTCATCAAAATCCAACCTTAATCACTTCTTCGTAATACTTGACTCTGTGGGCTAACAGTTCCCAAGGTGCTTTCAGATTATCCAAATATGCATGAAGGTCAGCTAAAAGTACTGTCACCTACAAAAAAAAGCAAATGTTTCCATTACAGTACCAATAAAAGTTATTCAAAAGCATAATGGTATATTTTATGCAGTGGAAAATTTATCATAAATATAACTCAAGCTCCAAATTCCTTTCTTGCTTTTCAGTGGTTAGTACTTTTGATTAGATCCAAATACTGTCATGACAGAATATTTTTTACAACTATTTATAGTCATTTATAATGAAGTGATATCTCTTGGCAGTCCTATAAAGCTTATTAAGCCATATTAACTTTTCTCTCCTTTACCCTTAACCCTTTAACTCCCAGAAGTGATTAATATGTAACTTCTTCCTATAATATCCATACACCATCCAGCAAACAGGTAATGAGAATACCCAGACTTATCAGGTAGAAGTTGTTATCGTGATCTTATCAAATCCTCATAACTAACTTAGAAAGAAATGTCTAGCAACAAGAAGGGAGAATTGACAATTGGATCTTGGGAGTTAAAGGGTTAACATTTTTACACTGAAGTTCCCTTCCTCAGGCTTGTGATAATTTCACATAAAGGGGGAGTTTTTGTGTTACTGGACAATGTTTGCACTGGGTGAGAATTTCATTTTGATAATAAATCTTGCAACAGTATCATGTTAATATTGAGGAAAAAACTACATAACTTTTTTGATGTGAAATTGGCTTTCAATTAAACTAGAATGGATTGGGCACTTAATTTTCATCAATTCTAGATGGAATGCACTGTCATTTTAAACATGGAACAAGGAGGAAAACAAAAAATACAAAATGTAATAAAAAATTAAGAAATTGTTCTGGTATAAAGCATGTCATAACACCAATAAGCATAATTATTCAAGCTGGTAACACACCTCACAGCCAGCCTTGAGGAAGTCAGCTATTTTTGTCATTGGTACAAAGTATGCAACATGTGGTTTTCCTGTTGTAGCTGTTCCCCAGTACAAAGATAAATTTTTCTCTTGTAAAATTATTTTTAAGCGATCCTCACCGATAACTTCCTATGAAAATAATAAACAACATAATGTGACGTAAACTATAATAAAAATTGATTCTCTCCATGAATAGGCAAGTCATCTGATAAAGATTTGAGCATCTCAGTATATAGTGATCATTATTAGCCTAGCCAATATAATGCAGTAGATCTACTAAAGCTGAGCATCCCTCTCCCAGCCACACAGAAAAATATCAAACCTCTCATGTGTGGACACCTCACTTAATCCTTCCACTCCCAAGATATCATTAGTAATTCTCCTTACTGTCTGCTATACAAATCTTACGATGCTAGTTGAGAGAATTTGGAATCTAATGATAATCCCCAACCAATATGTTTCTTTATTCCCATTATTTATCAGCTTGATAATGTATTAATGTTGTACACAGTGGCGCATCCAAACCTTGACCTGAAGGGGGGACCCTGGTTTTTTTTTGCCTGCCTTGCCAGCTTTTTTTCCCCCTGTTTTTTTTTTTTTTTTTTTTTGTACCCAAAATAAATAAAGGGGGGTGGGCCCCCTAGGCTCCTCCCTTCGATCTGCCACTGATAGGGAGATATTCTGTCTTGGTCACTCAGGAGAGTTTAAGGGTTATCAATGATGAAGACATGGTCATTTGCATTAGACTAAATGTTTCTCTCTTTTATCAAGCATATAAATATTTTGCGGTTTCCCCCCTATAATGAAGACAACTCTTCATTCTGAAGAAATAACTAGTTGAATTTCTATATAGCCCCATACAACTCTTAACAAAGTTACAGTCCCAAAGATTACATCATAGTCCTCTTTATCCAAGAGCTTTATGCATAATAAAGTATGTGGCTGTGCAGAAATCTCTTCAATAACTCGACATATTGTGGCAAAGTGCCATTAAGCATATAGCTCTTTTTGTGAAAATCTGAAATATGTCTAATTATATCAAATTGGACAGTGAGTGTGGGGATTCGAAGTACATATCATTCTGCAATAGGAAATCCCCTACATAGATTCACCCAGAATTCCAACCATAAAATTCTCCTGATATCAAAATCCAGTCACTTATCTACTTGTAAAAGACTATGATGGAAAAATCTCATTTACAAAAAGGTTGAGAGGTATTGAATGTTTCCTTCCTTCCATCAATATTCCACTTCATCTTTTCAGACCTCCTTCAAAGGAAGTAATATCTTTTAGGTCTCATTACCCGTCTCGTATATTTCTTGTTTTCACACAAACTACTCTGGAAAGATCTCTGTGATAAAGCGTTTGATTCATACCTTTTTCTTAAGTATTCATACCAGATAATAAAACAAAACTACTGAAAATGAAAACCTATGCCCTATATGTTTCGCCACAATGTAGCGTCAGAGCTGACGCGGATGAAAAAATAATCGAATTACCCATTACATCATTATATCGAAATATAATTGGAGAAAGTTCCATAACTTCAATCTACTTTTTCCTGAATTCGAATATAAACATCTGAAACCCTCACCTGTAAATTTCTGGTGATCAAATTGAATTTTTCGTCAGCAGAATACGAATCATTCGAAGCCATCCCAGTCGAATTGATGGTCGAGGACAAAAATATGCGAGTATAAATATGTGGATTGAGTAACAGTCTACAGTTTCTCAGCTGATTTACACCAAAAGCAATCCTTGAGGTAAGCACCCGCGGAAGCATACAAGGAGATTGCCTAAAAAATTATATTTAAACTATGTTCCCCTCTTCTCGTGTGTTCGGGTTAAATTGTTCTCACGCGATAACATCTTTCGAAAGAAAATGCTTGGGTACCTAGCCTTCTGTAAAAACCCTTTGGATGCTGGGGAGAATAGCCCCCGGTAACCCGAAAAGTTGTTAGGATTCTTAACCTTTAGTTACAACTTCCTCAGACCGAGATTCTTAAATACACTTAGGACAACATTCTAAATAACTATTTTATTGTCAATCTTCATCCCTTGTGTCTATTTTCAAGGATACAATTGCCTTCAACCCTTATGAGTATTCTATGGCGTTTAGCACATAGCATTTGGCATTTGCCTTCCGATTTTCTTTTTTCATGACTAGCCCACACAGATGGGTGGCTTTTACAAAAATAAGTTACAACACTTTTAAAAATTTGGTTGTGCAAGTCACCAAGAAAAAGAATGCTTAATCTAAACCTTCTTCATTTGCATATCAAAGTTGTTTTGCAACGATTTAGTTAAGAGTTCTGTAGCTTGCTAACATCGGTTAACAAATTCCTCAGTCTCTACGTTAATGACAAATTATTTAAACATCATTAAGTTTTATATATATACCCAAGGTTCAAAGGGTCTTGAAAATTTTCGTTTGGTTAAAAATTATTAAGTAGTCTTATCATTAAACTAAAAAAATCATGAACTCTTTGATTTAATCTGACAAGTAAATTTTGTACTGATAGATCACGAGCTTCTGTCAGTGCCCACAAACAAACCTCAAAGTGACAAACTAAGTCCTTCCCTTTTCACAGTTCAGTTTTTTTTTAAACACAACAACAAGCCATAAAGTATTTCCAATATTTTCAGTCAGTTTCTAAGTTTCACAGTGATGGTATCAATCCCAAGACCAAATCCAAATATTTCTATGAGGAGCTGACACAGAATTTAAAATAATTTTGTTTTCTTTATTACTCATAGCCTCTTGAGGTTGAAAAAAAAGGTGTAGTAGTTACAGTGTTCTATAACTAAAATCATAGCTGAATAAATACAGTATATGCTTCCAATAAAAAGAAATGAAAATTCAGTAAAAATTGGGATAAACTTGCTAAAGGTCAACCCAAATTTTTTTTAAATTTACGCATTATCTGTGCATCAGTCCTCTCAAACTTTGCACCTTCATGCTCATTTGCAGCAATTATTTTGTGTTTTCTTAGAGTTTCTGTCATTAACTAAGACAGCCACTTCTCACTGAATGGACACCCCCATAAAGCACACACCTTCAAATAAGGGACAATCAAAAGTAGTCCCAACCATTTCACTGACAAAAAAACTTAGCTTATTTCAACCACAAAAAGGAGGGATTAGTGTTGACAGTGTGCACCCCAGAAAGAGTTGACTATTCAACCTATAGCAAGTCAGCCAGTGTGTACATTGTATTTCAATGTACTACCAAACCCCATTACCTAAATGATCCTGTAACTACAAAATCATTTACAATGTTGACATTAAGACCACCTCCATGGCTAAAGGCCAAAGATATCAGTATGTTGGATATGTCTGCTGCTGCTGCTGATAGTTATAACCATACTGATTGTACCCTTGCTGCTGTGAATATTGTTGGTTGGTAGGATACCCTTGAGTACTTCCATAAGCATTCTGTGTAGCAGGCTGCTGCTGCTGCTGTTGCTGCTGCTGAGGTACATAAACCTGATAGCTCTGTGTCTGCGTCTGTCCTGCAGTTGAGTAGGGTGCTGCCCCTGCCGGTGAGTAAGTCTGACTTTGTGGTGGGTAACTTTGTTGACTTGGTTGACTATAAGGCTGCTGCAGCGGTTGGTTAGCCGGGTACCCTGACACAGAATTTGTCATACCTGGGTAAGAAGATTGTGTCTGGGTGGAGGTGGGGGCATAAGACTGCGGAGCATTTTGTCCAGTTTGTGTAGCCTGCTGAGGATACTGAGTTTGCTGGGCATATGATCCAGCCACTTTGTTGGCAGGTGATGGTGTAATGTTTTGCTGCCCTGGAGCCTGCATCTGCTGTGATGCTGGGATGGACTGTGGAGGGTACCCTTGTGAGGTTGGCTCTTGGCTCTTGGAACCTGCTATTCAAAAGGCATTAAAAATTATTCATGGCAACTGTACAGTTTCTACCCAATAAAACACTGAAACATCTAAACAGTAAATCAGACACAGCTATTTTATTCATCTGCCCTTCTAAAACCTGCAAAAAAGTCATATCTTTTTTCGGATTTTTGAGTTTTAATTTATCAATATCTTCCCTCCTTATTGAACCTATGCTGTAAAGGACAACATCAGTAAAATGCTATCTCTGGATGGAGTCTGGTAGATGCAGTGACCTAAAAATTACAACCCTTGACTTTGGATGGAAAGGTTCAGACTTGATCCCTGTTCAGGGCCATTGTGTTGTTTTCTGAGAAAACCTTACCCAGCACAGTACTTCTCCCTCCTTCAACATAATTAAATTATGTATTCCATTGAATTTGCAAGGAAACCTAGAAAACTTTTCTGCAATGGAATAACATCCCATCCAAGAGTGGGTTGGCAATACTCCAAGTCCCTTTTATATCACTGACACTTACTTTACTTCAATTAAGGCATGAATGGTGTCATAAAGGGGGTAAGTTTCCAAAGAAACTGTGGTGCTGCGTCGGTGGGAGAGTATAATGGGATAATTTAGTGTTATCAACTGGGTTGAAGACATAAATTGGCCATCGTAAAGAGTTTTAAGGCTGATAATACAAGCAGTAGCCCTTCATCAGAGGGATAGGTGTCAGATCATCAAATTGAAGCCAACCACAAGCAATTTGAACCAAGGAAAACAAAGAACTATTACAGACACATTTTTCTCCAACTGGAATTTTTGTATGGCAGTTTGATTGTTTTTCTAGTTTACTCCATGACTGTATTTATGGTCTTTCACAAACCTATTCCTTCAGTAGTGCCTGCAGTGCTAGGGTACAGGTGTCCTGAGATGTTTCCCGTCGAACTGTCCGGTTGTGCTTTGTCCTTAGCAAGAGGATCAAACATGGTCACCTCAGGGGTTGGTTTGGGAGGCAGTTGGGCTGGAATTGTTCTTTCATTAGGGGGACCTAAACAGAAACAGAGCATAAAACTACGGGCCACTTTCCTGATACTGATTTAGTTAGAATGTTTTGACCATCACAATTTACACGAAAAGGAAACACTGCATAGGAACAAGCAAATAGTCCACTTTCACCATTTTCATTTCTAGCTCCAGACCCGTAAGTACAAAAAAAATCAATGAGAGTTATGATTGGTCCACTTAAACCCTTTACACCCTAACATCAGTATGTATATTCTCCATACTGTTTTCTGTAGATTTCTTAAGGAATTGACAAAAAGAATTTGTTTAACAATCAAGGGCTTTTTCAGTTGGTGATCATTTCCTTTATTGTTGTGAGCTAAATGTTTGATTCAGGGATGATAGTGTAAGGAGAAATTAGATGCCAGTTAGAAGTCAACTCAATTCATGATCCCTGTTCAAAGCATAATGAGCATGGTAAAAAAAAAACTAATCCAAACTCTTCATTACAACTATGACAATGCATATTGGAGATTCATGAGGCAATCAAATGCTATTACCAAAAACTTTCCAGGATACTACTTCTAAGAACTTGAAATTTTTAAACAGCTGACTTTCTTTACAAACCTTGCATACTAGGTATATCTTTTGGCTGTTCTTGCCCACCCTTCCGCTCCTCATTTTCATCCTTTACTTCCAGTCTATTCAGAAGATAATTAATCCTATCCCTAACCTCTGTCAATTCCCTTCTAAACTCTGCAACCAGTGTGTGTTCAGGAGGTCTAGGTACACCATTAACTGCAGAGGAAATTGTTTAAATGATCATGATTTAACATTGACAAGAATTCTACCACAACTAGAATTAAAAAAGAAATTGACCAAGAAACAAACATTTAAATTTTACTAAGCAATAAAAGACTTGCTGGAGATTGAAAACTTTCAGACAGCAGTCCTCAAACATTTGCCATTTGTCAAGTTTGGAAATCTAGTTTGCATATTCCATAATTTTCTTTAGAGAATTCCTCTGCTCGTTTCAAAAACTTAAGCAATACAACTTATGATATAGCTAGTTATCCCTAAGTTAAATCTCAAGACATGTGTCAAGGTATTAAACTTAATGAATGAAACAGTCCAAGGATAACATCTTTGCATCGTTAGGAACATACTCACAAAAAGAAACGTTCCACAAGTAAATGTAATTTAATTAACTTACCAAACAATGTAATCTTTAATATTCTGCATATTGTTCGTGCAAAGGCAAGATCAGAACTGTCGAAAATAGTTACTAGATCGCCATCTGAAACAGAGGGGGAAAACTATTAAATGAAGCTTAGTGTCGTGCCTAAAGGAATGGTTTTCATCAATCAGTCAAGTTTATCGTCAAATCTGAAAGCCAAAAAGACCAGTCGACTAAACTCACCTTCATCCTTATATTTGATGGTAATATCATCTGTGCTACTAAGTTTACCACGGTAAACTCTCTGCATCATCAATAGTAGATCATCATAAGTCAAATCTTCGTTGTGAATTGGAATGCATCTTATATCATCCCCTAGACGAGCCTTAATAATCAATGTACCACTGAGATCTACATTGCCGCCTACAAAATTTACTCCTCTATTTCCAGGAACTCCAATTGAGAATGTCTCTGGAGTATAATTCATTTCCGAATGGGTATAAAAGTCGTGACAATTTCTATTTTCCAGTACTGTCCTTGTGACAAAAATTACGTTGCTCTTCCAGAACTCAATGACTTCATTCGTTTCCAGTCTTCCAAAGATTAATCTTAATACTTGTACGCAGTACTTCTCCGACATAATCAAAGAACGCCTTGAAATATTCATTCTACTATTGTCACCATGTTTTCACGAATCTTTTTACAAAATAGTTTCTATCGCCATTTTCTATCTACTTTTAATAAAAGATATTACAAGAAGAAGTCATGGAAGGTAAGATGTATGCAGTTTTAATCATAACTGAAAACATTGCCTTGGGTAACTGGTTATTATTGATCTTATTCACATACTGCGGCTTCGATATATTCACGATCAAAGTGTAAATTCATGGCCTTTTTCAAAGGTAAAATATTGCACATGATCACATTTTCACAGACCTAAGAGAGGCTCTAACATAGAAATGTGTTTTGAAAAACTGCGAGGCCCAAAGACAACCAACGTTCTTCGAGCTAAGGCTTGCTAGTCACCAATCCCCCCAGAGTATTGAGTATGGAAGAGCTGATTGACAAATTGTCATCAGGCTTTTAGACTTGATTACCAGCTGCTGTTCGGGAAATGAGCCCGCACTCAACCCCCCCCCCCCCCCCAAGTCACAATCATTTTTTCTCGCAGGGATGGAACATTAAACTTGAGAAAACAGCCGAAACCGAACCTATTAGGCTTTCAGCTCTTTAAATAGCTATAACAGGGTTCTTTATTTCTAATATCTTATCCTTTGTTTTAGATGCAAAGGAAAAAAGCTTCTTCTTTGGAAAATTTTGAAACCTTTTATGCTGACCAGTTTGGTGAGAAATGGCCTATGATTTTTGAGTCACTTAAATTACCAATCCAGCACTGTGCAGTGGTCAACAAGTTTTCTGCAGTTGAAGAAGTGCAGGAAAAACTCTCTTTGGTGGCAGCACGGCCTCAAAGTGTAGAACCTTTTACAAGCACCCTTAGTGAAGATGAGCAAAGTCAACTTATGTTGCCCTGTTACTTTCCAAGTTCTGAGGAAAGTGTTAGATTTCCCAAGCAAGGAGAGACAAGCAATGGATTTTTTGATTACTATCTTCTGGATGCTTCATCTCTCCTACCCGTTTTAGCTCTTGACATTTGTCCAGACAATACAGTGCTTGATATGTGTGCTGCTCCTGGAGGCAAAAGTGTCCTGATATCACAGTTTCTTTCAATAAGAGGTTGTATTATTGCCAGTGAAATTGCAAACCAGAGAAGGGCAAATCTTATTAAGGTAGGAGTGATTAACCTCTGAGGTAACCATGGTGATTTGTTTAAGAAGCATGCTTCTCAAATGTGTTAGACAGCAATTTTGTATTGTGGCAATTCATCCACAGAAAATTGTTATAATTAGGTTTTTCTAATTTGAAAGACTGTTTGAATAGATTTAAAATTAATTCATCGAGAGGGAGGGTCCTGGGGTGTGGCCCTCCCCACTCCCACATAGGAGCTGTGAGTTTTTTTAACTTCATGTCAGACGCCAAAATTCTAGCAACAACAGGATTGCATGTGACTACTCAATATGAAGTATTTAAATTTAATTGTCTTGAAACATTTCTCAGCTTACTTAGGCTATGGTAAAAAAAAATGTGTTTTCTAAATTAAAGCTTTAAAGCTCAAAAATTTCAGGATTTATCCCTGAAAAGGTTTATGTATTATTGTTCTTTCTGATCTTCTTGGTTAGGTAATTAAAGACTACATACCAAAGATCTCCAAAACTAAAGACTTGGTGCATGTCAGGAGCTTGACAGGTTTCAAGTACGGCGAGTACGAACCAAACACGTATGACAGGGTATTACTTGATGTACCATGTTCTGCTGAGCGACATAACTTGCACACAAACTTTGAGTTTAGTTTTTGGTCAGAAAAACACTCTGCAGCAAACGCTAACATACAGAAGAAGCTTCTTATGTCTGCGTTACAAACAGTTGTTCCTGGCGGTATAGTGGTTTATTCTACTTGCTCCATGTCGCCGATAGAAAATGACGGAGTCATAGATGAGGTTTTATCAAAATGTTCAGAAAACAAGCAGCTCAAAGTTGAAGTTGTGGACTCGCAGTTTGCAAATAATTCGTTTGCGAAAATGTTTGATTACAGAACGACCAAACACGGGGTACTTGTCGTCCCTTCCAAGACTAAGAATTGGGGTCCGATGTATTTTTGTAAACTTCAACGACTGGCTATCGAATCTGAGCAATTCTAAACCATATCTGAACTCAGATACTTTTTTTTAAGTGGGTTCAAATGTGTAACTCTAGAGAAGTGTACACGATGATTTGAAATACAAAATCAATATCATTGAGCGTATCAAACGCCATAATATGACGAATTAAGATCTTTTATCTACCCGATTGATAGAAGAGAACGTGAATCTTTTTTTTTTTTTTTTTGCATGAATAGCCACTAATAAAAAGTCTAGTTCATCACTTCTTCCCAACTTCAGGTAATTTATTCCATTCTTTTCTTGAAAGTTCTCTGTAAAAATCCACTGGCCTCCATAGAAATCTTTCATCCAGGCCCTGCTCTAATCCTGCGAAGCATCAGTGAAAGATTTGTGAACGCAATTCCTCGTGTGTTATACTGCTTCTTGTAAACCACAATTTTTCATATCCTTTCTTTTTAAAACGCAGTTTACCCGTGATTTTGTCAAAAATCCAAACTTGCGTACAACGCGCATTATTTATATGCGTAATGATGGCTTTAATCTTCATTGATTATTGTACGCAATTCGTTTTACACTGTTTTGGAAACAAAGCAATTAACAGGAATTCGTCACTAACTGCGTATTAATGTTAAAAAAAGAGTTTGATACTAGCACAAATTATTTTCCCCGACAAAGGCTCAGAAATCCGATCACGCGCTGACGATGATGCAGTAACTTTCTTCGAGCAACGAAAGGTTTCTAAACAATTTCTGAATGAAAGGCCCCGCAGACAACTACTACAACTGACCATGATAGAGATATTTGAAGATGACAGGGATATCTCTTGAATAGGTTCAGGCAATTATGCCTTTTGACCAATAGTGTGGATCCTCTTCATTATGATGTAACCCACGCAATAAACCCGACACAAACTCACTTGACTCCCACAAAGTAACTTCCAAATTTGATATCTTAGTATTATCAACTGAGTTAATAACGTAAATTGGCCACCGTTAAGAGTTTTAACGTTCATGTTTCGAGCGTTAGCCCTTCGTCAGAGCGAATGGAGGAATTGTGGGTTGTGTGTGCGTTTATATGCAGAAAATGGATAATACTAAATTACCCTAATAAAGTACAAAATTACCCTATTATAGTCTCCCAACGGCGCAGAACCACACAATCTTTAGAAACCTACCCCCTTTATTCATTTGTCTTTAAAATTTATGTCGCACCCGTCGCCACTTTATGGTCCCGGATGTATTTCCTTCAAGGCACACTAACCCTTCGACTCCTAAGGTGACTAGCATCTAATTTCTCCTTACAGTTTCACCCCTGAATCAGATATTAACGTAACAAGAATAAAGGAAACGATCGCCGACTAAAGAAGCTCTTGATTGTTTAATAAACTCTCCTTGTCACCACCTTGAGAATTTTATATTGAACAGAGTGGATAAAAAGGCATACTGATGTTAAAATGAGAAGGGTTAAGTAATTGGTAAGTTGTATTCTATTCCTTCCAGATCCACGTTAGGTTTTTAGCCATTTTTCGGTTTTTCTTTGCAGAGAAGAAACAAATCTGTTTGAGGCTCTCTAATTATTTAATGGACCTCTAGTTTAAGAGAGGAACATCAGGGATTGTAAAATAAACGATATTACGAGAAGAAATACAGACAAAAGGATAATAGACTGAAACGTCATGAACGAAAAAGAACAATGAATGATAAACGAGAAATTCTTCATCTCGATCAATTCTCATCTCAATCATCTCATCTCGATCATCTCAACTCGATCATCCCTAACGATCACAAAATTATCTTGAACCAATTATATTAAACCAATTGTCTTAAACCAAACGTGTGGAAACGTCTTGTTGTTCTATTTAAACAAGATGCTGTCATCTAAGTCAAGTAATCGAAGTCGCACCATGACCACCATTAAGTGAAAAATACTTGGAACAGTGGCCTTTTTTTGATGATCATGACGAAGCATATAATTATACAATTACGGATATTAGTGTCCTTCATCATTCATTTTTGCATTCAATTCGCATCCACTACCACCACAAACCCGCATGTCTTGAACGAGTAGCCGCAGAATGTGTTATCGCGGACACATCGCATGTCTTCCGCCATCCACAGGAAGTGTAGCACCAGTTATGAAAGATGCGTCACTTGAAGCCAGAAAAGCGATCACATTTGCTACTTCTTCTGCATTTCCAGGACGCCCCAAGGCATGCGTTTCCTTTGAACGTTCTAAAAACTGCGCAAGGAAAAACAGATATAGAGTAAAAGTGAATCAAAGACAAATGTACGGAAAACTATTTCGTTATCAGCGAGATAAGACTTTTTCGTGGTGTTTACATTGAGGGAGGAAGTTCAGGAAGTAAACGGGGGGGGGGAATAGGGTAGAGAAAAGAAAATGGTGGGGGAGGGCGAAAAACGGACAGAGGTTTGCGACAAGTTGTTTGGTTATGACGCACGTGCGCGCATGTTAGCCACGCCCTTGTGAGTTGCACATTTCTGGTTTGCCAGCCATCGAAAGGACTCCCGTTCGGGGTGTAGGGCGAGCTAACATCGTGACGAGGGAAAAAAAATGCTCGTATCGGAAGAAAAGACACCAACAACAGAAACAAGTAGTCTTTGGCTAGGCTGAGCTACAGTTTCTTTGGTAACTTTTCTTCTCAAATGGCGTAGTTACGCCCCATTCTTTCTAAAGACGGGACTGTTTTATATACTCTAAAAAATACCGAGCATTATGAATTGACTGAAATTTGATTCAATTTGGATTCCTATTCTGCGATAATGTTGCGGTCATAATGTTGAGTTTATAGATACTTGAAAAACACATTCACACGTCGAATTTTTACTACTAATCTCCAAATGGTGGAACAGTGGTAAAGAAAGGGATGAAATATACCCGCACACAATCCTTTCATGACGCAACTCGACACATGACGTACCTTTTGGTAAGCTTCTTCGTTAAGCCCTCCTCGTTTCTGCAATTCAGTAATCGTAACACCAGGGCTGTTGAGGGGAAAGTGAAATATAAACAAAGAAAGCTAGCATCTTCATGAAGTAACAAAAGTTAGAATTCTTGTTTTTATTTTTATCCTATTTTTTCCAAGAACTTTTCTCTTTGCCTTTGATGTTAACTGACGTCCTAGATCTATCACCTAAAATTGTTTTGTTTAATGGCAATATTTACTTGACTGAGTTACAGCGGATCTTCTTTGGTGCAAGTTCTAATGAAATAAACAATAACAAGACAAAAGTTATTGCAGGACACTTCTCTCCGTTGTTGCTCAGGGCAGCGTCCATAATTAATAATAAAAACCCCTTCATGGGTGTTAAGAACATTCCTTAACAAAGAAATTCTCACAAGTTAAGCAACCTCTAACGCAAGTTAAAAAATTATGTAGTCATACTAATTCATATGTAAACCTCACATAAAACAGAGCAACTAATCAGCAGTAAAACCTCTGATATAAAACTGAAATCTGATAAAAGTGAAGCTCAAATCTATTTTAGTCCTGTTAGCTGCTTAAATCTGGTGGTTACATCTCCTTAAAAGAGTTACCCATTGAATACAGGTTTATTTCACAGTAAATCCAGGGGCAATAGTGGGTGGTAGGAATGAGGTACTTGAGCAAGTGTCCACTTAATGTGTAGAATCCTCTAAATGCAGGTTACACAGTGCGCAAAACCTTTCCGCATATATAAATAAATGTATAAATAGAGTAACTCACCAAGAGCCACACACCTTGTTAGTTGATCCAAAGCACTTTTTGACATATTGTAGGCCAGAACTCCTGGAAACTACGACAGAACTGCTTGAATCAGGATTATTTAAATAACTTCAATAGAAACAGAGGCAGTTCTGGAGAATTCACCCAAGATAAAACATTAATAACTGACCCACACAAAAAGAATCCATGATACCACTTATTTATTGTTTTGAAAGGTCCCTGTACACTTAAACAAATTGCATTTGTAGCAGACCCAAAACTAGACTTTGAGTGGCAGGTGTGCAAGTACTAGCTGAGCTGTCACCCTTGGGGTGGATCTACGATTTTCCATAGGAGCTGTTGCAACACCCTTTCACCTGTGACTACAAGCTTCTGCAAACTGGTCAAAATTATATACATGTGGTCAAAAAGACATAAGACATAAAACTTAATAGTTCCACTATGCTTAAACATACATGTATTTGATCAAACATTCAAAATATTTTTCAAACAATTGTAAAAGCATTAGCAATTAACCCTTTAACTCCCAGAATCTTATTAGTAATTCTCCTTACTGTCTACAATATAGTTCCTGTGATGTTAGTTTGGATAATTTGGTATAAGATCAAATTAAGATTTTTCTTTATTCTCATCACTTGTCTGCTTGACATTGTATTGATATTGTAAGGAGAAATTCTGTCTTGGTCACCCATGGGAGTTAAAGGGTTAAAACTGATGGACAACTTACCGACCTCAGTCCATTGACACTTGACACATTAACAATGCACCCTGTAATTAGAGAAGTATTCAAAATATGACATATAAATCAAGAAGAGTGTAGTGAGATATGAAAAACAGGTTTTGCTTGCACCTCACGATTGATGTTATTCAGAAAAAAAAAAACAATCCAAAACATGATACAACTAACCTTGTGTTGGTGTTAGAAATGGAACTGCTAGAGAAGTTAAATAGAACACTGACCTAGGAAATGTAATCAAAATAACAGAAATTAAGCAGCCCAATTATGCTTGAAAAAAGTCTGTCCTCGATGATAAGACAATTGACTAAAGATTTTTCTTCAAGCTCATACCTCACATTGATTCTCATGATCTGATCAAATAAATCCAAGGAAGTGTTCTCAATGGTTCCCAAACCAGATATTCCAGCATTGTTAACCTTGAAATGGATCATTGCAATTAATAAGTTACTCTGCATCAAAATTTGTGAAAGAAAATTCTACAATGCAAAAGCCAGCAGTTAAGACATAGCTGGTATTAAATATTATCCAAGTTCTGAGTCAGACATAAAAAATACCTATACAGAAGCTGTTTCATAGATTGATAAATGAAGTGAGCACATTTTTTAAGCTTTTTATTCACCAAAGAAACCATTTTTTTCTCTGGAGCAAGCTTTACAGAAGAACAACAAAACAATTTCTTACCAAAATATCCAGCTTTCCATAATGTTTGATTGTGGTTCCTAGAAGCATCTTTACATCTTCATCAGTTTCCAAATCACCTTGCACTGGAAGAACCTTGAGTTGAAAAGTTTCAAACTTGACAACAATTAGCACTTAGGCAGTTCAACCTACCAAATTAAATGTATAAGGGACCACCCAATGATACAGAACTACAAGAATTTTGCCAGGAAGGTTGAAGAAAAAATAGCCACTGATCTGCTCAACTCTCTTTCATGGCTCTGTCCACAAACTCTCCCTCTCGACAATCTGTACATACATTCATTCCTTATTTCTTCTATTTGCCTATTTTTTCATTTATTTATTCCATTCTATTTTTTCTGTTGTTGAGCTACCTGAGCATCATTTCTTTCTTCTTGGCAATGAGCTGCTACTTTTTCAAGGTTGGCTCTATTTCTCCTCCCAAATGCCACATTGCATCCAAGCTTGGATAACAGCAAAGTTGTTGCTCTACCAATACCTGAACTGCCACCTAGAGTTTAAGAAGAATGGTCACATTAATGTCATAGAGATGAGCTCCCAAGAAAAAATATTTACTATTCATAAAATGCACGGCTAAACTGCAGAATACCCTGCCACTTATTTACATGTCATTGAATAAGAATAGAGACTATTATGCCTCGTTCTTGAAAGCCTCACGACACATGTAAATGAGGTGGACCAAAGTGGCAGGGTATTCTGCAGTTACTTCAAATGCACTACTCATTGAGTGTACTAATTACAAAAATTATAGTCTGATGCAAAAATTATCACTGCGCAAATTCCACATTTATCTATTCAACGAGACTCTCGGGAAAACAAAAATACGAAAAATTGTTTTCCTCATGACCAGATATTTAAGTACTTAAATTTATTTTTATATTTCTGACTGGGTGATTGTGAAAATTAATTGACTATAACCAGGCGGGAAATTTTTGTCGATATAAAAACCAAAAGGTAAAGGTCGACAAGATTCTTTAAAAACCTCAACACAGGCACCACTGTTCAATGAAAAGAGGATTTCGATGCGGATTGTTTTGTACTTTACAATTCACCGTAGGAGACGATTGATTGAGAGAAAAACTACAGAAGGAGCGGATACTTATTTGAATCGCAATTATATATACAAGTATGCGACTTAAAAGCTCATAATGTACCTGTTATTAATGCAACTTTGCCTGCGAAAGACATCCCTCCTGCCGCCATTTTGGTTTTTTCCCAATTGTTGATCCCTCTTACATCGGGAAGTGTGGATGGACTAAAGAATAAAGGTTTGCGGAACGAAAAAAAAAAAATTCACCAGCTCCAAAAAACACAACCTTAGATCGTGAGAAACCATAAAAAACGAAGATGATGAAAACTGAAAAAAGAACACAACAAAACAAAGGAACAAGACGGAAAATAAATACGCAGAAGTGGAATGTATGATAATACAGGATCCTTGGCTGATTTTTTTTTGTCACGCAATGACGTGTTCCCAACGAGTTGCGTGTCATTCCCAAAAACGACATTTGCCTCAAGATTTAATTCTCTGTTACCTTGAGTCAAATTACTTGAAATTTGAAAAGGTTAAAATTTTTGTTCAGCAATCTTCTTGGTTATAAAGTTTTTGAAAGAGAATGGAAGACTTAAACGATACTATTCAAACTACCAGGATCCAACAACTTTTTGTTGGGCATTAGCTACAACCTTAATGTAGTATGTAGGGACGGATTTCGCGAGAAAAGAGTAAAGGGAAACTGACTGACTTATCGGTGGATATGGTTCTTAAGGTGTATCCGGTCTTTTTATCTTTCAATTTCGTCAAGAGAGAGCGGAAGACAGTATTTACTTACCAAGAAAACGTGAATGCGAAAGAGATCTACACTTCCCAAACTTAAAGGAGCAATTCATAAACGCACCCAGGGCTCTCCGCCTGGGCGCACCCATTGAAGCACTTGAGCTGATGATCCTTCGCAAATATTTGATTACAAATCTTACAATTATGATGTGCGCACAACTTGGCTGGCCAAAAAATGGTCAAGGTCATGGAATTTGCTCGTCACTCAAATGATACAATGAGTTGAAGTTGAAATGATAACTTAATGGCGACTGTGATGTTCCTCGATAACTTATCAGTCAACTGAAGCCCATGTTTAAAGGTTGTTCTCGCGTCGTACTGACCCGTAAGGCATTGTCATACAGTGGAAACATCTTTGGTCCCTCCCGAAAAAATGCTTCAAGAACATTTGTATGTTTTACCGTCATTTAGGCGAACCCTTCTTTCTGGGGGCACTTTTCCTAGTCTATAGGGCATAAATGCGCCTTTGAAGACTGCGGAAATCGACGAGTGAAGACCCTTTAATTTCAACAAGAATATTCGCTGTCTGAAATCCGGCACCCTGCAATTACAACCACCGTTTCCAATGCGCAATAAATAATTGGATTTTTATTTTGTCATTGCTAGAGAGAAAAACGATTTGAATAAAACTTGCGACTGTGTCTTATCATTGACATTGGTAAATCATGTGAGGTTCTGCTTATAGTGCTACAATTACAGACTTATCTTTCTGTTCAAACTTTCCACCTTTCGCTCCCGAAGAAATTTAACAAGCTTTAATATTCATTTATAAGCAGGAGCATTCAGTTTGTATTTCTTTCATCTCGGACACATGGCATGTCTTCCTCCATCAACAGGCAACGAAGCACCTGTCATGAAAGACGATTCACTGGATGCAAGGAAAGCAATCACACTCGATACTTCATCCACATTTCCTGGTCTTCCCAAGGCGTGAGTTTGTTTGCAACGTTCTAGAAACTGCACAAAAGAACAAAAAAGCTTTAAAACAAAACAAATTCGACCATAGAGTGCACAGTATACTTGCATATTAGTTTTTGGCTCTGGGATTTTGGAACGATAGTCAGTGGCAAAATTGCTTATGACGCTGAGCAAAAAGAGACCGTTCCTTTTATTTTCCAATTTCTCTGCCCTCTCTATTCTAAAACAACACTTTACTCCGGCCAGAGGGAGAGCAACACCATTAGCCACCTCGCCCATACCTTTGGTCAACTCGCCACACCGCTAGAGATGACCGGGTACTATGCGCAATGTTTGAACTTTGGTGAAGGGTAAAGTTACCTTTGCGTAAGCCTCGTCATCCATACCTCCCCGTTTATGAATTTCAGTGATTATTACTCCAGGGCTGCAAATGAAAACAGAAGTATCGCAGTAGATAAAGATACCACAGCTTAAATTGAGTTCAAAGATTAGAGAGAAAACATCACTTCCATTCTTTTGTAAGTTTTTCTGTTTTTTTTTTTTGTTTTTTAAGGAATACTTTTCTTTTCTTTTTACAATTTGATCGTTGAAGCATTCACGACTTTTTGATAGTAATATATAGACAATTCTCTGAAACCCGTTACCTACTGTGTCTAAGAGGGAAAAACCTCGCAAGATGTTAGAGTAAAATTCAACTGAGCTTCGTCGCATCAAAACCAAAGTAATTATGACGACCAACGAGAAACCAATGAAAATACACGGCACGAAGAAGCAATCTGTTCGAAGCGCGGCAAATGTGAGGCTGAGAAGGTAGCCAAAATTTTCTTTGTCAATCAGTGAGTAAGGTAAAGCAAACAAATACAATCCCGATTACTTAGAGCGCTTCTCGATGGAGTGTCATCAAACCAAAACAAAAGTTATAACGAAGGGAAATCAGAAGAAAGGAAATTATCTTCAAACACCAACGAGAACTCAAAGTTAAACAGAACACATAGTCTAAAGCGCGGGAAGCCGCGAGCGACCAAGTCGCGATTGGTTTCAGTTTCGCATCATCTGATTGGTTCAGAGAGCGGCACAAGTTATCAGGACCACATAGTAAAGTAAAGCAAAAACAGAGAAATCCCGGATTCTTTCGACACTATATTAAAAAATTGCTCTAAGAGAGTCATTTGAAAATTGCTCCACGACTTGTTTTAATTACACATTCCGCTTACATGGGGTTGGGGACAGAGTGATAAGGTTACGTAAGGGGAAAGACAGTTAAAGTTTTCTTACTTTCCTGTTTTTGTATAACATTTCGATTATACTTTAATCTGTTATTAATTAAAAATCACTTACTTGACTGAGTTGCATCGAACGTTTTTTGATGCAAGTTCTGAAAATAGCATGACAATTAAAATATTAGAGGAAATGCTCTGAATAACTCTGAGGCTTGATAGCTCCTCTGTAAAATAGTGTCTTAAGTGAGCCGATAAAATGTAATATGCTGCTGCTTCTACAAGTTGCAGGTGAGTGTTTCCCTACATAATTTTTAATATTTGTTATCTCTCAGTCTTTTAATTAGTTACAATGCAGCTCAGAGATGAGGAGACCAAAATGTGCAAAGTATAACTTGAATGGTACATGTACAAGACCATATGTATATTAGTATTGACATACCAGTGAATCCATCTATACTCATAATTCTTGTATTTACCCAAACTGAGATGTTTTGGTTCATATCTACCAGTAAGTTAACAAGACCACTTAGGTCTTGTTAACAAGATCACTAAGAAAAGACCTGTTAAATAGCTTGACCCTAAATAAATCAGAGGACACACAGAAAAAGCTATAATGTTATACAGGGTGGTTTGTGAATAGTTGTGGTATTATTTTGTCACTCTCACCAAGTGCAACACATCTTGTAAATTGATCAACAGCACTTTTAGACATGTTGTAGGCAAGCACTCCAGGAAACTACAGAGACAATAAAAAAACTCAGTATTCCTTGTTTTTTGGTTTTTTAAAGCAGCCCTTGGGTTTGTCACACAACACACTGTTTTATGAGTGGCCTTTCAATAACAGACATGATGTCCCAAACAGAAAAACAAGACACTGCATCTTTACTAATGATACAAATCTGTTGTGCATACATGACTTTCAAGCAAGAGGCAAAAATGGTATGGTGGGGAAATTATTTTTCTGTAAATCAAAAGAGTGTTCTTGCAACAAGGGCGACTTCAATCATGCAAACCAGGTATAATACAGTAGACGCATGATAAAAAGTTGATCTAAAAAAGCATAAAAATTTCTTTGCTGTTATTCAGTAATTTGATGAACTCACCGATCTCATGCCATTCACACTGGAAACATTCACAATGCAACCTAGAGCAAGAATGGCAAAGCGTTGAATATTTCATTCATAACTTTTGTGCCCAATTTACCTATCAAAACTTTCATTTAGAATTGCAGTAGATGATAATATTTTTACCTTGTGTTTGAATGAGGTAAGGCACTGCCAGTGATGTCAAGTAGAAAACAGCCCTAAAGGTTAAGCCAAGAAACAACAATTTACTTCATTGATAAAACAATCACACGTTTAAAGCAAGGAAAAGTGCATTAGGAACATGAACACTGAGAAGAGACAAATAACTGTCTCAGTGATGGAGGGGGCTTATTCATCAAGGGATGTGGGAATGGGATCTAATAGACAGGGAGCACTCAAACATTGTTGAACAATGTTACACAATTCTTCTGAAGAAAGCTGGGAAAAACTCTCCAGATTTTCTTTAGGGGTAACAGGAACAAGCCAAGGTTCAGGAACTTGAAACTTGTCAAGATTTTCTTTGATGAGTTCTATTTTTTCCAAAAAAAGGACCCATTAAAAAGTGTTTTTCATAGCATCCTCTCAAAATGATTGAATTTTCTTGATTTTTTTAATCTGTCAAGTTTTTACTGGTAGTAATTCCAAACTAACAGTAAGTTCTTGGCCAGAAATATCTAATATTTATTTGCCTTGCACTTGACTGAAATCTGGTGTACTTATGATACATAAGGTGCCAAAGAGCTTCAGCGGAAGAAAATAAAGGAATTTAATCACCTCATATTGATTCTCATAACCTTGTCAAAGTCTTCCAGTGTAGTCGTTTCTATGGTCCCAGGTATAACTATCCCAGCATTGTTGACCTGTATGGAGATTAAACATCTAAGATCACTGAAGTTATTAATTGGCAGTAGTTGCCTTAAGATATCATTATCCTCACCTTTTACTCACCCATTATCTTAAAAGGTTATCTGTTACTCAGTTGTCAATCAATGATAACAGGTTATCTTTGATACTCAGTCGTCATACCATTCAAATCGGATGTTTCCTAGATGATTACTCTTCTGTTCTCACTCCATTATCACCAGACAAGTGTAATAATTTATTGCTACTCTTGAGACTATATGCTAAATGGTAAGTTATTTTCTTGTCCTGCTCAGAAAGAAAAATGACCTTGCAGGCATTTCCTATGATCAACAAGTTAACCCTAAAACCACTAAGACTGATTGACATCTAGTTTCTCCTAACAGTATCACTGCTGAATCAAACTTGAAGGTCATGAGAATGGAGGAAATGATTTAAAACTAGAGCATCTCATGATAGCTAGGTGAACAAATTCTCCATTTCAGTATTATAAGAAATGCACAGAGAACAGTGTGAAGAATATAGATACCCATGTCAGGGTTCAAAGGGATAAAATTCTCCATAAGAAAAAGAAGAACGACACATGCACACTTACCAGAATATCCAATTTTCCAAATTCTTTGATAGTTGCTTCAAAAAGAGCTTTCACATCTTCATCTTTCTCTAGATCGCCTTGCACTGACAGAACCTAAATTAAATTATATCATTTCATCAGCCATGAGAATGACAATTTTTATATCAACAAACTCAACTCCTTGGTAATCAAGGCTGTAGTTGTTACCTGAGCATCAGCTCTAATTTCTTTGCATTTGGCCACCACTTTGTCAAGTTCATCTTTGTTTCTTCCTCCAAAAGCTACACTGCATCCAAGTTTGGACAACAAAAGAACTGTTCCTTTACCAATACCTGAACTTCCACCTGAACACACCAAAAGTCACCAGTTACGTTTCATATTAATCTGACCATTTCATCAAAATCAAGTTACTAGACCTTAACAAGGTTTCTGAAAAAAAACCTTCCAAATGTAATAAGATGGACAACCACTATGTCAAAACTGATTCATTTTCAAACTCTCCCATCCTACTAATCTATTTCAGTTTATTTGTTGGCATCAGCCCCTTTAGTGGGGAGGGAAGGGTAGGACACACCTATCACATCCCCCCTTCCCTGACTGGGTATCACCTCAACTGAAATATTACTAATATCTAAAGTAAGAGCCTCAAATTATAGAATTTTGATAATTATGATAGTAAATTCAAAGAAAATACCCTCCATAGTTCGCGACTTGACTTCACTTGGATTCGAACTTACAACCCCGAGAGGCCGTCACGTGCGCCATCGATCCAGGTAAGGTGGAGTGAAATATTATAAATGTCCTTGATGCAGTACGCAGAATGTTGATGATTCACCAATATAAACACTATTAAACTATAAGAGTTTATAATTCCACATATGCTGAGTTAGTTTTAAGATGTACCTGTTATCAATGCTACTTTGCCAACAAATGATCTCTCTTGCTCAGACATAATGGCAGATTTCCAGACGTGTACGGTACTCAACAATCTGCTTACATGAAGGTTTGTAATGGGTAGCTGAGCATCCGTTCCTGCCATCACTCTTGCTAACTATATCGTCGCTGAACATGCATTAAGCTGGCGGAGTAAACCTTAAAGTGTATTTCTCTCTTTTTTTCTTGATATCTGAGGGAAAAAATGCCAGAGTACGAGCTAGCCTTGATAGCCAAACGCCTAACAAAGGTGAGAGGATATGACTGAGTCACCCCTAAAAATGATTTTGACTAGAATTTTTTGCAGAAGCTGTAGCACCACAATAGGATGTTTTTTTTCCAAAGTTTAAATTCAAGTCAAGACTTGGACTTATTTGCGTGATCAATCTTTTTGTTTGGACAGGAGGGTTTTTCTTCCATGCTTCGTCGGACAGCTTTATTCATCATGAATGAAGGAGGTGTTGTTAAGAAAATGGAGAATCTTGGAGAGCAAGAACTGCCTCACAGAATGAGAGCGCATCATGAATGGAATACGCATGGAAGGTAACGAGAGTCAAGCGTGCTACGTAGTAACCTAACCTCACATATTATAGAATGTTTGTTTTAACTACTTTACAAAAATTGCCTTTTGTTACCAGTCATATTGTTTGTTGGCCTTAAAAGTTACGGGAAACCATGTCAGCTGAATATGAATGCCTACTGTTTCACGCTGGGAAGAAAATAATTGTTTGATGAAATTGTACTTCCTTTCTAACAGCCAAAAGCCTTAAAGAAATAATTGCCTTGCAGATAATTATGTGCTCATGTGTAATCCTGTCTGGCTACATCTTGCTGCAAATGACATTCTCTTCTTGCACAGTAGTACAGTAGCGGTACTTAGATAATGGCGTAATATGTGACTAACACAGTCTATAGACTGTAAGATTTTTACACCACTAAGTGCGTTGGTGTATATGTATGTAAGATTTTAAGCCATTAACTAACGGCGTAAAATCTTACAGTATATAATTTACCAACTGGAAGAAATCACGCCGTTAGTTACTGGCGTAAAATCTTACATATAAACACAACCGACTGGAAGAAATTACGCCGTTAGTTACTGGCATAAAATTGTACATATTATGCCGTTATATATATTCCCGTACAGTAGTACCACTATTTTGCCATGGTATTAGGTGGTGAGACCTTGTTGCATTTGGTCTGCATACTTAAAACCCTGGTTAACATTCTCCGACATTAATCTCCTCTTTAGTTTTGATAAGAGCTAAGTGACTGAAACTCCTATAGGAACTGAAAAAGATTTATCCTTAGCTGAAGGTGGTCTGTGTAATGCACTAATCAATTCAAAGCTTCAAAATCCCCACTCCCTTGGGCATTTGAAATTTTGAAGGCCCTTTTGTTAAAATTACAGCAACTGGGGCAAAAACTGTATACAAATGCCCCACCCACAGAGAAAATCAAGAAATGTTACTTTCTTCACTTTGACTTTGTATACCTTTTTCTTTTGAGCCATTCACTTGTGAGAGGGAACTAGTCCTCAAAACGCCTCCATATTAAAAGATATAACATTTGTAAATTCTCATCACTAATCTGACTTTTGAACACTCCCCATACATAAAAGGGCTAACATGTATTCAGAGTATAGCTGTTTAGCTTCTTTTAATTCCTCCTTCTTTCTGTTTTTCTAGATACTTCTTAATAAACTTTATCTTGGGAGCAGATGGAGTCAAACAACTGAAACGTGAGCTGGAAACAGACTTAGACCTCATACGGCCAAGATTTGTGAAAGTTAGAAGCTGTTATGAACCAAAGAAAAAACCACTTAATACTATAGAATGTTGGAACAGTTACAGACCTCCTTATAACACATAGTTACACCATTTGCACTTGTACACACTCACATACAAATGTCAGAGGAGTTTCTTCAGGTGTTCATTTCTTAATTGAAATTTGCATTCATTCTTGGGAGTACTGTTGATTGGTGTAAATTTTTACATTCCAGTGAAGTGTTTCATTGTAAAAAATGAGTCAAATTTAAGGAAAGGACTAAGACGTAAGATTGAAAGGGGTAATTGGTGGTGACAATCAATGGTTTTGAGAGTCTGGATTCTAAATCGTTTCACTTCCAATATCCAAAAACCATTTCCCTGTCTGCTGTACACTTCTTGATTTTTAAGTTCTGAGAATTTGGTGTAAAATCAGTCATAGTCCCTTGGTTGATATTTTTTTCTATCTTTTTGTGACATCTCAGCTTGATAATTTATACATATTGTAGGAACAAATTTCTTTTTGGTTACTGCTACTTTTAGGAGTGAAAGGATTAAATAGAATTAAGGCTGAAAATTTTACTCTTTCACCTGTGACATGTTTTGCTATATGATGCTAGATTTTCATTCCTGGGTGTTCAGACCTTTTTTCTTAAGTGATACCCAAGCAGGAAATCAGTTTTGCCATCATATGGATACAAATGAAATATTTGAAAAGAATATACAGAAAACCTTGAAGAAAGCTTGGAAGTGACGAGCATGTGAAACTTTTTTCATGTTATGATATTTGCTTACACATGAAAATAAATCATACATGTATACCCCTTATAGAGAAATAAAGTAGTCCTAAATATTGCTTGAAACTTTCAAACGCTTATGATTTACGTTCGGTGGTCTCTCAATGAGTCGACCATGAATATCTGCCTTCCTTTATTTTAATTCATTTTTAAACTTTTTCTGCTCGTGATATTCATTCCTACGCGTAGCTTTTAAGTGTTGATTGTCAGCGCGTGTGACTATAAGAGGACCAAAGATAGGCTGCCCCAAATAATGGCAAAGAAACATTCAAGCAGAGCAAGTAAACACCTTTTATCTTGTAAGGAACATAAAAGAATTTCTCTATCGGCCCTTAGCTTACAAATCTTTACATGCAGGGCAACACGCAATCTCTACGCTCGCATTGCCTTCTTCAGTACCGTGGTGTTATGCTGACCTTTCACTCTCATGAGAGAGAAGTTTCTTCACTTCCGCTTTTGATTTTTCAAAGCCGAAACGGAAGCTATCAAATGACCCAATGAAGAAATTTAAGTCAGACGCTGTACAATTCGCTCATTTCTACATTCCGACAAGCTGCCATCATGAAAGCTCAAACTCAAAGGAGCTGTTCCAACCTTTCAATCATTTCTATTGCATCTATCTTGTTTTACTGTGCTGGATTTTTGAGAATTGAAATAGAACTAAGCAATCACAGGAAGAAAATAACTGCTCTTGAAGACTTTGTAGACGCTATGAAAGTCCATGAAGGGTCAATCCAAGGTACCCCAGCTGGTAGGTATTGCTAAGGAACTGTATTATTTGTTGATTTAAAAAAGCTTAGCTTAAATTTTTCAAGTTTGTCACTCGCAATTTGTCATAGTCTTTGCCATCCTTTCGCATTCTTGTCCCTACGTGGTTTATTATTACCGTTTCGGTGTCTGTCAACCCTATGAAACAAACTTTTTCAAGATTTTTGTCTATTTCGGGGAGATCTCCGTAACGATAAAATGACTCGAATATCGTGAAGTAACCTGACTTAGCTGCTTATGTCGTCAAACAATTCAAGTGAAGTAACAAGACTACGTGTTCGTCTTAATCACACGATAAGATTTTCTTCGTCGCTAACGCTAAAGAAGCTTTTCTTATTCGCCAGTTCTGTTCCAATTACAAAAACAATTTCGAATAACCGCGCAACAACACTTAGTTTTGGGCGCATCAAAACTTTAACGACGAATTTTTGAAAGGCTCGGTTTCCGTTTTCCATGCAGAACCGTCCGAGTACTTAGTTTTCCATTAAGAAACCTCTTAGTAGCTCGTAAATACGGGGAAAGTCACATGACACCAAAAAGTAAAAGCTATGCACAGGAAGAGACCGTAAAATGTCACACTGACACACTTAAACCAAAACTCGGGGTTGAAATCAATGCTGCTTAACAGGAAGCAGCGACTCTGGCATCATGTCACCTCAAAAGGGGTATCGAATGGTCTTTGCGAGCATTTGCGATCATGTGAGCAATGTATTTATTTTTGCGAGCACAAGCAGTTGTCAAATTTTTCTTGCTAGCAGCGAGCACTTGAGGAAATACAAATTGCGAGCAGCGAGCACTTCGAATACTTCGTGAATTTTCCGCCAGCCGGATAAATCTCATTTATCGCGCGATAAACTTGAATTTAAAAAAGTGGATGGCGTGTCCTCTATGGGCCCCGGTACATAAGAGAGCTTATTCGCACACTTAGGGGTGCACTCCCATAAAATGACACAAAAGAACCAGAAGTGTTTTATAACTGTGCGAGGAATGCCGCTGAAACCTTTCACTCGTATCAAAATATTTATTTAAGGCGAAGGTTTTAAGCTTATTGCAGACCATCCCCGCACTAAATTTTATCAATTCCCCCTTTCCGTACTTTTGTGGTCAAATCATAAAATTTCACCTTTTTGTTCATAGAGGCCCAAATTAAATCCTACAGAAACAAGCGTAACGCTGACACGACCAGAAACGCCACAGAAGATAAAACTTCGTCGTAAGCATTACTGAAGATCAACAAACTTTTGTCGAGCGGCCGATTACAATTATGTCAACCAAACGGTTATATCAGTCCTTGTGGGCCATCAGGCCCCCCTGGTCCACCTGGACCGAAAGGTAAGAGAGGGAGACCTGGGAAAAATGGAGACAAAGGTCGTGCGGGAGAACCTGGAAAGAGTGGAAAGCGAGGTATGACGGGCATCGCTGGATTAAAGGGGAACACTGGACCCAGAGGAGAGAAAGGGGACATAGGAGCCACTGGAATGCCGGGAATGAAAGGGGAGCCTGGTGAATCAATTTCAGGACCTACTGTTGAAGTTTCTCCTCAAATTCGGACAGTGAACGAGACTGAATCAACGGTTTTCCAGTGCTCAGTCAGTGGTAATCCCAGGCCAAAAATGAAGTGGAACAGGCTGTTAAAGGGTTCGGAACTTGAGCAATCGACGGTTTCGGAAGGAAGACTACAATTGAGGAATATTAGAGCAGGTGATGCCGGCATGTATCAATGTTCAGCGGCGAACATCTTAGGACAGGTTCAGAAAACAGTGCGACTGGTCGTGAATGGTATGTTTTTCTTGAATGTCTGTCACACATCTTCAAGGCTTCATAAAAAAAATTGTTCCTCCTTCGTTATGAGCTTGCTTAAGGATGTACTGAAATATACAACAAATGATAAGTAAGGGTTTAAACCACCCACTGTGCACAGAAAAAAAGCTTCGCCGAGCTGCACTTGTCGGATCTAATGCTACAGGTTTAGCACTCGGAAAGTGTCATGAATGTCTGAAACATCCAACACGTTATTAATCTGGGTCACTCAAATGATTAATGAACCGTCTGTGGGTAGGAAATAACTTATGTTCGCACATGATCAATTTACACTGTGCTTTTTTCTTCTTAGTTCGTCCACGTGTTTCCCTCAATCCTGGACCAATGTATGCCATTGAAGGAAGTAATATAACCCTTCCAATCTGTCGGGAGACAGGTCATCCACGGCCAGATATCAAATGGCTTAGACCGTTTGGTCAGTTACCACAAGGAAGAGTTCAGTTTGAAAACAACAACAGCACGCTTACAATATTTGACGTTCGTCGCACTGATTCTGACAACTATGTGTGTGTGGCATCAAACCTTCTCGGTAGAGCTGTGAAAAAAACTCTGCTGCTCGTGTTCTCTCCTCCAAAATTTATATCTAAACCACCCGAGAAAATAAAAGCAATTTCCGGGTTTAGTTTGAAGCTGAACTGCAGCGTAACTCCCGACGGGCACCCAGTGATTAGCTGGAAAAGACAAGGCGCTCAGCTTCCCGCAGGGAGAAGTTTTATTTCTAAGGAAGGACTAGTGATCACAGATTTACGGCTTCAAGATGCTGGAAACTATACTTGTATTGCTACAATAGCAGGAAAATTTTCCATTGAGACCTCTACTATTCTGGAAATAAAAGATGGTAAAAAGATGGCCGCACCTTTTGACCCACTACAGAATGAACTATTAAATCAGTATCATCGAAAAGTAATGATCATATACAACTAACCATAGACTTAGGAAAGGCACGTTAATAACTGATGTACCAAGCTAAAGCTATATCGTCAGTGTTCTGTGGTTTTGTTTGCAAACAAGTGAAATGTTTAGTAAAAGCTTTCGCTGTCCTCAAACTGATCACTGATGGGTCAAACATTAGTGCGTAAGTCTCTACATTGTTTTAAAATAATTTTTCCTTGCCTTTATAGAAAGGTGTGCTGGAGTCATAAAGACTGTCGGCACGCCTGTCCTTCATTACAGACGATCGACCGCACAAGGAGCTTGGATGAGAGACCCATTAGGAGTTATGGGTAAGAACAGTATATTCGTAATGGAGTCATTTCATCAAAGAAAAGTGGTTGAAGAATATGAAGACATGGCCAAGTTAAAGGCAGGCGTGACTCGTAAGACGTACCAACTGCCTTATAACTGGCACGGGACGGGAGCAGTGGTATACGGGTCATGCCTCTACTACAACAGGTCAGGTAACATTTTGGTTTTCGTCAACAAACTCACATGCGCGAGAATTTGCAAAGATTACAAATAGACGGATTATAGCAACACATTTTCGCAAAGTATTTTTTGATATTTTACCCGAAAATTCATAACTCTTTGAATTTCATAATTCCAGAGGAACAGTTTTTAGTTGCAAATTTACAGTTAGATCGTACTGAGTAATTAAAAGAAGGTTTAGAACTTGATTGAAACTTAAAGGAAAAAGGCGATAAAAATGTATTTTATTTTCATAAATTATTCAGGAGTCTCAGATTTTTTGTGCTATGTTCCTTTGACCCCTAAGAGTGACCAGCATTTATTTTCCCCTAACAATATCACCCCTGAATCAAACATCACGGTCACGAGAATAAAGGAAATGATCACCATCTAAAAAAATTGCTGTTGATTATTACATAAATTCTCTTTGTTAGCGCCTCTGGAAATGTATAAAGAACAGTATGGAGAATATGCATACTGATGGTAGGGTTTTAAGGGTTTTAAGGGTTTTAAGGGTTAATAGGCACTTATTAAGCAAGAGAGGTATAGCCATTCAACTACTTACTTAAAGAGCTGAGAAATAAGAACTGATCGAGTTTTTCTTTCTTTCTCCGTTTGAAATCTCTTCCTCTTGTCGATACAGAGAAAGAACGTCCCACATTGACAGGTATAATCTGCAGACAGAGCGTCTTGAGGGTATAATAGGATTGAGTGATTTCTCAACTTCGCCTTACCAGTGGGGTGGATACAACGCAGTGGACCTAGCAGTTGATGAGCATGGATTGTGGGTATTGTGGGGAAGTTCTAGTAACAGCAACCGTCTGAACGCAGCAGAAATCGACGTAGATAGCAACCGCATAACGCGAATGTGGACCTTGAACTCAGGTAAAATAGATATTGTAAAATCATTAGAAGCCTTCAAAAGGTCGCGACCAAAACTATTTGATATAATGTTCTTGATAACCTTTATTACAATTATGACATAATCACCTTCTGAAGACAGAAATAAATTATATCCAAAGATCAGCGGGCTTATCATCTCATTCAATCAATAACCAATGAAGAATTAGTCTATAATTGATCTTAGAGAGGCCTATATGTAAATCACCCTTATTACCAAGACAACCATTCGCCGCACAACAAACATTAGTATTGTTACTGAAGCCGTCACCCAAAGCTTGATTGTCGTAAGCCTACTAAATTAATAGATATATAACTATCGTGTATACCCAGGTGGAAAATCAAGACTCCAAGAAACTCGACATCCGCAAGAACAAAGATCTAGTGGAGAAGTTCCACTCATATGTTTCTTAGTGAAATACCAGTGTGGTATTTCACTCAGAATTATACTCTGAAAATGATTTTCTTATTTGGGTACATGAAAGAGGCGTCACTGACTTTCTAACTATTCATTTATCTAATGCTGGTCTTGCTCGTTTTTTACAGAACCAAAGTACTCCATGGGCAATGCTTTTGTAGCCTGTGGAGTAATCTACTGTATTGACGAATATAACAATAATCCCACCACTATCAACTTTGCTTATGACACCAAGACAGGAAAAAAGTGGAACCCAAACATACAGTTTATAAACCAGTATGGCTACAACTCCATGGTGGACTATAACCCCAGAGAGAAAGTGCTGTACGCTTGGGACCGTGGGCGGCTCGTTACTTACTCCCTCACTTTTCAATAAACCGAAAAGGCATATGGAGCTCGGAGGCACTCTCAGGTTGCTTTTAGGAGACATTTTTTGAAGAATAAAATTACTTTGTTGTAGATCCATATATTGGAACTGTAAAGTGAGCTAGATTGATACATTGTTAATTGTGAATTAACTGCACGATGTTTTCTAACAAATATTTGGCTGCCCAGAGCCGTGAAACGCATCACTATGAAAAAATTAACTAGTACCAGCATAATCTTTTGATCTGAAACTATGAAAAAGTATTACTGTAGCAAATTTGACTCAATTTTTTAAAATTGTATTTTCTACTGTGAAAGTTATGTGTAGTTTGAATTTTGAAATCATTGAATGGAAGTTAAACAATGAGTCTTGGTCTTTTGAGTTTAGTTTCTTCATGAGATATAGACGAAACAATTTAATGGTAAGTAACTTGTAAATTTGCAAATTAAGTGTTGCTTATTTGGAGATGAACGAGGATTCTCTAACTCTGCTCGTTCCCTTCGCAATCACCTCTAAATTTGTGCTACACTAATTTTTTACCACAATTTTTCTTCCTACATTTTTGTATTCTTGTTCGTGGCTAAGCGTAACTGGTGGAATGACAGACTTTTAAAAATCACTCCATCTATCTTTCACGTTCGCTAATCAACATCCATCTTAGCGTCGATTTCTTTAACTTAGAACAGGCTAATTCACTTGGATCTCCAAGAGGGTTCCAACATTTACTGATGTTTTAATTGAAATCATTCATATAACCTTTTATATAAAAAAAAAAAAAAAAAAAAACGGGTTGAAAAGGCTCGTCAGAATGCTAGTTTCTTCAACTGATCCAATCATAGGCTCTCTTCTTATTAAAATCACAGCTGAATAGTGTACTCACCAAAATTGGTGGGGCGCCTGAAATCAAAAAATTTCAAAATCGGTCGGAAGAGTATGAACAGCTCATTTCCTCCGTAGAATTTGTGAGTATAGTTACTTAAGAGAGAGGCTTTAACCTTGTAAAAATTCCGCCCGCAGAGCTTTTATTCGGCGGTCACGACGAAAGAGACTAAGATTCTCTAATTGCTCATATGATAGACACTCTTTCGTTCCAAACCACATTGTCTTGTGAAAAAAAAAAGAATTAATTTAGGCTTAAGTTCCTACATAATTGCTAGGCAAAAATTTTGCAGATCGGTGACCAAATCAGCTCATAAACCACGTACTGAACGCACGCTGAGCAAACTTTAGCCTTTTTTTGTGGGTAAAGTCAAGTTTGCAAAACTTGTGGAATATTGGGAACTGTTGCTATTGTATAATTTAGTTTTATCAGTTTGGCTCCTGTAAAGAGTTTACAAGCTGACGTTTCGAGCGTTAGCCCTTCTTCAGAGCGTCTCCGTCCATAAAAACGCCAAAAAAGGAACTCGGCTAATATCCAGCCAACTCGACTTAACGCATGACTATACGTCATATTGTCTGCCAAATTACATAAAGTGTGTTTTACGTGTATCACAACAGTGGGCTCAGGAAATTAAACGAAAACAAACATGGCGGCCCGAACTTGCTCTGCAGTATTCAGAGTTAAATGTGGGCTAAGTTCACCCCGAGTAGAGCATATTGCCAGGAGCTTTATACGTAGTAGGTATTTCTGTACCTCAGGAAAGGTAAGGAAAACTATCTTAAGCACCTACAGATCAATGTTACCGGAAAAAATATATATGTAGCTCAAGTGAATCAGCACTTTCGTCCAAGAGTAACCAATATGTTATGTCTTTGATCATTTTCCACAAGAGTACTGTTGATGAAGAAGAGATTGAGAAGCTAAGCCGAACAATAAGTGATTGGTGGGATCCAAATGGTGACTTTTCCGCTCTTCATTCTATGAATAAACTCCGAGTTCCTTTTATTAAAAGCTCTCTTGAGCATCTACCTGGGGAAAATGTCACCTCCTCAAAACCTCTGAAAGGTTTTAGAATATTGGATGTCGGCTGTGGAGGTGGAATATTGTCTGAGGTAAGAGTTTTATGACCAGTTTATGAACTACCAGTATAACTGATTTTTATTATAGCTCTCCTGAGAAGATTCTCTATTTTAGCCTTGTATTGAGTCAAAAGATCTCATAGCCTTCTACTGCTATGAATTCTTTGACTCAGTTATGTGTACCCAGAGCATTAATTGAGGCTATGTGTGCAAAAAAATGTTTGCATAAATTTAACTAGGTTGAAATAAATTTTCTGGACACACCAAATGTCTCCAAATATGTATGCTAAAAACCACCTCTTCCCATCAGAACCTTCTAAGCTATGACTAAGACCCAAGACCCTTAACCTCAGAAAACTTAAACATTAAGACCTCATAGTAAAAGTAATCCTGGAATGCTGCAATTATTTCTTCCTATTTTTTCACTGAGACCTTAAGCATTGTAAGGGCTCTTTATTAATTAATGGACAAAAAAAAGTTTCATTTCCAATTTCATTTGAAAAGCTTATTTCACTTCTGTTAATCAAGTTTAGTTGCTTGAACCATAAACTAGTTATTTAGATGTGGTTAGTCTCCAATCAACTCAAAGTGGTTTATCTTTTTTAGCCTTTGGCAAGACTAGGTGCAGAAGTGACAGGAGTTGATGCATCAGCATTCAATATACATGCAGCCTTGAGACATGCACAACACGATTTTAGGGTGGCCAGCAATGTGCAGTACAATTGCATCACAGTAGAAGAGCTAGCTGATAAGGAACCAGAATCTTTTGACTGTGTTGTTGCTTCAGAAGTTATTGAACATGTAACAGATAAAGACACTTTTATTTCTGCAAGCACACAGTTGCTAAAGGTGAGTTTGTTAATTAGACATGAGGTAAGGTTCCAACCTTTAAACTTGTTCCATCTCTCTGGTATCCCATAATCATCGTGGTGTTATGTGTCATTAATTTCATGCAGATATACTATCTAGAGTGTATTTTTGTACTCAGATTACTTGTGGTTCAACCAGTCAGCCCTAATTGGGAGCTGAATCTGTACATATGGGGTACCAGAATTAAAGTTATTCAGAAAATAATGGAAAGAAAGAAATTTTTAATGTAGCAGAGCTATATTTGATGAAGTGCATGTCTCTGGTCCTACAAAAATTTTCTGGTGACCTGAGGTGCTAACATAGGGTCTTTAATTATTGGAAACGTCATGAACTGCAAGGTATTGAGTTCATAAATGGATCAAAACAGAAAATTGGTAGCATGGAATAGCCACAGAATTTAACTCTAAAAAAATTGAATGTTAGGTTTTAAACAATTTATTTTATTTATTCAGCCAGGAGGTTCTCTAGTGATAACAACAATCAACCAGACAGTTTTCTCATATGCTGCAGCAATTTTAGGAGCAGAATATCTTTTGAGATTAGTAAAACCTGGAACTCATGACTGGAATAAGTTTGTGACTGTTGACGACCTGGCAGATCTGATATCTCAAAGTATGTGATAAATTTTTATTGCACAAATTCACCATACAGTGTTTCTAAACACAAGATAAACAGAAAATAGCAGAATGATCCTTAAAATGTCATAACAAAGTAGCATTTTGTGTCAATTGCTCTTGTTCCACTGTAAAATAAGAAATCAAAAAACACTAAAAACTTTCATAAGTTACAAACAGGGTGCCTGTACCTGTAGGGCTGGTTTAACAAGCTTAAGAGGAGCCAAAAATCTGTCTTGCTTCCTGACACAAAAAAACTTTGCCTCACAAAAGCCCTAATTTTGGCTAATGCACCTACATTGTTATCTGAGCACCTTTCTGTGTAAGCCACAACCCTAGTCAAGTTCTGTTGAAACACAAAACACCCCTTCTCTTGTAATGTTGCATTTTTCCACGCCATTTGATTTTCTCATTATTTTCATTGACAAAGGGGGAAAAGTAGCAATGTTTCATCAATTGTGACAAGGATTGTAACCCCATTGTTCCTTAGGTTTGCATCATGTAGATACCTTTTCTCACATTCATTTTATTTCTTCATATCATTTTGATTTGCACAGATGGTGCAGAAGTTATGGATGTAAAAGGAATGTTCTTCATGCCAGTGTTTAACAAATGGTGCTGGATTGAGGATACAAGTGTTAACTTTGCCTTGAGTGCCATGAAACCTGAACAAATCTTCCCCGAGACGACATCAGAAGAAAACCCATCAAATGAGTCTGAAACCTGATTGTTAATTGTGAAGTTAACTATTTAGAATTGTAAATAAAGTATTATTATTTGATTAGTTGACCATTCTGTCTTTTTGCAAGCCTCTCAGTCTAAGTAGAAGTTTCTTTTCTCAAAAAAATAATCAATTATTTGGTGACTCTAAAAGCCATTAAACCTTGAAATTCAAATGACTGACATCTGCACAGGCCAAAAGATAATTACTGTACATCTGACCTATCTCTCACAAGAAACTAATCACTGCCTACTTTCTAGGCTTCACTGAAAAATAATTACTGTGGAGGATTGGGAGATAGCCATACAGTCACGGAACACTCTGCTAATGCTAATTATGGTCTATGCAGTTACTTATTGATCTTATCATGTTATTACCTCTGAGAAGAGAATTTGATGCTAGAAGAGGCCAAGGAATGACTCGGGAAAAGAAAACTGAAATTTTATTACAGCTCTGTTTGTATGTGCACTATGATTGGATGATTTAGCAGGCCTTGGTTCACTGTACCACCTACTAAAACTCAAATTAAAGTTTCTTGGTATTGAAATCTTCCCCTCTATGTGAACCCAGTGATATAAGAAGTATCTTACTAATTATGTTCTCTCAGTCTGTGCTGGATTATCATATTTTTCCACTCAGATTTATAAAAACAAATTTGTTCTGTAATTTATAGTACGGACCTCAATCTTGGTTAGTGCAAGGTATTTATGAATGACAACAGCAAGAGTAGAAGGAAACATTGTATTTTAATTATGTCACTGATCAGATAATTTATAACAGAGAATATATGCCTTTGATAAGGTACCCAGAATTTACTTGAGGAGGAGGATAAAACCAAACATGTTAAGAGTATTTATAAATATTTATACAAAATTTTGATAAAAATAATGCCAAAATTGGTTTAATCATTCTCTTGTAATACAAACATTTTTAGCACTAGAGATATTTCTTGTCATTTGCCAAATCTTTGTTGACATTTTCCATATTTTATAAGAGATGAAAGGAAAGTGGAATAGTTGATGTTGATGTGACTTCTTAAAGGCCTATAAACAAAGAAAGAAAACCATTTATTGAGTAAACTCTGTCTGAAAGGGAGATTAAACCCAAGAGATTCCACTGTACTTAAAGAGCTTGGAATATCAGGAAGTGGGAGGAGGGGAGAGGGGGGTGGGGAGTGGGGGGGGGGGGCAGGGGAGGAGGGGGTTGCTTTAATTGTAAATCAGTTAACCAGTTTTGAAGGATGTGTTCTCATCTGCCATACCAAATACAACAATTTAAATTATGAACCCCAAAGACGTGGCAAGCATTTGAGGTGCCTCCCTTCTGTGAGAGTGCTTTTTAACAAGCAAGGAGCTAATTACTGCAGCACCTTCCATTGATTATGCAGTTGCATCTATGCCTCAAAGGGTGCCTGTAAAATGTAACAACCATGGTTACTTACTGAAATTCTGTGAGGCGAGTTTGCCATGGAAGGAATCCCATTATCATTTGTACATCACCAAACTTTAAGGCAAGTTCTGGGTCTGGTATTCCACATGTTGCTACAATAAAAACATTCTGCATTAGAAGCTCTGTTTCCATTGAAGGTTATTATTTTGGGCATAACTAGCTCTTTACAAGTACTTAATACTAACTACATGTATGAAAACTTCAAGTTCACCGACTGTATTAACTTGATTAAATGCCACCATTAAATAAATGCTGCATTTTAGAACAAAAGTGTTAATGACTGCTGCCCTTGAATAAACACCACATCATGATGCGGCATTTATTCAAATAATAGACTAAAAAAGCACACAGCAATCAGTGCTTTCATTGCAGTTGGAAATTTTGGGTGAACCAGACAAAAATACTTTTGTATGTACCAGTTCTGATGTCAAGAAAGCATATCCGATGTTAAATCTTTATTCACCTTATGTACTGCAGTAGCATTAACATGCAAATTGTGAAATTGAGAATGATCTAAAAAATTACTTTTGAGACAAGCACCAAAACATGTTTCTTTTTTTTTATTCAGATAGTCAGTTGCCATGTTATTGTCGGCAAGATATAAATTGGATTTTAAATAAACACTGCCCTCATATAAATGCCGCTCTCCATTAAATACCACACTCAAATCAAGAAAAATTTAATAAACACTGTGGCATTTAAAAACAGTGCCATGCATTGAAATCCACTCTGTGACACCAACAAAATAGAGATTTTAACCAGAGATTTTAAAATTCCTTGAAGCATCCAAATGCAGGATTTCTTTGTAATTTTTGACACTTATTGCATCATTAAAAAAATATATTTTTTTTAATGCAATTCAATTGTTAGTGATCCTGGTGAATCAAAAATAAGAAGCTGCTCTGTAATTTCAAACAAGGAAGAAATCCTCATTTGTTAACACTTAACCATAACCCTAACCCTGACTTACAATTGCAGACACAGAGTTGTCACGAAAAGTGAAATCCTGATTTTTTTACCCTTTAACTCTTAAGATTTGATTGCTAAGTCTCCCTTCTAACTGCTACATATTTCCTTGTAAATTTGATGTAATAATTTGATATTATGTCAAGATAAACTTTTAGTTGATGAGTTTGAGTATTCTCCTTAACTGTTTGCTGGATGACATACAAACACAACTAGGAGAAGTTGCATGTTGATCACTTCTGGGAGTTAAAGGGTTAAAACTCCCACCTACTGTGCAAATGATCAAATGGTGATTAAGTTTCCTTTCCTTCCACTTACCTTTTAGAATACCATTGAAAACATCTGGCTCCATTTGTTTAGGTGTTCTATGCTTCAGTTGGACTCCCTTACAAAACTCCCTTGCAGCATCAACAATGTCTCCCTTTCCATCCTGCTCAGACAGCAAGCTGATACACACTTGTGTTGGTGCTACAAAAAAGAACAGCAACACAATAGTCACAAATTCACTAATTCAATAGCTGGAGTAGAGTCAACAATACTGGGCAAAAAAATTGGGGAAAGATAAACATGATGACCATTAAGGAGGCACTGATATAATCTTATAGAATGTGATGACTAAGATTATGGAAAGTTTGAAGACAACTTTAAATCAACAGACAGACATTCATGATAACCTTGTCTTGCATAACCAGAGAAAAAAAATGTTTGGATTAATATTTCCATGACCAATAATTGGTGAATTATTCTAGTGCAAATGATAATTTCAAGAATGAGAAACTTGGGACAGTGTGTAAAAACAGTATTCTAAAAATACAAAGTCAACTTCTGCAGTTTTTTATTTAACAAAGACTGTGCTATAGGAAAAAATTAATCACTTGATCCTCAAAATTGAGAAAAAAATACCACAGCAGAGTAAGTAGATTATCCATAAAATGTATCCAGAATAGCAAGGGTTGACAGAATTTTCATGACCTTTGCTTGTCAGCTTCTATACCTGATATCCTGTCACATGCTTAACATATGACAAACCTATCTAAGGATCACATAATAGGAAGAAACACAAGAAAACTAAAAATAGTATGATCAATATGGGATTTGGACCAGGAGATACTGATAGTGCTGAAGTTCAAAGAACAAAACTTTTGTTCTCCTCCACACAACAGTCATGTCTGATGTATGAGATCAGAGTCACAGCATGAGAATTAAATCACACTCTGATCTTTCTTGTGGGAATAAACCGGAAACACTTCATTAATTGGCTATTGTGCCGAGGAGGAAATAACGTATAAAGTTCAGAGTAATATGAGAAACATGTCAATCTGGACCAAGACCCCAGGGAAGACTACGATTTTTAATACGCAATAAGAGAAAAAAATAATTTTAATCATCAAACATCCATGTTATTAGAACCCAAATAAAAAAAGATAAGCATCACAAAGCCTTACAACCAAACAAATATACATTGCTCTGACTTACCAAGGATCTCACAATCGAATTTAACGTCTTTTGTTCTCAGAACAAATGTGTATTTGCTGGATTCATCTGTAAAAACTTCTTTTTGCTTCCGAATAATTTCACTTGAGAAGACTGCAACATTCTTCTTTAGTATGCCTGAAAACGAGCAATATTCTTTTTACAACTGATTCGAAAAATGCATTGAGGTTTGTTACATTTGAGGGTAAAGTAAATTACATCATACTGAGTACAGGCAAATTGAAATTGTACGACCTACCCTCTTTATCGTAAACGCTGATGTAAGGAATTCCCATGGCCATTGACCAGACGATAAGTTGAGCCAGGTCTACAAAACTGATATCGGACTCTAGAATCATGAAACTGATGTGTCTTGGAAGTTTCTTAAGGTTTAGTGAATCGTTCTTAATATTTCCATGTGTACACGTTCTCGAACTGATCGAGAAATAACTCCTAATTCCGTCAAATAAAATAGCTATGATCCATCTTATGTACAACAGTAGATGTATAAAACTGAGAAAACATTTTAAGACCCACATCGTGGGCAAAATACTAGGTAAATCAGGGTTAGCACCACTCCATTACTATTTTGTAAAACTTTCCATGGACCACCAGTCAAAAATGACAGCGTGTGAGCATGCGTGTAACCCATATGTACCTTCGTTCGACTTCCGGTGATCTTTTAACACCCGTTGCGTGACAAATCTTCTGATAAAAGTGTCGTAAGCAAGTGTACGTACAAGAGAGCCACAAAATAAAATTGAGATCTCGAGACATGAAGAAATGAATTTTCAGTTTTCCCTTTAAACTAAATAAGAATGTTATAATATAATGATTGTATACTGGCAAATTTGTCCCTTTTCGTTTCCAAGGTAACAGTTACACTAATGAAAATATTTTCTTAAGTGTCCTCGTGGCGGAATATTTAACAAAAATATTCGGAGTTTACGTCAAAGAAGTGACATGATACTTAACGGGAAACGAAATTGAACGAACGCTTGAGTAGATTTCCCCCGTTTCGTCTCTATTTTTACATTTTTAAATTTTTATTTTTATTTTGGAAATTAAGAATGGTAAGAGTTTGAAACATCCCTGTTGCGTATCGGTTAGTTGCCACTTCAAAGCTGTCCATTTTCAATTTGTCATAATCAAGTTGAGGAGTCCTGAAATGTCTGTTTACACGATTTAACTCAGCAAAATTTTTAAGAGCAAAACCGGAGGCATGACTTTCTTTATAGTTATCGAAAAGAATTGGTAACATTTGTTATTTTCTGATTGTTCCTCCTTCTTCTTATCTTCTTTTTCTTCTCCTTACCCTTCTCTACTTTCTACGACAGCTAAATACACAATTGCGTAAGATTTTCCTCTCTTATGCGGAAAACCCTTAGCTTGATTCAGGCGCAGTTGATCATGTGTTCCGATCCAACAGTCTTTTGAGAAGACTTCCGGTAAGCCGTGAGCCTGATGGGAGTCTGGACAAGAATGAGACTGAGTAAAGGTGTCCTAATCTTAATGGCGGAAACAATATGGCGCCGGTTTTCAGAACTTGTTGTGGTTTTCTACAAATACAAACGGCCTACAGAGTTTCTAATCCTCGATTATGCCTACAATCAGGTTTGAATGCAGGATCTAGATACTCGTACCGATGGTCTACCTTACAGGTAAGGGAAGTTATGCGTGCCTTGCAAATAGTTACGAAAAGTAACAATATTTGAAATGATTTGCGCCCGGTTTGAAACATGCTAGATTATTATAACTCCACGAAGACAGTTTTCCATCCCCTGCGTTTGTTGATTGAAATATGGAGTCAACAAAAGACTTAAACATAGCGATGAACTGTAGCGAAAAGTTTTTCCCTTACCCTCGACTAGCCTTGACCCTTTTCTTGTACTAGTGAGCTTCTTCGTCTTTTGATGAAAAGGTGATAGAGCTGGGATTCAGGGCTACTGAATAACTCATCATCATCATCAGTTCCATTAAATAAAACTTTTTAGGCACTCTAAATATATGTTTCAATTGATATCATGGAGTTAAGTTATGACTCGATCAGGTTGTCTGATCATCAGAACTAGAAGAAAAGGAATGCTGTCTGTAACAGTGACTGACATTTCAAAAACCTGAGCGGAAGTGATCCTTGAGTTACACTGTTATCCCCAGTGTGATAAAAGAAATGATCAGCATAGGCAAATTCCTAATTTCTGTAGAAATCTGCCAATGGAGAACATACCTCTCATATATGCATAAGTGTTATCATTTTCCTTTTTTTAATACATTCTACACAATTTTTCCTCAGACAATTGGGTGATCTGTTTCAATAGAAGATCTTGGACTCCTTTATAGATTATACCCAGGCATTTTGAGCCATGAATTTGAATTTAAAAAAATAAATAAATAAACTAACAGTTTGCATTTGAATTCAAGGGCTCTTGTGGACACCATTTAAGACCAAAGCCAGCTGCAACAAAAATATTACCTTCGCTGAGCAGTAGATTTACTTCTTTTAAGGTAAAGTCACTGTAATATATTGTTGTACTTGCAAAGTACATTTAAATGCAGCAAACCTATCTTTGTAAGTAAATTGGCCTCCATTAAGAGTTTCTAAAGCTGAGGTTTCAAGCATTAGCCCTTTGTCAGCTTTGGTCAAGGGCTGATATTTAAAATGTTAGGTTTAGAAAGTTGTAATGGTGGCAGATTTACAATATTATCTCAGTAAGTAAAACCAAATTGTCTTGTAATATCCCCTACCTACTCAGCACCAAAGTTTCTTTAGAAACTTACCCCTTTTATCTACTTTTGGAAGCTTGGCATTCCTGCTGCAGGTTTTTCAAGGGTTCAAATACAGCTTGGAGTATTTATGAGCTTTGCTTCTCACCTTTGGATAGGATTTTAACCTACTGTAAATTACCCCCAGCATTTTGTCTAATTTTCCTGTGAGTTTGCTGATACCCACTTGTGCTCCTAAGTGGATAAAGGTACTTTGCTATGCCTTTCATCCAAAAATTTGCAAGAGTTTAGGTCCCAGTTGTTCAAAGTTTGGATAATGCTATCCACTGGTTACAACTCTGGTGGATAGCACAGTACTTCTTGTAGATGCTTATCCACTGGATAATAAATTGTTGGTTGGATAACATTATTCTCCCTTTAAAATATGAGTGTCTAGTAATGACTATAGGGCCACATTCCCATCAGAGAGGAAAGTGGGTGACAACATTACTCCCAAGTGCTCTGCCAAGGCTCTGCCAAGGCTCTAACAATGTTTGTGATCAGTAGTGCATGTTTTGTAATCTTTTTAATACACTGAGCTTCACATGATTAACTCATTTAAACTGGCTTCATTTTACAAACAACATTCAAATTGGATCCATTCTTATGAAGATTTCTATGTTGCATCAACAGCCAGGACTCCTCTTTGTGAGTAAGCGACAGCAACATGGAGGTGCCAATATCACAGGAAAAAGCCTGAAAAGTGTGTCATCCACAGATGGTTTGTCAATAATTAAGAGAATGTTAAAACACGTTTGGCCCAAAGACAGGCCTGATCTGAAGAGAAGAGTGGTTGCTGCTGTAGTTCTGCTTATTGGAGCCAAGGTTTGTTCACCTACAAACATGAGTGAATTCTTACCATGAGATTTTACTAATATTATACTTTAAGGCTTAGTTTTAAAGGCAATCTAATACACAAACTTCAGTCTTTTGACTGCCAAGATTAGTAGCATCTGATTTCTCAAACTGATTTTACTAAAGAAGCTATTGATTGTTAAACAAATTATCCTTTTCAGTACCTTAGGAAATGCTTAAAAGGACAGTGTAGAGAATATGCATGCTGATGTTGGGAATAAAGGATTAAGGCATGTAAAATCAGCTATTGCACCCAGGAAAAAAAAGCTTAAGTGTGATAGTTGGCATAACACTTGCCTTGAGGGCATTGTTAGTTTTGATGGAAAAATGAAAAGAAAGACACCTTAATTACAAAAGCACTTGAAGTAAGGTTAGCTCCAAAAGGAACACTTTACGAAACTCCTCATATGTCCAGCTTTTTCAATCCTAAGTCTTTTTCAAGAACCAGCCTTCTCTCCCCCAATATGGCCCTTTATCACTTATTTATCTGTAGATACTTATGCAGTGACTAACTATGTGATAGTTCATCATGGTTAGTTATATGATAAGCTTAATTATACATGCATTTTTAATAATTCTTATTTGCAATCTATTGGAGAACAGGTGCATAGCCAACATCACCATTAACAGCATTTTGCTTTTTATCAAAATAAAACAAACATATTCCATGTTGCCATGGATTTGTATAGTAACAAATCACAAAAAAGTCGCACTGTGGTAAAGAACATCCCTCAGCTGCGACTTATTTGTCACTTTTTTGTTCTTACCATATTTCAACATCATCTGCAATCTGTTACAGATGTACAGCAACAGGGAAAGTAATTGTTTGCTTGTATACAAGCAACACATAAAGCAGTTAATATTAAATAATAATGTTGCTAGTCAGATGGCCATTGTCAGGTGTGATGACTATCAGATTTACATTATTTCAACTTATCAAATGTCACTGTTAGGACACTTGTGATTTACCATCAAATCTTTTTCCTTCAGCTGACAAATGTCCAAGTACCATTCTTGTTTAAGTACGCTGTAGATTACTTGAACAACATGGACTCAGCATCCTTGGTTCAAACAGCAGGTGGAACTGTCTTCACAGCATTGACAGCACTACTATTGGGATGTGAGTAGTGTTCCTTTGGTTGGATTGTGGAAACTAGCTTTTAGGAGAATCATCTGTATACATTTTTGCTAAGAAGGCTTTAGTATGAATGTCAAACATACAAAATATCTCCACATGCCTGATCACTTCACCTCAATCACATTGAATTTATAATCTCTTTTGTTATTCTCCCTGCCAACAGTTATACCTTCCCTTGCAAATTACAAAGGAGACTTTTTTGTTTCATATAAGGATAACACCTCTTTAACAGATAAGGTTGATGAGATTGTCCATTGATTTGTTGAACTTGTCAACTTTCCTGTTATTTCCTTCATGTTCAGATGGAGCAGCCCGCACAAGTACATCTCTCTTTAATGAATTAAGGAATGCTGTCTTTGCAAAGGTTGCCCAAGGATCCATCCGTGTTGTTGCAAAGAGGACATTTCTTCATCTCCATAACCTGGACTTAACCTTTCATCTAACAAGAAAGACAGGTGCTTTGTCCAGAGCCATCGACAGAGGAACAAGGTATGGTTTTATTGTTTTATTAAACCCCATGATATACTTCCTCAAACTAAATATCAATCCAAGTTAATCATAAATTTTTTTTTCATGGAATTTTTTCAGAGGTATCAATTTCATTTTAAGTGCTTTGGTGTTTAACATCTTCCCAACAATATTTGAGGTGTCACTTGTGGCTGGAATCTTGGTGAGTTGGTGAAAATAAGTTTTTGTTTCATTTTAGTAGCTTGTTTGTCATGCAATAAGGTTTTGTTCAATAACAAATCTTTTGCTTTGCAGACATACCGATGCGGTAAAGAATTTGGACTAGTGACACTGGCTTGTCTAGCAACATATGTAGCATTCACACTGTCTGTCACACAATGGAGGTACATAGTTCTCTCTATTACAGAACAGTAAATGTATTTATTGCATCCATTTTGAAATTGCTAGTGGGCCAAGCCAGATAATGCCTCTCAACATAATGATTAATTCCTTTACTAGAAAATTTATTTGCTTTAAATCGAACCTTTTGTCACTCACTGAGATTGTATTACTGAAACAATGCAACCAACCTGATTGGCTTTCAGCAAAAGAATTTATTCAAAGAACATACATATAGTCACATCTCTTTCCTCCAAGAAACCATCTACCAGAATCTGGTGTGTTTTGGTGGGTACCAATATTTGATTGGTCTGAGACCATTGAAATATTGGTACCCACCAAAATCTTGCAAATTGTGCTGTAAATAGATGTAATTTAGTGAAATCATACTATCTCTTGTGATTTTTAACTAATCTCCTGCTGCAGCTTGTTTAATTTTGTTGCTTCCATAAATCTGTTGCTTCCATAAATTATTTTAGAACCAAGTTTCGAGTGCAAATGAATAAAGCAGATAACCAAGCTGGCTCTCAAGCCATTGACTCACTTATCAACTATGAGACAGTTAAGGTATGTATGGCCTATTATATGGAATGCTTAGCTCGCAGAAGGGAATCCTGTCACAATTATGCAATAGTATTTCAACCCTTTGATCTCTTAGAGTGAAGAGCATCCAATTTCTCCTTACAATATCACCCCTTAAGGTCACGAGGAAAGGAAGTGATCACCAACTAAAGAAGCTCTTGATAGTTAAACAAATTCTCCTTGTCAGCGCCTTACAAAATGTGTGTAGAACAGTATGGAGAATATGCATACTGATGATAGGGTGTAAAGGGTTAAAATGCCAGAGGTTCAAGGAGAGTGAATGATCAAAAGCAGTCGTTAAGAAGGATATTAGAAGTCATAAGCCTCTATAAATCTCAAAATTATTGAAATGATGGTTTTGTTTTATCTATGACAGAACATCTTCAAATTTCCTTTAACCCTTTAACTCCCAGAAGTGATTAACATAAAACTTCTTACAATATCCATACATTCTTCAGCAAACAGGTAATGAGAATATTCAAACTTATCAAGTAGAATCTGCTATCTTGATCTAGCACCAAATTCTCATAACTAATGTACAAGGAAATGTGTAGCAGCTACAGGGGAGAATTAACAATCAGATCTTGGGAGTTAAAGGGTTAAAACAGTGTTGTGTTTCAAAATGTCTTCAAAGAAGCCAGTCAGGAACCCCTTGTTTGACCTCCTGTACGTCTTCGTTTATTTTTTTCTCTTCCGTTTCCTTTCAGTATTTTAACAATGAAAACTATGAAGCCAAGAGGTATGACGAACTCCTGGCAGATTACGAGAAAGCATCCCTCAAAACCACAACAAGTTTAGCTTTGCTCAGCTGGGGTCAGAATTTTATTTTCAGCGCTTCTTTGAGCGCAATTATGATACTGGCCAGCAGGCAAATTATGCAAGGTACGTTTGAGTTAAATTTACGTGAAGTTTTGAAGCCTTAATGCCATTTATCGTCATTACTATTCGTCCAATTTGCCACGCCCACTGTTTTAAACTACCATTCGTAGGTGATGTCAACACATGTGAGCTGTGGAAATAATTCTATTTCAAAGGGGAAGGGTTGGCTCTTGAGCACTCTGAATATAGCCGGGAAAACTTTACCCAGCCGCTTTAAGTCCACTCTTCCCCCTCTAAACGTTAACAATTTGGACCGCGAGGAAACTACAGGGCTGCGCAAAAGTGTTGCGCCTGCACAGGCAACAGTATATACGTAGGACTACAGGCCCAGTCTCAATCGTTCATCCTGGTTAGCGTAAAACTTGCAAGCGAGTGAGTTGACATTTTCTTTTCTTCTCCGGTCAGGAACCATGTCTGTAGGTGATCTAGTGATGGTGAATGGTCTGCTATTTCAGCTCTCTGTACCTCTTAACTTCCTCGGTTCTGTGTATCGTGATATCAGGCAGTCTCTTGTGGACATGCAAACATTGTTTGATCTTCACAAGGTCTCCTCGGCTATCAAGGTAAAGAAAATTAAAACTTGTTTGTTATCCTTTGTGTAGGCTTCAGTGACGGTTAAAGACGGGCATGTTTTTAAGGAAAGGCAACGTTTTGGGAACTGGTGGTCGGAGTGTTTTGTTTTTTAGTGTTTGCAGGGTTGATTTTCCCACCGCCGCTGCGGGCACAAAGTTGCGCGGGAAACTGCTGACGAATAATGAGCCTTTCCGCGTTAAAAACAAAACAACAAAAAGACAAAATCAACATATTTCTTATTACTTTTTTCTGTAGGTCAAACCTGGTGCTTTTCCACTCGTTCTTAGAACTGGTGATGAAAAATCACATGTTATCTTTGACAATGTGGTATTCGGCTATCTGCCAAACCAGAATATCCTTAACGGACTGACGTTCACAGTGCCAGCTGGAAAGAAGATTGCTATCGTAGGAGGCAGCGGCTCAGGGTAATTTTATGGAATAAAAAAACTTTTGAATCTAAGGAACCACAAAACACAGAATTAAAGCCACTTTTTACCAGATCTCCCTTCATAGAGATGCTCGTAGGGAAAGTGACGTATGCGGGACGCGCGTTTCTCTACCCGCGGGAAGATTTGAGACGAATCGAGGAAAGGTATGCTGGGAGTCTGGCACTAGACCACTTACAGACCTCTCGCCTGATTGCTTAGCACAAAGCCTCTTAGTTTCCCGCGGGCGAAGAAACATTCATACAGAAGCGCTCGTAATGAGGGCCTACTCGCACTTGCAAATAAACCGATTGAATTGTAAGTGTAGAAATAGTTAAATGGCACTCAGACAAAAGCTTTTACAGTGTTGTTCCTTCATTTATTTATCTTTTGTATTCTATTTACCAGGAAATCCACCATTGTTCGTTTGCTGTATCGATTCTATGACCCCACAGATGGTCGTATCCTTGTGGCTGGCCATGATATTCGAGATCTCACGATTGATTCATTGCGACAAGCTATAGGAGTTGTACCACAAGTATGGCTGCACTTTGTTAGACACGCTGCGGTTCATCTCATTTACTTACAGAAACTTAGAATCACTAGCTTTAAGTCGTATAACTTTCACCTGCACAATAAATTTTTTTCAAGGTTAAATGTCGGATTTAAATCGCATTTTTCTGAATTTTTCTTTAATATAAAATGTAGTTTGACCTCGCACAATTGCTCGCATCCCAACCATTAAGTTTATTGTCGTTGTCACCTATCAAAAGTTGAATAGCACTTTTCATCATTTTGGCAAATGGAATTGTTCATGGATTACTAGTCCTTAACCGGCCTTCATTTCCTTCAGCGCCTTCAGTTTCTGCCATCTGATTTGTAATTCACTTATCTGGCTGCTATATATTTGTTTTTTCTGAATCAGTAAGGAAAATTTGGTGTTAGATTAAGGTTCATCCCGAGGACCGGGTATGTACCTTGTTGACGATGACCGATCCCCCCTTGAACCCCCCGCTCTCCCCTCCAGGCGATCAATAATTATTGGGTCCTAGTCTTATGACATTGTAAAAAGAAGTTACATGTTTATGTTTTCTGGTTGTTAAAGATTGACATTTAACAAGGAGGTAAGTTTATAAAGAAATAGTGGTGCTGCGTCGGAGAGAGAGTATAACAAAGTAATTTGGTATTGTGAACTGAATTGATAACATAAATTGGCACCGTAAAGAGTTTCAAAGTTAACGTTTCGAGCGTTAGCCCTTCGTCATTCGTCAGCTTTGAAATTCTTTCCGGTGGCCAATTTACGTTATCAACTCAGTTGATAATACTAAATTACAAAGACTGACATTGACTTCTTCCTCATCAGGACACAGTTCTGTTTCACAATGACGTCTTCTACAACATAAACTACGGGCGCATTGAAGCTACACAAGATGAAGTTTATGAGGCAGCTAAGATGGCGGAGATTCACGATGCAGTACAACGCATGCCTAAGGGATATCAAACTCAGGTCGGAGAGCGTGGTTTAAAACTTTCCGGCGGTGAAAAACAAAGAATAGCTATTGCAAGGGCTATATTGAAAAACCCACCCATACTAATGTACGATGAGGCCACTTCCTCGCTGGATTCTATCACGGAAATGGTAAGATTTCATCAGAAGTTTACCTTCCATAGCGCCAGGGAGTAGTAGATAAGCACTCTTCACCCTTACACCCTAACATCAGTAAGCATTAATTCTTATCAGTAAGCGTATTCTCCCTACTTTTCATCATATATTTCCCATGGTATTCATGAAGAGAATTCTTCTTTTGTGTGTGATCTTTTTTTTTTTTTTCATAACCTGTTCCAGACGTGTACTTAGTAAGACGAAGCGCGATAGTCAGCTGCGCTTTTAGTTGCGGAGGACTGGAAAAAATGAGAGAGGTTTGGGTCGGGTCGGGTAAAGAACGCCTGTAACTTTTCATAACCTGTTCCAGACGTTTACTTAGTAAGACGAAGCGCGATAGTTAACTGCGCTTCTAGTTGCGGAGGACTGGAAAAAATGAGAAAGGTTTGGGTCGGGTCGGGTAAAGAACGCCTGTAACTTTTCGTGACCTCAATGTTTGACTCAGCACCGATGGTGCCAGGAAAAATTAGATGCATGTCACTGTCAAGTGTTATAAGGTTCATGAAGAGGCCGGATGATGCATCCCGAACTCTGATTATCTTTTATGATTGAGATGTGTCTTAGAGCGGATTCCCCATTCTCACCCCAGATGGGATTTTATCGGCCCATTGCATAATTATCAACCTTAGCAATTTTTCAAGCTGGCAGTAGTTGCCAACTGGTGTTTCACTTTAACTGTTGTGGGATTGAGGAAATGGAAGCATGGTAATTACTGAACACAGAGTTAACTGCCACGGTCTTTTAGTTTTTATTTGCAACAAGCCCAGCATTAGCACTAAGTAGATTCTGGAAAACTTGTCTCCGAGTGAAGAAGGCAGACTGTCTAGAGTTAAAAGCGTAGAGTGCATTTAGCTAGCAAGCACTAACACTTTGTCAACAATAAATATTTCAGAATATTCTGGACAGTCTTAAACGTGTTACAAAAGACCGTACCTCTATCTTCATTGCTCATCGGCTGTCCACAGTGGTGGACGCAGACGAAATTCTTGTTTTGGAAGAGGGCCGTGTGCGTGAGAGAGGTTCTCATTATTCACTCATCACAGACTCAAACAGTTTATACGCTCATTTGTGGCACAAGCAGCACGAGGCACATAGAGTCGACATTCACAGAACTCAAGTCGATGATACGTCAGCTGCTGGGATGTAATGTGTTAGGGAACTGGAACTAACGTGGAAGCGTGGCGTTTGATGTTCAATTTTCATTGTCATTTTGAGGCAATGAGGAATGTTTTAGCAATGAGTGGGCAACTAGCAATCTCTTCGTAAAGACACTAAGCAATTTTAAACGCATTTTGTAGAAAGACTGTCTCAATTGGTAATGATTTTATTAACGTAACTTATTTCAATGTTGGAAACCCGCTCAGATATGTTCTAGTTGCCATTACTGAAAGAGAAGGAAAAAAACGCGGGATAGAATTTTACCAGCGGTAAACGCAGGGCAAGGTGCCACTGGTAGAAAACACGAGAAAATATGTCAGCGGACGGGTGGAAAACGTAGGAAAAACGTTTGTCCCGTATCACATGATGGAAAAGATAACCTAAGGTACTTGTGGAATTTGTGGGTAAAAATGTTGAACCAGGCATTTTACCGGGTAATGTCAGAGCTACAATCACCATTAATTTGTGCGGTCGATAAGCTTATGTGTTTAATTATATTTGTGAGAACCACACCATCATCTGTCCATGGCATTGACAGTTAATTTGTTAAAAATTTTTCTTTTTATACGCAATATGTTGTTCAAATACAGACATTTCATCATTGACAATTTCCGACGAATGATTAAGTCATTCTGGATTCAAAACCATCAGATATTGCTTCAATTACTAATATTCAGACGAAATATAATTATATAGGAAACAAGACATGGTTTCTTCGTCAAGACCCTGACATGAGCTAAGAAACCTGGCTGCTTCAATTAAGATATTTTGCGAAGTGTTAACTTCACAGATAGATTCCATGTTACCGTGTGTATGTTCAGAATTTTGACGTCATCTCTGACGAATTACTTTACAGACCCACGGAAACGTAGCATCTGTATGTTTTATATGATTAAAAGCAAAACGTTGTGAAGAGTGACCTCATCTATGCGTCTGTCCATTGATAGATTATAAGGAAAAACCAATAAATACGTGCATGATTACGCTAATTATAAATTATGTACATCGCTGTGCATTTTCATCGTGAAATTTATGTTAAGTGAAGTGATCGTTCCTTCACTGTAGGTATTGCTCGCCCGCCGGCTATTCCGCTGGGGCGGATCCAGGATTGTTCTCAGGAGGGGGTGCACCTCTAAAAAATGACGTAAATGACATGTGACGAAAACAAATTTTAAAACCCGACAACGAAGAAGACTTACGACTAGTCACTAAGATGACGTGAACTGCTAAGAATACGCAGCAAACTTAACGGCAGATTCGGTATAACTGTGAGGTTATATTAGAAAGCTACTGGTCATCTCGGAGAATTGGGGGGAGGGGGGGGGATTGTGCACCCTCTGCTCCTCCCTCCCCTTGATCCGCTCCTGTTACGTAATGGCAAACAGTAATGAAATTCAAACGTGTATTCAAATTTAGATTTTGTTTTGTGTTCACTCTTCCTCATTTTTCCTTCCATTTAAAGTATTGCTCTTAGAATTCAACTGACTCACGGTATGATAGGAATATTTCGGACCAAAATCTGAGGTTCCAAATATCGAAGAGCTTTCGTTCTCTTCTGATGAAGGTGGTTCGATCTGGCTGTCATCCGTGTTTTGAATATCGAGATCTACAGGGCAGTACGATATGTTGCAGTATCTATGAATTGTTTTCTTCATATTCACTTGGAATTTCTTGGTAAACAGGCAGAACATAAGAAAGTTGGTGAGGCCCTGTGCACTTTCAAATACTCCCTGAAAAGATATCAGTAATTTGTAAACGTTTCTTCACTTACCACTGAACTGTAAACTAACGGGTGTATACGAAGCTCGATTTGTCGATTTGGTTTCACTTAAGACAGAAAATATCCTCTTGTAATTACTAGGATCATGGAGGTAACTACATTCCTATTTTTCGGTCAGCGAGTAATTTCTGGCCTATTTTGAATCATTTGTACCCCCACTATTATCCTGGCTCGTCACGCAATCCTAAAGATGGGAGCGTTGCGTGACCAGGCAGAGAGGAGGTAGATTGATTTCAGGTCAAGCAAGTAACTCTGAGAATGACGAAGTTGAATTTTGAAGGACTTTAGAGCAAAAATTGGGTCTGTAAATTTCTTCAGATCCCCAGAAGGCGATGCGTCCGATCCCTCTCCCTATTCCTCTCACGGTTGTTTCACGCATACTCTTCTCCACTCCACTCGCGAGTATACCAAGAACAGACCGTTGGAACACTCACCTGGAAATAGATCAAGACTTCTTGAGCGTTCCTTACTGGTTTTGATTCATGCACAGATGAACTCGAGTAAATTGCGAAGCGCATCATTCCCCAGGATCGCAAAAAGAGGAAAATAACAGGAACTAATGTCAGTTTTTTGTCGTATCTCTTTGCTTCCTCCAGAGATCTACGAGCAATAGGGTTTCTTTCGTTTATGTACGCCTAAGAATAAATGTTATAAAAACATTAAGTTTTAATGTTCTACATTACTTCGGCCAGGGCTGGATTTGTTTATCAAGTTGAGACAATATTCTGTTATTGATGAAACTTGGCATTCTGATATAATAACTTACTAAGTATTGGCGCCCTCTGGAATGTTATATCAATGTGACAGTCCGGATGCATAGGAAGGCGTTACAGCATGCGCTGATATTGCGTTACGTCAGAGGAACACGTGCAATGTACGTGTACTAATAGTCGATCGCGTGATACACCAATGATCGAAAGAACTGCTTGGATGCGTGTCCAGTCATGAGCCGGAAAGCGACGATCGCAATAAATGTACGAAAGTACGTAGCAATTGTACAATATGCAGAAAATAAAAGAAAAAGATCGCAGTGAGAGTACATTTTCTTTGAAGCTCATAACATCTTTGAAATTTTTTTGTTTCAATACCACGATTTTCAAGGGTCATGTGCTGCAAGAGAATTGATCATGTGGTAACGCTTAACATAACATGTGATACACAATCACTTAACTTCATCAGATGCAAAAAATATACACGTATTGCCCTATCCAGTAAGTTATTAAAGAAAGACGTCATTGACAGTCACCTACCTCTTGTCGAAGATGACATTTTAGCAGCCCGTAGAAAATTAAAATAAGTATGAAAACCAATACTTCCCAGGCTTTTCCGGTGACAAGCATCCACATAATGTAATTATCCTCAATATTTTTGCCACTGTCCTGCACCTTGATCCAACACCAAGCTGAGCTGTAAATATCGCGATCGTTTCCGAGCACGCCTTTTGCAGCGCTATGCATGCAATTAGCACAGGCACGCCCCATCCAATAGCATGAAACATAAAGAACATTATTTCAGCCAATTTGGGCTTTTTCCTCGCTATCGATATGTACAAAAAGACGGCCATAAATGTGGTCCAAAAGATGGAACACAGGTTAGCTGTAGTGTAGAGCAAACTCTGAGCTGTGCAGGCAGGAGAGTTGGTGTTTGGTGGTAAAAATGCACCAAACATAAAACTCGACACTACAACGCAATCAGCGCCGGAAATGTAGACAAGAATTTTTCTCGAGGTCGACTGCATGTCCTTCCACGCATAATATGTTACAATAATGACTATGGCCCCAAGAAGAGACAAAGCTGAGGTCAGAACCACCAAAGTGCGGTTCAAAGTTGTATTTCCAATGGCTCCAAAGCCCAGTGTAGTTGGTGTATCTACTGTTGGTGCTGTGACAGCCAACATGTTATCGATCCTCTAACGGAACACTTCTAAACTCATCCTTTAAATCGCGATGTTGTGTGAAAAAAATCACGTGAGTCACACGAAGTCACGCAACACGGACAGTAACGGTACTTCGTTTAACACGCGTTTACATCACATATCACATGATACTATGATTCAAGGGATTTTGTGTTAATAATAATCTAAACCTTTAATACTCGAGATCTGATTGCTAATTCTCCCTCTAGCTTCAACGCATTTCCTTGTAAATCAGTTACGATAATTTCGCGTTAGATGAAAATAACCTGATTAGTTTGAGTATTCTCGTTACCTGTTTGCTAAACAACGTATGGATGTTACAGGATATGGCACGCATTTCAAGTCAATATTGTTTCGTTTAATAAATAGGCGTTGCCTCGTGTTGACAGATTTATTCGATGACAAGAATCGTGATTGACATTAATTCAATAGATTGATTTAAAAGCGTTAGATTATTATGTTTAAGTCAGTTTTTCAGCAGAATCGAAGTGAGAAAGAAGTTATTTTGTTATCGTTTTTCTGTCTCTAAATCCGCTTACCTGGAGAATCTGCTAACCCGTAAAGTGAGACTGTTGTAACGACCCGCCACAGAAGTAAGTTTATATTGAAGTTTTTGAATTCAGTTACAAGATAAAGACTTGATTTGCGTTTGTTCTAATTGCGAATTATAAATGTATTTCTTTTAGATCGAATAATTATTAAAGCTTGGCTTAATATTATACGGTTTGTGGTGGTCACTTGATCTAATCAGTTCCGAGTAAGGAAACATTACATTCGATTTCTGGGTTGTAACGAAGAACTACGCAATCCTGAGCACATGGCGGAGGAAGCCCTGAAAACTGCCAAAACTGATCGGAGGACTGCCAAAGGAACGCTCACACGCTGTGGAAAGTCCTTAGCGAAGTTAATAGAAGCGAAAAGACCAGAGCAAGAGGTAAGAGATGGTCTAAGTAAACTGCAGTTAGCCTTTGACAATCTTGTGGCGAAGCATGAAAATTATTCGCGTTTAATCGAAGATGACACTGAGTTCGAAGTGCAAGAGGGATGGATGGGGGAATGCCAAGAAGACTTTATGTCAATGGAAATGGACGCAAAAATATATTTGGATTCTTTCTTCAGTAAGGAAAAGGCCCCTGATGAAAACTAATCATACATCTACAGCATCTAAAACGAAAAATAGTGGTGTTGGTGAGCCGGGAAGTAGTGGAATTCTGAATATGCAAATAGAAGAAGACGCGCTTAGTGTAAGTTCTGGCGATAATGATCATCCAATCAATCCAATTAGCACCCATCAAAGTACAAGTTCCGGTAATGATAATTTCACACCAGACCATGAAGGCACATCCGTTGTTTCCGGACATGAAGTAAACCCCAATGCTACAACCGGCGCCTGTGGTTTTAAGATGGAAAAGCCAAAGATGCCTAAATTTACCGGAGACGTAAGAGATTATGCCATTTTTCGCGCCGATTTTAAGCACGCGATAGAATCGAAATACAGCAAAAGAGATGCAATAACTTTTCTTCGCACATGTCTGCAAGATAAACCATTAGAGTTAATCAAAGGGATAGGTTCGGACTATAAGGCAGCGTGGGATTATTTGGACTCTATTTACGGAGATCCAAGGTTCGTGTCCGACACCATCACGCAAGACATAGTAAAGTTTAGAGCTCTGCAACCAGGAGAAGATGCAAGATTTTGCGACTTAGTCCATTTGGTTAAACGAAGCTTCAACACTCTGAAGGAGGTCGGAAGTCAAAATGACATGGACAACAGTCACATGCTATCTATCATTGAGCAAAAAAATGTGTTCGGATGATCGAAAGGTTTGGTCACGAGACTTGGAGCGTCAGGGAGAAAAAGCAACTTTAGAGCGACTGATGAAGTGGATGGACGTAGAGATGAAATCACGTATGCGTGCTACTGCTCCATTGAGATCTAGCAGATCAGTCTATGCCTTGCAAGTCGAAGCTCCCAACCAGAAGTGGTACAAATGCTGGTACTGTAAAAACTCGTCCCATTGGCCAGATACATGCCCTAAATTCGCTGCCCTCGGTATCGACCAACGTATAAAAGTCGCCAAAGAAAACCATGTGTGTGCTTTAGTTGCATGAAAGCAGCCGGAAGAGAACACCGAGTTGACAACTGTAGGAGACGTAGAAAGTGTACGAAAACCGAGAACGGAAGGGAATGCATGCATTTTCATCACCCGTTGCTTCACAAGAGCACCGCAGTCAAAGTTGGCGTCGCGTCACTCTCCGAGCCACATGAAACTCTTTTGCCGGTGGTAACATGCAAGATTTACGGTCAAAATGGGTTCCAAAAGCAAAGCAACACTCTCCTTGACTCGGGAGCGCAGATCAGCCTAATCCGCGAAGAAACAGCAGCTGCACTGGGACTCAAAGGAAACGACACCGCCGTAACACTTACGAAAGTGGGAGGAGAAGAGGAGACGATCAAGACCAAAGTTTACAAAGTTCCTGTATCATCAATTGACAACACCGAGATGTTCTCAATCAAGGCAATTGGAATTCCGCGCATTAGTGAGGAAGTGTCAGCAGTCCAGCTTAGACCGATCGCCAAGCTTCTTGGACTGGAGAGCGAAAGGATACGCAGAGGCAATGGTCCTGTCGATTTACTAATAGGAATCGACCACGCCCAGATGCATACTGGACAGACCAGGCAAACTGGACAGCTAGTTGCAAGAAGAACACCTCTAGGATGGGTAGTTTTCGGTGGACCGTCAGGAGAAACACAAGTGAATGGTCGCGTCTACCATGTAAGATTTGCTGCACCGGTAGAAATGTCAGATTTTTGGAAGACTGAGGCAATGGGAGTAGAAGTTAAACCGTGTGTTTGTGAGGCTGACAAGCTAACGCAAGCCGAAAGAGAGGAAGCAGAAATCATTTCCAAGTCGTGTGAAAAGGTGGGCAAGCAGTGGATGATACCTTACCCCTGGAAGAAAGACCCCATGCTGTTGCCGGATAATAAGCCATTGGCGATGAAACGGTTGGAAAGTACGGAGAGACGCCTTAAGAAAGACCCAGAAAAGGAGTGGCTTATGACAAACAGATGGAAGAAATGAAGGAGATGCAGTTCTCAAGAAAGCTGTCCAGAAAAGAAATGGATAATTACAAAGGCCCGGTGCATTACATCCCACACCATGCCGTTATTCGACCTGAGAAGAAGAGCACACCCGTACGAATCGTCTTCAACTCCTCTTCAGTCTATCAAGGTCACGCACTGAATGATTATTGGCTTAAGGGGCCTGATTTGTTGAACAATCTGTTTGGAGTAATCTTGAGGTTTAGAGAAAAAGAAGTAGCAGTGATGGGTGACATATCCAAAATGTATCACCGTATACGCATCCCAGAAGAGGATCAACATGTTCATCGGTTCCTGTGGAGAAACTTGGAAACGGAAAGAGAACCTGATGTGTACGTAAAAACAGTCCTGACGTTTGGTGATAAGCCAGCGCCTGCCATGGCTCAAATTGCGTTAAGAAAAACAGCTGAAGAAAACAAGAAGGACTACCCAGAAGCAGCCGAGGTGCTCACAAAGAATTCCTACATGGATGATATTTGTGGTTCTGTAGACACTGTAGCACAAGCTCAGAAGTTGACAAGAGATCTAGACAAAGTACTCGACAGTGGAGGGTTTGGCGTGAAGGGCTGGACGTCGAACAAACTTCTAACCAAGACAGAAAATCAGGAAAATGAGTTCAAGATGTTCCAGGAAGAAGTTGAAGAAAAGGTGCTTGGAGTGATTTGGAATTATGTTACAGATGAGTTCAGCTTCAAAGTTAAAGTGGATTTACTGTGCCTGACAGATTATTCAGTAGACCGTGGAGTAAAGATGACCAAGAGAACTCTTCTCAGTCAAGTTGCCCGCTTCTACGATCCCATTGGATTCGCTGCCGCATTCGTCATCAGAGCCAAAATAGGTTTACAAGAACTGTGGCAGATTGGTCTTCACTGGGACGATGAGCTTCCATATGATGTAAAAGATAAGTGGATCCAGCTCTTCAAGGAAATGAAGGAACTTGACCGGATTGGTTTCAAGAGGTGTCTGATTCCACCGAAACTCCAGAATTACCAGTACTGTGTGTCTTCTCAGACGCCTCGCAAGAAGCATTTGGGGCCTGCGCGTACATCCGCCAGAAAACGAAACAAGGCACCTATGAAGTAAACTTCGTTGCCGCTAAGTCTAGAGTGGCACCCCTAAAGCAACTAACAATTCCACGCCTGGAATTACAAGCAGCCGTTCTCGCCTCCCGCCTCGCGAAAACGATAGTGAAAGAGTGTACGATTCAATTCGCCGATGTCAAATTCTTCACTGACAGCAGCATCACACTTGCCTGGATTCAAAGTCCTTCCCGCAGTTTCAAGCCGTTTGTCTCAGCACGGATCGGGGAGATCCAGAATAACTCGGACCCAAGCCAGTGGAAGCACATTCCCGGTGAAGAAAACGTAGCAGATGATGTCTCGCGAGGATTGCATGTAAAGCAGCTTACGGGTAGATGGATGAACGGCCCGGAATTTCTAAAACTGCCAGAGGAACAATGGCCAGTACAAACAGCTACACTGCAACAAGAAGGAGATATGGAGCGTCGCCACGTTAATGCTGTCACTACAGTCCCGCCTGCAGATGTCGGAAATGTAATCGATGTGAAGAATTTCTCCAGTTGGCGAAAACTGATACGAGTTACCGCGTGGATAAGGCGATTAACAGAGAAGATACGCCTCAGAAGAAACACACTCAGCGGACGAGAAGGACCTCTCATGCCTGAAGAGTTAAAGAAGGCTGAGATGTCATGGATCAAAAAAGTGCTCAAAAGGATTTAAAGAGCCGAATGAAGAATGGAGACTTCAAGACATTAAGCCCATTTATAGACGACAAGGGGATCATCAGGGTCGGAGGAAGGATTGACAAAGCAATCGTGTCCTACGAAGAAAAACACCCAGTGCTGCTTCCCAATGAGCACAGAATATCCCTGTTGATTACAAGCCATATGCACAACCATGGGCATCCTGGAGTAGCAACCACGACTGCAAAAATAAGACGAAAATACTGGATCTTGAAGGCGAATAAGCTCAGTAAGGCTGTGAAATTTAAATGTGTTTCTTGTCGAGAAATGGCACACAAGGCAGAGACGCAGTTGATGGCAGACCTGCCAGCTCTCCGTTTAGCACCGCAAACGCCTCCGTTCTACTATTCCTCGTGCGATTACTTTGGTCCATACAATGTGAAGATAGGGCGCAACAAGACAAGAAAGCACTATGGCGTCATCTTCACGTGCTTAAACACAAGAGCCGTCCATCTGGAACTAGCTGTTGACCTATCAACAATGGAATTTATCCAGGTGCTAAGAAGGTTTTTCTCTATCCGTGGATACCCGGCAGTGCTATTGAGCGACAATGGGTCACAAATGGTTGGCGCAGAGCGGGAATTGCGCGAAATGGTCGAAGGTTTAGATTCTGACAAACTCCGTGATTTCTGCGCTGAAAGAAGTATCAACTGGCTGTTCACCGCTCCAGCTGCCCCTCATCAGAACGGATGTGCTGAGGCACTCGTCAAAAGTTGTAAGCGTGCTTTGAAGAAGGCAATAGGAGAACAGGTTCTAAGTCCGTTCGAGTTATACACATGTCTGCTAGAAGTTGGAAATCTCGTTAATCAACGCCCGATCGGCCGTGTTCCAAATGACCCGGATGACGGCAAATATTTATGCCTGAACGACATGCTTCTTGGAAGAGCAACACCGGAAGTTCCTCAAGGCCCATTCCAAGACACGAAAACCCGCGACGCCGTGTAGAATTTGTGCAGAAAATTGTGGAGTCATTCTGGAAACGTTGGAGCAGAGACGTACTGCCAGCGCTAGTGATAAGGAAGGCATGGCATACAGAAAGGCGAAACGTTCAAGTCGATGACATTGTAGTCATGGCGGACAACAATGCTATCCGAGGTAAATGGACCATCGGCAGAGTAATCGAGGTGTATCCCGGGACAGATGGCCGAGTCCGTAATGTCAAAGTAAAAACACCAGCCGGAGAATACAGCCGCCCAGTCACCAAGATTGCTGTTATATATCCTGCTGAGGGATACGACTAAATAAAATTAGGCTGACTTCAAGAAGGATAAGGACTACGCCCTTATCGGGGCGGAGAATGTTTCGTTTAATAAATAGGCGTTGCCTCGTGTTGACAGATTTATTCGATGACAAGAATCGTGATTGACATTAATTCAATAGATTGATTTAAAAGCGTTAGATTATTATGTTTAAGTCAGTTTTTCAGCAGAATCGAAGTGAGAAAGAAGTTATTTTGTTATCGTTTTTCTGTCTCTAAATCCGCTTACCTGGAGAATCTGCTAACCCGTAAAGTGAGACTGTTGTAACGACCCGCCACAGAAGTAAGTTTATATTGAAGTTTTTGAATTCAGTTACAAGATAAAGACTTGATTTGCGTTTGTTCTAATTGCGAATTATAAATGTATTTCTTTTAGATCGAATAATTATTAAAGCTTGGCTTAATATTATACGGTTTGTGGTGGTCACTTGATCTAATCAGTTCCGAGTAAGGAAACAAATATTCAGAACATTTTAGTATGTGACGTATTATTTACATTTCTGAGCCATATTTTCTATTTCCTTTCCATATGTTTTTTTATTTGGCTTTTATTTTTTTTTATTACATTCCTGTTTATTTATGTACGTGGTAAGCCAATTTATTTTGTTTTCGTTCTCTTTGTTGTTATTTGCGTTCTTTATTTTTCATATCTATTCCTTTTTTTTTCGTTCCAAATAGGATTTATTATTTACATTCTATTATTATTTACACACTTCAGCATGTGATCACATAGCAGTGATTTACTTTCCTGCCTATTTCAGAAAAAAAAAATGACCTATGAGACTTTAAGAGATAGCAACGAAATTGGCCTTTTCAACTTCGTAGAGTCCCTTTGTACCCTGTCAATAGGTATTCAGAATATGAACGCACAAGATATTTCCATTGATTACTTCAAAGATGCTAACTCGCGCCTAAAAGATGTAATTTTAACTTTACATTAGCTATTACACAGAGCGGAGAGCTTAAAAAACGTAATTGAAACGTGTGACATTGCTCAAATGTTGCGCCGAAAGCAAAAAAGTGCTTGACCGCCTTGAAAGTTGTACAAATGTCTGCAAATCAAAAGGGTGGACGACGAATGATCAGAGGTTTGGCTCTTAAATTCGCGAAGTCTATTAATTCCCATCGAGTCTTAGATGGAAGATGGAAAGTACGGTGAACTTAGATACAGAAATTGCAAGATCGAGTCTGACAGCCCAGGGGAGTATTTTATTAATGATGACAACGTCGATTAAAAATGATTGACTTTGAGCTCACTTTATTTGATTCCATCTTTATATACAATTTTCTGTCATTTAACACAAATATACCCCGTGCATTGGCACTTAACGCTTAACGATTTCACCTTTTTATGACAAATTACTAATACATGTGTCTCTTTGTAAGTACAACATAAAATGGACATGAAAATTACATCACCTAAAAACGTCACTTTCTTGTCACTTAGTTACAAAATGGTTTCAAAATCTGATTGAGTTATGGTGTAATCTATTCAGTCAATTTTGATCCATTCTTCGCAAAACAGTTAGCGACAAGACGACGTTTCGGCTGATGACCAGTCGCTTTAACATATTCTCAGAATATAATATTGACTGTTTTCATTATATCACAACCTATATACACATGAAATGAGTGTCTTTACTTGCTAAAAAAAAAAGGATTGCTCCTCGTGAATGGGGGAGGGGAGTCTGGGAATGAGAATGTCGCCTATCCCGTTCTCCGTCTTCCCGCCCTTTTCTTTCCAGTCACCCGTACCACTCGTTCAGATAATGATTAGCCTATCTCATTTGGAGCATGGTTAGATTCCATCAAGTACCGCACTCCCCATTTCTCGCTTTTCATCGTAGGAAATAATACAGTAAAAAAATAACTGAGCTTGGAAACGAAGCAGCATGCTAAGAATAACAGCTTGTGATCACGATCTAAATCACATCCAGCTCTATCCTAATTCGAACCTAGCTTACATAGCATATGAACTTATTCAGTGTAAAACGCCTTTTATGTGAAAATTAGTTAGAAAATGTGTTGCGATATCCTTTGAGAATTTCATGCCATCACCGCATGAGGTCATCGAGACAAACCCTCCGTCCCTACCCAGGCTCCTACCGTGTTAATTTAGATGTATTCGACGTTAACAAACTTACAGTGTAATAGGAATATTTTGGACCGTAGAAATCTGATGTCTTAAATATCGCAGAGGTTTCTCCCGTGTCTGAATACTGTGGATAACGGCTGTTATTTGAGTATTCCACGTTTATACACTCTCCGGGAATGAATGTATATTTGTCTCGCAGACACGGGCAGTATTTGTGTGCTACTCTTCGCAAATTTTTCTGGAATTTCGTGGTAAATAACCAAAACAAAAGGAAGTTGACGAAGCCTTGAGCACTGTTGCATACACCCTGAAATCAAATTATGATGATGTTTAATAATCGTCATTTCAAGCGAAACTTCAGAAGGATGACATGGATTTAGCTACTACAGATTAACAAAGTAATCTGGTTTTATTAATTGAGTTGGTAAGAGGAGGTAGCGCCGATACAGTTGTCAATGTATCGACCATTGAATTCAGGTTTGGGGCCGTTGTATTGACTGTAAGGAATGGCGTAGCCGGGTCCCATTTTGGTACCCATTACTACACCATTAGTTTGTTTGTAATACTTGCCACCGAATGAAAAGTAATTGAGTGTTAGCACTAGTTCGGTTAGGCGGAGTAGTGTTTCCAAGCTAGGTTCCTTAACAGTACGTTGATCAAAAAAATGTTTGAGGCTTAGGAGACCTTCGCCATTTGGAATGATTGTATGACGAGATGTAATATCCATGGTGAAAAAAAGTTTGTCTTGGCCAAGGAAATTAAAGTCGCAAAAATGTTCAAGTGCGTGTTGGCTGTCTTAAATGTATGATGGTAAAGTTTTGACGATAGGAGCCATGATTTTGTCTAAATAGCTGGAAACAAGTCCGGTTGGGACAACTGCAGACAGAGACGATGGGTCGATCTGGGTTGTTAGGTTTGTGGACTTTGGGTAAAAAGTAAATAAACGAAGTTCTAGGAGAGGTGATGGTGATTTTTTGCAGTGGCCGGCAATTCTTATTTAGTCATAAGATCGTTAATCGTGTTTTTTTTGGCAGAGGTCGGCCTGCCAAACAACAACTGTGTCGCCTTTGTCGGCCGCTTTAATAACAAAGTGTTTGCGTTTTTTTGTACTTTTTAGTGCCGTTCATTCTTCCCATGAAAGGTTGGAAATTTTGGTGTTATGATTGAATTTAAGTTTGTTGATACCGTGACGTTATTTGTTGATGACAAAATCTAAAGATGGCTCCGAAGGACTCCATTTAGACTTTTGAATCTGAAGTGTTTCGAAGTATTTTTGTTTGAGGTGTTAGAATCATCCTCTTTGTCGTGAAAAAAGGCTTTTAATTGAACGCCGCAAAAGCATTTTAAACGTCTTGCTATCTGAAAATTCGTCGGTTTTTCGGAAATGCGAGCAAAATTTAAGCCCTTACTGAGAACGGATTTTTCTGAGTGGGAAAGTGGAAGATTTATTGGAATGATAACTACGGTTTTGAGGCTTTCGGGCAATGAGTCACCAAGGACCGATAAGTATCAGAGAGTAAGTTGGCCAATTTAATCATTTGATTCCAATTTATGATTTCTCAGTCAATAAATCATTGTATGGCGCAATTCCAGAATTTTGATTGGCTGGCAACCATGGTCTTCTGCCCATTATACTGTGATGTAAATACGAGGGTTTATTTCCAACGCCTAAGACTCTTTTAGCCTGCGAGTAGCTTGTCTTTTCACGCTTCACGTAAAACAACGCGAACCTAGCCGCTTTAGCTACGCGTGAGCTCACTTCACATAGAGTTTCGACGAAGCTGTCTCATGAGTCAAAGTGAGTTCTCACAGCTGTCTGCTGACAAAAAATGCGGCATCCGAATAATTTTAAACCTGAAACTTCATCTGCCATTGTATGACTTATAAGAAATAGTTTTGGAGAATTTTTTTCGGAAACAAACTTCTACTCTGTGAGAGAAAATTGGAGGAAAATCTTATGTACACAGCAAACGCGAAGCAGCTTACTTTCACGAAGAAACGGCACAGTGCATACGGCAAACTTAAAAAAAAACGGGAACATTGTGGTCACGTGGTCACTCTTGCCGTTCACGTTTCACGTAAACGAGGTACCAAATCTCTCCAATGAGATAGGCAACACAAGCAGGCCAGAGGTCCGCAGGGGGGTCTAACACTTATTAGTGCTACACCCCCGGCAAACCTCTCTCCGATTCGTCTCATATCTTCCCGCGGGCGGAGAAACGCGCGTCCTGCAGCGCTTTTAATGAAGCCTACCTGCAGGCTAATACTCCTTCCACTCATATCAACGCACAAACAGAAATACAACACACTTACCTGTAAATAAATCAAAATTTCCTGAGCATCAAGTAATGATTGCGATTGCTGTGCAGATGAAACCAGGTAAATACAGAAGCGAATCATGCTCCAGGATCGTAAAAATAGAAAAATTATAGGAACAAGTGTTAACTGTTTATCAGCCTTTCTCGCTTCTTCCTTGACGCGGCATGGAACCATTTTCACCTGGTAAAATAAGCATAAAAAACGTGTTTAATGTATGCTAGGTGCGCTAAACAAATGACTAACGTGAAGTTGTTATTTTCACTACTACGATTATTTTCACCAAAAGAAAGGACACATCTAGCAATAGATGGTGTGACGAAGTCACGTCACCTACTGATCACGTACTCATTGCGTACTTGTCACGCACCTGCACAGCGAATGGAATAGCGTATGGTGCAATATCAGTTGATGACGAAGAAAGACAAGAGCTGCTATCAATTTGCTACAGCCAAACATACCGAATTATTATTATTAACCGAAAAAAATCTAACCTAATATCTGTTGTCATTTAGGGCCATCATACTTTACTTTCAGTTCACGGCAACCCTTCAGCTCAAAACACTGACCAAGAAAAACCTCGACTTACATAAACACCACCCTTTAACTACCAAGATCTGATTGTTAACTCTCCCCACTAGCTGCCACATACGTCCTTGCAAATTAGTTACGAGAATTCGGTGCTGAGTCAAGACAACTTCTACCTGTTAAGTTTGAGTATTCTCCTAACCTGTTTCCTAGATATTGTAATCTTAGTACAGGTTTATTCGCCATTTGTAACAAATTACAGGTATTATTATATGCAGATAGATATTAATAAATAAGACAAAAGATCACGCAAGCTCTTCTACACTTTTCGAAAGATTCCCGCAGTAATATTTCTATTTAGTTAATACACGTTCAAAGTTTTAGTTTTGTTTATAATAATACCTGCAGGGAGAAGTTATATATATTAATCACTTCCGAGATTTCAAGGTTTATGAAGAAAGGTATTGGGAAGTATTGCCTGATTCAAGACCAAATTCTACCGCTACAGGCAAACAGGTAGGCAAATTGATATTGATACTTCGGGAGTGAAATGGTTTACTGTACAACTGTGATGTAGACGATCAGCTGATCTTGGAGAGATATACTCAGTATCATAACAATCATCGCGATTGTATTGATGCATGCTTTGATTACGATTGACACAGATACGGTTAATAAGTTTGTTGTTTACCTCTGTGCGGAGATGACACTTCAGCAAGCCATAGAAAATCAAAATAAGTATGAATACAGCTATCTCCCAAAATTTTCCTGTTACCAACATCCATATCACATCATCGTTGCTATCTTCCTGTACTCGGATCCAACACCAACCAGAGCTGTAGATATCTCGGTCATTTCCAAGGGCGCCCTTCTCCCAAGCTAGAACTACAATAAACAGTGGCAAACCCCAACCAATTATGTGGAAAAACCAAAGAAAATTCTTTGCAGGAGTTAGTCTCGCTACTGCTGCGTACAAATATATGGACAAGAAGAGAGTCCAAAAGAAGGAACATAGATTCGCAGCGGTGGAGAAAAAACTCTGAGTGACACAGGCGGTGGAGTTTGCGTTGTCTGGTAGCAGTACTCCGATCATGTAACTTGCAGCTACAACACTGTCAGCGATGGAGATGTACACCAGGATTTGTCTCGAACACGACCTCACGTCCTTCCAGGCAATATACGTCACGATGATTAACAAGGCTCCGAGAAGCGACAAAGAGCATGTAATAGTCACTAAAGTTCGGTTCAGAAGGGAACTTCCAATATCTTCAAAATTCAATACCGTGGTTGGCGTCTGAAATGTCGGCGACGCTGCCATGTTTCTTTACTACGTCGTCTACCGAAAGGTGCTTTAAAATTTTGATATAAATAGCCCTTGTATGACGGGAATCACGCGCTACCAACGTGACCTCTAAGACAACGGTGGGCTTGAAAGTGCTAACTCTCCCCTGGAGAGTGAGAGGAACCTATTTTTACCACCAAAAATTAGGCTGATTTCAGGTTGGTTAGTTTTGATAGTAAAGCAGACAGTGGTATCATCAGTTGCCGATTTTCAGATGTTAGCAAGGTTACAAACAGCTTACTATTCTGTTATTTGACGTAAGAACCGGAAGTGGCACCCGCCAGCTTATTACACACTAAATATGGCAATGTAATATTATACAATGAGGTCATTTCTACAGCGATTCAAGTAGTTTCCCTAATTCGGTTGTTCTCCTGTTTGTTTGTTTGTCTGCTTGCTTTCCTGCTTGTTTGCCTGTTTGTTTGTTTGTTTTTTTTGTTGTTGTTGTTGTTTCTTTGCTTGTGTGGTGCTAAAGTTTCAGGGCTGACAAGCGAACGTTTTTCAAGAAACTTGTACGAATTTAGAACTGAGTCATGTAAAATATATAGAATATTACTTTGGAGCATGTGAAAGATTTCACAATAATGTAAACATATCCTACGCGTAGCCATATCCTCCCCCCCCCTCCCCCAAAGCGAAACCCTTCCGTTTCACCTTGGGGGGTAGGGAAGGGTCCGCCTAACGTTGTCTAATATAAAGAACGACCGCAGTTTTCAACAGATGTTATTAAAGTACACGGGGTTTTTTAAAAATTTGACTCGACTTTGACTTATACCGCGACTGCGAGTAAATTACTATTTACGCTAAGTGGAAAAAAATTAAAACAAGGTAAAAAAAAAAAACGTTGGATGCAATGTGAGGTTTGAATTGCGTGGACTCATTTGAGTATTGAAGTTGTATTAATTGGCAGGTCATGACAAGTCTTAATGACCAACTGTTTTTCATTTTCACCGTGTTACGAAATGTGAAGTGGTGATCCCCAAAAATTAAAGTTTAAAAAGGAGATAGTGTGCGTTGCATTTCGATCGCGGGTTGACCAGCGACAGCGGGGTCTATGGAGAATCTGTGATAAGAATCTGGGGAAATGAATCTCCTGCAGGGAGGTTTTGTCCTTGAACAGATCGCTCAAGCCAACAACAGGGTCTATTGTCATCATTTGGGCCGCAGTGAGAGGCCGGAAGGAAGTTATCAACAACTTCAAGTAAGCGGTGAATATAAGTGTTAGAAACTCAACATACAGAGCAGGTATCTTTTGCTATTAAATACCCTGGGAAAAAATGGCAATTTCCTTTCCTTTTCGTGATGTCTTTGTATCATCCATTTAAATTTTTGTTTCATCCAAACAAAAAGGTGACAAACATTTCAAGCTTCAGTGAGTTACGGTACTAGAGAAATCTATCAGATGCGGTCTTGATTTTATGTTACATGCATTAATTACAGACTGAAGAAACGTATGCTAAAAAAGTTACTCAGTCGTAGAGCTAGTCAGGTTATGAGCTACCACCACGGAAAATTTATGAAATAAGGTAAGTGGCTTTAAATGTAAAATCAAAGTAGTTTGAATTATAAATCTTGGAGTTTGCATCCGACAATTTTATGTACAGCTGTGCCGTTTTAAGACTCGTTATAAACATAGAACCTCAGCTGTGTTGCATGACTGAATACTCAATTTGCAAACTATTTTGTCTACTTGAAAATTTTCTAACTAGACGTTGTTGGCTTTCACAATTACTCATATACCCAGATCTTTTGAAATCTTTTTTTGCTTAAGGTTTACCATCTACTCAATAGATATAAAAGAAATCAGTTTACAGAACGAATGCCCTTGCAAAACTTTCTTACAAAACAGAAAGTTAATCAACTCTTGCGTGATTCAGCAGATTAATTTCTAACAAATTTATAAACATTTACACAGGACTATCTGTAGATTAAGTTCATCTTGGCTGAAAAAAATGGATGTTAATAGTTCTGATAGAGAGAATTTGTTTGACAATCTGGAACTTGTCAAATTGGTGATCGTTTCGTTTACTTTCGTGACCTTTAAATTTGATTCAAGGATGATACTATGACGAGAAATTAGAAACCATTCACTCTTAGGCCTGAGGCACGAAAGATAATGAGGTATAAACGAACACTTTTCACTAAAAATAAAAGAGATGGCACTTTTATGACTTTTTGGTATCATAAATGCTTTTATCGCTTAGGCATTCATTTTTTATAGATATTCTGTATTCTGTAGAAAAACAAATGTTAGGGTTGTTTCGCGTTCCTTACAACGAAAGGCGAGTAAACTAAGAACATTGTACTAAATTGAAGTCCAGTTGTTCTAGTCGTTTACCGGGTTGACTAAACAGAAAATGGTGATTTTTAAATTGAGTACTAGTTAGATCGAAATGACTGCATCAGAAAATTGAAAAGTGAATATTCAAAATAACTGAATGAATAAAGCGCAATTGGTGACACAGCCTGGTGGATTTTAGCATATTCGTGACTGAAATTACTTTGCAATCCAAGGCATTCGGTGAACATTTATGAAGCAGCTCCACATTGTGTGACTCAGCGATACCGACAGGTAGCCCGTGGTCGGTTAAAACAATTGGAGTTTTGGGGCGAGGGAAAAAGAAAGTTAACGCTGGCCATTGTGCAACTGAGGGCGACCAATCAATCGCATCGGGATGGCACAGGCTTGAACCTCCCAGTCCCCCTGCCCCCTCATTCAATTTCTTCTCAGATTTTTGAGGACGGCGGTTTGTGCTAGCGAAAACTCAACAGTGACCGCAACGCTAAGGAAGACGTCGATTCAAAAATTAATCTGAACTTTTAGTTTTAGGCGAAGGGCTGGATGTGTTTACTGTCTCTTACCACGGCGCCGCCGGCCTCCACTTTAGCATAACATATGTCTGCAGTGTTGAGTTCCAAATGCCGGATGCTTGAATAATTTCCCGTCAGGAATGTCACTTTCAGCCCAGGCAAATTCTAGTAATTTCACAGCTAAGAAATGTAGAAAGTTTGAAAACGCACGTGCCGAGCTATTGTCTGATCATGATCGTTTCTTTTGCCTGGTCCTTGTTGTTCCGTCCTCGTTGCCACGACATCTTTGCCACGTCCTCTTGCCGTCGCCGTCGTGGTTCAATTAGGGACCTTAAGCAAACCACGACGGCGACGGCAACAAGGACGTGGAAAAACAAAAGATCTAATTGGCAGAACAATAGCTCAGCACGTGCGTTTTAAATCTTTGTACATTTCTTAGCCGTCCTATGCAAAACAACAACGTGAAATCATCACAATTTGCGTCATCTGCGAACCGAAACCGCGACGGCAAATTTTTGTAATTTCCAGTTGGAGCTCAACGCTTCTTTTATACGTTATGCTGAAGTTGAGGTGTGGCGCTGTATGAGACGGTTAACACATGCAGCCATTTTTAAAATTCTAATTAAAAGCAGAAATTTATTTTTTAATCAAAGTCTTCCTTGGCGTTGCCGTCCTGACTGCTTAAAGTCCCTTTTAATTACTGATGAAAAAGTAGCTCCTAACTGGCACCAGCCTACCATTAACGAGTTCTGAAGCATCCTTTTGCGAGGGAAACTTATCCGGTAGTTTTCCATTCAAATTTCATTCAAATTTATTACCTACATAAATCTTTGTAAAATATTTTATTGTCGTAAATGCTATCGGAACGTTTAGGATTGAAAAAGTTAGGTCAAAACACTACACTATCTCTTTACCTTGTCGTTTTTGGAGAAAATAGTAAAAACTCTCAAAAAAAAAAAAACTTTTCTGTTTTGACAGTAAATGCCAAATCGACAAGTTTTTAAAACTGATTTCATATTAAAAGTTAACACTACGGATAAAATATTTCTTTTGACCGTTTCACGATTGTTTTTAATTTCGGTTTAAAGATAAAATTGACATGTTCAAAAACATCATTAGAGCGCCAAACTATTAAACTTATAAATAATAGAGAATACAACAAGTTTGAGAAAAATTGCTTCGTGTGGACCGCACAAAAAAAAAGTGAGTTAGCCAGGAAAATGGCAGAGATCTTACATCGTTGAATGAGGCTTCCACTAACAAATATTCACGGATTGAGCTAAGCTGTTTTACAAGTTTGGGCTTTTGTTAAAAAGCGAAATTTACCTGACACAAAAAGTTAAAGAAATAGAACATTCATTGTGCAATACGCACTGATCAAAGATTTCATGATGAATCATACCAATAGAAATAGACGACTCATGCTAATTTCTGATTAATAGTTTAGACGAATGCAGTTATAACAGAAAGTTGACTGCCACGGATCTTTTTATTAGAAACTTAGGACAGCTAAACACAAGGGAATCCAAAACAAAATTGCGGTTGTACGCGGTCGCAACAGGAATTTTGAGAGGTAGCAGAAAAACTGAAAAACGCGCTGTTTCCTAAAAGCAAGCCCCTTATGAAACAACGTTTTTAAAAAGCTACTTTTCGTAAGATAATATTTCGAACTCCCGCTAGTGCTTAGCTCAGTAAAGTGCTCTTCAGACGAAAGTAAATGCCCACAAGCTACGGTCATTTACTCGAATAAATATACATTACAGAGCAAATGGAGAATTATATAACAGAACGCTAGTTTACCATTTAGCCCGTATATTTCCCTGCTCGATCTTTCTCTCCAACTTATATTCTGATAAATGATCTGATTAATCAGCGCCTTGTTACCATTCATCGATGACAATAAGACACTGCTTTTAAGAATGCTTCGAAATAGGGTTACTTTTTTCTTTGTAAAGTAACACTTAGGAATCTTTTTAGCTGTGTTTCACCGCTGCGTTTTAGGGCGTTCTAAAGCTAGCGTGAAATTTTTTTGAGTGGATTCTAAGACCTTTTCATGTCGCGCAGCTGGGAGGTAAATGAGAAGATATTGATACCTCAGGGCAATTAACGATCACTTCAATATATTGTTCTGTTTTCCAGTTGGACATCATTGGCATCGAATTATAACAAAAAGCAAGGGACAACACACTTAACTAGCCCCATCAGAGAATAGGTCAACATTGTCATTTCATCCAGCAATGTCTTGGATTGGAAGAACTAAGAGCGCATGAAAATTTATTTATCTATCTAATAATTGTCGAGTCGCTTTGGGAAATATCCACAAATTTAGAAACCATAAGTAAGATTCAATCTCACGCAATTAACATATTGACGGTAATTCAAGTGATGGAAGTTTCTCGCTGCTCTTTCGCACAAAACGCCTGACATTAAAAACGATATCTCACGTAATTAACATATCTGACGGTAAGCTGTCCGTAGCTAAAAATATTTTGATGATGATGATGAATTCACAAACCTCCGCAAAAATATGTTTGCATATTTGTTGTTGGACGTTCTTGAGTTACTGAATGTTCCAAAAGAGGACCGTGACAAAGAAATTCTTCAATGGCATTCAATCCCAATGAAGTTCTTCCACTTCAAACAGAGGCAACTTTTTACCGGATCTTCTAACAGCGCTCATGCTACCCTACCTTAGGGCGTTACTAGGCACCCGACAAGAAAGGGCTTTGTTGATAGAGAGAGCTTCCATTACCATTAAAACTTTCATTAATGAATGTAACGTAAAAGAAATGATTAGTTTTTACGTCTAAAAAAAAGGTACAATGCTAAATTGGTGTGGCATCTGTCAAAAGAAGAAAAAGTGTCAGGGCACTGACGCACGAAAACAAACACAATTTCGTGCAAATAGCGCCTCAAACCAAATGGTTTTTTAAAATTTGTGACACAGCATCTGATCACAGTCGGTGGGAGTTCTGTGAAGTGCACTTCATTTCCCTTTTTCTCGGACAAATTTTCAATAAATTTCAGTATAACTTTACTTTGAAATGACGACCAAAAAGTCACAACTTCTTATGGACAGGTGCAAAGTACTCGACTTGCCCTCTGTAATGTAAGAAATAAAACAAATTAGAGCCGTATCAATTTGGCAACTCATTTATCCCCGTTACCAGGTTATGTCTCTAAGTTAATGGATGCTATTCTTAGTTCAGTCAAGCGCAGGTGACAGCAGCAGTTTAAATAATTTTAAAAAATTTCCTCTACTTTCTGTTGGCGGTACTTGACTGTAGAATTTCGCTTCGTGGGTAAAACGCTCTGATCGTTTTTAAGGTATGGTACTTACAGACATCTTTATATAATGCGTTACGATCGTTAATGCTTTCGATTCAGAATCAAAGCTCTGGAGCTAGAACAACGTTATTCAGAGAAAAAAAAGATTTCTGCGCCAAAACTGTTTCGCCTTGAAGACGAGTTGATCAATCATCATATTCCCTAAATTTTTCTAAATTACTTCAGAAATTGATTTCTTATTTGGTAACAAAAATTAGGTTAATCAGGAAAATTAATACCTCACGGCGGACAAATAAAACTAGCAAAAATGTTCTCACCATACCACATATTCATCGATTATCAACAATTTGTGTCGCCTTTAAAACCGTATGAGTCATTTACACCATATTTACCTTGAGCTAAGAGTTTCAAGCTGTGGTTTTTAGGACTTTTCAGCTTTCGAAAGCTTCAGCTCTTTTCCTGTACACCAGTCAACAGCAGCGACTCCGTACTTACGCATTCTCTTAAACGAATGCGAAAACAGACCCGAAAGACAATTTCCTTTTCCTTTTCCTTTTTCTTTCTTTCAACAAAAGAAAAGACACATTTAGCAGTAGATGGTGTGACGAAGTCACGTCACATACTGATCACGTACTCATTACGTGCTTGTCACGCACTTGCACAGTGAGTGGAACATCGCATGGTGCAATATCAGTTGATGGCGAAGAACAAGAGCAGCTATGAATTTGCTACAACCAAATATACTATATTAAGCTAAAAAATGTAACCTGATATCTGTTATCATTTAGGGCCATCATACTTTACTTTCAGTTCACGGCAACCCTTCAACTCAAAACACTGACCAGGAAAAACCTCGACTCACATAAACACCACCCTTCAACCCCCAAAATCTAATTGTTAACTCTCCCCTCTAGCTGCTACATCTGTCCTCGTGAATTAGTTACTAGAATTCGGTGTTAAGTCAAGACAACAACTTCTACCTGATAAGTTTGAGTATTCTCATAACCTGTTCGGTGGATAATGTAATCTTAGAACAAGTTAATTCGCCTTTTGCAAAAAATTACAGGTATTATTAAATGTAGCTATGTAGTACTAGATAAGGCAAAAGATCAAGCCAAATTTTCTGAGAAAGATCCTCGCAATAGTATTTCTATTTAGTTAATACACGTTCAAAGTTTTATCGATAATAATATCTAGTATATGGATATTACCATATTACAGGGAGAAGTTGTATCTGTTAATCACTTCCGAGATTTCAAGGTTTATGAAGAATCTTCATAAAGAAACATCAGCCGGGAAGTATTGCCTGATGTAACTCCAAATTCTACTGCCTCTTAGAGGTAAACAGGAAGGAGGATTGATATTGATACCTCGGGAGTGAAATGGTTTACTGAACAACTGTGATGTAGACGATCAGTTGATCTTGGAGAGATCAATAACTCAGTATCATACCAATCATCGCGAATGCATTGAGTACGATTGAAACAGATCCGGTGAATACGTTTGTCATTTACCTTTGTGCGTCGGTTAAAACAATTGAAGGTTTAGGGCGAGGGAAAACGAAAGTTAACGCCGGCCATTGAGCAACTGACGGCGACCAATCAATCGCATCGGGATGGCACAGACCTCCTACCCTCTCACTCAATTTCCTCTCAGATATTTGAGTACGGCGGTTTGTGCTAGCGAAAACTCAAAAGTGACCGCAACGCTAAGGAAGACGTCGATTCAAAAATTAATCTGTACTTCTAGTTTTAAGCGAAGGGCTGGATGTGTTTACCGTCTCTTACCACGGCGCCACCAGCCTCAACGTTAGCATAACATATGTCTGCAGTGTTGAGTTCTAAATGACAGAAGCTTGAATAATTTCCCGGCAGGATTATCATTCTCAGCCCACGCAAATTCTAGTGATTTCACGGCGCTTCGGCTAAGAAACAAAACGCACGTGCCGAGCTATTGTCTGATCATGATCGTTTCTTTTGTCTAGTCCTTTTTGCCCCGCCCTCGTTGCCACGTCATCATTGCCACGTCGTCTTGCCGTCGCCGTCGTGGTTTTAATTATCTACTGATGAAAAAGTGGCTCCCTACTGGCACCAGCCTACCATTAACGAGTCGAGGCTACCAAATGATAAGTGTTAAATTATCGAAACTAAAAACCAGTGAAGAGCCTTCATAATGAGTTGATCCACTTACAATAAAATAAAACAAGAAGAAACGATTTATGAATAGACATTAAGGGTTCTTTTGATCGCTTTTGGTTGGAAGGTAAACTTATATTTCGGAAGCAATGATAATTCGAGGATTACTCTCATAACAAACAGTCTAGGAAAGTTTGCAGGTGGGTTGATTTTAGCACAGTAGTCTGGTACAATTTCTGTCACAGATTGATTTATTATGATTCTGAATTTCTCCAAACCTTTTTGTCGCCGGAAAAAGCTTGTGAAGCATCCTTTTGCGAGAGAAACTTATTCGGTAGTTTTCTATTCAAATTTGTTAACTATATAAGTCTTTGTAAAATATTTTATAATGCTATCGGAACGTTTAGGATTGAAAAAGTGAGCTAAAAACACGACCCTATCTCTTTACCCTGTCGTTTTTGGAGAAAATAGTAAGATCTCTCAGAACCTGAAATAAAAACTTGTCTGTGTCGACAGATCATGCCAAATCAATAAGTTTTTAAAAATGATTTCACATTTAAAGTTAACACTTGGATAAAACATTTCCCTTTGACCGTTCAGTTTCACGGTTGTTTTCAATTTCGGTTTAAAGATAAAACTGACATGTTCAAAAATATCATTAGAGCGCCAAACTATTTCACTTAGAAATAATAGAGAATACAACAAGTTTGAGAAAAATTGCTTCGTGTGGACCACGCACACAAAAAAAAGTGAGTTAGCCAGGAAAATGGCAAAGATCTTGACATCGTTGAATGAGGCTTCCACTAACAAATATTCACGGATTGAGCTACGCTGCTTTATAAGTTTGGGCTTTTGTTAAAAAGCGAAAGTTACTTAATGCAAAAAGTTAAAGAAATAGAACACTAATTGTGCAATACACACTGATCAAAGATTTCATGATGAATCATACCAATAGAAATAGACGACTCATGCTAATTTCTGGTTAGTAGTTTGGACGGATGCAGTTATTAAAAAAAAGTTGATCGTTACGGATCTTTCGATTAGAAACTTAGGACAGCTAAACACAAGGGAATCCAAAACAAAATTGCGGTTGTACGCGGTCCCAAGAGGAATTTGGAGAGTTGGCAGAGAAAAACTTGACGCGCTGTTTTCTAAAAGCAAGCCTCTTATGAGTCAGCGTTTTTAAAAAAGCTACTTTTCGATTTCAAACCCCCGCTAGTGCTTAGCTCAGTAAAGTGCTCTTCAGACGAAAGTAAATGCCCACAAGCTACGGTCATTTACTCGAATAAATTTACACTTAATGGTGTCTTAGATGCATGTTTTTCGTAATTTGTTTGTTTAAGGTACGTTATTACTTCACGAGGTTCTAGATGGTTCAACTGTTAGCCGTAAATCGGCAAAAAATAGCTGTTTGGTGCCAAAAATTGACAAATTTTAACAATAAGTCGTAAAAAAAAGTTAGCCGCAAATGTTCCTCTTATCTGTGATGTGGCTTCTCGAAAATGTCAAAATTTTATACTGTTATATTGCTTGTCTTGTGACCATTGCGGGGGAACATAAAACTCAAGTACTCCATATCAACCCAACAGCGGCGCAACAGCAGTTCGTTCTGGAATTACCTCTGCTGCTTGACTCTAGTGGTGAAAGCGAGCAAGTAAATGTGTTTTAGAACAATGAAAATAAATCTTTAACTTTTTAAAGTGATTGAAATCAAATTTTCAACATTTCTGGCAACCGTAGCAGAAAGATATTCCAGTAGCAGTAAAAAATGACCAAAACTTTAACCGTTAGCTGCAAATACCATCACCTTATTGAAACTTTCAACGTTCACACGTTTTCTATAGTAAATTAACATACTCCGGAAATCGTTGAAACAACAGCCACTTACTCTCTTTCACAAATTGTACAAACGATGCGAGGGCCTTAACTAATAATTTTATCATGTAACATTGAGATCAATGATACGTTTACTCCATGCAGGAGATATCTCAAATCTCAAGCTGAGCAAAAGGAGAATTTTGAAACAGAACGCGAGTTTATCCATTTAGTCCGTATGTTTCCCTGCTCGATCTTTCTTTCCAACTGATATTCTATTAAATGATCTGATTAATTAGCGCCTCATTACCATTCATCGATTACCATAAGACAGTGCTTTTAAGAATGCTTCGATATGGGATTGCTTTTTTTTTTTGTAAAGTAACACTTCGGAATCTTTTTAGCTGTGTTTCACCGCTGCGTTTTAGGGCGTTCTAGAGCAAGCGTGAAAATTTTTTGAGTGGATTCTACGACCTGTTTACGTCGTGCAGCTGGGAGGTAAATGAGAAGATATTGATACCTCAGGGCAATTTTGGAATGAGTTGCCAGTTATCGGGTCCTTGCGTTTGCGCAAAGAGTTCTGGGATCGCCACGGGGCAAACATTGTAACTCGCTATAAAGGAACGAAAAGCAATTTTTGCAATCGTACCAATAGAAATAGACGACTCATGCTAATTTCTGATTAATAGTTTGGACGTATGCAGTTATAAGAGAAAGTTGACTGTCACGGATCTTTCTATTAGAAACTTAGGACAGCTAAACACAAGGGAATCCAAAACAAAATTGCGGTTGTACGCGGTCGCAAGAGGAATTTTGAGAGGTAGCAGTGAAAAACTGAAAAACGCGCTGTTTCCTAAAAGCAAGCCTCTTATGATACAGCGTTTTTAAAAAAGCTACTTTTCGTAAGATAAGATTTTAAACCCCCGCTAATGCTTAGCTCAGTAAAGTGCTCTTTAGACGAAAGTAAATGCCCACAAGCTACGGTCATTTACTCGAATAAATTTACATTACAGAGCAAATGGAGAATTTTGAAACAGAATGCTAATTTACCCATTTAGTCTGTATATTTCCCTGCTCGATCCTTCTCTCCAACTTATATTCTGATAAATGATCTGATTAATCAGCGCTTTATTACCATTCATCGATGACGTGAAGACAGTGCTTTTAAGAATGCTTCGAAACAGGGTTGCCTTGACACTGTGACACTTCGGAGTTTTTTTAATTGTGTTTCACCGCTGCGTTTTAGGGCGTTCTAAAGCTAGCGTGAAATTTTTTGAGTGGATTCTAAGACCTTTTCATGTCGCGCAGCTGGGAGGTAAATGAGAAGATATTGATAACTAATAGTGTAACAAAGTTCACATGATACGCGTCCTGCATACTGCTAGGATCAGCAATGTCGATAGCGTCATGTTTGTAAATAGAGAAGGTACTGATCCTTGAAAATATGGTTCGAGCTTGTTTCTCTTTATTTCGTGCTAAGAGACTTTTTTCCTCTTTCAAAGTTTGTAGAGGTAAGGCTGATGGTGATGACGTGGCTATGGTTAGCTGTGTTCCTTACGATCACCTGGAACACTGCACAAGCTGACAAACAGAAGAATATTGTTTTTCAAGCAAACTATGAAGATCTCATTACGGGTTGTTGGGAAGGAAGCTTTGTATTAAACGAGTGCGAGGAACGTTGTGAATGTCGAAATGGGGAGCTCATCAACTGTTACCGTGTGAGGAAGGATTTCATCAAAATGGACATCCATGAAAGGCGTCGTTTTCTCGACGCCTACAAGATCGTTTCCATGTATCCTAGTTTCAGAAAAGACTACAAAAGAGTAGTCGCTTATCATATTGCATACACCCCCACCGAATTACTTCACGAAGGCCCATGGATATTCCTACCCTGGCATCGATGGTGGCTGGTTGAGTTTGAAAATCTTCTTCGTCGCGTTGACTGCCGCGTAACCATTCCTTACTGGAACTGGAGTCGAGTCGCCAACCACTGGTGGAGAGGCATTGGTAAAGAGGACTTCTGGAGCCCAGAGGCGCACGGGCTGGGTGGCGATGGTAAAACTCCAAGTCTGTGTGTTGTCAATGGACCCTTTCGCGAGGACAAATGGAGCCTGCTAACAATTGGAGGAGGAGGATGTTTAAAGAGAAATTTCAGCTACGTTCACCTCACCGGAGATGAAGAACACGTCAGGGACACTTTGGCTCTACCTCTGGAAGAGTTTCTCCAATTTGAATATATATTGCGAGAAGTTTACCATAACGAAATACATTGGTATGTCGGCGGAACCATGTACACTACTGAAGCCGCAAACGCTCCTGAAGTAGTACCTCATCATTCCTTCCTAGACAAAATTTGGCGCGAGTGGCAGAAGAAAGGCGAACAATACAAAAATGTATTTTTTTACGACGTTCCGTGGAAGTTCCCAAACTCAAACTACCACGGCTGGCAATGGCTTGACTCCGATAACCTTCCTGATCAAGTGAAAGTTACGTACGAAAATTAACCATGGGATATGTAACCTAAAGTTAGATGGGTTAGCATGTGATAAGTTAGATATACATGTGCATAGGGAGAGGGCATTATTTATTTATCTCTGACGGATGGAGAGGTGGAGGAATATGGGGGGGAATCACATGGTTTTCATGACTTTGACTGCCAATCAACTGCCAATAATGGAGGATGAAAAGAATAATACAAAGCCTTACGGGGGGGATCAGGTCAATTTTACCGCAACATAGCCAAAATCATTCAAACCACCTCTCCCCTCCCCCGTCCTCCAGGCGAGAAATTAAGACCGGCCCCTATTACATTCTGATAAGAGACTGGAATGTCGCATGTTGAAAATCCACCGCCCACGACTGGTCATTAATGTCAATTTCCCGCGCTTAAACAGTTTGCTCGTTTTACTTTGCGTTCTCATTGGCTCTTCTCATTTACCCTCGCTTTTATACTGGCGGTCAGACATCAGACTGTTCATCTCGATATCGCAAGAAACTGACATCAGCTGGTATTATCAGCGTTTATTCTCTGTTTAAAAAAGCTGAGTCGTAAAATGAAAACACCAAACTTTGAGATAATCAAACAAGTGAAAATCAAACTACGTTTATATCTTGTCTCCTTCATTATTCTTTAGAAAGTTTTATGTTCATTTTCTTAGATACCGGTCTAAGCAAAATGAAATCATTTCAAAGAGAGTAAACCCTTTACATCCTCATCCTCCATGATGTTCTCTGTACGTCATTTCTTAAGGTACTGACAAGGAAAATGTGTTTAACAATCACAAGCTTCTTCAGTCAGTGATCATTTCTTTTTATTCTCGTAACCTTAATGTTTGATTCAAGGGTGATATTGTGATGAGAAATGAGATCCTGGTCACCCATAGGGGACGCATGCCTTAGCTACTCTAGCTGTCTCATCTCAAAGAAACGCTAATTCTGGGCTCATTACTCAGTCAGTCAGTTCCGTAGGCGTCAACCACTATAGCTGGTATCTTAGGTTCGACATCTCTCTTCCCTGACAAAGATGGTGTTTGATTCAGTAGGAAAGTTTCATGCGCCATTTTAATTGTCGAGTAACCGCGCCTTACACGGAGTGGAGCCGGGTCGCTCATTACTGGTAGAGAGATATTGCTAACAGGGGTTTCTAGGAATCCAGGCCACCACGGATATGGCGGAACGGGAGACAAACAGATCTGTGTTGTGAATGGACCATTAAGCAAAGACAAACGGCGCCTATTTGATATCATAAAAAGTGGACGTTTTCAGAGAACTTTCTATCGATCCGTCTCACTAAAGCTCTGCCAATGCACGGAACAGGCATCTTTTGCTATTAAATACCCTGGAAAAAAATGGCAATTTACTTTCCTTTTCGTGATCTCTTTGTATCATCCATTTAAATGTTTGTTTCATCCAGACAGACAAAAAGGTGACAAACATTTCAAGCTCCAGTGAGTTAGGATACTGGAGAAATCTATTACATGCGGTCTTGATTTTATGTTACATGCATTAATTACAGACTAAAGAAACGTATGCTAAAAAAGTTACTCAGTCGTGAAGCTAGTCAGGTTATGAGCTACCACCACGGAAAATTAATGAAATAAGGTAAGTGACTTTAAATGTAACATCAGAGTAGTTTGAACTATAAATCTTGGAGTTTACATCCGACAATTTTATGTACAGCTGTGCTGTTTTAAGACCCGTTATAAACACAGAACCTCAGCTGTGTTGCATGACTGAATAGTCAATTTGCAAACTATTTTGTCTCCTTTGAAATTTTCTGGCTACTCGTTGCTGGCTTTCACAATTACTCGTATACCCAGATCTTTTGAAATCTTTTTTTACTTAAGGTTTACCATCTCCTCAATAGATGGAAAAGAATTCAGGCAGGTTACAGAACGCATGCCCGTGTAAAACTCTCTTGCAAAACAGAAAGTTAATCAACTCTCGCGTGATTCGGCAGATTAATTTCTAACAACTTTATAAACATTTACCCAGGACTATCTTTAGATTTAGTTCATCTTTGCTGAGAAAAATTGGATATTAATAATTCTGATAGAGAGAATTTGTTTGACAATCTAGAACCTATAAAATTGGTAATCGTTTCGTTTATTTTCGTGATCGTTACATTTGATTCAAGGATGATACTATGACGAGAAATTAGAAACCATTAACTCTTAGGCCTGGGGCATGAAGAGCGGATAAAGAGAGGTGTAAACGAACACTTCTCATGAAAATAAAACAGATGGCACCAAACTTTTATCACTTTTTGTTATCATACCTGTTTTTATCGCGTAGGTATTCATTTTTTATAGATATTCTGTGGAAAAACAAATGTCAGAGTTGTTTTGCGTTCTTCACAGCGAAAGGCGAGGAAATTAAGAATATTGTACTAAATTGTACTACAGTTGTTCCAGTTGTTTACCGGAATGACTAAACAGAAGATGGTGATTTTTAAATTAAGTTACATCGGTATAACTGAATAAGAAAATTGAAAAGTGAATATTCAAAACAACTGAAAAAGCGCAATTAGAGACACAGCCTGGTGGATTTTAGCATATTCGTGATTGAAGAGCGGATAAAGAGAGGTGTAAACGAACACTTCTCATGAAAATAAAACAGATGGCACCAAACTTTTATCACTTTTTGTTATCATACCTGTTTTTATCGCTTAGGTATTCATTTTTTATAGATATTCTGTGGAAAAACAAATGTCAGAGTTGTTTTGCGTTCTTCACAGCGAAAGGCGAGGAAATTAAGAATATTGTACTAAATTGTGCTACAGTTGTTCCAGTCGTTTACCGGAATGACCAAACAGAAGATGGTTATTTTTAAATTAAGTTACATCGGTATGACTGAATAAGAAAATTGAAAAGTGAATATTCAAAACAACTGAAAAAGCGCAATTAGAGACACAGCCTGGTGGATTTTAGCATATTCGTAATTGAAATCACTTTCCAGTACAACGCACTCGGTGAATATTTATGAAGCAGCTCCACATTGTGTGACTCAGCGATACCGACAGGTAGCCCGTGGTGGATTAAAACAAATGGAGGCTTGGGGCGAGGGAAAAAGAAAGTTATCGCCGGCCATTGTGCAACTGAGGGCGACCAATCATCACATCAGGATGGCACAGACTTGAACCTCCCAGCCCTCCTGCATGCCCCCTCATTCAATTTCCTCTCAGATTTTTGAGGACGGCGGTTTGTGCTAGCGAAAACTCAAAAGTGACCGCAACGCTAAGGAAGACTTCGATTTAAAAATGAATCTGAACTTCTAGTTTTAGGCGAAGGGCTGGATGTGTTTACCGTCTCTTACCACGGCGCCACGGGCCTCAACTTTAGCAATAGCATATGTCTGCAGTGTTGGGTTCAAAAGGCCGGAAGATTGAATAATTTCCCGTCAGGGCTTTCCTAATAGAAAAAGCTTCCATTACCATTAATGATTAGTTTTGGCGTCTAATAAAACGCACAATGCTAAATTGGAGTGGCATTTGTCAGGAGAAGAAAAAGTGCCAGAGCATTGACACACGTGAACAAACATAATTTCGTGCGAATAGCGCCTCAAACCAAATGGTTTTTGGAAAGTTTGTAACACAGCATCTAATCACAGTCGGTGGGCGTTTTGTGAAGTGCACTTCATTTCCTTTTTCTCAGACAAATTTTTCATCCAATTTCAGTATAACTTTATTTTGAAATGGCGACCAAAGACTGTGACTTTTCACAGAAAAGTCATAGCTTTTTATGGACAGGTGCAAAGTACTCGACTTGCCCCCTGTAATGCTAGAAATAAAACAAATTAGAGCCGTATCAATTTGGCAACTCATTTATCCCCGTTACTAGGTTATGTCTTTAAATTAATGGATGCTATTCTCAGCAAGCGCAGGTGTCAGTGGCAGATTAAATAATTTTAAAACTGATTTCCTCTACTTTCCGTTGGCGGTACTTGACTATAGAATTTCGCTTTGCGGGTAAAACGCTCTGGTCGTTTTTAAGGTATGGTACTTACAGGCATCTTTATACAATGCGTTATGATCGTTGATGCTTTTGATTCAGAATCAAAGCTCTGGAGCTAGGAGAACGTTATTAGAGAAAAAAAAAAGCTTTTTACGCCGAAACTGTTTCCCCTTGAAGACGAATTGATCAATTATCATTTTGCCTAAATTTTTCTAAATTACTTCAGAAATTAATTTCTTATTTGGTAACAAAAATTAGGTTAATCAGTAAAATGAATACCTCACGGCGAAGAAATGAAACTAACAAAAATGTTCTCACCATACCACATATTTATCGATTATCAACAATTTGTGTCGCCTTTAAAACTGTAAGAGTCACTCAGACCTTACTCACCTTACGCTAAGAGTTTCAAGCTGTGGTTTCAGGTCTTTTTACTTTCAACAGCTTCAGCTCTCTTACTGTACACCAGTCAACAGCAGCGACTCCGTACCTACGCATTCTCTTAAACGAATGCGAAAACAGACCCGAAAGACAATTTTCTTTTTCTTTTTTTCTTTGGAAGCCCCTAATCATGAACTTACTCAATTCTTGTAAGAGAGATGGTAAGTTTTGAGCTCGGTAAAGAATTATAGAAAGATATTTTTCGTCTTGTCACAAGCGCAGGACAAGGAAAAATTATCTGAGTTGCCATGAGGAATCGAACCTCAGACCTTCGGATTCCGTGCTCCGATGCTCTACCACTAAACCACAGAGACTCTACGGTGAGCGAGGTCTATTACAAACTTCATAGGACACGCGTCCTGCATACTGCTAGGATCAGCAATGTCGATAGTGTCATGTTTGTAAATAGAGAAGGTACTGATCCTTGAAAATATGGTTCGAGCTTGTTTCTCTTTATTTCGTGCTTATGGACTTTTTTTCTCTTTCGAAGTTTGTAGAGGTAAGGCTGATGGTGATGACGTGGCTATGGTTAGCTGTGTTCCTTACGATCACCTGGAACACTGCACAGGCTGACAAACAGAAGAATACTGTTTTCCAAGCAAACTATGAAGATCTTATCACGGGTTGTTGGGAAGGAAGCTTTGTATTAAACGAGTGCGAAGAACGATGTGAATGTCGAAATGGGGAGCTTGTCAACTGTTACCGTGTGAGGAAGGATTTCATCAAAATGGACATCCATGAAAGGCGCCGTTTTCTCGACGCCTACAAGATCGTTTCCATGTATCCTAGTTTCAGAAAAGACTACAAAAGAGTAGTCGCTTATCATATTGCATACACCCCCACCGAATTACTTCACGAAGGCCCATGGATATTCCTACCCTGGCATCGATGGTGGCTGGTTGAGTTTGAAAATCTTCTCCGTCGCGTTGACTGCCGCGTAACCATTCCTTACTGGAACTGGAGTCGAGTCGCCAACCACTGGTGGAGAGGCATTGGTAAAGAGGACTTCTGGAGCCCAGGGGTGCACGGGCTGGGTGGCGATGGTAAAACTCCAAGTCTGTGTGTTGTCAATGGACCCTTTCGCGAGGACAAATGGAGCTTGCTGACAATTGGAGGAGGAGGATGTTTAAAGAGGAATTTCAGCTACGTTCACCTCACTGGAGATGAAGAACATGTCAGGAACACTTTGGCTCTACCTCTGGAAGAGTTTCTCCAATTTGAATATATATTGCGAGAAGTTTACCATAACGAAATACATTGGTATGTCGGCGGAACCATGTACACTACTGAAGCCGCAAACGCTCCTGAAGTAGTCCCTCATCATTCCTTCCTGGACAAAATTTGGCGCGAGTGGCAGAAGAAAGGCGAACAATACAAAAATGTATTTTTTTACGACGTTCCGTGGAAGTTCCCAAACTCAAACTACCACGGCTGGCAATGGCTTGACTCCGATAACCTTCCTGATCAAGTGAAAGTTACGTACGAAAATTAACCATGGGATATGTAACCTAAAGTTAGATGGGTTAGCATGTGATAAGTTAGATATACATGTGTACAGGGAGAGGCCAGTTTTTATTTTATCCCTAATGGGTGAAGGAGTGGAGTAATATAAGGGAAATCACATGGTTTTCATCACTTTGACTGCCAATCAACTGCCAATGATGGAGGATTAAAAGAATAACACAAAGCCTTACGGGGGGGAAGGGGCGGGGATCAGGTAAATTTTACCGCAACGTAACCAAAATCATTCAACCCACCCCACCCCTCCCCCCCTCCGTCCTCCAGGCGAGAGATTAAGACCGGCCCCTATTATATTCTGATAAGAGACTGGAATGTCACATGTTGTTTTAATTTTGTAATAATATCTAGTTAATTAATTTTACTGCTGATGTCATCAATAGGATTGTGCCATGAAAGGAAGAAGTACTAAATAAGACTTAATTTTAGGGGAAATGTAAGTTATAATTTGTTTTGGGATGCAGTTGAGTTAATTGTATTTTCTTAATGGAGTAGTTTTCACTTTAATATTAAAAGTAATCTGGGATTGCATTGGTATTGTTTTACTCTCCTCTGACTGGTCCAGAAAAATCGCGTCAGTCTTGCAACCAATCAGATCTGCAAAACGAAGACCCACCGCCCACAACTGGCCACTGGTGTCAACTTCCCGCGCTTAAACAGTTTGCTCGTTTTACTTTGAGTTCTCATTGACTCTTCTCATTTACCCTCGCTTTTATACCTGGTGGTCAGACATCAGACTATTCATCTCAATATCGCAAGAAACTGACAGCTGGTATTATCAGCGTTTATTCTCTGTTTAAAAAAAGCTGAATCATAAAACGAAGTCACCAAACTTTGAGGTAATCAAACAAGTGAAAATCAAACTACGTTTATATCTTGTCTCCTTCATTATTCTTTAGAAAGTTTTATGTTCATTTTCTTAGATGCCGGTCTAAGCAAAATGAAATCATTTCATAGAGAGTAAACCGTTTACATCCTCATTCTCCATAATGTTCTCTGTACGTCATTTCTTAAGGTACTGACAAGGAAAATTTGTTTAACAATCACGAGCCTCTTCAGGTAATGATGATTTCTTGTTATTCTCGTAACCTTAATGTTTGATTCAGGGGCGATATTGTGATGAGAAATGAGATTCTAGTCACCCATAGGGGACGTATGCCTTAGCTATTCTAGTTGGCACATCTCAAAGAAATGCTAATTCTGGGCTCATTACTCAGTCAGTCAGTTCCGTAAGCGTCAACCACTATAACTGATATCTCAGGTTCGAAATCTCTCTTCCCTGACGACGATGGTGTTTGATTCAGTAGGAAAGTTTCATGCGCCATTTTGATTGTCGATTAACCGCACCTTACACGGAGTGGAGCTGGGTCGCTCATCACTGGTAGAGAGATACTGCTAACGGGGGTTTTTAAGAATCCAAGCCACCACGGATATGGCGGAAAGGGGAGACAAACAGATCCGTGTTGTGAATGGACCATTTAGTAAAGATAAACGGCGCCTATTTGATATCATAAGAAGTGGACGTTTTCAGAGGAACTTTCTATCAGTCCCTCTCACTAAAGCTCTGCCAATGCAAAATTTAACATTGTAGTTTGCACAACGAGCCTCAATGGACTGCATTGGTATCTGGTAGGAGCCAAGGAAGTGCCGGATCTGCTAATGCTCCTGAGTTTGTCCTTCACACTTCCTTCCAGGAAAAAATTGGACTCTAACAGCAGAAGATAGCAGAAGGTTGATTTACTCTGTAGGTGAATTAACACAACTACATCGTCGCTAGTGTTCAGCTTTTTACACCGAATCTTGCACCCAGATTCTTGGGTTCCCACTGTGTTACGAAGGAAAGCTTGCAGGGAAGACAGGCAGGCCTCGTCCGAAGGGTGGAACAATATTGGAACAATATTGGAACCTCACCAGTAATCATCCTCTGATTCATCATATTCACTGCTCTCATCCAACATAAATTCTTCCATGTCCCACAAGTCCCAGTCTGTTTCAGACAGCGAATTTAAGATCTTTTGCCTCAACAAGACGATTTGAAAATCTGTGACTATCTCCGTGGGTAGACTTTGCTTTCTTACCAAACAAGCTACCTCACTGGAACTCAAAAGTCCAAATTCTTCCCCCATGAACGAGCTCTTTATGAACACCCTTGACGCCAGTTGACACAGCCGACATGTACTCTGACCAAACAGCATTGGAATCAAGCTGATTCCAAATTTCTTTAGGTTTAGTAGTGCCACATCATTTGCATTCCCGCAAGATGCATATTCCAAAAGTTCTAGCAGGATTTCTTTCAGAGAAAAATAACCTTTATCCACAAGTGGAGCAAGTTTGCGGCAAACTGCAGCCATGTCCTTTCGTCCAATGGCAGACCATGGAATGATTGATGCCAGAAGAGGAGAAATATATCTGGGATTCAAAGTAATTAGATTGTAACCAAAGAGCTAATAATTTGTGGATGGTAGGCTAAAAAAACTGAAGAAAAGGTTTCCCTTTACAGATAATTGTGGTACCTACTCTGATACATTTCTTCCTTTCATCATTGACATTAGTAGTGAAAAATGAGATTTTATCAAAGCTGAGCAAATATATCACAGCCACCATGTAGATTAGATTGAAAAATGTAGGCCAAAAATGTTCCCCTTAGTCAATAGTTGGGATTTAATGGCCTGTTAACAAGTTCCATTTGCATGGACAGAGGACATGTACAAAACACTCAAAAGGCATTGAAAGAAAGCATTGCCTCTAAATTGCTTTTGCTGTTTCTGTGCCATCTGTAGGAAATAATAGAGGGAGGCCAAGAATTAAGCTTAGTTAATAGGACTTATGGTTGTCAGTATGGACCAATTTATAAGCTACTAGTGGGTAGAATTTCCATGGAATTCCTAGGAAATTGAACTCCAATTTTAAGTAATATTTATCAACCCTTTACTCACAAAAGTGACCAAGACAGAATTTCTCCTTACAACATCAATACAAAATCAAGCAGATAAGTGATGAGAATTGAGGGAATATTAGTTGATCCAAAGCCAAATCTACAAACTTGTATTGCAAACAGTAACGTGAATTACTAAGGAGATCTTGGGAGTTAAAGGGTTAATGATTTATTTACAAGTAAGATGGCCTTTACATCTTACCTCCCATCAGGTCCCAGGCCTCGCAAACTAGGATCAGCTCCATGATCAAGAAGAATCTTTGCAACTTCAAAGTTACCAGACTGCATGGCATAAAATAGAGCTGTCCTACTGTGAATTCCACAGTGGTTAATCTAGATTAGAAAAAAAAAGAACATAACTTTGTATTTGTCTTTACTACCATTCTTATTTCCATGCTCCAAGGATTTTTTTAAAATTTTTATTCCCTTTTCTATAGAACTATACAACCACTGAGGAGAGGGGTGGGGTAATTTATGGAGTGTTGTATGGTTGTGTCATGCAGGAACTGGTAAATTCTTAGACTGTGGTAGACCAAAGTCAAGTACATTTGCCAAACATTCCTGGGACTAGACATCAATTGAAAGGCATTTTTCCTTATTTACACTTTTATTTACAACTTGAACCAATCTTTAATTCATTGTTGAAAGTAGACCATGACGGGTTAGAAAACATATACTGCCCTTTCAAATTCAAATTGAAAAATTAGAGAAAATTCGAGTTCATCACTCTCATTTTCACATCCTTCAGGTACTATGATTGGTTTGATATTTATTCCTCATCAACTCTTTGTGTTATTTTTTAGTGCTGATTTGCTATTGTGATAATTCTTGGTTTTCATCATCTGACACTCAGCCATAAAAGGTCCTTACATTGATACAGTGGTGGTCAAACCTATTCACAGATATACCAGAAGAAAAGCAAACATTTCAGGAACATAACCATACCTTCACATCTTCAAATGATAACAAAAAGCGCACAGCTTCACTGATGTCATGATTAAAACAAGGTCCTTGCTTAATACCATCCCGCCATGGCAATGGACAACAAAGAGACATAAGGGGTGTGTTGCCATGACAATCACTAGCCATAAGATCAGCACCATTGTCACATAAGGTCTGAGCCATACGCAAGTCTTGTGATCTTAACAGTGTTGAGTGCAATGGTGTCTTCATTTCTATGTCTCTAACATTAACTTCAGCTCCATGACCTAACAAAAACCATGCCACATCTATCAATTCTTCAACCAGGTCTGCTGTTTGTTTTATGTATTTTCCATGAACAGAGAGAGCATCGTATGTGGAGGCAGCTTCTTTAGTGATTAGACTGTTGTTGCCTGTTACAAGATTGTAAAAGTTCACCACACATTCCAGTGGTGACCTTCCTGGTCCTATGTATTCAGCACCACAGGTCTAAAGAGGGAAAACCAGCACTGTTTAGTAAAAAAAAACAAAAAAGTAAAAACAAAAGTGTCTATACAGGAGATAATACTATACACTTATTGACTAAGCAAGAGGGCAGAATAGGAAAATATATGGCTTGTGCAAATGACATATAAACCAAGCACAGCAAGGTCTATGTGTCATGAATGAGGGGAAAATATTTTCTTTTCCAGCTCAACCAAACTTTGCTATTAAGCATTTTATAGTATGATTACTAAGAGTTGGAAATTTAAGAAGTTTAGGTCAACCTAAATAGGACATTCTTTCACACAAAAGAAGGGTGTGCACATGAAAAGATACTAAACAAATTCTTAATAGTAAAAACTTTCCTTTTTCCTCTTGAGACAGAAAGCAAAAGAGCAGTTTGAATGCAAAGCTCTTTTCAGACTGGCTAACATTAACCTGTCCAGCCCTACTCACTTCTATTGTATTGTGTGCACAAGGCTGGCCAAGTCATGTGATAACACAATATTATATTTGGGGAAATTGTACAAAAGAATCTGCTCTGAGTTGTATTACCTCTGGAATTCTCAAATTGGGATCTGCACCTTAAAAAGAAAAAAAATCACTTGAGCAAAAGGAAGACAAAGGACTATTGACCTTATATTGGCTATATAACATAACAGTCCTTGCACTTTTTAAGTTGTTGGAAAATAGAGAGATTAAATGAGGTGTTGTTGACATAGCAACAAATAAATATAAATATTACAGTATATTCTTGAAATTAAGGGATGTCTTTACAAATCAATCACTTTAAGCTGAATAACACTGCAAACTTTAGCTTGTCCTGAGCTGTTAAAAGTAGCTCAAACTCACACCCATCGAAGTATAGGATCTGATAGAGGTTAAGAAAGCTAAAGTTAAGTTTTAATTTGGTCAGTTTCTATCAGTAAAAGGCATTGTCATTCAAATATTGTTAGAGCTAATATTAACACTTGAAAGATTTATGGCAAAGTTCTTCCACAAATGACAAACTCACCTTTCTCTATTAATCGCAGAGCGATATTCAAGTGAATAGGCATGGCTTCGCCGTCGACCGTAGAATTTTCACCCGAAAGAACGATAAAAAGTGGTATCCTTTGGTAGAATCCCTCATCTAAGCACATTCCATAATGGCTGTCAATAAATTCTATTGCTTCGTCAAAACGTCTTGACTCCAGAGCCTGAGTTAACGGTGTTTCTCGAATTCCAAAAACAACATTGAAAGGTGCTGCAGCCGCCATCTTGATTTGATTTTTAAAAATAACCCATAATACTCTGATCATTTGTTTACATGTTGAAATTCGAAAAAACTTTGGGAACAAATCACTGGAACAAATTCTTCGAAACGGCGTCAGACTTTGAGTATTTATGAAGCAAATAAGAAACTCATTTTCATGGATGAAAGTTCACTGAAGGAAAAGCTCAGCTTTCACTGCATTGTGAAGTGTTTTCTTTTCGCCACAAACACCGTCTTGTGGGTAAGTGTCATTTGTAAAGTAGACCGCAGAGTTTAAGGAGCAACAGCTTAACCTCTTTTCGGCTTCAACTTTAATCTACATTGCGGAAGGTTTTTCAGCAATGTCATAGACTTTGAAGGCGTATCTCACAATTCAGCTTGTAAGTAAACGGAAATTTTGTATTGATCTACTACAGATCTCTGGGAAATGAGAAAGAAAAAGTCCTTTCCTAGCCAAACTGTATCAGTTCAACTGAGTTCTTTACCCCTTATACTTCTAATTATTATTCTGCAAAATAACAAACCCATATATAATGTTCCTATTTAAACTTAAGCTGGACTGGGTTCTCTGCATTGTGACTGACACTGAGAGAGGTTTAACAGGTCCAACTATTATGACAACAACCAGTCTCTGTTTTATGTACTGGATTTTGAACTAGAACCCACACCACTTTTTCTTACATTGAAATTTTAAGGTATGGCTTGAGGCCTGCTTAGTTACTGGGAGTTTCTTCAGAGAGGGGTGAGAAAGCAGGGAGAAAGATGTTATTCATTGGTTCAAACCATTTACTGCATAAAATTAATTCTTGTGTAGATTGTCAGCATTGTACTCATTGCCATTGGAGCCTGGGCTCATGACAAGAAGAGGGAGTACAGTGACCTTGACAGCCTGGCCTTCGACCCTTCAATTCTCATTATTGTTGTTGGCTGTCTGATGTTTGTAGTGACATTTTGTGGTTGTGTTGGAGCTCTCAGGGAAAATAAGATCTTGCTGCAAGTAGTGAGTGATGTTCCTCATAGTTCTGTGCAGTCAATAAAATTCTGAAAACATCTTGATGAGCTCTCCAAGCTTACTTTTCTCTGATTACTGTTAGTAATAAATTATTTTATAACTCTTTAGAAAAAGTTTTGTAAACTTACTTGTGAAGGTTATTAAGCTGTGCATTTGTAAAACCCTATATAAGTTTGGAGACCCTTTCATTTCATCCCATCTCTGTGATATTTTTTTGACACTTTGCTGTTTTGTTCTTGTGGGTGACTAGTAAGGAGACAAACACTAGGCAACACTGTATTACACCAAAGGTAATGGTAGCATAGAAGTAACTGCAACATGGCGTCAGCAACCTTAATATCTATATTCTGTACATTATATTTGTTTTTTTTAGGACTGGTTGGTGGTTTTTAATGATGGTTCCTCTTCATTTTCTTCTAGTTCATGGGATCTTTGACTGTCATCTTCATTTTGGAACTTGTAACAGGCTTTGTTGCATTCTTCTTTGTTGACAAGGTATATGTAACATTAGAGATGCTCTGATAATTTTTTTGTAAGCATCTTTTTCTCTTTTTTTTAATGTTGATTTATGCCAATGGCTGATACACAAGGTGTAGAATTTCTTAAGGGATGAGATTCTTAAAAGCTAAACTTGTCAGAGAGAAATATCAGGCTATGCAAGATCACATTTTGGAAGTGGGTTAAGGGTTGATTTCATATTCATGCATTGAAAAGGTAACTCCTGCATAGGAGACTGTTGACTCGCATAGTTGATGGAGTGGAAACTGAAGGTATTACCCAGTTGGAAGTTAACCCCCTGTCACCTTTGCAAGTTTACCTCCTGCAGGAAAACAAGTTGGCCCAAAGAATCCTTCAACTCATTCCAATGCAGCAAAATGTATTCTGTTGAAATCATAATATATTTATTATTAAACCTCACAACAAAACCATACCAAAGTTAGATCAACATGCAAATTAGCAGCCTATTTTTTTTTAAGTGGGACTACTGTGTGAGTAATTTAAATTGCTACATTACTCTAGTCTTTATTAAGCACTTAATTTTATGCAAGTGTTTGCAACAAAGCAAACTTGCTTTACCACAGGGGACAAACTTGGTAAGATGAAAGGGGACACACTTGCCATAAGGCAAAACCTCCATAAACAGCTGGAGCTTGCTACAGGTTTTTCAGTAGCTTGTAGAAATTAACAGTATATTACAACTGCTTTTGGACAGGTTGCATCTCCCACGTCATGCCTGAGATTAGTTAATAGGCATCATTGATGTTGCAATTACAATCACAGCCCCAAACATACCACCCTTTGTACCCATTTCAGCCCAATGATTTATGATTTTCATCAAGGGTTATCCCTTTGTTCTGACAAAGCACTAATGCTCCAAGTGCTAGCAGAAACGGTCTGTAGTTGCCAACTTACATAATCAACTCAGCTGATAAAACCAAATTATTATGTAATACCTACCATGGAAAAACACCATAGTTTCTTTAGAAACTTATGCTCTATAATCATCATCCACAGACCAGAAGTAAAGTAAAGAAGGCAACTTATGATGTGATCATGAGATACAGAGATGACCCAGACCTGCAAAATGCTATCGATGGAATACAGAAGGGTCTGAAGTGTTGTGGTGGATTTTCATATCATGACTGGGAGCTGAATGAGCATTTTAACTGTTCTGCTAATACTGTTCAGGCATGTGGAGTACCCTTCTCTTGCTGCCGCAAGGTAAATAGCAATGGCAAAAGTTAATGCTTCTGTTACTGATACTTCTACATAGTGCTATATTCTCTCTTAGAGCAGACATGATAAGGCAGAAGCAATGCAATCATTGTTTAGTAAATAATTAAGTCTCTGCATTGGAAATCTCTCTACTTACAGGCCAGTACACATGATAAAAATACCATCCTTTCACTATCAGCAAAATGTTATGAAGACAGCGTGGCAGAGTGGTTAGGGTGCTGGACTTGTAATCTGGTGGTCCTGGGTTTAAGTCCTCCACCCTGCCATTCACTGGCTTTGTTCTTGGTTGCCCTAAGTTTATCTCCTCAGCTGCACATTGTAATTGCCAACTGCTCTGCCTCCTATGAGTTGGGATTTTCAAGCACTTTATGTTTGTAATGTAACAATGACTCTGAAAAGCCCCATGGGATAGAGTCAATAAAGTATGTATGTATGTATGTATGTATGTAACATACCCAGTGTGTTTCTTAGCACTGTATAACTTGATTACAATTATAATACCAGTAGTGTTGATGTTTTTTATTGATGAACAGGATCAGATCAATACACACTGTGGATTTGCAGTAAGAAAAGAGAAACTTGTAAGTATTGGTAATCTGATAAATCTTGAGTTGTACGCAGCTCATTGTAGAGGTGCTGTATGTAGCCTTGTAGCAGAGCCCCCTAACTTTTAATTGCCCAAGCTTATCTTGTTATTTATTCTGCATCTGTTTGCTAACCTAAGCACAAGGAATGCACAGGGACATAGCCTTTGCTGGAAAATCACACCTACATCAATTTAGGAATTCAAAACATACCTACATGATTATAAGTACCTCAAATCTAATAAGTGCAAGTGGTAAACATTACTAAAATGCTTTGGTTATTATCTTACTTGTGGCACAGCTACACAACCTTTGAACTCAGGTATGATAGTTTGTAAAAAAATGCAAATCTCAATAATTGCAATCCATCATAAACAATAATTTCAAATGAATAAATAAATATAAATCTTCTTTCAATGGCACAGGAAGGGCCCACATAGGGAATGTAAGGAACAATGTGAAGCAATGCCAGACATACAAAGTGATAGTAACAATAGACAAAGAGCAGTCCCTCCTTTATGTCTGTCATGTGAGTCTGAGAAAATCAAGAAAAAAAATGATATTAGGGTACCAGGCAGAACTCTGGAAGAGAGGCACATGAAAAGTAGCATGAAAATCACTCAGCCATGCAAGGTCAAACTCTTTGGCTTTGTCTTTAGTCCTTGCTTTTGTTTTTAATTTCTTAGGAAACAGAAGCTTCTCAGGTGATATACACCAATGGATGTATTGATAGTCTGACAGACTGGATTAACAGCAATCTTCACATTGTGGGTGGTGTTGCATTTGGGTTTGCTGTTATACAGGTAATTGTGCAAGAGTGTTCTTTAGCTTTTATGAACTGAACATGGCCAGTTCATATCAGAAGTGACAATAAATGCAATCACCATCTGGCTAATAACATCATTCTTCCTGCTTGTTTCAGTTACTTGGAATTCTGGGAGCCTTTAACATGATCCGGGATATTGATGAAGTGTTGAAGTCACAGAACACCGAGACTGAGTTGAACTATACACTTTAAGAGGATCACAGGGATGCGCATGTGAAATAAAGGAGTAGAATTCCACAGTTTGACTTGCTGAACCTGTCCACAAAGTCAGGCTAAAAGTCTGCCACTTTGTGTACACTTCTGCCACGAATGTCTGTGAGCAGCTCTGTGAAACAATTCTCAACTCAATTCTTCGAGTATTTTTTTTTGCTGGCATCACACCCTTCAGAAAATCCCATCAAGAGTCCAGTGTGTTAGTGTAGGAGTAATCATGGTAGGAGTGCCGTAGAGTTCAATAAATTAATGGACTCCCATCAGTTGATGAGATTCAAGTATTCTTGAACAGAGTACAATGCTTGAATAGTAAAAACCTTTATTGAATCTTCTGATTGCAATTCAGCATTACAATGTCAACCCAAGAATTACATGGACCTACACTTCACTTTTACTTTGCTTTTTTTTAATACTTAAACCTAACTATATTTAAAGAAAGTTCTGAACAAATACAGACATCAGCAGAGGAAAGGGAAACATACACTTAACACTACCAACTAACACAGTTGTCAAAAATCATTCAATTTTCAAAATCTCTGTACAGAGGTAAGTTCCTTAATTTTTAATTGAGAAATCTGACTAGATCAAAGAATTGCAGCCACTAGGTCCTATGAAGATTTGCCACAAATAAATTTTTAAACAAATAAATAAATTCCCTATATATTAAATAACCATTAATGCATAGCTACTGTATTATAACTTAATCAAATGTAATAGTTTTCATGTTGGGAACTTTTTTGAGTATTCCTTTATTCTCTGGAAGGAGGTTATTTCAGAAAAGCTTCAGCTTAATTAAAAATAATGACAAAACAGAAATACATGGACTGTAATAATTCTGAGGTTGCAAGCATAATATGGAAGGACTCTCTCTCATGCTTATTTTACATGCTTGAAAATAGCTCTAAACCTTGAGGAAAAAAATTTTCTTTGCTAAGTGTAGAAGAGTCTTATTCCTTCAGGACTAAAGCAAATTTAGTGAAGTTGCTGAAATACCAACAAAATAATTTTTGTGGTGATTATTAATTAAAAAATTGTAAGAGAGTTAAATTTTAACAACTTTAAAATTTCTCTCCAAATTCCTAACACTTCTATGCTAACAGGCTACCTAGCTACAATTACAATTGGATTTCAGATTTGTTGTTCCATTTACAAAACATACAATTTCTATTCACCAACCTTGGCATGTGATACTTACTGAGCTATAGCAAAGGATGCGCAAAACATTGACCAATTTTTGTACTAACATGTACAATTTACATAGTAAATTAACCATCAATACCAGTAACTCAGCAAATAGTGACAATGGTGGTGGTTTTCTGAGATTCCATTTCAATTCATTTCTGTCATGATTACCTCTCTTTAAACTTTAGAATCAGCAAACATGACCAAATTACAAAAAAAGTGCAGCCTTACCTAACAAAACGAAACCAAAATTTTCACCAAGTGTGACAGAATGCTCTCTAGTAACTTGACTCTACCCAATTGATTCAACCCAAAATTGTTTCTTGTAGTGTGACAGAATGACCCCAACCTTTAGGAATGACCCAAAATATTGTATTACCTATTGTGACAGATTAACTTCAAATTAAGTGACCTTAATAAAAACAGTGACCCCAAAAGTGACAGAATGATTCAAAATTGTGTGACATTCCCTGCCAGTGTGACCCCGAAATTGTGTGATCCAGAATGACAGAATGATGCTCACGGGCGTGACTCTACCAAACAGACTGAGGGAAAAAAATTTAGATTTGGCGTGACAAAATGACCTCTAATAACGTCTAGTACCCAAACTTTAGCACTAGAGAAGCCATTAGACAAGATATTCAACTTAAATAGACAAGAAAAAGACAATTAAAAAGGTAGTCTAAACTCTTGCTTTCTATCTGATTTTCTTGCAAAAAAAACCTAGGCTTAATTCAGTTCATCATAAGAACAGACTTTGAAACACACAACACTCTATTGCATGCAAATAACGCTACCAAATCATGCTACGTCTTCACACAAAACGAGAGATATGGCCGTATCTTTGGGACGGGTTTTGACAGAGCCAGATGTGCAACAAGGTTATTAAGTTACTACCAAACAAATGAATCAGTTTTTAGGGAATACCGCGGCAGGGTTTACCAAAGGATGGCTTACTTATGTTTTCTAAACTAAAGGTTCCGTTTAGTGCGTGCAATAATACGAAAGTCAAATAACGCCATATCACATCCCTTCCCTCCCCCTCTTTGGTCAACCTTACCATTACTATTAAGCCCCCTTTCCCCGACCTACTCCTCCCTGTCTAATTCAGTTCTGTTGTTGAAATATTTTGGCTTGGTACTCCCGTGGAGCTCCACCGTGTCTCTGCCACTCGATCTCAAAATCTCTAACGGTAATCTCAGCCCCTTGGCGCAGCGCCAACCGTGTCTCGTCCAAACTCAGCTCACACATGTCCAGGTCATCTTCCCCTGCGACCAGCAACAAGGCAGATTTGCCTGGATGAATCTCCATTTGGCGCGCTATCCATTGTCCATCAAAGTGTGCAAACCTAACGGGAAGACAGACACAACACCTGCCTTTAAGCAAATCATTTTCACTGACATCATACAGCATTACACGAGCATTCCCTTCTTTATGGCAAAGTCCAACACGCGAGTAAAAAAATCGTTGAAAGATAAAATTTTTGTTAGCGCGCTGCGCCAATTCTTTTTTCGTTTCTCTCATTTTTGACTCGCGCGACATATTCCGTCAAAAATAAGGGACTCGTCGTGATCAAACACCATGGCTAAACCTTGCTTTACGCTGGCATCAACAGCAAGGTTTAGCCATGGTGTTTGACTACGAGGTGTCCCTTCGTCTCGAAAAATTTACTCAAATAATATAAAACCCTACTTCAGAAACCAGAAATAGTAACTATTAAAGCAACAGTGGCAGTCTCTGGTCATGTCCCTGATCCACGGTTTTTTTTAAACAAATTTTACAACTTGTTCTCACATAAATCGCTAAATAAACCTTTGGACGAAGAACCAAAACAGCAATAGACTGCCGAAAAAAGACTTGATACCATTGCACTTACCAAGATCCCTGTTTCTTGAACTCACTATCTCTATACTGATTAGACCGACGTATAAACGGTACACAGAAATATCTTTGCGGCCTTCGTGGGGGGAGGGCTGGAGAAGCAGTAGCCTGTTCTGGACGACTAGGTCGAGGAGGGAGGGGTGGGGCATTTTCCGCTGGAAAAAAAATAATTCGTTAGTTGGCAATGAGAACCTGAGATCTTTGCCTCTCCGATTCGCAGATCTTTAGAGGCTCCATAATTAAAGCTTCCAGTATTTGGTACGTGGACATAGAGTAGATTGAACCGAGTACCGCACGCTGAGAGAAAATGGTCATGAAAGGAGTCTGTCAAAATAAACGTCAAGAATTCGCACTGCTCGTTGTTTTGGCCTTTCTGAGTTTGTTCGACCAATCAAATCAGTCTACCGCAAATCCCTCTGGGAAATCCTGAACCTACCTGCTACCATAATATCCTGTGGGGCCCTTTGAGGAGCACCTTCTTGGTCTGTGCCTCGGGCCTTGTTGGTTTTCTTCCACTGATGATAAACCTTAAGCCGCCGCTGAAACTCCAACCTGCAGGCTTCCAGAAGCTCAATGTCTGCAATCACCAGAACGGACAAAAAATAATAGGTTTGGGAGATTTCCTTGGTAGTGAATCTTTTTTTGGTAGTAGTTACCCAGCTTTGTTTTTGAAAAAAATAAATGCAAAATGAACTGTTCGATTAATAAAAAAATGCATGAAGCGAGTTCTAAAATGCACCGATTCTGTTTTGTTTATCTAAGACTTGTCTGCACTCTTCAGCCACCTTTGAAGAGCTGTTTTTAGTCTCTAAGCTCGGCAGAAGGCCTATTTTCTCCTTCCCTCATCCCTACCATCCCCCCCTCGTAGCTTTTTATTTTTAGCTCGCTTTCGCCCCAAGCCTTTGCGCGGCTTACGCTTCTCCCGCTTAAATAGAGACGGAAACGCCTTCTAAATAAGATGTGATAAGTATCTTGATCTTGATAACTCTTCGATGAGGACCGTTCTCCAGTCCTAGAGCCGACTGCTATCTTGGTAGCCTGTAAACGGACTGTGCTTCCTGTTCAACCAAACAACACATCATAATGCTACTCACCGCAGGACGTGTTAATGGTATCCCGCAGTTCGGCATATTTCCAAGATGATAAGTCGTGCTTCTTTTTCTCTCGCGGTGGCAGAGCTCTGAAAGAAGAAAAAAAGACTTGAAAAAATAAAAAAGGATGGTAAAAGACCTGAATACAGTACTCAACGCTGGCCAGGATCATAGCCCAGGAAGAGGTAACATCAGGTGGAGATTGTTCCCAGGATATTGGAAATGCCGCTGTTAAAAAAAGTGTCTTCAGCTCACCTCTGTAGTGGTAGCTGGGGAGCCTGTTGCACTTCTGCGTCCAAAGCGTCAGGGTCCTGTGTAAGCCGTAAAGCTAGTTCCCGGTCTCTGCGTTCCTGTTCAATCATCGCCCACCTAAAGTAAACACAAGTCAACAGAGAACAAATTAAAAGAACCCGAGACTTGCTAGAAGGACGCTTCGTTTAATCGGTTTCCAATAAATGAAAAACAGCTTTTTCTATTTCCTTCGTGAAAAATACAGCCAGTTTTTAGCATCATACAATGCTACCGCAATTTTTAAAATTTCTGTCAAAAATTGAACCAGTAACTTACCTCCGTTGTTCCTCCTCCCTCGCTTTCTGTTCTTCTGCAGCTTTTAAAGCCTAAATATAAATATGACGACAAATATAGATGAACACTACCCTTCAGCACTCACTGACCTGCTGGTCGTGGGTGACACACCAAGAGATAGGGTAATTAGTAATTTGAAGGAAGTGAGAGTTAAATGCACATGAGTCAAACGGCCCGTGTGTCTGTGTACTCATCCTCCTCTACGTCTGCCTTGTGTTTGTCCTTCATCAGGTTCGTTTCCCTGCCTGTTTATTCGTCTGTCTTTCTGTGCGCATGTCTGAATGTCCTCGCCTCAACTAGTTTGACCGTCTAACTTAACATGTTTACCACTGACCGACTGACTGTGACTGAGTGCCTTTTGGCCTGTTCTGGGCGTTCAGTTAGTAAAGCGAAGCGCGATAGTAGCGGAGGAGTGAAAAAACGAGAGAGAGAGAGTTGGGTCGGGTCGCGCAATGAACCCGACCCAAACCTCCCTCGTTTTTTCACTCATCCACAGTTTACTATTTTGTTCACCTGTAATTGTCTGTCAGCCTCTTCTTTCTCTCTTTTTATTCTTTCTTCTTCGTCCTTCTTGCGTTGCTCTTCCTCTTCCAGTTTCCGTCTCACCTCCATTTCCATTCGCCTGTTCGAAAATGTTTTTAAAAAGTTATATTTGGACCTTATTTAACAAATGTGAATTGCAGCCCTGTTCAACTTACATTTTTCTCTCCTCTTCTTCCTGTTTTCTCTTCCTTTCTTCCTCTTCCCTTCTCTTTCTTTCCAGTTCCATCTGCTCTTGTATTTTTCTGAGTCGTTCTTGTTCCTCTTCGACCTTTTGCTTTTCTACTCGCTGTTCAACGTCCTTCAGTTGTTTGTTTAAATTACTGACAAGTCCAAAGTACAGTGTATCGATAGCATCCCGCTTCATTAAATTACCCTGCAGAAAACAAATTTATTTCAGTTTTAAACATAATCAAAGCAAGAAAAAAAGTTAACGAGCTTATGTCATTTCCGAGGTTGAGCAAAGCGCGCGGCCAGTGATATGTAAAAAATCCAGTTAATTCTCTCATATATATGTATCCACAACAGAGTTTGAACCCTGCCTTAATAATTTTCAGCTGGTAGAGAACAGTAAGTTATAAAAATAATTCGATCTTGATTTGTGTCGTATGTAGACGAAAATAATCATAATAAAAAAACACAACAGCTTTGTGTTATAATTTTACAGCAAGTTTACCTTGACTTTGATCACAGCATCATCAATGGCTTGTTTGAGTCCCTCCACGTTTTTAGCCAGTACGCTTTGGTCTTTCTTCAGAGAACCCACTAATCCAGAACATAAAAAAAATACCGTGAAGATTAAACCACTTGCAGTTATTCAATAGGCTAGGGGAGGGGGAGGGTTAGGTCGAGTCTTACAGGTTAAGTGGCAGGCCCATAACTGCCTAGTGCCCATCGTCGATTTGTGAAGCAAGAAGGAGTTTGGAGAATTTCTACTTCAAAAGCTAGTCCATCCCCGTTAACCCCCAGCATTTCATCAGGCTTCCCTAGAAGTTTGCCTGTTCCCATTTGAACTCCCTCAGTGAAGAAAGGTATTGTGAAAGTAAAGTATCTTGTCCAGGAACACAACTCAGTGACTCGGCCAGGACACGAGCAACATTTTTTTAACAATTCTTTTTAAATATTTGCTATTTTATTTTAAATTCAGTTTTAAAAATTGAGTAAGAAACGATGTAAAAAGAGGGTCCCACACGCACACCATCCGGCCACTATATCCCCCACAAATAGAACTTTTAGGAAATTTAGTGACACAATTATGAGTGCAAATAAAAAAACAAACAAACAAACAAGAGAATCATTTTCTCACCTAGTTTCCCTATATTATCAAGTTGCACCTGTAGTTTTCGGATTTTAATGATGCCTTGATACCTGGAAACAGTTCAAAATGATCAAACATCGATTAACCGACTGTCTTAATGTAGAAAAAAAAAACGAAGTCAAAGTAGCACACAGAGCAGGAATTTGAGGTTTGTCAAACATTTGGCTGTTTTCACATTTGTCACCATAGATATAACTACATAACGCCAACGACAAATTACTATTCAATCGCACACCGCTTGAAAAGCTCTCTTTGTCCTTGAGGCTATCAATCTTTTGAACCCTAAGAATGGCTGGCTTCTAATTTCTCCTTACAATATCACTGCTGAATCAAACAGTAAGGTCATGAGAGTAAAGGAGATGATCACCAATTCAAGAAACTCTTGACTTATTTACAAATTCTCCTTATCAGCACCACAGGAAATGTATGAAGAAGAGTATGGAGACGATGCGTACTGATTTTAGGATGTAGAGGGTTCAACTTTCGAAGATGCTTCACAAATAGATACAAATTTTCATAAAACGACTCCACAACTAAAACAAAAAACAAACAAACAAAAAAAACCCGCTGACTTCGTAACTAACTTGAACAATCCTCAACGTAACACCTACCGAGGTTTGTGGCGACATATTGCCATAAACATTTTAACATTTTTCTGAATGCGAATGATAGCTGCTGCCCGGAATTCAATCTTCTTCATCACTAAAGATCACAAATGAAGGAATAAGTCAACGAAAAGTAAATGGTTTCTGGAACAATCAAAACCAAAATAATTACGACCGCCTCTAAAAACACAGGACACACAGAAAAAAAAGTAAAAGAGCCAATGAGGATCCAAAGGTATCAAGATTAAAGCAAAATGCCTCAAGCACCGGGAAAACGTGACTGACCCATTGATTTAACTTGGTGCGAGTTTGCTGAACTAATCACAAGTGTTTGTCAGAGACTGAGGTCGATCAAAGGTAAGATTTTTTGTTGACAGATTTGTGAATGTGAATGCAAACAAGCGTATCCCTTTTCATCAAGAATTTTGTACTGAAGTGTGGGAAGAAATCGGTTGTATTTGAAAACTTGAGAATTATGGCATGCCCGGGAAACTACACTATTGTTGCCGCTGAAGGCATTCCCGACACAGTGAAGCAAAGTCTTATACTTTTGCGCCCAGACTTTCTTAAACATCGGCCACTTCCCAGAGATAATTTATATGTAAGATAGAAAAACCACAGAACTAATACTAAATAGAAATAACAAGGACGAGGCTTAGAAATAAGTCTTTTGGAGCTTAAGCACAGACTCTTACTCACACTTGATGACAGACAACGTTCCCCAGATGGCTCGTCTCCAGCGAGTTCGGATCAACCAAGTAAGAACTTTAGAGATGATATTCTTTAGGCTCTCAGGGTCTGAATGCATAATCTCGTCAAACTCTGCAAACTACAGATGAAATAATTGAGAACAATGTCAAACATCCATCACAAATTACAGGGACAAAGGAAAATCTACGTTCCCCGTGAACATTCCAATTCCAAGCGGTTCGTAGTTTCATGGTGGCCGAATACTCAACCGCTAAGCGACAGGGACTCGATGGCCAGCTACTTTAAAAACAAGGAGCGCTAGCGGCAAGCTTCCAGTCCCAGTCCTATGCTGTGATAAGGCATGTCCCAAGCCTTTAATGTGGCGATAGGGAAAGAAATATGGTGAAAAGGTCAACAAAGCTATGCGTTAGAGTATTACAGTTTTGCAATATCTTCCTTTTTCTTCGAAGTGCCAATTAATCACCGATATCGGAATCTTGCTCTACGGCGCGAGTTGAAGTCATAAGTATTGCACATAGCAAGAAATATGCACAAATTCGTTGCTACTGTAAGAAACACACCACATGGAAAGTGTAGAATGCTGTCATAGTTTAACTTTTTTTTTTCTACTCTACCTTGCCAGGGCGAAAAAAGATCTTAGAAAGGCCAAACTTGTAATCTTTGCTATCCATACCAAGGGCATGAAACAAAGCCTGTCAACAAAAAAAAACAAGAAATCGTCAACTTTTAGAACAGAGTACTGCTTTAACACAGTTTTTAGACTACTTAAGCCTCAAAAGTAATTCATGATTACTTTGATTTTACTTCGCTACACTTTGTGATTGATCCGGAACACTCACGCCACCTAACAACCAACAAGATGCAAACCTGAAAAAAATCTCAATCTAGTCACCCCCGTTTTCCTGCTCTACCAGCCCTTTATCTGTTTGAGTTCCCATTTGCTTGTTGCGATAAGTACGCTTGTTCTGGCCAAAATGGTTACTTTGGTTTTATACATGATGAAATGTTTTCGTTTGTCTCACCATGTAGGTACTTAAGATATGGTTTACAACGTTTCGGCCACAAACTGCTGTTCCTCATCAGGACATGAGGTCGACTGCTCACTTGTCTCTTAACGTAGCATTACGCTCAATTTTGATTGGCTGATTTTAAACAGTGGCGATTGGCTCATTTCTCCAAAGCAGCCGAGTCAAAACACAAATTACTGTATGTAACAATCAAAAGTATTCGTTACTTACCTTGCAGAACATCCTTGGATCGAGTCGCGCAAGTCGAGGTGGTAAATAATCTTTGTACCTAAAAGGCGCACAATAAAAGTTGTTACATATGCATCAACGCCTGATGGACATAGGAGGAATTGCATGATAATGCCACGCAGGGAAAAAATGTTATCTGGCTTGATGTTGTAAATAATAAAAAGCTTATGTCGTAACCTAGTTCATTGAGATCATAGAGCGGAATCAAGATTCCAGTTCTCGGTATTCTTCGTTCTCTAAACCATCTCTACTCACATTTGGTAAAGATCTTTGAATGGTGCCCTCGATGGCCAGCCATCTTGCATCAAATTCAGCACAGAAACCATTCCAGCGCATTCCAGTTGACTCAAAATTGAACCACCTTCAAAATCCCGCGCGGTCATCTTTCCATTTGGTTTGATGCATCGAATAAAACTTGCCCCCTAAACACGTTCAGCAAACACAACAAAATGAACAAAGACAATCTCCTGATTGTAGAGCGCAATTTTTCTACGATTACATCTTGAGTGACACTTTTTAAGGTGGGTATTACCTAGTGAGCTAGAAAATATATTGAATTTCACTAACCGTTTTGTCGAGTTTCTCCATCAGTTGATTCAATTGTTTCTGTCGATAGATGATAATCAGTAAATTGGGTATTAAAATGGTTTTGAGGCACAATTTCATTTTCTCCAAGCTCGTTTAAAAGACTAAGGACATAAATGTTTCGCATGATAATAATCTACAGTATTGCTCATTCGACTTTCGTCTCTCCCGTCAAATGAGCCTTCAAAACACAAACAAGAACGATAAATACAGTAGTCGCCAAGAGAGCATAAGGACCCTATAGAAAATCATCAATTTATCACCTGAGGGGGAGGGGAGGGGAAGGAGAGGGAGAAGAATCACGTGGAGAGGGAGAGGGGAAAGAGGGGGGGGGAGAGTAGTCGCCAAGAGGGTATAAGGAGAGGACTATAGAAAATTGGAGACCAATTAAGGGCCAATGAGGGGGGGGGGGGGGGGGAGAGGGGAGGGAGGGGGGGGAGGGGGGGAGGGAGGGAGGAGAATATTACAAAACCTTATTGGGGAATCAGGTAAATTTGACCGTGACACAGCCAAACTCCTCTGACCCCCTCCCCCCCTGCTTCACCCTACGTTTTAAAATGACAAATGACCAGTCCTTAAGCACTTAAATATAAAATGAAAATTGTCAAAAATGAGGTAAACTGTAGTTTTTACCCTGAATTTATTGCCAACGCTGATGAATCCAAGTTTCCTACTGCCTGACCGAGTGATAGGAGAACCGAACGACAACGAGCCGATATCGTTATTCTTCGGTGCCACACCTGGGAACAGACTCTTGAGGAAAGAGTCCTTGCTGTCTTGTATTAATTCTTCCAGATCGCTATGAAGAGCATCATTATCCTTCTCTATAAAATCCGACTGAAATGAAATCACAGAGCAAGGATTTCACTAAATGAAAAACAATGGTTCTTGTGTGACGAGAGAAGAAAATATCCGGCCAGAAAGTTTGAAAATAAAGGTAAACTGAACGTTTTCGTTTTGTTCGCAGTTTACAAACTAAGCTTACTTCATGTAGAAGTAGGCACATCTTTTGACCAACCTGATGTGCAAGGTACATTACGAACTGACTGACTGACTGAAACATTTGAGTTACTTCTTGGACAAATCATCAAAGACAGAGTTTTCAGCGATTGCCTCACAGGTCTTAAAGCTTTGTGTTATCATTCGCTGACAAAAGAATCACTCTATAGCTACCCATGGTAAGTATCTATAAAACTTACCGTTTGGTAACAGACAGCGCCAGCAAAATGTCGTATAAGGAAGCCTTCATCGTCTCGCATTTTCTTGTGGTAGATCAGATGAGATTTTCTGGGGAGCTAAAAGGTATGAATGCTTAATAAGTTTATTATAGTTTCCTTTTAATGCAACAAAACCTCATGAACACAGGAAGTTAACTTCACATGGGCGTGCTGTACCCAAGAGAGATTTATAGGGTGCAATTAACCCCTTCTTTGTGAAGAAAAAGTGAACATATTAACATTATAACAACCTGACTTACATTAGAACGCCATCAGGACAATGAGGAAAAGAACCACCCAACCCACCCCTGCTAGAACACCCCACCTACTTCCCCTTGGTTTAGTTGAGTCTTTATCTACAGAGGCAGCATGGCTGGGTGGTTAGTTGTCTTATGCTGTTGCTCTTGGGTTCGAGTCCTCTGCCCAACCTTAATTTGCTCCCAGCTCCTTCGAGTGATAACTCCTTAGCTGCGCTTTCCAAATAGCCCACTGATCTATCTACAAAGATATATGGCATCAGTTGAAAGAATGGATGATTTGATCAGGTACCCACCGCCAACCGGAAGTGGTTCTTGTGTTTTTGGTGAAGTTCTCGTGTGAAGTGTTCTGCGGTGGGTTTAGGAAGCTTGCTCTCCTCGTCCAAAATGTCAATAATTCCTGTCTTTTTTGCTTCAATAAGGGCTGCAATTTGAAGAAACCATTCACATATGTGCTTAAAAAATAAAATATTTACTCACAGTTACTCGTCATATACCAGAAATGAACTTTGGAGCAGAAATACATATTTCTTCTTGGTTCTATTAAACTTAATTCAAGTTTTGGTATTTAACGCTTGTTTGCTGGGTTTGTCTGAGTCCGTCTCTCTGTCTGTCCGTATATCAGGGTTCGTTTCTCTTTAGAAAGTTGTCGGCCAGCTTGCTTTATTCTTTTTAGGTCTTCATTTCAAAGAGAAAAAATCTAACAGGTGATATATTGAGCAGCAATGCTCCTAGTCCTTTCGAATTGTCAGGCGTGGAACCGTGGGTAGACTTTCAGAAGGATTTAAGCTTTGATTGATTTTGATGCACCGGTATAGAGCGCTTTCCGATTAAGTGTCGTTAAACCGAAACCAAAGTAATTTCAACCGTCAATCATAGCAAGGAAGCCCCCCTCGTAGTAAAAAAAAAACAAAAACAAACAACCTGAAGGGCGGGAAAACGCAAGTAACCAAGTCGCGCTTGGTTTTAGTTTTGAATCTGATTGGTAGTCAAAATGACGCGAGTTTTCTGGACCAATCATATAACGAAATTGAGGAAAACCAGAGCAATCCCAGATTATATTCGACACTCAATTGACAGTTGCTCTTAGCAACTTACCAATACAATCTTGATTGTCCACAAACGTTACAGATTTGACCCCAAGCCCTTCTTTGTCGTACAACTCTTGTTCCTGTGATTTGAAGCAGTTAAAGCAAATCAGAATTTATTGACATTAGTATAACCTTTTACAGTAAAAACGAATTTTCTTGTTAATTTATTGATGGAAATTCCATCATCACCACTTACTTGTTTCAGTATCCTATCATTAAAGAGTTGCTGCAGCTTTTCATTGCAGTAGTTGATGCAAAACTGTTCAAAGCTGTTGAATTCGTAGTATTCTGAAGAAAAGAAAATGTTTGATAAAAAATATATCAATTCTCAATGATATATTTTTGTATACAGTAGAAAATAAAATGTAAAAAATCTTTGAGCCACTGTTACAGTACAAACCATTATTCATAGCATTATTCCATACCAAGTCATCTCATGTCCAATTTACATTCCTGTTTAGAACATGGTTGTTCTCAATCCACTTATTATTCATCAACACCTTAGCGGGTCAAAATCCACCATGAGTGTGAGTTTTGCTGCTATGCAATTTTTTTTACTATGTTCTAGATCTCTTTTTGCAGTCCAAAGAAGACGATATGTTCGCTAAATATTACATATCATATAAACCGCAGAGTTTAATTAGGATTTCCAGCCCAGTGGGACAAGCCGTAACTGGACACGTGCAAAATTACAATAATTTTCTCACGTGTGTTTGATATGACCAATTAGCTGCTAACTCGTTACTCGCCTTTCGCGCCACTCTGACAGGTTGATAAATGAAGGGCAAAGCATCCACCATTCTCAATCTAAGGAGAGCTATCAAGTTGAAAACTCCAAGAGAAATTCCGTAACTACGCTTGCCCATGTATCAATTCCTATTTATCTTTAACAAGAAGCCTTGGGTATCATAGACTATCAATTGACAATAGTAAGAAATATGTGTTCTGTTCAGCTCACCAAAGCCAGCGATGTCCAACACACCAATGTAAGTAAAAGAATCTTTAAAAGGGAAGCACTGATTGATCTGGCCAACAATATGATCGAACAGTTTGGTGTACAGAGCTTTTGCCAAAGCATCTCTAGCAGCACAGGCCTGTTCCGGTTTAAGGGGAACTCTGTTTAAACAACGAAAAAACAAAAGGCACCTGTGAGTGTTACATGGCTGGTTAAAACCATTTCCTAAGTAGACCCTCTTCCTCAACTAAAGTTTTGGTTAATGAATGATATTTCTATGAGGAACGTCTTTGGTAGATGCAATTTTAAATTTGCTATTAATAATAGTTCAGGATACTTTCCAGAATCAACTTAAGCTTAGTATTATTGTATGCTTTTGGGATTTTATAGGAGACATTCTTCCAATTATTGAATATAATACTTACAATTGTGCATTAAATATTCACTTAGCCTTGATAGTCATAATTTAGTCTGACAGTAGTGAAAATCACCCACACCTTCCACAGAAACAACTGCACCAGGCAAAATACTCCCTATGGTGGATAGCTATTTAGAGCTTTAGATTTTATTAATAGAAGAAGTTAGTGGTAACCTTTAAAGTTTGAAAAGACTTGCAAATCAATCACGAGCTAAATGCAGTTAAAAACGAAACAGTTTTGATGTAATTTTGTAATAACTTGGTGATGGTTTTTTCTATCAGTAATGGCAATTTCAACTTAACCGCTGATGAAACCAAAAGAAGATTGACAATAACAGCAAAAGCACTGAGTAAAATTAGAATTATGGGTGACAGGTTGATCAGATAACTGTTAAGAGAGCACTAATATCAAAGGCATTAATATTAATTAATTCTAAAAAATGATGAGACCTTATAATAATATTAACTGAGGCAGTAGCCATGATAGTTATCACTAATTCAAATCAATAATGATCTTTTCGTTCAGATTTATTTTGAGTGGTTAAAGGCAAATGTGTTACTCAATCAAACTGGAATTTTACAGCACAATATTCCCTGTTGATGCTGTCCACACCTCATGTTTGACCCTCCAGCAGACATCATCCTTGTAGTTAGAGACATCTTCAGCTCTTCAGATGACACATCTAACAGCTTAGCAGCAGTATTCAATGAGTTCATACTTTTAGATGATACTACAGAGCCACCTTAAAAATAAAAAGAAAACCCTTTAGAAAGGAAAATTTCCTAAAGAAGTTCATCTAACCTAGTATTAACTATCATGATGCAAATCATCTAGGGTGTGATTTTACTGACCAAGGCCTATGGGAGAGACAACTTTACAATCAAAACAATATATTAATTTTTTGTTACATTTGAAAATGAAAAATAAGTGATATATTATACCTTCTGTGTCTCCACTGTCCTCAAATGAAATGTTTCCAACATGAAGCACAGCAGCAACAACTCTGAAGATGTTGGCTTTCTCTTCTCCTGAAAAACCCACTCTGTTCATGGACTCGTCCATTCTACGATAATCTGATGCATCGTCAAGATTAGGGTCTGTGATTGAACCCTGCTTTAAGTACTGCAACATGGAAAAAATTAATCCCATGGTGAACAGCACTCTAAAGAAAAGCATTTTGTTCGTGAAGTAAAACGTAAAAAAAAATTGTCAAGGGTTTGCAAAACTTTCTAGTATTAATCTGGGTTTAAACACAGACTAAATATCCAGTTAACCCTCTAACCCCTAAGAATAACTAGCATCTAAGTTCTCCTTAAAGCTTTGGTCATGAAATAAAAATGAAGGCAATGAGAATGAATCAAATGATCAACAATTTAGGAAGCTCCTGATTGTTTGACAAATTCTCTAAACCATTACCATAGGAAATGTTTCTGGATTAGTATTAAGAATATGTATACTGATGCTAACATTTAAAGGGTTAGGTAAGTGTAAGTTATACATCACTGATGTAGCAAAAAGGGTTTGTTTAACATACCAGAAAATCTTCTGCCTTTGTAATGCCAAGCTTTGATTTTATTTGTTGAGGTGCTCCTGAACAAAGTCTGTAAAACACATGGTAATTTCTCTCCCCTTTACTTTGCTTGCAGATTCGAGATTTCTCCAAAAGATAATGTGAAATGAACCCACCAACAACTGTGACCTGTTGATCACAAAAAAGTAAACAGCTGCTTTTGGATCAAACAAAATGGATGTTATAATTAAGTTACTGGTGGCTGATTTTAAACCTAACAGTCAAGTAATTATGTTAAAAAGTAAGGAATAGCAATTAATTTGAAGGCAATAAATCATTTTCTATTAAGCTGAAAGCTTCAGCTTCATTTCCCTCTTTGGGTTTTCTTCTACCAGGAGAATTACAGTGGGGGCAGGGGAGGGGGAAATTCTGGCTCTCACTAACTACTCCTTCATGATACTTGGAAACACTTTTTAGGTCAGTTCTAATAAATATTTTTCAAAACAAACCTTCTCGTTGAAGTGAACTTCAACATACTTTCCAAATCGACTACTGTTGATGTTTCGCATTGTTTTGGCATTTCCAAAGGATTCAAGTAAGGGGTTAGCTGTTGAGGCAAGGTATAAAAAAAACTCAGAAGATATTGATTTGAACAATTCATCACTAAACAGTCATGTCAAATGTAAATTGTTTAGTGACATATCTTTTGAATGTTTCACCTTCAATAATCCTCTGCTCAATGCGGCCCTGATCACCAGATCCCCAAGACTCTGTCAGATATCTGCCAAATGTGAAACAAAACACTCATCAGTATTGTATATAAAATTAACCTCCACCTGTGCCTATACCTTTGAGTATATATCAGTGTAAGAATGACCATGGCATAGTAAACAAGATTTGAAACATATACCTTAAAATGTACTTGGTTGATTCTGTTTTTCCCGCACCACTTTCACCTGAAACAAGAAATTATTCAATATTACTATATACAGAGTTGCTAGTGTTTAGAGAATCACATCATGTGCATGATTATTTACCAAATCAAAGGCTTGGCTGAAATGCACCAGTTTAAGTATATCAACTACCATTCAAGATACAGAGTACACTCACCACTAACAATCAAAGACTGGCTCTGTTTATATGCTCTCATATCTCTGTAAGCCTTGTCAGCTGAAAATCAACATCAAAAAAATGAAAAATTACAAATTACTTTTTCAGATATGGAAAAATTGGTTCCATAAAGACTAAAATTCAAAACAGAGGCTTGACTGTGTGGGCTGATTCACCAGTAAATAGTAGAGAGGTTAACTCTTCGATCCCTATTAAGAGTGACCAGAATCTAATTTCTTCTCACAACATCACCCCTGAATCAAACATTAAGGTCATGAGAATGAAGGACATGATCACCAACTAAAGAAGCTCTTGATTGTTACACAAATTCTCCTTGTCAGCATCTTAGGTAAAGTGAGGAGAACAGCAAGGAGAAAATGCATACTGACATAAGTGCATTAAGTGTAAAAGTATCTGCATCACTAAGAAAAAGTACGAAGAAGGATGGTCATTGCATAATTATGTATTATACCAGCAGTTACTAGCCATATACAACCATGTAATGGTCTTTTTGATAAAGATTGGAAAAATTTCACCCAACAACTGATTTAAGAAATAAAATTTTCCCTAAACATAGTTATAATTATATTTCATGCTTACCAATAGCAAACACATGAGGTGGCAAAACCCCCAGTGACTTTCCATGATATTCTTTGATTCTTTCCTTTGAGTAAAGTTCTTTAATTTCATGATAAGGGTTGACAGCAAGAAGAATATTGGCCACATAAGTCTGCAGAATAATGAAATCATAGGATGATGCTTGCTTGGTGATAAAGCTGAAAGTTATCAAAATTAATTATCTGCAGCAAATAGAGACAACAACACACTTCTTTCCTGGTGGGCAAGGGATGCTGTTTTAAATACATCCACATCATAGGATCCAATTACAATAGACTTAATTTCAAAACAACAACAACTTTTTTTTAATCTTTTGTATCTATGCTAATCAGTTTGAGCTCTCCCTGCCTCAATTGCATCATAAGAATTCAAGAAAACTTTTAGTGCCCACTGAGGCAACAAGGACTCACAAATACAAAGTGTATTTCTGATATTTTAGAAAAATGTGTATTAACTTTGAATAAATTGTCTCTTCCAACTTTTATCATTACCATATGCTTTAGAATGCAGAGTACAACACAATGACCTTAACATAAATCATTATAATCACAAAAAAAAATACAAAAGCAAATAAATAAGATTAAAATTCACCAATAGCAACCTAAACCATAAACTCCCAAATGCAATTAACATGTGACTTCTCCCTAAAATGTCTAAACATTATCCAGCAAACAGGTCATGAGAATATTCCAACTTATCAGGTAGTTGTTATCTTGATCTATCACCAAATTCTCATAACTTATTTACAAGGAAATGTGTAGCAGCTAGAGGGGAGAATTAACAATCAGATCTTGGGAGTTAAAGAGTTAAGGGAGTTTTTAAGAGTTTTACAACAAAATGTTTTGCATAATGCTTTGAAAACTCTTCATTCTCAATGTGTTATTGATGGATTCAGTGACCATGATAATTACATATCAAGTAAGCCAGGTAACCTTATCAGCTTCTTTTCAGGACAAAGAATAAGTGTCTATTTCAAGCATGCACTTGTGGTAAGGAAGAGTTGAAAATTGTAGGGCTATATAATTTTAAGAGAACGTACATATATTTTGTCTTTCTGGTATCTAATTTTCAAGTTGTGTAACAAAGTGGCTTCATTGAGGAACATCAAAGAGCCTGAAAAAAATTTAGAAAATAAAAATGCTATCAGTACATCAGTTCAGTATCATTTGTTCACAACAGTTCAGACCATAACAAAGGGGTTGTGTTAGGTTTCTATAACACAAAGCAGCCTAAAGTATTCATTACTTTTATTGGAGAAGAAATTGAAGTTACCCTAGGAGTTCACTGCTATGCATTTAAGGGCCAAACCTTGGATAAGTCTGATGTCATCTTCAGAACATTTTCCAAACACAAAGCATGACAAGTGTTGCCTGGCTTGGTATCAAATTCAGGCAGGGTTAAGGGTGCTAACCTTGGGCCTTGCATCTCATGTTCACCAATCGCACATACTTAGACATAAATGTATGTTTGCACTTAAGTTATCTGGATGACTGTCCATGCGCAAAGATTGCCCTGATCAGGATGCCCTTCCCCCTGATCTACACAGAACAAAAATCAAAGCTGTCCAGTGATAAAAACCTTTAGTGTTAATGTTTAAAACAATGAAAATAAATATGTAATAAAAGTGAAATTTGGCTCAGTTTATCCACAAGCTTACAACAGCTATAAAAACATGACTAAGCCCTTTAATCATTATGCCATAAAATATTCAGCAAAATTGACTGAACAAAATAGCCATAAAGTATATTAGGGTTTGCATAGCTATGAACCGTTGCACCAAGTTTACTTTCTGAAGTTTCTTTTTTTCCTTCGCTTTTTTTCTACTTTTTTTCAGATTTTCTTGTGTGTCATAATGGAGTAACGTGTGGTTTTTCTGGTTTTCATTTCTTTTTATTTGACCCACGTACCTAGCTAGTGGTCGGAATCCTATAAATTTTTTACCGAAACTTTCGTTATATTTTAATTTCTCGCAATTTCAACCCATCTTTCAACTAAGTGTTAGCGATTTACATGATTTAAACGCTGACAGCGTGTAATAAATTACAAGATTTTCAGATGCCAACACTGTCTGAATCAATTACAACAAGGAAATTTAATCAGTTTCTCCGAAAATATACGGTAAAACATCTGTCAGAAAGTTACGAACTCACCATCACCTACGGATTGTGAAAATTTTATAGGCCAACAGACACTTTAAACTACGGGAAAATTATTTCAAAATCGACAAAATGATTCACCACAAACACTCAAAAGTCTAAATGTAAATCCACCAAGTTGATTCCTTACAACTGACACCTTACTGCTGGAGTTTTTTTAAGAAAATAAACTTACAGTTGTCCTCAAAATCTCTCGTGTTATCCTTCTCCGATGGGAACACTCTATCGTATGGAGCCGTTACAACCTACAAGGAAGTTCAAATTATATGTTTCTCTTCGTGATTTTAAACAGAAAGCATGGTTCTTCGCGGAACGCGCAAAATAATGCGTAGTGACTATTCCAGCTATTCAAACCTTTCCTTTCGCTCCATCCACCTCAACGCTGATCGTGTCCGATCCTAAATCGACTATTTCGCCCAAACGAAATCCATGTTCGTTATCGGGGACCCAGACCTTTTTTCCACCATCCATAGCGTTAGACAAGGTCTAAAACACGAAGTACATACAAAGATATCTGAAAAGGAAGTATTCTAACAACTCCACCAAAGAGCTTAGCCACCAACTGGCGACTTTATTTTCCTTGCCGGTTCGCATTTGTGGTCACGTGAAAAAATCATATGACGTCATAGCAACAAGGACTTACCCTTCCGGCTAAGGGTGAAGTCAAGTGTAGTGAAGTGTTGTGTATTATACGGCTTCAGTTTCTTGGTACAATACAAAAAATCAAATTAATTTTAACGTTTCTGTAAATAGAAAGAGAGTGAAGAATGGCAAGGTGAAAATTGGCTTTTGAAGACGTATTTACCAGCTGTATTGAAACGTGCATGGAAGGTTTAACAAGTGGAAAGAATGTTCAGTTTGATATACGAGAAGCTTCTTTTTTAATTTGAAAGGGAGCTTCGGATTGTTTTATTGAATTACATCACTCTACGAGATTTTGGGATTCTAGAGAAAACTACAATAGAAAAAGTTTAGAATGCAAACGCACGAAAAAGACACGACGTCACGACTGATCGCGGTTTTTTGTAATTGTGCTCTTTGAGGCGCGAAATAAGCGGCAAACCTTCACTATGCGTATTGGCAGCTCTGCGGGCTACACAATTTAGTGTTAGCAACTGAGTTGAAAACGTAAATTGGCCACCGTAAAGAGTTAAGAGGCTGACGTTTCGAGCGTTAGCCCTTCGTCAGAGTGATTGGAGGAATTGTGGGTTGTGTGTGAGTTTATATGCAGAAAATAGAGCTACGCTATTGGTTGGAATATGATGACGAGAAAAAAAGAATAAATTAGTTGAACGAAAAGCGCTCGTTGATACCGGGGGATTAAGAGTACCGATTTGGAAGATAAATTTTTGTTCTGGTGTTTTGCGGCTTTCCGAACTGCGGGCTACGGTTTGTTGTGTGGGTCGGACGTTTCCCGCCTTTTACAGCACTGTAGAATTACTTGACGGGGGTAGAGGTGACACACTATCACACCTAACCCTACGACATAATTTACTGTCAGTATTTATTTATTAGCTTAAGTCTCCTTATAAATAAAACCCCTCTCCTGATTTAACTCACAACTTCAGAGAAATTTTGGGAACACTTTTGTAAGACATCCAATACTTTTTACATCTGTAATGTCCTGAAAGTTGCTTCAATGTGAAACCCAATGCTCTATTAAAAAGAACTGAAAGTGAAACAAGCTTTGCTCTTCTATTTAACCAAAATTAAAGTAGACTACAAGCACCATAATCCACCCCACAAGTCATTAGAAATCGTCGACAAAAAACATTCAGGGGAGGAGGAATTTTTAAGAAATTCGCCCAGTTGCGAAATATCACTGTTGAAAATACAGTCCGCTACTCGAACCACTCAATATAGCTCACGTAAATATCATTAAAACACCGAAAAATTACCTATCCTGACCACATAAATTTAAAAAGGGTATGTTCGCAAATTTGCTTTAAAAATCGACAATTTGGGTTTGAAAAGTGTCTTTAGGGTTATAAATGTCTTAGCAACCCTTTCCGCAACATCCACTGTAATTAACCCCTGACTTTATTATTCATATCTGCTTCTTCTGAGAATTTTTACCAGGGTAACAGGAATTCCACCCTCCAAAGTGACGTTCCAGTTGCTTCGCAACAGCGATCGACAGCCTGTCATTATTTCTTCCAGCCACGATCTGTATGCCCAGTGGCAGTCCATTTCTGTCAAGACCCAGAGGGCATTGCGTGACTGGAAGATGAAGCACGTTGAAAATAGAAGTGTAACTGAAATTGAACGGGGCAAGGGATGGGCGATGATGTGAAAGCGCCGTACTTGGGTGGGAGGGATAAAGCAAAATGGCGTCTTCCCCGAGAAGGGTTTGAATTTCTTCTCTTAATTCGACTCCCATTTTCACAAAGTTTGATGCCACATCTGGCAGGCAGTTGGGCAAAGGCGCTCGAACTTGTTCAATCCCCGCGATTGTCAGGGTGACGTAATGATATTTTGAATAACCCAGGACATACTTGAAAATTTCGGTGAATGGGTTTATAGCTAGTGCCTCAGACTCATTGCTTAAATTCTGTGATGCGAATCTGTTATTCTCAGCTGCATGAACTGTAGCAGACCAGATGAGAGGAGAATACTGAAACAGGCTCATGTGAGTATCTCGAACTGTAGCATCATAGCGCTCCTGTAAGAAAGAGCAGACTTGTTGTAGGGCCATCAGAATGTCGGGTTCCACAGGTGAAGTCAGGAAAGGGCCCTCTATGTCCAAAGTGTAAACTTTGAGAGATGAGAGATCTATTTCTTCGTCCAATCGAAGTTCATGGAGTCGAGGACCTGCCATAGCCTTCAGCATTAAGATGAGATCGTCGGCGTACCTACACAGTGGTCCCATAACTAGATACTCGTCGAAGGCCTCGCTAGTGCCTTTAGGGAAATGTCCTTGGTTTGGGACTATGGAAGGACTTGGCTTATGACCAAATATTCCGTTGAAGAATGCGGGCATGCGCACACTTCCACCTGCAGGAGAGTTGGCACTATACTCAGTCATGTAAGATCACGTAAAGAGTAAAGGAAAATTTGAGGATGTACGTTAAGATTAAAAGTACTTTTAAATTGCATTTCGATGTCAGCAGGTTGATATCTCAAATTAGCAAGTATGATCAGCATCATTAGTGAAGTTTCTATTAAGTCAAGGACTTCAGAAATTTGTTCTTTGACCTTTGAGCGAAAGGCAATAACCCTTTAACTCCCAAGATCGGATTGTTAATTTTCTCCTCTAGCTGCTGCACTTTTCTTTATGGTTTTAGATCAAAATAACAACTACCTGAGTTTGAGTATTCTCATTACCTGTTTGTTGGATAATGTATGGATATTATAGGGAGAAGTTACATGTTAATCACTTCTGGGAATTATAGGATTAAGGTGTTTCGAAACGTATATCTCGGAATGACCGAACCATTTGGCATTTTGCATGCATCAGTGGTAGTTTACATTCAAGCTGACCAGAGATTAAGACAGATATGAATGTTAAAGTAGAGAATACGGTTTCAGAGACAGGATGTAAAAGTATGTGCCGGAGTCCAGCATGTTTAGGCGTAGAATTTCGCCGCTTTTATCCCTACTACGATCCCAATTCCTAATGCTGGATTGCTTGATGCAAGAAAGGAATATTATAAAGAAGGACTTTCTGCTAAACTTCATAATCTTTTTTTCTTTTCTTTTTTTTTTTAAATAAGAAATTTGTTGGGGGTCCAATTGCACGAAGATGATAATAACTAAATTTAGAACAATTGTCAAATTTCGGGTTGCATTCCATTATACAGCTACATTAGCTTGCCAAGTAGCCACAGGACGGCTTTGAGGTACACGTAGCTCACAAAAATAGGGTTTTTATACGTGGTATATCAAATAAGAAGATTTTGACGGTCATGGCACAAAGGTTAACAGAATACATCTGACACTTCAAAAACAATAAAATCACGCTTGGTTAAGTCTGAAAAGGCAGTGAAGGTCATTAGAATGCAACACCTGAGCGGTGATACTTTAAGTCTTAAGTTCTAAAGATTTCTTGCGGTTAAACAGGTGTGTTTTGTGAAATATCTCCATGTTTTGAAGACCTTGCCAAAATTAACCCTAAGCCTTAAAGATCTCTAAAACTCTTAGAAAAAAAAAAAGGTATGAAAGAAAGACTTTGTGAAATGAAAGAAAATACCGGCTGGTCAGAATGTGAGAGCCCATTGCGATAGCGCTCACCGGCAAAAGCAAGTAAGAAGGACCGGGAATTACAGATTTTGAGGCCAGCCGTTGATTAAAACCAAAACATCCTAGATAGAATGAGCATGCAACTTTTCGCTTTTTTCTGCCTGCTACTATACAATTTTTTTTAACTCTAATGAATGAAAAAGTGCGTCACAAATCGTCAATGATTGACGATATGAGCCACTCCACTGAATACGATTATAATAATACAATTTTTAGTACGTCCAAAATAATTCCGACGATCCACTTACCGACATCAGAACCAACACCGCACACTGAACCAGCCGCGGAAATAATTGCCCCTTCCCCACCAGAGCTACCTCCGGCTATTTTCGATGTGTCGTAAGGATTATTTGTTCTTCCGTACACGTTGTTAGCTGTCTCCCACCACATACACAACTCGCTACAGTTAGTGACAGCGATCGGAATCGCACCGGCTCGCAAGAGATTTTCAACAACATTCGCATTTTTAGTAGCAATCGTGTTCTTACGATCCACAAGTCCGGCTGAATGAGGGAATCCTTTACATGCAAGTGATTCTTTCACCGTCACAGGAACTCCAAGCAAAGGTTTAGTCATTAAAACAGATTTTTCGTCGTTCAATTCGCTTGAATCGAGAACCTTGTCAATACCTCTTGCCTCTTCCAGCGCTTCGTGGAATCGATCCGCTACAACAGCATTTATCAAGGGATTAACTTCGTGAATCCTGTCGATAAAAGCTTGAATCACTTCCACACAAGTCATCCTCCGTTGTTTTATATACTGCACGATATCTTTGGCTGGTAATTTCAAAATCGGATTGGAAGGCCCGCTAACAATAGCACCTCGTTGTTTCCCATAAATAAACTCCGATAATCGAACACTGAAATCCCACAGAAAACCAACAGACTCTAACGTCCTAAATACCAGAGAAAAAACCGATAGAAAAATCCTGATCAAACCCATCTCGAGTATAATTGTTTACACGGCAGCGCTGTGAACAACACGTCATAGAAGTGTCCTTTGTTTGCCGTTTAGAGCTGTTTCAGTATACATGAATTTTTAAATACAATTTAGCATATTTCATGATTGCCGTTTCCGCGGTTTACAAATCCCTCAATTCATTGGATCAAAAGACCTAAACACATTCCCGGAGGTTTTTCCGAGACTTCCTATTCCTCTGTCTCTAAGTAATTTTACGTGACCTCTCTTCAGCGAGAAACATCCACAAACGTTGACAACTAACTTATTTGATGATCGCTTATCGCAACCTTACAAAAAACACGCGATCTCTATCAGGCGCAACTGTTCTCTGTTCAACTCTACTTTCTCAGAAGTGTTTCTAACTTTCCTATTCCCTCGAATCCTAATTACATATCCATCCTATGACTGAGCAGAAACAATAAACACAAAGGTGTTCATTGGCGAGGAGTAATCATTTATTCGTTCAATAGCAACATTCGACATTGCACCAAAGTAAATTATCACGAACGTTCACTAATTCGAACTATGGATTTCCATGAACTCTGTGGTAGCAGGGCTGCAACAGTCTTCAAAATACTTTCATGGATAAAATAAAAAACTACACTACTGATGACCCGGCTAAAGATAACTTGGTAAAACACTCAAGTTGGAGAACAGGCCATTCCTGCTTCTCGCTCTTCAGGGGGTATTGTTTCCCGAAAAATGACCGCGAAGGAGTTAAACATCTGCTGCTGGGTACAATTACATTCATGTCTGATCCCCACGAACCGTTAGCCTTTCGGCCTTGGGACTAGCTTTAAAAATCGAAACTTGAAAAAGCTAATACGTTAAAATGATATTCTCTAAGGGTTGGCAAGAGTGAATCCGGCCCAACGCACTGCTTTTCTTGAAGATGTTCGCCCTCTGACTGTGACATAATGTAAAATATATTACGAAAAGCAATGAAAATAATGGTAAATAAGTTTCGAAATACCACGTGTCAAATAAACTTTTTAATGTTTTGCCACACTTACTCCGTGTTCATTAAAATAAAATCGACTTCCTGGAATCGAAAAGAAAGACACTGTTCGTATTTCCAACGACGAGTAGTTACGAAACTTTTTAGGACAGAATTTACCCTGCAACTAGCGATTCTTGCAGGCCACCGCAGTGGTCCTATATTTTCTTTGAATGACGCAAGTACGTTTGGATGTTCGCAGGACAGTTTGGTTTCTCTTTGTTTAGACTATCTTTATACGTTCTCTTTGATTTCAGTTTTAGACAGCTGTGAAGTGTGCCCTTAAATATTCAGTCTGTTAGTGGCTTCAAAATGAAGGCTTCGATTTGCTGTTTTAGCAATCTACCAAACTGTACACAATCATAATATACATAATGAATCATTAAAGATATTTCAATCACATGTTATATCCTGTTAACTGTCCTTGGAAAATTGGACTTTTCATGATGGAAGAGCGAGTGATATAGATCCATTAATAAACCTGAATAAGAAAAATACTCTGAACGATTTCGATCGTCAAATTAAACACTATATTGATTGATCTCATCTGTCACTCCTCCTTGGAGATAAAAAGTCAGACATTTGCACCTTTGTTTCAAGCATAATTATATGATACCTTTAATAATGGCTCTTAAAAATACATAACAAACAAAAATACAGCCTGCCCCAAGTGATATACTCCAAATCAGTGGGATTACGTCATCTTTGGAGCAAACTGCATAACTTCCTCTCTGGCAACTAAGCAAATGTCTCCAACACTACAATAATTTTGATGCTAAATGAACCACAATTTAAGACTATAAGATAGCTGATTTAAGTGCTACATTTTATTCTGACACTTTTCCATAAGTATTAGGCGAAATGCATCAAAGCCAGGGTCACCGAGGCTTGGAACGTGACTAAATCGACTTTTTGGTATCGCCGTATTTCACTCATTTCCGAGGGCTAACGCACAGTAAAAAAAGAAATGAGCACGTATAAGGTCCGTTGAGGCTGAAATCGAACTCCATTGAGCAATAAACCTGATTTTATTCTTTCAGAATATACAAGAGTTTGAAAACAAAATTCGTTTACGGTTCTGATGTCATAATGGTGGTTGAGAAATGATTTCGCTTGTTTCAAATACCAGGAATCGCAAGGTACTCTACGACAAGCGATTAATTTCCCCCACCTTTATGTTCGCTTCAAAATTTAGTAATGACCTCTACTGAAGTAACATTTAATATCAAGATGATAAAATATACTTAGTCGTAAGCACATCCACTGAGGAACGAGACAGTTCAGAAGGGCAAGAAGTAAAAGACTAGATACCTTCTCACCGCAAGAGTGATTTGCTGAAGGTTCTTAGTCGAGCGAAATTAATCCGACATCCACACTGTATGTAGTACAGTATTGGTTAACTAATAATCTTAATTGCCCTTCTGTAGTAAATATCAGTTTAAAAATGTTCTTGTTGCACTTTGATCATACACGCAATAGCGCATATGAGATGATCTGACAAATCAGAAAGGGTTGAAAAGCACAGCCAATCAAATAAAACTCCTCACGCCATCGTTGTCCGTCACGTGATCTTAAGCCCTCCCTTCTTGTCAATTAAACATTTCTACACTAGCCTGTGACTAGCTCCTTGTGCCATCCCAAAATTTTGGACTTTCTGACAGTCTCCTTTCACAAACCGCTTTGAACATCTCGTATAAATAAATGAAAAAATAGATTTTACTTTACACACAACTACCATTCCATTCTGAATTGTAGTAAGGACACTGTGGTGTCATCAGTTTGCTGTTGTAGTTTGAAATCTCTGTTTTTTTCCCCAGAAACGAAAGCTACGAAGTACAGCCCAATTCCTGATCTTTTTTTTTTCATCCACTCAAAATCTAGAAGGCCACTATCAAACATTACTAGGCATCTCTAGCATTTCAGATCTAAGTTACCCACTCAACAAACAACTAAAATGGAAGAAGCCAGCAAAGATATTTCTAATTACCTTCTTAGAATAAGACACAATTTCTTGTTGTCGAGCGCAGACTTGGAAATGTTACAATACTTGCTTTCTTAAGGATAACAAAAACAAAACAATATCGAAATGCAAAAGTTTCTCAAACTTGAAGCATTGTAATATTTGTTTTCCTCATTCAAATAAAAATATTCTCAAGACATTTTCATTTAAAAGAGACAGCCAAAATGATTTAGAATACTGGGAAACGAGAGAGATAAATTTCCAAATCACTCCAAAAATTTAAAAACGACAACAACAATTTGTACTCTTAAGAAAGCTGTCAACATAAGATAATAAATATAATCAGGATTAACCAACAAGGGATTCTCCTCTATTCAATACTAGTTTAACGATTCTAACTCTATACATCACGTGGTACATCGCGTCAAATATCGTCACGTGGTACATCACGTCATATACTTCATTATTGCTCTTAATGCGTACAGAAGTTCAGCCTGAAGGCGAGACTCCAACAGTAAAAGGTTGATATGAACCTAACAGTGAAATGAAGATTTATTAAAGTTACTGATGTGCCATGCTGAGATGCGAAGAAATAGGAAATAAAATAACTTCTCAGATGAACAGTAACCCCAGGAGACGAGGCAACGTTCTTTAAATAATCGCCACAGGCATTCCACAATTACCCAATCAATATTCACATTTAGTTCCACTAAGTCCCACCTCAATAACTGTAAGGCCACAGCCTTACCAACACAGAGAGAACGGTCATAGATACAGTATCTGGATTTTGATTTCAATTGTTAGTTTGTTTGCTTTCTCTTTTTTTTTTCCTATGCAGGATTGGACAGATCATACCTTCTCTGAATGGTCAAGGTCTGGCATAAATCCCATGTAGTCATCCAGGGTAACTTTTTCGGGACGGCAAGCAACCTACAAGAAATATCAAGGTCATTACCCTCTTTGACTGCTAAGTTCTATTCATAGTTAAATATAAGTAATGCAATTCATACATAAATTTTTTCAAAAACTCAGTTGTCTACAGTCTATTGACCCTCTGACCCCTTAAAGGTGACAAGCATCTACTTCCTCCTTGCACTATCACCCCTGAATCACACATTAAGGTCCAGAGAATAAAGGAAATGATCACCAACTTAAGAAGCTCTTGACTGTTAAACAAAGTCTCCTTGTCAGCAACTTAAGAAATGTATAGAGAACAATATAGACAGAATGCATACTGTTGTTTGGAGGCAAAGGGTTCAAAGGAAATTTGGAAAATGACAATTGAAAGATAACATCCACTAACCACTTTAATGTACTTTTTAAATGGTCTTTCCAACAGCTTGTTAACCTACAAGATAAAAAAACAGCTTCTTGAAACTGCATTATTTTTAAAATGACTATTACTTTCCATTACCTAAATTTCAAGTCTCAGATTCACATATACATTACCATATCTCACAGCAAACTAGTACAATACATCTCTTCTAGCATGAAACATGCACCTGCTTTTTTATTTTTTTCTATGTGGATTGTGAAAGTGAAAATTTACCTCAGTGTATAGGTAATCATCATGATATATGCCAAAAACCAAATGAATATAGTTCCAAGTAGCTGTGCGAAAAGTTGATGTGTCCACATTTTCCACTTTACCCAACCTGAGATCATAACAAAATGATGTTCACCTATGCATAGTGTTTTATAAAATAATTATAAATTCTGAAAAAGTGTTGCTGTTAAATATGACTATGCAGCTTTTGTGCAAATTTCTTTTGGTGAATTTTTCATTAACAAATGAGTGCTTGTTCTTGCAAATACTTGCTCAGTGGTCAATTTAAGCAATGCATTCTTGTCAAAGACAAAGGCCAAAAGTAAACTCTAATGTTACTCATTTTTCCTCTTGTCTCTAGATCAACCCTGTAGAAAAATCATCTCTTGTTTATGGCCTGTGCAGGTATTTTTGTTTCATCCCATAATCACTAGAAGCAGATTGCAACATGCAAATTTTTTCCATTTGCCATAAAAGTTATGATGCGCCTCTCCAATATCTCAGATTTCATTCAACTTAAACATGGACTTTATCTTAACACTGACACTCAGATCTCATAAAATAAAAATCTGGTTTGAAAGTTGTACAGTGGGGTGAGACCACCAATTACTGACTACTACTTCTGACAATGGATAAACATTGCTTACGTGTTATACGTCAGGTTGAATGCACAGCTAAATTTATCATCCAACATCTGACCCATGTCAGGGTAGAGTCTGTTGATAAGCGAAAAGCCATGCTCTTCCCACGAGTAATCTTGCACTCGGAAGGTTGATATGTCACTTTCTTCTCTGCTTGCAAAATCATAGTAACAAAATGAGGCGTCTGTTAGGTACCTTGCTATACCTGGCTGAGGTGCTTCATTGGCAACTGAAACTTTGTCTTTACTAGTGGAAACTAGAAATGTAAAAGAGAAGCTAGTGTAACAAACAACAACTTCTAGCAAAGGAAAATCTCTTGAGCTAGGTGTAAGCTAAGCTATACAAGACTTATCTTGGCTCACATTGCCTAAGAAATGATATAAAAACTGCTAATGAAAGTAGCCACAGACTTACGAAAAGTATTCCAAGCTAAGTGCAATCAAGGCAAGAGGAAATTCAAGTGACATAACCTACGCACACTTATATTCATTGGTAAAAATTTAATGACTGACAATTTTGGCTGTGCTTGAGTACTTTTGTTTGTTCCAGATTAGTGGCAAATGAGAGAATAGGGTATGTGTAAAGTAAAAGCAGAGGCACATTAAAAATAACCAGAACCAAGACTATCCATAAGCTGGTTAAACCATGAAAAGGCTTAACTTCATTTATAACAACATGTAACAACAGCTTTCACACAAAACACCTTCTCCTACCTTCTCCACTTTCTACTTTTTCAAACTGTTGAAACAGTTCCTCCTGTGTGGTCTCCAGAAGTGTATCCTGTTTGGCTTCTGCCTCCTTCATTTTCTCCACCAGGTTATTCATGCTTGATTGATTGTCCACACCATTAACAGGAAGGTTATCTCCTTCAATTATTGCTTTGTTAAACTCAGAGAGTGATTGTGTTTTATACGTGTGCCCTCTGTCAAAGTCTATTTCTGGTCTTATTCCACAGCCATATACAAAGCTACACAGACTGTGGGTATGAACAAGGATTACAATGGCCTGGACAAGTTCTGAAAGTGACCAATTGTCTTGTCCTTTGAGAAGGTTCTGAAACACGACATTAAAATATTTCATGACACTATGACAGTTAAAACACGATCACAGTCAATGTTCCAAGGCTGAATGCAATGTTGCAGCACACAAGTAAATGGGATCACAGTCAATGTTTGGCTGAAAACAACTTTTCTTTCTTGAAGTAGCAAGTCTTAAAAAGTCACCATCTTAGTTGTACAGGTTTTCATTATTACTGTTTACTCATAAATATATCCTTGTTTAGACAAAATCATCATTTAGAGGAAACCAGATTTGTCATTTCTTTTATTATTGTAATAAGGAGAAAATTTTGTCCAGACATTGTGTCTGACCTTGTTGGACACTTGCCAATTTAGCCAGACATAATCCAATGAAAAACAGTAATCTGAAGCCCTGCTGTCTTCTGGTCAAAAACCAGTAAGATACATGCACATGCAGTCATCAAGTTTCATGTTCCCTTTAATGCCTCAATGTTGCAGTTTACTTTACCACATTTTATATTTACATGTACTTCTTAGACTCCAACCCAATTTTGACACCTACCTCAATGTGACTGGCTTTCAGTAGCCATGGCTGGTGTGCTAAGATCTTGTTGATCTCACAGAGAGCTCTTAGTTTGGCTGGAATGTAGTTCAGGCCTTGAAGCCATTCCTTCTCTCCTTGTTGTTTCAGAAACTCTATCTCATACAATCGTACCTAAAAAAGGACAATGAAAATGCCAATTACAACTAAGAGTACAATAAATGGCAAGTTGTCCCAGAATGATAGCACAGTTACTGTATCAATGTCTCAATTGTCAATGTCAAAATAATTGCCCTGTCTTTAAAATAACAGATTAAATAACCTTTAGTTAGTTTATATAACTCAATTTGACACAGGGAGTTCTTGAAGGTAGTCTGACTGTTTGGAAATAGTTAAACACACTAACTGCAGATGGGAAAAATTAACTTTTGTTATAGGAGTTGTAATACATACCAAGAAGCAACAGCGATGCCTGCTTGCACCCTAAAAAATGAAACCAATTAACAACAATTCATTTCAAAAATAGATGAAAAGTGTATTTTGTACCCTGATATATTCCTTAATATTTTGTAAAAATTATAATCTCACTTAAATCCTTTAGACTATAACTACTAAGAAATAAAAATATTACAGGGTTCTGCATGACTGCTGTGAACAGGCTGCAAATTCAGCCTTTATAGTTTGAATTACTTGCCATGGTGACCAAGATGGTTGCAGCTTGAAGACCTCACTATTCTTAATGCCAGTAAAAATGAAATGTGCCATTCACATATGGAACAGGACTCCCATAAAACATAAACTCCTTTTCAAAGCACAAAAAATTGTTCAGTCCTTTTCCATTTCTCCTCATGCTCAACATGTTACTCCCACTGGGAGATAACTGGAATGAAATCTCCCCCACTGACAAAACACTATCCACCAAAGAGGTGGTCAGATCAGACCAACCTATCTGTTGGAGGTTGTTATTTAGATATTTTACCAAATGTAAATTGCAATGTAACTACTAAAGAGAATAACTATACCATTTAATTAATAATTATGGGAATGAAAAGCTAGGTAGGGTTGCACTATGAAAAACAACTACTGCACTAACCATGATAGCAATGTAACATCTCCAGATAAAAGGTAGGGGACCTTCCCCTTTAAACATAGAAAACTCAGTCTTAAGGAAGCATTCCAGGTACTGAGGGTGAAGTGCAATCAGAGAAGTGACATTTGTGACACGTCCACTTAACAGGAAGGATTCCACAAGCAAGCTAAGCACCTGCTCATCATCAGTGTCCATAGAAGGAACCTGTTCAAGGATGCATATGTTTAGTACTACAAAATAATAAGTGATTGATGCAAAGTATTGCATATACAGGGTTTTATATAGGGTTCATAGCTCTGAGATTTCTGATATTTAACTCATCACCACAGCAATATTAATCGAGAGCAGGGATAATCAAAATGTGCAGGTGCTGGCTAATTATGATTTTCATCTTTTTTGGTTTTTCTCTGTTAGCTTGTTGTTTCTTTTTATTCTAACATTTGTTTTTGTAGCATGTTCTTCAGCATCTAAGTTGATTGATGTCTCAGACTTCCCAGTAATTATTGCAATATCAAACAAATTTAACTGCCTTGAATGTTTATTTTGAGGATCAAAGACTTCAAACGAATGTGTGTAGGATGTAGTTGCCTGCAAACTCAGCTGGTAAATTTGCAAGACTTTGCTGCTAGCTCTGTCTATCTTCGATTAAAGATATTGCAGAAAAGGCAAGAAAATTGACTGCAAAACTTGAAGCAATGCTCCTCCTTCTTACTTTTCAGCAACAGCAACTTTGCTCATTTCAAGGCAAATTGTACCAATATAATAGTAGAAATTGTAGTGATGCCATTGCAAGCACTAAGTAAAAACTCAAATATTGAATGTGTAGAAGAACATGTTTTAATTTTTGCAAAACCACTTAGGAAGGTTTATCAGTTTATCTATACTTCCATTCTTCAGGATGTTTTGCAACCTCAAGAGGAGAAGAAATTGCAAATGTATTTTCTCAACAAAATGTATGACAAAAATTCAGCTATTACACTATGATAGGCAAGGCATTCCATTGACAAATTAAAAGAAACTTTTTATACTTTTTGCATTTCAAATGTTTGAAGAAATCATTAAAATCAAATTCACACATGTCTATTATTTGCGAAAATTTAGATTAAGCATACTAATTACACTGTCTTGCCTTTCTAAATGTTTCTGTTTATGTGTAAGGCATACATGGAGCTGTAAATTATAGACTGAATTAAATTATGTACCTTCAAACAATGCTTAAAGATTTAAAATTGGGATTGGCAGATGAAAGAAGCAAACCAAGGGCACGGAAAGAGTAGGTGGTGCACTGTCTTTTGATAACACATATTTACTCACTGTGACAAGTTGGTCACAGGGTTAAGAGAGATGTCAAAATGTGATGTTTCTGATGCAAAACTGTATTTGCCTTTCAGTAGTATTTGTAGGAACAAAGGCTTTTTTTGTAATGACCCTGACTGACTAACTTCATTTAGCAAAATATAGAACCATCTAACAGTTTTGGGTTAACAAGGCAAAAAGCAATGCAGAGAGCTTTGGAACACAAATGAAAAGAGAATAAGCTCATGAGCTAGATTTTGTGGTAACGTAGGAAGGGAATTTGAAAGTGAACAACATGTGAGCAAACACACATGGCAATATAAATTAACCACAAGCAACACTTTTTAATTCTATTCCACAATGCTGCTGCTCACAGTTAGTTATCTGGATCAAACCAACTGGGTGAAGCCATAGTTTAGCATTAGGGAATGATGGTTTGAAAGTGAGGTCCTCCCACCTACTCTACTCTTAATTCTCTTCACCAATGTTTCATTACGCTAAATACAAAATATTTTGTGTCCTCTTTGCCTTTCCCTCCATTAGGATTTTTCTTTCCAATAATTGAAACAATAAGTTACTGTAATATCTTGGTGAATTTGTTTTGAGGTTAACTTATCACAAAATGTTTTCATATCATTAAAATTGTCATCTCAACTTACTTCACTTACAAAAAAAAAACAAAGAAGACAAAACATTGCCTTAAAACTGGAATTAGCCTTTTTTTCTGGAGGGTTTCCTGAGATGACAATCAGTTTGTCATTGAAAAGATTTTGATCCAAATCTTTCCAAGATTTGAGCTTCATCACTCCAACATTGTCTGGTTTTGTTTCAATTTTATGCTTGTCCCATGCAATCATCACATACAGTCCAATTTACGCATGCAAATATGATACATTGCCTCAGAGAGGAAAATATTCAAATTTAGTCCAGCTCTATGACAACTGACTCCTAGACTAGTCAGTGTTATATTGAAGAAAGCAATATCCTGTTGTAAATTTAGCCTGGAGTGTTTAGAATGAACACAAAACCACATGCTTCTTTCCTTCCCTTTTGCTGCTCACATCAGTTTTTTCATGGGGAAAACCCTATTTATTCATTTTCATTGTTCACTGGTGAGGTTTATTACCGTGATCTCAATGAAGAAGGATTTTGCTTTATACATAAATTGAGACAGAAAGCTTGTATTGTTAATGTTTCAACAGTAACTAAACGATATGAGAAATGTAATACACACAATGTACCTCAATCCACTCTAGAGTTACACAATCAGTATTAGCAGAAGCATATAATATTAGTCCCTAGGCATGCAGGGTCTAACTACACGATTCTCCACACATAAGCCTTAAAATAACTAACAATCTATTGCTGGATAAAAATTTCTACCTGTGGGAGATTCCAAGGTAACATAAAGGTCCCAATAATAATTTTGAAATATCTATATCTACGCCCTCAAGCAGACAATCAGATGGAATTAACAATGTCGAATCACCAGACCGAATTACAAATAAAACAATTCAGACTAGTGACGCACAATATGCGTAAATGATAAATTTTAATTGCTGTTGAGACTTAAAAACATATCTCATGGACCTTAGAACCTAAACTTTAGATCAATAAATATTTAAGCCGGTGGACCGAAATACGAAGATTTGCAGAAACATCATTTGCCAGCAGCAAATTCGCTTTCACTGCACAGCATTTGAGATCAAATGCTTCAGTCTACCTGAGGTACAGTATTCTTTTCGTAATGAAAAGAAATGAGATTAGTCCGTTTTCGCTTTGTGCTAATATTCTCGCGGCACGAAAGGGTGTCCATGAGATAAAAAGGCATGAAATATGGAAAGTAGAAGATACTATAGAGATAGAGAATAGGTACAATAGATAAATCCATTCGGCAGAGTACAAATCTCAAATTAATAAGTAAAGTACTTTGAACAGAATATGCTGAAAATTCTTTGCAGAGGTCGAAGAGGATTGGGTTAGTTCTCTATTACCGTTCGTTAAGACCAAAAAGGCAAGGTTTACAAATACCGGTTCGGCTGGCACTGGGATGATGCAACTTGAGTTTGACCTTTTGAACCAATACAGGAGATTTTTAGCGGGCGAACTACGATTACTCTAAAAACAGCGATGAATAAATACCTTTTTCGACGGAATAAACATCGAAGGCCCCTTGTGAATCGCTCGAGGAACCTTAATACCTTTTTCCTAGAGAAAAAAATAACAAAAGCTGAGCGGCCATTTCTTCAAACGAAGTGGTAAACATGACACAAATGGCTAGATCCGATACTTCACATGTTCCTTACCTTCACGGCGAGGAGCAACTCTGTACAACGCTCCCTGATATCCGAAAAGGGACTTCTAAATGACAGTCTCAAAATACAAGGCAAAACACTCGAAGAAAAGTTTTCAAACCCATTTTCCCCATTTTCTTGATGTCTGTTTGTCCACGCTTTTAGTGTTTTTCCTAGCAATTCAAGGAATTCAAGCCGCGAAGTTACGTCTCTTGTTTGCAAGCCACACAGATCTCTGATGGTGTCTATCTCACTGGGTAAGTCTTCTTCATCGTTCATGATTCCAGGATCAATCCTCGGCAGAGAAAGCTAAGGAAATTCTTACGAAACTGCCAACATATCCTCTAGTATATGAGAGGCTTTCTCTCCGACAGCCATGATGTGACACTTCTCAGTGAAACCTATCGATATCAGCCACTCAAAACGCTTGCAGGTACTGACGTCAATGACACACCTCCAAGTTACCATATATAGCAAGAGGAGCTAAACTAAAATACGTCAAGAACTTGGACAGGGAATAATGATCGTTAGTGCAAAATGGCACGACTGACTTATTATAAGCTGACAACGTAAGAAGGAGATTTGATATCACAAAGAATTATCATAAGTCGTAATATTTCCTTTCTTTGGGATAATGAATCTTCCGCTTCTGGATCAAAATCAAGTTTATTATCTTCCATGTTGAGATGAATAGTCAAATGAAAAAGCAAATAGGAAATTTGTCATGTTTGCTTTAATAATAGGTTTACATCACTACACTACACCGGTTCAAATCCAATGTTTTGGATAACCATGTTCAGTTCCCTGTTCAAGTCCTTTTCAAGCATTAAAAGAAAACCAGAGATAAAAATTCGCCACTCAGTACAAACCAATAATTTTTTTGACATTAATTACCGTGAAATTCAGGTAAAATCATCTGTTTCACACGAGTGTATGGTGGATTGTAATGAATTATTCACTTCCCTCGCTAAAGGAAACTTCATAACTCAAACGGACGGGAAGTCTTTGGGGAAAAATGACACTCAAGGTTATTTTTACGACCCGCTTCGATTGATTCCGTAACGAGCGCATCTAAAATTCAGAGAAAATACCTATTTCTTATTGTTGGTTGAAAAAGACCTATCATCTCAGAAAGGCTGAAAATAAGTCGTTTCTAAGACGGTAGGGGGCACGCATTATCTTTTTTAATTAAGTGAGGATGATTTAAAACTTTACACGTGAATGCTGGAGTAGTTTTGATTCTGCCGCCAAACCACAGGGAAAACCCTGAACAAAGACTCGTGGAGGTAAATTCCTGGAAAAATAACATGGAATTTCTGAGAAACTATACGTCACAAGTGACAGTTTTAGAACTTCAGGTCAAATCTCACGGTGAAGGAAGTCGGGTTAAAACTATTCTTAGTAACAATCAAAATTAAACGAAAATTTGAACCGACAACGGAAAGTAGATGTCAAATAAAGTAAAATCGAGCAAGGCGGAATCTTAGGTCATTAGTTTTAACTGGTAATTTTCACTCGTTAGGGCTCATTTCATTAGCCCTGAGGAATATGGATGATGGGGGTCACATTATTCCATCTTCGGGTAATGGACAGCCTGTGGTGTTCTAAAGTACAGGTCATCCGTGCCATCTGTTTTTTAATCCTTAATTCGAGCGAATTAGTGTAAATAATGTCACGTTCAAACATTTGATCGTTATTATCAACTCAATCTATTTTCTAAGAAGTTTCCTTCAATGTTTTTATATAGAATTAAATATATACCACTCTTAGTAATTTTCCATTCTTGCTCTTTCTAAACAATCGCCCCAAGTAGACAAGGTAGAGTGTTTTCAACTCAGTTCGATCTGTTTTCTCTGTTTATTCTTGAATAAGCCTTATCGACTATTTCGTCATGTCACGACGCTGGAAACACAAAGGTCAAGCTATACAAACATTTCCAGCGCATGATAATGAAGGGAATGGTAACTAATTTTTTAATTATTTTAAAAAACAAACAATTAGTGCTATGTTACTCGCACCAATCAGAACGCTACATTAGGTATGTATTTCGTTCCAATCAGATCGCCGCATTAGGATATTTATGTCCAATCACATCGCGGTATTCGGGTTGTATCGAATTTTGATATCTTGCACCAATCGGAGCCTTGTTTTTGGTCTTTGGATTTTTTCAATATATACTGACGCGCGAAACGGAGAGGGCGCCTTGCGTCTACATTGAGAAATGCTGGTTTTTCTGTGATTTTAGTGCGTATTTTACGCGCTTTTTGAGGAAAATACGATACTGTCGGACAGATGAAAGACATCAGATTACTTAGAGTAAATGTATTATTCATGCTGTGAAAATAGTGGATGGTTATTCGAGAAAATGGAGTTTTCTGCTCTGTAGCACGATCATGGTTATTCTTCGTTCTCGACGAGAGTTTGTGAAACATATTTTGAAAAAATTGAATCAAATATTGCTTGAGGGTGTTGATGGATTGCACTGGACACTTTAATTTGAACAGTTTTTTTAATCAAGCTGTGTTGCATGATTCGTGATCTGTAGAGTGTGCCGATTATATTTTTCTGGAATTGATTTGCTCGGTGCTATCTCTAGATCGGAATGTCTGATTAAAATAAACTATAGACGATTTTGTGTGGCTCCGAGGCAGTTATGTCGCTTCGTGTGACAACGTCTTCGATTGATATGTAATCTTAAATGTCTTCTTATTGAACAACGATTTTTCTACGAAAGATGGCTGACTTTTCTCTTTGGTGGTTTGGTTGCGTATAATTTCATGGTAAACATCCTGTTGGGTTACTTATGATGTTAGAATTGTACAGTTGCAAGTGTGTTACAAGGTGGATTTTGTGTCATAATTGGCTGTAGGGGGAAATTGTTTGGCTGTGTCGAGGGTAATTTAGAGAACACTGTACGAATGGAAATGTTTTCGATGCCTGGAGAAAGTGATCTTGTGGAGTCGTTTATATTTGGCCAAGGACGAACTCAGATACCATCGTTTGCATGTTTATTTGATTCTGTTATCTGGAATGAATGATTTACGGAAGTAGGTTATTAAAATATAATCTACTTGTGCTCTAACTTTGAAATCGATGTCGTTTGTTTCGAGTCAATTAGACATTTACATTCCTTTTTTTCTCTGGATATTGAAACGAAATTTTTGATAAAGTGAAATTGGTATCTCGAACATTTTAAGGTTTGTGTAATAAAGCTGCTTTACTTGTGGTCGTATTGTTAATATCTACATGTAGGTCAATTTAAGGATCAGTTTTTTATGTATTCTGAGTTGAATTATTGTGAGTTACCTTTGTTGTCGTTTTTTGAAAAGGAAGTGTTGTGTTCTGAACCTATAAAACTATCAATGTTTTATTTTGTTTGATATGATTCACGAACATAATTTTACACATAGTAGCAGAAAGGTGTATTCCAAAATGAATAGTATAAAATTACTTCATAAAGTTTTCATCTTGTATAGCGTTAGTATGCTGGGTTTGGGCATGATTGGTGTGTGGGTTCTGTATAGTTGCTGAGCAACACATAAGGTAATTAAATTAACTATTTTAAATGAAGTGCCATAAATTTAATAATAACCTGATTTTAATATTATTTAGTCAGTTTTCTGAGCATGTTTTGTATTCTTGTTCTTCTTTTTTAAGTCATTCTAAGTTTCCATGGTGATGGCTTACAGGTTACTGTGACTTACATCCTGAAGTTGTTTGTGATGTTCTTGTAACTCTGGAATAGTTTAAGTGGAGCTGGCTGAAAATGTCCCAGGGATTAATCCCAGGTTTCTCTAACAGTGGATGATAGTGCGATTTCAAGGCAGCTGCTTGAGGGTTTGTTTTCCAAGATTATTCACATGGCCCCAAGTGAGAACACACTATGACAATGGAGCTTATCAGGTTGTGGGGTCCACAAGAGTCTATTTTGACTCTTATTGGTGTTCTCCTTGTAAAGGAGTTACTCTGCTTTATCCATGGAAAAGCATTAATGATGTAGGAATGAAGCAGTAATTTTTGTTTTTGTATTATAATAGTTTCTTTTAGAGTTTGTTTTCCATTAAGCAATTTCACAGTATTTGTAACATTTATGTATGATGCAAAAACACCATTGTGTTTAGTAAAATTGAGACAACCTTTGTTGCAGAGTTTCCTTGTTGTTGCACATGTCATGTTTTGGTACCATGGGGGTGATTCTTAATTTACACGTGCTTGAGTTCTTTACCTTGCTGACTTTTGCCAATGTTTAATTGCTGTCTAATCCAGCTGTTGTTCAGTTTGTGGCATGTTGAAATCATCAATTAATTTTAGCCATTGTCTGGTTTTTGATAGAGAGCATTTTTTTTAATGTGAGGGCTGATTATCAGGTACTTATTCATTTTGTAATTTGGAATAAAGGGCAGAAATAGAATGTTGTTTTGGGAATAAAGTACCAAGTGTAGGTGACACTTGGTCACCATTGCAAGAATGAGTTCCAATTCATTCTGCAGCTTACTTTGTGAAACAGAATCTTTTTCTCATGTTTGGAAATACAGTAATTAATAAAACTATGATGTGTTAAGAGTTTCAAAAATCTCCTTGACTCTTGCTTTCTGATGGTGGCCTAAGAGGATGTCCAGGAAATTACTTGGTGCAGTAGCAGGAGCTCGCAGAAATATTCCCTTAATGTTTTGTTGAGGCTTGTAGCTTGGGAATTATTTCAACTCTTTTGTCAATCCTTGGCTTGTTTAATAGTTTTTTGCACGGTTGGAAGAATGAAAGACCTTTAGTGTGATAAAAGTATAAAGCATTACTCAAACCTTAGTAGATGTGATTGCAATGGCAGGAGTGCATTGACTTTGAAACAAGGAGTCACACAAGGTTTTGCTTATAGTAGCCAAAATATTTAAATGATGTGATGCTCATATTCAACTTTGAAGTCTATTTTTTTTTATTAGGGTTTAATTGATTATAATTTAGCTCAGGGGTTTGATTCTGCTGAAATCCTTTTGCCATGAAAATGTTTGTGAGTTGTGTAAAGAGAATTTATGATGGGGAATTCAAATATGTGCTTGACTAATTGCTACTTCACATGTAAAATTGTAACGGTGTAAGTATCACTTTTTTAAGTTTAAGTTTCTGTGCTGTTCAGTTCTCAAAAAAAATTGTTTTAAGTGATGCTTTATGGGGGTTAAGTAAATGGAAATTTGGAACCTGAGCGGCAAACGAATTTATGTCAGAATGAGTGAGTTGAATAAACTGGCTTCAAGCTAGGGTATGGGTTACTTCGTTTCCTCTCTTCCAATTGTTGAGAAGCCAATCTAAAAGTACAAGTTTAAACATAGGATATACATACGGACCAAGTGCAAAGTTGTCAATTGTTTCTCGAATGTTGCCCGTGTCAATTAATCATTACTGACATCTAGTGCGCGAATTGAAAAAGACTCCATTAAGGCTTGAAATTCTAGTAAAAACGACTGTGGCCGCTTTGTTAGAGACCAAAATACAGTGGTCGCTTTGTTGAAAAAAATACATATCAAGAAACGAGAAAGGAATAATCCATAATAGTGCAAATAATCGTGAAAGATGATCGCGCAAAAGCGATTGAGTAACACTCGGTAGGTGGCAAGATTACATATTAGCACTTCCGGCAAAATTTTGTACCCAGTCTGATCTGCATTTTGTACTGACCGATGTCCGTGGCACCAACAGAGTTCATCTTTGGTTACAATTATTCGCACAGCACACAGTCAACCACAAAATACCCGTGTGTGAGTTAATTCGACATTTTCGTTCTTTGCCGGGTTATTGCTCTTTCCTTTTGTGAAAATGTACACATCACTTACCATGTTTTAATTAATTCACCCACCTAAAAAAGTAGCTCTTGCATGCACAGCATGCATGTTTTTTTTTTTTGAGGGTGGAGGATTGTGGAAGGTCTTGACGGTCTGCCACAACAAAAATAACCAAGGGCATAGGGATGTAGCGTTCAGACAGGAGATTTGTTATAGAAAGAGCGTAAGATAGCCTTGAATGTTATTAACATCAGGAAGTCGGTACCACAATCAGGTTATACGAAAGCGCTGAGCCTTGACATAATTTTCATGTGGGAAAGTGACGTGAAAAGCTATATTGCATAGCATATCTGTTCACTCTCGCTCCCCCTGAATAGAAAAGGAAAAACTGAAAGCGGAGACGTTTCTAGCTTCACCTGTTTCAGAAATAAAATGGGAGAAAGCTACATGCAGGCTGTAGCCGATGCGCGAAAGTTCTTTCAGTTATCAGCTGGCGAAAAGAAAAAAGGGCGATACGATTTGACGGTGGGAAGATGAACTACCTCCATTATTTTATGATAGTAGTATTTTATAAATGAATTAGGTAAATGCAAGCATGACTTCCACACTGGTGGCAGGAGTAAGGGGAAGCACTGAACAGAAACAATACAAACCACTGACAGGTACGACATATGAGACCGACAATAAGGGGAATTCTCTAGCAGGTATTTAGAGGATTCTTAAGGTAAAATGCTTATTTCTTTCCTTCCGCCCCCAAATCAACATGTCGTAGGGAAGAATGAAAGAAGAAACCCTTGAGGTCTTAAGTGGTATATACTTCGAAATGAGTATGGTTCTCTGTATGGAGAAATTTCGTGCCTTCCTCTGAACACAGAGAAAATTTCCGTCCATTTAAAAATGAGGGAAAAAATAAAGAAAGCAGTTTTTCACAAAGCGCTTTTTTTCCTATGAACTATCCTTATGCTTGACCAACAGAAGCAAAGATGACTTTTTAAGCGATTCTTCGTTGGAAGTTCCAATTTATTACAATTTGATCACATGAACGTTTTGAATCGAATGACATATATCTAGTTGCTCGCGTACAATTAAAAAGTTTAAATATATTTTAAAATACCCTATTCGCCGGAACAAAAACAAGTGTAAATGAAAAAGACTGCCTTGAAAGGTAGAGGTTGATTCTTTCTTCTCCAAGAACCTCGTCCATCGCACAGGAGTGTACTTTCCCCAACTTATGGTCTGCCGTGTGTAAACTTCTCGGCGACTTCACTAAGAAATACCACATTCATTGGAAACCACACGATAAGACAGCGATTCCGTATTGTGCCTATAGAAGTCGTTCGAGTTTACGAATATTTCTTGTTTTTCAGTTCATCAATGAAGCACAATAGTTTTATAGCAGGTCCGAGTTTGAGGCCCATGTAGGACATAATCATTTCTCGAGTTAAAAGAAGAAGAGCTTTCCCGTCAATTTCCTGTAAACAAAAGATGAAATTAAAACTTAAGTAGTTAATAGCTATCGCGTTTGCGCTGATCACATGTTTTCCAACTGTTCACACTGGTCACTTGCTTTCCCACGCTTATCACACTGTTCCCGCGCTTGGCATGCAATGATGGGTCGCATTTTTCCCGCGCTTGGCAGTGATCACGTTTTTCCGCACTCAGCACTGATCACATTTTTCCCGCACTAAGCACTGTTACACGTTCTCTCACGAGTGTCACTGGTTACATGTCTTCCCCGCCCATTAAAAACGGCTTCCTTTTTTCCTCAGCATGTACTGGTCATGGTATGTATCCCACGCTTAGGACTGGTTAAATTTTCCCACGTTTAGCACTGGTTACATGTTTGGGTGGCGGGTGTAATTTGTTGTAAGTTAACAGCGTTTGTCCCCGCGAATAGCATCAGTGCTAACACGCTGTCTTTTCTTACCACTGGTAACATTTTTCCAGTGTTTGGCACCCATCGTAAGTTTCCTCGTGGGCTATGAATACGCTCTGGCTACGTTTTCCTGAGCTTCTCAATTCTAGTCAAACGGTTTTAACGTGCTTGATATCGGCCCCAACTCTCTTTTGGAGAACTCTTCCATCCAAGCCTCCCTAACAGGAGGTTCTAATCAGTAGCCCCTTGTATGTACAAAACGAACATAACGAGCTACTGTACTAACGCGTCTTTTGCATGCATTAAAACAATTCTCAGAGATTAAAAAACAATGTAACCAGTAACAACTTACGTGTTTTCTAAACATTTCCGCATGTTCAGCCAGTTCGGAATTTTCTATAAACTTTACAACTTCTGACACTGACCAAGTTTTGGGAGGCGAAGTTGAACAGACTTGTGGAGACTGGCTTGTATCTATACAAAGACAAGAAGGTTGAAGTCGAAATGTTGACCAGTTACAATTATTTCGATCAGACAACAGTATTATGTCGAGTGATATAGAAGTTACTAAACATTTGAAAGAGAAGATGAAACATTTTGAATTTTGTGTCAGCTTCCTGCTCATGCTAAATATCCGCCTGAGTAAAGTCAAGTGTTGATGGAATGAAAAAAAAAAAAAAAAAAAAAAAAAAAAAAAAAAGGTAAGAACAGGTGTAAGAACAAATGACTTGAGGCGTTTCCACAGCACAAAGAATCAGCGAACTGCAGTCGGAGTAAGCGATGCGGAAAGATTTCCTTCGAGCCCGATACTCTTCAAAAACAAAGCATTATTCTCAATGGTAAACAATTGTATTGGCCACTCTTTTCCTTTATCAATTGATTGTACACAGAATGAAGAATGGGGTTCTACGGAAATCTCGCCCGCGACGCTTAAACAAAAATTAAAGAACGTATTTTTAAACGCCTTCAGTAAATTTCCTGTTTCCAGATGATCATATCCTGTTCTACCTTCATCGTCAAGAGTAATCCGTGGAAGTTTGGCGCTAGGTTGCTGTTGTTGATCGGATTCACTATATGCGTTTCTTTTCACTGAACCAACAGTACTCTTCTTTGCAGTAAGTGATGGTGTCTCTGGCAAAACCGTGTTTCGTCTTAACGCTGAGGAGAAATAGTAAATCAAAAAATGTTTAAACTAAATTATTGGACGGTTTGGTGTTATGTCTTCTTACTGATTTGATTTTTAAGTTCTTCAGTTGTTCATGATCTCTGACGACCAAATGAGAAATGAGCTGTGAAATACGGCTGAAATACAATCACGCTTGACCGCACGAGCAGATTTCCCATAGCCACTAGCGGTGATCAATTGGTAACTAGAGCTGCTGAAAAGTTCTTTTGCAATATAACCCCATTCTATTCTAAAACAAAGTTGTAATTCCATAGGCAATCTGTTGTTTTCGCCATAGTTTCCTTTTATCCAGGAACTGTGCATGATTAAGTATAGGGTTGTGCGAAAATCTTACCGAGCGGATTACTACACTCTCTGAGCTTCACCAAATCAGTCAAAAATCCATTGCTTATGCATTCAAAGCTGACACAATAAATGATATGAGTGCGCCGCGTGCAAGAAGAAAACGAACTTTGGCCCTCTGAGCCCCATTCGTGGCTAGCAGGCGTCTTTCATCAAGTTTTGGAATAAAATCAATCTTACCACTCTTTCCACACTTCGGACATGGTCCTGTGATGCGCTCTCCACACAGCAAATTCTCACAGCACTGGAGATTGTCGGCGAACTTCTCTAACACGCGCCAGAACACAGCCACGCGATCAATAACTTGTAAGTAACAAGACAAAATCTGCTTCCCGTCCTTAGCCGTGATCTTGATGCGACCAGTTCCTGATCTCAAAAAGCCAAACACGACGCTGGGTTCAATGGCGGCGTTCACCACAGATTGAATACAGTCTCTTGTCACATTCAAAACTGTGCCTCGAAAACAGGTTGGTAGCCCTGCTACTTTGGCAGCACTCAAGTGGGGCCCAGCCTCGCACGCATGGTTAATGAAAACTTGAACTGTATGATTGACACCATCCTCAGGATCTATCCCGGATGAAGATGGAGAATCACAGCCTGAGCGAGTAGACGATGGTGTTGTCACTACAGGGGTAGGGACGGGAGAAGTTGCCACAGTTGCAGGTGTAACACTCGAGGTAACCTTAATTTTTTTCTTATCACGTTTTTCAGGTTTCTCCGGCCTGGCAGTTTTAACAGGCTTTTCCAACTTAGCAGCTTTGTCCAGCTTGGCAGCTTTTTCCGGCTTCACAGATTTTTCGGGTACAGCATTTGTCTTACCACTAAAAGGCAACAAATATACCTCAAATCAAAATACCAGCTGTGCTAAAAAGATATTTTTGACGAATGGGGAACTCAACGACCCCTCGTCATGCAATAAGGCGACTTTGCACTATGAGAAGTCAGCTCTTTCAACCTTACTACCACTGCAGCACCTAGATCGTGATACTTACATCACTTACACTTAAATTGGCACACAGTTGAATTCTCTATTATAAATTTCAAAATATAAAAAGCTGCAAACTTCTCTAAAACCTTTACACTGTAACCACGGTTTTGACTGAAACGTGCTGACTAGTGGTAAAATTCCAAAAGATGAGCAAGACGCAAACCTTTGATGTTACTGAGTAAACTCTTAAACCTCTAGAGTGACTAACATTGAATTTCTCCCAACAAGATCTCCACCGAATCAAACATTGGGGTCACGAGAATAGAGGAAATGATCACCAACAGAAGAAGGTCTTGATTGTTATCAGCACCTTACGAAATGTATGGAGAACAGTATACAGAACATGCCTGCTGATGTTAGGGTGTTGAGTGTCAAGCAAAAAAAAACCTTACCTTACTTTCAACGCTTTCCTGGTTTTACCTTGGGAAAACAAACAAGATCAAAAATCAATGGAAAATACCTTCAAAGGAATGGAGCCGCTGCCAGTGACTGGCATTTCGACCATTTGAGTCGAAGTCATCATCAGAGACAAGGAAGGTGCAATAGAGGTCTTGTTAGTAAAAAGTAAATGATTGGTAGTAAGACTCTAAAAGCGAAAGTCATCAGTGATTGGGTCACTTGGAAAGACAGGTCGTTCAGTTCGGGTCCTTTGTTGTGTTAATATCGTTTGAAAGTCGTATAGTGCCGTTCTTTGACGACAGGAATCAGTTCTAAGTTAATAAACCAGTTATTGTTTGGTAGTTCCTTTTCTAATTTTTTTCCTTGTCTCTCTTTTTCTACATCTCGTAGCAGCTGTATTCGTGACGGAACCAAGCAACAGCTGCGAAGGAGACTTCCCCTCATACCTGGTGGTTGTAAAGGGTGACCACTAAGGTGACACCAACCCACTGGGAATATATCCCTGGAGTCGTATCTGCACCAGTAATCTGAACCAAGGTATCCATCAAAATCCACGCGGATTCTGTCGCCGTCGACATCGGCCACAGTAGCCACACAGATGAGAAGAGGGTTTTTAGGATCCAATGCTTCTAGCTTCATGCCGACCTTAAACATGTTCTCTTTAGGTGCTGTCGGCTCCTGCAAAGGATGAAGGAAACTGGAGCTCTTCTTTTGTTCATGTTAGAGTAACACAAGTCATAAAAAAGTCACGCAGTACAAGTTATGAATATCTGGAACCTTTTCATGTGTTAAAGAGTGTGCCACTGGATGAGGTAACATACTTCAGGCGTTCAGTTAGAAAAACGGAGCGAAATAGTAAACGGCGCGATAGTAGCAGCAGAGCGAGAAAAACGAGGGAAGTTTGGGTCGGATTCATAACGCGACCCGACCCAAGCCTCGCTCGTTTTTAATCCTCTGTAGCTATTCCGCCGTTCATTGCGCTTTGTTTCATATAGTGAATGCCTGGAACAGGCCACATATGAGGCTAAAAGGTAAACCCCAATTGAATATCACGATTGACAATAACCTCTCTTTGAAGGACGCAAAGAAGTTACTAACCCGTTTAAACAGCCGAACAGGAGCCAGTTCCGCACTGGCAAGGGTCTTTGCCAAAAAAGTAGAGTACTTCCCAGGATCAAGGTGAAAACCTAGAAGAACAAAATGTTACGTCAGTTAAAAAAGTGGATGAAAATGCTCGACATAAATTTACAAACACCTTAAGAGTCATCTTGTGGAGTGATAATAATTTCACCACTATGCAAAGGTGATAGGTCTGATTCCTGATTAGATGAACTGGATTGGGGGGAGAGAAGGGGTGTGGCGAGGGTAGATAATCTTTCTTTGACTGGTGCGTTACAATAGACACGTACCTACAGGAGGCTGCAATCGTCCTCCGTTTCCCTCACACCACCCTACAGGGTGGATTTCTCTAGAGTCCACCAGGTGCCAGACATCGTTGGCACTGTCGGTGCCGTCAAACCGACACCTGATCCTCGGTCCTAATATGCCAACTACAGTAGCAACACATATGGTATCCACTATCCGTGGATCTGCCACTTCTAATTTCATACTGCACTGAAAGCCATTGTACGGAGGTACTTGAGCCTACATGTCAAAAAAGAAAACTGATATCAGTGTGCACAAAATCGATTGTAAAATTTGATAGTTCAAGAGAGAGTTGGCTGAGAAGTAGGACTACTCTCTGCGAGTTTTGAGTAAAGGGTTTTCTGTCTATCGAAAGTTGTTTATTTAAGTCTAGTTCGAGAAAACTGTTTGATCAGATTTGTCGTGATGTTATTGCCTGTAAAAGACCAGGCCAAGAGACATACTCCCACAACCGCCGTCAGTTGTGATTGGTTTACAAAATACCGCACAAGAACAACAGCGACTAAACCAACTGGGCCAAAATTGACCGCAAACAAGCTGATCAATTCAGGTGGACAACGTCAAAAATAATTTCCAATTTCTTCATACTACCGTTTCTTAGTTATTTCCAATTCAATCGAATTAATCGTGATAGCCTTGAAAGAAAAACAAGTAGTAACTATGTGGACGACAAGGTACGAAAATGGAACGAAAGAGCAGCAGACAGAATATTTTATATCGCTACAACTTTTAATGATGGTGGGTAGCCATAATGCAAATAAAACAAACTAATGAAAGGCGCAGTTTTAAGATAAATTCCATATATACATATATATAGTGCTAACCTGTCTAAAATAACCCCAAGGGGCCGCTTCAGAATTTGTCTTGGCGAGGTATTCATCCCAGGAAAACAGAACAAACCCTGAAATAAAAACCACACAGTGAATTTAACCATTAACTGAGCGCTTTACTGAAAAAAGAAAACCAACGATTACGCGACGATCGATTGGAAGCTTCAACATCCCCCGTCCCCGGGACAACCCACTATAATCCTTTCCCGGGTGGTGGGGAATTTAAACCTTGCCTAGGTGGGGTTGTCAATCTTCCAAAGTTTAAATGCCCAGGGGTTGCCGTGGGGGGAGGGGAGAAGTTGAAATGTACCATTGATCGACGCATTACCTTTAGAAGATAGCATATATTTGACAGTCACGGGCCTTAAAAGATTCATTTATTTTGGCGACTTATCTACTTCCAGTTCCACCCACGCTTTGACGACATATCCTACATCAATTGCTCGTTCATTACCTAGCGCGGGGGGAATCTTCTTAGGTGTACTTCCATCGGTTTTCGCTGGAGAAAAATAAAAAATGACACAGCTCAACAACTTTATTTGTACACTAAAACCACTTTGCCTGGTGAAGAGAATGATTAAACGAGGCTCTTGCTCGCCCTTAAATTTCAGGAGTTGCCAAGAACAATTCAAGCTTATCTCATAGCTTCCAACGCTCAAAGCAACTAGGAATTTTGATCATCCCTCTAGCTTAAATATAGCATTTCCACATCCTAGTCGCACTCCTGGATGGAGGGAAACTGCGTTCCTTAAATGAACAGTGAAAGTAGTCCTGAAAAGGACTGCTATCTGTGACAGTGCCTGTCACGTTGACAGCTCAAGCAGACGTCATCAACAAAGTAGAACCTTTTAGTTTTTATTGTTAAAGTGGTTGCGAAGATTGGATAAAACTCAACGAACTACACATGCCTAACATGGATGCAACCGCCACAGAGCAACAACGTGATGGCATGAATTTCGTTCAATGTGTTAATTTAGCGAGGGGCATTTGTAAAGAAAAAGAAAAAGAGCCAGACAAGGGAAGAGAAGCAGATATGAGTTTGTGGAGCTACAAGGCAAATGTAAATGATAGCTACTTTTGCCTGACGCCACACTTCCCCTTGTTGCTGAACGAGTCATAGGAGCAGATGGTGCTGACTTCTTTGAAACTGCAAGATAAAAACATAAAACCATTTTTGTCTCTCGATTATCGATCACTAATCCATTGAAAGAGGAAGAGTCTGGCTCAAAATCAGTGAGCAGAATAGAGGGGAAAATGTTTGGACTTGCAGTGTATTCCTTTACGTTTTCTCTTTTTAACGTAGAGATCAAAAGGAACACAAAAAAGGGTATTTCAGTAAAAAAGGTTTGAGCCAGAGACAGTTGTGTACTGTGATTGTTTGGCTGAAAGAAGCCCCTAAAAGGACTGTTATCTGTGACTGATGTTTTCACAGCCTGAGAAGATTGTTTGATCATTGAATGCTGCAGGTCTGGCTCCTCAGAACTGATTGATCAGTTTTGCCATAATGCTTGTGAAATGCAAAGCCCTTGGGGATTGAGAAGCATTTAGTCAGCAATGATTTACCAAAACACACGAACAAACAAACAAAACCGAAAAGGACACTTTGTGCTATGGTGTGCAGATGTGATTTAAATGTAACTTCAGACAATGAAAGCCTGGAAGTTAAAATGTTACAACTTGCTTAATGACTGTAAAACACAGGTAACAAAATTGGACACTTTAGCTGCAAATTTAGTTTCCAAAATGTTTTGCTACTTGTCACAGTCATAGATTGGAGCGCAGATGCATGCATATGTGCCAGGTTAGCTATCAAAAAGGACAGTATCCTTCCCTTTGCTAACTCACCAGACTTAATTGTTGGTGACATTTGTTGAGTGTTATTGATGTGGGACTGATTTTCCTTGATGCTCTTTACAGCCTGTTCAAAGCACAATGCAGAGCAAAGATCCTTGCAAGAGATCTCCTTTTCGCCATCACTGGATGTAAAGTTTTGCAACACATTGGATTTCTTGCACCATTTGCACAAGCCAAACTTCTGTCCTGGTTTCTTACTTGGTGAAGATGTATATGTTACCTGTACACCTATTAACAAAGACAAAACTGAACTTTAATCTTAAAAGAACTCCTCTGAAAAAAAAAAAAAAAAGAAAAAAGAAAAAAAAAACATCAAGCACAAAGGTATTGAGAGGGAACAAATTGATGTACTTGGTATTAAAGCCAAATAAATTATCTTTCATAAATTCTCTGTCGCAAATATATACCTCTGTAGATCTCTATCACTGTAATGGGAAAAATCATTTTTCTTTTATGTTCATAAAAACCCCTCACTTCTTCTGAGCCCCACTTCTAAGGGACAATTCTTTAGTTTTTTACTCATTTTCTGTTATGGTTTGAGCTATCATTTTAAACATTTCAGCAAGCCTGTAGAAAAAGGATTCTCAACTTCTGGCTACTGTTTGAACAGTAACCCCCAATATCAATGGATCATGGTGGTTACAATCACAACTTGAGAGGAAAACAAAAAGTGAGCACATATTAAGTTTCCTTGAAAAACTGATAAACTTGGAGTTGACAAACATAAATTCAACTCTTGCGTATGAGGACATCCTTGAGCATTAGAGAAAATGTTTGTTAGTAGGACTGTCCACCTATGGGAATTATTGCCATGAGCTGACAACTGAAGAAAAACAGAAGGGATGTCTACTAACGGGAGAGAGTTATGTCCAACTCCTTTTTTACGTCAAAGGTATGGACAACTTTCTTTCCTGCAGACAAAAGGTGATTTGACACAACCAATCCCATCTGTTCTGTTTCTCAGAGGTCATATTCTTGCACAGGGTCTCTTCTTATTAGTGAGGATAAACAAAGTAAAAATCAAATTTTCACTTTTAAAAGTGTCTGCATCTGCTTATGTGAATGTGTACATACAAGAAATGTTTGACTGGGAGGCAAAAACAGGAATTTAAAAAATTGTCTGTAAGCAGAACTGCTACCTGCTACCACAGTGTTTGTTAGCAGAGAGTCAATTGTACTTCAAAACCTTTTAATTTTTTTTCACACTAAATGCAATTAACATATGAAGTAACTCTTACCCTCATCCACCTCTGGTCTTTGCAGATCACTAGAAGTAGGTGCTTTATTTGGTGTTGTCTTGCTCTGTGAATGTTAAGTCAACAAGAAAACTGTTCACAATGCTATTCACTTCCATTTCTCACAGACTTCATTTAACCAAGTCAAGTATCACTTGACAAACTCACACATATTTGCAGAATGCTACTCTTTATCTTGTACCTACATGTAGATACATTTTCATTTTTCATTTCTTCCTCCCCCAAAAAAAAAAAAAAATTAATTTCTGCATGAAGGATAATCTGCAAATGGAAATATCACTGAGACTGTGTTTGCAGGATTCTTCATTCCCTTCACCATTGTAAGGCAAAAGTTCAAATACTGAAACCCCAACATGTCTATCAAGCAAAAAATTCTGTACTTTTTTTTTTGTCACCTCATCATGATAGATCAACATGCAAAATGCCAGACAAGCTATTTTTGTCATCTTAAAACTTGCTAACAATTTCAATCCCATCTCTTAAGTGAACAAGAAAATTTCTTCCTTACAAAATCATTACAATAAAAAGCAGATAACTGATAAGAGTAAAGAAGAACATCAACTAGGAGAATATTCATTGATCCAATACCAAATTCTCCAAACTAACAGCAAAAGAATTGCATAACAGAAGGTAAAGAGAGTTACCAATGAGATCTTGGGAGGGAAAGCGTTAAAGGACATTGTTTCAACCCTGACTTTCTACTGGTAGACTAGCATGCAGCTCGAAGTACAGAAGACATAACGTTGTACTGTAACTCTTGTAAGTAAATAACTTAATAGACAATGGTGTCTAGATGACAGGAAGGACAAAACACCACCAACATGGACTGATTGTGGTGAAAAGAGCTCAGAGAAAGACTAGAGATGATGCAGAAAGGTGCCACACAAGTTCTCTCTGGATGTCTTCTTTTATTACAGGTTTGATTGTAAAAAGATAAACAAGGTTGCCCACGAAAAATAAAAAAGTTTGAAAAACTATATAATGAAATAAAATAAACAAGACTGAATATCTGACACTTGGGCCAAGAACTAACAGTTCTTTGTGAGAACTACCACTGAGTATAATACAAGTCTTAGGTGTTCTTCATTCAAAGGAACCCTGCTCTCATCACCACTGTTAAATCATGAATATTGATGCATGGATCATTCAATTTAGTATAATTGTAGCTCTTTTCCTTATTTGTTTTTCTATGCTCCTGACAGGCCTTTTGGAGATAATTTACAAGAATAATTAGTGAAGTAAAATATATAACGGCCCTCTACTGCCTTCTGATGCTTTAAGAGTAGTGAAATAATTCAGTACACTTCTACTAAATTTTACTGTACATGTGTTTTTCTAAACCCTTTTGGTCTCGCCAGCTATTGATGTACAACCAATAGTCTCTTTCCTCCTCTGCTGTTTGAGCCTCTTCAAATCTACGTTTGACCTTAAGCAGTTTCCTATTGCAAGCATCGCAAATTATCAACTTAACAATCTGATCTGGAACAGTTGAGAATAGTGATGGAAACTTGACCCTGTTCAATGTCTTGACCTCTTTCTGCGAATTCTCTGGGATGTATTTGTCACACATAAAACAAGTTGAGCAATTGCTGTTCTTGGAGCCAGATGATACCAACTTATTACTAATGTCTTGGCCAGTCCATATCTTGATGTGTGCAACATAGTCTCTGTCCTCTTCTGAGATACCTGCAGTCACATACCTATCACGTTGACGAGCCAATCTTTCGCAGCATGTCAAGCATCCTTTTAAAATGCCAACACTCTCAGGTAAATTACTAAAAAGTGTAGGGAATTTGCTCCTTCTGAGCTTCCCATGACGACTATTTTTAAGTACTTGCTTTGAACAAATATAACAATCAAACAAAAGCTCTGATGTGTCTCTGAGTTCTGTGCTGCTGTGAGCTGTAGTTGACTGCAATGCTGCCTTCTTCTCTACAGAACTAACAGGATTGTGATTTTTTATGGTAGAATCAGAAGCTGTGGAGGAACTATTTGTCACCAGAAGTTTCCAGCTTAACTTCCCACCATCCAGTTTGTTGTCATCAGTGACTTCTACATGAGATACATTGGTAGCCTCCTTTGGATGCAAGTCTGCTGACAAGCCTGATTTGGAAGCTTTCAAAGTGTGGTGGCATTTTTGGCAAACAGCAGCCTGATAGAGCCAGTCGGGATGGCTTCCAAATAAATGAGGATGTTCCACACGGAAAACAACTTCTGGTTTCTGATAAAAGTATTCTGAACACATGATACAGTTCCAGAACTTAAAGACCATATTTGTCTTGCCTGAGTTGTTCACAACTGGTAGGGAGGCCACAACACAGTACACTCCTTTGATGTTAGGAGGCTTGGCAAGGAAATGCGGGGCCTGGGAAAAGGAGAACAGAGGTTCAAATTACTGGCTGCAGCTGCAGGGACTTCCAATTACAATTTGCCACATGGGAGGGGTAGGTCAACAATGCCTTTATTACAATGAATGTGATGCATGGAATTGAAAATAGTCTGATGGCCTAAATTGGGTGCTTGGAGGAAAAAAGGAATAAGATAATTGTAGGGTTAGATTTCAAACTTATAAAGTACAGCTGCAACCAACAACATTGTCTACTTTCAAAATAATGCATTTGTGCTCTCTGACTGCATTTAAACAAACCAGGCACTGCAAACAAAGCACTGCTATGTACAAGTAAGCTACACATTGGGACTCGAGACATTTGGAAAACTTTTGCCAAAATTTCCTAATTATGCATCAGTTTCATCACTACTGTAACACAAAAAACCCTCGTCAAATGGTATTTTAGACAATATTTTAAACTTTGACAAACCCAACATTAGAAGACTGAAACAATCTTTTTGAACCCTTAATAAACATTGCAGAAGTTCAAAAATTTTCTGAGAATGCCAGGTAAATATCCTTGAAATTTCAAAAGTGTCTACCTCTTTGCATTTTGTATCCATGCAAATCTTTTTCAATCAATTTAGTTTCCATTACAATTTTTTTTTCCACCAAAGAACTCTCCTTGCTTTTGAGTACAATTCTCTTATCTGTTAACATTTTGAAAGAGACAATGTTGTTTATTTTCAAACCTCTGTTCTCAGGAATACCAGTGCAGTGAAGGAAGTGTTTCAAAAAGAAGAAATGGGACAAAATTCAGAGAAACTGAATGTTGCAGAACAGTCTGTCACATAAGTTTAACAACGCACTTCCAATTGAGAGACATACAGTCTCCTGCGTATAACAAACTTCAGTATTATACACCCTATCATGTCAATAGGTTAAATGAAGAAACTGCCAGCAATTTAAATTTTGGGCAAAGATTTTAGGATCATGTAAAGCTGTTCCATGTAGCTCACTGTTACATCACAGACTGTTTGTCATGCAATGATCTTCCTGGTTCAGAGAATCTTTAAGCCAAGATTGCCTGCCATCCACAAATAAATACATGAAATCTGAAGAAAGACCATGAAGACCAAGCAAACTATCCTTCAATGAGCTGCTGATTGTAAGTAATGTATCCTATGTGATGTATTGTAGGTAATGTGTTGGAATAGAGTCTATGCATTGTAGCAGGGTTATAAGCTTCTAATTGTATGTCATGTATGTTGTTTTAAATAAAGATTTATGAATAAATATAAAAAGCAACCTATTTTACAACCATAAAATATGATCAATAGTTGAAAACACAGGAGAAATTTAAATATCCACTAAGTAAGAGGCAAGGGTTATTCACTGTTTCCCACATGTCAAATATAAGGAAATGAATTCCAATAATTAGATAAAATTTAAAAAAAATTAAAACATCCCTTTGGTGAGAGAATGTTTAACTTGTTGCATATTTAAATGTTTTTACAGATAGCTACATAGATTACAAAAAAAACTTACCAAAGCAGTTCCAGCTTTAGCACTTTCAGTTGCACCACTTGGTAAACTACAAAGCTCTGGTGTGGCTTGTGGCACTTCGGACATAGGAACTACCTATGGGACCATAACAGATCCAGTTAGAGAATTGATAAGAAGAATTGATTTTTAACACTGAAAGATGATAAGACGATAATGTTTTAACAGAATAAGAAAGACAGTACATTTTTCACTTGGTCATGAACTCAAGAAAGATGTTAGGATCAGCTTGATGTTTTCAAGGGCAACTGCTCAATGTCTATTATGGTCAAACCTTGATTATCCTGACTGGTAGGGACTGAGCATAGTAATCAAAATAATAGAGTTTGGATAATGAAAATATGAATTTGCAAGTGTTTTAAGGTAATGGGACCAGAGAAGCAAGTCAGGATATTAAAAAAAGAAAAAAGAAAAAAAAGATAAACTGAGCTTTTACTGTATAAGGTAATGTTAACTTACTTCAGTTTTCATAGCTGGTAAAGGCACTACACTTGGATTGCCACTATTTTCTTCACCTTTAATTGATTAAAATGAAAAGAATTACAGATGTATAAAGTATCTTTATTCATGTAACCAAACCTTAAATCAACCAGGAGCTGATTTCTGCCTTTTCTTTTTCTTTCTGATTATAGCAGGAACAGTGAGCTAACAAAATGTACTGTTCAATGTTCCTTTAAAATGATAAAAACCTAATAAATTTTAACAATTCTGTCATTAACCTTTTCACCCCTTAGAGTGAGTAGCATCCAATTTCCCCCTACAATATTACCCTTAAATCACACATTACAGGTATGAGAATAAAGGAAATGATCAACAACTAAAGAGAAAGAGGCTACCTATTATTCAACAAATTATCTCTGTCAGTGCCTTAGCAAATGTATAGGGAGAAGCATGGAGAATATTCACAGACATATTAGGATTTAAAGGATTAACAAGTACCTGGTATTTGCACCACAACTGGAGCCTCATTGGGATTAAGAGTAACAGCAACAGGCTCAGCACTCTCAGTTTCTGTTGTCTCTGTTGACTTTACAAGAGCACTGTTGTTTTCTTGTTCATCATCTTCATCAGGAAGTAACCTGATTTGAAGTTCCTCTACTGCTTCTCTTGTTATTTCTTCTTCATAACCAAACATGCCCAATAACTCATTCATTGTGCTTTTTGCATAATCCTAAAAAGAATGAAAACTCCAACATTTGGTGTTTGATTAAAGACAAAATAATAGGCTGGTAAACTTTTATCACACAAAGTTAACAAAATCTAAAACCCTCTTTTAGATTACAAGGAGTCATTCCTTTTTTGGCAAATTCTTTTGTGCAAGTGAAAAAAAATCAGTGAAAAAAAATAGATGTTAGTGTGTCACACTGAACTCTGGGAGAAAGGGGCACAAAAAGTGGGAACTATAGACTAGGCTACTGATTTTGGCCTTGTGCAGCTGATTGAGAAGAATTCTAAGAAGAATTCTAGGGATCGGCTGGCCAAACATCATCAGCAACACAGGCCTCTGGAGGGAGACCAACCAAACACCAGTAGAAGGTGAAATCAGAAGGCAAAGATGGAAATGGATAAGGCGTACCCTTTGCAAACCAATATCAAGTGTCACAAGACAAGTCCTGTGCTGGAATCCCCAGGGTAAGAGAAAGAGAGGGCAATCAAGGAACACCTGGCATCATGACCTCAAGGTTGATGTCAGAAAGACCAGCCAACTAGAAAGAATGACCCAGACAGAGGTCTCTGGCAGACTGTTGTTGACAGCCTATACCCCAAGAGGAACAATGGGTTGAGATAGATAGATAGTGGCTGAGTAATTTCCATGCCTCAAATTTGAATTTCAATTACACATAGCCTATGACATTCCTTATTGTGTGATTAAGTCATATCCTCATCATTAAATTCAGTCTATATATTATGATGATCATCAAAATTTTCTTGTTCCCACCACTTCCTAGGGCCTAAAAGACTATGAGGAAGAAAGCTGCTTTTGTTAACAGTTAAGTGACAAAACATGTTTTCCAAAACTCATAAGATACATAATCAGAATGTTATAACCAACCAACCAACCTTGACCTTTCAATCGCTACTGAAAGTTACAAACGTTTGTTTTCTTCCCTTGATTCATAACCCAAGAACAAGACAATTTGGTCTATAACTTACATTAGAGACCTTGACCTTGAGGTATAAAATGCCCAAGAAAACCAATATTAGAGAGTCTATTCATAGCCCTTTGCATTAATATTCTGCTGAACTACAAGGAAGAACAAAGACGGTGATCGCACGCTCAACTAGCCTATTAATGAAATTTGTTTTTTTCAATCGATGAAATACGCTCGATTTAACATCAATATCTTCGATAGTGTGAAATTTTTCTTTCCTCTTCGAGCCTTACAAGGTCAACAAATACTTCATGCCTGATTAATTGGGAACATTTATTCTTTAATCGATAGAAGACATGATCATGGGAACGAGAGGTCTGTGTAAACAAACCAGTAAAGGCACGATAAAGACTCTTGACAAAGCAAGCAAAATTCAGCAAGAATTAGTGTTTAAGTTAATCGAAAGTTTTTTTGTGCGTGCAAAGTGATAAACAGTAGCTGAATAATTCAATAAAACTTAAGTTCCTACCATTTAGTAACAACATTTATGGTCATTTAAAGACTCTCATGAGTGGATTCGCTAACAAGCTTTCCTTGTATGATACATTTTCAGACTCACTTAAAAAGTTAGGCACATCTTCGATTCCCTCACCTTCATTTCATCGTTGAAATTCTCTCCATTCTGCTTTTCAGCGGCGCTTTCTGCTTCACTTTCTGTCGACATAGTGCTCGAAATCCAATATGGCCGCCAAATCAATAGCTGTATATTAACACTGGAAATACGATTTAAGGAAAAGTCTTTTTAAAAAACGCGACCCCAATTAGAATTCCTCACTCTTATCAGTTGGTAGTGGTCATCAAAGCAATATACCACTCCAAGGATCCATCGTAGTCCACTCCATGCCCGCTATGATGCATTCAGAGTGATGCATTAAAACAAGATGGCGTACCATTTGGCGGGAAAGCTCTCGCAAATTTGGGATTTTAAACCGTTTTCAACAATCGAACATCGCTCAATTAAGTTAAGCTAAAGAAATTTAACGCAAAAAGGAAAAAAAATATTTTTGCGGTGGAAAATTGGTGGTGGAACAAAGAAATTCAAGTTTGCACTTTTCTCGGCGTGCGCGTCACCTTCAAATCTGGTTGGTAATGTTTCCAACAAGTTTCCAGGGGTAGGGTAAGGCACCAATAAGTGTTTCCTATTTTTTTTAGCCTTTGTACCCCTTTGGTACCATGAATATAGTCATATCATTTCTTTGTATCTTTTCAGTTTAGAAAATTATAATATTTCCAGGAATTAAACAATTTTATTCTCATAAGATCTTAATGCTGCATTTTTGAGAATGTACCCTCCCTAGTTGGTAGTGTCAGTGAACGCGATTAGGCTCCAAGATGGCGGTGAACGTTGTGACGATAAGATGGGAGACAGATACAAAATTCTGATTGAAATAGTGTTACCTCTTGTAGAAACCAGGGATATAACCCGAGTTAAGAGAATAAAGCATGATAAAGTGATAATGGTTTTGAAACTGAAATAACACAAGAAAGTTTAGTGGGTGCCTTGATCACGAAGACTTCGGGTGGCCTTTGATAACTGAAAGTTTAAAATAGAACAGAGATAAGTGAGCTTTATCTTTCGTTATCACTTATCAGAAACTTGCTTCAGCTGTCTTTTGCAAACCAAGGCCATATCAAAGATTTACTCGCAAAGTTGCACAATATTTGTCGCCCAATATTTGTTGCAATATTACAAATCCGCCCCATGCCAGCTGCATGGCACCGCTCGAGGATTCAGCAAGTCGCCAATTTTGTTCAACGAAAGGCAACTTACAAAAGTTGACGAAATTTGAAAAATTAATGAAAAGCGTATTCGAAATGCTATATCCATCACTTAATTCCTGCCTTCTCCGGCTAATCAGTGATTTTTGCGGGGATAATTATCTTACACTAGCAACGGCCCCGCTCCTTGCCTAGGCGACCCGAATCCCCTATTGAATGCACATCTTAACAACGCCAATTAGTGTCAAAATCTGATGCAGAATAGATGATAGTTCTTTACTACAATCAGGAATATAGATCTCCTAAAATTTTTATTAAATTTGATAACTATCTGCCGCACAGAGATGTGTAATTTGATACTCTTCTGGGTGCTGTAAAGCGAATTTAAGCGAGCAAAAGACACGCATGAGTAAACAAGGAAACTAATCGACGAAATTTATTGCGTTTGCAGACGGTCGATGAAAGACTTGGGCATAAGTTTCTTAATGATGTGAGATTAATTACACTTCAGGGGTAAATAATCAGATATCGAAGCGAAAATATAGCCTTACCAATTGTTAAAGCATTTCAATAGCTATCTGTGTATGACTTTGCATAATTCAAGTTTTTGTTGGAAAATACCTTAATAATTTGGGTGATAATCTAACTCTATGAACACGTCCGTTCCTTATTCTCAAAGGCAATATGCGTATAACCAAGGACACTCGACCAAACCGACCATCTTCGATTCCAAATGATCATTTATGAGTCCACTTCTCAATTGGTCTGTGGTCGGCGAAACTTGAGATTGCCACTTCGAGAATCCATGCACGAGAATGGTTCCAAAACTTTCTTTTCTTTGTTTAAGGGATCAATAAAAGAGTCAGTGATAAATAATAAATAAAATGATCACCAACAAAAGAAGTTCTTGATTGTTTAACGAATTTTTATTATTAGCACGTGAGGAAATGTGTGCAGAACAGTATGGAGAATATGCATACTGATGTTAGGGTTTAAAGGGCGAACTTACCTAAATAAAACCAATTAGATCTAATACATTTTCAAAAGCAGTTTTCATGTACACTACATAACCAAAAGCACATTACAGCAGTATTATGGGTACTTAGCGTGTTCTCATTTATAACAATGCATCTTAAATATTTCAAAATATCTCTGAATATATAAACATCTTCTAATTTGTAATAAAAATATCAATTTGTAATACATCTAATTTCTTGATTAAAGAAATCTTTTAAACCTCATAGTGAAGCTTTGATAAAAAGTCTTCCACATTCAGATCTGATGGAAAATTGACGTTCCCTCCTTTGGTCTTGGATCTCTGAAACAGGAGAACGCAGGAAGAAATTAAACCGTCTTTGAGTACGATAGCAAACGAAATCATTAACATACATTCTCAAATACAAATAAATCATACTGAGAAGTTCCAACGAGAAATTAAACATGATGTTTATAGAAAATAGCAAAAATGTCTGCCCTCTTTTCGCCTTTAAAACACTGAAGTTCAGATTTTTCTTTTTTTCAACAGCATTGCTTAAACGAAAAGTGAGTATATCAGAGAGCAATTTTTGCATTCACCGAATAGTGATGCTTAAACTCGCTATCCTGTTCGCTCCTAGACGTCCTAAGATCAGCAGAAATGGTACAGTAGGGACTGTGAAATCACAGCAGTAAAGTGAGTGCCCGCCAAAGGACGATGTCAAACCTAGAATAATGAGGGGTTTGAGAGATACAGGTTTCTACTTCGTACAAATACTTCACTCTGCTGATAAACAGTGAAGGGAGAGACTGCCTTGTCTCTTTTCTTCCCAGGTTCCCTTGCGCTTTACATCTCTACAGTCTTCATTGACTATTCACGAATCTCCCAAACGCTGTCTAAAGTCGAGGAGAGCACGACTGCCCTGTTATTTAAATCGCTAGTCGTTCGAGGACCTGTTTTGCACTGAATATAGTTTTGAACATAGACTTGCGTAAAAATTATCTAAAATCAATGTACGTTCTTTTTCTTAAAAAGTAACGTTGAATAATAACTAAAAGATTTATTGCAACAAACCTTCGAAGGTCGAGATAATGATCTTGTGTTCTTTTCCTTAAAACGAAACAATATGGTACATATCGGTAACATTCTTCATAATCAAATAAAGGAATTCTGTTCATTTGTGTTCTTAGTTTTGTGCTGTGTATCGTGTTATTAAATTGCAATAAAGTTTTAAATAAAGGTTTTACAGGAAAGAACAGCAGCGGAAAGGTAACAATGAAACAAAGAGAACAAAGACGGTTCAGGGTAAAGAAAACTGTCTTAGATTAAAATCAGAAAACTAATTAACTTGACTTTTTCTCGTTTTCGCGGCCAGCGACTCTTGCGCTGCTTCAAGATCGGGTTACCTCGCAAATATGTAAACGGCCGTAAACGTGGAAAACGCGCCTGACCGAGTCTGGATTGGCTTTAGTTTGGCATCCGATTGGTTACTAGGGTGGCCCGAGTTTTCTACACCAACCACAAAGTCTGGTAAAACAAAAGCAATTCAGTCTCTCTTACTTTCGATATCATCTACTTACCTTTTCCCTCTCCAGTAAATCCCTTCGTCTTTTCCCTGACTGCGTTAATGAAACGCGTCCTTCTAATTCGCAATTCGATCCTGACTGTACCATCCCTGCGGAGTTTTCCTTCGTTAGATCACCACTAACCGGATTTGTTGTCAAAGAATCCGTACTTCCACTTTTGCTTTCCAGCGCCTCCGTATGAATTCCTGAACTCGTTAAATCCTTCACAGAACCATTGTGAGGTATTTCATCGTTATGTTTTTCGTTTGCCTTTCCAGTGTTTCTCTGTGATTTTTCATCACTTTTAGATGCTAAATTTTCTTCTAAAGATTGTGGCTCAAGTGTCGACTCTGAAGCTAAGCGAGGCGTGGTGTTTGGTGCCCCCAGATTACTCTCTTCGGCAACCTGGTTTGTTTTTTGAGGTTCTTCAGAGTTCTTATGCTTTACTGCAAAAGTTTGTAACGAACTGGGAGCGTTTAAAGAGTGTGAAGCTTCAGAAGACGTCGTTGTAGTTGTAATTTCTGTGTTGCTTGCCACCGATCCAGTCAGTGATGGATCGTTCACATTTCGTCCTGGACCAGTCATTGAATTTCGATCATTAGTAGAAGAGCCTGTGAATTGTTCACGTAAAACACAACGATCAGTTCCTATTAAAGACGTTGGAGTTAACGTGTTGAAAGCTTGTGACAACAGCGACGCACCGAATTTTTTTGCTGGGTTAGAGCGTGCAAGACTGGTGGGTAACGGAAGCTGATTAATGACTGAACTGGTGAGATTAGGAGAGGGAGTAGTGCTCCATGCGACTGGGTTCACCGGACTGTCCTGAACAGTTAGGGTACTCGACAAATGTTGGAAGGAAGGGGACGATCCAAAACCTTTGTTGCCAAGAGTGACTGTTGATGGTACATGACTTGAGGTACTGGTAGAAAAATTGACGGTAGGAGGGACAGGGTGAAAGCTAGAACCGATGGGGTTCATCAGAACAAGACTGTCGCTCTCTGGGCTCGGATGACTGGCATGGGATTTGGGCTGTCTGGCTGCTGTGGTGGGGACACTGACAGGTGCGGTAAATGCATCAGCTACCAAGTTGGCAGATGTGACGGGTGAGTCGCCAGGCCTTGATCCTAGAGTGACGTATGTAACTGCCGCTGGTGTTGGACAAGGAGGGGGTCCGGCCGGGTAAGAAAGAAGAGGGGAGGATTCGGCCAGGTTACCATGCAAAGAGGAGGTTTCGGCGAGGTTACTATGCAAAGAGGAGATTCCCATCAGGTTACCAGGCAGGGGGTTGATCTGACGACTGAACTGCAAACAGTGTCTGGAAATGCAGAGGGTGTGGTGGAAGAGCTCATAGCACTGGAACACCAAACGATAGGAGGAGCACTGGGTACAACATCAACGACAGAAGAGGAAATGAGATTCCTTTGCCTTGCGCAGTTGTTTAGTGATTGCGCAGCACATATGTTCATGCTTCTTGAAACAGTCGTGGGCGTCACAGACTGCACGTTACTGTTGCAAATGGCAGTACTAGATGAAGATGAAGATGACGAGTTACTAGCTCCCACACTTCGTTTTACGTTCCTTGCTTTTTTCTTATTTGAAGATGCTTTGTCGCTTTTATCTGCTGTCATTTTCTGGCCAACGCTTTTGTTACTTTTATTGTTTCTCTTTCCACCCCTCTTGGTAGGCTCTGGTGTTCTTCCAAGATTAAAATCGAGCGCACGAACATATGGAAAGGCTGACGTGATCAAACTGGGCCGATTGTAGGAAGAATTAACTCTGGACTCTCTGCTGTTTGTAGACCACTGGCCTTGAGTAGTCTCCTCGGGTGGGGTTTTGGGCAAATGTTTCTCAGTGCTCTGATAACTTACTGCGTGAACAGAGTGTGACTGTGTTTGAGAAGGAATCTTCTGCGGGCTGCCGGCCAGTAAGAGTAACGCATCAGTGACGATACTAGTGGCTGAAAAGAAAAATAGAAATAAATGAAAAAAATTAACTCGGGGGCGGGGGGAGGGGTGGAGTTTTTACGGATAAAGTAGAACATGGATGTGATTTCTATGAAATGGCTCACGTCAAGGCAGCCAGAAGTAATGTAGGGCTGCCTACCCGAGGCTAACTCACAAGAGAGTTCAGATTGTTGACGCCTTAAAGTTTGTGGAAGAACTGTTGGTAGGGTGAACTATTGAAAGGTTCCAACTCAACTTTTCTTTCAGTCACCGTATGGCAACCCTTTACATGTAAATCAAAACGGTCGCCAAAAGTATCATTCTTGTCGCGCGAAAAAAAAACAGGGAAGGGAATGTTTCCTAGATTACATGCTGTTTTAACAATCGCGTCAGAAATCGGAAGTAAGGGGGTGAAGTTGGACGTCAGTGTCACAAATTGGAGGATAGCGTTCGAGTTTGGACGAAATTGTCCGAAATCCAGCGATGGTCGGACAAAAGAGATCATAATTTACCCCATCCGAATGGAAAAGTTACCCGTCCCACACGTTAAGAAGGCCCAAGTTTCCAGCCCTTCAGTACCATCATTTGGTTTTCCTTATTCTACTGTGTTAGGCGCTTCTAAATTTTCACTTCTACATAAATATCCACACGAAACGACAAATACCTGATAGATGCAAATCTGAAGTGGACGAGGAACTCGAGGTTAAGCTTTGGTGAATTGATGTTGGTGGTGAAATGGTGTTAGCATTGGTTACCGAATGAGATTGATTTTCTTCAGGAAAAGAGGAAACGTCGAGGGCACCTATTTAAAATAACAATAAAAAAGCTAATGACAATGCTAATGATGACAATACAGATAGTCATAAAAAATAATAAATGTAATAATAGTAATATTAATAAAAATAATAAAAATAAAAATAATAATAATAATAATAATAATAATAGCCTGTGCACTGTCACAGAAAAATAATAATAATAACAATACATTTATCGATTCCCTTCAACTATGTCAATGCTGATAATATAGTTTATTAAGTTGTACATCCCTCTAAGAAAAACGGTATCGTCGCCCTTGTTCACTGTTTAATTATGTCTTAGAGCTTTTCTGTTCGCGGTTCAGTTTTCCTACAGCAAATTGACTTTCTCCTTGAGGAAAAATGACATTTCATTAAATTTCCACAAATGCTCCTGCTGTTCACGGTTTTCTGAGTTTCACAATAGAGCTTTGCATCAACCTCACGTTGAACAAAAAAAATTACCGATACATTAAGGAATCTTACAAATTCAACTTCACTTAGAAGACAAAATCTAAGCTTTTTTAAGGAAGATAAAAATAATTTCATTACCCGGAAGTTGAGCAGCAGATGATGGTGGCAAGCTGCAAAGAGAATCCATCGGCCGACTTGATTCAGCCGACACCTCAGCACATAAGCTTGTGTCTGCTGGAGCATGGGCTGTTGATGGTAAAGCGTCTAGTGCATCTGTTTTAATAACAAGATTCCCAAATCAGTCACTGACCGAACAATAATTGTTGGCAGACTATACAGGCTACCTCCCCACAGGACACTAAAACACTTAGGACAAGAAACCCCACAATACAGCCTAGCCCGTCGACAAGTCTACTGTAGCTTTCAAATGCTTAAATGAAAACTCTGACGTACAAGTCACTAACGAAAGAATTCACACTCACCAAGTCCAAATACTGAGAAAAGGACATCAAAAGCTGGATCAGCCTGCATCAAATCTAAGATTTCCTTGACAGGAATATCATTACCACCCTACATAACAAAAGTGAAGCAGAGCAATCTTTGATGAATCAACATGAATTTTAACCTAGCAGTGACCAACATCTAATTCCTTCCTACAGTAATACTGCTGAATCATTCATTTACCCTTTAACTCCCAAGATCTCATTAGTAATTCTCCTTACTGTCTGCTATATAGTTCTCATGATGTTAGTTTGGAGAATTTGGTAGTGGATCAACTAATAATCCCCTAATTAAGATTTTGATTTATTCTCATCACTTGTCTGCTTGATATTGTATTGATATTGTAAGGAGAAATTCTATCTTGGTCACTCATGGGAGTTAAAGGGTTAAGACCATGAGAATAAAGGAAAAATCATCAACCAGAGAAGCTTTGATTGTTGAACGATTTCTCCCGTATGAGGAATATGGATACTGGGGCCCATTTCTTGAAAGTCCCGGTAACTTGTTGAGCCCAAAGCCATATTTTAAAATTAAAATTTAAAGAATAGAGAAGTAAATTATGCAACCCAACCAGTCTATTTTGTCTCTTTAGCTCACAGTTTTATTGTAAAATTTTCAAAATCTTTTAAATCCCATCTTGACTGAAACCAGAACAGCTTTACAGGCCCATTAAGCTACTGGGATCTTTGAGAAACATGTCCCAGGTATTAAGGTGTGAAGGGTTAAAGCATTCCTGTGCCTTCTTGGTGGAAACTGGTCCAGCACAAACAACCCCCATCCCTCAAACACTGATGTTATTTTCAGTAATCTTATTGAATTGTGCTCAGGGTTCCTGGGCACAACAAACTTCCACCATGTCTCTCTCCTCTCAAGGCTAAAAATCTTTATCCCCTTGGGTGCACTGTGTGAGAGTGTCTCACCCAAGAAACACAGTGCACAGGCCACAGCTTCTGCTCCATGTGGGTGGGGGGTGCACTGTGTGAGTGTCTCACCCAAGAAACACAGTGACCAGCCACAGCTCCTACCCCATGGGGGGAAAAGCACTGTGTGAGTGTCTCACCCAAGAAACACAGTGCACAGGCAACAGCTCCTACCCCCCATGAGGGGGGGGGGGGAGAAAGGGAGGGGCACTGTGTGAGAGTGTCTCACCCAAGAAACACAGTGACCAAGCCACAGCTCAAACACAAACATAGTACATTGAATATTAGGTCCAATGTTTTCCCAAGAGTACCAAAGCAACAACCACCTCACATTCACAGTAATCTGAGGAAATAGAGGAGGCTGAAAATGGTTTTAACTGTCTTATTACCTGGTTTAATGTAGTGGGCATATCATTGCTGCTTGCCTCTGTTGTCATCAAACTGTGTGAAGTATGATCGATGGGTGTTTCATCACCAACAGACTGCTGCCTTGAGCTGCAAAATAATAAAAAAGCTTCTATTTTTGAGACACCTCCATCCAAGGGAAACAAATGTTAGTCTAGGCAGAAAAAAATGATCCTATGACACTTGTTTCTGTTCCCTTTATCAAAAGAATCCTCTGGTTAGGGAGCCCTATTTATACTCCAAGGGATATTTCCTGAATTGAAGTTCCACTATATGATCATGTTAATAGTAACTGGAAGCAAAGACTAATGTTCCTTACCCTCCAACAACTTTGTTGATATTTTCTGCAAGTTTCTCTTGCAACAGAGGGGTACTTAGCAGTGTACCCAGGAAAGATTGCTGTAAGATTGAAAGATTAACAACAAAAGTGAGTAATATCACTACACTGCTGATAACAGCATGAATTCTCAGTTGATTTTAAGTGAAGCCTTTGGGAGTAAAAGGGGGGGGAGGGGGATAGCCAGTTGGATTATCAGAGACATTAGGAATCTCCTGAGGGTTTTTTTTTTATTAACATAAAGCAACTTAGTGAGTTGGTATCTCTGTGCAGGTACCAAGAGTCCATCACAGGTATCCCACTGGGCTTTTCATTACAAAGGTTTCCTCAGCAACATGTTCAGGTAACTTGGCTTTCATCATGGTGTAGGGAGTGAGTTCACCACCTTATCATTTGCTTTGATACAATGTTGCTTTACCTTCATCTTTTGACTCCCAAGTCTCAGCACTGTCTTTGGAACATTCCTTACAATTTAAGATCACAGGATTTTATGTTAAATAAAAAAAATCCCCTTATTAATATTTTTTTTGTTCTTCTTGTCATGCTTAAAAATGTATAAATATTGTAAGGTGAAATTCCTTTTTGGTTAATCCTGAGTGTGAAAGGGTGAACACATTTCTTCATGTCAATTAGGTACTGATCCTTTAAAGCACATCTTCCCTAATAAATACTTACAGGAGTCAGACCATCTGATGAACATATAAGGTCCATTTCAACTTCTGCAGACGCTGGCACCTGCTTAGAGGGTGAATTAGGGGATGCTCCTGAAGTCCTTTGAAGAATAAACAAACAAACAAACAAACACAATCCTCTTTGAGTAAATTTGAGTTTTAATACTTACAAAAAAATTACAATTAGGTAATTTGGACAGACTACTCTATAACCAAATCTGGCTCTATGCAGGGGAGTGTTTTTCATTGTAACATAACTAATTACCATACTATGTTAATAATTCTCTAATTACTTTTAACTCTTTAAATCCCAGAGGTGATCAATAATAATTTCCATAAATTATCAAGCAAACAGATAATGAGAATACTGAAACTTATCAGGTAGAAGTTGTTATCTTGATCTAACACAAAACTCTCCAAACTAATTTACAAGAAAATGGGTAGCAGCTGTGAGGGAGAATTAACAATCAGGTTTAACGGTTAGAAAACATTGGGATTTTGCCACAACTGCACAAAATGACATGTTGTAACTTACCCTAAGCCACCTTGAGGGGTTCTTCTCTTTGGCTGAATCCTATGAATAAAAACTAATAAATTGATTCTAGCATGACAAAAAAAAAAAAAGAAAAGCAAACAAATACTGACAAAACAATTTCTTATATCATTCAGATTAAAAAATTGAAAGATTTTAGTCAAGTTATTTTATCAGTGATTATCCAGATTTGTATATCACCTTGACTGCAATCAAAGTTCATGAATCACTATTTCAGATTAGTAATTCCAGTCTTAACCTGTTACACCCTAACATCAGTATGCAAATTCTCCATACTGTTCTAGATACATTCCTAGGGTGCTGACAAGGAGAATTTGTTTAACAATCAGGAGCTTCTTTAATTGGTGATCATTTCCTTTATTCTCATGACCTTAATGTGTGATTCAGGGGTGATACCTAAGGGAGAAATCAGATATTAGTCACTCTAAGGGAAAAAAGGGTTAACAGCATGCAGGGCACTTGTCCAATGTGAGCTTAATGGGTGGCCTAACTTACCACCACCTAACTTGCTAAGCACCTGCTGGCAAAATATTATGTTCTAAGGTACGAATCCTTCTGAGGAACTCAGATTTCAAATTTGTCTTGAACTTGTGACTATCGTTTCACAATGTCATGTTTCCTTACTTGAAAAACAAGCAAAAAAACTATTCACATTTTAAGCTGGGGGCTTTAGTCACGGATACTTTAGATGAAATGAAAGCCTCCTCACCCTTTACGTTTTGGTGAGCGTAAATGTAATTCATCGTGGCTCAAGTTATGGTGAGTGTGGGCAAGAGAGTCTTCATCACTGTTCACTGTTGTCTGGTCCTTGTCCATATCCTCATCAACTACAATCACAGGAGGAGCTGTGCTCTCTGTTCTCTGCTGATCAAACTCAGTGCCCCCAGAGGAATCACCAGCTACTACATCATCGAACAAGTCTTGGACAACATTATCACTTTTGGCAAGTTCATCACTGACCCTTATGGTGATAGGAGACTGTGTTGGAGTCACATTTATTACAGTTCTGGCTGGCTCAACATTCCCTCCAATGCATGGACTGGTTACTGTAACAGGAGATCCTACAGGAGTCAATGCTCTGGGTAAAGTTATGGGTTGCTCCTTGCTGACATTTGACTGACTACTTTGAATCACTAAGTGACGACTTATAACCTGGTTGCCTAAGGGAGAATTTTTGTTCAATGAAGGTGACACATTCCATGACAATCCATTGGTTGATAACCTTGGTAAAGGAAGTTTAAGTGCTGCAGTGTTTCCAGTTGGTTTAGCAGGAGGCAGGAGAGAAGGGCTTTTTGTGGTTGTTGTTCTCTGTTCTTGGCTTTTTGGTAATGAGCTTCTTCTTGAGCGGCCATTGTTAAGTCGCCTTGTGCGAGCTGTTAAGAGAACAAGAATATCACAACAAGAACAATATTCATAATCATTACTTTCTCCAACCAGTATAATAGTCATTTCAAGATACTAAGAACTACCACTTCAATCGTCTCTTAAGGGTTCTTTTGTACTATTATGATAGTGCAATCAGAGGCATTCAACATATCATCAACTACAAAAATCTCATTTCTCTCTGCTTACAACTCTGTCTCTCGTCATCCATGGAAAATTAGGTTCCTGTCTCCCCCTCCCCCCAAAATGAGCTGCAGCTTTCTATTGTTACTAGTATTTGGCAAAAAAAAAGTATTAATTAAACCAAGTGATTCATATTATCAATTTTATGCAGTTACCTGTTGGTAATTACATCTTTAACCAACAGTGAAGTCATTAAATACAAACTATCCATGGAGGTTTCAAAGAGCTCTGTAATAAGAGGCAGTTTGAAATTCACACTCTCTTTTTCTTGAAGTAACTTACTTGACTGACTGACTGTGTAAGTTTTTGGCGTGCTTGAAGGGATCGTAGCATATCTGAAAAAGGAGTTCTCATAATTAACTGGTAAATTATGATTTTTATCATATACAATTCTGAAATATTCAAATAGGATTCTGCAGATCTATCCAAACTTTCAAGACCATGAAAGAGAACATTAGAATTCAATAGCTTTCAAGACACACACAGCCTTTCATGTGTGGTACAGGGATAGGCTTGTGTTTAACATGCATGAATTGGGAGCGAGTGATTTGATTTGAATGACATGAAGCCTGGCCAGATCAAGATACGGTACTCTCAAAATTCTTCACTCCACCCAGAAGTCCCATAAATGGGTAATTGTAAACTATTAAGTGGGGTTGTCGTTAAGTGCCATCTGATGGGTAGATTTGCTGGATGAAAAAGTGGTAATTGCCAGCTAGATTTCTGGTTGGTGATCACTCAGTAGAGCACAACAGGCACTTCTGAAGTTACGCACTCACAATCATTTAAAATTGACCGCTGCTGTTGGATTAAAAACATTTTTAAAAATACATGCCTAACTAACCTGAGTATTAGTGACAAAACCACAAATAAAATAATTGAAATAAAACATTGTTTTGAGCTCTCATATGTCTTGATTTCTTTCCATAACTTGTGTTCACCACTTAGTAAATGTGAGGCTTAGTGGGCCCCCATTCAAAGCCTGGCATAAAAACTGGGACAAAAATTTGATTAACAGGCCAGGTCACCTGATGCATGCAAAGTGCCAGCTTTGAGTTACCTCACTTGACATTTCAGACAGCAGCTTTAATTTTAGCAACAACCCTGATCAAGACCTGCCAACAGACTCAAATCTTGCACAAAAGATCAGCATTACTTTTTAATTCCCAGCTACCAAGCTGTGGCTGACAATACTGAAAGATACATTTTGGTTGTCACACTCACTTCAATTGTCCAATCACAACATCCAAATCATTCCACAGTGATTTTAAAACAGCAGGGCCACTTATCATGCCATTTTCCCTTCCTAGAGACAAAACACCAAAAAAAAAAATACTAATAATGTAATGTCACGTGTAAAGCCCTGTTCAAACAGTTATAATAGTTGATGTTACTCAATGATAGTTTCAACTATCATTCACCATTGTTCACTATCATTGACTACCATGTTTGTGTTCAAATGGTTTAGGATACCGTAGTTAGTGATAGATGACAAAATCATGAAACCTACCCGTAATTGCGTAATTGTAAAGAAATATGACGGGTGCTTAGGTCAGCAATTACAGTGGAATTTGAAATCTCAGTTCAGAAGTTGCCAGTTAAAGATACTGAAGCCTACCAGGAGATGACGAGAATGAACTACGAGACATTCTGCAAAATTTAGGAGGCTACTTTGGTTATTTTACCATTTGCCATTTATGTTTGAGCCCTTCTTGGCAAAACTGCTAACTGAAAAAACTATTATTCACTATCATCTGCTCATTTAAACAGCAAAAATTATCATCAACTATCATGTCAAATTTGAACATGTTTAAAGTACACGATAGCTGATGATAGTGCATGATAGTTTGTGTTCAAACATGTGATGGTTGAAACTATCATCAGCTATCATAACCATTTGAACAGGGCTTACACCTCTCCATTGTTGAGAAAGATTGACATAATTATAACCAAAAAAAACCTTAAAGACCCCCACAATCCTGTAAGATGTTAACAATGGACCTCTAAGCTTCATGATTCCAACTATCTCTCCCAAAAGCCCCTTTAATTTCTTGTGTTTACTTGCTAAAAAAGCATTTCAGTTTTGAGGAAAAACAACCAGTTAAGGTTACCGTCAACAAAATAAGGTGAATTCAGAATAAAAATTGTTCTACGCATGCTACTTTTATTAATAGAAACCAAAGAAAAATACATATCATTGTTAAGCCTAAAAGTATAGATTTTGAAAATAATAGAAGTTTTCACAGTGTTAAGTGTGTGCAAGCCTTAAACCACCAATTAGCCGCCATTTGCTCAACTGAATTACAAACCTCCACATTACCACAGATGGCCAAACAAACGGAACTGCATCACTCAGCAGATAATAGGCTGACAAAGTGTGTGACATTTTTTGATATTCCTATTGGTTCCTGAGAAAATCTATTTTGAAATTGGACAAAATAAAATAATTCATGTTTTGTCATCCAGCAGTTAATTTAATTTAAGCCTCACACACTTTGGCGCGTTAATGTATGACAGATTTTCTGGCCAAGTTTCATCAAAATCTGAAAAATCTACATACCCTATTAGTTTGTTTACATGGAGGTAAGTCACCTAAAAATAATCTTGAAAAATCAGCCATAAAAGAAATTCACAGTTTCCGCACCTCATTTAGGCACGTGCCGATGCGGTCATACCACCCACCAATGAAATACAACATTAAACCCCTGGCAAAGCTCGTCACAAAGTCTTTCACGTCTTTCTCAATTTTTTTGCATGATGCGCTAGAAATTCCCTTCTGTGTAATGCAAGATGTGATGTAAACAAAATATGCACATCAAGATCCAGGACAAAAGCCTGTGGAAAAGGTCATTACTCTGCTGGATGCCGTTTGGTTTATGACCCCTTTTGCTATTCTTACCAATTCCTCTATAAGACTCTTTCAGCCATGTCTAGCATTCTTTTGGAGATTTTCTAATCTTTTTTTAGCAAATTCAACTGAATGCTTTCTCTTAACTAAACAACAACAACAAAAATTTTGACCACATTTTGTTGACAGTAACCTTCATGTTGCATGAGCAAAGCTAAAGTTCAAGTAAATTTCTGAAAAAAAAAAAAAAAGTATAAGATACAAAAAAAATTATAATTTTTTTTACCAGACCTGATTCTCGTAGTTGAGAATAATCATCTAAGATTGTTTTAAGGTCAGCTGTAAGAAAGACCTGCAATTGTAGATGGAAAGTCATTCAGACATAACAAAGAGGCTAAGTACTATGATTAGAGGAAAGGAAGATGCCATTTAGCACATGGGAGGACAACTGTACTGTGAAACTCTTGGATCTTGAAAACTATTAAATATATCAATCCTGTCAACTTATCGGAATTTCTGATGATCTGTTCGACAAGTCTGAGACTTATTTTTGAATTTTGTCTAAGGGCCTTTCCACACTGATGAAAAAGTTGTTTATTTAGACAAATTTTCTGTCATCACCAACATCTCACAAGCGCAGATTGTTTGTCGCGACTTAACAGATTTTGGCTGAAGTGGATAAATCTTCAAACGCACCACAGACAAATTTGTCCCAAGTAAAAACTGGACAAAATTGACCAAATAAACAAAACTGTGATTGTTTGTTGTAAAAGCTATAATCAACGTATAATTGAACTGAAATCAGTTTACTAGAAAGGCAAAAATTGTATTTCGTTGCAAAACTTGAGAGTCTAAAACTTTAACACAACTTAAAATTGGAGTTGGAATCCTTTGGCAAACTGTGCTGGCTGGTCTAATAGGCAGATTGGATGCTGACAGAATTTGACAGCTTTGAAATTTTACATGCAGATGATCAGATGAAAAAGATATGTCCTTTGATTTTTTTGGGATGATTTTTCAGTAAAAAATTTTGCAGCTAGCCCTTGGAATTGAAAATAAAAGACCAAAGTAGCTTGGGGAGCCTCAGATTTAAGATGGCAGTGATCACCCAAGTCTTATACATGTAACTGGTAACATCAGGGAAAAAACTGATAACCAGTTTTCAGGAACCAGACTTACAACACTTGACTGACAAAATATTCCTAAATGGACTCTGATCATGACTTCAGCTGAGGTTTTCCAAACATCTTTCCCTTCAACCAACAACAGTCCTTTTCAAATAAACCCTAACCCAGAAAAACAGACAACCCAATTAAATGTTAATCCTGGGTTCAAACCATACACTGAATAAAGCAATAAACATGTACATTGTTTAGTTCCTTGTTGTCATCACAGAAGAGAGAGCATTCATCTTGGAAAGCAGCACATGTTCTGTAAAGTCCCTCATCTTTCAGGTAACCTTAATTCAAAGAGTGTAAAATGCCCAAAATTAAAACACCTCAGATTAACAGGTCAAGGATATTTTGTTCTAGTGCTAATAATCATGATGCTTATAGATAAAAGATCAATTCTACAACTACCATATTGTTACTTATTTTCACAGGAATTAATCCCTGCAATTTTTATGATTGTTAAAAAATCTAAAAATCCTAGACTCAATTGAAAAGTTTTGGTGGAAATCAACCATTCAAAATTTAATACACTTGACTAGCAAAGTGGGAAAGCGCTGCTTTGCCAAAATATGAGAGAAAGCAGTTGATGGGGTTGTAAAGGGTGAATCAGGTTTTTGTCCTGAGGATCCATTAAAGAAATTGACAATGTCCTTCAGCTGTGAGTGCAAATAGACAGTTTCATTTACTCTTGTATAGCTCTGCTTTGTTGCAAAGGAACATGTCAAATAGTTATCACTTTCATTTTGAAATGATTTTGTAATGATCTAGTTTTATTCAATGTCATTTGAAAGTATTGGTATGGAAAATACAAATTGGTTGTGTGAATTCTGAAACTAGCTGTTTGTTTGCAGATCAGTATTTTAACAGTTTTTGCAAAATGGAGTTCCATTTAATAAATATATATTTTGGCCAAATTGCAAAATTAAAGTTTTACAAAATATGTCTGTTCCATTTTAACAAAATTAAGTTCCTGATGAATTAAGTAATAATAAGTTAATTACAGTGGCTGCACATGTTGTTCCATACTGTGAAAACATTACCTTTAACTTCTAAAAATAACTTCTGTTTCTTTCCTCTTATGTTAAAAATTTTTACTTAACATTTTAGGAGGAAATAAAGGATTTATAAAGTAAAACCAAATTTTGTCCCAAATTTGAAAAGAGGAAAAAAAACCTGAGATTTCTTTTTAATTTTAAGCACTTTTTAGAAAGCATGATATCAAGTGTCCATATTATCTCTGGATTTTTCTTGATCCGTTGTGTTCTTAAAAAAAACCATTTATTTCAGTCACATGTTTGGCAATCTGCCTGTTTACAAGAGTAGCAGACAGTTCTTGACACTTTCTCAGACATGGTATCAAGTGACAATTGATATTGAATGATTGCCATTTTTAAAAAGTATAATTTAGCAGCTTACGCAATATCATGATGGAGCTTAAGGCCACATATATTCTTTAATTATGGTAGTGTGCAATATTTCTTGGTACACTCTGTCTTCAAATATTTTCCCTTAAAAAAAAAATACATGTTGATCAAAAGGCTTGGACAACAAAAAAATCTAAGTTTCCTGTGAGGATTCACACCAAAGACATTTCCTCTTTGTTCTAATGGCTATATAACACAAAAGCTCAGTTTATCTCCCAAAGTTCTCAATGATTTTATGGCTGATTTATCTTTACAATACTAACTAATACTAACATATCACTTGAATAACAAGAGATAAAAAAAAAAATCATGCTATCTGGAATACACTGAACCTTGATTTTATTCCTGAAGGAAACTATAATTGCTTTTCATAGAGAGAACATTTTTACAGAACATTTTACTATCAACCAAAACTACACCTGATTCATTAGATTCATGCTATACTGTCTTACGCTGAGGTATTGATATTTGCCTTGTAGTAATCCTTTTTCGAGCAGCACTTACATCAGAAACATTAGTTATATTACCATGATATAGCATAGCCATTTACTGTGCTTGTGAGCTGGATATAATCATTTAAAGTGGCATGAAAGACACAAAAAATATTCCTACCTCAATGGAGAACATTTCAAATTTGGAACAAGAGCAGCCAAATGTAAATTTTGTGAAATTTAGCAAGAAGACTAAAATGAAATTCAATCTTTAATTCCAGTGGGGTGAAGTTTTGTTTCAAACCCTCTTTAGCAAAATATATTTTTAAAACTTATTTTGCTACAGTACACTTTTTTTCCCCAAGGCACTCATCACATGTAATATAGAGGCTCTTTTAACTATAATTTAAATCACGTAGCTTTTGTGAAACACATCAAGCACATTACTCCAAGAAAACTCAAAAGATAGAAAAGCCTAAGTCTAAAATTATCCAACATATATCATATTAATATCTTCCAAAAAGGCACTTCCAACATTTCTGCATAGGTGCTGATCACCTGTTTTTTTTCCCCACAGATATTTACAGAACAAAATCACCAATACTTTGTTTCCATTTTGAAAGGCCAAGTGACAGTTATTGCAGCCTCTGGCGTATATCTACATTTGTCCAGAGTCTAACCCAGCAAGCATACTTTCAAATTGCAAATCCATAACTGTGAATTTCTTCAAGAGTGCTTTTCAATCAAGTTATGTTTGATTCCAAGGCACTCATCGCAGGTAAAGTAGGGGTTGCTATTGTTATAATTTAAATCACATAGCTTCTGTGAAACACATCAAGCACATTAATCCAAGAAAAACTCAAAAGATAGAAAAGCCCAAGTCTAAAATTATCCAGCATATATCATATATCTTCCAAAAAGGCAGTTCCAACATTTCTGCACATGCACTGATCACCTGTCTTTTTTTTCCAGAGGCATTTACAGAACAAAATCACTGATGTTTCGTTTCCATTTTGGAAGGCCAAGTGATGGCCACTGCAGCCTCTGATTTATATCTACATTTGTCCAGAGTTTAACCTAGCAAGCATACTTTCAAATATCAAGTTCATAACTGTGAATTTCTTTGACTGAGCTTTTCAATCAAGTTGTGTTTGATTCCCAGGCACTCATCACATGCAATACAGCTCTTTTTGTTATAATTTAAATCACATAGCTTTTGTGCACACATTAATCCAGGAAAAACTCAAAAGATTGAAAATCCCAAGTCTAAAATTATCCAGCATATATCATATATCTTCCAAAAGAAAACACTTCCGGCGTTTCTGCACAGGTGCTAATCACCTATAATTTTTTTTTCCAGAGGCATTTACAGAACAAAATCACTGATGCTTTGTTTCCATTTGGAAGGCCAAATGATGGCCATTGCAGCCTCTGGTTTACATCTACATTTATTCATAGTTTAACCGGCAACCATACTTTCAAATAGCAAATTTGTAACAGTGACTTTCTTCAACTGTGCTTTTCAATCAAGTTGTTTGATTTGAATTATTACTCTCTGCATCAGAGGAATACCTGTATACCAGCAGGATGTAGCAACACCAAATTAAATTAGATTAAGTAAAATCTTTTTTTTTTTTCAGTATGTTTTCTATTTTAACCAGACTGTGATAATTGCAGGAGTAGCAGCTCTGTGGCCAATTTCACAGTATTCAAAGAGTTGCTGTTTTCACTAAGTTATTTATACCTTTCTATTTGGTCTTGTACTTTCATAACTGTTTCTGAATTAAAAATATGACTTTCATATATTCTTAACCATTTATTCATTACTTCACGGGTTTATTTAGAACCAACATCATGACCAGCTCCCAGTTGGCTTGTTAGTTCAGTTGGTAGAGCGCTGCACCAGTATCGCAGAGGTCATGGGTTCAAATCCTGTACAGGCCTGAATTTTTTTCAGGCCTTATTTTCACTACTGCCTAAGTAGTGCACATTACTGCGAGGATCACTTTCATTCACATGTTTCTGAATTCTAAAACCTTGGATTTAAATACAACAGCCTTTCTCTCAGTGGGTTTAGAACATGCAAAACCACGCTTCAGTTACTCAGTATTCTCTTTCCAAGAAGTAAACAAACATAAATTTTGTGAAATTTAGCAACAAGACTAGAATGAAATTAAATCATTAATTCCAGTGGGGTGAAGTTTTGTTTCAACCCCTCTTTCGCAAAAATATATTTTAAAAACTTATTTCCCTACAGTACACTTTTTTTCCCCAAGGCACTAATCACATGTAATATAGAGGCTCTTTTTGTTATAATTTAAATCACATAGCTTTTGTGAAACATATCAAGCACATTAATCCTAGAAAAACTCAAAAGATAAAAAAAAAAAATTATCCAACATATAAAATATATCTTCCAAAAAGGCACTTCCAACATTTCTGCACATGCGCTGATCACCAGTTGTTGTTGTTGTTTTTTTTTCCAGAGGCATTTACAGCCACTGGTTTACATCTACATTTGTCCCGAGTGGAGCATGCAAAACCATACTTAGTGTTCTCTTTCCAAGAAGTAACCATCTTTCTATTTGGTCTTGTACTTCCATAACTCTGTCTGAATTCTAAAACCTTAGATTTCATACAACAGTTTCTCTCTCAGTGGGTTTAAAACAGGCAAAACCTTGCTTTACTCGGTGTTCTCTTTCCAAGAAGTAACCAGTAAAATTTGCTGCCTTCAGTAGCTCTTCCTCCTGCCTAAAATGGCTAGTAATTCTTAAAAATTCAACAGGTAAAACAATTGTTCTACTGGAAAGAAAATTTCTTTTTACTTGTCACACTGAAAATAAGGGGTAACACTGTTTACTAATACAGCCATACTGATGTATATCATAAATAAAAGATGTTGGTGAAAATGAAGGATCGAAAGCCCTCATATTTGGTCATAAAACATAGTAGGACTAAAGTCTTTAACAAACTTATCCAACTGATAATGACTCATAGAATGTGGCACAAATTCTAAGAAAAAGCTACTCATAACAGTGCTGCAAAATTTGGCCTCAAATAGCTTCAGAAGTTTAATCCCTCTAGAGAGTATTTTTGGTTTAGAGTGGCTATAAATGTTAAGCTCTTCTCTTCTACCCCATTTGGATGAGAACCAACAAGGAGACGGTGATACTGGACTTCTGTCAACATAGCCATAGCAAGCTTATGCAAAGTGTGCACCCATTTTTTAGCAACAAAACAAGACAGAGGATGACTTCTTACATAATATTAGGTTCTAGAGCTAGCATTTCTCATTAGTAAAGGTAATTACATACTCTGATTACAATTAAGGATAAATATCACACATGTTTTCAGAAATTGTTGAAATTGCTTGATTAGCACATTGATTTTTCTGCAACTTCTGAAAACACAAGTGAAATCCATCCTTAATTTTACAAGGAAATATGCAGTTACTTGTTTATAATATAAAGGGAAATGTTTCTTTAATTAAGAAGGTAAAAAACCACATGCTGTTGCACAAATTCATAGGAAGCCAATTCAGTATTCCATTAGCATCAATAAACTGAAAAATGAACAATTACCTGAATGAAATTTACTTTTGTACCACAATACCAAAGCAATGAAACAAGCCCTGCTAAAAAATATTAGCCATAAATGCAATTGTAATACTTTTAGGTAGAGTTAAGCCTTTTTAAATGTTTTCAATTCTGAGTAATTTTGCCCAGGGCAATTACCAAATTTAAGGAAAAATCCCCTCTGTCTCAGTCAACCAGCATTTAGTAATTTTGCCCCCTATGTTACCATCAGATTTAAGAGTATTAGGTAGGTGATATAACAAGAGAAAAGGCAGTGCATCTGAGGTGCGACAAATTTATCAAATATCACGGAGCTTAATCAAATGTGTATAGTAATTATTTCTGTTGTTCTCAATAGTATAAGTTGCTATTACTTTTACGAGAGTAAAATAAATAGCCATACAATGTTTGATATTGATCAAATATCACTATTTGGTAAAATTAAGAACTCAATCTTGGAGTTTCAATTTGGACTGATTCAGATTCAGCTAGCGCTGTAAACACCTACACGACAGACAGATCTACCAAATGACAATTGTTGACATTTTATAATTGCGAGAATTATCGATCCATCAAGACTTCATCCAACAAGTTATCGTCAGAAATTTAGCAAATTGAGTAATTCTGAAGTGCTACTTAAACTTAAGCAGCAATCTATCGAAAACGTTGTCACTTTCGCATTATATCGAAGCTCTCCCTAAATGCGCCTACCCTATTTTAAGACTTACCAAGTACCAGTTTTGCGACGATACAACCTTCTATCATTCTGTGAAGAGATCACTCCGATGTTATGGCGCAAAAAGCCATTTGTAAACAATATTTAGCTATATAAGTTGAATCTCCAACTGTGTTTCGCGCGAAATACACTACATACTGCGCATGTGACATCGAGACTGATATCAAATATTGCAGGCGCCATATTTCAGCATAATTTATTCATCTTTCACATGACCCCTCTTCATTTGGAAATAAGCATGTTATTGTCATGAGAGGCAGAACTTTTAAACCGTGAACAAAGAGCGACATTGATGTGACTTTCGCAATACATTTCCTTTTAAGGTCATTTCTCTCGCGTCCACTTTCATCTTTTATTCTTTCATTTATATTCCATCCCGGTCTCTTGTCCTACTTTTCAATTCCTCCCCTCGTTTTTCTGCCACCCATTCTGCTGTCCTGCTATTTTATTTGCTTTTCTTATCATTTCCTTCCATATGCTTTCCTCCTTGTAATTTCAAAAGTAGTAACGCATCACTGAATGGAATTATTTACTGATATGAAAGTGCTACAAATATGAGGAATATTTTTTTTTATCACGCATTTTCAAAAGAAAATATGAAGAGCTTTAAAAAATTATTCCCTCTTTTAAACTCTCCATGGGGACAAAGGTCGAACAAGGACTGAGGGGTACTGGGTGGGGGTTAAAATCTTAAAACGCCAAGTTCCCAACTGTTTCTAATCTTGAAAGTAATAGTCTTTGAAAATTAATACAGGCAATAAATCTTTTTGATATAATCCATTTCAGCTGTAGGGGATATATAATCGGATACAGAGGGCAAAACGAGAGGTGGGTTCTAACTTTGAGGATTAAAAGTCATTCAGCCTTGAGCTTGACTGTTCTTTATCCATAAAGAAAACAGAAGAATGTATTAAAAATATTACTCTGCAACAAACAAGTGTCATTTTACTATGCTGAACAAATTTGTCATCGTCACATCCACACATTTAACGAGATTTGTTGAGTCCTTTATTTTTGTCCGTTATACACCGATATTTGAGAAATGAAGTAATATTTTGGTTGTGTATTTCCCTACCCTATAGATAATACAATACTTGATAGAAAATGAACAGGCGAGACAAATCGCTCTGTAGACTACCTTTTTAACAAATGCATTATGCTTTCTTTATAGCACAAACAACATCGAAAACGATTGAACTAAGCTGGACGGTGATCTGCAGCATTGTCCGGCTCAATAAAGTCTCGCGTGGGAAACCAAGACCATGCCCAGACTTGTAAAAGCCGGATTAAATATCATAATCGACATATCATTTCGCACTATTGCCTTACAGCTATCTCGTGGTTTGATCAGTTTTAATTGATCCATCGAGCTCAACAAATTAAGGCAGACCGCATTTTCAAACTCCCTCTGTCATGGCTGTCGTAATGGTACGCGCGCGCTCATCTTTCTCGCGCGAATGGAACAAGAAAGATCCGCGCGCGCAAACATATCAAGCCGTGCAAAAAATATTTGATTGTCGCATTATCATCTAGCTCACTTTATAGCGGAAACCACAGCTGGATCCCAACGAAAATTCACCTGCAAGTGGCTAATTGTTTTCTTTGAAACATTATCAGCTGAAAGTGAGAGGTCGAGATTGTGTTTTTTATCAAAATATTTCAGCAGTGTTTGTCCTTCCATACAAATTTACCATCGGCAGTAATTAGGAATCAACTCGGCAGCGAATAGCGTGGTTTTAGCCAAGCATGACGAAGCAAAACAAAAGTGGAGAACAATAGATAGGAAATGTCTCATATACTGTCGAGAGGATACAAAATACCCACTTTGCTGTGACGAAAGTTTTTTAAGCCATTTCTGCATTTCATTTTCTCCTCATTAGAATTTTCATCACAAAACATTCTGGAAGCGCGCGGGAGTCATTCCATAAGCGTTGAAGCATACTACTTGGTTTACAACGCGCGACGAATTTAGCGTAAAATGAGAAGAATTTAAATCCACTCTGGCCGGCTCAAGTGCCCGGTGGTATTCACTAGAATCATGTGCCCTGCCGGCAGTCACGAGACAATCAAAGAATGACGACCTTCTGTTTCTTTTGAATTCTAGCAGCTGATTCAGTGTTTCCTAAGGGTTCGCCAAATAATTGCTGGCTGGGAATAAATGGCTGCATATAACAAAAGCATCTTTGTATTGGCTCCGGCTGTAACAATTGAACCTGTCTGCTCTGCGGGTATCACGCTACAAAACAATAGCTGGAACCTCTTAATAATCGCCTGTATATTTGCATATATCACTCCAGCGAAGGCTGTATAAGCACATGGAAATGATGTGCTTCTTCAAGAATTCAACTAGCCCTACTGAACCACAGCATGAATTAAAATAAAGTTCACTTGCTCTCATGTCACTGCAGTCCATTAATATACCTGCAGACTTGATGCACTCCTAAGATTTTGTGGTAAATTTTTCATCCCCAGTTGTTAAGTAATTAATAACTGAATCACTTGCCAACAGAAAATAATTTATTATCTCCAATACCATAAATATAGGCATGTCGCATTGATATATAATTTTTTTGTGACTCAGTGCACGTCATGACCAAGTTTAACATACTATAAAGGAGAAACCTTGGTCACCTCCTCCAATCGATATTCACAATATTACAAAGCAACTACTTTTCATTTATTTGACTGATACAATTCAATTCATTTAACAGCTATATAAGTTTCTGTATTATTTTATATCAAATTATTCCCACACAAAAAACAGTGGTCACCTCAAACACTTGTGTGCCAGACTTCAAGCACAGAATGCAGCAAACATAGAGCAACGAGTCTAGCAAGATTGAGCAAAACTAACAAAACAGTTATACTCTCTCTAAAAATAATATCTCATACTGATCTAAACTGTACAAGTACAAATTCAATTTATGCAAGAATTGTGCAACAAATGAAAACATAGCAAACATGGAGCATGTTGCAACTGTACTTAAAACATCTCAATTCCTATCTACTATGCTAAAGAGATGCAGCATCAACTTGGAAAAGAGACTGATGTAAGGCCCTTACAGTAAATTAGTGTCAGCTTCACTACATCTTGGAAATAAAAGCAGGCAACAGAATATTGCTCTAAACCAAAAGTTGCTGCACTGTCAAGACATGGCAAGAAACTGATGGGCAATTTGAGAGGAAAAAAAAAGCCAAATATTTGCAATGTACCATACTGTGACCAAAACATCAAATAGTATTAATAACCTTGCTAAACAATGTGATATAATGTGAGATATACTGGATGTAAACATGAAGGTTTATTCCGGTGCAGATGTACAGGAACTCGTTCACAGCCGTACAAATGCAAAACGTAATCAGGAAGAATTTAACCCCATGAGGAAAAATTCCACATATCTTTTGTAAAGTTCTAATACAACCTTACCCATCTTAACTTACTATAGGTTAAATACAAACTTCTTCCCTTCAGTCATCATTCTGGCTCCCCAGACACGACTTTTCTGAAGTTACTTGACCCTACAGAGACCCTTTATGTACAAGTTTCTCAACTAACCCACCAGAAGAAGTAAAAACATAGGCTCAATCTGTTATAAAAAAAAATATTGCGCCTATAAACCATAAATTAAATGTCTGAATTAGTAGAGACCACTACGCAACTCTCCTACATTAGGCAGCTGGTTGATAAATTGCTCCAAGTTGATATCAAAGCCTCCATCTCCCATATTTAGTTCATCATATATAATGCTCTCTATGTCACAGTCAAGATCGCCATGAAAGGCATCAAGTTCTAAATCACTCGGGAACTTTTCATTCATAAATTCCAGTTGATTATTATTTGTCATTCTAACATCTCTAGTGAATGGATGTCCTTGCATAGAATGAAGTCCATTTTCCATGATGAGTGAACCTGCCCCGACATGCTGAATGAAGGGATCGGTGTAACTGTTAAAGGTCTGATGGTTCTGAGGTATGCTATTAACGCCACACTGGTTTCCATTAACATAACTTGGCTGAAAGTTCTGAAACATATTCTCCGGTGCATGCTGCACTTCCATCTCTTGATCGCGACAGAAAATGTCGTTCACTCGAGCTGGTGTAGTGTTCTGCCGCTCAGGTGGACTTTGATAGTTGCGTCGCTGAAAGCGAGGCTGTAGGGGTTGCGAGTATACACGCCGATCTCGGAAGGTCGGTTGTGAAGGTGGAATATTCTGAGGGGAGTGTATTTCTGGGCTGAGAGACTGCTGAGGGTGTTGAATGGGTTGTAAATATCCACTTCTATTATAACTAGTGTCAAAACTGTTCGAAATGCTGGAATTCATACCGTTTGATGCAGTGATAGCGAGCTCATTATGTGGCGGTTCTGACGGAAGTAACGATGGTTGTACTTGTGTTAAAGTCTGTTTTAATCTATTTTCTGCTGCTAACGAGTTCAAACTCATAGAGTCAGCCATTTGTGTAAGTTCCTCAGCAGCTGGATTCGGGGGGCTGGAGATGTTGAAATTACCCGGAGGTAAATGCTGATCTTCGACGGATAGTTCAAGTTCATCCACATGAGCCGGTATGGGAGACAAACGACCACCAAGACTGCTGACTGTCGAAGCATTCGATGATGTTCGCGGCCGAGCAAAGCTTTCGCTAAGAGGGAAAGGTAACGGCGACTCGGACTCTGGGATTGTGAGCAACGAGTCAGAACTAGAACTGTTAGTCGGCGAGACATTCCCCGGAGAGTTTGCTCTACCGTCACGCGCGCGATTCACCGACAGTCGAGGACTTGAAGGAGACTCGCCGTCTTCTTCTTTAATTTTCTCCTTTTTCGTTCGCCCTCGCTTTCTCTCTGATTTAGGGGCCGAATCAAGAGAGCCTGAACGCCTACGACTCGTTTTGCCTCCTTTCGCATCGGGGTTAAGCATCCACCAGGAGCTCTTGCCATTGCCCTCGTTTTGTACTCTAACAAACTTGCTATGCAAGGACAAATTGTGTCGAATTGAATTCTGCAACAAAATGACAGGCACACAGACTTAATAACATTAGAATTTGTCGACAGAAAAATGCAGCGAAAGTGAAATTTCAGAGCCACTCAGCTGTAAAAGAAGTCAAATCATCTGATTGTTCGAATGTACAAGGAAATACGGAATGTATAATAAGCTTACCTTCCAACCAGCCGAACTGTTGCTGTCTCCCTTGTCCCTGAAATAGGGAACTGTGTTCACCATCCAGTCGTAAATCTGTGAAAGTGTCAACCGCTGCTCTGAGGAGCTCTGAATCGCTTGGGTTATCAAGTCTGCATACGACAAGTTTCCCCAGGCATTTTTTCGCGAACTTTTCTTCGGTCCGTCGTTGAGTTGTTTCAAGCTCGGCTGATCGACTTCTCGTTCAGATTTTGTGAATTCTGAAGGGTCCGGGAGGGGCCAAGTATTCGAGCGAGGACGGTTGTCTCGCCTTTCCTCTAGATTTGCCGTCTCATCCATTTAATCGTCGTAACAGAAACAAACGAAGCTACGCTCTAGGTACCCGCAACAACCAACCATGAACTCAAAACAGTGAATGTGCTCGGCGATTTGGGAAAAGCAATTTTCTTCAAACACGCCGCGAGTTCGCTATATCGGAAATTGATTCCTACGTGACGTCAGTGGTGTTGTCATTGGTGATAACATTACGAGCCATGATTGGCTTATTACTAAACTTGACTGACGGCGGAACCGCCCTTTGTCGTGAACCAATGGAAGGAAATCTGTTCCCGGGAAAATTAACCAATGAGCAGCGGGTATATTTTTTAGTGAATACGTTTCTGCTCGCCCACGCTCCCAATGATTATATTGTAATTTTTGCCAGCGAACTGGAAACTCGCTGATATAGAATATAGGGTAACCTCACGCGACGTTGTCAATCCGCAATTTGCCACTATTGTCGATTCAAAACAACAATCCTTGTCATCGTAAATGAGTTTAAAGTGCCTCGGTTGAATGTTTGACATTCTCAATTGTCGTAAAGACAGACAGGGTGCCTTGTACGTCATCAGAAAGTATCGGATTTCCTGACTCAGACACTCAAGCAACCGGAAGTCAATATTATAATGCGGTTTGCACTCTGTCGTTCTGCGGCAGAGAGTGAATTACATGCTAATAGATTTGTGAAGTACGTAGAATGGTCTTCTAGAACAATTAACTTGCATCTTCCATTGTCTTCAACATGTGCATTTTTGTGTTTATATTGTGTTTCAATGGAATTAAAATTTTCACTTTGAGGTCCTTTGTTTTATGGCAGGTCTCGAATTTTACCCGCTTAGCTTAATTTTTTCTCATTTAGGTGTATTGTACCAGGAATTCGACAAAAGACTGGCTACAGTTTTAATACTAGGTCAACAAGAGAAATCAATAATTTAAATTGTAGACTTCGTTGCGAAGCCCTATATTGCGCGAATGATGGCTAATCTCCGGTTGGTCGTTTGGGTTGTACTTAGATAGAAATAAAACCACTTGATCACAAATCGTTGACATTCACCTTGGAGGAAAAAAATCCGTCAAACCTAACTAGAAAATCACGGCAGTTGTGGTTTTTTAGATTGGTCATACCCTAAAGCAGCCGAGCCATATGGTCTGAAGAAATGTCCTTTCACTGATTTTTGAGAGATTAACAAATGAGCCGGTAAGAGCCTAACAGCACCTCTTACCTCTTGTGTATTCAAGATTTCTTGTAATCCTGAGTATCTCTAACTTCTAAACGGGTAAGTTGCGCCGGTGGGTCTCCTCAACAGAAAAGGTTTGCCAAGAAAAAGTACATCCTGAATTTAAACCTTTGAAATTTCAAGGCTCTCTGCTGATCGGGATAATCAACAAATTGTAGTATTGTATGTCATTGAATCAAGGCCCAATATTTGTAAGTGTAGCTTTTTTCGACAGTTTACTCAGTTTTTCATCTATGGCCAGTTTCCTCGCCATTAAAAAATCATCGAATCGATCGACTATTTGAATTGACTTTGTTCTGGGTAGTCAGCCGTTTTCAATTTTTCTTTTAACCCCGAAAGGATCAAGTCGAGGCCTTGATCACTGAACCTTGGAACACTATAAAACCGGAAAAAGTGGAACGAAACCCCTTAATACTCAAAGTGTTCAACTTTGTTCTCTTAACAAGTTCAATTCCTCTACAAACCACAGACGACCTTGGCCACCGAAATTGTTACTCTACACAGTTCAGGTCGATGATCACAGAATTCCAATGATGCTACAATTTTCACGACTTACGGAAATAAACATAGCAAGAAAGCAAATATCTCGGAAAATATTAGTGGAATATTATATACGTACGATACAGTTTCTTCACTCGTTATAAGATTTGCAAGAATTTACTACCGCTGTGAAAAGTGTAGCCCCTCAGATACAGTTTCAAACGCTTTCTAGATCATTCAAAGTGAGATGACCATCGTCTTAGACGTGACTTTTATTACGTAATAAAATTTTGATAGTAAACACTCAAACATTGTTGAGGAATTTGTGGAAGAAGACAGTTGAAAATTGTTGATCATCGTCACACCTTCTGCTAATCACAGATGTCTCCAGGATGACTGAAATATTTTCAAGATCGAGCTTTTTTGGTCTTTTTATTGCCGGGCGTGATGGTAATTTCTCTGCGGTCCGGCTAAAATAGCTCCTAAATTTCGCAACCCGGGAAGCAATACAAAACAACAAAATTTATATTTTGACTTTAAAAAGTCGTAAGAATACCTTAAGGTGTATGTTGTGATCAATAAATAGGTATAATTGAAAAACACGCTTCTAATAACAGTATTACGTAATGATTTTAATAGGGCCATTTTAGCGTTGGTATTTAAAAATTGAAATCTAGGTCGGATCACTTTATTTCATATCCTGATGATCACTTAAAATCAGGCACTCGGCAGCGTCAATTCACAAAAGTTGAGTGCAATACTCTTAAATTGCAGTGATCACTGGCGTTGGCAACATATTTCATGATTCAGTGTTGCATTTCGATGCCGACCTTATCAGCTGTGAAGGAAAAGCTCATTTATTACGTCTCATTAATCGAAAAAAATACCAACAACTGTCAACGAGATAATATAGGACGAAGGATTGATGTAAATAATGCAACAGGGGAAAAAACGGAAGCTGGACCTGATATTGCTACATTCTTTCACCTATCTCGGTCGGGTGATTAAAGATAGTGTTATAATTTCTCAGCTAAGAATAATATCTTCTTTTGAATTGTTTATTTATAACAAAGGCTCGATTTCTTCTCCTTAAAGAAAAAATCTTTACATTTTACATCCGTATTCGAGTAGTTTTCTTTTTGATATCCTCTTCAACCGCTGAGATTGGGAGGAGCACATTGTCACCCACGCACCCACGCATTGCGTGGGACACCCTCGTGCTAAGCAGCTCAATTTACTACGTGACTGGCTTGAGGCATCTAATTTTACAACGGAAACAATGTTATCAAAACATCTTGTCTTCGTTTTGATTAGAAAGAATCTTTGCTAAAACCTTTCAAATCATCCAAAAACGCCGCTATTAATAATATTAGGGTAAAAATTTTAAATCTCAGTCGGTTGAAAATTGGTGCGTCATCCTCGAAAGCAATGCCATTCAATCAGTACCAGTGGACTGGACTAACGACGTCTGCGGACCATCGGATCAGTGTAGTCTGGAAACCTGCAGGGGGGTCTTTTTTAGACTTAAAGTATGTGTTCAAATAATCTTTTATACTCGACCAAGCTAACTGATATTAGTTACCACGCAAATCAAGTCGATTTTGGAAAAGAAAAAGAATTACCAAACACAGCATAGTAGTATTTGCTTCGAGCATGTCAACAAGGAAGATCACACGCAAAATTCCACATTGAGATGATCAAGGTCGAAATTATTTAGAAAACGCTTCAGACAGTAAGAATTTCAAGTCGTCAATCCAACATATCAGGATAGACTCTGTTTAAGTAACCACAGACTCTATATAGTTAACAAGTATTAACAAGGCGGCTTGCTCATCATCTTAAAGTGATCTTATCGTTTTTGCAGTTCTGTGTACCTTGGGATAACAACTGTTCCTTGTTTATAAATAATTACCTAGAGTACAAATGTTAAGTGTTGAACGGGTGGAACTTGTGTATAACAGGAAAGAGGTTGCGCATCCAGTTTTTGTATCAAAAATTCGATTTTTCACATGTTTAAGCAAAACTATTTGACAACAGCTTTATCACCCATTTGTAGCCCCTAGAGATTCGGGTGTGGTATTGTCACATCTGTTTTCAGCCTCACATCGGCTCAGAATATCGCATACTGTACTCAGAAAGTGAAATATAAGTATTTTATTTGCACCTCTCTTAATAGAATGACGCAAAGTGAAGGTCACGACCAGCACGGGTGGAAACAAGGCTGTAAATTTTACTTTAGAAGAGAAACATTCTCAGTGGCGCAGTCGCAAAGGCATTTGACAATTTGACATGCAACATCTGTTTCGATGTCACATTTTACGACCCACAGTTTTCCTTAGAGATGAATTTCATTCTCTACCACTAAGGCAGTTAGTGAAATTTCCACGCGGTGAATTCTGAATTGGCTACAAAGCCCATCTCAGGAAAAAAAAAAAAAGGGGAGGTCTACGAACGAATCGATTTTTTTCTCACACAATATTAGCAATTAAGTTACAAACATTCGATTAAAATTGAAGTCCAATACAAAAGCGGTGTCTTTTGCCGCTCTTATCGTAAAGAATTTTACGACAAAAAATGAAGAGTCCTCAATTAAATTAGATTCATTAGTAGAAGGGGAAGTTGTATACAGAAAGGGTAGGCGGCTAGCACATGATGAAGCTTGAAGTTTTATTAACTTCCTGGTTTGCGTTTTGTGGGTGTAAGATCTAAGTTGTACGCAGAAGGACGCACACTAGCAGTCAATATTCCTGGGTCCTCGTTGGTAGTTGTTCCGTGTCCAATCTGTAGTTTCCTCTGCGGTTAAAATGGTTGCTGAACTCGGCTTGAGTCCTGAAAATTCATTAAATCCATTTGAATAAGTCCGTTAGCGGTTTTTTTCTATTTTTATATTAGAAAAGGGCAAAAAGAATCGCCACATACTTAAATTTTATCTTATCTCATATTTATCTCATTTGCAGAGTACGATGCACCAAATTAATTGGCTATAGAGCGGTATGAAAGAATTTGATTGCATGCTTGCATTTAAAATACTTTAAGCTTCACGACAGTGTTGGTTGCTTGCAACTATTACCGGAGTGCTAAACGATTTGAGTTATACCAGCTTTATGTGTTTTCAGCGAAATTAGCACAAGTGCCTCCTATTTAAGAAGAAAAAGAACGTCTTTGTTAGATAATTATTCAAAATTACCCATGCAGACGAGCACCGAAGCACGTACAGTTTTTTTTTTTCTGTCATCCAGCCAAAAGAAGACTGAAGAAAATAAACAGGTTATTGCACGGAACAGGTGTGAAATACGACTTGATAACTCGATCAAGCGGCGGTATAAGTCGAAATACCCTTTAATTGAGGTAGGGGACCTCGTGTCAGTGAACAAAGCGCGGTTAATAAAACAGATTTGGATGAATGTTTGTGGAATTTTAACAATGAAAAACAAGCTTATTGGACCATTTTGAGCGGCAGATCTGATTTCGGTTTCCGTCCTCAAATACAAGTTTGTTTACCCACAAGTAAAACCAATCAGTTGCTTTAAACTGCGTTTGACACTCACTTAGTCATATTCAACAGTGCTATATAACGATAAATATCGAACTATTTTAAACAACAGAATGAGCGATATAACGATATAACAGTGTCCTCTATTTGAGATTCGAATTGTTGCGAATTGTTAAAATTTTGTTTACAACTTTCCAAAAAGAAAGAATGTTTGTGACTGTTTTATAGACGAGATGTCAACAGCGAGGACCATGGATGGGAAACAAAAAGAAAATTTGGCTCAAGGTTTCCTAGCAGGACGAGAAGTAACTCCCCTCTTTTTGCTTTCCCTGATAAAAGAGGATTGACAGGTTACAATTTGGAAGCAAAATTGTTTAAAAGTAGCCTTCTCGCCGAAGAAATTTTTTACTTACTTAAAATAGGGAAATATGCGAAAAAAATTTCCTACATTTTCATGGAATTAGGGAAATAAAGATGACAAATAATGCTGGCACTCATCTTAGATAGACGACTGCATGCAGTTTGAAAACAATTTGGGTTACAGCTCAAACCGCGTGTTCTCAATTATCTCTTTGTTGATAAATGCCCACTTATAGTGTAATTAGCCCCTGAATCACCAAACGTCTTCTCTTGCACTATGTGGTTTCCGTTTAAAGTGATATGCCCTTAGGATTAAAAGTAAATCTGAAAGAAAGAGAGAAAGAGAAGGAAAAATGGCATGCAAATTGACAACACACTTGGAAGACGCGAGTATGCTGGTAACTTCGAAAAAACCGAAGTTCAGGCTTGTTTGCCTTACTCATAGAGAATGAATCAAACTGGTCGAAGAAAATTAGACCGTCAATATCATAATTTAAGATGATTGATCAGCGCTCAGGAACAAGATAATTAAAAGTAAACATCAGCCTCCTTTGTCTACAAGTTCATCGCTTCCCACGATACCCCCCAGACGGAATGTAGGATTTAAGGGAATTAAGGTGAAATAACTTCCTTCCTGGCAAAGGCGAGACTGGTTACATTTGCTGAAAGAATGGGTTTTTTGCCGGAAAGTTTTAAGGCCAGATACATGAATAAAGAAGACATATCAAACCGCAACAAGGACGTGCTGTCTCTATTGATAACAGGTGGCATTTAGAGCAAGTACCTATGCATATTCTATTAACCTTGCATTTACTGCCGACAGAACGTGATGATCTGAACATGGACGCACACGCACAGCCAATAATTGTGCGTGATTCGTGTTTATCGTCACTGATATTTTAAAAGGGGTCATGTCACGCTAATTTAAAGGATTAAAACCCACACGAACGTCTCTTACCTAAAAATTCCGCAAGTGATCCTGTAAAGATCGTTCAAGAACTTGACAAAGGAGAAGAGGAAACAGAGTAATGCTGATAATCAACGCTGGTACGGCGAAACTGACATGTTTGCTACAAACTACTTTGACTCCTAGAGGGCATCGTTCGTTCCCGCTCAAATTTTTAGACTCAAAATTGGATTAATTTTATCAATTACTGTAAATTAATGAGTTTAACAACGTGTTCCAAGTTTTCAGTGGATGAATTAGATAGATTTGGGTAAAAATCGCCGGTTGAGAAATAGCGTGAGAATTCAAGCTATGCCGACTTTTTCATGTTTAGCGACAGCGTCTATGTCAGAAAGGTTAATCATTTGAACCAGACTAGACGTGACAAGATTTGGAATTCAGGAGTATCTTTTATCAGCAAACAGGAATGCACAGCACTGATTGCCGCGCAGATCACGCCATACCGGAATCAGGGATCTAATTGATCCTAAAGCTCCCTTGATGGGGGCAAGGTCACTAGGGTTGTGGAAAAAAGCACTAGAACAATGCAGAGTGCAAAATTGATCATAACCGCAATAATTCTAAATATAAAACAGGCGTGAAGAGCTTTAAAATAAAAAAACTGATAAGATTCGGGGAATTTTATGAGGAAACAGAGTAGGAGATTAAACAGCAGGAATATCACGATACCACAAGATGTGTGTGTTTGTGTCGGTTACTTAGGGTCAGATAAATTATGCTCGAAAATTGGAGCAGCATGCTTATGAGCGTCACCTGAAAACATGGTATTTTGCCGAGAATAATGCTCAAGATGTGTCATTATGCTTAATTTATTGATTTCAAATAATAGCTTATAAGAGACCCTCAACCTCCCACCCCCCTCATTTCCTATCACCAAAATGTAAAAATTGCTAAGAATAAGTCTCATTGAAGTTCGGAACACAACATTTTACAGGATCAAATTCCCAAAGTACAAGCAAGAAAAACAGACTCACTGTAGACAGTAATTCCCTGTTACACTGTAACATCAACGGAATTTTTCTGACTTTAGCGTTATGCCTAAGAGTTATTCCGGCGTAATTCATTTGACTTTATATATCGCTCAATTTGATTAAAATTAAAAGGAAACCTTTGAAAGACTTTTTTTTTTAGGGTAAGCAAAACTCCTAACAAGAAAGAATAAAGCAAATAAAAAATAAAATAAAATAATAATAATAATAAAAATGCAAAAAAAAAAGAATTAAAAAATAAATCAAAGGGTGATAGGGATGATTCGGAAAGAGGAAAATAAACCAATATGTATGGAAAATAGAAACTGGAAATATATAAGCTTCTTGTTTTATTAGAAGCTCGATATTTCCTGCACAACGAAAAATCCACGCTTTCTCTTATATTGCCTATTTTTAAAACATTCAGACTGGTAAGTATTTCCTGAGTGGGTTACCTCGGTCAAAAATAGATTATTAAAACAAACTAGATTTATTTTGTTTGTTTTATATGGTTTGAATTGTCACCGGGATGTTCAGCTGGTGGTATATAAAGTTCCAATCAATCAATCAATCAATCAATCGATAAACTTCATTCAACCACAGGCAGTTCATCAGCTGTTTACAAAAGGATCAAACTATAACTTCACAGCTATAAATTTGATTGTAAATTACACTTCATTGAGAAGCTGCTTTCCGTGAATGCCATGCCTTAGAGAACTTTCCTGATTGCGCTTTTAGACGACACGAGGGATTCCGCGCACCTAACCTCGAAAGGTAGGCTATTCCACAAGGTGGCGCCACCATAACTAAAACTTTTTTGGGGACCTTCCTCTCGAGGTAAAAAAATACAGATGAGAGTATTCAAGGTCTAAGAGAGCTGTGATGCCAGGGGAAAATTTTCAAAGCGCGCAAAAAGATCGACCCGGAAATCCTATCACTTGCGGAGGATAATCTGGTTACTTCCTTTGATCTACGGGAGGTTTCTCAAAATAAGCAAACAAGACTGATATGCCATCTGTCTTTAAACGACCTTTCTATTAACCTTCAAGATAACTGTTTAAAGGGGAAGAAAGTATTTTGTTCGGCTTTCTTCGTATGATATCCTCGAGATCTAGGTTCAGTATCGGCCAATATATTTGTTTTGTTTTTATCCCGAGAGAACTAGAACGGGGAGCCTAATATGAGTACTTTCCGATAGAGTTTGTAAGTATTGTTGGAAAAAGAGAGAGAAACAAAACCATGTTTCTGGCGCGTCCATGCGCTGTGCCCGCGCTGAAGTCAGCGGAGAAAAAGAGAGGAATCTGGGTTGAAAACAATAAAAACAATATGGCGGAAAAAATTGTCCACTCTACAAAATTTGGCGATATTATTCATTTTCCGCCTTGAAAATTTCAAGTCGTGCCCATGCGTGCTGTAATATGTAGGTAATAATGTTTTCTATGCGAATTGTTAACAGCGATTTCTACATCGCCGACCCAGTTCCAGAACTCGATGTTTGTAACTCCAAATTTCGCGAGGATACTTCGACAACTGTAAAAACCAAGGTTCCAGTTATTCGTATTTATGGAGCTACTCCAAGAGGTCAAAAAACATGTCTCCACGTCCACGGTATCTTCCCTTACATTTACGTTCCGTACGATGGAACACAGCCGACAGACAAGTACATTAAACAGTTTGCAACTAGTGTGGACTTTGCAGTACAGGTTGCTCTCGGAAAAGCGTCTTCTTCTCGTCGGCATGTCTATGAAATCACTGTTGTGAAAGGAACGTAAGTATAAAAAGTGTACACAGGATTACCGTGTCCTTTTCATTTATTACTGGTGTGTAGTCTTGGCTCGACCTTCTGCACCTCAGTATGTATTTTCTCCACACAGTTCTAAACACATTCCCTAAGATGCTGACAAGGAGAATTTGTTTCAAAATCAGGATCTTCCTTAGTTAATGATCATTTTCATTATTCTCATAACCTAATGTTTGATTCAGGGGTGATATTGTTAGGAGAAATTAGAAGCTAGTCATTCTAAGGGGTTTAAGGCTAAATTAATTGATTAATGGTGAGGTGTCATGTGGGCCCTACACTCTCCTGCCTTGGACTTGTTACCCTATGTTGTGAAAAAAAATTGGTGATTTAAAATATCCTAACAACATAACCTGTTGCTACTTTTTAATGAGATGCTAGCATTAGACCTGTCTTAGTAAATTCTGAGCCAAGTTGGTTATAGTTTACACAGTGAGGCAAGTATATGAATTATTCTCATTTTATTCTTTTTATTTTACTCCTTACACTCAACAATTTTTTTAGTTTGAAAGGTGTGCAATAGGGTTAAAATTAAGGTAACAAGGTGGCCCCATAGATACAGTTTCCTTTTATGGTAGTATGGAAGAATTTTCTCAAGATCCCTGTATGAAACTTAGAGAAATGGGGCAGCCACCCCTATAAAGATAGCCAGTTGGCCATTTGACCCCTAAGAGTGACTAGCATCTGATATCTCCTTTCAATATCACAGCTGAATTACACTAAAAGGTCACAAGAATGAAGGAAATACATACATACATACATACATGACCTTTATTTAAGTGCCTAATCGTTCTAGTGCCTATTGGCACTAATTGGGGACACCTTTAAGACTAAAAAATCTAATTAAAAACTATGAATCTTAAAAGCAGGAAAATAACATTATTCAGACTAAGTACTCTTCTACACTTTAAAACTAAGTTACGATTTTACTCTATAACACTTTGTAGCAGGGTGCTGAATTCACAATGTGATATATGAGCTCGGACACTAAAAATGTATAAATATGCGTACGTCAAGTTAACCTAAGCATAAGCGACATTCGCTCCCACATCCTTCGAGAAATAATGTTACATACTTCTTACGTATAGTTGTCCTAAAAGTTGCCAAAGTTCCAATATTTCTCTCTTCCTTGGAACTTTGACAACTTTTCAAGGAAGAGAGAAATATTGCCGAAGTTCCAAGGAAGAGAGAAATATTGGAACTTTGGCAACTTTTATAATTTTATAATTAATAATTTTAATAATTTTATAATTAATACAACTTTTATTTTTATATTAAATAATCACCAACTAAAGGAGCTCCTGATTGTTAAACAAATTCTCCTTGTCAGCACCCTAGGAAATGTATAGAGAACAGTATGGAGAATATGCATACTGATGTTAGGGTGTGAAGGGTTAAAATATGAAGTCAGATGCCCTTCGTACCACTTGGAATAAAGCAGATTGCTGAATGATTGTCATTGTAATTTTCTGTTTCTTGATTGGGATTCAGTATCATTAAACACTATGCTGGGGCTCATCCCAACATTAAAATTTAATTAAAATTCATCTTTGCATTTTAGACCTTACTATGGTTACCATGAAGGTGAGAGAGATTTCTTGAAGATTGTCCTGTACAATCCATTCTTGGTTACACGGTAAGACAACCTTAAAGTCAGTTAACATGAAGCTAAGCAACAGTACTCTAGAGAAAAAATTGTCTTTTCAAAATGCAAATTTACTTGTAAACCTTTCTATTTGGAGACGTGCCTTGTTGGTCTTTTGCATACCTGTTCTTCTGCCTATTCACATGTATCTGTAAAATGTCTGATCTTATTATATGCTAAGCCTGGTTATTAACAAAGTTGCTAATTCAAGTCTCATATCATTAGTAGTATTGCCGATTATGCTGTGTTCAATTTACAGGATTGTCAGCCTTCTTCAGAATGGAGCAATCATGAATAAAGTATTTCAACCTCATGAAGCTCATGTTCCATATATGTTGCAGGTAATGTGACATCATGCATCTTGAGTATACTTTACATGCCTAGTGTTACTTTATATGTTAGCTGTGTCATGAAAAGTTACTGAAAATAATTTTCCATTTAGTTTTTTATGGACTACAACCTTTATGGAATGAACCTGATTCATGCCTCTGGTGTCAAATTCAGGGCCCCTGTCAGGCTCTTAGCAGGTATGTATGTTAAACACAAAACAAGACTTTTTCAGCTTGCTCTCAATTTTGATAAGCCCCAATGGCTAGAAATAAATTGGTTAGGCAGAAAGATTGACGTTTATTTTATTTTATTTTTTTAAGGGGAAGCTGAAACAATTCCTTCTCCATCTAGCAAGAAAGCAACATCACCTCTACCAACTCAGACATATTCCTCACCTCTAACTCAAGTATGGGATGAAGAAACTGTATCCAAGTGAGGCATACTTTAATAATCATCACTATCATTTCTGTTTCCAGTTGTACATCTATGGGGTTGTGATTAAAAGTTGGAAGGCGGCTGAAGTCTACTGGAAGTTGGACCATTTTGTGCCTGCTTTATTGTAAACTGTGATCAAAGACACAAAATAAGTATTTTTTAACTGATTCCAACACCAATGTCTAGCTCACAAAAGCTACATGTACTCAAATATGCCCCAGAATGCTGGAAATCATGTTCTAGAGAGTTTCAATTTTCAAACTTATCCGGTGAACTATCCCCTTAAGACCCCTAGAGGGGCAAGTTACTTTGTTACGTGACATGCTTGCTATGAAAGCATAGTTCAGTTTAGTCACCAACTCAGTTCTAATTACACACCTAGTGCAATTTCTTATGACAACCCTGCTTCCATCTCTTGCAACCACCATTGTAATCTAGCCCCTACTTTTCCAATGAAAAACTGCGTCAATAGCTACTTGCTCAATGATGGCAAAAATGAAACTATGGGAGGCATTACCTTTGTCATCACTGTAGTACTCAACAACTTCAAAACCTGTTTCCAAAGAGTTGAAAACAAGAAAATTGTGTCATATTAGCTCATCTCAATTTCTCTAAACACAATATAATTTTATTTACTTACTAAGTACTGGTATGTTTGTTCTAGGGACTTGGTTTTGGGGTCCAATATTGAAAGACTGAGCTTCTGTGAATTGGAGGCTGACATGCTGGCTTCTGACATCCTTAACAAGCTGGAGATAGGAGGTATTATCAACTCATGGAGATTAACACAGTATCCCCCACCACCCTAACAGACAAATATTACTTTTGTTCTCACAGTCAACATTGGCTCTAATCCTGGATTAGCAGCCATTTGGGAAGATGAACAGCAACGAAGAAGAGAGGCAAATGAGTCTTCTCACATCACTGCCCCACCATCAGATGGTGAGAATGTATGATTTGTATTTATGTTAATATACTTGTCAGTTAATGCATAACCAAAAAAAGCAAATTTAAAGCAGTAGCTCAGAACATTTGTTAGTGTCTGCTTAACCTTTGCATACCTTTAATTCTTTTCAGAGAGACACCTTTTCCAGGAAAATGAGACAGAAAAGAATTTCAAGGAAAGAATCAAAGAAATTATAAATGAACGAGATGTGCTGATGTAAGCATAGCTTACTAGCTACATTTCAATAATGTAATAATTTCATTTTGGGAGATGCATTGATATATTGGAAAGCCCACAGGACTCTTGATCAAGTCAGATTTGGATGTAAACTTTTACTTCATGTTGTTGTTTTTTTTTAGATTCTTACTGTGGTCTTATACCATATCCTATACCAGAAGATAATCTTTTGACACCTAACAAAGACTAGCATTTAATTTCTCTTTACAACATCATTCCTGAATCACACACTAAGGTCACGAGAATAAAAGAAATGATCACTAACAGAAGGAACTCTTGATTGCAAAACAATTTCTTCATGTCACTACCTTTGGAAATGTATAGAGAACAGTATGGAGAATATGCATACTGATGTTAGGGTGTAGATGGTCAACTGCACAAGAGTGATTCCATCCTATAGCATCAAGCTTTATGACAATTTTGTCAGCACTTACCACAATGTTGCAGACAGTTTTTAAGAGTGTATTATAGGAGTTTGTTGAAAACAGTGTGCATTTATAAGCTGCCATTCAACTGTCAGCCTTAATTTTGACAATTTTAAGTTTGACAGTTTGATTTAATGTTGTTGATTCAATCAGACAAAGTCAAATGGGGAAACTAGGACGAGAAGCATTATCTCCAAAAGAACTTGCCTCATTTCAAGACTCCATCTCATCAATTGCTGCATCTCAGAAGAATGCAGCTCTCAACAATGATTCTTTAGATGCAGATGCTGTGCTACAGTTGCTGTCTCAACAGGTTGATGAATCAGTAACAGCTGCAGAATCATCTCAAGGTAACTACTAGGATGCATGTGATAACCAGTACATGATGTACCAGTACCTTGCCAGCTGTTAAAGTTACTTTTGATGGACTTAGGGTGTTACTAATGAGATCTTGTTGTAATTTTGGTCAATTTGTAGTAATCATTGATGAAGACGAACCTGTTGTAAATCAGAGTATTGTTCATGAAGTGGTAGAAGCATCACAGAGGTCTTTTTCACAGGAACTTTGTAAGTGTAATTTTTCTTAAGAAATATTTTGTAACAATATGATACCATGTCGATAAAAGTTGGTAGAGACCCCTCAAGCTGGGGACATTTGGTACTGTAGGACCGTTGGGACGTCCGTCAGCACAAGATATTACTCTTATACTAACATTATAAGTAGTCCATCATTTGTTAATTCATAATAATGTAACTACTGGCGACTTCATCTTAGGCTTACTGTTATTAACCCTTTAACTCCCAGATCAAATTTGTAATTCTCTTTAATGTCAAGCATACAATCTTTATAATGTTAGTTCTGAGAATTTAAAATTGGATCAACTAATTATCCCCAAATTGATATATTTCTTTATTCTCACCACTTATATGCTTGATATTGTATTGATATTGTTAGGAGATATTCTGTCTTCATCACTCATGGGAGTTAAAGGGTTAATGCCATTGCAAAAAAGGTCTGAAAATATTCAGATGAGTTCTGAACCCCTGCCCTTCCTCTCCTATTCGGACACCTTTACCAACTGAGCTTAGAAGTCTAGAAGAGACTTAACTAAACTGGCAAAGAATGTTGTTTATACTGTTTGTCAATTAAAACTCTTGTAGCTTCTAGTTTGGATCAAGAGATGGTCAACATCTTGGCAAGTTTAGCTGAGGAACCCAGTCAGCCGTGTGCCAGCCAGAAAGCTCCACTAAGTCAAAGTGTCATTTTGGATCAAGGTACGATTAAAACTGCACCAATTTAAATAAAAACGAGTTTTGGCGCGTTTCCACTGAATGTAGAGCCAAAGCAGATATGTGATAACATCTCCCAATCGGTGTAATTGTTAAATAATTCAAGGAACAATTGACAGAATGAAGAATTGGCCAATTACTTGCCTGAAGCGCGGAAAAAATGAGTGACCAAGTCACTGATTGGTTTCAGTTTTGCGTCTGATTGGTTTAGAGGATGGTGTGAATTTATTAGACCAGTCATGGAGAGAAGGAAAGAGAAAGTAGAAAAAACTCACACCCCTTTCAATGCGCCACTGAAATTGCACTTTCGGCTGCGTTAGATTAGCGTCTAAGTTTTGCCCAGTGTGAATATCTGTACTCAAACATAACAATCTGAAATTTTTCGGGCAGGAGATGTGCCGTGTGACGAGGAAGCTAATGAGGATGAGGAACTTAGTGAGTCGGAGGAGTCTATTATGATGTCACAGAAGGTCTGGGACGATATTGAGCCGGCACTCTCGGCGGAGACTGATGATGACCAAGGCGATGTACAAGACGGTGACAATCAGTATGACAGGTGGAACTCTCTGATATTGTCTCTAAGCTCCAAATAACACTACTTCAGTTATCATGCAATTCCTAAGCCAAAAAAGATCTCGATTGTTTTAATTCTGCTACTCCGAGACCCTATAGGGGTCTTGCTCAGTGTTTGGCTCTACAGCGAACAACCGCCGATCAGATAAATGAAGAATACATCTTTTATCTTCCCTCCCAGGCCCTCTCAGTATGACATGGAAGGAATGATGGACACATGGATTGGATCGTTCTTGGGTGGAGACATTCCCCAGTTAGACGGGGCCGCAGATGAAGAGTCTGACAGAAAAGAAGACTTCAAAATACGGCGGGAAAAGAGTACAAAAGTCAAAACTAAGAAGAGTTTTAATTCGGATGATAAGATATCAAGGGATGTAATTCAAAACTCAACATTAAATCTCATATCTTCTTGGAGAAATGAAAAACACGACAAAAACGAGGAGAGCGAAGAGTCTTGTGGCGTAAATGTTTGGCCAAACGAAAGACTGGCAGTTCGTATGTATTCGAGAAAGAGTATGTCTGTTCCAAAAAATCGAAAGACTCCATCGCTGAACGTGGAAATGGTTGCAATGAATTGTGACGAAGACAAACAGCAGGAGAAAAGCAGAGATGAGTTTAAGTTGTTTCTCAGTGATTCCAGTGATTCTGAAAGTGAAACGATCAAGGAGAGGAATGTAGGATCCAAACAAAATGAAATGATTGTGTATCCTCAGATGAGACAAATCCAGGAAGAGCATAAATCAAGCAGATCAGAAACTTCTACTTCTCGTATAGGAACGTCGCGCGAGAGTTGTACTTCAGTTATAACCAAATATTTTCACAGCCCTGTTAAAAACCCTGAATGCTCGAAAAGGCAAGACGGGTTACACTCGCGCTCTGAGGGAAAGTCTTCAGCACCATTTGAACTCTCTGGGGGAGAAGTGTTACCTCAGTGTTCCAAACAACAAGAATTAAACTTGCGTAAGAGTTCTCTTCGTAAAAGAAAGTTGACAGAGGTTGACCAGAAGGAACATAAACTTGGTAAAGGGGTAGTTACACGGAGAGCAAGCAAGAAATTGGATGTGCTGGCATCGCTGGGTGTTGTTAGTGACGCCATGAAGGATTTGACAGTGTCGCTGCAAGATATCTCTCATACGAGAACACTGAGCTCGAAGCTTAGTGAGGCCAAACAACGTTTGAGGAAAATGAATGAGGAGTATACAGCTGTAAAGGGGAGGTTAAACAGCCCCATTAGAGAACAGAAACCACTTGTAAATCGATCGCCTCAGCTGAGAAAGAGTGGAAAGTCCCCTTTGTCGAGGGCGAAAAGGTCTCCGAGGATAAAAGAAGAAAGATCGAAGAGGTATGGAGTGATACCTGTTATGATTGAAAAGTCGCCCAAAAAGAGTCAAGTTGTGATTGACAATCTGGTCCCTGATACCAATCGTCCGCTTACGGAGACTTCATCTCCAAATCCTTATTCTGCACGGAATTTAGGCCCACATGCCTGCGATTATACCGATCCTAATATTAATTGCGGGACGGGACAAGCCTCGTCCCGAAACAGAGCGCAAGTTATGGAACTTCTGTCCTCTCAGTCAACTACTTCTACAGTAGATAGCATGGAAACATCCTGTATACCCTCTGTCTCGTCCCGTGCACTGAACCTTAAATCTGATAGTAAGCTTAGAGGAAAGTCTCGCAATGAAACGAGACAAGTTTTGTCCCTGCGAAAGAGAGGGCTGAAGCGAAAGCGTATGATAGACACAGGGAAAAAAGAAATGAAGCCAAAACCATCGAAAGACACGTCTGGTATAAGAAAGAAAAGAAAGCTCTCTTTTACACTCAGCAAAACAGATCAAATTTGTCTTGATGATAGGAACGGATCTGACATGGAAACCTCGGTGACATCCGCAGAAAATTGTTCCGTCAAAGACTGCAAATCCGTTAGCGAGACAGACGACTTTATCTGTGAGATTCAAAGTGACAATGAAAATAACAGTAGTTTTTTTCGCTCTGAAGCTAAAACTAAATTTGCTCCAAACACTGGTTTGTTGGAAGGCATTACCTGTATACCAGCCAGTCCCATTGACTCTGACTCGAACGGTGATTCTGTGAGTCACGCTGAATCGTCAACGGCCTCTACTGAGTTGAAACCTCTTACGTTGCCGGCTCCATCTTGCAGTAAATTCAATGATTCTGCAGATTCGTCTGTGTCTAGTGAAAATCGGGGCGGAGCGTTTGATAACGCGTGTGACAACTTAAATGGCTCACTACTTTTATCTCAGGAACTGTTTCCAAAAGAAAGAGATACGGAGTTATTAGCTAATGCACTTTTTAACATGTCTCTTCCGTCGCCTTTGCCATTAATTCACGAATGTTATTCCCCTCCATGTCCGTCTTCGCCATCTGACGCCAATCGACTTTCACTGAATCAACTTAAAAGTGAAGGGAACCTGGTGAAACAACAGCAATTTTTCACTGTAAATAGCGACGTTGTTAACGAAGACGAAGACAGCGTTTTAGGAGACGGCGGAATATCTGCATCCTCTCTGAGCAAAGTTAATCGCACTGAATATCGTAGCACGGCGGATGGTCCGTCGCGCGCAAAGTTGTCGCTCCTAGAATCTGGTCCTCAACTCGGAGAGACACAAACTACATTTGAAAGTACTTTCGTGTTGCATAACGACCCGCAAGCGTGTAGACATGTTGAAAATAGCTACAATTGCTCAAATGAAGTTGATCTGGAAATCGTTGGGGAATCGTACAAAATCCGTGTGAAGAACAGCGAGTCGAATGCCATTTCCTCAGTAGAAGGAAATGTAACAAGGAAAGAAAAGGATTGCATATCAAATTTAGGGTCGACAGTTCCCGAAGAAAACTCAACTGAAAGTACTACTAACCGTGTTACATGGTCAAATACATCAGTTGCTGAGTCAAGAGGACTAGAAGCAAAAAGAACGCTTCTGCTGCGAGCACGCGCGCCTGACTTTGTTGAAGCAGGAGAAAAAGACTTTGACCCAGGAGAGTTTGTGTTGAGGATGAATGTGGCAGAGAACAGTTCGAATGAATTCCAGCCAGTAGAACAGTGTAATCCGCAAAACGAAGAAATGGAAATTTGCGTGGAGGTCGATGGTAGAGATAGACCATTAAGCACAGGAAACCCACTTAATTGTCACTTTGCCGCTGAACTGCATGCAAAACCGGGCGGAATATACAAAAGCAGCAAGGACAGTGCAAATGCTCCACGGAGTGTCTCTGATAGTTTGTCACTTGAATCATCTAAGAGCGACAGCTTCAAGTGTAAAAATATTATTTCCATTGAACCTTTAAAGCGGCCACCTTCATCTGAAGAACTTTTAAACTCGCTCAAGGATTATGGGCTTCCTCAGTGCAGATATCAACGGCCTTTTTGCAGTGACCCAGATGACGTCCCGTCGTGCCCTAGGTTAGTCACGCGGGTTTCCTTATATTTTCAACGCTTCCAGCGGCCAGCACAAGAGATTTACTGAATGAGTTCTGCTCGCCGGATCACGCCTGGCGTGAATTCCTTCCAAAATTCCTATAGCAGTTGAATTAACAGTCACCAGAAATCTTGTGAAATACTTGTTAGAACTTTAACAAATAAGAAAGTATCGATTCATTACGTTTTCTTTTTTTTTCTTTTTTTCAGGGAAATAGGCGGACGAATTTTGAGAATCGAATCAAGAAAGGTTAGCTCAAAGACGTTTATCATCGTCATCATCATCAAATATTACTAGTATTGTTGTTATTATTATCTGCATTTTCATCATTATTATTAGAATCAGTATTTTAAAAAAATTAGTTGAAAGCATCTAGCCAGCGGGGATGGTAAGATTTCTCCTGGTACACGAGGCCTTGACTATCGGAAATATCAACTTTTCACTGCTTTTGTGACCGTTTTGTGATGCATAACCGCTGTAAAGTGTAAACTTTTTTTCAATTCAGAAAAATTTTCTTTGTCTTATTTAATCTTTTAAGTAAAAAATATCTTTCTAATGGGTAGTTCTCTCCACTTCGCCAAAATTTGTGAGAGCTTTCCCTTAGGTTAGTGAGTAATACTACAAAAACATCTCCTAACCAGACCTATTTCAAATTTTTTCTTGAAGGTTTCAAGCCTTCCAGAGTTTGAATCGGCAGGTTCTTTGCAAGGGTTGAAACACTGGAGATTTGTGTTATCATCAGCTCGCGAATTTAGCCTTCGTGATCTTGGCCAAACCACCGAGGCTGAAGCAGACTTTGAAAAAAATGTCCAGCTGAAGATTGCGTTAATGGGAGACGGAGATGTAGTGGTAACACCATGTCGAGGCCCGCCAACACCTCAGGCTGTTAAGGCCTGGGCACGAGACAAAATGGCCCAACGTAAACGGGGAACGTCTTTGAAAAAAGCGGAACAAAAACAGGAGACATCGCAAGATGGAAATTTGGAGAAAGTTGTGACTAAACAGTTATCAAATCAAACTAAAACAGTAGCAGACGATTCAAAAACTTTAAAATTCGAACTTAATCAAGTCATACCGAAATCATCTCCGCCAAAAATTCCTCTAGATAAAATCTCCACCGGGTCAGGCGGGCTCGTTTTAAAAGATCATGTTAGTGTTCCTGTACAAAAGCAAAAGGTGCTTGATGGTATTGATAGAAATAAAAAGACAGATGTCATAGATCTGTCCGATTCTTCAAGTCCTGCCGAAGTAACTAGTCCCGGCAGCTTGTTCTCGCCAAACGAGGAGAAAATGTGTACACTAGCGTCAAGTTTTACACAAAATGGAAAACACAATCTATGCGAAATTTCAGGAACGCAACCAATAACTATTAATAGGAGCCTGGGGTTTGCTGTTTACGATGAAAAACTTCATCAAGCTGACAATGTTACTACAGAAACAAACTCGCCGCCTAATGTAGTCACGCAATGCAAGGCAGGCACGCCGCCATCAAGAATTTCTCCAGAAGGTACTCCACAGTTCAGTCCTCTTACCATAAAGCAACTATTATCGCCAACATTCCAAACTCAAGATTTCACCTTTTCCGCGCCTCATCACAGCACCCCGGTGGCTACAAAACTTGTCTACGGCCTCCAGTCACCCCGCTGTACTCCAATCTCAGCCGCTACTAATGTGAAGAGTCTGGAAACTAGTCCCCAGAATCCTGTGAAGAGTAGTACCGGTCACCAGGCCTCCTCAGACCAGACACCTTCTCTACGGCAGCAACTGCTGGCTAGCCAATTCAAGGTATCTCTTTTTCTTAACTTTTCTTTGTGATCAATTCTTCTGGAAAATTATTTTATTCTTCGTTGCATTTCATTTTCTTGTAGCTCGTTACACCTGGCTCCAAACCAAGGTGCCATTTTCCATGGAGCTCACAAATCGACGGTCCTTCTCCCAACAATACCTACGGGTTCAAGGTTTCTCAGATCAACCTCAAGGACACCAAGGCCCTCCACGAGGTAAAAGCCACCATAAAGTTAGGCTGTGGTTTTGGTTTGATACTATCTTTGTCTGGAGTTCCAAAGGAGTGAAATCTTATCGAGGATATCTAAGAGCTTTCTCACTGTTAGAGCAGGTTAAATTTTACTTGCATCTCCTTTGAAATCTGCGTTAACCCTTTAGTGACTGATTTCTGATTTCTCCGTACAGTATCACTATTGAATCAAATATATATGTCATGAGAATAAAGGAAATGATCACCTATTTCAAGACGCTCCTGATTGTCAAATTCTCCTCGTCAGTGCTATTGGAAACGTGAAGAGAAAAGTGTGGAGAATTTAGATGTTAATGTTTAGGTGTAAAGGATTAACCTTCTCCATCCTAAAACATCCTTCTTGGTTTTGTTTTATCTAAGATACGCATAGTCTGAATATTTTATCACTCACAATAATGTAAAAGCTTAGAAAGGTTATTGTTGCGATTCACTTATGTACGTGTGTAGAATTTTGTCATTCTGCACCTTTTTGATAGAGAACGTTTAGATATTTACGGGCTTTCTCGTATTGCTTTAAATTTTATTATGTGTGATGACATTACAAGGACACTGAAAGAATAATTGTTTGTTTTGTAGGTACAGCATTTGACACTGTTTAGTTTAGAGCTTCATGTAAGAACAAGGCGTGACATGAGACCAGATCCTGAATTTGACCCTATTTGCGCGATTTTCTACTACATCCAAACTGACACTCCTCTTCCTTCTGGAAAAAACAGAGTTACTGGAATCATCTGCGTGGACCCAGAATCTGCCAAGATTTGCAGCTGCACAACAGGTGAGTGTAATATTCCGTAAAAGGTGATTACCCTACCTATATACAACGAATGCAACAAAGTTGTAACGTGGGTGCCATTTGCAACAAAGATCACTGAAGCTTGAAAACATCCTAAAATTACGAATATTCCAAATCTATAGCTTTAAAAGTTTTAGATACTGGCAATTTACTTAAGTCACAATAACATTAACTAGCATCACCTGAGAATTGGGAAAGTGTTTTCCCTCCTAGAAAACAAAGAAGCAAGTATTCCGATCACCAACAACACAACACCAGTTTCGCCGTCAAACCAGACGATAGTATCGACCTCATCAAGAGCTACACAGAACACCAAGGCGCCTCATCTGAGATCTTTATTATCTCGGTCAGGAATCACAGATCATGATATCCAATATGTAGCCGAGGAGAAGGATCTCTTCCCTGCTTTGATCAGAATCATCCGCAGATGGGACCCTGACATTTTGATAGGTTTCGAGATACAAATGTTCTCTTGGGGATTTCTTTTGGAGAGGGCGCTGGTCTTCGAGATCGACTTTTGTAGTTGGTTATCACGCGTGAAAGGTTCGTCTTCTGACTGTAATATGGACGCTGAGAAAGACGTCTGGGGTGCTGCGCACACCTCTGAGTTTAAGATCGCTGGACGCATCATTTTAAACGTCTGGAGGCTCATGAGACACGAGGTAATGCGGGGTAGTAATAAAAACAAATAAAGCCAACTTAACACTGCTGAAACAATTTTAGCTGCATATATATATTTTCACTCTTTCCGCTCATTCTCCGTGTCGGCACCTCAGGAAATGTATAGAGAACATTATGAAGAACAAGAGTACTAATTTTAGGGTTTAAATGGTTAACTAAACCATTTATTTCTTAGGCAGCCCTGAATAGCTACTCATTTGAGAACATAGCATTTCACGTTCTTCACGAACGAATACCGCTGTACTCGTTTCGCACGCTGTCGGACTGGTGGGATCAGCGAACGTCATTAAACCGCTGGAGGACCGTCGATCATTACGTTACGCGTTGCCGTTGTAACGTTAGGATTCTGGAATCCTTGGATTTCATTGGTCGAACCAGTGAATTGGCAAGGCTTTTTGGGATCTTGTTCTTCTCCGTCATATCTCGTGGATCGCAGGTATTTTGCAACAAATGAGGTTCTATGCATGTGAATACCTGTCAAAACAAGTAAGTAAGTTCATAAGCGTGGCAAGACGTGTTGGCCTGATGGTCAGTGCGCTGAACTCTGGTTCGAAATGCTGGGAGGTAACCTAGCAATGGAATGGTGTCCCATCCAGGGGGGAGAAGTAATACGCTTAGTAGCTTCATGCTATGGAAACCGGGATAAGCTCCGGCAGGATGGGTCACTCGGCCCTAGTGCAGTACAGACTTAACCTACACAAACAAACAAACAAACAAACAGCCACCGGAAAAAAAAGAAAAAAAAGGGGCTAAATCTCGAGGTTAGAATATACAAAGTTGCTATGCACTAGTTTAAGCCCAGAGCTTTAAACGTGAATTAGATTTCTTCTTCGATAGTAGAACAAATGCAGTAACTCATACTAGTAATTATCGAAAAAGATCTAAAAGTATGCCACGCACAAGAAACCTCATTAAAAATTGGATTCGAAAAATGATGACTCCGCGACGTGATGGCTTAAATGTCCGAAACAATCCATTAATTTTTCTTTTTCTCTCACTTCAGTATCGTGTGGAGTCTATGATGCTAAGGATAGCAAAACCAATGAACTATATTGCAGTTTCTCCCAGCATCGAACAACGTGGACTGTAAGTTGTGCTAGTATGTTTAGAGCCGGTTTTATTACAAAGCTCCTTCAAGTTCCCAAAGTAATCCTTGATTGCTCTGTTTGTCTGTCATTGGTTCAGAAAACTCGCGCCACTTTCTCTACCAATCAGATTGAAAACTAAAGACAACCGCGACTTGGTCACCCGCGTTTTCCCGCGCTTTCGGCAGTTGGCTTGTTTTTAGTTCTCATGGGTTCTTATGTGTATTTCCTTTCTTGTTTCGTTTTACAACACTCAATCGAAAAGCGCTCTGTGAATAAGGTTTTAACTGTTAGTTATCCGGTAAGTTTGATGCAATCTCTTTTTTTTTAGTATGCGAGCCCCAGAAACAATTCCTTTGGTAATGGAACCGGAATCCCGATTCTACAGTGATCCAGTCCTGGTCCTCGATTTCCAGTCTCTGTATCCCTCAATGGTCATTGCATATAACTATTGTTTCTCCACCTGTCTTGGGCGAGTCAGTTGTCTGTCGGAGTAAGTAAAAAGTTAGGGAAAACAAGTATACAAAGTGTTTCAAGAAATAAAAAAACCACCGAAAATCGGTATCTCCTTCGACAACCCGTTGAAAATTACTATGTTGACAAAAGTAATTAAGTACAGTCTGATTATGCTTTGCATAACCATGAGATCTTCGCTGTAGTTTTTTTCAGTGTAATCTTTGTTTTCTACTGAATAAAGGGGGTAATGATTGAAAAATGACGCGCCTCTGATGGACTGAAAACGGGTGAAATGTTCATGTAACACGAGTGCAAATTACAAATAGCGCGCGTGCGGTCAAAATTTCGTCTGTCTTGACTTTCTGTGATGCTTTTTCATGTAAATAATTAATAAGTAATAACATCATTTCTCGTGCAATTTGGTATAAATAAACCCTTGTAAATTTTTCAAAATTACAAATTGCACTCGCCCTACGGCTTAGTGCAATTTTGTTGTCTTTGAAAAATTTACTCGTGCTTCTGTACACCAAATTGCTCTCGAAATCATATTCAACCTCTACTAAATTTCTTAAGTAACTGTAATGCTGGGTCAGTGAGGGTGTTACAAAATAATTTGGTTCTATCAACTGAGTTAATAATGTAAATTGCTCACCGTAAAGACAGTCTAGACTTTCTAAGTCTTTACGATGGCCAATTTACTTTGTTTTTCGAGGTTCCTTTGCCTTAGGGTAGACTCTGTTGTCGTCGACCACATTTCTAACCAGTGCAGTAAAATAAAAAATACATTACTAGCATTGTGAAATTTGTACTAGAAGGTGCTTCGTTTTTGTTTTTATTCGATAGGTACGGTGAATTCAAGTTTGGTGCCACCTCTTTATGTGTTCCTCCAAGTCTTCTGAGAGTAAATATACCTTGTCTTTTGTGTTGAACTTCGTTGTCCACGATTTGTTCCCGTTTGTTCTTCTGCCCCTTTTTAGCACTGGAAAATTTACTGACGTTCTTTTAAAACTTGTCTTCAATTGTTTTCCTTTTTTTAAGAAACTTGAGGGTGACATACATGTCTCTCCAAGTGGTGTCGCTTTTGTCAAATCTAACATAAGACGGGGCGTTCTTCCCAGGTAAATAGCTCGCTTGAAGTCATTTGCGAACATTTCCTTAGATACTCGAAGGCAGGTAATAAGAAGTCTCAACCTACGACCTCTCTCTTCCTTTAGTATGTTGGAAGAGATCCTTGAGACACGAATCATGGTGAAGGCGTCAATGAAGAAATGGAAATCAGACAAGGTGAGGGGTTTTCTTTGAGTGCATTTGGCGTTGGAGAAGTTAATGTGTTACGCGGTTGTCTCGTTGTCTCAAAATGCCTTGAACAGACCACAGGCAAATCAGTGTCGATTAAAAAGAGAATTTATTTTTATAGCTTGAATTTCACGAATAACTGGATGTGTTTATCGTCTCTTACGGCGCCACGCCTCAACTTTAGTGTAATGTATGAGAGTAGCGTCGAGCGAGTGAAATCAAGTGATCTTGATGTTCTGTTGATTCTTTGAGAGAATTTAATGAATTTAATAAATGTTCTTCTTTCGTTCTCAGGCTCTCGGGCGAATGTTAGATGCTCGTCAACTGGGCTTGAAGCTGATAGCAAATGTGACGTTTGGGTACACATCTGCTCATTTCTCCGGCAGGATGCCGTGTGTAGAGGTGAGACGAAGGGAGGAAAAAAAAACAAAAAAAGAAATTATGATTACTTTAACAGAAAGAACTAACGCTGACTAAACAACTATGCGTTGCAAAATTTAAGATTTTCTCGAGTCATTGGATGGCATGTTACGCTACTGAGAATCCTTTGCAACACTATCATTTTGAAACTAGTTGGGCTTGAAACTAAAAGTGTGACGGATGAATTACTGCTTTGAAGGGTCTCTCGTGAGTGAGTCCTTGGGTAGAAATGAAGATGTGTTTGTTATGCAGGGTTTTCATTAAAGCCGGCTATTGGCGGTCTAACACCGCTTAAAAGACCTCTTTAGTTTCGCTTTACGGTCCCTTACCGGGCACAACCGCATTTTTTACGTAGGGGTTTCGTTAAAGGCGATTTTATTAAAGCCGGCTACTGGCGGTCTATAACATCTCATAAGACCTCCTACCACTGTTTATTCCACGTAAAAGCAGGCTCTCGTGTTTGGGTTTCGCCTTTCCGAGTAAAACCGCCTAGTACATCATCGACAGCCGCGTATGGAAAATTTATTGAAATCACTTGTTATGATCGCCGAAATGATCATGCTCTGTAAAATGTTTACACTTTCAAGAAAGAGAGTACATAGGGGAAAAGGAAAGGGGAAATGACGTAGAGAAAATTGAGTAACGATTGAGGGACTGAGTGATCGAGAGAAGAAAAAAGGGAAAGAGGACAAGCGCACCATGACAAAGATCAAAAGAATAGGAACGAAGCCGACTAAACTGAACGTGAGAGCGAGCGAGAATGTAAGGGGAGGAGCGAGTGAGCGTGGGAGCGAGCGTGGGTGGGAAATACTCTCGAAAGACTAAAAAGTTTCCATCGGTAGATCTATTTCAAGTCAGTGGTTTTGGTGACCTCATCGAGGTAAAAAGTCATCCGCAAATTTCCACATAATCCTTGATTTGAACTCTACCTTTATTAAAACTGCTTTCTTCTCCTTTTAGATTGGTGACAGCATTGTCCGTAAAGCGCGCGAGACGCTCGAGCGCGCAATTGACCTCGTGAACAACACTCCTCGCTGGAGCGCGCGTGTCGTGTATGGAGATACTGACAGGTGATAAAGCTGACTGGAACTGAGATAAACACATCTCATTTTATTTTTTCCCTGAAGCTAAGTTTCTCTTTTAGAACTGTGGCAACATCCGCCGGAATTTTTTCATCAACACTTTCTTGAAAATATTTTTGTCCCTCCTCGTTTCTTAACATCCTCTAGAATTTTGAGATAAAAACTTGAAATGTTTCCAAGTTTGATTCAATCTTTTAATCCAATTTTATATTGTACACACGCTAGTAGTTCAATTCATGTGATGTCCTGACATTTGCTCGGGCTGCTCTGCATCAAAGCCAACGCAGCACTGTAGGATTTCCCTTGAATTAGCGCACGTTTTTCAAAATTACGAAATCGAATTAAAAAAACGTATCATTGTGCAGTGGCCACCTATGCAGATTTTTTGCTTCCTAGTGAGCGTGGGAAGTAAACAAAACAAAGACAATTTTCTACTAAAACGATCGGGAAAAAAATTCAATTTCAAAACAGAGAGGGCGAAGGTGGGTCTGAAAAAAAAATCGCTGATTTGGATCAAACTGTTTGATTTTTTAGTAGAAGCTATTAGCACGAATTGTTTCGGGCTGAAGACGGTGAACTTCGATAGCGTGATCACCGCACTTATCTTCGGATCGATGCGCGATGGCTGGATATGAATTGAGTGATTTAATCGTGGATTTACCGCATTAATCGCATTTCTGTAAAAGTATTGATCGAGTGCGTAAGTTATGGATTATTCTAAGAAAGATAATGTATTTGCTTTCTTAAGATTCCGCACGCAAGATACTCTTCTTGAAATATTAAAGTCCTTTTCCTCTGTCACGTTTTGTAAATATTACTTCCAGCTTTCATAGGAAATGGTTTTCAAGAGAAGAACTTCCTGAATGGTTATTCGATGCGGGAGAATTTTAGAATCATCATCGAGACTCTTGAAATTTTTTCTTGATATTCTTCTAATGAACTCTTATTTTGAAAAAATGTTTTTTGGGAATTCACGCGTATCCATTGCGTCAGTTCAAGAAATAAGCTGGCTGACCGATGTCTCCTTGCGTCGTTATTGACTTTTTGAACGGAACGAGAGAGTAACAGATAAGGTTTAATGAGAAGAACGTTGTCTTTGTATGTCCATTATGTCTTTGCTGGGAAGAGAAAAAAAGAAAAAAACGTGGGGAAACGTGAAACTAAAAATCACTTCATTTTGCGTAGTGTTCCGAACGTGGAGCAATTTTTCAAAAATTTCCCTTTTGAATTTGCGCTGTTTTTGCCTTTGGTGTTGATGAAGTTTTGAATGTCGATAAAAAGCTGTATGGATTTTTAGACTGTTGTCCATTGCGTCCGTACAAGAAATGTGCCGGTTGCTCGATGTTTACCTACGTCATTATTGACTTTTTAAACGGAACGAGAAAGAAACAGATAGAGTTTAATGAGAAGAACGATGGCTTTCCACATCCGTAATGTTTTTGCCGGGGAAAAAAATAAACGTGGGGAAACGCGAAACGTAAAATCGCTTTAATTTGCATAGTGTTGCGAACGTGAAGCAATTTTTAAAACTTTCCCTTTTGAATTTCCGCTGTTTTTGCCTTCTGTGTTGATGATGTTTTTAATGTCGATATAAAGCTGTCTGGAGTCATAGACTGTGGTGAAACAAAAAGAGATTCCAAAGTATCTGAGTTACGAAATGTCACTAGTGAAGGCGACGCCTAAGAAAAAAAGGCGACTTGAAATGAACTTTTCTTTTCCTTCACAATTTTGAGAGTTACTTAGAGTTTTTACCTTTTCTAAAGGCGCCAGATCTCTCCTTTAACACAACATGTGAATGCGGTGTTGAGTTCAGTGTCGAAACTTGAATGATTTGATGTCACGACTCCCGTGTTTAGACTTCGCCAAATTTGATTTAAGGTTTTGTATAGTACGGCTAGGAAATGTAAAGGTTCAAACGTGCGGGCAGAGCTATTGCTTTACCATTATATCGTCGCGATTTTCCATTAGTTCCTTGCGTAGTTTAGTATGCTCCCTCTCAAAACCGCTCCTCGCGTGTCAGGTCGTATTGTGGTGGTGGACACGCGCATGTTGTTGGTTTTAAGTCGACTAAGTCGACGGTTTTAAGCGCTCTTGTTTTATAAGTGCATGGCAAAATGTTAATAATTAGAGCCGTTATTTTACACGAGTTATCCCAATACGCTCAGACGTCACATCGAGAAGGGACAATTCTAACGTACGCCTTAGAAGAACAAGCCTCTCTCTTTTGGCTGCTCTTCGTCTACCTTTATTGGTATCAAAATATTGAATATGATCACTTTTTCGGGCATTGTGGCGCATTTTTTGGGCTAAAATAGAGATATTAGCGGGTTAAAATGTATTTTATTTCACTTGCACGTTTACGAGATCGTTCAGACTGGTTCAGTTTTTATTTTTTCAATGCCTTTTAAAGTGATGATGATAATAAGACAGTTTGTGTTCTTGGGCATTTATGAATTTTAGGCCCTTCTCAGAGTTATTTTAAATCTCGCCTGGCAGCAAGGGCTAACGTGATTCGGACTCGAGTCCAAAACATACTTGTGCTCGCAAACATATACTCTATTGTTGTATGACCATCTTTGAAATCAATGACTTAAGAAATTATTTTAACAGCGAAGTGGATTTGTGAGTGTGTATACAAGCGTACGTATGTATTTTGCCTGCAAAGTTTTGGCGGTAAGCTGGGTTTTACCGCCAAAAATATTAACAATATCGTGAAAAAAAAATGAACACTGCAATATTTCTGATGTTCTCTTTCAGCTTGTTTGTATTGCTCAAAGGCGCAACCAAAGAACAAGCTTTCAATATTGGTAAAGACATTGTGGATACCGTCACAGCCATGAACCCTAAACCAGTTAAACTCAAGTTTGAAAAGGTGTGACGTTCTCGATATTGGCAGGGTTAAAATACTTGTATAGTAAATTTAGGCTGCAACTTCTTTGATTGACAAGTGCTGATCCTTTAAATGGTTTTGAATTTGGAGATGCGGTGGCTCCATGATTTGTGCGCTGGACCCTGGATTAAGAGGTCTGGGTTCGAACGCGGGTCGGGGAATTTTTTTTTTTTCCCGCGAAAGAGTTCACTCTCAAAATAACTGTGAGCTCTCAGGGGAACCTTCAGTTTATCTGAAGAGAGTGATTGGTAACTTTTTTGTGTGTGTGAGTTCCCTTAGAATGTTCCTCGGCATGAGCTAAAACTCCTTGATTCATTCATTACAGTTAACCTTTACACCCCGATATCAGAATGCATATTCTCTTAACTGTTCTTTGTGCATATGCCAAGGTGCTGACAAGGAGAATTTGTTTCACAATCAAGAGCTTCTTAAGTTAATGATCATTTCCTTTGTTCTCTCGACCTTAGTGAGTAATTCAGGGGTGATATCGAAGGGAGAAGACATGTGTTGATCACTCTAAGGAGTAAAGGGGTTAAAAGTGAATTCCGACGGAATCTCTTGAAGCCAAATCCAAATTTATCACAACGACCAATCGTGATAATGAAGCAGAACCACGGGTTACCCATAATACATTTGGCACTCAAACTTTTTGCGCGAAAAGTTTTTATTGATTATTGGTATATCGAATGCCTGTCATCATACAAGAAAGCTTGCATCAAATTATTTCCGTTTTAACTCTGTGATATCTTTTTAGGTTTATCTGCCTTGTGTGTTACAGACGAAGAAGCGTTACGTTGGATACATGTACGAAACACTTGATCAGAAGGAACCCGTGTTTGATGCTAAAGGGATTGAGACTGTACGAAGAGACTCAATTCCCGCAGTGGCAAAGGTTCGCTATCAGCTTGAATGACTTGTTTATTCATAATTTACTTTTGAATCGCTATCATATATCATATTTTGGCGTTTTACTTTGACCACTAGATTCTCGAAAAGTCGCTGCGAATTTTGTTTGAAACGCGTGACCTGTCCTTGATCAAGAAGTATGTCCAGCGGCAGTGCACAAAGTTAATGGAGGGACGTGTTAGTCTCCAGGACTTCACTTTCGCCAAAGAATACCGCGGCATGAAAAGCTATAAACCTGGTGCATGCGTGCCAGCTCTGGAACTCACGAGGTAAAGTCGAATGGAGACTGAGGAGAGAGTCAAAACGGGGAGTTTGATTTACTTCGGGGAAATGCTGAAAATATGAATCTAATTGCTTTGTCGTAGGCTTTCATTCAGTAATCAATAAATGCTGAAGGGATATTAATAGCTTCGGTCGTAACTTTCATTAACTAACTTTGATTGTCTGATTTAAAAGGCGCTTGCTTAGAGAGGACCGCAGATCGGAGCCAAGAGTAAGAGAAAGAGTCCCATATGTAGTGGTGTATGGAAGTCCAGGATTACCATTGATTCAACTTGTAAGACGGTTAGTGAATGTTACCTTGGAGAATTACTAAATTGACGGCACAAACTTCAACGTAATTCCAAAATGAATTTCTTCAACGAGCATACGAATTGGAATCCAACTGGTCATTTCCATTCATCTATACACCGTCAGGGTGTGGAGAACTTACACTCCACTCGCTTTAAGGAAAGGAACACAAGCTTGTCTTCCGATGCAACCCCTTAAATTCCAAAATATTTAGCCGTGGTAAACATCATGCAGAAGCTACGTTTGAGCAAGTGGATTCTAAGCTTTTGGTAAATGACAGCCCCCCACCTGGTCAGCTCAGTTTAAAGAGCGCGGAACTGCAGTGCAGTAGGGCGAGGGTTCAATTCCAGACCAGACCAATACTCAAAATCTTAAAATAACGGAGGAGAATGGGTAATTCTCTTTACTGTCTGTCATATAGTTATCGTGACGTTAGTTTAGAGAATTTGGTATTGGATCAACTAATAATTCCCTGATTAATATTTTTCTTTATTCTCATTACTTGTCTTGATATTGTGTCGATATTGTAAGGAGAAATTCTTTCTTGGTCACTCATGGTAGTTAAAAGGTTAAAGAACGCACGCTCTTCTTTGAAAGAGTAAAGAACGTAACTCCTCATGTTACGGTCTGGCCTCGTTTCCAAAACTTCCCAATTAGGGAAATCTGCAAAATTCCCTCGCAAAAATTGTAAATCCTTCAATTCAGTCTGGCCAAAGTCCCCCGCAAAGTGTTATAAATCGCATTAGAGCAAATTACTATGGATAATGCGCCATATAGTTGCATCTTTACCACTATCAATATCTATTACGCTTAATTTATCAGGATAACCCATATTTGGACGAACTAATAATCATCTCGGCTCCAAAGTGAATTGAATAAACTAATCTAATTAAGTATAACCAAGCCCAGCCCAGGCTTGCCCGTCACGTGCCACCTAACCATCCACCCGTACCCCCAATTCATTCATCGCCTGACATGTTCTCAATAATTCTCTTGTCCCCAGACCTCATGAAGTTCTCCAGGATCCAGGCCTTCGGTTAAACGCGTCCTATTACATCACCAAACAGATCCTACCACCGCTCAATCGCGTTTTCTCTCTCATTGGCCTAGACGTGTTCACATGGTACGTGCAGCGTCATTTGTTATTAACTATTTAGCCGCAGGAAGGGATTTAACTTGGGTTTCTACTTTTGCGATGGCACCTGTATAGCCACTCAGAGAGCAGGGGGGAGGGGGGGAGGTGCACTAGCAATACTTCCCTGTTCCTGTTGTCCGGTCCAGCTTGGTTAAATTCCCCCTTCCCTCTCCTACAGCTTAACTTACTATCCCTGAATTTTCTTTAATAGAAAATTTCAGTGACATAAAAAAGTAACTGAAGAGATCCTAATACATTCTGATTATGTCTTGTTGTTCTTAATCTCTGTGAAATGATGTGGGAATTATCTTTTGAAATGGCAGATATCGCTTTCTCTACGTTAAAAATTGAAAATAGAAACAGAACTTGCTGAATAATGTTAGAAGTGAATCATTCAGTTTCTAATTTGTGTTCCTGCTTACAAAGAAAAAAACTGAGTTTATTTGAAATTATTTAGGTACGCGGAGCTCCCACGTGTCGTACGGGTGGCGCAGATGCCTTCGGATCCAGGAGAAAGAAAAAAGGTTTCTTTCCTTGACATTATATTCTTAGTACTCTAATGTCATGAAGAAACAGTCAAGGATTTGCTGTTTCTCACATACAAGCCATTTATTTCATCTCGACTAGCTTCATTTTAGGTAAGTCTTGTTTAACCCTCTCTCACACGGCATTTTGTCTATTAAGGGCACTATTTCTCAATACTTTTCAACAATGGCATGCCCGGTTTGTCAAGACCTTACTCCAACTGATCTGTGCGCCAAATGTCGAGGTATGTCCCAGAAGTCAGCGGTTATACTGACCACCCGCATGCACCGCTGGGAACGAACGTATCAACACCTAGCAGAGGTAAGCTGCCAAGATTGTTGTCACGTGGCATGTTCACTATGTCAATCAGAGATAACGCAATTTTCTAATTTTTTTATTTATTTCTCAGATTTGTTACGGCTGTTCTGGTTCTCGTGATACCAAGTTACGTTGTGTGTCTTTGGACTGCCCGGTATTTTACAAGCTCGTGCAATGTACACGTGACCTGAGGTCATCTGAACATTTCAGGAAGATCCTTGACAGTTTGTAACAACAAGAAGACCCCGACAACAACTGGCATGAGCCCACAAGGAAGAAAGCTGGATCGACGATGACGACAGCAAAAAGGATTTACTGCATCCCGTGTGGGGATGGGTGATATTTTAGTGAGAACACCCGCTTACGAATCGTTGCTTGTCTCTGTTGAGTTTCAAATGGCACGAACTGTAATCTAATTTTTTTTTCAGTCAAGAAACTGTGGTTGATTTAGGGAAGACTGACAACAGCAATGATTACGATGCTAATGATAAATGTTAATGAAGTATGATTGTGTTAATAAGATGAAACTATTTTTCGACAGTTGTTTTTCCAAACATGAAAATGACTCAAACTCACATAGGGGAACTTAAGAAACATATAGAAATAAAATAATATTCCGAGTGAGACTGAAGAGTTTGGTAATAGTGGCATTATTTTATTAATAGTAGATAGAGTATAAACTATGTGTAATAGAATATCACCCGTTTTCGTTGCTACTGGTTGATCTAAACCATAAAGTGATGGCGGCCACGCCCGCTGCGAGGGTGTGGAGTATCAGTTATCTCTAAAATAACTTATGCAAACACGTATCTGGGGCCTTGTTTTTTGTCTGAAATTAACATAGTTTAGGTGACTCTCCTTCCCCACCCCTCCCTGCTCTGCAGGCACCTCCTCCAAATTCTCCATTGAACTTACTCTCGCTTGCTCTTTCAAAATACTTGGCCTAATCCAGGAGTTTAGTGAGTAAAACGAAGCCTAATAGTAAACAAACGAATAAAGGGGGTGAGTATCTAAAGAAAATGTGGAGCTGCGTCGGTGGGAGAGTATAACAGGTAATTTAGTGTTAACAATTGAGTTAAAAACGTAAATTGGCCATCGTAAAGAGTTAAAAGGCTGACGTTTTGAGCGTTAGCCGTTTCGAGCGATATGATTAGCTTTTTTTCGCTCAAAATTACAAATTACAAATCAATCGTTCTGACAAAGGGCTAAAGCTCAAAACGTCAGCTTTTTGACTCTTTACGGTGGCCAATTTGCGTTTTCAACTCAGTTGTTAAAAGTAAATTTCCTAATAGTAAACGGCGAGTCATTAGGGTTGGGTCGTTATAGTAGACGGTGCGATATAATCTCGTGCTCAGACCCTACCGGTTAACCATCATAAGCGAACCCCTTACCGATCCTATCGTTTGACGAGATAATAGCGGAGGAGTGAAAAACGAGGTAGGTTTGGGTCGGGTCGCCATAGTAAATGGTGCGATATAATATCGTACCCAGATCCTACCGTGCAGCTGAAATGCTTCCAACCGCTTGGCCGTGGATGGTCTGGGTAAGGAGGAGTGACACCCGACCCAAAGCTCTTTCGTCTTTCGCTCTGCCGCTATATTTATGCCGTTTGCTATTTCGCAAGGTGCCTTTTGCACCGTTTCTCTTGTTGAACGCAAGGGACGGGCTACAAAATATCAGATGTGATTGCGTTTCCGCAATTCCGGTTCATTATCTGGTGTTTTGGCTCCTATTTATTTTTCTTCGGGGAAAGCTGATAACTAAGGGAAACGTCTGGCGATACACTTCCAAGATCCAACCCAGGAAGCGACTTGACTTGTCTCCGGGATGTATAGCCAAAACATTTCTCATGGAGGAATTATTTTCTCCTCAAGATGATTTGAAACCATTACCACAACTGAGAACGAAGCTTCACAGTTTACACACAGTTAACACTGAAACTGTATAAATTTCTCTCGTTCTTTCCCTATTTGCTTCACAGAAAGATGGGATATTAAGGTTAAACCTTTTTGTTTATGTCTATGTGTTGCGGTTTCCATTTTTTGGCTCCTTTTCGTTTGTCAGGAAGCTTGCAGCGGAAACCTGGCCCCGCAATTTTCCTGTCTCCCGCTTCCTTACCGTTTCCACTTCCCTAAAGCCTTGAAAAAATTATCTGTGTTAAGAAGTCCAGTTCACGATGCAGATGTTGGATGAGAAATGATTAGCTTTAATTTCATTTTTGTTTCAAGAAGACAGCGCCTACCTGCGCGTTGGTGAGGACTGGACTGATTTAAGTAAGAGGTGCCGCTTTGTCTGGCTCTTTTGTGCCTTGACAAAACTTGTAAAACAGACTTCATGGCCATAGTCAAAACAAGGATATTAATTTTTTTTTTGCTCAAAACTACAATTACAAATTACAAATCAAGCTATACAAGGTTTTTTTTTTTAAAGCCAGCTTGAGGTGATCCAGAAGAAGGGCTGCTTCGGTTACGAACTGAGAAAAACTGGAAAATTGCGCCCCCGTCCCCGCCCCAATTAACTCTACAGGTGAATGTCACTGAATGGCCCGGTCATGGTGTTTTCCCCTCCCCACTGATTGAAAAGGGTTCTTTATTTAGTGACTTTCCCTTAAAAGGGGTGTGGTAATAAGAATGCACGAAGTTATCGCATTTTTATAGCAGCCTGAAATCATTTATGGGAAATGTGCTAAAAAGAAGTTAAGTTTAGTTGTGAAAAGCAAATCGCGCAAGCAGGCACATTTGCAAGTGACGAAACCACTTAGGCCCCATTTATATGGTCACGGGTACCCGAGACAACCCTCCTCCCTAAATAACTTTACGGAGCGTTTGTATGAAATTTAACATCTGCTGACCCTCGTTCGGCCAGGTTACATAATTGACAAAATGGCGGACGACAGGGAAAAAAATTGCTGTAAACATCCTGATCATGGCGTGCGCACGCATTTTCTGTTCGAGTTGTCTCGTCTTGGGTCGGTGAGACAAGGTGTTTACATGAGGAAAAGTTGTCCCGCCTACCAGGGTTACATCACCTGCCGAGTTGAGACAACTCGCCCTCACGAGTTGTCTCGCCTACCTGAGACGAGATCATGACTTCATGTAAACGGTCGGTTGAATTTCGTAAAGAAATAAGTGAAAAGTTAGCTCGCCCAGGGTAACTCGGAGGGAAGGTTGTCTTGGGTACCCGAGACCATGTATATGGGGCTTAGTAAACAGTGTTAAAAGTGTCGAAAACTATATTGCAACTCAGACATGACGCAGTCAGTAGACGGGCGTAGGCGGGAAAACCACAAAAAAAGACGCTAAAATATAATAAAGAATTACTTTATCTTTTTGAGTCAGAAAAAGTATCTCACAATTCATCGAACCTAAAAACCTTAATTTTTTTTCTCATTTTTGTTACAACTGACCACAATGAGAATTTAAGACGAGTTGTTAAAATGAAGATCAAAGCAGTCTTTCATTTGGCGAGAACTGAAATAACTCTAAAATAGTCCAAACCTGTTGCAATAATTATCGTTGCTAATTTGATTGGCTAACAGTTCTTAAAAGGCGTCGCAACGTTGTCATAAACCTGTCAAAATTATGTCAAAACCATTAAAAAGTTAACAAGCGATGATGATTTTAAGACAATTATTTATTTCTTGTAACAGAGCCATACAAGTGCAAGGCTGAACGGTTTTTTTCGGACCGGCTCAAAACCAACCGTCCGGCCCAACAGACATTAGCTTCCACTGTGGTTTCCGCGTAACTGAGGCCGGATGGGTCATATGATAAGTCGCAATAAGTGACCGAAGAAAACAACGAGGAAGATTAGAGCACAGAAAAAAGATATTATCTTCCGTCTGTCCACTCAGAAAAGAAATGGTCCGTCCAATTCACGCTTAATTTGCATATTGTAAAGGCTGCGTAAATAAATTATTAATACGCATTGAAAGTTACTTCGTTATATTGCCTTAGTTGTTTGTTTAGTGAGACATTTTAGTTGACGTCTGAAAAAATATTCTGGCAAGTTTTTCCTCTTTCACTTGTTCCTTCATATTTTGTGCGTGGTGGGAAAGAAAAATTTTTATTTTTATTTTCTTATTCGTGTATTTATTTATTTATTTATGTATTTTAATAGTGTCTTTGTTTATCTTCATTGCAACAATGGCGGCGAACGAGAAAATATTGACGCCCCAACCCGGGCGAGAGAAAAGCCACTCAGGCAGAAGAGAGCTCTTTCCATACGAATAAGCTTTGCTTCTTTTAAAAGTGCTGTAGCATATAAAGTGCCTAGGGTTTTTTCAGTCTACCCAATGTTAAACAAAAATTTAATCGCCCGTCGATTAACCTTGAATTTTTTTGTGAGTTATAAATTCTCCTTTCCCTCCATCCCACGGTTTCGTTGTGCATAAGATTAATGAACTCTGATAGTTATCAATAATCTATTGATTTCGCCTGCAAGCAGTTGCTAGCTAGCTGCTCTCATAGTCTCTTAACACTTGTAATTTCTTCATGCGTTTACGGGATGTCGCTGCGAACTTTACCAATTTTATTCCTCAATCTCGGGGGAGAGATGCTTTATATCTTGGATCAAAGATTACGAGCACAATCGATTCCCGACGAGAAGGCAAGAAAAGGTAAGCTTCGATCAGTCGAGCGGATGTATTTGCGTTTGATAAGTTATGGCGTCCCCTCGAAAAAGCTCTCCTAACTAATTTAACAAACGAGCACGCAAAATATTTCGTGCCTAAAACTTAGATTTTGCGTCTTGAATCGAAGTGTTGTGGTTACCTCCTTCAAAATAAAGTGTTATTATGGTGGTTTGTAGCTACGGATCTCGCATATTTGTTTGCATTGGGCGAGAACGAAATTACAATTTTTGCTACTTTGGATGAATTAACCGAAAATGACCTGTCAAATTCAATCTTTCTCGACCAGTTTTGTGTTTCTCGTGATAGCTGTTGGTATAGATATAAGTAGAATATGTTTATGCCAGTTTTTAAAGTTATTACGGAGTGTTTTGGGTATGTTTTTTCACCTGAAACTGAGAGGCCGGTTACACTCAAGCTAATACCATAAGCTTTATAATGCCGTCCGTTTATTCTGTCAGCTCTCTGTAATCCGATGGTGAATTGCTTTAATTAAAATTGTTCCTATTATAAATCGGTCTCAGTTTTTTCTTTGTAACACGCAAGATACTTTCCGAAAAATGAGTGTTAGTTCAATTCTACAAGAAATAGACTATTGCTATGGAATGGGGTCAACGTTTATGTCTCCCATTCGTAAATAGATCATAGTTCAGGTTGTAGAATAAGCTTTTTCGCTTGATTCGATGTAGAGGAGCTTTACTTTTCCAATTTTTGATGCTCAAGCGAGAAAAAAAGCTATCGTTTTATAAGTAAGAAACCGTGGTCAGGCGCTTTCACAGTGTTAGGCTACAGTTTCTTTCTCTGCAGATGTAATCATTTGCAGGCTTGAAAGAGAATTGTTCCCATCAGAAGTGCTCCAGACAAAAGCAATTGTAATAAGTTAGAAATGATTTTATAGGTGTACCACTAGAGGCATACTGATTTTTGTCCTTTTGGTTTACATCCAACAAATATCATGCATTTGTTTATTAAAACAATGGGGTATTTCCAAGTTAAGGTAATCTGTCAGTGGCTCAAAGCAAAAGATAAAGAATTATCTTTATTTGCCATGAGCTATTCATTCAGCTGCCAGGGACAAGAAAAGTCAGGTGCATCTTTTTTTATGCAAAACAACATGCATTTACCATGGATGTTTGTTAAATTGATTCAACATTTAAGAAGTGAACAGCCATTACAGCTCCCCTAATGTTTTGGTTAAGAGCATTTTTACTTCCACTACACAACTAAACCTCTGATCGTGAATAATTAGTTTTGAGACTTGCCTCTGTTGGAAAACAGCTTAGTAATTTGAAGGCTAGGAACAGCAGATGTTATGTGAAATATTATACTACATTAGTGACTATTTTGTGATCTTTTGGACTGTATAAAGTATTTGATGCACATAATGTTCTGGTATTAGATACCTTTTGAGATTCCCCAAAGGTAAATTAAGAAGTTCTCAGCTATTGTAACAAAAAGACTAAAATTTTAAGATTAATTTTTAATCATGTCTGTTTTGACATGTATTTGTCTTTTGTAATAACTGTTTCGGACTAATTTATTTCCCAGATTATGTATCCCTAAATTTCCCTATTTTTCAACCTTTTAGTGTAATATTTGTTTTCACCGTCATTTTCATGTTATTGCAAATTGAAATATCAGGAATGTTATAAAACTCGGGCAGAACCATGCAAACTAATGTCATGAAGCTAAAAGTTACAGATTAGTTTGAAACAGTAACAAAAGAATTGTCAGGAAAAAAAGTGGCATTGTAATTCATTGTATATCACATGTAAGGCCAAAACCCAATTTTCAGACTGTTTTGGGTTAAAATTTTTCTCTGTTAGCTTTTCGTGTAAAAGACTCTTGGGAAGAGCACAAAGTGTCTTGGGGCTTTAGAACCATGACACATATTGCAAAGAGTGCAGCACAAAATTTTGGTGTTGACGTGTGATCTTTCTCTCTGCTGTTGTCATTGCCATACCAATAAAGGAAAGGCTGAGGAAATTTTTAATAGTGATAATATTGTATCAGAAGTTTCTCACACACGATGTTTAGTCATTATTCACATCCCTTGCAGCTGCAAGTAGAACCCTGATGTGTGATCTCTTTTTAGATGCAAGCCAGGAATATGTTGAAATTCTATTGTGTTTACTCTATGCGAGGCTATTTCACTTTGAATGTTGGGTGTTGATAAAAGTTACTTGATCCTCCAACAAGATGAGGTAAAAAATCGAGCTTAGCTTTTGCAAGGGGATTTGGGTTACCTTGTGGTTCCTGGAAAATTTACAGAAGTGTGAATCATATGAATCTCATAAAATTTTGGTGCACTTAGGTTTGTCACATGGGTACCCGAGAAGAAAATGTATGCAGTATGTCTAGTATGTCTGGTATGAAGTTGAATTAACAAATGGGTACAACAAAACAACATTTTTTTAGCCCAATTTCACTGCAAGTAATCCACAAGTTTACAAAATGTATACTTGGGCAGATGGTGCAGCTTTGGCCATTGGTAGCAAAGGGTAATGATTACATTGTATCCTCAGTTATGTTGCTTTTCTTTGACTGTAATGCTTTCATGGTCATTAGTTATGCACGATATCATTGGGACGATGTTCAACAGGCGGTTTATGGAAGAACTGTTTAAGCCGCAAGATACTTACTCCAAGAAAGCCATGAGGACAGTGTTTGACAGACTAGCACATGCATCAATCATGAGACTGAACTCAGCCAGCATGGATAAGGTAGGTTGTTGATTTGGTGAGGTAAATTAGGCTCAGGTCAAAGTTACACCTTTGACCCCTTAGAATGAGCTGACCTACAAGACCAGCAAACTTAAAGACTAACAGAGGCTATATTCACGAGTTTTGGTCAACCTTTTATCAGAAATGTGAATACAATTTGGGAATTTTGATTTAATCACTTTTCTTTATAAGTATACCTGTCTTGTGATTCAGCTCTGACTAGTGGTAGACCCCTGAAGGCCTTGGGAAGATTTTAACTTCCTTACATCAATTCCAACACTCAACAGCAACAATTCAAAAGATTCAGCTGTACGAAAAGACCAAAATGATAGACCTAGTAACTCCTTGCTAGAGTTACCCAGATTTACTAGATTGTGTTGAAAGATTTAATGGTGTAAGACTGACAATTTTGGAGGTAGAGTTCTACTAATGATCAGCAGTCCATTTGAACTCTTGTAAGTCTGGAAATGTCATGTTTCAGCAGGTAAAACTGTTACAGTATTTAACTGTAACAAGATTCAGCATTGAAGACATGAAATTCGGTTGATACTTCAGATCTAGAACTATCTTACATTTGTAACCATTTCTTTCGATTTTTATTATCCTTCTCCAACAGCTGTATGATTTGATGACAATGGCTTTCAAATATCAGGTAGAATTCTGAGTTTGAGTGCTTGAAACATTTTATTTTTAACTTTATTTTTAACTCTCATGCTTGTCATAATCTTAACTATTCTCTTGTTTGTCCTGGTCAGGTTTCTCTGTGTCTCCGACCCTCTGATGTTCTTTTAGTCACCTATAATCACATGGATGCAATAAGAAGTTTTGCTTCCGATAACCCTGCTATCAGTAATCAAGTAGAAAATGTTTACAAGCTTCTATATGAGGTAATGGTACATGTAATTGTATGCTCCAGCCTGTAAATTGTTGAAAATTAATGATAATCAGCACTCTATTTCTAAGTAAAACTGGTTCATCAATTATTTATTGAAGTTGATAATTATGCCCTGGTGACACCAAGGCATAATTTGTTTTCATTATTGATGTTTGTTTTGTTGTGTGTCAAACACACAGTTATTTTAAATTCTGAATTCAATACAATTACCACCTGTCATCTTTTGTGGTCATTTCTAGACATATGCCAAATTGAATGCTGGGCAATTTCAAATCATACGCCAAACTCTTCTTTCATTCTTCCAGGACATGCATATTAGGGTGAGTAAGTTATTTTAACAAATGTATTCATGAATATACAGTGTATTTTGTGATGGGTAACTTTCATCCTGAAAATTCAGTGACTGACTTTTTGACATCCTTGAGTCTAATGATAACTTCCACTAGTTAAAAGTATTTAAAAGGTATAGTAGCTCCTATCAATGACAAGTCTTTTTGACTTGAGTTTAGTAAAGCCTTGATGCGATTGAAAGACTTATTGATATACTAGAATATATGCTGTTCCATGCAACTCAAGAGCTGTTATCTTTTGCAGGCTCAATTTAAATATATGATCTCATTTAGCAATGCTTGAACTGAACTAATTGGGGTCAGGGAAATGCTTTGAACAGCTCTCATGCACCTTTTAATTCTACACCATGATCACAGTATGTTATCAAATGTTCCTGCCAGGGTTAAATCTTTAACTGTGTTATATGCTTTGTGAGCAGTGGTTGTGTTTTACAGTTTCTAAGCTCTTTATTCTGGTTTATTTGATAGGTTTCAATTTTCTTAAAAGACAAAGTTCAAAATGCAAATGGAAAATTTGTTTTACCAGCTGATGGAGCCGTCCCCTGGGATACTGAAGTCCCTGGGTCAATCAGGTGATGATAAAAATTTGTTGGTTTTTTTTTTTCCATTATATGAGTTAAATTAACAAATCATCTTTTGATTCTCCTTACAAGCCATGATAATTTATTTTATTGTATTTTTAAGGTATTTTAATGCTGAGGGACAAATCTCAAGAACAAGTCATTTTGTGACAGGATGCCGTCATCAGCTCCCAGACAAGCCAGGATCTTTTGAACTGTTAGGAGATCGAGTGATAAAGCTTGGAAGTAACATGTAAGCAGGCAGATTAGATTCTATTATTCAGCTGTTGTGATATATTCCTAAATGTTTCAGGTAGTGTAAAAAAGTATATAACCCTTAAACTCTCAGAAGTGATTAACATGTAACTTCTCCCTCTGATATTCATACATTGTCCAGCAAACAGGTTGTGAGAATACTCAAACTCATCAGGTATAAGATATTACTTTGATCGAACACCAAATTCTTGTAGCCAATTTTCAAGGAAATGTGTAGCAGCTAGAGAGGAGAATTAACAATCACATCTTGGGAGTTGAAGAGTTAAGATTAAGATACCTAATTTGATTTTTTTCTGTTATTGTTGCTTATTCCAGGTACACAGCTTCTAAAACAGTAGACACAGTAACCAGTAGTCCTGCACCAGCAGCCAGCATGGCCCCTTCTGCTCCAGCAAAGAAAGTGCCAGGGAGCACTGTATCTGTTGCTTCAACATTGGTGGGTTTGTATATGTGGATTTGTTTACTTTATTGGAATTGTTGGATAGAATAGGTTGCATCTAAAGAAGAGATCTGAGATATTTCGTCCTCATATATCTGATTGTTACTTCTCCCCTCCAGCTTTTACACAATTCCTGGCAATAAGTTTGGTGAATTTGGTATTAGATCCAGATAACAACTTCTACCTGATAAGTTTGGGTATTCTCATATGCCCTTTGCTGGATAATGAATGATTTTGTAAGGATAAGTCTCATGTTAATCACTTCTGAGAGTGAAAGAAGGAAACAAATGACCCTCTGATTCCAGGAATCAACCATTATTATAAATTAATACAGCTACAGGATAGTAAATGAAATGCAAAGAACTTCCTGTTTAGATGCTTCTTTGCCCTTTTGTCAAAGTACTGAAGTGCTGGAAAGTCAGATTGATGCCACTGTAACCTTCAGATGTACAAGCTACATGTTCAACCAGTTTCAAGAATGTTGACACTCCTTCTAAAAGCATCTTTTAGTAACATTGTTTTAGAGGGGAGGGGTTGGTCACAGGTATGACTCTAACAATGAACTCAGCTTACTTTGCAAAGGGTTGTGGCCTATGGCCCTATCACCATAAATGGGTGTGTGTGGGGGTGGGGGAGGAGGGTAGATGGAGAACCTTGCTTTCTGTTTTGACATGGATCACTTCTGTAAATTTTCCAGGAACCACAAGGTAACCCGAATCCCCTTGCAAAAGCTGAGCTCAATCTTTTAGCTCATCTTGTTGGAGGATCAAGTAAAAAGCCAGAGAGTGAGTTGTGTGTTTCTGATAACTCCTTGTGGATGAACATGGAATCAAAATCATGATTGTATGACATACTTACTGGTATTTTCATTTTGTTCTTTAGATCAGTTTAGATTAAATCTCTTCAATACAGATGAAGAAGAAGAGTAAGTCAATCATCTTGCAATTTTCAAGAAGTAATTAGGAGATAATTGATCCATAATTTTTAATGGACTTATTTAAGAATTGATAGTCACATATTGTCATTTGGGAAAAGCTTCCTGTACATTGTGAGAATCAGATACATCAAAAGCATCTTATAAGGAAATAAAACAGTCACATGTGAACTAAGAAATGGCTTAGTTCATCATAGAGTTCTATGCAGCTTTCTGGAAAAACATCAGGACTTTTAAGGTCTGAGGTTTGATTCAAGGAAGTTGAGTTCCAAACAGGTGACAAGATTAAGACATCTATTTTGGGTACTCCTTTTTTGTGTGTCAACATACTTCATGTTGTGGAGACCAGAAACAACACAACAAAAAGAGCTTCGTCGTCAAATGTTCGCAAATGAGCGATTACTCTGAACATATCCTTTGAAGGAGAATGTAAATTGAAATGAAAAAAAAAAGAGAAAGAAAAGAAAGGGAAAAAAAGAAAAAGACAGAAAAGAGTCGGCGCGGCTAGGGCTCGAACCATATACCTTCGGACTTTGGAGGAGTAGGTTTCTCCGTAGCGCCAGGTACGCAGTCTGACTTTTGTCTCAAGTTTGACATTAACTGCTGTTCGTTAACTCCTCTGCATTTTACACCACAATACTTTTTTTACCGCAATACTCTACAACTATACAACAGTACGCACATACAGTCATAGACCGCCTTTAGTTTTCTGTGTCAACATGCTTAATGTTGTGGAAACCAGAAGCTGTAAGGAAGTAATGGCCCATTAGGCTTGTAACTGACTTTGGAAGCTTACTTTATTTCCCTCTCAGATATTAAATATTCTTCACGGATAACTGATCATTGCTGTTTTAATTTTTATAGGCAAGCAGCCATCCAAACTCACAAAGAAGCTCCTCACAGAGTCATCAAAATTGATGCTACTAAGGCAAGTGTGGCCAAGAAACTGCTCCATTCTATTTCATGAAATAATCATGATAAGATGTGGTGACTGGGTGATGGGTAATGCCAGGCACGCAGTCTTTTTGGTGATCAGTTATCCCCATTATTTTGTCAAAAGTCTGTTTCAAATACTTCCGTATGTTAAGTGATCAATAGCTGAGTTTGCTTATCCAGGATTGGTCTTCATGCACATATGAGATCTCATTCAAACGCCAGTTGTTAACCTGTCCCATTGACTCCGTTTTGTCGGCTCTCGGAATCAGTCATATCATTAAAAGCGTATTTCTGTTTCCTAACAGTCGTTATTCATAATCATGCAGTTACGGAACTCAAAATTGTCATATAAAATAAACGAGAAAGGGTACATTTTTTTAATTTGTAGTGTATATTTCCTTACTATTTTAGAAGGCGCAAAGGAAGGAACTGGCTAATCTTATGAATGAATTTTCAATTGAAGGATCTGGAGAGCGTAAGTTTCAATTTTGATTTTGATTTTCAGGGAAAATAGATCAGTAAACAAAAATTAAGGAAGATCTTTGAGTATTTGTAGTTGTGGCCTCCATGAACCCTGGTCCCAAGAGTTTGAAGGGTCCGAATGATTAAGTAAGCTATGAATTATCGTTTTGGCAAATTAAAACTCGGAAAACTCCGTTGTCATATAGCTTCCTTATAACAAATTATTTTTTGTAGTTCAGAGAAGTGTCCTTCTCTTTGATTCTTTGATACCTTGCTTATTATTTTATGAAACTTAAGGTATAGTTATTTTTAAAAAAAACTAGACTTCATTGCCTTAGTTGAACAATTTACTGGCGTTAATGTTTCATTAATGAAGTTTATGCAAAAAGTTTTGAGGCCTGAAATTATTTGAAGTAACGCTTATCTTTGTTCTTACTTGCTTAGGTGAAAAAGGTGACGAACTGTTAGACTTAATGGACCAAGCGTAGAATAAAGTCCTTCTTAGGGAGACGCATTATAGGAGAAGACACAAACAAGTGAAAAATTTTTGTAAATACCTTCCTTGGTTTTTATTTATTTGGCACAATTTCTGAATGATTCAAGTATACAAGCAGAGTATAAAACTGTTAACGTCAACCAAGAAGGGATGAGTTGAGGTCAACTAAATATTTTCAATAGTCGTTACTTGTAATTTTTTTGGTGTCAATGTTTTTCGATGAGTGCCAGCTCGATGGCTCAATGACTGTATTTATTCAGGGGCGTGGCTGACCTATACATACATACCCACGCGGACACAGCGGTCAAACGTGTGCGCATGTGGGAACATTGTAGTGGTTAGGTGGCGTGCCTCCAGGTTGTCAGAACCAAGTTGTCTCACACGAGGTACAAACAATTATGCAAGCCAGTCAGTCAGTTTCAAAAGCGTATAACTTTTCTGATAAACCTCAAATCGGAATGGTAAATCAACATGCAACGGGATACCTGTAATCAAATAAACTCTTCTTTACTTTTGCTCCCTCTCAAAGATTTCTATAAACGTTCTTTCTTCCCCCCCTATATTCTGCACGATAGCGGCTGTTTCTTACGTTTTCCTCGGAATTTTTTTTTTTTTTGGGGGGGGGGGATTGGCGCGAGGCCAGCCGAAATTTATCTCCTTGTGCATTCTAGAGGTTTGACCGCCTTGTCACTCAAGTGAAGCGCTCTATTCAATATGATCGTCTGATTTATATACATGATGGCCGTTATATTAAACTTGTCTCTGAGTTCTCTAGGTCGATAATGATAAAGGTGCTGATCGTGAAGGACGTGATCATACGCAAGCCATGTTTACCCTAGACTTTCCGCTACCCTATAGGTGTTGTTTGTTGTTGAGTCGGAACGGGGTGGGGTGGGAGATTGGTTTTTCGACGTCATCCCAATTGCGCTTAATTAGTCCAGGTGTGCTTGTATTCAACAAATCAGCTACGCTCCTGTTGTATTGAATTAAAATGCCGTTAAACGCATTATCTCCTAATTGTTGGGAGGATTTCAAATAAAATTGTTAATTTCTCAAAATTTTCTGTGGTCAATCTGCTTATCATCTTAGTCTTTTTAGTCTCGTTCCTTTAAAACAAAGAATTGCTTTCCCCATGCACTTAATTAAAAATATTACAATAAACCGTGCCATTTTACAGTGATCTTGGTTTTTCAGAAGTTTGTCTCTAAACGAATAGATAAAAATGCGTCGGATAATTGTGTTTGTAGCCCCTGCTACTCGCTCGATGGCCGATAAATAGGAGTCTGTGATTGTTGGCTGCAAATTTGCAGCTTTTTTTACGCATGCGTTTTAGGACGTGGAACTGAGTCCTTTCATCATAACGGCAGTCATAAAGTCGAACAGTAGTACCCAGCTCTCCTCTACCTCTGGTCTCCAATTGGTGGTGAGAGGTTCTTTAATGCTACCAATGAACGCTTTCCTTAAATCTATGAACTTAACAGAAGAGGATGAATAGATTAAACAGAAGCTAGCATCGTTAAAAAAGTATCAAGAGGGAACAAATTTACTTTTTGTTTGTGTATCTATGAGAATTAGTCATGTTTGACTCTCGAACTAGAGTCTGTTTCGCAATCAGCCTTCCTTTCTTTAGGTCCTGATACAGCAATATCTCTATTACCAGGATCTCTCTTTTTCCCGCGCCCGAGGGGCCGTGAGAGGGACCCTGGATGCGAGGTTGATAAAACAACTCCTGTTCAAACTAAGACATCTGATTATCACGTCATGAGCACCTATTCGACTCCAATTTAAAGTTCACATGGAAAGTTTCTATTTGGATCTTACATGGGACTTCGTCGGTTTGGAGCGTAGCCTGATATGCCTCCTTCCTAACTCCAACACGTAACCAGCGAAAGTCTCGGGGTCATCGAGCGAACCGATTGAGTTTTCGATGGCAGCCATCAATCTTCTAGGGTGACCATTGCTTTTATTTATTTCGTCAATTGAGATTTCCTTGAATTCAGTGAAGCGCGATTTTATATCAGGATTCATCTTCAGGAATCTGACAGAAACAAAAATAAAAAAAAAGTTAAAAAACCTCAATGTGGATTAGGCGCATGTTCGCGTGCCCACATATTCTCATAATTAGGTCTGACATATAAAAAACTCGCACCCATACATATGCTTTAGAGTTTTGACGGCGATTTTTGATTGAAACCGACCACGGTTTTAAACCCAGGCCTACCCGGACCGTCTTAGTCTTAAGGAAGGTACAGATTTAACACCAGTATTCACTTTTTAAACCTGAACAGAAATAGCCTAAGTCTAGCCTCGTAACCGTAACCAGGCTTCCACGGTCAATTCAATGTAACAAGTGGTGTACAAAATAAGATTTCATCATTAAAAAAAATATCTTAAACGCGACCGAAAAACACTCCATCTCTCTTCCTTTTCGCTAACCAATCACTGTTCTATTTAAAGCGTAATTGCTGATGCTGGACAACCCTCGAACTGATTCCAAATAAGGTTTATCCCAAAACCGAAGTAATCGCACATTTACTGCCAAACTCTTCACTATTTGAATGGTTTAGTGCATACATACGACTAATTTAATTTACTGATATTAGGTTTAAGAGAGTGAAGAGAGAAAACTTATACATGCTTTTCATGGGTCAGTTAAGTCTGTTATACAGACGCCCATGTAAATTATAAAAGATGATGCCATTTTTGTAAATTCCTATAATAGAAATGATTATCAGATAATTGAGAAAAATATTTCGTAGCTGGTATGGCGCCAGGCAACCCGGGCTTCGTTCCGTCGAAGAATCGATCATATACCTTTCAGAATTTTTAAGCAAATTTGGACAGCATAGCCGTCAATTATTCTTTTGTATAATATAACTCGTCAACGAGCAACTGGCTGAGAAGAAACTTGGTGTCAGGTCGTAACAGCCACGAACTACCAAGTTTTGTTGACAAGTATTTGACAATTTTAAATGTAAGTCATGGAAATGTAGTTGGGTGGATGAGCTCTTAATTCGGGATTCAAGTTTCTAATCGTTTGTATTTGTCACTATTGCCATTGCTCGCTGAGATAAATGATTTGAAAATGAGAAGTTTATTTATGGGGATTTTAGTGAGACATTTCTTAGTGATATATTGACATGGATCTAAACATGTTAATAAATATTTATTTTACTACCTGATCTGACAAAAGTAAATTGCAGCGTAAACAATCTTACGTGCGTGAAATATCATTACGATTATAAACAGTCGAGTAATGGAATAATCAGATTTTTTAACAGTCGCAGAATACTCTCAGTTTCTCCCTAATAAATATGGATAATGAGAAACTTTACAATTTATACTACGACGCACTGTCATCTATGTCTTCAAATTTACGTTTTTGGTACGTTATGCAGGAACATGACGAATGGCAAATTTATTAATTAACGAGGAAAATCAAAGATATTGAAAAAGGAAAAAAAACTTCAGAAACAAACGAATGAACAGTCCTAAGTAGGCATGACAGCATTTTGGCATTCTCTGTATGCGAAATTGTGAAGGGCTTCACACGAAAACAGAAAAAAACACAACGACGACGATGAAGACAAACAATTAGCGATAAGGTGATGTTATTACGTTGGTTATTGCCATTGATTTTGACAATTTGACTTGAAATTTAAATTCCTTGTAATTGAAGGCGAGGAAACCCCTTCCTTGCCACGGAAGGTCAGTATATTTTGTGTTAGAGCTGTCTTGATCCGTTGTCTCCTTGAGTTTCGGGATATAATAGTGGCAGATATAGCTCCCCAATTATGTATATATGTTGTTAATGATCACTATGGAGAACTTAGGCCGATGCATGAAAAAAACAGATTTCCTTAAATAAACCAAACTCGGCGAATTTCTAGGTCCTTTTGTCATGATCTTGAAGACACGGAACATAAAATAAAGCTGTGAAAATAGATTATTTGTAATCATATATCGACTTACTCTCGACTGATGTCCGGCAAACGTAACTATGATTAGACTGTAGTACTGTTTCTTTGCGAAATGAAATATCTATTGGGTAAAAATATCGCAAAACGGGCGGCGTTCCAAGAGAGATCACCTAAAAATAGCGGCGGCATAAATCAAATCCATACCGTATGTAGACATTCACTCCAATTTCTTTCTTGGTCGGCTCGAGTATTTCCCATGTTTCTCTTACGATTTTTATTTGTTCATCTGTTAAAGGAATCACAGTGTTCTCAATGGATTTGAACTGCGGATGAAGAATCAGTGTATTTCCAATTCTGCGTGAGTTCGTGCAACCCATTTTGAGCCTTATATACGATGACAAAGCTACGTGCTCAATTCACGGTATTGCTCTCAAGAGATAGTCGAAAATGAGAGTCATTTGGGCGAATTTCAATTATTGTAGTAGACAGCAATCTTCCATTATGACAAGGCAGAGACTTCAACTGGATGTTGCTTTAAAATGACAGAAAGCTTTATTTGCATAATTATTTTCTATTCACCTCTAGCATAAGTTTGATAGAAAATGACAGACATAAATGTAAAGCGGCACTTCAATGGGAGTAGTAAGGTTTTTTTGGATTAGACAAACAACAAGTTAAGAAGATTTTCAATTTTGCGTCGGTACTTTTAATTTTCCAATTCACACAAGGAGGGTAGACATCGATCAAGTTTCGATCACAGAAGTTAATTTTTTTCCTCAAATTTGTTGCTTAGTTCACCACCTACAATTCGTGACCAAAATGAAATAATTTTGCTCATGATGATGGGCGACACTAGTTACTTAGTTTATTGCGCTTTCATTGAGAATGTGGACAACACGCGCAGCTTAGAAAACATAATTGAAAAGCCGAATCAACGTAGATGGAGGAACTTTGTCATGCAAGTAATGGTCTCGTCAAATCATCATATTTTTGTCGGCTTGCTTCAATTTTATTGCTTAGTGCGGAATCACTATAATGTTAAACAATAACAGTGCCGGCGGCTGGAGTGTTCTTTTGTTACTTTTAAGTGGAAAAATACTTTAAAAAAACCAGAGAAGATTTTCCGATCTGTCTGGTCTGGTATTACAAGTTTCTTCGGTTCTCACGCAATTTATTAAGCCTTCTCTATATCTCTTCGAAACGGCACTTTTAGTTTTAACCAGTTTTCGTCATATTTTGTTTGTTTGTCGATAATCCTTTTCAACCATCAGTATGTTACGATGGTTTTCCAGACGTCACTACAACCAGGAACAGGGAACGGAAGAAATAGGAATGGGGAGCGAAGAGCGGGTAACGAGAAATTGAGGAGAGGAAACCAAGAACGAGAAACAAGGAACAGGAAATAGGAATAGGGAACGAAGAGCAGGGAGTGAAGTACAAGGAACGAGGGACGGGGAACGGGAAACGAGGAACGGAGAACAGGGAACGGGCGACGGGCAACGGGCAACGGGCAACGGAAAACGGTGAACAGAGAACGGAGAACGGAGAACGGAGAACGGAGAACGGAGAACGGAGAACGGAGAACGGAGAACGGAGAACGGAGAACGGAGAACGGAGAACGGAGAACGGAGAACGGAGAACGGAGAACGGAGAACGGAGAGCGGAGAGCGGAGAGCGGAGAGCGGAGAGCGGAGAGCGGAGAGCGGAGAGCGGAGAGCGGAGAGCAGCGGAGAGCGGAGAGCAGCGGAGAGCGGAGAGCGGAGAACGGGGAGTGGAGAATGGAGAACGAAGAACGAAGACCATAGAACAGAAAACGAAAATGAAGAACGGGGAACGGGAGTCTGGGATTGAAAGTACAGCAGTTATTCGCATAAAAATTTGAAATTGAGTTCACTACACGGAAAATGTCTGAGCGCAAGTTTTTAACAAGCTCAATTGATGGGCTCGCAAGAATTGTTACCTTGAAATTTGCAGCCTTTTTACCGTTTTTTCTTGAAGGGGAGTTATTGCTTTCGGAACTTAACGGTTGAAGCGGCATAAGCAGGATCCCCCAGCTCGTGTGGAGGGGGGGAGAGAGGATGGTGGAAGAGGAGGGGAGGGGGAGAGGAGATGGGGGACGGGAAGGGGGCTTCATTGGCGTATTATCTATTTGGGAGAATGCCAGGTTGTTTGAGCACAACAACTTATTACTATTTCTGGTGAAGAAATAGGGGATCACTAGCGCACCCTTAGTCTCCCCTCGTTAGCCGCGCCCCTGGTTGAATTGGTTTTAATCGGACCCAGAATATGAGTGGATTCCCTTAGAAGCTTCATTATCCCTTCGGTAATTTTTAAAATAAATTCGTGACCCTTTTGCAACTCCCCCCGTCTTCTTTTCCTTCCCTTTATTCTATTTCTTTACCCTTTCACCCCTTTTTCGTGCTGTGATTTAACAACGCAAGATCGGCCATGCAGTTACATTTTATTTCGTCTTCGCATGTTGCAAAACAACACGATCATGTACCTAATCAAAAGGGAAATAAAGCAATCTGGGCCCAAGCTTACTATATTAAATACCTTCATTATTCATATAAAGAGATAAAAAGCCATCAACAGCTATACATACTTTTTAAAACGAAAATACAAAGAAAAATGCCTCTCTAATATACTATTCTTAATATCTAAAATAAAAGGTCCTCTAAATCTTTGTTATTCTAAACATCTGTTAGCAAATTTAGTTTATAGTCCAAATCGAGACTGCTTAATTTAAATAAACTTGTTTCAAATTGTAACAAGTCTGACTTGTTATACTTGATTCTTGATATTTATATCCTTTCGATTTTTCTCAGGATTGAATGTCGCAACTCTCAGAAGTTCTTCACCAGGTAAATCATATGCGATTGGATTTTCGCTTATTTCATATATTGCTTAATACGGCGTCTTTCAGCATAATTTTTTTTCAGAGAGGACACCTAATGTTGAAGGGTGAACCTCATTAATTTTGTCAATCCCGTAAGCATAGCACATCTTGATCTCGACGTGATTTAACTTCTCTAAACAAATCTTTGATAACCTTAGGTTAATTATAAAGATCATGACCATTATTGTACCGAAGTTAAAAAAAAAATGCTGTCCTTCAAAAATGCTGCGGCAAGGATTGTGTCATTAACTCGACTTTACAAACGCATATTCCTCAATGTTTGCTCTATTTGTAGTTTGTGCAATTAACTTCGAATACCTATCGGATATTCTCGTTATCAACTTAGTATTATTACTGCTGCAGAAATATGTCAGCGAAACAGAAACTGTACAATATTTTGAAACCATCTTGTTGCGCAGATAACATAATTCTTTGCTTTGTTGCCCAGTATATTAAATATCTGAAGTGTTCATTAGTTAACGAACACCTAAAAAAAATATTTTCTTCCTATGAACTGTTAAATGATAAAGGATATGTCACTCTACATATTTTCTCTGCTTGCAAATTAGGAACCTTAAAACATTTTCATCCGAAGTCGATATTTTTCTCGGGGTATCAGCAAAATTGACCATAGCAAATTAAATAGGTTTCGAAACAATATTTGACAATGTAATATTAATTTTTCAGTTGATGAACAATGGTATCCTGAAAACAGATTTGCAGCACAATTTAAACAAGTTCCTCGTTGAATAAAAAAAGATAAAAAAGATTAATGTTGAGTAATCCAGGTTGATTTTTTGCATCTTATCGTCCGATAATTTCAAATTGTCTCGTAGCAAATCTCGTCAACAAAGAAAGCCTTGGCGTAGATCTTATAAGACATTTCCAATGAAGCAATTTTTTCCGGGCATCAATAGGCCTTTTGTATAAGAAAAAGACCCAAAAAGAAGTCTACAAAGTGGACATAAGACCTGTCAATCATCGTCCTTACAGAACTACTGGGAGCAAAACGTTAATCTACATGATTGGTAATAGAGGGGGACTCTGAAGACTAATTTGTCAGCTATTACAAAACTAAGTTCTTTAATATTGACAATAAGATTGTCCTGTTGAGGTTTAACTAAAGATTCCAGTCTCAAGATTGAAGGAGGATTAAATAAGGTACCTAAAACTACGGCAACGCATTGTTGATATCATCATACTATACAGATGAGGCTTAAAGAACAAAGGTGTCTCATATGAGAGAACTCTCGAGAGGTTCAGGATTTGATTATTATAAGAAATAGCTTATTTTGCTCACCACAGTCTTTTTAGATATGTGTACTAGGAGGCTACTATGGAAAACCGCTGCTGGAAGGAAAGCCATCCAAGCGAGGGCTTTGGAATGGAGGGGTGACCCTTTCATTTACAAGACTCTAACTCCTGTTCGTGATTCCGCATATGAGAGGCCAGATTGGAAATATAACTAAAACTCTTACTGCAGTATTGGCATTGATGTGGCTTGAGACTCACACTTGAGTGGAGGCGCAAGTGACGGTCCAGTGTACTCAACTGAGCAAAGCTCTTGTCGCAAAAGTGACACTTGTATGGCCGCTGTCCAGTGTGAGAACGCATATGGTTGGTCAACGTCGATTGCTGGGCAAAAGCCTTTCCACAGAATTTACACGGATACGGCCGTTCTTTTGTGTGAGAAAGTTCATGCTTCCTGAGCGTGGAAGGCTGAGAGAATGATTTGCCACAATAATTACAAATGTAGGGCTTGTGGCCTGTGTGCGTTCTCAAGTGGTTTGTTAGCGTCGTGCTTTGCGCAAACACTTTTCCACAGTACATGCAGGCGAACGGTTTATCGCCAGTATGCGTTCGTAGGTGCGCCTTTAGGACTCCTGACTGGGCAAATCTGCGACCACAGAAGTTGCACTGAAAAGGTTTATCACCTGTGTGTGTGCGGAGGTGATTTTGGAGAGTGGAAAAATGCGCAAATTTCTTGCTACAGTATCGGCAAACAAACCTTTTCTCTTTCGTGGTAGGTGCAGAGTAATCGGTCTGCACTTCCTGCGTGTGAATGAGGAAGGTGTGATCTTCTGAAAAAGACCCATTACGCTGTTGTGTCTTTTCGCTTTCTGCCTCCGTAGTGACGGTGGCTTCAACGGAAGTAAATGATTTGTTATAGGCCGGTTGAACTGTGTCTTCTACGGGGCTACTGGAATCACATCCCTTGCCTCCAGGGGATGATGGTTGAGTTTCTGAAGGTTTGTTTGGCGCTTTACCCTTTGCTGTAATTCCGCGATGATCAAAATGGTAACCGTGGAGCTCACCATGTGCATTTGTAGCTGGAGTACTCCACGAAGAATCTGCGGCGCTGGGAACGCTGCCCCTTGACGGATCACATTGGCCGAAAGACGCTCTGTCATAACTAGAACCAATTTCCTCAAAACGTCCAAGGTTACCTACTGGACCAATCATCCATATGGGGCCGTGCCAGTGTTGTGGTGTAACGCCATTGCAGCCATTGTTGAAAGAACTTCTTGTGGCATTTGAATGTATAAAGGGCTTCTTCGGCGACTTTGATTGGCCATGTGAATTTGTTGGATATGGAATGAACTGGGTCTGTTTGTGCCTAGCTTCCAGTTCACGAGGTGAAATGACATGCGGATGGCGTGGAAACTCAACGAACTGCGGGTAATTTTCGCTGGACGGGTCGCTGTTCCGTCTTTCAGGAAATGAGGTACCCTTTGGTGGATACTTTCTCAGAGCGAATTCTTTGCTGCATAATACTTGTGTTGGTGAGTTTCTTTGGAACACATAATCGTGTCTTGTAGGAGAGTGCCGTTGACCAAGACCAGTGTCTTCTTGGGAGAAAATCTTTCTACCATTACCATAAACTCTGAAAATTTCTGTTCTTTTTTCACATCTGTCTTTAGACACTGATGCATCGCCCTCGGGCTGGTATGAGAACCTTTCCTGATAAACGTTTTCACGGCAGGAAAATTCCTTGTGGCGAGTCTCCAGCTGTGAATTTGGATGCCGATAGGTTTCCTTTGCTAGATGTGGATCATCAGTTCTTAATCTCTGAGGACGTGGTTGTCGGCTCTTCCTTTTCCTACTCCCAACAGCATTTTCCCGTTGATGAGAACAAGCTTGGAAGGTACTCTCGTCGCAAACTGGTTTATGGCGTACTTCAGTCCCTGAGGAACTTGCTTGGTAATGGTCAGTCTGGCAAAATTGTCCTGAACATTCATAAGTGCTGGTCGAGTCCTGGTTGCATTTGATATCTTCTTCTGATCCACGAGTATGTTGGCAAACCTTCTCGACTAGAATCCGTCTCTCTTCGTAATAGTCGTGAATTTCAAGAGCACGACTACCCCCATGTTGTACGTGCTTGGTATACCAGTTGGGAGACGTCTCTTTTGACTCCTGACCATCGTGCACGGAGGAACGAGTCACTTGGATATCATTTGGAAAACGCGAAGTTTCTTGATCGGAAACACCGGGTGAAGCTTTAACCTGTGGCTCCAACCAAGGGCCATGGTCTTGCCGTCTCTCGCGCCCGCTTTTGAATGTTTGCTGATTAGGATGCCAGGTGCATCTTGTTTGAGGGTGTGGGGATGAAATTTCTCTGCCAGGTAAATTCTGTTCTTCAAGGTCAACTGGCTCAGAGGTTGGTAATTGGTCTACAGGACGCTTTGGTTTTTTTACTATTAAATCTTGTCGACCATGGTGTGATTCTGTGCTACTTCTTGGGCAGTAGACCGGTGGACTGCATGGAAAATCTTTGTGACTTTCCAAGCCACAGCAAATGGATTCGTGTTTCTCAGGAGAATTTCGGTGATAAGAACAGCGAAAAGGACCAGGTACTTCCTTCCCATCCTCATTACCAATGTTGGTTCTTAGGTCAGCATTTTGCACTTCCATGAATTGGGGATCTTCCGTCGTTGTAGACTGCAAGGCTGGAGGTAAAACAGAGAGACTGTAACACTGGACAATTACTGGAGTGCATTCGTCACTTTGGCTTCCACTCTCTTGAGAATTTTCATGTGAAGAATCTGCAAGGTAAGAAGTGTACAATGCCTTCAAATGGCTAGTTTACTGAAGATTTTTCTAAGTTTGTTCAGATCTCATTTGTAGATGTTACTGTATAATCTAACCGACAGAAAACACTACAATCCCAAAAACTCAACTACTTTATAAAACGGCGAGTAATGTTCTTAACAAGGAAGCGACTCCTAAAAGCAGTACAATACTTATCGTTAATAAACTTAACTAAGCACACCACAGTCTATATCCTAGCTAACCACTGACACAATCTCACTGCTGTCTCCAAAGTTCCTTGAAGTGAGCAATCTTCCGCAGTAACTCTCTCTCGGTATGGCTCTCAAAACAGTCGTCGCTCCGACAACAACAACTACTTCTACTACTACATAAGAGAGTCTTCATATATATTCACAAAGTGTTCTGGAAGCTTACATGAGAACTGTCTTAGTAGTATTACCTAATGAATGTGTGATTTGATGAAATGTTCTGGAAAGTTTTATGGTATGCAAGTCAGCATGACTCAGCAGTCTGGAAATTTCTATAAGCTTATATTTACAAAAAATACTCAGAACAATGAATTATTTCATCTTAACATTACCATAGTCTAATTCCAATTTTGCCTCAAATACCCATCTCAATTGCAAAAATATGAGCCAGCAAATCTCATTTCTGGTGTCTTTACCCCTTTGTCATCCATGCATAGTAAAGTAGACAGGTGATAAGGGAAAAGGGCAGACTTCTTAGAGGATGTTTTCAATTTGACGACAAATGTCAAACGGAAGGAGGATATTTATGGGAAACGACAGAAAGGGTTGAATTGTGCAATGTTATAACAACTGAAACTTTGTTCCCTTTTCTTATTACCCAAGGCCACACACAAACAAACACACACACGCAACTCGAATTTATCGGAACATTTTTCTGACATTCTTGATCTTGATGGAAAATTATATTTGTATGATGATAGATAGGTAAAAGTGCGCTTCGTGGAGATAAAGCGTCACCCTGTTTAGCTGAAAACATTTTCCTAACATGCAACAGTTACTTCATAAGTAGGGTAAGAACCAGGAAGTGTTGGTATATACGCTGTACCAAAATGTCTAGCTACTAGTCATAAAATCCACCGTAATCGTATTGCCAATGAATGATGAAACTGAAATTTTCATTTCGCTGCGAAAAACCCGTTGTCATATTATAGCACTTTGAGCAAACATATTTACTTGTTTGAAATTATAATAGGCTGGAACCTACAATTATTACACAAGGTTTTTCTCAGCCGGTTTTGCCTGAATCTATCCTTATATAAATTAAACGTTTGAAAGTGCTACAGAAATAGCTAAAAGAGTATAATTTCTTGTTTAACTTTTACAAACGGTTAGAGATTTCATCCAACTCAAGTGTGCTCTTTTTCTCGCAAAAGGACAAAAGTTTATATGGGAGGAAAAATTTCTAGGTATGACACTTACTGTGAAGAGCTTGATTGTCATATTCCGAGGGTTTCTCGAATCCCTTTTCCTTAAAGGAGGGAAAAAAGAATGAATTAAAACGATACAATCTTAAATGAAAATAGACGCGGCAAGGTTGTCAAATCTTTTATGAGGCCTTGTAAGAAAACAAACAACTGCAAACGAATATTAACATTTTTAGGTTTAAATTAGGTTTAAACCTAATTTCAGTTGCATTTTTATCTTCATAAGCCAAAGTTACTCACCTCATTGAGATGTTCTGGTCCATTAGGCGATTTTACGGGTGATGACCCCAATTTGTTCCGGGTACGAAACTTCTCATGACGATAGTTATTCAGTGGAGATAAATTTTGGTTCAATCTGTCATCTTGAGATGTCGAGGGTGGACGTGTGTGAGTTTTCTCGTAAACTGCCCCAAACGCATCATTTCCATTTTCAGTTGAAGTTTGAGCAACAGCGGTACAGCTGCTGGAACCTGTGACTCCCTTCTCTGGTTGATCATGGACAACTTTTTGCTCAGAAATCGGATGTTTACTCTTCAAAGAATGTCGACTTTCAAGATGCCAGTTGGATCCTCGAATACGTTTCGGATCATCTTTCTTATTTAAGTTTCTGTCGACTCGTATGGTGATGTTATCTTCAATATCCCCACCTTTGTGTAAAGGAGCCTTAGGATCGTTGGTATAACTGTCATTCCTGAAGCAAGTCTGTCTGGCATGTTGTTGATGATAGCCTGAAAGATTTTGGCACAGATCCTTGTGCAATGGCAGTTCATCTTGATGAAGAAGTCGTTTCCTTTTCTCGCGTTCTTGATAGTTAACTGTTGCGGAGAGGGAGTTCTTCTTGGTTGTGGTCGTTCGTGAAAGGTGTTCTCCAGGACATGGAAAACTCATAGCAATTTCATGACCGTGAGAGTGGTCTTCTCTCGTGTCCCTGTTGATAGATGTGTTCTGCTCCTGAGCTTTGGTGTCTAAGTTCATGGAAGTATTGTACCAGGCTCTCTGATTCCATTCTCGAATCATTTTTCGGCGTCTGTCAATAGGGCTACGTGAAGTCTGATCAATGTTAGAACATCGCACACAATACGAGCCATACAAATCGGGTTTAAAAAATATCTTGTCGCTATCCTGATATGATGAAGTACAATTACCCTGCTGGACATGCATCACTTTTAATCCGGGTGGTTGGAGGAGATTTAGAAGAACTTCTCTGCTTTGACACCTCGCGCCATCTCTTCCTTGAGGTTTTAAAACTGGTTCGTGGGATGTAGAAAGATGGCTGGATGATGAACCATCGGTGTGTGGCCCGTTTCTCCTTCCTGAAATGTTTGAGACGTCTCCATGATGCTCCAGATGTGAGTGCTTGGATCTTGAATTATCATCTTGACTAATTGTATCCGTGCGGTTCATTGTTCTCCTCCTATACTGTTGGCCATGTTGCTGTCCTGAGCTTCACCCTGAAATACAGAGAAAGTGATGCATATATTACCCTTGATAATTTCTATGGTGATCAGCATAAAAATTTGATCTCCCAGTATCCAAAAGTGTATTAACAAAGCCGTAAAACAAGTAGTTGGGAAAATAATCTTAACACTGCCATTTAGCTATTCCTCTGTCAACTTACAATGGGGATAAACGAAATACCGATCTTAGATAATCAGTCGGTGAACTCAGAACTCTATTAAATGATAACGTGGGTGAGGAAATGGTTGCAAATTGGATAACCATTTTTGAGAGTTTTGCTGGAACGGACGGAGGAGCTGTGACAAGCACTCCACTCAGGCTTTTTCGGTGAGTTCTAAAAGATGCTCCATATGTTTTTAAACATCACCGTCATCATGGGATTACAAGAGAATACGTTTTGTGCGGTTAAGGTAAGTTTAATGCGTTAACCGTTGCGCCAACTGTTGAAGAAATTTCGTCTCAATTACCTTTATTAACTTAATATTTTTCGCGGTAACAATTGTAGATTTTTTTGAAGGGGTAATTTAACTCTTGCTCTAATTTTGTTCGCGTCGATTTTTTGCATATTTCGCAGTTTTTCTTTGGAAACTATGTCACTATTGGTTTGCAAATTTTCGGCGAGGTTCTCTCGAGTTTCTGCAATTTCCCTAAATTAAAAAAAATTTGCATATTTTGAAAATAAAATTTTAGTGAACTATTACAAAAGCACGGTAGGCAGAGGATATTGCAGTTTTCCTGTCATGCCACTCACTGTGACGTTCAGAAGTACAAAAGTATATTAGCGATAAGATTCGTTCTAATGTCACACCTTAATTCCTAAAGTATTGCCATTATGACCATCACTTTTTACATTAGTAAACAGAAAATACGAAAACAGGGAGGATACTCATTAATAATCAGTGTCAACTATTGTGTAAAAGGATGTAATGTTTCCTATTTTTTTGGCAAATTGCATCCTAGGCCAGGCCAAAGATAAGAAACAAAAGCATATTTTGCCACTCTCTAAAAATCAAAATAACTTCATTTCAAAACTTATATCTTTGTAGCGGTTTTCATTTTGTCCTTTGTCCTTTGTCCTTTCCTCCTTTGTTGGACCTAAATTTACTATTTCTTGATAGTTAGGAAGTTAGATATATAAATATAATCAAAACGAAAATAAATTTGGTCATTGATGCAAGTCCATGGCTAAATAATTCAGTATTAGAGGATTTCTTCACAAATTGCTATTTTTCATTTGTTAAAGGAGGACTGTAACTCAAAAGCATATCTCGGAAAAATTCGAGATGTTTAAAACTCCATTATTCACAGGCTTTTAGGATATCATCTTCGTACCGCGACAAATGAAGATATGGATACTTGATTAGTTTCTGCCTGCTATTTCACAACCATGCATACAGAGATTCTGTTGTCACAGCGTTTTCTTTCCTGTAGAAACCCAACTTTTTGGACTGCTACCGAACACTACAGCTGGTTTTTTTTCATTTTCAAATTTTAACTTTTGATTTTCAAAACTCAAACTCTTTAAGCTTCGATTAATATCAAGACTTAAGACTCAAGTGAAACCTCCCTTCTATTATTCAGAAATACAAGAATGCTTTGTGCCTGGCAAAAGTCTGGGGATGTTTATGCGGAAATGATAAAAAAAAGTTTATAATTCCATTTTTAGGAGGTACTAACAATCATCACCGCTGTTCAAATAACACATATACTAACCTGGCCTAGTCTACATATTTTATTGTGAATTTCCCGGTAAGTTGAAGTCAAGAATATTTCAAATTTCGGCTGACTTTTAAATAAAACAATCACTGGATCGAATAAATGTTCCAAGGGTAATTTCAATATTTTTTCATAGATTTGTTTATTTAGCTGCAGCTACTGTAGCGACCATGTAGCATTCACGACGCTTCAACAGATGTTAACTCAGAGTTTTCAACTTTTTAAAAATAAACGCAAAGATAAAAACACTTCTGCTTTCATATATTTGATCGACAATTTCCAAAGTTATGTCTGTTCTTATTTTTAACTTATTTCGATATAAATAGAGCATAGAACCATAAAGTTCCTTGTTTGAAGGGGATTAATATTTGACTCTGTATCATTATCCAAAATCAGCACTGAATAATTTAAGTAACAATTGCAAACACTTTCTTCCTTTTGGTATATTTGCTTTTCGTTGGAAGATATCAGCCTCTGAGGAAAATGCAACAACAAGCTTGATTACTACAGTAATCCAATATCAATTCAATGCATGTAGGCTTCAAAAAAGTTCATTTTAACCACGTTTCGTGTACGAGTTTTCTGATTTAATCCCCGTGGAAGACATTTGACGTAGAAGCGGTTTGAGTCAGCTGCGCCTCAAATATAGCACTGAAACCCGTTTTGAAACTAAAAGTGCAATTCACAAGTTATTTCAGTTCCTTTGTCAGTCTCGACGAAACAAATCAATGTTCTTTTGTTGCTCAGAGCTTTACACGGAGACACGGAATTAAGGTTAAGATTGGACTTTAAACTGACGTGAGTCAACATCGCTGGTTTCTTTTAGGCTCCAAACACGTGTAAATTGCAAAAGAGTACGGAACTTCGGTAGTTTTGAAGAAACCTTCTTAATAAAGTCAAGTCGCAAAACGCAAAAAGATGAGGTGAGATTCTTGTAACGAATATCAACAGTATTGATAAGCCGAAATAAATTATCCACTTAAAGAAAACTCGTGAGAATACAGGTTGGTCGGATTCCTTTACGCTTTCGGTTCTTTTTGTCTTGAACTACTGAGGTGGTGTTTCTGCTAATCAGTGTTTACCCGCGGTAATTTGCCTTTCATGCCATTAGCTGTCTTTCTATATTTGCGGCGAATAAACATGGAATCAACTTGTTCAAAGACGCGCCTATCAAAGTGGATGCCTCCTAATCCTCGCTGTTATTGCAACTGGAGAGATCATAATGTTCAACTATCGACTGAAAAATCGGAAAAGTGATCTAATTACTCCTACATGAGTGTACATTGAGTTCTGTGATTCATTTATGCTCGCAGAATCTTTCTAGCTTGACCGCCTGAGATGTGTGGTAAACGAATTCGCCAGACCGTTTACTGTTAAATCGATAGCCAGCTAGCCAACTTTCACTAGCCAGTATAAATCAGTCCTCTGAAAAATTTAGATTTTGCTTATGAATAAGACGCTTAACTTTCGATTAAGACTCTTCGTTGGAATCGATGTCTTGTTGTTAACAAAGTAGTCACTAAAAGTGTTATGTGCTCTTTATTGTAGATTAGTAAATTTATGCCAAGTCTTTCAGACACCCGTGATTTATTAAGCGTTTATATGAATGCAAGAAACACGACGACGAAAGCCAACAAAAAAAATGTCTTTAAATATAAACTTTGCTCTTTACCTGTGTGTGAACAGATTATAAGACATTGATAGCGCCAATTTTGGAATTGCAGTTGCTCCAAAGCACGTATTATTACCCTGACAAAAATCGTTTCGCCAAATTGATACCTAATTTGTTATTCATCGGAAACTTCAATAAAAACGTGGCCTACCTTAAGATGCATTCCCTTATTATACCTGATTGCATTTCTTGTCACTCTATCCCCTCCCCCTGAAAACAACGCGACCTACCTTTATGCTTTTCTTTAAAGAGAAGGCACTTGTTTGAACAGGTAACACTGCCATTCAATTCAGCGAGCAGGGAAAAAGTCGAGTCTAACGCCCATAATAACATGTTAGCGAGATAGATGTGAGCACTGTGGTTTTCCGCCTTGTTCGCTGAGCCGTGTTTTGTCTTAGTGATATTCTAATGAGGGCACTCGAAAAATTCTCTCATTGGCCAATTTGAGAAGATCAGTTGGGGGTACCGTAGATCACGTGCCGTTGCTACAACAACAACTGAATGGAATTTGGTTCGATAAAGAACCAAATTTTGAATTCAATCCAGTTAAACAAACAAAAAGGTAAATTTTCGCCTCGTAGTTCTTCCTTTCGCCATAACTTGCCCAATATTTCAAACAGAAGGCGAACTACTTGGCCCGTAATTGTGAATTCTTGCGTACAGGCAGCGTTTTGTCGCACACGAACAATTACTTTTTGCTATTTGTCCACTTGACAGGCGGTGTAACAATGGATTTTTCAGCACGACAGATCAAGGCCGCTTTTAATGCTTTTCACAAATTGCGTTTGCAGTGCAAGGATGTCACGGGAGCTCTTTGGGCTGCACCTTCCCTTGTTAGGATCTCTTTCAAATCGCACTTTGACTTTTCTGAACAGTAACAGGTGCAACTTTAAGACAGAAACAAGGAACCATGAAAACTGTCGAAAGCCATTGTCTGCGAGCTCTTTGAATGATTCATGAAAAGTGGCGATTTGCATGCAAAATTCTCTGTGTTCTTTGTATAACGCGCGGTCTGTTGAGTGTTTCAAAGTGGTTCTGTTTCTTTATCTGTTTTTCAGTTTCGCACATCGAGTAACGATAAATGTTTGCCACAGATTAAGGGAACTGTCATCGTTCACCAAGTCAGTTATCTAACGGTTTATTTGTTCCGTCACTTTTGGCTCACAGCACTGAAATGTTTTAGAACAAACTAGTCTTCTTAATTACTTTTCGAAATGCACCCAAATAATTAACCGAGGTTCTTGCAACATATGTTATTCATATATTCTCTAAACGTAGGACTCATTAAGTCAATATATTGTCTAGAAGATGGTTATTCTTTGTACCTAGGAGTTAAAAAATTGTTTTGTCTTGCTTCCCCCCTATGGTAGAGCAATTAGGACGCGGTCACGTATTTTAACTAACCTTCCTCGGGTCTTGGACGCAAACAAACCATCAAAAATATTACAATTGCTTTGAATGTGTCTCTTCCGCGTAACAATCTAGAGGAGATGTCTGCCTCAATCAAACTTGGTCGATAAAGTAACATCCATGTGATACAGGGCTCCTGTGTTTAGCAAAGTATCAACAGCTGTCTATATAAAAAAAAAAGGGATACGAAAAGTGGCTATGAAAATAGGAACTCGGAGATGTTAAAAATAGCTGGTACCCGTTGAAAACTGCCTACAGGCAAAAGTGGAAGGAAAACCAATCTTGAACATGCCTCAGTGCCACGCGACTCAATTTTGATAAGGAAAAAAAACTTGAAGTTTTAGTATTATTATTTTTTTCCTTTCGTTGCGTGCCTTCAAAAGCAAACATTGACTCTTGGAAGCTATTTCCACTGTTGGGCAGAAACAGACACCGTTTGAAAATATTTTCATTGTAAATTATTACCAGTTCGTCATGGGAGACCATTCGGTTGCGCGCATGAATTGGTCTGAGAATAACTTGCATTTTCTAGAAACTCGTGTTAGGAGTTTGTGTCACGCATTAGAAACCATATCTTTCTTTTTTGTTGTTTGAAAGCTGCCATTGGCTATAAAAAGGCGTAAATGTTAGCTTTTTTTTTTGAAAATTAACTCTGATTCAAGATGGATTTATCCTCTTGGAAGACGAAATTTTCATTTTAGCACGACTTATTTGGACTAGCAGACGTTCACAGCGTGTTGTAGCTTTGTTGAATCTTCGAGCTTATTCTCGTGGGTTTAAAGTGTAGCTTTTGTCGTTGTTTAGGTTTAGGTTCTGTGTGATCGACACCCGACAATTAAGAGTTCTCGCTTTGCAGAGGTTTTTCAATTTGATATCACACAAATGTCACGATGATAAGGTTAATTATAATAACAAAGTAATATTACCACTGTCTGGTATTACGGCTGTCTCCGAGTAGAACGAGTTTTCCCGATGACACGAACAGTACCGAGAGGTCAACACGGTGAAAAGAATAGGTGATATGTGGTCCTTTTTCAATAAAAGTGTTTCAAACCAAGGACGAACAGCACCGTCAATTACTCCAGCTATGTGAAACCTGCCAAGTGTTTGACTTGAACTGATTTCATTTCCAAAGGCAATAACGAATCACAATTTGATTGACGGATTCTTGAAAGCTTTAGTCTTAGGTGCACTTGCGATATGATACAATTGAAAAAAACTTTTCAGTTTGAAAACAGGAAATTCGCTACATACCCTCTTCCGTCGATTTTTAAGATTATTCGACTCACAGTCTAGTACAGTAAATATTTCAGTACCTTGAACTGTTCGCGTACAATTTCGATGTGAACTCTCGATAATACGACCACCAACGGGCTTCTTTTGTCTTAGTCGAAGGCGTTTACTCCTTATTACAGACAACCTGTTGTTACGAACAGACTTCAACGCCGGACTGTCTTTTTAGCCAGCCTTAGCTCCATTACGAAATTGATTCCCTGATAACAGTAAGAGGCTGATAAACCAGTGGCCAGTGATTGGCGCGTTAAGATTCAAGGGTCTTTAAGCGAAGTTTTGGATGAATCTCACATGATTTTAAAATGAATGAAAGGCATGCACTCAAAGTAAACCTTTAGTATAGGAATATTTCGGTATCTAAAACTGTTGAATTTCCACTACAACCCTGAATATTTCACTCACATTGACCAGGCGTTACTGTGTTACCGTTCGATCAGTAGAACTTTCTATGCAACATTGTAAATGATAAGGTTGAAACACCCTTTAAATTTTTTTTAACCATTGTAGTTTGAATAGAATTCCTTCAAAAACTGATGTGATATCGGGCAACACAGGCTAAATAAGAGTTTCTTTGCCTTCAGGGCAGCCCATGCTATCTCATATCTCCTGCACAACTAAATATAGAGTGGAAAGAAAAGTGCCCGAGTATCTTTCTGTTTCCAAGGAAATGAAGCCAATATAGAAAAATGTCTGTCTTCCCTGTCTTCGCATGAAAAGCACAAACTTACAGAGTACAAAATATCAGTGTTTCAGTCTTGATGATTATGATGAGAGCAGGTAAGTTCCTTCCGACGCCCCGAAAAAGAAACACACCCTACTGCGATTGTGAGTTTAGGACAGGGAAGGAAAAAAAACGACTAGTTTACTGAAAGAACAAAAAAAACAAAAAAAAAAAAAAAGGAAAAAACAAAACTGAAAAACGAGCCATTATCATATATTGCTGATCAGCTTGAAAGCTGGCTTTTACAACTGTGCGTGAGGTTTCCCAAATGAAACATCGATTGTATCATTAAAGGTCAGTCCAAATTTCTGCTAATACACAAACTGTTTATTCTTTTATATCTGATGAAAATGTCAATCGAGTCAGTTGATAGCTATCACCGAAAACTCCTTATGATTAGGCTAAGAACATGAAAGTTTGACACGCAGCAGTCGCCATTGTTTTCACTAAGGACTTCGACCCGAGCACGTAGTTTTGTCTGTCTCGTTCCCAGTCGTTCGCTCGCTTGGAATCAGTAGGGCGGGCGTTAAGGTAAGACAGCGGGGCTTCTCTTTAAAAAATTCTCATTTTTTCAAGGTTTTCTGTTATTGATGTATTTATTTCCTTTTTTGCGCAAAAAATGAGGAGAAAACACAAACGATTTTCCGCTGATCGGATAATGAAATTACAGGAGTGAACTTTGGACAAGCTCAAGAAGTTCACTCACTTATCACACTCGACTTTTCGAAAGAAAGCCATGTCAGTGGAGTAAGTAAACACTTTACCTATTTGTATCTTGATGGCCATAAACTGATCTCAGCAGATTCAAATTGCAGTACCCCTCCGAAGGATGATGAGGAAGAAAAGAACACTTTGTACTACGTGCAACATGCCGGAATTAAGCGCTTAGATTCTGTTTCAAAGGCTCAAAATTTATAGCAAATAATCCTCTGGCAACAAAATATTACGTAAAGCATTGCAAGCCAGTTACGTATAGATTTCGTCGGCAAAGTTTTTGTTGTTGCAAAAAAGTGGACAAATTCCTGCCTTATGCAAAGGTAGTTTAGCCTGCAACAAAAATATCAGAAACGCGTTGATTTTCATTTTTGGCAAGTGATTTTACAAATGCGCACCTTTGCTAAATAGTCGAGACATCCACGCGCTCAACAACATGCCTCCTGTATGTGCATCAGCATGCCACAGACAAACTTACAGCCCTTTAGAATAGAGTATTGGAACACGAATGTGCCATTGTAATTAGAAAAGATTAGACACTGACTACCTTGACTGATCGGCCAGGTTTTCTTCGTCAAATTATAGTAGTGGAATCGCCAATATGCGGGCCAAATAAAAAAAGCTTAACACTAAAAATATGTCTGACAAACCTCAACACTTATTCACCCCTCCCCCCTCAAAAAAAAAAATTGTTGGAACAGAAAAGAAGTACTGCACTTCAATGGCGCATCAACCAAAACATATTCTGCGGGGTGTTCACCGAAACAAAGTCACTTACACAAAGTTGCTCTGGGAAAGCTCCGTTAAGAAAGTACGGTGAGTAAAGAAATTGATAATGATAAAAAGATTCACCTTTTCTGGATATCTATTGAACTGTTACGTAAAGTTTTTCTACGTCCGCTCGACGAAAATGAGCAAATTTCTCTGAAATATCATTGAACGAATTGTTCAATCTTGGAACTGAAAATAGTTCGCAGGGATGAGACGGGACGAATTGATGAATTGACAGTTTCGAGGCGATGGAGATAAAACAGAACTTGAAGGAAAAATTCGTTACAAAAAAAAATAAAGGCACCCAAAACCACAACGATGCCAACAATTCAGTGTTCATTCATTTTGAAACAACGATCTGAACTGGAGCCTAGGATGTTTTATATCACTGAACTCAGTTGGATTATTCAATTCTCCCCCTACTGGCCTATTTTAGAATTGTTTACAAGGTATTTCGTCATTGTGTTGCTAAAAAATTCAGACAAAACCAACCGAGGTAGTTTTAGATAGGATGAATTATGAAATCACTATGGAGAATAAGCTCTGAAAACTTACTTTCAGCTTTGAAATCTTTGTTTCCTCATTAGCTACTCTGTGTTTTTGGTAAGTGTCACAATTTTGATACTTACATTTTTTCGGCTGGTTGAATCATAACTTTGTTTTCGTTACACCGGAAGAATAAATGTTTTCACCTCAGTGCCGTTCCTCTTGCAACTACAAAGTTCAGAGTAACCTTCGATCGTCAAGCCCTATTAATAGAACAACAAAAAAAATGTTTGTTTTTCGATCAGTCCATCTTGATCACGCAATCTAAATCGGACAAAGTCCAGTTAATCGATGAGGAGGCCTTTTCAACTGAGAGTAAGGGGTTGACCACATTGATTTACATGGTCACGTCGAGTTTAAGGTTTGGGGCCTAAACCACCGATTTGGTTCCTTGATTTTACAGCTTCCATGTACTTGGAACAAATAGGATTTACTAAAAGGAAGCCTTTCGAGTACAGCAGCCAAATCAGGACCTAATCGGGACGATTTCGCCAAACTTTCAGGTCAAGAATAAATCCTTGAAAATTATCAGATATTTTTTAATATTGTAATAGATACTCGTTACATTGACTATTAATTTCCGTCGTTTCAAGAACAGGAAATGGATCATTGTGTATATATCAGTTGCTTCATGTTTTTTCCGATCAGATGGGACAGAAAAACGGGGAATAGACAACAAAAACGATGATCAGAGCTGATTCAAATCTAATAAAACTTGTCACTGAGTTGAATAACGCACGTGATCAGCGCAAGACAGCGTGACGGCTTATTTTCTAGCATGTGATGTTGTTGGCCTAAAGTCGGAATCGAGACGGCGAAATGCATAAGGAACGAATTGGTGTCGCGGGAACTGCCAGATCTTAATTACAAACGTCTCCTTTTGGTGCATCTCTTGGGAAAATGGAGGGAAGGCATCGCATTTGATAGGTCAGCGGAAGGCGACATACTGCGTATGCCGTCATATAAGCAGGAGAAGGAAATGGCGGTCTGTTCATTTGTCCTTAGCTTATGTCAACCAAGGTTAGTGTGTGGTTTTTAGACACCTCTCTTCAAGTTCGTTTTGTGCAAAGGTCGTGTTTTCTTTTAACGTCAACAGTTTCAAAAACTTTTGCAATATTTACCAGCGATCGCTCGAAAAACCGTTCATCAACAATGTGTAACACGTGTTTATTCCATGCGCACATCATAGAGGCCAAAGTTTAAGTTTAAAATGAATACAGATATTTTTCTTATAAGACTCATGGAAGAAAAAACGGCTTTGTAGTGCCTTGGGTGACTCTTAAGCTTTCTCAACCATCTCATCAGGTATTTATGTCGATAGAACGAACCCCAAAGTTTTAAAATATATGTCGTCGGCGTCATTACGTACAAGGTAGTTTAAAACTGATACTTTATCCAGCTCTTTCCTGAATCGGAACTTGCCAAGAGGATTTCTATTGTAAATACAAATATATTTGGAATACATATATATTTGAACGGCTGTACCAGGAAAATTGAAGGCGTCAATATTCTTAACAACAGTTTGAAGTAAACTTTTAGGTGAAAGATTTTTGAAAAAATTGGTTTGTCTGTTGTACGAAGCTCTTTGGCCCTACGTCGGTCTTGTGACGATCAGTTGAATATTTTCTCTATGAGGTCATGGTTAATGACTATCATCCACATCTCACTTGAGGAAAATTGCCCTTTAGGTCTTATGCTTGCAAAAAGAGTAAAAATGCTAAGCAGATTATACTCGTGATTTTCCTCTTTGTAGAAAGATTAGCCAATTTATATTAAAGTTTACTTATGTCTTTCCATGTGACGCATCCACAATTACCTGAGGGTTCCCTCCTGGGCCATCTTTAATTGACAGAGATATATTACATTGTCAAATAGATCAGAGACTTGAATTTATTTCAGGATTTATTTTAGACAGTCACCCTAGGGGATGTTCTCAGCAAAATAAAAATCTGTCTTCAGTGGTTTTTAGGTGTATTTTAAAAGTCCATTATAGGGGTGAGATGATTATATCTGCAACACCTTACAGGAAATTATGGTAGACATTAGCACAAACCTCTATTCCTTTGTTAAGTAATATTTTGGCTGCGAGAGAGCCCGATGATCATGTTTCCATATCTGGTACAAAAATGTTTGTTTCCAAGACAATTTTTGATATGTATGAGCACTCAATCTATGGGAGGGGACATATGGTAATTAATTTTTTGGCCAAAACAATTCAAATCTCTACATGGCTGAATTATGGTAAAACAATGTTCACTTTGAGAAAGTGAGACACACTTCCTGTTTTTCCTTGCAAGTAGACACGTTTCATCGATTACATATGACTTTTGTGGTTTTTTAACCCAACCACAGTTAAAATGCTTTCCACTGGCGGTCACCTAGTCAAGGGGAAGCTGAAAAATTAGTAATGTCTTTATGACGAGTTAAAAATATCAACACTGTGGGAAAATGAACAGAGTGACAACATTTTTAGTCTGCTAAAGAAGTTTTGATGTCTTCATGTCATCTTCAGTAGCAAATGTTTGTTGTTCAATTGGAATTCCCACTTCACAAATACTTCATGAAATCACCTAACTTTAAAAGATTGCAGTAAACCAATTCATAAACAATTTGAATAAAATACAACAGAAGCACAGAAGAGCAGTGGTAATATAAGAAATCAAAGTAAGCAAGAGAACAACAAAACAAACTATCCACAGTTATGATAACTGTCCAAAAAAAATCAAGATAATCAAAAAACAATTGAAAGTAAAGGATCAATCCTGTTGTTTTAACTGTTGATTTAGAGTTGATCTCTCCAATTAGTTATTTAAGGCCTTTTATTGTAATTCAAACAATTGAGGCAGCAGTATCCAAAATCATGAAAGATTCTGCAGAATATAAGTTAGGACATGCCTATAAATGTGAACAGCCTTTTCTGACATGAGTTGCTCACAGATGGGTGTACAAATGTGGCAAGTGATCTCAACAATGTAGCAGGCAATACAGCTAACACAACAAGTTTGCAAATCTGAAATTTATGCATGAAGGTAGAGCCTGTGGCATGGAATCTTTCACACCTAACATGTATCCAACCAGAGAGGTAGAAAAAAACTGACGTAATATTTAGATCAGGTTTCCAATAAGTGAGAGAGTAGTGTTCTTTCATTGTACTTCTCAAACATGGTCGTCATTTCCTCTGTTCTCATGATCTTAATGAATGATTCAACAATGTTGCTGTCAGGAGAAATTAGTTCCTGGTCACTCTTAGAGTTTGTAGGATTAAAGATCTGAGAGAGAATGAAACAATGTTTTTGTCAAGTTTTGTAAATCTTTTTTTCTTTTTTTAGGATAGAACTGGGAAAGGAGTTTTAACTGGTTTATAAGTACGATGGCACCTAAACACAGTATAAAGAAATTTCCTCTGATATGGTTGTGGCTGGTTACTGTCTTCTTAGCTAGTGGTGTAATCATCAACTGTGTTCAGCTTCTTTTGTTACCACTGTGGCTCATAAAAAAGAATTTGTTTAGGTGGCTCAATTTGAATTTGGTCTACCTACATTGGTGCCGTAAGTATTAAGGAATATAATTTTCCATAATTTATCAGTGAAATCCCTGAGGTGTTTATTTCCAACTTGGCTGGTGAGCCTAGTGCTTGTATGATGCAAGTATTTAACTAGGGTGTGGTGTTTATCAATCAAGTGCAATTTTTTTAGATGATTTTTTTACTCTCCATCATCTGAGACCTAGGGTTAGGTGGACAAAATGTCTACATTTTTTATTGCATCCAGTTCCAGCAAACTCTCATTTACCCCTTTGCAAGTGCTGTTACTTTCAATTAAACAATCACACATATGGAATCAGTAACTGTGCTTTTCTATAAGTGAAATTACCTGTTAGCTTAGCATCAAATAAAGGCTGGGATCTTGACCCAATCCTGGGGCCTCAATTAAATGCTTGCACAGTTTTATTTCTGAATGGGAGGTTTTAATTTGCTCCATCATTGATATGAGGCTGGCATTTAACTGGGATCTAGTGTTTAGTCCAGAAATTGCACTGCATGGAACTACTTACAACAGATCAAACCTGTCATAACAGGTCCTTCAGTATTTTCAGGGATGATATGTGCTTCATTATTTATAATGTAACATTTATCCAGAAATTCTGTTTTTTTGTGAGGTGGTTCCTTTTAAAATCAGCCTTGACAGTGAAGGAAAAATGCTTTTTATGTCAAAATACTTTAGTTTGATAAAAATTAGCTTGTAACAGCAAACAATGAAAATATGAGTGCATGCCCTTTTGCACCAAAGCCTTCAAATATATTTGAAGTATTACTTGCAAATATAGAGAGGGAAAAATTACAAACTTGCCATTTTCATTTTGTTGCTATAATCTACCAAACTCAGGTTTGAATTTCTCCTTTTCAAAAATTAAGATCACAAAATTATACTAACATCTTCAGAGTGTCTCGCATATTTTGTCAAAGAAAGGTGTACAGTCAAAACTATATCAACCAGCACTATATTAAGTGGCCACCCTGTACTAAGCGGTTGATTATCAAAGTCCAGAACATTTTTACCCTTAATTAATAAAGTTAATTTTATCTCTAGTAGGTGGTTGTGGTGACCTTTCAGCTAGTGGAACCCCTCAAATAATACTAAGAAATATCTCTCAGGTAGAATTTAATTCGTTTTTCTCCCAAAATCAATGTTAGAGGCATTCTTGTTAATTTTATCTTGCACTTTTGCAATGATATGTAAATTGATCCTAAATTTGTATCATTTATTAGTGGTCATTTGTGAGTTGTGTTTTTGACTGTTCATTTGGTAATCTTACCTTCTGGGAATTTTTCCATCCTTGCCAACATAAACTTTGTTTGGCAATGAACCAGAGCTATATTGTTTGGAAAACACTACTTTCATGGAATTAAACTGGATTTTTCTGGAAGGTCACAAATTGTGCTGATTAAATTAAATTATTTAGCTTTTGTAAAAATACTTGGAAACTAAACTCACCAAACATTCGGTATTTGCTGTTTACTTGAGGGGCTAATTTTTTCTCTGGCTCATGAGATGTTTTTTTGATGCGGTTTTTTTTTTTTTGCTATAACAAACCTTTTTGTGTTGTTATTTAATTTGCATAATTTCCAGCCAGTTTGTCTGGAGTGTGGGTGTAGTTATTTTTATGTTGGTATTAACTCAACATCCCATCTGAATTGTTCATAGCTGGTAACAATCATCAGTTTTAATTGGAAAGTGCTACCAATATTTTAGCCAGATTATAAATTTTAACTTTTTTTCTCTATAAAAACCCTGCATTTCTCAAAAAAGCAACTAATAGGAAATGTCACATATCATTGACATTTATGTAATCAGTATAACGAATTTGAATCCTCTCTCTGTTGGGCACGAAAACAGCACTACTCCTAAAAGAACAAATAGGAGTTATCATTTGATTTATAATAACTCACAATAAAATTTGTAAACAAAAAAGACAGGATCTGACAAGCTGCAGATGCCTTCCTCTGTTCTTCTCCTGTCTTTTTTATTTTATTTTGCACCAATGAAAGTTCAAACTAAACACTTTTCAAAGGTTTTTTCCATTTTTAGTCACAATTGAACCTCAAATATCCACATTGGATAGTCCAGAGTCAGGATAATCTAACTATGAAGTTTAATGAGCCAAGAATAAAATGCATCACTCAAAAGAGATTACTTAGCAATATTATGAAGAATTAAAGCAAATCTCAAATTATCGTGTATAAACTGCTAACATTTGCCAAAAGTGTTTACAAAAAGTTATTAAAGCTGACCAAAACATTTTTCAGCAACTGAAAATGTTGGTGAAAATCAGTTTGTTTTGTTTTTCCTGCCATGTCAAATGCTTATTAAAACATTAAAAAAAACATTTGACAGCTTCGAAAAGTGGAATAAATTCAGTTCCAATGGGAGTTTAATCCCATGTTCTTTGATATAAAAAAAATTTGTTTCAATCTCAAATGTGATGTATTAATATTCATATAAAATTGGATCAGAGAAACAAGTCTGGATATTTGAAAAATCCAGATGATAGAGGTCTAGATAATCAAAGTTTGATTGTAATAAATTGCAGGCTCTGTGGTCATAAAGCATCTTTATATATAACTGTTTATCTCCCTAGGAGATATATAGGGACTTGACGAAAAAGTCCAGATAATCGAGAATATGAATATTAATGAGGGATAAACACTGATTAAATTAAGAAAGCATCATTTAATCATGAAACAAAACATTTACAAATTGGTTTGAAAAATATATGGTCTATACCTTCACTATCCATTGTGAATATCTCTACAGGTGTGTATTAAAAAATTTAAATTAATGAAAAATGTTTTAACATCAGCCTAAAATGTTGAAGTCAGTTTGTCTCAAAGAAGAACATTGTGTGTGCATTGAGAGTTCCATCATTCTTCAAAGCTGCATAATCTGGATAGTGTCAGCATTGTTCTGTCTTTCCATCTGTAATAAACACTTATTAAAACTTTCAATGGCTTCAGAGTTTAAAAAAATGTTCTCATCTTGGCCTTCATCTTCGTCATTGCTGCTTCTTTCATATTTGAAATAAGATTGTCCAACAACACTCTCTAAAATTTACTCGTTGGACAACTGTGTTGAATTTGGGTGCTCATTTTCAACACAAAGCCAGTCCTCAACATCAGGAAAAGAGAGACCTACACTGTTGGCAATATTCACGACAGAATTAGAACCAAAGATAAAGTCTGGATAATCGAGAAATCTGGATAATAATTTCTACTGTAATATGCAATTTATTCTTGCAAATAGTGTAATATGTTTTTTTTTTTGTTTTTTAATTTACAGAGTTAACATTCCTTGCTGATTGTTGGTCAGGTATGAATATCAAGCTTTATGGAACAAAGGAAGACTTTGACAAACTAGGAAAAGAGAGTGCTATCTGCCTGGCAAACCATCGCAGTGATGTTGATTGGTTGATTGGATATGCACTTGCTGAGAGAGTAGGAGTGCTGGCGGTAAATATCTGTCTGTAATGCGAGCGAGTGTGGAAGCTGTGGTGGCCTAATTGACACCAGGTTGAGAGGTTCAGGCTCAAGACTTGGACTGGTCATTGTTTCTTGTTCTTGGGCAAAACACTTTACTTTTAACCCTTTAACTCCCAAGATTTGCTTGTTAATTCTCCCTTCTAGTTGCTACATATTTCCTTGTAAATCAGTTATGAGAATTTAGTGCTAGATCAAGACAACAACCTCTACCTGATAAGTTGGAGTTTTCTCATTACCTGTTTGCAGGATAATGTGTGGATATTATAAGGAGAATTTCCATGTTAATCACTTCTGGGAGTTGAAGGGTTAAAGTGCCTCTCTGTAACCTGGAGCATAAATGGGTGCCATTGGATGGATGATGAAATTCTGGGCTGTAGCTGCAAGAGGAATAAGTAATATCCCTAGTTGCCTCATGCTATGGAAAGTGGAACTATGAAACTATGAAACTATGGCTGGATGGGCCTCTTGGCTTGAGTCCAGACTTAAACGTTACTGTGAGTGGGTGTGCCCTTATCTAGATTCAATCTACTTTACAGAGTGTGTCATACATCATAATCACAGAAAACAGAGAAATTTCTGATTGAGTATCGAAAATGATCACTAGATTGGTTTTTCTTTTCTTCACTCTGTGATTGGTTCAGATCACAGAAAAAAAAAGTCTGGGCTGTGAGTCCCATCTGTTAAACACTGGGCAATGCTACCCTCCCTGTCATCCTAAAAATAAGTAAGTAACTGAACAAGTACTAAATAAAGTGATAAATGCTAATGAAACCAGTAAAAGTCCAGAAAATTGAGTTTGGTTATTTAAATCAATGCTAGGCTGTAATGACATTGATTGGAAAATTTTGCAAAATTGAGGTAATAATTTTTTTTGTCACAGACTTGTAAGTGCTACATGAAGGGCTACTTAAAGTTTCTACCAATAATGGGATTCTCATGGTGGTGCACAGAGTTTGTCTTCTTACAACGAAACTGGCAAAAGGACCAAAGATTACTTGAGAAGAGTCTAAATACACTTCAAGATTTTCCATTTCCATTTTGGGTTGGTAATTATCTTTTAGTGTGAAACATAATCTAAGTGGAGATATTGGGAGATGTTGCTTAGGTGTTGTTGTTTAATGAAAATAAAAAATTAGTTGATGAGTAACAGATGCACAATTTTCCAAGACCAAAGTGTATAAGTTGGTTTTACAGAGGTTTGGTCGATGCTTGGAATTATTCAGTTTATTTTAAGCAAATTTCTTGGAAAGTGGGGATTATTTTAAACCTTCACATCCTAACGTCATTATGCATATTCTCCTTACTGTTCTCTAAACACTTCCTAAGTTGCTGACATGGAGAATTTGTTTAACAATCAAGAGCTTGAAGATTTTAGATATATGAAAATTCACATATTTGCACTGCGGTGGAAAGATGAAATTAGGAGATCCTCACAGCTAAGAACACTACTGAAACGAGTAGTTGTAAATAGGACCTGAAAAAAATTTCAGGCCCGTACGGGATTTGAACCCATGACCTCTGCGATACCGGTGCAGCGCTCTACCAATTGAGCTAACAAGCCAACTGGGAGCTGGTCAATGAATTGGGTACAAATAAACATCCAAGTGAATGAAGAGCTTCTTTAGTTGGTGATCATTTCCTTTATTCTTGCACCCTTAATGTGTGATTTGGTGTAATATTGTGAGGATAAATTAAATGTTTGTTGCTTATAGTGGTCAATTATTGGTTAAGGATTTGATTACTCAAAGTGACTTTTCTAACTCTTTGCTAATGACAATAAATACTACTCATAAGTAATTAGATAAAGTGGAAACCGTACCAATTGTTTCCACAGTTCTCAAATTAATGAGAGTTGAATAACCCTCTTTTTTTACTTTTAGATGGTCATTTTTGCAGAAGGAACAAGGCTTACAGAAGCTAAAGTACAGGCTAGTGTGGAATATGCTAGGGCAAATGGTCTGCCAGAATTAAAACACCATTTATTACCACGATCAAAAGGGTTTTCTGTTACTGTCCACTATCTTAGAGACAAAGGTACCTATGGAAAATGTTGAATTTCACTTCAGATTTCTACTTTGTTAAGAAAACTTTGATATCCAACTTTCTCTTTTTGAGGGCTATTTTTGGAGGTGTAGTCCGTCTTTGAACTTTTGGGTAAAGTGAAAGCCATACTCTTTGGTTCTAAACATACATGCAATAAAAATTACCCTTACACCCTTTTCCCCCAACGTAAACATTTCAGTTTGCTTTAGTGAGTAGTGAGTGATGATGATGGCCTTAGCATGATGGAAATTAAATGTCAACGGGGTGGTAGCAAACTGCTTGGTAACCATTCTCCCTCCTAAGGCATATGTGAGAAGGGAAAAGAGGATTGGGGCGTATTTCCCCATCAATGATATCAGGGGATATTAGTGTAGAGGACTCTGGAGGTCTCTATATGAAAGCCATGGTATGTGCCCCATTAATGATATCAGAGGAAATTAGTGTACAGGACTCTGGAGGTCTCTATAGGAAAGCCATGGTATGTGCCCCATCAATGATATCAGAGGAAATTAGGGTACAGGACACTGGAGGTCTCTATAGGAAAGCCACGGTCTGTTTGTGATTGATTTTATTTTGTTGTTGTTGCTGATGGTTTTTATGTTGTGATCTTATTTTAGTCCCTGCTGTATATGACATCGAAGTTGCTTTTCTCAAAGGAAAGGAACCAAACTTGATTAGTATGGTAAAGGGAGAAGCTGACGAGGTGCACCTGTGGGCCAGGTAATGTTAACGTAACATTTGATAAAAATGGAGAAAGATGGGTGACCTACCATGGACGGTGAAAGAGGCACTGGCCCAACGGTTAGCGCTTGTGACTTGGATGGGAGGTAGTGTCTTGTTCTAGGGAAAGACACTGTACTCTCACTCTGCCTCTTAGGAGGACGAACAGGCTTGTCACCAGTAACCTAATGCCGGTCTGTACTCTCTGCTTTTGTTTAATCCAGGAGAACTCCTATTCAAGACATTCCGTGTGACGATATTGAGGAAACTTCCAAGTGGTGCAGAAAGGCCTTCCAAAAAAAGGTATTAAAATTCACACTTACATCATTTCCGCTGATTTCGATGATTTACGTTTCCCTTCCCGATTTCTTATAGGACGAAGGAATGGCGTACTTCTTTGAACATGGTAAATTTCCAGCAGAAGAAATTGAATATGCTAAGAAAAACAGAAGTCTCGTCATAACGATGTTGTGGAACATACTCTTGGGTGTACCTCTTCTTTGGTATATCTTGTCTGTATTACTGTCTGGCTCCATTACCTCACTCTTAATTGCTGCCACAATTGCTCTAGTTGGTAAGTAAAAGTTTCACCGAGATTGATTTGAAATTCGTGACTAGTGAGTATATATCGATTAACAGAATTTTTTCTGATGACGTGCTCGTACTCAAACGAAGGGAAAAAAACAACTTGAGGCGATGAAACCACGTAGTCATACACTGAAGTTACCAACTCATGCAGCCCACACCAAACAAAGAAAGCGAGGAACACTTGCGTAACAATGTAACAAAGAACGCTTAACCTTAGTTTAACAGAAAGCAAAAGAAAACATAACGCGGCTTTGGTGTAACAATGGAGCAAAATCCAAAGCGCGCGCAGCTTTGGTATTTCATTGAACCAATAAAAGAAAGTGCGCAAGCGGCTATGGCGTAACGATGGAACAAAATCCAAAGCGCGCGCTGGCGGCTTTGCTGCAACAGTGAAACAAAATCAAAAGCACACTCAGCTTTGGCAGAACAATGAAGCAATAGAACAAGGAACGCGCGGTTGGCTTTTTGCAACAATGAACAAAATCAGATGTGCATGAAGCTTTGGCAGAACACTGAGGTGATGAAACAGAGCACGCGCACGCGGTTTTTTGCAACAATGGAACAAAATGAAAAGCGCAAGCAGCTTTGACATCACACTAGAGCAAGAAAACGGCACGCGCGGGCGGCTTTCTGCGTCAATGAAACAAGAAATAAAAAATGTACAAAACTATGGTGCAACAATTAAACTAAATCCAAAGTGTGCGCGCAGCATGAGCGCATCAATCAAACAAAATAAAGTGCCCCATTTTATGTAATAAATGAGCAAATTGCGAAGCACGTGCGACTTTGTTGCAACAAAGAAACAACATGTAAACCGCGCGCATTTTGATGCAACAATGAGACAAAGTAAACAGCACGCGCAACTCGATTTAAATTTAGCATAACGAGGTACAAGTTGTGCCCTAGTGTCTTTCCATTTCATCAAATGGCGTTTGCCGTCGTGGGAAAATAATCCCCCAAAATGTAAGTGTAAAGCTATCTAAGTAACAGGTGTAATTGTTTGTAATTCGTCTATAACGCGTTTTTCAGGTTTTATCATGATCAAAGTACTGCTGCACTTTAGTGACTCCAAGAAAGGTAGCAGTTTTGGATTGAAGCCTTCTAATGGTACAAGAAACACTACCCCACCAAATGGTGACACGGCCAAGAAGTTAACTTAGATTATAATGTTCAAATTGATTTACGGAGTTGAACAGCGAGATCTTTTCAAGGGAATTATCGAGAATCAGTTGTAACAATAGGTTCCTTTTACACATTTTTGATACTTAAGAGGGAAACGCATTTGATATTATTATGCATTTTGGTCTTTCCAAAAAAACAAACAAAAATAAAACAAAATAAGATGTTACAAAAAGCAACAAAAATGTTTGGTGTTTTCAAACTTGTTAATTTCCATGCCTGTTGAGGACCTTTCCAAGATTTTTTCTGAGGGATATTTTCCTCGATCTGGGATGAAGGAGGAATGCAGACTCAAAATAAAGTGAAACAATTATTTAGTGACGGTATTTCTTGCTTTATCATCCCCATAAAAAATCTTGACAAGTTCTTTCCCGAAAGTAGTGTCGGTAGTTAGGGGAGGTTTGACTGCAATCGATTTCAATAAATACCAGCTTGTTGCCTGTTGTTCATTAATTTATTTATTTATTTCCGTATCTTAATATGTACGTTATCAGTCAACACAGTTCTCTTTGTCAGCTGTGCATTGCAATTCCTGAGGTTCCTTTCAACTTCTTGTTTTTCCTGTCTTCCGGATGGCTCCGCTTGATTTCTTTAGTCGCTTTCATGGGCTCTATAATCGTGCCAATGAGAGTCGACACACGTGGTTTTGTCAGTTGATTGAAAGTTGTGCTTGTGTTCCAGTGCTTACCCACAGGATTCCGCACGCTCCTTTCAAACTGTACATGGTTTCCGTAAGGATGGGGAACCGAGGAAACCTGAAAGAGAGTAAAAGGGATTTGAGATGTCACTTCCTAACTGCCTATAAGAAATTCTGGAAGAAAGAAGGAGGAGGGCCCAAGACTTGCGATCCGACTAGCAGTTAACATCTCATCGAGGAGCCAAAGGGATATCAAAGTAAAGTGAAACTGCCTGAGACGCGGGAAAACGCGAGTGACCAAGTTAGTTGAGAAGATGGCGGGAGTTTTTTGAACAAATCAATGGGTGAATAAAGACATGACGACGACGAATCAGAAGAAAGGAATACTTTGAAAAACTAATAAGAACTTTCGTTAATGACAACCAAACTGCCTAAAGCGCAGGCGACAAAGTCGTGATTGGTTTTGGTCATACATCTGACCAACCTCCGATTACTTTCAACACTCCAATGAAAATCGCTCTAGGGACCAACTTAATCGCTAATTACTTCGACGCCCCCCCCCCCCCTTCCCAATTGAAAACTTCCCTAAAATCGAGCCTTACCTGATTCCTACTGAACAACTGGCTCTTCTCTTCATTAATAATCACGTGCGCCAAATTCTTGTCCTTCCGGGGAGGGGCTGGGTCGGCTTTCTTGATAAACTTCTCCTTTTTTTTCACAGATGGTTTTATACCTGCCCCAGCCCAGCTTCCCCAACCAGGCAGACTCAGGTCTACATCTTTTGGTGTGGAAGCCTCCTCTATCTCCTTCTTTTCCTGAATAAACTCTTCTACAACATCATCATTGGCGAACGCTTGCTGAATATCGATTCGCTTCTGTTGAAGGGAATCACTCTCAATATCCTTGCCAACATTTCCTTGATCCTCGATTCTAAAAATTTTTGTCGGGTCCACACGAATTTCTTTTGATTTTGAGTTCACTGTTTCAGCACTTGCATCGTTTCCAGCACGTTTTCCATTCGTAAAGGAATTTCTCTGACCAGTGCTGCCTGTTCCATCATCTTTCGTATCCTCAGAGATATTAACCATCTTTATCTCGTGTTGAGTTTTAGAACGACTCTTTTTCGCTTCATTAAGAATATGTTTAGAGTTTCTTTTCGACTTCTCAGATTGTTTTTTCTTTTTTACGGTCACTTCGTCCCCAGTGTCTTTGGGTTTCCGCTTTTTTCTGATTTTCGCCTCTTCAAAGTGTTGTTTCTTTGTTTTCTTTGTGGATCTCTGAGTGACACTGACCGGTTGTAATTCAAACTCTTCCTCAGTCTCCCTCTCATGAACATCAAGTTGCTCTGAATCTTCCTCATCCTCATTATCTGCCTCCTGTGTTCTGATTGGCTGAAGCCGGTGGAGCTTGATAGAAGAATCTGAAAAAGGTAATTTAACATTCTTCTTAACGTATCGAGTAAACTCATCGGGCAAAAGTAATGTGCTTATACAAAATTCCCATTTTCTGAGCTATGTTAAAAGCAAAAGTTTGGACTAATTCTTCTTGATGAGTTAGCTTAAAATTTTATGTACTGTTCTTCTTCCGCTGTAATCAAACATAACGTATTCAAAATTTTCTATGCTAAACACAGTAACACATGAATAGAGTACTTCAAAGGCTGGCCATATATTTTTCTCGCCTACAATGACACACTTCTCTGTTGCCCAATCTTGAGAATTCGTGTTATATCAGGGTAGGATGAAAGGACTATTAAATGTGTTATTCTTTGTTTGCTTGACAGCGCAAGAAAGCTTTAATAAGAACTACGTCAGAGGAGTCAAAGGTTTAAAACTATTAGGAATACTCTTACTATTGCCTCATATACAACCAGTGTTCCTCAACCCTTAACACATTAGTATGCATATTCTCCATACTACTTCCTACACATTTTCTGCAGTGCTGACAAGGAGAATTTGTTTAATCAATCAGGCTATCTCTGGCTGGTGATCATTTCCTTTATTCTCAAGACCTTAAAGTGTAATTTGGGGGTGATATTGTACAGAGAAATTAGATGCTTATCACTCTTAGGGGTTGAAGAGTCGAGGAGGAGCATTATTGACATTCTGAAGAACTGCTGCAAACTAGCACACAAACTACTACATCAATTAGAGGTTATCTCTTTTTTTGTTTGTTTGTTTTTTTTCTTAAATAAAAATTACCATTGTCGACGTTGTTTGAAGTTTCTAATGAATGAAATCCTGCCCCACTTGTGTCAAGCTTCCATGGATTGTCCTCAGAAGTAACAAGATTTCCATAACTGTCTGATTCCTCTTCATTATCTTCCAAACCTGGCTCTTGCATTGGTGCCTCCATTTCTTCATCACTTTCTGACTCTGCAGCTTTCTGTGTCAAGTTTCGGCTGATACGTAGTTGTTCTTGCAGTAATTTCTTAGCCTGATAACCAAAATAATTGAAAAAAAAAACAGTTAGGAGAGGTTCACAAAGTTTGCTTGAAAATGAAGAACTGGAAAGTATGAAGATTAACGATGGAAACATTAATAAACCTGGACCAAAAAACTTACATCTGCATTCTTTCCTGCTTTAGTTATGAGGTGCTTGGCCCACTTTGAAGTATTCCGATGTTTGAGTGACATACGTTCCTAAGAATACAAGAATTGATTAGTTTTTCTTCCTTCCAGTTGCTAAACATTTCCTTGTAAATAACTTCAGAAAATTTGGTATCAGATCAGCTACCCCTGACTAATAAGTATAGCCAATCTAATTAATCAAAATTGTGCGGACACATTGCATGTCAGTAAGTCACAGTGTAGGGAACTTAACAAACACTGGAACAGAAGGAAAATGATCACCTCAGCTCTTAGTTTTTCAACTTTTTCCAAAGCGTCTTTATCATCTTCTGCCTGAGGATCTTCTTCAGCTTTTTTTTCAGCTGCACGTTTCTCAGCTTTCCGTTTTACCCGATGATATCTATCATTAACACAAAATATAACATTCAATTCACAAAACTGCTAACCAATGAACAATTATGGTATCCTATGCAGAGTTAGTAATACTCCTAATTGCTTCATGTTGAGGAACCAAGATAAACTCTGCCTTCTATGTCATTGCTGGGTTATCTTTGCTGGATGCTATAAACATTGATTCTTATCGAAATAGAACTCAGCACCACATATTACACTGTTGTCATGTAAACTGTCAGCTCTGCTGATAGGGAAGTAGATAGCTCTTTAAGCAAGTAAGAGTTATAATAAATCTCTCAATAAGAAACCTACTTTTTGCTTATATACAACCAATCTTCCTCAACCTTTAACACATAGTATGCATATTCTCCATACTACTCCCTAAACATTTTCTGCAGTGCTGACAAGGAGAATTTGTTTAACAATCAGGCTATCTCTAGCTGGTGATCATTTCCTTTATTCTCAAGACCTTAAAGTATAATTCAGTGGTGATATTGTACAGAGAAATTAGATGCTCATCACTCTTAGGGGTTGAAGGTTGAGGAGGACCATTATTGACATTCTAAAGAATTGCTGCAAACTAGCACACAAACTACTACACCACTTAAAGGTTATCTCTTTTTTTTTTTTTGGGTTTGTTGGGTTTTGTTTTTTTTAAAATAAAAATTACTTTTTTCAATGTTGTTTTACCCAATGATATCTACTGTTAACATGAAATATAATATTCAATTCAAAAAACTGAGAAGGAAGTAGATTAGGCAAATAAGAGTTCTAATAAATCTCAAAAAAAGAAACCTACTTTTTGCTTTTGATTTTCTTCATCCTACGACACTTTGCTTCATAATAAGACTGCAGTGCTCGTAGCTTCTGTAATTCATGTCTTCTCTCCTTTGCCTGAAAAAGATATAATTTGGCAGCATGTCAAGTATCACTCCAAACTGCCCAAATTTGAGATGTCAGATGTTTTGCCTTAAACAGTAAGTAAAGCCTCTATTTGCAACTAGGCAGTAACTGTCTTGATTGTGTCATATCTAGTTTTTCTCTGGGAAAAAATTGTCTCAAGGAGAAATTCTGTCTTGGTTCTAGTAATGTTCTAGTAATTGTATCATTCTGCCTTACCTCCTCTAAATCCATGCCAAGTAATGCTTTCTCTTCTTCTTCTGTCAGCTCCTTGTTCCTTCGCTCAAGAACATGACTGCTCCCCCTCAGAACTGCAGCAACTTCTTCCTCCAGGGGAGTGCGAGGCTGAATAATAATTTAGAACAAAGAACCCATAGAAAAATTAGTATTTATTACCTTGCTTAAAAGCTCATTCAAAATAGCATTCTTTAAATTTAATTTTTTTTTAATAACGAGTTTGATAAAGACTCAAAAATCTCACCGATTACTGTAATGATATCACGTAGCACCCTCCTTCCAATAAACATTCCCTCTCTAATAAGCACCCCCTCAATAACAAAGCATTTCTATTAAGCAAGCACTCTCATTCGAAAAAGCACTCCCACTCCAATAAATGCATAAAAATGAATGTAGTTGTCTGAACAGAAACTAGACTAGTAATCTGAACAGAAAGTAGACTAGTAATCTGAACAGAAACTAGACGCAAAGCTGAGAGGGAACTTGCTACAGACTAGCATGGGGGAAGGAGCAATTATTGAGCACATGATGCCTTAGGATCTACCTTACTTTATTGACCCTTATGAACCTTTTTTTACAATTTGACTGTCTTGACTAAAATGGGCAAAACAGAAGGCTACCAGAAATTTTGACAACAACTAGAATCTTTGTTACTTAATTTGTCGAAAAATCTCAGTCATGGTCTTTTCTGCCACAATAACCAGATATCCAATCAAGCAACACTCTATTCTAATCTAATCTTGACTATCCTTTTCTACTCTCCTTGTGGGTCAGTTCAATTACGATCATCTTTGACATTGAGCCAACATGCTATATCAGAAGTTACTTGTACCCTTCTGTAAAAGGGTAGGGCCAAAAAAATAAAAAAAATCTTCCCAGCCCCCCACTCAAAGAATGCCTTTCTAACTCTAATTAGCAAATAAGAAAAAAAATAAAGCTTGCAGTGTACTTGCATACAGCAGTGTCCTGTTTAAAAGGCTCCTTGGAGCTACCTCATATTATGTCTTAATTATGCAATTAAATTGAGACAACTTTTACCCTTTGCCATCTCCTTCCAAAATGACATCACTGTTGCCACATGAGGCACAAGGGGAGCTACCCTTTGTAAAAAGGGGTGGCTGCCCTTATGCCACACCTGACAACAAAAGTGCAACAAGTAGTAAATACTGCATGGGCCCATCTTTGCCAAAGATAGTGTTGTAATTTGATAATAAAACAGGAAGATATGAAATACAATACCTAACTGTGACAAACTACACTTTAATACACATAATTGCTTAGAAACAATCTTGGTGAATCTACTCAACTCAAAGCCCTTATGATAGTGATCTATGGTTTCAGAATAAGAATGAAAACCCCAACAGCTGAACAGAACATAAAAATGTGACACCGCATATCACAATTACCTTGAACTTCACCGCCAATCCACTCAGTGACAGTACAGGTGGTGTGTATGGTTTCAGTGGAAATGATAAATGTTCAGCCTAATGACAAGATTCAAATAACCCTCCATTAGATTATGATTGTAGAAATTCTATGAATGGATGAAATTATGACTCAAACTTAAGTTATGTACCTCTCTATTCTTTTTCACAGTGGGCGCCCATTTTTCAATATCTTTTTTGGTTTCTCCATACGCTATTGTGCGCTGAATCTAAAAAAAAAAAGAAAAGAAAATTACTGTTTAATTGTCACCTTAATTTATACATCAAAGACACACTCTGCTCTGACTGTCTGATTAGTGTGAACATATATCTTTTTGTTCTATTTGAAAACTGATTTCCAGATTAAGACAAACTTTTAGTTTCCACCTGATGAGAAGATTTGACATTTTACTTACTTTCTGTACTTCTGGTTTTGGCAGAGGAACATCAAGGATATTTGAATTCCTCTGCATACTGTCCTAAAGTAAAGGAGAAACAAGTGATGCATCAAACCACTGCACTAACATCCAACTACAGGAGCTGTGGGAATTCTAAAAAAATTTTGAACAATTTTCTCACCAACTTTTTCTTGAGACTTCCATACTCATTTGTGTTGTTCAAGGACCCAATAAGATCATTCAGATCAACTTGTTGTGTGCCATCTTAGAAGAAAAAAAACAAGTTGCATTGTATCTGTCAATGATACTCAAACAACAACGCAAACAATCACAATTAACTCTGAGTTTATGAGCACTTGTCGCCTTCTTAAAGAAAAGGAAATCACTATTTTCTTAAAACTAGTGAAAACTCTTGGTGATCAGGAAAGAGAGCACTGGAAAAATTCTTTGTAATGGTCAATATTCATAATTACCTTGAACAGAACTGAGATGAAACTCTGACACCTGTTTATGTGGCTCTGATCGTTGTGATGCAACCCTAAGTCAGTCAAGACATACAATCATGTATATATTAAAGTGAAAGATTAGATATTTGAGGTACCTGGAGCATGCAACAAAACTGTATAATGAAATGAAACAAATTTATGGTTTAAGCACTCTGTCTGGTCAATCCCTTTGGTGTACTTCTCTACCAGAACCAGCTACCAAATCTAGAAGGCTCATTTATTAGTAAGTGAAATATCTATAAATGCACACAATCTGACTATAGGATGACTTCATTTTCAGGCCCTCTCATTCCCCTCTCTTCCCAAGGTTCTATATTTACAGAAGTTTCAGATTTATGTCAGTCACGGTGACTCTTTGTTTCTTGCATCACCAAAATGTTTACAGTGTAAGTTCAGTGCAAACTGAGAGGGTTTCTTTCCTTACTTTTATATGGGCTACGAGTAGGACAAGGAGCAACGACCCATTTTGCCAGAGGAGAACCTAAAATAGTTTACTTTTTGAAACAATTAACCCTTTGAGATCTGATTGTTAATTCTCCCCTCTAGTTGCTATGCATTTCCTAGTAAATAGGTTGTAAGAATTTGGTGTTAGATCAAGATACAAACTTCTTCTTGATAAGTTTGAGTATTCTCATTACCTGTTTGCCAGACAATGAATGAATATTATAGGGGAGAAGTTACATGATAATCACTTCTGAGAGTTGGAGGGTTACCCTTCATATACCTCTTTTTCCCACTGGAAGATAAGGATCTGATCTCCTTGAGGAGCTTTTCATGTTTCTTTTCATCTTCACTGTCCTTCTGAGAGATGTGAAAAACAAGGTTAGGTTCCATCAGGTGTGAGTCAAAACACAGACTTAAATGTCACCTCCATGACAAACAGTGATTCACAACAATTAACTTACAACTTTTTATACAAAAACATTAGCAGTTACCGCTACAGAAACTTTCATTGGTTGTCTGGTTAACAAATAGATTCCAAATTGCTGTGCGTCTGTTCAGTAATAGATCACAGATGATGTCAAAATGAGGTAAGAACAAAAAAGTGGCATGCAAGGTGCAGCTGAGTGTGTCACTGATGTTCTTACCACATTTTGATGTCATCTGTGATCTATTACTGAACAGACACGCAGCAACTTGGAATCTATTTGTTTTAAATAATAAAGAATTAAAACATACAGAAAAAAAGTTTTAATGATGATGTCATCTATACGTCTGTCCTCCAATAGATCATAAGTGAGAACCAATCAGAATGCATGTATAACTGAGCTTATTATGTAAAATTATGGTTTGATCACACCATAGTTAGATCACTCCAACCAAAAGGTAGATCACTCTACTCAAAAGTTAGATCACTCCATCAAATAAGTGACTTTGCTCCAAACATAAGTTGCTTTGCTCCATGTAGAGAACTAAGGTAAAGGTAGCAAAACTAAGGTATCTAAATTGATGGTTCATTAAATGACCTGCATATCTTACCTAACAATTGATTAATATCGCTCGCACACACACTTGAAATAAATCCAAGCTACACAGAAAGAGCAAATAAAGCCTCATGTAAGGGGCTCACGAAATGTACTCTTCTTTATTAATTAAAGATGGTAGATATCAGTTTCCTTACATCAAACAGCAAAAAAGGCCACAGTGGACAATATTGGTATTTGAACGATCTTTTTCAATACACTTCAGACAATAACTTTACAATTTATTCCACAATCATTTATTTCATCATAGCTATACATCATACATCAGTAGCTCAGTACCTAATCAGAAGGACTGAGTGAATGACAAGCACAATGTACTTGAATTGTTGGAAGACACATCATCACCTAATTAACCTTCCAGATCATTGGTAAGTAATACTTCACACTACAACACAGAATGAAGTAACTTAGGTTGATAGTGAAGTAACTTATTTGATGGAGTGATCCACTTTCATGTGGAACAATCTAACTTTCCAGTGGAGTGATCAAACTTTTGGTTGGAGCAATCTAACTGGGAGCGATCTAACCATGGTGTGATCTAACTGGATACCATGGTCTTTCACTCACATGATCTCATTTAATGTAGCAATAATTATTCTTCTTACTGACTACCAAACAACTCTTTTGCTGTTGGTTTGGAGAATTTGGTATTGGATCAACTAGTAATCCTCCAATGGATATTTTCCCCGTTACTTATCTAATTGATATTATAAGAGAAATTATTTCTTGGTCACTCACGGGAATTTAACGGTTTTGGTAGGTAAGATCGACATGGGCGGCAGTTCCACGGAAATCCGAAGGATCTCAAATTTCATATCCCATCTCGATTTCATGCAAAACGTTTCGTTGGCCAGATGCCGTACTCTGAATCCCTGGATATTTCCATGTTAATTTTATTAAATATTTAGATATCTACGTTCTATCGCCAATACTATTATACAATCTTTTTCTCTTTGACCGTTCCTTGCTCTTACGCACGTGGCTGAATTCAACAACATCATGATAGCTTGCAAGCTTACCTTTAGTCGCGCGTTCAGGCTTGACGGAATTTATACATTGGTGGGTAAAATCACTTACAAAATCTAGTTACTCGACCGTTGGAAATCGTTAAAGGGCTAAAATCTGTAGAAAATCAGTCTCATTGGTGTTTTACAGCTACCTTTGTACCTTACGTGCACGCAAATCCTACCTCGTCGTCGTCACTAGCACACAGCTCGTCCGCCCCATGAATAGGTTCGTTGTTGCGTAATCGATCTTCTAACACAGGTGCGATTCTGTTCAAAATAACGTTATGTCAAGAAAAATACATTAATTTCACAACTATACCAGCAAATTGCATGACACAAGCTCGTTAGTAATTTACGTTTCCACCGTATACGTACTTCAGAGCTATTTCCGCAGCCATTGTGGTGGAATCCTTCCCTCGTGACTATTATAAAGGGATTGTGGGATATATTGACCACGTGGTATTGGCTTCAATCGACGCCATCTTGGTTACAGCCAGCTGTTTGTTCAAACCTTCCTTACTCTTCTTAAGCAGAGATACACGACATGCCGGCGTCTCGCTCTCGATCGAGATCGCCGAGGAGGATTTCGACTTCATCAAAACCGAATTCTCGTGAGCTTATCACGATTAAAACCGAAAAAGACTCCGAAAATAGCACAAATAAGAACACTGACTCTTCAGCTTCCCAGAGCACTAAACCAAGTGAGAAGCCTTTCCGAAAGCCATTAGAATCGTCAGCCTCCAAAAGTAGCAGCGCGAGCAATTGGAGTTCATCACACAAAACTAAGGAGAGAAAGTTTTCCGGACGATGTAGGCTTTTCGTGGGGAACCTGACCAACTGCGACGAGAAGGAGCTTAGGGATATGTTTGAAAAGTATGGAGAGGTGGCAGAGGTTTTTGTAAACAAGGATAAAGGATTTGGTTTCGTGAGACTGGTTAGTATCAATAGAAACGAATTTATGAAATATTTACATGTGAATGTAAACTCAGGGCCATAGTATTTCAGCATTTTTTTGGGATTGTACAATGCGAGGAAGCTTTCCAAAACGTCGGATAGCGGAGAGCTTCCACGATATGAGGACAAAGACCAAATTTACCTTTAACTTTGTTTTATTTGTGCATTTCCTCTCCAATGTCTCGAAAGATCAGTTATACATAATTTATATTTTCAATTTTGTCTGTACGAGGATAAGTTGGTCATCTGAAAATTTGAGTGCTTGGTTTGAAAAAAAAAAAAAAAAAAAAGGTACCTTGCATGGAATTTTTTCCTTAAATTTGAGACAGACCAATTAACATGTACTCAAAAAGGAATTTACTCAAGTGGTTTTCTTAGCAATATGCCCATGGTCATATTATTATAGTCATAAAATCTTTAAATTGTGAAAGACTAAGGTAAAACTCAAACCTCCACCCATATACTGGTTTGGTGCAACTACAGACTGCACTGTGAACCCAGGTGTTGGCAAGGAAGAAAATTGAGATGGATTCTTGCTGCAAAAGGAATCGACTTTGCTCAGTTTAAGTCTAATTTCAACATCTTTTCATGAACATGAAATTGAGGAAAAATACTGGAAGACAAGGAGCATGGATTGCACAGGAACATGCTTCAGAAACATAATCATAGTCCAAAAATTATCAAAGATGCTATGATTTTTTAAAAACAAGGTAAGATCTTTGTCTGTCCATAGGATACACGTCTGAATGCAGAAGCTGCTAAACAAGCTGTTGATAACCAGTATAGAAATGGAAGAACTTTGCGTGTGCGATTTGCCCAACATGCAGCTGCTCTGAAAGTACTAAATCTTGGTCCAACAGTCACAAATGAGCTGTTACATCAGGCTTTTTCACAGTTTGGTGATGTGGAGCGAGCCATTGTTGTCTGTGATGACAGAGGAAAATCCAAAGGACATGGTATTATTGAGTTTTCAAGAAAGAACTCTGCTCAAACTGCTTTGCAGCAAGTTAATGATGGCTTATTCCTCCTTGGAAGGTAATTCGAAAATTATGATGTTGTTTATTGCTCTTCAAGTTTTAGTGAAAGAGTTCCCTAGTATGAATCAATAGCTTTGGCCAGACTTTGATGAAATGTCATAACCAAGGTACAGCTTTCCAAATGAGTGATAATGCTAGTTAAGTTTGGATTATTTTAATGTGATCTTGACTCAGTGATGAATTTTTTTTTCTGGAATTACCGTATGAGGTTTTTTCAAACCCATGTTTAAATTTTGGCATCTGAGAGTCAAAGTCCTTACAAAATTAATGTTTACCAAATAATGATTACTACTGATCTAAATCTTATTTTTTGGATTGTTTTCAGAATCCCATGTCCTGTATCTGTCAAACAGTTAGAGCATATAGAAGATGAAGATGGTATTTTAGATGAACATATGAAGAGAAATCCTGCATTTCAAAAGTAAGAAATGGCATAAGTGTTTTGTGTAATCTTGTATCACTTTGACTAACCCACACCCTTTTTCTTGATGGTGGGTTGATATGCAAAGGGCTTGAATACCAAATTTTGTAAAGAAAATGTTATTTGATTCTCACCATTATCAAGAAGACCTGTTATCTGATGGGGAACATTTCCCTCATAGGAAATTTTTTTTACAGTTTACAAGGATTAAACAACTGGATTTGTAGGGAACTACCTAACCATGTAACTCCCTTGAGCGACCAAGACAGAATTTCTCTCCATAATAATTAAGGAATATCAAGCAGACAAATAATGAGAATGAATAAATATACATATCAGGGGATTATTAGGCAATCCAATACCAAATTATCCAAACTTGCATTATAAGAATTGTGTAGCCAGACAGTAAGGATGAATACAAATGTGATCTTTGGAGTGAAATGGTTCATTAAAGATAATTGCTCTTTTTTTTGTTGTTGTTGTTGTTGTTGTTGTTTTAATTTATGAGTGTGTACGGTGTTTGTTTTTGTTTTTTTTGTACATTTTCATTGTTGTTCTGGGTTTTTAACATGTTTATTTTAGAGAGAGAGAAGCCCAACCACACTTTGTGTCACCCAACACATTTGAGTCAGAATGGGCCCAGAGATGGCGAGCGTTGGAAGAAATGGAAGGATCCCAGAGAGAAGCTCTAGACAAACAGTTTAAAGAAGCTCGCGATAAATTGCAAGGGGAAATGGATCAGGCTATCCAAGAACATGAAGCTGTACTAATGAGACAAGGTATCAGCCTAATGAACATAGCATGACAAGAAGTTTTCTTGAGACAAAATTACAGTGGTTTCTTTGCATTATGATAACCAATCCATATTTATTTTGCTGTTTCTCCTTTTTCTCATAGGATGAATGATTAAAAAAATCCATTTCCCTTTGAATATCTTTAAATTTGGGCTTTGCTTGTGATCATGGTTTGTTTCTACTTTAGAAACAGTAAAGCTTAGAAACAATACTTTCTATTTTAGAGCTCATTATAAGATTTGTTCTCTGCTTCTCTGTGATGAAACATCTTCTGGAATTACCGTATGAAGTTTCTGAAGAAACTAATGGATAGAATGTGGCTTCTGAGAGAGGTGCAGGCTCAACATACACTTATGAGAGTATTGCTTAGCAGGAAGGGTTTTGTTGAGTAACTAAGAAAATTGATTGTTTTAGAAATTCAACGTCGTCAAGATGAGCTTCGTCGATTTGAAGAGATGCGTCAGAAAGAAGAGATGATGAGGCAAGCAGAATTAAGGCAAGGAGAACATTGTTTTTGATTCAGCCCTAGAATTGTTCTTTTTGAATGACAAGAGTATGAAAGGTATAATTTGGCCAGCTAGTCAGTTTGTATTGGGGGTAGAGTTGTTGAAAAACTGTGATAATCTGGGAACTAGTTTTCCAGACAGGTCTGGTAAGGGTATGGACATTTTTTATCTCCTTAAAAATGAGAGGAAGTCATGGTTTACTTGGATGGTTCGCCTGGATTGTAGTGAATTAGGTGGATGTATTCCTTGATATATGATATGATTCCATGTTCAGTGTTTGCTCAAAGGTTGTAGGCACTTCATGGAATACCTAATTGAATATTTTCCAATCCTGCTTTTAACCTGACAGTACACCATGGTGTTTGGGATAACCTGACTGGATATATATATATTTATATATATATATATATATTTTTTTTCATCTGCCATTTACTTTCAAACTTATTGACAGCCTTGCAAATTTCAAAATCAATTATGTATTATTTGGACTACAACATGTAATGGCATCTAATTTCCAGGAGACAAGAAGAAATGCGTCTTCAGGAAGAATTGCAGCGGAGGGAAGAAGAGCTGCGACACAAGGAGGAGCTCTTCAGGCAGCAACAGCGAGAACTTCAGAGGCATCGACAAGAGGACATGTACTTACAGGTTAATAATCTTTTGGGGATAAAATAATGCTAGGTTTATTTACATGTGTATTGTGAGTTAGCCTTGCAAGGGATTTAGGTCTGGCAAAAGTTTATTCAAGGACCTGCACCTTGTTGTTATTTTACCGTGGCCTATCTCCAATCTGAGCATCTCAGTTTCATCCATGCCCTCCTCCCTCCCCCCCTTTCCACCTGGTTGTTACAGTTTTTCTCTCATCCGTGTACATCGTTGCATTTTCGCCTCAGGATTCTATGCGGCATATGGATACTAACATCCCACCAGGAATGCCTCCCATGGTATGCTTTCCACATCCATTGTGCTTTCTGTTTGTACGTCAGTGGTAGTCCTTGGTTCAGTAAATTACCACTGCTTTAAAAAGCATCTAGTACATTGTGGATACAGTGTTGCATGGTCATCAAGGATTTCTAATACATGAGAATTACACTCCTTGTGTAGAATTTGAGTTTTACAAGTTGTTCTTGCATATAAGTTGTCTGAAAAAGGATTCCAGTACTCATCCAATTTAGTTAACATGTTGATATATCATGAGTTCTGTATTTGGCCTCATTTTGTTTTTATATTATTGGGTCAGTGTTATCAAAAGCGTGCATGTGATAATTTCAGGTGAATATACTCTCACATGCTTTTGAACTATTTCAATATGTTCTAAAAGCAACTAGATTAGATTCATATTAACCTTAAAATTGTTGTAGGGTTATTCTATCAATTATCACACATAAGTTTTTTTTCCTGTCTGTAGGGACCTCCTGGTGGAGACTGGGGAAGAGGGCGTGGTGGACCACCCCCACGAGGACCACCAGGAAGAGGTGGACCACTAGGCCGTGGAGGGCCAGGCTTTGGTCCTCGTCCACCAGGTCCAGGGATGGGGAACCCTCCAAGGATGGGCCCAGGAATGATGCCACCTAGAGGACCACCTATGGGAGGTCCACCTCCAGGCCCTCGTGGACCCATGGGACCAGGGATGAGACCTAATGGGCCGGTAAGGTGTTAATATTTATCCTTTAGGAGGAATTTGTGTTAAATTGTGTGAACAGCTCACTAGATTTAAACATATCTCAAGGGTTGTCGCTAAGTGCTGACTGCCAGTGAAATTTGCAGGTGGAAAAGTACCATCTTTGTGCTGCCTCACTTGAAATTTCAGCCAGCAAACCAGCAACCTTGGATGTAGTGTTCAATAGATAAATGCTGGAATACAATTCTCCTAATGGAGGAGAAATTTTCTGTGAGCATGCTTCGTGGGAATTTTCAATTGTGTGACTCAGAAGTAAACTTGGTTGCAAATTGAAGTAGTAATCATCTCTCAAGATAGTTAGTAGAACTAGTACTTTTTTTTCAAGAAATCATAGATAGGCCATATTTCAGGTAGTATTCTGAAGTGATACAAATGTGCTTGACAGAAACATGTAAGGAAGACGTTAAATTTATAACTTAATAACTTGCAATCCGGCTGATGGTTTCCTTAGAACTGTTGTGTCTATTGTTACATTGATGTGGAACAATAAAAAGCCTTCCTAGAAGGCCTTCGTGGTGATGAGGTTGAACCACCTCTTCAGTATGTTTACGAACATGAACCAAATCTTGCCAAGATTTGAAAAGCAGTAGGCAACTTTGTTAATACTGGCGTAAATTAAGAGAAAGTCAATACAAAATAGTGACATTTTATGGCCTTATCAGGGTCATGAGTGCTTTGTGAAACTTGCTTTACATCCTGTGCATAGTTCTTTTTACTGTTATTTTATGGCTATGATAAAGAATCGAGACCAAAAACCTGTCAGAATGGACTGACTCAACCAGAAGTTTTTCAGAATTTGCAATCCAGAGTAATTGATCTGTGATGTTCAGAATCACAGTAAACATAGAGTATTGTAAAGCTTTTGCTGTGGAATGTTCTAATGATATGTTTGCTTTCTGTTTTTGCTGCCATCTCCACTGTGGATTTGTTTGCTTTTGGATTTTCTCTCATGCATTGGATTGTTGGATCATGAACTGTATATTCAAAATGAATTATCATTTTCGAACTTTATTAAATAATAATCCAGAGGCCAAGATTTGAAAATGAAAGGGAACGTGATCGTGAAATGGTCGATCGTGATCGGCTTGCTGCACGCTCACGAGAGCCACCTTCAAGAGACCGTGGAGATTTCAAGAGACCTCGTTACTAGGCAGGCACACACTATAATGACTCTGTCATATTGCTGTTCTATTCAATACATTAGTGAAAATAACTAAAATGGCTGTTTTGAAGTGTGCAAAGTGACTTCCTTAGATGACATCAAGAGAGAAGGAGATGTTTTGAACTAGTATTTGTATGTGCATCATAGTTTTGTAGCTGAGTTTGGAACCACTTGAATTTAGTTTGCAGTAGATTTGGCTTCTTATAAAAATTTGTGGATAATTGTTGTGGCTGAGCAAATAATCTTGGGGGAATAGTTCTCAAAACTTTTTTAGCTGTAAGGGTAACTTCAAGTGACATCTTAACAAAGGCAGAGGACAAGTCTAAAATTTTTTTTTTTATTCCATTTATTAGTTATACCAGTTTTCACAAGGGAATTATTCTGTTCTTGTTTTTCATGTATTTAAAGTTGGAATCAATACCACTAAAATGTGGAAAGGCATTGGATGCTAGGTTTATTGTGTTTATATTCATATATATCAACTGCTAGATACCCATATATAATACATGTAGCATTTCTAGAGAGGTTTAAGTAGAAATTATAGTCATTTTTAAACTGCTGTTGTCAAGCTTTTATTTCTGTTTTGAATGATTCTGCGACTCTGTGTACCGATATTATCATGATCTTTTCTCTAGCTCGATTGGGACAACTGGCAGTTGTGGTTTTCAGCAAAAAGATGTCTTTTTCTCCACAAAATATATTTTCCCTATTATTTTTCGTTTAAGTTCATCTACTTTAATCATGCAGAAAAAAGTGCTTGAACACTTGAGGCTACAAAGAAGTCAACATTTTTATGTCCTTATGGCATGCAAACACAGAAAGTTAAAATTTTTTACAGCTGATATTAGCAGATGAACAGCAATGTTTTGTACATTGAATCCTGGGTATCTGAGAGATATAAATTGAAGCTGTCTGTAACCTTCAGTTGTGAACACATTCTTTAGTTCAGACTGTTATATTCTATTACAAAAATGATCTCTTAACCATTTTTATGGTGGGATAACTGCAAGGAATACCCATTCCAATGCTTAGGCAATTACCTTGAATTCGTAATACTCATACTTGAACAATCATTTGATCATAATTGCGACTGATCTAATTGTACCATTTTATAGAATTGGCAGCTGGTTTCAAGTGATGGGTTCAATTTTTTCAAATGTATATTCAAATCACCTAAGGGTTGGGTAAATTTACCCATTTATTAATTACGCAGCTAGCAGTTATGTTACTTCACACATTGATTATTGTCCCCTCATTGAACTCCAAATTCCCTTCCAGAAGTGTTTGAAAAGATGTTTTCTTTGAAGAAATTCTTTTCCCTGATTTGAAGACCAATTTCCTTTGTGTTCTCCTTGGCTTAGGGCTAGATTTGTCTGCAAACAGATACTTTCATGCTGTAGTAACAGAGATTTAACAGATATTTCTCTTTTGAACATCGGCTATAAGGGTTACACTGTATTTACTTTTCAGATGTAATTTCCTGAAAGGTATTTACAAAAACTACACTCATGGAACCAACTTGCCTTCTCTTTGGTTGTCAAACTTGCGTCATGTGAGTCTGCTGAAGGCATTTTTTTGGTCTGTAGTGAAACAAAGAGTACAGAGTGTATGTATTCTTTACCTTTCAAACCCTTGTTTATTTGTCCAAACCAACTGCTTTACCTTGAATCATATGTTCTTGTAAAGTACTGGATATTTCATCTGAGAATTATGATTGACTGGGAATCAGGGTTGGCGCAGGGCTGATGTTATCTGTTGGTTGTATCACTTGCTGATAATATTTGCTTCCTCATCAAAGGTCACAATTACTTGAGGCTTTAGTGACATATTCAATAAACTTTTTACCTTACATTGAAAAGTGTGACTTGGGTCTTAGCAAAAGGTTAAACTGGACTCGAGTTGGATCTGCAAAGGGATGTCTCATACAATCATATGGTTTGTTGCAATGTGTGAATTGCAACCATTTTGTGAAATGAGTTTCAAGGGTTTATTTATGCACCAGTATTGCCAGCAAAGCTGCTAGTAGTCATAATATATAAGCAACAAAGCAAGCTGATCTGCAATCAACAACTGTTTGAGAGGCACAGAGTAAAATATTTTCAGTTCTTAGGTTAGTAGTAGTCGTCAAATGCCTCTGCATTGTTCTTTGTTAAATTGCAGTGGAAGCAAACAAAAAACAATTGCTCATGTTTTGAAGAAAATTATTTGTACAATCTGATATTTGGTAAAAAGATGCAGTTGTCAAAGAAAAAAATATATACCATATTTAAATTGTATTGACCCATTTAATTGTTAGAGACCAAGTTCCCAAAGCTGGCATCAGAGTTTATGACAGCATTAAGTGCATCGGTTGTTAGCATTCAGGGCCAGGTTGTTTGAAAAGTGGTTTGTGATAATCTGGGATTAAAGTTCAACTTGTCCTTGATTTCTCTTGTGATAGAGTGCATATTAGTACTTACATTTTGAGGAGTTTTACCCATGTGAGACAACACTGGAGGAAATTTATTAACAATTAAGACTGTTTGCAAAGCTTCAAAACTAAATAAAAAATTGTTGGCTAACCTTTAGTTAGCTTAACAATGCAGCCCAGATGATTAAAACAGCTTAACAAGATAAGGACTTTCATTTTTAGACATCTTTCAAGATATACTTCAATCAAGGGGTTGTTCTGGTGATGAGTGGATGGCATTTTGCTGTATTAAGCATTCAAAATCAAAGTTCATGCAATTGTATCTCAACATTGCAAACAACTTGGGCACATAAAAGCATATCAATTTTTTTGGACATCTAATTTTGATTTGGTGTGGGATCAGTCAAAAGATCAGTTTAAAAACAATTTGGGAAAGTTATATTGAAAATCCATTTCACTGAGTTTTAAATTTTGTTTGGTATTGGACTAGTAAAACGATCTTTTAACAACATTTCAAAATCTTTTAATTTCATGTGAAAGAGGAGTACAAAAAATTTAATTGAACAATTTAAACAGAGGCTTTCAGGCCTGTGCCTTATGTTTAAAAAAATACATCCAAATTCCAATCCAACAAAGAAAGCAGCAGATTTCGTAGGTGTGTTTCACCAAAGTGAAACGGTGTACCATTGGATGTTACAGCCTGGAAAGAGCAAGGTATGTGAGTGACTTGAGTAAAGTACTGGTAAAGATCAGCAGTTTATAATTTTAAGACAGTATGTTACGAAAGCAAGTACAGCGTACACTTTAGAAGCAAAGTAAGCAGAGGTCAGCTTATTTGCTGATCCTTAAGCCATGGATACAGTTAGGTAAACTTAAATTTTTACATCTTTTAGTACTTCTTGAGATATTAATAAAAATTTATTAACAGAAGTATGCAAAAGCAGCTGCACCAAGTTGAATTAATCATTGTACTACCTAAGTGGCATTAGTTTGGGTAAGACATTTTCTGCTCACAGTGTTTTTGTTTTTACCAATTCCCTTATTTTCATGGATTCTAAAGATGGTGTAATCAGAAGTTAGAGAACACTTTTTTTATTTAACTTGAGGAAGAGTTGTTGGATGAATCTCTTGTTCCATGTAACTAAGTTTTTTTAGAATGTTTAGTGGGTATGCATCTCCTATATCACAACCAACCATAGTTGATGGCAATTGTTTCTGAGTTGTGTTTAAGTGTAAAATGAACTTGCTGAATTTGGTCACCTTTTATTTTATCGATTGAAAATTTTTAATTGTTATTCTTATGTTTAGTTTTGATAATTCCTGAAAACTTACTCGGCAAATCTTATGCTCTGTGTATGAAGTTCAAGCATTGTTGTTAGCTACCACTAGTAGTCATCGGCATTATCTTATATGCGGTAAGCAGCGTAATTCAATTATTGCCCCTCGCTGGGGAAAGAATTTGAAAAAAGTTGCAGATATTCAAGTGAACCTTCGTTGACTGGTGTTGAATGGCATATCTGCCGATGTGATGCACATAACAGCTGAAGGTAATGTACTATAAGTTCTTAACTCTCATTACTGAAACTTAGCTTGTTTCAAAAGATCTATTAATCCTGTGCTAAAGTCGAATCGTTGATTTATTGCAATACTTCATCTTGCTGCACTCCTGTACCAAACAATCATGATGGTGTAAGCTACATTGATCCAGAGTTATCAAAATCAGGGTCTAGAAGGTTTCCAAAATTGATTAAATTGTAGCTTTCCTTCCAAGCTTTCTGCAACATCGCATTATTTCAAGGAACAGAGAATGAATAAGCATTTAAGAATCTTAAACTTTTGGTAGGCTTGCAATTTCTAGAAAGCTGCCAACCCCATTATAATGTTATGCATATCATGACCTTATTTATTGGCAGTGAAGTTTTATAAACTTTTGTCTACTTTTTGAAGCATACTTTTTTACAATTTGCCAGCTAAGGCAAGGTGACCTTATTTGTTGCCTGTGCATTATTTGTAGCTGAGTTTCTGTCACTACTTTGAAATATGTATCACGAAAATTTGAATTACAAAAGGTGAAACAAAAATACTTTTTAGTTTTCAATCAGTGAATCATCATCAGGGTACGCATTTTTGTAGTTGGAAATAATGATGATGATAATGAAATGATTGAAGACATTCATTGTTTAAGATCGCAGGTATAAAGTTTTTCTCGAGTTGGTTTATTGGTGAAAACAATTTGAAGAGAGTAGAAACTACTTTGTATTAGTACCGTATTATTTTTTAACTGTTAATGGGATTTAAGAGAAGGTTCTATAATCTGATTAGAAATTGTTTAAATGATGAATCATATGCTGTGTGACCTTACTGTTTGAAAAAAATGTTAGTAAATACTAAATTGTTACCGTTTGTTTCACAATGTGGTCATTTCAAACATGGAGTACAATGTTTAGACTGAATTCTGTGCATTGTTTGTCCAGCATGCGAGCAGTGAATTGTGGTAATACACACTACATTGTGAGACAAACAATATCTCTTCATTATAACTGTGTTGTGTTATGATGAAAAACCACAAACATTTTTAAGACATTTAAAATTTTGTTCTCTATTTAAGTGATTCCTTGTTTGTCAGGTGTACTGTTACATGGAATATTATATCTCAAAATATAAGGAAAACTTCAATGGAATAAAATTTCAATTGTGAAGCTTTTCAAGCATCGTCAATGAGTTCTTTGATGCTAATATTACAGAGAAGGGAAAGTTTTTATTATTGTAAAGTGCATTTGTGTCTGAAGTTGATTCCTTGTTCACGTTTGTTTTGCAGGAGTACTTAATTCTGTTAACTTTTCTTATTCTAAAGATTTGTTTTGTTGTTTTTGTTTCTTTGTGTTAAGCTTATTGGTGTCATTTGAAGAGTGCAGTAACTTCAAAGAGAGGTAAAAGACAAATGATGTGTTATTTCTCTCCTTACCATGTGACTTGCAAACCAAGATCGCTTTTGATCACTTTTCAATGAGAGCAAAAAGTGGCACTTGTTGCCAAACATAAGGTAGTGGTAACACTTAGCAATCACTTATAGATTTGATTCTCAGAGCCACCTTAATTTGCCTTGCAAAGTTATCGTTAACAGCTTTATAAGTTTTTGTGGAAATGGTTATACTCAAGCAGTTATTTTTTTTTAATTTACAGATTGAAATTGTAACTTACCCAGCTATGGGAGGATTTCCTGTCATTATTGTGTGTGGTTACAAAGTTGAAGGTAGGCTCAGTGGTCATTTGAAATGTTAACCTGTTTCAGCACTTAATACTTTTACCGTAAGTTTGTTTGTAGTGCTGGTGCAATGATGAAATGTGTTTTTATGATAGTGTTGTTTGCAGCAGAGCCAGCAATGGTTGAACCCACTGCTGCAACTTCACTTGGTTGATCATTAACTCAGCTTGGCTGAAGTCTGATGCACACATGCACCCAATGCATAAATGGCCGACCCCAATTGGGATTATTTTGTATTCAGATAGATAAGCTCAACTAGCATTATCAGTACGTCCAAGAATCATAAAAAATCTCAACTCAAAGATGAGGCTCATTGAGCTAATTTTACATGAGTACAAGAGAATACCAATCGGGCCTGCCATTTATCCATTCTGTCCATTTCAATGGGTACTTCAGATTACACTGTATATCACTCTGAAACTGTTATTAGTCAATCTCAAGAGGGATCAATGTTTATTTTCAGGTTTACTGCCCCACATGGCAGAGCAAGGAATACCAAGTTGAGAGTTGATTCACTATCAATTTGTAAGCCCAATTTTTGGAAGAGTTACAGATGAAAGCTAGGGAACAAAGGGGAACAAAAGTCACCAAAGTTTTGACAGCACAGAAAACAAATTATGTGCGTTCAAACAGGTACATGGAAAAAACATATGAAATCTATGTCAGTTATAAACCTTTCTGTTTAGACACATTGAACTAATTTAATTTATTACAATGCAATTCAGAGTAACTTATTGTAGGCACAGAATCATAATGTAGTATGGGGACACAGGGAAAATATTTGACTTATGAAAGGACGCTGGCATGATTTACATTAATTTGATCTGTGCACTAAAAAGGCCTTATGACTTGTGGATATTGTGAAGTGAAGCTAACACTTGTTACCAGATTTAAAATAGAAATTCTTCAATACAGTCCCCCTTTCATTTCATTGTAAAAAAGTTGAAAGAATTTTTTTTAATCAAGATACCGCTACCTCGTACGCTTGTGCATTTTAATTCCCTGCGTACTGGATGATCGGTCACAGTGTTGATATTCTGAGGAGAAGCCGCATGTTTTCTCCCAGTGTAAAATCCCATGGATCAATGTGCAGTGATGACATTATGCAAGTGAGATAGTGTTTGTTTGTATCAGAGCCAGCAATGGTTGAACCCACTGTTACAGCTTCACTCAGTTGATCACAAAATCAGCTTGGCTGATGTCTGAAGCGCATGTTATTTAAGTTGTTGCTTTCTTGATAAATACTGTGTGGTCTTTGTGAACTGGATAAAGTTAATTTTTCGTTGACACATCTTAACGCAAACGTAATGTTATGTCACTACGAAATTTCGCTGCATTTTCTTTTCCCTGTGACCAAAAATAATTTCCTATTTATCGCATACAATTTTTACTTTTTAATATTACTAACTCAAATGCTATTGTTTTTGTTTAGATATTTCGACAGCACAAGGAGTAAATGAGGAATGGCTTCATTTGTTTTTACATTTGGTCGTTGTAAATTTAGCAGCTAGATTCCATCTTGCCATGCATTTGTTCGGTAATAGATGACGTTAAAATGTTGTAAGAATGTAAGTGTTTCGCTTGGAGCAGCCAAGTGTCTTACTGATGTTCTTAACTTATTTTGACGCCGTCTGTGAACCATCAGTGAACAGACGCTTAGCAACATGTTGTCTGTCTGTGTTTTTTAATTAAAAAAAAAAAGCTATATCTTAGCGTCTGTTCTTGTACCATTAAGAATACGGGTTGAATGCAGCATATATATAACATCGTAGTTGTTTTTGGTTTTGAAGCCCTGTTGCAAACCTTTTCAGTATTCTCAAATTGTTGAGGTGGTTTTTGGAGGGTGTGTCATGTTCTTCTGGGATGATTTGCGACGGATTTTTTTGTTTGGATGTTACAAGGCTCCTTTCCCTATTTGATGTAAGCAATTCTCAAGTGCCTGGTTGCGGTTCAGTGAGTTAAGTTAGAGGTAAAACTGGTGTTCCTCCCCATCTCCTCCCCTCCCCCCTCTACTCCGAAGAGGCAGACGGGCCTGTGATAGTTTCGGTCATCTGATTGGCCTTTGTTATTGCTAAGGTTTTTTTTTGTTCTACAACACTCTTTACAGATTGAATAAGAGACCTTGTTTCGTCTGAAGAACACACACCCTCGCAAGTATGTTCCAAGGATTCAGTTGGCAAAACGGATCGAAGTATAGGAATAGGCGCTCCTCTCCACCGCTATCTCGCCTTCGTTTTACAAACTGAATTCATGGAGCAGGCTTGCTCGAGCTTATAAATTTGTCTATTCTTGTCTTGCTAGGAGAATTAATACGTTAAACACTTATATCATACAAACTACGGTGTTATACGAAGATTTCCAGCTCTGAGAAAAGCCGTAACAACAAACGTGAAGAAATACGATATTTTTTCACGTGTTTGATATAACCAGTCGGCTGCTGACACGTCACTCGTCTTTGGCGCCACTTGCTCAAAGCCTTCACCATTCTTAATCCAAGGTAGTTTGTCAGAATTTTCTCGGATTATGGCTGCTAAAACACTGAAAAAATCCTTATCGCTGAAGGACAGTGACGTACAAACTTTCCTAGATGAGGAAGAAAACCAATATACCAGAGAAAAGCCGAAAGTTGCGTATTCAGTAGCTTTGGCTTTTGTCGCGGCTGTGAACGAAAATCAACAATTGGAAGATTTTCCACAGGCCGATTTTGGCCGTTTACCTAAAATATTTTTTCTGTAAGGACAAAGTCAGTAAATGAGAATTTTACAACTTAAAAATTACGCCCATGGTTGTTTTAGTCATCATGATTCAACGCATTTTTCCACCTGGAGGCTTAGCGTCAACACACTGTACGATTTTCTTTGGGGATTGTTGATTCTTTTATTTTAATTCATTTATTAAGTCGGCTTTTCTTGTCAGTGAAGGGCAATTGTGGTTATATGATAAACAAAATAATACATGGTTGCTTGTAGATATTGAGTTCTTCGCGTGTTCAACTCGACATCTCACTTGTTCATTGCGCTCACTCGTGAGCTATCTAGTTGGACACTCGAAGAGAAATTCCATATCTCGTTAGCTTTATAGATGAGAAACAATCAATTTATCATGTGGATCCGCCCTACTAAGTGAAACTTACTCGCTATTCAATTGATTTCTATAGAAAAGAGAGAGGAAAGAATCTAAAAACAGACGACGGTATCTTCTATTCAAAGCCCATGGTTTAGGACGAAAAATCGTTGCGTTATATACGGGAAATTAGTTACGCGATATCGTCACAGAACACGTCACACGCAGAAGGACTCGCCTCTGTTCCTGCCGCTCTTTCAAATTATTTTCTCTTCCTCGTTGAGCCCCCCGGAGACATATTTGATATTAGATATCAACCAATGATATTTCAAGTAACTTCCTGTTATCAAAACTTTGCGATGTTATACCCATTCAAAGAACAACAACATTACAAAAGAAACACCAGGTACAAGAGATATCTCCTGGAAAACAATGGAATTGTTTTGGAAATCGAACCAAGGGAGAAATTTGAAATGGACAAATTGATTGTGAAATAAATATGACGCGGAGGAGCTTCCATTCATGCAGGTGTCATCACCCTTTGACAATTCAAAACAGGTCTCCTTTGCTCTAAATGGAAATTTATTTCATTTCCTAATGTTCGAAGGGAAGATATTGTTACTTTCGTGACATTAGCTCATCTTTCTAATAGCACCCTTACTGTCTTGTTTATACTTTCATGTGATTCTTGATAATTTTTGATGAAAGCTGTTTTCATCTTATTCCGTACAGATGTTGAATTGTTCTCGGGATAATTGTCCCTTGGGAAACAGGACCGTTGACGCCGATGTCTATTACGTTTGTTTAAATTTTCATCTTACTACTTTTATTGCGAGTGGTTTGTTGTCTGCGCTAACACTTCAGACTCTCAAAACCGAGGCTGTTTCTACTCTTCGATGAGGAGATGGGTACCGCTTGATTACACTCCATAAACAGCTCGTTAACTTTACCCAGGAAATCAAACCAGAAATCGTTGATAATCAGTGCCTTCTCCAATGTAGCTGGGTTACAGATGCAATAACAATTGCATCTCATTTTTTCTATCGCTTAGTAATTTTTGCTTCATTTTCTCTTAACTGATAAACGGATTTATAGTTCTGTATGTTATCGTTTGAAGAGAGAGCTCTTCAGTTGTCTATGACACCCTCTCTATTAATCTTTTAAAAATGCATTTCTTTTACGTTAGAAACCTTCTGCCCGTGTCCTTTTATGGGGCTGACTTTCCTAATATTTTCTGTCAATTATTTTCAGTAGTAGGCCATCATTCGATTTATTTCAACCCATCTTTAATAAAGTTTACTGTAGACTTAAAATTCAAGTTTTCCCCACTCGCTTTTTGATAATGAAATCCCAGACATCCGTGTTAATGATATTTAGCGCAATAACTATTCATTTTAACAAATAACAGCGCGAATTTGTCGAATATTTACAAAGTTCCGTTGACTTCCAAGTGCTTAAAAATTTGAAGTGCGTTATTCAAAGTTAGAAGGCTGAAAAGTCGATGCTTTTTTCACAGTTCGGTCACTCAAAGGAAGAATATATTCAGTTTCTCCTTCTTTTTCACAAGGTAAATCTTCTTCCTCTTTGGTGTCAATGCTAGAAGACGTTTCGTCTTGTTTACTCAACTCCATTCTTTGCAAAAACCGGTTGACTTTACTGGCGACCTCTTCAAGCTCACTTTCATTAGCCACACTGCCTTTTCTTGGCGATGCCCTAGGGCTTAGCGAGGTTGGTGAAAGAGATGTCCGCGAAGATTTATTGCCAGTGGTGCAGCTTCCTCTGCGTGTTCCTGGCAGGCTTCCTGCAAGCGCTTCTCCAGCGAGTTTACTTGTATCTGCAGCAACTAGAGATCCTCCAGCACCTATAGGCGGTAAAGACTGCCTTCTCGGTTGACTGAGCGGCGGGAGTAAGAACGCCGTCGGACTAAGCGGACGAGTGGGACTTATTGATGTCCGTTCTGTCAAATCGACGTCCGTTGTTCCCTCGGAAGAAATCCTCCTCCTAACAGCCGCTGGTGAGCGTTTATCAACGTCGGATGAATTTCGCGGAGACGCCGAAGCTGATAACAAAACTTGCGGAGTGCTATACCGCCGCGGCAATCGAGGGCTTAGCTTTTTGCCTCCATCGTTTGGCGATGACGCATCTGGGAGACTCAATCGATTCTTCATTATGTTTTCCGCGTCAGCGAGCTCCTTTTGAATTTTCTTTTTCTCGCGATCTATCTCCTTACCAATTGATTCCCTGTGGAAATCTATGGAGTCGAGTTGAATTTTCAGTTTTCTGTCCGCCATTGAGTTCATGAACATTGTTTTGTCTGCATACTCAGTTCTTTGATATGCCATGGTTTCGCGGGCTAACAGGGAAGTCAGTGCTACTCAGTAATCGCGCGAAACTTTGGTCTCTGCGGTTTGTTTCGTGCGGATGGCAATTATGCAAATTTCCTTCAGTTTATGCAAGGAAAATTTTTTTTGGAGTGCACACCTGCACAAAAATAAATTATTTCTATGATAAGACGTGTCACTTGATGGGAACAATTAACAAGTCTACCTGTGCGAGGCCCAGGGCGGAATGAACAAAGAGCTTTATGAATTTCTCTCTTGTTCTGAAATAAAGACGGTGAAGTTAAACCGCTTTGTAGCGTACAAATAATAACTTAGAGCCTGAAAATTCTCTTTGGCAACCGAGTTATTGAACGAATATTTGAACAGGAAGGGCCATCGTTTTGAGTTGTAAATAGGGATTTTCTTGACGTGCTGTTTCCAGGTCTTCTTATGATAAAAATAATGATTTTAATTCTCGGAAGCTTTTTATTCCGTAGAGTGATATCCTTTGACTTAATTAAGTGGCAAAGACTTCAGGCCAAAAAAAGTTTCTTATTGCAAAGCAGAGCCATGGTTGGTGTGTGTTTAACATTCAAACAAAGATATCAAAGAGAGCGGTTTGACTAAAATTCGGTTTGCCTTTTTTTAATTTAGTTTACTCGAAAGTCAACAAACAACTTTATGTAATAAATTGGTGAAATTATGCAAGCTCGTTGTCACCTTTCCTTTTAATCTTAGAGATTTGACAGTTTTTGAACGAAAAAAAAAGAGATTGCTAAATCTCTTTTGCTTTTTGAAAAAAGAGCTCAACAACTGGAAATGTATATCGATTACACTTTGTGATTAAATATCATTTTACCATTGATTTAGACAGTTGAGACGTTTTTCTCGTATCAAAGAGAAACAAATCGATATAAGCGGAAGGCACAAGATTGGACATTTAATCACTGTTTAAATCTCTTAACCAATCACGGCTGTGAATAATTTTCTTTCAGTAGCCAATCAAGATGTTGAGTTGAAATTCAGAATCAGATCAAGAAGAAATGAAGATTGGTGAGCCTGCCAAATCATTTTCGGACAGGAAAAACAGGATTTTTCCTGTAAGCCTAATTCAGATGCAAAACCTGTAAGTAACAAATATTTGAGAGAAACTTCTTGTCACAATTCATTTAATGAACGAAAACTGGATAAAATAACAAATAATGAAACGAATAAAACAAACTGGCTTTTGATCTTTAAGCCTTATTACTTCGTCGTAACATAATACTTTTAAAATGCTAAAAGCTTTAAAAGACTATTTTTTTAATATTCAATATTTCTACCCCAAAAAGACCAGAAAAGTAATTCAATGTTGTTTTGAACATTGGGAAAGTGTTAAGTTAAGAAATGTTATCTGCGGGCGGCTATAAAAGAGCCTATAAGCAGAACAAAGAAGAGATTTAACGACGAGAACTAAATTTTCGAGCTATTGTTTGCCTTGACTTATTTGTCACTTGCTAAAACGAATTTGACAAGTCGAATTCACCAAGGTGTCTTTTATCATCGTATTACTTCTGAAGTATAATTGGCTGGAAAAGCACGTTCCTGTTGAACCTCAAAAAATGCGACATTCTCGACGAAAGCAAAGAGTAGAAGCGATTGCAGTGGGACCGCTACTAATATTTTCTCTTAGAAAGGAAGCAGTTCTTAATGCGATGATTGCAACGGCCTCTCGTTGAAGTCCACTTCGCCGTTTGGGAGCCGGTATCTTTTTAAAAACACTTTACTTTTCACTGGACTGGTACAAAACACTTCCCCAAAGTGACCATCGCATCGGGGAACTTCTTCATATTATTATTAGCAACTATTTATGGAATTAGTTATGGTATTTGTAAAATAACAGAGACACTTAGCACGTTCTCGTTGGTTCCAAACCCCCTTCCAAAATAGGTGAGGCTATGTAAACATGGATAAAATCCTGTATTGCTTTTTAATGGCATTTGTACTGGTGCCTTTCCCATCCACTTTAATTTTTAATGCTCGTTTGATCCCCCGACAGGAAATGTTTTCCCAAATGCTTGTAGCAGTTTGATAAGAATGGAAGAAATTTTTTTTTCAGACGCTCACTTATGGGTTCTTCCACTTCTTTTATATCTGGTGTATCGAAAGAGCACAGGTTACTCGCCATTTCATTTTTGATTACAACAGGTGTTACGGCTTGAATAAGATTACTTATTGATTTCCATGTTTGCTATAAAGCAATATACTGCTTTGGTTGAAATATGAATCTAGAATAGTATTGCTATATTGTGATATTCTAGTGCAAGACATGAGATAATAAATCTCTTGAATAATGTTAGTGTGATTCTAGCTTGCTTTTTTAAACCGTTCCAACCTGGTTTGCTGTAGGTTGAAAAATACGATCAACCAAAACAACCAAGAAGGTTTTTTTTTTCTCCTTACAATACATTAAGACTTTTTCATTTTTAATTGGCTAAGAGAGATGCAATTTTAAGGTAAAACAACACAGAAATAAGACAGTTCAGTGCCAAAGAAGATCATGAGAAAACTGTTTGGCCAGGCTTTACACAGTTTTTTTTCCGGCTAAAAGGAGGCTTCTCCTTCGTTTGGGAAAATAACTCGTGCGTATTAATTCCAAATTACGCTCAGAATCACGTCGTTACCATTACATGAAAAAAGAGAGCCCAAAATTCCATCAACACGACCAAACAAAAACAGTTGAACTTAGCTAATGGCGCATAACCTGCTAAATTTCGGCGTGAAAAAGTTTGCGTACATTATCGATATGCTATTCAGTTGAGTTGGGTAAAACCGGAAAGAGAAAAAGTTTTTTTTAATTCTTACTTGTGTAGTTTCTTTGGTGTAGTTTAAAAGATGGTATGAAATTAGTGCTATATATATATATATATATATATATATATATATAATAAGCTCAGTTATGCATGCATTCTGATTGGTTCTCACTTATGATCTATTGGAGGACAGACTATAGATTACGTCATCATTAAAACTTTTTTAATTCTTTATTAAATAAAACAAATAGATTCCAAGTTGCCGTGCGTCTGTTCAGTGATAGATCACAGAGGACGTCAAATGTGCCACGTTTTTGTTCTTACCACATTTTGACGTCATCTGTGATCTATTGCTGAACAGACGCACGGCAACTTGGAATCTATTTGTTAAATATATATATATATATATATATACATAGATTGATGAATTAAAGAGGACGCATCGATTCTCTGTGACTCTGAGTTTCGCGCCTAAGCGCTCGTCAGACAGAACTTGTGTATATTTGTGTGATGTATATTCTACAAACCTTACTATGCACTTATACTTTCCGTGTATTCACTATTTTTGTATTTGTTCTGTCTTCCTTTCTTTATTTGAATTGTAATGGTTCGCAACAGATGGCTAAATGACTGCCTAACGTTTTTAAAGCATCAAACAAAGGGGTCTTCTTTATTTGCTGGTATGAATTTATGGCATTGTCTAAAATTAAGTTGTTTCAGCGGTTGCACGACAAGTTTGGCAACAGTTGACCGGTTGACAACGTGTTTTTTTTTTTTTTTTTTTTGATATTTCGCACTAGACGACCACAAAGTTACACAGTGCTTCGTTGTTCTTACGCAAAGACTTGAAATTAGAACTTCTATATATTCCACAGCTATCACTCCCGCGCCTTAGTAATTGAAATTTGTGCGCTTGTCAGTTAACTATGTGTAATTAAAACGTGCACTTGAATTGTATTTCGAACACACGATAAATTTCAGTCTAAAGGCAAAACGGACACCTTTTTGCATCCCCATAGATCTTTGTTTTAATTCTTGTTCATACATTTTTTTATTTTTACTCACATTATGTTATATAATCTCATCAATGTTTTGGCTATAAATTATCTCAGTGATTGACAATGAGAGTTATATCTGTGCGGGATGATTTTGAATTCCGCCCAGACAACAAAAGTTCGAGAAAATGAAAATACGTGCCACAAGATCAGCAGTTCCCGCCCTGAAATAGTCTATTCTAATTCCTAGCTTCAAAAGAGTCGATCTTTGTCGGTTTACACTATGATATCGGATAATATATTTAAGGGTATTTTACAATTGACTTAAAATAGTGGGAAAGTTCTGCTCTTGCAAAAATCAATATCTGTGATGATCAGGTGGGTTGTGGAGGAGGTTCCAGTTGGATTAACTGAAGTTAATTAAAAAATTTTTGACATTTGTTTCTCCATAGTTATGTATCTTGAGCATTTCAACCTTCATTTGAATGAATATATTCTGTTGTTTTTCAATTTCCTCAGTGTAGCTTTGAACTAATGCCAAACCCATTATTCACTGTGACAGTCCACTTCATGACTCTTACAGTGCATTACAACAGATCACGGAATGAAACGTGAATCTTGCCAGTGGCGGGGGAAGACTTTTAAACGCCCACAGGGCGCTTAAACGGAAAAGGAATTAGCTCTTGAGCTCTCCACCCTGTGGTATTTTTAGCTTTTTGTTTTAGCCTTCTTTAACAAATTAACCTAATAAAACTGTTTGCAAAAGCGTTGTATAAAAAAAGCAAATGTCATGGGGGCCGACATTGCATTGAACAGTGAGCATTTACTGACATTTTAAAAATCCCTTGATTCTCTCTTGAACTCTACACTTGGGATGGATTAATAACATCTCAGTCTCTCAAACATCAGAGCTGAATTTAATATTTTTATGTCGTTGATGCGGTGATTATTTTCTAAACGACCCCTGACAAGTTGTCACCCTTTATACTTGGCCATCATCTTTGCGACATCTGGGCGGAGAAGCTAACTAGCACGCAATGTTTCGGTTAAGCCGCACAACTGAAACTATACACCGGCAACACATTACAACGACAGCCTCATAGAATTCAGGACACCAGTGTCTCAAGAGGTTTTTACCGCAAGGAAATGCTCCATTCACTTTTGCAACTGATACGACATGATCTAGAATCTATTGCCGATCTGAAACAGATCCTTCCTAAAATCTGATAGAATCTTAGTTTTTCGGTCTCTAGCTAAACTTACGCAAATTCGAGCGACAGTATTACAAGGTAGCAATCCCTAACCGGTCCTAACCGGCTAATCACTAAGAGATACACCTGAGTGCGTTCTCTCGGGAACTTCGAGGTATGAAACGCCGTCTGAAACAATCTATGCATGACCGCTCCAAAATTCAAGTTAGCGCTATTTTCTCTGACAGTATGCTTGAAAAATGGAATCAAATTGTCTAGGAACGATATTTACACGTATATCGTTTTGCCACTTCCGAATTACAGTATACCTGAAATAGCTTGAGTACCTAAAATACCCAAGAAGAGATACTTAAACGATAAGTGTGATCGTCTCTGATGCTTTTTTTGAAATCTTTGTATTTGTGGGTGGACTCGTCTCCGTTCGTCCTCTAAGGCACTTCTGTTTTGCACCATTCTCGTTTTCAGAAGTGTTCGCAAGGTGCAGGACACGACAATTAGATTTACATGAGGACCTGCATGAAAAGGGAACCGTCTTGGGAAATAAGATGGGATAAAATGTCTCACAATCCGTAAATCAGATAAGACGAAAATGGGTCACCGGATTTAGAAGATCGAAGAAATATTGTAATGTAGATATACCTATCACAGTTTGAGTATGTATATTGCATTTGGGATATATATATACTGCAATTTGAACAGAAATACGGTTACTCGCTTTATGAATATTGTTCTTGTTTATTTTGATCCTATGTGATTAGCCAACAAGTGGCATTCAAAATCTTTTATCAGAATGATTACATTCTAGATAACATTCTTCGGCCATCGAACGAAATGAAATGTGAAACATTGTGCATAACAATATACTGCGGCATGTTCACGCTATTTTGAGATAGAGTGTCTCTGACGGCATAAGCCATTTTGATGTTCTGTTTCTCCTAAAAAGATACAAAACTACGGGCAGAACAGTTGCGTAAAAAAGTGATGATTGTAAAAAAAATGCCCATCGTCCCACTGCTCAGCAGGAGTTTCAACCAAGGCAGAGTTTTCAATTTTTTCAGTGCCAACTAGCGTGGGAAAAGATATAAAGCGCTCGTAGTCTTTGTAAATGCTTCTTATTAGGCTCTAAGGGAAAATTGCCATAATGTAGTGTTCGTGGTCAAAGTCGACTGAAAAAAAAGCTCAGCCACGTCAAGATTTGGTTATTCCTCCTAAGAAGTTCAAGTGCAAAAGTTTCAACTTACATCCCGAGCACAGATATGGAAGTCCTCGAAGCTAAAACAAGTAAAACAGGACGTGGGACCCGAACACCTCGAGTAACACATTTACGATTTCCGCAACAGATTTTAGGCGGAAGTGTAGGAAGTTAGAACATTCCAGCCGAAAGTGAGAAAAAAAACCGCCCAAAAAACCACTCGCATATGTGACTAATCAAAATCCACAGGACATCTTAATATTTTGATATTCACATCTGATAGTGTATCTTGCTGTTTTTGTAAACAGTGTATAAGTACGTACATTAATTCAACTGATTCAAAAACTCGAGCGACGTAAACCTGCCGATGATAGATCCTTTTGTTTTTGTTCGAAGTTTAAGTTCAAGTGCTGTATCATTTCTGCCCGTTCATATCTCAAACAAAAACAAAGCAGATACAGCATCGATTATCGAAAAAAGCTAACTGAATGACGAGAGATATCTACTGATCCGTTCCAGTGCAAGTCGACGAACACATTTTTTGATGAAGCATTAACAAAAATTATATAGCTAATATATACCTAACTCTGCTCCAAAAATATGGGGAAAACGATACAGTATATAAGCAGTCGTGACAGCTAGTTGTTCATCTCGTGACTTTCAACAATGTTCCTGCATGCCGGAACTTGACTTCTGCCATTGCCACCAACGAAGAGCATGATAGAAAATTTGATCAAAACATTGTTAATCACTTTCTCTTCTGGTCTAGAAACACTCATTGATTTCTAATCCCGTTTTGTTTTCTCTTTTCTTAAATTAGACCTGGTTGAACCTTCCCAGCACCTGGCCTTCTTTTTCGCTCGTAGAAAAAATTGAAAGTGTGCAATATCAGTTTTGAATGCAAGCTCTAGCTCAAGCTCACAGACGGTGCTAATAGACAACCAAAGGAGTATATAATTAGGCAGAATGATTGAAGTGTTAGAAAACCATTACAATATCTCAGACTTATGTTTGACCTCCAGAGACCATGCTAAGTTATTTTTTTAGGAGCTGCAATCAGCTTTCCAGTGTGTCAAAATATTAAAAGGGTAAACAATTACACGAGGCTGGACCACCCCACCAAAGGGAAGTTTTTAGTTAAGACGAAACAATAACACTCTGAGTTAAGTTATCCCAGCTTTTCATTTTAATTATAATCCTTTGCCCGATAAGTCGCTTGAATGAATCACACCTGTTCTCGCTCTCTTCAGCTCTTTTTTCTAATCCCTGTGAAAATGAAGGAACAATTTCGAAAAACTAACGAATTATGGTTTTCATGTTTACAAACGGCGTGCTAATTAAAAATTCACCAAGAACGCAAATTAATATTTCAGTGTTGTGCAAAATTTGCGCTGTCCAAAGGAAATTTGAAGTGCACGAATTAGAAAAAAACCTCAATCGTTATCAATGCGATAGGAAATCGTTCAAGGACACCAGTTTGTAAACAGTCGATCGATTGAATAAAAAGAAGCGGTATGAATCCTTTTTTTCTCCTGATATAAATTCTCCCTTTGAAGTCTTGAGCCTTTTGTTCGAAGTTTCTTGAATTATTTTAGCGGTTATGTGCATACAGGTTTGAAAGTTAAACTGTAGTGGAAAATGTTTCACACACTTTATGAAACTGCTTGCTTAAATCTCGAATAAATCTTATAGTCAGGCTGGAGTTTATTAACTACAGAAATGATTTCTTGCGGGGAAAAAGCTCCAATTTGGATAATTAATTTATGCAACACCTTTCAAGAGACCCTAGGGTATTTTTAGCTCTTTTCTAAATACTTGTCATCATTACATATATTCTAACATGTTTCCAGAAGAGACCATGAGTTGTTCATGTGCGCTATGTTGCGATCATCCATCTTTGCATCTCGCAGTTTTGAAATCAGTTTCATCGATTAAAACCACTTTAGAAAGTGTTCTACGCGATCAGAGTTGGCGGAATATTTTCTTTTCAGTTGTCACGGACTAGATATCACCGACAGCTATAAATTAAACAATAATAATTACGTAAGGAGCCTTTTCGGTCGACAATTAGCTACACTGTTATGTAATGGTGATAAACTCCTTAGATCAGCTCTACTCGGTCTTTTCAAGGCTGCATTATTCTAGATCTATCCGTATTCTTATTTGCAAAATGGCATTTTTCCAGGGTAACTAAAGCCTCAGGGCTTACAAACCATCAAAAGCCCCGAATTTTGCTCATCAAAACGCACTGTCGGTTTCAACACACCACAGAGTGAAGAGAAAATATTTATAAAAAAATCAAGCAAAAAAAATTAAATGTCAATGCCAAAGGAACTGATCAAATTTAGACCTTGCGAAGTTTCACGCTCTTAGCTATTCATATATCTGTTAACCCATACTGTTTCAGTTTTCAACAAGCTGGATGGTGACGTTGCTAAGGAAAGTTTTCGGTTTAAGAAACATGTTTGAAAAGTGAAAGGTGAAAACATTAGCCAAATCTTCGTGAATCTTGCTCATTATTTTGGACGAAATAAACATGTCAGTATTTTAATTTTTATTTTGCATGCTGACTCATAAATTAGAGAGTGAACCTTCTGGAATAAACTGTGTTTCTAAGTTTACTTAACCTGCCGTTTGGAATTTTTTATTGAATTTTGCCATCAGATCATTAATCTTACAGATGGGGTAAGTTCTAAAATTCAAAACTTAAGCATTTTCCATGTAGAATCTTAAACGTGGATAAAACTCAAGCAAATGTATTCAACTTTAAAATTAGCATTTGGAAGTGAGAACAATAGAAATAAACTCAGCAATTTACAATACATTGACACGAATTTTCTGCAAGACTCTAGTGAGAGATAAAAAAAATGTTTTGATGCCAGAAAAAAATAGCTTTCTAATCCTGCAAACTTAGAGCAAGTTCTTTGCAGATTAGAATCTAGACACGGAAATGTCCCTATTCTTATCTTCCGTTCATAAATATATCTTAAAGTCATTGTAAAACTGAAATAAACGAAAATTCTTTAAAGTTCCCCATCAGCATGTTTTTGCATTATTTTCGAGAGCATACAGGTCTCTGATCACCATCAATCGGTTATTTTCCATTGTCCTTCGCGAGACTTAAAGATACGTTCGCGGCAGCTGCCTTGATAAACAATGTCAAATTTTAGTTCAACTGAGAACAGCGAGAAAAAGATCTCCTTGGGACATCAAAGAAACCTAATGCATTGAGTCGCGGATCTGAGCTGTACCTGGAATACACCGTTTGATCGCTCCACGGAATAGTCATGTCCAAGGTTGCAATGTTGTTTTGGGGAATATGCGAGCCGTAAACATTGTAATAAGCTTGTTCGTATTGTCTTTTGAACATTGCTGCATCTTCACCTCCTCGTGCATATTCACTCAAGACAGCAGGAGTTAACACAATGGAGCTTCGTCTTTGTCGGAAAGGTTCTGAGTAGCTTCTCGGTCGATTACAGTGAAGCGAAGACGAATTCATTTCCGAACAACTGCAGACCATTTCCTTACGGTGATCTTTGTTTTCGAGAACTTCGTTCGGGCAGATATAAGATAATCTCTTTATACGACGTCGTTAAGTCCTTGTAGCGATGAATGTGTTTCTGTGTCGTTCAAAAGTGAAATTTCTGTCTTATTTTGAACGCACGGCGCCTTCACTTGGTACTCTAAAGTCCCGTGTTTATTCCGTGCTGCAGTGAAAATAGCCTCTCTAGGGAACTTGCCACCTCGCTGGCTTTGTGTCCCGTTGCTTGTGTTTCAAAGCTAAATATAGCCACCGTATTCAAATAAGCTAGACGCGACTTTCGGAATATTGTTTGCTTTCGTGAAAAGGTCAGGTAAAAATAGAACAGCTCCGCCTCCAAAGTAAATTCAAAACTATCGCTCCTGTTGATTGATAAACCGCAACGTCCTCCCAAGCTTCAAGATAAAGACTTTCGCTGTCTGATGAGGGCCAATTAAAACTTTGTGGCTTTTCTTGGAACCTATAACATCGAGCTGAAGTTTATCAATTCGCTTGGCAGCATTACTTAAGCCAAGCTCCTTTCATTATTGATTTTATCCGACCGGTGAGAAGAAACGAATAAATTAAACGCGTGAAATCTATTTTTAGCCCCTTACAATCCTAAGTTCAAAGAAGCTCTCCGTTGTCGGGGTGATATGAAATTGATGCTAACAAACTGTAACACCTACATTATAATTATATACCTTGCGTAATCCTGGATAAGCTTTTAAAATAAAAGCTACATTCTGTTATTGCTAAGAAGAAAGAGTAATATCGCATGCTAAAAATACTTTTGATGTTTTTCAATTTCGGCGTCTGTCAAACAATGGATCTGTGAATTGACAGGGCAGCTGTCTTCAGACAAAATCAGCTGGTTATTGCGGTGAGTTCCAAGCCAATATTGACAGAAAATTGTAAATCGTAAGCCATCATAAGCCTGGACGGTGTTCAGACCTTGTTTTTCCTTAAATTAAAAATCGGCCAAATTTCAACTTCCGTTACCGAAGTTACACATGTTTTGTTTCGTGTGTTACGTGCAGGTTCTCCTTCCTTTCCTTTAGTGAAGGAGAGTGAACACTCGACAAAGTAACCCTACCTCCCCTTTTTTCAGTAGCGGATTTCAATAGAATAACATCGAATCACGCGATTGTTGTTACATTCTCTTCCTCGCCGTTTTTAGTGCCAAAAGTTTTGGTAGCCACAATTTGTGATCTTTAGCTACAAGTTCAAGGGATGTCTACTGTTGTTTAAGTTTACTTTCGTGAACAGACGTGTATTTTCATGTGCTGACTTGAAACGTGCGTATGATGAATCAAAGGCAATGAAAGTACGGTTAGCGTCTGTGGAAAGAAAAAATTAATGTGGCTCTATTGACTAAGGCTTTGAAACCCTATTTTCGTAGGCCAGATTACAGGGGGATTTTGATATCAACACCCACACAAACGATAAACTCTATGAAAGTTATTCTCGTGTGTTGGGTTACCCAGATGCGCAGACGTGAAGTTCACGTGACCACCCGACTGCCAGTCATCAGTTCGTTCCCAGTACCCGAGGGCAAAATCTCTAATGAAAAAATCTAACATTTTGTAGTACGTATTAAGACAGTGGATAGCGTTGAAGGCTCGCTCTAATTTGGGTACTCAACTCCGAATATCCTTCGCTATTCACCTTCGAGCAATTCGCACTAGAAAACCATGATAAAAGCAGATTTATTATACAGATACTGATGAAATACCAGGATTCTTCCGTTTGCTAAAAAATCATATCTTCATCGCGCGCAGTGAAGATACTATTTTTTTCTTTCACGTGTGAGGATATTGGTGTCGCCATGGTTACAACATGATAAGGCAATTACAAGAGAGCTTCCCGCTCAGGCGCGCGGCCGGTTCCTCTGAAATTTCATTCACAAAATAGCTTCGAGGTGCGAAGACGGTACAGTTACTGGTGACTTTCTCGATGTCCTGCCAAATTTTCACATCGATACTTTTTCTGAGCTTCATAAAATTTTTGCGACAGGCATTTTGCGATAGGTGACCACTTTAATTGCACTATTTTGCTGTTTCGAAAAGGAATAAAAAAAAAAGGTTGTCTTTTATGTAGGAATTTCATCAGTATCTATAAAATAAACAGAACATTATGTGTCCGCTTGGGGCTACGAATTTTATCTTCGAGTGCTAAATATAATACATGTAATATCCTCTATATATGCAACGCCGAAGGGGTTGACGTGAACCAGTACAGATGAAGTCGTTCAATCCCACACGTTCACTTCTTTGTTGCTTTTTCCGAGTACGTGGACTCTGTTGCTGAATGTAGAATTAACATAAAACGATCAAAGTGACACTGATGAACTCGTGGCTACACTGCGCACAATGTGTAATTCGATGGATTATTTTCGTCGTAGAATTTTACTTGTAGTCTTCCAGCACGCACCCTTCTTACGTAATATATTTGTTACGAAATGCTTTCAGAAGACTTATGGATCACAATGATGAAATACTTTTTGATTGCAATCAATCATGGCCTCGAGCACAATATTTTCCCGTTCGGCCCTCCCACTCAGTCTTTATAACATACATTAGCAAAGTAAATAAAGATCTTGCAAAATAGAATTCCTGTAAACCCTTTACAGTTTCCTTGACACGTTTCTATGACATCTGTCCATGTCAAGTCACCCCCACTGAAAAAAAAAAAAAAAAAAAAAAAAAAAAAAGGAGTGACTAAATTTAGGAGTATCTAAAAATTGAGAGTCACAGTTTACTTTGACTGGTGCATAAAACGGACAACTTTTTATTTTTATATATTTGAAGGGGGTAAGTTTCTAACGAAACTGTGGCGCTGCGTAGGCGGGAGGGCATAACAAGGTAATTTGGTATTATCAACTCCGTTGATAATAACTCCATGGTTAGCATGGTTGCTGCAGTCATTAGGAGTTTGAAACAACCTGACTTTTCCCTAACGAACGTGAATGTTATCCTGACCAACCTAATGGACAATTTCACAAATAAATTCTGATATTGACTTTCAACCTCCTAACCTTGTCATCCTCTCCCCCCATAACGTTATATTTTTAGCAAGTCACAAAAATGTACACGAATGGTTTAAGTTCCTTTAGGAAACATGATAAAGAATTGATCTCCTTGAAGTCCAACATCAGCTTGTTGTTGAAAATAATTTCCTAAAATTCTGCGGATCCAACACCTTTAGTGTCTGTGAGGTGTACAGAGTGATTTAAAGTTTTAGCAAACAAAGAAAATAGAAAAATATGTATGGTTTCATTCACAAACCAACTTGAAACTTATACTGCAAAGGAAAAGGATTTGCTGGTCAGGAATATGTCAACTGTTTTAAACAATGTACATGAAGAGCATCAACATCACGAAAAGGGAAGTGTCACCATCTTTTATCATGTAGAAGGCCCAGACAAGTTCAACAACTTCATGTTCACTAGCAATTTCACATTTTCCTGACTTCTTTCATCGATGTAAGTTTTCTCTCACTCAAAGTGAAATTCCCTGACTTTTCCCTGAACTTGAAAAAAATTTCAGTTCCCATGACTTTTTCTGACCAGAGGCAACCACGTTAGCTACAATCCGACTTGTTTCAATAAATTGTACATCATTTGTTTGATACTCAGTTCCAGTCTCACTGGATTTATTCATTTAGGTACATACATTAATAAAATTTGCCTTCCTTAATTGCAAATTATTTCATTAAATTTTTTTTTTAAAATTAGTTAGATGGTAGAAATATCTAAATGTTTGCTTTGGACTTGGTGAGAGTAATTTCCTATGGTCTAAAAAGGCAAACAAAAAGAAAAAAACCAAAACAGAACAAAAGACTATTATAATAATAAAAAACAACAACTACAATAAAAAGTCTCCTGCAGTTGGAGGGAACACTACACTGAACCAAAACTCCAAGTTGTTAGTCATAAACTGAGTTAAACTGTCCAAGCTTATCATGACAGCCATGTAATACATTATACTACATCAGTACTGCTTCCACTGCAATAATTTCCATGCAAAAGAAACATTATGCAAAATTACCCAGAGTCATTATAGAATGAGCAGCAACATACATTTTCTTATGATACTCATCTATTACTTATCGCAGCTGTATACAAGATACATATTCTACACCACAGAACAAATAAACTAAAAAGCCCTTTAAAAAACCTATTCGACAGTTTCGACAGTTTTTGTTTGTTTATTTCTCCCTATCTATCAGTGTTTTTCTTTATCTTTAGTTTTGAATTTCTTATTTAATGATGTCAGAGTAATTTTGATGGTTTTCTCCACTGAGTTTAAACTGATATCTGACCACCAGCACTGTGACAGTTCACTCCTTTACTAACATTACTTTGCGAAGCCAAGAGTTGTCTCCTCTCAATCATGAAGATTGATTTTCTTCTGGCAGGAAGACTTAACACAGGATAACCTTTTTTGGGGAAGATTTCCATTTTACACTTTGTTATGGTGACACAGTGTTCCTGTAACCATAATATTCATAATACCTGCCATAAAAGAAAAGAAACTAATATTAGAATAAAATTAATTCACTGCATAATTAAGCAGCTGGACAGATAAAAAAAAAGCCTTTACAACACCACCCCTAGAGAATATAAATTTGGCAATTTTTGATTACTATGTATGCTCAATATAATTGCTCTGGTAATAAGAAAGATGTGTGCACTCTGATTGGTTAATGAGTGCATCATACCTTGCTATAATCACCTGGCATGAGGTGCTCAATAGCAGGGTCACTGAATTTTAAAAATTGGCTGCCACTACATGTTTTGTCAATGTTACCATCAAGTGATCAATGTGCCAGAAGAAAACTCAATTCTAAGTTTGGCATAACACTATGGAAAAGAATGATATAAATTTTTTGCAGATTAAATTAAATAAACCTGCTAAATTCCAGGGGAAAATAATTGCTTATCTCAGCATGTGTACTGGTAATCAAAACAATTGTAACAGAATGGTTTCAACAACAACATGAATTTACAACAGAATTCAAAAGCACCTGAGTAATTATACTAAGACAATTATTTGGCTAGCCTTCTGTGAATAATCATTAAATGTCACAAAGCAGTATGACAAAACTATGTTTTGTATCTTTTTTTAATTCAAGGCTCATCTAGCTTGTAAAGCAAGTAGGGTTGTTCCAGCAAGTGGTTGAATTTAATTTCCCTAGAGAGCATTATGTATCATTCCTCTTACTAGCAATATATGCTCCACTTAGAAAATTCCTCTTTTTTGGCACATATTTATGGCTTCCTTGTCATAAACCACCAAGGATGAAGCCATCCCATAAAACAATATGTCCATATGAGTAAAATAGATAAGTTGAAGGAGAGATAAAATGAGTTTATATCATGTTGAAAAAAAAAAATTTGCAAGAACTGCAAGAGAAAACTCAAACTGAAAAATCGGTACATGAACAGCCAAACTTTTGACTTAAACTAAAGAGGCCATATTAAGAAAACTACTCCCTCACAGAATATTCACTTTCCCTGGGAGTATAACACTGACGCAAATTGAATGGTCATTCAGAAAGATGCCAAGGTTATTCCTACCATACTTAAATCTTCAACTCCCTGAAGTGATTAACAATTAACTTCCCCCTACAATCTTCATACACTATCCAGCAAACAGGTAATGAGAATACTCAAATGTATCAGGTAGAAGTTGTTATCTTGATCTAACACCAAATTCTTGTAACCTATTTACAAGGAAATGTGTAACACCTAGAGGGGAGAATTAACTATCAGATCTTGGGAGTTAAAGGGTTAATCTGCTTACAATGCTAGCAATTGAACTCAATGAACACTTCATGTCCGCTGTTTCCCCCTATTATAAACATTGAAACTATTTACAGTACTATTACCATAGCTATTTATATTTTCATTACATACAATATGCTAACATTGTTTACTGTCCCAATTTACCTTTTACCTGATCTTATGTGAGTTCAGTGGGACTTGTTCCTTTCTTTTCAACTTAGGTTTCTTCCTCTTCTTTTTTGCAGCAGCAGCTTTCTTTAATTCTTCATCTTTTTTCTTTCTTCTGAGCCACCTGTTGTAAGAAAATTTTAAATATTGCATACTGTTGGAATGTCAGGGCAAACTGGTGAAATGTTACAATCCTGCCTGAATTTTGGGGTTTGTATAAGATTCTTCCTTTTCTAAACAGTTTCATAAGTGACCTTACAAGGCAGTCAGGGTTTTATTTTCAGATCAATTGGAGGGCTCAGAGCAAGAACGATCCCTTGATTTTTCGGCCATTTTTGAAAGTGTCCACATGCCAAAATTCATGTGAACACTTTCAAAAATGGCCGAAAAATCAAGGGATCGTTCTTGCTCTGAGCCCTCCAATTGGTTTTGTGAATTTTCTGGATTACACCAACAGCTTAGTAAGTTGACTCCTGAGCAGACAGACCTCTAAGGGAATGGGGGAGGAGAATACCATGGGTACTTCTTTTGAACAAAATTTCATAGATTGCAAATTTGAAAAAGGGAAACAACAGTTTTCACCTTATTGTTCATCACAGATTAGAAAAAAAAAAAAGATGCGTGGCCACAATTTTTTTCTTAAAGGTGATACTTCCCCTTTGTAGCGAAAGGAGCTGAAGCAGGATGTACACCACTCACTACATCTCTATAATTTCATATTATAGTGGCTACTTAGTTGAGTGCTTGGGTGGAAACATGAATAGAGAAGGACACAGAGTAGCAGTCAAATTGAGAGTAACTGCCAAAAATCAAACATTCTCAAGCAGATCAATTTTGGTCAGCAGGCTGCCAATTTCCTGCCAAGAATATCAAAGGATTCTGATATAGGAAACAGTCCAAGCCACATAAGAATTGCCATGTTGATTATTTTTTGCAATTGAATAATAGCTTGTGAACAGAAAGGGAACAAAAATCTTGACTGTCACTGTATCTGCCACCTAGCATTTGACTTGCCCTTTCCAACTTGGACAATTAGCAAATCTTTAACCCTTTAACTCCCAGAAGTGATAAACATGAAAATTCTCCCTACAATATCAATACATTATTCAGCAAACAGGTGATGAGAATAATCAAACTTATCAGGTAGAAGCTGCTATCTTGATCTAACACCAAGTTCTTGCAACTAATTTATAAGGAAATGTGTAATAGCTAGAGGGGAGAATTAACAATAAGATCTTGGGAGTTAAAGGGTTAAGGACCTCAAAGATCTTCTCTTAAAGAGTTCTAGTAATTTAGTGCATAAGCTTTATCACCCAGAAGGGATATTTTGGGGGTCTGGTGTCAAGAACTTCACCATTATTACAACTGGTATGAGTTTATCATTATAAATACCCACTTATATTTCCTAGGCCTAAAATTGTAAAAATTTTTAACCATTTTTGGAAATTCTGAGGTCTTTAAGAATAAAGTGGAAAAAACCCTTTTGGGTCACACATATTTCTAGAAGTAAATCACATTAAGCATACACTCCTAAATTCATAAACCATGCTCACTCGTCTATAAGTTAATTTCACGTCTCACACAAATTTTGGCCTTAATTGTAACACATCATATACACACCCTTTATTGCTCTTCTGCTCAAGTCAAATGAAACAAATATTTGCACATCAGTAGGAGAGAAAGAGTGGACTATCTTAATAAAAACTAAGTAATTTTTACCCACCTTCTAAATGCCTCATCGCAAAGCTGCCGATCTCTTATTGTGTACTGGGAGGCTTCCTCCTCTCTTTGTCTTTCCTCCAGTTGTCTCAGTGTCTTGTCTTGTTCCCGCTTCATACTTAGCCACTCACTGTATGCTGACTGGGCATTACTCTCCTTTTCCTCTCTGGCTCTTAGTGCATCCTCTGGGTCTGGTTGATTTAATCTTGCCTGCTTTGCAGCTTCTATTTTATTATATAACCAAACCTGCCAGGGAAAATAAATTGTTCGACAAGGTGAAGAAGTCTCTCCAAAGAAACTTTACAACTTTGAGCACATAGAACAAATTTACGCTGTAAACAATATGTATTTGATATTGAAAATTCATTACCCTGACTGAAGTAAGCTTTTTTAGTAGCTGGGCAGTCATATTCACTGCCAGTGTTGAGAACTACAATATAAATACTACTAAATAGTCCAAACGAAAGCATCAATAAAAGCAACTATTGTATATACAGGTAGAATGTACCATTTTCTCAATTTTGATTTTGAGTCAAACACAGCCCCAAATCTCACACACAAAATACGCGCTGAAATCCTCCAACTGAAAAAAGTATCTCAGGATTACACAAATAACCAACCCTGAAAAAAATTATATTGAACAGAGAGTGCAAAAAGATATGTCAGGTGTTTGAATATGTGACCATTCAGCGTTTCGTTCACCCGCGATGACAACTACCTAGAGTTAGGAGTACTCTCTCTGAGTTCAACAATCAATTTACTCAACCGGCCTCTCGGTTTTTAAATTTTAACTCTATCTAATATGGGAGAACTCGATATAGGCTTACACCCAAGAAATTGTGGTTTAGGCAAACTTAATCTGAACTTGATTAAATAAATATCAAATGTATCCTTGAAGAGTCAAGGAACGTAACTTCGTGGGTTTCGTTAAGACCCAAATCACAAAATTTAACTATGTCTCATATTTCCAGAGAAGTGTCTAAGAAGCTTTTCATGCTACTGTAGTTCTACGGCAAAGATCTAATCAGTATGCAAAAAGTGTGCGAATTTCCGTATACGCAAGCTAAATACCTTATGGTGGCAAAAGGTAAGAACTGAAGAATCATTCCTTCACAAGTGTGTAACTAAAGATGTTAGTAAAGGACTTGAAGTGTAATATGATATGAAATACATAATCACGGCTAATTTGTTGTTCAATGTTTATAGAAAATTCACGAAAGCTTTCACTCGAAGAAGCCTTGGGCGTAATATGTGAACGACCGAAAATTCAGTGGACGACTTAAAGCTTGTATTGACCTGGCTTTACCTACAACATAACTTTTCAAACACACGTACTTGGAAAGCTCTTTCAGCATCTTCTTTTTTTCTCTGCTGTTCCTCCCGCTCTCTCTCCTCTTCTTCCTTTTGCCTCCTTAATTTGGCTTCTCTACATTTCCTTCTTATCTCAAGCTGCTGTTCAGTCATTGCATATTCCGATCTAATATGAGCATAATCATCATTTCTCTGTCGAATCGCCTTCGCACTCTGACTTCGAGTTCTATCAACACTCCTAGTATTTCTTTTCTTTTCGTTTCTACGGTGCTGTTCTTGAACCGAAGTAGTTTTTGGTCTGGGCCGTGACGCAGGTTTTTCCTCAGGGATTTCTTCGGCATCATTTTCAGTCGCTTCGCTACTTTTTCCTTCGCTTCCGTTGTTTACGCCATTGGCTTCAGGTGTTATTCCCAACAGTTCGTAATATTCCGCTTTGATCTCGCTCACATCTACAAGTTCGAATTTGCCGTCACGTTCTATGAGAACCCGATCACCGATCATTTCCATTGTAGGACTTTTGGCAGGCGACGATACTGGTGAGTCTTCTTTATTACTTATTTGTGCGGATTCATCTGGCTCATCATTAACTTTTCCTACCGATTCGCTTCTTTCACTTGACGCTTCATCGGCTTCGTCTTGTAAGGTCACGCCATTTTCGAAAGCTTTGCTAACTTGTTCGTCCTCCGTTGTATTCGAATCTTTGACAACATTATTGTTGGAGGTCGCGTCGTTATGTTCCTCTAGTTTCTCGCCTTTATTTAACTGTTCATTTTCATTTTGTTCTTCCTCCTTCATCATTCTCTCCATTTCTTGCTCGTTGATACTGCTGTCTGAATCAGCACGCGGTCTCGTAGATTCTTCTGGCGATTCGATGTCACTATCGTCCTCCGAAAAAGAAGCTCTTGTTATAGATATTCGAACTCTGCTGGGATTATTTGGATTAGCATCGTCTTCAACGAGCTCATTCTCCATGGTTTCCGCGTGATACTAATAAACTTTTCAATTCTCTTGAGCGTTACGGCGGCAAATCGGAGGGTTGTTTATGTCCGTATTATTGTTCGTGTCACCTGTGGCAACCGGGGCGGTGTGCGCACTCTGATTGCGTTGCATCATGGTCGTGAAACGAGAAGGGAGACTTTTGCATCCTGTCGTTGTCAAGTGAACATCTCTGGTGGCAGCAAGATAGCGTGAATAAACGTGGAATGTGATGGAGATTCACTATCTGTTGTCGTTCCTTCGAAAGTTTAAAAGTGTTTATGGGCCTGCGCGACTCCTGTTATTTCTCTGTGACAAATTCATTCTCAGGAGGCAACTGAAGAAATTCAGAAAGAATCGAAACTGCAGTCTTACCCAAGAATCTACACGTTTGACCGACAGCAGTTACACTCAGCCGATGGCTGTGAGAATAATCTAAAATTCGCGAGTTATTTAACGGGGAATCGACCCTTAACATGAAAACACATTACAAAGAGACAGCGACCTTCTATTACACGAACTATTTTTATGTCATACACTTAACGGCGTAAATACGGAATTCGCGAAAGGAGAAGCCTTACGCCTGCTAAGACCAAATTCGTCACGCTCAGCGTTTAATAAAAACGTACCATCAGAGTTTCAAATATGCTTAAAGAATAGAGAATACCTAGAATAAGGTTTTGAGAAGCGTATCTCTCGAGTTATTTTCTGCGGGAGTGAAAGTATACTTAAAAACAAAGAAAATAGCGCGCACATGAAAATATTACCTTTTCTAACAAAATCTCATCCAGCTTTGCCAAACCTCAAAAACACACAGATGGGAAATGACACCTTGAAACTAACCCTTATTATCACATCGCAAAGGAAAGTCACTAAAAGATATCTAAATAACAGCTTAACTTTCAGGGTAGAAGATTTAAAAGCGCAAGCGAATTGCAGGAGTTGCACAAGCCTATCATCACCTTTCTACGATCGACTGCCTTTTGCTTTCCGGCCTACGCTGCGTGTCGCCGTGTACATTGTAGAGTTATTCATTGGTCAAGTGACTCCTTTCATTGCTCTAATTCAACTGTCCTTCATTCAATGATCAGGATAGCAGATTTACCATACAACACTGGTAATTAGTTAATTTGCTTTTACTTAAAAAAGTAGATTTACAACAGAATTGAGTATACAACAGTAACGCTGTGCAACGCCACAATAGGCCTTTTCTCGGCCACAATCGGCCTCAAACACTAGCACTTAGAGTGCGAGAAACACATTCACCGCTGGAGAGCGTTTGAGAGCATTTGGTCAGAGCTGTTGAAGAAGGATCAAAGCGGCCATCCAAATCTTTGAAAGGCTTCAAACTACGACGTACATCAAATTTGACCTCGAAAACCGATCTGAAATTACATACTAAAAAAACAGTGATTGCGTTTGTCCTTGAGAACCATAGAATACACGACAAATACGTATAAAAAAATACTTTTACACATTCAGAATAAATCAAATTACATTTATCTATGGTGAAAGGAAAAAGGAACGGTCTAACTTTTATGGAATGTCCAGTCAAAATCTGTCGATTTCTGCCGCTTTCACCACCATATTGAAAATGAAGCTACCACAATGCAACGCAATCGGAGTGCGCACACCGCCTGTGTGGCAACCTAGCCTGTACCAAACATTACTTGATCACGTGACTAGCCACTTGGCTCGCTGTAGTGCTCTAATCTAATAAAGATAAGCGCATTTTCGGACCGCTATCTTTTTCGAAATTTCGGCCCTAATTTCACCGAGAAGATACTACGTTCAAACAACTTTTCACGAAATTTGTAAGTTTCTTTGAAGAATCCCTGCAATTGGGTTCAGCCGATTACACAGCTGGACCAGAATCCCATTCGCTCCTAGCTGAAAATTGAGCCAAGTTTCTGATCGCATTGAAAATTTCAGCTTGGTTGGCGAGGTGCCCGGGAAAGGGAAATGTGCCAATTCCAGTTCTTTCTAAAAGCATTTGCTGTTGATATGCATCTTATAATATCAGTCAATGAAATGTTGACAAGAAAGACGGAACCTTTGGACCCAGGTCGTCAAAATCAAAGCGGCACTTGACATACAAACTATTTTAATTAACTTATGTATGACCTATACACACGCTCTCTTTTGTCTCGCATTCTTGCGATTTTTTGAGCAGTAAACATGTCTGATCGGAGTTCCTCTGTTAAGCAGAACTCTATTACTTAAAAAAAAATTACAGCTTTTTTAGAACATGTAAAATGGGTTCGTTTGTCGTTCGGAGTTGAGTGGTGAAAAACTCCTATGCTTCAAGGTAGGCCTTCCTTGAAGGTTGATGGTTTCGCAGTTCATTAAATCAGAGAGTACGATGCTGTTCTCTTTTTCCATGGTCTCAGCTACTTTCTAGTCCTAGTGCGTTTAGAAGGAGGAAAAATATTCTAAATTGAATCACGTCCACTTTCACTTTCACCCTATACTTTAATGAAAAAGATCTTAAGGTTCGGAATAATTTCCCAGTATTTCTATTTCTCCGGAGTTGTTCACGAAATGATAAATTATTAGGAATTATTTTTCTTCAAAATGCGGAGTTACCCTGCCCTGGGAACAAGGGTAGTTATAGTTGCTTTTCATTTCGTTGAAGAATTCAACACTTCCCTCAAATAATTAGATTTTCGGTTGCCTGCTAAGCTTCCACGATTGATTCAATTGTCCAGAACCTAGTAACAAGGTTAATTTCCCCTTTTGGTTTCATGCCAAGCTGCGCCTTCTAAGACACTGGAAAAGTTTTTAAATTTTGGACTAATTATCGAGTATTTTTAATACTTTCAAGTTGTTTAAAAAACAATGGATGATAGGCAAGAATCTTATTTTCTGATGCCATACAGGAACACATCATCCTGGAGGCAAGAGTAGTAGTTGTTTATTAAAAACAGAAGGAATTTCGCACTTTGCTCAACTTACCACGACCTATTTCCACATGGGGTCAAATTAACTCTTCGGTTTCGTGCTAAATTGCATAATTTTTTTGTAAATAACTGAGAACATAATAAAATTCGAGCGTTTTTTCATTAGTAAACTGCGAGGAAATCTTGAGTACAGGAAAAAATTAACAACAGGGATTAAAAGCTTTGTACTTTATGCTTTCAAGTCATAATCGTTTACGCTGTTAAGAATGATTTGGGGAGTGTTCCCTCTAGTTGTCTCCGTTCAGAGAAGTTTTTTTAACAAACAAGTAAGTGCTATTCTATGTAGCATTGCTCTTACCTTATGACTGAAAATAATTCGTTAGAAGGAGACATATGACATGTGTATGCCTCTTTTCTTTAGAGCGTGCCTGCGGCGGGCTTTCTAGCTTTTCAGCTACAAGAACGAGGTTTGCGATCGTCTTTGCTACGCGCTTGTAGCGAACTGTGAAAGAACGAGGTCTAAGAACAACTATTATTATGACTAGATTTCCCATAGAGAAGAATTACGAGCAGACTTCCGGTAATATTGCGTTCGACGAACTCCATCAGAACACATTTCTTACCCTCCCTTACATTATGTAACAATCTACCTTTCAGTTCTCCGCCTTTCATTAATTGCGACAAGAATTTTTGCCCAATCTATCGGACTGCACGTTTCATGAGTAGAATCTATTAATGTTTATGTAATAAGCTGTTACAAGAGGATTTTTAGCTATTAAGTTAACTGTACTTATGCTAATGAAAAATTCTAATTAAACCTGGAAACTGCACTTTGATAATTCATAATATCACCCTTGCAATAGGCTTAAATAGAACTGTGTTGTGAAGCTTTCTTTGGTCACAATAAGCTTGTGCTTGGTCACAACAAGCCATTGTAGCACTTAATCACAACAAACACAGTACTTTGTCACAACGAATTTATTTTGGTTAGTATTTTAGTGAGAATTTGTTTTACCTGGTCGTGCCAAGACCGTAGATTAAAACGCCTGTTAAAGTCAAGTCTACTGTGCAAGTCCTTGTCAGCGATTGTCAACAGCCGTAATAGCTTTCTTTCTGAAGGGAAGAAATCTATTTTCCAAAAACAAGTTATATTCGCACTGTAATCTGTTCTCAGTTATTTATGAAAAATTACGAAATTTGGAAGGAAAGACGCATAGATTTATATGAATATTAATTTTTTCCACTTTCCGCTCGCTCGCAGATTTGTGTTCCGCATCTCTTAAGCTAATTCCGCTACAGCGTAATAAGAAGAACTAAGGCGATTTAATTGCTTCAGAAGCTTTCCTTTTCAGCAGACATATCAATAAGTATATTCTGGATGTCTGAAGAGGTAAGCGCGTTCGTTCCTCGATCAATAATTGGAGAGCAAAAGTGTAAAGCCAGACCTTTATTCCAATTAGAAAAATTTTGGAGCATAAACAGGTTACTCTCAAATAGGCTACTTTGCTTTTCTTCTTTGGAAGAATTGCGAGCCATCACCAATTTCACTCGTGCGTTGTTCACTAAGGATTAGAGCTATATTTGGTATGCGCGTGGGCGTGTTTTGAATCTTCGATCCTTCGTTGTTTTTTTGTTGAGATTCATTCTTCCAACTACTGCTGTTTACAGTTCAAATACTCAGCTAGTACTCAAATGAATTTGATAAGAGCTGCCAACTCCATCTCGATACTACACAAATTTGTGCGTCTAGAGGATACAAGTAAATATTCACTGAGGAATCTTTGCCTCAGTAAAAAAACCCACCTGGCACATTGTAAGAACATACGGATGACTAAGTTTACTTTTTTTATTGCTTGACGATTGACGAATTTTTTTCAAATACTCAGGAAATTTTGACGTAAATTTATCGAACCCCGAAACCTCTCAGAAGCACTGGGCGTTTTAAATTGTTATTCTTGTTTACGTTCGGGCTGTATCGAATCCAGAATACAAATGTATTTTTCCTGTCTGGCTTCTCATATGTCCGATTGTGTTCCATCTCGCTTAAAGATGTCGCTTTTTTATGTTTTTCTTCACCTGGTAAGTAATTAGTACTCGAGTATTCTATGAATCTTATTTCATTTTCTAAAGTCGGTAATCCTTGGTTACTTGAGATGCATCACAAAACAGAACATGTGTGTTGGTTGAGAAGAAACTAGTAAATCAATGATAGGAAATTTGATGGGATGATCTTGGTCTACCTATTTGTGTTCGCACTCAGTTCATTTCAGTATCAGCGGATTGCTTTGTGAGTTGCACTGTTTTTTACATCTAGAAGTAGAAAATTCAAGGTTAGCCTAATATGCTTCTAGCTCGGTTTCTCAGGAACAAATATTAATCTAAGAGAGGTACGGGAAATAGGCGAATGAGGCGTTATAACGGAATGCTTTATAATCACATTGAAAGACAAGTATTGGCGAGGCCAGGCTTATAACGCTGTACGAGAACAAGATAATTGTCTGATTGCTTTGATAGTATTCTAAGATACGATATAAGATTGATGAGGATTTTAAGACGCAGTCTAATCGGAAGTAGGAAACTCACATTAGCTCACAGCCTGTGTCGAATCCGGAATACAAATGTATTTACAATACTGGTGTCTATTATTTGCCATTGAGCGAAATGGGTCATATGGCAATGCTGCACTTAAACTAAGGAAGTTTTTCTTTATTAAAATCCCCATTTGAGATTAACTTGAATCAGATAACTGTAAACTTCTCGGCGAAAAATCATCACGCCTCATGATACAGCTGATTCTTTCGTCAAAAGTTAGCTTTAGGTTTTCTAGGGAATTACTCTACAGCAACGAAACTCCAGAGCACTGACCAAGGGGAACCTTCGCCGCACTTAGTGCGAAGGACTAAAATGTTATGGCAACATAAACGAACACAGCTACCCATTCTTAACATAATTTTCGTCGTAGAAAACAAAACATAAACGCAACAAACTAAACAGTTAGTAACGGGATTCTTTTTGTTCTAATCTTGACCTGAACACCGCGGGCGAGAAACCGTCTTTGTCACTCTTCGTCGACTGAAAATTTTCGTTTGATGCACGCGGTTCTTCTTCCTTGGGCTGAATCGTACTTACGACTTCCATCTATTCTTTACTGCCTGAGTACGGTGTATAACAACTCTCGGTAGAGCTTGCTGAAGGTAGGTAGACTCCTCGGACATCGGTATCGGATACTATTTCAAGAGTATTTAAACGCTGACTGATATGAAGTTACAACTAAGATGAGAGAGATGTCAACCAAGAGTTTTCACAGTTTTCTACATCATCACCCACTGATTCATTACTCCTGTCCACGGGACTCTTTTAACACAAAATAAGAGTACTTTAAGGCCGGAAAAAACCGACTTTTAAGTTTTTTAAAATTTTTCTTCTATCAGAATTAATTGGTACATATGATAAGCTAAATATTTACGCAAACAAAAATTCGTGTCATAGGCACTTAAATAACCCGATACTTGAAAAATCTCGAGAAAGAACTGTCAGCTTTGACAAGTCAATAAACAACCCACAAACTGGAAAGTTTACAACTCTTCGTTTATGTACGACGCAGCCTAATTGGTTATTGTGCTCCTAGCGAGCGATCGTTTTTGTTGTGTCTTTGTGCCTGAAGGCTGGACTGAATCACGAACGGAATCTGCCTTAAGACATAAATCAAATCAATTCAAGTACCCATTCACAATCATCAATTACTTTTACTTAGTATTTAATTTCAATATTTCTTAGTTTGCAAATCCATTTACTACATATTACTTTCTGTGCTTCTTTTTGAGAGGAAATCTGTACAAAATCCTAAGTTTTTATTCCAGGTATCGATACAATAAATGAACTGATTACTTTATGTTCATTCAATAGGTCATGAGCGGAATTTCAGCTTCAGTGTGCGAGAAAGAGATTTTAATTCGTATTAATCAATCAATTCCGTCCGTAATTGATCTGGAAATCTTACATCACCTTCTTAATAGGCTATAATTCGAGTTCTTATTAGTCTCCTGCCATATTCTTATTTACCTAAGAGGCTGTAATAAATACTTTGCGTTTGGTTTTAAGTCACTCACTCGTAAAGCGCTCTAAGGAAGTGTTGGACTTAAAAGATAACTGTGGGTTGCTGAAAAGAGCCACTCCTGCTGTTTAACATGCAGATTATCGTTTATTTGCTTTGTTTGGTTGCTCATTGCTCTCTTTTTAACGGTGAGTACGTTGTTTTTCATCACAGCTATATTTCACGTTTTAATTCAGTTACGGTATACATTACTTACTTATTGCCGGTCGAGAGTTCTGCTTTGATCTGTTGAGGCAGTTTGAATCTTGATTTGCTGTATGCTTCATTTGAATTAAAATTGGAAACGAAATATTACTATTTAAGAGTTTTATACTGTGCGTAAAGTAATCATGAGGTACTTCTGGAAATTTGATGGACTTCTGGCGGTGGCTCAACATCATCCTCATCACAAAACGATAATCTGAGTGAGAATATGAAAAGACTTTTCGTGTCAGTACGACAGAGAGATGCTATGTCGGGTCTCACTTGATATGTTCTTGTGCCACCAGTAATTTTTAAGGCTAGGAGCTCACTCTCTGAAGTTCTATCACTTCTTTTAAGTCGTTAATGGATTAATAAAGATTAATTAGTGCATTGTTCTATGAATTCTTTGTGAGATCAAGGAAACTAAATGCGGATTTTGAGCCGGACACGCTAAGCAGTGATAAAAGCGTGTAGACTAAGATCCAAAATCTACTAACTGTATCCAAACAATGAACCAAATAACGCTTTTAATTAACCGCTCTCATTATCGTCAACGAGTTTAAGGGTGAAACGGCAAGGAACCACCCTTACTCATGAACTCAAAAAATAAGTAAGTAGCGACAGTTCTAAGTTAGTTAACTAGTCTAGCAGCGTTGAGACAGAGTATTACAGAAGTTCTACGTTGGCTGCAAAGTACTGGTTTCATTTTAGGCCAGCCTACATGTTTCCTGGTAATGATAAAAATTAGTTTAAATTGGTCAGTTTCATTTTCAGTGACTCGCTCCTCACTTGTCATTGAAGTTTTCAATCAAAGGTTCCTTTGAGGCAGCTCAACGAATTCGTTACATTCCTCGAGTCACTTGTTACTTATAGGCCAATTATGTGAAATTGTTGGGACAATTTTGGACAAGAATTACGTGGGAAAACTTCTCACTACCTCACCTAAGACTAAAACTCTGAAGAAGTTCATTTTGGATTCTGGTTAGGAAACTGTCTTTCAAGTTACGACCGCTTATTTCTGAATTAGTTTCCAGGGCACAATTAAGTTTTGAATTCATGTTATCTGATATTAACCAAGTTCTCGGAATAAGTTGGGGCTTTTCACGATAATTTACGGTTAACTGCAGTTGGTTTTCCTCCTGGGATGTATTCCCAAACAAACTCGTTATTCCTTTCTCAAACGCCTGGATTTCATGAAAAAGTGGATCGAGTTGTTTATCAAATTTGTGCGAAAGTATATTCGTTTTCAAAAAGTTGTTAAAAACTTTTTTGTTTTTCTAAAAGTCATTCATTGTTTTTTAATGCTTGAGTATATCTGGTTTCTCTTCTGAAGGTTAATTCATTCGTTTTGGTTCATGTACGAATTAATTGTAACTTGAAAAGAATGTTCTTTATATAACTAGTTTCCCGTTCAGAACCACAAAACGTGCAATCCAAGTTTTTTGTTTCATACAGTTTAAAGTATAATGAATAGCAACATTTGGGTGGCTGTTATATATGTTATTTCCGAGAACCACCTCTTCTAAGGATTAGACAACAGGGTCTTGGATCACGGTAATGACTACTCAAAGAGTTGAAAATCACTCTTCGAGTCAGTTAGTACCATGAATAGATGAAAGTTAATCGTATCTTAGTTAGCGTGTTTGAAGGCTACGTGACATTAATAAGGTTAAGAACTGTCCTTTTGAAAAACCATCACTTGGATTAAGTCAGTCTTGATTTACTGATTGAGTAAAGATACATCGGGCACGCAGATCCAATATCAGTGTTGCGTTGGAAATCTAGGAATTGTTATTTCATCATCCTTCGCCGAAAAAGTCTAACGATAAGAAGACCTTAATCACATTTAGCACAATCAGCCCAGAGACAATGGAGATAAGATATCCATCTGGAATGGGGGTACGCCCATTGTGATGAAAGTTTGAAGGCATGCTTTTGGGAAAATGGACTTCTCCCTCATCATAACTTTATCCCATTATGTATTCCTATAAAACTTGAACTCAAAAGCGCTCTTACTTCTCTTCATTCTGCAACTGTTTATATCTCCTAAAACGAGTTCAAAGGTTAGTCAGCAAGGAATTGCTGATCAATTACCTCAGCGGAAAGCCAAGGGCCTGAAATTCTACCAAGTTAGTCGAATGGCATATTCCCCAAGTGTCTCTCTCTGCGGGCAACAAACAACAGCCATTTCACAAGCATCCACATTTGATACGTATAGAGCTGTGCCAAAGAGAGTTTAAAAAGATTAAGATATCGAACGAAGGAATATAATTAATCTGTCACTTCAAGTTAAACAGCTACTGGAAATATAAATCCAATTGTCGGCTAGTGGATCTTTCTACGGCTAGTGGATCTTTTTACGACACAAGTGCTTCAGTTGATTTGCAACATTTTGCAATGTTTCCAGTTTGACAGACGGTAAAAGAGTTCCCTTTGAGAGCATTAGAAAAGGACCTTTTTTTTATCCCAATCTGCCTTTTCGTCGGTTATAGATTCTTATCCCTATTTAGTAAAGTTGTTTACAAATTGACAGAGAAAATTGTATTGGATAGATAACAGATCGACTATGTTTTACCGCACGTTTCAGATCATGACCTTGAACTTTTCGAGTCGAGCATCTTTTTTCAATCATGGAATTGACGGATAGACAACGAAAATTAGACCATATTATAACATACAAATTTTTCTACGTCTTGAGGGGTCGAACTTTTAGAAACTGTATACACGATCTCCTGCCAAAACCATGGAAGCTTGCATGTGTCTCGGAATCTTCATAGTAGCTTTTCAAGGAATTAGTCAGTTTGCAGACATTTAGTTTTAAATTGTTACACGAGCTATTTCTTCTTTTCTAAGGTCCTTAAATATCTGCTTTCAACACATTTTGTGTAATTTTTGTGGCTACTGCCTCCTACGGAGGCGAAGCCATAACGCTGTCGTGTTGGGTGAATGAGTGTAACAATAGAATACGAACGACCTCTTCGTTCACAACGAAGTGTGCCGAGCTTTACCCGATGTTCCTCGCTCTTGGTTTTTGTTTGTTTCGGAACATCTTCTGTCGTTCAACGCTTAGAGACAATTTCTTCAAATCGCTTCGAATTTTACACGGAATATTAGCAGATGATCACACAGTTTTTCGGTGCTACTTATTTTTTGTCTCGAACTACAGAAGACTATAAACATCTCAAAATCATTTTAGAATGGCGCGTGAAAAAAGAAAGCTTTACCTTGCAGAAATGTTTTGAAAGAAGTGATCGGCACATCATGAAAATTCAGAGGAATTTTTTTTTCTTCAAACAGAGAGCATTTTACCGTTTGAATCAGCGAATTATTCCCAGTAGATCCGAAGATATAATTTTTTTCCGGTTCTAACCAGTTCTGACACTACAATAGATGATAAACATCTCAAAATAATTTCACAGTGGCGTCTCCGGCACGTAATTGAAAAAGAGACTTTTTCCTTGCAGAAAATGTAAATAGGTTTGATCTGTATATCGTGGAAACTTTGAAGAAGAGATCATCTTACCATTTCAATCAGCAACAACTGTTCAGAAGAGCCTCTAACTTTGCGAAGCGAACAAGGTCCGAAATATGATACGTTAAGTTCAACAGGGTGACGCCATTCGATGGAATGATGTAATGATAGAATGGTGGAGTGGTGGAAAAGCGAATGGTAGAATGGTGGAATGGTAGAATGGTGGAATGGTAGAATGGTGGAATGGCGGAATGGCGGAATGGCGGAATGGCGGAATGGCGGAATGGTGGAATGGCGGAATGGCGGAATGGCGGAATGGCGGAATGGCGGAATGGCGGAATGGCGGAATGGCGGAATGGCGGAATGGCGGAATGGTGGAATGGCGGAATGGCGGAATGGCGGAATGGCGGAATGGTGGAATGGGGGAATGGTGGAATGGTGGAATGGTGGAATGGTGGAATGGTGGAATGGTGGAATGGCGGAATGGTGGAATGGTGGAATGGCGGAATGGTGGAATGGCGGAATGGTGGAATGGTGGAATGGTGGAATGGCGGAATGGCGGAATGGCGGAATGGTGGAATGGTGGAATGGTGGAATGGCGGAATGGTGGAATGGTGGAATGGTGGAATGGCGGAATGGTGGAATGGCGGAATGGTGGAATATTCTACAACGCGGAGTGCCTCGTTGTATGAAACAAAGTCTCACAAAAATGGAATTGCAATGAAAAGGGAAATGATTTATAATTAACAGGCAAATCAAAATTAAAGGAAGGCTGGTTTAATCATTATTGGAGCCTAGGGATAAACCGACAGAGGAAAAGTAAGGTTCTTGAGCTAGCCCTCATAAGTTATCAATACTATTACTTTTGTTATCATAATCATTATTATTATTTCTGTTATTATTAATATGATAATTTTTTACCATCTAATCAGTGGTTGAGCGTAAATTATTTACCATATTTTTCAATCATCTTGCTCTTATGGAACAGGGCTCTCAGTATGTGGGATGCGGCAGGTTTTCTGTTTTAAATGCGAGACAAATCTTCTGCAACACTTCCTTCTGGCATTATCATACAACCCCTGGTTCTTTTCAATGCTGTAAAAAAATTGTGCTATATCAGTAGCCACATGTAGTCTTAACTGCCTGTTCTCTCTTTTGACTTTCAGTGGAAGCAGTGCAAGTAAACAGGAACACCTGCTATCGCAAACAGAATTTCGAGCTGGTCGCATACCGACGTAAATAACCTACAGAGGACCTGATGTGTACTATATTGTTGAATGAACCCAGTCGTGTTGTTAGTCGACTATTGATGTCCACTTGCCTCAATTAACGGTTCTGAACAAACTCTATTTCAAATTACAGATTCTGTGCAAACCAATTTATTTCAGTAGAGGATGAAAATTAACTTATCAGCGTACTCATTAGTACAATCAATCACAACAAATGATTTAACGGTTTACATGTTCTAGTTTGAAAGACATAAATGCGTGGACTTGTTAACACTATCGTCATAAATGTTCATTTCTTAATGCCATTTGGGTTGTTTACTGACATCATAATTACCATTAGTGACTATTATCGACTTGACAAGAGAACATGATGTTTAACTTAACTAGAGGACTGCCTCGTTCATCAGAAATAATTATAACGATCTTTCAAGAAGGTGCCTCACTGGCTTAATGAACGTCATAAGAAAGGTGGAGGACTTTCCTCGGTTTCTCCCAGTCAAACTTCTTAGCTACGCTCTAGAAACATAAACTGTATAACCTACCCCCTCGAACAATTTCAATTTGCTACCTTTTTATGTTTGTTTGCAAGATTTGTTTAGTTGTTTGCTTGCTGTAGCACCGAAACATCCCATAGGATAGTGAGTCAATTCCTGTGTTATTATCGATATCAGCATATCATTAGTATGGATAACGTAACGATTCCTGAGTTATACTTGTTTTATCTTCTCTTTAGGGGGGTCGCAAGAGGGGGCCTTGGAACAAGTTATGGTGGACGTTGGAGAATGTGCAAAGGATAACACCACGGTAAAGGGACTTACTTTTGATATTGCGAGCTTAGAAAAGTCTCACGGGACAACCACCACTCATTTTTTTTACTTAAAGAAAAATTTGGGGAAGAGTCCTCTGTTATTTCGTTTACTTAGAACATCTCAAGTCAGGTCCCCATTTATTGATAAAGCTTGTCTTGTAGCATATTATTTTAAAGACGCGGTTAGTTGTTTGCGAGGTCTGGCAACCAGGACCCAATTGTTTGAAAAGAAGATTACTTGAAAAATTCAACTTGTTCTTGATATATTAAAGTTCATATATTAAACTTGTTCTTGATATCTCTTGAAAAAAAGCGTATATTAGGGCTTACGTTCTTACGGTTTTACTCCAGCGTAAGATGCAGCTAAAGGAAAAACATGAACAATTAAATTAACTAAGAACTGGGAAATTTAGATCTTATTTAACTTTGTCTGTGGGACACAGTCTAATATTAAGCGGAAGGATTTTAGACTGTGCTGGAAAAAATGAAATTAAATCATAAACCGATTATACTTACGGACACACTCGAGGCTGTTAATCTTCCAAAGAGGTTTGCTTGTGCCAACGAACAACGCAAAGGGCATTTTGGAAAATTTGAGTGGGGAATGCGCATGGCTGGGTGAAAGATAAGCCCCCCCAACCCCCCGCGTTTCAAAACGTTCCACCACCTTTGCATAAAACTCTACACTATCATTAATCACTCAGAGAAATCGCATTTGAAGTAGTCTTTTACTTACCCTCGGCGATTAATGAAGACAGATAAGTTTTTTCCTTAAAGAAATATGCTGCAAGGTGTAAAATCTCTAGTATATCGATGAAAAACTACTGGGCGGCTCGCGTCTTATTTTCCCGCTCAAATTTTTGTAGTCACGTGAAAAATGTGAGCCAATCAATCGGAGCTGAAATTAGATTTTTTTCGTGGAATCGAGTTACTCTGAAACTCTGTTTCCGAAAATTCTAGAAAACGCGGCTTTGAACTCGATGCGCCGACCATGAAAACCTTTGTTTAAAGCTATTTTCCGAAGCTGAACCGGGAGTAGGAAAAATATCCACCAAGTAATCGAACGAGACGTCAATGAATCTACAGAATGAAATTTTATTATTTTTAAATGAGTCCTAAGCTTCGTATGAAAGCCTTAGATATTTCTTTACCTCTTTATCAATATCAAGCTGTCTCATAGTTCGGGTCGCTATAAGGCTCCCATTGAGCTTTTTGGAAAATTATGGAGGTTTGTAATTAAGTGCGGAATAGATCGGATTCTCTTTAAGGAACCCTGAAGTATAATTCAGTGATAAAGTAGTCAGTAAGATTCGAAGGAGTGGTCAGTGCATAGTAAAACAATACGATTATTAGCCTATTTGCTCTCTATGCGTCGAAGTGGATGCAGACTTTAACCCCCGACAACTATCACGCAACAGGAATCTTGATGGTCATGATAAAAAAGAATAGTAAATTTTTTTGTTAGTAATAGTTACCGAGTGTTCATTACTCTTCTTTTCATTCCTGATTTAATCTCTTAGAACAATACATGCCTCCCTTATGAACTGACCGAGCATCGCAATTACGCCATGGCACCGGTCATTATTGAGAAGGAGATCATAGAGAGCTGTCAGTCGGCAAGTAACGGATGTCAGCGGCTCCCACGCCTGGTTAAGTATTACAACGGAACTAAGTTTGAGGTCACGATTGACGTTGGAATTTGTAGTGGACAATGCCATAGAAACACTAAATGCCAGTCATTTGACAAGAAAACAAAAAGCATTTCTTCAGCAAACGGTAAGATTCGTAAAATACCTTACCCGCAAAAGGTTTTTTTTAAAATTTTTTTTCTGAGTAATCATAAAGCAGCAGTGAAAGATGCGTTTCTGAAGATCGCTCTTAAAACGTCTATGTTTTCTGTACTCTAGGAGATAGATGCCTCGTAATTATTGTGGACTGTGCATGTGTGGAGCCTTCATGCTACCGAGTGTCACGTTACGAGGGATTTCCAGAACAGTACACTGACTCCCATGGAAACAAGGCAATGCGAACCAAGGTAAACATTCCCCTGATTTTCATTTATAAAATTTTCCTGACAACTTTTAATCAAGGACTAACAAAGAAAAAAAAAACTGTTGCCTTTTTACCACACTGAAAGAGGAGCAGTGCGCTGTTGATGTCGTGGAATTTGGTGAAGTGATTAAATAATATCTTACAATCAAAAACGTTAATTTCCTGCTCCGGAAGCATAATAAAAGTTAAAAATTTTTCCAAACTCGGAGCTAAAAATTAAAAACTTATGAAATATTTCGTCCGTATTTCGACCGGACTTCATCAGTCAATGATATGAATGTTAAAAAGATGAATTTTAAGAAAGGTTTTTTTTTTAACGCCTCTTGGGAGTTAGAATTGTGTCATAGATAGCTGCTAATTCGTAACCATTGTCTCTGTTTAACGCCGGTTTCGTAAGTTTAATTTGAATAGCTTCTTTTATCCTGCGTTTGAAGGACGAAATATTTCATAAGTTTTTAATTTTTAGCTCCGAGTTTGGAAAAATTTTTAACTTTTATTATGCTTCCGGAGCAGGAAATTAACGTTTTTGATTGTATCTTACGACAACATGGACGCGAAGTCCTAAAGATGGTTAGGAAAGGAGAGAAAACGCTTGGAAAACTCGCCCGGTGGCAGAATCACAAGCACTTTAACATCCGATGCAGATATAACAACATTACTCCAAACAGCCTGAAACTACGAACCTGTATGAAAGGTGTTAAGACCATGAAGATTATTCATAATGCCGAGAAGAAACTTCTTCAGGAACGAATAAGACAATGCAACTTTACGATCAGAAAGTACGAGGAGAGCGTGAAAGAACTGAAATCAAGTTTACAATCCAAGGTGTCAACAGAGATAAATAATCAAATCTTAACTCTCTTCGAGAAAACACATTCGTCGCACTTTGAGATGGCAAAGAGCCGCCAGAGGCAAAAGTTTGACCGCCTACTGATCAGTAAAGAAGAAATTCGGTCACCGACGACAAACATTGGAGATACCAACATTGATCGGACAAAGTGGGTTATGAATCTCTCTGACCGCCCTCTTTCCGACAGTGAACGCTCGGTTCTCATGAAAGGTCTGAATTTTAGCGTAACTCCATCAAAGATTCCAGTTGATGAGATCGTGGCAGCCACTGAACTGGCCTGTATTCAACTAAAAGAGAAAAGCCAAGCAGAGAGCCTGAGAAATGAAGTAGTTAAAATCGTAAGCAAGAGCAAACCCCCAAGACCAAACATCAGCAGAGCTGAAAGGGAAGCCATTAAGGCGCTGGCGAAAGACGATTCAATTGTAATCTTACTAGCGGACAAAGGGCGTTTCATACGATGTTTCCTCACTGTTTACCAGCATTCCGATCAATGAAGCCATTCCAGTTGTCAGAGCCAAACTGGGAAGTGACCAGAGCTTACCGGACAGATGCCCGTTAGATATCGCCCAATTATCTGTTCTACTAGAGATGTGCCTCTCGAGCACATACTTTACATTCCAGGGTGAATTCTATAAACAAAAGAAAGGAGCCGCAATGGGGTCTCCAATTTCCCCTGTAGTGGCCAATCTCTACATGGAACAGTTCGAGAGCAGAGCTCTGGACACCGCCCCCACCCCTCCAACTATGTGGTATCGATATGTTGATGACACGATGGCCAAGATTCACGAAAACGCCGTCGATTCCTTCTCAGAACATCTAAACTCCATTGACCAACACATCCAGTTCACTTCGGAACAAGAAAAGGATGGCAGGATTCCTTTCCTTGATACCTGTGTGAGTATTAACCAAGATGGTTCTACCAAGATCTCAGTGTACCGCAAACCTACGCACACGGACCAGTACCTAAACTTCCAGTCAAACCATCATCTACAACACAAAAGAGCTGTGGTTAACACCCTGATGTTGAGAGCTCAGACCTTGGTTACGGAAAACGAGGACAGAACTAGAGAAACACAGCATGTCAAGCAAGCTCTAAAAATGAATAACTATCCAGAATGGATGCTAGCAATACCACATCCAAAATCTACAACAGAAGATACCGAAGAGCCTCAAAACGAGAAGAAAGGTATCTCGGAACGCCTGCAAAGAGCGTTCAAGTCACACGATGTTACACTTATTCATAAACCCGTCAATTCTTTAAGATCACAATTGGTACGTGTCCAGGACACAACTGTCAATCTCAAGAAATGCGGTACGGTGTACCAGATCCATTGTGAGAAGTGTAACAAGGAGTACGTTGGCGAAACGGCCCGCGCTCTGGAAATCAGAGTGAAAGAACACCAATCAAGAAGTTCATCAGCTGTTCACGAGCATTGTCGCCTAGAGGGCCACTCGGTGGACCCAAATAAGACAAAAGTACTATCAACCGAAGTTAACACCTTCAAACGCAGGAAAAAAGAAGCTATTCAAATTAAACTTACGAAACCGGCGTTAAACAGAGACAATGGTTACGAATTAGCAGCTATCTATGACACAATTCTAACTCCCAAGAGGCGTTAAAAAAAAAAAAAAAAAAAAAAAAAAACCCTTCTTAAAATTCATCTTTTTAACATTCATATCATTGACTGATGAAGTCCGGTCGAAATACGGACGAAATATTTCATAAGTTTTTAATTTTTAGCTCCGAGTTTGGAAAAATTTTGAACTTTTAAATAATGTCTTGATATTATAGATCATAGACGTTGGAAAATGCATTGGTAACTCTCGATGCCTCAAGAAACTTCCCACAGGCAACCAAAGGTCTTTACCAACCAACCATTATTACTGTTTATTATCCAAAATTAAATTTCTAGGGATTATCCAAAATTAAATTTATTATCCAGCGTCACTAAAAATAGTACAAATAACACGCGAAACGAGTACAAATAACCCACGATATTTGCACGGATGATTATTTTGTCGATTGTTAAAAAATGTTTCCCAAGTGGACCGTTTCCTCACGGCCATGTAACATGCTATCTATAATATGAACACCAATGAAATACCAAATCATTTCACTTCGATATCGAAAGGCGCGATTTTTATGCGTGACCATACCATATCGAATGTGCAAATACTAATAATAATAATAATAATAATAATAATAATAATAATAATAACAACAATAAAATAAAACTTTATTCAAACACGATAAATATTTAAAGCCAGAGGCTTGTGTAGTCGTGTTACAGAGGTCTTGTACTATTAATCCACTTAACGACGTTTTTTTACCAATGTTAAGAGAGTTTATGGGGCCATGAAAAGATCCTCTGTGAAAGAGCATTGCTTCGCATTTAGTTGGAAGAGGAATTAAGGAATTGGCAATGCACCATGCATACAGTTCAGACAAGGCAAGGTTAAGACTTGCTGTAACTTCATCAATAGATTTACCGATGATGTAAACAGTTGTGTTGTCTGCATAGATGTAGACTGTACCTCTCTTAATTGATGAAGGCATGTCACTGGTACATAGGGCAAAAAGGAGTGGCCGCAGTACCTACCCTGTGGTACTCCGTACCTGACGACTTCAGTATCCGAAGTCTTCCCGTTAACAATAGTGAACTGCTTACTCTCTGTGAGGTAATCAGTTACCCATGACAAGATGTTTCCAGTCATTCCAAACTGATACTGTAGCTTGTGTAATAGGAGTGGATGTGAAACGCAATCGAACGCTTTTCTGGAATTTACGAAAGCTGCTCTTACGACCAAGTTTTCATCAATTGCTTTTCGCCATATTTCTGTGAGATGAATTAAAAGTAGCTCTGTTGAATGCCCTGCGTGGTATGCCCACTGTCTGTCTGTAATCAAATTTTCACTGATAACATGGCTCTTTACCGTGTCAGTCACACAGGATTCCAATATCTTACTATGCGTACAGAGATAAGAAATAGTCCTGTAGTTACTTATGTCTGACTCATCATCATGATTAAATACTGGAGTTAAGCGTGCTGTCTTTCACGTGCTAAAATACGTCGTTTCCATATAATACTTGAATAAGTCGTAGAGGGGCTGAATTAATGCTGGCTGGGTAAGCTTTGTTAGTCGTGATGGGATGTTGTCAATACCAGGTGATTTATTACTCTTCAACTTGTCTAATTTTGTGTCTACCTCTTTAAATGAAAGAGATATATCTGCAATGTTCTTTGTCATTATGGGACTTATTGTACCTGTTATTGGACTTGTTGTTCCATGAATATCATTTGCCAGTTGCTCTCCTATGTTGGCATAGAACGTGTTCATGACATTAGCCTTTTCCTGGTCATTAACTATTACGCTTTTGTCAGATCGCTTTAAAGGGCCTATTATTGATTTCTGGACATTGTCCGGCCTAGTGGCAGAATTAAGAATATTCCAGTAATTTCGGCTATTTTAGCATCTTTGATCTTGTTTTGAAAACACTTTTGCTTAGCTCTTCTGATGTCAGAAGTAATACTGTTCCTGATAAGATGTTATCTTCACGTGTGAAGACATGTTTTCGCGCGAAAGATCTATTGGTATTTCAGTGGTGTTTATATAATAAATATCGATTATTTAATCAATCAATCAATCAATCGATCGATCACTCAGTGAAGTGATACCATCACAACGGTCAAACGTCTTCCCATGTAAGATGGTGGCGAACATCCAGGCTTTCAAAGCAAAGTTGTCTCACAGTAGTTTTAAACAACCAAACAAAAAAGTGAATCACAGCTTATTAAAACTGTAGTACTTTTTACGACTCGTTTATTGATCATACTGAGCTTTGTGTTAGAAAGGTCTCAAGTTTTTAAATTCCCGAAATTTGTTTCCTTTACAGATTTCTTTGAATGTACCTCTTTTGTTTTACATGTTTTGCGTGCTAGAAGTTGTTTATGATGTTTTCCCTGGAAATTTTTGTGAAGGAAATAGAAAATTGAAGTCTTTGCGCATGCCTGCCGTTTGACCTCTGTGATAATAATCCCATGATGCTTTTTGGTTGTTGGTGTAGGCTGTTAAATAGTGTATTTTTTTCTATATAGAAACAAACCAGAGGACGCTGATGGGACAACAAGGCAGATCTTTTCTATTTAAAAACATTTCGCAACATGTTTTAACGTGAAAGTCAACGCAGAACTAGTTAAATTCCGGTTTGTTGTGCCCATTTATCTGCCTTGATGCTCGAGACACAGAATGTTCTTAGCCATATCAGTCTGCTCGATTTAGCTCATGGTTAAGATGAATGACAGTATTTAAAAGGGCGATAGTCAATGTGAATTTTATTGACTTTTCAACAGTATATACCCTTTTCGATGTTTAAATTTTCTGCAAACTGTGCCGCGCTATTTTATTTTAACGCGCGAGTCGTGCGCCAATCATCTCATACACAAAACGCAACAACAGAAGTTAAGCTTCTCTTGTGGTTAATATTTCAAAAATCTCTCGAAGAAAATTTGATCAAACCATACTGCGGCCTAAGATGGTAAAATCGCCAATCTGCAAAAACTCTAGCAAAATTTTTTATGCTATACGGCTTATAGATATGAACAGCCCAGAAGGGCGTTAGTTTGTGAGCAGTTTTTAACTGAAAACGAGCATAGCCGTGACCATTATGGCCAGGATTGAAATCCGAATCTCGAGGTCAAGGTTTTTAAGACCAGATATTGTATCCACGGAATTATTCAAGATATTCAGAAATTAATACTGAAATCTTTCAATATACCCATACTTGAATATGGCGCCCACCTTCCCCAAAGTAATAGCGGAGCTCGCAGAGCGTAGCCCCATAATTATACAAAATAGTAGTAACCCATCAAGCCGAAAAAATTTGGATGTACGACCGTACAAGGTGCTACTTTTAACATGCGTCGTCAAATGTACCGCGGGCACGCTAACTCCACGGTTTTGTTCAGTAGTCCAGTGGTCAATACACTGGGCTCCGAGTCGGACGACCCGGGTTCTAGTCCTGGCCGGGGCAAGGCGTTGTGCCCTTGAGACGTGCGGGAAAAAAATGCGAGCTCCGCTTTTAGGCTCTGTTGGCTAAATCTATATATACAGGTAAGTAGGAAAACTTGATGGGCGCCCCAGCCTCGAATACTGAAGCGCCCACACCGCCCCCTCCCCCCGAAGAAAAAAACACTGGAGTGCACATGAGTAGTATTGATTATTTGCATATAATACTGGCAAAAAAATCTCTAAATTATCTGTCTATGGTACATCTTCACGTTTTGAAAGTTAAACAAGCACCCACCTCGAAGTAAGCAACCACTCTCAAGGTCCAAACATTTAATTAGCGCCTAAATAAATATAAATGTTTAAGGAATTGTCCACAAATCAATCGTTTATTTTTTCTTTCTCTAGGATTAATAAGCCAAAAGGAATTTGGAACAATCTTATTGGTTACAGCACAATGAGGTGCATTACTAAACGCTCCAAGGCGCATTCTTTCATCACTGCTGGGGGAAAAAACTTCAGCGTCCGCACCGTGGAAAGTTGCGCTTGTCTTGGCGGAGGGACCTTGTAACCCTGTTAAAAACTGAAGTCGAGTTGAAGTAATTCCAAAAGACTGCTGGATGTGTTACACACTTACAGTTATAACTTTTGATCTAAGCAAACACGACATTGAGAGTAATGTTATTGTAAGAATCATTTTTAGATATGTGATATGATTTCTCACCACCGGTGACAAGTTCGGTTGAATATTTCAATCCTCTTTGATTTTGTGTGTGTTATTAAAATTCGGTTGTTGTTGATGAAAGCAAGTACGTTTTGGAGAGTTCAATTCGATTTATGAAAGGTATTATTTAGAAGTAGTTCTGACAGTTTTACTACAAGTGTAACCACCTACAATGTTTGAAGTATAATGCAAGCTGTACACTGACTATGGTAGTCGATAAGACCCAAAATTCACATAATAGATGTCTGTTTGTTCTTTGAATTTAATTAGCTCATATAAAAAGTCAAGTCTTACAATAGTCCACGTGAGATGAGTCCTGAAGAGAACAGTTGCCAGTAGCAACTGATCATCAGAGTCCAGTGAGGAGTTATAGTATGTGTCAATCAAGTGTGACGAGTCTTATTCGCATAGAGTAATTTCGTCATTTTGCCATGATTTTATCTGCCGTTAGAGCCCAGTAGCGTTTGTAAACTGTGATTGGTCAGTTTAGATCTGTCAGTTCGTTCGGTAGTTGTCAACTTCTCTTCGGAGGGATTTTTTGCCAATCAGTAAATTTACTTCAGGCCTCATTATATTTTGACCAGTAGTCAATTATGTAGTAGAGAAGTGTTACCATCGAGAATGGAATGTGAAAAAAATGTGCCAAAATACCTGTACCAGAATTTGTCCAATGGAAAACTTTACAATTTTTCCAGACATTCGTATTTATTTTTCGTCTCGCATTGTTCACCCATGAATGGTAAGACGCGCAGTGTCCATCTAAAGTGGTAGTTTACTAAGTGTATATCATTAAAAACTCTATTTCGTTTTTTCTACTCGAGGTGGGATAAAGCTCAGTTCAGTTCACATCTGTACTCGATAACTTAATTTTTCCTTTCCCGAGCGAAATTTTCCTACATGTACATGTTCATCTCTATCAATTTTCCAGATCTTAGTGACTTCAGTACTTTTGTTACTTGTTCAGCGGATGCCTGCCATTAGGGAAACAGAAAAAAGGAAACTAGTTATCATATTATTTCGTGTTTTAAGGTTTCAATCCAAGTAGGGATATTGTCATTGCAGCAAGCCGGTATCACCCCTTGGGATATAGAGCTGGCACAGTTTCCTAGCAACTTCATCATTCTTATCATTTCCTCCAAACATCCCCTATACTGATTTCCCGATTATTTGAAATTTTTTTGGAACTTTTGACCCATATACTCAAATTTAAATAAAAAGCCTTATTTAAGATAAGTTAAACAAAATTCTTGAAATAATGATCTCTAAAAAAATGAAAATCCCTTCAGCGCTGTTCTCTATCTAGCTTTCAATGCTTACCACTTTTTCTCAAGCAGTCATGCTTCTGCCCTGACACATCTTGAGGTGTTTAATCACCCCACAAGGGAAGGGGAGGGGGGAAGGGGATAAGTCTAGGGGAGGGGGAAGGGGGAAGGGGGAAGGGGATAAGTCTAGGGGAGGGGGAAGGGGATAAGTCTTGGGGAGGGGGAAGGGGGAAAGGATTAAGGATAGGGAAGGTGGTAAGGGGATAAATCTGGGGGGGGAAGGGGACAAAGATAGGGGAAAGGGGCAAGAGGATAAGTCTAGGGGAGGGGGGAAAGGGTTAAAGATAGGGGAGGGCACAAGGTGGTGGTCTCTCTTTCTCCCTCTCACTGTTGAACTTGAAAAGTTATTAGCAAAATGCACTTAACAACTTATTACCTGGTGAAGTGAGTTTAAGGGAGGACTTCTGAGGAGGAATTTGAAGGTTTCAACAGATTGTGAATCCACATGAGATGACTCCATGAAGCATACAAATAAAGCTGCAGCTAAATTGTGGATCTGACAATACTGCAAAACTGCACCAAAAAGAGATAAAAAGCAATTAAGTATCTAAATAAATATATCCTCTACAGAAATGAATAAATATGCACATTAATGACTAGTTTAAACTACTATTTTATCATCAATAAAACAGAATTAAGTTTCTAATACCTCTTTAATATCAAAATCATCAAAAAATACATTCAAGGGTTCCATACATTTCTCTATACATATCCTAAGGTGCTGACAAGGAGAATGCATTTAACTATCAAAAGCTTTTTTAGTTGGTTATCATTTCCCTTTATTCTTCTGACCTGATTATAAGATTCAGGGGTGATATTGTAAGGAGGAATAAGATGCTAGTCACTCTTAAGGTCAAAAGGTTAACTTGAGGCTATATGCACTGGGTAATCAAAATGTTACAGCTTGCTACAAGACCAACAGACACAGATCACCAAATTTCTGACTTTCATGGCAAGTTAAAATTTTTTGTCCTAGACATGGTGATAAAAATGGTGGCGACTATAGAAGATCCACTCTGACTTCTCTGACTTAAACTCCCCAGGGAAAGAAAACATGGTTCAAGTCAGTGGGCATTCAAGTTAGCTAAGAATAGTAATTGACAGAAAAAATGGTTTAAAGGAAACTGAATCTTGTTCAAGTTATTAACTTATTTTGAGTGAGGGGAGTTTCACTGTAATCACATCATTATTTCTCACCTGAAGCTGCAACTCCACTGATGACATTGGGAGTTTCCAACAAAGAGCACTCTTTCTGTGACAACTTTTCCAGCCAGGAATCTGTCTTTAAAACTTTCACAAAGTCAGACTTGAGATTTTCAGGTGTGTCAGTGTGATATTCACAGGCTGGTGCTGATGATAAGATGACAACTTTGGATGGCTTTAGAAATTCAAACAACTGAAAAATCATAAAGAAAGATGAGAGTGGGATACACACAAAAATAATTTGAGTCCCTAAACAGGAAACGAACCTCAGACCTTTTAATTCTTTCTCTGATGCTATACCATTGAGCTACTGAGAGAGCTATGTTGAGCAAGACCTCTACTTGGTACATATCTGACAAGCATACCAAGGTTGTCACTATGCACCCACTGCTGGTGATATTTGCCAATGAAAAAGCAGCAATCACCGCCTGGATTTTTGGCCGGCAATCGGCAGATAAGGCTATCATTAGATAATGAATACTACTGAAAAAATTTTTTTCCTTGTCAGCATCATAGGAAATGTAAAGAGAAAGTGTGGAGCAATTACAACCTCTTGACTAAAAAATTTCAAACGCCGCCAAAGTTGCTGACCTCAGGGCATGACACATTTGTTTACAAATAGGTGATTTCACCGTGTAATTTAGTCAATAACCATCAACTATCATGAAGCGTTTGAACGCAAATATGCTAGTCTATAATAATAAATGAAAGTTGAAACTATCGTCGACCACCATCAACTATCATGACCGTTTGAACGGAGCTTACAATTTTCAATACTCCGTATCTTTTTAATTGTATGCATGTCTACCTTTTCAGTCCATTGGAATGCTTTTTCCTGTGACACTGGTGTTGGGCATTGACAAAGAACTGCTGAGTCATTATCGTGTGGCGTTTTCAAACGATATAAGCGGCTCGTCTCGTCTGATTTTGACGGAGAACACAAATTTTCAAAATCTATTTCATTTCTCTTATTTGTTGAAATACAGGCAACGATTTCACTCCCCGCTGACAGATAGTGAGCTTCTACAAATGTCGTCCCAACTTCTCCGATCGCGAGAACGAGTAAGGAGCAGTGAGTTGGAGAGGGCTTTTGATTGATATTCCGGGATATCCAATGAAACTCAGAAATTTTCAACTCATTCTCCGAGGTAGATAACTCCTCGTCTTCTTCGTCTTCTTCATCGTAAACCGCACGAGAAGAAGGAAACTTTACCTCCCAAACACCAAATGCAGCCGCCATCTTGATTCTTTACAAGTACCCAGGACTTCAGCGTTCAAAGCGTGGTATTCATCAAAACGAGGTTGACATGAATAGATGTAAATAAATGCCTTGCGTTACAGATCTAAGTACAGTCCAATACAAAGAGCATATTGGAGGGGAAAAATTATTATGATCAAGCTTGTTTTTCTTCCATGATTTCAATAGCTGTAGTTTGTATCTTTCCCAACAAGAACGTTTAACAGCAAATAAGAGATTTTAAATTTTGGCATGTTGGCCACGTGGAGTCAACTATAGTATAGTGTCACGCTTATTCAGACTGAATGCATGTAATTAGATTTTAGAATATTCTTAGCTATGCACATTTAGCCCGAAAATTGCCAAAGTTCACATCCTTTTCATGGCTCCTAATCTGGGAAAGAAGCCTGTTAAGGACAGAAATAGTAAAGTTTGTTTAAAAATTAATACCCCAAGCATCAAGCACACCCCATTTAGCCATTCTAAAGAAGAGCACCTCCCTCCCTCAAGTCAACGGGTGCCAAACAACTGTCAAAGAAATCTGATAGAAATGCTGGGGAAAACGTGTTTCCTGCCATGGAAATTCCAAAAAGCTTTGATTAAATGGATCAGTGGGCTCTTCAGCTAACCCTACCTTTTACCTTACAAATAAACATACCAGTTTTTGTCAAAGTTTTATTTGAGTTATAAAAAAACTGACAAAAAGAAAAATACATGCAGGCTTTTATTTTCTCTCGTGTTGCTAATATTTTTTTTATTGCCACATTTCTCCTTAAAGTTCAAATGTTGCACAGGGTGATGTTTTTCGAAATTTTTATCAGTGGTAGCTTTTTATTCTATTAATTTCAATTCACTATATTTTGTTTTAAATAAGCTTACTTAACCTGTAAGACTATGATAAACTAAAACTTGGACCCCTGAATCAATCAAGTCAGTACTACTTTCTTGAAATTAAAAATATCCACACTTTAGTTACCACTTGTGCCGATGATATATTAAGCATAAAGATGTCAGTGGCATAGTCAGCCTGTAGGCCTGTAGCCCCTGCTTGACTTTTATAATATTAACTTATAATATGATAAAAGTTGAAACAAAAATTAAGCTTTCTTTCAGAACAGGCTTACAACAAGTCAAAAAGCTGGCTAAGCCCCTGGATGCATTTTCTTAAAACTCACTATTGTACTTTCTGCATGAGTTTTCCAATGTTTTCCCCTCCAACTCCCAAGATCTGACTGTTAATTCTCCCCTCTAGAGGCTACACATCTCCATATAAATTAGTTGCAAGAAGTTGGTGTTAGATCAAGAAAACAACCTTTATGCATATTTGAGACAACAGTTTGGCATATATTAGGTTTCTTCATTAAATCTGATATCCCTCATTGCAGTGAATCATAACTTTTATAGCTCCTCCAGCTCCAGTTCTTGAAGTCTCAAAAGCATCAAGTGATTGCTCCAGTTTGAAGTGATGTGTTATCAGTGGTTTGGCATCTACTTTCCCAGAAGCAACCAATGCAAGGGCAGCAGGATAACTGTTTTATAAAATAATTAAATAAAATGCAATTATAATAGTTAAGAAAAGATCAGAAGCTAACTAAAGAGAATGTATAGGTGGTGTGTTATATCCAAATGATATAGTATGTAGTGGAACAAAAAGGGAGAAAAAGTTGGTTGTGAAGATTAAAAAGAGGAGGAGAAACGAAATGGAAATAGTGGGGGCAATTGCAAGGAGGGTAGACAAGTAGATACAAACAAAACCAAGGGAGGGTAGGAAGGGAAGACAAGAAGTGATCAGTGGAAGGGTGGGGTAGGGTGAGCATAGCATGAAGGTTCAGTTTGAAAGAGTGGGTGAGTGAAGAGAACTTTTAGTGAGGGAAGAGAAAGTGAGAGGAATGTATCATTTAAATCTCTTTTTTTTTTTTTAACAAACCAGTTAGTGTATCTGAATATTCCCCTTATATCCACTTCTCTAACCAATGCATCAACAATAGGAAATTGAACAACTGGCTTTCCCATTCCAACAACCACAAGTGTTCCTCCTGACTTTGTTGCCTGTAGATTAAAAATTTAAATTGCATTTGTGCTCACAGGGTGGTAACTCATTATATTAACGCAGAAAACATGATGGCATGCTTAAGGCTGGCATAAAAATTGGACATGGAGATAAATGTGGAGATGGACCGGTAGGAAACTGCATTGGTTTGGGAATGGAAATGGGACTGGACTGGGGCAAAAGATTGTAATGCAGATACAACCACATACACACACAAGGGTATGACAGAGGGCATTTAAAAGAAATAGGGAAGATTAACCCTTAAACATTTAAGAGTGACTGGTTTCTAATGTCTCCTTACAGTATCAACTTTAAATCAACTATAAAGGTTGTGAGAATAAAGGAAATGATCACCAATTATAGAAGCTCCTGATTGTCAGACAAATTCTCCTCATCTGCACTATGGGAAAAGTAAAGACAACAGTAGGGAGAAAATGATTACTAATGTAAGGGTGTAAAGGGTTAACAGGATAAGGACAAGGACTAAAACTACTGTTATAAACCTTTCAACTTGTCCAGTTCTGAAACTACCCAACCTGCACTTTCTACATTATCAAAGTATCCCAGTTCAGGTGTTGAATAAAACATACATAAATTGCTGTATGGAAGCTTGACTCAGCTCCAGTACATTCAATGGTTTGATCTGCAGCACCCAGGCTGTTTTCAATTTCCTTGGCTATATCACGGCTGTCTTTGCTGGGGTCTATTTTGAAGATATAGTCAGCACCAAGTTCTTTGGCTTTGTTCAGTCGACCCTCATCAATATCTATATGCAACACAAGCAATATGATATTCAGTTCATATTTAAATACCTGTATTCTACATCTTTGTTTGTCAGAAAGATAACTAATGAAATCTGAAATGTTACATTAGGAAAGGAGAACCATTGACGTTTTCTTACTGAGGTAATTGATGCCTTCAACCTACTGTGTTTCTCTAATTTTAAATAACTTTACACTGTCCCATTGACTGAGTACAAGTTGTAAAAAGACAGTTAGTAGCTCAGTAGTAGTTTCACCAAGTCTTAAAAAGGGAGGGTTCCAAAAGGAAAATAGTCGGGCAGGTTTAATAACTTTATGCAGTTATCATAGCATAATAACAGCTTTAGACTATAACAAAGTGCAAAGAGATTAAACCTTGCTCCCTTAGGAAGAAATCACCTTTAAGTTTGAACAATTTTTGTTTGGTTACTCTTTCAAATCTTGCAATATGGCTAGTGTGATAATTTCATACTTGAGAATTTCTTACTGGTGGAAATAAATTAAAGTTATAACCCTTTCACTCTCAAGATCTCAATGGTAATTCTCCTTATTTTCTGTAGCACAATTCAAATGATTTCAATTCAGAGAACTTAGTATTGGATCAACTGATAATCATCAAAGTAATTCTTTGTTCTCATCATTTGTAAACTTGATTTTGAATTGATTATAGAGGGTTCATCAATAATTAATTCCCATTAACCTATCAAATTAGATAATACATAAACTTCGATAAACCTCATCCTTTTTGAATGGTGTTTTATCAGATATAAAGACACTGCACGGTTAAACGTTCACAAAAGCATAATTATGAACTCTTTCCAAGAATAGCCGTTAAAAACAGTGTCAAAAACCACACCTGGTGATAGTTTTTAAACATTACTTAAAGAGCATTATAAATATCTAAGAACAGAGCACACCTGTGATAGCCACTTTACTAGCACCACATGCTTTAGCAGTCATGAGATTAACTAAACCAATGGGACCTGTAATGATAACAATAATGAAATCAAAATGGTCAAAAATAATTTTAGACCAGTTTTTAGTTTGATAAATACCTGTATTTCCTTATCATACTGGATACATTACCGTTAACTCCAAAAAGGAAATATTTGGCTTAAATTCATTCAAACATTGACATGATTCACATGAACCCATCCTTTATTTTTCTATATGATGTTCCACAGTACAATACTTCAAATAAAGGACTACCGGTACTAAAATCTATGATAAGAAGGTCAATTTATGATGTTCACACTACTTTCACAACATACTAGTTTATAATTTTCTCACCTGCTCCACAAACAAGTACATTGCTTCCAATGGAGATACCTGCTCTGCGACATGCATGTACAGCAACAGACAGAGGCTCTAGAAGAGCTCCTTCCTCAAATGAAACATGGTCTGGTAGTCTAAATGGACAAATTTCACAACTGTCACAATAACATCACTGAAATGTAGTTTTTGCAGTGGTGCATATTTTATTTGCCCATCACAGTATAAGACATCATGTTGTTAATTATTCTAACATAACAAAGCCAGGAGAACTTAGGCAAGCTCACTAGAGCTATCACAAAGATCTCCCTTTCTATAGCATAATTCAAAATTTATATGACATCAGACATCCAGATAGAATATAAATAATTTTAAAGTAATACAATTATATGCAAAAAGAAAAATCAATGGTTATTAAACATATCTTTATTAATTAATAAATGAATTATTTTTATTTTTATCTTTATTAATTAATTTCTGGATCCCATTTTTGATAATTTATGCTGAATACAGGTTTTTAAAGTTTTATTGAATTTGTGATAAAATGTTGATTCCTTTAAATCAATTGGTAAATTATTTGATACTTCTGCTCCATTATACTCAATAGAAACTTTTCCATAGTTTGTTCGATTTTAATTAACATATATATATATCTAAATATACATTTTGGTGTGTAGTATTGCTGAGTATTTTTACAAGTTGTGCCGTATTTTGATAAACCCGGTGGGCTGTTTATCATCCAAAACAGTTGGATAATAATAACTCATTACTGATAGTAATCAAAGATTTACTTTGACTAGATCTACTTCTTCTTAATTTTGATGAACATTAGTAAATATAAGACATCATGTTGATACTCGATTTGTGCATTAAGCCTTTCACTCCCAAGATCTATTTAGTAATTCTCCTTACTATCTGCCATACAATTCTTATGATGTTAGTTCTGAGGAATTTGGTATTGGATCAACTAATAATCACGTAATTGATATTCTTCTCTATTCTCATCACCTGCCTGCTTGATATTGTATTGATATTGTAAGGAGAAATTCTGTCTTGGTCACTTGTGGGAGTGAAAGGGTTAAGCATCCTCCTAAGGTTTCCTAATTTTGAGATCTAGAATTATAAGAAATTTAGATTTTGGGAGTAAAATATTTTTGTCAAAATATATTCTGAAAAAAACAAAAAAAAACTGTACTGGCCCCTTGGACTTGATATATCTAGAATGTTGCTAAGAAATGGGAAACACCAAGACTAAATTGTAAGTGCACTAAACTTAGGATTGACAAGTCTCGGTTACAGTAATAGCTAAGGTAATAATGTTCTGGTCTCTTGCAGGGTACACCACTCTCAATATCTCTAAGGAGTAAAAATGGGTATTACTGAACCATCAGAAAACAATTTGAAAAAACGCTAGGTGTTAACTTCAGTGTGTTGACTTCCATTCAGAAGAAATGGTAATAAACCTTGTTCCCCCAGCCATGCCATTGTAACTATGACAAAGCTGTAGCTGCTTTGCACTTTAGTCTTGAATACACACACACATTTTTTTCATTTGCAACATGTCTGCACCAAATGAACTTACTTGAAACAAAAGTCAGCAGCATGAACATAATATCTACAGAGTGAGCCATCAATGGGAGGAGTTGCTGCAAATTTCATGTCTGGACATAAATTGTACCGTCCTTCCTTACAGAATGAGCACTGACGACAACCAGCACCAGGTTCAATAGCTACTCTATCACCTAATACAGCGATGCAACAAAATTAAATTATTCTGCGTAGGTACTGACATATCAAGCATCTATATGCTAATAAGAAACTCTTTTAAAAAACATAACCAAATGGGGCTGATACTTGATGACACAGACTGAATTGGCTGCACTGTACTTAGAATAAAACTTCTCAACTATCTTGTCCCTTGGAGAACTCATCACACTAACCAACTTTAAGATGTGTCACCCCTTCACCAACAGCAGATACCACTCCACTTGATTCATGTCCAAGGACCATGGGTGCTGTGAGGATAAAATCTCCAATTCTTCCCTTCTTCCAGTAATGCACATCTGAACCACAGATCCCAACTGCATGCATCTGAATTTGCACCTCTATAGTTTGTCCAAAAAAAGTATTTCAAAATTTCTAACATGTAATTTGCGGAAAAAAATCAATTTTAAGCACTGAAGTATAATTTGAAAAATGTATTTTAAACTACGAGACCAGTTGAAGAGAATATCATGGACAAATCTAACCTCGCCTTGTCGTCTTAAATGTTCGAGTTGTTTTGCCTGTTTTTGCGTGACTCAAACGTCACATGACTGATCCTCGTATTGGTTATTTTTGGTAGATCATCCAGCGTTATATTCCAATAATAATGTAATTATGGAGAGAATGTTAAGGTAATTCAAGAGGAAAATCAATAAGCAGCTGCGAGTGCGTTGTGTCACGCAAGAAATTGCTTCAAGAGAGGAAAAATCGAGGAGACAAAGTGAAAAGTTTAGAGACACCTACCGCCCTTGCCAGGTTGAGGGATAGGGCGTTCTTCCTGTGAAAGGAGAACGAATAATTTGTTTCGAGATCTTAGATTTAGAATTCCAGAGGAATTATAATAGCATACTTTCTTACCAAGCTAAGATCGTCAACTTTACGAAGCACAGCGGAAAGATTGCCTTTGGTAACCATTGTTCCAACCTTCGTAGCAAAAACTTGAGAGGAAATGATCCAATCTGCGTCTCAACCCACGGGAGGCTGGACTCTAGTCCAAACTCAACCTCATTCCCAGGGTCCTCTCTCGTTCTCTCCGAGCGGACCTTAGGAACGGGGTTGGTTTAGACTGTTCTGCTCGTGTGATGTTACGGTGACTTTTGACTTTTACGTGACGTGTGGACACGGCCATATTGTAGATAGCTCTTACCAGATTGTTTTAACTGATATCACATATAAAATCAACTTTTTGCCATTACTATGCTCCAGAAATCGTTCACCTTTCTTTCTGGGCCCTAAGAGTTCACTTGATTTCTGCAACAAATCTCAGGGTTTTGATATTGTAAGGAGAAATTACTTACTTATCACTTTTGGTGGTTAAGAAGGCGTAGTTATCATACAATCCCTGAAGTTCTTCTTATTCAGACCCTTTGCTCCACATTAGCTTCACTCCCAAGGTGGTAAATCTAACTGCTAGTTTGTTTCCTGCAAGTCTATCAGAGTTGTTCCTATAATAAAATTGCTTATGGAATAACAAGGATGTGAGTCAAGAAGGAATGATGAAATAGAGAGCATATAGGGGCTCGATGAGTCTTCCTTACTGCACATGCATAGCTAAATTTCAGGGGCTACTCTGACTCAGATGGTACAAAAGCATTGTTTTGCCATTTAGGGTCTCCAGTTTATTTCCAAGGCTTATCTTCACATCAGTACAAGCCCTAACAAGACTTCTCCTGAGGTCATTATTACAAATGCAACACCATAGCATCCAAATTGTATTTCTGTGAAATGGAATATTCAAAATTTGATATATCAGCAAAGTTTTTCTTTTGAAGAAAAGAAGAAAAAAAAAAAAGAAAAATCACCTTTAATACAGGGAGAATTCCAACAAATACATATTTGTAAAGTCTAGCTTAGCTTCAAATTTTCTCCTTTAAGTTTTGGCCTAATTTAACTTTCAATTCCACCCCATTATCAGCTGGCCTTATGAGCATCAAGTATTAATCTGTTAATTCAGAATAATTAGAAAATTTAGAGGGGATAAATTTAACAAAGTCGATAAAGTAAACTACTTCAACAATGTGCAAATATTCACCTAGATGTAACATAAAGGTGTCTTTACAGCTATTAAGTTCCACAAATGTTCATCAGAAAATATGAACTGGAAAGTTTATGGTTCTATATATTTTGTTCTGGATCATTTGGCATAAATAATGGAAGACTATGGCAACCAAACAAGGTCACCATTCATTGTGTAAATTTCAAAGCTAAATAAACATTATAGTATTAGGCTTTTTTAAAGACTTGCTGTTTCTCACTGCTTTTCTTCAAAAGCATTATCTAATTCTTCATTTTCAGGTTCATCATCATCTGCTTCATCATCTTCGGCATCCATATCAAACAATCGAACATTTCTCTGTGAAGCTGACAATACACATGACACCTTACGTGTTCCACTGACAGCCAAAGACCCAGCCTTCATGCCAATCAGCTTTCGATAATGAGTAATTCTTGACCCTACAGTAATTCCTGGAGGTTGAGATAACTGATTGATGTATGTCTGCTTTGCTTGAGCAATGTCTACAAAGTCTTTATCATCAAGGAATTGATAAGGAACTTGAGCCAAAATTGATGTCCCTTCTGTTTCACTGTCATCATCATCACCACTAATGCCATCAACTTCCTGTTGCTGAAGCAAAACAGTTAAATACTCAGAGTCATAGAACATGACATGCGAGAATGAGTATTTCATTGTTTTAGTGTCACATGGTAAATGATCAACACAAATCCTTGCAAAAAACAATCTGTGCTCATTTGCCTTGATAGAAATGATACACAGTTTATTTCTATCAGGAAAGACCAAAAGTGGATGTAAAGGACCTCCTATCTGTGCTAAACAAAAGGGTGACTGCTCACTTTTGCTCATCTCATAGAGTGGAGAACAGTTCCAACAAGAGATAGCTTTGCTAATGACACCAATTGGTTCAGTGAAAACCTTCTTAAGGTGTCCATGGAGCTTCCCAGAAAGAATGACCAGTGACTCTGTTGACTCATCAGGTATCAGCAATGGACTTGACTTCAGTGCTGGATGATTCTCCACAAACTTGGCCCAGTCGTTGTTTCCAAATGGAGGCTTCACTGTAAGTGGCTTTGGATCAAAGTACTGGCCAACTCTCTCCAAGGTAAACTTTCCTTGACTGTTGACCACAAGCTGATCTTGAATGAAGTTTGATACAAGCATGATTTCTTGCTGGCTTCTCTGTTTCACAAAGTCTGGAATTTCTGCATCAGACAAACTCAGTATAATATAGTAAAGCCATTGAAAGAATGCTTTAAAGCTCTTGAGGCTGGTTTCAATTACTAAGACAAGCTCTTGTGTTTTCAACATGATGGAGCCAAGACTTGATACAGCCGCTTGGATGTCAAAATCAGAAAGACCCAATTCACCAAACTGCTCAAACCATCGTGACATTCCATGTATCTCCGTGATATGAAACAACAGGGATTGTGCCACACACTGTAAGTGTTTCAGTGCCAAATTTTGAATACTAGAATAAGAATTTTCAATGCTATGACCAAGCTTCTTGAGGCCTTTTTCTGTCAGATCATGGATAAGGAAAGTCTGCAACTCAGGGCTGGTTACACCACGAGTGAGCAATGTCAGAAATTCACCACTGACACTTGAGCCAGCTGTCAAACGCTCAGCAGCAAACTCCGTCAACTTGGTGTCCATTTCCAGAAGTATGTCTTCCCAAGCATCAGACATGGCCTGCAAGGTGTTATCGAAGTAATCCATCAAGTTGGTGACCTCACCCATTTTCTTGGCAACTACCGCAAGTTCAAGACACCTTGATGACAGTAACCCAGAGTCATACAATATCAGTGTCACCACTTGTTTATCAGATCCTGGGACAGATGTCTTGACAACAGCTGAGAGCACCCTTAAGTCATGTGACACACTGATACTGATGACTTCACTTTCAGAGTGCTTTGGCAAGACATCAACTGTATTAAGAGAAGCACAGAGAAAAATTCCATAGAGAAACAAATGAATTCTCCCTTTCTTATCGCCGATGGCTAACACGCTCAACTCGTCAGGCAGACACTTCATTTTTTTATGATCATCTGAGCCCTCTTGTGATACTTCTTTGTAAAACAGAGCTCCTGTGGATTTTGGTAGATGAGAAATCGAAGGCAGATAAAGTTCTGACTTTTCCACGAAAAACGGCAAATTTTTCTCAGCTGATTCGTCATTTGACACCTTCTCTTTTCCTTCTTCTATCCAATCCAAGGACATAGGCGTCGATTCTATTTCAGTTTTGTGAACACATTCAGCGTTTTCAATATCGAATAACTTGATTTTCCCATCAATGAAAGCAACAGCTAAGATTTTTCCGTCCGGTCTCCAAGCCACAGATACAGCTCGACCTTCAGCGGCGGAAATCAGCCACACTCGCTTCCACGACAACCTTTGCAACCAAACTTCTCCCTCGACTGTCACAAGAGCCAGCAAATCCATCTTTGGCGACCATTTTTGATAGAGAATTTCGGCAGAACATGGTTTGTCTTCGAGCTGCCTAAATGATCCGTATGCTCCCGCCATTTTCTAATTGAAAATTACGACTGCTGACTTAAAAGATTTCTGTCGCATTCGAACGCAGGAACGAGGCTCAAGCACGAAAACGAGTTTACCGAGTTTCGGCCAAGGCGTTCTTAGGAACGAAGGAAAAATTGAACATATGGAAACTACAAAATATCGTTTGACGATGTTCATGATATTGTGTCTACCTTTCATAGATGGAAGGATGTAGCTGAACTTTTCCAGACATTGATGGATCCAACACCAGCGCAGAAATCGCGGAGAGGCGAGAAAACCTCCAGCCGGCCATTCTATGCGACCGACGGGCAAACGAGTGCAAATATTATCTCTGAGGCTAGATCTTCCCTTCGTCCTTTGGACACGAAAAGGCCCTTTACACCAGTAGAATCCAATAGAACATTATTCAGAGGAAGTGCTGTGAAGCCTTACGAAGGAAGGCCGCCGTCTGCATTCAGGTAATCGTGCTTCATTCTTTTTGACAGCACTTCATCACCGACTAGCTTACGAATGTTTATTTTTGGGACAGAACTGTTTGCAAATGTAGATTGTTATTCTTGCTGATTATAGTTTTGTTTATTGTAAATATAGTAAATTGAAAAGTCAGAATATGCTTTAATGAGGTCTTTGGATGTTAATGGCTGATATTTGACCGCAAAATTCGAATTCTGTAGTTGTTTTCGAATATGCACAAACATTATGACCTGTTCTCGATTCTTGAGAGCAAACAGTTCAAAAGTAACCACGCTTTGCACACAGGTGTTTAAGTCGTTGACGGAAATTAATTTGTGTGCCTTAGGAAGGTGCAAAAAATGCTCTTTTACCCTGTATTAACTTAAACATCAACAAAAGACCTGATCAAAGAGTATGAAACTGTCTAGAAATTTGTGGGACAGTTAGAACCATAGGGTAATTCTCTACATGCAAAAGTAAACAATTTATTATTAAGGATATCAGGGTTAAAGGTCATTCCTCTGAAATCTGAATTGAACTAGGATGATTATAATACCTTTAGTTAATAACAGTTCCCAGTTGTTAGGTGGTGAACATGGTTACCAGTTGCATAAAAACACTGTCCTTCAGCCAAGTATTGAAACGAACATCTCTACACCTGTGAGATTCTGATTTATTGGTTTGATTAAGTATTATCCAACCCCAGAACAACGTAGACCAGGGTTCAACTATTTCAATCTCAGGAGGGATCAAAAGTTAATTTCTCATTTCAATAGTAATATATTGTTCAGCAAAAAAGTTAAGAGGAAAGAAAAATATAAAACTATTAGATATCGATTGACCTAACACTAAATTCTCATAGTTAAAATAATGTGAAAAGGAGTGTCAATATTGAGATGTAGGTAAGTGTATCAAATAGTTGTATGGGAACTTAAGGGTCATTTGATAAGATTAAGTATTCTCATTATGTGTTTGCTGGATAATGTGTAGATATTATAGTGAGAAGTTACATGTTAATCACTTCCAAGAGTTTAAGGGTTGCATGTGGTAGCACCTGGTTTATACTCAGCAATTTGTACAATAAGATCATGATGATATATATTCATGAGGGTTGCTAAATTCATTTCAGATAATTGTGTTTATTCTTCACTCCATTTACATGTATGCCATTGGTAGTACATTACTGGTTAACCAAAAAAGTGTAAAGAAAGAGGTTATTTAATTTAAAGAACCTGTGATCAAGAAATGACAATGTAGCTCTTGAGTAAGGAAGGACAGAAAAATTCAGCCATTTTTAAATGTGCAGATAATTTTAATATTCTAAAGAAAGCAGTTGGAATGAGCACAATGCAAAACCAACAAATGAAATGTTGAAGCTTCAATCTTTCAAGTTATTGATTTTAAGAAATAAAACCATTTTAAGCCACTGCAAACTTCCTTCTTACAGCTTAGGTAGCTACCAGTCTGAAGGAGAATCCTCGCGTCCTCCATCAGGGAGGAGGTTAACTCCTATAGATGATGCTCCACAGCTTCCAGGGCCACCAGTTCCCTCCCCGCCCTCTGGTGTGGTGAGTAGACCATGCACATAATTTTTATAATTTTCATGTCTGTCTTCCATTGCACAAGAGAAAGTAGGACAGTTAAAAATAACAGCACTCCTCCAAGACATTCTAGCTAGGGATCTAGGTTTGCAATATCTGTGAAGGTTTGATTACTTTTAAGCTGTATTGTAATAGAAACTATTTCTTTTAGCCCATGGGTAAATCCAGAAGACCCCTAAGATCATCTTTGTCAGGTCCTGGTGAAGACCTAAATGCTGAAAAACTCAGCCAGAAGCTTCGTAAAGCTGCACTAGGACAAGGCACAGATGCAAGAGCAGAACTTTCTCCATCTCCTCCAAAAAGAGGGTCTTTTTCTGGCACTCCGCCTCATATGGGTGAGCCTCTGAGGCGTACCTCATCAGAAATATTCCCTACCCCACCAACAGTGTCAAAAGATATGGTTAGTTCAAGAAGAGTTAGAAGTGGACCAAAAGAACGCTGCTCTCCTGTTATTGATTCTGTCACTCGTGTGAAAAGTGGTCCTTTGGAGCGAGGTGATCCTACTGGGATTGGAAATGAACAAGTTGATGCTCAGAGTTGTTCATCTTCAGAGCGAAGGAAAAAATCAGCAGAGAGGAGTGGTAGTGGTGATAAAAGGAGGAAAAAATCTCAAGCAGATGATGATAAACCAAAAGATGAACTTGTCTCTTACTATGAAGAGAATGTCAAGCCACTTCTCACTCAAATGGAGGAAAGGTTTGCGGAGAAAAATATGAAAGAACTCTGTCAAGACTGTTTAAAATTATGGAATGCATTAGAAAAGAAAGGCCTAATTGGAAAGGCCAGTGGAAGTTTTTCTGCAAGAAGAAGAGGAGAAATTTTACGGACAGTTTTTAAGTTCTTGGATCTCAGTGACCCAAGGTTGCTTTTAAGACTTGGCAGGTTAATTCTTGCGGTGAGTGATTTAATGATTATATCATTCAATGCGATGCTGAAAATTTAATCACAGACTGTATGCCGCAATCTTTATCCCCCTTAATGTTCACCTTGCTGGACTTCAGATCATGATTTTTGGTTTGAAGTTGTAGGCTGCTCATGGTGTGCTTGGGTTAAAGCCTATTTGCCCTTACAGTGCCTATCTCCACCTATGGGTATTCAGTAAAGTGTCACAGACTCACAGAGAGTTGATGAAATACTGGTGGACATGGTGACATTTACAAATACTCTTAACCAGATGATACATTGTGTTTTTCTCGGTTTAAATCTCACTGTAAACAACTGGTTTTATCTCCCTCACAAACGGTTTCTTGCTCTTGCAATTCTTGCATATGGTCAAGTCCATATATGCAAGTAACTCATGCACAGTCCTCCCCACAAGGGAGGGGTGAACTGAAAACTCTTGCACATGTGGTTAGTGGTACCTGGGATGGGCTAGCACCCTACCCATTAATCAAATTTTTTATCCCAATGTGTGACTAGCATATATTGTATGTAATTCCTCCTCATAGTGTCAGCCTTGAACTGAATATTAACCCTTCAACTCCCAAGATCTGATTGTCAATTCTCCTCTCTAGCTGTTAGACTTTTCCTAGTAAATTAGTGATGAGAATTTGGTGTTAGATCAAGATGACAACTTTGACATGATAAGTTTAAGTATTCTCATCACCTGTTTACTGGATAATGTGTATAGATTATAAGGAGAAATTGCATGTAAATCACTTCTGGGAGTCAAAGGGTTAAGATCACGAGAAGAAAGGAAATGATGGCCAAATAAAAAAATTCTTGATTTTTTCATGAGAAATTCTTCTTGTTAATACAATAGGAAATTTATAGAGAACAGTATGGAGAATATGCATACTGATGTTAGAGTGTAAAGGGTTAAGTTCTGGCTGGATGAGGCTTCTGCTTTGAGATTTTGATGAAATAACCTTGTCATTTTTTTTTTTCAACTTTTCTTGATTTTCTTTCATTGCAGATGAAGGTGACTGGTAACAATTTAACCAATGTTTGTATGGTGGTTTACAAAGTGGCAAAAACAGAGAAAAATGATCAGTTATTTCTGGAAGAAGACATTTTAAGTAAGATGAGAACCTTTTATTTGGTTGTTTATAGAATGGTTGTTGAGCCCAGTGTAATTTTATTTCCATTGTGCAATTTAAATATCTGTAAGAACTTGTAGTGGTTAAAATTCTGGGCACAAGCTTCTGCTGTTTTGTTTTTGGGATTGCCCACTCATATCCAGTGCAAGAAAAAATTAGTTTATAATTTTTGAACAATGTTGGTGATAAAGTTTAAAAAAAGTAATAGAAGACAGTTAAAACAAAGAAAACATGAACTACTCTGGTAAGTTTATTGTGCTACAAAAGCAGTAGGCTTTCTTCCCAGCTCTCAAAATAAAAAGGTAATTCTTGATTCTTATCATTGAAGACATTTTTGCTACACACTGAATCCTTTATTGAACAAGCCTGTTAGGTTAGGATGGCTGGATATTTGCCTCATTTGCTTTTTTTCTTGTGTTTTTATAGACTGAGACAAAGTTTAGGTCCATAAAAATGCAAAAAAGAACTTGGCTTATATCCAGCCATCTTGACCTTCCACTTGCTCAATAATGCATATGTATCAGATAAACCAGTTGAGTATATTAAGTACTGGCAGCTGTGCAACTTATTTTTTTGCAGAAAATATTAAAAGTTAACAGAATTTTCTTTGTATTCTTTTTCCAGAGAGTCTGGTAGACACTGTGAAAAGCTGTGAAATAGGAAATCACCATGATGCATTAGTTTACACTGCTGGAGCTATTAAACATCTTTCAAGCAATAATCACACAGTTCAAAAGGAGTTAGTCTCTCTGGATGGCATTGAGGGTTTAGCACAAATTCTTGACACTATAAGTAAAGATGTAAGTTTGCCAGGTGATCTTGGTGATTTTGATAAAAATTCCTCAGCATTTCATCAGTGGTAGTGTCTTCCTTTCTTCTTAGTACTTTTTGATATGGTAAATTTAATGTACTGATAGTGTCTTTTAGAACCCTCTTTTTAATGCCTTCACAAGTGACTAAGACAGAATTTCTCCTTACAATATCAATACAATATCAAGCAGGTAGGAGATGAGAATAGAGAAGAATATAAATTATGGGATTATTAGTTGATCCAATACCAAATTCTCTGAACTAACATCATAAGAATTGTATGGCAGATAGTAAGGAGAATTACTAATAAGATCTTGGGAGTGAAAGGGTTAATCCTTTAAACCCTAAGAGTGACCAACATCTAATTTCTCCCTACAGTAACGCATTAATTGAAATCACAAGAATAAAGGAAATGATCACCTAGCTAAGATGTTGTCATTGTTAAAAAAATTCTACTTGTCAGTACCAAAAGAAATGTTAAGAGCAGAGTTTGGAGAATTTAAATACCTTGATGTAAAGGTATAAAGGGTTATCACTGACAATCCTTATTGGCCATTCTGAGAATCATACATCTATACATTCCTTTAAGAGACAGTTTTCTCTTTATTAAATAGTAGGTGGAAGCTAGTCTTCTGTCTCTATAATTATGTTACCATCACTAAGCTCACATTACTGTGCATCATTGTCTCATGTAATTTGAGAAATGAAACAGAATTTGATGTGGTGTCTGATTTTTGTTTTGTGACAGGTGTTAATGACCATGAAAGGGAATTCACAGTTTGCCAGTTTGCTGGTTCAGGTATTTTTAAAGATTATTCTTAGTATTTTATTATTGACATTTGTTTTTATTGCAGCTTATAGTTTGAATTAACACTTTAACTTCAGAAGGGATGAACATCTAACTTCTCCTGCAATATCCATACATTATCCAGCAAACAGGTAATGAGAATACTCAAACATGTCAAGTAGAAGTTGAAGTCTTGATCTAACACCAAATTCTCATCACTAATTTAAAAGGAAATATGTAATAGCTGGAGGGGAGAATTGACTATCAGATCTTGGGAGTTAAAGGGTTAACAGCATATTTGAGATCTTGGTTTGAGATACTGACAGAAACACTTTCTGCCTACTCTACAGTCAATCCAAACTTGGTTAAAATACCTCTGACCAAATGTTGGGGCTTCTCTACAGGTAACTGGAGCACTAAGGAACCTTGCTGATGTCTCTGGGGCCAGAGAGCTGTTTGTTAGCACATGTGTAGTTAGAAACTTGGCAATAGTTTTGGGACCATATTCATCTGACAGTGAAGTGGTGTGGAATGTATGCCGTGCATTGAGGTGAGGTTGCAATTGCTACAAATGTGTGATACAGATGGTGACCTGTGGTTCTGACTGGCTTTTTCACAAAATACTTTTCAAACTACTACACAAACCTGTATTTATTTAGTACACTCTTCTTAACCCTTTTCACCTTTACATCAGCATGCATATTCTCCATACTGTTCTCTGTACATGCTGACAAGGAGAGTTTGTTCAACAATCAAGAGTTTCTTTAGTTGGTAATCATCTCCTTTTTCTTGTGACCTTAGTTTGCAATTTGGGGTGGTTATTATAAGGAAAAATTAAAGCTAGTCACTCCTAAGGGCCACTGGGTTAACTTGCAAAAGTTTCTTTTAAAGCAAATAGCTATTAGCTGATGTTGAACACTTACATATCCAAGAAGATTTACAAGTCATTCAAGTTCCTTTTGTACCTAGGCAGGAATTGCTTTCATTGTATGTCAGCAATTTTTTAGCTCATGTAAGAGTCATGTTGGCTATGAATTCTAAATTTATTTCATAGGCTAATGTCAGTTATTTATTTTATCTATAGTAAACTAACACTGTACACAGAATGCTGCAGTGAATTGGTCGACTCAATTGCTTGGCTTCCAGCACTGAGCAAGATCCTATCAGCCTATGAAAAGAAACAGGTAAAAGGCTCTTTGTTTAACCCTTAACCTCCCATGAGTGACCAAGAGAGAATTTCTCCTTACAATATCAATACAATATCAAGCATAGAAGTGACGAGAATAAAGTAAAATATCAATTAGGGGATTATAGTTGATCCAATACCAAATTCTCCAAATTGACACCATAAGAATTGTATGGCAGACAGTAAGGAGAATTACTAATAAGATCTGGGGAGTTAAGGGGTTAAGTGTCTCTACAATGAGAAAATGCAAAATATGTTACGCATACTAGTACTTAAAATTGAACTTGCAGTTGAATAACAGAGTACTTCTTTTTCTCTCTTGGACCAGCACAGATACTCTTGCAGAGGAAATGATGTACATACAGTACTGAACGAACAATAACTTTATTCTTATTTTGTCCTGAAATTTGCAGGAATTGGTGGTCCGGGTCTGTTTCATTCTTGGTAACTTAACATCTAAGAGTGAGAAAGTCAGAGAAGCCATTTTCTTTGATGAAGCATTTATGGCTGTGTTACTCTCTGTCATGCAGTCATACTTCAACCTTGAGCTGGAGGTGTGGAATTTGTAATTTTAGTTACTTGTACTTTTACTGTAATTTGTATTATAGACCAGTTTTCAGTTGAGAGTCAAAACCGAAACTGGTGAAAAGTCATCCGAGTGACCAATCAGAACATAAGCCAATGAGAACTCAAAGTGAAAACATGTCAAATAAACTTCCTGAATTACAGAAAAGTGCTATTGTTTTTTGTTTAGCATCTGATTGGCTAAGAAGATAAGACAAGTTTTCTGGACCAATCAAAGTACAAAGTACAATCTTGAATTACTTTTGTCACTTTGTTGAAAATTGCTCTACTGAAACAAGATGGTGTGTTTTGCACCATGAAATTCAGTTTGAGACTAAACATATATTGGACCTTGATGTTGAGTTTCTCGCTTTCTTGCATGCGATCAGTAGACTGCCTGCTTAGGTCATTGATCAATAATGGGTTAGTGCATGTACTTAATTAATTTCAATTGTTACAAGGTGCTGAAAAATGGGCCCACAGCTGACGAAAAATTGATTAATGGCGAAAACAAAGGTCTTAACAAGAATGAAGATGTGCTGATCAAGGTAAGTGTTCTGAATCATATCACAGTCAGAGTAAGGTGATTGAAGAAAGATGTCACAAATCTTGGTTGGGACTTGTAGCTCAACTGCATGTTACACTTCTTAGCAGAAAAGGAAATAGTGAAATTTTGTGGTTTTTTTTTAATTTTTGCTACCTAGCAGGCATGGGCATACAATCAACTTTTGTGGAGTTATTAAACTCCTTAAGTTTGAAGGGAATATCTTAATTTTTGTGAGGGGAGAAAACTCATGCCTTGTGACAGGTTTTTGTTTTGTTTTGTTTCAATTTACAGAATATTCCATGGAGTAAACAAAGACATTATATGTGGAGAGTTCAAATTTTTGTTGCTATTTCTCTGACTGCAAATTGCAATGTACACATAAGAGAGGTCTTTTCAAGTAGTAGTGTATCATTATCCAATTAATGCATACTGCAAAGTTCATAATATTTTTTTGCACACAATGTCATCTTATTGAACCAAATTCAACTTTCAGGCTATCAGAGTAATTGCCAACTTATCAATCAATGCAGAGGCTGGTGCAGGGATTGCTGCTAATGAAGCATTAGTTGACCTTTTAATCCAGATTCTTGGTGAGTTCACTCAATGGAGAAAAGGTATAACCTTTAATCATGCCAACCCCTTTTTCATCAGGTGTTTGTCAATAGGAGTATCTCTTACTTTCTTTGGATCTTTACAGATGTAAAGGATGCACTTGTCAGCGAAGAACTTGTTCTGAACACAGTATCAACTCTGAACAATCTGTCTTACTACAATAGTGCTGAAAGTGTTGTACAGCAGAGACAAGTTGAAATCACAGAGAGTAAGTTAACTATTTGAAATACAAGTATAATTTGGTCTAATATCAACCATGTTGAAAGTAGAAATTGGCTATTGTAAAGAGTGTCTAAATCTGACTTTGAGTGTTAGCCCATCATCAAAGCAAATTATTCATCCAGATGAAGGGCTAATGCTTGAAATGTCATCTTAAGAAACTTTGAATATGAAAGTGATCTTTGCAGTTATGAACACTATTTAAGCAGTAGTGAAAAGAAGGCCTGAAAAAAATTCAGGCCTGTACGGGATTTGAACCCATGACCTCTGTGATACTGTACAGTGCTCTACCAAATGAGCTTACAAGCCAACTGGAAGCTGGTGAAGATCGCTTTCGTATTCATGTCTTTATCTGCAGTTAAAATATATGACTTTCATATATTCACAGCTGTTTATTAGAAACTTTTTAGGGTGGCTAGTTACCTTTATCAACTCAGTTGACAAATTCAAATTATCTTATAGTCCCCTCCCCCAACAGATGCAACACCACGTTCCTTTAGAAATGCACCCCCTTAACTTATTTTTGAAATCATCAAAAGTTACAGAATAGTGGCAGTTAAAGTTAAGAAAATCATTTGTGCTGTGTGGATTGGATTCAAACAAGCAAATATGGTTTTGTTCTATTCCTTTTTTTATGTGGTCTGTGCTTTTGTTGAGAGTGCCTTAACCCTCTAACTCCCAAGATATCATTAGTAATTCTCCTTTCTGTCTGCCATACAACTCATAGGATGTTAGTTTGGAGAATTTGAAATTGGATGAACCAGTAATCCCCAATTGATATTTTTTTTTCTTACTACTTACAAGTCTACTTAAAAATATTTTACCAGTAGTGTAGGGAGAAATTCTGTCTAGGTCACTAGTGGAACTTAAAGGGTTAAAACTATGTAGTTCTAGGTCTCGTGTAGTTGATGTTTATGTATGATATATAATTTTCTTGCATTGTTTTAAAATCTCTCTCTCTCTCTCTCTCACTCTGTGGTAGTGCTAATTTCGTTGTTAATGCCGGAGAACATGGATGCAATGGTGGAAGCAACTCGTGTGTTCGGGAACTTTTCTAGAACAAAAGAAGTGAGAACTTTATTGGCAGAGCAAAAAGGTAAAAGTTGACATCTTATTTTACTCAAGTATGACAGAGATTTTTGACCTTTCTGTCCTCATTAGTTGTTGAAGTTTTACAGATCACTCTCTGAGTTTACACTTTTCACCACCTTTGACTATTTAGTTGATGAAATCATGATTGCTCTATTGGATGCTGGCGAGAGGGAAACAGTGTTCACAGCCTGCGGTGTGCTAATTAACCTGATGATTGATGAGAATATCAAACCAAAGCTGAAAGAGGAAGATGGAATTAAAAAGTAAGTTGTTGTTCAATTTAGAGTCTTTTCCTAATTGCAGTCATGTTGTGGCATCCTTTAAAATTTTTCATAACCTGACTAATACAAGGATAACCTGTTTTTACCTCTCAGACTGGTTGATGTGTTGCGTGACTTTGGTAAACATGATTGGCAGTTGTCAAGTATGGTGTGCCAGATCCTGTGGAACTATAGGTAGGTCCATTAGTACCATTCATACTTTTTAATAGTAATAATAGAAGCAAAACCTGAAATTTTATTTGCTTTGTTTTTCACAACTGAGCTTGTGATGACCAAGAAAGTAAAGAATACAGTTTTTAATATTTTATTACTTTTTTTTCTTCTCATTTCAAAGTGACAAGATAACCAGCTCATCAGAAACATTTGGTGACCAGGAAGCACTAGAATTAATGGATATTCTCGCACAATATTTAGGTAAGGATTGTGAATTTTATAAGACAGTATGGGAGTTAATTTTTCAGAGATGCAGTGGTGTAATAGTTACTAGGCTGAACTCTGAGGAGGAGGTCTGAGGTTCAAGACCTTGTGGCATCGTTGAGTTGTGTTCTTGGGTGAAAAACCTTTACTTTCTCAGTGCTTCTCTCCATCCAGGGGTATACTGTGAGGGAGGAGTAATAATACTCCTGGTCACTACATGTAATGAAAACCAGGATAAGCTCAGGTTGGGCCACTTAGCTTGAGTACAAACTTATACAGTTTACTGTAATGTTGAACATACAAAGATGTAATGAAGGTTAGGATCTTTTGAGAACAAATTTGAGTGTGACAGATGACAAATTAAAACACAAGTTAAGTAATCACCAATGAGATCAATTCTGTTTTGTTGAACTGTTTTTCAGATGAGGATATTGCTCTTGATTCAAGTGAATTAGATGCTGTGGAATCAAACCTTCCAGACATGTTAAGAGAAATGTGGGAAAGCCAGTTTGTCCCTGTGGGGCAGCACCTGCTTCACAGAGTTAAGTCGCACCATACAGACCTTGTTCCGCTGGAGTTGCCTAGTAGTTAACAAGCATGATGCTCACACCAGTCTTGTAGACAAAGACTGGGATCAACATGCTTTAAACTAAATTTTAGACTGGTAACTGTGAAGTAGTTGTATCATTCAACGACAAAAACCATCCGCTTGCTTACAAATTTTTTATTGCATTAACACGGCTATACTGAAGGAAATAGTTACAGTATACATGTGGATCTCTACCTTCAAACCAGTCTTATTCACAGATGGTGTGTATAGTAATATCATTCAAGAATGACAATGCATCACATTGTCCTCAATTTCATCCCATACAAAATGTTATAAATACATAACAACCTTTCATATAACTATCAGTCCTTGTGTGAAAATATTGGGGGCATACCAAGACATATATGTAAGTTTTCTGCCTGTCAACATTATGATTTTAACTTATTTCTTGCGTGGATTGACAGGGAATAGCAAGGAGAGACATTCCTTTGTGGGAAATTGGATTCTGATTTCCCCCAAGAAGTCCTACGAAGCTTTTTGTTTGTCTAGTTTATTGAATAAGGTTACCAAAGGACATAGTAGCCATAGAAGACAGCCCATTTCTCAAATTTAATTTATAAACTTGCATCTCTGTACGAAAGAGCTCCTATTTTGTTAATTAAGATTTTCACTGGACAACTTGTAAAAAGAGTATTGAAAAGGACTTCATAAAGTTCTCCTTGTGTGGTTTTATGTAAACTCAGAAACAATTTTATTTATTATCTTTAGAACAGTGTGAAAAAGAGAGAATTTTAAATAAAAAAATAAATAAAGAGATCAAATGCCGTTTTTGCTGTTGGGCCATACTATGTAACTCCTCATTTTTTTAACTCCTTATTTTTGAATTTTTTCTCAAGACTTCCCTGTGCTACACTAGTTATCAATTGTGAATTCAATTTTACTACAAAAGTGAAGTCCCTGAATCTTTAATTTAATTCATGTTGCTGTATTCTAAGAGAAGTTTCTGGGGTAACAGTTCATCTGTTACCTTGTAAAGTTTTTATTTTTGCATTTTTGTTGTCATGTTTAGTGAGGACAACCTACAGAGTGAAGCATTTCGTCTTGAAACAAAATTGTAAAGCGAGATCTTGTTTGTTCACAAGAGGATGTTTCAAAGCTTTCGCCAACACCTCATAATTAGACTGTGATCCTCCCTTATGTAACCACCTCACAAGCATTTGATAGCACTGTTCAAAGCTGTCAGGATGATCTATTGTGAGCTGAGCCAGTTCTGTTTCATTAAATCCTAACACTTCTGCCAATTCCATCCAGCTGGATGACATCGCATGGCTAATGTGAAGCAAGTCATCTGTCTCAGGAATCCCTGTCTTAATTTGTAGACTGGTAGTCATTGCATGACAGTGATGAAAACTGACCTAAAGAAAACATGATCACTCAGTAATCTTGCAAAACTCCATTACAGGTCCTTTTATGTGATAGTGGTGGAGTACCTGACTATACACAAGAACCGCTGGCTCCGATCCTTTGGTAAAAGGAAGGAAGTAAACGGAAGAGCATTTGCCTACTGGGAGGGTGCGGAGATTTACAAGAGAGTTTTTAAATAAGGATCCCACCCTTTCCAAATCCCCGCTTGTCGTCCCCCCCAAAAAATCGAAAGAAATAAATCAGATGCGAGAATCCCACGATAAGCCTTTTAAATGATGCATGCTTGATGATAGATGGGAAATCTCCGTCCAGGGTAGAGAATCAGAGGCGAAAACATTCAGAGAACAGGAAATTCAGCCGTCATATATTTTAAGTGAAAGGCGAAAGTTTTGACGTAATTTCAGTATATCCTGGATTAAATGTTACTGTATAAATATTTCTCACCAAAAACTACAACAGAAGGTCAACACTCGACAACAATCAGCAGAGCTTTCAGGGCCACATCTCACGTTGACCACATCACATCACAGTCTGTTTTCAGTTTTCTCGCAATAAAAATTGCGCGTCAACAGATTGTGTAGGAATTATGTGGGGATAGGGGAGGGTTGTTACTGCTTTTTGTCTTAGAACGAATGCACATCAAAGACAACATTTTTTTTAATTTCTCCTTCTATATTATAATATAAAAATATTCAGTTGCTTGTCTTGAAAACTTTATTTTTATCATGAAAAGGCCCGCAATTGATTCCTTATACGAATGTTCTTATGAATACGAACCCTACCCTACACAGTTAAGCCTCTTTGCCCACGGTTCGCGCACAAAACAATCAGCGGTTGTTCTGTTGCTACGGCGTGAGAAGACCTATTAATTTGCGTCGAAATGACTAACAATTTATCACAAAGTCAGGATAGATTTCCCTGGAAATGCTCAGAATGATATTCAACTCTGATTAGCTAGTGCGATAGAGGTAAAAATATTAATCATGTCTGACAAACTGAGTCGTCAAGATACCCTCTGGATTCTGCGCAAAACTGATTTACCAGGTGACAAAGTTATTCCACATAATTGTTTTTGTGCATAATTTCCAACTTCTTGTTTATTCTTGCCTTGTTAAATAAATACTAAAGGTAATTTTAAATTGTAATTTCCATAAAGTAAGAAATGACAACAAGAAAACTTAGCTGTCTTTTACAATTTTAATGAGGTAGGCTTATAAGGTGAGTGCCTTGAAGTAAGCTTTCACACTTCTGCTTTCAACTTGAGTTAAGCAACTTTCTTAAATTCAACTCATTGCAGGATCTACATCTAGAGACGTAAAGTTTGCTTTGGCAACAAAAGCGGAAAGATGGGTAAGTTTGTTATCTAAATAGATAAAGTCTGAAATAAAAAGTTGCGAGCCTTGATTAGAGCCATAAACTGTACGTTGTTTCAGTTTGAAGATCGATTCAGGAAAATTCAGGACTTCATTGAAAACATTGATCCAATAAATTGCTGAAAAATCCATTATACAAATGTTTTACTATAACTGAGTAAGGGTGGATATTCTTACGACATCCAATAATATACTCATATATCCCTAGATAGATGTTAAAAAATATTTGATACGAATTCTTTTTCGTCTTTTACCCCCACGAGGAATCTTTGATCACCACCACAGTGTACATGCAAAGCTGTATTTTGTTTCATTAGTAGAATTGTGATGTCCTGTGTAGCTTAGGAGAACCCATGATTTTGAAACCTCAAAACCAAAAGTTGATTTATTTTAAACTTTCTGGTACCTGGATTGCTGTTATATTCAATATTTATATTTACTGCCAAATGATAAATTGATTATGATAGGTTATAGGCAATGTACATCATTGCAGAATGAAAAGCCAGAAATAATTCAGGCTCATATAGACATGAACAATTGAGTGCAACTACCGACTAAGCTTTGAAGCTTTGCATTGCAAAAGTGACAAATTAGAGTGCCTGGCTCTTTGCTCTCAGTCAAGGACTGAATTTTCCATACTTCTTTATCTGTAATCCCTGTTTAGTTGCAGCTTAAAGCCCTGAAGATCAACTCAATACATGTTATGTATTCCACTGGTCAAAATACGGCTTACATACTTTTTGTGAATATCTACAAATTTGTCAACAGAAAATGATTCAAGGAAAGACAGATGAAGAAGATGTAAAAATAGCTGCCAGCATAGAAATTCAGCGAGTATGGAGAGGTTATTTTACAAGGTAAAATGATGGTCCTTACCAAGTACATCTTTGAAATGTTTTCTTTGTACATCATAGTATATACCAGGGTCATGGCCAGGACTTTTTAAAGGATGGGTCACTCTGTGTGAAACAAAGGGTACTCACCAGATTGTCTTGTGAATCCTCCATGCCATGTTTTACTGGAAAAAAGGTTTACAAAGGATGGGGAAAGGGGAGTTGCAGGCACCCAAGAACCCCTTCTCCACCCTATTAGCTACACCCTTGCATACTGTGAGCCAAGGCTACAAATCAAAAAATTATCTGGTGACAAACTTCCAGCTGTACCGAAAAATGTAATTATGTCCCATGATTATTTATTCCATGTTTTCTCGTAAAATGAAGATGTAAGCTGTTTGGAATTCTCCATCCAAATGCAAGTGTGATGTCCACAGCCCTTGGTAGTAGATTTGTGCAGAGTCCATCAAGGCTAAGTGATGTAAGGACCGTTACTCCTATGGTTCCACATACCACACCACAGCCATTGAGACTCTTCAAGGTGAGGCAGAGATTGCCAACAATGTGTATTCTAAAATGCCATCAAGTTCTTGACTGTGCAATGGCAATCTGAAAGCAGTAACAACTGGAAAAAAAGAAATTATCAACTGATTTTTACAGGTTAAGTGCAATGTCAGTTAGTCTGTGAAAATTAGTCCATCACTTCTTACCTTGTCCACAGCTTAAAACATGATTTATTAATTTCTGTACCTGAAAAACTGCTTATTACTCTAGTTAAGAAGAACTGGAGGGGTTGAACATACTATCCAAAAACATCTGACTAGTAACCAACACCCAATTCACACAGTAAAACATGTTTAGTTAAATTGGGTTTAACTGAACAAACATCAGGAACAGAGAAGTGAAAAACTGAGTTTTCTGTAGGTTTTGAATAAGTCACTAAACCTGCATTTTCGATGTGCCTGATTTGGAGTTGACAAACGTTGGTTTTAGGAGCTTCTTTGAAGAAAAGAATTTTAAATGGTGTTTAACAAATCAGCTTTTGTAAGACCATGTTGAAGCTTTGGTGTGAACGGGGTTTCAGTTTGTTTATTTTTGATAAGAAGTATTGCAGGGGGTGTTCCATAGAGACTACCAGAAGTGAAGCTAATGGTTCAAGAAGACCTTCCCTTTAATCTATTTCTTATAACTATTATTGTATTTAAAATGAATTTCGGATTTACAAGGAAACTTGTTAAACATGTTTTAGCATGACTTGTGCCATCATCAAGTTAATTTGTTACACAGTTGACTAAGTTGCTTAATATATATGTTACAGATACATTAGAACTTTAAGTTGAATACAATATTTGAAATTACAATGGTCAAAACAATAGCATATGCAAATGTAACACTTGTAGAATGTCTCCTTCAATTTTAATTGCTTAAAATTCAAGAAGACATTGTACATTTGCTGCTTGCAAGCAGAGCTGAATGCTCTGATGTAACTTAACTGTGATTGTTTGTTCACATAGATTTACTTGGTAAGTGTAAAATTTGTAGGTTCTATTGTTTACTTCAACCATTTATTTTAAAATAAATAAATGATATTAATTTCAAATACATGTATTGTATCTGATCTAAACTTATAACATATTTATTTATTTATTTATTTATTTTTTATTTATTGCAATTCATGGCATATACAATGTATGATAAATAGTACTATGATGTAGAAGTATCTGTAGATCATTCAATAAAAGAGATTACCACAAAGTGATATTTAAGGTATCTCTGTCCAACACAAACATATGTAACATCCAGAAAACAGGAGAGACAGAAATAATCAGATCAAAGTACTCATAACTCTAACAGAAATTTCTTAGCTCTAGTCTTAAATATAAATTTACATGTAACATGTGAAAACAAAGTCATCAGTTCAACAAATTTAACTGATGATGGCACGAGTCATGCCAAAACATGTCTTTTTAAGTTTTGTTGTGAATCTGAAATTTATTTTGAATTAATAATGTTGTTATCATGTAGCCAGGGAAGAATTTTCAATAGTAATTTAATAACTGAAACATGCCTTGTCAAATTTTCACAGGGTAACCAAATTCCTACCAATGCCTTGCCAATCACAAAGAAAAAATACAAGGAATACTGTGAGAAAACAGTGGCACAACAAGGCCCATTATGTAGACTGATGTCATACACAGAATTCTGTGCCACTCTCATCCAAAGGTGGTGGCGTTTTATATTACTGAGACCAGTGTTTCCAAGACCACCCCCTCCTACCACAGATGGAGGATTATCACCAACTGGAGGTGTCCAGCAACGGGCCAGTACTGCTGATTCAGAAGTACCAGCAAGGAAAAAAGTTGTTGATAGAGAAGAGGCAGCAAGGATTATCCAGAGATCTTGGAGAAAGCACATAGTGAGCAAAATAATAAATTTGTTGATTCTGATAAATAGTTGTAGTGATAACCATTACTTCCAAGGATGATGATAAGAGGAAGGAGAACATCTTGTGTCTGGAAGTGACATGGGCATTAAAAATGTTTTTAGAGATTGAGGAGTTTTAACTTTCATATTTTTGGAGGGAAATGCTTAAAGATTTTGGTGTTATGGTCCTGTTGGTTTGATTTAACTCTTTAACCCCCTAAGAGTGATAAGTATCCAATTTCTCCCAATAGTATGACCCCTGGATCAAACATAAAGGTAATGAGAATAAATGAAATGATTGCAAACTAAAAAACTCCTGCTCATTAGAAAAATTCTCTTTGTAAGTACAATGAAAAATGTCTAAAGAAGAGTATGTAGAACTTGCTTACTAATGGTACATTATAGAGAGATAAAAAGATTTCTTTTGAATTGAGTATAACTTGATAAAAATCAAAGACCTGCTTGTAGGGGAAAGAGTGAATACTTGACTTGTTTCAGAGATCTGAGCTGCCACTGTCTCTTGAAAGCTCCCTAAAAAACAAAGTTTTCACTAAAAGTTCCCTGGAATCAAAAATGAAGCTAGTTGCCTTGGGTATCCAGGTGTGCCTCCAAGGAAAATAATGTATTAATAGATTGCGTGATACCTGACAAAGAACAAGTGGCAGTTTTATTTGTAGGCTCTTATCAGGCTCCAAGTTTTTTAGCTTTGGCCTATGCCTTTTCCTAAATTGTCTTCTTCAACTTAATCCATAGTACCTCTTATTCTCTTGTATAAAATTTATGTGTTTGCAAGGGCAAGTCAGTTTTCATCATTTTGTAACTTGAAGTAACAGTTATGTTATTAACAAAATTTAACTGCTACATAAACATACCAAGACTTTGCAGAATGTTTTCATCATTGACACCATGGAGAAATTAATTGTCTGTATAATAATTTGTGTTCAGGACATCCAAGTATACAGATACTACAGAGATCTGATCAACTTCAAATGTCGGGGAGACCCATCTTCAATGTTGAAATGTATTAACCCAAGAGAGGTATGTTAGGTAATCATGGGTAATAATTAAGGAAACTGAGGATGTTTACAATTCTCTTCAAATTACTCAACAAATCAAAATAACAATCCAAAAAAATCAACAAACCCACAATTTAAAAGACCATCAATCAGAAATTTCCATGCTCTTTAATCTCATTACCTGATCATAATGATTCATTTATAAACAATTTAATAACTTATGAATTTCGTGGAAAAGGTTGTGGTTATTCATCGTGGTGAATAACAATAAAAGCTAAGTTTTTTGTTTGTCTCATGATGTAGTCATGTGTGATGTAGATTGTGACGTTTCGACTGCTTACTGCTATTCTTCTTCAGGTGATGATCACCTGAAGAAGCCCAGCAGTATGCAGTCGAAACTCCTGAATTGCCTAGGGGACCTCTTAATATTTATAAGCCCTAGAGTTTTTTTGAGGCCTTCTCACCCCTTTTATAATTGAAAACTACTTTTTTGTAAAGTTTGTGGTGGTGAATCAAACCTGAACTTAAACTTGAATGTTCAGTCTCTATCTTTTTCTCTTTATAGGCTGAGCTTTTAGATGCTGCAGCAGGGGTACACATTAAGTTTAGGCTGGCAGGAGTAAGTGATCAGTAAAGATGTATCAGTTTGACCATTCCAACATACTGTTAAAGCTGTCATCCATTTGTCAGCGTTAAGACAATTTTCCTGTTGGACAAGCATTTTTTTTTAAATCACTTTCCCACTGGGAGAAGCTCCAAACTAGTTAGTCATTAATATAAATCCTGTCCACAAGGTGAAATTTACAAAATAATAGATTTTGTATTTTTTCCCAGTCCTGTATTTCAACTAGCTTGCTGAGTGTTTCTTATTTTTTTTCCAGTCCTGTATTTCAACCAGCTTGCTGAGTGTTCTATTTTCACTGAGAACAGCATTGTGTACTTTGATCAAATGATTTTCTAATGGAATGATGTTCTGTTATTGGAAAGTGGCCAACATTTAACCAGTTTTACAAAATTATTGTTCAATACAATTTTGAGACAGTGCCTTTTTTTTGAGCCAAGGGTTACTCAAACTCCTTCTGTGTTATGTGTGTGTTCTTTTTATTTCTTAGGAAAAGTTCCCTCCCAACATATACTACAAGATTTTTACTCACCACAACATAGTTGACATGTGTGCTAATGCACCAAGGGATTACACTAAAGCCTCAACTAAGAGACTTCCAGTGAATTTTGTGCACAACAAAGGGCAAACAATGGAGGAAGGTGAGCAATTTGGCCAAGTTTTATGTTTTGGGGTCTTCAATGTAGATAGAAGAAATTCAAAATAAGGAAGGTTAATTTAATATAGGTAAATAATCTTTTTTAATTTGGTCGAAATACACTAAGTTACTAAAGTTTAATTTCATGTCTTAGAGTACAGAGAAAATCCTTATAACTGGACTGGTTGTCAAAAATCTAGTCCTAGACGGAACATAGTTTAGATTTAGTGAACTTTTTGGCCCCTTGCTACATATTGTACCTGCTCCTGTAATAATATTATGAAGGAGCTGTAAGCTGTTATTTTTGCAGCTTGGGGGGGGGGGAGGGTTTGAAAGCTATTTTGAAAATTTTAAAGCACCTGTGAACATATCAAACATTGAAGTTGAAGATAGGGCTAAACAAAACCCTTGATGGGAGATAAAGACACATTTTGAATAAAAAATGCTCTGAAGTTCTTTTAACTGAAAATTGGCATTTTGTGGTAGATGATATGTCAGGCTGGTACCAGAGGTGGGAAAACAACGGCTGGAGGCTTGTCTCCGACAGAGTGATGAAAAGAGTTGATCAGGATCCAGTTGTTTATGAGTCAACGCTAAAAAAACAAAGTTTTAGTCATAACAAGGTTAGTATGCATGGTGGCAAGTAAGGCTGAAAATTGAGCCAGGTGTGGCAGGGTGGTAGACAGTTGTAGGCCCAGAAATGTCATCAGAAATGTGGGGATTGTACTGAGGTTAAAGTCAGTGGTTTGTTTCCTGTCTTCAAGAGTCACCCAAGATGTTGAGGTGAAATACTTAGTCGCTTGTTTCTTCACTTTCTGCAGGTTGCAAGGAAACAAGACCTTGAAAAGAAGCGCAAACGGAAAAAAGTAGAATGGATGAAAAAGATGTAAGACAGTGCATTTTACTTAGTGGAAAAGCTTACTGTCAGTGATTATTGTACTTACCATTTATTTATTTTCAAGTTTATATGTGAACTGCTATTGTTAGGGTACTCCAGAGCTAATGGTTGAGATTTGACTCTTTCCACATACATTGTAGCATTTGTAGGGCGGTTTTTAGGGAAGGGGTGCGAGGGGTGTGCGAGAGTTTATTTCAGGGGCCTGGCTCTTGTCCGCAATAGCGAGGTGTCCGCAGGGCAAGAGTCCACTGTACACTGTACAGTCCGTGCTTTGTATTCTCGGGAGTTCGCTTTATATTATGGTCTGTTCAAAAGCCTTCCTCTTCATTATTTGCTTGTAAATTTATTTACTTCACCCAATAGTTCTATCATTCCTTAGTGGTGCACCCTTCCCTAAGAAAAATTCAGGATCCTCTCCTCTATAAGAAGAGACAACCACTTTCACATGTTCATGTTGCGTCATTACTCAGGTACAGAGAGGGAATGTTGAAGACACAGCGTGGAAATGACTTAGAGACTGAACAAGTTGTACAATCAGTGGCTGAAGGAATGCTAACAATCACAGACATGCGAGGGCAGGATGCTGTGGAAGATTGGGAAGTGGATGAACTCCTGGAGTGGACCAACGGACTTAACTTTGACCAGTAAGTTTATGACATCTATTTCTCCGTATAGTGGTGAACATAACACATCTTTGTAGTATGAGCAATTTTGATCCTTGAGGTATGGTAGGGTATCTGCTTATGTCTGTGTTTATTTCTCCTAAGATATTTGTATGACTGGAAAGAGATTGCCACAAGTGCAGGCTCAGAATATTTAACAGGTCAGTAACAAAATATTAAATGGTAATTATTTTTATTTCGCTCTGTGATAATCACTCACTATAGAGCAATTTTCGAATGAGCGTCAAAGGTAATCCGGGGTTGCTTTGGTTTTGCTTCACCAACAAACTTACAAGAAACTAACTCGAGGGAAAACAATGGGTTATTCAAAACGTGATTAGTAAAGGAGGTGACGGAAAAACAATGCAAGATTTCTTTGAATAGAATGAAAATGTCATTGACGTGATTCGTGAAAAACGTGATTAATAAAAGTTTTTAAAATTTGTCTGTTTTAATTTGTCTGTTTTGTCTTTTCCTATTTTGCAGAGCAAACCAAGTTCTTGCCGGATGATCCCTTCTCACTGACGCTACTCTCTAGATGACAAAACATTTCACTGTGGCTTTTTATTTATTGTGAAAGATTATGAGATCGCGTTTGTGATAGTGAAAATTGTATATAGTTTGTATTTCTGTAAGTATAGTTCATAAAATGTAAGTATTTATGCGAGTGTGTAGTGTACAATAACGCAGAATCAGCGTGATTAAAAATAATATTAAAATTGTCGAAGAAGTCTGATCCATTCATATAAACATATCTGAATGTTGCACAGTTTCAAAGACAGCTGTTTTCCTCTTCAAAACTATTCTGAACAGAGCATTTCTGTGCCCGAAAGACGAACTTCTAAACGAAATTCCGCTTCGGATTAGTTATAAGTTCCTAATAGACTGAATGGGGTGGAACATGAATTTAGATCAGCAGGAAGTTGGAAAGTTTTGAATTTACGTGTTTCGTTCCAGTGCATAATTACACTGGTTTTACAAGTTATGTTCACTTCCCTTCCCGCCATTCTTTAGACGTGAACTATTTCTTTGCATAGCTGTGAAGTTCTTGTCATTTGATGTGTTTCAAAGTTTTGCTAGTGAGCAGTGACCAGTCCTTAAAGTTCCAAAATTGTTTTGAATAAACTCGTCAACAACTTGTTTGGAATTCCATTGAAGCGAACAGCAGTAAAACCCAACCAAATAGAGCTCCGGTTCATATGCGCTACCGTAGCCTGGAAAGTAGCCGACTGTTGCGAAGTAAAGCGGGAAGGACTCGATGCGCTCGACGTGAATTGAGAAGTTTTATTAATATAATAGATTAAAATGCAGTATCTGTGTTAAGACGTTTTGGTATAAAATGAGTGGGCCATGAAAGGTCAGAAGTCCACTGAGAAAATGCAGCTGGCGAATGGGCACAATTCTTTTTGCGTCTACATCTCTGTAAACCCTCTTGGAGACATAAAATCGCATATAAAGAAGAACCCTTCATCCTGTCCTTGATCTCAAATGGCCGATATTTAACTCATAGTCAGCTTTCTTTGCTGAAAGAGGTGTCGCCCAGGAAAAAAGATTGAAACGTTTCACCTCCTATGCAAATACTGAAGAAAAATAAAAAGTTGGTACCGAGGTCGAATTTGAAACAATAAGCGATCACTGGTGTATGCAAATATTTCGCGCCTTTGAATGTACACTTCATGAATTCCAACAAATAGTTGTATTGTCATGCGCAGCTTAGCCGATCTCAGCGTTTTTGAACTTTTAACGGTGACTGTATACTATTTGACACTGAAAGAGTACAGATCCGCTAGAAATCCTTCATATCACCATTACAATTGGTGGCTGTGCAAATTAAGCCAAGTTGAGTTTTTGACGAGTTTTATCAAAACTTTTATGATAAAACACCTGCGAACTAATCACACATCGGATCTTCACTTCACCAAGATATCAACATTTACAACTTTAAACAACCTTGGGCTGGTGTAAATCGTTGGTCAGAATGGGTGACGCAATAGGAGAAAGACTCTGGTATACCGCAGTTCTGCAAAAAAACCTGGGACCTCTAGGTAGGTTACAACATGGGAAAAAATATATCATGGTTAAAAACATGTTTAGCGTGAAAGATTCCATGCCGCAGGGTCTACGCACGTAATTTACAAATTCGCATGTACTGGCTATAATGCCAGTTAAATTGTGAGACCATTCGCCACATTTGTACAAAAATGCGATGCACCTTGTGTAGCACGAGACTTCACAGCACTTGCAATTATCCAAGGCCTGTCATGACCCATGCTCTGCAGAACCTTCTGTGATTTCGCTTTCTGCCACCTCAGTTTTCAAATTAAGACAGAAGAGGCCACGTACTTTAAATGGGAGGGAGGATCCGACCGTACACGTCGTAAACCAACCGTTAAAACACTTATAGTTAACTCATTCTTTTTAGATAATTTTTATTTTTTTCCTATCATATCTTTCCTATTATCATTTTACTTATTTTCATTATATTCATTATATTAGTACTATTTTGGTGCTTCCTAGCTTTCTTCTACCTTTCACAAGTGCTTCCCCTATATTTTATTCAAATAGTTCACGAATCTGTACAGCGTAATCATACGTTGTAATTCGATAACGAATTGTTCAAAGTGAAGTTAAATTGTAACATTTGCAACTTAAGATGACATGACTAATGTCGAAATATGTTTGGTAAACTTAAAAATGTCGTTTATTTCATACAACTATCAGAAAGTAGAAGCATGAAAAACTGATTTCACACTGAAGGAATAGCAAACAAGCGCGAGACGGCAGATTTGTTCCCGCTCTGACTTTGAACGAACTGATTTGCTAGATTTCGATATCACTACAAATATCCGGTTACATAAGTTTAATTTTGAGTAATGGTATAAAGGTTCATATCGATCTAGGAATTCAATAAATTAGTAACTTAGTCAAAACTTCCTAAAAATCCATGACTACAATATTGTGATTGTTAAAAAGTTATTGCTAACTGACACAATTATACCTTTTTTCCATTTTGATGAAGGTAATCATAGGTGGGATAAAACCAGCTCTAATAGGAACAGAACCAACGCAACTGTGCTTGATTACTCCTTATTTGGACAGGAAGCGGCCGAAAGTAATGTTCCTCTAGCCATTTGGGCATGATCTTCGCGAAGCGGAATATTCCTTTCCCACATAGACGTACTATTTATTTTCATCGTGGACTGTTGCAGAGTCATGAAAAGCAAGTTAAAGACTGGGACTCGTTGTATGTACCTCGTGTATAGTCCTGAACAAAACCAGACAGACGCCAAGGTAAGTTTTTTTTTTAATATTAATGAGAAGCTAGCTTCAGAAACTGTGTAAATCTTTGCTATTAGAAGTCAAGCAAAAAGAAATAAAATATTTATAATCAAACTACAACAAAATTCTCGAACGTAATTGGTTATCACCAGCCCGATTTAGGCACCAATAGAACAATGTACATCATGCTTCTAATTGGAAAGTGTAATAGGGCATATAAGGGACAGTTAACACGTCATATCTGCGTAAGTGGACAGAACGCGTCACTTGCGCGCGCTGTTGTCTTGCATTTCGCCGAGTTAACTGTTGTTGGTTTTTTTTTTAATAAAACCGTACAACTAATGTCTAGTTTCTTTATCAAATTTTGTCATAGTTGTGATTAATTGGTAACAGGACTTCAAGTCGTCCAATTCTGTCTGTAATCATACTCGTAACTAGCAAATCGGACTCCTGGACTCCACCCGGTCCTATTACCATTATAAATCGCAATTTTGAGGATCCAAAGAGCAACCTCCGGCCTTAAATTTGTCTTCAGACTAGCTAAATTTCCTGCACCTAAGCTCTCAACTATAAATACCTCATACATACCCAACATACACAAAAAGATAGCCATGGAAAACGTAGTTTTCCGATGGGATAGACAAAATTCTATTCGTGACACCTTCCAGCGGAAGTAAGACAATCGGAATTCATGACGCGAAAGAGTACTGGAAGTCAGATAAACAACTTGGAGAACTGAAATTTTGTCCAACAGACTCCATACCTCTGAAGCTGTAGTGGAGATTTTATTTGAGACTAAATTTTTCTATTTAAAATGATGAAGAAATGCAACTTTATCAGCTACAAATATAAAACAAATAGACATTTCTCGCGAAAACAGACAAGAAGAAATAAAAACGACCAAATAATTTTTCAGTAGGCACAATTTTGTGTGCAAAGAAAAAACTACACAAAACATTTTTTAAGCGATTAATCTTCGTTGCACTTTACTGACCAACTGAAGCTTCTTTTAGACTGAAATTTGTGTGCTACAGAAAATAGCTAAGCATCTTGGCTGTAAACATATTTCCCTCTATTTTGAATTCCCGGTAATTTATTCACAAAGTTTATCTTAAGAAGCCTTCGTGTTAGTTGGAATGTTATAAACTGTTCATAACAGACAGTGAGCGTGTGAGAGAAAGTACAAGAAAATTGAATGTTAAACGTGTTAAACGTAATGTATGTGAAAGTCTAACAGCACAAGTCGTCCTTCAAGCACTCATTTTTTTTTTTTTCAGGTTGAGGATAGTGTTTCAGTGAAAGACGTTTTAATCTCAGCGGACAAGTTGGATCACAAAAAAGCAAATGGTATCATATATAGCTTGGTGAAAGAAGAAATATTACAATCTGTGTCCCCTGTGAGGATTCGAACCTCAAACAGTCTGCTCAAATAAGGCTATCCCAGCTGAGTGGGGAGTTTCGTGCGCTCCACTTGGTGCTTGTTTACTTTCGCGTCCCGAGGAGAGGTGCAGTGCAGATGGCCCATACTTCGGTCTCACCCTCTGGTACCTCGGCGTAAGCTCGAAACATTTTTGTTTTTGTTTTGCTTTGTTTTTGTTTTTGATGAAACGAGAATAGTCGATAAAGGTATTAAACCCGGAGGGTGCTAGATTCATTTCGGTTGTCGCTGTAACCACCAGAGGATTGTGTCTGTATTCAAGCAGGGATTCAATTTTCTCTTTTCATCAGCACCATTGACATTCGAAGTCAAATAAATACACAAGCTGTAGCCGGTTTGGAGAGTATCTTCTTCTTAACTGAAAAATGAGAATAACAGTTGGTATTTACAGGACGCAATAATGGCGACTGAAGCTTCTAGAGCTTAACGAGGGGCCAATAGAACTAATTGTCTACGTTATATTAATCCAAAAATTGAGCATCTCTTTATCAGCTGAGTAGAAAACATATTTGGGTCAACGTCCGTAAGGATTCAAACCTTAAAACTTTGCCTTCAGACGCTCAACTAGCTGGGCAGAGAGGAAATTTGGGTTGACCTTCGTGAGGATTCAAACCTCATCTGTTCAAGTTCGCTGCCAAATGCTCTTACAGCAGAGCCGGCAGGAAAAAAACTTTTGGGTAAAGGTACGTGAGGATTCAAACCTCTGACACTCCAATATTGGTATCAATTGCCTTCTCAGCTGAGCTGAGGAATCAAACTTCAAGTAAAACCTTACAATCTCGGTATAAAATATTGAGGAGGAAAGCAAATGACTGATCGACTCTCGTGAGGATTCAAACCTCAGATCTACCGATTTTGGTGTAAGATGCTAAACCAGCTAAATTACACAAAAGTGAAGCTTACAGAGCTTGACTGGGGGCTACAAGGACTAATTATCTTATTAATGGTCTTAATCCAAGGTTATAACTCTATCTACCGTGAGGATTCAAACCTCACTTGACTCAATTTAGCTGTGGATGCACATCTAGAAGAGCAGAGAGAAAATTGTGGGTCGAAATTCGTGAGGATTCAGACCTCAGACTACCCAATATCGGTTTAAAACGCTTTCTCAGCTGAGCTGAAAAAATTGTGGGTCGACCATGGAAAGTCATCTTCCATAAAACCGTGCAATAATCTCGGAATATAATTGCCAAGGAGGGAAAGGAATGACTGGTCGACTCTCGTGAGGATTCAAACCTCTAAACTACCGAGTTTGGTGTCAAATGCTCGACCAGCTTAATTATACACAAAACTCTTGAAGTTATTGTTCCTATCTCATACTAAGAATTGTGTTATATTTGCTTCTTGAGTGTGTTGTAAACAGATGATGTATACATGCAGTTTTATTTTCCTGGAATTAAACACCCGGTAAAATCAAGTTGGTATGGAAGGCAGTGATGAAAGAGAATAATCAACAGAGCTCTGCGTGTAACGGGTGTTGCCTAGCTTTTAAGGTAAGAATGACATGAGATACAGCGATTGTTGTTGAAATACGTACAAGCTGTACAAGTTATAAAATACCCGTATCTCTACGGTTGTAGTGAAGATATTAGCTGTAAATAAATATCATCCTCGGCATTAAATAAATAGGATTTAGCAATATACAGTCCACGAGGTGGCTCTTCTGGTCCACTGTTCCAGGTCGAATTGGAATTTATTTAGACTTAATTTAGTTTATTTAATGATTTTTACAATGGACAGAAAGTAGAAGAGATTAAAATTTCATTCATGTGGAAGTCTATCAGCACAAGTTGTTTACCTTCTTGCACTCTTCTTTTTCAGCTTAAAATCCAGTTTAAAATGGTATCATATATAGCATGGTGAAGAAGAATCATTGCAATCTGAGTCCCCTGTGAGGATTCGAACCTCAAGCAGTCAGCCCAAGTTAAGCAATGCCGGCGACTGAGTGGAGAGTTTCATGCGCTCCACTCTGTGCTTGTTTTCTTTCGCGTCCCGAGGAGATGTATAGCGCAGATGCAGTGAAGCTTGTTGAAGTGTCTACATAAAGTATATTCAGCAGCAACTAGAAGAAAGAGTTTAAGAGTTGTCTTCCTCGTGCATTATGTGTTCATCAATAGTGAAAAACAGATGAAAAGTCGCGGTGTTCGCACTTCAAGTGTTCCTCAAAGAGAGGGGGCAGTTTAAAGGGTTGAGGTGTATATGCATCATATGGCTATCAACAAAGAAGCAGTTTAAAAGTTGTAGTGTCTATCCATCTTATAGTTATTAACAAGAAAGCAGTTTAAAAGTTGTAGTGTCTATGCATCATACGGTTATCAACAAGGAAGCAGTTTGAAAGTTGTGGTGCCTGTGCATCATAAGTTTATTACCAAGGAAACAGTTTGAGAGTTGTGGTGTCAATGCATTATAAGTTTATTACCAAGGACGCAGTTTAAAAGTTGTGGTGTCTATGCATCATATGGTTATCAACAAGAAAGCGATTTAAAAGTTACGGTCTCTGCATCATGTGTTTATCAACGAGCAAGGAATTAAAAAGTTGCGGTGTCTGTATGTCACGTGTTCATAACCACGGAAGCAGTTTAACCCTTGCACCACTGCAGCGTCTCTTCATCATATGATCATCACAAGAGAAGCAGTTTTAAAAATTGCAGCGTCTAAATATATATATATATATATATATATATATTATGTATTGTGTGTTCATCAAAAAGTAGAATAAGTAGCAATAAAATAAGCGATAAATAAATCAATAAAATATTATAATTTTACCAATAAAAGATACTTAAACAATAAATCAATCAAATACAAACTAACCCCTCCCTACTTACTCAACCATCCCTGAAAGACTCCACACTTTTCCGCACCCCTTAGAAATTTACCCATATTGAATTTATTTTGGGTTTCAAGTCCTAATGATCGTTCAATCGTTCGATGTAAGGCGCAAAGAAAATAGAAATTAGTACCGCTACGATAATCCCGACATCCGCTTTCAGACGTCGGATTCCGGACCTTCGATTTTTGCGTTCGGAATTTTACTTCCGACTATCGAATTCTAATTTTCCGATTTCCGGCTTCGGCCTTCGAATTTCCGTCGCCAGAAATTCGGATTTCGGACCTTCGCTTTCGGAGTTCGGAATGTTACTTCTGACCATCGATCTCTTCTATTCCGACTTCTGGCCTCAGACTTCTTATTTACGACTTCTTGTCCTCTAAGACTCGAACGTCTTAATCTCTGACTGCGAAGTTTAGACATCCGACCTCCATTTCCAATTGCTACAACTCGACCTTCGACTAAAATGCTCCTTTTTTCCGATTTCGACCCTAAAGTGCCATTTTCAATGTCCACTAGGTGCAATTTTTAAGGAACTTCAGTGTGGCTATTATTGTGCAAGTAAAGTTGGCGATTTAAAGAATGTTTAACGTGACCATCTCCCTTAAACTGCGAATAAAGTCATTTTTTTTTTAATTTAAAAAGAACTTTACACATAGATATTAAAAACTGATGATAATTTTTCACTTTTTAATTAAATAGAGTGATTTAAAAGACCAGAGTAATGAAGGATTGTTTGTATGGGAGGCTGCGGTTGGTTGTTTATATTGATTCAGTGGAAGACGTAGGAAATAAAATAATTATTGTGTTAGTTCGTGTATCTTAAAATCCTTTGGATATATCGTTTTTAGTCTTAAAGTTCAAAAGGCTTCCGCGGCCTGGCCTTGTCATTGTTAACGCGGGATCCACTGTGATTGGCTAAAGCTGTAGTGGTCTCCCTACCTGAGATAATTAGGCGAAGCTAAATAAATTTTAATTAATATCCTTTTTTCGCCCAACTTTACGCAAACAGGAGTGTCTTTGCTGAGGTGGTCATTTGATCTTAGCGACTGAGAGGCACTACTTATCAGAAGCAAGCAATATTTCAGAACCTGTCGACAAACCTTTTTGAGGTCACTGTCTTGCTCACCTCCTCAATCAATCCAGAAATTGACATAAAGAAAATTGGTTGTCTTGTGCAACGTAAACGGAGAAAGAGACAGAAAAGAAACATCCCTGTCGCAGTAGTGATAGTCTTGCGAACAATTATCTGGGTTTCTATATGATCATGTAAGAGCATAAACCCAGCATTTCGTAAAACAATGCGCGATTTCAATAATGCCGTACGTTGCTCAAAGATATGTCTGGGTTTATTTATTTGGATAAAACCTGAAGTTCCTCCTTTGTTTCAACGGAACTTGTGCTTCTATTGTGCGCAGAAACCTAGATGGATAAAATTGGTCGTGAAGTGTTGACACTTAATATCTCTAATCCCGCGACATAATATAGCCTCCCAGCGTGGAGGACCATAAAGATGTTTGTTAGTAACAGATTGACTCAACATAAAATCTGTTAGTTGATAACTTTCTCAGTTCTCCTCACCCGTCTGAATTGCCAAGTACTAAATTTAAAATGAGAATTTATGTGGCAGTCATTATGGCTGTGAGGTTAGCTTACTTTGGCCTTAGCTAAATGATCCATTTTATACACAATTTCGAGCGGGACTGACTCGTACATGTCGAAATCTGACTTGTCGAATTGTCGTGATATGATAGCAGCTAGCTACGAAAAATTTTGCGATTGTTCACGGTAGATAGTATCGAGTTTTTTGTAAAAGGGTAGACAAAACTGTCAATTAATCGCTTAGCTTTTCTTCACGTCAGTCAGGAATTAGACAAATGACTTCAAAACCTTCGACTCCATACAATTACAACTCCGTATCTTGCGTGTTTCATACATCTTGCATTCATAGGAGTAAAATGCCTTCCAACTTTCTAGAGACACTTCTCTGATTTTTTCATTTTAACGTAAACTCATGTATGATTGCAAAACAGAAAAGAGACCCAGAAAATTTAAAACTTTTTTAATGATATAGATAACAATGTCCTAATTGGGTTGGAATTTGTTATGGAGACAAAAACATCTGTTCTGTTTGCGAGTCAACTTGGTACAAAGCATGTTTACAAATCGTTATCAGTTTTTAGATTTTAGATATTGCCTGCTCATGGTACAGGAGAAAATGAAAAGTAGAGAAACGTGTGTGGTTAAAAAATAGCTTACACATTATTAAACACGAACCAGTAGCCTTGAAATGCGTTATTTCGAAACTTATATTTTCATACTATGTGCGACCCAATCTGCCAAAAAAGTATAGTATCGTCATGTTAACGATTTCTGGTTGAATGTAATTTATACTGAAATATACCATTTAGAAAAACTTTTTGAATATCTCATTTTTTTATCACGCTGTAATCTTCTGTCATTGATCTTTCGACCTCTCCCAAATTTCTGAGATTTGGGGGCTGCTATATAAGGGTCTTTTTTGCATTGATTACGACACTATTGTCCTGAGCTGTTTGCAGAAAAGAAGGTACGTTCGTTTGCGTCTCTCCTCGGAACAGAAACATCATGGCAAACAGACCAAAGGGATTCGGAATGTCTGCGGATTTAGCTCGCAAGGTAATAGGTTTTATTATATTATAAAGCCAAGTGTTTCAAAGAGCGGGTAGACGCGGGGTATTTTGAAGAGAGTCATAGGTACCAAAGCACCTCACTGTGCTGCTACGACCGTTGCACTCTGTCGGCAAGATGAGTGCAAATAAATGCTTTTGATAGCGTCAATTTTCTTTAATGGTTACATAAAAGTAGCCTTTTCACCAAGATTAACGATTCAAAATAATTAGCATAGTTTTAAATTGAAATGGTTTCTCAGTTTGTTTTGTATCAGCTCCACCACCCCTCCCGCATCGTCTGGAGTCTTTTTTTGTAAGGAAATTAGCACTTTCGTTGGCAGTTTTGGTTGCAAATCATTGGTGTAAGTCACCTTGTTGTCGTTACAGTGATGTTTTTGCTTTCTTGACTTAAATCAAGACTTGTCCTTTAAACAGACATTTTCTGCGAACTTGAGAAGTGAACTCTCGCGAATGAAGCAATGCAACCGTTGTCGTAGTTTTATCAGACCTATTTTTGAACATAGACATGAAAAGGTGGAAATTCTTTTATATGAGTTAAGTAATAGTGCAAAATCGAAAAACAAAGCATTGCAGTAATGATACTATAAGGTGACAGACTTCAGAAAAATATCAACAGAGATTTTTTATTGAGGTCAATGGGCGGGTCACACTAGGAACTATTTGGTAAAGCACGCTGAAAGCGCTGATGTGTTGGGGCTAACGGAACCTCTCGTACCACTATAACTAGTTAAGTACCTCTCAATACCATTATAATTAGCTAAATTTTCGAAATTTTGTTCAGACACGGAGTACACGAAGGCGCACTGAACGAAAAGCAAATTCCATGGACAATATTTTCGTTCCGCCGCACGCTAAAGCTTTAATAACAAAAACATCACAAAGCACACGAGATAACCAAAAAGTTATTTCACTACCGAGCAACACTGCACCTCTTAAAATTCGATCCCCTTCGTTAAGCAAGGAATTGCTTCTTTTTCTCTCTTCTTTAAAGTATGCAAATTTTATAGAAGAAAAGAGAAGCCTCTTGGTTTGCTTTACATTCAGCAATTAATGGATCAATACAATCGTGATTATTTATTTGTTGCGTCTCAACAATGCGAGGTCTAACTCGCCTGACCCCACAGTGTGTATTCTGGACTCGAGGGACTGGGTAAGAAATTTTTCGTCCCTCTCTCTTTTTCTCTCCTACAAGTGATGGCTGATGAACGGGAGCTCTCAGCTTTTCCCGGTATTTTTGTTGCACAATTCAATCAATTGTTTTGAGGAATACTGAACTATCCGTGGAAGCTGTTTGGAGGTAGAGGTCCGTGATGTTGTTCTAAGGATTACAATCAGAAAAAATGCGAGCTATTTTCATGAATATTAATGTTTAAGATTATTTCTCTATTAAGCTTAACCCCTCAACTCCTTACATGTGGTTGCTAATTCTCCCTTCTAGCTGAATCACATTTTCTTGTAAATAAGTTACAAGAATTTCGTGTTAGATCAAGATAACAACCTCAACCTGATAAGTCTGATTGTTCTCCTCATCTTTTTTGATAGACAATGTTTGGATATTATAGGGAGAAATTGCATGTTAATCGCTTTTGGCAGTTGAAGGGTTGATATTTATCGTCAGATCTTGTACTCCCTTCAGGAATCTTAAGGTTTTCGTTTTTTCTTGGCAGGCTGCAGCCAAGTATGACAGTCAACAAGAAGCAAATGCTATTGAGTGGATTGAAGCTGTTTTGGGTAGAAATGTGTTTGGTGGTAAATGTGGGCAAGATCATGTTCATGAGGTGTTGAAGGATGGAACAATCCTTGTTGAGTTAGTATTGTAGTTTACCAGAATTTTTTTTATGTTGATTGTTCCAAACTTGGGAATGGTATCAAATCCTTTCTTTAACCTTTTACCCTCCAACATCTGTATTCATATTCTCCATACTATCCTTCTACATTTTCTATGATACTGAAAAGGAGAATTTGTTTGAGGATCAGGAGCTCTCCAAAGTAGTGATCATTTCCTGTATTTTAATGACCTTAATGTTTGATTCAAGGATGATACTGTAAAGAGAAATTAGAAGCTGGTCACTCTTAGGGGTTAGACTTACCTTAATTGAAATATTTTCCCAAATTTAAGGTGGAAATTGTTGATTATGTACCAGGTTGAGAGCAAACTAGAATCCAATGTTTTTTTCTTGCAGACTGGCTAATGCACTTCGCTCTGCAGACCCTTGTAATAGCCTAGGCTCTGCAGTGAAGGGTAATACAAGTACTGCTCCCTTCAAACAGGTTTGTTGAGATGTTAGTTAAGATCTAACTAGAGCATGAATTACTTTGTAACTATTTAGAGGTAGAAAACAGAATCTTCAGGATATGTGCCTTTTCTGAATCTGGGAAAAAAAATTATTTGATTTCAATAAATGGCCCCTCAACAAAGCTAACTGCTTCAAGCTTAACAAGCTCTTCAGGTGGACATCTGTCATTCTCATAGGCCCAATCTCTCATGGAACATTAGAGGGCTATTACAACTGCCATCTTTGAGTTTGCAAGCAATTTCGAAAGTGCTCAGTTGTTCAAAGGCTGATTAGTACCAACCCAGGGTTAAATCTTAATCAGGATTTTGGATTATTTTCTCTATTTTTTTTTTTGAGAATCCAATCATTAAATTGTAGACAAAAAGAATTATTCTGAATTCTCTTTTAGGCATTAAGATCTGAAATCAGATTTCACACCAACTCTTGTTTATCTTAAACTAGCTTTTAAAAACTGGCACAGTACTTTATCCAGAGTTGCCTGCTGTGATTTTCAGATTTTCACCCATCCTCTTTTTTCCTTTCACTGATCCAATAAAAGTTGATGGGTGCCTTGAATTGGAGAGGGGAGGGGAGGGGGGGGGAGGGTCAAAGGAATTCATCAGCCATGGGATTATTTTTTTTTTTCTGGGAACAGTAGGCTGGACACAAAAAAACACCCTGGATACCCTGGCACCCACCTTCCATTTCAATTAACTGAGGTAGTGGTAAATATATTGATTTTTCTTCTAGATGGAAAATATTTCAAATTATCTAAGTTTCTGCTCAAAGATGTTGGGAGTAGAGGCTTCTGATTGCTTTCAGACTGTAGACCTGTATGAAAAGCAAAACATGGATAATGTAAGATGTTTTATTTTATAACAAGTTGTTATCATTTTATTTACTTAGAATAGTTAACAATTATTCACCAATTAAGTGGCAGTGAATAGTGGTGGATATTTACCAACACAGAAGTGAATAACCATTTTAGTATATTATACACAGATAGCAAATTGTTGTTCCTTTCTTTCTAAAACGAGTGGAAATGAAATTGTTGATGCAAAATTTTGTCTCTTTGCTTGCTTGGAGGGGAATTATGCTTGCTATTCACCTTAATTAAAACCAGCCAATCAGCAGGTACTAATCACCTGTGTGGTGTATACTAGTATTGGATATGTCTAATACAAGCCAGAAAATGTGATTAAGGATCTAACATCTAGGCTTACTTACCTAGTTGACTTATGGGTACCTTAAATTATTCCTTATTGAGATTTATCAGTACAGGTATCAATATGATAAGGCTTATACTTCAGATTAATATTACTACCATGGCAACTTTATATCTAATGACCATCAGATATATTTCAATCACTAGCTGACAAAAGTGGGATATTTGATAGGACCTGTATGGGGTTAGGACTGAGGCAATTTTCAAAATATTATGTACCACAAGGAATGCTCAAAAATTTGTGGTTAGTCAAACAGATTTTTTCATACTGATGTCACAACAATCAGAGAAGTATTTGCGATTCAAGCTTTATGCTCACGACAGCTAAAAGCATGTGTAATTCATTTACTTCCAGTACCGGTACATGGCTTGTTTAGTGTTTTTATTACAACACAGAACAACATAAAACAAGTACTTAGTACCTCAATTAGTTTTTATATTTTAATCAACCAGAATCAACCCTTTACTGTTTAGTACTGTTTTTTATTACAACACAGAAAATTTGTTTATTTTAAGAGAGAAGTTGGTAATCATAATTTTTTGACCTTACTGGTCATTACACTGTTGGGAGATAAATGTTAAAATTTTTGGAGGTCATTAAGCAGATAAATAACATAATAATAATATCATTTCATAGTTTTCAGTTATTGGGAGATATGAATTCTTTATGATCAGTGATAAATTAAACAGTCAGCTTGTTGAAGGATTTTCGTTACTTGATTGCTATGATTATTCTTGCATTCTTATTCACTCATCAATATGAAGTTTATCAGACTGCATTCTACTGATCACTTTTAGGATAGAAAAACAATGCAAAGCAAAAATCCAAGATTATTTAGGAATGATTTTAATTTTTTAAATTTTGTGATAATGAAGGCTGATGCATCTAAGTTGTAACATCTAGTGAAACATCACAGTGAAACCTATACTTTTACTCACTCATTCAATCATGTGTACCCTGGGCAGGCTCAAGCAAAAGGTTTAAGTGTTCGCCCATTAGGACCCAAGGAGGCCACTGAAAACAAACGTGAATTCACAGAAGAGCAACTCAAGGAGGGAAAGAATGTCATTGGAATTCAAATGGGAACCAACAAACTTGCCTCGCAAGCTGGAGAGCATTTTGGCCGCCCTAGGCAGGTTGCTGGGCATGATGCCTATAATTAAGATTCTGGCAGAAACTTTACTGAAAGGACAGTCATGGCTGGCTTTGAAACTTTTTATTTTGGTTGAGTAAATTTAACTATTCTGTGGAGATAAGAGATAAAGATAAAAGACTACAAATTATTGTTTACTTTCAATGAAACTAGATTGATCTTGTTATATGTTACATTGCTTTCTTACATTTTAAACTTTATCTAAGTTGTTTTAATTCAAAGTTAGAATAAGTAAAATGTAACTGATGTGTTTTTCAAATTAGGTAAACTCAATGTTAACTGATTATTACAACTGCATGATTATTGTTTATCATTCTTACAATCCAGCTACAGTTCTGTCTAGATTTTATTAGCAGTCATTTTATAGAAGATTTTTATTGTTTTGATTCTGAAATGTAATATCTTATGTGGCTTTCAAAAGTGTTGGCAAGTGACATTTTATTGTTAATGGTAGTCTTAAACCCAACCTTTTAACTCCCAGAAGTGACTTTCATAAAACTTCTCTACATAATATCCAGACATTATCTAGCAAACAGCTGACAAGAGTTCTCAAACTTATCAGGTAGAGGTTTTTTATCTTGATATAAAACCAAATTCTTATAACTGATTTACAGGGAAATTTGTAGCAACCACAGGGGAGAATTAACAATGAGATCCTAGGTAATTAAGGATAACTTTTGCCATTTGGTGAAAGTTAAAATTTTTTACCCACCTTACATTGTTCAATTTTTATTTTAAATTTGTACTTTGGTCAAAGGTCTTGAAATTCTTTTGAACAGATCTTTTTATACACAGATTTCTTTTCTTCCTGAAAATACCAGATGCTATGTAAAATGAGTTAGGGAATTTGAGAAATTAATAATAGTTTGTCTTTCAAGTTTTGTGATACACTGAGTAGACATGCAATGTTAAAAGAATAAAGATATTAAAAAACACTAATGGTAAAATTGCTAATCCTGTAAATCCCATGAGTGATCAAGACAAAATTACTCCTGACAATATCAACAGTATATCAGGTAGGCAAGTGATGAGAATAGAGAAAAATATCAAGCAGGAGATTATAAGTTGATCCAATACAAACTTCTCAGAACTAACCTTTAAAGAATTATGTGAGAGACATTAAGGAGAATTACTAGTGAGATCTTGGGGGTGAACTGGTTAAATGCAAGGGCACCATATTTTGGATCAGGAGAGTAAGATCGGATAAGGTAGTGGGTTGATAATTTTAATAACAAGGGTACTGGTATTTAAAATTTGCTGATACGGTTGGCTGTTAAGAAAAGGCCATTGCCAAATTCAAAGGAGGTCATGATAAATTTAGCTGTTGTACCCAACCAAGAATAGTTAGGATACTTGTCAAAACAAACCAAGTACATGTACTGTTAAATTTTCAGAGATTAATTTAGTATAAGGTTAAATAAAATGCTTTTGTACATCAATTTTTCGTGGGTCGATCTAGTTAGGGTATCAACTCCACTAGAATCACTTGTCTAATTCTACACTCAGTTATAAAAGCAGCTCATGAATCACCTATTCCACCAATTTTTGGTAAGTTCATTTTTTATATTCATTTCAACAGGGTTAGCTTGCTATTTTGTTTAATTTTATTTAAGTGTATATGCTCTATGACTTAACAAAAGAAGACCCTCAAAACTTGTAAAGGGCTGGGGTGGTTAAACTGAAAACATGGTACAGAAATTGAGAATCAAAGACTTGTGTAGAGGTTATGGCAAGAGGTATTCAAACATTAAACCATGCATAGGTTGATCACATAAATGAATTATAGGGAATTTATCATGGAATGGATAATTCCAGTAAATTAAGGGATGTTTGGAATTGGGTAGTTAATAACAGCAGTTGGAAGACTTGTGCAGGTTGTTGAAAAGAAATTGTTGTTTTTCTTGGCTGAATTTTTTGTAATACTACCTATATACTTCCTTGTCACATTCATGTGATCACAACTGACAATTGTACTTTATGTTGGATTTCTGAACAGCTTTTTGATATCATAGCAAATTTATAATCTGCTCATTTGTATTTTATCTCCTTAGGCTGGAGTGAAGGGCTTAACAGTACCTTGTCTGGGCCCAAAAGAGGCTCAAGCTAATGTGCAGAAATTTACAGAGGAGCAGCTCAAGCAGGGCCAGAATGTTATTGGCCTCCAGATGGGATCCAATAAAGGTGCCTCGCAGTCAGGTGACCATTATGGTCATGCATGGCAGATTGCTGGTGACACAGCGTATAATTAGTGAGCCATGGAACCCAAGAAAGTGTACAAAGCAGTGACAGAAATCAATCTTGGACTCCTCGTTTGTTGGTAGAATATTCAATAACAGTAGGTAATAGGTAATCTTTGACGTATAAAGGACAGAATATGGACATGATGTATCTCAAGTTACCACTTCCTGTTCTGACTGAGAACAAATATCTAATTAGCTTCAAGAACCTCACCAAGTTTCATATAACTTCCAAGTATGTTGGCAAATATTCAAGAAAGATTATTGGTTTGTCAAGTCAGCTTTATAGAACTTACAAGGCAAGTTTGATTCCTGCCCTCTGATCAGTGTAGTGCTATGAAAATTCTCTCTTCTACAAGTGCATTCATGATCTCTTTAGGAGAGGACCTGCTGTGCTCTGAAATCAAGCCAGAACTTTCTAGAGATTTAAATTTAGTACAACTACTCAGATGCTTATAGAGCACACTGATAACAATAACATAATTTGCTCTAATCACCCTACCTGAGTTACCACAGTATAGAAGCTCTCTATTGGTTAATTGCTGATGCAAAAATCTGGGTAGAGTGGTGATGAATCACATCAATTATTCAAAGAAAATTAAGAAAAATAACTGACAACAATTATGTAAAGGATTCTTGAGGAATCATTTCTAACATCAGTATTTTTTCGCTCTGTTCATGTGGGTTGGTGTCTTCCTATTTGGCTAGAATTCTTGAAACAATTTGCATTGTAGAGGAAATTTTTGAATTGCGTAGCAATCTATGGTGGTTTTAAGGTAGGAATTTATGGTTTTAAGGTAGGAATTTAAAGAATTTTTTTCCCCTAATATGGTCATGTCTGAAATTATGGGAATTTTTATCTTGTAGGATTACATCTTAATGGTAATTATTACCAAGTGGATGTAACAAACTAACACACCCTCACCAGTGCAGGAAAAAAAATAAAGGTTCGTGAAAAAATGGCTTTGTTGGTTCAATGAATTTTCATGTGACTGTCATCACTTTCAGCAATTTGCTTATTGATCAACACACCTCTGAAGGTCCATAAATTAAATCGTTATTGCTGAGTTTAGTTCGGCTATTTCGGTTTATTTGTTATACCTATTTTTGGAGGAAGTCTTGGAATTGAAGCGATCTGTTGAGTTCCCTTTCTAGATCCTTCCTTCACATTTAAGAATATCTAACGGAAATGTCTGAAATGTATGGCACGATGATTGAGGCGGAGCAGCATAGTCTGATGACGTAACGGCGTAATTTGGGAGTCAATTTACGCTTTCGCCTAATATAAAGCCACCAGCTTGATCTCAGAGTCTAATTCTGCCAAGCGTTTAACTTAACTTCTTCGTCAGACGTTGCCTGTTAAGGAACTCACCAGAATGGCTTCTCGACCTAAAGGATTTGGTATGACGGCTGAACTGGCGCGAAAGGTAAATGCTGGAAACTATTGAACTGATCGATGCTCATTTTGCTCAGGCGTAGTTCCATTTTACAATTTTGGTTTCGACTCTCCTATTTTGAAGGATGCTAATCCTTTGTAATGTCAAATTTCCCTTTTTCGAAGATAGTTTCTCTCCAGCGAGACATAGAAGTGATGGTTGTTGAATTTCGGCGAAAACCTCCTTGGTTCAGCTGTTGTCTGCGGTTTATTGCTCAATTAAATAGTTCAGAGGTTTGGGCGCGGTGATGGCGAGCTTGCGGACGTTCACTTCAAGTTGTATTTTTGCATTTATGGTTGGATCCGTTGTGGATTCGTAGATAAAAACTATCTTGATAGCGTTTAATTTTTTCCAAGGGAAGCTTTAACGTAAATGAAGTCGCGCAACGTGGTCGTAATTTTGTTACCGTCCCATGTTGATGCATTATAAATAAGCGGTGGGTGACCATTGCATCGTCATGTTTGGCTTTGTGAGAAAAGGCATTGCTGATTGATTACTGAATTAATGTTTCACTAACTTCTTCGAACTTGCTCTATTGCTTTGAAAAATTCGAAATATTGATTGCAAACAGCCTTAACCTGGACGATAGTTCCATTCTGTCTTCGCACCCTTGTGGATAAAATTTCAATACGCGGATTTTTTCTCCTGTTGATGTTTACCCTCTTAGCTTAATTGTCAAAAAAAAATGTAAGACAAAGTAAAGCGGAATTTCTTGACTGATGCAGAAACTCTCTTTAACGTACCCGATTAGTGTATCTATTCTTGCGTGCCTGAAGCAACTTTGGTTTATCTCGAACGGAATTCGACATAGTAAATTTATACGATAATGGTTTAACAGCTGTCACGACTCGTGTCACACAATTATTTCATTTGTTAGTTTATGCCTCGTAAAATCGATGAAGCAGTGAATAACTTCATCGTTAACTGTACCGCCCCATCTTCCAAAATCGACTGCTTTCAGGGGCTTAATTGAGAAAAGCATCTTGTATCCGAAAAATGAAAGAAAAATTGAATAGACAATTGTGGTTCCACAAGTCCTTCATGCATGCCAAGTTGCGTGACGCAAACTTGTGATAAAAACCAATGGTAAAAGTCGCCTTTGACTCATACATCGCTAAACATTTGCATACTAATCTTGTCTACAAACTTGACGTTATCTCCTCTCGGCGCATGATTTACGTTAAAAGAAACATATTGAAAGGCCATCCAGTTGTCCTAATCAACTATGAACAGTGATTGGCTAGTTGAAGTTTTCATTTGGGAAATGAAAACAGTACGCTTTTAAGAAAGTGAAAAAAAAACACAATGTGGCGTTTCACAACACAATTACAATCGATTAGTGGGCCGCTATAGTGTAATTGAAAGTCCATTTGATTCAAAGATGTGCTTGCTAGCCTATAATAAGGGCAAAGTGTCAGTGAGGGAAACGAGAATTGCAATTCACCCTTTGCCCTGTATTTCTTTCTTTCTTAGTTTTTGAGAATATGATTTCATGTCAACACCTACTTGATTGGGCTGTTTGTTCTGATGGAACGTTTGCTGCATAGAGGGCTTTGCAACTGATTATTGTTAAACGAAAAATCAAGGTAATAACGGCGGAAAATCAGAAGCAACGAAAAAATTACCAGGAGCAAATCAGTACTAAGTTAAAACAAGCAAACTCTCCAAAGTGCGGGAATACGCGAACGACCAAGTCACGATTGGTTATAGTTTTGCATCTAATTGGTTGAGAAGGCATCAATAGTTTTCTGGACCAATAAATGAGCGCGGTAAAGCGAACCCAGTGTAATTTCGGATTATTTTCATAGCACTTAGGGGTAAGGAGTCAAGTACATCTTCAGGGTTCTTGATTATCGGTAAGAATCTGACCAAGAGATGGTTTTAAATGAATGGGAAGGTCAAGAGCTAGGAAGAGTATTTAAAGAAAGTAAGGGCATTGGATATGCTAGAATTTGGATTTAATTTGCATAAGACACACTTACAATAAAGCCATAATAAATAATACTGAGATTTGACCTTGACACATCAAACAGCGTGAATGGTTCTCTTTCTGCGGCTTATTTTGTCGCCAATCGGCATTTTGGCTTAGTATGTTCACCAAGGGGTTTCCGCAGTAAGACGCACAGTTCACGTAAAGTAATAACTCTACCAATATGAAATAGATAGTTATGGATGCTTAAATTCTTTGGGTCAGAATATCCGAACCGCCCTATAGTGCATGTTGAACCTAAAAATAGGTTGCAGTACACCCTTCCTTTCTTTTTTTCGCCTTCTGAATGGACTTCGTAGTCCATTGATGATCGTGTTTGAACCGGTTAGGAAGACTTAGTGTAGAGAGGGTGCATTTTCTTGTTTTATTGGATAAGTATTGGAAAATACGGCCGACGAATTTCTTTAAAGGTTTTGTTCATCAAATAGTAGGTTCTGCAGTAGCATTTTTCGAAGAAAGCGTACCTGGCGCGTGCATGAAAATTCATCGGGAAGTTTCATGGTGATCTAGTCTTACAACAAGTGTGACCTTATAACAGTGACCCCGTCGCTGTATTTTCAACCGCTAATCAAAATTTAGCCAGCAATTCTATGATTCTATCTGTAGTAAAAATAAACCTCGATGTACCCCTGTAAGTGATGAGCGAGTTGGCTTTTAGCGCGAGGAAATTGGAATATTAGCGAAAAATTACTATCGTTCTAAACCTCATCACACTTAAGGCACTTGACATTGCTCATACTAGTGGTATGATGAATGCGTGTTAAATGTGAACCTCGTAATGGTCCTGCTCACCGTAGAATCTCTGTGGCTTAGAGGTAGAGCAGCGAGCGCGAAATATGAGGGTCTGAGGCTCGATTCTTCGTGAGGACGTAGACTTTTCTTTGCCTTAACCTCCGGGCAAGATGAAAAAACATCTTTCTCTATTTCTACACCGAGTTAAAAAAATTACCAACTTTCGTGTTCTAACTTCACAATCTTTTTTATTGCAGAAAGACGCAAAATATGATCCAGAACTGGAAGCTCAAATAAGAACCTGGATCAATGCAGTTCTTGGTGGAGAAGTTCTTAAACCAGAGCCTGATCAAAAAGATTTCCATGAATCATTGAAGAGTGGGGATATTCTTGTCGAGTATGTTTGAAAGGATCCTATTCATTTCAGTTTTTAGCAGTTGTGCTCTTCTCTGATTTCCAAAATGTCTTTTTCATTCGCAATGGATTATTCGTTGTAGGCCCTTCGAGAAGTTGAACGCGGGAAGTGGTTAATTCTCAGAGATTGATCGGAAAAAAAAGCGCTGCACACCGTCTTTTGGTGGTTTTTCGCTGAAAAGTGAAACCAGCTGATGAAAGTGTACCATTTTAAGAAGTGAAGTAGTTTATATTTGGTAACAGCCCCAATGGACAGTCCATTGCGAGACAATCAACGGAAAATTTGTTTTAATCGCTTTTTCTTTTTTTATATATCATTTGCAGTCTGGCAAACGCGCTTGGTGGAAAAATAAAGAAGAATCCAAGCAAGATGGCTTTCAAAATGGTAAGTTTGTGAGAAAGTGAGAATTAAATTTCTCCGTCTGGGCAGGTTCTTTTTTGAGCATTTCACGAGGAGAAACTTGCAAATCTGAGCGCCTTTTGTTCTACACACAAGAAACTCTGGTCGTGAAAAGTAGAATTGTATCGTGCTATATTATTTATGTGAAACTCGTCCAGATTTAACGGGAAGACGGTGGTTTGCCTCAGTTTAAGGGGAGGCTAGGAATCTACCTCACTGACTGTATATGCTTTCCTTTGTAGATGGAGAAAATTGGACTATTTCTGACTTTCTGTGATGAACTAGGAGTTCCTAAAAGTGATATATTCCAGACTGTGGACTTGTATGAAGGACAGAATATTCCTCAAGTATGTCATCTCAATTGTGAGGTTTTATGTGGAACATGGTTTTAAGTTACGTTCTGTGCACTTAATAAGTGTGCTGTGTTCTCATTACTTGCCCGTGTGATAAGTGAGCAATTAACAATTTGTAACTGTATAAATGTTTGCTTATTTTTTTTTTTCATTAGGTCATCAGTGGACTGCATGCTTTTGCGCGGAAGGTAGGCCTAGAATACCTTTATTATTATTATCATAATTATTAGTAATGGTAATAGGAGTGAGTGGAGTCCAATTCGGTCTGTAATCGTGCGAGTGGTAGCAACATCGGACGAGTGCGAAGCAGTCTCCTTTTCTAAGTTCAAAATTAATGAAGAAGAAACATGACGATGATAAATCTTTTTTATGTAGTATGTAAAAAGACCAGTGTTAGCTAATAAGGCATGTAGGATTTGGATTTCAAAAAAAAGTTTAAGCTCTGATTATCACCAACTACAGTATTATTGTTATTATTACTATTATTATTTTTATTATGATCATTATGATCATCATAGTCACCAACAGTTCCTTACTTGCATTTTTCTCTAATGTAAAATTACTCAGGCTCACTCGACAGGAAAACCAGTCCCTGCGTTAGGACCCAAAGAAGCGACAGCAAACAAGCGCGAATTCACAGAGGAGCAACTCAAGGAAGGACAGAATGTGATCGGGCTCCAGATGGGTAGCAACAAAGGTGCCTCGCAGTCGGGAGACCATTTTGGCCGTCCCAGACAGGTGGCCGGGGCAAATGTCTACAAATGAGGTCCACAACTTGTGTGTGTTCTTCAGAACATAAATTTGTCGTGGTTCATGACAAGGTTGTAATTTGTGGGAAGAACAAGATTCGGTATTTCGTGCATAAGATATATGTAGTATATTTATACATTGATTCTGTAATCGTTTCCACTTTGATCATTTGATACTCCGGGTACTTAATTGTTGGCGTTGAAGAACTTTCTAGAATGATTTAGTTTTGGACAAATAAATTGCTTGGATTTGTCAGTGTTTTAAATTATTTTCTCCTGTTTTTGCAGGGGTTATCGAGTAACCTTTCGTAGTATGAAAAACGTGACAGGGAATTAAAATCAATGTTTTCTAAGATATGAAAAGAATAAAGAAAATCTTGTTCAAAATTTTTAACGAGATATACGAGTGCAATCTGTGCAAGCTTTCTCATCCTCAGCCCTTTACACCTTAACATCAATATGCATATTCTCCATACTGTTCTCTGTACTTTTACTGACGTGCTGACAAGGAGAATTTGTTTAACAATTGGAATCTGCTTTTAGTTGGTGATCATTTCCTTTATTCTCATGACCTTTATGTGCGATTTGAGGGTGATACTGTGAGGAGAAGTAAGATGTTGGTCACTCTTAGGGGGTCATAGGGTCGACCAACTTTTTTTTTTTTTTTTTACATAAAACTGTAGAGAAGACCGTTCAGAGGAGGGGGTTGAATAACTTTATGCACAAACTTTTCCCGCTCTATGTATGTTTTTCAGTCGAGTGGACGGCCTTAAATGCTTCGGATTGATGTCGGTATCTGGGCAACTGCCCACCTACCCCTCCCCTAACCCAACAACAGTCAATTGATAGCAACTTAGGGTTAATGTTGGGTTAAGGGAGGGGTAGGTGGGCAGTTGCCTAGATACTGATATTGGTCCAATGCTTCCTGGCACGTCGAGAAGAGATAGTGATAGCAAAATGTTCAGCGGACGGAGCGCGCTTTTGTGTGCACCCAATTACAACTAAGCTTATGCTTGCGTGCAAGGATGATGATCACGTCAGAAAATATATATAGTATTAAGTGGAACCAAAACATTTCATAAAGTGTTCCCAACAAATTTTAAACTTCTTAGATGGCGGGAATGATAATTATACTTTTTTTCTACCGGGTCATAAGCACTCTGGTCCCGTAGACCCATCGTTTCTTTTAGCGGGAGAGGTTTACGCTCAAGGATCGAGGACTAGCATGTAAATACTTTGACTTCCAACGGTTAAACAAATTCTAAAATTCTTCAAAACATTCCCAAACATTTATTTGGTTCTCTTGGCACAGACGAACCAATCATTTGGCGGCGAAAGTAAAGGCATTTGACTGAATTCTCTCGAGTTAACCTTGTGACCCAAGGTGAAGGTGATCCGCAAACCAAAATGACGTATATTCAGTCAAACTAGAGACCCGAAAGTGATTTTATTGTTCGGTCTTCCTTGAATTCGTTTTAAAATTCGCTCCAGGAAAGCAAAACTTTGCATATGATTTGTCTTGAAATACTTTGAGAGGTGAAAAGTGGTGATAAAAGTAGCAAAAGGTGAACAGCATTCGGTAAATTTTTCTTTGTTAGCGAAAACATCGAAGATTGAGGGGTGCCGCGTTTACGCATCTTTGAGACCATTCAATATTCATCGCCTGGGGAGGGGGGTCGGGAGATTTTGAGGGTCACACGGGGCTAAAGAAAGTAAACTGCCAAGTAACAGCCAATTAGAGGGGATCATAAGAATATTATAGAGCATTATGGGGGAATCAGGCAATTTTATCGTGACAGAACAAAAATCCTCCGACCCCACCCCCCGGCGATAAATAACAAATATCCTCCAACCCCACCCCCCGGCGATAAATAACAAAAAATCCTCTGACCCCACTCCCCGGCTATGAATAATTATTGGTCCCTGATAGCTGGCCCTGGGTTCGTCTTGAATTATCAACCCTCTTATTCGATCACGATTTCTTTGCCTTTATCAAGAATTTTCTGAAAGTCTTTCTCAGTTTCTTGTGTGTGTTTTTCTTCTATATGATCCAGTAGAGCATCAATCCAAACCCGGGCTTTGTGTTCAAGCTCTGCCTCACTTTCTTCCTAAAAGATAATGATGATTAACATGTCTTGGTCGGTGAGTGGTGTGGCATACATCGTAAACACAGTGGTTAAACATGGGGCATGCGCAAGGGGGATCAATTTTGGCCGGCCGCGCGCCAGTTTCCCGCGCGAAATTTCCAAGCCATTACAACGTTGGCACATACACAAACGTTTGACCGCTGTGTTACATTGTAGGAAGGCAGTGGGGTCCAAAATATTCCCGCCCGAGACCAGACCTGCCCATAATGTTTTCGAAATATCTCCCAGCAACATGTTCCCACTACATGACCTTCATTAGTCTCTCCATTTCATTCTCTTGGAATTATTCACAACCCAGATATCATTTCGTTGGATCTGTTGTATTCTTATGTAAAATTCGAATTCAATAACTTTTCGAGATATATACCTTTTTTGATTTTTTGTCGTTTGTCGAAGATGCAAGCACCAGAGAAAAAGCCATAAGGAGAACTGTCGCTGAAATTGGGTGGAAAACCTAAAACAAAAGTGTTACAGGAAGATTTTACTCAGAAAACCCTAAAGAGTGACCATGTTTCTTAATTATGCCTTAATGTAATACATGCATTTGACGCGGAGATCGGAGATAGGAGATCGTTTTCCCCCTACCCCTCCCTCCACGAATCGTAATTGGCGGGTGTTTCTATTCATTAAGGACTCAATTCAGACAAAACAGTAAAAGGATAGGACACTCGATTAACATTTGCTTTCCTTTCGAAAATGTCAAAAAGACTTCGTTGAAAAATAAATATCGCTATCCCTTTGTCAGGCATTGCGGCGCATTTTGCGGGCTAAAATGTATTTTGGCCCGCTCGCACCCTCACGTGGTTGTTCAGACTGTTTTGTTATCATTTCCGTTAGTATTTATTTACCCAATACCCCTCAAAGTGATAATGATAATAATAATAATAATAATAATAATAATAATAATAAAAATAATGCAATAACATTTCAATTTGTAACTTATGAATTGAGAAAAGACAGACGGTCTTAACATTATCTTATTTATGGCTAAAAAAAATTTTAAAACAGGTACTTCTATTGAGATTGTTGGCCTCGAATCACTGCTAAGTTGCCTCAAACAAGAAACCCGCCGCTTTTTACGTTGTATTGTTCTCTTCAAAGTAGGAATTAAAATCAGCTATTACACGCCAAAGGAACCATGTGTTTCTCCTTCATAAAGTTAATTTTGACGCTTTGTTGACAAAACAAATTTACGTCTCCTAATAAGATTTCTTTGTTAGATTATAACCTGCCAGTGTAATCCCGGTATTGATTTCAACAAGTCTATAATGTTGAAATAACTCATCCGTGAAAAATTATTTGTTTCTTTGAAACAACCTAGTGTTTGTACCTTTCTTTTCGTCTCAGATGTCATTTTGATCAGCTGTTTCTGGCCAGCGTCGAGAGATAAATAGAACACGAATTGGTCCGCTGGTACTCTTCTAACGAAGCCCGCTGCACATGTGCATGTAATGGGATGGTTACCAGTAGATGATGAACTAATGCGCTTATAGCCGGTGCTCTGGAGGGACAGGTGCAAGCCGTGCTAAAGCTAGAACTTTTTTTTAGACTCTTTTTTTAGGGTTTTATTTCTGTGATCACTTGGCTACAGTTTAGCTTTAGGGATCAGTTCCGCACCAATCATCCGCAAGTAAATCACGATATTTACAAATGTTATTTGCATTGAAAATATTGATGTCTTGACATAACGTGCACCACCGGGGCTGTAAGCCCACGCCTAACCTCCTCATCGACATAACTTGTTGAAATGATGTATTTGGACTGAATTCCATATTCTGAAGACCAGCCTGCCAAGAAATGTATTGGCTATCGGGCACGAGAAAAGGGCTTCAAAAAAGGTGCATGGCATTGCTTTGTAAGGATACAACTTTCTACATGCTCAAAAATTTAAAAATAAGCGAGAAAGAGTTTCCCAGCTATGGGCATGTATGCATGGCAGTTTCAAAATGTACTCCTAGCACTTTCTATGGAATGAAATTAACTCATATATTCTGCGTGATACCTTTTAATACTAAGTACGATCGATTCTTAAAGAATCTAGCCTTTTAATGTCCATATAAGGTTGATGACACAACCAGCCCACGGTCATGTCTTGGGATATAAACTAAAAAAAAAATTTGGAAAAAATGCATCCGAGTAAAAAGATTAATATTATGTGTCGAATAAGTTATTTCGATAAACCAACTACTCAGACATTATTAACTAGTTACAAGGAAGATGTAGTGAACAGATTTGAACAGAAGAAGCTTTCTCGAATCCTATTGTCGTAAACAGCTGTAGCGAAACGAAACGAGTTATCAATTAATTAAAAAGTCATGTACAGAATTAATTCTTTGCATATCTGTGTTGTGTGTCCGGCTGTTGAAAGCTGAACGATAACTCGTGGCAAAACGCGTGTAAAAATAGCGTCTCTATAGGTACACGTAAGACATGGCAGAGGGGAAAGGAAGATCTTACGGCTTTTCAGCAGAAGTCCAAAGGAAGGTAAAAGTTATATTTTATATAGTAACATATTACAGATCTGGTATTTGTTTTCATTGTTTTGTGACAGTGGATTCGAATTCAATCCGATCCGCTAGTGAACTGACTAGTTCTCGTTGTACTGTTCAAAAAAATGAAGTTAGATGTTAAATCAAAAAAGCTTACCTGGAACCCTACCTCGTAAAGACGCTTTCATCCAATTTCTTCTTACCTTGAAGAACTCAGTCTTTCCCATGCCAAATATGATCTCTCTTTGGAGCTACCGTCCACTAATACATTACCTCACCAGTTCTCCTCCTCATTCTCCAAAACAAAGTGATATTAGGGAGTTCCGAATGTCGCAAAACCGCGAAAAAATACCTGAAAAAAAGGAAAACCACCGGGCGAAAAGTTTATAAAACAATAACACGTCAAAACGTTTCATACTCATGCATGATTTACACACAGATGGAGACATCACAAATTACATTCTTGCATATACTGGAGATCAAGTCGATTTACTGTCGATTATCTCTGTCTGTTCGTTCTTACATATTGATTTCAAGTCACTGATGAAATTCCCACCCCTTGCTTAAAATCCTATTTGGCATATTTTTAAATCTATGCCTCTAACATCAGCTCAAAATCTAGTTTTGAAGACAACGAGAAAGTTAATTCAGGAATTACTGCACAAGGGCCCTCTAAACGTGAAACCGCAACAGTGCAAATAGTTTCATTTTACCTTACATTTATATTTTGATGGCACAAATAAAAATTACCACAGGATTTGAAATTACTACGATACGGTAATGCAGGATTTTTTTAAAATCGAAAAATGAGTAACACCGTAACACTGGAAAATCCAGATGTACGCCATGACTTATCAAAACTTTATTATGCATTTCGAACTGCGATACAGAAGTAGACTACTGTCAGATTACATGCTGTGTAATTAACAAGCTTTCTTTTAATTAACTGATCACAACTAAATTGATTTTCAGTAATTAAGCTTTTCATCATTCCATCACCTTTTCATTACTAACTTTTTTCCTTTAGTATTTCAGTGTCATGAAGATTTGGGAATTCGAAAATAAGCCTAGAAATTATTTTGTTGTTTTAATGTTTTTTTTTACCAGCATTTTATAAAAAAATTGATTGATTTAAAATATCTTGCTGTGGGAAAATGTATAGAATTGTTTAAAAACGTTTTCGAACCATACCCTCTGACGGTATATTTAGTTGCGCGCAGCTTATTGGAGCCAGGGTATCTGGTGGTGGATTTGATTAAACTAAATAATGTGAATAAAGGGGGTAAGTTTCTAAAGAAACTGTGGTGCTGCGTCGGTAGGAGGGTCAGAGCAATTCGAAGGGCTGAAGCTCGAAACTTCAGTTTTGAAACTCTTTACGGCGGCCAATTTACGTTATCAACTCAGTTTATAACACTTAATTACCCTAAATAACCTATGGTTTGGTCATGGAAACAAACTTCTGTTCCTCAACGGAATTTTATATTGTTCAGGTTATCTTCCTCTATATCACATACCAATAACGCCACACTTAAAATGGTCACTTTCCAGCTTGATGCAAAGTATGACAAGAGCGTGGAGTTGGACGCGAGGAACTGGATCGAGGACGTTGTTGAGGAACCAGTAGAGTGGGGAGAATGCGATGACCCTCCCGGAAGTTCGTTTGCAGACGGTTTGAAGAGTGGCGAAGTGCTTTGCAAGTATGTTTGTATAATAAAAAGTGATCTGTCGTGAAAAGGTGTCGCATGCGTCACGAATGAAACAATGAATGGTCTTTTTCGAATTACAGCAGTACATAACTGTCTATCCAGTAACCCGAGTGAGATCTGGGTACCGAAAGTGAATTCAACCTAAGATTTCAAATACTTCTTTTTATTTTAGCTTTAAGAAATTTGCGGGGATGGGGGGGGGGGGGTGGGGGTGGGGGATGGGGATACTTCAACTAATTAACGACGTTTCAGCACAGATATTTGTGATAGAAGAGATAATTATTAATAAATTATTAAAAGCAGAGGAACTTTTTTTTAGTAGCCCTCTCTTAAGGAGAAACCAACCTCGCTCTAAGAGAAGGGTACAGAAGGGTGCCGGTAGCAGTGATGGGCTCCTGCCGGTAGTAATGTCATAGTAATACTAACTTTCCTTGACACAGACTCGCCAACAAACTTCAACCTGGAGCAATAAAAATGAACAACACTTCAAAAGTCTCAAATCCTGCAATGAGGGCGACCAAAGAGGTAAGAATTGCATTATTGTACAGCTGGAGTTGGACTCACTTTTAGAGAAGCTTTCCTCTTGAACCTCAAGATATGGGGCTATTAAACTTCGTTACCTTGCTATGGAGCAGTGATACTCCTTGTAGCTTCATGTAACTTGGAAACCGGGATAACTGGTTGGGCCACTCGGCTCGAGTACAAAATTTGTCTCTTTTGTTTCTAACCCAAGAGGAGAATCAACACCATCATTAGAGTAGTCACGAGTACCATCTGTATTCGCGCATGATAAATGTTACAGATACAGACACTCCATTTTTGGGGACGGGGCGAAAAGGCGGAGTGACTGTGAGGTAAATCGCGGGAGGGGCGGGAGATTAAGTTGACCGAAGAATCGCATGATCCAGCGCTCGCCCCCTTTTCGCATAGACTGACTCCTTGCATGTGTTATCTTTCGACAGAAAGAAAATATTGAGAAGTTTTTATCCTTCTGTGAACAATATGGCGTTAAGGACCATTTTTCGACCCCATATCTGTACCAGAAACAGAACGTTATGGCGGTAAGAACGTATTGAGCACAAAATTCGTCAAAATTCGGAGCCCTTTTAATTAAAGGGCAATGAATGATGAATTCTTTTTTTTCTTCTCTTTAAAAACACAAACATTTTGTCATTCGTAATTAATTTTCAACATATTCTTTGTAAACCGGCCGTATTTTCTTTAGTGAAAGCTGGCCATAAATCTTTTCTAATGTATTATAGAAAACAAACAGACTGACACACTGATAGTCTAAGGGGCGGCTTAGATGCTGCTGAAAGACACACAGATCAACAAACAGAAGGAGAAACTGACCTACAACCAAAAGTTGTCTCCTCTCTCGAGGGAGATTGCATTTGTCACGTTGACATGACTGTTTTTTTTTCTTTTTAAGGTCGTTAACACAATATGCCAGTTGGGAAGTATGGTGAGTCTCCCTGTCTACTAACACAGCGATTACATAGCTTCAAATTCTACCCCTTTTTTGCTAAAGAAAACAAAAACAATAACGGACAACAAAAAAAGGAAAACAATTTTTTTGAGTATTTTTTTATTTTTATTGTTCTTTTATGCTTTTCCATATTATTAATTTTGGGAACACTGTGCAGGCCCAAAGTAAAGGTTATGGCGGCCCCGCCCTTGGACCTAAGATAGCAGAGAAAAATGAAAGAGGTTTTACTGAGGAGCAGGTCAAAGCCGGCCGGGAGGGGCACATCGGTCTTCAAGCTGGTACCAACAAATTGGCCTCGCAGAGTGGGCAAAATTTCGGCCTTGGCAGGCAAATTGCTGGAATGGGATCTGAGGGAACATACGACAAGTAAAACTTTCATATGCCGTTTTCGAAGAAGGTCAAGTTTTTTTTCCTTTCGATATTTGACAAGAAGTTGCATTGCTTTTTAACATTTCGCTAAGAGTAATTACAAGCCATTTAGTTCAATTGAATTAGCAGTTTTTTCCTACCAAATGCTGTGTGAAGAAATGTTTTGGCAATAAAAGTTAATACATACATTGAAAGCCTTGATCTGATCTTATTTAATGCACCACCGTTACTGTTAATTGTTCAAAAAACTTCCGGCAAAGATTTATGATTATCCAACTTGTAATTTTCAGGTAACAAGCAAGGTAATCTCACTTAATTTCATTTTAAATAGAGTGGTTTTTGATTTTCAGTCCAAATTAATCCAAAATCTTCTCGGCAGTTTTCGGCGTTGTGTAACTGATTTGCTCGCGACACCCAATTCAGCATTACTGAAACCAAATACTCCTGGATTACCGACATTTTCCCGCGCTCGGCGCCAGTTACGTAATTCCAATCGTGCTCTTATTAGCTCGCTCCTCGTGGCTTTTCCTTTGATTGATAGCGGCTGATGTCACTTTAGTGTTGGTTTATAAACCACAGCTTATTTGAAAGCGCTTTCAGGCTTTGAAATTATCTTTTCCTACTCTCGCTATTAAAAACATTAAAGAAACAAAATTTGAGTGAATTTGTGCTTTACAAATATAGAGTTGAATACACTCCGAAAAGCTGGCCATCTGGTATTTTTATTATTATTATTTTTTTTATAATTTTTTTTAACTTAACCATATGTCTGTCTAGTAATCGTATCTCCCACATACTGCATGGCATCTGGGTGGAGGGGCAGGGGGGGAGGGGGAAGCCTGGAAAAATTGCTTATATACCACGTTGAGAGTTTCTAAAACTGACGTTTCAATATGGAAAATGACTGCAAAAGACCACTGCACTTGTTGCCTACAGTTCGGCCTCTTAGCCATGCAACTATAGATCACTGGAAGAGTTATTGAAAGATTAGACAGGGAAACTGTGACCAGAGTCATTTCTCCTGGCATCGCATTTGTGGTTTGATGTTTCTGAGAAGATAAAATTTTCCTTTATGTTGTTAAAACGATGTAAAACTCAAAGATAGTAAAAGCTTTACCTTCCCTCCCCACATTGGCTGGGAGAACACGAACTTGAAAATCAAGCGTGGAAATCTCCCAGAGACCTCTTCTTTTGTTTGGTTTTGTTTCTCCCCGATATTTCTTCGTATCCCTTGACCAGAGGCATGAGGCTATGACTGTCTTCATGTGAAAGTCTACAGTTTCCGCGGAAGCCTGTGCACGTGGCGGTAAGTCGTACCTTAGACGGGCGTGACAGAGGCGTGACACATAACATTTGCGACCGACACAGTACTTTGCTTAATCGACAGATTATTTCGATCGAGTGCTCAAGCCTTGCCCAAGGATGGCTTTTCGACCGTTTCATCCATCCGCAGCTGACAGTAAAGGCAAGGTAAGTTCTGTAGCTGAAGTTTTAGGCTCTTTTCTCAAAGATGTAGTAGTGATTAGAATTCCTTGGGCTTGAATGAACCGCTTAATTGACTGTTTACGATGAAGCTCTTCAAGGAAGGGCACCAGCTACCATCTGGTTGTAGAATTATCGAACTCGTCAACTGATAGTAGACTAATTCTAGTTTATCTGCATTTTCTTTCCTATGTAAACACTGGGTTGTAGAATTTGAAGGTTAAAATGTGCGAGCGTGGAGCGCAGCATGGGAACGATACAAATATTGTTCCTTCTTTTCTCGATTGACTATGAAAATCATTTGTTTGGGTAAATTGTCTGAGGTCATTTTTTTGATCCGATTTGAATGTAACACCTTGGAATATCTTTATTGAGTTAATCACAACTGGCGATTTATCAAAATACGGACTTGAACAAATTTGGTAGTAAAACGGCTTCCCACAAGAGGCAAGTGAAATTGCAAGTCACGATGCAACATTTTCATCTGTTCCTTGCTTTCGGCTCTTAGTGGTAGATTTTACTCTCAATTGTGAAAGAAATTCTTGCCTCGAGAAGTAAACTGTGTTAGTAAATTGGATATCTTTTTCGGGATTGTTCCTCGGGATTTTTTTCGAGGTTTTCTAGACAACAATAGATCATTAGTACTTTCACGCGTGGTCTCGAATAAATTATTTAAGGATTAACATTTGCATTCACAATACAGAAATACTTTTTGTTCACCAACTAAAACAAAGCATAAGTCACGAAGGCAGGTTTGGATTATGTGTGATTTTTCGTTTACACGATAAACTTTAGAACCATAAAACTTAACAAAGAACTGCTTTCTTCTCTTGAAACCACATAAGACTAATCCGTCGCAAGAACGCTATACATATTGACTGAGGTAATTAAATATTGATCGAATTGCACAAACATGAGTTGACTTGAGTGACAGCAAGTAACTGGCACTCTTTTTCCCGCCATGAATTTGGGAAAGAACACCTGGCATATATCTTGCAGATCATATGGCCAGTATTGTGTTTTTCTCGCTTCGAGACTACCAGACTCCCCAGTAGAGTTGAATGGGTCAAAACATCCCGATAGGATGTCAGACTTAATCAGTCCACTTAATCAGCTTTGCACAGTGTGATTGCATGTATGGAAATGTCAAGATAGCCGACGCTGATTTTGGGTTTTCATTAATGCGTGTAACCACTGAACCAGCATACATGGAATTTCGACGGTGGTAAACTCGCTGAGTCTTGAAAAAGCAATTACTTTCGTGTTGCTGCTGGAAGGAAGAGAGCAGCGAAGTAAATAAATAAAAAGCAAAACAGGAAAACCGAAGAATAAGGTCAATGTCATCTGCGTTTTGATGGCCCGTGACGCACACCCCAGTCCTCACGGGTAAGGGAAAGCTTGTTGTTTTGCTTAGCTGTTGTTTCCACGTGGAGGGGGTGGGGGATACGGTGGGTGGGGGGATACGGTGGGTGGGGGGATACGCTGGGTGGGGGGGATACGGTGGGGGGGGGATACGGTGGGTGGGGGATACGCTGGGTGGGGGGGATACGGTGGGTGGGGCGTTATTGTAGGGAAATTTTAGAAACTTCCAAACCGAAACTGTACTTTTGTCAGTTGCGGTCCCTAGTCTTCTTTTCCGTCTTCAAGAGAGTCCGAGAGCGCAATCATTTCTTTAGCCAATTACACAAGATTTTGTATCAAAACTTTCACAACTTCCAAAGATACAGAACAATTACAAACCTCTCGAATACGGGCTTTTGAGAAACTCTACTATGGGACGAAATCAGTGAAATGGCCTTTCTGGATCAGAAAATATTGAAGTCTAACAAAGAGGTCACTTTTAAAAGTTCAAATATTTATAGGTCAGATACCAGCGACTGGAGGTGGTGATAGCGAGGAAAGGAGAACTCGAGAGAGAGGCACCCCTTACGTGGACGTTTAGGCGGCCAACATTTTTTTAAACCTTTCCCCTACAACTGCATTTTCAAAGCCATATCTGGAGTAATATAGACGTTGTTTTTCTTTTTTCTTTTTTTTTTCAGCTAACAATTACAACGTAACTCTTTGGCACCGTAGCATTTGCCCTGTGATAAGTGCTGCTTTTGTCATGTAAATTCACTCATCACAGACCTGCTCAATGATGCTAATTGTGAAGCTTTTGTTTTAACTTTGCTTATTCAATTCAATGCAAATTATTTTGGGCTTGGTAAAAAATAACTCGCGCGAGAAACTATATCTATATCGTCTATATCAAACTTACTCGCGCTCCACGAATTCGCAGGATTCATTTTTTAGTAAGGTAGAGTTTTAAACTTTTTTTTTAACATGTGTAAAGTTTTTGTATTACTACTGTAAACATCCTAGCTTTTGAAAATTGCATGGCCAAGCATGGCATCAATCGAGCCTGTCAGTAACGATTGTTTGTATCAGTTCAGATACTTATGTTTAGCGAGAAAAATTGCGACCAATTTCCTCAATTCGCTCTAATTCTACTAACTGCGTTGGTTTTTAGGGTTTTTAAGGAGGTACAAGTCAGAGGACGTCAACTTTACTTCGCTAGATGCGAAGCAAACCGAAATTGTTTTGATGTGGATAATACCATGTACAATTATTTGCTAAAGAAGTTGGCAAGATTTTAGTTACAATCCCGTATGTTATTGTGTATACGGTTCTTTGATAAAAGAAAGCGGTGACAAAAGCAATAGATTACTTTTGGAACTGCCTCTTTGTTTTGAGAATTGTCTAGAGATATCCGAAATCTCTCTCAACTAATATTCGCATGTTTGACTCTAATTACGTTCGACGGAAAGCGGAATGAAAGCTTCTTCTTCAATTAATTATTTATTACTGTATTTTCATCTAATCCTATTCAGTAAAACTTTCAAAACAAAACTAAAGAGGTTTTAGAATAATCACTGTGCGTATCTGCGGCGAAAAATTCACTTATTTTTACTTTTTACTGATCTATAAAACAGAGCATAGACTGAAGCTTTAAGAATTAATATTTCTCAACCTGTCAATTAGATGGCCTCTAAGTGGGACAAAGAGACGGCGAGGGACATCTGTGCTTGGATTCAGAGAGCCACAGGAGAATCTGTCCCCTCGGACGATCCTACTTCCTTTGCTGAGACGTTGAACGATGGTCAAACACTCTGCAAGTAATGTCTGAGTATTTTGTTTGTGTAGTCACAGAGGCATGAACGTTTCAAATTTCTTTCGCTTATTTTTCAAGACAAAGGTTGCTTCTTTTTGTTTTTCTTTGACATTTGGCGTAGGAAATAGTTCACTTTTTTGTGCTGAATATGTGCTCTAAACCCATATTATGCTCAGATAGGCAAAAACTTGCTCGATGTTGCTAAAAATTGCATAAATGTAAAAAGTTACTCAAACATTGCTGAGCACAATAGGAACAGGCCTACTTACCGACCGAAATTGATTCCCTGACGCATGCCCGACGTTTGACCTCTGTGTTGCCTTAACCAATCTTGACACGGATACTTTACTAATTCGGAAACTCCTATTTGGAAAATTATTTTCAATTCAAGTTGAAGAAATTCATGTTACTTAAACTGTTACATTGGTTTTTTTCATTTTTATCTTGCGATGAGTGAAGGCTAGCCAATCAGATAAAACCAGGCGCAATAAAGAAAATAAACAAAATGAAGATGCCATTTCACAAGGTACGTCGGTGCAAATTTGATGCGTGTCCATTGTAGAAAATAGTCGCTTTTTCTATTTTAGGATGGTTATACTTTTTCCCATAAAGCTTTTCTAGACTAAGAACAGTCGGGAAACCGGGAAAAAATAAAATTGATGTCAGCGTGCCTCCTTGTACTTTGGTGTTCTGCGCTATGCGCTAACATCGATATTTTTTTTGCCTTTTGTTTTGGTTTTTTTGCCTTTTGTTTTGGTTTTTTTTTGGACCTGCGGGACCGATTTTGCCGAGAAGGAGGGAATGCTCGCACTCTTCAGCTTTTTAAATTTAGTTTCAGTACTTTTATTTCAGTTTCGAGTACCAATTAGCCTACTTCAAGTAGAGACGTTCTCATCGGTGGAATTGGCGACATAGAACATACCAAACTACATACTTGTATCAATTCGGTTATATGAGATTTATTTGTAATAAATTTGGCCAGTTTCCTCAATGAATACATCAAAGTATTTTCTCCTGAATTCATATTAGCTGCAACAATATTCTATCTCATTGCTCTCTTAAACAGTTTTTTGATCCTCTTCGCAGATGGAAAACATTGGGTGGTTTAGTGATTTTTTGAGAGAGTATGGTGTGCAAGCGGAGTATATATTTGTCACAGTAGATCTCTACGAGAAACAAAATGTTCCACAAGTGAGTAAATACTCCGTCGTTTTTGGGCTTATAAAATGAAAACACCCTTCAAAGTTAAAGATTGTTAAAGTTCAGGGTGTATTTCTACCTTGTTTCGTGTTAAGGGAAATATCAGAAGAAGCCACTAAAAACTCACCAAACAGATGCAAAACTAAAACGACTTGTTCACCCGCATTTTCCCGCGCTACGGGCAGTTTTCTTCATTTTATTTTGACTTTTCATTGGTTCTAAGAGTATTTTCCTTTCTTCTAGTTTTTCGTAGCGATAATCTTGGTTTTGTTTTTACGGCATTCAATCGAAGGGCGCTCTGAGCAAGAAAAGATCAATTAATTGCAATTAGCCGACCCCGTATCCTCTTCCGTGGCCCGAGTCAATTTGGGCCACCTTAAATTCTCTTCTGAATAAAAATACAAGCGTTTTGAGTACTTGCCTGGAGTTTCTCAGACTTTGGAAATTTTTTTGTTTGCAGGTTCTTATTGCTTTGAAATGGCTGAAAATAGAGGTAAGAGCTTAATAAATATATCTGCCAATGTTGTCTGTAGACACAATTTATATAAAGTACCCAAGTTCACCCCGTATGAAATTCGCCCTCACCGAATTCACTCCCGGGTGAAGAGATGCACTGTGGGAGTTAAGTGTTTTAATCAATAATGCAACCCAGCGTACTTAACACCAGGCCACCTCTGTTCTCAGTAGCGAAACAAGATGGCAGGTTTAGCTTAGGAGCAAGGTGCTGCCTTGGTTAAATAATTGTATTGATTTTTGAAGCGAAAGGGCCGTCAGTTCTGAGACTTTGAATTATTTTAAAAGGCTGTGGTTTTTGACGCAGGAGGGAAAATGGAAACGGAAAGGAAACAAAACGAATTCGGACGTGCGAGGGGAGTGGGCCTAAGGGAAGTTTAGACAAAAATAGAGAGACACTGAGTTATTTTTGTAAAGTAGATTTGCGGGAATTGCAAAAAATGAATTAAGAAAAATTTCGGCTAGATATTTTTAAGATGCATAACCTCCATTTCAGAGAAAGAGAAGATATAATAAGGACTGAAAGTTGTAAAAAGACTGGAATTTCAAAAAACATCCAAGAACGCTAAAGTTACAAAGCCTGCCCTTGGTACAAAAGTGTGCTATCCTTTTTAAGGAAAGAGGCCGCCAAAATTTATATTTTGGATCCTTTTTCATCGCAATGTAAAAATTAAGTTAATGTCAAGTTAATTTTTCTTTTTCAGTCGGAGAAAAAAGGTGTCAAGCTATGAGGAACCATTTTCAAGCTCTCTTTGGCGTATATTGTAACTTTCTCTTAGACATGTCTTAGATTTTATTTTTCATCTGTTTCATGAAAAATTATCCGGTTTCAGAGATAGAGCTTAGCAGTGTAAACGTTATTCAGGGCCTTTTTTTGTGGATGATGTGCCTTGTCGTAGTTTCAGTCTAAAAGTATTGTTTTTAAGTTAGCAGACAATTTTGTCGGAATCGAGGCTGGAAGAGTGGTTAGACAGTATCATATTTATTTTGGAATTTACCTTTCCCGTCGTTGACGTGAAGATACATTAACTTTAAGTTGCGGTCAAAGTGTACGTGTTGGGTTAGAAAAGTAATTTTATGTGTTGTAGTGAAGAAATAAGTTATGAAAGTTATACAAAGAAGTATTAAACCTGAAGTGGGTCGACAAGTTATGTTACCGCTTGGAGAAAAAAGTAATTACAGCCAATCGCAGGAAAACATGTGTGACGTGTCAAACGCGGGAAAACATGCAGTCAAAGTAAGCGCGGGAAACGTGTAACCAGTTTCAAGCGCAGTTGCGTGCGGGAAGGTATGTAACTAGTCAAAGCGCAGCAAATTTGTCACCAGTCTCAAGCGCGGTTGTGCGCGTGAAGATATATAACCAGTGAAAGCGCGGAAAAATTTCTCATCAGTCTAGTACACAGTTCAAGGCGCGGGAAAACAAAGCCAATGTTAAGCCCTTTGTGCCTCTATTCTCTCTAGTTTTAATCGTGGGAGAATATGGAACAATTCAGTGCCAAGAGCAGCAAGCATGCAACTAGCTAGGTGTTGTAAGCTGGGAAATACGCCACGGTGACAAGGAAGGAAATGCGCAATTGGTACAGAAGGATGGGAAAATGCAAAAACGGTATCGAGGTGTGAAGTATGCAATCGTCCAGAGAGCGGGAACTGAAATACAAAGACGGTGCCGAGGGCTGGAAGATATGCAAACTTTGCAAATCTCGAGGAAATTAACTTTGAACCTAAGTTAAGGAAGGAAGCAAACATAGAAAGCTGTAGCAGTAACGTTGGGCGAGGGATGCGTACTTACTCGCTTACCACGGTCGAAAACAAAAAGAAAGAGATTCAGAGACTTGAAGTGCTCGCCGATTTAATAAAATCATAACATTTGACATATGATAAGGAAGCTTACTCCAAAGCGCAACAGTTAAAAAATTATTGTTCCTCAAAAAATGACTGCCAATTTATAATAGAGCTGAATTTAAAATTTTGAAATCAAAGGTGAGAATCAGTCAATAACGCTTCATGCAGGGGTATTCATCAGTGTGTTGTAATTTATTTTCCTTATCTATAGGAGGAAGTTTGTTCGGTTTCTTGAGACGCATCTGCATTTCAGTCAAGTCCAAACCTAACATACTCTCCATGCTTCTCCTCGCGGGAAGGGGATCCACGTTTCTGGTGGGTGCTTCCGTTGCGAAAGAAATTCCATTTCTGAAAGGGGGGGTCTCTAAATAAGACGGGTACAAAGAATGAGAGAGTTCTTCTTCGACTTTAGTTGCTTTCTTTTTCTTTCTGGTGCGTGTTTGATGGGAAAGCTCAGATCCGACTGGCAATGGAGGTCTTACTCTGGTAACGTAATACTCCTCATTGTCGCTATTTTCTGCAGAGTCAAGAGCACTGTGCATTGCTTCAAACTCTGGAGAAAAGTAAATTCTTGTCCTGTGCCTCAGTGGTGGACTTGCTTTGGATCTTTCGACAAGAACAGGAAACGTTGCTTGCTGAGTTTTTTCCTTCCAGCTTGGTTTAAGGATCTTTTCTTTTCGTCGACGCCTTCGCACGCGTTTTCTTTCTTTCCTCTGTTCCTCTTTTTCTCTCCTCTGCTCCTCGTCATATTTGGGAAAGTGATACATTTATAGGGTCTTCCTCTTAATTCTTTTCCCGAAATTACGGAAGTTCCTTTTTCGGTGGAGAATTTTGCACCTGGATCTCTCTATGACGACATTGCGCGCGCATATCACTTGGTTGCAACGACACCATGGAAACGCGTCGTCATAATTAGCGGAAAAAAAAAATCACAGAGAGGGAATAAAATTAGTTGTTGCCTGTTGGAAATAACTGTAAATTGTGTAAGGTTACTGGCTCACCGTTTTTACGTTTAATTTTGGAGTGGCGGCTTAGAGAGGGGAGCACGTAGTGCTTTGTCACGTCACATTTAGTGTTACATCAGCTCTTTTCCCATTTTCGTTTCCCAGTCCTCCGTTCCTATTCCTGTTCAAGTCAAGTCCGCCTTATTCCATCGTCCATTTACTTTCCAGCATCGATTCATTACCACCCTAGGTACGTAGTGCCTATCTTTTGTTGTTTATGTTCTATCTTGTCGTCGTTGTTGACTGCGTTTGTTATATGTAACTGCACTTCCTGTTAGTCACGCTTTCCTTGCGTTCGCGTGACAGTCACATGAGAATCAGGTTTTGTTGGTAACCTCAGCATTACGCATGACTCAACTGGCAAGATGGCGGCTCATTGGAGGGTCTTTCAAGTTTTAGCTTGTTTATTTTTGTTCTATGGGTTGCAAATACACGCAAATCTTCCGAGTAAATGTCAAATATCAACATACTCTATCACAAATTGGTAAGGAATGTTTTTTAAGAGTTACACGAGAATTGCACATCTGATGCCAGAAGGATCGAAACTCGGAAACTTCCGTAATCGTTTTGGTGTAAAACCTTACGTCTTAGTATTTCTCAGCTTCCTCCTTTTTCCATTTTAGGACATGGAAGGTTATTGGAAGCAAAAGGGAATATTATATCAATGTCTGTGGAAACGCTAAAGTCAAAAAAAAAAGTTGTCCTTCAAAGGCTGCCGTTTGCTCGCCGTCATCAGCTGATAGTACTACTCTTCAGAATTTAGGCTCTAAAAGACAGATAAATGCAACAAGGGATTCAGGCTTCGATTTGATTTTTACTGGTGGACAATGCAACGAGATGGGAAATAATAAGGCATGGGAAACCAACATCTTTATGAGATGTGGAAAGTTTCTGGTAAGTATTTGATCCAAAAATTGCTGTATTTATAGGACAATAGACATCGTGACTGTTTGGAGAATCAGTTCGTCCTGACCCTGTTGTTTTGAGTTTGGTTTTGGAGGGTAGTTCTGACGATACTTGATTTGTCATTAGAATGTTAGTACATCCATCCCTTTCATTATCTTTGTTACATCCATTTTGAAATCATCGGTGATCCTTGGAATGTGATTGGTTCTCATTGTTGCAACTTATTCATGATTCGCAGACTTTTCCTCAGCCAATTAGGAAGTTGTGCTACAAATTTCACTTCACTCGGTTTACTTACCATTATTTATTATGGTAATAATATTATGGTAATCATTATCATTATACTAGTTATGATTATCCTTGTTACTGTCTGAGTGTATAGTTGTCATTGTGATGATGGTTGTTTTAGTGATGTTCATTACTGTCTTTACTAGATTACCTTTTACATTAAATTTAAGATTAAAATGAAATAGCTCTGTATTAAGATATTTTCTCAAAGCTAACAACTGTCCTGAGCTTATCATGATTACTTGCTAAACCTTCATTCTGACAAAGGGCTTATGCCTGAAACAACAACTTAAGAAACTCTTTATGGTGACATATTTACATTACTAGCTCAGAGGATTAACCAAATCATCTTGTCTTTATCTTTAGAAACTTCTTTTTTTTTATTTTTGGAATCTGTAATTTAGTTCTGGCTAAGATATTAGGATGTGGAACCTGTTGAAAAGATGTTACAAATAAATGGGAGATTTCTAAAAGAGTTTATGGCTGCCTTGGGAATAGTATGACTTGCTAATACCAAACATTTATAAATTCAGTGGTGAATTAAAAGGACGTTGTTACAAAATCATTATATCCTTAATGTATTCTCATTGTAAAAATTTATAGGGATCTCCTCAGTTTGTGGATCTCTTTGTGGGAAAAGAGAAGTGTGTGGCTGTTTTTGAGTTTGTTACTAATGAGGCTTGTAAAACAAAACCTGGACCAGAAATTCCTTGCTCACTGTATGGAACAGACAAGGAAATAATAGATCTAACACCTTTGATCAAAACAGAAGGTAACATTATTTTATTGATGTTTGTTTTATTCCAACTTAATAGTTAGGTGGACTAGTTTTACCTTGGCTGTCTTGAATGTCTTAGACACCCAACTTTACTTTCCAAGGCATTCATTAATCCACTATAGAACTGAATTCAAAATTTAAACACCATGCACACACGCTGTATTCTAGTAAATTGAAACGAATTTTAAACAGAGGAAGAGATATTTCCATGAGCTTGGGAACATTTAAAAGCTCAATAACTAATCACAAAAGTTCCATGGATCTCTGCATGAGAAACAGCTCTGACAGGATTAATTTTTTATCCAACTACATGTAAGTTCAACATGTTTTGCTGTCTAGTCAATTTATCCTTCTGTTTTACACTTTCCTTAATTTGTTGGACACTTTTGTCACACTTGCTTCCCAAATAGTTGCTTGAATTCTCCTTCTTTCTGTAATCCAAAATTTTATTTTGTCAATTGCATTGTAGCTCTAATCAAAACACGGTAAACACAGTTTGCACAAACGTTGGAAATCTTCCATGCCAAAGACAATTTAATCTCATGTTTCATGCTCATTACATGACATGAAGATCAAGCATATCAGGTTGAGAATTATTTTGTCTTTCCCAAGCTTTTTATTGCAAACTTTTGTTTGGTAATGAAAATTCGAAGAAATATCGCTCTATGTTGAAGCAAAATGATGCAAAGTGCAAGTGAGAATCTTCACAAACTTTTTTGCGATGAAATTTGGAAAGAACAATTAACAAAATTTGGCGATTTTCATTTGCATTACTTTTGCACAATACTTTTGTCTAGTGATAGTCAATTCTAAAACTCTCTTAGCTGTGAATAAAAATGCTCATCTCATCTAACTCTAGTTTTTCTTCATGTTTATGCACTCTTTTAATTTACCCTGTAAGTACTGTTTTCACAAGCAAACTACAAAGAGATGCCCTTTTAATTCTCCCTTCTAGCTCTCACACATTTCCATGTAAATTAGTTATGAGTATTTGGTGTTAGATCAAGATAACAGCTTCTATGTGAGAAGTCTGAGTATTCTTATCACCTGTTTGCTGATAATGTTTGGATGTTATCGGGAGAAGTTACATGTTAATCACTTAATGCAAGGGCAGTAACCTTTTGGCCCCTAAGAGTGACTAGCATCTAATCTCTCCTTATAACAGCTCTCCTAAATCACACACTGAGGTCATGAGAATAAAAGAAATGATCAGTAGCCAAAGAGACTCTTCATTATTGAACAAATTCTCTTTGTCAACACCTTAGGAAATGTATAGAGTACAGTATGGAGAATATAGAGACTGATGTTTGGGTGCAAAGGGTTTGGTTAGATATTTTTATTTCATCATGAAATGATATTATGATATTTTTATTTCATTATGTTTATTAAATTTTTGATTGGGTTTCTACAGGTGGCCATGAAGTTTCATCTTCAGATGGAAACTTTGTTTTTTACATCAATGTTTGTAGAGGAATAAAACCTAAAAAAGATGATAACATTCATTGTCCAGCCAACAGTTCTGTGTGTAGAGTTGATAAAAACCTTCAAAAACCTGAAGATGTTGGGAGCATCTCATACACAAGTGGCCTTATACTCCGAGACAAGAATGACATTGTCCTTGTTTACAACACAACAAAGACTGTGAGTGGCTGCCCACAAAATTTGAATCCTGCTACCACGATTACCTTCAGGTGCCCAGGCAGGAATAGGGTAAGCATAAGCATTGACAGAATTATTGTGTATGTGCTTATGATATATCTCTCAGTCAGTACTTGTTCTCTTATTGGTCATTATTTCAAACTGAAAAATCTGGTCTCTAACTTACTGTAAAGACCTCAAACTCAGTAAGTAACAGGTATTTATCAACTGAGTGGGAGGGCCAAATGGTGAAATATTTAGCACTAGGCTAGGATGTACATGTACAGATTGAGCGTAGGAATGTCTGTATGTCATGTTGGAGAGCCAATTGTAATATTTTGCAGAACCTGACATAGTCAATAGGTATTTTATGATACAAATACTGTTCTCTATTTTCTTCCTTTTTTCCTTGTTTTTGGTATCTTTTGGGGTTCTAACAGGCCATGCAGCTTTTTATTGCTCATCTTGCTTCATTATGTAGAGTCTCTATATACTCAGGTATTTTAAACCTTTTTTGAAAAAAGACATGTGGGGTGGCTTGGGTCTTAGAATACAAAGAATGCTTTGACTTGAAGAGTTATTTTACCAATGGTTGAGAGGCCTTGACAATAGGAGTGCTGACAACAGAAATGATAACACATTATGCCCTGCAAGGGTGATTCTGAAAAGTTGTACATACTTTGGCCAATTGATGCATGAGAATGAATTTTGCCAATTTTGTTCATTTAGCAATCCAAAATCAAGCTTGGTCTTTGTACTTTGAACTATTGCCTTTCTAATGGCAAGTTTTTCAGCCCAGTGAAAACTAACTGCTGGACCTTGTGTCATCACTTTTAGTTTTGACAAAGGTCATTTCCTTCAACAGTAAGGGTACAGAAATTGAATTTTACTGTGTTGAGTACCATTTGTTATTAAGTATCCTTGAAAAATTGAGGTACGTGTAAAAACTGAAACCTTGAAACTTGAGACTTGAGGATTGAGTTGAGTCATATAACTCATGAGTGGCACTGTATATATTATTTTTAGGGTGGTAAAGGCCCAGTTTTGACAGAAGCTAGTTATTGTGCATTTGAAGTTCTTTGGGAGACAGAGTTTGCATGTGCGAAGACCAGTATCCTGGAAACCACGAGCTGTGTCCTGAGCGATGACTCTGTCCACTTCAATATGACAAAGCTCGCTGCCGCCAAAGAGGATGACTACCAAGTTTATTATAATGATACTAGAGCTGGCTCCACAACTCAGTACATATATTACATTAATGTTTGCCATCGTCTGAGCTTTCCTTGTGAAGGTTTGTTTCTTGGATGTACTGAAGGGCTTCATACAGGACAAATTGTCCGAAGGGTTTTGGAAGAATATTAATTGTTTTCAAGTTTTTTTCAGCAGGTTGCACCTAGTTTGAAAGATAGGGTTGTCTAGCCTAAGTGCTGTTGAATATGCATATAATTAAGCTAGAAGATATGTATGCTGAAGCAAATGAAATGGGCCAGAGTTGAATTGCAATCATCTTATTTTTAAAAGGCTCAGTCATTATCTCAGTCATAACTTTGAAGTATTCTCATATGCAACTGTCTGTACTGTATCTTAGCAGAAACTCTCTTCTGAAGTCTCTTTTTTCACTGTTAACAGAGTGTCTGCTTCTCTTTTTGCGGAGAATGTACAACATCCCTACTTGAAATGTTTGCAAAATGCTCTTTTGGTATATGAGTTAATTCATAACCACTGATGAATTAATATCTTGAATTGGTATAAAATTGCATGATGAGATTAGAGCAACAGTTATTTATGTTCAATTGTGTTTGAGACCACTGAAATTTAAATATGTTATATTTTTTTTCTGTTAGGATCAGACTCAACAGTTTGCCAAGAAGTGAAAGATGGATCTTGGCGAAAGTCGCTTGGAATTGTATCAAAACAAACTCTACGCTATGCTGATGGACAGCTGTCTTTAACCTATGAGCATGGATCCGCATGTAGAAATGGGCTCAATCGAACAACCATTATCATGTTTATATGTAACTACACAGCTGAGATAGGCACAGGACCTGTTTTTAACAGTGAGAGTTACTGCTTTTACTACTTTGACTGGGAAACAAGATATGCTTGTCCACCTAGCCGTCGCACAGGGACTCAGTGTCGTGTTGTCAGCCCTTCGGGAGTACGCTATGATCTTTCTGAGCTTGTGCGCATGGAAAATTCCACCAACTGGATTGCGGTGGATGGAGAGAGTATCAGTGCTAAAAGAAAAATTTTGATAAATGTTTGTGGTCATGTGACTGGCCATCCTGAAGCCAAACAGTGTGATAGTTCAGCAGCTATTTGTATGATTGATCAAAGCAAAGGAAAAGTAGTAAGCCTTGGGAGATACACAGAACCACCTACTTTGAATCCAGACAATTCTATCAAGTTGGTTTATATTCAGGGTAGCGAATGCAAGAAGGACAATGCAGGAAAGAGTGTATTTATAAGATCCACAATAACATTTTTATGTCAGACAGGAGATTTGTCAAGTCCCCCTGTTCTGGTCACTCATACATCAGATGAATGCCATTATGAGTTCATGTGGAGGACAGGTAGATATAGGGGTACAGTCGAACCTCGATTATCCAGACATCGATTATCCGGACTTTTCGATTATCCGGACTTTTTCTCTGGTCCCGTTTTTTTCATGAATATTAATGACCTTAGATGTTAAAAACTTTAGGAGGTAAAAAAATTCAGAAATTATGCTAAAAGTCAGGAAAATTGTGTTTAAAACAGCGCATTACACGCTCTGCTTTCGAAAGATTGAGCGCTTGGAGACAAAAAGAGACAAGAAGCATTCTAATGTGTTCAGCTGAATTTTGATTGGTTCAGTATTGTTTTGTTGCTAAGGGAATGTCATGCTTGATCAGTTCGATGAGCATGGGTTATGTGAACACACGAGACGATCATAACTCAATTGTCTCATTAATATTCATATTTTCGATTATCCGGACTCTCGATTATCCGGACTATTTACCCCAGTCCCACCGAGTCCGGCTAATCGAGGTTCGACTGTAGTATTTTTGGTCCTTGAGTTGTAAGTGTTTTTTTTTATTGATTTTAATAGAAAGTGTAAAAATGTAGAGACTATCATTCACCCTGTGACCTCTAAGACTGACCAGCATGACTACATGTAGTACCACCTGTGGATGAAATATGAAGAACATTCACCCTTTGACCTCTAAGACTGACCAGCATGACTACATGTAGTACCACCTGTGGATGAAATATGAAGAACATGAGAAAAAAGGATCAAAAGTGATCATCAACTAAATAAGCTCTTGATTATTAAACAAATTCTTCTTAAGTTGCCAGCACCTTAGGAAATGTTAAGAAAATAGAATGGAGAATATGCATGCTGATGGTTGGGTGTAAAGGGTTAATGGTACATGAAGATGGAATTTTTTTGTGCATGTGCATAGTGCCTTGTTCTGTTTGTTCTTAGTGAGTTGATGAAGAATTCAGACCAGAGACATACATTTCATGTGAAAAAGTACTGTGTTGTAAACTCCATTGTTTGAAATCATATTTCAAGTTACTTCCAAATGGTATAACAAAAACATGTTACTTCCTTTCCTGATTTTCAACTAGGATTAGGTGATAAAGCCCCTGTGGATTATAACTAATGTTGTTTATTTATTTTTTTCTCCTGATTCTTCCATCCTTTTTTCATGTATGTAGTGTATAGCTCTCTAGTTAGCAATGATATGATTACAACTACTTACAATCATTTACTGTTTTTTGTCTATTCCATGATATCACCAGCTGCGGCATGTTCATTGGGTTTGAATGTTGGCCAGGACTGCAGAGTGGAAGATAAAGATGCTGGTTATGTATTTGACCTTACTCCTTTGGCCAAAAAAACTTGGGGCCAAAAGGACTTTGTCACGGCTGTGAATAATATAAATTCACAATACAAGTACCGATTGAAGGTGAGAAACTCCCAACTTAGCCTTCATATGCAATCTATGGTCATTTGTTTCTTACTTGCAGTCATTTCATGCCCAGGAGATTTGTAATAATATTATAATAATATTTATTTCTACTGCGTAAATTCAACTATGCAGTTTTCAAATGCACCTAATTTGTACTTAAAATGAGACAATTCAACCCAGTTTCCACTTGTCAAAATACCTCACCTGCTAGTGTGTGAACAGGTGTCAATTGTTGCGTAGACAAATTAGTGGAATCAAGCAATTATGATACAAAAAATATATATATTTTGTGTATACTTGAGACCTTCCTAAAAGAAACAACTAAATTATTGCCAGGCAAAAGATAAGTGTGATATTTTTATTAGACCTTTCTCTTATTTATACTTTTGACTTTCCTTCATTCAGTACTTGTGTGTCAAAATTGAACACCACATAAACAAAAATTATTTAAGTCAGATAATATTGCTATATAACATAAGAAACTGACCTTATGTAAAACTCATTTAACATTGAATATAATTTATGAGAATGGATATGAAATGACTCAACTGGGTGGGTGAGAATGGTCAAGGGAATTAGGCATACATAAAAGGCTAAATTTTCCAAAGTTCCTGAGCACTAGTGAATAAAGGCTATTAATAGTGGGGGTTGATTATTTCCCTCTGAAAATTGTTGACTGAGACACATTGCCTCCCCTGGCTGGAAATCCTAGATCAGACTGGGAATGCAGTGTAAGGCCATCGTACCCCTCATGGATTGTAAGTGTACTAACCTTTACCATCTGTCCATTTTATACTGACAATGTGTCCATTTTGCTTTAACCACAGGTGTGTGGAGGAAGCAGTCAAATGGGCTGTGTTGGTGCAAATGTTTCCTCATGCCAGATTACACAACCATCTTCCAAGCACAACTTTACACTGGGTCTGGAAAACAAAAATTTGTATTATTATGATGGAATGTTAAATCTGACCTACCATAATGGAGAAAAGTGCCATAATGGAGTTTCTCGTAAAACCCACATAACCTTCCTCTGTAATCAGTCAGCAGTTAACAATGGAGTAGGAGTTCCAGAGTTTGAGAAGGAGAATCACTGTATCTATAACTTCATGTGGTTTACAAAATATGCCTGTCCAGCAAAGGTCAGTTGATTGATGATAGCTCTTTAAAGATTTTTGTTTTACTGAAAATTGTTACCTCTTTGAACTGAAATCAAATGTGTCACACCCTAACAAAACTATTTTCTGCATCACTTTGCAGGTTGTCGAATGTGTTGCTAGGACAGATGTTGCTCAGTATGATTTGACAAGTTTGGTGAGAACTTCAGACAACTGGGAGGCAGCATATGGTGCAAATGGAAAGTTTTACATCAATGTTTGCCGTTCACTGAATCTTGTACCGGGCTGTAGTGGAACAGCAGCTGTCTGCCTGAAAGAAAAAGACAAGGTCACCAACTTGGGTGAGTTGTGTAGAGTTTTTCAATGAAGTAAGAGTCTGTTAGAAAAGGAAGTAAAAAATCAAACCAATGTACTCATTTTGACCGGCTACATCTTACATACCAGAGCTCACCTCAGCTTAGTGGTCTTGCTCTAAGAAGTCTACAGATGGTAACAAGATTAAAACCCGATAGTAATCTAATTCCCTATGATTAATTATGAAATAATGTGTAGTGTATTGTTTAGGAGTTTGACCAATGGTCGTGGGCACAAGTCGTGGGCGTGGGCGTGGGTGTGGGTGTGGGTGTTGGTGTGGGTACAAGTCCTGTCGGTAATAGTTAACAATTAATGGTTAATTGTTAATATTTAATAATATTATCAATAGTACTTCTACCAATAATTAATTATTGTTATTATTGTAGAGGGGAACGGTTTTTTTTGGCGAAACGCGATTTGGTTACTCAGCCGTGAACGGTGAATCGCCTAAGAGATGTGCCCACCTTTTTTATGGAAATTAGTTTAATTAAATTAGTGTTAATTTTTTTAATATAATGTATATTTTTCTGTTTTATTTTAATTGTATTTATATTTACATTTTTACGTAATTATATTGATTTGACCTTTAGAGGACCCTTCTGTAAACCACTTTTTTTTTTTCGCGAAACGTTACTTGAACCGTTATTGTTTCTCTTCCTTTAAAAAAATTATCCAGTAAGCGTCTCAAAACAAGACCACGTCTAGAAATATGACTGTGTCTAGCTAATCATCACTCTGAGCCCCAGGTCTCTTTATTCCAACAGGTAATTTAACACCTTTTATCTTCGTTTCGTGAAATGGCTATTTCATCTTGCGTGAAACGTGAATGGTCATTTTATTTTTCGTGAAAAGTGGTCTTGGACCCCCTTCCCTTTACCACCCTTAATTATGGTCTAAGTTGACATAATTAACATGACATAATGCATACAAATTAAACAACCCCTCTCCAACTGTTAGAAGCCAGTAATAGGCTCCTGCAAATTGTAAAATATTAGTGTTTATTCCAATATCATCGCATCAGCTCGGTGAGACTACTATTTCATTGATACACTTACAGATAAGTAATACATAATACATTCAACTAATTTGTACCAAAAAATCTATACTCGACAATAAATTATTATTAGTAGTAGTACTATAAATGTTATTATTATTAAATATGAACTATTAACCATTAATTATTAACTATTACCAACACGACTTTTACCAACACCCACGACTTGTACTCACAACCCACGACCATTAGTCAAACTCATTGTTTAGCAGTTTCTCTGTTAATCCTTTTAACATCTAATTTCTGAATCAAACATTAAGGTCAGGAGAGTGAAAGAAATGATCACAGACAATAAAAACTTTTGATTGTTGAACAAATTCTCCTTGTCCGCACCTCTTAAAATGTCTAGAGAACAGTATGGAGAATTAATTCATACTGATGTTAGGATGTAAAGGGTTTAATATTATAGATGCAGTTGGAACTATTTGGAACTAGTTGGAAGTATTTTATCCCTTCTAATTTTTATTTTTATTTGTCATTCTGTTTGTACCTGGATTTGTAAAAAGATTATTATGTTTTACTTCCAGGTTCTGTATCAAACCCACCCACTGAAGGAGTTAACAATGTTGTAATTACGTACACTGATGGAGACAAATGTAAAGACAGGAAATACCAGACAAAAATCACTTTCCTTTGTCAAAAAGGAGAAGGGGTGAGCTTGTTCAAATTTTGTGCAATTGACATCCTTAAATGATATTCATGCAAGACGTAAAAGGGTATAAAGAAAGTAAGCTGTAAAAATGGTGGAGTTATAGACCAGAAGGCTTTTTGAAAGTGGAGCTGCCGTCATTTCTCTAAATGTGATTGGTCTAACACTGTAAAAAGCTCCCCGTTGTGGTAATGTTGGAGAGGCTAAAGACAGAGGCCTTCCAATGGGTCAGAGTACATATACGTGTAACCGTATTAGGACTGTGTGGAGTCCAACCTGGTCTGTAATGATGCAACTGTTTAACAAGATCGGATCGGATGACTGTGATGTGAGAGCCTGATTAGTTATTTTCAAGTATGGTTACTGACTAAAATGAACGAGAAAAACAAAAGTGTATTCATGAAAAGATAGGCTAGCCTTTGTATTCCAATCTTAAGACACTAGAAACCATGACGATCTTTCAATTGACAAATACACACTAAAAAAGAGAATATGAGGATTATGTGAAATGGCAGTGTGATCATAATTTTATATTGTGCTATGTTTTGCATAGTTACATAATTTATAGTAGCAGATACGTTGTATTTTTTGAAAAACAATGAAATATAAATAATCATCGCGAAGGTCTCAATTATTGATGCAAAAAATAATTTTGGAAGCTCTCATTGAGTTGCTAGCATTCAGTCAATTTTCCTCAATTTGGCCTTGACGTTAGTTTCAGCTACTGCGCTTGTGAATACAAGAGTGAATAGGCCGGGTGAAAAATATTTCATGTCCTTGTAATCAGATATGAGGAGATCCCTAATGTCTATTTGGTTTCTCCTTAGAGCTCATCTCCTGAATTTATTAAAATTGATGATGATGGTTGCACTTACATATTTCACTGGAAAACAGCGGCAGGTTGTCCAATAGAAAACGTTCAAGGTAGCAAATGTACTGTGAGTGACCCCAAGTCTGACACAATCTTCAATCTTACACCATTAACGAAGAAGAACAATGTTGTTATGTACAGCGGAAATATGACTGAAAACAACGAACAAGCAACTTTTCAACTTAACGTCTGTGGTGCACTGCCTGCAAAAACTTGTGGCGATCGTGAGGACATTGGTGCCTGTCTGATTAAGAAAAATGGCAAGAAAATTGCTCTTGGGAAGAAAAGCAGGACCCTTTTTTACAAGGGTGAAATCGTTACTCTTATATACAGGTAACAAGTGGAATTCTACTTGCTTTAACGAGTACAAAAGTATGGCGTTTAGTTGAGTTGGAGAGAAAGTATAGTCAGTAATACAAATATCTTGGAACTGGCTCAGGGACACAATTAACCAGAGTATCAGCCAAGAGATAAAATAATTTCACTGTGTGTACAATCATAAAGATTTCATCGGGAAAAATTTTCTTTCTAGATTTGTCATTTCTTCCCTGAGGGAATTTTATTTTAAAAATGAGACGTTTGTAACACATTTGTATCCTAACCCGATGGAAATGAGAAGCAATTTTCCTGGTCACTTTATTCGACAGAAGCTACAATTTACTCCAGTAGTTTGCCTGTGTGGCTTGTGTGAAAAACGAAAATCATTTCGTGTTCATCTTCATGTATGGTTTGTAAGATTTCTTCCGCTACTACAGAAGTTTGCCTGGATGCTACCGGCACTAATAAGTAGCAATTGTATTTTATAAAATAATTCAAATAGTACGCGCGCTCTGATTGGCCATAAAACCATTTTACATGAGCGTATGTAAACACGGTTTTCGTTCCTCTTTCATTAGTTATTTTATAAAAGAAATGTAAAATGGTTTCCGTGTTTACATAGCCTGATGTAAACACTTGGGAGGTTGGGAGAACACTCGATAAGCTGGAAACCACTCCGCTTCGCGTCGTGGTTTCCTACGCTTATCTCGTGTTCTCCCAACCTCCCGCGTGTTTACATCAGGTTATGTAAACACGGAAACTATTTTACATTTCTTCAATATTGCATACTTCAAAATTGCATAACCTTTTTTCCTTGATTATATTACAATTAGAGCTAATGAATACTTCCCTCCTCATTTTTTCCGCATGACAACTAGTGAAGGGGACAATTTTGAAAGCACTGGGGAACAGAGAGAAGTTCACATCAGGTTCTACTGTGACTCAAACAAGCCTTTTGGAGAGCCTACTTTCTCTGAACGGGGGGGAAACAAGTACTTCTTTGACTTTAAAACATCACTGGTTTGTTCTGCGTCAGCTGTGCAGTGTTTGGTGTCGGCTGGTGGTGTAGAATATGACCTCAGTCCCTTAGGGCTGACTTCTGGTGAGGTTCTTTGGCTATCATGAACAGTGACATTAATGTTTTGTGGGGTTCATTTCGAGGGCTTTTGCATTTTTTGCCTCAGTCGTAAAATGCATCGTGTACTTTCCTACGACAAAAATTTGCAAAATGAGGCAGGGTAAGGGTGGGGCACAACTGTTGATACTCTTCCAAGTGCCTCTCTCCACCCAGGGGTGTAACGTGAACTTCCAGAGAAGCCTCTCAAAAGAGTCAAAAGAGGTAACCTGCGATGGACTGGTATCCTATCCAGGGGGATTGGTAGCTCCTCTGGGGAGAGGGCTGAGGGTAAGGCACGACGCTTGATACTTTTCCAGTGCCTCTCTCCACTCAGGAGTGTAATGTGAACTTCCAACCTGCGATGGACCGGTATCCTATCCAGGGGGATTGGTAGTTCCTTTGGGGAGAGGGCTGAGGGTAAGGCACGACGCTTGATACTCTTCCAGTGCCTCTCTCCACCCAGGAGTGTAAATGGGTCGCAGTAAACTTCTAAGGAAGCCTGGAAAAATGCTATTGGAAGAGGTAGCCTGCAATGGACTGCTGGCATCCCATTAGGGTTGGGGGGGGAGGGTGGGGAAATTCCTCGAGTCACTTCATGCTACAGATAGCGACAGGAATACGTTCTGGTTGAATGGGCCACTTTTCTAGAGAGTAAACTTGCATGAGGGAATGCATCAAATCTTTTTAGATATTTTTTAAATGGTGAGTTACTATTTCATAAATTTATAACTGGGCAACTGCCCACCTACCCCTCCTAACTCAACAACAGTCAATTGACAACAATTTGAGGTTAATGTTGGGTTAGGGGAGGGGTAGGTGGGCATTTTCCCAGATACTGATATTGATCCCCAATTGATATATCATTTGAAGGAAACTGGGAAGCAGTTGATACCCGAGAAAAGAACAAACACCTTCACTACTTCATCAATGTTTGTCGTGCTGTGAATCCATCTGGAGAAGCCCTGAAATGTCCAGGTGGACCTATAGGCGGTTGTCAGATCGATCACAGTCAGAAGAAAGGATTCAACTTGGGATATGTCCAAAGCAATCCACAGATCACAAGCAAAGGAGAGCTGTCCTTACAATATTCTGGTGGAACTCCTTGTCACAAGAATCAGTTCAGCAGGAGTCTAAGAATTGTTTTTTCGTGCTCAAAGCGAACGGTAAGGTTATGGACATGAAAAGAGTGAGAGTTAAGTCATTAGCTATTGCAAAATTTATCGATAAATTTTCATAATTACACAATAAATCTTCTGTTACAAAATTAGTGGAAAACGTTCTATGACAGCTTTTCATTCATGTTCTAAAGGAAAGGCGTAACAAAATTGCTATACACAAAGGAACTGTTAGTGCCCTTTTCGTAGTTCCATTGATTATCATCCTGTTAAAGTAAAGCCAGTTCAATTTTTATTCATTTTAGGGCTCTCCTATCTTCATAGCTGAATCTCCAGAGTGTGAGTACTTATTTTCTTGGGAAACACCCAGTGCTTGTCCATTGACAAAAGAGGTTGGTTATGACTGCAAAGTAGAGGACAAACAGTATGGCTACATGTTTGATTTATCCGTGCTCTATAACAAAACAAAAGACTACAATGTTAGTGTCAGAGGTGGAGCCCCTGGTGAAAGGATTATTTTAAATGTCTGCAATAAGTTGGTGGGAGGCCCAAAGGAATGCCACGGAGAGACAGTTGGAGCGTGCATTATTGGTGAGACAGAATTGTACATGTATACTCTACTGATTATTATAGCGGAGCTTGCGTAGCCCCATAATTATGCAAAATAGTAGTAACCCATCAAGCTGAAAAAATTTGGATGTACGACCGTACGACCGTACAAAGTGCTACTTTTAACATGCGTGGTCAACTGTACCGCGGGCACACCAACGCCACGGCTTTGTCCAGTGGTCAGTGCACTGGGCTCCGAGTCGGACGACTCGGGTTCTAGTCCTGGCCGGGGCAAGGCGTTGAGACGTGCGGGAAAAAAATGCGAGCTCCGCTTTTAGGCTTGGCTAAATCTACATATTAGCTATACAGGGCATGAATTTTTCGCACTTGTTCCTACGGACAACTGCAATATTTTTGTTTTACTTGTTCGAAAAGCATGTCAACAACTTCTATAGGGTAAGAAGCGGACTCGCATTGAAATTAGTGGCCGCACTGCGCGTAACAAAGTCAAACACACATAACTAAGCAAACTGATATTTTAACTTTCCGTAACCGGTACTTATTTTTATGGACTTGTCCAAAATCAGGAAAAAAATTCTTACCCAATTTTTTGGTAGTTGGATCGGACAAAAAAGAATATATTACAGTTTTCGAAAAAGGCATTTCACGGCATTATCTTAGGATCGTGTCGGTCGCACAAGGGCGCGCGAAAGACAAAAACTTCCCAAACGAAGCTATTGAGAGTCCTTTACGACTAGCAAAAATATGTTTCTCTCTGAAGCCTGAAGGACGTACACAAAGCAAAGTTTGGATCGTTTATTGCAGTTTTTTTATTCCTTCAATCTCCGTCCATAGCGCAGTACTGTCGCGTATTTGGTGCTTTCTGTTGTCACTCAATTGTGAATGATAATTATTAATTTTAGGATGCACATGTTAAAATGCTCCTATATTTATTTCACAGCTGTCTTGGTGAAAGTGTTGAAATATTGATTGACTATGTTTTGGAATGTCTTAAAACAGGAACAAAGAATGTTGAAAAAGTTGTGTTGAACAAGAATCTCACTTACTACAATGGTCAAATACAAACAACATACGGAGAAAACCCAGCTATAAACATCACCTTTGAATGTAACCAACAAGCGTTAGGGCTTGATACAGGCCCGACCTGCGAAAAAAAGAGCAACACATATGACTGTCATTGGCAGACACCATTTGTTTGTAGGCCGATGATCAGTTTGCAGTGTAGTATTCGAGATGAAGAGAAAGATACTGACAATCAGTATGACTTCTCCTCGCTGTCCAAGAGTGATGGAAACTGGAGGGCAAAAGTCACGGGTCCAAATTTGGATGGTGTTTCTTTTTTCATAAATGTCTGTCGTACAGTGTTATTGAAAGGTGCTGCCGCACATTGCCCCCCGACCTCAGGTGTTTGTATGGTCAAAGGGTACGTATGCTCAGACATCTTGATATTAACCCTTTATACCCTAACATCAGTATGCATATTCTCCATAATGTTTTTCATGCATTTGCCAAAGTGCTGACAAGGAGAATTTGTTTAACAATCCAAGTTCTTTTAGTTGTTGATGGTTTCCTTGATTCTCTTGGCCCTAATGTGTGTTTTATGGGGGATAGTGTCAGGAGAAACTAGATACTGGTCACCCTAAGGAGTCAAAGGGTTAAAGTATTGGATATTTTGCTTGGTGCCAACTTTTCACATCCTCAAGTATGTTTTGATACACACGTTCGCTTAATTGCCGTGCTCCTTTGTGAGGGAATTCCCTCATGTAAGACACATTGATGTGGCATCGAAGAAATCGCCTTCCATCCCTTTTGGTCCGAATTAGGGTAAAGAATCTACCATTTGGGTCTAATGAGACCAAGGTATTGTTCTCTCTATAGAACTCAAGCAATCTTAAGCAATTCACCTTTTTCTGTTGATCTTCAGGTCTTGAATAGAATTGGGGGGACGGAATTGGGGGAGATTCTCAAGAATTTTGGTCAAATTTGATTTCCAATTTTATAATCTCAGTTTGGCACACACACATATTAAGCAGTAGGTTCTAAAGTTAGAAGAGATGGGTTACAGAAAACAACCCGCGTCCTCCAGGTACACATTAAACACTCTAAACCACGCAGCTAAGTCGCCTACATTTGATTTTAAGAATTGAATCCTTTTGTTTCCTTTTAGAGGAACATCCTTTAACCTTGGAACCATAAGGCACGGACCTAGGAAGAGAGAAGATAATATTTACTTAGATTATGAGGAAGGTGGCAACTGCGGAAACGGGAAAAAATATTCTACACACATACTGATGATGTGTGGAGAAAGAGAGGTATTAACATGAAACTTTTTATTCTGTGTACATTCCCTGTGTTTTCTGTACGTGCCAAATTTGCGCGTTTATCAGTTAACTTTCTGAGCTTCAACTGAAGAAACAACTTCCTCGTTTTGGTTTGTTTAATGATCTAAAGCGAAGAAGGAGTCCTGCAAACAATACACAGACACAGTTACGTTAGCTCTAACGGACTAAATTAGCTGGCATGGCGACGCCTAAGCAATGACCTGATAGCTGGCTGCGACAGTAATAAGCGTACTTGCATAAGAATATACGCAAATAATGTTCCACGACGGAGCAGAATATCGTCTACGCACGCAGTAGACTTTGGCGCGGAAAACGGGCTCTCGAGTCGCTTACATGGTTGATTTCCACTCTATTGCTTTGAGGCGTTGTTTCCGTTGCCGCTTTTCTTTTACAGAACAACCTCCAAAAACTTTGTACACCTCTTTAATAATTTAAAAAAAAAATTTTTTTCCTTAAAAACACTGGAAATAGGAAAATGCCTTCAACGATAACAAAATGCCCTGGTTTTTAAATCCCAGCCCTTTTTTCCCCGCAAATTTCGCCGAATTTTAAACCTCGTGCGCTTGAGCCCGCGTTATTGACCTCATACCTGTGACGTAGCATTTCGTTATTCAGCTCTGTCATGTTCCACGACGTCTAGAGAACGTTCGTAAAAACAGAACAACATGGCCGGCTCCTTTCTGAGCCGGTCAGCGGTACTAAGGCCTAGACGGGTTGCTGTACATAAGCAGAGCGGTGAACTCTTCATCAACTATCATTATTGAGGTGGTTTGACCATGAGCTCAGTGTGGCAAACTTCACTCGTCCCTGAAACTGCTATGTTGGAAGGGGAAGGGATGCTGATAATTTTTTTCTCTGTAAAGGACTGGTCAGGAAAAAAAAAATATCAGAGGCTTTTAGGCTATTTATATGTCACTCTATCATTATTATCTTTTTGGATATTTTCCAAGGTTTCCTTTTAGAGTCAAGGTTACCCGTAAATCGCCTTTCTATCCAACAAGGTCTCCTTTTTCTTATTATCTGGTTAAAACGTTTGGCAGAACAGTAAAGATTTTGTGGATGTTGTCCGATGACCAACAGTTATTTTCAGCTCTGTGATATCATGCTTACATTTTAAGAATGGCAAAGGTCTCGGCTGTTGCAGTGGTAGATTCACTTAGTTGCTTTTATTTTCCTTTTATTTTAAGGGAGGTTTGCCGGTGTTCATAAACTATAACGCACAAACTTGTGAGTATAATTTCCTGTGGACCACAAGTGAAGCATGCCCGGTGAATGATAAAGAAGAGATTACATATGACAACTGTACTGCAGTCAACCCCTATACTAAGGTCTTGTTCGATCTGAACCGACTAAGGAACAAACATAGTGACTATGAAATGGCAGACAAGCGTGATCACAAGTACAAGTTGAATGTTTGTGGACCTTTAGTGAAACCTCCAAAAGGTATTGTATGTGTAGGAACATTGTAGCTTTGTTATAGCGCTGTTCAGCTCTCGTACATGTTCCGTGTGTCGAATGCCCCGTCATGAAGTAATCATTGGTCAGACAGAACAACGTACCAACCGAGATGTCGCCAACTTTGCCTGAACAATTCTTGTGGATCCTTTACTTAGAGAGGTTATTTGCAACGAGCTTTTAAAGCATACCAAAGAATTTCCGACATGGTGAAGTACATGTCATGTATTATTCTTCTTCTTTTAGAAAATGAAATTCAAATTGGAGTAAAATGTTACATAGACAAACTCAGTTGAACTACAACGAATACATGATTTTGCAAAGAGAAAATCCGATTCTTTATGGTGCTTAAACGTCTCTGAATACCATGATATACTATAATCTTCTGGTGCTTGGTTACGTGCGATATCAGATTAGGAACATCCTCTTTCTCATTGGTTGTTTGTTTAACCGTTCGAATGCATGGCGTGACATGACTGAACAAGGGCTGCGAAGAACAACACAGTGGCTAAGTCACGTAGTTGAATTTCAGGTGTTGTTGGTCAATTTCCCCTGAGGTCAAAATTTAATTTTCTGTTGGTTTTTTTTTTTAACGGTAATGGATAATTATGGGAAAAAACCGAAAATAGAATTTGAACTTAAGACAACTGCAGTCGAGACATACTCTTGATTATTTTGAGGTGTGTTGCAGATAATTTTCGTTTATTTGTTTATTGCAGGTTGCGGAACAAAATCTGGAGTTTGTCAAGTAGGGCAACAGACATACAATGCAGGAATCTCCAACATGCGCCTCCACTTTGATGATGGGATACTATATTTAAACTTGAGCGGGGGAGATCCATGCCATCATGTGAAGAAAAATCGCGAGACGATTATTCAGTTCGTGTGTAGTCCAAGTCATGGCAGCCAAGACTTGGGGAAGCCTGTTTTCGTATCTGAAAATGACTGCACATACTTTGTAGTTTGGCATACTTCTCTTGTCTGCGAAAGGCAGGTTAGTACGATAGATCTTGATCTTTTGTAACTCCCGAATGAGAAGATCTCCAAAAAGTAATATTCCAAAGTAGTTTGTTATTAATGACGACTTTAAGATGCAGAATCTTTGCAAATTATAAAGTTCCGCGCCTGTTTAAGCTGGACCTCTAGTTTCTCTAGCATGAATGCTATTCAATCATGACCTAACGTCAGCATGTAGTGATTTCCTTTCCAGGGAGGTGAGAGGCACTGTTTGACTAAAGTGTTCACCCCCATGATCATAACACCACGAACTGACCAAGACTGGAACCCAGACCTTAAAATCTGGAGTCCTGGGTCGACATGTTTCAAAACCGATCTTTAAAATTTGTTGGTTTGCAGATATATTTTTTCTTTACGTTTTGTTTCAGTTTTCAGTTTTGCCTAATACTATAATTAAAACTCTCGTTATTTAGGCCTAACATACTCTGTCAGTGATGACAAGTCAGAACTTTGTTCAAGTTTTAATCCTGGATTAGCACAAACCTTAAATCCAACAACAAGCCCCTGTGTACATGCCATTCAGTAGGTCACTACGTCTCGACCCAAGACGTTGAGGAACCTGTTTTCACTTGAAGTGCCACATTCCTCTGTGACGGGACTTTCAAGTCATTGCCTTTTTATAGCCACGAGAATAGAAAAATAGGGGGAAAAGAGTGGGTCTTCTTCCACTGATTATAGGTCGATTTGGAATTTGGAGTGATGGTTTTTTTGAAGGGAAGAAGACCGGATAACGCGGAAAAAAAAACCATCAAAGCAAAATGAATACGGAAAATCATTAAAAATTTAAGTTACATTGGATGACAGGCTCCGAATTTTGGTCCCAATAGTGAAAGGCGAACACTGTCATCATGATTGTTTCTCCCATACCCTCCACCTCACCATGTGCGCTATCAGTTGTTACTAAGTTTTTACAACTTGTTTCTTTCCCCATCTGATTCTTACTGTTCTTGTAATTCACATTTTCTTCCTCGAACTTCATTGGCAGTATGAATGTGCAGCCTTTCAAAATGACAAGGATGGAACAACAGTACAATACAGTCTTTCGCGACTCATGCGCACGGATGCTAACTGGGAGGTAATATGCAACACTTTAAAGAGGCTTGTTGACATAACCGTCAAAGATTTCAGCATTTTCCAACAGGTCGCAGAAAAAATGTTTACACATCAGGAAAGAAGCATACAATTTAGAAGTATTCAGAGAAAACTAACCTATCAAACAAACAAACAAAATTCTTCCCCCCCCACCCCACAAAAAAAGAAAGAAAAAAAAGAAACAAGGTGAGGCATGGATGAGTAAAAGTGTATTTGGGTAAACTTGAAAGACTTTGAACCATACGGGGATTTCAGATTATCATATCAACGTTCTACGCATGCTCTGTAGCTTTCTGGAGCAATCCACCCTTTCACTCCCAATATTTCATTACTATCTGCGATACAATTTTTACAGGGGTAGTTCTAAGATTTTGATAACACGTCCACTAATAATTCTCTTATCGATATTTTTCTTTGTTCTCATTACCTTTTAGCTTGATATTGAGTTGAAATTGTAAGGAGAAATTCTGTCTTAGTCACTTATGGGAGTTAAAGGGTTAACATGCATATTCTCCTCAAAAATTTGTCATATTATCCTGAACACGAAAGACAAGAGCAGACCAAGTCATTTGCTAGATTGTGCTAGCCTTATGCAACATAGAAGTTTCTGAAAATGGAAATGTTCGCAGCTAGAGGGGATAATTATAATTGAGGGAATTGGATATTAAGGTATTAAGATAGAAGCGGGCAAATGCCATGTTGATACTTTAAGTTTAGTTCATCTATCAGTTCACAAATTGTGATTGTATAATTTTTTTTTTTTTTTGCTAAGGCTAATGCGATAGGAACTTTTTATTTTCGAAAAAAGGTGGAAGTTGTCCCAAAAGCTTCCCTATGTATAATACTTGTCTCCGTTGTTTAACAGGTGATACCAGAGGACGGTAAGAACTACACTGCCTCTTACTATGTAAATCTGTGCCGCCCTTTGTTACCCATGCCAGGAATAAATTGTCCAGCAGGCGCCTGGGCGTGTAAAGTCTGGACAAATGGGCAGAAAAATCAACAATATGAGGTAAAATGCAAGTGCACAAGGTGAAGCCAATCTTGTGTTTTGAGTGGCTGATAATTGAGCTCGGAAGAGAAGCCTTTCTTTCTCCAAGGGACTTTCTGTTGCAAGTGATTGTGATATGTTATTATTATTATTTTTTTTTTTTGAGAATTTTCGCAAATATTTTTTGCATGAAATTCGGTGTAGAAAGGCGTACACCAAATGCCCATCTTCAATGATATGATGCCTATATGATTAATTGTTTGTTTATTGTTTGTTCTTGGAAGTCATTGCGTTTGTACGGATCAGTCCTCTAAGAAAACATGACATTTTTGTAATGCAGTAAGGCGAAATGTCCATTTTATTGTTGATCAGGACCTAGGAAAAGCAGTCCAACCCCCAGTGGTAGTCAAGAGTAGAGAGGTGAATCTTGTTTACACAAGTCCGACCACGTGCTCGAAAAATCGTTCAAAAACCATAGAAGTCCACTTTAAGTTTCGTTGTTCATATGGTGAATTGGTGAGTCTGTGAAAAACCTTTTTACTTTTTCTTTGTTGATTGTACAATAAGATTAGTTCATGCTCAGGCGAATTTCTTTTGCGTTAAATTCCTTTGAGAATTTTTTTCTAGTCTTTCCCTAGCGTCTTTTTTTTTTTTTCATGGCTATTGACAATACAAACACTCGAATAACCTCATCATTGAATTTCATAAGTTTGAGTGATTCTTGAAAATAGTCAATCGAGTGATCATTCGTTCCGTCCGTTTGACTCAACTTACAGCCTGTTCTGAAATCTCTGAAATGATAACCAATCAAAGGTCATCTTGCCGAGGGAAGTGGTGTGGAGTTAAGAGTTTAGGAGATGGCGTTGAGAGGTTTTGTTGGCGATTGAAATTATCAAAGCGGGGTAAAAAGAAAATAGATATGTATCTGAAGGAAATGACAAATTCTTTTCACACCACTAGCCTCGGTAAGATGACCTTGTACCCAATTAATCTTGCAAGTTAAAAATTCTGTTTTGCTTTCCATTTTACTTATTTTTTGGGTTTTGTTTTTCAGGGTCATCCTGTTTTGGAGTCAGAGGACAAGTGTACCATTCATATCAGCTGGGCCACAGTCGCTGCTTGTCCTAACATTCAGAAAGTAGATCTTGAAAACTGCAGAGTGTTTGACAATGGTACCGGACAAGTTTACTCCCTCAAGCCGCTCTTGAATTCTCCTGGTTCTCATCATTTCACAGTGGTATGATTAATTGCAGCTCACTGTCTTAGCCGGACTTATTTTAGTGTCATTTAGGGATAAAGTTACCAATACAGGAAGTGATAAGGAGAGTATAACTTTTTCAAATGCATAAATTTAAATTTATAACACGAGGACGCATAATCAAAGTGCTGCCTCATGTTGCCTGGAGGCTCCTCTGTGAAGACATCTTGCTTGCCTAGCTCCTAAGCTTTCATAAAGCTAAGTTATGTTAATCGCCTTTAGCACTTGCACCACCACGACAACTACAATTGGATGGAGAATTTTAAGTTTGACGACGTCACAAAAGCACTTTAAGTACAGCCATACGTGAAGAGACTGACAGCACCTCGTGTGAAATGTTGTCAGCCTCTCTTGCAGCTGAATAAACAGCTTTCATTCATGCAATGTGTGCAATGTTTCAACATTTTTCATTCGTTGCAGCTATTTTTTTTAAACAATGACAAAAAATTATCTAAGTAAGCGTTTCAGAAACCAGTTCGTTACGGTCAAGTCGTGGAAAGATCTTTCTACTCATCTTACTCATAGAAAATAATTTTATAGACAATATTGTGAGGAAATTTTATTTCCCTTTTTCTCCAGGGAAATGAAAATGACCCAACGTTCTTCTACTTGTCCGTTTGCGAACCGTTAAAGTTGAAAAAGGGAAGCTGCGAAGGCGATGGAGTATGCATGGTTACGAATAATGGCACTAAGTCGTACAAAAGCCTGGGTCGGTACGAGCACAGAAGTATGAGTTTCTTCAGGGAGGACGAAATGTTGATTTTGCAGTACTGCAATAAAGAGTGTAAAGGTAAGTGCTCAGTAAAATAAGACTAAAGAGTAATTTGCGTAAAAAAAAAAAAAAAAATTAGTGATGTGAGCTATAAGCCAATTCAGTATAGGTGATATTTAAACCAATCGCAATTTGACAACTTCCATTTTCCCGGCTGTGAGTCCTTGGACTCATTTACAACTCTCTCTTCTTTTTTCGTTTTTTAGCTTGACTTTTAAAGAAACGAACTTTTAAACGCGTCAGATACCGCATTGCACCGGTATCGACACGTACCGCACCGCATCGGTATCGCAGAGGTCATGGGTTTAAATACCGAACAGGCCTGAATTTTTTTGCAGGCCTTATTTTCACTACTGCAGAGATCGCTCTCATATACACAGATTTTTTTCGTTGGGCACAGAGAACACTTGATCGTTTTCTTTCATATTGGTTTCGTCTTACATGTACTCTATATGCAATTGATACGATGCATAGATAAGTTTCGCAAACTCAAATTAAAATGATATAAAGTGAACTGATAAATCCCTTATTTAATGGTTTAATATGCAATACGAGCGGATAATTTGCTCATTGCTTGTATTTTTTATCGCTCCTTAGGTGCTTGTAAAAGTACTACGCAACTCTCAAAATATCCGAGCGTATTATAGGTTAAACCATCGAGTAAGGTGTATATACTGTACGTGGAACAATTTGTTTTTCTGTCGTTTTTCAGATGCTGATGTAAAATCAAAAATAACATTTATTTGCGACAGAAATCAGACGAATCGTGGGCAGCCACAAATGCAATCATATGGGGTGAGTGATTTTAATTCTTTTTTCATGGAACTGCTCTTTGTTCTGTTTATTCTGGCTTGGTGATTATTACCTTTCAAAAATTTTGTTTTGGTTTTCGTAGAAAAACGGTGCAGATTTTATATTCAGAACAAATTTAGTATGTCCTCCGCTTGAGCGGGTGTGCAGTTACAGTGATTCCGGTACTACTTACGACCTGCAACTCCTAACAAGTCGAACAGGAAGCTGGAATTACACAACGAGTCATAAAGACAGGTACCTACCTCTGCTCTACAGCTATGTCACTGCTCGTTTCTATTCATTTTCCATTGAATTCTCTTCATTATTTCCGTTTGCTTTCTTTTTCTAATATTCTCTATTTAGCAGCCGTGCGATTGTTCTGGTCGCCTTGGCGAGTAGGAAAAATCAACTTGAATAAATTAGCAGCAAAGGTCACCAATTTTGGATGCTATCGCTATCTACCAGGTTTCGGACGCCATCGTCCGTTTTTACACTCTCCCATTAGATCTCGGAGGCTATCGCTCGTTTCAGGACACTTCCATTTGATTGCAGCGCTTTTGTTCGATTTTCGATACTATCATCCAATTTCTGACGTTATCGCCCGCTTGCGGCAGTTTTTGGATACTTCAGTCGAATTTTGGATTCTTCCGTCCGATTTCGGACGATCTCGTTCGATTTTGAATAGTAACGTTCGTTTTCGATCACGTTCGTCCGATTTCGGTCGCTGTCGTGTATTTGATTTAATTTCTGGCGACAATTTTATGACGGTAGGGTATTTTTCATTTTGTGGAAACCCTCTTTTGAATTGGGCCGTTTTATGTCGAATATCAAACTTGGCCAGGAATCATTGGTTACGGTTGTTAGCTTATAAGATCACATAGGAGAAGAAATTTCAAAGATCAACAGCATGGCGCGGCGTTCCCATTAGCTCTTTGTGTTGTTCACGTTTATCCTATAAGGTCTTTGTTCTTCCTTTTATTCAAATTTAGTTAAAAAAGCTCTTAAGGATTTGCGAAGTCAGACTGAAATATTTTTTCTCTTTTTTTTTCTTAGATTCTGGATAAACATTTGCAGAGGCATCAGTGATGGTCCCAAAGGTATCTTAGTATTATCGTCAAGGAAGCTGAAAAGCAGTGATTTGAGCTAATACTTTAATGTCGTAAAATTATCATAGATTTCGTTTGTCTATCTATTTACATTTCCAATTTTTAAAATTGATTTGTTTGCTTCCAGGTTGTCCGCCTTCTGCCTCAGTTTGTATGATAAGAGCAGGACAAGTCAAAGTGAACGTACTCGGGCTCACAAGCACGCAGATGATCTCTTTTAAGGGTGAGTATTTGTATCAGCCGTAAAATACATTCTTTATTCCTCTAGATCAGCGAAACGCTTGACACTGTCCGGTAGTTTACAATGCAAAAATCGTGTTACCGTAACCGTTAATCCACGAGTTTACAATGTTCAATCCTTTGGTTTCCGTAAGTTCCTTGACAAATGACAGTCCAGTAAATGGTTCCTTAGCCGTATACAAGCGAAATATGAACAAAGCGAAAGAAAACGCTTAGCGCCCAGGTTTGACCCAAACTGGAATGAACCACGGTAAAATCACGTGACTTAAAATGCTCGGACGGACTGGTCCGATTACACAGGATAACCAATGACAGAAACTGGCAATTAAAGTATTTAATACACGTTCTCTTTGCTGATTTTCATGCCTATGTGTCTTACCAGCCTGTAACCCAGCCGGTCAATAGATACAGGGTTAGTTACATGGGTGTAATGGGTGGGCCAGACCTGCGAGGAGAGGGCAGAAACATGCAAGGCTGAAAATACGAGACACAGAGGCGTAATGTTAGTTGAGGGAAAGGCAAAGGTGATGGATGTTGGTCATAGGGTGGTGAGAGATGTATTAGGGGGGGAGGGGAGGGGAGGGGAGGGGAGTCATGTTGGAGACTTGCTGAAAGAAGAGACATGCAGGGCAATCGATGAAGAAAGTAAGGGCGGGAGAAAGATTTAGAGAAGAAATCTTCTAGAAAAAGCAGGTTAGAAAAAATGGCGAGAAAAGGGAGATTGCGAATGAAGATTAAAGGAGGAAGATGGAAGGATCTGGTGAAGGGCAAAGGTATCGATGGAAAGAAGGGACAGACTTGAGATACAAGAACTACTTTAGGGAAGAGAGGGTGGTGCGAAAAGAAGGAAGAGGAGACACTGGGGTAATATATGTGTCAATTGGTGGTGGGACAGAGCAAAATGGGATAGCAAGGGAGATGGGCGAAATGAAGAAAGAACTGAGAATCCTTTTTTTCGCTTCTTTTTTACAGGTGGTAAGCTTCAGTTAACGTATACAGGGCTACCAGTCGATGGTTGCAGAGGAGGTGTGGAGTCCAAAGTCGTTTTCTATTTTGATTGTGGAAATCATGTTGGTCAGCCTTCTTTATCAAGGTATGTCGTACGAATTGAAGACTATAATATCTACTTGAGTGGAAAAGGTTTGCCTGCTGCTGGCTTTACACAAAAACTAACGGTAAATGAGAGGAAACATCACATCCAGAAAAAAGCAATTGATCCATAGGAATTGTTCTGTATTACGTGTAACCTTTTTTTATCACTGTCGCGTTCGTCTTTTTTTCCACAGAGAAGAGTGGCAATCTTGTGTTTTTGTTATTAACTGGAAAAGCTCGGTAGCTTGTAGAGTGGAAAGGTGAGGATTGCCTAAATTAAGTTCTTCGACTGTGTTACTTCATATTTGTTTTCTATAAAGGAGGTGTACTGTTAACACGGCGGTTAAACGCCGCTCAAGCATGCGCAATTGGCTATTACAAACGCTATTACAAAACTGCTTAAGGAAACAAAAGTAGGGAGAAGGAAAACCTATGGATTTTTGAACACTAAGTTAACCATTTGATCCCTAAGAGTGACTAACATCTAACTTCTCCTAACAATATCACACTTAAATCATACATTTAAGCCATGAGAATATAGGAAACGATCACCAACTAAAGAATCTCTCGTTTGTTAAACAAATTCATCTTCTCAGCACCCAGGCCTCTTTGACCTCTGTTGGTTACAGATGGTTGATCGCCTTCAGTCTCTGTTTAACTTTTTCCATATTTCTGTATAAAACCACGCACAACCCACAATATCTCTGTTCGCTCAGACGTAGAGCTGACGTTCGAAACGCCAGCTTTTCAATCAGTTTCTGGAGGCCAATTTACAACACCAACTGAGGGGATGGTACCAAAATATCTTACAATGTCTAAGAGATCTAAAATTTTCTGATGTAGTTACTTAAAAAACACAAGTGCCACCGTCTTCAAGCGTTTGTTTCCTCCAAACTGAAACTTATAACATTTCCTCCTTTCTATCTTCTGTTATTTTCATCTTTATTCTATGATTTTTCAGAAATGTTTAATTTCCCTTGTTACCTCGCCTGGTTGTTCCACTTTTTTAATGTGAATTAAGATTTATCAGCCCGCTTGGAATTTCTTTCTCTCGGCATTAGGCTTTGAAAAGATTTTCTGTTTTTTTTCATTTCCTCCAATTCCATTGCAGAAAAAAAATTAAGGTAAACAATTGTGTCATCAAACATCCGGTCACGGGCAGAAGCATTGATTTGAAAAAACTTGTGAATGGATCCGAAAGGTAAGATTTTGTTGGGTTGTCTTTTGGTTCTAGAAATAGTGTGTGTACGATTCGTTGAATTTACTCACATTCTGTAGCACCGCTGACCATATACCTAGGGTGCAGTTTCTCTCGCCATGTGCATTGCTTGGGCGTTGTTTGTAAGTTTTCTTTTTTTTTTTTTTTTGTTGCCAAATTTAGTTTATAGCTAAGGATTTTGAGGCTATCCTGTAAGAAGCAGTAACTTCGAATCATCGCCGGATAGATCCTCGTTTGTAAATCGTTGTTTACGAGAATACAAGGAATCTGGACGCACACAAGTTGTTGTGTCGTATTTATTTTCGTTAAGCGTAGCTGGCCCCTACAGTGTATGACATTAAACCAACGCGAAAGAACGATGATGGTAGGGTTTCTGGCTCACCGAAACTGCTAAGGTTTGAAAATACCAGGTGTTCAGTTCAAAGAAAATATATTTTAATTGTTGAGGTCAGGGACGTGAGGCAAACAAACATAAACATAGACATACACACACAAATACATGACGAAAATATTCAAAGTTAAGCTAATAGCATGTGGCAGGAGCTACACATGCACATGAAAATAATGAAAAGAAGAAAAATCAAATTGACAGCCAGAAGACAAAGGTCCTTACATTGCAAAACAATATTTTTATCAAAGAAGAGCAATCTACAGATATTTGACAAACGGAGACATCATTTTCCGGAAGTCTTCAGAATGTAAAAACAACAGTTATTAAAAAACACATAGGTTGTGTGCATGACATAAACTATGTCACTCATCAGCATGGATTGTTCCTAATGTTGATGAGGCTGCTCGTAGAGGGAATTAAATTAATGCCGGTTTTTTGTGACTACTCCTCAGCACGTGGAGAGTTATTGGACAAGACGAACATGGTAAAGCAGTGTTTTATTACATCAACGTTTGTGGTAAACTTAAGGGATTTAAAAAGTTACCATCGAACTGTCATGGAGACGAGACTTCAGTGTGCTGTGGGAACAAAGGGTTTATTGTGACGGATAAAAGTATTTATTATGAAGGTACGTTTTATCTGATTAACTCGCAAGGAAAATAGTGCACAAAAATTTTTCTCTCTTGGATTAAAGTTTATACGTTTTTACTGCACTCATTGGTTACGGCAGGAAGCTAAAAGTAATTATCTTGAACAATACTTGGCGAGGACGCCTAAGTATTTCAGGTTGGACGTTTACTACCAACACATGCAGAATATTGCCAGAGAATTCCTAAAATGAGTGGTCAAACTAATAAATAGACTTTCACCCGTGACAAATGTACAATAATTTCTTTATTCGACGATAAAGCGCAAAGTTGCCACCTTTACAGATCTGTTTCATTTTCAAGAGGGTAGCAAAGAGAGGGTCCTGATCTCGTTTCACGCGTCACATGTACTTTAAACAGTATTTTACGCGTCGTGAATTTAAAAGGGAAAACTTCAGTCCCACCTTACCTTATCTTTCTGTAAAATTCATGCGTCGTGTATTATTTTTTGGCTTAATAACGTGTCACTCATTTCTCCTTTACACCCCTCGTTCCTGGCGCTTTTGATATTGCTGATATTAGCAGTACGTTTGTCACCTATAAAGCTCTTTCACGACCTCGCTCACCATCTATCGACTTAATGTCAGTGGCAGAGCCTACTGGCACGAAATCCGAAGATCTGAACAGAATCTGATGGTTTCTTCGCTTAGCGTTTCCTCTTTTACTTTCGAGAATTCGTAACTATCATTTACTTTGTAGACGCCATTTTTTCGCTTGAGATGACGGCAAGTGATGGGTTCGTGCTTGTGATAAACTTTCATTGTTCAGATGAGGAAGTGGTAAGAGTTGGCGCATTCTCCTTGTCTTAAGAAGTCAATTATGTAACATTTTAAGTGATTATAGTTATCAGTCGCTGTTGTGATCCCTATGCCACAGCGTTTCTGATCATTCGTCTGATATTGTATTCTAATAATTCTGTTATTGTGAATTAATTTTAACGATCGAAACAGTATAAGTGTCATTCTGAAAAGCAATGACTGTGGTGCTTCTACTTGAAAATTTCTTCCCTGACGGTATGAATTGTCATTCAAGACGGCTCCTCAAGCTGGCAAGATATTGCAATTTGTCACTTTTTTCCTCCTTAGGGAAGTCCCAATTTTGATTATAAGTCGAGCAACAATCATCATTTCTTCACTTGGACAACTTCCATTGTTTGCGCGGGAGACTTGTAAGTAGAACATCTATTCATCTGTCTCACCAAGCCTGTTTAGAAGCTTTTTGGGATTGGCCGAAAAAAAATTTGGCGCTTCGCTCTCAGTTAATCATCTGCAAAACAAAAACCATATATGGCGTTATTACGTGCATTTCCCTCGCCTTTTATGTGTCATTTCGTCCAGACCCAATTAGATGAAACAAATACAGTGCAGATATTGTGGGAAGGATACTAACCCAAGCTTTATTTCACGGGATAAATGTTTCCTCTGAATTTGCCAATTTTACTGAAAAGTGTTTCCTGTCGCACTTCGTGTGATCTCTTTCCCAGTCTTGGTTTTAATTTTGGTTTTAATTTGAATCAATGGTTGGAAAACCGTTGATCAAAAGTTGCCGGTTCTCTAATAAGGCTTTATTTTTGTGTCCAGGAGCCGCGACGTGACAGATATTCCTGAAGCTGGACACAAAACAGTCAAGTCTGCTGGAAAGAAAAACTTAGGGATCGCATTTGGTGTGGTTTTCGCCGTTCTCTGGATCATTGTGTTTGTTGTTGTTTTTTATAAACCTTCCAGAAGGTTAGTGAGCTCCATTTTTGTCATTCTTACTACCTCAAAGCAACCACATTCGAAAAGAGTAGATTTAACATCCTCTTATTTACTGATATCTTTTGATCTCCCTTTATGGAGGGACATCTGTATCTCTAGTATACTTTTTCGTGACAGCATAGAACATGCTGATTTTGACTCTTACTTTTATTTGTTCTCATTGCAGGCATCGAATCATTTCTTGTTTGAGGGTAAACTTCAAGACGCATGTTCTTCGCAAAGAGATTAAATATCCGTCGTACAGATATCAAAAGGTAATCCAACCCTCTCAATTCAGCAATAGTCAATAACTCAGAAGGTTCCAAGCTTCTTGTCAGTAAAGGGAACCCGATACACTAGTAGGGCAGAAAGAAACAAGGAAGAGGCTTGGGTTGAGTAGCTCTCAAAACTCCTTGCAGCGCGGTGCGTCATTATCGCGCTTCGTACACCAAACACAGGCTTCACTTAACAAGGCAAGACCTTAAGGCCTCTCATTGTTTTCGGTTCATTGTACACTCTCAAATACACTATGCGTATCTACTGCTTAAAATCTACGAACGACAAAGGACAGAAATGATGAAATCCCAGCCACTTAAGAAAAGTTATCGTATTCCTTGACATCTAACTGGCCTTGTTTTAAATGGGCACACTAGTTTTCACAAATCTTATTATTAACAGTTCTTAACCGAGTGTCGAAGATCATCGAGGGTCGCTTAGTTTTTGCTTCTATTTAGTTTCGCCACCTTTTAATCAGTCATTTGCCAAGCTGAAACAAATTGCGATATGCGGTTGTGTTAACTTGTTTTTACTGTGAGCTCCCAGGAGCTTTCATTCGCTCATTGTCTCCTACCTACTGGTCGGCCGTTGTGATTACTTTGGTTTTGCGTTTACCACACTCATCGAAAAAGCGCCCCGACGAATAGTTTTCCTGTAACAACTATATTAAGTTCCTCTTTTTGTTGGTTTATTTGTTGTTGTTTTTTTTCCATTCTAGCTCGATGTCTCAGATGACGACGAGGCGGATTCTCTCATTAAGATAGCTGAGGGGAGTGACGACGAAGAACAAAACGACGATGAAGATCTCTTACCATTTTAATCGGGAGAGACTGGAACAAACTCTAAACTGCTGACCGCCTATTACAGTAACAGTTGCATTATTGGGAAGGGAGGGTGAAGAAAGTAATTTTATGGTGGCGAGCGACAGGGTTCGATTCAGCGGGAAGCCAGTCGCAGTGTTTGAAGTGCAAGTATTTTTCACCTAACGATAACATTGTCGACAGTCGGTAGATGTGTTTATCGGAGGACTGTCTTTGAGTTAAGCTCCTTTCACACAAATTCATTTGAAAACGATGTTTTACGATACAAAAACGGGTAAAATTTGTGCCGTACGTTCATTCTTTTTCGTATTCTTAAAAAAACTTCATCATCTACCCTGATTAGGAAAAAAACTTAAAAACGAAACTGTGTTTGAAAGGGAGACATATGACATAGTTCACATGACAATTAAATGGAAGTGTTTTCGTCCATTCAGTTAATGAAAACTAGGAATAAAAAAAGGAACGTGTTCAGATTTATCGTAAGATGAATTTCGTGACGTTTTGTCCGCAGAACAAATAGACTGGCGTATAACGGAAGGAGATAATGGCATGAATCTATATCGTGACTCAGATTGATAAAAAAAAAAATTTGAGTGAAAACTAAAGGAGTAGAAGATTTTTTCAAATGAGAATGTAACGGTCATTTTTAGCAAGGTCATTTTTCACGAAAAAATATCACAACGAAATTTGAATGAAATAGTAGAATTCTAAAGTAATTTATTGCCACCTGTAGTGGCTAGACGTAGGTAGAGAAATAACGAGGAGGAGAAAGATCGACTCCAGGTATTATTATTTTTTTATAATGGGGCTTTCGTGTTTGTATTCTCTGGTGAGTGAATCCTCTACTGAGGTTTGTGTAGATGCTCTGTCTTCGCAACATGAATCGAAGCCTGTTTCAAATTGTAATTCTAAACACATTTGTCGGTTTGGAGAAGGAAACATGAGTTGCAGGGTTATTTGATAAATTAGGTGTGGCAATCAGGAGAGTTTTATTTAATAATCCAAGTTGTTGTTAATGAGCCAAGAGGACATTTTCCACTAAATTAATGTTTTAAGAGAATCACTGCAACTGTTTCTTTATTTTCTTTATTCAGCTATTTTACTATTATTCTCAGTTCCCTGATGGTTTGTAGAAGCTCCTCTTACTGCTTGCTTTCTACAAAGGGAGAAAGAAAATCGGTTGAAGGCACTTTAAAACTGACAGAACGAAAAGAACCGCTTCATCAGGAAAGACATGCAATTATTCAAGATTATTTCTTTGAAGAATTTCCCCCCCCACCCCCACCTCCTCCCATCCTGCAAGCAACCTATGACAATGTAAATCACTTTCACTACGTGACATTCTCAGTTCTCTAATGGTTTGTAGTAGCTCCTCTTATTGCTTGCTTTCTACAATGGGAGACAGAAATCAATGGATAGTACTTAAAGACTGACAGAACGGAAAGAACAGCTTAATTAAGAAAGACACGCAGCCATTCAAGATAATTTCTATGAATGACTCTTTCCCCATTCTGCAGGTAATCTATGACAATGTTCCCGGTGAATCGTTTTCCCAGTTTATCACATCCTTTAAACTGGGCTCAAAACATGGCCACACATATTTCATCTTGTTATAAGAAACTAGATGTGAATCAGTACGTACTTGGAAGGCAGTTCTCCCACTCGTTGTCCTTGTCAAAGTTCGAAGTTGTTGCGCACCATGGCATCCAGACCCAGTCTACAATGCACTTGTAGTACTTCTTTCCCTTGTATGTGAATGGAAACACACAGCACTTGTCGTTCTTCGTTTTCCAGGGACAGGCTTAAATAACAAAGCAAAACCAGACAGTTATTATCTCTGAACAAGTCTTCACTCTTTACGCCCTAACATCACTATAGCCGCAAACGCTAATCACTCGTATTTCAAACTTTACTAGAACAAACTTGACACATTGTTGAATACGAGTGATTAGCGTTTGCGGCTATATTTTGTAAAAGACGAATGTGACCAAACCAAAGACGAAACATGAAACCCAGAGCTAGATATGTAACGACAATTTTCGCAAACTAGACAACTAACCAAATAAATTACGCGCAACCAATATATATACGATATGCAAATAAATATAACAAGTACAAAACTGGTAACTGACAAAGGACACTAATGGAAGACGAGAAAATAAACACCTAACACGAAACTATGAAACACCAACACTAACAAAAAATGATAATACAAATTCTTGCGCCTACAATCACTATACACGTTTTCCTTATCGTTCCCTTTACATTTCCTTTGGTGCTTGCAAAGAGAACTTGTCTAACAATCAAGGGCTTCTTAAGTTTGGGATCATTTCCCTTATTGTCATGAACTTAATGTTTGATTTAGGGATTATAATGTTGGGAGAAATTAGATGCTTATCACTCTTAGGAGTTTAGGGGTTAATACATTTTAGGTCCAGCCTGTATAGCATCGAGTGTTGAATTGCAAGATCGAGGAAAGCTTGGGGCGAGTAGAAAAGTGTATAAGAGGGGGAGAGAGTGCCAAGTTTATCCAAGCCACACGAAAATTTTCGGTTCCAGCTCAGGAAAAGGTGAGTTTAACTCTTACCAATGGCTGATCCATAGACCTCAACACGCATACAAGGCTTGTAGTTCCATTCAACGGGGACAAAGCGGATGAAATGCGCAGTGATTGGTCGGTTTAAGTCATTCTTTACCATCTCGTTAGCGTTCGTGTTACCGGAAAACTCCTGAAAGAATCATGAGGTGCCGAGGATCATTGAATTGATTTTGAGCAGGACGGATTTCTTATTATAAAATTTTGATTGATTGCCAAAAGTAATCGAGGATTGTAGTGTCGAAGATCATCAAGGATCGCTTAATTTTTGCGTTTATTTTCTCTATTATTGGTCCAGAAAACTCATGCCACCCTCTTAATCAACGAATTTAAAACTGAAATGCGACTTGCTCCATTGGTCACCCGAGTTTGACGCGCTTTTAACAGTATGTAATACGTTATGTTCTCATTGGCTATTTGCAATATTTTCTTTGCTCTGATTGGCTATTGTGATTGCTGTGGTTTTATTATTACGATACTTAGCCCTATACATCGGGCGCTAATAAACAAATAATTCAGTGATTTACCAGCTATGTAGTCAGTTTGGCGGAGAGGTAAATCTTACCTTGACCTCCCCATTTTCGGTGTAAAACGTGAAGTTCTGCCCGTCCATGGAGTATTGAAGTCGATATTTTGTCACCCAGTCTGTATCATACAGAGGTGAACCCTGAGTAGCAACTGCACAAATGTTGTATCGACCTGGAAACTCGACTTGAAGGTAATATCCCTTGTCAACTTCTCCCAACGTGTTAGGACACCATACACCGTTATCTTTGTGTAGACGACCCTTCTCAGGTCGGAAGGCATGGAAGGGTTCCTGCCACGAGGAGGCAACGATGTTTTCATCCGAGATCTTTCCGCTCTCCATTCCGATTGGGTAACCACGGCAGGCGACGTCTGAATGGTTGATGTATGTAGAAAAGAAACAGGCACAACTAAGAGGGTGCGGGGGAAGGGGGGGATAGTGGGTAAGGTACATTTGACCCTTCCCTTATGGGAGATAGAAGTTATCTTCGTTATTTCAAAACCATGCGTGCGACCTTTTGAATCAAAGTTGATCTTGGATACTTACCTTTACAGCGTTTATTGGTGGTGTTACAAGTATACGTGTTCCAGTATTCATACTGCAAAGAAAGCGTTGATGTAAGCCCAGACACAATCAAATGAAAGAGCCATTTCCTTTTTATATGCTAAACTATGAGCAAACAAAACCGAAACATTCCGCAACCTAACCTCCTCCTCCAAGATCTTTTACAAATTTTTCTCGATTTACTTTCACTTTATCAATGCCGATACTTTAATCATTCATTCAGTAAATATGTTATGTCTATTGCTCAATTAATTATGCCTAAAAATGGTTAAATAGGTCTTCCAATTCCTATCCAAAACCACTACCTGCCAGGTTGTATTACAGAGGTTAGAAGTAATATACTTGTTAAAATAACAGACAACACCGCTATCTTTAACGACTAGCTTTTGTCTCTGGTTGGATTGATATCAACTTTCTTTCAACAGGAAAAAAAAACATCAAGGAATAGTTATGTATTTAAATAAATATATTATTTCAATCAAATTTCCCGCGTAAAGTTGAAGTGTCTATCACAAGCATTAAGAGCATAACAGCAATTGGTCGATGAAATTTGACATTGATACGGAAATTATTGAAAAATGACTAATTTGCCGATAAGAGATGAATATTCGACTCGTTCGTAATAAAGATAAAATCAAATTTGACCAACCGACTGTTCCGAATGACCGTACTTTTCGACGACTTCTTCGAAGTCACATGATTCCTCTCCGTAGCATTCTTCGTAGATGTCATTGTCCAGAAAGAAGCGTTTGTAAAATGACGTGGCCTCTTTTTTGCTTACCACAACATCTTGAGCTCGGTGAGAAAGGCCTGTGTTTAGCAAAATAATCTCAGATTTAACAGAACTTTACAATCTTAGGACATTGTCTGACAATCACAAAAAGATTCCACAATAATTGGACTCACTTGAGGAAACATGAAAGATAGTCGCAAAGACTAAGGCGAAAATCACCCTGAACATTTCGTTGACTGAGCTTGTAAAGAGCTTTTTGATCTGTGCAGGGATGGAGTCTAGTTTTTTACGGTTTGCTTTATACGCGTCCGCCTCCCGCCGATGGCGCAGCTAAAAAAACGGCTAACCTTCAATAAACGGAAAACATTTGAATTCATATGTCGATCAAAATATTCATTAAAGGTTTTTATAGTTTAAAAGCAAACACAGCTAGGCTAATAATGCAAATAAATTTGCTTATCAGAAAATGGGCTAAAGGTTGTTTTTTAGGTCAATATTTACAATTTAGGAAAACAATTGGCTGGAAATTACAATAGTTGGGCGAGTAACACCGTAGCGTGAATTGAAGCAAAATTAATTGGGTGCGTTGATCTTGCTTTTTTTTCGGATGGATCGTCACTTCCTTTTGTTTCAGCGCTTCATGAGTGTTGGCAAAATTCATTCTTAAATATACAAGTTTGAACTGAATCCTCGTAAGGAGAAAATTGATAAGGAACTTAGCGCATAGATAAAGGAGCGCGGGGATTGTGCACTAGTATTACAACTTCAGGAGACCTGCTCTTAGCCAAGGCCGCAGGAGGACTAAGCCCATTCAAAATAAATTTACCGAGGTGAAAGGAGTTCGTGAGCAAACATGTTTATTAAATACATATTCTCTTGCTTTACGTGTTTGTAATGATAAACCTACGTATGATGTAAGACGCTTTTCAAAGCTACAAGGCTATCTAAAAATAATGTTTTCTTCTTTCAAATGTAGAAACTGCAAGTGCATCGGCCTCTTGCTCTTTACTTCTAGTTTTCTGTTGAAAAAGAACAAAAAGAAAAAAGTGAAGATAATTGAGACCAGCCTTCAGATAACGATGAAGTGCTCAATGGGTTAAAAGCTCAAACTTGCCGGCGACTCGCACTCTCCCTCTCTCTGGGTTTTATCGTTTCCTGCCCCTGAAATTGCTCTTGATATGAATACAAGATTTTCTTTTAATTTCCTTTCGGACTTAACTTAGCTTGAAACGTTGTTTTAGGTCGTCTAAAGGTTCCCTTACGCTCATCAGTCTTTCCTCTCTGAAACTCGCTAAAACAACTTGATTTATCGCGCTTTTTCTTTTATCAAAAGCGCGCAAAAAAATTAGTCAATCACGTTACAGGAAACAAACAGCAGTTCCTAACAAATTCTGTAAAGTCTGAAAAACTAGAAAAACCTTGAATGGAAAAGCTCAGCACTTTCCCCATTTGGCATCTTTGTCAAAGTCGGGTGTTGTCGCACACCATTTTCTGCCAAACGAGTATGATATGCATGTGAAGTATCTCTCTCCTTTGAACATGAATGGGAACACACAACATTCATTGTCCTTTGTTTTCACAGTGCAATCTGCAAAATGAAATAGATTAAATATCAAATTTACAATTATCATGATTACCAGAGTTGAATTCAAGATTTTTTAAGGTTTTTCTCTCCTTCTGACTTACAAGTTGGTTCTCCGTAGACCTCAACGCGCATGCACGGCCAGTTGTTATATTCTCTGACAACAAACCGGACAAACATGGCCAGAACTGGTTCACCGAGGTTCTTTTTTAGCTTATAATTTGCGTCAGTGTTACCTTTAAAAATCTGTTGAATGATAAAGGATGAAAAGAAATAGATTTTTTGAATTGTGTGAGTCTGTTGGAAAGAAAGAGCTTCAGAGAGATCCGCTAGTAACTTCTCTGGAAACAACCCATCGTAAGTCGGAACTGACATACTGAATTTGAAAATGTGATAAGAGCCAAATGCAAATTCACGTATGTACTTTTCTAGTTTTCGATGAAGTTTCAAAATAAATAATACATGGATGTTTTATAAAAGTGCGTGGTTATGAGGTCTTCTCAATTTGTAAGTTTTAAAATCAACAAGCTTGTTCCACCAAAAGATGTTTATACCTTGTTGGTGCCATTTTCTTTGTATGTTACCCAGTTCCTCTTGTCCAGCGAGGTTTGGATTTCAAATTTTGTGACATAGTCAGTTGCATATATAGATGATCCTTGTGTGGCTACTGCGCAAACTCGAGTTCGCTGGGGAAGCTCGACCTATGGATAACCGTGAGATGTTAGCAGTGCCTTTGATATCGACCGAGAAGAATCTCTTTTGTCATCATTACCATCTTGCCATTGAAGTCAACATCGTCTTCGTTGTCATTTATTTTAAATATAGGGTATTGTCACTATTATTGCCATTTAATTAAGTTGAAATCTGACAGAATTGCTCGTGAGATTCAATCTTATTCATGGCGCTCCTCTCACTCAGGGATTAAATATAAAACCATAAAACCCTTTCGTACACGGTCAGTTCACTGGCTCATCATTAGGCCAGTGCTTAGGACATTCGGCTGGATTTTGTGGCTTTTCACCTTAGAGCAAGGAAACAGTTGCCTTGTACCCCTGAGCAGAGAGAAAAAAAGCTAATTCCTTGCCTGAAGATACGGTCTGGGGTCTTTTTCTGGCCGATTCGAACACCATGTTCCTTTCTGGTTGTTTAATCTTCCTTGACATGGCGCGAAATCTGAGTACGGTGAAAACCAAGAGGAAGCAACAATTCCTCCACCGGAAACTCTTTTGAAATCTTCAACTCTGAGAGAATTGTCGCGGCAATCAGGGTCTAAAACGAAATTGAAGAGAACTAGATCTCAAAAAAAAGAACACGCTCTGAAAATAAGAAAATATAAAAGAAAGGATGATCAAAAAGACTTACTTGAGGAGTACAAAACTCTGGCTGCAAGAGTTAAAGTGAATATAACACGGAGCATATTTGTGTTTGAAGCTTATGGAGGCGTCTTCTCTCCGTTGAGAACGATTGTAGTTTTTTAACGCTTGTCAATATGTCCCGCTTTAAGGTTCAGGTGATAATTAAAGATGGTTAACTCTCAATCGACAAAAGAAGGTCCCGATGTATTCACCATGCAAATACAGCTAATTTAATAAAAAAAGTATTTTTTTTTATCAATGAATGGATTAGGGGTGCTGAAGATCAATATTTGCCAAAAGGAAATGCAAATGACGGGAAACTTTCACAATGGTTGAATGAACCAGGCACCAGAGGAAAAAAGATGTGATGACTTAATTGATTTGGTGCGTTTGTCTTGCTTGCCTAATCTTGCCGATGAAATAGTGCCTATAGTTTGAGAAACATTGTTCCTGGCAAGTATTGTCCATATACATACTTGCTGTTCTTTAAAACTGAGGGAGAAATCCCAAGTTTGTTGTATGAAATACCGGAAGCATGCGCATATAAATAGCTGGTATCTTTCCCATTATTCGCAGTCACGTGGCGACCCTCATTGGCGATTGAGAATTCTGTGCGGAAAGAGATGTGACCGAGCTCTGATATAAATTTCAGCAGAGGTCAGTAGGCAGGTCTACAAAAGTTATTGATTGCTTGTTTTCTTTTTTTCGGATGTTTTTTTCGAACTCGTGGATGTTTTCTCAAAGACTTCTGTAGATATCAATTTCGAAGGTGGAAATGGATTTCAGTGAATTTGTTTGGTCTATCAACAAGGTGAGCAATTTTGCCTATTCGGTCGGTATCTGCGAAGACCCTCACCGTTATATTTCAGCTCTAATTCCAGCGCTATTAATTTTGATAATCCGTCAAAAAGCCTAAGTGTAAGGTGCATAGTACACTTGTATCGCCCGATCAACCCGCAGGAGAGGAGAAAGGGGCTCAGGCCATGTGCACCATCCCCACTTCGGGAAGAAAACTCCTCGCGTACTTCGCCCAGAACAAAAGCCAAACAGAGGGGAGTTCGTGAAAAAACACGTTTATTAAGTGAATTGTGTACAGAAAGTGAAATTACCCTTATTGTCAAGTACTTGTAATGATAAACGCTGGTTGAAAGAAACCCATACGTGCTGAAGGCCAGGCCTTCTTTACAAGGTGCTATCTTGATTCAAACGTAAGTAGGATCTGCTGTTGCATGGTGATTTCGGCTTGCATCCTACTTCATGCGTTCAAGTCTCCTTCTGCGAAAAAGAGAAAAATTTCGATACAATTGAGAAGTGACCAATTGGAAACCTTAAATGATCATTAAAATGCCTTCCAAAGTCTTTCAGGAATAAGACTGCTTTAATTTATTCTGAGACTCAATTGAAAGTTATCTTAGTGTCCTGTATGATTCATTTCAAGGTTTATTTTCTATCAGATTTCTTACAAAAATTTAAGGTCTGGAATCTTCCACACTCCTGTCATTTGGCTTCGCAACTAAATTCGCAATAGCGCCCGCTTAGCGTCCAGGAAGTAGGTCATGGAATCCTTAATTCTTTTTTTTTTCCTGTAAGTTCGGTGAATATAATTAAGTCCAACACAAAAATCTTCAACAGACCTAAGCACTCTCCCCATTTTTTATCTTTGTCATAGTCGTGTGTTGTCGCACACCAATCGCCGTTGAATAAAGATGATAAACATGAAAAGTGTCTCTCTCCTTTGTACATGAAGGGAAACACACAACATTCGTTGTCCTTTGTCCTAACAGTACAATCTACAAAAATAAAAGTATTGAAGCATTCGTTACGTCGATGAACCCCTCTCACTTTGTTTATGTAGTGTCGAGAGAGGTAGGGAGGGGGCCCTTGTTCTGAAAGCTACTACATTTACCCACCATCATTACTCTTCTGTGACATTGTTGATTATTAAAAAGAACCCTAAAAACGGTTAATCTCAAATTGTGTCTTTGTAGCCTCCTAAACGAGATCTATTGAGAAGCACTTTCATTTTACTGTCGTGCAAATTGGTTCTAACTGTCGCTAACTAGACTGCCATAACTAAATGTTGTTATAACTAATTATTCAAATGAAAGATTGCGAACAAGCAATCTTTGATCGACTGAAAAGTTTTTCAATTCTTTTCAATGACTTACTTGCAGGTGTACCGTAAACTTCAACGCGCATACACGGCCATTCGACGAATTCTTTTATGACAAACCGGACAAACATGGCCAGAACCGGTTGATCGAGGTTTATTTTTAGCATGTGATCGGCGTTAGTGTTACCGTGAAAAATCTGTCGAATAAAAAAGAAACAAAGTTATCGAGAGATTCTTATAAAAAACTCAAATTTTGAATCGTCTCAACTAGCTTGACTTGGAGAAATTTAAGAAGATATCAAGGATTTGAAGCTGATACTTTCTCTCAACGACGAAAATATCCTAAATTCTAAGGTTCGGCTTTTGATAGCTTGGGTTACTAATAGAGAGTGAGGCGCGATAATTTTATTGGGTGGGTTTATGCATGTTTAATTTACCTTGTCCGTTCCATTTTCCTGATATGTTACCCAATTCCCTTTGTCCAATGAGGTTTGGATTTCGTATTTCGTGACGTAGTCGGTATCGTACAGAGCTGATCCTTGTGTAGCTACTGCGCAAACTCCAGTACGCAGTGGAAGCTCGACCTAATGATTAGCGGGATATGAATTTTTATTTCGACTGTTCCTGCGAATGTTTTTTAATTGCATTACACTCCAACCTTGTACGTTGAGGTACCCGTACACGAGAAGGTTCAATCCGATTTACCTTAAAGCAAGCTTAAATTTAGACTCCTACTGGTTAATATCTTAATTTCTCGACGTAGAGGTTAGTTATACTAACAGTAGTTGTGGAATTCGGACGACCTTTTCCTTTGTCGTCTCATAAGAGCAGGAGTAATAGTTAATAACTACCACAGAAGGGGAAGTAAATACCCACCACTTTCATTGACACTGAGGTATATAATCGTTTTAGTATATACCGGAAAAATGGGTTTATTTCTGTCAGTATACCGCAAAACGGCCGTGAATTAAACTTTTGACGCGCGAGTTTTTCTCTTCCGTCGCAAGAAGGTGAATATTCCAAATTAGCGAGTCAGAGCGCGCGAAAAGCACTTTTTACACTTGTGGTGTGAACCAACTTTATTTATAATGAAGTTTGGATATAACGCGCCCTGCCATCGGTTGAAAGAGCGCGCTCAATCAGAGTACAAAACATGAAGCTGAGCTAAAGCTTTCACCCCATCTGCCATTTCCCTGACTTCCCTTTAGCTTTTTTCCTTATTTGAAAATGACATTTCGGAACAAGCGAGCCAGTGAGTTGCAACAGAAGAACCAAAAAAAGGCTTATAAACATGCCAAGCGCACATTATTATAACGTGAGCAGAGACGAAAATCCTTGAAGAGAGAACGAAATGGACAGTCCGAATGTACTTTTTAATTAATCTCTAAAGCAAAGTACAAAAAAAAAAAACCTATCCTTACCTGAAGATACGGTTTTGGATCCTCTTCTTGCTTATCTGCGCACCAGGATCCTTTTTCGTTGTGCAATCTCCCTTGAGATGGTGCGAAATCTAAGTTTGATCTGAGCCATGAGGAAGCGACAATTCCTCCCCCGGAAACTTTATCCGGATCTTCAATTCCAACAGAGTTCCCACGGCACTCTTTGTCTAAAACACATTAGGAATAGAATCATCTTCAGTCTAACCTTAGATTATTGGGTTTAAGCCTCTGTAGGGCCCAGTCGCTTTTAAAACACCACAGAAATAACATGCTGATAGGCGCTTGCATAATTAGGATGACGATTATGATTGTAAGGTGAAAAAAATCCGCTAAGTAGTCATTTGTTTCTCCACAGCTGCTTTATTGGGTGATTACTCTTTCCAATTTACACAACATTTAACAATAGGAAAAATTTTCAATTTTTCTAAAAAAAGGAAGCAGTAGAAGTACACTTATAATAATGTTAACAATAATGATGATGCAGTCAATGATGACGATGGGTTATCAACGGTCACAGTGATGATGATGATAAGGACTTTAAGATAACCACGACGGCAAAGGCGAGAACGTCGCAAAACAAAATATTTAATTTGCAGAACAAAAGGGAAACACGTGCGTTTCAATACTTTGTACATTTCTTAGCCGTCCCGTGCATTCAGATCTGAAACGCGAAATCACCAACTTTTACGTCCTCTTAGCAATGAAACCTCGACAGCAATTCAGTCAAGTTTTTAATTTGAGCTCAACGCTATATTCATATGTTATGCCGAAGCGAAGATAAACGCAACCGAGCTACAGATGGCAAAAGCTTTAGAGGAAAGTAAATTTCGTTTTTTCGTAACGTTTACCACACGTTATCGTAATGCATGGCGTATTAGACTCCCTAATGTTTGCATCAGGGAACGTAATACAGTTACCACTCACAATACCTGTACAGCCTTTTTGAAATTTCTCGCACTGGTAAGTGTTCCAATACTCGTACTGTAATTTACCAAGACAAAACAAATATTACTACCTCAACGTGACAATAAGTAACAATCTATAGTCTTCATCGCTCTCTTGTATTATTGCACAGATTCAGCCGGTGAAAGTATACTGTTAAACTGAAGTTATGAGGAATTTACTGATTAATGGACAGACGATACTTTTTTATTTCTGATTTCTTTTGACTCCAGTCTAATTAGCTGGATGTGGGATTGGCGCAAAGTATAAACTCGCGCCGACATCTCGATGAGACATCTTCTACACACAGATCCAGTTTCACTATCAGATGAGTCAAGATTAATCATGAAAAATAGATAAATGAAAATTATTGACTTAGTGGCGAATGAATAATTGTCACACAGAGACTGGGAGCAAGAGGGCAACGCTTCCCACTCTTAGTTTTCACCTTGCGTTACCTTTGTATTCACTTCTTTGAAATTACGTGACTAACTATGTTGACAGAGAGAGGACTGCGCACAAACTCAATAACAAGAGCTACAACAATCACTTTAAAATAACCCACCCAAAAAAATCTTACCGATTTTTCCTTGTAGCCATAATGATCGACAACCTCACCAAAAGTGCAACCTTCCTCATAACACTCGTGGTCGATATCTTTAAAGAAGCCAAAGAAATCGAATGCCTCTTTTTTGTTCAAGACGATCTTGTCACGTGGAATCAGTCGACCTTTATGATAGAATTACTTCAGACATTATTCAGTCATTATTAAGATTCTGTGCATTTAGCAGATATGAACTACGAAAGATTATCTTTTTTCTCTTTTGTTGAATATTTCTTCTTTTCATTATTTAATTTACATTTGGTGAACCAAATGCAAAGGTATGAACATTAAAGAATGGCTGGGAATGCAGTATGCAGCAAACGAAAAATCTCTTTTTTTTTCGGTTTTGTTTTTTTTTAATACAGACACGAGAAAGGTGAAACTCATTTGAAAGTATGCTCAAAACTTCCCGCCGGAACCTCATGCCGTCTCATTTATGCATGTATCAATTTGAATAATTTTAATTAATTAACAACAAACGCACAGTGATTATGAAAAAAACGCGGCAGTATCGGGCGCGCACATCTATGTGGCTAATTGACAAAGGCTAAGGCACTTTTGCTTTGAACTTGAGATTATCTTGATATGCTATCAGAAATGATCCAAAACCACCAATTAGAATATCACAACTTGGCTTGATTTCTTGCGTCCATTCCTTTTTAAGATCATCAAGAGCTTTTTGGTTGTGCATGGTTGAAGAACGTACTTGGTTGCGGACGGTTCATTAACGGCTTAATGTAAGGAAAACTACTAGTTAAGGTGGAAGCTTTCTTCGTTCTGTACAATTATCATTATTTCCGTACTAACAGGCAAACGGGGGCACATACTTACCCTGGCTTGATCCTGTAAAAGCCAACAGGACAGCAAATGACATAAAAAACCTCATTTCTGCAGTAGGCAAATTAAAAAAAATTAAAAACTAGTGAACTATGCAGCATAATTATGTTAGCGCCATAACTTTTTTGTAAAATTCTTACTTTAATTATGAACCGCTATTTGTAGATAGATTAGCACTGAATACATTACACTGAACTACGTTTGAAAAAAAATAAAAGAAAGTTCTGATTGTTTGGTCCTTTTTTTTTTTTAAATTTTCAGTTTAATAAAATGGTAATTGACTGACGCTTTCATGTGAAAGTAACAAAACAACTATTATTCAAAGCTTTATTAATATAAGGGAATGATTTCACTAATTCGCAAAAGGCGCGTAAAAAGTGTGCAAAAGGAGTTTGATCAATATATGCCAACAGATATACAGTGCAGCAAAAACCATCTCCCGATTATCAGTCATATCACATGAAAAATATAGATGAGTTAGGAATCATTTTTGCAATAATTGATTAAAAGGAAATATTGTATATTTGAGGAATACGCGGGAGACACCTGCAGAGAGGTCAAAACACTTATATCTTTTGTGATCGTTGCAAAAATCTTTGAAAACCGTCAGCATTTAACAGAAACGGTTTAGAAGTTATTCCTTGCATCTGATAATACTGAGAAAAAATTCTTACCGTTGGCGATGACTTTTATTCCAAACCTCTCGGAGTGATTGCACTAATGGACTGTTAAACGCAGTTATCAAGGGTCCCTATTTATTCAGCCTGAGAAGTGTCAATGGTCAATGAAAGTTGTTGTCTATTCTGGTGACAATTGCAACGTAATTTGCATAACAATTTAGCCCCTGGGACTGTAATAAATAATTCGCCAACGCGTTTCATCAAGTTTGCACGCAATTTTTCTTAAAAAAAGCTTAAGTGAGCAGAACTGCCTTATCAACCTGAAATGGAGGTCTGCAATGGAAAGGAAAGTTCCTTGTCAAAATTTATAATTTTCTAAGGATCTGATATTGCGATTTTTGATCGTATGTAATTTTGTCAATAGTATTATTCATTCATTCGAACATAATGGAACAAAATGGAACAAATGACTAAAAGCACAGTTCAACTAAAGAAATCGTACAAATTAAAGTCTTAATAAAAGATTAAGGACCTAAACGGGCTAAGATCCATGTGTCCCAGATAACGATTGTGTGGTACTTCCAAATGAACAGTCGAGCCGTTTATTTGAAGCGAGATCAGCTACAGTTATAGTTACCGCGCAAAACCAGCCAACCATTGCACCGAATCACGTGATTCACCAAGTGTGCCATTAGCAGACGACGAGCTTTTAATCAGCTTGGTCGATGGATGTATTCATCATGCATTTAGGCGACATAAATGTTGATGATAAAGTGAGTAGTATGTGTATATCACAAGGGCCTTTTATCTCCATTCGATTAAGAGAAATGAACTTACCCTAACCATTGGTGACACAGAAGTAGATGTTTCATCAAAATAATTCAGTTTTTTTGGTGACAAAATGCCCCTTCTTTGGTCAATATCAGGAAATAAAAAGATGGCGTCAGAGGCACTCAACAACTGATGCAAGAATACATTGAAACTTCAACCCCTTAACTTTTTAAAAATTTTTCGTTTTATGTGTCAGCTACCATGGCCAACCACTTTCTTCAGAAGAGAAGGATATTGCCGATGTTAAATTCACACGACCCTGTCCCTTACCCCTTACCCCTCCTCTAGCTGCACTTTCTGTCCCTCACCCCTTCCCCCTCCTCTAGCTGCACTTTCTGTCCCTCACCCCTTCCCCCTCCTCTAGCTGCACTTTCTGTCCCTCACCCCTTCCCCCTCCTCTAGCTTCACTTTGCAGGCTTAGCTGTTAAAGATGACATGAAAGTCGAATTGGCGAAAAAAATCGTGTTGGTTTTTTCCTTTTAATTGCCCAAGAAACTTTCTCCTGGAGCTTGTCACGGCAACAACAAAAGAAGAGCATCCTTTTGACGGGATAAGAACCTCTTTCCTATTCCTTACTTTAAGTAAAGTAAATTGGAGCAATTTTTTTCCAAAAACTTTTGTGCGCGATAAGCACAGGCAGAACGCATGCGTTAAGCTGTCCCATGGGACCTCAATGGCAATGATGATGAGATAGAATTATTGTTTGTTTTGTTTTTATTGTGAAAATAACACTTATTCATACTACTGATCTAGCAATGTGCTCTGTAACTTGTTACTTATGATAATAATTAGAAAAAATTTCTGCTTCTGACTAATTCTCTCAAGTTTTGTATCGAATATTGGTTTTTAAAGGCTTACAAATATCTTACCAACCTAAACTGACCCACTTATTCTAACCTGCATTTATCAAGAAGGAAAGTAATGTTCAATTGCGTGGCTTGTTTCGAATGGAATTACCTTCACCAGATTTACTGATATTCCATGCCTTAATTATAAAGGTTTTTTGACGGCTGAGACAGCTATCTACACAAAAAAAGTAAAACATTTCTTAATTAAGCAATATGAAAATTATTGATTTACCAGATGCTTTTACTGGGAACAACTTGTTTGAATCAGTATTCCGAAACCATATGCATTAGACTTCTTGAGTTCAATGCTATTCATTGGAGTTACGTTTTTAAGCCAAACCCGAACGCGACGAATTCTAATTTCCTTTGCAGGTGAACATGACGTGGTGGTACACATGGCGGCATGTGATTAATTACGCCATTGAGTGATAACCAACACAAATTAAATCAGAAACAGTCCATTAAAAAAATTCAAGCAAGGGTTTAGATACGTAACTAAACGTTTCGAAGGAAATGAGCCAACCATTTCTGTTCGCATGATCAATTCTTCTTCATAAGATCACGATCCTCACGGGGCACAATTTATACGATTTACTGGCTGAATGTCTTGCTTCTTTGCTATTTGTATTTTCCTTCACCCGAATTGGGTTTCATTGAAGTTTAGCATGACTCCTACGGCCCCATTTATCCTCGAGCTAAATATAAAACCTTCCATCCTAGTTTTTCTTGCAGCCTTAACAGCTTTTAAAACATTGCATAATCGTGACAAATCAGCAAACAAACACAACGTTGTCTCGGTTAAACTAAGCTCAGCAATAAAACATCAAAAATTAACGGCTCAAGGCAACTCGTGGATAATCACCTCTGCAAACAAAAAAAAAAAGGAGTTTTAGATGCACATGCTAACTGTTATTTTACTTGTCATGATCGACCAATCTCCATTCAACATATTGGTAATCTACCTTGTATTGGCCTTGTCACTTTTCCCATTTGCTATTTTTTAATACATGTAGCCCTGTATAAACTCGAATTCATAAATTCAAAACTCTTAAGAGAGACTGAGAAAAAAAGGCTCACGAGGAGGCTCTGAAAAGGGCTGAAGATGTGAAGAGAGGGGCCAGGGGGGAAGTATTATTTCATCGCTCTAGGCCCATCACCAACTTATTTTTCACGGCTTCTTTAGTAACGCCACAGCAAGTGTGAGAAAAATATCAAAATATGACAGAGAGCTATATCGAGCGGACTGTATAGTTTTGTAACTAGCAATGTTATATTGCAAAATTAACGCATGATATTTCTAATATATTCCTTACATCTATTCTCTTTGAGTCATTTCGTAGCATATACGAGCAAAGTTATTAGACTGTAAAGATTCAAGTTGAGAAACTTACTAGTAGTGGTCGTGACAGTTTTTTCAACAGTCTTTACAACAGGTCCTTGTTCGATCATGGCTGAGATCTGATGTATGACGTTTGAATCCAGAGAATCTACCGAGTTGTATCGAAGCACGCGCTCGGGCGCACCAAGTGCTATTTGGACCAGCTCTGATTTACTGACTTTATTGGACAGTCCGACGGCGATTATGTTGGACGAACAATTCTGAAAAAAAAATCATAGGAAATAACGTCTATTTCATTAATCGTTCCACTAATTACACCGCTTTGCCATATTAGGGAAACAAATATGCCATGGTAATAATTTGCAGAGCAAGGCAAAATTCGGTTGGAAAGCTCATTGGATGCATTTTTTCTTGCCCTTACAGGGCTCGGAAATCTGAAACGCAACTCACTTAAGCCAGCGCATACTATATGTTAAAACATCGAATTAGATGTATGTATTAAAAATCTGTAAGTGCGCTATAGTATTAATAAAAAATAATTTGTTTCAATTGCACATCGTTAAACGATGAGCCGAAATTAATTTTCATGGTAGTCATTTGCAATCCATGTTAAAAAGTGCGATCGTTTTTTGCGATTATATTCTTAAATTGCAGTTCTCCTGTGGAGATCATTTGGTTAGAAATTTACCAGCAAATGATTGTACAAAAGTTTCAATGTATGAATGCCGCTATACGGGTGTACTGATCAGTAATGCGGGGAGTGAACTCGTAGCACTGGGAATAAGAATGGACAGGTTTGGATCTTAAAAGAAAGGAATAATTTCATGATGGTTTTGTGGGGCACTTTGACTAAAAACAAAGCCTTTTCGTATACCTTCATAATCGGTGACACAAGACTGTACGGGATCGAGCCGGCATCAGTTTTTTCAGAGGTGAAAAGTATCATCACATTTTCCTGTTCCGGTCGGTCCTCACACCCCACGGGACAGAACAGCTTACGACTGGCGTACAGCATAGCGAGATCCGTACGGTGCCCCCCAGGGACATACGACATCCCTTCGATGATCACCTTGACGTTGACGTACTCAATGTGTTGGAGAGTCATTATAAGCTCGGGCCTATCACTGTAAATGATGAGTCCAAATTGAACATTTGGGAAGTTCTGACTGATGAATATGAGCAACCGAGATATGAATATTTTAATAATCTCAAATTCGCTTTCAGTTACACCAATCACAATTCCTATGTCCATCCCCTTGCCAGGGACTGTTGTGGGAATTAGTGGATTCACTGGGAGAGGAGTTGGTGAACCTTTTTCCTCACCCGTGGGAGTCTTCGGAGAAGGGGGATTCTCTTGCATAATTTCTTTTTCAGTTTCTGTAAAAGAAAGTAAAAATCAGAACATTTAGTCCACAATTGCCTTCCTTTTGCTTAAAGATGCTCCACACATGCAACACACGCATAACTATTTGGTCTTTAAACAAATCACAGTAATCGATACGTAGATCAATAAATAATCGATAAATAATTAAGATGCTCTGATCAAATTCACCGCACAGACTAATCTGCTCTACTCGTTTTGTAACCTTTTTGATTTTTTGGCCTTCAATTTGGAAATTTAAAGACACGATTTCAATGCATTCAGCGATGCGCTAAAATGGCACGCCAAATAGGTCTTCTTTTTACGAGTTGTTTGATATATTATTAGCAATAGATATTAAAGGGATCATTTTCCCTTGTTATTAATCAATATTTTTACCTTTTGGGTGAGGAAACTTTTCAGTCGCTGAAAGAATGAAGGAAAAATCATAGAAAATTAAGCAAGGAAAATGAAAAGAGAAACTCATCTCGTGGAGGAGAAGTAAACAATTCAGTTGCAGTTGCAGGTAAAGGGATAATTTTGTAATGATGTTGAAGGATGTGAACGAACAGAAATGTACAGATTGCTTTAATTCAGCTCGTTCTGGTCTCATTATGATCCATCTACCCATGACATTGTAGGACAGTGCTTCAACATTTCAGAGACTTAAAAAGCTACGACATGGTTTCTTTGTATTTTCAATGTTTTTTCCTTACTTCCTTAGATTAGTGAAACAAATCAGTCTTCGCTCTTCCTCATCATAATGGTTCCAATTCTATCTATTCCTGTCTTTTTACAACAAACTTTAGGAAGCTGGGTTTCTTCGTAAATTACAACAGAACCTTCTCGACAAATGTCAACAACTATCGACAGCACACAAACGACTCATTCACGACATCAACTCACGAAACGGACAGAACAAACAGAATCACCCGACGTCACATTTGGATTTAAACTGACCAATCAGGACTGACTCACGGGAGACTGACTGATAAGTTTTTGCTAACCAGACTTAAAATATTCAACCATCAAACTGATGTTGACTTTCGCTCAGGTTGTCACCGAAACGTTAATCACTCTTATCGATAAACTTTCCTTTTTAAGTCAAATCTCACCCGGAAGATCAGACTACACCAGAAAACATCTTGTTTGAACTAGAGACTACAACCCAATCTTTTGTTGGGTGCCTTCCTCCCAAGCGACAACGGTTATTATTCAACCCTTTGACCCCTAAGACCTGATTAGTACCTATTTTCTCCTTTCTTCATCACCCCTGAATCACTCATTAAGGTCACGCGAATGAAGAAAATGATCACCAAATTAACAAGCTCTTGATTGTTAAACAAATTCTCTCAGTCAGCGCCTTAGGAAATGTATAGAGAACAGTATGGAGAATATGTATACTGATGTTAGGGTGTAAAGGCTTAACCAACTTTCCATATTGCCAAAAAAAAAGAAATAGGTCTCAGACAGCTTGTTAGCTTAGTTGGTAGAGTACTGCACCGGTATCGCAAAGGTCACAGGTTCAAATCCCATACAAACCTGAATTTTTTACAGGCCTTATTTTCACTACTACTCACGAAGTGTTTATTACTGCGAAGATCGCCTTCATATTCATTTCTTATGCCGCAGTTCACATATATAATTTTCATTTATTCACATTCATATATTATTAACAAGTAATCGCATGATTTTTCTTGAACAATTTGAAATGAATCAGCCTTACGGGGTCGAACAATTTGGTTAGCCTTTAAAAAAATTACTTGTGCTGAGTTATCCCAAATTACGCTCCAAATCATATGATTACCCCTAACAATTCCTTTGAATTTTACGAGCAGTTTATGAGAGTAGTCAATTTTCTTACCTATTGCGTATATTTCCACCTTCATACATGGGTATGTTTCATACAGCATTGGGTAAATACGAACAAACTGCCCATGGATGGGTTTTGGAAATCTCTGAATTGATGGGTCAGTTGGATTTACGTTCCCCTCCATAACCTAAAAAAACATGAAATATGTGTAACTTACCGTTTGAAACAGGGTAAGAAAGATGGAATCATAAAAAGACTAGGATGCTTGTTTTATCGTCTGGTCACGAGCGTTGGACAAAGAAAAAAAGTTCCGAGTCCCCATGAGGAACCGAACCTCAGACTCTCAGATTTCGCGCTCTGATGCTCTGCCACTACTCAGCCAAATGTGTTCTCGTTGGTGAATTAAACTATTTTGATTACGAGGTTCATGTGTGTCACGCATCCAGCATACTGTTAGGATCGGCAATGTCGAAAGCGTCATGCGTGTAAACAGAATACGAAAGATGGCAAATTTCCTTTCTGTACGCTCTCCTTAAATATTCATTATAACTTTTGCATTCTTATCTTAAATCTCCACGATGTAGGTTTTAGATCGTATATAAGAGTCTTAGTGGGTTTAACCATTATCCGTAAAACGGGCAAAAATTGATGAAGCCATTAGGCGTAAAAATTGACAAATTTTAACCGTTTGCCATAAAAGCCATCACTTTATCAAGACCCTCGTATAAGGCACTCTTACCATTGTTTCCCATTCCTGACCGTCTGGGGATATCGCAACAGTAAACCTTTTGACCCATACTCCAAAGCTGCCAAAACCTTGCGTTTCAATAGCACAAACTGACATTTCAGTTGGTAATTCAATCTGAAGGTAATCGCCTGGTTTTGAATTATCTGCTGGGCACCATGCCAAGGGACCATTCAATCTAGCTTTGGACGCGCTGTAATCGTCTCCGCTGTCAGAGGAAGCCGAAAAACTTGAGTCCGGCAGGGTACCTCCATATGCTGCGCCGACAGGATCACACTGCAACTCTGTAGTTTCACCTTCACCTTTGAGAAACAAGAAAAAACGAAGTTAGTATCCGAGCAGGAAGAAATAAACAACAGCAATACCAAATTGTCTCACCTTCACCAGGGGGCGAAGTAGTTTCTTCACCTTTAATTTGAAAAAATATGGAATACAGAGTTAGTACCCGTCCAGGAAGAGGTGAAAAATAGAAAACCAAAATTTACTCACCTTTAACAGGATGGGAGGTAGTTTCTTCTCCTCCTTTGTGAAAGCAAAGCATAAGAAGTTAGTGTCCGAGGATGTTGTGAAAACTTACAAATAAAAATTATCCTACATTTACCGTTAGGCGTAGTAGTTTTTTTCTTCTCAGAAGGAAGAAAAGAAAACAAAAGAAAAGAAAAGCAACTAACAGGAAAGTAATTTAGATTGTAACCCTCTAATTATTTACCGACTTCCACCTCATTTTCTAAAATAAAGGAGGCGACAAAAAAGGAATGTTCCCTCAGTCTTCCACGACATTATTCTTCAGGGACTCGATCTCTTTCTCTTCGCTGCACGTTCGTGACAAAGTTTTGTTTCACGTGATCAAGTTCGATCGTCGATGACGGATTTTACCATCTTTCCTAATCTATTTTCATACACCAGATCAGAATTTATCTTTATACCACGCTCATTTCAAGAGATAAACGTGAAGAAACATGTTTTTCTCCGCCTCGCGAACGTGGAACAAAGAAAAATGTAAGTCTCCACGACGAATCTAACCTCAGACCTTCGATGCTTTACTACTGAGCCACAAGGAGCTATGGATTCATGTTTTCAATGCATTTGCTGGAAAAGTGTCCCTTTCTTGATAGTGAATATATGAAAATCATATATGTGAACTGTGGATGAGGTAATGAATACGAGAGTGATCTTCGCAGTAATGAACACTACTTAGGCAATAGTGACAGTTAGGTAAGTAAGGCCGCCGTACGGGATTTGAATCCAGCTTCCAGTTGGTTTGTTAACTCAGTTGATAGGGCACTGCAGACGGCATCACAGAGGTCATGGGTTTAAATCCCATAGAGGCCTGAATTTTTTCAAGCCTCATTTTTACTACTGCTTAAGTAGTGTTCAATACTGCGAAGATCGCTTTAATATTCATTTCTTGAAACACCGCAGTTCACATATATGATTTTTATTTATTCACTGTCATATATTCATCACTTCACGTGTTTATTTGGAACCAAAATAATGACCAGTTTTCAATTGGTAGAGCACTGCGTCGGTATCGCAGAGGTCATGGGTTCAAATCTAGTTCAGGCCTAAATTTTTTCAGGCTTTATTTTCACTACTGCTTAAGTAGTGTTCATTACTGCGAAGATTGGCAATTTTTCTGTAGCAGCGTTCAGTGGAGTAAATACGACAGCCATAAGTTAAGTGAGGGCTTTTCTAGCATTATTCCTCATACCTGTTTCGGAGGGTGCTCGTTGCCTTTCTGTAAGAAATAAAGAAAATATGCCTGGTCAGCACCACTGGAATTTAAGTTTTTGGATGTGACAAAACGTTTTCTCATACATAATGAAATTTTCTTCGGCATAAAACTAACGGCTTTCTCCATCACTTTTCCTCTATTTTGGGAAATTGAGAGGAGAATGACATGCTTGATTTTTTTCTGATCAGTGGCGAAGACTAAAGCAGTTTCTGAAGGCTAAAAGAAAGTGAGTACCTTTTCCATATAGCTCAACTCTCAAACATGGCCAACTCTCATATGACAGTGGGTAAATGCGAACGTAGTGGGCCTTTACAGGAACTGGTAAAACTTGTTTGGATATCTCTTTAGGACTATCCGTGCCCTCGAATAACTGTAAAGGATTTTCAAAAATAAGGTAAACAATATTGGATGGTAGCATTAATATACATAACGTCGGAATGCAAAAACATTGTTGGATGAACACGAATGACACGCGAGCATGAGACGAGCAGACACGCGGAAGAGATTTCTCTATGGTTCATAGGTAGACAAAAAATTTGATATAGATGCTGGCTATAGTTGCAGCTATTATACTGTTATCCTCACAGCTGAGTTTAGAATTAATCATCAGCAGTACGTTTATTAGCGACTTAAAGAAGAGCACAATGGCGACGGCTACGAGAACGGAGCGGAACAAAAGATCTAATGAACAAAACAATAGCGCTGCACGTGCGTTTTAAAACTTTTTGAAATGTTTGTACATTTCTTAGCCGTCCTTACAGAACAAAAACATGAGATCACGAACTTTTGCGTCTTTTTAGCTGGGAAACTTCGACAGCCGTTTAGTCAAGCTTTTACTTTGAACCCAACACTGAAAATACTACATTCACATGATATGCCGATGGGAAGGTGTCGCACCGTCAGAAACAGTAAACGCATGGAGCTACTCACGAAATTCTTGGGAAAAAAAAAAGATCGTTTTTTCGGCAATGTTTTCCTTATGTCGCCGCAGTGACGTCTTAAACTTCATTTAAATTTGGTAGAAGGTTTGACTCAACAAACCCTGGTCATTATTATTGACAATAGTCTTTCTCAGGGCTGTTCTCATCCAAAAGGTCAGACTTTATAATCGAATTTATAAACATCCTAACCGCAACGGTTGTCTTCATTGTCGTTATTAAAAGATCTACTCCCATTGAAGGCATTTTACACAGTTTTAGGAGACAACTATACCTTCAAATTTCCTTCTCCGTCCTTAATTTCGTCCCACTTTTCACCATCAACTGAATATTTCACAAAGTATTCTGTGACATATTCCTTTGCTTTCTCGACTCCACTCCCTTGAAGAGCAATGGCACAGACGGTTTCCGCTTCCGGTACGTGAATCTGTAGATACTCTTGCCCAACGAATAAGTCAGCGGGGCACCAGGCGAATGGTCCATTCAAGCGACCATTGAAAGATTGCAACTCGTTTGCGTAAGTAGAGGTTGCAGTGAAGCTTGCCTTGGTTAACTTTCCACCTTCCTCCGCCCCAAGAGCATTATACTCGCATGGGATTTCTTGGAAAGAAAAATACCATGGATTGACGTAATTGCGCTGAGATTGTATTTTACTGGCAGACTCCTGGGAATTCCTTCAAATATGATGAACTATTTAATTTTCAAACTTTTTAAAGCGGAATTCAGTTAAGAATATTTTAGGTAAATAAGAGATAATCCCTCTAAGGTTTTAAAAGAGTTTTATATTCGTGCATTACAAGCTGTCTCTCATTTGGGGGAAGAGGTAGTAACCTCTCAGTCTCCTCACATAAAAAGAATGGGATATATTAATAATTTTGCATGCTGCACAATAAAGAAAAAATGTTAGAAGTTGCCTCACCTTTACTGGGAGGTGCAGTGGTTTTTTCTTTAACTTTGAAAAAGAATAGAATACGAAGTTAGTTTCCATACATGCTATGTATTAAACCCCTGAAGAGTGAAGCGATTCACGAAACAGGCTTGTCGGGAAATGTAGTTGCGTCCTTTTTTCCTCTCATAATATATATAAATATATATACACACAAATGCCTCACCTTCACCAGGCGGGGGAATTATTTCTCCTCCTTTGAAAAAAGAAAGAGAAAGGCAAGTCATTCAAAATATTGTGTGAATAAAACAAACAAATAAAAGAAAATAAGGAGATACATTAAGTTTTTGTTACGAGATGTAAAATGATCATTATAAGATTACTTACCTCCAGGAAGCGAAGTAACTTTTTCCTCTCCTAGAAAGAAAGATTGCAAAACGATTAATTGTGATACGGGCATTCTATTTAGAACGCAAAGAAGTTTTCTTTTCTCTTGACAAAGAAATCATAGTATTTTCTGAAAATTTAATTTAAAGCTACAAACGCATATATGTATTTCAGATGGAATTTGCCTCTTAAATCGAAGTTTTATGTATATATATGGTTATCATCTTGGTGATAGTGGAATGCATTTGAAGGCAGTTATAGCATATAACTTGTTAAAGTGTAAAAATACGATAATCATGTTTTTTTTTGGAGCAATTATTTCAAGAAGAAAATTTAGTAGTAACTGCCTGAGTACTGAACGCTGCTTTGCAATCACAATAAAGTGTTGTTCATTATTTTTTCAGCAGCTTTCGCTTTTTGGGGAAAATCACCTGGTGCTGTAGGTTTCGCTTCCTCAGTTTCTGCGAAAAAAAATTAGCAGTCAGTAAACATGTACCTCTATGATCAGCAAGCGGAGTAGCTATATTTGACATATAAAAAGATGATAACACCAATAAGATATGTCCTGATTCTCTCAATACTCCTTTCAGATCTTTTTACCACCCTCGAAGGAATCACGTGAAAGCTTTTATTACAGTTTATTTCGTTTCCAATTTTTCTCGTAGTTGGTGTTTGAGGAGCTCTTTTATTTTTCTTCGCTGCTTCGAAACAAACGAAACGCTTTCGATGCACGATGAATTTCTCATTAAAATATTTGATTCTTTGAGCTCTTTAAATCAGCACAAATTACTGTTGAGTCATTCAGTTTATACTAAAACAATGGATAGCAATAAAGGCGCGCTCTGATTGGCTACTCAAACTCCGGATATCCTTTGTTATTCACCTCTGTGCAACTCGCGCAGGAAAATATTGCAATGATTGCAGGAATAACTGATTTAGAATCATCTTTTTGTGCTTTGTTATCTCACTGTTTAAGTATATACTAAAACTGCTATTCACCTCAGCGTCAGTCGCAAGTGCGGAAATCTACCGAGCCGCGACTGGAAAGGTAGATGTCCTCTTTGGTGAATTGTTAATTATCAACAGGTTTCCGTATGAGAGTAATCTACAGAGATTTTCTCACAGATTTACCTCTGCATCAAGGTAATCGTTAGGGAAAAACAGCGTTGGCTTCGGGTTTTTCCATGTAACTAGCAATAAATGTCAAGCCTAGGTTACCTTTGCCATACAGTTCTACTCTCAAACAAGGCCATTCCTCATAGGAAACTGGGTAAATTCGAATGTACTGGGCTCTCACAGGAGCTGGAAATTCTTGTTTTACAATGGATGTAGCATCCTTGTTGCCTTCAAACACCTGTTTAACAAATAAAAGACCAATTGGGTGACAACGTAAAATTACAGCATACTTCAATCATTGAAAACATTAAAATCTGTTTATCATGTAAAGCTAAACCGCACATGGAGAAAGCAATGAAATGTATGTACCTCTTTGACAAAAAATCACTCAACATTGCACTATATAGACTGTCGTCTTCATTTTCGTTACGTTAACAGTTATCACAAAGTTGGCGTTGTCGTGATCGATACCGACCGTTATATTTACCCTAACCATGACCGTGACCAGTTTCAATGTCCCTGGTATAACCGTTTACTTTCAATTACACTCCTGCTCGTCTACAGCGGCCGTTATTAACCGTGACTGTTATCACTTTCAATGTCCCTGATATAACCGTTTATTTTCAACTGACACTCCTGCTCGTCCACAGCACAGCAGTATAATTATCGTTACCGTTATCGTTGCATTTTTTTATTTTGAAGGGTTTATAAAGCACAATTCAATTCAAAGATCTGTCACTTATTTCTTAGTCAAGTGAAAAAAAAAGATTAACGGTGAAATTTTCTCTCTGTTGACCACAGTGGATTGATATTAATCGTCATCCGTACATTGAACAAAATTTTAACCGTTAGCCGTAAAAGCCATCACCCCATTGAGACCCTCAGTAAACTTTAGGAAGTGGGGATGGGTAAGGGTTTGTTTCAGTGGAGGAGGGCCAGCTTAGTTCTTATTTCCCGTTTATATTTTCTTTTAAGTTATCAATAATACCTTTTCCTTTTCGCCCTTGACATCTGTAAATGTTAACCACTTATTCCCATCCACTGAGTAGGTTACTGAGAAACTCGTAACATATTCATTCAAATTCTCAAAACCTTGAACCGCAACGGCACAAATGACTCGCGCATCCGGCACATGAATCTGAAGATACTGATCACGATTGGTCATAGGACACCAAGCTGACGGACCATTCAACCGACCAAAAGAGGGATAGTAACGTGTACCGTGACTTGAAAGTGCTGTAAAGCTTGAATCGGGCAATTTTCCACCTTCCTTTGCCCCGAGACCATTATCTTCGCATGGAATTTCTTACAAAAGGAGAGATTTTCATCAGAATATTTCCCAAACACGTTCATAGAGCTATTTTTTTGTTAAATGTTAGAAAATTGAAATACAACCAAAGGGTATCCTACCTATAGGAATCGAAATTGACAAAAGGTTCCTCACCTGTAGGAGGCGGTGTTATTACTTCTCCTCTTCCAGGAGGCGATGAAGTTTCTCCTTTTCCTTTGATTAAAGGGGTTTAAATTAATTTGGCATGATGTTAGATCAAAGGTAAGTAACGAAAACTAAAAAATGCGAAAATGCGCGTATGCTGTGCGATAAAGATGAAGTATCAAGGAGTATCTCTACCTACCTTCACCAGGTGGCCCGGGAGTTTTTTCTTCTTCTTTCAGATAGGAGAAATAAATGAGTTAGTTATTGTGCATGTTGCGAGGTTAACAATTAACATTAGGACCTGTTTTACCTTCAGAAGCCGAACTAGTTTCTTCTTCTCATTAAGAACATACAAATCAAGAAAAAGAAAGTTCAAAATTCGTGAATGGTGAACCATAAAGATCAATTATCAATAGTCGTCCCGCCTTTTCCAGGAGACGATGTAGTTTCTTCTTCTCCCAAAGTTGATATCTAGAAAGGCATGTTGTGAAATGAAAAACCGCAAATCAAAAGTCAAAATATTAATGTATCTCACCTTTGGGAGGAGAGGTAATCTCTTCTACTACTTTGGAGAAGAAAAGATAAGAAAGTTGAAATTAATAAGAGCATGTCAAGAAATGAAAAATTAGACACCAAAATCCAAAAAATTCCAAATGATTTTTTTTTTTTGACTAACCATTTCCTAAAGTTCTTCTCTATTAGTACTAACATTGCCAAATAACGTGGTGGCACCAACATGCCCCTTTGACGAGGTAGCTTCCGGTTCGAATCAGAATTTTAAGTGTTATTTGGTGAGTTAAGAGACAGTAAGATTTTGAAAGTTAGGACATAAGCCATGATAAACGTAACCCTCAATAGACGACAGTTTTGGAGGTTAGCTCCCAAAAATACATGTAGCATCAGGGGAGCTCATACCAATGCCCTGTGCATGTTCCCATTTAGCTTCCATTTACGAACAGTTATCTGTCCGCAAATCCTTTGAATTGTTATGCGCGGTTCTGTGGTTTCCGGAAAACTTCTAACTATCCGGCAATAAAGCAACATTTTTACCGGAAAAAGGTTTAAACGTTATTGATAACTCTCAAAGAAGAACAGTTTTTTCATCCATGCTTTTCCTGCCTCAAGTCGGTACATGACTATGACTCGATTGAAATACACATTCCAAACAACACCAAGGCGAGGTAGATCAAAACGTCGCTAAGGAAAGGCAGGCATGATCGTTTTTAATCCTTGCACAATAGGAATAAAATCATGCGGCTAAGAAGTCTAATGAATACTTATATACTCTTAAATGTCTTCTCTCCTACCTCCGAAAGGTGCTTTTTGTTTCCTTTCTGTAAAAGACAAAGAGAGCACATTTGTTAAAAAGCGATTTTATAGTAAAGTATGCAGTCTTAACCCGTTAATACGCACTACGATTACCCTTCAATTTTAAACACTTCCCCCTCGAATTATTGCAATTCTTGTTTAGCATATGTCAGACAGAGGTCATCGAAATGGGTTTCTAGAATAGTTTATTGTTTCGGAGAGTTTTTCCTAAAGATTTTTAATCTATTCCTCAATTTTTCACGTCAGTAGGGATTCCAATGCAAAATTTGAAATTAAAATAATGATTGTGTATATCGTAAAAATGTCTCCGTGAAATTTCACCGCGGTAGTTTGAGCCGAAAGCCGGTTTAGACAGATACAAATTACCTTTTCCATACAGCTCTACTCTCAAACACGGCCATCCGTCGTAAGACACTGGGACAATTCGAATGTATTTTGCCTCGACGGGAACCAATAACACTCTTTTTATTGTAGTTTTGGAATCTTCATTGCCTTCGAACACCTGTTCAACAAAAACAGATAAATTTATGATCACATATTTTTACATCACGGCCCCACTTTTTGTAAACATTTATCTCATTCGACAGCATCAATGTACACTACATCTCTACTATTACCGTTCTTTTTTGGTTTGTAAAACTGACTGTATCATGAAGTCATTCTCTATACACCTGACTATATCAAGAAGTCATTCACTATACCACTGACTGTATCAAGAAGTCATTCATTATACGCCATAGTTAAAGTTACAACATGTAAATAGTTCTATAGATATATTTGGAATTATTTCGTTGTATCCGCGTTAAGACCAGTCATCGTTTTTCGCCTGAGGGGGTGGAGGGGGGAGAGATTTTGGGGAATACGTAGTTTTCAAGGGAAAACGGGGGATCAGTCTTCGCCAACAGAGTATAGAGGTGGGGGGGGGGGGGAGAGACCATAGAAAACGGACTACCAAAGGGGGGGTCACTAGAATTCTAAAGAGCCTTAGAGAGGGATCAGATGAATTGAGTTGTGACACTCCAAAATCCTCCGAAACCCCCCTTCCCCCACCCCCGCGGCCGATGAATAATGACCACTCCCTTAGCGCAAGTAATTCAGTCATCAGACGTCTAAACATTGACTTGAATAAAACAGTTTTTCCCTCTTCTTCTTCTTGTTCTTCCTCCTCACATCATCATAATTGTTACTGTTACTGCTTTTGCTGATCCCCTAACGTTACACACAAAAAAGAGAACTCTCGCCTTCACCTTCAAATTTCCATCCTTATCCGCTAATGTATCCCACAGACTGCCATCGATGGAATATTCCAAGTAAAACTGCGTCACATGTTCATTTCCGCCTCCAAAACCAGTCCCTTGAAGAGCAATAGCACAAATGGCTTCTGCATCCGGTACGTGAATCTGTAAATACTCTTGTCCTGCGCCAGTCCCTTCGGCACACCACGCCAATGGACCATTCAACCGACCATTGAAGGGTTGAAATTCAGCATAACTTGACGTAGCAGTGAAGCTTGAGTCAAGCAATTTTCCATCTTCCTTCGCTCCGAGAGGATTGTCCTCACATGGAATTTCTTTAATGAATGGGGAAGACGTCAATAGGTCCAACAAGTAATCAAAAGATAAAAATTGGCTTAAATGTAGTATAGAAAATAGAAAAATGAAATGCGAGCAGTCAGGGAGCGACTGACATAACTGGCCGTAGTATAGGTATCCTTCTTTGTATAAAAATTTGATATATCAATCTAGAAAATATAATGATGACTTCCTTTTATCCTTTTATTAGTGTGTTGGAGCACTAATTAGCAAACGGAGCCCTTTCACAAATACTATTACTCTACGATTAAACTACACGATCAAGAGTTGCAACTATCATTATAATCAACTATCATCATCATTAACGTTTAATCGAATATCCTCGTGACACGGAAACTGACGTGTGAAGAACAAATCAGACTCTGGAATCTACCGTACAGAGATAAAATTATTGATAATGGTAATAGGACCGAGCGGAGTCCAATACATTCCGTAATCATACGAGTGATTAGCAAACCCGGACGACCGCGAAGCGGCCATGATTACAGACAGAATTGGACGACACGAAGTCCTGTTACCAATTAATCAAAACTATGACAAAATTTGAGAAAGAAATTAGATATCAGTCGTACGTTTTCTTAAAACAACACTTAAATCTTCAGTTGTTATAGCTTTGATTAATAATAAAAAAAGAGATTATACCCATTCCGCCATTTGTCCCTCCCAATATAGAAAAAAAATGTGAAATGAGCCTATGATTATGTTTTTGGTCGGCCTGGTGCTTCCGTCTTTGATACGTAGATTTATTTCCCATAGATTCGTAATAATAAACGCAAGAAACTTGCTATGGTTTTTGAAGAACGTCACTAAAGACAAAGATTCCATGGCTAGAAACTATTACCTGGTTCTGGCCCTTCAGGAGTTGGTTTCTCTGCAGATACAAAACAGAGGCTCGTTATTTAAACCACTTAGAGCCAACACAATTTAGAAATGTAAAACCGACTATAATTTTTGCCTGCCATTACATTCCCCATCGATTACTAACGTACATTTGGACAACTAGTAAGAGGTTTACAAGTTCATTTTCTTTCGACACGGAAAAATTGAAAAAAATATTAAATCCGTGATAGCATGTCAAAAGCTAAGGGTATCTTACCAATAGGAATCGGAGAAACTTCTGGTCCTTTGGAATTGAAATTGATATCGAAAACTGCATTTTGTTAAACGAGAAATAAAAGTGAGAATGAATCTCACCTTTAGGAGCTGATGTAGTTCCTTCTTTAACTCCTCCAGGAGCTGATGTAGTTCCTTCTTTCTCTCCTCCAGGAGCTGATGTAGTTCCCTCTTTCTCTCCTACAGGAGCTGATGTAGTTCCTTCTTTCTCTCCTCCAGGAGCTGATGTTGTTCCTTCTTTCTCTCCTCCAGGAGCTGATGTAGTTCCTTCTTTCTCTCCTCCAGGAGCTGATGTTGTTCCTTCTCTCTCTCCTCCAGGAGCTGATGTAGTTCCTTCTTTCTCTCCTCCAGGAGCTGATGTAGTTCCTTCTTTCTCTCCTCCAGGAGCTGATGTAGTTCCTTCTTTCTCTCCTCCAGGAGCTGATGTTGTTCCTTCTTTCTCTCCTCCAGGAGCTGATGTTGTTCCTTCTTTCTCTCCTCCAGGAGCTGATGTTGTTCCTTCTTTCTCTCCTCCAGGAGCTGATGTTGTTCCTTCTTTCTCTCCTCCAGGAGCTGATGTTGTTCCTTCTTTCTCTCCTCCAGGAGCTGTTGTAGTTCCTTCTTTCTCTCCTCCAGGAGCTGATGTAGTTCCTTCTTTCTCTCCTCCAGGAGCTGATGTTGTTCCTTCTTTCTCTCCTCCAGGAGCTGATGTTGTTCCTTCTTTCTCTCCTCCAGGAGCTGATGTAGTTCCTTCTTTCTCTCCTCCAGGAGCTGATGTTGTTCCTTCTTTCTCTCCTCCAGGAGCTGATGTTGTTCCTTCTTTCTCTCCTCCAGGAGCTGATGTAGTTCCTTCTTTCTCTCCTCCAGGAGCTGTTGTAGTTCCTTCTTTCTCTCCTCCAGAAGCTGATGTTGTTCCTTCTTTCTCTCCTCCAGGAGCTGATGTAGTTCCTTCTTTCTCTCCTCCAGGAGCTGATGTTGTTCCTTCTTTCTCTCCTCCAGGAGCTGATGTAGTTCCTTCTTTCTCTCCTCCAGGAGCTGATGTAGTTCCTTCTTCTTTCTCTCTAGGAGCTGATGTAGTTCCTTCTTCTTTCTCTCCAGGAGCTGATTTAGTTCCTTCTTCTTTCTCTCCAGGGGTTGATGTAGTTCCTTCTTCTTTCTCTCCAGGAGCTGATGTAGTTCCTTCTTCTTTCTCTCCAGGGGCTGATGTAGTTCCTTCTTCTTTCTCTCCAGGAGCTGATGTAGTTCCTTCTTCTTTCTCTCCAGGAGCCGATGTAGTTCCTTCTTCTTTCTCTCTAGGAGCTGATGTAGTTCCTTCTTCTTTCTCTCCAGGAGCTGATTTAGTTCCTTCTTCTTTCTCTCCAGGGGCTGATGTAGTTCCTTCTTCTTTCTCTCCAGGAGCCGATGTAGTTCCTTCTTCTTTCTCTCCAGGAGCTGATGTAGTTCCTTCTTCTCCTCCACCAGGAGCCGATGTAGTTCTTTCTTCCTTTCCTTCAGGTGCTGATGTAGTTCCTTCTTCTTCTCCTCCAGGAGCTGATGTAGTTCCTTCTTCTTTCTCTCCAGGAGCCGATGTAGTTCCTTCTTCTTCTCCTTCACCCGGTATTGTTGTGGTTCCTTCTTTTTCTTCTCCAGGAACCGATGTAGTTCCTTCTTCTTTCTCTCCAGGAGCCGATGTAGTTCCTTCTTTTTTCACTCCTGGAGCCGATGTAGTTTCTTCTTCTTTCTCTCCAGGAGCTGATGTAGTTCCCTCTTCTCCTCCACCTGGAGCTGATGTAGTTCCTTCTTCTCCTCCACCTGGAGCTGATGTAGTTCCTTCTTCTTCCTCTCCAGGAGTCGATGTAGTTCCTTCTTCTCCTCCACCTGGAGCTGATGTAGTTCCTTCTTTCTCTCCTCCAGGAGCTGATGTTGTTCCTTCTTTCTCTCCTCCAGGAGCTGATGTTGTTCCTTCTTTCTCTCCTCCAGGAGCTGATGTTGTTCCTTCTTTCTCTCCTCCAGGAGCTGATGTTGTTCCTTCTTTCTCTCCTCCAGGAGCTGATGTAGTTCCTTCTTTCTCTCCTCCAGGAGCTGTTGTAGTTCCTTCTTTCTCTCCTCCAGAAGCTGATGTTGTTCCTTCTTTCTCTCCTCCAGGAGCTGATGTAGTTCCTTCTTTCTCTCCTCCAGGAGCTGATGTTGTTCCTTCTTTCTCTCCTCCAGGAGCTGATGTAGTTCCTTCTTTCTCTCCTCCAGGAGCTGATGTAGTTCCTTCTTTCTCTCCTCCAGGAGCTGATGTAGTTCCTTCTTTCTCTCCTTCAGGAGCTGATGTTGTTCCTTCTTCTTCTCCTCCTCCTGGAGCCGATGTAGTTCCTTCTTCTTTCTCTCCAGGAGCTGATGTAGTTCCTTCTTCTTTCTCTCCAGGGGCTGATGTAGTTCCTTCTTCTTTCTCTCCAGGAGCTGATGTAGTTCCTTCTTCTTTCTCTCCAGGAGCCGATGTAGTTCCTTCTTCTTTCTCTCTAGGAGCTGATGTAGTTCCTTCTTCTTTCTCTCCAGGAGCTGATTTAGTTCCTTCTTCTTTCTCTCCAGGGGCTGATGTAGTTCCTTCTTCTTTCTCTCCAGGAGCCGATGTAGTTCCTTCTTCTTTCTCTCCAGGAGCTGATGTAGTTCCTTCTTCTCCTCCACCAGGAGCCGATGTAGTTCCTTCTTCCTTTCCTTCAGGTGCTGATGTAGTTCCTTCTTCTTCTCCTCCAGGAGCTGATGTAGTTCCTTCTTCTTTCTCTCCAGGAGCCGATGTAGTTCCTTCTTCTTCTCCTTCACCCGGTGTTGTTGTGGTTCCTTCTTTTTCTTCTCCAGGAACCGATGTAGTTCCTTCTTCTTTCTCTCCAGGAGCCGATGTAGTTCCTTCTTTTTTCACTCCTGGAGCCGATGTAGTTTCTTCTTCTTTCTCTCCAGGAGCTGATGTAGTTCCCTCTTCTCCTCCACCTGGAGTTGATGTAGTTCCTTCTTCTCCTCCACCTGGAGCTGATGTAGTTCCTTCTTCTTTCTCTCCAGGAGTCGATGTAGTTCCTTCTTCTCCTCCACCTGGAGCTGATGTAGTTCCTTCTTCTTTCTCTCCAGGAGCCGATGTAGTTCCTTCTTCTTTCTCTCCAGGGGCTGATGTAGTTCCTTCTTCTTTCCCTCCAGGAGCCGATGTAGTTCCTTCTTCTTTCTCTCCAGGAGCCGATGTAGTTCCTTCTTCTTTCTCTCCAGGAGCTGATGTAGTTCCTTCTTCTACTCCACCTGGAGCTGATGTAGTTCCTTCTTCTTTCTCTCCAGGAGCCGATGTAGTTCCTTCTTCTCCTCCACCAGGAGCTGATGTAGTTCCTTCTTCTCCTACACCTGGAGCCGATGTAGTTCCTTCTTCTTTCTCTCCAGGAGCCGATGTAGTTCCTTCTTCTCCTCCACCTGGAGCTGATGTAGTTCCTTCTTCTTTCTCTCCAGGAGCTGATGTAGTTCCTTCTTCTCCTCCACCAGGAGCTGATGTAGTTCCTTCTTCTTTCTCTCCAGGAGCCGATGTAGTTCCTTCTTCTTTCTCTCCAGGAGCTGATGTAGTTCCTTCTTCTTTCTCTCCAGGAGCCGATGTAGTTCCTTCTTCTTTCTCTCCAGGAGCCGATGTAGTTCCTTCTTCTTCTCCTCCAGGAGCTGATGTAGTTCCTTCTTCTTTCTCTCCAGGAGCTGATGTAGTTCCTTCTTCTTTCTCTCCAGGAGCCGATGTAGTTCCTTCTTCTTTCTCTCCAGGAGCTGATGTAGTTCCTTCTTCTTTCTTTCCAGGAGCCGATGTAGTTCCTTCTTCTCCTCCTCCTGGAGCCGATGTAGTTCCTTCTTCTTCTCCTCCTGGAGCTGATGTAGTTCCTTCTTCTTTCTCTCCAGGAGCCGATGTAGTTCCTTCTTCTTCTTCTCCTGGAGCCGATGTAGTTCCTTCTTCTTTCTCTCCAGGGGCTAATGTAGTTCCTTCTTCTTTCTCTCCAGGAGCCGATGTAGTTCCTTCTTCTTTCTCTCCAGGAGCTGATGTAGTTCCTTCTTCTTTCTCTCCAGGAGCCGATGTAGTTCCTTCTTCTTTCTCTCCAGGGGCTAATGTAGTTCCTTCTTCTTCTTCTCCAGGAGCTGATGTAGTTCCTTCTTCTTTCTCTCCAGGAGCTGATGTAGTTCCTTCTTCTTCTCCTCCAGGAGCTAATGTAGTTCCTTCTTCTTTCTCTCCAGGAGCTGATGTAGTTCCTTCTTCTTTCTCTCCAGGAGCCGATGTAGTTCCTTCTTCTTCTTCTCCTGGAGCCGATGTAGTTCCTTCTTCTTTCTCTCCAGGGGCTAATGTAGTTCCTTCTTCTTTCTCTCCAGGAGCCGATGTAGTTCCTTCTTCTTTCTCTCCAGGAGCTGATGTAGTTCCTTCTTCTTTCTCTCCAGGAGCCGATGTAGTTCCTTCTTCTTTCTCTCCAGGAGCTAATGTAGTTCCTTCTTCTTCTCCTCCAGGAGCTGATGTAGTTCCTTCTTCTTTCTCTCCAGGAGCTGATGTAGTTCCTTCTTCTTCTCTTCCAGGAGCTATTGTAGTTCCTTCTTCTTTCTCTCCAGGAGCTGATGTAGTTCCTTCTTCTTTCTCTCCAGGAGCCGATGTAGTTCCTTCTTCTCCTCCACCTGGAGCTGATGTAGTTCCTTCTTCTCCTACACCTGGAGCCGATGTAGTTCCTTCTTCTTTCTCTCCAGGAACCGATGTAGTTCCTTCTTCTTTCTCTCCAGGAGCTGATGTAGTTCCTTCTTCTTTCTCTCCAGGAACCGATGTAGTTCCTTCTTCTTTCTCTTCAGGAGCCGATGTAGTTCCTTCTTCTTTCTCTCCAGGAGGCGATGTAGTTCCTTCTTCTCCTCCACCTGGAGCTGATGTAGTTCCTTCTTCTTTCTCTCCAGGAGCTGATGTAGTTCCTTCTTTTTTCTCTCCAGGAGCCGATGTAGTTCCTTCTTCTTTCTCTCCAGGAGCCGATGTAGTTCCTTCTTCTCCTCCAACAGGAGCTGATGTAGTTCCTTCTTCTTTCTCTCCAGGAGCCGATGTAGTTCCTTCTTCTTTCTCTCCAGGAGCTGATGTAGTTCCTTCTTCTTTCTCTCCAGGAGCCGATGTAGTTCCTTCTTTTTTCTCTCCAGGAGCCGATGTAGTTCCTTCCTCTTCTCCTCCAGGAGCTAATGTAGTTCCTTCTTCTTTCTCTCCAGGAGCCGATGTAGTTCCTTCTTCCCCTCCTTCAGGTGCTGATGTAGTTCCTTCTTCTTCTCCTCCAGGAGCCAATGTAGTTCCTTCTTCCTCTCCTTCAGGTGCTGATGTAGTTCCTTCTTCTTCTCCTCCAGGAGCTAATGTAGTTCCTTCTTCTTTCTCTCCAGGAGCCGATGTAGTTCCTTCTTCTTTCTCTCCAGGAGCTGACGTAGTTCCTTCTTCTTTCTCTCCAGGAGCCGATGTAGTTCCTTCTTTTTTCTCTCCAGGAGCCGAGGTAGTTCCTTCCCCTTCTCCTCCAGGAGCTAATGTAGTTCCTTCTTCTTTCTCTCCAGGAGCCAATGTAGTTCCTTCTTCTTTCTCTCCAGGAGCTGATGTAGTTCCTTCTTCTTCTCCTCCACCCGGTGTTGTTGTAGTTCCTTCTTTTTCTTCTCCTGGAGCCGGTGTAGTTCCTTTTTCTTTCTCTCCAGGAGCCGATGTAGTTCCTTTTTCTTTCTCATTAGGAGCCGATGTAGTTCCTTCTTCTCCTCCACCAGGAGCCGATGTAGTTCCTTCTTCCTCTCCTTCAGGTGCTGATGTAGTTCCTTCTTCTTCTCCTCCAGGAGCTAATGTTGTACCCTCTTTTCCACCAACAGGAGCCGATGTAGTTCCTTCTTTTTTTGCTCCAGGCACTGCTGTAGTTCCTTCTTCCTCTCCTGGAGCTGATGTAGTTCCTTCTCCTTCTTTTTCAGGCGCTGATGTTGTTCTTTCTTCTTCTCTTCCTGGAGCTGATGTAGTTCCTTCTTCCTTTCCGGGCATCGATGTAGTTTCTTCTTTCTCCTCTCCTGGAGCCGATGTGGTTCCTCCTTCTTCTCCTGAAGCTGATGTGGTTCCTTTTCCTTCTCGTTCAGGTGCTGATGTTGTTCCTCCCTCTTCTCCCCCTGGAGCTAATGTAGTTCCTTGTTTTTCTCCTCCAGGTGCTGATGTAGTTCCTTCTTTTTCTCCTTCAGGTGCTGATGTAATTGCTGATTCTCCGCCTGGAGCTGATGTAGTTCCTTCTTCCTCTCTGGGCGCCGATGTAGTTCCTTCTTCTTTCTCTCCTGGAGCCGATGTAATTCCTTCTTCCTCTTTAGGAGCCGATGTAGTTCCTTCTTCTTTCTCTTCAGGAGCCGATGTAGTTCCTTCTTCTTGTCCTCCAGGCGCCGACGTTGTTCCTCCTTCTCCCCCTCCTTCTCCTTTGAAAAGGGACAGAAAATAAAGTTGACATCAAAAGGGGTTCTTAAAAACATCGAATTAAAAGCCAAAGGATATCCTATCGTACCGTATTGAAAATGTGGTATGCAGAGAAATTCACAATCTTTTACTCTAACGTCCTTGTTACCAGTCGTCCAAAATTATTATTAAATTGAAAGTTTTGGTAAAATAAAGTCGTAACATGTATAATTTGTTTCATTTCTTACCACTCGGTTCTATGGTGGTGAATTTTATCTGACCTTGTCCTTAATACGGAAAAAAGAAACGGAGGAGCAAAAGGTTAGTGTCAGGGTGTTGTAAAGCAGGGTCTTAGACAAGGTTTCCATTCTTGGATTGGCTCAGCCCTAAAGTGGTTAAGTCATATTTCCTCAAACACTTATGGTAAGTAGTCGCAAAATAATTGCAAAATAATGGCATTCTAGTCAATTAATTTCGAGGTCTGAAAGCCACATACACTAACCACTTGCAATGGCTACTATTGGTATAAATAAGATTGTTGCCACATGTCTGATTTAAAGTCCAATTTCACTTTTATAAAAATTCAGTGTTGAAAGAAAGATGTTCGTATGAAAGTCAAGGGAATAGACCTCATATGCTTTATTGTTCATTCACCAGAGCCTGATAAGGTCTATTGTTCTTCGCTGAGTTTAAAAATAACAACATTTGAGCTTTGGCAAAGTAAGGCACAATAATTACTAGGCGTATAAACTCACCACCGGGGGTAGTTCCTTCTGGTTCTGGAAAAAAGGAAACAAACAAGTTGTACATTCAATTTATCAATTTATGTTATTTAGAGGAGATACCTTATTTTTTTATAATTGCTTATCTACCCCTTTTAGTGATCATTTTTTTTCAGAAAATGACAAAAAGACATTTCTATTAAATAAAGTGCGGTAGCACTGCTGTCAAATGATTCAGCCCTAGTCGCAAGTTTTTTTAGTCATTGTTCGAGGAGTTTGAATTATGCCCGCCCAACAACATACTTGTTCATTTTTCGCTTTGTTCAACTGATTCGCTTCATCTGTGTTTATCTGTTCCTATCTATCTCAATTCTAACGTGGGTAGCTGGCGATTTGAAGACTCCTCATAGGTAACTCAGCCCATTTTCTTTTCCCTTTGTTTTTGTCTCATTTTCTCAAGCACCTAATAACTGTTTTATGACTGGTTCAAAATTCTGTCGCTAGAGTGATATGAGTTAGACTACTGCCAAACCAAAACTTCACAAACTACAAAATACAAAAAATGTATATAAATCCCAATGTGACTTACCAGTTGGAACAGTAGATCCTGGCGCTAGAAGAGAAAAAAGTAAGTCATGACCGAGAAAAAGAACACGTCAATACGTTTGAATTCGCCAAATTCGCGTTTTGTCATAAAAATAACCTGTTACCCCCATTGCCTCTCAATTTTTTTTTAACAATAGCTAAATTCACCGCTATGGTAAACCAGAACAGCTTTTAATTATCGAACGCATTTGCGTCGTACAAATCTCAAGCAATTTACAATTCTCTACCGAGGTCTTAAAATTTGGAACTGTCTTTTTTCTCTCGTCGTCAAATGCTCTTAGCTTCAAGACGAAAATGCAAGAGTTTTTACTTAACTATTCACTGAATTGGCCAAGCTGCACTTTCGCAGCACTCATTCTTTTAAATATATTTTTGTAAGTGAGGTGATCTCTCCCATAAGCCCGATGGCCCCCTGGATCTACTCGCCGATAAATCATAACGCTGTAGATAATTTTTTTGTATCTTAAAAAAGGAAACTGAAATCATGATGATGAAGAATGTAGTGATCTCTATGTTAGATGAAGTAGTTTTCAGAAAGATTACATAGTAAACGTTTGCATGTTTACAGTTATTGACCATTCACACTGGTTTTCTCTGGGCCTGGAAAGTTCGTAGAAATATGTTTGCATCGTTTGAATTGTTTTTACTGAGACCTACCAGCAGTTGAGGACTCCTCCACCACTTCAATGCCAATGGTACCAGTTGCTTCTGTAAAATTTTTAAAATAATAAAGGACGTCAGAGATGACTCATTTAAACGGTTAATGGAGGGATAGTCTTTGGGAGAGTATACCCGAACGAGTTCAAAGGTGATGCCTAGAAGGCAAAAAGCTCTTCAGTTGAGGGTGAAGGAATCATAGCTACCGTAGATTGCAGATCGGCAGATTTGGCTTCACTTGAGTTGTAATCATATTATATTAGTGAGATCAATGAGGACCTGAAGCAAGTAAAAACGAGGACCAAATCGATTATGCCAAGCCACTATCTATGAGAATTTCAAGAATCGATCGAAATCTCCAACCAGAAAAGATAGAAAATTCTATGCGCAGTAGTGATACAGAACTTACACCTAACGAAGTTTTTACATTCAAGAGGACTTACCAATTGGGTTGGTTACTGTTGCTGAAAAAGAAGAGAATTGAAATCAAAGGAAATTCTGACTGGCAGTAACGTGAAGTTGGGGTCTTTCTTACAGCAAATATAGATTTCCTTACGATTTCATGAAAGAGATTTTGTCGTTTCATAATAATTTCACGGATTCACGAAAGAATTAATTTATAATTAGGGCGAACTTTAAGATACCTTTGATTCAAAAGGAAGTTTCTAGCTTCTGCGTTTATTGTATGACTGCCACAAAATGAAGTGTTTCAACTCAATATAAAGATGAGAAAAATAATTAACCTACCGGCCGTGGTGGATCCTTCTTCAACTTCAATATGGATTGTACCTACCACGAATGAAGTGGAATTGTTAAAGATTATAACTGCTATAGTCAAGAGAGCTCTTAAGCGAAGGGGGAGGGGAACACACCCTTTTTGGCCTTAAGGAGAATGTGCCTCTAAACTAGGTAAGATTTTTGGGATGTTTTGGCGGGTAATATAAATCTTTTGCTGAGCATCTTGGAAAGGGTATCTTTCTGGACCCAGCGTAGTCTTGCGTTATTCACGACTGTTAACAGGGAAGTCCTGTATTTATAGAAAAAAAAACCTACGTGATATTTACTTTGAGGTTTCCAATCACAGTTCAGTTACATTTACAAAACGTCGTAATTAGACAGTTAAACCATGCAATCACGTGACAAATCGACGCTTGCAGTGCCAATCAGAATTCATAAATTTGGTTAGAAATAAAATTGTGAATATAAAAAGTATGTCCTACCAGTTTGCGTCGCCTTTGTCCCTGGTCCTTCTGTAGATCAGACAAAACAAGTGAAATTAACGAAACTTTAATGTAAAATGACAAAGGATGCCATAACCCCAGTGGGATTTTTTCTTAATGAAAAAAAGTTTTTTGGAATGTTTAACTACATGATCTTGAATTAGCTATGGATATAATTGTAGGTATGGCTTGGTGATAGAACAGTTTTCAACTAAGTGTCGATTGCCGTTGGTCTGACAGAAATTTTGTCAGCTGTTTGTCTTGTCAGTCAGATAATTGGTCCGTCAGCCATTCGGTGAGACAATCAGTCAGTCAACGTGGCAGTTAGTCAGTCACTCAGTCAGTCACTCCGCTGATAAGCCAATCATCTATTTGGACAGTCAGCCAATCATTTCGCCAGTTCATCAGTTGGTAAGTCCGTCTGACTGTCAGTCAGCTCGTCATTAAGTTATTCATTTTATTTAATTGTTGAGTCGATTACTAAGAGATTATAAACAATATCGGTTAGTTTGTTAGCTGGCGAGTAAGTCCACCAGAATTCCGTCAGTTAAGGCAGTTGATCAGCCGGTAATTCAGTCAGTTAGTCAGTTATTTTTTTAGTCAGTTCATCGGCTGGTCTGGTCAAACACTTGGTCAGTCGGCTCTCGTATCTGGATCATTCATTCAACCAAGCAAGAGGTCAATCACATGCATACTGCTCTTTTTAATCTCTTCCTATGACTTACTTGTAGCGGGAGGACATTCACAAGGACATGGTTTCACAAAGCATTTCATATAATCTATGTATTCTCCAGGTGTAGGGCAATCCTCCACGATACATTCACGGTATCTCGTCATGAATCCCTCCCCTTCTTGTACACTGCACGCGGTCCAATCACTCCAAGGACCATATGCCTCACCGTTCACCCTCCAGTTGGCTTCGAGTCAGGAAGAGAAATGGATGCATGTTGTTAGAAAGAATAGTAGGCTTTTGTTTCTTAAGCAAAAGTTTCAAGGCATTTTTCCGTGTCAGACTTTGAATTAATAAATCGCAGCACATCAAAGGAGCCCGCCTCGGGCGCGCGCCCAATAGGAGTCGCCCGCAGTCGTTTCTGGGTTACGTGCCTCAAGATAGTGCACTGTCCTGCCGTGCCTTTCGTTTCGGGATTTTGTGCCTCGTTCTCACCTTTCATACACTTCTCTGAACAATTTTGTATCTCAAAGTAAGTAAAGGAGGGTCTGGGAAAGAGTCAGCGAAAACGATGTCAAACATGACAAACGTGTACATTGTTGTGCAAAATTTGAAATTGCTTCTGACTTTAATACTGATCTTCACCAAGAGAATATAATCTCTTGCCTCCACTCGTATAATACGCAGCGGTCAATTATCCGCGCGTGGGGATTAATTCTGGCCGATAGCGCGCCAAATTTCAAAAGGGAAACAACCGCTGTCTCACACAATATGCTACAGAAAATTAAAACGTTTATCAAAACTGTATAAAGGGAAAGAAAAGTAGTGAACAGAAATATTAGGGACCTTAAGCAGTCAGGACGGCAACGTCAAGGAAGACTTCGATTAAAAAATGAATTTCTGCCTTTAATTAGAATTTAAAAAATGGCTGCATGTGTTTACCATACCGTCTCATACGGCGCCACACCTCAACTTCAGCATAACGTACAAAAGAAGCGTTGAGTTCCAAATGGAAATTAAAATAATTCGCCGTCGCGGTTTCGGTTTGTAGACGACGCAATTTGTGGTGATTTCACGTTGTTGTTTTGAATGGAACGGCTAAGAAATGTACAAAATTTTCAAACGCACGTGCTGAGTAATTGTTCTGCCAAGTAAATCTATTGTTTTTCCATGTCCTCGTTGCCGTCGCCGTCGTGGTTTGCTTAAAGTCCCTATTGTTGAACTTCGAACACCAAATTTTTCAAGCACGTTTATCGTTTTGAGCTTTACAAAGAAAGATTGTATTCCTTTAAAACACGTGACTTTCTGGCTTATGTAAAAGTTTTTGTAACCTGTTTGAGCCATGGACAACTTGGTTTTGACGGCCGGAATTCACACCACCCATTTAGTACAAAGTTCACACGCGCGCAGATGTCTGGCCGCTGTGTTTCCGTACGCACTTCGGGCGACCCTAAAAGCCGGAACGTAGGAATGGCGAAATGGCGGAAAATGGCCCCAAATCCTAAAACATGTAACGGCGGAAAATGACCCTAAAACACGGAACGGATGTCAGGGCATGTTGCATAAATTTTGTACAAAAACACTCAAGTGCTTGGCTCAATTATCCCAACGATAACGCGCGGGACTAAAATTAAGTGTTATTAATTTTTTTTCTTTCACCGAGTGGCATGAATAATAATGAACCATTCTGCATGAAAGATAGCTGCGTTTTCACGTTGTGAACCTGTTTAGTTACTTTTTGTTATGCTAAATTTGCCATGAGTTTTAGTCACGGCATAAAAAGTCACACAAACCAAACCATAGGATCCTCGACCGATTGCCTCTTCTTCATCTCGCAACTGCTTCCATGCGAATAATGGTAAACCATGACAATCCAAAGATCCGTCTGAATTACACTTCCCTTTCAGGAAGGGCAATTTAAACGCCATAGAGCTGACTATTTGCAATTTGTTGAGGAACAGAAGAAATCCGCTGAACGAATTGGTGAAATAGCCTCTTTTTTGTCCAGAAAGTTTATTTCTTCCGCTGATATGTAAGCCGTAAATTTCACAGTAGGATGGTGGTGTTTTGGACACCTGGTCGCGAAGAAATTCTTCAAATTCTTCTTGACGGCTTCCTTCTGCTAACTTTCTTTTGTCTTTTCACGCCATGAGAAATTCCCACTCGCGTGACACCCTCCTAACCTCTCTTCACCTAGTGTTACTAGTAAGTAAGTAAGTAAAGCCTTTATTTAAAGAGGGTGGCACTTAATAGCCAAAGGCTAATAAACTTGTGGCCCTCACAACTATTTACAATCTAAAATACTGTAAGCTAAAATATATATATATACAGTTAAAATATAAAATATGACAGGATTCGATTATAAGATAAAAATAAATTATTAAATTATGAAATGATGCAAAAATTGTTGTTCCTTAAAAATCTTGGCAAACATGTTCTTTTTAAAACATGCTACAGAATTTAGTTTCCTAATTTCAATTGGTGTACTGTTCCACAGTCTTGTTGCCGAAACAGCGAAAGAGCGTCCTCCTTCTGTTTCTCTTTTATATTTAGGACAAACAGCATTAGTGCTTGAATATCTAGTGTTGCGGGAGTGCCGCTTATTATTTAAAATTAAGTGTTCATTTAGATAATTCAGCAAAGTCCCATTAATTCGCTTATACATTATTGTGCATTTATCAATCTTTTGTTGCTCATAAAACGAGATCCAACCTAGCTTGTTAAACAAAGCAACTGATGGTGTCATGCGATCGGCATAACAAATAACGCGTGCCGCACGTTTTTGCAATCTTAAGACCCTATGAACCGACTCTTTATCGCAATTTGCCCAAACAACGTTAGCGTAAGACATAACAGGGCGAATAATGCTATTATAAAACTGAAGTCGCTGTTTAAGAGGTAGACACGCTCGGATCTTACGCAATATTGCGATTCTAGAGGCCAACTTTTTACATACTTTCTCAACATGTTCATTAAATGACAATTTGCTGTCAATTTCTACGCCTAATAAGGTAGCACAATCCACATTACTGAGCTGTTTTCCATTTACGATTACATCTATGTCACTTCTATTTATGTTGGCCACGCGTCTTTTGCCAGTGATCGTAAGTACTTTAGTCTTGTCTTCATTTAATGGGAGCTTATTCGCTGAAGCCCATAATTGAATTTCAGAGACAGACTTGTTTAGTGATGAATTTAAGGTGGCTAAGTCCTTCACATCCGCAGAAGCGGTGACAGTCGTATCGTCTGCGTAGAGGTCCAACTGAGCACTTGTATACAAGGGCAGATCGTTGATAAACAAAATGAAGAATAAAGGACCCAAAATACTGCCCTGGGGGACTCCATGCAACATCAAAGCTTCGTGGATGAAAAAACGCTCGTATTGAAGGGCTCGTAACGAGGGCTTGCTCTCACGCTAGTCTAAGTTTGGAGCTGGGGCTGAACGTTGTCATATTTTGAGAAGCCTGAAAACGTTCCTGTGATGTTCTCACATTTTTACAAGCATATGAGATAGTATTGTTTCAGTAAATCAATGCAGACGTGACCAGGAAACGTATCAAAGTTACAATTGTTTATTGTAATGTGGTATGTGTGTGGTTTTCACATGCTGTGTGACTTTTTGTGCCGCGACTAAAACTCATGGCAAATTTAGCATAACAAAAGGTAACTAAACAGGTTTACAACGCGAAAACGCAGCTATCTTTCATGCATAATGGTTCATTATTATTTATACCACACAGTAAAAGAAAAAAAATTAATAACGCTTAATTTTAGTCCCGCGCGTTATCGTCGTGGGGATAAATGAGCCAAGCGCTTGGTGTCTTTTTACAAAATTTGTGCAACATGCCCTGACATCCGTTCCGTGTTTAAGGATTTGGGGTTATTTTCCGCCGTTCCATGTTTTAGGATTTTGGGGTCATTTTCCGCCATTCTGCCATTCCGCCGTTCCGGCTTTTAGGGTCACCCTCTTCAAAGGTTATAATTTGTATGTTTTACTTTCAAATAATGATAACAATAAATATATTTGTCATTTAAGTGTCTACTACTGATTTTGTAGCACTTTAATCAAAACGCATTGTCGTCTCACCACCCCAAAAATTGTATTTCAGAAATAAAAATCAAGCGTTTCCTACGGAGCCCCAAGTTCCATCCAAAACTTACGCTCTTCTTTTTTTTTTTTCCTTCCGCGACTTTTTTCGCGACTCTTTTTCAACACTTCCTTTTCTTTCGCGACTTTTCCGCGTGTAAACGTCACCGTAAGCTCAGAGACGAATGGCACATGCAAAACATGGCGTCAAAGGAGAAGCTGCTTAAAGTAACTGAAACGAATTTCCTAATTATCTTTGCTTTACTGCGCCAATTTAAAGCACTCCTTCCACAATATGTACCTGTACTTCAGCCAGACTACGTAGAGCGGCATGACCTTATCGAGTGTTACTTTAAGCTTGAGCTTCAACATCGTGAAATCTTAGCCTTCCTTATGCTCTCGGACGGCATTGTGTCTGCGTCAGCTGGAGAGAATTTTGGCTCACAGGGGATTACGCAGAGGGCATAACCCTGTAACCCCCTGTTGACGATGATGTTGAAATCGCCATTTTCCCGCACGTACCGTGCTCTGAGCCCTCGGTAGAAGTCGCAACAAAAAAGTCGCCAAAAAAAAAGTCACTTAAAACATATCGCGGAAAAAAAGTCGCAAGCAAAAAGTCGCCAAAAAAAGGCTTCGAAAAAATAGGGTAAAAAAAAGTCGCGAAGAAAAAGGAGGGTGAAACTTTTGGATGGCACTTAAGGGGCCCCGTAGTTTCCTTACATTTTGAATGAAAATTTGATATTTTAATCACATACCCTCCCTTACCTGTCACACACAGGACAACGAGATAAGCCAACAGCATTGTTTCCTCGGGGATTTGATTCTAAAAATCAAAGGTCGTGATTTGATAAACACTTGACTTTGTTTGTCTGAAATGTAACGATAATAATGATGATGATAATGATGCAATTATCTAGAGCATTCTTCTTATGAATATGCTCTAATGAGTTTTACATCACTTGGAGGGACGTTGGCCAGACTACAGTTAGCAGTTGACGAGTTTTTTGACGGATATTTTGCAGGTGCCCCAAATTTTTGGAATTTTTTTGGTCGCAAACAACTATGTATTTTTACTGACTATATCGCACAAGGAGAATTTTAATTTTAGGCAATACCAAGTACATGTGGGATACCGTCATTTTTCGACCGAAATGTCTTTTCTTCGAAATATCTTTGTAACACTATTTTTCAATGCGATGCTTCTCTTAAGCTGCTATGTCCTGTGCTGAAAAATCAAAAGTGGGATGGGAGGAGAGGGGTAGGTGATAGTCCCCCTCACCCCCATCCGACATGCACGACAAATACAATTTATCATAATGAAATATCTCTGTCATCCTTCTATGCGCCTAATATACCTGCTATGTCCTGCACTGAAACGGCAAAAGTGGTATGGGAGGAGAGGTAGGTAAGGGTTTCCCCAACCCCTTTCCGAAATGACAAATATGAAGTCGTAACAATGAAGTGTTAGAAGCCAGCTGCTTACACTCAGACAACCTGTTCAGTTTCAAAATACATGTCGGACGCTTAGCGATTTTGACTTAAACTGTCTCCATAAAAAAACTATGGAGAGTTGCCTCCCTGACTGATGGTATTGTAGAATACCTTGCGTTTCCCTGGTACGTAATTGCCTTCTTCGATCCAATTGCAACTAGATTTTTTTTTTTAATCCGCAGAGGTGTTCCCTGTTTTCCGCTCGGTTTTCAAGGAGAGACGTACCTGTTGATCGCAGACCGGATGACTATGCTATACCTTGCTGAGAAGATTTCGCCTTTTTTCACTGCTGGGCATAAATTAGCTTCTTAAAATGAAGAGCGGAACTGAGCCGTCAGAACCCTTGTACGACTCTTCGATGAACATTCGTTTCCGCCGCCGCCGACGCACTTTTTAATTTGAATACTTCAGTTACTCGCCTAAAAAAATGCTTTCTATTCATTTCGTGCTGATAAATCGAAACTTTGCTGACAGATTATGGATTTGTAACGGAAATATTCTTTTTTGTCACTCGTCAAACTCCTCAAACGCTCGAAAGCTCATTAAGGTTGCAATTTTGTTCAAAACTTGATATTCCACAGTTCTATAATATAGGGGTCTCGCTCTTCGATCTTACTGACCATTTCCTTCACTTAACTATGACCGGATATTCCTGGTCGGTGCAGTCTGTGCTTAAAAATCAAAGTTTTTAACAAAGACCCGCAAATATCGAAGGGGGCTTTGCAAAATCAAACTATCCTCTTGAGGGGTGTTTGGAAAGAATTTCGGTCTGGGGGTGGCAAAACTTTGATCGCATTTGCATACGATTTAATCCGCTTTGGTCTAGAAATTCTTCTGTCTATAACTACAAAAATAGAGGAAGAAATAAAAGTAAAAATAAAATGAAAAAAATAAATAGCATTCTGCCTATGGATTTCGGGTTTATCTTTTAGAAGGTAAGGCCTTCAAGAGTTGTAACCTGAAACAAACTGTATACTTCAAATGTGCCGAGACTGATTTAAATAATTTATATGCTTATGAAAACCGCACGACAAAAAAATATTTATTTGATGTAGGTTATATTTAATCGGTTCGTTTTCTTCAAGACCAAGGTCATCTCTGCTTGATGTAAAAAAATTGAGAAGCGCACGAATACTTGAAAAAGCTAATTATCGTGAAAAAAAAATTGCCCTTTAAAATCTGAAGATATTGATGGATTATCTACGTAGCTACATTTATTGATCTGCTCTCTCTGCGCAAGAAAAAAATTTGCTCTGTTTATTGGAAAATTTGGTCGCGTTTTGATTGGTTGATTAGTTAAAAAAAAAGTATTAAGTTCTTATGTTAATGAATTTGATTATGGCCTTGAGATGTGTATCAGACGCGTGATAATTGATGAGGGCGATACTCGAATTAACTAGAAATCTGGAGCTAAAAATTCAATGGTTTATATCATAAATCTCTTATTCGTTCAAGAGTTAATAAAAAGACTGTCATAAAACATATTTAAGTTCACATGGCAATCAGGTGGACAATCAGACATGGTTTAATGCTACTCTGGTTTAAAGATTTAGTGAATGTAACCGAGAAGTTACAATTCATAGACCTAACGTTTCGACACTTCTTTGTAGTGCCTTCATCAGGGGTGATCTAGACGAAGGCTCTAGACAGGAGTGTCGAAACGTGGAATCTATGAATTGTAACTTCTCGGTTACAGTCATCAATTCTTAAATGTTTAACCAGAGTAGTATCAAACCATGTCAAGACTGTCATATTTTATGGAATAATGATACGAACAAGTCACGCGACGTTTTTTCTTTACACTCACTATTTCTGTCTAACAAAATATAGCGAGTATGTAGCATAGCTTCTTTTGACTGCAGTTTTTGTGATGCAATGCTAATAGATTTATACTAATTCCCTGGCGATGTTTGCCATTTCCTCTCAAGCCATTTATTGTTACAATAGGATGTAGCTCACTGTATAATCTTGATTCATCTGTGTGGTCCTTTCTCATTTTCCTCGACAAACCGACAAAAGGTATTACACTATGATCACTTTCGATGTTCAAGTGAAACTTGCTCTATTTTAAGCTTTTATTATGTTTTTTAAACGACGGAAGAATTTTGTGGAGTAAGATGAAAACAATAGTTCGAAGCAAAATTTTTGGCCAGCCGCCACTACGTCTGCTCAACTCGGTGTAAACATGCAATCGTCATCGATTAACGATGACAATCGCTTAATGCTAAGGTCTTTACAGGGAAATATTCTTAACACTTGACGGATAAAACTAAAAATATTTCTTTTAGGTGGAGGACGACTAAATTGTAGACTATTTAACCGTTTGACGATTAACGGTTGGCCCTAGCAAAACCCTCTAACATCCCGCTTGAAAATTCAATCGCATAATTATGCTCCTTTACAAAACAACTTTGCATCAATGTGATCGTTTTACGTACATTTTCCACCTCATTAGGTCTGAAGTATATAATGCAGTTAACGTTCCATGCAGAATTAAAAAAAAAACATTGGGCTCCTACATCGCCAAGTAAACAAACTCCAATGCAAATACTTTTTGTAAGCGGTCAGTGTGATCGTGACTGTTCAAATCCTAATTTCCTTCCAACGAATTCATTACATGCATAGACCAAGCAAAAGTGGCTTGCTTATTAATAGGCGACCACATTTACAAAGACGAAGATTTTTCTCCAATTTAGATGTCAGTGTTTCAAATTTATAAAATTTTATGGATTTAAATTTTGTGTTATGCGTATTAATGCAAATCGAAAAGTTGGTACAAGTTGCATCCGGTACGTAATCTAATTTCCGATTCAAATAACAAAAAAACTCGATCCAGTTCGATCAGTACTTCAAACTTTTGTTAACAAAATATTTTTTCATCATTGTTTCCTGGAAATGTTTTAATGCGAAGAAAGAGAAAATACAAATTGTCAACTAGTGGCGGATAGTTCAATAGAATAGGTTTAGAATCATTCGTTTTAATAATGTGCAATGAGAGTTCATTGGCGGCTCGAATTGGCGGGAAACAAGATTCGGAGTTGCAAATCTGTGCGCTAAGTGCAACATAACGAGTTTAAAACTGATAAATTTTGGCGAGAAGAATTGACGTGTACTCATCTAGCAAAATCATCAAAAAGTGTTTCGTGCTTCAACCTCATTCCTTAGAGGTCGGAAAAATGGAATAGAACACACTTGGATAAGATAGAAATCGTTACTGTTGGCGATAATATCGTAATAAAGCAGAAACAAAAGTAGTCCTCGTAGACCTCTCTATGTTTTCCCTATGTGAGGTTTTGTTATCATGTAGTTTTAACCGAAGAGAAACAATTAATTAAAATTTGCGCACCATCCCATGAAAGCAAATTTTAGAAAAATATAATAATAATATTTAGTTCACTAACTTTACCTTCTGGCTTGAGTGGTAACTAACTCAAAACCGAGTAGATTGAAAAAATCTCCTAGAATACCTACCTATGAGACAAACGTTTCCCTGAGTGCTCAAAAGGCAACCCTCTTGAGGAACGCGCTTATGCAATTTGTTGGTAAATTTGGAATGGAACGAATTATGAATAACTCGCGTAGCCAAACAGAAAATGTATGTAAACTCTGTTAATTCATGCAAGGACAATCAATCAAGCGAAAAAAATCTCGGCCAAACTGTTCGCTTAGGTCATTGAATGATATAGTTTATCTTAATCCTCAGTCAGTTGACGAGAAACGCTATTTCTGCCACGTTTTGTCGTATTACTTTCAAGTCACTTAGAAACATACATTTGAAGAAAGTTCATGTTTTGTAGTTCCAGTTTTTTTTTAGGCGGGAGCTTTTGGCGCAAAGTAAACTGTAAATGGAAACTATAGACGGCAATTGTTTACTATTATTAACGTGCCAAGCCCTTTGAGGCGAATTTCAGTACCATCTATCATAACGGTTACGTCAAAAGATACTTTATTTTGGAAGGACTGAGCATAACCTTCTTTTGCCGCCAAAAAGCAATTCATAATAGCGTTAAAAAATATGATCGCAGACGGGCAAGTTACCTCAAGTTTCCAAACATGCAGCCTCTCCCAAATTTTTGTTATCAATAGCACGTACAATCATTGATATTTATCGCAATTATTAATTATTATCGTAGTGAAGTGGTTAATAAAGTGCATCAGACCGTAAACAAAATCGGTAATGCAGGATAATTTTGTCCGCTCTTTTTTTGCGCATGATTGTTTGCCCTTAATTCAACAAAGAATGGAAAATAGTGCGCGCTTAAGTGTTACACAAATCTAGAGATAAAAGTTGTTTTCTTGTCAAGTGAGTCGCTCTAGTCAGCAAGCGGATGCATACCGGCGCCGAAAATTGCGTACGTTGAAAAGATCCGCCTAAAAAAAGAAAAAGAAAAAGAACAGGGGCAGAGTGTGCAAATTTCGTGAAGAAACCATCCAGGCTTGACTCAGGCTTCTTCTCTGCAACTGTTTGCATCGCGTGCAGCTCACCTCCGTGGATCATTGTGTTACTTGAGAAACTTAATCAAGGTTCCTCTCGCCGGGATAATCTCGAGTCCTGAGCATGAGTTTGCAATTGGGTTAGACCCTGAGTTAAATCTTGCGCAAAAGTTCGAGTTGAACTGTGAAAAAACGACGACAAAATGCACCAAAACAAAATTTACGTCGTAGGGGGGAGGGTAGGGACCCGCAAAACCAAAGCCCGTTGGGCTGATTCGTACAGATATCCATCTATTTCTAGGAGGAGGACTGCAACCCTAGAGAGGACTCCCGTCATGCCAAAGGAGCCGGGAAGCCTCTTCACGAGTACCCCTTCACTGGGGGTGGCGCTATTGAAAAATGGTGAGTGAAGGTATATTTTCACAAGATGTAGGTATTACTTCAAAAACGAAGATGCCTCGAGTCTTTTAAGAACCAATGTAAGGAGACGGTATAACCTCTCATTACGCGTTACTCATACGTTTTGGACCTGTGTATTTCTGTGTTTGTTTACGAAAACCCCGGACGATGCTAAGAAAAAGCAAAGGTACAACCAAGACACGTAGAATTTATCTAGGTGTGTTTCACTCTGAAGCGTGTTTCAGCCTGTTAATTGGCTAACGTATCATTACAAGAAATTGGTGTCAGACAAATACCAAGAAGTCTCGAAGGTTTGAAGCCACCTCCCCCCCCCCGCCCATGTGCCTTCGGATCGGGATCCATCACTGACATGCATTAGTTTTTTTCCTCAACTCGCGATGACTTGAACCTATTCTCTGAAGCTTACTTACTTCGTGTCATGATGAAAGAAGCGTGAAACTGGCCACGAACCTCTTAGCAACATAATGCAATCGCGGGCGCATAACAGCTGGAAAAGGGCCCAGACACATGCGCACAAGCTATTAAAGGTCACCAAATCCAAGATGGCGATATTTTGACTGTCACCCATTTAGGCCCGCTGTTGTCGTGTTTATAAATTTCTGTTTCCCATTAACGTCTGAAACATGCAGAATAGAACAACTCTGCATCACAATTTACAACGGAGGGTTTATGGTAACTTACCGCCGGGCATGTTGATGAAAAGAGCGAGAGGTGTGTTTAAAATATTAGTTTCAGATTTTGTTTTGATGGTGCGATGGAGACATTTTAAGCTTACATTTTATAGATCTATTGATCTCTCAGCTGTATGTAGCCAAGGATATTTTTATTGTCCATGAGCTTTGCCCAATTTAAGAAAGAAAAATATCGATAAAATAATAATTGAAAATCATCTGCACGGTTTCAGTTTTGCTTCCCACCGAAAACTTTTTTTTTCTTTTTTGTCTACCACTCTGTTCAAAAATTATCATGTGTATTTACTGATATCAGTTATGAAAGTGATAGAAAATCTTTTATTTCGATAGATTTCTGGATAAAATACTGTTAATTAATTAATCGCTATTTTTGCTCATTTCCTGGATAGGAAGTAAATATCTGCTGCAGTGCTTGCAGAAAGAAACAGCTTTGACGGGGCATGAAGGCTGTGTAAGTTTTGAGTCAGTGTTATGTTGTGTCTCAGGATAAAATTATTCCTTTTCTAAAAGAAAAGGAAAAGAAGAAGCATATTTTACACTAAAAGGGCATCTAGTTATATACACCCTTACCTTACCCTCCCCTCCCCCTGTTCCTCCCTCAATCACCCTTTACACCCTAGTATCAGTATTCACATTCTCCATACTGCTTGCTATACATTTGCTATGGTACTGAAAGGGATAATTTGTTTAACAAGAGCTTTTGTAATTAATTCATGATCATTTCCTTTATTCTCATTACATTAATGTTTGTTTTAACAGTGATAATGTAAGGAGAAAGAAGATGCTAGTCACTCTTAGAAGTAAAAGGGTTCACAGTAGTTTTCTAACCAGGTCCAAATAGACTAGGCTAGAACATTTTCCTTTAGTTTTAGTCTTGGGTTAGTTTTGCCACTGGTGGGTTCAAGCCCCCTTAGTTTCTCTTGTGATAATACCATTTTGTCTAATTTCTTAATTCTTTAGGTTAACAGTATAGCTTGGAATGAGAGTGGCAGCTATCTTCTCTCTGGAGCTGATGATTGCCGTCTTAACATTTACCAGCCAACAAAAAGAAAGGTTAATTGTACAACTTTATGTCATAATCTCATTGGCATGTGTAATAGGAATTTTTCTTTTAAATCTTGAATAGTATTCATCTTTTAGACTTTCCACTGAGAAAACATGGGACAATTGTTAGAGGTTAACCCTTTAAACTCCCAAGATCTAATTGTTAATTCTCCTCTCTAGCTACTACACATTTCCTTGTAAATATGTTACAAAGATGTAGTGTTACATCAAGGTAAAACTTCTATCTGTTAGGTTTGAGTATTCGCATAACCTGTTTGCTGAATATTGTATGAATATTAGAGGGAGAAGTTACACGTAATCACTTTTGGGGATTTAAGGGTTAACAGTTATTGTTAATTACATGTAGTGTAGTCCTTGTCATAATAAAAGTCAAAATGACAATGAGGATTGGAAGGTCTTCTCAGTAGGCATTGGGCAGCTAGTCTTGTGATTTACCCTTCACTTTTGTATCTTGTTAAAATATGCTACTGTAAAATGGACTTGTTTTAATGCATTCTTTTTTATCAATTCTGGAAAGAAGTGGACAAGTTGATAGTATGAAACCCTTGTACCATGATTACCTTGTAATAAAAGTTTGGTCAGAAATATTCTTTTTCCTCCTCCATTTATTTATGTGCAGTGTTGATATGTATAAAAATATCTTATTTTCAGTTGCTGCATTCCATCAGATCTGGTCATAGAGCCAATATTTTCAGTGCCAAATTTCTGCCTGGTTCAGGAGATAAATGGGTGAGTGTTCTTGGGTTGACAAATTCAGTTCTGTGTTTGAAACTCTTTTGATATTATCTACATCCTCATGTTGTTCAGCCTTATATGACAATATCTTATCACAATTTTTGATGAAATAAATTTTATTTGAGCTGCCAATTGAAGTCAATAAAAGCAATGGTCCTTGCAGGTCTGCTATAATTTTTTGCAATTGCAGAAGGAAAGCCTGAAAAAACTCTGGCCTTGACAGGATTTAAACCCCTACCTCACAATTATTAGTTGGGCACCACTTCCAAAAGAGCTACAATGTACAAAACCACACTTCAGGAGTGAGGGAAATTTTAGAGGGTTTTTCTTTCCCTAAGGAGGAATTTGAACACAATTCTTAATGACATAAACTTTATTTGAACTTTGGTTAAACATCAAGTAGAGGAATGATCCTTGTAGCAATTTCATACTAGAAGTCTGAAAATTTACAGGCTTTGACATAAGGCTCTAAGCTCAATTTTTCAAAAAGTTGCCCTATGGCAACTTTCCATTGTGAAATGGTTGCCATTAAAAAATTGTGCTTGCCTTTTTTTTCAAATCTGTTGGTTCACCATGTGGCCACTCTTGTCAAAATTCTAGCCACCAAATATATTTTTCACCCGCCATGGTGATTAAAACTTGGAGCACTGTGATGGGATTCAAACCTGTGCCTCCCAGGAACTAGTTGAGTGCCACTATCAACTATGAAATGAAGCTAATGTGACATCTATCAGATTGAAAGCCCTCACTGAAGCACAAAAGCTTTAACCCTTTACACCCTAACATCAGTATGCATATTCTCTATACTGTTCTCTACATATTTCCTAAGTTGCTGACAAGGAGAACTTGTTTAATATCAAGAGCTTCTTTAGTTGGTGATCATTTCCTTTATTCTTGTTACCTTAATGTTTGATTCAGGGGTGATATTGTTGGTAGAAATTAGATGGTAGTCACTCTTAGGGATCAAAGGGTTAAATTAAACAAGGGACAACTAGTCTATTTATAAAGACATACCTGATATAAAGCTTCTGAGGCCTTTGATCAAGCAAATAATATTATCAAAACATAAAAAAGCTTGTTTTAATGTATATACATGTTGTGTGTACCAACAGATAGTGTCCTGTGCTGGAGATGGCATGATTCACTTTACAGATCTCAATAGAGAAACAGGCCATGGACAGTTTCAGTTTAATTGTCATGCAGGAACTACATATGAGGTATGGTATACAGTGCTGCAAGCTCAATTTTGTCTATAAATATGAATTATGTATATCCCAGTAGGCTTATCACCAGAATACATTTGTTGAAAAAGGACTTTGAAACGAGTTATAGAAATGCTTTTATTAAATTAGCTTTTGCATTTACTGGTTTTTAACTAAGCATGAAAATGTGATAATAAATCAAATTCATTTCAATATGTTTGAAACAGAATTAAAAACTTACAACATGAAAAAAAACTGGAACATAACAAAATGGAAGTTAAGACTTTTCCTTAGAATTCATCTTTGATAATTAAAAAGAAATAATAAAGTTGTTCCACAAAACTTTTAGAATTTTCCATCTGAAGTAGTACAGAGTTCGTATCTCTTAAAAAAAAGAATGCTAGAGGTGGGCTTATAATTGGATTAATCATAACCATTACATTTCCTCAAATGTGATGGAGCATTTGCAGCCTCATTTTTCACTAATCATTCTGTACAGTTGTAATTGGACAGTGTAATTGGACAGTTGTCTGTAATTGGACACCTGTAATCAGACAATTGAAGCAGCCAATCATACTAAGTCCACTCAACAAAATCCACCAATCACAGAATTGATCACAATAACCATGGCAACAACCACTCATTTAAAGAAAAACTTTGGAATTTTCAATTCCATAAATTGTAAGTGAGGAACATTAAACTCGAGATATTGTCTCCACTAGAGAAAAATTATTTGTTCAAGATGTATTTGTTTATTTGGAAATTTTAATGGTTATGATTAATTGGTAACAAGACTTTGTGTTGTCCAATTCTGTAATCACTCGTATTATTACAAACCAAATTGGACTCCTATGGAGTCCTATTACCATTATACATTTTTTCATTTACACTCAGATGGTCCTATAACCAGGGAGGGTGGGGAGGGGCCAGCTTTTGAGTTGCAGGGTACTGTATGATATTTGATAAAGCACACTGTGCTTCTAAATCATCTTATTCATGTGATTGTTTTTGTGCTAGGTAATTACAACTCCTGGGGACCCTAACACCTTCCTTAGCTGTGGGGAAGATGGCACAGTCAGACTGTTTGACTTGCGAACCAAGACAAAATGTTTATGCAGAGATTGTAAAGAGGTTTGTTAGGTTACAGAAACTTATCACTATGAAAATTTTCCACTTGTATTGTATTTAAGATCAACTGAATGTGTTCCTCATTAACTTTATTCAGTAAAAATGACATCTTTTGAGAAAGTTGTTTTGTTGTCTTGCAGTGAGCATGGTACAGAGAAAAAATGCTAAGTCCACATGAGAGAATTGAATCAAAACCTTTTGGATTCTGTTATGCTCTTGAGAAGATGATGCAACATCTTACTCTTTCACATTTAGTTAGCAAGCCTAAAATTTATCATCCACTATATTCCATTTCCTCAAAATTAATGAAGTATTTGTAGTTAAATGCTCATCAAAGCAGGACAAAAATTATCTAAGATTTCTAGAAATTTACCAAAAACACCAAACACAGGTCTATTATGTGGTTTAATTTGTTTTATTTTGTAGATTAGATTTGGTGTAAAAAACTTGCTGTGCTAAAAAAAACAAAACTGAAAGATTTTTTTAGCTCTTGGATCTTGAAATATTTCTTGTGAGTTATGTGAAATAAGGGATTTTAGACACAATCAAGGCTCCAAAACGCCTTGACTCGGTCGTTCAAAGGTTGGATATTGCTATCCAGTGAATAAATTGCTATATGGTGGACAACGCCATACATTCTGCAATCACTTATCTGCCAGATAGCAATTTATCCGTTTGATAGCATTATCCACTCCTCATACAACTGAGCCCTGGATTTCATTTATTTTGTGAAGTGGTTAGAAGTTTCCTATTGCCTTTTCTTGCTATGTGAGAAAAAGAGCATAAAACAAAGAGAAATGGAATTTTGATTTGAGATAAAACTGAAAATGGAGATGTGGATTACAGTGTGGTGTGTGGTTGAGTGGTTTGGGCCCCAAGCTTGTAATCTGGTGATCCTGTGTTCAAGTCCTCCAACCCTGTTACTTGCTGGATTTGTTCTTGGTTGCCCCAAATTCAACTCCCCTGCTGCACTTTGTCTATAGCCAAGTAGCCTGCCTCCTGCCTGCCTCCTGCCTGCCTATTACACTATTTTCATGTTCATTTTATATTTTAATATTTTTAAATCAGTTAGACTTGTACAAACCTACACCTTGGTTGCCCTGGAATTATGGAATTGGTTATGGTTAGATTTAAGGGTTTCAGTACAATTTTCATGTGGAGTCACTGATTTTTTTACTATTGTGTTGAAGGAGCCCCTCATATTTTTCTCTTGTCCTAACACAGGACATTCTGATAGACTGCGGTAAAGCAATCACATCCATCAATCTGAATCCCATCATGCCGTATCATCTGGGTGTTGGCTGTGAAGACAGCACTGTACGAGTGTTTGATAGACGTGCACTGAGCAGTAGCAGTACCAACAAGATGAATGGAATGTTCTGTCAGTTTAGACCAGATTCACTCAATGGTAGAACATGTCGCGTCACTTCACTTCATTACAGGTGTGAAAATTGTTTATCAGCTAATCAAGTTTTCTGAAAAATGTTGTGATTGTACTGTCTGTTCCTGTGTTTGGATAAATACCTTAGTTACTAGATACTCTGTATTTTATTTGTTAGCACACCCTTGACCGCAGTCACGTGATTATCCATATGTATCAAATGTGTAAGGCACTTGGTCTGATTCATGCGCGAGTCACGCATTATTCTCTAATAGTATATCGAACCCTAATACACAGCAGTGATTTTAAAGTAAATACAACTTAGCAAAAATTCAAGTGTATGATTACAAATTACTTTCACGAATTTTCTTGGTCTATAATATTCATCTTGTCAGTATTTCGAATTATATGAGGTCATATGTTCCAGCTTGTTGTGAAAAATAAAACGAGGTTTTAGATCTCTTTCTCTTTAAATAATTCATAGATATTTCAGAAGAGGCCAAGAAAAGATGAAATACGAAAATGGTTGACCGTTTACACCAATTGTCAACTTTCAAAGGTTTTACTTTGTACAATTAAGCAGATGTTTCCTTTATGGACCTTGCATGAAAAGCTTTGGGGCATTGATTAGCAATTAAGTCTCTATAAATTACTTGGAAAAATATTTATGACTCTTGTTTAGGGGAGTACACTGCACACCAACTTTACATGTCTCCAGGCGCGTGTTAAACTTCTATGCTCTTCCTTTTCTAGCCCTGATGGTAGTGAACTCCTTGTGAGTTACTGTGCTGATTACGTCTACCTATTTACCTTACGCGGAAGTAAACAGCTTCGCTCTACACACGACGATGACCTGGAGGGTGGATACTCCAACGGTAGCAACGGTCATCGGAATGTACCACCACTGAAACGTCTGCGCCTGCGAGGAGATTGGTCAGATACAGGTCCCAATGCCAGGCCTGAAAGTGAACACCCTTCCCCAGAAAACTCCCTGATGCAGCGTATGTCCGATATGTTTGCACGCTGGCTTGAAGAATCGTTTCGCGCCGGACAGCGTCACAGAGCCCGAACATCATCGTCGCGCTCGACGTCGGTGTCATCTACAACATCATCTTCGTCAATGTCTTCGTCGCCGCCATCTTATATGTCTAGTAGCTCATCAGAGTCAAGCGGAGCTTCGGGTTTGTTTGGAGAGGAACCGAGGTGGCGTTGGAGTCGTGAGCGGAATTCCGAGGTGCCCCAAAGTAGAAAGGGAGTGAGGGTAGGTGAATCAAGCGGAGCTTCTGTGGAAATGGAGTCAGAATCAGCGGCGAGTTTAGATGATGCCAACAGAACTGGCCAGGAGAGATTAAACGTTTCTAGCACCAAATCTGTCGAGCTTATTCCTCACTGTGAAAAGGAATTTGAAAATGTTCCTAGAACTACTGAATCGACAACCTATGTCAATGATACTATGGCAGCCGCCGCTGAAAATAATACAGGAGCAAGCGAAACCTCAACGATAGCAATCGAAAGTAAAGACACAGAGAATGGGCCAAGTAGCCATCGATTATCTCAACAAATGGACCAGTCAAAAGTTAAAGACTCACATTCGAACACTTTAGTAAAAACGAAAAGTAAAGACAGTTCTTCACCAGCTACGCAAGAAACCACCCGCCCAAGCCGTACGCACGCGGATCCAACGTCTCAAGAGGAACCAAGAGACGAACGAAATCTAGGCGTAAGTGGCGATGAAGGCGTTGCTCTTCCGGAACACACCTCAGCGGCTACTCGAATTCAGCGCGTTTATAGACTTCATAAGAAGGCAAAGTCAAGTACGGAGTGTGAAGGAAAGGATCTTTGGATTCCAGAAATGACACGAGTCTACAAGGGCCATCGTAATGCACGAACAATGGTTAGTGTACCTTACAAAATGTCTCTTTTAACCTGAATTGAAATTAAATTAAACATCAAGGTCTTAAGCTTGCGCAAGCCTCCCGATGAGCGCATAGGAAGATTCCTGGACACAACTTCAGCTCAGAAAGGCAACTTGGCTCTGACAGTCTGAAAGCGCGCCACCTCGCTTATACAACGTTCGCATATGTGCACTCATTTGACCGCTGTGCTAACACAATGACTCGACCTGCTCTTCAGTGAAGATATCTCGATCTAAAGTGCAGTGCGCTGTACTGTATGTTAGTCTATCGCGTTTCTCACTCACGAAAATTAGGAAGTGATTTATTTGGAAGACCGAACCGGAATTGTTCGAATTACTTTGAGGGAAAAAACGGAATCTTATTTTTGCTTGCTTACACTCTGTAGATCAAAGAGGCTAATTTTTGGGGCGATGACTACGTTCTTAGTGGAAGTGATTGTGGTCGAATCTTCATCTGGGAAAAATACAGTGCCGAGTTGGTGATGATTCTTCAGGGTGATAAACACGTGGTCAACTGTGTTCAGCCGCACCCATATGACCCAAGTAAGCCATCTGTTACACTGGTCAACATGTCTTGTACATCCTTTCGTGCCTTCTACATCAGATAAGAATTTGTAATAATTTGTATGATAAGCTTACTTCAGTGGCAAAGTAGAAAAAGGTGATGTAATTATAGATTTAGTAGTTGCGGACGATTATAAGGGCTTCATATTTCAAACAAAGTTATGGCTTCTCCTCCATAGGAGGTAGTAGCCTTAAAAATTAAAACATCTTGCGCAAATTGAATCCGGAGTTTTCTGTGAGGATATATAGGGAAGCAGAAGTGGCTCGGTGGCGAGAGGACGCTTCTCTGTCTATGTTAAGCGCAAGCTATAAATAACGCTGCGAAAAGAGCGGTGAAGCTCGCGGGATTCGCCGCTCGTGCTGTGGCGCTAATTAGAGCCTGATTACAGTCTAGGACCTGGGCTGATTTTGAAATAGGTTCTCGTTCTTTTTCAAGGATTTTCCTTCGGGTTCTTTAGATTTGCTCTCTCTACGAAAGGCGACGCTCCAAATTCTGATTTCGAACTGGAAAACAGTGGATGCAGAGCAACCCAGAGGAAATGCCACTGCCTAATTACAAATTGTATCTCTAGGTATTGTTTTTATCCATGAAGAGAAATTCTGCCATCTTTGTGAATAGAGTGAAAAACAAAACAATAGAGACAAAACAAATTGAGGTTTTAGGACAATTAACTCCACATTCATTTAAACAGTTCTGGCATCAAGTGGAATTGACTATGATATAAAACTTTGGACGCCTTCTGCCAAGGAACCCATGGAACCTAAAGACAAGGATGAGGTTTGTGTGCGATTTTTTTTTTTGCCTTTAGACAACGATGAAGAACGTATCCAGTGGAGTCCTGCCTTCTGTGTAATTGCTATAAATTTTGTTCTCTTTGTAGATAATTGGTCGTAACGAGAAAATGTTGGAGGAGAGTAGAGATACCATAACAGTACCGGCCTCTTTCATGATACGTATGCTGGCCTCTCTGAATCATGCCAGGTTTGGTAGGTCATCAAGGCTAGAATTCGTCAGCTTGCGAGCAGGCTCTCGTCATTATTGGCGCAGCAGGACGTGTGTATCTCCGCCCGAGGGTCTGGCACTCAAAATGATCAGTGCTCTATCCCTTGCAAACCTCTTGCCAGGTCGTGTTTCTCAAAGCCTCATTCGTTTCCGTGGGCGACGAAAACGGTCGTGCCAAAGCGCTAAAAATGAGGGCGTGCTTGCAGGCGAAGAATTGCTGGACGCGTTCTCTTCTGTTTCTACTTAACCCTTAACTCCCAGAAGTGATTAACAAGTAACTTCTCCTTAAAATATCCATGCACTATCCAGCAAAGAGGTCATGAGAACACTCAAATTCATCAGTTACAGGCTTTTATCTTGATCTAACATCAAGTCCTCATAACTAACTTACAAGGAAATGTGTAGCTGCTAGAGGGGAGAATTGACAAGCAGATCTTGGGAGTTAAGCGGTTAAGCAATGCAATAAGACATTCTCAGGTTTTAAATAGTCTCATCTAGGGCACTTAAAAGAATTCGGGAAAACAATGCAAATCCTAGACGCAGTTCCATCACATCTATCGACCTATGAAAGCGTGCGTACTGTCTTAGTTATTTTATAAACACAAATATTGCGGCGAGTCACATGATTGATAAGATTCCACTGATGAGGACTATCACGTCAATAATTATTTTTCTTAACCAGTTAGGAAGTTTTTGGAGTGGAACTGAAATCTCAGACGATCTTGTCGTGCATCACGAACAGACATGTGATTACGATATGTTTCCTTTACATGTTACAGGTCAGCGGACTCAAGATGACGAAACCGACTCTGATTTGAGTGACGATTGAATTATGTGACGTGCTGTGCTGGTCACCAGACTGTCACGCAACTCATCTGATTCTTGTCGAGTTGGTTACTCTTACTTTTTTTTCGGGAATAGATATATATTGGGCAATGTTTGTCACCTCAATGCAGCAAATGGGTTTAAAGTTTATCCAATGTGAGATATTACTTTTTCTTGAAAAGAAAAGAAACAATTACTGTTCCTTTTCAGTCTGTTTAACTGTGGTGGAAATTATCACAAGTTTCTTTCGAAACGTTTTACGTTAGCCCTACTTCGTAACAAGAGCAGAGAGCTTTTCTGAACTAGCGTTCTATGGTTCGTTATAGTATATGCGATAGTAGTTGGAAACGTTAGTGAGTTAAGTGTTGAAAATGTGTTTCACTTCGAACACTTCAGTGTACAGGTTTGTTCTCCTTTAGCCCTGTCATAAGGAGAGCAATATCTTTCAAATTTCATCAGTTGAAGTATAATGAGGCCTTTGGTTGTCAGGGGGTAATTTTTCTTTTGATCTTATAAGAAAGGAGTTAGCTTTGTGGGTTATTTCATTATATGTAATCGTGATCGATGATGGGTCTGTAAATAGTTTGCATACTAGATGAAAAACGTTGTGTAAATTTATGAAATCTTGTACATACTGTAGATATTATTAAAAGATGTTTTGGTTTTTTTCTGGAAAGGAAGGATACCGTTGCTTGAATTTTCGTTCCCCATCACCATCTGTGTGCTACTACGTTTCATGCTGTTTTACTTTGTGAAGTGCGGCCAGCAGTTTGTTAATAACAAAGGCATTATTATGGTGATACAAATACTGCAGGGATGATTAGAACCGAAACTTCTGCTCTCGTAATGTAATCAATAAATTCAGTGAATAATAGCGTCTTCGACATGTGAACTTTGAATCTTCAGATCCAGCCCCTGATATCTCAAAGCTACAACTTTTGAACCAGAATACAATTTATTTCGAGAATTGTAAGCAATAAAATCAAATTAAAGACGTATTTCAACTGCACTCACGAATCAGAGTACTGTATCCTCCAAACTGCGTTTGTACAACCCGTTTTCTGTAAGTATGATTATTTTTAGTGAAGACTCCAGCGAATGTACTTGAGTCAACTAGTTATACACAATTGTTATCAAATGATGCCAATTCACCTGTCTTGTTTAGGTCTGTTACTAATGATACGGTACAACCTTAAAGACAAAATTTACCATTTGCGCCAAGTGCCAAATTCCCGCCTATAATCAGGCGAGCAACCTTAGCCAACTTTTACTAGAAATCGAGCTACTTTTTCCATAATTAAATCCATAGGCACTAAAAAGACTTTCAACCACGAATTTTTTTTCGAAATCGTACACCTGCCTTTCTTCTCACTGTTACCTAGCTGGTTTATTCAGTTCTCCGAATAGCACACGCTCTCATCGAGGTCACATGACCTTCAACAGTGAAACTGTCTCCCTGTCAAAAGTCGCTGACCGAGGAAAATGGCAAAATCTATGACGTCAGAGGGTAACAGTGCGATGTTGACCGACAACCGCCGATGCACGTGTGCAAAGCGTGATTGAAGCATTGTAGTTTTGCGCTCTTACGAGCCAACCTGTAATTTATCAGTACATGTTCGTTTTGTTTTCACATTGTGTCTCCTAATTTCCTCGTCGTGCCACATAACGAATCACTTACCGACTGGTTCCCTGGAAAACTGTTCATTTTGTTTTCCTTGAATCTTAACCATTCAACTTCCATGAATGACCAAGACAGAATTTCTCCTTTCAATGTCAATACAATATCACGCAGATAAGTGATGAGAATAAAGAAAATTTTCAACTGGGGGATTACTAGTTGATCCAATACCAAATTCTTTAAACTAACATCACACAAGAACTGTATGACAGACAGCAAGGAGAATTTCTAACTAGATCTGGGGAGTTAAAGAGTTAACAAAGAAAACCGTTTCTCTTGGGAAAAGTTATTAAATGTTTGTTTTTTCCTTTTTCCTTCTTTTTCACTTTTCTTTTCTTTTTTTTTTACTATTACTATTGCCACGTGGTATTGGCATTGCAACTCATTCGCTTAATTGGTTCCCAGACTCAAGCTAACATTCAGCAGCGCGGTTCCTGGGTATATCGTGAGTTTCTTGGTAACTTTTCTAAAAACCTCAAGCCCATCTTTCGTCAACGCATATAACCTCATTTCGTCCTCAGTTTCACCCGGAAAACTGAGAACCTCCCGGGGACCAAAAGGGACCACGATTAACTAATTGGTGAACTTCACCGACCAAAAAAGCCGTGGGCTCAGAAAAAATCTTTCTCAATTCTCTAACTTTTACACGGCCCCAGGGTTGAAAGTACCAGTGGCTTGCCATACCTTGGTTTTAAGTGCTTTTGTTGTCTCTTTTCTCGTAATCTGAGGATATATTTAGTGGAATTTTGAGCTGGTATGGACGTGCATGACTTCATTATCCTCTCTACTGCTAAGCTGCTGGAATTAAACTGCTTTATCAAGCTGTGAGGTAAGTTTATTGCTATATTTTGCTTTGTCTCCGAGGCCGGAAGCTAAAATTGTGATAACCAGAGAAAAAGAATTCCGCCCTCCTCTTTAATTCTACCGTTCATCACCGAACGAGTAATGTGACCTATCTTTCTAGGAGTGTGTTTGAATAGAATTACAGTCATCCAGTAGATACTGATATGGTTTGCATCGACCTAACATATATAAAGATATTTTCAATTTTTGAAGCAAATTATCGTAGGTCAGAAGATTTCATTTCAGTTGCAATTCATGGAAACCGATAAGTATTATAAATAAAAGGTTAGCCAACGCGAAAAAAAATACATCTTATCAAAGCCTTGCCGATGAAAAACTGAGAAAAACATATGATATGTGAATTTTCTGACGAAAATAGCGATGATAGATATTGTCAATTTTTTATTTTAGTCTCGTGACCTGTTGTTTATCAAACCACGATTTGATTGGTCGCTTTTGCGGGTAGCTGTCACTCTTAACTGAACCCAGTTTAGTTACATTATGTATATGGCCGGACATAATGGGTTCTCTTGTGCTTAGTTAGAGGAAGATTCTTGTTGTCAGAGCGTTAGGCCGCATATTTTCGCACTTTGAGCCTTCAATGAATAAACACATTCTCTCTTTTCTGGTGTAGTTTGTCTCACCCAGTGAAAGAGGGAATGGATCGTAATCTATTAAATGAATTATCAGATGGTTATATTATGGTAACTAAGGTTGATCGATGCGAATATGTACCGATCATCATCGATGCGCACCGAATATGAACTCGCAAATGCTCGGAAATTTTCGGCAACTGATCGTAAACCATATGAGGTACCACGCAATACGTCAACTCTTACTGAGACTCCATAATTTTTTCGCTAGGGAAGGAATTCTTGAATTACGTCAAAACCCCAATTAGACAGTATTTAAATAAAACAAAGAAGCTTGTGAAATTCGCCTCGCTTTCAACAAGAGGCTCAATTGACTCGGGGCGCCATTCAAGTATCTGGAAGCCGGGCAGGTGGTCGAGTCACGTTGACGCTAAAATTCTTTTCAGGCCTCCCATCTGCAATGTCTTTAGTTGTAACTCTCCTACGAGGATCATTTCTTTACTTGGACTTAGACAGAGTAATTACTTTGACGAGGGAACACAGAGGCAAGTAGCCATTTTCTGTCTATTTCCGCTCCTGGACCCATGACCAAAGGTAAAAATCTCATCTTATCAATTGGTGTTTACATCTGAGCTCTTCAGTACCAGCCAAAGCTAGCTCTCTGTTCTACTCGGGTCCCTGACTTCCTTTATGCCTTGCAAGCTTTACACAGTTGTTATGTTCAGTCCACTGCAAATGTCGCACGCTGTCTGTTCACACCTAAGAAGTTAGGTACTTGATTGTTTATTGTTCGTGGCGCCCTTCTTCTTAACTATTCAATGGCAGTCTGGGAAAATTTGTCTCAATCAAACTCTTTGTAATATTTTTGCTACTTAACTCCCCGGCTTAATGATACTGGTTCAGCTGCGAAGCAATTTGCATCCAGTATGCCAATGATCTTTACCTAAGGTCAAGGTCAAGTTCAAGTTCACTTCAACGCAATAATAAACATTAATTTTACAACATTACGATCGTACACTGGGCCGGTGTCCGAAATTAGAATAATTATTTGACTTTGTTTCCTGCGATTTTCACACTCCCTCTCATGCCTTGAAGGGAGAGAGAACGTAAACTAAAACAAAAAGAAGGAAAGGTAACCTTGATAAGTAGACCCTTGGTAATCTTAAATTAACTCTGCGCATTCATGTAAAACTTGTCCCTGGCTCAAAGAGACTGAATAATGTTCGATTTAATTTTCGCAAAATTAAACTTCATACGAGCTAGTAGTCAATATTGGACTCAGGGAATTTTCTCATTTACATCACAAACCGTTTGACTTTAGAGTTTTCTACTTCCAAACTCACTGGCGGCTTTCAAAAGTACTTTTGTAGAAGTTACCAAGTTACCATTGTTGAACATTAAAAAGAGCCGGTTACCAGAGAAACCTTGACCCCATTAATTTATTTGGAACTTATTTTTATGAAATTTACTCCTTGAAAACTAAAACTAGCGAGTGTTTGAAACTGACGTGCGGTTTGACTTGGTGTTGGTAAGTTTTTTTTTAGAAGCGTGTGTTTTCGTTGAGCAGGGGAACGGTTACCGGTTAATTTGTCCTTAATCAATGGTTCAGATGATTGCTTTAAAGAGAATTAAATTCACTGTTTGTCTAAGAAAGTGCCAGATTTTTTTGCTCTCCGCTGAGGGCAGGTGCCAGAGTAGGTGTTGGAAAGCAATTAGTTACGAAAACCTGGCCGACCGCCAGCTACTACGTACCAAATATTTTTAGTTATGATTTGCCAAAACCTGTGAGCCAACACGAAAAACATGTGCTTTCAAGGGAAGCCTTTTCATGAAATTAAGGAAATTTCATTCAAAAAAGACTACCGGGAAAAAGCCGCGACAAAAAAACTCGTTAGAAAAGATTACCTGGCCAGGTAGTTAAACGCTCCTTTTTATTATTCGTAGTGAGCATTACCAAATGTTTCTTTCGACTGCTGTAGTTAATTCTGCTTCTGACAATTTAGCCACAGGGTAGGTTTTTTTTCAAGCAATAGATGGTAAAACATAATTATAGATATGGCAAAAAAGCCTGAAATAAGTATATTCGCTGAATTCGAAATTACTGTTAAATTTGAGCAAAAATATATTTGTACATAGTTCCAGTGGTTAAGAAACATTTTCCAGCGGCTGCTGACGGTGTAACTAGCGGCTGAGCCGTAGGGCAAAACTCAAACGAGAGGGCCTTATCGCAGGCTAAACAGACAGCGGTAGACCGTTGGTAAGCAGCTATCACTGAAACCCCTGTATAGTTCAAGCAGTCCTGTCCACTGGGATTGTACTGTGACATTCGATGCCGAAACGTTTTGGCAAGCCCTTGGAAAAAAAGTTTATCTGTTTATTCCGTGGAATTATGATGTCAGTGGCATTAGTGATTAATTCTTCACTGAAAAAATGTACGTTTTCCTCTAACACTATTTGAAACTGCCCTGCAAAGCAGCGACGTCGCAGACCCTTTATCCATTAATGAATGTAAAGTTATATTATTCATTTCAGTGGAGGAAATTATATTTCTCTTTGCATATTATCATTTTTTGCCGACAAATACAGCCATTTTCGAAATTCACTGGAAAAAAAGAAACGTTTTACATATCTATTTTATTAACTCGTTTATTTTTATTTCTTTGTAGGGTCTGACATCTCAGCAGAGGATAATTTCCTAAAGTTGACAACTAAATCTTTGGTAAGTGGAAGCAATCCAGGCAAGATTAACATACAAAATTATTTGCATAAAGTAATAGGAAAACGTACTGACAACTGAAAGTCCAATTATTTTCTGTTGTTATTGATTAGAATGACAAAATTTAATCCTTTTCTTTAGTTCATTTAATTTTATGAGAAAA